AAGAAGAAGAAGAAGAAGAAGAAGAAGAAGAAGAAGAAGACGAAGAAGAAGAAGTTATGCGGTGTTTTGCCTCCTTTATTATTATTACAGTGTTTTTGGTTTGGGTATACGTGCTTGGCTGGCGTTGTTGCATGTAGTATCCACCGTGCCCAAGTGAGGAGGCATTTCTATCCTTGCTTGAGAGATTCCTCGAACGCCGCAATAGTGGGTTTATAGGTTCGACTCTGCCGTTAGCCACTCTCTGCTGTCGCGCGCAAATTCATGCAGGGTTGGCAACCACCCAACCTGGTCGGTACTTCCGATCCGAGCTGACAGGGATCCAAAGGTGCTCTTTGTGACTTTGAGGCTAAGCCTCACGCTTAGCTTGGGCGGTACCTAGGTAAGAGGTGACGAAAATCCTACCCTTGGCAGCACTGCTGCGCTCGACACCACACAAGGATGCGACAACAACACAACAACACCACAACACACTTCAGCATGATAAGGTTAATAGACTAACGTCCCCTAGCGCGAGGCGAGCCAGGTAGTGAGCCGGGACACATGGAGTAAAAATTATGGCAGAATTGATAGTGTTAACGGATATATAAGGTGTCATAACTGAAAGAGCAGAAGGATTGGCGCGATCCTTTTGCTCCGGAAAGATAGTGTACCGCAGTTCGATCAGGCGAGACTGTTCAACAATACTATGGAGAAAAATACACACTCAACGAATCTAAGAGCCTATAGAATACTATCAATGTCCCCACTGCGCGAGGTATGAGCATGTAGCTATTGCAGGCCACCAAGATTGGTGACTTGTACGCAAGCCCAAATACCTCACACCAAACTCAACGTTTTTCTCTTGTCATTCCACCTGCAGATTGGCAACAATCTCTCCCCAAGAGTATTTGGCTTTGATTATGATTTTCGTGGAACACTACAAGATTGATCCACTCGATAGTCCTACTTCAATACACTAGGTAGCCAGCCTTGAATACCATCCGATTTCCTCCTTCGATGCTTTCCTCTATTCCGTCCTCTCTCTGAGCTATCCAAATCATCTTAAAAAATGGATAATTTCCATAACGAGGAAACGGCAATAACTCCGTTGGCATAATCGTCTGAACAGCTGTTTCAAGCACCGCCATCACTGGGTTTCTTCGCGTTAACATTCTTCCACTTGCTGCACAAGCTGACGGGGAAAGTGACGCTGCAGGCCCCAATAGTAATTGCGAAAGCAACCTTGATACCCCATGCGTACGCACGGACAACACCGTCCAGCTCGGCTCCGGAAAATACCTGGTGCAGCTCAGTGGCACCGGTAGCCGTGACTAGGGCGGGATTGACGCTCGATGCGGTGTTGGCAAGCTTGTGCATGAGCTGGTTGACGAAGCCGGCTTGCGCGGCAGCGATCAAAAATGTGCCGCCGACAGATCGACAGACTGTGCACGAGGGATACACTTAGCTTAGGGATACAAGGGGACAAAGAAAACTGACGACATCCTAGGACAGGGCAAAGGAGAACTCACATATGATAATCGCGGTCGTAGGAGCTATGTCGCTTGGCGCAGCAAAAGCTTGCGCAACGATGACCGGGACTTGGAAGGCGATGCCGTATCCGAAGCCCGCCAAGATCTGATACCCAACCCATTTGCCTGTCGAAGTTCCAATGTCGAGAGTATACAGTAGACCGGTGGCGATGGTTACGACCACAGAGCCAGCTGTCAAATAAGGAGTTGCAATACCCGTCTTCGTGATGGCTTTGCCTGAGGCATATGTGGCAATGCTGAACATGATGATGAGAGGAATGTTGCGCACACCCGAGCCAATCGGACTGACGTTGTCGATGCTTTGGAAATAAATGGGCAGGTAATAGAGCGTGATGAAATACGAGCCAGCGAAGAAGAAGCCCCATACGCCGTTGACCCAGACGGTCCTTTGGCGCATAAGGCGTGGTGTCAGCATGGCGCGTTCGCCTTGCCATATTTCTAGAATTATGAGTGCAAGAACCATGACAACGAAGCCGACGAGTAAACCGATAACGACGCTGGAATCCCACGCATGGGTTACACCACCGTACTGAAGAGCTAGAACCAAGGCGAGGGATGCACCCATTATAAGCACCGTCCCTAAAAAGTCCATATGTAGAAGCTTCTCTTTGAGCGTAGCATCGACCAGCTTAGCGGCTTTAGGAGTCTTGAAGGTGAGCAAGATGGTAAAAGCGGCCAGACCACCGATTGGAAGATTGATATAGAAGCACCTAAAGTTGTCATATCAGGTCAGGTCCGGTCATAGCAGGAGTCGGCGACTGGAAATAGTCCCTTGTTTTGCAACAAAGACAAAGCAGTACAAAATTCTTGACTCACCACCTCCAAGACGCTGCATCTGTAAGCCCTCCACCAATGAGTGGTCCAGCGACAGCGGCGACGCCATATGACACACCAATGACCCCCGTATAGGTAGCTCTTTTCGTGGGCTCAGCAGCAAAGGCAGAAATCGTGTATACTCCAGGCGCGATACCCGAGGCACCGAGACCGGCGATAGCACGTCCAACAATCAGAGTCGTTGAGTTTTGGGCGACAGCGCAGATCAAACTCCCAAGTTCAAAGATGAAGATTGCCACCAGGAAACTGGTTTTGAGGGGAAAGTATTTATACACTTTGCCCCACAGTGACTGGAACGCTCCGAGCGTCATGAAATAAGCCGAACCGTACCACGAGATATCGTCAAGGCTGTCGAATCGGTCGGTAATCTTTGGAATAGCGGTTACGACAATGGTCTGAATCGAGAGAATCAGCTTACTGGCGTGTGGTGCATTGGCAAAAGACGACTCTGCGAGAAACTTGGAGCGGTAGAACTCACCTGGTCCAGAGAAATGAGGGTGATACTTAGCACGAGCGCAAGCATGACGAACAAGGCTTCGACACCACTCGGGTATCCAACAGGTTCTTGCGGCTCATCCACGGCTTTTTCTTTAGTAGCAGGACCATCGTCTTCGGGGAATTCTGGTTTCTCTACGCCATTGACAGTCGAGGATGCCACAGTGGACGGTTCGTTAGACTCGACGGTCTGCTTTTCCTTTTCAGGCTCGACCTGATGTATTGTCTCTCCGATCGCTTCGAGCTTGCCGTCCTCTGGCAAGGGAGGTGGAGATGTTGATAGAAACATGTGTGTTTGTCGTATGGCTCAATTGCTTCGGCTTGATATGAGACTCTGTGTGTTTTGGAAACGCGACCTCGAAGCAATCAGTGTACGCTTAGCTTACATAGATAGGGTTGTTAAGATGTACGGAGGTAATGTACGGAGATACATGCCCAAATATCATTTGATTGTAGCTCTTGGCGCTCGCTCACCACTCTATCGGACGCCTGCCAGTGTTGTATAACGGAGCTAGGCCTGATAATCGCTGTTAACTCTGCAACCCCGTTAACGCCGCTCGCTCACCACTCTATTGGACCCCTGCCAGTGTTGTATAACGGAGCTAGGCCTAATTAAACGCCGTTAAGTCTGCAAACCCGTTAACGCCGCGCGCTCACTACTCTATCGGAGGCTCATCTGCACGAAGGGCTTCCGCCAGCACCTGGCTGGCTCGGTCCATCATAGCAAACGTAGTTGTGGTGATAGAAGGGGGCTGCAACGAGCAGCTCTTCGTATAAGGACATGCTGCGCCGCTCTTAAGGATAAGCACGTAATAGCACAAAGAACTGCAAGCGCTTAATTCTAGAAATAGCTTATACGTAATAGATAACTAAGTTAGATAGCTTATCTAAATTTATCTTAAGTAGCTTAGAGTTAGAGTAATCTAACTAAGATAGCGGCTTTTTAGTAGAGACTTAGTATTTTTAGACAGTTTAGTAGTATAGATAGTTTGCTAGTAAAGTACGTTATATTTATATCTAGAGTTTATTATAATTAGTACTTTCTATTAGAAGAGAAAGTCCTAGAAGCTAATTTTCTTTGTTCTAAGCTAAACTAGTAGCGCACTTTGTTGTTTGCTAAGCCCTTAGTGGAGCTGGAGTACTCTGTTCGTAGGGGTTAGTGTGTGTCTATAGCATGCCCTTCCTTTAGTTTCCGCACTCCACTTGGCCCTCCCTGCTCTATTCATCTCGCTTGTGCACCATGTTTTGAGCGTTCTGAGTGGGTGTAGTTCGGAGGGTTTTCGCGCTCTTTCTCCTTCGGACCCGTCCTCTCTCCAACCGGCGGCTTCCTTGGCGGCTTTGTCGGCTGCCTCGTTCCCTGGCACTCCGACGTGGGCCGGAATCCATCGGATTTTCACGACTCGTCCCTTGTTCTGGATATCCTGTATTTGCTGTGCTATTTCTCTGAGAATATAGGCTCCTGATTGTCCCTCTGGTTTGGCTGTGGATGTAATGGCCGCCTGATTATCCGTGTAGATAGCGATTGATTGTCGGCTCCCGTTTCGGTCTACGTATTGCTTTGCTATAACAAAGATAACGACGACGCTCTCAATTGGTCCAGTTACTATGTTATGCATCTCATCATGTGCACCGCCACCTGTAACCCTTCTCAAGTTCTTCACTATCCTGCGCGACAGCGTCGTGAAAACTCTTCTCACACGCTAACCATGCGGAAATTCCGGGCTCATAACTATCGGGAGCAGAAGGATTGTATCCTTTTGCTCCCGATAGTTATGACGCCTTATATATCCGCTAACAGCACATCATATAGTGAGATGTGGACTTGAATGTGTCTGGATTTCCATTGTGGGGCCTGTGATTCCTGGGTGTTGGAGATAGACTTCACTGCTACTGCGGTGAAGCGAATCGACGTTCACAGTAACTGATAGTATTCACCAGAAAGCTGCATGCTTCATATCGCAACGCGAGAGCCGCACTCTGGTGAATCAAAGTGTGATTTACTGGGCTGGGACCTCGTTCACGTTAATGACTTGGTGGACTTGATTGCATGCTAGTGCGTACTCGCAGACCATGAATGCACGTTGTTAGGACCCTGCATTTCTGTCAGCCTCGGTGATCATTCGTCACATTACTTCCTTGACACTTAATTAAAGGCAGTTCAATTACCAGGTGTAACGTACACCCCCGCCCCTAAATCTTTCTCTTCACCACTCACCCATCACATACTCCCCACATATAACCTCGAGTCCGCCTCTGAACTCTCGACCCTCGCACTCCAACACCTCCCAGGACAAAGCCAACAAACCCTTCACGTAATCATCGAGCACCGCAGCAGGACTGCACCAACAAACCACTCATGGCCAACACATCCGTCTCCCCAAAACCACCGATCCACGCACCCAAATCTACTCGACCAAACCTCCCACGCCGCACTACTTGTTCATTTCCTAACCCGAAGAAAGACGTTCGAAGTCTGGAAACTCGCCTTCACCATGTCGAGTCAAAAGTTCGGCGCCGTCAGTTATGCAGAGGAAGACACTGTTGATGAAGCGCATGAGCTCCTTTGGGCAATGGAAGAAGTTGAAATGTGAAGCTGGGGGCTTGACGCTCGATATTGATGCTGCGAGGGCTTGGACGCAGCGCTGCGACAGGGAGGTGGAAAGCGAGGAAGAGTGAGACGGGACGGACACCGGTACGGGAAGGGAGATTGGCTGAGGCGTTGGGAGAAGTGGATGTGATTTATACAGTGAACCAAAATTCGTGATTTGCACTTACATGTCTTCTCAACTGTGCCTGGTTCTATGATACTGACGCTAGTACTAGTTGGCTCTAGCTCGACTAGTGCGGCACAGTTCTGTTGTTTCAACCTCGACACGGAAGTGTCACGCCTGCACGACCACCTCATTCTTGGCTATACACCACGTCTACCATCCCTTCAACATTAGGGCACTGAAACGTGGCCTTTTGTGCTTTGCGCCGACATGACGGCCTATCACCAAATCTCCCTTGCGGAACTCCCAGATAGCTCCCAGCCACACATGGACTTTCTCGATACAACATGGTTCAAGACTCATGGTCGAACACGACAATTCCCGACACCCGAGCACTTACGATCTCTCTTTAAGCCGCACCAGCTTCCCCATCCGGTGAGATTTGAGGACCTGGGCCTCATCGTCAAATTTGGGTCACATGTATCTATAACGGAGGCGATCAATCTTTGGGCCATTCGCCGAGTCTTCCAAGATGTAATTCCGGTGCCCGAAGTTTATGGGTGGAGAGTTCTCGAGCAGGAAGGAAAGATTCGCGAAGTCTTCATCTACATGCAACTCGTCCAGGGGCCCACGCTCGAACAACAATGGCCTGAGCTGTCTACGACTGACAAGCAAACAATCTGTAGCGATCTACGTGCCAGGGTGTCTTGTCTTCGCAGTCTTCGGGACAGCGAATCACAGCAAGTCATTGGTAAGCCTTTTAGGTAGACAGGTACGACTTCGCTAAATCCTTAGAGGATCTATATGTCATGGTCCTGCGCCAGATCTCTGCCTGGAGCGTTTACCTTTGCTGAGGCCATTTCTCTCTCGAGTTGAGTTCCACGACTGGCTTTCCTGGTTGTGGCGCCGACATGTTCCTGATCCACGGAGCATCGACGACCCGTGGAGGGACTTACTTCCAGACAACGGATCTATTGTTTTTACGCATGGTGATCTGCGTCCAGCTAACATCATCGTCACCGCCACGAGTCCTGCTAAGATTGTTGCAATTCTTGATTGGGAGCAGGCAGGTTGGTATCCGGACTACTGGGAAGACTGTAAAGCCAGGTTCACAGCAACATATAGTGGAGAGTGGCGTGGCTGGATTGATCAGTTTTTGGATCCTCATACGGAAGCATTGGAGGCATTCGATTTCTACACGTGCACACTCGGTCGATTTTAAACTTTTCCTCGGAGCGAAGGTTTTGTTTTCGATAGCACGGCAATAGACCTGGTGGTACAAGTTATGTTGGTTGAAAACAACTGGTATTACATTGCGATTGTCTGAGAAAACCAGGATAAATATTTCAAAAAATAAGGAGCTAACTTTACGCAAGATAATGGTGTGCCTACTATGCGGCTTACAACGACAGGAAAACTGCAAACAAACCGGATCTGTAAAGACTAAACAACGAGAAAACATAAGAAATCATGGACACAAGCAGTGTACCAAATTCAGTCGCGCAACAGCTCAAGCTGGCTCACTCCTGCCACACCTATTTCTCACCGTCCCAACGTCTGTATCGACTGTGCTCAGCATCCCAAACCCACACAGGGGCCGCTGCTGCAGCTTGCTGTTGGCCCTGCTGTGGTGTCATTTGCGCCTGCTGAGGACGAGCAACAGCGGGTCGTAAACCAATGCCAACATTCGGCGGGTCTTGTCTCGACTGGACGATTGCTACGGCCGCTTTATTGAGGTAGCTGAGGGCGACAAGACGACGGACATAACTCGTAGTCTATTCCTGACATTGACGGTTCGTTGTCTGTATCTGTTAGCAAACACGCGTTTTGTCTGGAGTCTTACACTTACATCGTTGACTGGCGCCAGGAAGTTAGCGCTGGCCCTGGGCGGTTGAACCTGTGCCGCTACTAGCTCAAGTTTACCCTATGGGGTAGTGTCTTCTCCTCTTTCGCCTTGGAAGACGTGCACATGCTTGGCCAGGACGGATCTGATCGGGACTAAGTTTGGAGCACGCCTGGTTTCCGCTGGCTTGTATTTGCGTTTGAATTCTAGAGAGAATCCCGCTATTGGGGCACCGACTACGTGGATGACGGTTTCTTCTGGACCGTCTTCTTTGTAAGGGACCTATATCCCAAAATGAGCACGTTGACTGGGCTGTCCCGGATAGATGATGAGGTATATGGTGCGAGTAGACATATTTGATGGCTGATAGTAACGAACTTTGCGAGATGTGAATTGTGGGAATGAAGAGACTAGAATGAAGATCCGAGAAGAGTGTGGTTGTTTGGTATGGTTAAGATTATTAATGGGGAGCTCGCAGATTACTTATACTCAGGATTGACTATTATCTCCACAGGAAGACAAGCGTCCCCGTCGTTAGCCGCCGTTAATTGCGCCTCGCTGCGTTCGTAGCCACCTAAATTGACTTCTGCTTGTTCACTTGATACAAAATTGGCGATGCTAGCTGTGCCTCGCCTAGCGATGCGCTGTGTGGTGGTGAAAATCCTAAATTAAGTCGGCCTGAGAGAGCGTGGGCAGACCTGGAACACGATCATGCCGTAGAGCCGCGATATTTCCGTTTTAATTGGTGGATTCTAAGTTGAGAAGATTGGCCTGTTCCTAAGATGCGGCGTAGTCAGCGCGTAGAAATCTGAAGCATAGGTAACGCTAAGTTCCAACAGATCTACGCGCCCATGAACCGCGCTGTATGCTAACCATCAATAGTATGATATCCAAAAACTCTGCTGCATTCTTCCGAACAGGAGCAAAACGGCGTTCATATCGAATAATAGCAGTTTATTTCCTCTTGTCATGCTAATAAAGCCGAAATCTTTCAAAGAAGTGTTCATAACTATGCTTAAAAGTTGTCTCTTGCCATTAAGTAATATTGCTGTCGTCTTAGAGATTGCATGATACTAACATAACTTTGTTAGGATCGAAAGACCCCGGAGATGTTCGTACAGCGTAAGATAGCCCTGCCTTCCTGGCCCTTCCCCTCCCCCTCTTACTTCTTTCCTAATGTTTCACAAAACATTCTCAGGCTATTATAGCTTAGAACTATGCCTCTTAGCTCTATTTAATGATAGGGCTTTAATTGTGGCGAGGTAGAAGAGCCTTGAATAAGCCTTGCCGCGACAGAGATGCTGTAGGTGTGGAGAAAGTTTGAACCCATAATGTGTTGGGCTCTCATGGAAGCCGCGCGCGTTAATTTTCGTACCCAGGTGGTAGCTTAACCTGTTAGCGATGTAATTGAGCAAATTACAAACTAGGATACCTAGGAACTTTGAGATAAAGACGGCCAGCTTACCTAGGCTACGTCGAGCAAGTGTTCAACTATAATAACTGCGTCTTATTATATCTTAGTCTTCCTGGTCTAACCAAACCCTTCAGAGAACCTAGAATTCTTCCCTTTGGATTTTTCGAGTCTAGCGCTAGCCCTACAAGTACGCTATCTGACTAGAATAGGGGTCTCTTAGCGTATTCGTAAGTGCCGTTACTATGTACAAACACTAATATCCAAGAAATGACATAAGACACAGAGAACGTTAACTACCGTCTTTTTACGTACTTCCTTCCCATCCCTATTATAATATTTTATAGTAAGCATGTATGCTCTTCCCTCATAATGCTCTACTAACTTTGCGTAGCTCTTTTGCTCACGGGATGTGTCTTAGCATCTCTAGCCTTACCTAACATATTCACGTTGCAACTTGCCGATCATCTTGGCTAAGAAGTTCGTGTAGGGTACTTTGGCAAAGGCAAAGTCGCATTATGGTCTACTTATTTACTAGTAAGCTATATAGAAACTTCGCTTTTAGAGCTTAATATACTTAATATAATATACTTATCTTATCTTAATATGCTATATTTTAACTTTCTATAACTTTAACAGGTAGTAGTACTGTAGACATCTTAAAGTACAGTACCTTACAGAGGAATTGTGTCGGACTGCATGGTGCTTGCGAGCCGCGCCTCAACTGCGCCCTGACTTCTTCCTTTTTTTCTTGGGAGAGGTGGCTAGGCAGATGGCGCAGTTTGAAGGTGGTGAATAGGTCGTAAGGCGTTTCGAAGAAGAAGTTGATAGAGTCTGAGACGAAGAAGTCTGCGAGGTTTGAGGGGGGGGGGCTTTGATTGTGATTGTGATGCGGAGAATGGGAACTCAGTGGAGTGCCATACGGCGATCATGCCGCTGTGAAGTCGGTGAAGCGTTCAGACGACATCAGAAAAGGCTGTGCACGCACATCGGCTTAGGTACCGCCTGTTCTACAACCCCTCACCTTTCCATCCGCCCCCTTCTCCAATTTCCACACAACCTTCTCCTGTCCGTTCCAAACAATCTCCTCCAACCCCTCCGGCACATTCTCCAACTCCTTTAACACACCGTCCCCAACACACTTAGCCCTACTATCCCGCACCCTCAAGATCCGTACGCTAGTCTTCTCCGGAAGTAGTCTTAGCAACAGCCTAAGGTCCCCTTCTTCCATAGGTCCTAGGTCGATTTGCACCCCGTCCCTAGTGTAGATGTAACTATCACCCCCCATTCCAACATCCAGTTCTCGCAAGCCGTGGAGCTTGGGCAGAATGTCGCGCAGACTTTAGCCATCGGTCTCATTTCTTCTTGCACGCTACCCTCCGCCTCATCCTCGCTGTCAAGCTTCCAAGGCCGCCAGTCGCGCACGTTCGAATAGATTTTCAGGACCTTTAAGCTCTTCGCATGCGCCGCCCACGCGGAACCGTTCTCCTCCGCGCCAGGGGATCGGAGCACGCCGACCCTGAGGCGCTCAATGGGCCGGCTGGCCGCGGGATCGAACCATTCGTCCAAGCTACGTGGCGGCGAGCATCCAGCTCCTTCCAATGCCTTCAGGTTTGGAAATGTAGAGGCCGGGAGGCGAAGGCTCTCCCCTACCTCCCGGTCATCCCCGGGATACGTATACACGCCGTCGTAAAAGCGTTCGACGTTCGGGCATCGCGCCAGGAAGGACAGAAAGGCGGGCGGATTGAAGTCCCAGCCGTCCACAGAGAGAGTGCGCAAGCGCTCGAAGGTGAAATCCCAAGTGATGTTTGTGATCTGGCAGCTGTCTAAGTTGCACTGGGGCCATTTGAGGTCCAAGCTCTCCAATCCTGAGCTCCCCTTGAGGAGCTTGTCGATCGCGGCGCCGTTGTCGCCATGAGCCGTCACCGCGTTGATCTCCAGCTCCTTCAGCGCGGGGAAGGAGACCTCTGGTGGCGGAACTTCGTCCACCTCGTGCGTGAAAAACCCTAGTGATAGGCTGCGCAACGTCCTTGCGTGCTGGTAGAGGGCGGTCCAAAAGGATGACGGACGGATGCCGTTGTCGTCCCAGGGGTCGAGTTCGATCCACACGAACTCGTGTAAGGATCCGCCTGAGGCTTCAATGGCGTTCATGATGCGGATCAAAGGGGCGCAGAGATGATTCATCTCCTTGTGGACGACTTTCTCTTCCTCGATGCCTTCGCCTTCCACCGCATCGCTCCTTTGCGACATAGAGGAAGTGACTGAGACCGCATCTCCATCATCCGCGCTACTTGGGGCACTACCATTGGACTCGGCGTCGTCCGATTCCTCGATGAGCTCGTTGGTCTCGACTTCAATGCTCGTGATCTTCGCCACGATCTCCCTCGGTCTCGCAAGCAGATGGTCTGCAAGCGCACCGGCGGTTTTCAAGTCGTATAGTATGAGCGTGATGTCATCTCCATCCTCGATAATCACGTTCTGGTCTGTGGATTCCACTGTTGAGGCGCCTGGGGACGTCATTGTCGAGTCGAACGTTTTGGATCTGGTTATCGCTTAGCTTTATCTAATGTTAACAGATTCTGCGAACTAGATACCTTTTCAGATCTGTTTATATACTGACGAACTTTTGTTCAGGTGTTTACATTGAAGTAGAAAGTGGAGTGTAACATTGTTGATTGTAGAAGAGCTGAAAGCTCTAGCTATATATACTACTAGGTTTCCCCACCTGGCGCACGTCCCCACCTGGCGCACAGTTTCTAGAAAATCTTACCCCCCCTAACTCTATAACTAATAGAGCTATACTAATAAAACTTAGAATATAAGTTTTATATAGTATAAAATTTAATATTATAAAATAAAATTTTAAAAAAACTTACTAGTTATAGTTTTATTAGTACTATAACTTTTTAGTACTTTTTAATATTCTTTAAATAACTTAAGAATAAATAGTTAAATCTACTTTTAAAATTAGTTTTTTTAAGTTTATAGTTTATAGTTAGTATAATATACTTTATTATTAAACTTTTTATATTATTAAACCTTCTATAATTTCTTAGTAAGAAAAATTAATAAGAATCTATAAGTTTTTCTTAAATAACTAAGTAAAACCTTAATATTTTTCTATAAAAATTTATATATATATTTTTTATAGTATATTATACCTTATATTAAAGTTATACTAAGATATATTATATAATTAAAAAGCTATATATATTTTACTAACTTTTAAAAAAAATCTAGTTTACTTCTAGTAAGTACTATTATATCTCTATAATAATCTATAAAACTTATAGTATATAGTATTTACAACTTAATAAAGGTTTCTAAAAAACTTCTATAGCGCTAGCTCTTCTAGGTATAGCGTAATAAGAGATAGAAGTTTATAAAAAGTCTTTCTAGAGTTTTCTTCTCTAACTATATATATATATTAATAATCTAGCTATATAAAGTTATATATTATAAGATTATATATACTATAAGCCTTCTATATATTTAGAAGTAATAATTTTAAAATAGTTTTAGTATCTTTCTATCTTTCTATACTATACTACTAAAAAGACTTTACTTTTAAATTACTACTTAAAGCTACTATATTATTAGTTAATAAGCTCTATATAGTTAAAACTAACTATAATATATAAAATAATAAGTTTATAGAGCTAGATTAACTATATATATATATAGTTCGAAGAAGAAAGCTCTAAAAAGAAATTTTATAAACTTCTATCTCTTATTACGCTATACCTAGAAGAGCTAGCGCTATAGAAGTTTTTTAGAAACCTTTATTAAGTTGTAAATACTATATACTATAAGTTTTATAGATTATTATAGAGATATAATAGTACTTACTAGAAGTAAACTAGATTTTTTTTAAAAGTTAGTAAAATATATATAGCTTTTTAATTATATAATATATCTTAGTATAACTTTAATATAAGGTATAATATACTATAAAAAATATATATATAAATTTTTATAGAAAAATATTAAGGTTTTACTTAGTTATTTAAGAAAAACTTATAGATTCTTATTAATTTTTCTTACTAAGAAATTATAGAAGGTTTAATAATATAAAAAGTTTAATAATAAAGTATATTATACTAACTATAAACTATAAACTTAAAAAAACTAATTTTAAAAGTAGATTTAACTATTTATTCTTAAGTTATTTAAAGAATATTAAAAAGTACTAAAAAGTTATAGTACTAATAAAACTATAACTAGTAAGTTTTTTTAAAATTTTATTTTATAATATTAAATTTTATACTATATAAAACTTATATTCTAAGTTTTATTAGTATAGCTCTATTAGTTATAGAGTTAGGGGGGGTAAGATTTTCTAGAAACTGTGCGCCAGGTGGGGACGTGCGCCAGGTGGGGAAACCCAGTAGCGCTAGCGCGTCACGTGATTCTTAACAGTAAGAATAGTCTCCAGTCCTCCTGCCAGGTGCCCTGCGGCCACTGCCGCCAACATACATTAGGCTGCCGCTCCACCGGTCAGTCCTCGATGCGCTATCGATAAGCTAGCGCTTGTTGTCGCCTCCCAGACTGCCAGCATTTCTACACCTCTCCATCAGTCACCGATTTCAAGACAGAAAGAATTGCGAAATGGTGTCGAAAAAGACTCGCCACGCACCACGCGAACAGAGGAGTCTTAGATCACACCAATGGCCCTCGCAAAGATCGACATGGTGGCTCTGAACTCCGCCCAGGCTGAAACTTCAACTGCAGTTCCACAACATCGTACGGTAAGCAGGGCTCACAAGGCAACAAAACAATGGTATTGTACAAAGTTCATATCCTGGCCTAAGAGAGAGAAGTGGAGAGAAGCAATTCATGATGTCAGCCTGCGAGTCGCCGTGTGGTCATCAATTCGCTCGACCTCCTCGTTGCAAAGAAGACGCGGGCATACTCCATGTACAGTACCAGCAAAAGAGGCACCGAATCGCAGAAGGGCGCCCCCGACTGTAAGAACTTGCCAAGGTATGAATCCCCTATAAGAAACCAAGACGTGGTTTGCGCAGAGCTCAGCCGATTTTCAATTCGTATAATCTGCGCCGGTCATGCCTTCTTCGGCGCTCTACACACATCCAATCAGTCCAACGTCAACTGAGCCTCGGTGTCTTCGAGGGCTCTATCTAGCTCCCTAGCAAAGCATCGCATACATTCCAAATTCTGGACACGTGTAGCTGGGCGGTAGTAGCTCAGTAACTATGAGGATTTCTTTTCGGCTACAGCCTTGCGCTGAACTTTTCCATCTTTCTTGATTCTCTCCATCGCGCTGCAGCCGAAATCCCGGTCAATTTTGTAGCGGCGTGGCGGCAGGGCTGAGGGTGTGTGCCGGACGCGGATGTCGCTTTTGGAGATGACGATGTTTGCGACTAAGAGAACTACGGACTAAGACCCTTCGACCTATCGACTTTGACTTAGTCGCCTCCCTACGAAGGACCCGCCACTGGAGATGGAGACACGTATACCGTACCGAGCATTTTCTACGAAGCTATCAATGGGAACAAGAATGGATGCCCCTCCGTTCTAAAGCATCAACTAACGCAAAGTAGAGAAGAGAAACGCTCTAAGCGACACCAACTACATCCTTAAACAGAAAGAGTTTGTTAAAGGTCTGCTTTAGAAAACGCAGAAGGACAAGAGCTATAACGCTAAGGAGAAGAAGGCCATTAAGGGCATTAGCGAGTGGAAAGAGGACTAGATCTAAGACCTCTTAGATTTAGAGAAGAGGTAGAGCACTAGAAAACAACGACAGACAACTTAGGTAGCAATACACTGTCAACTCATGCCTATACACCATGTGCAAAGATTATATGTGAGACACGACGGATCTGCGTCGAAGATCCTACTCAGACTGCTCCGAGTGCAGGCTTCAACACTGCCGGCCTTGAATAGCTGTTTCAGAAATTGGATGGTACATCTCCTACAACTGGTCCTTCTCCAAGTTCACCCAGCCTTATTAGCTCGAAGAAATCCACGAACAGTGGAGCAATTGCTGGTAGTGCTGTTCGCGGTGAAGCAGCTATAGCCCTGCTCGTCATTGGCACGCTTTTCCTCATGAAACGAAGGAAAGCATAAGTGGCAGTTGCATATGATCCCACCGTAATGTACGCACCACATGAGGTAGATGGTGAGCCAAGGTATCCGAAGGAGCTTCCCAGTAATGAACATGAATGAAAGCACAATGTGTATGAGATAAAAGGAAGGCAGAGTCTCTCTGCGGAATGGTCTCGTCAGTGTCAGTTTGGATCTCCTCATCCTAAGGGTCTTCGCCGCCTTATTCGTTGTGAGAAAACGCCTGGAATTGTATTAACGCTTTCATAGGACTGTGGATGGCCTTCAAAACGCTTTTCTGCGTTTTTCAGATGGGCAAGGGACGCAAAGGGACCTTTTCCTTGATTTAAGAGCTCTCGTCCCCGCCGTCTGCCGGACTTGGCCCTCGCAGCGGTGTCTCATTCAAAGTCCAGAGTCGGGGAGAATTGTCTCGCCGGGCACGCAAGGACGCATTTTTGGTCTATTCGTAGTGGTAAATATCGTATCATTGCTCTCTTCGGCAGAATCGATAGAGGATGTGGTTACTTGAGTAAGATATTTTCAGGTGCAGGTGGAGGTGGTGATCGGCCCTTGGAAAGGTGCTATGGACTGGGCCCAAACAACTTTAGCAGTTTGGCACCGACAGGTCACTCTTGAGCTGCAATGCTAGTCATACCTTTTGTAAAAGCCCAAGGAGGAAGTTAAGGTGAGAAGAACTCCTTATAGCCTCCCGATGGACGGCGTGCTGGGAAGATCTTGTACCTACCCTTAGTCTTTCGGGAAACGGAAGTGCTGCAGACCATAAATTTCATTCTAGGTCCTCTCCATTCCGAATTGGCCATTTATGAATATTACTGCCTCTGTTGTTTGTCTTGTAGACCAGGATTCCGCATTCAAGAGTCTTCTTCGTTCTCCTCATTCTCCTCATCTTCCTCCTCGTCCGTCCCCTCATCAACGCTACTATCTATGCCCTAAGCAATACAAGTTTCCCCGCGCCGAGAACAGACGCATATAAATGCCTGACAGCTATCTCGGCTTTCGCCGTCGCTGTTTTTATCAGACTTAGGCCATTCCGCGTCATCCCAATAGGGGCACCGCTCCTCTCTACCCTTCCAGAGCAGCTCAAAATCCTGCCGAGAATAACCTCCCTCATACCTTCCTCTTCGCGGATATTTCTTCCTGAATTCCAAGATGTTGTATCCACATGAATCTAGAGCGAAATCAAATAGGTCTCCTCGAGAGGTCCCTGCACTGAGTTGTCTGTCGTAGCACGTTTCTGAGTACGCAATGTGCGAGACAGATGCCCCTGAGTAGTCCAACGCGTAGAGGTCTGCTCCCTGGCGGATTAGGTATATCAAAGTGTCTCTCCAGTGCCCATTCAACGCGCCGTCGATCCCATTGGAGAATATAATATGGAGACAAGTCGAGCCGTCGTCATCGGTGTCATGAATGCTGCACCCCCTCTCTAGAAGATGGCTCAACTTCCGGATATTTTGTTCTAAACCAGTACTCCAGTCGAGAAGCCTACCGCAAGCGCGTAAAAATGGCGATCGACCATTGTGATCTCTGAAGCTGGCAACCCCGAAATGCGCGCTTAGATTGAAGATCCCGCGTAAGATATGCTCGTCCTTGGTGTTTATTAGGAGCTTGCGGCATTTCGGACAAGTTTGTGAACAACCACGTACCGTGGGACCCGGCCGCCCGGCCGCTAAATGTACAACGCTGCTCCCATAGCCGGACGTGATAGTCGGATCCGCGCCTGCCTCCAGGAGAATCGCCGCTGTTTCATGACCGTCGTACCTCCAACACTCATGTAAAGGTGTTCTAACATGGCCGTATAGTTAGCCTGGTAACTCTAATAGTCCATTTTCACAATAAGTGGTGGATGAACGCACGCTTCAAACCTGGCCCACCTTGCTTTACCGATCCCGTCCACATCCAACCCATTTTGGATAAGAAACTTACACATAGATGGATGTGCTACTGCATACTTCAGCCGAGTGAGTATATGTCTCTAAAATTCGCAGCACTTGTACTTACGTGGAGAAGCGACTGACCCTCCGTATCATGATCGCGAAGACTAGCCTTCCCTGCAGCAACCAAGGACACCAAATCCTCGATTCGCCCATTTTCGGCTAATTTGAAGACTAAGGAGCCAACCGGGAGAACGTTGTTGACTGACAGCCTTGGTATACTCGAGAAGCTACCCCGAAGCAATTGGCCTTGGCTTACAGATACTGCAAGCATAGCCTGAGAGGTTTTCGGCTTGAAGAGGATCTCGACGAAGAATTCTCTTCCACTAGCACCGCTCCTATCAGTTGTGACGTCGCGTTGCTGTCCATCGTGTCTTCGGCGCCGTTTGTTCGTTGCGACGGTCAGGGTTCCGCTGTCTAGATCGATGACTTTCCGTTTCCGCTGTTGGTCGATGACGCATCCCGAAAAGGCGGAAGCGATCAGCCCGGTTCTGGCTTTTAGAAATGAGCTACGAATGCAATTCGAACGTCTAGAGGAGATCGCCATACCGTTACTATTGATTGCAATTGATGGAGCGGAGAAGATCAGGCTAGTGGCTAGCTTTAGCTCTCTCGCGATATTCGATATTGCTTCGCCCTCGCCAGGTTCGTGCGGCGCTACCGGAATCGACTCTTTGCTGTGAGCAGAGTCTATCAGCGTCTGAAGATCGTCTATCAACTGCTCAGCGTCCTCAGATTCCACCGTGCATTCTTTCTCGTTCACAAGTTTTATCAGCCGGGAGATACTGTCTTCAAGCGCTGACTCGGTTGTATCTGTTGTTGTAGCGTCGATTGCTGTCGCTGTTGCGTTGGGATTCTGGGACGTTGCCGTTCCGTGATTCGCAAAGCTTGATTGCGCGATGTCACTCTTCAGCTCTTTGAGAAGCTTAAGGATTTCGGTGGACTGCATGCTCGAGAACGATAGCTGTGCTGTTTGTAACAGGCTAAGGTGGAAGTTGAGCGTCAGCGTGTGTGCCCTGATCATTTCTCGCATGCGTTCGAGCTCTTTCTCCGAAATGGCGGCCTTGAGTCGCTTCCAGAATCTGCCGAACCGTCGGTCGTCGGTGGAGAGATTCAGTCCTTGGAGTTTTGATTCGAAGTTGCCAAGATCTGTAGCGCATCTTTGCGTGAGATTGGACAGGTCTGTCAAGTCTATGCTGTTGGCGGGTTCTAACTGAATATGTGAAAGCCGTTCTAGAATACTCTTCAGCTGCGCGACTGAGTCCGCAAGACTTCGAACGCTCTGAGGCCCGTCTTTGACTGCTGAAATAACCCCATGCACGGTTTTGATGGACTGCAAGGCTACGACAACGAAGGTCACGAGGCTGGCGCCGCCGTCCATCTCGAGTGCCGTATAGGCCAACCGGATTGCGCTTTTCTTTCAGGAGGTTCTTATCTCTGGATGAATGTGATAGATCCGTGGACACTGGAAGGATAGAGAAGAAACCAACTGGGCTTTATGAATTAAATCAGCCCCGCTGTCAGCCGAGTCTGCAGCCTTTCTGCGGGCGTTGCGGCGATGCAACTCAGACGCGAACGATTGGTTCTAATCGTAACCACGACCGTGAACTGGCGTGGCTTAGAATTTCCCCCATTTTCTCCCTGAGCTACGTGTTCACAATCCTTGTCGTCCTGCCTTGGGCAAAATGCCAAATACTAGAATTCCGGATACTCAGCACGCAGGCTGAAGAACGCCAAACGCCCACCATTTTCGAACGGCTGCCTCGCACAAAAGAAACCAGCACCCCTCACTTCCTCACAGTTTTGCTCGCCGCTACGACCAACTTCACCAAGTCCTTATACGCCTCTCCAAATTCATCCGCATCCTCCTTCTTGGTGTCCTTGCTCTTCTTGCTCGTCGGCTCCTTAGCCACCATAACAACACTGGTCGGCCTCTTCGTCGCGCTCGCTTCGCCTAGTTCTGCGCGTGATTTGACGTAGATGTACGGGACGTTGTGGTCTTCGCAGAGGACGGGGATGTGGGAGATGACGTCCATGGGGGAGATGTCGGCGGCGAGGATAACGACGGCGTTGGGGTTCGAAATATCGCCCGACGGTGTGGCGGTGGCCGCAGATTTGCGGAGCGCTTTGACGACCTCTTTTACGCCGCGGCGGAGGGTTTTCGTTTTGGCGGCTGGGAAAATGCACATTAGCGCGATAGTTGCCATGTACTGTTGATAGGAACTCACATTTCTTGACCGTCCTCAGAATCTTCTTCACCTCCTTCGCATCCTCAGCCAGCGGATATGCAAATGGCACCAGCGCATCGCGCGGAATATCGCTGCTCCTCAGTCCCACCTGGCCATCTTCCTCGACAACCCTCACAATCGAGCTCTCGGCCGGCTTCTCGAGCTCCGCCTCTAGCGCGTCTGCGACGTCGCCATTGACTTTGAGCTTCTTCTCCTTCTTCTCTTTCTTGACCTTCGTCACACCGTCGACCTCGGACCGCTTTTCCTTCTTGTCCTTCTTTTCTTTCTTGTCCTTGGATTTCTTCTCGGATTTGTCCTTGCCCATTGCGAATGATGCAACTGAGGATATGCTCGGCAGCAATTGGCGAGGGAGGAATAGCGAAAGGATGCCGTGAGAGGATGTGCCGCGCTGTGGTTGAGCTGTGGAAAGCCGTGGGGTGGAGCTCGAAATCGAACTTTTTCGCGAGGCCGAAATTTCGGAAGGTGCTCGTTAGCGCCTTGGCAGCGATTGTCGTCTCAACTTCAACCACCCGACCGCCATCGATGTCCTCCAATACCTAACGCTTGTGGAAACATAAGTACAAAAGAGTGACTTCTATCTTCTCGCGTACATTTGGAAAGATATACACCGTACCTGAAACTACCTATCTCAAATGTACAGGGTTATCGAACCGCAGGGCGCCTGGTCACTTTCGCTCATCACTGTATTGTACAACAACATCCTGTCTGACTCTGACGGTGTGTGGCAAAAATAATTCATCCTGCCAGGATTCCGATGCGCTGCATTGACTTAAGGCTATTGGCTAGACGAGAACGCGACCACCGAGTCGGGCTTCTTCGATGGCCATCAGATTCATCCGACGAACGTCCAGACCAGGGTGCAACGACCTGAACACCCCATCCAATTCATTAACCATACCTTAATCTCCCAATCTCACAACGTTCTCATCGCAACTGACATCCCACAACAAAACCCCATCCCCATAACCCGTCTTCCCTGTCCACTACAATCCCATCTCCTCGCCGCCGCATCCCCCCAGCACATCCTCCCATCCCTCCTCAACTCTCTATCCACCCTCCAACGGCACAAGTCCAATCCACCGCCCGAAAAAGTCACCCAGCGTCCGCCACCAAAAACATCTCCCGTCCCATCAGCATTGAGAACCCCGTTCCTCACGCTCATAGACCGTGCTCCGCCGCAAACCCAGCTGGGAGGATGCCATCTTTTACCGCGCCAGCGTCCTGGTAGTATTTTGCCGCTATAAAGGGTGTAGAAGTAGGCCCGGGGGTGAACCGGGAGGGGAGCAAAGAAAGCGGAACCTGAAATCCGTTTTTGTTTTGGCTGCCTACTACTCGGCCGAGAGAGAGGGGAGGTAAGGCAAAAGCTGCCCTAGAATATGCAAAACCGCTTCATCAATTGTTTTCTTCCCGCGTGTCCTGTCGAATCGTCATCCATTGCTTTTTCAAATACTCCTGCATCCATCCAAGGCTGACTCCATCATTTCACAGGCCGGGGGACAGAAGGTGTAAACTCACATTCTCACAAGTACACACGCACACGTCATGAAGTAGTTGGAAAGGTAGTACCTCAAAGCAACTTATTTATACAGGACTATTTTGAACCAAAGACACTGCGCCCGACACATATTCGCTCATCACCATCACCCCACTACCTAGTTACCAGCCTCACCCCCTCCGTCGCCACGAAGACAAATGAAACCAGATACTAGGTGGTATATGCAGCAGGAGATCGACCAGAGGAAAGCGAGACCAAAAAAGAAATAGAGGAGAAAACAAGATTAACGGAATGTGACAAACAATAAAGCTTGCCGCAAAAACCGGGGTGAAAATAAAGCGCATGGGGCCAGCCGCCATAAACAGTCCAGCAAAGCGAGAGGGTATGTGTGAGAGAGATAGGAAAGAATATTAGAGTGGCTTTGTGGCTGCTGTGGAGGAAGAGCCCGAGCCCGACTGTGTATGAAAACTGGACCAGACCGCCCCAATTCGCCGTTATTACCCCGATCTTGAACTGGAAAAAGAGACAGGAAAAATAGGGAAGAGATTACCGCACCCGATATGCAGCAGAAACGAAAAGGGAACACTCCGAACTCCTGGCCATGCTCCCCGATGCAGAGAGATGACGAGAGACGAAAGGCCCAGTCTAGTGTGAAGTGGAGACAAGAAAGGAAGATCGTGAAAGTCGTCAAGCAAGCGGTCGCTGTGTTACAGCGCTCTAGTACGCCATTTGCATCTCTAGTACTTGGACGCCGCTAGCAGCCATTGACGGTGTGGCGGAGCCCGAGCGAGATGACATGGCGTCTTCGTAGCCCACGAGAGCCTGAGAATGCAGCTTGAAGGCTTCGCCCATAAGCTTGGTGATGCTAGAAACTGTTAGCGCGGCTCATAATGAAAGTGGTAGAGTACATACCCCCAAACTACAACCTCATCGATCATGCTTCCCCAAAGACGTGCTACTGTGGAGCTCAGCTTTGCTCCATACACATCCACAGAGTCATCGTCGAACAGGTTGCGGAGCTTGTTATACATGGCTAGTTCTTCCTCGGTTGCGGGCTCTTCGTCATGTTCCAGGCGATAGAGCCAGAGGGTGAGGATGACCATCAGATCCATTCCGGTAAGGGGATGCTCAATGCTCCAGTTAGTGGCGGAGGTGCGTGCAACCCAGCGAATGCCTTGCACAGCGGCGACTTCGATGCAATCGAAGCATTCTTGGATGACCTTGATCATTTCTTGGGATCGCTGGACCTTGTCGCGAGCGTTGGTCATCGCGGCGGCGACTTCATACGAATCGTGGTAGCGCAGAGCTTCCTGAATGGACTTGAGATCTACGACGAGGCGCGCCCTGGTATTCCTGTACATGGCCATGGCGTTAAAGATCAGCGGGTGGCCTTTGTGTGGCGCGCTGAGCTGGACCACGACAGTCTCGGGCTCGCATAGCTCAAGCGACTTCTCCCAGGTCTCCAAAGCGAGCCTAAGCTTGTACTCGGTCACCACATCCTGCAGCGCCTCCGGACTCCGCTTGTGGTACCAGACCTCGAGGAAGAGAGCATTGATCATGACGCGAGTTGCGAACGCACTGTAGCGAGCCGGGTCGCCCTGGAAGAGGTTGTCGTGTGCTTGCCGGAAGGTGATGATTTTGGAAGCAGCCAGGCTTTCACGCCACGACTCTTCATCCGATACATCCATCGTCCACAGAGACTCTGATGACGGCAGCTCAAGTGTGTCAAACTCGTTGAACCCCATCGCTGGCGTGTGGTTGTACGTCAGAGTGAGTAGCCCAAAGAAAATGTAAACTGCGTAGTAGGTTCGTCGGCACTGCTCATCGACGACCCACTCCTCGTGGCTAGGCTGAGCACCTTCGCGTGCTTCGGAGCGGAGCTTGAGCTCGTACCGGTTCCCGGCAACCATGTTAGCCAGAAGACTCTTAATGGAACAAGCCCACTCGAGCCCCTTAGGATCGCCGCTCCAGCTGGCGAAGATCATGTTCAACAGCGTGCCCTGCATGGTCCACAGCGGGCACTTTCTCGAGCTGAAGTTCTCCTTATTCTGTAGAAACTGGTTGACGAGGACCTTTGAGCCAATGTGAAGCATGTATGCTTGGTCTTGGTCGAAAATGTACAGAGCACCGATCGAGAGGACGGCTAGGAGCAGCGGCGCAGACACTTCGGTTGGCTGGAATGTCGCGGGATGCAGGAACGGCAGGTGGTGATGGAACAGGTCAAAGTACGTCTTGAGCAGCCGGTTCAGGGTGTTGAGGCTCGGCAGATGAAAGGTGTCCAGAAGAGCGTTCTCGCTGTCGTACTGCTTGATGTTCTCGTAGATCTTCGCGCACTGCTCATCCGACTCTACCTGAGGCGCTTTCGTCATCGTCAGAGCCTGGCTAGGACCTGGGGACCTACGATAGTCGACGGGCGAGACGGGACCGAGCATGGAAGGGTACGGCGAGAGAGCACCAGGCGTACCGAGGCCATTCCCGGGCACAGAGCTGTTCATCGACTGAAAGTTGGGCCCCAACGAATCGCTCCCCGACATTGAGCGTTCCATTAGAGGGGGCAGCTGATGCGGATGCGAGCTGAGGGCGCTGGCGCTGTTGAACGCGGGATGCGTATCCTGTGGAGCGGCTGCCATGGAGTGTGTCTTGGACTCGCCGACGGTGTGCGGGACCATTGAGTCGCCCCAGGGCATCTGCGGCAGCGACATCTGTCCCGGCGCGGTATAGGCCACGGGCGGCTCCAGCAGCGACGGGCCGTTCGGCGAGATGACGGTGTCGGGCGCCTCGGTGGCGATCTCTGGCTCCTGGCTTGCCATCGCCTTCTGGCGGAAGTCATTCATCAGCATGGCGGCCGTCTCGATGTCAACCATCTCATCGCTGCTGGCCTCGATCTGCTCGAGCGTGGCCGTGTCCATGGGCATCGACGCCTTGGAGGGGCCCGGCAGCGCGACCTCGGGCGCCTTCGTGTTGGCGCGGCGCTTGACTTCGCTGGTGAGGGGCACGCCGCCATCTTTGGCGTGGACGGTGCGGTCGTGTCGCAGCAGCAGGTCGCGGCGCACGAAGGTGCTGCGGCATTTGTGGCATTTGAACGGACGTTCCTTGGTGTCTGTTGATGAGGGGCAGTTAGCAACAGTGGACACCTTCCCCGCAGCGCGCCTGGCTCGCGACCGTCCCGCATCAATAAATAATGCCCAGCCCCAAACACGGCCTCTTCCATCGCAAACGAGCTTGTGACTTACGCGATCGTTCGTGCCGGCTGCGATGCTCGCTCCTGCTGAAGGCGCGATTGCAGAACTGACACTTGTACTTCTTTTCCGGCGCAGACCCGGACTTGCGAGCCGCGGCGGGCGACGAGTTGGCGGCAACGAGCGTCATGGCGGCGGCGGGCACACACGCAGTGGCAGGCGGACTCAACTACGGTCTCGGGCACGGGAGGTGAAGCTGTCTGGCCGGCCGAGCGCGCGAGGGCGTTAGATTGCGGGCTGGGTGAGGGTGCTGTTCGGTTCTGCGGGCATTCCTTCGTGTCGTCGAACGTGCTCGCATATGAATGACAAGACCGGACGTGCCGGCGACGGATGGGCTTGTGCAAGAGGTGCGACAGCGCGGGCAGGCGAGATGAAAATAATGGGGAGTCGATGAGATGTGAAAGGCGGGCGGCGGGCAGGAGGACCTAGCGAGGGGGGGATTAGGGGCACTGGGCACCTCAGAATTCACCGCAGCGGGCGTTGAGGGGCAGCGCTTACTTAAGCCGCAAGAAAACAGCGCCGCGCGTGGCTGGGAATGAGGCTAACTGCCTTGATCTCCGGCTGGCACGCCCTGTATCCGCGACGGGAGCGGCTCTGTATGATTGCAGGGGGCAGTTGTTATTTTATGGAGCTGACTGCGCTGCGCAGCTTGCAGCTGTCATCGCGAGCGTTTCCTGCCACTTCGCGAGGGGCAGGTCGACGCGCATGGCCGCGGGGTCGCTACAATGTACGAGCCACTTCATGATGGCTGGGGCGTGGAATGACAGCGCCGAACAGCTGTCTGGCACGGACGGAGCATCGCAACACGCCGCCCACTCGAATATTGAGCCCCATATACACAGTACAGCCGTGAAAAGTATCACGACGGAGGCCGCGGTATTGCGCCGTATCCTTAATGCCCGCTGCGAGCTGACAAGCCTGGGGGAAGTGCAACATGGCGCCTCGTCAACCAACCGATATTCCTCGAGACTATAGTACTGTAGACTACCTAGCGAGGTCAGCGGCACGACGCGCTGCACATTTTTCCCGAACGGAGACGGTCGCACGGCGTTAGAAAGAGCGGTATGAGTTCTCTATTCCGGTTCTTCTACGAGGCGTCGTCCGTCGACTTCTGCTAGCTGCCAGGTGCATTTCACACCGCCATCCGACCTTGTCTCTTGCATCTATCCGTCCCGCGCCAAAGTTACTGACACAGCACCGCAAAAATTACGGCGGAGGGGCGAGGCTTCGGGGCTTTGTCCCCCACCAGCCCACCTTAATCTGATGACGACGGCGATAGAAAAGGGGTAGCTTGTGTCCTCAAACAAAATGACTTCACCAGCAGCGACGAGTAATTTTAGGCGTCCGGAACCGATCGACGCCTTCTTACTCGTTCCTAGCGAGCGCATCCACAGCAGCGGATGCACTTCCCCGGACCCACTTCAGTCGAGTTAGCACCGGCGAGACTGCATGAAGCGGCACAGAAACCTCTCCGACTGCACGCGAGAGCCCAGAGAGACAGAGCATGAGGGGCACCTTGCCCTTCACGTCTTGATGAGGTCTCTAACGATGGTGGGACAACAGGCACGAGGCTCTTCAGACTCCCACGAGACGGCTGCCCTGGTCCATGCCCGGGCGCCAGCACTCTCAACCGTCCGCTGTTAATGCCCCGCTTGTCTCCAGGGATCATGGACGGAGCTTGATCCCTACACATGGCATGGCCAGCGGAAGAAAGCGCTTGACACGATCGCGAGAGGATGTCACCCAGCCAGGTGTTGTTCCTGGCAAAATGACAGCTCGTCGCTTCTCCACAGCAACGCTCCACGAGCGATTGAAAGCAGGACTCTCGAGCTTTTTCGGACTCGTTCTGGAGCCCCTCCATTAATTCATCATTATCTATCAACAAGAGAGTTGCTTTTGCGTCAGAATCCCCGCGCTAAGACACTTCGCGTAATTCTCTAGAAGAAAAGGGCACTTTCTGCTCCTGGTTTCAGGCGATGGTCTGTTCACGGGAGGATCGCGGCCGCCCGCCGTGGATACGGAAAGCCCGCGTTTGGAATTTGTTGAGGCAGGGCGTTCTGCCACAGTTTATTGTTCTCCTTTCCAGAGAGCTGCTCGATGACAGCTCTCTCGCATGCTCCCACGTGTAGTATGCCGGCACATGCAAGAGGCTCTCAAATGCCCCTGGTTTGCGCTGCCAAGTGATGACCTGTTTTTAGCTTGTGCGGTCAAAAACGTCAAGATTTGGGGCCAGAAAACGACCGTCGCATGAGTGCCCCGTCCGCCTCCACGCGAGGAGCTATACCGGATTATCGCATGGTGTTGCACTCTCAAGACCGGGCTGCTTCTTTACGACCTTCCATCGGCCCTTCTGCGACCTTGACCCCAGTTTCGCAAGGGATCAGGTCAGCCCATTGTCATGAGAGCTTGAGCGTTTGAGTCTTGACTATTGCATAAATAGTACTACAGAAGAGTTAACGGTATAGTCCAGACTCCATCGTGGGAGTGTACAGGCGGGCTAAAGGGTTCCAGACGGTTGCACAACGTGCCCTAGCACCGTTCTGGAAAGGGAACCACTTGGAGTCGTTTAAAGGAATAATGCTCCGATGCTGCGAACTTGGTAGAGCATAGCGAGTCAAGCAGCGCCTTCAGAGTGTCGTTCGACCTCTTGTTTCGCGTCTCCGCAAGCTCTCTAGGCTCAGGCATCCAGAGGTCGCGGGTCGACGGCTTCGTGGTGAGGTGGGGTCAGTTGCCCAGATGATCCGTCCAACTTTCGAACGGTTTGGGGTCGCTGGTGTGGTCGGCATTTGACATGTCGGTTATCGAGGACTCACGCGTCAAGCTGCCTGCCATTTCTTTGACAGGTCGTTGCCGCGGTGAACAATGAACCGTCGTTCGCAGTGTCGCGAAACAGACAGGTTGGGTGAAACGCACAACATCGGCCGCCGGCCAACGGGTGGACAGCAGTATGAATAAGCGTGCAAGCAGTATAGGCAAGGCTGCGGACTGCGTCAATGCGAGCCTAATTTATGTGCGAAGGATGCTCCTTGTTGTGACACGCTTTTACCCAGATCACGTGCCCGCGACGAGGTCCGGTCTCCACCATCCTTCGGGCGTCTCACAAGTTCCTCCCCAGCGACCTCCACCTGCCGCCGCCCGCGCCCTCGCCCTCGCTCGATATAGATTTTGCGACTGCTTTCCTACGTGCGAACGCGCTCTGGGCCCTTATTCGCTGCGTCGCTCCCGCAGGCGCGAATGTGAGAGCTCTAATTCGTATCCAGCGCCCCGGCGGCCTGCCACTTCAGCCCAATTGCAGCTCCTCCTTGGAACAGGACCCAACCCTGACCATAATACGCGCAACACCTGAATATCTGGGGAAGCCGCGTCCCTGTGCTCCCCTCCCCTCAATCTGACTGCTCTTGCCTCGGGGCGGTGAAGGAGGGGAAGACGACGCCCGCAGCCCCAGCACACGCCCGCGCCTGCCTCCTGCCACGCTGCGACGAGCGCGCCTTCCGCCATGAACGGCTTCAACGGGACCGTCGCCCCCGGCGGCATGTACGTGCGGGCCCTGTACGACTACGACGCCGACGACCGCACGAGTCTGAGTTTCCGGCAGGGCGACATCATCCAGGTCATAACACAGCTGGAGAGCGGCTGGTGGGACGGGGTCATAAACGGCGTGCGGGGATGGTTCCCGAGCAACTACTGCGCCGTGGTGCCTCGCCCGACCGACGACGTCGAAGACGACCGGAATGGCGGGGACCTGGACGACGACCAGGACACGCAGTCATTGGGCGGCACCGACTACACCAACTCGGACACAGAATCGCTCAACGGCAATGACACGATCTTGCCCATTGAGCGGAATGAGAGCACGAAAGAGGAGGAGGCGGCGTTCTGGATACCCCAGGCAACGCCAGACGGCAGGCTATTCTACTTCAACACCTTGACCGGCGTTAGCACGATGGAGCTCCCGCTCGAGACTCCATCAGCGAACGAGAACGGCCCGCGGGACCGCGTCAATGTGTTCATCCCAGAGTCATCACGCCCGCCGGCAGAGCTGCTGGCCTCGGGGTACAATGTCGAAGACACGGACGATGAGAACTCGGCCTCAGACTTTGAAGGCCCTGGCATGGTGGGCTCACACAGCTCTTTGGTACGTGTTGCAGAGTGGCTGGCATAGAAAAGTGCTAACCCCTTTGGTAGCCTGGAAGAAAAAGGTTATCAGATGGCGTCTCACCGGCGACATCGATGGATTCCATGAACCAAGCCTCGTCCTTTGCCAGGTCTCTGGATGCAAATGGTACGAGCTTTTCAGCCGTTTCCATCCCCCCTCTTGGCATCACAGCCACTTCTTTTGCTAACAACCCCCTTGGCGGACCCCCCATGACCTCCGCCATGTCACGTAGGTTTTTCGATGATCATGTTAATCCTGTGCCCCTCACCTGGAACCGGATGGTGGAAGACATGCGGCGGGCCGTCGATCGATACCGCCAGGCAATCAATAACAGCGATCGGTCTGAGTTTGTGAAAAGAGCAGAAGATATCTCCGATCATCTTCGGTTACTCCTGGCTGCGGGGTCTGGGACGACTGACAACCACTCCGGCAATCCCTCCATTATCTCTACCAACAAGGCGCTGTACCCCCACTTCCGGGAGACTATGTCCAGATTCTCCAAGCTTGTCTTGTCCTCACACATTGCTGCGTCTGACTTCCCTCCGCCGGATTCCTATTCCAAGTGCCTCAAAGAAGCGGACGGCGTTCTCAATGGCGTCTATGGCTTCGTGGAAGTGGCTCGGCAGCAGCGTGGCGAGGAAATCCCCCGCCTAGTCCCTGGTTTCGTGGTTGGGGGCAACGTGGGCGGCAACTGGCACAACAACGGCGTGGATGTCCGCGACCCGGCAACCTCTGGGTCTTTCATCGACCAAGAGGACTACGAGCCCTTGGTGGAGCCCACCGTGAAGCTGGACTCGCGCGTTCTGGAAAGGTTAGAAGATCTGAAGAGGCTGATTGTGTCGAGCATCCGGCGGTTAGACGAGCAGCTGGTCGTTCGTGACAAGATTGTTACACCGCATAGACATCAAATCATCGGGGATAGCGTATGCAATGCCGCCGGGAAAGTCCTCGATGTCTGCCGTCCCTGGATATCTACCGTTGAGTCAATAAATCTGTCCGCAATCAGCTCGACAGTGCAAGGCCAACAGTTAGGGGAGTTCAGCATTCAGAAACAGAAGGTCTATGATCTAGTTTCAGAACTGGTTATTTGCTGCCAGGGTGTCGCTGCACCATTAGCAGACGAGTGGGCCGAGACCAGAGGCGATTCCTTGGAGGACCGGATCAACGCCTGCCGCGCAGTCTCCAGAGAGCTGGAGACGAGCATCGTGCAGCAATATGGACTCCTACAGCATCTTTCGGAAGCAGTACCTCTTGGGGACATTGCTGTGCGCGATGACCCTCGAAGGAATACCGATACTCAAGTACCCAATTCCCATAACAGAGGCCAATCAGGGAACACGAGGCCGTTGCTGAAGGATATGCCACAGCCGCATACGTACAGTGAGGGTACCTCATTGGACGACAAGGTGGAGCCCATCCGCACCGCGAATAGCTCAAAGAAGATTAAGGATTTCTTTGGCGAAGTGCCCGTGATCCCACAGACGACGGTCGAGGAAGTACCGGAGTTCCTTAAGCTCGACCATGAAGGCGAGATTTCCTACGATCACAAGGTGACGCCACCGCAGCTTCGAGGAGGAACACTTCAGGGACTTGTCGAGCAACTAACTCGGCACGACCGTCTTGACCCCGCGTTCAACAACACGTTCCTCCTGACGTACCGGTCGTTCACTACTGCCTCCGAATTGTTTGAGATGCTTGTGAAGAGGTGGAGCATCCAGCCGCCGTATGGTCTCGCTAAGGAGGATTATCAGCAGTGGGTCGACAAGAAGCAAAAGCCGATTCGATTCCGCGTCGTCAATATCCTCAAAAGTTGGTTCGATAATTACTGGATGGAGGGCAATGACGAAGAAGCGAGGATCCTCATCCAGAGAGTATACAACTTTGCAAAAGATCATGTCGCGACGACCAGCACGCCCGGTGCTGCTCCTCTTATGACATCGGTCGAACAGCGATCTCGCGGTCCCGATATGCCAACGAAGCGTATGGTCCTCACCCTAAACGCGCAGACTCCACAGCCCATCCTTCCGAAGCACATGAAGAAGCTGAAGTTCCTGGACATCGACCCGACGGAGTTCGCTCGCCAGCTCACCATCATCGAGTCAAGGCTGTACGGCAAGATCAGGCCGACAGAATGTCTGAACAAGACATGGCAGAAGAAGCTAGCCGCCGGCGAGCCGGACCCGGCTGCCAATGTTAAAGCGCTCATCCTGCACTCCAACCAGCTGACGAACTGGGTGGCACAGATGATTCTGACCCAGCAGGATGTGAAGCGGAGAGTCATAGTCATCAAGCACTTTGTCAACGTTGCAGATGTGAGTTGCCACGGTCCGAAAGGAACATCCTTCAAGCTAATTCGTTACAGCGATGCCGACTGTTGAACAACTTCTCCACTTTGACATCTATCATCTCGGCTCTCGGCACGGCACCTATCCATCGTCTAAACAGGACATGGACCGCAGTGAATGCGCGATCCATGGCCACCCTGGAGAACATGCGCAAGCTTATGGGTAGCACCAAGAACTTCGCGGACTATCGAGAAACGCTGCACAAGGCCAATCCACCATGCATCCCGTTCTTTGGTGTATACCTTACGGATCTAACCTTCATTGAGGACGGCATTCCCTCCTTGATCAAGAAAACCAACCTCATTAATTTCGCCAAGCGCGCAAAGACGGCCGAGGTGATCCGCGACATCCAACAGTACCAGAACGTGCCGTACCCGCTACAACCCGTGCCGGAGCTGCAAGACTACATCTTGACCAACATGCAGTCGGCAGGTGACGTGCACGAGATGTACGAGACGAGTTTGCAGGTAGAGCCACGCGAGCGCGAAGACGAGAAGATTGCAAGGTACGTATCCCGCCTGAACAAGATCCATATAGATCAGATGTTCTGACGACACGGTAGGCTTCTCTCCGAGTCTGGATTCTTGTGATGATACCCCACGAATGCATTTGATCTCTGTCGAAATGAAACATTGGCGTTGGGTTATTCATATCTTGGCACTTGTGCTCTTGGCAAATGGGCCTACGATCAGGATATCAGTTTTCTTCCTTGGGTGTCAGCGATTTCATCATCTCAGACGCATATTCCACACATTGTAGCTACGGCCGGCTCATGGGAGAAGAATATTCTTCTTGCAGCGATATATTTTTGTGGGCGGCGAAGGGTTGTTCAGGCCTCCCACGAGGGATCGAACGATCGGCTTTTTTTCTTGACCCTCCTTCGCCCCTTCCAAGCTTCTTTGCCTCTCACGTGTTGGCATTGGGGATAAAGGCAGTTGCTATATGGTAATTAGATGAAACATGAACCCAAGCACAGATGGACCTTTTCTGCGATCGTCTTAATGCGCTCTCTTATATGTTTCCTGTTCAGGGACGCGCCGTTGCCGAGCGTGTTAGCGTTCATCTAAATGAGGGCGATCCGCAAACTCCTACTCGCTGGCTGTTTTGCTCCTGATCGGCCATTCGTTGGTGCGCAAATTTGATGGATTGCGGCACGGTGCGCGCCCGAACGCGCTCAGCGCTGTGGGAATAAGGGATGGCGATGGGGGGTGAGGAAGAAAGGGTGAGCTCGGTGTGTAAATGGTGCTGGCGAAAGGGGGGAGTTGTTGGAGGAGGGCACGCAAACAGGTCGAGGCTCTGGGGACCTGAGTTGGAGGTGCGCCGGCTGCGGGTGTGGCACACGCCTCACAGGAACGCCAGACGTCCGCAAAGTGACGAAATGAATCGTCTGAAATTGCAACATCGCGCGGAGGCGCCTTGCTGGTTCCTTCCAAGCTTCTTCGCGCGCTTCCAAGGGCTTGCCCCGGATCTGCCAATAACGGAATCGAGGGCAGTGCCAAACAATTTCTTGATCACGAGCGCGAGGGGCAACGAACGGCGGCGCAGAGAACAAGGGGCGCGGCTGGGGTTCCCTTGCTCCCTCCGGCAGCCAGGACGTTGGGCGGTGGTGCGATGGGTGCAGATGGGTGTGGAGGAGCGGAGAAGAGAGGGCGAAGGCGACAGGTGGTGGCCTTCAAGAATGGGCTGCAATTGATGGATTGAGGAGGTGGTCGTCGTTCTTGCCGTTCACCAAGTGGAGGCGAAAGGATGCCCAGGTGAGCTCCTTCACATGCCGTCCATCGCACCTTCCTCGCCCTTCGGCCGCGCGGTGATCGCTCGTGATGACCAACAGGCAAATTTCTTCCTTCGAGTGCTGGCATCGTGTGCGGCAAACAACCGTGGCACCAGGATGGACGACAGGGCCGCGCAGGAAAACGGTCGTGCGACTCTGCAGCGTCGTCAATGCAGCGAACTCATTCTCCGTCCGCGGGGGCGACTGCATGCCCAGGTGCTTATCGCAGCTATCCGGACGCGCCTGCTGTGATATGTGTCCAGACGCCGCGCTCGACTTCTCCGCCGCTGTCTGCGCTTGTTGACGTTCACACATTCCCGCTCTCCGTTTTGACAGGTGAGCTGGTCCACGACGGCGCAGCGACGGCCTCACTCAAGCCTCGACCGGCCCACAATTTCTCGTAACGCTATTTCGGCTCAAGGCCGAGCTTCTTCCAATTTTTGCTCGATCAGCGTTAACGCCCGGCCCTCCTGAGTGGTCGACCCAAATTACCACTTTCGAACCGTTGCGCCGTACCGCCACGGCCCTGTTTGCAAGCCAACCCTCCCCCAGACTCCGCGCGCTCCTGGCTTCCGTCACCCTACTCTACTTGACCCACTGCCGGCCCTCCTTCCTTTATTACTGGCACCCCTTCTTGTCGCTCGTTCGCACTCTGTTTTGTCTTCCTCGTCGTTCGCTACCCTCCCCTAATGTACAACATGTTGCGCGATGCCATGGGCGCTATGCCCTGGCTCATATTGGCCATGTCTCGCTTGAGTGAGCCCTCCCCGCGAATGAGACGCCTTCGAGGGAATCGTTCCGACTGACCATTTTCCTACTCTAGCAAATGCTGCATGCGAGTGCGGCTACTCAGTCAACAAAACCACCGACGCCACCTTTGCCGTATACACAGATTTAATGGAGAACGACTTCCTGCACAGCGCCGGCGACAATGTCACAGAATTTGGATGGCGGCCGCAGGAATACAACGTCTCGGCCGAGGATGCGCGAGGACCGTACGGCAAGGAGTTCTTCGTCTCCAACGTGGAATTGAACCCGCTCAAGGATGCGCAAGCGTGGTCGGGCGACTCAGAGAAGGGCGGCGATGCAGGACTTCAGTTGTGGGTGCGGGGCGACCACTCCCATGGCTACGTGAGCGGCGCCGAGATGACGACGGTACGCGACGACGCACTCTACGGGAGCTTTCGCGTGGGCATGAAGTTGTCCGCGCAGAACGGAACTTGCGGAGCTTTCTTCTGGGTATGAAACCGGCGATCCGGACTTCGCGCGCAAGACATGCTGACAGTCGGCAGTACTACAACAACTCGCAGGAGATCGACATGGAGTTCCTGTCCAAGCAGTTCAACGAATCGCAGGGCGTAGTCAACCTCGTCCTTCAGACACCGGATTCCGTGCGAGCTGGTTATGACGCTGCAAATACGTCCGGATACAGGGTCGAGTCCCTGCCTTTCCGCCCCGACGAACAATTCCACGAGTACCGCTTCGATTGGTCGCCTGAGAGCGTCAAGTTCTATGCCGACGGACAGTTCCTGTGGGAAATGACGGAAGATATCCCTTCAGAGGGAGGGCGCATGTTCATGAACCACTGGAGCAATGGCGACCCGCTGTGGTCTGCTGGACCGCCCGGGGCCGATACCGCCATGACCGTTTCCTACGTGAAAGCCTACTTCAACTCGACGGATAACTCACGCAACGACGACTACACGAAGCGATGCTCTACTTTCGATGCAAGCAAAGTGTGCCAGATTCCCGACGTAACTCAGGCTCCAGACGGCGCGAAAGCGCAGACGTATTTCTTCTCACAAGACGGCGGCGACAAAGCACCGGACCAGACGACATACCACACCACCAACGGCGCCGCGAGCCTCTTCGCCTCATCCTCGATATACATCTCGGTGTTCGCCATGTTCTTTAGCTGCGTGTTTCTATGATCGAACCATTGCCGATCGTGCATCGTATCCCTTTGCTCGACACACAGAGCCACTCCGGCATCCATTTTCCTTTTTCGAATAGCTTGTTTCGCATCACGAGCGCATAACGAGGCCACGGCGTTTTACCGGATTACCAACTACCATTACCTATTCTCCACCACTGTTCCGCTTCTTCCGGAGCCCGCGCGTCGACCGAATACGACGACGCCGTTCCTTATGCTGGACATGCTCTTCTTTTTCAACTACACCTTTTCTTACTTAGTGTCTACTTCTCCTTCTTTCTTGTACACAGCTTGTTTCCGTAAGGGGTCATGGCTTGGATGAGCCGACCACGCTTTTCCTTTTTTTCGCTTCGATTGAGTCCAGCAGGTTTAGTACGCGAATCAGTGCTTTGATACTGCAGATACCACTTTTTGTTTACGCGAGAGTCACGATTGTGATTGGATCCGATTGTGGGTTTACACGGGATGTGGTTTGTTTTTCTTTCGTCGATACCACTATTGTCGGATATCAGGCTTCTTCGTTATGCCAAATTAGGTTTCCTGTCTCTTTCGGGATACGGCCGTCGGTCTTACATATGCTCTACTCGAGTAACTCTGGGTTGGCCTCCGAGACTCACATTGGGGGGAATGGTAAAAAGTAAAAATAGCAACTAGCAATCAACAGCCATATCGTCACTACATATCAATGTCTACGACCGTCTCCGGTCAGCTCTCCGTTTCAAAGCTCGATGGATGAAATCCACGCCAACACGCGGCTTAGCGGAAGTCGGCACTTGGCGGGTACCTTGCAGCGCAGGTCAGGGACCGGCGCAGTTTGTAAGCTCGTTCACGAGCTGTTGACGACGCGCGGGGTTGGCCTGAGACCCGCTTTCACGAGTACGCGCACTATTGAGTACAATGGCTTTTTTTTCGCGCATTTCGCATCGATTCAGGGGGCTATTGATAGAACGGCAGCCCCGAGCAACGACAAGAAAGCTGAGCATCTTGGAGAGTCGCAGGCGACGGATCGGTCTCTGCAAAGCTGAGCAGACGACTTGGTATTGCGCTACTTTAGGGGTTGTCGCTTGTGGTTCCTTGGGCTTTTATCGGCGCGCCGAGAGATGGGTGAGTAATGGCGAAGCGCGGCGGGCACGCGACTGGTTTACCGCGCCAACGGCGCGAAGCCTCGTGCGCATGAGCCAGCCCGAGCCTCGTCAGGCAGCCTCACACACGACGACTTCAACATTTCAGGTGAGCCGGTGCTCCTCTTTCTCCGACATCATCGTAGCGGCTTCCTCGCGGGAAGCAATTGTATGCTCCCTTCGGCTGCGGGCAGGCTCGACCAAGGGATCTTGACGTCGGATATCCAGTACACTCCACGCCTCCACCATTCAGCATCGAGCTTCGCCGTTACTGCGTTTGAGGCCATCAGGTTACACTATCTAATGCTTGACATGTTTCGCAGCTAATCAACTGATCGATAAATTGCAGAAGAAATGCTGTGGTAGGTTGCGCAGTCGTTGTAGTCCGTCCTCACGCTTCACTGCTCACTCCTCGCTTGAACATCGCACAAATATTAGGACGCGGGCTGCAGGAGTGATTGCGAGATGTGTTGAAGGGATGAGAGGCATTGAGTGGAAGGAAGGCCAGTGGGATATGATGGGCAAGAAGAGGGCCTGCTGGGTAAGGTAGGTACGCGATGTGTTCCTTGCCTTCCTTTTTGTCCAACCTCACTTTCTTCATTCCTTGCTGTTGACCCAGCAAGCTCGCAGTCGCTACAGTCTTTCAGTTAGTCGCCACTGTCTGTCTTCCATGTCTACCGTCTCTCACAGTCAATATGTCGTGACCGAGACATACCACACTCTTTCCCCACACTCGTTTATCCAGCACGCATAACGCTCTTTTTGGCCACGCGCTCTTTTTTGGCTGCACGCTTTTTGTTTGCCTCTGGCAGTGGCATACGTAGTGCCCGGACTATCCCAGCACGATTTGGGATCAGCAGGAGAGGATTATACGGCAGTCAGCTCGCGGAGTTGTTTCGGTTCGACCGGTCGAAGCAGTTCGAGCATTCGCTGCGGAACGGACATTCAGCAACGAAATACTGGAAAGCTGAGAGACGGAGGGAAGTTTTAGCCCCGACTGCATTCCTCAAGCTCGCGGTTCATAAGTCGCATCTTGAGCATCAACCTCGTCACCCTCGTCAACCAACGTCACGCACACCGCACTGAGACAACTATCCCTTTCCTTTCCGGCTACGATGCGCTTTATGCCCCTCCACACGCTTCTTCTACCGATCGTCGCCGTCCACGCTGCCGCTCGGCCGGATACGCTCCCATGGCATCCATCCCTTACGACGACACTCTGTGCAAGGCCGGCTTCGACACCGGACGCTGGATCTTCTTTGCCCACGCAAACAACCGATGCAATGGTCCTGGAGAACATCGAGTAAGTAGCCTCGATTGGCCTTGGAGCGTCAGACTGACGGCTGCTCCCTAGTCTCCGTCAGGTACCAGGCGTCGCGCCCGCAGCTCCTGCACCCGCAAACCCAGCAGTGCCCAATGCAAACCCCGCCGTCCCCGCGAATCCCGCAAACCCTGCCGTCATCAATCCTGCCGTCCCAGCAAACCCAGTTGCCCCTATTAACCCCGCAGTCCCCGTCCCTCCAGCCGCGGTCCTCACAACCACAACCCCCCTCGCAACCCCGACCACCGCCGCCAGTGTCCCCGCCGGCGTAGCATTCGACTCTATAACCGTGCAATGGGTCGAGACCTGGCTCGGCGGGACATCGCAAACCTGGGTGCCGAAGACGATTACTTTTCACTTTCCGGCGTATGTGACGCAGGCTGCGCAGCCGGGGATGGGGGAAGTGGGCCTGGGCAGCTTGACGGGCAGGACGGGGTTTACTAAGACTGTTGTTGTGGGAGGTGCGGCGAGGGCTACGGCGGCGAGTGAGGTGGGGAAGGCGTGGGCTGTTGCTGCAGTTGGGGCGGGCGTTGGACTGATAGGGGTGTTGTGATGGGGAAGGTCTTGGATAGGTATACTTGCGGACAGGGTTTGAGGGTGCACTCGGATACGCACTTCAAGGGGTTCATTTGTGGTGGGGGACGAAGCAGGGAATGGGTATGAGGATTGTATGATGAATGATGCGAGGAGATAGGGAGGACATGTGTTGCAGTATACCCGATTGCAGTTGGATGGAACGAATATCCTAATGTTTTGGTCAATGGACGACATGCTAGATCCACGGCATACTAGTGTTAATCGATAGAAAGAGTTGCATAGTATCGAATGGGAATGCTTCTCTTGACGCTGGGCTGTCGTTTCTCCGCCACTGTCGCTATCTGACACTCTTTCTAGCACCGTTGTCCTTGCGTACAGGTCGGAGTCTCTCAGAGCGGTCAGCAACTCGTGAACCTCGCGCAACATCGAGCCCGTCTATCATCCTGCTCCGTCACCTGATCTATCTTCATGAGCGGATCTAATACTCCAACAAGGCTCCCGTCGGATGCACATCGCTCGCTTTCCGCGACAATACTCCTTCGATATCGGCGAACGCGAAAGAACATCGACACTGCAGCGACACCTAATGCCACGTCACCTTTCGATGACTCACTTTTAAGAAAAAACCTGCGGTCCTATCTTCAAGAATCAAGAGACATCGGGCCGTCTCCAGATTCCACGTGTGTATATAATACAACTCCTGTGGTCCTCGCGGTGTTCCCCGACTCTTTCCGCCGGCGTCTCGGAAACAGTCGGAAAGCAGGCTGTGCACTGGTACGCTGACGCCCCGACAACGCGACAGCACCTCACCGCGCATCTCAAACGACTGCTCTGGACTTGTTTCGGAGATTTGGACGAGCCACATCACACCACGGAGGTGGCATTTGTGTCCTCGATGGGATTTTCGTGGTCGCACCGAGATAGTGGCGGCCGCGGCGCCGGGTAAGGCGTTGAGGCTCAATGCATAACGGATGTGTCGTGTAACAACGCAACGACGATCATCGCGAGCTCTGGATCTCAGCTGCTTCGTGATGAGGAGATGGGGACAGGAGATGGTGCTGACGACGAACTACAGTTTCGCGAATGCCTGCCCGCTCATCTCGTCCTCGACGAGTGTTCATGAGGCTTCAGCTTCAAAGACGTGGGAGCTAGCAAGCCCGAGAAATGTCCACCAGCGGTCAAAACGATGCAAAGCTAATGCGCCCAACAAAACATTTTCAGATCGCTTTGGACACCGTGCCATCAGCCTCAGCTTCACACAGTACATAATGTGGCCCAGTCGCAGGGCGGTGGAGTGACGTGTGGCGCGACAGGCGACATTCCGCCAGCAAATGCTTATCGGACGCTAGGACCCTGTTATCGGAACGGGGCACGACGCAACGTCGTGCCCACAAAAACAACGTGATCCTTACTATGACTGTCTCACCGACTCCTTATATCTCTCCTATATAAGGACCGACCAGGACATATACGAGTGCTATAAGCCATCGCCGGCCGCTTTGCGTTGAGAAATTCCTTATGGCTTAAGCCGATCTGAGTTTCGGAACCTCTTCCGGTTGAAACATCGACTTCGTCAGTGAACGAACTCATGCCGGTATACGATCCATCGCCGATTTTCGTCAGACCTGCTTTTCCTCATCCGCCGTCCCCGTCGAATAAGTCGACGCCTGCGGACTCGAATTACTCGACTCCGGCTACATCACCGCCACCCTCGCCCATCGGAAAGCCCGTTCCCGAACACCTCACCTGTCGCGAGAAACCCAGTCTTCCTTTACCATCTCAGTTTCCGGTAACATTACCCACGCCCGTCGCACTGCAGACCGCAAAGGAGGGAGACGAACAAGAATGGCGACCTACGCAACCTACTGGCATCCCGCTGCCTCCACCATGGTACACGGAGGCTCGACCACGTATACAGCCGCTGCACCTACGCATCCCGTGTTCCAACTTCAACTATACGCCACAGCATCGGCAGTACCTGCAGCAGCATCAGAAGACGCCGACAGCGCTATGCCTGATGTCGAACGCGAGTCCGTACCCACGGGCTTGAGCGTCGCGCCGCCGCCAAACGAGCAGGACGAGTCGCTGTTCTTCCGCCTGCCAGCGGAGTTGAGGAACCAGGTTTATGTCGAGCTGTTATGTCCCGATGCTGTCAAGCTCAAGGACCTAGCTCGACGTAATCGCGATAAGAACCTCGGTGTGCGCCACTCCAATCTCCACCCTGCCATCCTATCTACATGCCGGAAGATCCACCAAGAGGCGCAAAGACTGCTCTACACACACGTCTTCCACGCCCATCCGTCGCTGCTCACCAGCCTGCCGCACCTCACCAGCAAACCGGTCCTGTACCCCAGCGTAACAAGCCTCATATCTCGCTGGCACATCTCCCTCCGCCTTGACACGGATCCGCGCTTCACTTTCTCGCAGGCAACAGCCGCCTTCTCCAGCGCAGAGTACCTCGAGATCCACGTCTGGCAGGCGCAGTTCGAAGCATGCGATTACTCCATGTTGAAGCTCTTCACAGGCGTTCGCGGGGTGAAGGTCGCGAGGGTGGCCGGCAGTGTGGACTTCGAGTTGGCGCGGTGGTTGGAGCACAATATGATGCAGCCAAAGGAGGAGGAGGATGTGGAGATGCAGGGAGACATCTGTCGGTGCGATGATGATGCCTGTCCGGGGTTTGAAGGCAAGACGGAGGTCGTGTGCGGGCGGTGTTACAGGAAGGGGCGCGTGGAGTGGATAGAGAAGGAGTGGGATTTGTGGCGGTTTGGGGCCCGGTAGACCTAGAATTAGAGTCTGAATCTGACGACTGCGATAGACTAGAGAGTAGATTTGGGTATCTTTTAGACGGATCGGTGTTTGGTGTTGGATGGCTTTGTTTCTTCTCCCATGCCGCGGACGGCCGCGCGGTGCGGCTTTGTGGGACACAGAAGAGCTATAGCATAGACGCGCGAATATCAGTACCTAATTGTCGAATAATAACCTCGGGAGCTTTCTGCGGTTTCCTATAAGCTTGTCGCTGTCAAGGCATCTGTTTGATCGAACATTATGCTCTCTCATAGCTGGTTCGACACCATACCTGTTCGAGTCCTTCATCCAGTCTTCCAGAAGTATTACGAAGCGCACGAATGCAATATAATAGTATAACCCTTGCAATCTAGTTGACAAAACGCGCCTCCTTCTCTGTCTAGGAAACTACCTTCCTCTTAACCTTGGTGCAGCGCTAGAATAACGTTGTCAGCACCCTTACAGCACTCAAACAAACTGTCATGACAGTTGAATACACAATCGCCTTATCCGCATTTAAGAACAGTACACTTGTCAGAACAAAAGTCGCGTACAGATATATCCCTACAGCAAGCGACTCGATAATTGCTTCATAGCAACGCCAGCTGCGAATCCCGAAGTTCGACGGCATTGCAATGCAGACTCTGATGTAGGCACCGTTGTAGAACGCAATAGTTTCGATACGGTTGGCGACAGGGTCCGGCGGGGGCCGACGATTATGAGCTTCGTGATGGGTTTGGTCCAAGGACGAGTCGCCTGTATTGATTGTCCTGGGAATAGGCAGTTCGACTGCAGGTTTCGCATTGCTGGCTAAGGGAAGAGTTGGGGTGTTGGTTCTGCCTGGAGAGAGCTTCTTTGGCGCGAAGTCATAGGGCACTCTCAAGAGGTTCCAGATGCTATAGTCCAGTCGTTGGCCGTAGCCATCGTAGACTTCCATGGATTCTTTCATGAAGAAGACAAGTCCGACGGCAATGACAAGCCATACCATGCACGCAAGTGGCCTTGGGAAATTGGTTATCATCCGGTTCTACTCAGAAATGATTGTGGGATTCAAACATACCAGGCGAAAAGCAGCCAAGAATACTCACACCGCCACGGTACCATGGTGAAGCTGGAGACTACCCAGTTGCGCCACAACATAATGCTAGCCAAAGTCATAATCAATGCGTCCATGGCGAGTTTTGCGGTGATGTTATGCCACTTCCTGTCACTGATAGATGGCAATGGTACTGACCATTCCCTTATTCTGGGCTCTCGTGGATTTACGTGCGATAGTTGTGTGTGCAACGGTCTTAATTGCCGGAATAGACCGCTAGGGAGGCCGATGGTGAAGCAGCAGGTTGCAAGAGCACGGTGAGGTGATAGTAGAGCAAGCTGAACAACCTCGAGTGGCGGTGAACCTTAACATAATTAGTAAGGGTGGGAGAGACAAGTCTTGTTCTCCCGACGCGTATTAAACTGATGGTTGAGGTAGAAAAGCACTGGGATGGCTCACCTATCAAAACTAGGATTGTTGGCAAAAGCGCCGCAATACTAGTCCCACTGCTCAAGCTGGCCTTGAATGCTTCAGTGAGATTATCATACACGCAATCGATAAGAAGGGAGCAAGTCCGAAACTCGAAGACCCTTGGGTCGCTGCCGTTGCAAATTCTCGATGCATTCTGGAATCTGGGATCGGTTGCGGGGCCGACTGTACGCTTTATTGTTTGAGCAGGGATAACGAGGGCTAAGATCGTGAGAGACAGGCAAGTACGTTTTGAGAACGAAGGGTACATATGTCCCATATTCGTAGTGAGCCTAGCAAAAGGACCCGAGATTGAGAAGGAGCCGGAGATAAGGCTTGGTCGTACCCTCTTTTCATGCTTAGTATATTTAGCACCTTAGCCCCTGTTTAATATTCAAGACAGGGGCTGTATCCATGATCCAGTTTAATGGCTGCAGTAGCAGTCTGAGCCTACGTTGTCGCAGTATGTGGGTCGTGTTGCACAAGGCGGATGCGCGGGAAGAAAATAGGCCTATCGCTCGCCGGCGTTTGATTGTGACTCACCACTAGGACCGAGCTCGTGTTCTGCATTAAGCAAGCCAGTGCAGACTCGCGGACCTGTGCATTTCACCGGTAAGTACAAGATACGTTGAGGATGATAGGTTTATAACAGGTCCTCGATAGACGTCCTCAGAATGCTTGCATAGTTTTTTCTCGCGGCCCCACGCGGCCCGCTCCTAGGTTGCAGCGTGCATTAGCGATGCCGTCTGTAACTTGCGGGAGCTAATTAACCTTGGAAATTACAAGGAGAGAGCATGTATGAATGGGTAGGTTGGCTTTTCGACCGCAATTCTTTTACGCGAAAGATCTTCGATCTCTGCAATCTTAACCCACTAGTCCGTTCATGCCAGACTCGCCTAGCTAGGCGGTTACACAGCCCTTGCCCCTGTTTGCCAACCCTCGCTATCGTGTAGACAAAGAAGTAATAGCACCAGCTCTGCTTGGCGGTGCACATGCCAACCCTCAGCTGGGCTCCGAGCATTCCTCGCCACATAACAAGGCCCCAACCGACCGTCTTTCTGCTAACTTCACTAGCAATTTTCGTCGACTTACCACGTGTTCTTGAACAATGGCTCCAAGCCCCCGCCGCTCTGAAGAGTATGAGCTTCTCCAAAGGACGTCTTCCGATTCCACACAAGCTTCAGACTTGGACTTTGGGTACGATGTACCTGCGTGGCGGTCTGGATATTTGCGGCTCCCAGCATGGTCTCGGATTCGAACGTATACGTACCTTTTTTGCTCAACAAGAAAACGACGACTGCATTGTCGCCTGATATGCCATGCATTCACCGCTATCGCATGCTGCACCATCATATTGGTTATATTAACCGCCCTGTTTCGGCCTTCGTATACCCATCTGCCAGATCACTACAAGGTTCTCCGGAGCATATGTTCAGAATCATCCAAGCCAGGACGAGGGAATGTCAACAATGAAAAAGTATTCATCGCTGCTGCCTTATACGATCCCGGAGGAACTCTCGTCGGAGGGGATTGGGGCAATGCAGTCTTGCACTTAGTGGACCTTCTGGGACCGGAAAATGTTCATCTAAGCGTGTATGAGAACGATGCCGATCCTTCTGCGAACGCAGCTCTTGACAAACTCAGGGAGAAGCTCGATTGTAAGTACCCTTGAGTTTCTAGGCTGTAGCTGAGACTAATACCGAAGCCTCTTTTAGGCAATTCCTCCCTTGTTTCCGAACATCTACCCCTCGAAGACATTCCCCGCGTTACGATACCGACCGGCGAGAGGCGAATGAAACGTATCGCGTTTCTTGCGGAGGTCAGAAATCGAGCCTTACGCCCACTCGAAGCCAATCCTTCCGCTCATTACGACAGGGTCCTATTTATCAACGACGTCATGTTCAACCCAATCGACGCTATCCACCTACTATTTTCAACGAATATTGATACCTCTGGTCGCGCGCAATATGGGGCAGTCTGTGCAGTAGACTTTATCAACGCGTTTAAATTCTACGATACATTTGCAACCAGAGATTTTGAAGGATACGCGATGGGAATACCCTTTTTCCCATGGTTTACTGATGCTGGCAACGGAATAAGCAGGCGGGATGTGCTAGACCAAAAGGATGCCGTCCGAGTGCGGGCTTGCTGGGGCGGCATGACAGCATTTGAAGCAAAATGGTTTCTAGAGACTCATCCAGAGGGCCTCGTCTCCGGTGGACCCTCTTTGGACGCCGAGGCTGCCTTGAATGTATCACCCCTCCGCTTCCGTTATGAAGAGGATCCGTTTTGGGACGCTTCTGAATGCTGCCTCGTTCACGCAGACCTGACCTATCTTCGGCATGGCCGCAATATCACGACGCACTCTGGTATTTTCACCAACCCTTATGTCCGCGTTGCGTACGATTCGCGGACGCTTAGCTGGCTTCCTCTCACGCGTCGGACCGAACGTCTATATTCTTTTGTCCATAATACACTCAACCATCTGATTGGCATGCCTTACCCAAACCCGCGGAGGCTAGAGCAGCCTGGAGAGGAAGTGGTGGAAAAAGTCTGGAGTTGGGATAAGTCAGGGGAGGTAACGCAGGGTGGAGCTGGTACTGGTCCCGAGGGATCTTATCATGATGTCAAGCGTGTGGCTGGCCCTGGACGTTTCTGTGGAGGTAGGACACTGCTTGTATTGAACGATGATCCCAAGCCAGGGGAGAAGAAGTGGGTAAGCGTTCCCCTTCCGGCGGTCTCTAGATAAGAATTTCTCTATGAGCATTCTGTTTTCGATAAAGGATGGAGGATTTTGTATTCATTCTATGGCTCTGTGATCTAATTTGCTTAAGCGATTGCACTCAAAGCCATCATTTGGTACCCTTTCTATGTCGTCTTTGTCCTTGTTTACAATCTTGTCGTCAAGCTCTACACTTTGTCGAACTTATGGGAGAAAAGCGGGGTCTCCGTGACTTTACGAAGTACGCGCTGACTCATTCTCATTCCCACGGTTGCTCCGATATCCCCTTTTTTGTTACTACTGCACTGTGTATACGTAGTATGCTCACATTTTCTTTGTGGCCAGGTCGATCGAATTGGGTAAGTGTCGGCCTTTGTTGTTACAACGTCAGGAATGATGGCATTCCAGGCTACCACCAACGCCTAACCATTTCAGGCTTAGCCTGCAGTTTAGCGCCTAACCCCACATCGCTAGTCGGCCAGCTCCAGCCAGGTATAATCATCGATCCTGCTACGAACAAAAGATATGACGTGAGGAATAAGGCAGAGCTGAGCCGATCTGAGCTGCTCTGTGATACGAGCAGCGTGGGATGCGTTGTCAGCACCTGCAAGACATCGCATCACCTTCCTCTCAGCCGATCCTGATTATTCGCGGCACTGACTGCCGCTATGTAGCGTCCATCATACGTATATCGACGAATTGTTTATTTTGAGGCTCTCCGTCATCTTCGGATACCGCGCACCTCCAGTGGAAACGGCCTTGATTTCAGCCTGGCGGCCGCTCGGCCTCGGTGGCTCAGCGGGGACAGTTTTAAACCACTCGAAAGATGGATCCTCTCTCAATTACAGCGCCTGTAACTTCAAAATTTGGATGCGGTGGCGTGGGGTTAGGCAACACAAAACTTATATTGGGTGTCGCTCTTACATCCCTCTCTTATTCACTTCGGAGCGTCCTAGAGCAATCCATTCCCTCTTTCAGCCAATGAGCGAGGGAATAGTGCTCGAGTGGCTCATGGCCCAAACTCCAGATTTCCATCTTTTCAATTCGAATGGAACGGAGCTCCTGAATGCCGAGATCAGCCTTGAAAATCTCTGGGGCGATTCCCTCTATCAGGTCGCTTTCAAAGTAGAGACGCATGAACTTCAGCCTCTTGCATTGCTTGAGCAGCTGGACACATTCCGTGACATGGAGGTTCGGTAATGCCAGGGAATGCCCGCTAGAGCCAGGATCCCCACCCCCCCATTTACACTCCAAATCGGATCTGCTCTCCCAAGGAAAGTATAGAGCTTCAATGTTATCTCGGCCCGTTTCGCCAACTGCGATGAGGACCGTAAGGAGATCGTCCATATCGTCCAAATGGAACGTTGTGGCACGATATGCGAGAGGCAGAGCCTCCTGGCGCATCTGCCTGTTGACGCTGAGAAGGCCAAGGTCATTCCTCAGGGGGAAATAGAAACCACCTGGATCGCCAATGCCTCTCGTCAAATTGAATTTATCGAATACATCGACGTCCCGAATCCTCCATTCCCCGTCGGATAAGGCCAAAGTGTAGATCTGATGCCGAATTTCTTTGGGAAGGCTGCAGAAGAACATCGGTGTTCCTGCGCAAGTTCCACATGGGTGCAGCTATGAATATAGTCAATGCCATCCCTTAGAGCATCGGGTTGCTGGCAGCCTGCTTGCCTTTGCGACAGACATGGCCCTACATGCTTCATCCTCGGTGAAGAGCAGGGGCAAGTGGAATCCGAAGCCGTAGTGAATATCTACGGCAAATCGGTAGAAGCCAATACGGCCCCTCTGAGCGAATATAACTTTGTTTTGACCGTGGGAAATTATCTATGAACTATGTAAGCGGTTTGAAGCTTTCAACCGAGGCGTGCTCACTTGTGTCTTGTCTAACTCTTGCAGGAGCTTCTGAGAGAGATTTTCGTCATGCTTAGAATCATTTCTGTTCTGGTACTCCTCGAATTCTCTCTTTATTCTCTCATAGGCAGAATCAGCGACCGGTCTGAGGTCCGAATAGAAGCGCTTCGAAGCCTCAGCGGGATGAGCCAGCGAATGGAATCCGTATCCGAGTTCTCTTTCCATCTCCACTAGCGCGAGTGCGGGTTCGCGTTTGGCCATGTTAAAGCGAATAGAGCTATTTCATACAGCAACTGGGGATAACGTGGGTGTCTTTCATTCTGGCAGGGACAAAGAGCGGAAGGCCGGCTTGAAGGGCTGTGTTATTAATTAGTGAGTCTCGGCACGCCCTATCACTGGGTCAATCAGTGACTCAGTTAGTCAAGGCCCTTGCGGTAGGGAATTCTCCGGAAGTAAGGGGTCGTACCTACGAGGCACAGCATGAAATTCAATCACGTGACACCAATCTGACCAATGAGAAGCTGTCGATTTCCTCCCTTGATTGAACTAAGAGGTAATGCACCTGCGAAGACCTCTAGCCGGAGAATTCCACACCCTGAGAGCCAAGGCAGCTGCTTCTAGACAGCGTGTCCCACAGCAGACCGCCACTGTTCCCTTGGTTCTGCCTAACCCATCCACACCGCGATGATGTAGGCTTCCAGCAAATATTCCTCAACAAGCCAATAAGCTCAACAAGAATGAATTTTAATGAGTTCAACACTTGGAGCGGTCACGTTGCCCTGCTGCCTGTGGGGCAGATGGGTATTTTTCCGCGACCTGCTGCTCACAGCAGAACATACAACACTCCAATGCCCCCCTCCACATCCGCTCGATCTCCAACGCTTGCCTCGGCCTGGCGTGCTCGATCGCGAATACGACAATGCAGTCTGCGAAAACCTTCCAGAAAGCTCTACCTAACCCCCACGCCCCGGCTGACCGATCCATCCATCTTCGTGCAATCTCTTAGGGCTCTCAGTCCGCAACTCTGAATCGAACGAGCCTTGCCGAACGATTGCGTTGCTCGAGTCACCCGATGGGTACTCCAAAGTGGGGTTGAGGTTGAAGAATCACCGATCCATGTTCGTGTACAAGGACCTACTGCGCCCGGTTCGAGGCGGTTATGGCTGACTGGCAACCCCATATCTACGAACGCAAACGCATGTCGAACAGCGCCGGAGAAGCCCAGGAGAGCGCACCACGGCAAGCACCGGCCGGGGATTGCGAGATCAGCGACCCTCAATTTGTCAACAAATTCCTCTGGCCCTGGACCAATACCCGGCAGCACTATATGAGAGACAAACAGGCGGAAGGACTTGTAAACCTGCGCTACGTGCCCACAGCTGTTGCGCATGGGCTCATCGAGCCACTGCTGAAGCCTACTTTCCTGCAGTTTTGGCAAGTCCTCTAGCTAGAATGTATAGGCAACACTCCTACTAGCTTGATTTAGTGCTCAATCAATCCAACAACTGTATTCTTGATTTTAGAGGGCCTAACTCAATAGCCATGCAGTATTTCCATTGCTTGATCAACCGCCCAGGCGTTTGATCGACTGCTTGGCCGTATTTTCGATCTGCTTCCACCTCAACGTGAGAAGTCCTGGTTGATTCGTCTGCCCGATATTTACGTTCTTTATGTCCTCCAGCGTCTGCTGAATCATCTTTGTAAACGTGTTCAAGAACTGCATCAGCAGGACGTTGGCCTCGCGTTGAGACGCTCGATCGTCCACCTCAGCATCCGCGAACTGTCTCCACTGGTCATGCGCACAACCCAACATCCGCAATGCCACCTGCGTCCTAAAGCATCCTACTCCCTCCGGATCCAGCATATACTGGCCTAGGAACTCCCTTTTCTTGAGAGTATACTTCTGCTCTTGATTCAAGTTTGGGAGAACCACATCGTCAAGGCACACTGCATCCCACCGATTCTCCGTGAGTAAGAATCCATATTCAGTGAGGAGGAAGTCGTTGGAATGGCCTCCATAGCAGACATGGACCTCCTCACTCGCACGATACACGCGGCCTGCTGTGAAGATGTATCTTTGTGGCGAAAATAACGTTTCACAACCCACGTCTGCATGATTGAACAAATCAGCTACTGGCAACAAAGCTAATCTATAGAACGACCGTGTATTGGCAAGTAACCAGGCGTGCAAGTACTCCTCTTGGCTGACGTACGGATATGCCTTTGAAACTATGCTCCGGTCCTGCTGAAAATTCTTCTGCTGTTTCTTCAGAAGCACCTCGGCGGCTTGGGTAGAAGATCCTGAAGCTCTGGTGGCCACATGAACGGCGTACTGACCCTGAAGGGCGGAAAGGTCCGAAAAACTGCGCTCCAGACGGCGAACTCCTTCGTCTTCTCAAGGGAAAGGTACGCGGCCAGAAGACAATGTACGGATATATTTCGAAGCACATTCTCCGAGATGGCTCTCGGTACATCGTCCAGAGTGCGGAGGGCCTGGGTTGGAACTACTAGGATGGTCTCTCCGGCCTGCTCTCCGAGTGAAACAGATTCAGAGCGATGATTGGATCGATTACTTTGATTTCGCGAGTTGCATAGATCCCAGTGCCAATCGTCTGAGGCTTATTACCACTGAGCTCAACATCTCGGTCTGTCGCCCAGCGGACTAATTCTCCATATATCTCCTCCATGATCTAGCAAACGCTGAAGCCGCTCGTCTATTCTTTTCTTTTTTTGTCGGAGTTACTCGTCCAAAGGAGGAAAAGTCTGCTACTCAAACATTGGATATGCATAGAAAGCTATCCTTGTGGCAGTGTAACGGTGGAGATTTCAGGCCGACGTTATCCCCGACTCGACCCTCTCACTCCGTCCTTTTTCCAGCTCATCATCCTCCCTCGACCGCATCGAGGCTTGGATGAGCAACTCCCCTCCTGCGTCCCTTCTTACGAGAGAGCGCGGACTCAAGCGACGACGCGTGCCGATATGTCGTGTAACGCAAGCCCGAAGCGACCACGCCTCGACGCTGATGATGTGCTTCCAGCGCAGAGCGCTCCGCAAGTTTGATAGCATTAGCGGCATCGATCCAATCTATGTATTTTACAGCTTGAGTAATAGAGAGCAGGTGTACTATATCTAGGCTTCTAAGAAGGCAAGTAAAGTAGTCTAGCGTACGTAGCTCTAATAGAACTATTTTATAATATAGAAACCTTAAAATAGCGGAATTAGGATATGGTTTAACAATAGGTTAAGAGAAAGTAGGCTTTCTATTTACGCAGCTATATGTAAGCAGCGTACTGGCGGATTAGTAGTTAGGTAGTAGGTGACTACTAGCGAATACCCCCTGTTGTATGTTTTTGACTTTTTGCTTCTTTTTTCGCTCCTGTCGAAGAAGTGCCGATAGGAGAAATGGTGGTTAATCATTGGTGCAAAAGACGGTTCACCGCATATTATGATATCGATAATAGGAAGCCAATGGCGTTATCCGAATCGTTTTGTCTCATTTTTGTTTCTGCAAGTGTAACAAAGTGACGAGTCATGTTTGGCGGCACACGGGAGCAAATGGGGACCTTTATTCTATTCACTCCTACGCATGCACCCTGACTACCACTCTACGCTTCTTAGGCTCCCCTGTTCAAACTCCCAAAAGCCCATCCCTAACCTCCCCTCATCACCCTGCTCCCTATCCGCAACTAACTCTACCACAACTCTTGCGCCATCCAATGGATCCTTCTTCCCCATCCACCCATTAAAAGCAGTCTTGCAATGGCCGGGGGACGCTGCCTGCCACAACACACCACTCTCCAACTTCGCCATTTCCAGCATCGCGACATTAAGCGCTGTCTTGGAAATATTATAAGGAATAGACGCCGTCGGTGGGACTTGCGAAGTTGTGAGATGATGGACCGAACCCCGTGCCGAAGATATGGCGATGACTTGCGGCGTGCAAGACGCGTGGAGCAAGGGTAGGAAAGAAGAGGCGAGGACAAGGAAGGACGTCACGTTGCAGTCGAGCGTGCGGTTGCAGCTCGCGCGGAAGTCTTGATCGCCGGGCTTGACGCGCTCGGCGATGGCGGCGTTGGGGATGAGGATGTCGATGCGGGTGTGCTTCTCTTTGATGAGGAAGACGGCGGAGGCGATGGAGGGATCGGAGGTGATGTCGATTTGGATGGCTTCGAAGGCGGTGGAGGTTAGGCCGAGGGCTTTGAGCGATTGGATGGCTTCGTGGCCGGAGGGGAGCGAGCGGACGCCTAGGAGGTATGTGTGCGAAGGGAAGCGGGTCGCGAGTGCTTGGACAATGGCGAAACCGATGCCTGGGAGTGGAGTTAGAAGAGTGGAGGAAGGGATTTATGATTGGGGTTGACCTCGATTGGCGCCTGTGACGAAGATGATTTTAGATGACATGGCTTGGAGTCCTTCTAGTGCGTGTTAAGGATAAGCCGAAAGAGATGGAATACGCGGATATAGAGTTCTTAGGCTAGTGGCGAGGGAGATCCTGTATTTATTCATGTTCGTTCTGCGAACCCGACCAGAGGTGTAGTCGGAGGTGTCGGTCTTAGCGATGCATACATTGGAAGGCGACTGCTATGTTATACCTATTCGAGGGCTAAGTACGAGCCCGGTGATTTACTATTGGAGGGTATCATGAGGCTTCGGGCTGTAGAGGAGATAGCGGCGTTAAGGGGTGAGACGGAGTCTGCTCCGTACCTAAACGTCCTGTTAACACAACGCGAAGTGTATGCTATCCAAATTCAAACACGGAACGAAACAAGAGGGTATCGGCAATCGCATTTGAAATTGCTCTATGTGCCCTCTAGAAAACCACTGCCCAATCCGCTTTTCGAGCCTCCGACTCCATGCAAGTCATCCCAAGTATCCGCAGTGCGGTATCTAGTCCTCATCCTCGTCCGCCTCGTCGTTGACAACGTTGAAGAAGCGGAGTTCGTACACGCCCTTGGAGGTGGAAACGACGCGGAGCCAGTCGCGAAGCTGCTGCTTCTTGAGGAACTTCTTGGTCCTGGGGATACTGTTAGCCCTGCTCCTCTCATATTACCAACCCATCGCCGCTGAAGCTGAGTATGGTACAAAGGCTGTGGATGTGAACACACAGATATTTGAGGTAGCGGCCAGAGAACTCCTGGTGCGCAATGACCTCGATCTTGCCATCGGCCTGCTGCGAGATCTGGATCGTGTCGCCGAGGTTTCCGGTGCGGCCATCGACTTTGATGCGGTCGTGCAGGAACTTCTCGAAGGCCTGGATGTCGAAGATCTTGTCGTTGACGGGCTGCGAGCAGTTGATGATGAACTGCAATTGAGCGTTAGCGAATGCTCGCACGACCTCGTGTCGAGGGAGACTGCGGCGCACATGGAAAATGAGAGGAAGGGAAAATCTAGGGTACGTTACCTTCTTCGTGACCTTCTGGCCCTTCTTGCTGCCCTTGAGGCCGCCGCCGCCGGCAGTTGGTCGTTTCTACATCATGTACCTTAGCCTACTGTTCTGTGCTGGGACGGCGCTCAGCCCGCCAGCGGACAGCAAAGCAATGTACGTACTGGTCCTGCTGCCATGTTGGATGAGGGTGTGTATGCGCAAAGAAGTGGTTATCCTGCGCTGGGCGTGTGTTGGGGAAGTGAAATTGAAGTGCTTGTGCTTCGCTTCGATTTTGCGCGTCATGTGGGCGGCGCTATGCCTAATTTGGCTTCAGGCGCGCCAAGTTTTCGACGGGTGCTGATTGGTCAAGGAGCACGGAAAGAAATGTGAGGTCTCTGCTCGAGGTATCCGAACGTGGTCGAAATCAAAAGGATTCGGAGCTGTCTCGATGAAGCACCCCAAGCTAGGACTTATATGCATCGCGCGAAGCACGAATGGTAGTTTACATTCCAATGAAGGATTGAATCTATTAATGCTAATACATTAAGCTCCAGAGCTTCCAATGCCAGTCTAGGATCTGTCCGTATTATACACGTCGCTCTAATCCAATTCCAAAGGGGTATCTACAACATCAAACCAGCAAACATCGCCACCATTCCAACCATACCACTAACAGCTAGCGAGGAAGCAGCACCAGTGGACTCAGGAGGCACAGAGGTCGAAGTGCCGCTCGAGGAGGGTACGCTGGATCCACTTGGTACACTTGAGAGTGTGCTTAGGGGAGCACTTGAGGGAGCGCTTGAGGGGGAACTCGGAGAGGGAGATGAGAGCTCTCCGCCACTAGGACCGCCGGCTGGCACAGTCGAGCCGTTGGTCTTGGCAGCTAGCTCTTTGAAGGCGTCCAGAGTGTTCGGTCCGTATGCGGGAGGATTGATGACTGCGACCATGCCAGCGGCGCAGTGAGGCTTCGGGTTGTTCTGAGCGCAGTATAGCCAGATGGGCTTCTCGTCCGCAACTGTGACCGTGAAGGTTTGGTTCTGTACATCTGTCAGCGGACACGGTTTTTGGTTGGAGAAGAAATAGAACTTACGGCAAGCCCAGACGGGGTGGGAACAAAGCCGGAGAAGATAGCATCGTCAGAGGGGTTGCAGGGGTTCTTGAAGTCGGACTGGACGACGGAGTGATTCTTGGGAAAGAACTGGAAGGTGATCTTCGAGCCGACCTGCGCAAGGACAGTATCGGGGGTGAAGGTGAGACCGTTCTGTCCCACAGCTACGGTATATTGTGAAGGGCTGGATGTGCCGGTACCGCTTGGAGCGGAAGCGTAAGTAGCGGTGGCATTGCCGGCCGGATAGTACGCGAATGCCAATGGAAGGGCGCTCAGAGCAGCCGCAATGAAGGATGAGGAAACCATTGCTGAATGAATGTGACGTAGGAAACTGGGAAAGGAAAAGATAAAAGGGAAGATAAGAAACGGTGTTATGGAGTGGTGATGGCCTGGTTGTCTGGGTTGCTGATGGCCGAGAGGATGACACTATTTGTACCTACAAATCTCAGCACGAGCCTCGGAATTCAGGAGGATCCGAGCCAAATGCCACGCATTCCATCAGCAAAAGGTATTTCGGTGTGGTCGAGTTGTTGCTAGCTTGCGCCTCACGGGAGATCGCTAATCCGGGCACGAGCACTCGTAGACGTGGAAATATCAGCCACGAGTTTAGGAAACAACGGGCCGAATTAGAGCGACGTAAGCTTCTATTCGCGTTGGGAGTTCCATCCTATTAGTGGCGCAAACGGAACGAGAAGAGCCGTTGTTAAAGTTGGCCGCTAGGGCGCTTAGACATCGTGTTCGAGGCTGAGCCTGCAGCCTCGTGTTCCCAGCGCCAAACATCTGAAACATCTATGATTGGATCCGTATACTAGACTTGGGACTGCGGTTCCTGAAACGCTTTGAGCTTGTCCGGGCTTGACTGTATGACTGTATAACGTGAGCAGCAGGTACCCGAGAAAGTTGCCCGATAGAGCAGTCGATAGCATCAGCAGCCTTGTCATCTCCTGTGCTGGACCTTGTGTAGCCTAAGCGCCGAATACCATAGACGAGTGAATCGAGACAGATAGTCCTGATGATATATATTGGAGTGATGTCTGTAGAGAAGTATTCGGAAGAGAAGGAGCCGTCGGCGCTATCGCAAATGCTCTTTCAGCAGCAGATTGGTTGGCTATCGACCGCGAGCCAGAAAATGAATATCGGGAAGAGATAACCACCAATTTGAAGTTGCGAAGCAGCATGAAGCGTCAAACCGCTGTCGCTCCAAGAGCACGCGCCGAAGTAGGTAGACGGCTGAAAGTCGAGGGTGGTGATTTCGATCGTCCTGTGAGAAGAGGGATGGGATGGCTCAAGCGGAGGCTGGGGGATTTTGGGCAGGCTGGCAGGCTAAGCCCTCTCCGGCCTAGCGCTCTCCTCTAAATCCGAAGAGAAGTCGATCGATCCTGAGCCTCATCTCTTGATCCTCTCATCAACGACGAGAGACGACGAGGACCGAGCGAATCCACGACGTTTCATCTTATTGCAGCCTGGGATGCGATGGAATCAACATGCAATGTGCCCTTCGTTTCAAAACAAGTATCGCACCGCTGCCGATTGATGCCCACCCTTCGTCTCGCAAACCCCCACCAACAACACCATCCTGTGTCAGACCCACTACAGATCCGACTATCCGTCCAAAAGCACGTCTATGTCGCATCCGAGCAAGTTTTCTCGAGCATCCAGAATCGTCTGCTTAACAAATTTCCTTCCACCACCCTCTATCCGAAATCGACGCTTTTATTCGGTCATCCCGCATGACCTATGCTATCCCCAGATTAAACATCCGGGGTACCGCAAAGCTTGACCATCCTTTCCCAAACGGTTCGGCATGTCAAGAACCGACATAGTGGCTTGGTTTTCCGAGCCTGTGCCAGCGTTTAGATTTAATGCAATCCAATCAGGGCGCGTCGGCCCGCGCACCCAATGTGTTTATACAGCTTTTTAATCTCCGACTACTATCGCCTCTATCTGGGGAAGCGTAGACGAGGCTTTGTCTCGGGCAGACATGCGAGTGGTGGGCGAGAACGTGGTGTAAGGTGGCAGCGAGATATTGTGGAGTAGGATTAAACGTTGGAAGTGGGTGCGAGCTGAGTATATAAGGTAGGTAGTCGTTCTCTGCTTGGCTTTTTCTGTGTCGAGTTTCTAGTCAGGTTCAAAGGACGAAGTCAAGATGCTCTTTTCAACTGCTGTTACTGCTATCGGTCTTCTTGCCGCTCAAGCTGCCGCCCACGGCGCTGTCACGAGCTACGTGATCGATGGCACGACCTACCCCGGGTACGTTCTCTCCTCCCTCATTGTCTACCCACAACCGGCTAACAACTTTCCACAGCTACGAAGGCTTCGCTCCAGCCACAAGCCCGAAGACCATCCAGTGGCAATGGCCCGACTACAACCCCACCATGACCGTGACAGACAAGAAGGTCATGTGCAACGGCGGTACCTCTGCCGACCTCACCGCTAAGGTCGCTGCCGGCGGCAAAGTGCGCGCGAACTGGAAGCAATGGACACACGCACAAGGCCCCGTCATGGTGTGGATGTACCCGTGCGGGTCTGACTTCAAGTCGTGCAATGGCTCGGGCAAGAAGTGGTTCAAGGTACGCCTCCTCCGTCCCATCCCATCCCACCCCAATCCAACACCCGCGCCCCTGATACTAACAAGTTTCATAGATCGACCAAATGGGCATGACGGCCCCTCCCCTCTCCGGTACCAGCTGGGGCGCCAACCAAATCCTCACGAAACTGTACTTCGAATCCACCATCCCGAAGAGCCTCAAGGCAGGCAACTACCTCATCCGCCACGAGATCATCGCGCTCCACCAGGCCAACACTCCTCAATTCTACGCTGAGTGCGCGCAGCTCGAGGTCACTGGCAGCGGATCTGCCTCGCCGAGCGGCGACTATCTTGCTACCATCCCCGGATATGCGCCCCAGAGCGACCCGGGAATCACCGTGGATACGTATGCTTCTAATGCCCCAACTACGTACACTCCCCCTGGCCCCAAGGTCTGGTCGGGTTAAATGGCAGGTAGGCTTTCGTGGAGGGGAAGAAGGGGTGGGTAACTAATGCGACTTGCCCTGGCGTCTGCATGTACTTCAATTGCATATCATCATAGCATCGAATCATGAACTAGTCTATCGCATTACGCAGAACCAATGTCGCGCCTTTCTTTCTTTCTCCATATTTTTCGAGAAACTTGCCTGTGGCACGATATGCGACGGCCTGAATCTGGGTTGGTGGGGAATCTTTGCTCTCGTTGGGAACGGGCGGAGTACTCTGCCGAGTACGCCGTAGAAGTGGTGGGAAAGTTTTGCAGTAAAATTTTGCCCGGGTTTAAGGGCTAGTCGCACAGATACAAAGAAGCTCGTACAGCTAACTGTATGTACCACCGCATCTGCCTGCGGAGGCCTCCAGGATGGCTGGTACGTGCGTCGTTATGTCCGCTGCACCGTGAGATCCGGGCCTCATGCTCTTCAACTACCACCGTCAGTCCACACTTTGCACGAACACTGCCGATTATCGTGTGCATAATCCCGCAGAAGGCGCAGCGCCGAACTTAAGTTCGATTCCTGGAGACCGCCATCGATCGAGCCGCCAACGCCACTACGCGCCTGCTGTGCCGCAAGCGACCTACGCGCCCACCTCTATCCGCGCCGCAACCAACACCGCATCGACCCATCCTGAAACACAACGGCGCGGGAGGAAAATTACACGGGAGCAGGAATAGAACGGATCGCGGCGAGGTAGGCATGGGATGTGGCGCCTAAGAGGGCACAGTACCTTGGCTTAGTTGGGGACTACGGGAGGGGAATGTTAAAAGAGGCGCAGGTGTACCGTGACTGTTGACGCAGTTCGCCACTCGCGCTCTCTCTATTTCTTCTCTCTTCGAGACCTTCCTTTTTTACTTACATCACCTTTTTTTCGCTTTCGGAAAAAACATCATGATTTCTTTTTTCGCAATTACCGTGTTCGCTGCAGCCGGTCTCTGCAGCGCCGGAGCCGTCCCACGACAAGCAAGCATCACATGTACTTTCAAAGCCTACGAAGTCCAAGAATGCGAGCCCTCCTCTACCTCACCAACGACCTTCCTCCAAATCAACGAGATTCGCTCCTCGGACCAGCAAATCCTCGTCGATGTCCGCGCCCAGCGGCCCATGAATGCCTTCAACAGCTACCAACGCCTCAACCGGAACGAACCGTGGGATGTAGCGAGTCTGGGTATGGAGAATGGTGGAAGCACGCTGGTGATTTCTCTCAACGGGTTGAACGATACAATGGAGTTCGTGTATGGCGCTGCCATGTGGACGGAAGATAATGGTGTCAGCGAAGCGAAAGAGGGGAACGCGGGCTGTGTAGTTGGGGAGTGGTACGACGTTGTGGGCCCTGCTACGAATTGGGGATGTAGTGCGCGGGCGAGAGAGGCGAGGATAGCATCGAGAGTAAGTGTAGCCGGCTCCGGGAAGTGAAGTGAAGTGCTGACAAGAAGCAGAAGCGGATTCTAGACTGTAGATTTCCGTGCGGGAGCACGGAGAGGATGGAGCTGGTATAAGTTCGTCCAAGTCTGCCCCACGGATGCATGCATCGCGAAGAGAGTGGTCTTTAGTTTCGTCTCGGTTTAGGAGACTGCGCTGAGAGATCGTCCACCCTCTAGAGGATATTTGGACCGATTGGGACTAGGTGATGTGTGGCCCTCGTGCGGTCTCTACACCTTCACTTCATTGTCTCACAACTGAGCTGGTCCTTATCTTCTCCATGGGAGTGCAAGATTGGCAACGTCTCGCTGCTCTTCCGCTCAGTCCCCATTCTCCTCTTACCAAATACCCTTCCATTAGCTATCAAGCGAATAAGACGTCCTGAGGACGATCCCATTGTTCCATCCAAGCTTTCATAATGACTTTGCCTACGCCTGCTCGACGTGCCGTTTTTCCATCCCAATCGACGAGTATCAGGTTCACCACGGGCCAAAGAGTCCGAGGCACTGGCTCACCCTTTTTTGCAGAATACAGTTCCTGAAACAACGCAGCCGCGGAATCATGCTCCTCTCCAGTATCCAGTGTCGAAAGCCACCTTCCCGGAACGAAACGATCTACCGCCTTTAGAAACTGCCCGACCTTGGGGATGTGGAGAAAGCCCTTGTCAGAGAGGAAAACGCTACGCGCAGCATCCTCTCTATCATCCTTAAGGGTAGAGTTCATCTCCAATCTAGTCTCCTCCTCATTTCTAGTTTCACCTCCGTCTAACTTCCATCGCGGAAGCCAGCGGGGATGGACCTCTGCCTTTTGGAGCGACAAACCCCAAGATATGGTAAGAAAGTCGTCACCTTCTTGTCGTCTATTGGCCCTTCGGTACGTTGTCGTGATCTCACCCACATTTTCGCCGCGCGAGTTCGTCAGCTCAAAGATGCCTACATCATCACTCTGGTGTGTCCTTGGTGAGATACTCTTCCCAATGTAGAATCTGACAACCACGGTTTCGAATGCTAAGGTGTGGCTGTCTCCAGGGATACGCTCAACGGAGGGCCTCCAACTCTCATTACCGGACTTGGCATATCTCTCCGCTAGCTGTATCAGTTCCGGTATGAAGCGACTCTGGTGGGGACCCGGGAGGTTTAGAGCACTAATTGGGAGGTCGAAATGAATTCGCGCCATGCTCGAGCCGTCCGAGTAGAACATCCGCCTAATCGTGTGGTCTTTCTGGAGCAACGGCCAAGACAGACATGCTACCAAATTACCATACGTACCCCATAAAGACAGTGCCTTCCAATCAAATGTGCTTAACCTGGTCACCCATTTCGGCGGATTCGAGTATTGACTGGCTGGGGACCCATTCTTCGAATCATCACGGAAGGCTCGCATTGAGATGGTGAGGAGACTTCGGAGTTGACGCACATCCATTAGGTCAAAAGAGACCCCGCCTCGGGAAAAGTCGGAGCTGGCCCAGGTCCAAGAGGGTAACTTGAGTGTGTGGTTGTAGGTCTGCACGCAGCCGATGTCCGGATACCATAGAAGAGATTCAAGGAAATGTTTCCGGGGCAAACCCAAGATGAATCCCCCAGTCACTTCTTCCATAGTTTCCAAGATGCCACTGATCGCGAAAAGAGTGTCCTTGGGATCGGTCAGCTTTCTTTTGGAGTATTCTTGAACGGCCGCCGCGTAGTCCAAGAAACCTCCCAGGTAATTCCAGTCGTCCTCGATCTTGAGCCGACCGTTATAGATTTTCATCTCCATAGCACGTGCGTCGGGAACATGACGTCTGCGATTGGGCTGCCACCGATATTTTGCCCTTCGAGCTTCGACGCTCGTGGAGAGGCAGCCATTCTCTAGTACAACCTCCTCCGTCCATATTGACTCGGAGCACTTGAAATAGACCTGATAATCCGTGAAGAGAATAATCCTTCTTGACAACAGCTTTTCTTGAAATGTCCAGCCACGCGTATTCCAAAGCAGTTCCGACGAATTCTCGAGAGCTGTGTACGAAGGAAACATGGTCGCCAATCGAAGGTCTCTCACTACTTCCGAGTTCTGGTGGATTCTCCGGGGCACGCCAATGCCGGGAATACCGTAGTCTGCATGCGTACCTGCGGCGGCCGCGATGGTGAGGCTCGCGCAGCTATAGATGAGCTTCATGTTGGTAAGGTCGGGGACCTTTTGTTCAAGGGTAGCGTCTTGAACGATACATAGCGCGTCATTCCAAAGGTAGCGATATCCAAGCAACCGAGTAAGCGTCATTGCGTCTTCGATTGTTTTCGGCAATTTAGTTTGCAGTGGAGTCATTTCTCCCCTCGGGCCACACCTGATGTCCTTTTGTAGTAGCATAGCTGGATCCATACCCGTCTCTTCCTTCATCTTCTGGCTTCCCCACATATAGCTTAACGCCACGTATTCCGGAACCTCGCCCTCTGCGACCTTGATAACGCATCTACGCCTAACATCAATTAGGCGCAGGTTCAATGGGAGACTGTCGACCGTCCGCACATCTCTGTCGCATTCGCCATTGTGATACGTCGAACACCGATCCATCCATGACCTCAAAAGGCCTATGTCTACCTCGTCGGGTGAAATTTTCCGACCGAAGAACTGGCGGTTCTCTGCGTGCTTTTCTTTGTGGGCCAGATATTGAATGATACCCATCGGTTTGCGAGGACCGTCCTGGGGAGTATACGCATCTCCTGCCGCAGAGTGTGTAAATATCGTGCTAGAAGGTACTCGAGCTCCAGATCTTCGGTTGGGAACTGTCTGCGGCGTGAGGATGTCGTGGGCCACAGATCGGCTGCGCGATCGGCTACGTGACAAGAATTCTTCTTCTTCGCAAAAGAGGGTGAACCGATAGGCGTCTTGAGAGCAATACTTTGCTTTGGATCTCAGGTCATATTTGTTGGAGTACGATTCGGATCTGCTGCGGTCGTAGGGCGACAATTCGATCCCAAGCTTCCAGCTCAGCTCGTTCTGGAGTAGAACCTCTGTCGAGGGAGTCAAGCGGGGATCAGATTCCAGCGAGTGGACGACTAGTCTGCAGAAGGGGCAGTCTCGGCTTTGACGGATGCTGTCCCAAGAACCGAGATGAATGGAATCCCCGATTTCTTCTCCCAGGTATCGGTTGAAATCGATTTTGCGGCAAATTCGACATAGTCGGGATCCGTCTTGATGCTCTTGGGAACCTATTTCCGATGTGGAAGTGGGTTGTGGGTGCGCTGATGATGAGCAAAGCTGTGCCATTGTTGGATCAGGTAGAGGCCATCGCGCCAAGAGTGGAAAGAGATCGAAAGATGACTGGTCTCATCTCAGGCGAACAGTGGAAAGGTGGGATCCGGTAAGGTCTGAGTTCGGCTTCAGATGGTCAAGGAAGGACTGATAAATGTGGAAGATGTGCAGCCAAGTGGGGTTTGTTGCCTGCAGCCCAGTCAGCCCACATCGCCACCAAGGCTGAATTGGTTGCTTTTCTTCGCGAAGCCATTGCCAGCATCGCCAAGATTATATAATCAGATACAATCGCGAGAGTTAGGAGTAGCGGGTGTACAAAACAATAGATTGATGCTCTCCGAGCACGATTCGACCTCAGGTTGGGGCAGAGGCCTGTGCGAGACGCTAGGACAGAAACATTAACCCCACCACGAATGGCTACCTGATATATCACTGGCTTACTACCGGCTTTCGGATTGCAGTCGAAACTCAACCCATCTCTTATTTTCAATAGGGCCCAAATAGTCAACAGCATGTCGTTCGTTTGACGACCTTGAGGAGACTTTTCGCGCGCACTCGTTACCCCTGCGCTACCTAGTTCCTTCTCTTCGTACAATGTCCTATTCACGATCAGGATCACCTGGGCAGGGCGCTTCGCCCCAGGAATTGCTTTGTGGTAGATCGCCTGAATCACTACGCATCCTTTATGTGGATGAAATAATGAAGTCGCTTTGGCCGATCATGAACCAGCATTCGGACTTGCCACCTGAGCTCCGAGCACTCCACTTCCGGTCAAATACACCCACTGCCTTGTGCTTTGGCTCGAGGCGGTGTGCACACGAGAATGATCAGCCCCTCCTTGAAATCAGGCTGCGGTTGCCTTATCTGCACAGCCACCAACATTCGCTATGATCGTCACGACACCCAAGGTATAAACCCAAAGCCGCCTCATACGGCTTTTGCCGCAAACTTAAGGCACCAAATTTATTCCCTTCCAAAATGTGGGAAGTGACGAACAATCTCACATTCGCGAACGAGAACTTTCCTTATTGGTGCCGCTTCAACGCCACCAGATTATATTTCAATGTCACCGATTTGGATTTCTGCATCTGCAATGCGACAATTGCGGCAGACTCGGATATCGCAGGAGTAGGGGTGAGTAAGCATCCTATTGGTACCCTGTGCTGAGGAAACGACGAGCTAATCCTTGCTCTAGGTCATGACGTCTATTGCTGGAATGGCGCTGTGCACTATCGTTGTGGCACTGATACCGGCATATTACGATATAACTGTCGCCCAGAAGGCGAGATTTAGATCGCTGCTATGGCCTTGTGAAGATGACGCAAACACCCTATCAATGGACTCGATCGCCCGTAGAGACTGCATCCAAGAGCTAGAAGCTAACGTCAACCATCAATCACAAAATGAGCGTGCAGATCGCGAATCATCCAATATCCAGGAAAGTGCGGGCGAGTCCAATGTGGACCAAGAGCAACCACGACATCTAGCTCTAGCAGAAACTCTCCTTGGAAACTTGTGCGATCTGCAGCTCTTTACGGCAACGGCAATCGTCACGGCCGCTTTTGCGCAGGGAGCCAACTTGTCGTTCTATCACCAAAGCTTTGTGCTGAACTATTGGTGGCTGACACTGAACTCATTCTGGGCCTCGCGACAGGACGAACACTGGAGCTCAACTCAAGCCCAGTCCCAACAAAAGAGCACTACTACCCAAGGACTTGAAACCGACGAAAAGAGAACCGTCGCTGGCAATATCAAAGCACTAGCATCACGCACCGACATGCTTCTCCGCGGCGATGAACGTTTCCGATCCTGGTTCCGCCGCCTCCTAGTTTTCTGCTGCACCGCCGAATTCATCGTCTTCGCCGGCCTCGCTATTTGGAAGCAAGACTACGGCGAGTGGGATGCGTTGGGGCCCGGTAGGTGCTACATTTCTCACGACAAGTCTACATGGCAGAGCGACTGGTTCTGGCTTGCCGGCGTTTGCATTTACGCCTTGATACGACTGGTTATCTTGGTATCGAAAACGAAGATTATGCTTGAGGCATACTCGGAAAATCTACAAGACACCGAAGACTGGTTGTTCAGGAAATGCATCGGCAGGTGGGTGGATTTCCGCGCGCAGATCCAGCGGAGGGGGGAGATACGCCATTGGGGAAGAGGAGCGGCGGCAGCCTTCTGCTGTTTCCTTGTGCTGGCCTTGACCACTCTCATCTTCTCGGCACTTATCCAATTCGCGGCAATATGGTCCTTTGGAGATGGCTTCTACGCACTTGAAGTCGCCTTCTATATCGGCATGTGGGCATGGTCATTCTACGATATTGTGGACTTGAAGATTAGCAACCAGCACCTTCTCACAGAGCCAGAGACGGCATGGGGCTTCGGGCAAGTGCTCGCAGTGGTTCTGATGGGAATGATTGTTTTTAATCTTATTGACGCGTTTCATGGTGAGTGACTGCACGGTCAGATGTCGACCGTGAAATGCTGACGAAGTGCAAGGTACGAAGAAGACCAAGGCCAAGGTGTTGGGAGGGAGATGAGGGGATGAAGACGGTGGAGCGGCACAATCCAAGGACAGAAAGCACGCTGAAACCCGCCTTCTCGTGCAGCACGCAGACACGGGTACTCACCACCCCTTTCCTCGCCGTGACATCCAACCTCTGTGCCGTAAACGTCACGGCATGAACAGTCCCTCTCCAACACCACGTTACTACGCCTCCCTCAACCGGTGCCGCCCTCAGGTACATCCCGTCCCGTCCCGTGCCAACGCAACTCAACGCAACACATCACAAGCTAACAAGGGCCTCCACATCCCGCATGCTCTAGAACCCTCTCCTCGGGAAGGGCATCCTACGGAAAGGCATCCCATCCCCGCGTTATCAGAACGATTAATTAGCACACAATACCTCCTAGAGCAGTGGAGCAGCAGACACTCGGAGCTTCCTCAACTACCGACGGCTCCGTGGAAGAATGTACGATGCGGACGCGTACAGCCAGCCTTGGCAGATGCAACGGAAACCTTCCGGTGCTGACCCATCGCCATCCCTTTGGTTCCACACCTTTCTTCCTGAGAATCGGAAGACTCTTCGGCGACTGGGATGGCCTCGTCGCTCCTGCGGCGAAAGGAAAAGCACCTCGGGGAACCGTGAATACTTCGCTGGACGCGTACACGTGGAGCTCCTTGGCGTGCGTTGCGATTGCGACTTCTCCGTATCAACGCCGCCCGAGCTAGTCTCAACTCTTCTCAACCAAAGCCTTTACGATTTCTAGGCGAATAGAGTAGCCGTCAATGCTGGGGCTCAAACATCGACACGTGGAAGAGGGATGGAGGATGCGTGCGTAAGCGCGGAAAGGCTACGACTTGTACTGCAGTTGGGTCGCAAACTACAACTCTCTCCAAAAACCACGAGGAGCTGCACGAGCAATAGAATATTCGAGCGGGTGCTCAATTGGAACGGAGAGGGATGTACGACGACGTATGTTGGACGCGTCAACCCATCCCGCCTCCACATCCCGCCTCCAGATTCGGCCAAATATCCAACTATTCCAACCAATCACATCCCTTCAGCCCAATAAATTCACATTTTCCCACTCGCACTCGCAAAACACACTCCCTTACTCTCACCCAATCCATCTCCTCTGATAAACGGTTTCCCGAGGTGCGTGCCCAAGAATTGCCGCAAAATTCCAAGCCTCAGGAAAATGAGGTTCGTGGGGCCTGAGGCACCCGCGCGCCTCATCCGACTGTGCCACTTCAAACGCACGGCGTTTCAAGCTCCGCGCAACGTCGCAATCGAGTGGCGCGAGTGTTTGTCCGGGTGGGAACGTGATGGTTGCTTGATTGTGAGGTGACGAATGTGAAGACGTGTTTCGTGCTTGGCGAATGGGTGCGTTGATGGGCCTTGGTTCTTCGTTGTCGTTGAGATGTGTTGGTGAGTGAGCGTTGTCAGTGTCTGCGAAAGTGGGATGTGGACGCGATCCCTTGATATCCCACATTAAATTCTCTTCATGCCTTTTTTAGTCTACTAATAACGCGGAAACTAGCTGCAAAACAGCTCTCTGGTGCCTCGAAAATGGGGCAAATTGCTCGGAAAAAATTAACTTCCTATTAAAGGAGGGCGATCATCTTTGCTCTCGATGTTTCTCCTCGAACGGACATAATATGATTGTAACCTGATCAAACGTGCCGTTGCCATTCGATTATCAGCCCTTGTGGTGTGGATTCGTGGATGATCATTCATCCTGATGCTGTTTCGAAGGCTTAAGCTGTTAATTAAGGACCCTGATACCGAGCTACATGCACTCCGCCAAGACAACATGGTCCAACGTCGCGAGGTAAGTCGAGGCGGGACTGTGGAGAAGGCGGCTCGGTATCGCTGTGCTGATCACTCCTCCAGCGGGCAGGGGACGGGGAGATGAACAGTGTGCGGGCGGAGTCCGGTGCTGCAAGGTAATTGCGAATCCAGCTGTGTGGCTTGTCTGTGATTAATTATGGGAGGGGAATCGCGCTGCCCAAAAGACGGAATAATAATAATTATGATTCATACTAGTCGTGGTTCTAGTCGTAGTCGTAGCCGTAGGAGCCTACCTACCCTATCCAAAAAGCCATGATGACCGAAAGGACCTAAATTCATGCCGTCGGAAGAACCGGAACGCCGTTATACTCAAGACAATGGATTGCCCGGATACCTGGAAGTAGAGAAAGCTCAGTGGTAGCCACCGTGCTTGGGCTTCTTGTGCTTGTCCTCCAATTTGCTTCCGATGACTGCTCCGGCGAGCGCACCAAGCAGGCCATGCCCGCCCATCTTGTTGCCGCCGAAGTAGCCCGCGGCACCGCCCCCCAGTGCGCCCATTAGCCCTCGATCGCCCTCAGCCTGCGCATTCGGATCGGTAGGGCCGTAGCTCGGCTGGCCCGGTTGGCCATATTGGGGTTGCTGGCCCTGCGGGTATTGTTCTTGCGGATAGGCGCCTTGCTGGGGGAACTGCTGCGCTGGAGCTTGGCCCGGGTACGCTTGCTGTCCGTATTGTCTGGGCAAGTATGTCAGCCGATGTTTCGAAACAATGAGCTGTCGTAGACTTACGCTGGCTGCTGTTGGCCGTATGGGTCGTACGGCGCTGGGCTCTGGCCGTGCTGGAAGCCGCCTTGTGCTGGGGGCCCGTAGCCCGGGTACTGCGGTTGCTGCTCGCTGTAGTAGCCTTGCGCTGAACCAGGCTGCTGTGGCGGATATTGGGGTTGCTGTTGATAGCCTTGATCGTAGCCCTGCTGCGGAGGAGTCGGATAGCCCTGGCCTGGAGCGGGCGATCCGTACTGATTCGGCGGATACTGCTGGTTGTATTGGTTGTAGGGGTCAGACATGGTGGAGGTGTTGTGTCGAGGTTGGGGTTGAGGTTGCGACGTTTGCGAGGCGTAGAAGGTGCCTCGATGAGGGGTGATGGAGGGGTAGTGAGGAGATGGCGGAAGTCGCGTTGGCGGCGAAAACAGAATCTGGAGCGTCGATGAAGGTGATAAGTATGTGGTCACTCAGCGCTATCGAGTCACTCTTATACACCACGGCAGCCGTATCCGACCTGCTGACTGAAAGAAGCTAGGAGGCGAAGCAGCTCTCGACGGACCTTCGCGCTGAACTCAGCCCCAATCATCCAGAGGTACAATCGCAATTCCCCGGATGCGAACGCCTTTTCGGCCTAAGCGAAGCGCCCAGCGGGCAGCCTCGTGGACGCATTTCCTCAGCACTGCGGCATGTTTCCTTGCGTTTGTCGCTGTTGCTCTCGCAGCCCGGGAGGCCGCCAATTACGCTGCGCCGAGGCTGATCGACTCCTACGATTCACCGGGAGGAATGCTGGCTTTCCGGGCCTCAGGTCGTTCAGGAAACAACATGTTCCGAGCCTGTCTGCTCCCCGCGAAACTCCTTGTGCCTCCCACAGCCCATCACTGCCGTCATGAGCGCGCTGGGCGCTGGGCACTTGGCATCCGAAGCCGGCCGGCAGCTGTCCGAGAGCGAGGCTTGGCTCCGAGCAGATTGCCGAAGCCGCCAAGAGCCTTGCCGTAGCTCTGCGCCATCCTGAGGCGCAGCGCCACCAGCACCCGTCGCAAGCAACTCCTCGCAGAAGTGTGGCTTGTCCATTCGTCATTCGAAGGCTCGCAGGCTCGTACGACCTCGGGTCTGATTTCGCAATCTTTCAGCTCATTCAGGGGTGGGGTCGGTTGCGCTGCGGGGCGAGGCTCGAGCCAAAATGGGGACACTAACAACACCAACAACACCAACACAGGTTCACGACGACAGTGGCCTTCAAACTCGCCCAATAAAGCCCACGCTTTCGCGGGTCTCACGCCGCGCCCCTGTGGCGTTTGATCTGCCTCTGGAGCTCGCCAGCCTTGCCCGAAGCGGATGCTGAAACGCCACCACCCGGCCCTGAGACAACTCCAAGACGGGCTCCCAGGGGACGCTTCGGCCTTGTGGTCAGCACGCTCCGAGCTCGAACGACCCGCAGGGCCAATGTACCCAAAACAAGCCAATTAATCAGTGTTGCGCCGACAAATCCTTCCTTTTCCAGCTATTTGCGCCCTCCAGGCGGTGCTAATTTCGCCTCTTCGCGCGTCGAGGGGCCTCTACACGTCGCCCTTCTCCTCAAACCGACATGGGACCAGAATCGACTCACTGCTAGCGCCGTTCATGCGCTTCCTCATATGCTCGTCTCTTTCCTGTCGCATTGCCATGTAGTCCCAAGCGTTCGCCCAGCATTCTGCTGCACCGCTGCTGACTTGCTTCCTCTCTGTCCTTCGTTCTGCAGCCGGGCTGCTGTTGCTAATCCTTCGTTCTTTCCTTTACCTTCCCTTCTTTTACCTCTCTGGCAGCAGTCCTAGCAGGCTTGGGACTGTAGAGTGCTTTCGATTGCGCATCTTGACCGCCGGGCGATCTTCAGATGTTGTTTGTGGACGCCATTGAGCGGCAGGAAGCTTGAGGGGCTTACCCCATCCGACGCCCCAATTACTTTGGACAATATGCCGGTGCCGAAGCCGCGAAGGGACGATCGGGTGGAATATGTGGTTGTGCGAAGAACGAATGTGGATGGCGAGGAGGTGGCCGACTTCGACTCTGCGTCCGACCCGACGCCAACTGTGAAAGCACTCCTCGACCGTCCCGACCTGAGGAGGCAGCCTCAGTCTGCGCCTACAGACTCCGAATTCGACGCCGATGATGACGATGACGACGACGATTATCCGAGCCCGACAGAGGGACCGTCGCCGGTAAGGCATGAAGGAGTGGCAAAGAGGACAGCGGCTAACGTGGATAGATCCTCGTCACGATAACGCAACAACCACAAGCACAGGCAACCGGCGGAGCATTAGCAGACAATGATCCCACCGAGACTGTCGTTGTTTCCATCTCGCCGCCACCAAGACCACCGCCACCACACCACAAAGGAGGAATATCACAGACCACGGAGCACTTGCTTATTGCTGCTGGGTCAATTGGTATGTTACGCCTTGGTATGCGCAGGGTCGCAAGTGGCTGAGTGAAGCAGGTGCTACAATCATTGTCGTCATGATCATTCTGGCTGTCTACACGATGCGGAAGCGTGGCCTCACTCTAGCGGAAGCAGTCAAGCATGGGAAGTATCACGTCACGCGCCGAGGAGCACCTCCGCCACCTCCGAAGAAACTGCAGAGCAATTGGGACCAAAAGCAGGACTACGTCGATTCTGGTTACGGATCCATGAGAAACGACGCGGTTACTGCTCCACAGGCAGCTGCATCGCTCGGTCGGTCTGGTTCAAACTCATCCCAAAGGCCTTTGATGGCCCTGGAACGCAGCGATAGGTACGTGTCCCTCATTTCATCGCAATCGGCAGAGGATTCCAAATATGGGAGAGATTACCCGTCAGCTCTGCAGCTGTGCCTCCATTGTTTTGTTTCGGTCAGCATTGCATGGACGAGACATCTGCGGGGTGCCTCCCTAATTTCCGTGACACTCAATCTTCGGAAAGACGGATCAGATGTCGGGCTAAGCTAACCGTTACGTAGTTTCAATCGGCCATCGACTGCAACCAGCCAGGTCCCTCCCACGCAACCGAAGAGCTTCCTTCTTGAGTCACCACCGCCCCCGCGCCGCAACAACTCGCACCGCCGTGATGATAGCGCAACGCCTTCCTCTCCAGTTCTCCCGGTTCAAGATGTGCGACGCAGCGCCTCCACACGCAACACCCGCTCGATCGAAGACGACGCCTCCGAACTACGATACCCAGACCCTCCACAGGAACGCGCACTATCTCCTCTACCACCGCCTCCCACCTTCAAGCAGTTCCTCTTCAACCGCCCCTCCATATCAGGCAGACCCGGTTTTGGAGGAGGTATGGTCAGCCGCTTCAGCTGGACGAACTCGAATGCGCCTCAAACACCACATGACCCGCAGCGAGACACCAACAGCCACCAGTTAGGCCGCGACAGCTTCATGACACAGCGCTCATCCGTTCCTCGATTCCGGACTATCGACTCATGGGTAAATCAGCAAACGAACCGCCTAGAAGAGCAGAAGCTCAAGGAGCAGTTCCGCCTCACGCAGACATCAACTGTCTACTCTGGCGACGATGACCGCGACGACATTCCAACCGTCCCGGAGCTGCCGAAGAACATGGATGAACTGAGAGAAATGTCGCCGCCTAACAGCGCGAAACTGGCACCGAAACCCCCAATCACACCGCCAACTCCTCCCTCCGGTGGCCTCCCAGGCAAGAACATAAAGCATGAGCGGCACGACACCCGCACGACCGTCGAAACAGCGCCCATCTTCCGTCAACACCCCGGCACCGAGGTGCGCTTCAGCCGACGAAGCGCCGTTCCCTCCGAGATCCTTGACCGAGGTCGCAACCCTGACATGCTCGCGTAACGGCCTGATCTACTGGCATCTATCTTTCCTTTCCATTCCTTTTCGTTACTAGTTGATGTACTTTGCAGACTACCCCCATCAGCGTTGATTGCATTTTGCGGGCGGAAAAGTCGGGCGCGACGAATTGAGGGCGGGCAGACGGGCGAGCGGAGCAGACGGAAGAGAAGAGGAGGTGTGTATGAGTGAGGTGCGTTATCTAATGATGAACGGCTGAATTGGCAGTGCGGAAGCGTGAACTTGTGTACCTTAAGCTCTCTGTGTATATTGCTTGATTGTGTTGTGTTGTGTTGTGCTGTGGGGCATGCAGTTGTTGGGTTGGATTGGATCGGATTGGGATGAAGTTCAATGGCAAATATCTATCTATGTAATATCAGCTTTCTACCTTCTAAACCCATCCTCGTCTTCCGTCACGTCCATCCACTTCGGACAACCAACAGCCCACACATTCCCTTCCCTCCTGGCACGTTCTCGTTCTCGTTCTCGAATTCCCGGATTTCAAATCCCCACCCCTCTCTCTCGGCCGGGAAGTCGCATCTCCGACCGTCTGAGTTTCACGCGCCGCCAAGCCGCAGCCTCGCGCTGCATGCAGGTGCTGAGTACCCGCGGGTAGGGTTTCAAGGCACGTGAAGCAAAGCAGTCTCGTCTCGGGGTTCGGAAACGTGAGCAGGTTTATGCAGGGGGCTGGCGCGGCCGAACGGGTGCAGGCACGGATGCGTGTATGGGGAGTTTGCGGCGCGGTGTCATGTGAGGTAAACAAACAAACGTGTTCAGAGAGCGGGGCGGATGGAGATTGGTCAAGCATGGGCGGGGAGGCGAGCGGGGAGGCAAGGTAAGGAGTTTCAAATAGTGACGGTGTAGCTGGGATACAGAGGGGAAGAAATCATGGATATGGCGGGGAAGGAGGGTATGATGGATCGGTGGGTGTGGGCTATGGCCGTTTTCTTGCGGGAAGAGAGAAGCGAGTGGTCTCAATACGCTCAATGGATGGGTGGGGGAGGACTTGGAGGTAACGAGTATGCAAAGATTTTGTTTCTATAAGCCCTGTGTTGGTTGGCGTACGTTGCTAGTCTGAATACGGAGATGTGTACGGAAGTTGAAATTGGCAGCCCCTCGTAGTGTATTCAGAAAACAGGTGCGAAGGGTAAAAGAAGCGCCTCCACCTAACCATTGCCTAGGCGCTCTTTCGTCTACATAGTCTACCCCTACGAGAGGGCGTGTTCTTTCGTGATTCGGTGGGCGACGGCCGGCGACAGCGCACAGCACCCAGCGGAGAAGCGCTGGAGTCACTCGGGCTGAGGGAAAGATTTCGAAAATGGCGGGTTGAATTTCTTCGTCGTCGTAGCTTTTAAAGCCACTCACCAGCCGGCTCAATCCTTTGGGATGAAGGGTGCTGTTCTTCGTTCGGCGACTGAGAGGGTCGATCCAGAGAAGACGGTCCCAGTGATCATTAGCCATTCTCGCGAGCGCCGGCTGTTGGCTGGTGAAGGACTAAACTATTATGAAATCCTGACGAGGTCCGTTTTCTTGAACATGCAGGAACCACTTTCCATCGTTAGGTGAGCTGGCCCGCGCGATTCCGACCCTCTTGAAGGTCCCACTATGGGCTGGCGCCACTGCTAGCGCTAGAATGGTACGATATGAATCATTTCGACGTAGGCCCATGAGGAGGAGTAAAGTTGGTGTTCTTATTGTCTGGCCATGGTCGCGAGAAAAGAGAGAGAATTGTGGATCGATGAACTCGGCTATTTCGATAGCTGGGAAATGAAGAGGACCCCCAGAATCCGATATGCTGTGGACCTTGATTGCCACGCACGTAATGACAAGCGGCAATGGTGACATTGAGTTGTTCGGCGTCGTCATGTCTAGCGGCTGTTGCTCGTCTCACAATCTAGCAGAGGCGAACTCTTCTAATGGGTCCCCCAGTTCCACATCGCCTGTTATGCTTGCCCATGACCATGTTGGTCCAATCCGGGTAGGTTCGGAATGTTTGTCGACGAGTGTTAACCACATGAGATCTCTTATCAAAAAGGGCTCCCAGAGGCCAGCGAAGTACTTCCAACCTGTCTTCTGCCGGATAGCAGTAGCTAATCCAGAAATAGCGGCTAGTCTGTCCGACTTGACTGTGAGAGTGCTTTTGGAGAACCGCCGAATGATGCGGCTCCACGAACAGTAGATTTTTTTTCCATCGTTGGTTCGTCGAGTTGGTGCTCGCAGTTATCCACATTAAAGAATAAGCCGCATGCCGTCTCAGCTGCTTTGTAGAGGTACTCTATGCCGAACTCATCGCGGCTTGTTTGTCGGCATTCCCAAGATAGGAATTGGCCGAACCCAACAGTCCTGCCAGATAGCACCTTCTCTTGCTGGACCCATCCTCGACAGTGAAGAGGCCAGGTCTTCCGGTGAAAAGAATCTTCAGTTCTCCAGTCAGTCGCATAAACCTGCTCGTTCGCATCCTCGTCCGATAAGAAGCAAGGGAAATACACAAGTGGATCTCGCTCCGCGAACAAGCCGTCACTATTTGCTAGGCTATCGAGGGCAGCGATACAGATATATGATCCCTTGTAGACATTGCACATCCTAGCATCTTCCACAGCCCAATCGCTGGGGTAGTCCTGTATGATGCAGAGTGAGTCAACCCATATCCATTGTATCTTCAAAAACCGAGCGACGTGGACGGCATGTTGGATGGTCTTCGGTAGCTTTTCGATGCTGATGCCGGTCTCCAGAGCAGATCTGGTGCTCGAGGTGAGTTTGAAACAATTGTCTCCACCCCCAAGAATAGCTGAGGGCCGCGTACGGCAGGTTTCTGATGTGGGATAACTGAACCGTAGAGAACTAAGCGGACGTAACCGTTCTCAGGGTCGCAAGCTAGCGGGCCGAGGTCGAGAAGCCTTGTGGGCAATCCTGCTGTTGTAATGCGCGAACAATTGGGATGATTGATCAAACAGTCCTCGACCCATTCGGCTACCATCTCAAGGGACGATTCCGATGCAGTGCAAATTGGCCTTGTCGGGTGCCTTCTAAGCCATTGAGAGTAAGCTGAGTCACTCGGAGCGGTAGTTGCAGTTGTAGGTGCAGCTTCATGGCACCTGATTGGAACATCCTTCCCTTGTATGGAGCCTGCCTCCGATTCCATGGAGGCATACAAAGCTAGTCCCCCTTTATAACTCTTCGCAATCCTGACCCAAATCTGCTTGCCCTGGATCGCGGAAGCTCGTATCTCTTCTCTCTTTCGCGTCTCGCGTTCTTGTGTCGACTTGTTCGAAAGGAAGTTATACGGGGGATCAACGAAACTGTGCCAGATAATAGTGCATAAGTGGCAGCCTGATTCTAGAGACCCCAGTAGCGCAGGTACGCTGATGTGATGTCGCAACCAACCCGGTGGTTCCAAGTCTGTGAGCGGTGGTTGAACTCGATAGCTCATCTATTCCGGGAGGGAGTGTCGATTCTTAGTTAACCAATCTCGAAGGTGCTGGCATTCCAAGCAGAGCTTGCCTAGTGCGACGTGGCTTGAAGGTACCGGAACCGAGCGCAAGTCACTAGCGGGGAGGAATTCGCGGTAGAAATGGCGCGGCCTCGGGCGATCCAGCGAGCTCGGGGTCATCTCCCTGTTTCGATCTGGATCAACATTTGACGCTACCATCTGGATTTAGTTGGATTTTAACTATCGCCGAGCTAGGTACAGCTTCCGTGTCGAAAGAGATCGGAACGTATTTTGTGGTGGCTGGACGGGTTGAACATGCATGTAATGAGAAGGCTGCGTGCCTCTTGCGGTAGGGAATTCTCCGGATCTAAGGGCTCGCCGTACAAGTAAGATAGATTCGCTGTCCTATTGTACGCACCCGCGAAGGCCTCCAGGGTAGCTGTTGCGCACGTCGTTCTATCCGGAGAATTCCACACCGTGAGAGCCTGCTGCAGGGCTCTGCAGGGCGCCTTGTGGCTCTGCTCTGAACATCTTGGCGCTACTACAGCGTTCATAATGCGCGTCGGCTAAACGCCCAATAAGCTTTCCACGGTAGTTTCCAGTCCGCAGTGCGCAAGGAATTATCAAAGATGTCGAAGTCTGCCTTTTGCAAGCGATCCAGCCACAACTGCGTGGAAATGCTCGGCATAAAGACGCCGAACGCCTTCTCGACTTCCGCAAGCTGGACATCGGCTCCCGCGTTAAGCTGCTGGGCGCTGTAGCGATGCTCCTCTTCATTTTGGTGCTCGAAATCGTGACCTAATGTTCCTTCGGAGCGCAGCTTGGAGAGCATTTCCCGGGCGGTGATGAGATGGTCGTTTGCTCGCGTAGCTACTACGAATACAGCGTCACGCAGCCCGGACGCCGCGGCGCCTTGTCGAAATACGTCTTCCTCCTTGACACCTGCTTCAGCCATAACGTCAAGCGGCAACAGAACAGCGCCGTGGGCGGGGCCTGAGGATCCAGTGACACTACCACTTGTGCTCACCAGCTGCTGTGGAGGGAATGCAACGAGCGGGATGCCTCGCAGAACAGCAGCGATGCCCATTGCCTTGCCAATATGCGACGCGATATGATCCGTAGTTATGGAAGCTTGCGGGAGCGCCGAAAGCGTCAAATACAGCATCGTCGAATACGTATTCTCCGCATAGCTCTCTAGCGATGAAAGCGTCGGATACGGAGGGTTCCCCAGGTACTGTTCCCGAGTGCTGATGATGCGATGGAACCAGTTCTTGCTGAGCCTGGCTTTCCCGCCTGAGCGCTCTTGTAGATCCTTTGCAGCTTTCGCCAGCAGAAGGGCTACGGGCTCTTTGGGAGGCGCGCCGGCTAGTGCCTTGGTCACTGTATCCCGCCAGAACTGCATGCGCATCATACCGATGGTAGGGGTGCTTGTGGTGTCTGCTACGCGGGCGACGTCGACGTTGAAAGCGCGGATGGCGAGGTAAGCATCGCGGGCGGAGAGCGGAATGAAGGTCTGGAGGATGTGCGAGGGAGCATCATAGGTCCTGAAGAGTCAGTCCTGCGTTCTTTTGGGGAGAGAATATCGAGGTACCGGACGAGGTTGGCGCAATATGCCCTTGCGCGCTGGACTTCCGAGGCGGCGGGTCGAGCAGAGTTCTTCAGACATTGTGAGGAGTGGAATTGCCTCCGGCGGTACAGTATGAAAGGAGTGTGTGCGCGCCTTATGGGAGTTACGGCGAGCTGTGGTGGACGCATTTAGATTTTCGAACCGAGGTCGCGATGGTATTACGAGACGAATTGAGAAGTCATTGCAGGTCGAGGACGACGGAAATGGGGCAGCAATTCCGACAAGAAGGGAAAATATTAGTACAGCTAAAGGCGCTCCAGACTGCAGGTGAAGAGGAAGAGTGAATTCTAGTGGAGGCTCGTGCATGACGCTATGATGTCGATCCTCGGCAGGGCAGGCGCGACCGTGACACCGTGTTTTGGGGCGGGACGCGCCTGCTCAAAGAAATTCCCGTCACCCACATCTGCCCTCCAGCAACACTATGGAGCCGGCTCACCCAGAGGAGAGACCGCTGAAGAAGCGCCGTTTCTTCGCCGAAGAGTCGTCTCCTCCGCAGGTCCTGTCAATTCGCCACGACTCTCCTCCATCAGTCGCGTCGCCGGAGCCATCGATCGGGAGTGCGGCCAGCCCTGTTTGTATAGCCGATATTGCTGGACAGCACCATGGAGGAGATTTTGGCGACTTTGATGTTGGAACCCTCCAGGCCATTGTGGGCGAGCTGCCGCTTTCAACGCTGCAGAAACTGAAGGATGTGAGCGACGGCGACGTGCAGCGAGGCAGGTAAACCCGGCTTCAAGAGTCGGCTTGTTATACTTACGTTCCTCCAGCAATCAATCTCTACCTCGATGGCTCGTGGAACACAGCGCCGCGTCCCGTAACCACCGTCTTTCCGCAGTCCCGTCCGTTGCCCTTGCAGACACCCCTCGCGAACAAACTGAAGCGGACCGACTCTGAAATGTCCAATGCGTCCACCCCTGATTCCGGCGCATCGACGCCCATGACGCCCGTCCTCAAGACGATGCCATCTAGGCGCTACATTGGCTCGTTTGGAGTAGTCGCATGGTCTACAAAGAACGGTACGGGACTGCTGAGGCATGAAGAGAAGGTCGGCATCGAGCGCACCAAGATGCAGCCAAAGCAAGGCAAAGGCAACAAACGTGTTGTGAGCCTGAAGAAGCAGGACGCCGTGGTGCGGTTTACCAATGATAGAGGAGCCGAGGTGGGCCGATTAGAGAACGAATCCGCGGCCTGGGTATCAACTCTCATCGACCAGAAGATGTGCTCGTTCGAAGGGAAGGTTGTATATGCTCCGGACAGGCTCAAGACCGGCGAAACAGTCTACCTACAACTCCGCGGCTATTTCCTTCGCAGCGCGTTTGACAAGCGGAAGTTTGCCAAGCCAGACAACAACCGTGAGGTCAGTTTGTTTGAGGAGAAGGAAAGCTCCGACGAGCGCGATCTCCGGCTACGTCAAGTTGCTCTGGTGAAGCTTTTCGAGGCCATCAATTTGCAGCCGACACGGGAGAACGAAACTACTGAGAAGCACAAGCGGCAAGGCCTACTGCAAGCCGCGGAGACCACCGAGAAGAATGAACAGAAACCCAAGTCTGGGAATGGGACACCTGCCGAGCCCGGGTCATCGCCGCCTTCGGATGAAGCAGAAGAAGGCGAGGAGCTCGAACAGGACCAACTGGATTCGCTGTACAAGAAGGCTCAGTCGTTCGATTTCGACACTCCAGCGATGCAGCCTGCAGAAACATTCGCCATGGATCTTCGCAAATACCAAAAGCAGGCTTTACATTGGATGGTTGGCAAGGAGAAGGACGAGGCCCTCACGGGCAGGGAAGAGTCGATGCATCCATTGTGGGAGGAATATGAGTGGCCAAAACAGGATGCTGATAGTATGCCTGTGCCCATTATCGAAGACCAGCCCATGTTTTATGTTAACCCGTATTCCGGTGAGCTGTCGCTTGAATTCCCTAAACAGGAGCAGAACTGCTTGGGTGGCATTCTTGCTGACGGTAAGTCACTTCGCTTACTTGTTCACTAAGTACGAGGGATGCTGACGTGCTACAGAAATGGGTCTCGGCAAGACTATTGAAATGCTGAGCTTGATGCACACTCACCGAAACGAGGTTTTCAAAGATGAATCATCAGCCACCATGAGAAACCTCCCGAGACTGTTGAAGAATAGTGCGGTTGTTGAGCCTGCTCCATATACCACATTAGTGGTGGCGCCGATGTCGCTGTTAGCACAATGGCAGAGTGAGGCGGAAAAGGCTTCCAAAGAAGGTACCCTGAAGGTCATGGTATACTACGGTGCTGAGAAGGCCGTCAACCTACAGAAACTTTGCTGCGCAGCAAACGGCTCGAATGCGCCGAACCTTATCATCACGAGCTACGGCACTGTGCTCTCAGAGTATACTCAGGTTGCAAAGCAGGATGGCAACCGAGGCTCTCACGGTGGTATCTTCTCTATCGAGTACTTCCGAATCATCCTAGACGAGGCGCATTACATCAAGAATAGGCAGTCGAAGACCGCGAAAGCGTGCTACGAACTGAGCGCGAAGCATCGATGGACCCTTACTGGCACGCCTATTGTCAATCGGCTGGAGGATCTCTTCAGCTTGGTTCGATTCCTGAAGGTCGAGCCCTGGAGTAACTTCTCCTTCTGGAAGACCTTCATCACTGTTCCTTTTGAGTCTGGAGATTTCATACGAGCCTTGGATGTCGTACAGACGGTCCTTGAACCATTGGTGCTTCGCCGAACGAAGGACATGAAGACTCCAACTGGAGAAGCGCTGGTTCCTCTCCCTCCTCGGACTATTGAGATTGACAAGATCGAGCTTTCCCAGGACGAGCGAGATGTCTACGACCACATCTACCTCCGAGCGAAGAGCGTCTTAAGGGAGAACGCCGAGAAGGGGAATCTCTTGAAGAACTATACTACCATCTTCGCACAAATTTTGCGCCTCCGTCAATCTTGCTGCCATCCTGTGCTCACGCGAAAGGCCAACATCGTCGCCGATGAAGAAGATGCTGCGCTGGCATCCGACCTTACGAGTGGACTCGCGGATGACATGGACCTTGCAAGTCTCATCGAACGCTTTACTGCCGAGGGCGACCAGGACGTCAACAAATTCGGCGCCCACGTGCTAAAGCAGATTCAAGACGAGGCCGAAGCGGAATGCCCGATATGCTCCGAAGAACCGATGATCGACCAAGCCGTCACCGGCTGCTGGCACTCAGCATGCAAAGAATGTCTGCTCAACTACATAAACCACCAGCGCGACAAGGGTGAACTCCCTCGCTGCTTCAACTGTCGCGAACCCATCAGTCCCCGCGACATCTTCGAAGTTGTCCGCCACGAGCACATCCTCGACGAAGACAACCTCCGCAGCGACTCGCTGGATTCGCCACCGCCCATATCCACGCAATCTCCCCGCATCAGTCTCCGTCGCATCGGCCTCACTGGCTCCGCTAAGACCCAAGCCCTCCTCACCCACCTCAAGCGCATCCGCCGCGAATTTCCGGCTATGAAGTCGGTCGTTTTCTCCCAATTCACCTCTTTCCTCGACCTGATAGAGCCCGCACTCAAGCGGGATCACATCCCTTTCCTCCGCTTCGACGGCACGATGGCGCAGAAGCAGCGCGCTACCGTGCTCAAAGAGTTCGCGGACTCTAAGAAACCTTACGTGCTGCTACTCAGTTTGAGAGCTGGCGGAGTGGGCCTGAACTTGACGTGTGCGCAGCGGGTTTTTATGATGGATCCGTGGTGGAGTTTTGCAGTCGAGGCGCAGGCTATTGATCGTGTGCATCGGATGGGACAGGAAGCTGAGGTTAGAGTAACGCGGTTCGTGGTTGAGGGGAGTATCGAGGAGAAGATGTTGCGGATTCAGGAGAGGAAAAAGTTTATGTGAGTGTTCCTACCTCTCGCCGCTAAAATCTCGAGCTAACTTTCCATTTAGTGCAACGTCCCTCGGAATGATGTCCGATGAGGAGAAGCGCGTCCAGCGCATCGAGGATATTAAGGAGTTGTTGAGCTAAGGAGTGGTAGTATCGCTTTCGTGTGTATACTGGGGTATGGTGGCGGGTGGGATACGGCGGCATTCTGGGGTATGTGTTCATACTAAACGTACCGAATATTCATCATGGGTGGCAGGTTCTCGGGTGCATAGAAACACATGCATTTGCATAGGTCGGCATAGCATTGCATCTAGGCGTTAGGGGGAATTCATTTGGATATGCGTCCGCCGTTTGCAGACTTTTGACGCCGTATCTCTGCCGTCGGTAGCGGAACACGGAGTAGAAGCGAAGGAGGCGTGATGTAACGAAATCGAAAGAGACACAGGGTTAGTTTCGTTGAAATGTGGACAAGAGAGCTGCGCTTCTTGTACTTTGCTTCATTTCTTTCTTTTCATTTAGAAACTGGGGAAGGAAACAATGGGGTTGCGGGTTAGTCGCCCCGAACTATTGGCGAGGTCTGCCCGAAGGCGCGTGCGGATCGTATCGTGGATAAGGTTCGACCGACTCGGTGCCGAAAACTTGGGGCTGAGCAGTCTATGGACCGAGATTGGCCGTACTTCGACAGAGGGAGAGCCGATAATTGCAAGGCAGGCTAAGAGGTCATGTAGCCATCCGAGCTCGGGGTCCTCGGGACCTCCAGAGGACCGCTTGCAGTCCTACTGAGTACATCGACCTCGCGCTCCCAAAAGAATAGCCAGTCCATCCACAACTCGCGGAGTGATTGATAGTTCGGGCAGACCTCGCGGAAAAATCGGGAGACAAGCTCGCTTAATTCTTTGCCATACAAATTCTGTCTGTGCGGCGGTCAAGCGGAACAGCCCGTCTAGGCTATGGGGGCGGTGTGGTACCAAAAATCCCTCAGCGATGACCGGAGCAGCCTCTTGAACCCGAGGCGATACTCGGGAGGCACATGATGAGACGGACGCCGCGGCTCTGCGATTATTGATAAGGCGTCCGTGATTGCGAGGCGGACACGAATCACAGCCGCCGCCCCGAGGTTTGCGGCTCCCCATCTAACTACTTCGAGAATAATGCAAGTCTTGAATGGATGTACTTATCTAGTCGGTGGTGCTCCTGTTGATTGCTGGGGTGTTCTGTGAAAATTTCATTCATTCTTCTCGAAAAGCGAAAACATTTGAGGAAGGGTAGGTGGACTCTCCGTGAACCCTCGGCACCTCTCGGCACAGAACGATTGACTCAGTTTTACTAGGAAATTCGCGCCGTCTTCTCAGCTTTACATTCGAACGTCCTCTTATCTTCCTCGTTTTCGACCTTTTCTGCCTCTAGCTGGACTTCGGCGGCCTTTCGAAAGAAGCTGGTTAATCGACAACATTACGTCGCGCGCGCGTATACATCTCTCCAAGCATCAGCCATAATACTTATTCCCTCAAATTGGCCTTCCAGGTTAGTCTTGCGGCGTGTGTCGTAACAACTCCTAACTTGGAATGAAGTTTAACTGACCATCTTAGCATACCCGGAGTTGTTCGGCAACAGAACGCAACGATGAAGATCACACGCGGGATCTCGCTTACAAATTTTCTCGTGGCGACATCCGCGCTAGGATTCCAGGTCTTTGTTCTATACCCGTGGCACAAGCAGCTACAAGGAGATTTTGAAGCGTTGAAAAAGGAGCACCTGCGCGTCTTGCGCACTATTGAGGATGCCTATTCGCATCGAAGAACGGCAGCGAGTTCGAGAGCAGCTTAGAGAGACGGGGAAATGGCGGTTCTGAAGAAGAAGTTTTTTTTTTTCCATCGCATCTCATTGCGCATGTCTTAACGGTCTAAATGTGCCGCGGCCCCTTGCATGCCCTCTGGATGACCCTTCTCCAACAGCTCTGAGCTTCCGCGCCTCGCCCCCCTCCCGTTCAAACCGTCTAATCATCGCCCGCCCACACTCCCCGCGCACCACTTCCTCCCAAACTATCAACCAAATCTCAGCTGGCAACTGTCTCAACCTCATACACTGCTCCTGGCTTTTCACTCGCTTTTTACCGCTAGGCAACGTCAACGCCCTTTGCCTCTTCACCACCCTCGGCGGCACAACAACTAAGACCGAGAAACCGCAAGCGATGTGACAAAACTTGTCACGCTCAGCGGCTCAGGGGTGTCGGTAATGCTCTCTGCATAATTGCATGCTGTCTACTACGTATCCTCTTTCGACAGGCCGAAACACTTGAGCTCGAACTCGAACTCGAACTAGTAGTCGTAATAGAATCGGAGCTAGAATCGGAACTGGGATTTTTGTTTCTTATTACGTAATTACAGGACCGGCTTGGGAAAGTTTCATGGGGATGATGTATGGCATGGTATCAATGCGCGAGGAATTAGCTGGCGTCAGACAAGGACAATCCGCCCTCCTTTAACACTGCGAGCCCACTGAAAGCCTGAAAATCTATTCTAGCAGTGAAGCGTTTGCTAAGAAGGGGTAGACGATCTATGATAAGTCTTTCCTTTCCATTGCGTGGCCGCTAGAACACAGAAGTTGACGGAGGAACCCTTGTTGAAAGTATTATCTACCTCTGTAAACAAAGGATTCGAAGCCACTTCTTTTACTCGTCTGGAATATGTTTGATATATCTTTGAGTATGATCAAAGAAGGCAAAGAAATTTATAGGTGTGAAATCGGGGATTGATATGGTACGCCTCTGTTTCATGTAAGCCTCCCAGCGTTTTGAGACTAGATCGCAACCAGCCTTCCAAACTTCATCCTCGAAGTCAAGACCCGAAGACCCGAAATCATTGCCGTTAAAATTCTCAGCCCAATCTCCCAGTTCGGCGAGTCTGCACAGCTCTCGTGGACTGCACTCATCGAGAAACGCCGATGCTTGGCCCTGTAGGTGTGGAGTGCTTCCCATGACCCCAATGGTCCAGACACAATAGAAAGCATGCTCGAAGCGTGCAAATTCGGATGGCCTCATGTACGGATCCTCTCCTCTTTCATAGGATTCGTGAATCTGACAGAAACTCGCCCAGTTGTCACCGGCGGCAGAGACACATCGAGCGTTGGACAGGAGACGCTTGGCTCGGATAATGGACTTCTGCTCGCGGCCGCCTTGCGACTGACTCACAGCTTCAGCTTCTTCCTGCATGTCAAGCAATTGCTCGGCGTCGGTGAGGTTCGAGAAGACACGCGGGGCGACGGCTCGACAGATAGAGGTCGGATTCTCTCGCCAGGTGTGGTAGAAGATACGTGCCGTTTGTGCAAGAGCGGCCACAACGGAGAAGTCATCTGCAGACTCGAAGACTTGACAGATAAGTTCGGGTGGGAGGGCCGAGAAGAGGGAAGTCGACATCATGATGACTGCGTGGTAAATCGATGAACCCTCGAAATGATGGTAAGCGAGCAGCGAGCGGGTTTACAAGCTGACGATAGTCTCCAAGGCCAGTGTGCTAGTATAGAGGGCAGAGGTACAGCGAGGGCTCGTGAGAGGAGTTGATGATGGTAGGAGCGGTGGTAGTGGAAGGAATAGTGACGTGTGACCTAGGCGTGATGTGCCCCATGCCAAGGTTCAACTCAGCCCTGTTATCACATGATCTCACATGAATTCATGAGGCTGAGCCTATCGGGGCTCAGTAGCTTACATAATCCAAACAGAGTGAGACGAAACCTGTGCCATACCTCTGGACTGATTGGCGAGTTGGTGCCACTACATCTAGATTTGAACTTGTTCTGAAATGACAACCCTGTCTAACAACATGACCTGTGATGTCGTCACTGCGATCAAATAAATAGCCGGAATACTGTAAGATATTTCTCCCTCAACAGGGTTGTACAACCACTCCTTCTACCTTGCCTCGATCCTACACAAGAAATTAGTCCTTCATCCTCACAGAATTACTCCTTTGTCCACGTAGCCCATCCCAAAATCAACTTACCAAGTGTTCGATGTAAGCAACGTGAGTAAAGCAACGGTGTCCTGACCGCACCGCAAGGCTCTCCTTATATAACCCTCTACGAGTAATAGGCTGCCCCCTTGAACTTCTTATAACTATACTTTACCATTACGCCTTCAACACTACCTTCATTGCTTTACTTCATCGATTTATTCATCCAATCTTCTGTTATACACTCCTACTCTTCAGCAATAAGGATGCTCTCCGAAATACGATACTAGAAACTCTTGGGGGCCACCGCTATCCTTTGGGTGCTCTTTGCATTCACAATCTTCCTTGATCCAACATCGACCGCACCGCAACGACCGTTCGGCAATGGGCTTTCTCGGCGTGCAGGCGAAGCACCCGGAATCGGCGTCGAACTTGAAATGGGGAGGGTCGTCATCGAAGGCAAGAGGAAACTAACGGTAGAGGAACGAGAAGAGGTAAAGGGGGCCGTAATGATACCTGTTGACTACGATGCGGACCCAAAGACTAACTGGGAGCTCACTGCCGAGATTGGCACATCAATCTTCCCAGAGGCCATTGTCGATGGCCTCAAAAATAAGGTTGGAGACCGTAAGACGAAAGGCATCGGAGAAGAGATTCTCAAATTCTTTGTATGCTTACCCATCCCTCTTGTTGCCCCTCATATTGCCTTCCTTGCTGATTCTTCTTCTACAGGACAAGTGGAAGCCATGCGCGGGCGATGATTCCGAAGTTAAAATTAAAGGCTTTGACAGCCTTGGTCCATGGATAGTCAACTAGCCAAAAAAGGCGCCAAATGACTTTCGTGAATATCCCTTTAGCCCACAAGTGACGACTGCGATGCCCCTGGAAGCTATTCTCAAGATTCTCGGCGACACGAAAAGCGAAACCCCTAATCCGTTTGCTAGTGGCGAGGCGCGGTATGGGAGCAGGATCAAGATACTCACGAAGGATGATTTCGTATCTTTCACCAAAATCAAGGCAAACGACATCACTGACGAATTTCTTGGTTACTTCTCCCTTCTGGCATCTTACTGTGTTCTGGCCGACTCCAGTGACCCCAGAGAAGGTCCAAAGCGTTTGCTTCCGATCATGCCTCACACCGACTTTGTTGCTCAGTACACGAAATTTATCGAACCGAAGTTGAAGGACCGGCTGCCCGACAGTCCGACAGGAAGACATCCTTGTATAATATTATCGAGAAAGTCCCTGGAGCAGGTTCTACGCTTGGTAAAGGAACATTCAAATGGAAACCTGGGACAATAACCGAAATCATCGATGACGGCTGGATAGGCAAGGCGGAGGATCTCAAGACTGGAACTTTGGAAGTGGAGAAGTTCCTGAACCATGTGTAAGGGTACGATAAGGCGACGGGGAGGACACTTCCCCAAATGGATCTTGTGAAGCTCATGGACAAGACAATGCGGCACGGCCAGATTGGAAGTCTCGGTAGCAAGATGGAAAAGTTTCGCGACCTTAAAGCAATACTTGGGAAGGACCTCGGAACTACTATGGGGTCATTTGAAGATAAGGTTATCGAGTATCACAAGCAGTTTGCGAAGCGCAGTATTAATGTTTGGGAGTACGCGGGCATGTCGCAAGAAGAATAGATGCGACTTAGCTGAGAGGAAGGGTTGCGAGTGAAGAAAGCAGTTTTGGAAGTGCGTGCTTGCTTAGTGGATTCGGAGCGCTGGAGCTCTCGGCTAGTACGCTTGTGTATACGGCAGCTTGGGCTATCTGTGGCCAAAGCACACTCAGTGGCAAATAGGTCGAGCATGACGTGCGGCGGGTGTAGTCGTAATCTGTCCAAGAGCATTGACGCGGTTCTACTTTATTTTATCTTCTCATGTCGGGATAGGCGATATGCTGTCCGACATGGCAAGGAGTGAAGGGCGGCGAAAGGGCGCACGCACGCACCTGTGCAAATGAATCTCTTCTCAGAAAACCTGACAATGTGACGATCACACGATAAATCTCCCGAATTCCCTAGTCCTTCTCATCGAAGGGCGGTCGAAGGGCTGAACGAAGGGCTCCGAGAGGACCTAAACGGATGGCTGCCGAGAAAAGTCGAGCATGGAGGTTGAGAGAGGAGTTTAGGTGGGAAATTGTTTGACCTTGGACAGAGCGCAGGGCGCCTTGCAGCGTTTTATCCAATCAGGAACTGTGTAGGTTTTGCGACCTTTCCGCATTCATTTTGCCGAGGAGGGATCGCGAATAGGATTCGACCACTCATGGGAGTCGCTATTCGCTTGGCTTATAAGACTGCTTGAGCATCACGAGGGCGGAGTCTGAGATTGTGTGTTTTTCTTTCCAACTCGTGTCTTTGAGTTTAGAGAAGCTTTTCTTGCCTTTGAAGCTTGACCGTCCTTATCGCGCTCAGCGATCGTACATTCGAGCCGCATACATGGAGAAGTTAGATCAGTCGGCTGAAAAGGAAACGAACGGTGAGCCGATTGGGGCTGAAGGAGAGGAGGACCTTGAGAGCAATATGTTGTCGCAGCCGAAAGAAGGGACAGGACGAGGGACGGAGCCAGAAGTGGTGGATTGGGATAGCGACGAGGATCCCCAGAAACCTATCAACTGGAGTAATGTTCGGAAGTTCAAGAATATTGTAGTGGTGTGTTATAGCACGTTCCTGACGTAAGTTATTTCCCCCTCCTTCCTACCCGTTTTCAAGCTTCCAGCCAAAGATCGTGTCTATCCATATCATTAGGAAGGAGGAACTTTCTTACCCCATGAAGCCCTCTAGGCTCCACCATGTTCGCCCCAGCCATCGCACAAGTCATGTCCGCCTTCGAATCCAACAACCCAGTACTCGCTAGCTTCACAGTGTCCGTTTGGATCCTGGGTTACTTCTTCGGTCCGTTGTTTCTCGGTCCGCTCTCCGAACTCTACGGTCGACTTCCCGTTTACCTCGTCTGCAACACACTCTTTACAGTGTTCAACATCGCAACGGCGGTGGCGCCCTCGCTACCTGCTCTTATCGTCTTCCGCTTCCTATCGGGTACCTTTGGCGGGTGCCCGATCACCATCGGCGCCGGGACATTTGGTGATTTGATTCGGCCGAGGAGTAGAGGGAAGGTCATCGCGGTGTGGTCGTTAGGCCCAATGTTGGGGCCCATCATGGGCCCGATTGCTGGCGGCTTTCTCGGAGAAGATGCGGGATGGCGGTGGATTTGTTGGGTACTTAGCATCGCTTCTGGTATCGCTGCCATCGCGACACTACTCTTCCAAGAAGAAACGTACCCGGTCGTACTGCTAGAGCAGAAAGCCGCCAAATTGCGCAAGCAAACCGGGAACAAGAGCCTCCGGTCCACGTTCGCGTCCTTGGATCGCAAGCCGAGCCATGTCTTCGCGCGAGCCATCATCCGCCCCCTCAAACTGCTCTTCCGGAGTCCCATCGTCACGCTCCTGAGCATCTACCAAGGACTCGTGTACGGCTACATGTATCTCCTCTTCACCACATTCCCGCTCGTATTCCAAGAACAATACGGCTTCGGCACGGGCGTCATCGGCCTGACGTACCTGGGCATGGGCGTCGGTTCCCTCATTGGATGCGTTGGTGCTGGTGTCGCGGCGGACATGATATATAGGAAGGCGACTGCAGCGGGGCGGTGGAAGCCCGAGGAGAGGCTTGTTCCCCTGATCCCGGCGTGCTTTTTTATTCCTGTCGGATTGTTCTGGTATGGGTGGGCGGCGGAGGGGAGAACGCATTGGATTGTGCCCATTTTGGGGACGTTGGTTGCGGGGATTGGGATCAATACGCTCATGGTACGTGCTCTTCTCCTTCTCGTTGAAAATTCAGACGGCTGACTTGGGGGGTGCAGATGTGTGTGGCGACCTACTTCATCGATGCACATCCGCTTTATGAGGCGTCAGCAACCGCAGCCATGACGGCAGTACGCTCTCTCATCGGATGCCTCGTCCCGCTGTTCGGGCGCTCGATGTATGAAGCGATGGGACTGGGCTGGGGAAATAGTTTGCTAGGCTTCTTGAGTCTGGCGATGTGTCCACTGCCGTGGCTGTTTTATAGGTATGGAGAGGGCATAAGGAAGAACCCGCGGTTTCAGCTGAGACTGTGAGGACGGCGGCAATGGAGATGGATTAAAAGAGAGATGTTGGAATCAAATGAGAGAAGGAAGAACCACTCATTAGACTGAAAAAGAGCTCGTTGTGGAGCTCGTATAGACGATACCGTGCCGTGTCGCCTTGATGCGCATCGGGATGCTGGAGAGGTGCAACAGTTCCACTTGTCAATGGACCCGAGGCCCACGTAATCGTCATGATAGGCATGGACGACGCGCTCTGAGGCTATTCATGTTCGTTCATGGTGGTCGCGCGCTCTGACAGCCCGATGCGTTCCACGGTTCGAATCGAAAGCCCCGCATTCACATGACTAGATCGCACCGTCTGTAAATACGAATCCCTTCCTGGAATGCTCACTCGATATCCCGTGTTTCCTGATGGCTCTCGGATGGGAAAGGCGTTTCGCGCGTGTGTTCGTGTAGGAAGCAGGTGTACACGAGTAAGTTGCGCTTTAGCCGGCTGACGGCATGACTCGGCCCGGTCCTTGCCGATATTCATCCGCTTGAAACTCCCGACGGAAGGCTGATCACTACCATGCTAGGAGGCACACTCTGCATCTTCACGTGGTGCTGCTACTCGACGACTAGAATATCCGGCGCCGCACCCCGATCCACTGGACTTGGAGCTTGAACCATGTTATCTAGCATTGCCTAGTGTCGCCCTTCGAACAAAGGCTGGGACCACACGATCATTCCTGCTGTATCTACGATGGGCAGATCCCCGCCGTTTCTGGTCTGACCGCACCCAGTATTTGATCTTCATGTTGCTTTTGGTCTTCCCGTCATCGGTCGTGTCGTCGATTACAATCGGCGATGCACATGAACTTCTCAGATCCGGTTGTTCGGTCCGTCAACGACTCTTATATGCCGCCCATGAGTCCGATATCGCTTGCCCGCCTGCGTGGGGCTCGTTTACCTGTTCTTCGAGCTCCATCGTTCTGCCATGCTCAGCGGTCAGGCCCCCCGAACCATAAGGGAGCCCCCGCCACTTGCTTATGGTCGCGCGTCGATTTGCGAATTATACGAAGCTCAGCTTGCAGTGCCGCGGGCTGTACGTTAGAACTTCTATCGAGAATGTCATCTGGAACAAGATTTTCATCGATCATTATTAGCATGATCCTCACCGGCAAGCGGAACAGCGATCTGGCGCAAAACGGCCCGGCATTATAGGAAAAAGATTAGTGCCTAGCCGTACCATCGTCACATTTACCGGCTCGATGTTGAGGAGATATTTGATTATCTAGCGCAGCATCATGAAAGTAATCGACAAGGTTGTAACAGCTAAGAGTATAGTAGTTGCAATGCTATAGATTGGCGCGGCTATGATGCCCGAGTAGTAACAAACACAAGGAGACACATGCGCTCTAATTTAGAGTTGTGTGTTTCTTTCTATACCGGCATTCCTGCGGAATTGAAACCAGCAGTGCAAATTAAGTGTTGGGCCTGAATTGTAAGAGTGGAAGAGAGAACCGAGCCAATGCCGCGTGGAGTACTGTTCCCAGAGTGGATGAAATCACCTAGACCCTCTAGCTTGTTCACTCATCTAGATGCGGTTGGCATCTTTGTTCTAGCGTCGTCTGATTTCTTTGTATTTACTAGTAGGCCGCTGCTACGGTGCGGCTCCAGATTGAGATAAATTGACTAGTCTGGACTGCATGCGGACAGCTGCAAACGGAAATTAGAAGAACAGCCGAGTATTTCGCATATAATACTTTCTTCCTATAGCCTAGAGTAGTCGGAAGTTCGTCAATCGAATACCCTCAGTTCTGCCTCTCTTAAGTACAGCACTCGGCCATTTTGCACAGCCGCGGATCACCCAAACTCCGACTATCCCTCTTTGACTGCTTCGGGACGTTGACCTTTGGGGCATTCGCCTCATCCACCGTTGCATCATTGACCTGTCCGAACCGTCACAGTGCTTTCCTCGTCCTAGATCAAGCATGTTCCTGAACGTTTGAAACGTACTCATTACCACTTCCCACACTGCGTTGACATGCGATCCACAAATCTTCGCCTTCCGGCGCTTCTCCTTGTCATTTACTGCCTAGGTGGACAAGCTCTGGCGCAAGTCAATCTCGGTACCGCAGCCCCATTCGGCGTCATCGCAAGCTCAGCTATCACCAACACTGGTGCTACCGTTGTTGACGGTCAGCTTGGCATCTATCCTAAAACCGAAAGCGAAATTACTGGATTTCCACCTGGGATATCAGGTGATGTCAATGCCAACAATGCTGTCGCAGATCAAGCTCGTCAAGACGCCCAGACCGCTTACAACGCTGCTGCTTCTCTAGCTTCGACTGGCCAGAATGGACAGGACATTGGTGGCCAAATTCTCGTTGCTGGGACTTATACCTCCTCCTCGTCTGTAGCCATCACCGGGCCGCTTACACTTGACGGCCAGAACAATCCAGATGCACTCTTTGTGTTCCAAATCGGATCCACTCTTACCACCGCGACATCGTCGTCCGTTGTGCTCGTCAACGGTGCGCAAGCGTGCAACGTGTTCTGGCAGGTCGGCTCTTCAGCCACACTTGGCACGTCAACCGTCTTCACTGGCAACATTCTCGCCCTAACCTCAATTTCGTTGAATGAAGGTGTCACTGTCGCTGGTGGTCTATATGCATTGAACGGCGCTGTCACGCTCATCAACGATCAGGTCACAGCACAGCAGGCATGTGCTGTACAGCCTGCTGCAACGACCAGTTCCGTTCTCATTGTCACATCCCCTGAACTTTCGTCATCTACTTCTATACCGGAAGGTGTCGTGACCACTACCGGGGACGACATCACCACAACTCTGCCAGGAAACGACATCTTCACAACTCTTCCAGGAAACGATATCACCACGACAATTCCGGGAGACGTTATCACTACAACTCTGCCAGACAACGGCATCACTATCACACTTCCAGGCAAAGACATCACAACAATTCCAGGAGACGACATCACTTCAACACTGTCAGGAAGCGACACTACCATAGCATTATCAAGAAGCGACACCGTAACAACTCTGTTGGGAACAGACTCTTCTACGACGCTGTCACGAACCCGCTTCATCACGATGTCGTCAGGTGATAAAACCTCTACAGCACTGCTTGCCACCATGTCGAACAACAAGCCAAACCTCGATTCGTCTCGCCTGTCCTCTTACAAATCTGGGTCTATGTCAATCAGCTCTGATGCACCGGCCAGATCGTCTGGGCCATTGAATGAGTCGTATTCGGTACCCATGTCCATCGAAATAAAATTGTCCAGAAGCAATACACAGTCTCTCTCATCAACTTCCTTGCTGCCAGTCACTTCGAAAAGCAGTATGATTTGGGCTACCAGGACAGGTTATGCACCGTCAAGTCCAGTACTGACATCGACAACACAGGACAAGGTTACAACAATCCAAGGCACTCCATGCACTACGCTGTCCTATTATGAGCCCACTTGCTCTTGCACCAAGACAACTGTCATCCCACTCGCATTCCCGTTAGCTCCAACACTCCAAAGAGCGACCATGAAACTAACGACCGTGGACGGCGTACCATGTACAACCACCCAGTATTACGAGAGCATATGCGACTGCATCCGCACTTCGAATGTGCCAATCCAGGTAGTAAGTGCCACAGCCAGCATCGTTACAGTCATCGATGATGTACCTTGCGTAACTTCAAAATACTACGAGGCTACTTGTGATTGTGTCAAGACTGCTATGGTACCGGTCCGGATTGCGAGTGTTGGTGAGACTATTCCTGCGATTACCGCAGACTCGGTGGCGACTACTGCGGTAGTTTGCTCACAGGCAGCGCAGATTCCCCTGTAAGTTGATTCCAGGGTTTAGTTCCGTTGATCTGTCGCGCTGTTCAAGAATGTAACGCGAAGGACATGGAACCAGGTGCTGCGCAGATTGAAGAACTTCACTCTTTCACTCTCCTTGACCTCTCGCTATTGAATTTTGCTAACAGGATCTAGGTTCTCTTGCATGTCGGCATGCATGGAGCCATACCTACCTGCCGTCACGGAGACCTTCACAACAACCCGTTCGTGCTCCGCTACACCAAGGTACCGCATGTAATCATGGTTTGGGGGCTTCCGCAAGAGAATTCCGGCGTCTAGGCACTTCTATCTCTGTAGTACTCACGTATCTTTGATTCATTGGGACATCTAGTTTGTAGGGAGAGGGCCTGCGGAAGACGACGCCTTGAGTGTTTTGAGTTCGTCGCTGCTAAGCTCGCCGAAACGATCAAAGGCCTTGTAGAAGAAGTCGCCAGTGGAGCAGTTTAATGCATTCGTGTTAGTGTAACGGTGCTTAGCTGTATTGTACCTATTTTCTCTTGTTTTTCTAGCTTTCTATCTTTTTTCTTAAATCCTTTTACCGACTTTTTAACTATACTTACTAAGTAGCTATCTCTTTTTATATAAAAGAGCTTTTTTAAAGTACTTATTTTAGCTCTATCTTAGCATTGCTTTAAATTTAGGGCAACGATATTCGGCATCCACGTTCTGCAAAATACGCGGGCCCAATATTTGGGAACGGCCGAGGTAACGAGCTGTGGCTTGTACCCACCTCGCGCCACCCGGAGTTATCGGAGTGCCAAAGCCTTGCCCACCCACGACCACGCCCGGCACGGGCGCTGCGTGACTTTGCATGGCCGTCGCATATATTTCTGAGCGATCCTGGCGCAATCGCAGGTAGAAATGCAGTGTTGGCGGGCGTTGCAGGTGCCTACACAGTACTGTGTACAGAGGCTTGTGGGTGAGGTGCCGGATGTGTGCGGCAATTGAGTCCGAACATCTTTTGTAGAGTCGGAATAGCAAAGACCTTAAATATACAAACCTCTCATAATGTAGTTCTCTACGTAAACCTGACTTGATACTTTTAGTTTCTAAATATCGCCACGAACCGTCACCCGAACGTGGCATGGACTGCCTCGCAGAGCGAAGTCGCGCCGCTTCCCTGTCGTCGATCCTCAAGCTTTCATGCATGGGCTGTAGCGCATTCGGCCCACCAATCCGCCCTTTGCCCAGCCGCAGCCGTTCGCCAGCTGCACCTTTTCACACCGCAGCTCGGATTCGCATTCATCTCTCCCAATCTTGCCGGCACGACGCCGCCAACGGTCCGACGATCGAGGCGATTCGTCCAGATCTGTCGCTGAGCTTGAAATCGATTCGCTGTGACAAGCCAACGGCCGCGCTTCCAATGCCGCGCCTCGGGCACAAGAAGTCAAGGAATGGCTGTCGACAATGTAAAGTCAGGCATGTCAAAGTAAGTGCGCCATCGACCGCAAGTTATATAAGCGGAGATATCCGCCCCGTCAACGGCTCGCTACCGGGTTTTTCGCAGGTGCTGACGATGCTTTCCAGTGCGATGAGAATAAGCCGTGCTCGAATTGCGCCCGGCATGGAGTCATCTGCAGTCTCATCGATCCGAATGCAATCCCCACACCTCCGTCCGCGAGTAGCAGTGCTGCACCGAAGCGGACGACGAAGGCATTGGCTGAGAGGCCGAAAAAGGTGAATTTTGTGTCACAGGGTGTAGATAGCCCACTAAGAGATATGTCAGGAGTCCTCGGTGGAGCAACAACCTCTGCCGAGCGCATTTCCTATCGACTACGTCCTGAATCCATCACCAGCGCCTACAGCGCCGACTACAGAAGGCGATTCGCCTTCATCGGGATCCGATACCTTCCCATTTCTCAGCAAGTTTGTGCACAAACGCGAGCATGTCCAGCCTAACTACTGGGTGCGCGATCTAGAGCTCTTGTTAGTGTATGCTCAAGACCTTGCAATATTGGTTCTAACTTCTCTCCCAGGCACCACTGGATGACAGAAGCAATAGACACATTATCGAGACGCGAGGATGTTCGACACATGTGGCTACACGTGGGGCCCAAACAGGCCATCATTCACACCTTCCTCATGCACGAGATCCTCGCCTTCTCCGCCCTACACATGGCATATGTCCAACCCGACCAGAGAAAAGCCTACTACGCCCTCGGCATCCACCACCAGGACCTCTCCATTCGAGGTACACGTAGGGTACTTCACAACATTGCCGAGGACAATGCGCCCGCTGTCTTCGCTACCTCTATGCTCGTTACTCTCACCGTCTTCGCAGCCAGAGGATTAGACGCCATGGATCCAGGACCTAATACGCAATCCGCCATTGACGACCTCATCGACATCTTCGCGCTGATCCAAGGAATCGGCGGTGTGATTGCTTCGTCTCAAATGCTCGTCATAAACGGCCCTTTCGGTCCTCTGTTCAGAGACCCAGTCTACGAAATACCACCCCAACCTCTCTTCGCAGAGCTCTTGGAACACATACCTCCCCTCGTACACTTCATCGAGCACCAACCAGACATAGAAGACGACATGCGCCGGGAGCTCCTCGAGATGATTACCTTTCTCCGAAACACAACAGTCCGGTCTATGCGACCCTGTATGGACAACCGGGAGGTGCGATTCCTCTTTTGGTGGCCACTACACCTCAGCCCCAACTACTTCACCTGGCTACGACAACGTCATTCAGCAGCGCTGATCATCCTCGTGCACTACGCCACTGTGTTCTACGTCGCGGAGCCCCTGTACTGGTTTATGACCGGCTGGGCAGAGCGGGTATCAAGAAGCATTGTGGAAGCGATTGACCCGAGCTGGCAGGTTGCGATACAGTGGCCGCTGCAGTATATGGAGGCAGTGCGGGAGGCTCGACATCCTCCGCCGCCGCAGGAACCGGGAATAGAGGGCGCGGCTTTATGATCATGCGACGTTGATTGCATCGAGGACGGGGAACTATAAAGTACGGGTGCATGAGGCCGGCGTTTGAGTCGCATCTCGATCCTGTATAGGAGCTTTATCAAGCGCCGGATCGTCGCGGGTGCATGCATGAGAGCATGCCGGTTACGACGGGGATGAGGAATCGGTTGGGTGACGGCGAGGCTGAGCAGCAGCCGCCGTGGACGGCTGTTTGAAGCCATACATATGCAGTTATTGCGGCACAGTTGCAGAACGCCGTTACCGTGCGAGGTCGGCGTCGTTGCACCGCACAAAAGTCGTGTCGGCGCCTTCCGGTACGCCTCCCAAAGAAACCCAATTAACCCATATATCCGCAGTACTATACCATATACCAAGAACCATTGAACGAATAATGAGTTCCAGATACGAGACGAGACGAGTTACGCACTAATTCCTGGGATGGACTTGTAGATGTGCTCAGCTTCGCTTCGCCTTCTTTCTGCTACTATTCAATCGCTCCTTCCTCTTCCGGAAGAGCATTCCGACCTGGGCAATTGCTGACTGCACATGTGCCACCTCAGCACCCGACACTCACCAACGTCAACGGGGCAGCATCGTGTCCGAATTTCTGACCCGCCTCCGCTCGCAAGCCTCCCTCTTTCGAACTCGCATTCACGATCCCGGCCGGCCGATCAGCCTCGCCTCGCCTGCTGCATCTACTCTATCGATCCACACAGCTTACAAGGATCGCCAACTTCACCCGTGCTGCGCCGCACGTGTGCATGCAGAACATACCATCTATCTAACCTTCGCCTGCGCATATGTTTATTATCCAGCCGCCCGAGCAATCTGGGATGCCACGTCGTCGGGGCGCGCGGGGCGTAGATGAAGAGCCACGCCTCGAGTTGTGCGTGCTGCGTGCCTTAATGATCGGCGTCGCGGCGCTGCGCTGCGCAGCGGCTGCTTTGTGGTAGGGTGGGAAGGAGCTTGGGAGAGATATATTGGGTGATGGGGTGGGGATGCTAGGACACCGCATGTGCTGTGCTGTGCAGCGAGAGAGAGCTTGTGACGAGGAGAACCGATCGAACGAGAATTGGTAGGTAGGTGTTTGCATGCTATGCGGTAGTACCCCAGAAATCGTTGGGCAAGGCCTGTCGTGTCGATCTCTGAGGCGTTCTACTGGGCTGTGATGTGTGTACGATGTTTTGCAAGGCTGTGAGAGCAACTTCAACAGACCGAACGTCCAATCGTCCTTGTATTACTATATTACACATTTCGTAATGAGCGTGCGGGGTATCAAGATTCATCGAGTCGTCTACCTATGTGCCCTTCAACAAAACCACCAAAAAAGTGCAGCGTAGAAACAACGGAATTTTAAATGCCCACCGAAGTGCAACTTGGGGCCCCCAAATATGTCTGCCCAGGTGATAACAAGACCACGTGGGTGCGAAATCCTTCACAACCTTACTCAGACAACGGCCGCTGAGGCCCATCATCCCGCCCCATCGCCCAAGCTTCTAGTTCTTCGGGCGTTGGCTGCGAGACAGCAGTGCTGTCGCTCTGGACGGTGGTGTCGCTCAGGCCTCGGGCGTGGGAGGGGCGGCGCTCGAGTGCGCCTGCTTCCGGCTCAGCTTCCCCTCCTGCTTTCGCCTCACTTCCTTCTGTCTTTGCTTCCTCTGACGGTTGCGGCTGCTGGCTTCGTTCGGGCGATGCATCGGTTCTGGTTACCACTTCGTCGATGTTCGTGTGCAGCGAGCTGTCGCTGGGTCCTCGGCTATGAACGGGGCTCATCTTGGGGCTAGCGACGGGCTCGAAGTGCTGACCGCCGACTTGGAACTTGCCGTCGTCACCGGGTAGTTCAGCAATGGGTGCAGGTGTGCCTGGAGTATTGTTGCCAGACGACTCCCGTGTAGCGCCACGCCGCCGGACCCTGTTGCCGGCGATGAAGTAGTCGCTGCCGTTCATGCTGTTTGGTGTACCGGACCCTGGTGGCGGACTGTAGAGCTCTGCGGGTGGACTATCCATTTCGCTGATTGGCGGGAACGGAATGCCGTCTTTCTGGTCGCGGTCGCCGTAGTAGCCGCCGACGGGCGGCTTTGGTGAGCCGGGCGGTTCCGAATCCAGCTCTGAGACACGGCGATGCTTGACTTCATTGCCGGCGACCACTGTGTCGATTTCCGAAGTAGTGGCATCTTTCTCGTACGCCTTCTTCTGCTGGCGTTGTTTCTTCCACCAGAAGAAAGCGGCTAGGCAAGCAAGGAGTAGCGCGACTACGATACCCACGACGATTCCGGCTACAGCTCCTGGGGAGAGGCCACCATCCGAGGGCTTTGGCGTTTGAGAAGCCGTTGGGAACGAGGTGTTGTAAATGGGAATGAGGTTTTGGTCTGGCATGGGTTCGGAATAGTAGGCAGGCGCGACCGTGAAGTTGGCCCGTTCGTAGTCGACGACAATGTAGGCTTCTTGCAGGAAGGTACGTCCCAGGACAAAATCTCCTTTGGTGGACCTCTTGATAGGGAAGTAGTTGGTTGCGTTGTCAACAATAGGGTAATCAACTTGGAGATTAAACGCATCGTATGGCAGGATGATGGTTGTGAAGGTGTTGCTGTCGTCAGGGCCGCTTCCGATCTTGAAAGAGACTGTGGCATTCTGTTGCGCGTTGAACTGGTGAGCCGACGCATTCACGGTATACAGATCGATGCTGCTGTTATAGGTAAGCTGGAAGCGCTCGGCAAACTTGTCGCACACATCTCCTGGCAGCCACAGATACGGCAGGGTGGAGTCGATCGTGGCAAAGAATCCTTTTGACTCGGAGGTGAAAGAGAAGGTATTTGCCTCGATATCTGGGTCCGGTTTGTATAGGATTGACTGTACACCAACAACGAGGCTGTTATTCCTTTCATTCGGCATATGAATGCTGACCCCGCGGTCCAGCTCCACCCGGGATTGATCGTAGCCACCGAGGATGAGGTCTCCAACGGTTCCTTTACCATTGTTTCCTGGTATGTGTTAGCTCCGGGTGTGATATTTCAGATCGAGACTGAGAAAAAAGGTTGTGGGCCCTCCGATGGATCGACGGCAGGGTTGAAATGTATCAACTGGTGGGACGGGAGGGCAAACGATGCATAAGGACGGTTACTCACTGTAGTAAGCCCCTGCGGTGTAACCATACGAGGCGCTGGGGATTATGTTGGCGCTCTTGAAGGTGGCCAGGAAAGGGTTTTTGGCTCCGCTTCCGGGATTGACGGGTCCGACTGCCAGTCCAAAGGAGCCCAAGAAGAATTCCTTGAAAGTGTACTCGACAACAAACTGGTCAGTCAATATAAGGCTTTCCGGGGAACTTTCTCCTAATCCAACATTTTCTGAGCCCCAGGTGCCGTTTAACTCATCCCACGACCACCAATGGGGAGTTGGTATTGAGTAGATACCGGCATCCTTCCAAGCTTGTGAAGAGCTGTCCCTGAACCCAAGCGTTTGGTCTCCATTGAAGGGCATGACGCCGCGCTTCTCCGCGCAATCCTGGTTGCACCATTCCGCCTGCTGGGGGACCAGAGTTATTGGCGAGGAAGTCGATATGAGGACCTTGAAATTCTGCCCATAGCGGCCGCTGGCATCATCGCCGATGTTGATGAAGAAGGTCGACCATTTCCCGTCATTGCCGTCGAAGTCGCCGCTGGCAGTTAGAGCAATCGGCAGAGGAATTGTGTTGTTCGCGGAGTCGGCGCGCTTTCTGAAAAGCATGGTGGTGGAAGGGGCATGACGAGTGAAGGAGGAACGAGACAGCAACGGCAGACGATAACAGTAGGCGACTCAGTCGGAGGCACGGGTTGGTAAGACGAAGCTAAGGCCGCGGTGACAAGAACTGAACAGCCTCGCGCGGGTGTATAAAGGTCAGCTTAAGCCGAAGGCAGAGACAGAGAAGCCACGGCATGCAGTGGTGCGTCAGCTTCTGAGAGCCATCGTGTCATGCCATGAACACGAAGTTCCGATGGATGCGGGAAAAGAGAGGAGCTCAAGACCAATTGCTTTCTTTTGATCGTCCGCCGTGCCACAGCGGGGCATCGTATATTGATAGGGCAGCCGGAGGGCATCACATGCAGAGGCGCCGGCAGTTTACTGGACAGCATGTTGGTCGGCCGGCGAAGCGGTGCAGCCTTTGTGGCCGGCAGGGAGGACCCTATTGGGGGATAAAATGGGAGCGCAGGGCTCAAGGCTGGTATCTGGTCGCTGGATGTGAGATGGCGCCTGATGGGTGAGGTTGCATGAGGGACGACGCATCGCGAGGCGGCTAGAGAATCCTACAGAACGAGCGCAGTCCAAGGGTGTTGATTCACCGCCGTGGCCGCCGTCCCAACCGGATCCGGATGTCGCGCCGGCCTTACTCAGCGGGCCGTGCGCCAATCAGCGCCACCGCCTGCCCCGCTTTCCGGTGTACCTCGCACGTGCATGGCCAACCACCATCTTATTCTGCGCGTTATTACATACACAAGTAGTGGTCCTCCCTCCTGGGCCCCTCCATCTACCTGTACGACCGCACTCTCGAGCGGCAGCGCCTGCCCGCAGAGATCGAACGATGCCATCGGTCGCGAGGAGCGCGCTGGTCCGCAGCCCGCCCCGGCCCACGCAACCGCCGTCCCACCTCTTCGGCCCCCAGAATACGACGCCTACTGTGCCGCCCTCTATCAGGTTCCGCCCAGGCGCCCTCGACGTGCATCGACCCGGCGATGACGGGCTGCAGCTGTCTAGTCCGCACAGGGCGCGGGGCTAGCCAGATCCGGTCCATATATTCATCCATGTAAGCACTCAACATGGGTGCAGTGGAGAGAGCCTTCTGGCCCTCCACTCTCGTACGCACACCATCAAGTTCTCCCCATGTCCGGCCGTGCCTGCCCCGGAGGCCAGCATGAACCGAGTGCTACGCCGTATCCCGCACGCATTCCGAGCTGCTTGGCCGCAGTCTGTTCGCCTCTCACGTTATCCTGTGTGGCGCTGTTTACCATTTCCTTTTGCCGGCCATGCATTCGCTCCAATCAGGACTAGTGCGGCTGTTAACTCACTCATCGACTCGTCGCGCCGCCCGCCGAGCGGAACGGCCGCCGGAGCGTTGCCGGATAGCTCTTTCTGCATGTCTCCGCCCGGACCATGGTCATGTTGACCTTGCCCTGGCAGGCAGGATTATTGGGAAGAGCTTGACTGGAGCCCAGCCCCGCCAGCTCAACGACATGCTACCTATCTGCAGGCTGCTCTCTAGCAGCCGGCCTTCTTATAGTCATGCCTGTTGCCCGGGGCCTCTCTTGCCTTCCTCTTGCTTAGGCTTGAGTCCCAGCCCATCGTTTTGCTCGAGGTGAGTGAGCTTCCTATTGCTTTTATCTAGCTTCCCCGTTGTTATCGTCTGATCGTCATTCGTCCCACCTGCTCGATTCCCGTCCATTGTGCGACTTTGTCCTTGGGTTTGTACCCTTGTCCGACGTCGAAGCAGTTATATGTCGCCCTCCTGCCGAGCTTTCCCTCCCCAACATGTCGCTCATCACGTGCATTGCTGATAGTCCTCAGCTCCAAGCCGCGTTGCACTCGTTCGGCCGGCGCAGCGTTCCTTCGCTTCCACGATGCGTTGCCATTGGGCGTTATCGGCCATTGTTGGTCTTGTTGCTGCTACGAATGATACTCTTGTCCGGACCCCGCAAACGAGCTCGAAGCCACCTGGTTACTCAGTATCATCCCCACCGGCATATTCAACGCCTGGCACATGCAAAGCTCAGACGGTGACGCAAACTTCCACTTGGAAAACGACTGAGACCTGTTGGGAGACGAAATGGAGTACTCAAACCTCCTCGACGACCCTCTGGGACACCATAACCTATGAGAAAAATTATACAGTCACGACGGTACGTTGTATGTCCATCGTAGCATGCGCGAGCTGACTCAAGCAGACGGAACTCACGACCACCACGTGTTTTGAAACGGAGACGGAGACGACGGTGCTTTTCTCCTTTCTTCTTTATTCAGCCAGAAGCTCATAATTAACAGACAACAACATGCACTACGACCGAGCATGATACGACCGTAAGTTCTGCATTTCCCAATATTGCCCGCTTCCATATACTAACGAAACCAGACCCTGACCGTCACGGATATCTCAGTACGTCTCGTCTATCCCTTTCTGAGAATTGCTCCATCTGGGCCCGGCTTGCCGCGTTCATGTCTTCTACCCTCTGAGTAGTGGAATTTCGTTCTTGAGGCCTGTGGCCGCCTCGAGCAGCTTGCTACACTTCCAATATATCCGACTACACCCTTCGGCCTCTCCGCGGCTCTTGAAATGTTTCGGCTGTCAATCACGTGTTTCTTCTGGCATCGCTCCACTGTATTATCCCACTTGAGGCGTGCGCTACTCCACGCCCCCCTAGCTGCCCCTTTTCCACACTCATCATCTTCCATATTTACCCCTGTCGCAATTCTCAAGTTGGAATTTGACCGCCTAACGTTTCCACCAGTACGTACCAACGACAGAAATCAGCGAGAAGACCGTCCCGACCACAATCGAAAAGACTGTCACGACAGAGGAGACCGAGATCAGCATTTCGACTTTCCGAACTACGGACGTCATAATCAGCACGTATTCGACGGTGTTTACCTCGTACATAACCGAAATCGTCCCGATTACAATTCTTTGTAAGTATATGCTGTTCTCCGCGCACCGAATGAAGCTGATCTCAAGTAGTGCCCGGAACTACTATTACCTCTTGGTCAACTACTATAATTTCGGTCCCATATACCATCTGGGCGACGACGACGCGGAGTATACCTTATACAATCACGGAAGTCCACACCACTGAAACGCCGGGGCCTACCAGCATCGTAGTCTCGATCTCTACTCTGGTTTCCTTCCTAACGCAAACTATCACCTCTGTGACTACAGAGTCCGGGACTCCGATAACGAGCCTAATTACTACTACGGTACGTGCACTCGAGGAACTCAAGGTCTTCTGCCGAGGAACTGCTGTCTGAAGGACCGCTCGAGTGGCTTTCCGCAGCCGCACTTGCTCCGGCCCCAACTTCCTCTTGAGAGATGTCGCTGACTCGTCTTTAGGTCCCAACGACTATCAGCGTTCCCCTCACGATCGAGACTCCTGGGCCCACGAGCATTTTCACCAGCCCGGTGACCGTACCCGGCCCGACACAGACCCAATTTATCACACAAACCGTTATTTCCACCAGCGTCAGCACGATCCTCTCGATAATAACTCTACCTCCAGAGATTCAGACGACTACGATAACAGCGCCAGGGACGACTGAGACTCTCACAATTTCTCTTCCAGGGGAAGTCGTAACCACAACAATCAATGCCCCCGGACAGACGATAAGTTTTACTACTACACTTCCAGGAGAGACCGTCATTTCTACGGTAACTTCTCCAGGGACGACTCAAACCGTCACTATTCAGCTTCCGGCAAGCACAATTGTTTCTACGATTCTATCTACAGTAACTTTTATAGCCACTCAGCTTGTTCCTACTACGATTGTCGAGACTCCATCTCCCAGCCAAACGCCTCCAGCTTCCGTCTCATGCACGAGCGACTGCCAGATAGATGTAACGGCTACGCGGCTGGAATATCCTGGGCGAGTAATTGTTAGCACCACATTCTTGCCCGTGGTTACCCTAGACATCTATACCGATGCCGCTGGAAACTCTGTCAGCCAATCGCTTTATACTAATCCTCTCCCTCCGCCAAGCCAGACCATCACCTGGGACTATGAGGGCGTGGCTCTTACATGGCCTACCGCCTATGCCGCGTACCGAACTTTCAGCTATGTCTCGGTTGAGCCAATTGCAACAGTTTGCGTCAGCTCAACACTCACCCTTGATCTACCAGAGCCTACGGCCTATGCCTCTTTGATCTTAGATGTGGCGGCAATTCCAAACCCATCGCTTGTACCTCCAGTAATTGTCGACTACCTCAACGCCCAGCCCACCATCGTGGAACAGCTCGGCCAAACGATTGGAGCCGGTGCTTGCGATCCAATCGTTGGCCCCACCGCTACGGACGATACCGCGACTCTCGGAAGCACAACCTACGTAGAGACACAGTCAGCGGCCGGTTCCACCACCACGAACCATATTCCGGCGGCAGAAAGCCAAGTACAAACAGATACCGAATCGGAGGCGCCACCCTCTAGCACACCAGCTCCCTCGAGCACTCCTTCGCCCACCCCGACGCCGACACCCAGCCCTACTCCTTCGCCTTCGCCTTCGCCTTCGCCGCAGCCAAGTAGCTCGGGTAACACCCCCGTTCCTTCTCTAAGCAGTGCGACACCAGAACCCAGCAGCGAGACTCCACGGGCTTCGAGCGAGACTCCTGCTTCTTCCAGTACTCCTCCCCCTCCCTCTACTAGTGCGCCTCCTTCAAGTAGTGCTGCTGACTTCACTTCTGAAGTTTCCTCACCATCATCCCCCGCTCCAGAGTCATCGACGCCTGAAGAGAGCAACACGCCGGCGCCTTCGAGCACATCGCCGCCTCCCCCGCAGAGCTCGATCACTACGACTGCGGATGCGACGAGCGCAGCGCCACCGGCTACTTCAAGCGGACCAGAGTCGTTCCCGGGTGCTGCCGTGCATGCCAAGGGCGAGGTTAAGTTTGCTGGGTGGGAAGCTTGGTTGGTAGGTGCGGCAGGTCTTGGGCTGGGATGGATATAATCGAACATATGTGCTTCTTTTTAATGTTTGGTATGATAATACATGAGCGGAAAATGTATGTGTAATATGCAGGATCTAATCATGGACTCTAAGCTTTGGATGTAATGATAATGCGACGGTCTTCATTCAGCCTTTTCGTTCCTTGCATGTGTGGTCTTGAGATCAATCGGATATGTCGATAGTGCGCAGTCAGCGTTGCTGATGCTGCCGCTTTGCATGGATTGACTATGCATGGATGATACCTGCGTGGTTGACGGAAGATGGACGATCGAACACGTCCACGTGGGATGCGCATGGCCGCTTCCCTTTCCGTACAGTACATATCGAAATCTGGTCCGGCCCCACTTAGCGCCCGCCCGTCCACCAAAACTCTATCTCACCGTTTCCTAATCTGACCTCCATCCTTCTTCACGCCTCTCCAATACCTTCCCGCCATGTCACAGCGTCTCACGCCCGCTCCTTGTTTTCTTATTTCGCGTCGTCCTCCGCCCCAGATATGTACGCGCCGTGGCTCTGGGGTCGTGACGTGCGTCTAAGCATCCGTGCAGCTCAGCTATCGACGCCACAAAGCCACAAAGCGGGGAGAGGATCGCGACTAACATTTGTGCAGACGACTTTTGACAAGCGAGTGGCTGTTCCGTGCCGCAGGACGGGCCGCGCGTAGTGTGGACGGAAACGGAGAGAAGAGGCGAGCACGGCACGATCGGCGAGGGACCGGTGCGCGTGCTTTGGAGGGAGGGGGCTTAGACGTCAAAAGGAGCTGGATTGCAGAAGCGTGCTCTTGCGGTAGAGAATTCTCTGGATCTAAGGGCTCGCTGTATAAGTAAGATAGATTAGCTCGTCTATTGTACGCACCCGCGAAGGCCTCTAGAGTAGCTGTTGCATACGTCGTTCTATCTAGAGAATTCCGCACCGTGAGAGGCGTAGATGGTGCGATCGACTGTTTGCAGCGATCTTTCTGCATCAGGCATATGAATCTTCCTATCAGCGAACGCGCTGTAGTGCCCCGCTCCTCGGGGCGTTGCTGCGACATCTTCGAGCCTTTATCAACGACTTCTTGTGCAGGAGGGCTGTCTGGAGGCTTTTCATCATCGAATAGACCATGGTGTCTGCCTTTTCTGCTTCAGAATGGTGCCACTCAGAGATGTAAGTGCCACAACACACATGCAAGAGGAAGAACTTCCGCTGATACGGAAATAGGGACCCGAGCAGACCGACGTGAGGCATATGCAGTAGAATTGGCGATCCAGATTGGCCTGGTTCGACATGAGAGCAGCTACTAGGCTGGGTCATACGCCTTTATTCAGGGCGTCCTTCATACAGGCCCTATTCGTAAGCGGATTGTTCTTCATCGCATCACTCTATGGCTAAACTAATTCACTGCAGCACCGCCATGGTTTATTCTCAGAAGATACGAAGGGCGCCAACCAACCCAGCAACCCCAAATAGGCGAAATTCGACCGGTCAGACTGACATCAAACTCATACATCGAGGCTTCTATCTTGATAATCCCACGCCCCTATGCTACCCGCATCGCGCGCGCAGCTGAACGCCCTTACATTTCCAATCCGTTGCTACCTAGACCTCTTCCCAGTTTGGTTAGAAGCACCTTTTGAACGGAAGCTCTTGCTGCAGCCGGCATTCTTCCCCAGTCATCTCGGATATCTAGAGGGGACAGCATACATCTTTCTGCTCCTCTGACAGTGCGGAACGAAGTTTACGATTTGGAGGGTTGCAGAAGGATCGAGGGATTCTGTGTACTGGTGCTTGATGGTGCTGAATTACCAATCTACGTCTCTGAAGCGGACCCCGGTCTTGCACTACAGTCAATATGCGGTCTACAGGAGAATTGGGTACCTTTAGCTTTTCTTTGATGATGCCTCTTCCTTGTTGGACGAAAGATGCAAAGCATATGAGAAATTTGCTGCAAGCAGCAAGGACATAATCGGACGAGCGATGTGGGATGTTGAGAATTGCGGGATACTATCCGAGGAATTCGTTCTCATTTAGCTCGATCTGAAGTCTAGCATATATCCTTCTGTTTTCCACCCTGCCCCAACGCGTCCATAGTGGGACTATTCAACAATAATTTCGGGGCTTCACTCCCTATTCCCAGACTCTCCAGCCGTCATAACAGTCATAGTATGCACATACCTCAACTTCCCATTCGGGCCCAATCTTATCTCATGGCTATCCGGCACCCCGTTCCTCATAGCCCCAAAATCACACAAAACATTCGCACTCCCCATCTGCTCGTCCACCACATACCGGCGATTCGTCACGGGCGGCTGGCTCCCACCGGGTATTCCAACATTGCAACTGTCGTCAGGCTTTCCGCTCCCGGTTTGTGCGGACCCTTCCATGCGCCGGCACGGAGTACCCCACGGCACGGGCGCGTCAGGGTTCCCCCACAGATCGAGATACGCGTCGATCGCGGCTTTGAGCGCAGCGCGCGAGGTGCGGTTCCCAGCGGGGATCGCATCCCATTTCTCGCCAGTCACGATCTCGAGCGACTTCGTCGCATTGAACAACCAGTCCCCTTCACTCGTTACTATAGAGTCGATGAGTGTAGGCGTGCCGTTCGAATCCGTATGGATCTGCGTCCCGATAACATGGCCTGGGTGCGGGCTTGTGGAAATGACTTCGATGTAGGCGCCGCAGCCGACGGCGTCGGCGGTGATTTTGCTGTGCGTGACGTTGAGCGGTTCGGATAGGATGCCGGAAGAGAGGTGCATGGTCTTGTTGTTTTGGACATATTTGGTGTTGTCGAAAGCGGAGGAGATTTCGCCGCTGGATAGCGAGACGAGGTAGATTTGTGCGGCGGCGTTGAGGGACGCGCGGGTGCATTCGGAATGGGCGCCACTTGCGAGGGTGAGGAAGAGGACCCCGAACGTTAGCGAAGCGGTATGCATCTTGCTTGGAAACTCGACGCGGGTCTAACTCAGAGTGTGCAGTTCTACGAAGTACAGATCCGTACGCTTCTTTTTCGTACGGGTGATCGATTATACATATAAACCTCGTCGCGTTGGCCATCGATCACCACGAACCAGGTCTGCCCTGAAGGTGCTATCCATTTCCCTGCTCAAAGCAAGGCCGCGGTATTTACCCTAACAATTCTATCGCATTCTTTTGAGGATGTCAGATTAAGGTTAATGATCGAGGTGGGGGAAAAGGCGGGTGTTTCTAGATTCCCAATCTATATCCCTGCTCTCCTATCCCGGCAAATGAGCACTCCGCTGACATCATTCCCGACGCTCTCCTCTAACAGTACTTGGAGTAATGGGCCTCGACTGATTTCAAAGACTGATTTAGTTGTGGGCAATGGTTAGTGTTTCTACCCCCGGTTGAGCGCAAGCGTATGGCGCTGGATGCAGTAGCGAAGCGACGGGGTTGTCATTGTTCAACCATGATGTCGGGAACCCACGGTGGATCTCCATACCTCATGAGGTACGTTTAGGTATTAGAAGCCCGGTGAATGTATTGAAGGCCAGAATGTAGTCGCTTGGTTCGCTTAATGCACTACCATTCCTACCATGCCTTCGGGCACGAGAGCTACTGGGAACGGGAAGAACTCTCAGAATACATTTGCCATGACACACAAACCCCGGGTTATTTCAAGTGGGCCCTTGGGCAGCCAATATTGCCGCAGCCTCAGACTTTCCCGACCCAAATCTCGTCATTAGGGGTCAATGATTGACGAGTGAATGTGCCCGTCACGTGAGCATTTTCCCTCTTCCACTCCAACCCCTCCCCCCAACATCATGGACGGTGAAAGATCTGTTCAATTTACAAACTGGGCTTCTTTCGTTATCGTGAACCAGTTATTAACGCACAGCTTCTCCGCAACGCCTAAGGCTCATTTCACCACCGCACGATGCGTCCTCGGCTATCCTTCCAGCGACGTCAGAGCACAAGCCCACTCCCACATCCATTACCTAAGCCGACGCATAGCTACTCGCGCCAGTCGTGCTCGCCCATACTTAAACCCTCGCCGCCAAGCTTCCCAGCTCCCCTCAACTTTTTCTCTCCACACAACCCGCACCCGTGCAAGCGAGCAGCTCAACTCTTCCGCACTGGCGCACTATTCCTTCAACGTCAGTCCAACTACCTCAGCAATTCGATCGACCCAGCCCATCATGGCTGATACCCCATCAATATCGCTTTCACCGACATTGTCGGCAACGTCCACGGTGGATTCCTGTTCAACGGCGCTTTCGAGCCTGGGCTCGCCGGCCATGGGACCGAAGGACTGTTCTTCGGCTGTCGATCTATGCGATCTCGATTCAGCGAAGCCGAAGGACGAGACGAATATTATCCCGGTCACCATTCAGCAACTGAAGATCGCCGGCGGCATCTGGTTCTACCTTACGCACGTCGACAATGCGACACTTGCTAAGCTGCTGGCGCTGCTCGTATTTGGATTTGCTGCTTTCCTCTCGGTCTGCTCCTACGCCGGCGTCCAGCACCCGGTCTTCCCCGATTACGAGATCCAGTTCCTTCCAGATGGGGAGATCGACACCAAGGAGAAAGAATCGAAGGCTTCCAACCGAGACAACGCCGACGCTGCTGCCCAGACAGAGTTTGCCACTTCTTCACAGCCCACACAGCGCCTCAGCATCCAGACCCCGCAGCACACCGCCGTCGAGATCAAGTCGCCGCCCACGGCAAAGATCCAGCGCCAGCAAGAAGAAGCTCGGCGCCGGGAGAAAGCTCGTCGAGATGCAGTTATCAAAGAAGCCATGCGTGAATTGCTATTACAGCACAGCGGTCTCGCACAACCCGAAGACTGCATCGTACTGATCAAGGCCGTCCGACCGACCGCGGACGACGTCGTTCTCGCATGGATGAAGTCCTTCACCAACTACGAGTGTGAGGGCCCTGTCATCCGCATCGACCGCAGCGACGAGCATCCGTTCCCCCGGCCATATCGAGCGTACGATATCGAGCGTGCAAAGGACGCCGCTATCGAGTTCCCCACCTCCATCCCGGGCCCCGCCGAAGGTAGCCCCGCGACACACCCCAATTACAGCAACGATGCGTACATCAAAGGCCTTGAGCAGGAGCATGACTACGAATTCTGCTGCACCAACAACCCGCTCCTGCTCGTGTGCACCTCGCACCACGGCGTCTGGCTCTTCTATGACGGTGAGAACTACAGGCTTGTGAGCTGGCTGGCGGACAAGAACATTTGGTACTCGCCGGACTACCAGTTCGGCATCGGCCTGGAAGACGACGGAACGTTTACCGTCAAACAAGGCGATCCGGCGACGGATGCGCATATGTCGGCGCCTCCTATCTGGGTGCCGAAGGAGAAAAAGGGCGAGAAGAAGGAGATGGGGCCGTGGTGGAAGGAGACGGCGAGAGAGTGCGAGGAGACGATGCAGAAGGATCCGGTGTGTACGAAGGAGCGGAATAAGCGCAAGGCGGACAAGGAGCGCGCGAAAGAGGAGAAGAAGCGAGCCGAAGAAGAGAGGGAGCGTGAACAGGAGCAGCAGCAGCAGTGGGCTTACCAACAGTGGTTTTACGCACAGTGGGCCCGCCAGCACGCCACTGGATACCAGTACCCTCCTCGACAATCGGCCTGGGCAGATGCGGACGCCTACGCGTACCAGAAGTCCGAGGAGACCAGGCGGCAATACTGGAGCCAGCCGGGCCATGCTGCGCAGCAAGAGCGCGCCCGCCGGCAAGCTGCCGCTCAGCAGAAGGCGGAGAGAGAAGCCCGTTCCCAGCAACAGCAGAAGCGTACTGCGCAGCAAGAGAAGTGTCGACGCGACGAGCAGATGCACAACTTCGCAAGCGGCAACTTCCAGAAGAAAAAGCCGGCTTTCGGGAAGACGATGTGGGATTAGAGAAGTCTGTGTGGGAGTGGTATCCACGGAGTGCAGTCTGCACGCTCTTAACTGCCTGGCGGATGCACAGATTGTGGGCGTCGTTGGCTTTCCACTGTCGACTTCGGAGTATAAGGTTTCCATGGTCTCTGCAAGCGGTAGATGTTACGTGGAGATACCCAGGGATTTTCCGAGTTCAGAGTGGTCTTGAGCATGGCATGGTCTGGCGTTTGATCAGCGTCATATATCCTCATTATCAGGGAGTACATATTGAGATCTTACATTTTGGGGGGTCAATAGGGACTGCGAGTATGAGCGCCCAATGCTCCATTGCTGTCAAATTGAAATCAATAGTTAAAAAAACCCTTTAGAACTCTCAAGACGCTGCACGCATGAAGAATAAGCGCCAATAGATTGTGATGAGACAGAAAGAAGAGAAAGTCTTGAGCAATACTCGCTGCTCCCACTTCGCGGCTTTCATCCCGTCTGCTTAGCCCGTTCCCTTACCACTTCCTTGCTTCTCCTGAAGTTTCCGCCTCTGCTTTTCCCTCTCCTCCACCCCAATATTAATATTGAAATGTTTGCTCCGGATCTGCTCAAACAACTTCCCTGCCGTAACACCGCTGACAGGCTCCGCCCACTTCCCGGTAATCTCCGTCTCCAGCTCATCTGAGTCCACAACCACCGGCTCATGCGCCCGCAGCACAAAAACAATGCTATGCCGATATCTTGGGGGCTCCGCCACTATACCTAGTTTGGAGCTCTCGGCTGCAGGGATAGACAGAGGCTTGCCGTACGAAACTACACGATGGCCGCCCGCTGGGTAGCGAAAGTTGGAATACCTTTCGAGCTGCCGGCCAGCGAGCATAGTCGCGCTGGGAGTCTTACAATGTCTTTCCACGTCGAAGAATTGCCGCCCATCCCAGACTTCTAGCCCTGGTACATCACCAACGACACAACTCAGCAAGCCCAGATCTGCATGCGGCTCCGCGACCACTTTCTCCTCCCAGCTTTCATACCGGAAGAGTCTGAGCATCGTCGCCGTCTTCTCCTCCTCACTCTCTCCCAACTTTCCACACGGTCCCACAAATTTTCTCAACCCCGCGTCTTCGCCGTCCGGTAGCCCGAGCGTGGTGCAAACACGCCCTAGTGTGCTGGAGAGATGCGCGCCCATGAGATCCCAGTACCTCTTCGCAGGCGCCTTAAGCACATCAGGCGTATAACTCAAAGTCCTCAGAGTGATGAATTCTTTCTCGCCCGGGATCTTACTCCATCCCTCCTCCGAACCCAGCCGATGTTTCCACCGCTCCTTCTCTTCATCTGGAAGGTCGAAGAATTCTTGCGCTGCGCGGAACAGGTCCTTATATGCTCTCTGCAGGGGATGTGGGCCGGGAGCGGCTTCCTCAGCCGTGAAACCCGGCTGCGGGAACGATATAGTTGTCCAGCCAAGTTGGGAGAGCGTGTGTTGATGCTCTGGGAGGACTAGGGGTAAGGGCGAGGATTTGAGCGGGGGTCTGGTATCCGATTGTAGGCATCCTTCTTGTTTGCCGGATCTTCTTTTTGAGCGGAGTTTGGAGATGAAATTGGAGATGGAGAAGTGGTCTGATAATTTAGGAGGGACCGTGACCGCCATTTTGTTCCCTTTTGTTCGCAAAGAGCCTTCCCTGAGGTATAAAGTTACAGAGGCTCCAGAAATGTGGGAGAAACGATGCGCCGGAGCGATGTGATGATGTGGATGTTAAGAATGCAGACTTGGGGTTGAAGTCGCGGCGTTGAATGACGTCACGTGCACTAAGCCACACTGCACAGCCCCCATTCGATCACTTCGCATGATCTTTCCTAACAGTGGTCCTGTTCGAGCCAAGGCAGAATTCGGTTCGCATTGCCTATAGAGACTACACCCTCGTCCGATTCTTATCCCACATATCCCTTTCCCTCTCCCTGAACCATTGCGGCACAATAGCCTTCACCCTGATCACTTCCCCATCCGCGCCCTTCTGTATCCCAAATTCGACGCCAGGCTTCCAGCTACCACCTTCAGCGCTGATCCGCATGCTAGTCATCATCTCCAGCCTACATAGCGCAAGCCCCACGTTCCCAATACCAGTTATGAACTTGCCTGCGGCTCTCCCCTTCCTTATGCTGCCTTCTTCATCTAGCTGCTTGATGTCTGCGCCGCTTTCTGGAAGGTCGTCGCCCCAATTAGGATCGAAGTTAGGAAGTGTGTTGGGATCTCTGTGGTCATAGTCGGGTGGAGGAGTGGTATGATAGAGCTGGACCGGGAGTATGCGTTTCCGCACCACCCCGGTATGCTTGGTTCGAATAGTGAGCTCCTGACCGACGTAGCATCCTTTCCTGAAATCGATACCTTGGCTTAGATCGATGTTGCATTCCATTGGTAATGCGCTCTCTCTTTGTATTTCTTGCGGGCCTTCGGGTATGCCGAAGAGGTACCGGCGCAGCCGATACTGCAAAGCATCCACGACTGGGACGGGAGGGTTTTCGGGAGCTTCATTTCCCTTGAAAAGACATCGCACGCCGAAGTTTCGTCCACGGGGATCGACAAGCGATGCGACGAGCCGTTCGCTTTGCAATTGCTCTGGTGATACACCCCAGCCTGCCCATACGCCCATCTCACTTTCCCCCACAACGGCGATATTGACCTTACTCCTCAGCTTATGCCGCCGCAAATGTTTAACCAGTGCTTCTACCTCCTCAGCATCAACCTCGATATAGCATGCCCAGTTTCCTTCCTTCTCCATCAGCTCCAGATCCACCCATATAAACGCATCCCACAGGACTCTTCCTCGTGCATCCAGGAACGCAGAGTAGAAGGGAGCACGCCGATGTGGATCGACATTATTCGTGACCAGTCCTTGAAGGAACTTCGCAGTGTCGGGGCCGGACAGAGATATGAGGCGGCAGGACGGTAGCGGCGCGATGCCTGAGCTTGCTGATCTAGGGAGCAGTCGCGTGCTGGAATTCTGCCGGCGGAGAGCCAAAGCTTCGAAAGGACGTGATCGTATTATAGGAATAGCCGTAGAGCTGGCTTTACGATGAAATTGTGTTGGACGCTGCAGCGAAGATAACCGCTGTGATGACGCAGTAGTCAGGAATCGCGGGGCTGTAGGCTGCAAGGCCCGTAAAGAACGGCTCAAGCATGAGTCGCAGATGAATGGCGCAGCTCGAGACCAAGAAGCCGGTAAGATAGCAGCCATTGCGGGTGGTGCGATGTGAAGCACGAACGAGGCGAGGGAGCTCTGACGAAAAGTTGCGCGCTCGGTGTTTTCGGCGTTAACCGTCTTGGCGGTTCATGTTGCGTAGATTCGCGAAGTGGGTGGCTCAACATCCGTATGCTGTTAATTTTTGAAAAGTATGTAGAAACTATCTGAGAGCTGCGGAGTCATCTAGTGTAGCATGGAAGAGCATATCCTCCTTTTCTTCACCCACATATGCATAACAACCGCACCTAACTTCCCACATCATAGAGGTAGACCAGCAATCATGCGGATTGGCTAATGATGCTGGCCTATTTGAACTCGCCCTCCTTGATCAGGATCTCCGCCATCTTCTTTGCCATGTCCGCTGTGTTCAAGGTCTCCCTCTGCAAAGGGCCCTTGTCATGGTCCTTGAGCCGATCGTTCGCGGTTGCATTAGAGCCCCAGGAGTAGATCTTCATGCCCTTTGCTGAAGCGGAAACATCCTTGTCGGAAACGTCGGCAGTAGCGTTCTTCTCGGCGTCTCCATTCCTGATCTTCTCGAATGCGGCTCGCACTAGGGCGGGAATAGCACTCACGTCGGCGAAGGTGGTACTAATGTCGGCACCCTTGTGGGCGGTGGCACCCTTCTCCTTGGCGACTTGGTTGTCGAGATGCATTCTCATAGTCGAGACGTAGATGGCGTTGTTACGAACGTTAATACCTGATAGCATATTAGTTTTGCAGCATGGGAATAGGGTACGAGACCTACCTGAGCTGGTCGTGGTGCAAGCCATCATCTTCTCGCTGAGAGTCTGGCTGCCCAAATCAAATGGCTTGCCATTCTCGTACTCAAAGGCCGCATTCTTCGCCTGATCAATCCGCTCGTACATGAAGAGGCACCCGTTCCAGTTGGCTTTCATCCAGCGTCGGTGTGCCATTGACAGAGGAACTCCAAGCTGCATCGCAAGCAGTCCTAGCAGGAAGATGTAGTAGCGAGGGGAATCGAGCATCAGGCCTTTCGTCTTTTCCTCTTTGATATCGATGATCTTGTAGTCCTTGAGCATGCCATGGTACTTCTTGAAGACTGCGTCGATCTCTTTGCGCAGGTGCTTGATGACGAAGGCTTTGTCTCTTGGATTCAGCAGAGAATCTCGCATCTTCGGCTCTAAGAGTGGGACACAATTAGTGGGAATGCAAGAATAGTCAGATACAAAGACACATACTCGGGTTGAAGTCACAGAGCCCCATATCGGCGCTGAGATGGTTCACGATATCATAGTCGTGGTCGCACTCAAAGAACTGGAAACCCCAGGCTCCGATCATGGTGCCCGGGCGGTCCTTGATCGGCACATTGGAATCCATCTTACCGGTAGCAAGCTGTGCCAGTATTGCCTTCGTATGTTTGTGGCGCAGAAGACGGAGGAAAAGCGACGTGCAGCACCAGAGAAGGGCGACGATGGTAGCAAATGCGAGAACGAGCGCTGAGGTGAAAGAAGACATGATGGCGAAAGTGATTGCGAAGAGTCGACTATATGACGCATGCGAAGGAAAGGCAGGCACGCGCTATCAGGTGAGTACCCGTGAGGGGGAAGGAACGTCCAGCGCTGCCATCATGTCGAACAATCCTCTCCCCAGCCTGGTTCAAATCATGATAGAACTTTCGATAGGTAGTAGAAGTAAAATCGGATATCAAATGGAAAGACGCCGAAAATGCCTACCTATATATGTGAAAAGATACCCCGTAGCCAAGTAGAGTACACGATGTCCAATCCCCAACGCCGCTACTGATCGTTGTCAGTCGATCCCATATGACCGATTCCGCTTCTTGATGCAAGTTCCGCTTCTCCAGGCTTAATCATTCTTCCGGCTGCTCGTCAATCTCTGCCTTTCGTCCCCATCCCCAGGGCTCGCAGGCTCCAACTCGTCATCGCTCCACTTGTCGTCTTCGCCTACTGCAAAGATCGTGTCACCGTCCAGGCTCTCCCTAGGCGGAATGACGGGTTTCTGCGGCTTAGGCGCCGGTAGAGGTGAAATATCGCGGTTCGCCGCGCTTGTGCCAGTGCTCCGATGCTTCGGCGCTGGGTCATAGGAAGGCGGGTGGTCTGAAGGGCCTTCTTCTTCATCGAGTGAGTCTCGCAGAGAAGCAATTTCGAACCCCTCGTCATCTTGGGCAATCTGCAACTTTGTTAGCGAGGCTGCAATTTTTATAAAGGAGAATGACTTACCTCGTCGCTCATGGCGAATCTCCTGTTGTTGGCCGTCGGCCTCCACATGTATGCGACGAAGCAAACATCGGCAAGGTACACCAAGTTCAACCAACCATCCAAGACAAACCACCTCGTCTGCCAATGCGTCGGCGCGAATTCGGGACTTGAGGCTCCGGCGAAGGTGAAGCTGTTGATGAAGAAGAATCCAAAAATAACGATGATGCTCGTCAAGATGCACCACCAGAGCCTCTTATACATGGAGGCTTTAACGTGTTGCTTGCGTTCCATGAGATCCTTCATCGTGAGGTTGAGGGAATTGAGGGTCCAGATATAGAAGGCAGTGAGAGTAGCGGAAAGAGGAAGGATGACGAGGAGCACGAGAGGACCTGCATCGTCCGGTCGGATTGTCAGTGAGGCGACGGCGTAGATAACTCCGAAGACGAAGTGGGCGACGGCGAGCCATCGAACGATGGTCATGGTCTTGCCCAGCGTAGGCTTGACCACACCGTACCCCATACACACAATCAACAACAGGAAGAACGAGAACGAATTCCGGAAGGCGTTGAGCACCGCGACCACGATCATGAGCGCTTTAGCGCCGACATTGTTTCCATGGCGATTCTGGTAGTCGTAGAAGCCCCAGGTCATCAACATTTCGAGGACCAGGAAGATGAGAATAGCCGTGATGTAGTTCTGGACTGCGAGGATGTCGTGTCGGTGCTGGAAGTATAGGAAGCCCCAGAAAATAGCCACGACAAAGTATGCGATAGTAATTCCGCCATAGAATGGCAGCTTCGGGATCTGAGCTGCCGGGAGCTCTCCGTACGCGTTCCTGAATGTCACGATAGCCTCGTACTCGACATCCTTTGTGTATGCTGCCGTTGCCACGCAGTAGTATCCCGTCTTGAGTGCAATCTTCTGCTGATTGCTAGCTGCGACAGGGTAGTTGATGGGCTGCGGCTCTTTGAGGTGGATGGCGGCGGTGCGGATGTAGTTCTTGGACACGGCGTCGGCATTGTCGGCGAGGATCCATTCGCCCTTGTGGGTAGCGTTGCAGAAGTTCCCGCTGATGGTATCGTCATTGCAGATGTACTGGCGCTGCGAGTTGTTAGCTTGGCCATGACCAAGGCGCGGTACGACGAACCTGGTCCACGGGCTGATCGGACGGCTTCCCGAGCAGCAATGAGTCTTTCCACTCCCAAATGACCACGCCGACCGTAGGGTCTTCAATCTCCTTGTTCTTGTCGTTCTTCAGGAACTTGACCAGAATGAAGGGCTCGACCTTGCCGCCCCAGGACTTCTTGCTGTACATGCCCGAGCATTTCTGAGCGTCGTCTTGCGTCTGCAGCAGAATTAGCGTGGAAGGAGCGCGAGAATGTGCGCGTGCCATACCAGAGTCACATCGATGGCTGTGACAGCTGCTATGGTCGACAGGAGCAGCAGGCCGGCAGCTCGCCATGGCTTCATGGTGCCTTCAGCCTTGAGGCCAGCTGGCGGAGCGCGCGATGGGCTGAGACGGGGTCAGTCCAGAGAATGCGATGCGAGGACCTCTGCGATGGTTCCCGGGGTCCCTTCGATTCTTCAAGTCGCGTATATGTGTCCTCGGCGCGGGTGTAGTGTTGGAGCTCGACGCAGCGTCGTCAGTCTTGCACAAATTCCGCCTTGCGCCGAAGCTGGCCCGGGCGCGCCTTCCTCAGCCCTGTCGTGGCGCAGGCGTCGCAACCAAACCAGAAATCCTCGCCGGCTTTCGAACCTCAACACCATCACCATGCCAGGCAAAAATCTTCCGGAAATTGCAAATGAGCCTTGCCGGCGATGCAAGGAGAATTCTGCCGCTCTCGTAGTGCGTACGGAGCCTCTCTGCCGGTGAGTCGTGCCTGCCAAGCCTAAAGGGCATTTTTACTGAATCGCACAGTGACTGTTTCGTCAAATACGTTCACACAAAGGCCATCAAGAGGTTGGAGTCGTTTCGGGTCCGGAATGCGGCTCCAGATCACCACCGGAAGATATTACTAGCGCTGTCTTCTGGTGTCTCGTCCGCCGCCCTACTCCACATCCTGGATCACCACCTCAAGACGCAGAAAACGAAGACCGGTCGAACGGGTTTCGCACTTAGTGTGGTCTTTGTTGGGGCCCCGGATGTCAACTTCCAGGCTGAAGAACTCCTCGCTAAAGCGAGAGACCACTACCCTGACCATGAGTATGCGTCGTTGCCTCTGTATGACATATTCTGTCTGGTCTCGGACGACGCTTCTCTTCTCGCCCTAATACGCCCTCTGGGGGCTGCACCGGATCTGCCTCCAGCGGAGAAGCTCGCCCAATTGATCAACTCACTTACTTCAGCCACAGCACGTGCCGATGTCATCTCCACAATAAGGACGAGGCTGATCGTAGAACACGCCAAGTCTATCGGTTGTGAGGGCATCCTTTGGGGTGACAGTACAACTAAGCTCGCAGAAAAGACGCTGGCCGAGACGGCTAAAGGACGAGGATTCTCTCTGCCGTGGCAGGTCGCAGACGGCGAGTCACCTTTCGGCATCACCTTCCACTACCCGCTTCGAGACGTGCTCAAGAAGGAGCTCGTCTCGTACGTGAAACTTGCAGAACCGTCACTCGCATCGATAGTGCACGCATCATCTGTCCCTACGCAAGCCTCCATGAGCTCGAAGAACACGACCATCGACGATCTCATGAAGCAGTACTTCGAATCGGTAGAAGAGAACTTCCCAAGTATCGTCTCTAATGTCGTTCGGACGACGAGCAAGCTCGAGGCGGCATCTGTATCCGCTTCCGATCCGTACTGCGACCTCTGCAACATGCCAGTGCCAGCGGGTCGGTTTGGAATACATGGTTGGGGAGGCGACCAGAAAGATGGCGTCGATGGGTGCAACAAAGAGGGTCTCGACCTCTGCTATGGATGCACCCGGTCTATTCCGCAGCTAGCTATTGACACGAACGGAAACCCTTGAGGAAGCGCGGCACAAGCGAATAGAAATATTTGTGGGACAGCGTAAGATGCCGTTCCAAGCTCGCAGTCCACACCAAGCCTTCCCTCTCGCTCTCACGCGCAATCTACACGCTACGAAAGAAGAAGCTATCGCAATGGTACAACTCTATATGAAAATAACGACGCAAGAAAAAGATAATACGCCTGAGCAAACCTAGTGATGACGGCTGGCAATGCCCACATCCCTAAACCTTCGCCAGTACATCCTCGGTCCACTCCCACAGCTCCTTCCCCAGCTTTTCACTCTGTGCCGTCTTATCCAAAGTCTCAAACGCCTCTATTCCAACAGGCAAATAAAAACTCCCGTTAGCAAGTTCCTGCTTCTTTGCTCCAGCAGCGCACCAAACCTGGTTCCAGCATCCCTGGTCCGGCGATATGAGTTTTATCCCCTGCAGATAGCACGCCCCATAAATAAACCAGCGATTATACCATGGTTGTCCGATGCAGAGATCTGTATACACAGTCCCAGGATGGATGCTCACGGATGTGATCTGTGGGTACCGCCGTGCGAGCTCCGAGGCGTACAGGATGTTTGCGAGTTTCGCGTGCCCGTAGCGGACCCAGCCGCCCATCAGCAGGCGGGTCATGGGCTTGTGCGCGGAGAGCTCGGCGAAGGATATGCCCGATGGTGGATGGAATGCGTAACCCAATGACGTTAGGTTCAGTATGCGCACGTCAGAGCCTGGTTTCTTAGCCGTTGCTAGCAACACCGGCAGGAGTTCGTGGATCAGCATCGCGTGCCCGAGGTGATTCGTCGCGAACTGGATCTCGTAACCATCTTTGCTCAACGACGCGGGCTGCGCCATGATGCCTGCGTTGCACATCAGGATATCCAAGCGGTCGTGCTTAAAGTACTTCTTTACACCTTCCTTGACCGATGCTAGAGACGACAAGTCCAGCTCCACGAAGGTCACATCTGGCTTTGGATTCCTATGTCTGATCGAGGAGATGATCGTCTCGGCGGCTTTGCGGTTTCGACCCGAGATATAGATGTGCGCGGCGTTGTGGACGGCAAGGGCTTTGGCGGACTCGGCCCCTAGGCCGCCAGTACCTGTGAAGAGTCAGCGAGAGGAAGTAGGTTAGGAGGGGGGACTGGTACGGGACGTACCTCCTGAGATGAAGACCACTTTTCCCTCGAGAGAAGGGATGTCCTTTTCAGGATTGAAGTTGGTAACGCCGGTCTTGCCGGCTGAGGGGTTGAACGCGTTGCCCATGATGAGGGTGGGGATGGGAAATGTATTTTGAAGAGGACTCGGAGATGGTGAAGCCTCAGTTAGTAGCAGGGCGAGTCTGATGACAAGCGGGCAGCAGCAACGACGTATAACTCAGCGAAGAAACATCATCCAAAGAACGCACTGCTATGTCTCATCCAGTCGCGAAGGCAAGGTCTGCCCTTATACCTGCTCACCCTTTCGTTCCGTCGACCCAACGGACAAATCCACCGGGCGAACACTTTTCTTCCCAACCTTCCCCAAGGCCCACCGCCCCATAGCGCCGGTTTTATCGTGCCTCATCTTCACCTTTTTGACGGATGTGCATTTCTTCCAAACCAAAACTGCACAGTTGGTGGTCGAGACAGGTTATCTCCGATTCGCTAGTCGAAGATGCAAGACGCCGTCTGCCTTACGCCTTACGGAGCTAGGCTTGAACGAGTCTAGGTGGATAAGCAACTCACAGGAAAGCTTGGAACTGCGCTGCAACCGTTCCTCATCCCTCTAACTCAGACTTTAGGCGGACCATTCTTGGAGAAAGCATGGGTTTCAAAGAGGAATAGCGGGATAAGCAGCCCGCATATAACAACTTCCATGCGCGCGGACATCACCAACGCTTCCATCCTCCACGCCATACCTGTAGCCACTGACCATAGCTGCAATCCCATTGTTTCGTCCGAAATAACCTCTCCTAGTCCCTACCCCAGAATTAGCGCCATGGCTCCAGGAACCAATAAGTCCAACATTACGCTCCGGCCCAGCGAGCGCCTCCTAGAAGTACAATCTCGCCCTACCATCCAAGCTCAGCCACAACTGACCAATGGACATAGGCTCGGGGCCATGAGGATGACTGGACCGGCAAGACTTCCGCTAAAGAACGTCGGAAACTGCAAAATCGTCTCCATCAGCGCGCTTGGCGTAAGTCCTTATTCCATCTAGTGTGGAGTGAAGTACTCTGGGCTAACTGGTGTCTAGGACGCCGAAAAGCGGAGCGAAACGATGCTTCAGCCCCAGAAATCCAAGACCCACGTCCCGATCCGCTCTCCTCAGCCTTTGCAGCAGCGACAGCTGCGATAGCGCCTACGCAAGATCCCCCATCGACGCTCACCGATGCACTGACACGCATCCCACCATTTGCATATTCTCCGGGATGTTCAACACCATCCAATCCCGCAGATCAATCATCATCCCTCCCTCATCGACACGCCGCCAACACACCCCTTAACATCCACTCCCTCCTGTGCCTGAACACTGCGCCCGCTCCCACACACCAACATCCCTCCAGCGGCGTGCCCCGTTCAGCATCTACCACCACCCGCCTCATCCCGCCCGTGATAGAGTACCTCCCCGGCCACCAATCCCCCTCCTTCCCCTTCCGCTTCCCCCTAGCCCCAGATCACTACCTGCTCACGCTCATCCAATACAACGTCATGCGCGCCGTCATCACAAACCTCAGTCTCTGCCAGATCCTGCAACAATTACCACTAGAATGCCGCGCCGCGCTCAACATACCACTGATCCACCACCCACCCTCCACACTCCCTCCAACCTTCACAAAAACCAAAATTCAACGCGAGATGGAGCACAATTCGTGGATCGACGCCGTCGTCTGCGCCCAGCTGCGCGACAACCTGATCCTCGCCGCGGCGGGGCGGATGCAGGGCTGCGAGGGGCGAAAGCTAGACGAAGACGAGCTCTGCGACGACGTCTGCGGCGGCCTGTACGAGGGGTACGACGACTCGGCGGCGCGCGGGCTGCTCGTCTGGAGTGATCCGTGGCGCGTGAGCAGTTGGGAGATTTCGCCTGGTTTTGCGGCGAAGTGGGGGTTCCTGCTCCGCGGATGCAGGGAGATGGTGGAGAGCACGAATCGGTGGCGCGAAGCGAGGGGCGAGGAACCGCTGGTGATAGAGGTGGAGTAGAGATGGACGGAAGCGAGTGGTGGAGAGAGGACAGGACAGGGGAAGAAAAGCAATGTCGAAGGCTTATCCTTGATTGTTGTTGACTTTTATGAATAATACCTACTACGTCCGATGCGTGGTCCGGACATCCATCCATCCCTTTTCATGTCCATCCAATGACCCGAGCGACACCCAGATACCCAATGTCCAATCCATTCCACCCTAGACTATACACCTACCCAGGAAACTCTCAACGCTAATGGTACCGCAGAAGACCGTTTACTCACACACCGCAGAACAATCAAAATCAAACCAAACCAATCCGTCCGACCAAAGCGCAAAGCCCTTCAACGCCCCTTCCTCGCCACATCATTCAAGAAGCCCAGCAAAAACGTCTTGTCCACCGGACTCTTCCCATCCGCGCTTTGTTTCCTCGCCCTATCACTCACACCCAATTCCGTCAGCCCCGTGCTAATCGGACTCGCAGAGCCTTCTGCGCCAGAACCCACGCCATTCTTCTGTCCCACCATCCCGGAGCTCATCATAACCGGATGCGAAGTGGGGGCCATGTGTTGCGGAATCACCACACTGGGAGCGACAGCCTCACCAATCGAGGAGATCCGCGACCTTGAGGCCAAGTTCGCAGGGCTATTCTGCTGGCTTCCCTTATCCGGGAGCGGAGAGACGGGGCTGATGACACCAGACGTAAGGGTCTTGGGCGTGGGTGGTTGAGGACTGCGCGCTGGTGGAACCGGGCTCCCGGATGGGAGGGATGGAATGCGGGATGGTGGCGCAAGTGGCGACCTGGAGGCTTGTATAGGAGAGCCTGCGGGTTGGGAGGGTTTGCTGAAGAGTGATAACAGTGCGTTCTTTTGGTCCGAGGGGAGCGTATCTCTTCGGTCGAAGGACGCTTGGGCTGCTGGTGCGGGGAAATGCGCAGGGGGTGTGGGTTGTGATTGCGGCGAAGCTTGGTTCTTGAAAAGACCCAATAATCCTTGCGTATGCGCCGTAGAGCCAACGGTGGTAGGAGACTCCGTCAACTGCTGAGGCCGCTTGAGGATCTGTGGTTTGAATGCCGTTGCCTGAGACGCCACGGTACTTGGACTGGCTTTGGGACTTAATCCCGTTTCCGCTGTAGGACCCCTCAATGTCGAGTCGGTGTTCTCGCGCTTGAGGATCTGCTGCGGGATGAACATTTTCTGCTCCACCTTATGGTGCGTAGGCGAAGGGCCCCGAGAGTGTCCATTAACCGGATGATGAGAATGCTTCTTCATAGTATCGAAGTCCGGTGCATTGACTGGTCCATGGATGGTAGCCGACGTCAATCCTGCCTTGTTTTGCTGCACGATTGCCTCCAGAATATTTGCCCTGGTGCTCATTTCCGGCATCGGAGGTCCTACATCATCAGCCAGCCTAGGCCTGACATTGCCAGGAGTATGTGGGAGGGCGGAAAGTTCTGCTGGCTGCTCTGGCGCCAATTGCGGAGGCGGCGTGGCTGCAGCCGTCGACGGTGACCGGAAGAGGCTCAATAACGAATCCTGATGCGCACTCCTAGGTTTCGGCTGCACAGGCTGGAAATTTGCACTAAGCGGAGGCGACTGAAACGCAGGTGGGCTAGGTGCATATGACGCGTACGGATTGGCACTCGGCGGCGAAGCGAGAAACTGATGTTCTCGGTGAGTGGTAGGCGGGCCCATCCTCGGAGTTGCTTGAGAACTCTGTGCGGGTTGCGAGGAAGGTTGTGAGACTGGGTCTGCAGGCTTCTCGTTCATCTTGAAGGCATTCAGCAAGCTTAGTGTGTGCGCCGTGAGCTTCGGTGGAGGAAGCTTTGAGGCTGGCGGAATCGCAGGGCCATGTGCGCTAGGAAATTGGGGCGGTTGCGCGAATTGCGGATCGCCTGTCTGTTGATATGGGCGCGGTGCATGCTGGCTGAATGACTGCTGGATGTTGGGTGCATGCGTGAGGAAGGCGGGGTCCGGATGGCGAGGGGGCGGCGGAAGAAAGTGGCGCAACATTTGCCCAGAAGCAGCATTGGGGTGTGGTGATATTTGAGGATGATGGGGCCCTCGGAATTGGGGGCCATGTTGTGGATGGTAAGGAAATGAAGGCGGGGGAGGCATGTGGTCGAGATGCGGTGGCCGTGGATGGTGCTGACCGTGTGGACTGTGAGGCTGTTGGGGAGGCGACATGAGCTGCTCAAATGGCGTTCTGGGGAATGGCTCGGACGGTGGAGCAGGCCTGTTGCCTCCATGCAGCATGGCCAGAATCGGGTTTGACTGCGGTTCCTGTGCGAGTGCAGGCGCTTCGACAGGACGAGTTTGGGACGAAAACCCGGTACCAACACTCAATAACCTCTTAAGTTCTGCCGCCGGATCCACCATTTGCTCCGTCTGGGGCTCTGCAGATACCTCCGGCAAAGCATCGCTCGCACGGTGGCTTCGTCCCAGCTTAGCCACGAGCTCGTCGAAATCTCCTCTATCAGTGTGTGGCTCTGGGATTGGCGCCTCGTCTGCGGTAGTCTCTCCGAGATCAACCTCTAGCTCCTCCGTGTCTGTCACTCCCGCGGCTACTGGCGGCGAGAGGTGCGCGCCGGAGAGAGCCTTCTGCTTGTCGAGCCTCTTCTGCTGCTTGATCCACCCCTTGAGAGGGCCGAGGAAGGGCGCGACCATGTAGAAGCTGTTTTCCTTGATGAGGTCCTGGCCGGTGCCTTGCTGGACTTGGTGTCTTCGCTTGAGCGTAGGTAGGTCGGCGAGTTTGTACCAGTCGATTTTCTGCCCGCATTAGCTGCACACTCGGCCCGCAAGAAGTGGTTGCACCCACCGAGATCTCCTTCCTTGTCCGCGGCTCGAAGTGCGTGTCCATTGGCACGCCTCGGAAAACGTACAGCAGCATGCTCTGCTCGCGCATGTTGACGGCAATGCTCTTCATCTTGTCTTCTGGCCCCACGAGGTTCGCCGCTCGCAGATCGTAGCCGGTCTCTTCGTAGACTTCTCTTACGGCGCAGTCCAAGTCTGCTTCATCTTTATTTATCTTTCCCCTCGGAAAGCTCCACTTGGCGCCCTTCTTCCAGCCCTTGACTAGCACCGCATGTGTCATGTCGTCGTTTAGCATGATGGCGCCGCGGACGGGCACCCTTGTCTTGTACTCCAGAAACTGCTGGTACGCTTCGGCGTGGTGGAGGGCGGAGAAGCCAGCGGAGAGCGGGCAATGCTGAAACATGCGCATGGCAAAGGTGCGCAGGTTCATGGACGGCAGGCTGGGGTCCAGCGGGCGGATGAAGTCTTCGTAGAACCATTGCGCCTCCTCGATCTGGAAGCAGATGCGCTCGACGGACTGAAGCTCTTCGTAGGGCAGGTTTACGATGAAGCGGACGCAGAGGTCGTCGAGCCAGTCAACTAGCTCCATTCTGGCGTCTGTCATGGTGAGTCTGGCCAGTGTCGCGCAGCATGCCGTGGGCAGCTCGAGACGGCGTGGGGGGCTGTTGCGCGTCAAGGCGGGGCGCGCAGAGAGCGGGGAGGCAGTGAGAGGCCTAGACGGCGTCTATCAGAGTCGACTATGCACAGCCGCGCAAAGAATGTGAAGGAAATGGGCACGTGTGGGCGCGTAGCAGCGGCGGGGGAAGGTTGAGCGGGCTGGTGGTTGGTCTCTCGTCTTTCGGCCAGCGCGATCAACCGTGTGTGGCGCTGGCGTGTGGCGGTGCACAGCCACTCCCGAGCAAAATGCCGGCTGGATGACGTCCGCGTCGCGCTGATGTGCCTCCAGATCAAGGCACGCCCATGCAAACGACCACTGCCAGCACAATGCCTACGCAATAATAAAGCCAGTCGCCGCTTCTTGTCTTCTCGTCGCTCCTTACCTTCTCTACGCTGCGCAATTCTCGTTTGCCCACAATCGCACTCGCCCTCTATTCATAGCGGCGACGCGCCCGTTTCAGAAATTCTGGAGAGAAGAGCCGCCCGCCAACCACACGCCTCGTTGCGACTGAGACAGCCGCATAACCACCTCGTCGACTAGAACCATCCTGAGGACAGAGGCATATAAGACCTGCTCAGCGGTCTTGATTGCGACCAAATTCGCTATTCTTCCACATCCCATCGTATTCCAGGAGAGTCGATAAAACAGCCCGCGACCATGACGCAAGCCATTGCCAAATATGCCGCGAAGAAGATGCTGTCGAGCGAGATGAACAAGTACAAGTCGAAGGACGTCGAGTCGCCATATGTAAGTCCCACGAAGCTCGTTGTACCACGTCCCACCATTTCGGCGCAACATATATTGGACACCGGCTAACACGCACCTCAGGATCCCTTCTACGAAATGGTCCCGCACCCTACGAAGCCGGGCAAGAAGAAGAAGGTCAAGAAGCAAATCCCCGCCTACATCCCCGAGCACGACGCCGACATCCTCGCCCGCGCCCGCAAAACCGCCTACCGCCTCGACTTCTGCCTCTTCAACTTCTTGGGCATCCGTTTCGGCTGGTCGTCCGTCATCGGTCTGGTTCCCGTCGCCGGCGATGGTCTGGACGCACTTCTCGCCGGGAAGTTGATATATTCCATGTCCCGGGCGAAATGCGGGCTTCCATTGGGTATCGTCCTCCTCATGCTCTTCAACTTCTCCATCGACTTCCTCATCGGGCTCGTGCCCTTCGTCGGCGATCTGGCGGATGCATACTACAAGTGCAACTCGATGAACGTGCGGTTATTCGAGAAGCATTTAGATAAGGTGTACAAGCCGCAGCAGTTGCAAGATGAGGAGAAGAATATGAAGAAAGAAAAGCGGCCGCGCCCTGCAACCGTACACGAGGACTTCTCCGATGAAGAGGAAGACCGCCGCAATACGTTCGATGACCGCCATGACAACGTGCGACGGCCGACTCGTGCATACTCCGGCAGGAGAGAGCGCATTCCGGATGAGGAGATGGGCGATCCGCGACGCGAGACGCAACGATCGCATAGGGACGAGAGACCTAGCCGTCACGGTACGAAGAGCAGCAGGCGTCACTAAGATTTCTACGAAGGTTTCCTTCCCGTCCTGCACCGTCTCATATTCGTCTCTCCTTGACTTTTCGTCCCATATCCCCATCATAGGGTTGGCTTCAGGTCTCCTACCCGCGTTGTATACCCCCGATAATCCAAAACCGTAATCATGTACTCTAGTGCAATTGCATCGGCGTCTTGAGGCCGCAGCGTTTTTCGCTACTTTTGTAAATCTTATCGTAGCATCCCTCGAGAGCATTGTCCCCTTGCCTTTCCATGAGCCTCACACTGGCTTCACACTGCTCCTTATCATTTTCAGCATCGTTTAGATCGTTCATAAAGTCGAATTTCCCATTCACGGCTCTTGCGGTAGGGAATTCTCCGGATCTAAGGGCTCGCCGTACAAGTAAGAAAGATTAGCTTGTCTATTGTACGCACCCGCGAAGGCCTCCAGGGTAGCTGTTGGGCCCGTTGTTCTATCCGGAGAATTCCACACCGTGAGAGCCCGGATAAGGCCGTTATCCCTACCTCTCTAAGCGCCCGTGACAAGGTACATGGATCTTCGAGTGGTGGGCGGCGAGGAGGCTGAGGATCGCTGTAGAAGAGTTGGGAGATAGGGCTTTTGATGGTGTTGGGGGGAGGGGGGAGGCTTGGGATGGGGCAGAAGGGAGAAGATGAGGAGGGAAGGACGTGTGAGGGGTGCAGGGAGGTGGAAGGGGAAAATAGGGAGTCTGTGCGTACGGATACAATGGCCACTCCGATGACGCTGTCGCTAGATAGCGCCACGTCTTTAATATGACAGGACATAATCTGATTTGAACAAATGTAGCTTTACGTAGACAATGTAGCAGCAAGGTTGTAGATCGAAACTCCAACCCCTGACGGCCATCTGCTGTCCTAGTGCGTGCGCGACTCGCTAGTCACCTAACCGGCGAGAATGCTATCTCCAAATCAGAATGCGACGAAAATGTAGATGATATCGAGGAAGAGGAGGGTAGCAGAGTAGGAGAAGTGGGGATCCTGATCCTCGAGCCCGAATAATGTTCGATAAACATCGGTCAACCGGTAGCGCTTGCAATGAAGCATATTGCGCGCCAGATAGTGGGCGTTGACTGGCTGTAAGCACGTGTACGCGATCTCGCCCATTTGGAAGTCTTCCTTCCCATACGGGGCACAGAACGGCTCATCAATTCCTGCCAGGACCTTCCAAACCACTTGTAGATCCAAGGATATCCCGTAAGCCAGCAGACAATGAGTGAGAGGATCGAAGCCTTGCTCGAGCAATCGAGCTCGTATCTGTTTGAATGTAAGCCCAGCAGCAAACCCTGCCGGGTAGAGCCGTTTGAAAGAGGCCCGTATCCTGGAGTGGGTGAGTAGGTACTCCGAACATGAACAGTTCTCCCATACCTGCTCTCAGTCTGCGCAGCCAGGCGAAAGCCGGGAGGGCATACACTGTAATATAGCCCTATGAGCTCATCGACTGTTGCTCCAGCGTAGTTGATGCGACTGTGCAATATGACCCGCCTATCCGAGAATCGCCGAAAGGTGATGTCCCAAGCGACGGGGCAGGCGAAATTGAACATCGAATACTCCACGTCGACAACCCAAAGGTTGTCCGGCACCTCCCGGGCAAACTTCCTCAACCAACTCAGCTGCTCCATCCATTTTGACTTTGTGGGATGCTGAACCTGCTTGCACGCGTAGTGAAGGTGGAAGTGGCAATGACGATAACCGGGCATCGGTACAGTGTCGCACATTGCCGGACAGCGGTGTGGATCCTGGCCCCTATCGGGGAGTATATTCGGACCGCTTCGATCGAGAACCTGATTAATGAGATCCCGATCGCTGTCATCCTCCAATTCGAAATCATCGTCAAAGCGTAAATGACGTACGGATATTGCGTATTGAGTATCAGACAGCTCGCGTGCCCACTCTGGAATCGTGGCAGAATCGATTTCGCGGGTGCCCCGTGGTGGCATTGCTCCCGCCAACGGCGCACCTACGCCGCCGGCTGCAAGTCGAACGCCTTGAAGTGGGCGAGACTGCGGATTTGTGTCAAGGATAGCCCAAAGTGTGTTGTGATTACTAACCGATAGCTCATAGATCTCATATCCAGATGCAATAAGAGATTCCACGAACCCCCAGAGACATAAGACACTGCGGTTGGCTAGTGTAGAGCGGCTCAATAACTCCCCTGACCTCGTCCAACGTGTACACCACGCCGGTCTTGAAGTTGCTAGAGACCATCTGATCGGAAAAACGAACAGGAGAAGCCATGGTGAGTTGGACAGGCGTCCGGAAGCGATAGAGGCAAGGTAGATGTTTGTGTGGACAAGGCGACGAGGGCCAGGTGTTGTCGGAGATGATAGTGCGTGATGAGGAAGCGGGTGCTCTACACCCATTTCCTCGATATGTGGCAGGGGCATCTACGAGGCAGGGAACAGCAGGAGCCCCTGACCTCAATCTGCATTGACGAGTGAGCCGCAGAGTCAGCGGCCCGCCTAGGAACTGTGAGCAATTCAATGGGTCAGCTAACAGGGTTGCAATGGTACAGTGTTGCTGGTAGCCCTTACGGATCGATGGAGTGGAGTGATAATCTCTCCGCTATTTCGCATTCCAGGTGTTGAAGAATGTCTCTTCGCGGAAAGCGCTCCATCTTCCTTGGCGCGGCTGCGAATGGCAATCGAGACGCAGGTGGAGAAGCTTGTTCCAACTTTGGAAGGTTTTAAACGGGTGGTGCGGGAATCTTAGGTGGTCCTCCGAGCGCAGACGCGAATGCGACTGCCTGTTTACACGATGACGCAGATGGCCACCCACCGCACTCCCAGATCAGCTGTCCGCCGATACATTTGCTCCTCTAGACACCCAAATATCCTTGACCCAACCTGCCATGCCGAAGAAGAATCATCCGCTCGTGGAGCAGAGCGGAGCGCCGAGTGCCCAAGGTATGAGATGAGAGAACGAGGGACATATGCTTGGTGAGCATGTTGGCTGTTGCGAAGCTAAACTGAACCATAGCAGGAGGCGCAGCTTTCTGATGCTGCTCGCGGATAGCATCCGGAGTGGCGGAATGTAGCTGGGGTGTGTCCAGCCAAGATGAGAATGGACTGTTGGATCTGCCTGCGAAGGCCTCCACGGTGGCTGTTACGTGCGTCGTATATCCGGAGAATTGCACACCCGTCAGCAGTTCCGGATGCCTCCGTATACGCAGCTGCTAGGCCGGGAGTCTAACTTGCAATTTTTAGTATTCTGTCCCACGGTGTGGACTGATCCTGCGCTTCCTTCCCAAAGATCAGGCCGAAAGCCTACCTGGCTCAGCTCCGAGAGGTTATTTCCCGCAACGACTACAGCTTAGTATGCCGCGGGTATCGGCCCTCGAGCCTCATCCATACTCCAGCGCTCGGCGAGGCTATTCCCGTCAGCGGTCGCCCATCTTCAGTCTCGCTCTACTGCATTAGGAAGGAAAATATGGACGACAAGGTTAGTAATGTATCTCTGGACGCCGTTGATCCTAGCCTATGTTTTTCTGAGAGAGAGAGAGAGAGAGAGAGAGAGAGAGAGAGAGAGAGAGAGAGAGAGAGCTGTGTTTTCGATCAAGCCAGCCCACCAGACACATGTTGTTCCAGCATAGGACGGAGAGCGTTTGTAGGCATCGAAACCTCACCAAAACCGATAAATTCAAGCTCGGAGAAGGCCGAACACCTAGGTAATCGTCAGACTTAGCAAACCCACTCTTGATGGCCTCCAGCACGTAAAGGCAAGTGTGGCATGTTGTGGAGTTGACTTTCCTCCTGGGCAGTGCGCTCCGCCACGTCATCGGGCACTTCCCCTTGAGTTCAATCATCACGACCGCCGCCTACCTCTCCCCAAACTCCCGATTAAAAGCCCGTCCAATAACCATTCTTCGGACCTCACTCGTGCCCGCTCCAATCTCATACAACTTTGCATCCCTGAGTATCCTGCCCACCGGCACCTCATTCATATACCCCATCCCGCCCATCAACTGCACCGCGTCCGCCGCGACCTCGCTGGCCCTCTCAGCGGTGTACAGAATCGCGCCCGCGCAGTCCTGCGTCTTGATCTCGGGATTCTCGTGGCTTTCGTCGACGGCCCTGGCCACGGCGTAGGTGAAGGCGGACGAGGCCCGGTACTTGGTGTACATGTCTGCGAGTTTGCCCTGGACGAGCTGGTTGTGCGCGATGGGGTGGCCGAATTGCTTCCGCTGATGCGTATACGGCAACACGACGTCTAGCGCAGCTTGCATCAGGCCCAGCGGACCGGCCGATAGCACTAGTCTCTCTAGATCTAGACCCTCCATTAGGACGCGCACGCCTTTGTTTACCTGTCCGAGCACGTTCTCCTTCGGCACGAAGACGTCTTCGAAGACGAGCTCGCCGGTGTTGGAGCCCCGCATGCCCAGTTTGTCCAGTTTCTGGGCGACCGAGAAGCCTTTTGCACCGGCGGTGGGGACTATGAAGGTGGTAATGCCTTTTGAGGCGGCCTCGGGCTGGGTTTTCGCGTACACTATGATGGTGTGTGCGTCTGGGCCGTTGGTGATCCACATCTTGGTGCCGTTGAGCAGATAGCCGCCGTCGACCTCTTTCGCAGTCGTCTTCATGCTGACGACGTCGCTGCCCGCCGAATGCTCGGACATTGCCAATGCGCCAATCTGCTCGCCCGATATCAAGCCGGGAAGGTATTTCGCTTTTTGCTCGGGCGTGCCGTTGAGCATGAGTTGGTTTACGCAGAGTTGCGAGTGTGCCGCGTAGGACAGACCGATGCTACCGCTCGCCCGACTGATCTCCTCCATCACTACGCAATGCGCCTGGTATCCCATCGCCAGCCCACCGTACTCCTCGTCCGCCGTTATGCCCAGAAACCCTGCCTCTCCGAACTTCTGCCACATTTCGTTCGGGAACTCGTTTACATGGTCGGTCTTTTGCGCTAGTTCTTCGGGGATTTCTCGTCCTGTTCACGCCTTCGGTCAGCAGTGGACAAGGGGCCTGGCAATTGCTTGCCGGGGGGTTGCGGTGCTCCAGGCGTGGGGTGGTACGAAAAGAAGCGAAAGGCGTACGTGTGAACTCCTGCACCCGTTCCCGCAGCTCATCGAGATCTGCTTGTGTAGGTGGCACAAAGCCTTTCGGGTGTTTCGTCGAAGCATGGCGGCGCGCGTTTACGAGGATTGGACGGGGTTGGTGTCTGTATAGCTGGCGCACGGCGCGAGTAAATAATCTGGGGGATAGCGAAGACATTGCTACTATTTTGCGTGTGTGAAGAGAATTCCAAACACAGGAGGTAAGCTTGCGTGAGGTTGTGACGCCCTGAAAGCCGCGGCTCGGCTTGTAACGGCTGAGGGGAATGCGGAGGCGCACGGATCACCGACGCGTGGGGAATTGCACAGTCCAGGACCACGCGCTGAGATTCCGCACTCCGTCACCACCCATCCAATTGCATCTCAAGTCCACCGGAGTACCTTCAATTGGCCTCTAAAGGATGGAATCTACATGTCCTGCACCTTCTGCATCTCATGCCCATTACACTCCCCTACATCCAGCGCGACGAGGAACCGCGACACGCAGTTATACGCCGCCACAGTAGCCGTCAACTCGACAACCTGCCTCTCGCTCAAAAACCCCTTCAGCGCTTCCGTCACAGACTCATCAACCTCGCAACCTCGTGTCATCTGATCCGCATAAGCCAGCACTATCCACTGCTCCTCCGTCAGCCCTCCTTTCTCACCCCGCTCCACCTTATCTCCAAGCTTGTGCACCGGAGCAGTGTACGCCGTCTCCAGCCCTTCCTTGGAGATGCCACCTTTCAGAGCCAGCGGCGCGTGGCTGTCCCACTCGTGGACGGCTTTGTTGAGCACCGCGACGCGCGAGATGGCGAGCTCTTTGAGCGCATCCGGAACGCTGGTTTTGGTGCGGATCGCGCCAATGAACGAGTTCCAGCCGTCTGCTACCGCGGTGTTGTGGAGCAGCGTGAGGTCGAGCGGGATTAGAGGGCGGGGGGCGCGGCGGGCGGCGATGCGTTCGTAGACTGGCTTTGCGTCTTCGGTTGGGGGCTCTTTGGGAGCGTACGGGACGCGCATTTTGGCGGTGGTGAGGGTGCTGAATGGTTGGTAGTGGAAGTGTGGGTGGGAGGGCTTGCGGAGAGTGTTTAGGCTTTTAGGTTTGGGGACGATGGGCATTTGAATTGGGGTTTCGGTAAGTGGAGAATTTATGTTTAGCTGACGGAGCTCCAGACGCAAGCTGTTCCCCGCGGTCCGCATTTCGGTAGATGTCTGGGGCGAAGCGTTCTTCCCCTCGGCGATATTCCGCGGCGATTTTCCGAGGACGCTCCCCATGGTTTGGACATCAGCCAGTTCAGTTCGGGATTGGAGAGAAGTGGAAATTCCGTGAACCATTGAATAGAATATGTACATTCATGGCGGACTGGGGTCAAAAGCTAACAACAGAAGCCGCATCCGCTAGATACAAGAAAACTACCTCCGGGCAGGGGTCAAAAGGTATATGCTCCAGTCATGACATTCTCTTCTCCCATCCAGTCCTTTCTCATCTACAACCTCGCAACGCCCTCCATCGGCGCAGCCTTGGGCGCCCTCGGCGCCAACCGCACGTTGTACTCCAGATCCAACTTGGCCTTCGGGTCGTTCTCGCGCGGAGTGAAGTCGATGAGCAGGTCATCCTTGACCGCAAACACAGTGTCGTTGGTGACATAAGGGTCGTCGCGGGGGTAAATCTGCGTGGTAACCGGCTTATACCCCTCAGCCGTAATCATCAAGTGGATATGCGCCGGACGCATCGGATGCCTATCCAGGGCCGTGAACAACGCGCCGGCCGCACCATCCGTCGGCAGCGAGTACGCCGTCGGCTTGTAGCAGTAGAACCAGTACTCGCCCTTCTCGTTGCAGCGGAACTTGCCGCGTAGGTTGTTCGGCGTCTGGTTCTCGGGGTCCTGGAAGTCGTACCTGCCGTTGGCCGAGGCCTGCCAGATGTCGATGACGGCGCCGGGGATGGGCTTCTTGGTGTCGAGGTCGGTGATGACGCCGTGCATGAGGGCGGGCTTGCCGTCTGGGTTCGGGTTGATGATGATGGTGCCGCCGTTCTCGCGGAAGGGCGCGTTGGGCGACCAGAAGGGGCCCAGGATCGAGGAGGAGGTAGGCTCCTCGCCGCTCTCGTTGATGTGCTTGTGTGCGATCTCGTCGACTAGCGATTCGAGACCCAGGATATCGGACATGCGGTGTGCTTCGTTGCGAGTTGGTGTGGAGGTCTGTCCGATGAGGTTGACGAACTTGACGCCGGCCATCCATTCGTCGACGGTGAGCTCGACTTCGCGCGTGAAGTCGTGCAGGTGGCGGATCAGCGAGGTCATGACGAAGCGCAGGCGAGGGTCGGTCTTGGGGCCCATGGCGTTGATGACTGAGTCGGTGAAGTTGGGGTCGAAGCGGTGCGGTGCTGAGCCGCCCTGCACGGAGGGTGCGGTTTGGGACTTGGAGTCGGCCATTGTGAGGGTATGAAAGGAGCAAATTTGACTTTTGAACTGACGATGAAGCCCGAAAGGTAGAGCGCTGAGAAGAGAAGAAGTAGCTGGAGCTGTGGGAATCTCGAGATGCAGACAATCAATCGCGCAGCAGGACCCTTATATACACTCCAACTCCTAGCCCGCCTCTATATATCCGCGTCCCAGGCCCGAGAAAATCTCAGGCCATCCCCAGAGTTCCGTCGGCGGCGGCATCAAGCGTCGGCTCTTGGGTCCAGCGTCACTTTAGAACTCCAAAAGGCGGTTCAGGTGCCGAGCTGCGCGATGCTGCCCCGCATTGTGCCAGGGTACGGGGCCAATCAGCGAAGACACGTTGTGGATGAATTCTTACCCGGCCCTTTTCCGGCCAACTGGCGTCTTTTGTGGCCTCTGCCCCGCCTTCGGTTTGGGGCTCGGGCGCGCTCAATCGCGATGCGCGTTCCAGGTTAACGGCGTCGACCATGGGATCCGATGGAGATCTCTCGGGCTCGTAAGAAGCTTGCTCCTTACTCAATCTTTTTTTCTTTTGAGAACTTTGCGATTGCGTATCCGCAGGGCAGGTAGTCGCAATGGGCAAACACCACCTCATGATCGGGACGTGGACGCCGCCGGGGGTCATCATCACGGTGGCTTTTGATGACGAGAAGCTGACGCTGGAGTTGGTGAAGAAGACGGAGATTCCGGCGGATGAGCCGATTAGTTGGATGGCTTTCGATGTACGTCCCCGCTAAGTGCTCATTCCCGCTGGGGATTGTGTCAATGGCTGATGGTGGGAGCGGAGCAGCACCAGAGGAAGAACATCTATGGCGCGAGTATGAAGAAGTGGAGTAGCCATAGGGTGGACAGCCCGAGCGACATTGTGCACACTGGGAGTTTTGAGATCGGGGGCCATCGTATGTATACGCTTCTGAAGGGCGAGAATTGAGGGTTCGTTGAGCCGACACAGGAATATAGCAAAGGCGAATGACGTCGACACCAAAACCCGCGCCATCTTCCTCCTCCCCGCGCGCAAGCCGCCCTACGCCGTGTACTGCAACCCCTTCTACGACTACGCGGGCTACGGCAACATCTTCAGCACCAACCCCGACGGCTCGCTCATGCAGAACATCCAGAACTACGAATACTGCGACAAGTCCGCAATCCACGGCATGGTCTTCGACCCGACCGAGACATACCTCTACAGCGCAGACATGTGGGCGAACCGCATATGGTGCCACAAGAAGATCGACGAGGAAGGGCGGCTAGAGACGGTGGGGTTTACAGAAGCGGAGGGCGCGAAGGACCACCCGCGATGGGTCGAGATGCATCCCAGCGGCCGCTATTTGTACGCGCTTATGGAGGCGGGGAATCGGGTTTGCGAGTATGTGGTGGATCCGAAGACGCGGCTGCCGGTTTATACGCATAGGTGGTGGCCGCTGATACCGCCTGGTGAGTCCCCTTTCTTATCCGAAAGCAAGCAATTGCATGGCAGCGGTTTGGACAGTAGGTTTCATTGCTAATGGAAAGTCTAGACATTCCCAACCCCCACATGTACCGCTCCGACGTCGTCTTCCTCACACAATCTGCACGCTACCTCTTCGCCACCTCGCGCGCCAACTCCTTCTCGCTCACAGGCTACATCGCCGCCTTTGCTATTTCGCCCTCGGGCGCTATCGAGCGCCAGATCTGCCTCAATCCGACGCCTACGTCCGGCGGGCACTCGAATGCGGTGAGCCCGTGTCCGTGGACGGATGAGTGGCTGGCGTTGACGGATGATGAGAAGGGAGGCGTCGAGATTTACAGATGGCATAAGGAGTTCTTGGCGCGGGTTGCGAGGCTGGAGGTCGGCGAGAAGGGGTTCGGGATGAATGCTATTTGGTATGATTGAGTGTAGAGGCAGGATGAGGGGCGGAGCTAAGAAGGAATGGGCAGCACTTAGAAATATAGAAATAGACTACGTTGGTAATCCTCAAGACATGCATTCCAGCATCTAGAAAACCGCGTCTATACGCCTTAACTCCATGAGAAGAAGCTCACTCAGCAAATCTCGGAATAGCCACGCTCAGCAGTGCACGACTCAGTAAACAGCCGCTTCTACTTTCCGCAGCAGCCGAGCCCCGAGCCTATTACCCACTCACATCCGCCCGAATTCAAAGCCTGCCGTAAAAGCCAACGCAGCACCGAACGTTAGAGCCGTTCGGCGATTTCTCGCGCAACGCCGCGCTTCCGAATTCCGACCTCGGAACGATGAGGGGCAGTCCGGAACGCGGGAAAGCCCTGGGCCTGGGGCAGCTGCAAGCTAATGCAGGCCGGCAGATGTCATCGGGGAACGTTCGTCATGAGTGAGCTATCGGCGCTTTTTCTCCAATTCTCCAAAGGGAAGCATGCATTGATCTATCTCCGTGTTGGCGCTGCTCTTGTCTCTGTTTGTTCCGTCGAGCTTTGATTTCTTCACAGCGCGTACACTTCATTCCTTGGTAAAAGTGGAACCAGACGTTTCCTGCTGTCCTCGATCAACATGGCGTCCAAACCTACGCCCGGCATCCTGTACGTAACCATGCAGCCCAAAGAGGGCTTGCCCGCCGCGCGGTTCCACGATTGGTAAGTAACGTCGTCCGTCCGCGCAAGCAGAGTCCACGTCTTCCACTCCATCGGGCACAGCATCAGACGTCTTTGTCTGTCTAAACCTCACCTTGCGCTCACGCCTCCTCTCAGGTACAACAACGAGCACGGGCCCAACCGTCTCCGACTGAGCTTCTGCCGCAATGGCTTCCGCTACCGTGCGAATGACCTCGGCGGCCAAGAGAAGGGCAGCCAGGCGCAGCCGGAGTGGATGGCTATCTACGACATCGACGATATGGATTTGTTGACGAAAGACGTGTACACGCGGTTACGCAAGGAGCCGGTGCAAAGTCAGCGGGAACGCGATACGATGAAGCAGATTCATGTTGACCGCCGGTTCTACGATGCTGTGGGCGAGGAGTGGGTCGGCGAGGATTTCAAGGTGCTGGAAGACGTTGCGAACGAGGGGGAGGGGAACGTCATGGTTGCTGTTTTCTTTACGTTGAAAGAGGGCGCGGGGAAGGAAGATGAGTTGGGCAAGTGGTATAGGGAGGAGCATGTTGGTTTGCTGCAACAAGTACCCGGATGGCGCCGGACGAGGCGCTTCGTGACGAGTTATCTGGACTTGCAGGACGGGAAGGCGAAGGAGTTTCTCGCGTTGCATGAATACGCGCCGCGGAATGGGCTGGGCGGTGAGGAGTTCGTGACGGCTACGTCGACGGCGTGGACAGAGAAGATCGGCAAGGAGGTTGTGCAAAGCAAGAGGAGGAGAGTATACGACCTCTATTACAGCTTCGGCCCGGCACCGCGCGACCTGCAGTCTTTGTCCAGCCCCGACGCCATCGAGACGGAATCAACAGATGGCGCGACGAAAACGTTTCCTGTATCCTCGCCTCGCGCCGGCCCCGGCTCAGGAGGCGATACTAGATGCCCGGCTATCGAATCCTTCATCACGACTGCGGATGGCGTCGATCTTCCCTACCGGCTGGAAGGCAGCGAAGATCCCAACGCCCCATGTCTGGTACTCGTCAACTCCATCCTCGTGGACTACGGTATATGGCACGACTTCATTTCCGCCTTCCAATCCCTCACAGACCGGAAATATAGAATCCTCCGATACAACGCGCGCGGACGATCTGCGCTCCCCCAGTCAGCCAAGCAGCCAGTCACAGTAGACACGCTTACATCCGACATCATCGCGCTGCTCGACGCCCTGCGCGTAAAGAAAGCGTCCATCGTCGGCGTCTCGCTCGGCGGCGCAACAGCTCTCAACGCAGGCCTGTCCCACCCAGACAGAATCGAAAGCTTCATCGCGTGCGATACGAACTCCTTCGCCCCGCCCTCCAACCCCAAAGCATGGGGCGAGCGCATCGAAGTCGCCGAAAAAGAGGGCGCGAAAGCGTCCCTCTCAACCACCAGCGGGGAGGAACCCATTGTTGGCGGCGAGCTCGCCGAGCTCACCGTGCGTCGCTGGTTTACGCAGGAATCCTACGCGCAGCCCGAGCTGCAGGAGCGCATTGAGAAGGTGAAGCAGATGGTGCGCACGAACTCGCTTCCGGGGTTCAACGACGGCGTCAAAGCGCTATATGAGTACGATTTCAGGGACAGAATGGGGGGTTTTAGGGGCAAGGCGGCTTTTTTGGTGGGCGCGGGCGATGGCGTGTTGCCGAAGACGATGAAGGGGATGGCGGAGAGCTTGGGGGAGGGAGGGGTGCAGTTGGAGGTTGTGGATGGGGCGGGCCATTTGCCGATGGTGGAGAGGCCGAGGGAGGTTGCGCAGTTTGTGGCTACGTTTCTGGACGGTTGAGTAGCGCTGGCTTCGTGGTCTCCTGCTTTGATATTGATCAGATGGCGCAGCGGAGTCCAGTTGGATTACGCTCCTGTTACACCGCAATAGCGCGCGTCTCCCCGTAAGAATAAAATCGGGCATCTGATTCGTATCAGATGGACAGAGTCGCATATCCCTCGCCTCCATCATCCCACGATCACTTCACAGCTCTGTGTTTGAACTCGTTTCCGAATCGCGGACCTTGTCTCTGACATGCCTGATGAGAGCCGCGTGACTGTGTAGATTGCCGCGTATGATGCCAGCAGTTGCTTTGACTGCCCTGAAATGTAGATCAGTATATTTGGGCATTGGTGAAGCATATGATGCCGTCACGGCTACTCATGTACATGCAGATTGCAAGTTGCACCGTCGAAGCTATGGGCCCTTCAGCGTCGTAGCACCAGAATTTCACGGCGTAAGGTGCTTGCGGTACAGGCGCTGTTGAACTCTCTTCCCTCCCTATCCCAGGCCTGAACTGTTGTGGCGAGATATTCCACACTTAGTGTATACAGAAGGTCTCCCAGAAGGTTTCGTCGTCCTCGTGGCCCTGGACAGCTTTTCCGTCCATGAAACCGTGCAGGTAGCTACCTTAATTAGCGCAGTGAACCCCCGCTTGCGCACGATCACTTACCATTCTCCGACAAACCGAAAGCAATCACCGCAGTCCTCTTCGCACGTCCTTCGAAGCACGTAAGGCACAGGGCCACCGGCAAAAACCACTACCACGTCTCCTTCCCGCATGCACTGCGGACCTAAGCCGAGAACACCAGACGCCGTAAGGAATAGCTTACGACCGGCGATAAAATTGGGCCAGTGCTGCATAGCCCCCGATTGGAGAAATATCGATTCCTCTTCTGTTGTCGTTGGCGGAACTCTGACGCCATTGACTGATCCTTCAGCGAGCCGACAACCGTCGTAGGACTGACCAGCCAACAAAACATCCCAGAATTCTACGATTGAGCAAATGAGCCGAGCCCCTCGGTAGCTGATCATCGCTTGGAGTCCTCGCTCGCTCCTGTCCTGGCCAGAGAAGGTGGACGCTACCCAATCGACTTCACGGCCTGCTACCTTCAATCTGGCGATTTCGGAGCTGCGTTCGATGTGAACACGTACAGAAGCATCCCCGCCTGCTTTGAAGATACCCGCTGCTTTTTCGCAGGAAACAAAAGGAGTCCTGCGATGTTGGTAAGTTGGGAGCCATGAAGGCCCAACCCCCCCGTACAGAAAGGTCCTCAGTCTTGCACGAAAAGGCTCCTCTGGTCTTTTACGATAAGGCAGTTCCGGATCGGAATCCCTCATTAGAGGCGCAAGCCCCTCTTCTAGAAGTTTGATGTCATTATCGTCTGACACGTGAGAAAGAATGTTGAGGACTCCGTAATGCCGCAAGTTTACCACTGCAGCATCCAGGAAAGCGTCATAGGCATTCTTTGAGTAGTCCGGTCGAAGCTCCTCACACATATATCCAATGAGTCCTAGGACGGAATAGATTTTGTCCTGTGGAACGGTGCAGGGATGGTGCCGAAATCGGCAGAGTAGTTCAGGAAGCTCAAGGCGACCACGTGCCTTGTACTGAATACGCGTGAGGATCATGCCTCTGGCGTAACGTAAGCGATTGTCTCTCAGGAAGAGACATGTCGAGGGGTCGTAGTCGTCCCTATGGGTGCTGTCCGGCTGCAACACTCGTCGAAAGACTTCCTCTATCACGTCAATCGAAATGCTCAATGATCCAACCAACATGGTCCCCCGTCGAGCGAGCGCGAGCTCTTGTATTGTCCACATCCTTTTCCAGAATTCGTGATCGAATATCTGGAAGATTCCTTCCCGTTGGTCATCCGTAAGAGGCGCTCGACTTCTAGAGACTTGGGAAGTATCCACAGAGCCAAGATGTGTCAGTGCTTGAATGCCTTCTTCGTCGCCGGGTAAATCACCACCTATGCTTAGAACGACTTCCTTCGCTTTTCGATATATCTCGCCTACGAGGCTGACTTGATGTCCCCGCTCACTGAGATCTAGCCTATTGATGCAAATTGCGTCGACCCAGAGAGCTGGAGCTTGACCGAACTCTTGAGCGCAGAGTGTTGCAAGGATCTCAGAAAGATTCCTGGTGACTTTTATCTTGAAGCCGTTGACGCAGACTGAATGCCTAATGTCGCGCCCTCCCCACACATAAGAGAGAGCAGAGAATTCCGGCAGGCTGCCTAGGCTAGCGCGGGCCATGCGGCATAGTGTCCGTCTTCGCTTGTCCAGAGAAGGAAGTAAATATAGAAGTCGTATGTCCGTGGGCTGAGAGAGGGGTTCATAAAAGTCCTCTTCGGAAATTCGTTCAGCTAAGAATTCGTCGATGTTGGGGTGGAAGTAGGGTATACCGAGAGCTTGCACCATTTTCGCCACTTCCCCTTGTGGAAGCCAGTCCAATGATTCCAGCAGTTGGTTTGATATCTCGCTGTGCGACGACGGATCGCAACTTGGGTCAAGATCACTCCATCCCTGGATAATCTCGTACAGCTGCATGGCCTTTCGCCGCACGCGGACTTGCTCATCGGCCGCGTTAGAACATGTGATGATATGCTTTTCCCAGTTATACCATGCATATTCCAGCAGGACGTTCGCATTCTCTCGGTTCGTCTTTGTGTTGAAATGATAGAGATAGGAAAGGCAGCTCTTGGCGATGAGGGCATGATCCTCGCTTGGAGATATTTGAAAGATGCGATTGCTGTTCGGAACCCCTTCGGCGGGGCTCAGATATTCGCTCAGTGAGAAATGCGCCAGGGTCACCGTGTGGACGTGGGCCATGGCTCGCGTGCCGCTCTCCTCGATGTCAAGATGAGGTTCGATAACGACCAGGTCTTGTAGGAGTTCGAAAAGGTTGTAAGCTTGGAGACGTTTCGAATCGGTCTCCAGCGATGGAAGACGCCCGGCTTTAAACGCACACACCTCCACAACCTCCTCTATAAAAAGTGGTCGTTTCGCCAGTACAATCCACTTCAGTGCTAACAGAGCCTTCGATGCAAGGCTCCGATCGATGCTGGAAAAGATTCGTTCGTACGTCTCATTCAGATCCATGGGCAAAGTCGATAGAGCGTGCTCAATGGTGCCATCAGTTTTGACTCGTAGAGCCCGAAGCAGACGCATTTGTAGCGCCGCCCACAGAAACCTGATCAGACGTGTTAGCCTACGCGCCAACACATATGTTAGCGGTACTTACATTCCCTTTGCTTGGTTTGCGAGCCTTTCAGTGATCTTTATTTTCGTTTCCGCCGATTGCCGATTGAGACCAGGGCATGCCATAATGGCGCGCGGGACATACTCGCCGATGTCTTCGTCGACTGCGTCGTAGTCCATGCGCAGGTCTACGAATATTGGCTTCAGGTATTCTCCAATGTCGGAACGATCTCGACTAGTGACAAAAATGAAGGTGTTATGCAGCCTTGCACTCGCGATTCGCGATAGCATCTCTAGCACTTGGTGACTTTGATCGTCGCTCGAAGGTATTTCATCCAAGGCATCCACTAGAAGGAAGAACCTTCTTTCTGGGTCTGCGATTCTCGTTTTGGCTTGCCTTGATGCGTTTGTATCATTCGCGCGGAGAACTTCAAGAAGAACTTCCTCCAATTCCTCTGAAGTGGGATCTCGAGCAGGGTATGACTCGTGACAGAGTTCATAGAGTGTTTGCAGCGCACTAGGCACGGCGCTCTTCTCACTGATCTCGACAAGCCATTTGCGAAGCAATAAAATCAACTCCCCTTCCACGTCGTTCTGAAACCGACAGTAATAGTAGCAGAGCCGTATGGTTCTCTGGGTTCTTCGGAGGGATTCGATGTGTTTGACGATTGCGGAGAAGAGCACTGTTTTTCCACAGCCGACTAGAAACATCAGGCATTTATGACTAATACAAGAGAAAGGGAGCTCACTCTTGCCCCAGAGCCAAAGGTTGCCGCCAGTGCTCTCAAGCCAGTCGACAAAGGCGTCTCCAGAAGGCCGCTTGAAAATCCATGGGCTGATTTGACCTTTTCTGGCTTCAGATGCAGACTTATGAATGATGTATTGCTTTTTATATTGCGCTAGTGCGGGGTTTGCCTTGGTAACTTCCGGGCGAGGCCATAACCACTCTAAAACGGGAGAGTAATCCTGTCTAGGGTTGCTATCGTAGTGTTGAAACGTGGGGCCGTTGTAGTGTTGGATAACGGCACCGATAGCTCGACTGTGGCCTTGAGCCGTGAAAGTGATTGATCCAAGGCCATCCGATGTTTGTGGCGTTTCGAAGGTATCAGCCTCGCCGTCGAGAAAGGATTCGTGAATCGGATGGAGCGGGGCTCGACCGTTGCCCTGCAGTTGAGCGTGAGGTAGCATCGGGGCCGTGATGCACGAATCTTCTTATAAACGCGCTTGCTCAAGCTGATCAGGTTGTGGAGAGCTTGAGGTGTTTAAGAGGACACGGTCGAGATTTAGAGCACCCTTGGTTATCATCTGGCGGCTTCCATCACTGGGCTAACCAAGCAGCCGGCTAGCAACGAAATAATAGAGCAAGTGCAGGCAACGTGGACCAGTAGTGTCGAGACTCGAGCCGCCAGGGCACAGCTCAGCAGGCTGAACGGCCGTTTCTGGCAACCGTTAGCGAGTGCGCGCGACTTAAGAATCCCCGCGGTCCTCGCCTGAATTGCTCCCTCAGCATGCGCTGTAGATGCCAGCCTTCCGTCAATAACGTGCTTTGTCTTCCACAATGCCCGAGCCAGTAGGACTCATCGCGGGTACTATTTGCATCGCCACTTTTGCTTATAAGAGCACGAAATCACTCGTAGAGTTCATCGACTCTCTGAAAGATGCCCCGAAGCTTATCTCAGACGTCAAAGGAGATGTGAAAGCGACGCAGAATATCATACAGTCAATCGAGTCCATGCTACAAAACCGCGACGCGGACAACATCTCGGGAGACCTCCACGCCTGCCTTGTGTCGTCTCAGCTCCCGCTGAAAGACTGCCAATCAGTCAGCGAAGATTTCGAAGCGAAGTTGAGAGACTGGTTTAACGACTCCAAGTGGGATCGCCTCAAAGCAAATTTCAAGGAGACTAAGATTGCAAAGTTCAGGACGAGGCTGAAGGATACCCGGGATACCTTGGACCTGGCATTGAATGTCTGCTTGATGTAAGCTCTGCGGCAAGCTCAAACGCTCACGTGCTAATTGAGGGCCAGAAAATTCGACGGCGTTCGGGCAGATCAAGCAAAGAAATTCGAGGCCGATATGGACGAGCGGATGCGTACTATTTCCGGGAAGCTTCAAGGGCTGGAGATAGGCAGACAAGAAATACTCGATGCCGCTGAATACCTCAGTGAACAAAACCACCAGCTCTCCTTCCAGCAAGGCGAGCTTGCGCGCCGTCTCTTGTCCCATGAGCGAGTACTTGGAGTGGCTCAAAAGCTTTACACCGCTGGCCTGTCCGAAACTGCGAGGAAAACGGGGAGTACGGTGAAGCTAGCGAAAGCGGTGGATGAGGCCAAGCAGGTGGTAATGATGGTCGGGGAGGGGTTCTCGGGAGATGTCGAGATAGGAGAAATGTTAACGCAGGGTAAGGCCAAGTCAGTTGGCGTGACTGACAACCCTGAATTCGCGCTAAAGTTTCTGCTCGGGTAAACCTGGTGGTAGAGTTGAAGATCTGGCATACGAATACATCGCATTCCTTCTGTCTGCACAGATTAGCTCATAAATTTAGTTATATGGAATATTCTTACCGTCATACTCTCGCAGCTCGCCTACGCGAGGTTGAAGACTAACATAGATCAGTGTGCGCGAGCTGAGTTGAGCGACTCATTAGCATGACTGGCATTATTTGGTGAGTCCATCAAAAGGTCCCTCTGATGAAGTTTTAAGGTTCGTGGAAGGAAAATGAGGAAGGTTAGAAGTGGAAGAGCGTCGGAATCGTGCGATCTATTAGGCTTTCCCTAGCTCAACAATGCGCGTTGCAAAATAGTCTCACATCTGCGCCGGACTCCCTGGGGGTAAGAAGCGACGCCGAGCACGGTTTGAAATTTATGGATGGGTGCAGTAGTGATGAAGTGTGGGAGTGTTGGTCCGACCGGTCATTCCAGCCCTGGGGTTTCGTCCGAGCCGATTACGTCATGCATCCGGAAGGGGCAACGACCCTCAGGGCTCTCCACGATGAACTAAGCAAATTGGGGCGGTGTTGAACCCATCTTTCACGTACTCTTTCTTGCTCGACGAAATGACTACAGGGACGTATCAACCACCTCAGATAGGGGTATAGAGACGAATATATCCACGCCAAATGCTAACCATCCCCTGACATCAAGATATATCGAAATGCCCATCACATGAAAGTCATATCCCCGCCCATCACTCAGTGCCCATTGCCTCAACCCCCAATTTCGCACCATCGTACTCCCCCATATCCGGCTTAACCTCATACGTGGGCTTGTCCTGCGGCTCCAAGCTCTCCGGGTCGATATACCTGCACGTAAGCGCAAACCTCAACTTCCCCGTATGATCGACCGAGTGCTCGTAGTACTTCTGCAGCTCGGCACCGTGCATGACCATGATATCGCCATGCCCCAGCGTCATCGTAATCGCATCCCTCGCCTGGCCACTTCTCTTCAGCTTCAGCTCCTTCGGTATCTGCTTCAGGCGGATTTTGTATGCCTTGCTGTCGGACTGCTGGAGGGCCTGGAGCTCCGGGTGCATGGCGAGTCGCGCTTCGTAGGCGGCGCAGCCGGGCATTGGTGCGTCGTTGTCGTAAATGCCAGCCGACGACACACCATGGTGGTGTTTGGCCTTCATGCGGATGCGCATAGTTCCCGGTGCACCGAGCGAGAGCGTGGCGATGGTAGGACCGAGGCCGTACTCGCCGTCGTCGTGGTAGTTGATCCGCTGGTTCTCGAAGTAGCCCAGCGCCAGTACCTCGTTGAACTCCTTGCTCTTCCACTCTTCCGCAATCTCTTCAACGGACTTACCCTGCTCCTGCGCGAGGAGGAACTTCGCGGCCCAGTTGAGCCTGCTGCGAGTATCGGTAATCGGGCTGGCAGCCCCTTCGAAGGAAGACGATGCGGTTGCAGCAATGAATTTGTACGGCATGCCGTAGTTAACAAGGAAGTGCCGGGTGTAGGAGTCGCCCTTGGTTACGCCGCTTCCGAGTGATCGTCGTCGTAAGCCAATGTCGTTACGTTGAATTGCTTCGAACATGTCGTCGGGACCCCCGGGTTCTTCGAGGACGGTCTTGTTGGCGATGAGATGAGTGATAAAGCCGTCGATGCCCGGAATCATGAACTGGTTGATGCGGTAGTTATGCGCGAAGGAAACGTTGAGTTTGATGAAAGGGACATGTGTATCGCGCGATAGGGTGTAGCTAGCCGTCAAAGGCCAGAATGGCTCCCGGAGAGATACCGCCGGTATGAGGGTATGCGCAGGTACTTTCTTGAAGTTGCAATTTGGAGTCTGGCATTCCCAGCCCATCCAGCTGAGGCGGGAGTTGCAGCGTCCACAGTCGGGACAGACCGTGCCTAACCACCATACCACAGAACAGTCTTCCCCAGCAATCGAATGACCGGAGAGTTCTGCATTATTTGAGGTGAGGGGGTAGACATGGTCGTCGTTCGGCCATGCGGTCTTCTGCTTGAGGAATCGGGGATCGTAGGTGAGCGAAGCCTCGTTAGGCTCTTGGAAGTCGCCGAACAGTCCCGGTATTTTCCAGAAAGCGGAGCAGCCTGGTTGCAAGCACATCCAGCCTTCCAAATAGATTTGATCCGAATCTTTTCCACAAGTGGAGCAGGATTGGATAATCGGCGGGGGCAGTGAGCCAGGTTTAGCGACCTCTTCGGCGTCTTTTGGCTGCCACCATGAGGCTTTCTTTGTGTTGAGTTTCTCAAATCGATACCGTAGAACCTTCACGCCCTTGGTCTTCTCCCACCAGACTTGAGTCGGCTTGAAGTAGTCAAGCACGCAATATGTCTGCGGAGGCTTCGAGGGACAGCACGGGTTGTCGGCGCCGGTGATGATGACAACCGGGTTGAAGAATTTCATGCTAGTCCTCAGAGAGGTAACATAGCTGTTCTCGCTCTGGTCTTTTCCCATCCTCATCTTTTTAGCGTCCTTGTCCTTGACCATGCCACCACCGGCGCGAGCGATAATGACGCTTGCATCCATGAAATCGCGTGGGTGGCTTTCTTTATCGTGAAGAAAAGCTCGAGCGTTGCCGGCGCTGCTATAGCAGCCGCCCTGATGGGCGCGGAAATAGTGCAATGTCTCGCACAACTCCTGGCGAGTATCTGCCCACACTTCGGGACGAGCGCTAGGCTCCGGTTTGGGTACAGTGGAACAAGGGGCGAGCAACTCTTGAGCGAGAGCCAGAAGCTGGTCGTTTCGATGAGATGCGGGCATCGAGTATTCTTGATAGCCTATACGATCTTCTTCGGCTGGAGATGGGCCTTCTATATCTTCGTTAGTATTGTGTGCCAAGTAAGGTGCAAAAACTTACGCCATGGAGGATGTTGAAGAGGCGTGGGTGGAGATTGAACGATGGCCTGACCGATATCGAGATCGAAAGGTTGAGTGAATGCGGGATTGAGTTGGCTGCCATCCTTTGTGTGTTCTGCCGCGCGAGGGCCTAGGATGGCTGATTCGGTGGCACCCTCTTCGAGATCCTCCGCCGAGGCGATAGATGCTGGACTGGAAGGAGCGATTGGCTCAAGCGCTGGCTGAGCAAACTGCTCTTGAGAACCCTCGGAGGGATGATCTACCATGTTTTGAGCGTCGAGTTCGAATTCTTGTGAGGTTGATTCCGGGCCGGTAGAAGTGGGATGCTCGAGGATACGATCGAGTCCTGCCTGCCATTTTGAAGTGCGAGGAACTAGTAGGGGTTTCACTCCTGGTCCAACATGCGAAGGTGTGCTTTCGATGTGGCCAGTGCGTTCACCAGCATGACTGGCAGGCGTATGTGGGCTTCGAGTGTCTGGACTTGTTATCTGTTGCTGTCGAGTCCTGGCAAGAGAAGCAGGTGACTTGTACGGCAAACGAACGATCAGGGATTTAGCTTTTCGGGCTCCAGGAGCAGAGTTTGCTCGAATGGAACGCCTTGGGGTGAACCTGGTGGACGGTTGCTTGTTTCGGCCACCTCGCGCCGGGGTAGATTGAGCAACATCTTCGGGCTTGGTGCCTCTGGTAGGGCGTGGCTTTGCTTGAGAAGTAGCTTCATCTTTGCTCAGCTTCACGCGCTTTGGGGAAGGCGAGGGGAAGCCAGTCTCGCTGGCCTTACGCTGCGAGGCCCTGAGAGTGCGACCGGATGGCTCTGGCGGAACCTGGGTTAAGGTAAGCGGAGACGTAGTTTCATGCTTGCTCAGCTTCGTCCGCTTTGGAGACGGCGTCGGAAAGAGGCCCTGGCCGGCCTTTAGCTTGGAACGCCTAGGCGTACGATTCTGCGGCTGCGGCGGCTTAGAGGGAGACTCCAGGATTCGGGACAAAGTTGCCTGCTTCTCCCCTTGCGCTTCAGAGCAGTCGGACAGATCGTCTGGGTAGTCGCTTAACGGCGATCCGGACGCATCGAATGCTGCCGGATCTGGGCTGAAGACGCTTGATAGGGCGGTGCCCTTGGAGCCGGTCGAGCTCCTCTTGCCCTTTGTACGAGCCATTGCTGACGGACACTCGCGATAAGCGCGGTTGGCGGCTGCGACGGAGAACTGTGGGGAATCGCAGGTCGGTGGCGGTTGAGGTAAGTCTGCGGCGATTGTGGTCAAGAGGAGAGGAGATGAGCAATATGAAGAAGGTCGACACGAAAGCTCGAGTACAGGTGAAGGCCTAGCAGTTGTCGTCACGCACACAAGAAGGCTTCAATTCTAAGGTGGGGCATCTTTCACTCCTTCACTCAAGGTGCGTAGTCCCAATTCTTGAGGCGAGCGTGGCGAGCTAAGGTGAAGCAGTGAATGATGACGATCAGGGCGAGCGGGTAATCCGAGCGCTGCCATGATAACGGATGCCAATATGTAAATTGTAACGAGCATTTGATGCCCGGAGGTCTATCGCCGGATGCTGCGAGGATGCCGCACCCAGCGCCAGCCCTGACGCTAAGCCGTAATGGGACTGATACCTCGGCTCAACTACCCCAGCTTTCTTCGCTTCGAGGCATCTCCGCAAGCTCGCCCCGCCGGCTTGGTGGCCGGGTCCATGGCCGATACACGCATCCGATGCTTGCTAGCGTCACCCGAAGCCGCAGAGCTCCTCTTTAAAGGCCCCCGTGCCGTGTCCGCTCCCTCTCCCTGACCGCCGCCGTTCAACCTCTCCAGTTCCCTCGAGAAGCTTGGCAATAGGCGCGGCGCAGTGCCTGACTGCAGACATCTACCATTGACTCGAGAGAAGGCAGCTCAAAATGCCTTTCTACGCGCCGTCCTGGGTGCCGCCGCTCGACTATGACCCGCCAGACTCCATCACTATCGCCGACTTCATGCTCGACGAGCACTACGGCCGACACCCGCTCGGATACTCGAGGGCGCCGTTCACCTGCGGGCTGTCGGGGAAGGAATACTCAAGCTTGGAGGTCAAGGAGCGCGTCGACTATCTGGCGCGCGGGCTCGCGAAGGAGCTTGGGTGGCACCCGAACAAGGGCTCGGAGTGGGACAAGGTCATTGGCGTCTTCTCTGTCAACACGGTGAGCCCGCTTTGCGCTGGCGGATGTAACAATGCTGATGTCTGACAGCTCGACGCGCTACCACTAGCCTGGGCCACCCATCGCCTGGGGGGTATCCAGACGCCCGCGAATGCCGCCTACAGCGCGCCCGAGCTCGAATTCCAGCTGAAGAACTCGGGCGCGAAATGCCTGTTTACCTGCCTCCCGCTCTTGGTGACCGCGAAAGAGGCTGCGAGGAAGTCCGGAATCCCGGACAATCGCATATACATTTTAGATGTGCCAAAGGAGTTCACGGGCGGCAAGGGCGCGCCAAGCGGCATGAAGACGGTGGACGACTTCATTCGCGAGGGCCAGAAGCTGGACCGCCTGGAGCCACTAAAGTGGCAGAAGGGTGATGGCGCAAAGAAGACCGCCTTCCTCTGCTATTCCAGCGGCACGTCAGGCCTTCCGGTAAGCGACCACAAACCGTCCTGGATGCGTTGCCTAATCTCCCTCGTAGAAAGGCGTCATGATCTCTCACAGGAACGTCATTGCAAACACCAGTAAGCCATCCTCTCCGTATGCGCCACAGCATGAGCCTAACTAGCACTAGTCCAGATCGAGACTTACGAGCGGCCGTTCCGGGACACCAAGCGCCAACCTCTAACTCAGTCCGCATACACAGAAAATGTCCTCGGTCTCTTGCCCATGTCCCACATCTACGGCCTCGTTGTCATCTGCCACGCATCCGTCTATCGCGGCGACGGCGTAATAGTGCTGCCCAAGTTTGACTTTACGCAAACGCTCGAAGCAATCCAAAAATACAAGATTGGGTCGTTGTTCTTGGTAAGCTATTAGCTCCCACCCGCTGAGTAATGAGCTAACGACGATAGGTGCCTCCGATCATCATCCTGATGACGAAGAACAAGATCGTCCTCGACAAGTACGATCTCAGCAGCGTGTGGTCGATATTCACTGGTGCGGCGCCGCTCGGCCACGAAACAGCGGAGGACCTGCATAAGCTCTTCCCCAGCTGGAAGATCCGACAGGGTTACGGTATGCTTGCTAGCGCTTCTCGCTTCTCGCATCCCGTTTGGCTAACAGGTGTTCAGGCCTCACGGAGACAAGCACTGTTGTATGCTCGACTTCACCTGAGGATATCTGGTATGGCTCCTCGGGCTCGCTTCTTCCGGGCGTCGAGTGTAAGATCGTCACTCTGGAGGGAAATGAGATCACTGGTTACGACCAGCCAGGAGAGCTGCTGGTCAAGTCGCCCTCGGTCGTGCTAGGGTATCTCGACAACGACACGGCCAACAAGGAGACTTTCCAGGATGGCTATATGCGGACTGGCGACGAGGCCCTGATACGGAAGGCGCCGTCTGGGCACGAACATGTCTTCATCGTTGACCGAATCAAGGAGCTAATCAAGGTCAAGGTGCGTATGCTTTCCGACAGCTGATGATGATCGTGATAGCGGAACTAATCATTCAACAGGGCCACCAAGTCGCTCCCGCAGAGCTCGAAGCACATCTCCTCACGCACCCTGCCGTCAATGACTGCGCCGTAATCCAGGTCCCCGACGAAAAGTCGGGTGAAGTCCCCAAAGCATTCGTCGTCAAGTCGCCCTCCGTAGGCCTCGAGGAGAGTGATCGCATGCTCGCACGCCAGATCCAGAAGCACGTCGAAGAGCACAAGGCACGCTACAAGTGGATTACTGGCGGTATAGAATTTATCGATCAGATCCCGAAGAGTCCCTCCGGCAAGATTTTGAGGAGGTTCCTACGCGACAGGGAGAAAGAGAAGAGGAGGCAGGCTGGAAGCAAGCTGTAAATATCTGTGGTATATCTCGGCGGTACCTTGTTGTATATCTGCATTTTGAGGGATGTTCTAGATGTAGAAGTAAACATCAGAGTCAGCGTAGACGCAATGCATTCTTGCCCTATTCAGAATTGTAGCAACCTGAAGGTGAGGCCGGGCTCCGAAAGTCACGTGCTCCCTTAGCCTATCGATTACCAATGACGTCGGCGTTCTGCCCCTCCAGAACTCCGATGTTCGCCCGAAAATAAAAGGTTCTTGGACTTTCGAGATCCGCATTTCTAAGCACAACACCACGACGCCGCCTTATAAGGATTTCTACGGGCCGGGCAGACGCTTCTGAAACCACTACGTACCATACCGCGCAACCGCAGATCAGAAATTGAAGGGAGAACGCAGAAATGGCCGTCCCAAACCCGAACCAGCCTCACCATCACGAGGATGAGGACGTCCACGAAGGAGACGACATGCTCGACGCCGAAGAGGCGGGAGAAGAGATAGCAGACGACGGAGATGTACCGATGGAGTCGGATGAGGAGGCTGAGGAAGGTGGCCAGGACATGCAGATGGAGATCCAGCTACAGAACGATTCGAGTGCGCATTTTGACGCACACACGGACAGCATCTTCTGCATAGCGCAGCACCCAGTTCATCCGGAGATTGTGGCTACCGGCGGCGGGGACGACGTTGGATATGTGTTTGATGTATCGTCACAGCCACCCGCGCAAGCAAGTGCAAGTGGGCAGCCGAAAGAACGAGAGGGGTTAAAGAGCTTGTTTAAATTGGAGGGACATAAGGATTCTATCAACGCGATTGTCTTCTCGGAACCAAAAGGGCAGTTTCTCGCCACCGCAGGATTGGATGGAAAATTACGCGTCTGGCAGGGTGTGCCAGATGGCAAGAAATGGAAGTTCCTAGCCGAGGCGCAAGAGGTGGAAGAAATCAACTGGCTGGCCACGAATCCCTCGCCCGACCATGCGAACGTTGTAGCTCTGGGCGCTAGCGACGGCAGCGTCTGGGTCTACCAACTATCTACAGAGAAGGGCACCGAGCTCCAGGTCCTGCAGGCGTACTACTTGCACACAGAAACGTGTACCGCGGGCTCATGGAGTCCGGATGGCGCGCTACTGGCTACGGTATCTGAGGACTCAAGTCTGTACGTGTGGGATGTCTTCGGGGATGCCGCTGCGCAAGGCCTCACCTCAACCTCGAATTCGCAAGCAGTCGTCGGCCTGACCGGAGTGGACGAACGCTTCCGCATCGAAGGCGGCCTCTACAGCGTCGCTGTCGCCCCTTCCGGCTCCTTCGTCGCAGTGGGCGGTCCTGAAGGCCAGGTCCGCATCATTGGGCTCCCGCGCGTCTCCGCACCTCAGCCATCTACCTCATCTGGCGGTGCCGGCGCGAAGAGCAAAGCTGGTGGCAGCAAACAAGCAGCCGTTAAAGGCGGCGCGAGCTCAGCAGGTCAGGTGGGTCAGATATTGGCGAGCCTACAAGCAGGCACCGATAACGTCGAATCCCTCTCCTTCTCGTCACCGCCCCTCACTCTTCTTGCAGCCGGCAACGTCGACGGCAGCATCACGCTTTTTGACACTGCTCATCGGTTTGCGATCCGGCGTCGCATTGAGGATGCGCATGCGGATGAGGAGCAGCCACAAGCCGTCGTGAAGGTAGATTTCTTGAAGAAAGAAGGCGCCGATGCGTGGTTGCTGACGAGCGCGGGGTATGATGGCGTGTTGAAGCGGTGGGACGCAAGAGGCGGAACGGCGGCTGCAGCCAAGGGCCTCGTAGGGGAGTGGAGAGGACATCGGGGTGGCGGCGAGGGAGGAGGCATTATGGGGTTCGTGCAGGGTGGTGGGGGGGAGAGGGTTGTTACAGTGGGCGATGATGGTGTGGCTTTGGTGTTTGCGACACCGATGTAGAGTGCTTATGGAGATACTGGAATGGGTTAGAGGGTAGCGGATAGCTTTTGTAGGTCCCTGGTCATAAGGGAGCCTTGCAGTCTTGATGCAAAATTTATAGACAACCCCTACGAACGATCTAGAACTTTGATCCGGGAAGGGATGACATCTTTCGAAAACTGGTCAGCTATCGCCGACCATCTTTGAGGAGTAAGGTGATATCGGCGCAGTATCTTCCTTGCGCTCACCTCAACAAACCTGAATACTATCCGCACTCACACATCCTTCGCTAACAACAAACCCCGCTCCTCCACCCTCATACTCGAAATCTGAAGCCTGCACCTCCACACCCTTCCTCCCATCCCTATCCCCTACAACGGCAGACATCGCGTTTCCCAGCAGCGCCACAGTCACCGTATACTTCACATCCAACGCCCAGTCGAACTCGGCTCTGGCTAGTTCCTCTCTCCGCTCATCCCGCGCCTTGACGATAGCGACGTAGCCCTTACCGTCGTCTTTGCGGAATTGAACGGCGTGCCAGCGGTTTAGGGATTGGTAGCGCACGATTATGCCGGAGGATGAGCCGAGGTGCATGCAGAAAGAGGACACGTTAATGGAGTAGTCTGACCACTCGCGGGTTCCGGTGACGAATACGCCTTCGCTGTGCCCTTGCGCGAGGTAAAAGGATGGACCCATCGACGTGTGCGCTTTGTGCACGGAAGATACGAAAGCGCGCTGCCAGAACCTCGCACTTCCGCTTCCTTTCTCTGGCCTTTTTAGCGTCATCTTAGGCGTCCCCTCGCACTTTAGGCTCCTCAGCCACACCGTCCCCTCGAGCGGCGCACTAGAGCCCCGAACAGCAATCCCAACTGCCTGAATTGGCCTGTTCTCCGCCTCTTTCGGCGCTGTCCACGTTAAGCTATCTAGCTTCCCCGGCACAAGAACTAGCTCTAGACTCTCTAGCATGATCAGCTCGTCGGTGTAGTCGTATGCTTTCACGCATATAGTGATGCTTGCGGGGCCGGTGTTTTGGGCGTCCGCGGAGAGCGTGGCGGTGAGGAGTTGGCCTGGGTAGATTAATGGGCAGGCCATCATTTCGTAGTCCCGGGATACCTGGAGGACACCGAGGGGCGTGAAAGTTTGCGTGAGGACTTCTATGGGAGTGGAGGAGGGAAGGGGGGAGTGGATGTGGATTCCTAGCGCGGGCACACCGTTCGCGAGGCTTTGGGCGATGGTGATGGTTTCTGGTGGTGAGGTTGTTTGGAAACCTTGCACGCTGCCGGGGAGGGAGAAATGCCATTGCGCGCCGCCTTTTGGGGGGTTAAGAGGTTCTTCGCCGGCGAGTTTGAGGGCGAGATTTGCGAGGGAGTAGGTTAGTCGGACGGCGTCGTTGATCGAGTATCCGCCGTCTGCGCTTGAGATCAGGGCGCGATCAGCCAGCGGCCCGCGCCAATCTAGTCCTTTATCGTTCTCGAAAGCAGCGAGGCCGTGCATAATAGCGAGTAGGCAGCCAATGTTTCCGGAGTTGCAGTCTGTGTCCCACCCGGAAGTGTTGATGATGTGCATCGCGGTGCTGAAGTCGTGGGCGCCGTATAGGAGCGCCATGATCATGATGCCGTGGTTGGGTATCATGTGGCATATGCCGGTGTACTTGTCGTATCCGTAGTTATCTTCGATACGTTGGCGGGTCTTTTCCCAATTGCCATCTTCTTCAACCCAGCTTCGGATATCGGATATTAGGCCTCGAAGCGGCGAGTCCGACGGGATAGAAGAGAGACCCGTGTTTAGAAGGTGGTTCACGTCTTTTGATTTGAACGCTTCGGCCTCCATGGCCGCCCACAGCACCGCTGCATGGACGGCGACGCCGTCGTGGCTTACTCGCGCAGCTGCTTCCGCAAGTCTGGCAGCAAATGCAGGATTACCAGGGCTTACGAGCGCCCAACCGTCGATGAAGATTTGCGCGCCAATTTGCTCCGCTATCGTTTTTCCATTTGCGGCTATCGAGCCACTGGCTGGCGGCCTGATACCCTTCTTCAAGTTATTGAACGCAGTATGCTCGGTTGATATGCCGTGCCCGCCCCACCAGAAGATTGTCTTCTTCTCAATCACCTGATTCAACCACACCTCCTCGCTCGTGAGATTGGGCTTCGCTCCATGCTCGTCCAGGGCGCGAACGAAGGCAAAGGTGCCGGAGACGTCGTCGTCGATCACGACTAGAGGGAGATCGAGTTGCTCGTGGACGTAGTAGTGAACTGGGCCTAGCTTTTCCAGGATTTCGTGATATGTCCAGTTTTCGAACGGCCGACCCAGGTAGACGCCGATTAGTTTCCCCAGGACGCCGGCGTAGATCTTGTTTAAGTAGTCTGGAGGCAGGGAGGACATGATTACAGTACTAAGGCATAACAGGGAGTTTCACATAAGAAAGAAGAGAAGTGAACGGATCGAATGGGAAGGATTTGGTCGATAAATTGTCCCCACTTTCGGTGGGCGACCCCACTTCTGCCGTCGAATATCTGGAGATAGGCGGCCAGCGCTGGAGGACGTATATGCGGATGAGAATTGCGCCGATATCTCTCAGACTAGACGGAGACAGGTTTTATTTAGTAGGAGTGTGATTGGAACGCCATTGTATGTGATGTCGTGAATGCGCTAAGCTGGATTTGGAATAGTCAAATGTCGCGGCCTTGAAACCTCGGATATCAGAGCCCTCTGGCACTTCCACCTCACACTTCTCATCCATATATTCATCTCTTTTTAGCTATAACTCTGCAATTCCATCGGCAGTTCTTCACTCTTAGCCGGAAACGATGCGGGTCTCCTGCATGTCGACGATCGACTCCAGCTGCCGGGTTATATGCCCGGAGAAACGTGCGGCATGCTAGGTTCTGGCCCATGCCTACGCTCCTATCCATGCCATGTCTCCACGGCATTCTGGTAGCGAGCGAGCCTCAAGCGCGTCCGTCATCGACAAGGTAGATGCGTGAATGATTTGCGGGGAAGAGCGGGGCTCATCTAATTATTCCCATCCGGAGTGTGGCCGACGGAGAAATTCGCTCCCAGCTACTGCGATTCGACGTCTCGCCTGCCTTTTTCAGGCAAGGTGCCGCTTCAATAGAGATGAACGACGAATCCCACCACGATGCCGTCACCTAGGTTTAGGGATGTTCATCGCCCACCGCGTCGGATACAAAAGCCAAGCTTCCTTCTCTCTGCCAGAACGATAGTCAAGAGGATATCACGCACGTGAACGATGCGACTATGAAATCAACACGTTACTGGGTTTCCGCCTTCTTTCTTCCCGGTGCTCTTGCTGCCCTTGATGCCGACGCCATAGTAAAGCAGTACTTCGGGAACGATGCGCCATGGTACCGCGACCGTATTCCTTTCTTCGAATCAAGTGATTCCGAAATCACTGACGTTTACTACTACCGGTGGAATATTTTTCGCGCCCACCAGCGCGATCTCGGTGCGAACGGCTTCATCTCGACAGAGTTCCTCAACGATGTCAGCTGGCAGACCACCCCTTGGGCTTCTCTGAACGACGCAACCGGTTTTCATCTTCTGGAGGGCCGATGGTGCCGCGATCGGCGATTCAAAAGCGACTATGCGACATTCATGTACAGTCCGAACAGCAACACGCGACAGTTCTCCGAAAGCATGGCCACCTCTGTTTGGCAGGGGTATCTAGTCGATGGCGTCGCAGAGGATGCTGTAAGGCTGCTGGATCCTATGCAGAGTGTATATGCTGCCTGGAGTGACTCGTACGACTCTTCTAAGAGCCTCTACTGGGTGGAACCTATCCGGGATGCGACAGAATACACCATCTCGAGCATTGACGCCAGTGGCGGGCAAGACGGATTCTTCGGCGGGTTTAGCTTCCGACCCAGCATCAACAGTTACCAGTACGCTAACGCCAGAGCAATCGCCAACCTTGCGGCTCTCAACGGTGGCATGACGGACACTGTCGATTCATTCGACTCTCAGGCCGCCTCGATCAAATCTAGGGTACAGGACGCCCTCTGGAACTCTACTTTCGAGCACTTCATTGATCGCTACTACGTCAACAACACTTACGTCAAATACTGGGACTTTATCCGAGGTCGGGAACTGGTAGGCTTTGTTCCTTGGGCGCATGATCTGCCTGACGATAACTCGGAGTACGCTCAAGCCTGGAAGCATGCCCTCAATACCAGCGAACTACAGGGCCCACACGGACTCCGGACCGTTGAACCTAGCTACGAGTACTACATGCGGCAGTATCGATACGAAGGTACGAACCCGGAATGCCAATGGAACGGCCCGGTATGGCCATTCCAAACGACGCAGGTCCTCACAGGATTAGCGAACTTCCTCGACCACTACCCCACAGGAGCCTCTGCTGGAGTGGTTGGCACTTCGGACTACACTCGCCTTCTCAAGCAATATGCGCAGCTTCACTACAATCCAGAGCGCGGCGGCATCTTGGATCTCGAAGAGGACTACTACCCAGATACCGGAGCCCCCGTCGTCGGCCTTCAACGCTCGCCGCATTACTTCCACTCTGGGTTCGTCGACCTCATACTCACTGGCCTTGTCGGCATCCGGCCGAGCGCAGACGATGTTCTTGAGGTCAATCCTCAGGCTGATGCTTCTTCCATCACTTACTTCCGCGCGGACCGAATTCTATACCATGGTCACGATATCGCAGTGCAGTGGGACTCCGATGGCTCGCGCTACGGCCAAGCGGGACTGCAACTCGAAGTCGACGGCGAGGTCGTTGCCTCGTCTCCCGACCTGGCTCGCCTCAATGTCTCAATCTCCCGCCTCCCTCCACCACCGATCTCACGACCTATCGCCAAATCAACCCAACTTAACAGCACATGGCCTTATCCCAAAGGCAGCGTCTCCGTTCCTGGGGTCAACGACACTGACATATATCGGTGCATTGACGGACGTATCTGGTTCTTCCCGCAATGGGAAGTCGCCAATGGCTGGAGTACGCCAATCGGTAATGGCTCAGAAATCTGGTTCCAGATCGACTTTGGGGAGAGCACGACCGTCAATCGCTCCGAAATCGCTTTCTTTGCGGATGAGGATCAGGGGTTCGATGTCCCGATGGAGTACCGGGTCCAGGTCGAGCAGAACGGCGCGTGGATGGATGCAAATGGTGCAAACTACACTGAATCCGTTGCGAATGGGATCACAAATGCAGAGTGGAAGGCGGTGAATGCCAACTTGCTCCGGCTCGTGTTCACCCCTAAGAGCGGCATGAAAGTTAGACTCGTTGAGTTCAAAGTTTTCTGAACACACGAATAGCAAAGGAAAGCAACGGCGGCACAATCGAGGTTCCCTCATACAACCAATCCCGCAACTTAAACATGCGGAATGAAATCGGTCCATTCAACATTGACATATGCACTCCCATTGATGTTTCTCAACTCCAAAAACGCCTCGATAATCAGATACAGCCTTGCGATTCCATAAACAATTGCGAGCGGCGTAATCGTCGCAAACTCCCAGGGAAGGGGCAGTTCACTCAATTGTCGCTTGATCATGGTCATCTGTCTGTGTTGCATTTGTCGCCGGTGTCGTTCCAGACCCTGCTTATTGAAGAGATATAGGTAGATTGTCTTCCATCGCCCCAGCCTTGTCCAAGAGGCGATCGTCTCGAAGAACCAGAACGCGACCGTTATACCAAAGAGTAGGAGCGACGAAATGCGCCAAAGGAGACGCTCGGTGTAAGTTGGAAAGTCAAAGTTCCACCCTGCGACGTGGATCGCCGTGAACACCAGTGTTGCGAAACACAGCAGGTACTCTTGCGGCCCGTAAGGGTTCATCGGAAAACGGTCGTTCGGAATTCGCTGTATCGGACGCTCTGGAGGAATCACTGGCATCTTCATGAACGGCTGGACGTTCACCGAATAGCCGGGGCCATTCTCGTCTACAAAATCCAGCGGCGTAAGACTCCATGGGATGTTATCTGTGATTTCGACTAGTGTGCGGGGTGAGTATATGTGTATTGGCGTTTGCACGTCTGCAGGCTTGTGGAGCCAGGCGTACGAGGTCATGAGCGAGCATACTACGATAGCGACCGCGTTGAGCTCGAGCGTCGTTATGGCGAGGTTCTGGATCGCACGCGCCGTGCATTGCAAGATAAGGTACCCGACCTGAAACGCAGTAATGATCTTCGTGAAGGTGTCCTGTTTGGACCTGTCCCAGACCTCCTTGCGCGTTATATTGGGATACTCGACGTGGCCGTGCCGAACGAGCCAGAGGAGCTGTGTCGCATTCAATGGGAAGGGATCGCCGTCGCGAGCATGAAAGACGAAGCCTCCCATGTCTGCGAAAAAGGCCTGTCGCATGTGCCAGTCTTCGTACCCTGCGTCCCGGAACGCTTGAACTGAATGCTTCGCTCGGCTCCATTGTCCCGCAGCGTATGTCAAGGGAAATTCCGGACCGACGATTCCCAAGCACATCCAGAGTAGTCGACGCCAGATGAGCGTGGGATGGGTGTCTTTCGGGGAGGGTACGTTCAGGCACAGCATGGAGTATGTGCTGATGCCGATAGTAACGAGGGACGTCCAGAGGATATCGAAGGTACCCCTAAAGTTAGGCTGGCCTGCCCAGCCTTTTATTCGAAGCGAGAAGTCTTTACTAGTAGCGTATCCATTGTCGAGGTTGCGAATAGGAAAACCGTCGTCTCCCTTTGCGACGTTCTCTTCGGCTCGGCATAGGAGAACGAAGATTCGGAGGATGAGGAGGATGAGACAAAAGCATCTAGTGATGCTGCCGCGAAGAAAGGACTCCATCATATCGTCATGAGCGTGCGTCTCTTTGCCAGCAAGCAAAACGAATCTTGGGGAGGAGAGGTGCTTGGGTTCAGGCTTAAGGACGACCATCTCGTGTGAGTACCTGCACCACCTCCTTATCGCTTTTGGTGGACATCCAATGAACATTTTGTGCAGTGCGGCACAGTGAGCATCGCCGTCCCGATCAATATATTCGGCAGGATCTATTGGGCACGGGCCGGGCCTTGGTAGTGGACAATGCATCGTGATAGGTTCGTTAAGCGCTGCGGGGGCGTGAAGCGCAACACGGGCTCTCCCGTGCATCCAACTCCATCACAAACAGTTCCATCCACCTCCCTTCTCCTCTCATGCCGCCGTCCTCCCAACATTTTCGATCCCAATAACAGTCCGATACGAAGTCATTCTCTCTATTGCTTTCATTGTCATGGTCTCCACCTCAGCCGTGCTGAAACCACTTTTTGGCACTGTCGCCGGGATCGTTGGCATCTACGTCGCTTTCATATCGCTGCTCACAATCCCGGCGCTGCAGGACCATGTCATTTACCTGCATCGGGTCAAGCTCACATGGTTTCAAGATGTGAACGTACCGGAGCAATGGGGCTTTCTCCGCAACCAAGTCACACCTTTCCAATTGAAGACGTCGGACGGGGAGACACTGCACGCATGGCACGTGCTTCCGCTCGAGGTTTACCGTCAGCACCAGAAGGAGCTACAGAAGGAGCCCGTCGGCTTATGTAATAACATCCAAGAGAGACTATCATTCAAACTACTCAAGGACGACCCCACGGCACAGATCGTCATCTACTTCTATGGAGCAGCAGGAACCCTCGGATCAGGCTGGCGGCCTCAGAGTTACCGCGCCATGTCTGCAGCAGCGCCAAACGTCCACATTCTCGCAATCGACTACCGCGGCTTCGGAACCAGCACTGGATGGCCCTCTGAAGCCGGCCTGCTTACCGACGCACTCACGCTCGTCAATTTCGCCCTGGAAACAGCAGCAGTTCCGCCAGAACGAATAGTTCTCTTCGCCCAGTCCCTCGGGACAGCCGTGACCCTTTCACTAGCGCATAAGCTTGCTCTACAGTCGCCGACCACACTCTTCGCGGGCATGGTTCTCGTAGCTCCGATGGCTGATGTCGAACTTCTGACCGAGACGTATAAAGTGGCTGGGACGATCCCGCTCCTATCGCCGATCGCGCTCTTTCCTAAGCTTTTGGCCCTTCTCAACCGGTTTATTATCAGCAAGTGGCCTTCAAAGGATAAACTTGCGGCTATGATTCGCCACCTGGACTCTATGGTCCTCGAGAAGCACAAGGCTAAGTACGACATCACCCTCATTCATGCCGAAGACGACTACGACATCCCTTGGATACACTCCGATGTCCTGTTTTGGCACGCTGTGAACGCCATGGAAGAGCCGAAAGCTGCCCTGGCGTTCGAAGAGCTCGAGGAAGTGAAGAAGGAAAAGAGGGTAGCGCTGGGCGCTGGCGGATGGGAAATCGAGTGGAGAGGGAAGAGTGGAGCTGTGAGGGAGCAGGTTGTGAAGCATGGCTTGCATGATCGGATTATGAGCTATCCGGTCGTGAGTTTGGCGGTTGCGAGGGCTTTCCATGGTTTGGATGAGGAGACATGAATGTCTCTGCATAGACTTACAGATCTACCCCACGCCGGGATCCATGAAGGAAAGGAGACTTTGACTACATTCCGGAGAACATCCACTCTCCGTAGCTGCAGCGAACTTTGTGGTACACTTAGCATTGCCTTGGATAGAGAGCGGATGGTAAAATCCCAACATGTCTTACTGCAGGCCATCGGGAGAGGCTTTGATAAGCGGAACCGAGGGCGCACCGTCGTTTCTACCGCGACGTGAGACCTCAGAGTGAAGAGTTGCCGCGGTAGCAGTATTGGCCTGAAGTACAATGTTTCAATGCGTGTTTGGCCTCGTACCGGCGTACCTCGAGCTGCTCGTACTGAGCGTGTAGTGTCATGACGATAGCGCCAGGAGCCAGCATCCAAGCACTGACCACAAACGCATCTAGAACATTCCCATCGTGCGTTTTACGCTAAGTAATCGCGAATACCAGCGAGCTGACGCCGATTACTCCCTCCAAATGCGACTTTTGTCCACAACCCCGTCTCTTTACAATAGACCCCATCCGGCTCTATAACTATCATCCGGGCGCAGCATTAGAACGGCTCTCCGTTTCGGCATCATGTTGTAGTCGGATGTCTTGGATCCGGCGTGCGAAGGATGAGGGACAAAATGCATAAACGCTTCTCTTGGGACTGGTGGGTCGAGTTGAGCTGGCTAGGGAGAGTACTCGTAGACGTGAGCGTTTTTTGCAGCGGTATCGCATGCTGCGCGTGAGTTCATCTGGTCGTGGGTTTGGCGGTGAATGAGCAAAGGATTGCATGCAGACAGCAGAGGTGACAGAGCTGTGTAACCCCTTTTCAACTCTCATCACCATAACCCCAAGGTCTTTTTCGACGGGAAACCCGTCTTTCCGCACTATTCGGTAAGCGAGATCGTTCTTGAAGATGAACAATTTCGGAGCCTAGCCCCTCGCCCAGGCAGACATGCTTCACGTGCCTGTAATGTGTTCGATATCGGCAATAACTAGGTTGAAGGGAATCGTATATTGCATCACGCCCGCCTTGTTGGAGGCCCCACAACTTTGATCCTATTCGCTCCTTGGTTTGTCATTGAGCAAAACAGTGCATCTTGAATCGCCTCGGGCGATGAAGTCTTGATCCCTTGAGCGAGAAATATTTCCGCAGGTAAGAGCTGCCTCTTCATAGAGGTGTGTTAAGTCGAGTGGGACGATTGATGACTTGTCGCGTCGGAGGCTGCAATACGATGCGACTGCATTGATTTCTCCCTTGATCCACCTGTAGTACTTCCAAGCTTGGCGACGAGATAGCTCCGGTCTGGTGTGATACTGGCATATTGAATGACCCAAGCACCGTTCGCAAGATTGATGGGGCTGATGACCTCTAGGAGGATATCCGACGAGCTCCTCGATGGAGCGACTTGGTTAGGCGCCCAGTCGCAGCACAAACCGAGCCGTTCGCGGTCGCCTATCAACTCATCTAATGAAGGACTTGGCTCTCGGTCCTGTGCTCTGATATGTTCTCTTTTCTCCTCGCGCACTTTACTCCACTTCGCTACTTGTGGGTCGTCAAACTCCTTGTTTGCAACAGTGCGACAGCCCATGCGAAAACGGTTCCAAATAAGAGATCATTAGCACTGTCTATCGAGCGAAGTCGCCGAAGGATAATGGCTTAGCGTCTCGACCCTGGGAAGTCGATCCCATCCACTTTTACAAGGTCCCTTCTGGTCGCTTTGCAGACCCCACAAACCATCTTCAGCCTCCTGATAGCGCACCTTGAGGTGTTTCAGCTTCGACAGTTGACCTGGATCCAACATCTCCTCGCCAGCTTCTGTGATGATATCTTCCGTCTGCGAGCTCTTGAGGATTTCACTGAGATTCGCCTTTCGCATGATCGGTATCTCCAGATTTCGATGAAGTCGCGAATTCCAGAACGAGAGCAGAACTGCGCTGGAGATGATGATTAGTGGCAGTGTGAGGAGCAGAGGGACGCGATGTGGATCTAGTTTGCTTGTATAGGCGGCAGATGACATCGTAACCTGGGGTCCATCGGGCCATATGCGACTTTCCGCTTGCGCAGCCGAGCCAATGCAGATTCGAATGAAGTTTTTGATGTATTCCGTATTCCATCCGCTGTTGAAACCTCCATTTGCAGATGTATACCGTCGCGGTAACCCGTTGTCCGAGTACATCCACATCGGCTGCGCTCCGAAGAGACTGACACCGGCGGTAATCGGCGCTACTGTGAACCAGAGTGCCAATTCGTTCAGCGTATTGCCGTCGCTTGGATTGTACGTATGAAGACCTTCGTGTGTGGTCTTATTGGGTCGACCAACGAGTAGATGGGTGATCGAATTGATCTGCGTAGGCCTGCCAACTTGGCCTTCTCCAATCTTAAGCGTATCATCCACAAGGGCGACGTCCACATCGCAGGCCATGCTAGAGATATTCTTGATCTTGTCGTGATCCAAGGAAATCGTGGAGCCTCCTCCAATCGAGCCATTCAGCGCGGCAAAAACGAGCGTTGTGAGCGTACGAGTTGGAGCGAGGAATCGGAAGTCGTGAGCCCAAACGGCAAGCTGTGGCATAGCCCTTACTAGCACGTGCGGGTCGTTTGTCCGATTATCGGGCCGGCGATGCTCCGCCATGCTGGTGGGGAACACGAATGAGGATCCGTTCTTCTGCGGTGGATCGAGCTCCCAAGACCGACAAGAGATATTCTGATCGACTCGAACTGCACCCACAGTCATATCGCCTCTCCTTGTGAGGTTGATGCGATCAATGAACCATCCTCTATATTCTGGCATAGGCTCCCGTGAAATGCCCAGGGCCCAGGAGTTATAGAGCGTACTATGAGCATCGCGATACGATTCAAGCGGAGACCTTTGGATGAAAGGGGGCCCGATGCCTCCGCCAGGCTGATAGTAACTTTCGAATGGAGCCGAACTATTGCGTAAATTATAGACGTAGCCGGTTAGAGGGGCACCAGCAAGCGGGAGAAAGGTGACTGTGACGATGCATAAGATGACAATGGCCGAGTTGACGCTCCGGGCGTTCTTCAGGACGAAAGGGGAAGAAGCTATCGAGCCGCGACTGGCTTGCAAATACGTTTCCACCTCTTTTATCGTGAAGGGCCGTTGATTGATCAACGGCCACAAGGCGGCCTCCGAAAGTGAATGCGTCGCGTATGCCAGGGTTGCCAAGCCGATGGCGTACACTGCGGTGATGATTCCCTGTATTGTACCGATGTTCTTTGAAATTGTGCAGTTGATCGACCAAGTAGGACATTCGAGGATCTGTTGGCTTAGCCAGAACGTGAAGACGATGACCGCAACGGTGCAACTCAGGCCAGCAAGAAAGGCAAGAACGATAGTCATGTTGTGTCTGATAAAGAACCGCCAGCCTTGTTGGGTTCGTCCAGTAGGGGTGTAAATCAGGATTTCTGAGCTGTCTTGCCGACGCGGCAACGAAATTGGCGACATGGCGACGTGGGCGTGGAAGAGAAACTGTCGAGCGACTGGGTAGAGATTCTGTAGGATTTGGTAGGCCCCTTTATATCGGAGGCGGCTTCTAATATTTGGATGGTGCGAGGTGTGATAAGGTGCTGAACGGATCGTCGCACACCTGCTCAGCCCCCACACTTGCGCTGCTGCAGTAGGTCATATGCGGCGACCCCTCAGCCTTGTGGACGTTGAAGAACTATATTTAGTCAGCAGGCTGCCACTCACATTGCAGTCCATATCGCCGTGAAATTCACTCATGGGTGGGCAGACCTCCATTGGTTGGATTGAGAAGGAAAGGAAAGCCAATCCCACGAGCAGGCAGCCACCACGTGTAATCATGAATCTGCTATTCGAGGGCCTCAGATCTGCCCTTTAGGTCTGCGTCTAGTTTGCCTTATGTTGCAGTGAGTTAAGAAGTTAGCTGGTGATGTGTGGGTGACAGCCGGAACCGAGAGCGGGAGCGCGATGCGTGCGCGTTTGCCAGGTCAAAGAGGACGTGTCGCTATAGGCGCCTTTACCAGCAGGTGGAGGAAAAATTGACGCATCCGACTGTGGCTCCGTCTCTATGGTCGGCGTGATGAATCTGATGCATGTGGCCGAGAAGTCCTGATGCATCTAATTCCAAGGTTCGAAGGAAGGTTTGATCTGCGCTAGTCCGCATTTGGCCACGCCCACTCCGACACCTCTGTACAACACCTGGGCAGCATCATCACCCGTCTTCACAGATCCATCAACAACGTTACATACGTGCATCTCAATATACAGGAGGAACTTTTGGAGTATAGGGTAGCAACGGCACGTGCTCAGCTGAGTCACCTACCAGTCAGGACCCGAGTAGACCCCGCATTTCATCATCTCCTCATGCCTCACGCCGCCTAACGCCGCCTTTTTCAGTGCCTTTCGAAGCTTTTTGACTTTACGCCGGTTCAACTTCACGCCCAAGGTTGATAGCTGGTCGACTCTTACGCTTTTAGCCACAACCCAACGGCCACAATGACGAGTCCGCTTGACTCAGCTATGTTACGGTCCTCCTCGCCACGTGAAGTCGCTGAATATCTACGACAAGCGCTCAACAACTCCTCTAATGCAGAAATTACACGCCAGCTCATCTCCCTCGTCGAGATCGGCTCCCATCCGCCCTCAATTCTCCAGATATGGCTCAGCATCTCGCCCTCGCATTCCACCCTCCAACAAACATTGAAGCAAAAGGCATCGATCGAGGTCCGCGGATTAGCGATCAAACACCTTCAGAAAATGCTCACCTCTTCGCAATGGCAGGAGACATGGGATGGGCTTGGCGGCGTGCCAGGTTTGCTTGACATATTCCACGACCTTTCGGTTCGAGAAGTCAGGGGAGCTTGTCTGGCAATCGGATTCAGCGCCAGAGGTGGCGATGTGGATAGGAAAAGAGCCGTGTTCACTGAGCTGTTCAAATCACTGCTTCCACGCCTCTTTCCGGACGCCTCTCTCAAAACTTCGGATCATCGACCACTACTGAAACATTACCAGCGCCTTGTACTTGGGTGTACCGAAGATGTAGTCTCTAGCGTCCTCGATGGTATCGCTGACGTAAAGTGGACCCGCCTTCGCCGTAATGCCATCATGCAGTATCATGCCGACACTCTACGAAAACTTGCACTCCGTTACGTCTTCGAAGGTTATCCCTCCGGAGAAAAATGGCTGTCCCCTCTTCTGTCGGGTTTTCCTCCAGAGACGACATCTGAACCTGGAGTCTCAACCTCTATGGCATTTTCGTTACAAGTTCTACGAAGGCTGGCGCGGGAAGAGCCAGACAAACTCTCGGATGAATACTTCCTTAACAGCCTAGTCGAGCCACTTTTGACGCGAGCTGTAAGAAAAAGGGTGGACTGGGTAAAGATACAAGAGATCGTTGATCTGACGTTACCTTATCTGGAGAGACATTCCGGTATGGCCAGGAAACTCCATCGTCATCACCATGGGCTCCTCCACTTGGTTGCGCTCTGCTGGTCGCGCAGATCCGAGATGTTCGAGAGCCAGTTTGGTTTTCTTCTCTCCTATAGCCACGAAGGCATGGAGAACGTGGGGATCGGACGGTTTAAGCCCTTGATGGAGGGTGTTCCCAAGTCGAGACGTTATACGCTGTTAAGGTTCTGCATGCAGGTTGTTAGCGGTCGAGACTTGGATGTCGAGGCCGACTTCCAAGGAATGAACAGAACACTGACGTGCAGCTTGCTGGGGAAGCTACCCGCCCAGGACGCTCTTGGCTTGTTTACTCGCATGCGGAAAACAAACGGCGATGTCAACCTTGTTTGGAAGCGCTATGATCATGTTACAGTTCTAGACGATGGTCCTACACCCGACAGCGCTAGTGGCGATCCGGACATGTTTCAGACTGTTCTTCTGCAGAGGAGCGGCCATCAGAAGGCAGCTGAAGATATCGCCGAACGACTTGGCCAAGCTCGGAGAAAATCGGCAATGTCGAGCCCATCACCGGAGCAGCGAGCATTTTTTGCCCGGACTGCACTGCATTATGCCATTGCTAGCGGATCCTTGAAGTTGTGCAAGGAAGCTTTTGAATGGGCGCGTCGGTTCAAACGGGACCCTCTCACCGCGAAGGAGCTCCACCATTTCTACCCTCAGGAACTCACGACACTCCTTTCTGGCATTCCTGAAGTAATTGAGCCAGGTATAGCATCCTCGGAACTTCGTCAACGCGTCAAGGCTGCGAATCAAATCATGGAGGAACTGTTCGACACGTTGTGTTCAGCCTTGCGTGAGCCCTCCTTCTCCGTGGGCAATTGGAGCGGCTGTATTAGGCTTTTCTTTTCAGTGGTGCAGGAGCGTATTCGACGCTCGTCTCAGCTAAAATCGTTTCTAAACCTATCTGACGCACAATTATACGACATCCTCTGGGACGACACAGGAACGATGCTTGTGGCAGTGGAGGAGAAAGCACTGGCACCTGGTCACGAGCGATTGTTGGGGCAGTCCGTCGGAGGGATCCTGGGTTATTACCAATCTCTTCCAACTACTCTCAAAGCGGAGGAACCGTCCACCTATCATTTCTTCGATGAGCTAGCAAAGGCACGGGACGACCTCTGGTGCAAGTATCGCAGAACTATTCATCCGGCAATTACAACCTTACATGAACCCTTTCCACGCGGACTCCCTGTTCAGCATCTCATCGAACCATACATTTTGGATAACCCGGCTCTGGAGTCTCAAGCGCCTTATATTGCATCTCGCGTGAAGGCAGCCGTATTCCCTCATCCGGCCCTTGCCCTTAGTCCTATTCCCAAAGATGAAGAAACCCAGGCTGCCATTGGGAGGTTTATTGATGATTACGCTTCTGCTTTGAGGATGCTCGTTCCAACGACACTAGAGGACGACGAGAGAAAGGACCGAATCGAGCGGGCATGGGCTCACGCAACCGGTCCGCTGAGCGAAACCCGTATGAGCGCAGAGGAAGCAGTCCGTTATTGGCAGAAGACGGAACTCACGCAAGGCCGGTACATTCACTTTGGGCCACTCAAACCTCCAGCCGAGGATGAACCTGAAGAATGGCGTCTGCTTCCAAATGCCGACAATCCAGCCGAAGTCGAGGAATGGAACCCCCTGCCACCTCCAAAACCCGCAATTAAGCCAAGGGAACTGGAGACGCTGACCTATATCGATGTTTCCAAACACATAGGTACGAAGTCCGCATACGGCAAGATCACAGTTCGTTCCACACTGGAACTGTACCCAGCTGTGATTCCGGCGCCAGAAATCCAGATAGACTGCATATGGTCTTGGCAACAAAACGAACGAGCGAAAGGACACCCTGCAATGCGAGAAGGCCAGATCATATCCGCACTGCTCTTTCTGGATACTTTCAACTCGTCTAAAATGCGTATCTTGTCCAAGCCATTCCCTTCGGAGGAAGACGCTCGATATCCTTCGGTCTATCTCGATGAGCAGTTCCTGTCGAAGGGTAAACTAAACAAAGATGATGCCATCGCAGCACTCCGTGCTCACATCAAGCATGTGCCCACGCCTGTACTGGCGCAGGTCGCGGATAATACCATGAAAACTCTCGAGGTCGCAGATCCTAAGGCTACGACCTTCGCCGAGCTCGAGCGACTGGCGTTTATGCTTATTGAGCTTCTTGCTCAGAGTGATAGGCCGGGGCTTGCTTCAGAGCTGGCAATTCGCGCCGTAATACAACGACCGGACTCTAGCTCCTGGCATCGGCGACTCCTCTCCCGCGGCTTCTTCCAGCAGCTTCCAGAATCGGACGCACATGCCTGCATTTCTGCCTTCGCAAATGCTATTATCGAAAGAATGGAGGAGCAAGCCAAGGCAAAGGACGCGCCCAGGCCGGTAGCTGCTAACGCCGAAGCGGCTTCGCCGCCAGCGGAGAGTACCTCGGAAGCGAATGGGCTGCCTTTCATCAAGATCACTACCGTCAAACTTCTAGCTCAGCTTCTTAATAGCGCGGATTACGTTCCGGAAGAGGTCGCACTATCCACTCTATCTAAGCTAATTGAGAAAGCTTCCCACGTCGATATCCGGTACGCTGTCGTGGAAAGTCTCCTCAACATGCTTATATCAGCTCCGCCGGAGCTCACTGAGAGGATTCTCGCGGCACTCAAAACCGTAGTACCCATTGCAGGCAATCTGCGTGAACGCCAACCAATATCTGAAGCTGACTGGACTCGCGCCACCGAAACGCTCGAGCTCCCTGAACTCGATCCCGCGCACTCTGCAGAGACTCACGCCCCCATACTGACCTCGCTCATCGCATTCTTGAGGCGCCAACCAGAAGAAGCGCCAGACTTTCCTCACCGCGCCGCGTACATGGAGCGAGTTATTCTGCCCACCGTTACCGGCCTAAAGAAGCAGGTCGGTAGATGGAATTCCCTCTTCCTGCGCAAATTCGGCATCGACGTCGCCGCTCAAAGCGAGCTTAAGGTTCCTCTCATGCCCCGCGAGAAGGACATTTTGCAGGACCTCCTGGCAGCCGGTTCTTCTCATCTCCCGCTGTCCCTGCTAGAGGAATACGTTGCGTACGTGACCTTTACCGTCGCGCCTCCACCTCCCATCCGGACCCTGAATAAGAAACTCCAAGACGACTCTAAATTAAGTAGCCAGTCCGACGTACGGGCATGGCTCTCCCGCTATGGCATGGGCCCCGCAATAATTGCCGACAGCCACACTATGAGCCTCACCACCCTCCTGCGTCACTCTTCGCAACTCAAAGGCCAAATTACTCCGAAAGCCGTCCAAGCACAGTTTCTCACACTCTATACAGCCGTGCTCTGGAACGACGACGAGAATTTCTACTGCCTTGACAAGCTCACGCGCCCACTCTGGCCTTTCTCCACGCGTGATAAGATCGACAAGGAGTGGGCTGAGTACTACAAACCCATCGTCGAGGCCATGGTTCTATACGTAGAAGGCATACGCACAAGAGACTGGGAGCGCGATCCAGGGCGCAGGCCGAAAGTGCTGCCAGATACATTCGAGTACCGGATGTGGCTTCTCCAATACGCTGCTCAGCACTCCTCTTCCTCGGAGGACCCCGAAGCGCACAGCAAGGCCTTCTCAGAGCGCGTCTCGAAGGTCGTCGAGCAGATTTCCGGCTCCATGTACCACAAGAAGTTTGCCCGGCTCAAGGAGGCATTGGAATACGTACAGGGCGATGATCGAGTGCGCGTGGCGTGCTCTTTAGGAGATATTAGTAAGACGCGGTTGAGTTGGCTGACCAAACTGGATCATTTGAGGGTGGAGCTTGCGGCTGAGATGCTCATGGGACTCAGAGATGAGATGGAGGATATGGAGCTGAAGAAGAGGGTGGAAACGTTGAGGTTGTCTTGGCAGAAAGCTGAGAGTGAGGAGGTAAGAAGGTTGGGATTTAGGTTGGGTGCCTATGCTACTTGGTTAGCGTAGGAGGGAGTAGAATGCTGCCCATGTACATGCTGCACTCGCAATCTCAACTCAGAAAGGTGAACGAGAGGATACTGTCCGCTTTGAAAGAGATGGAGCTACCTAGGAGATTAAATTCTCTGGATTACTCGCGCAGACAGCTAAGTCAGTGTCCGTCTAATTCGCCACACACCCATATGAACATATGCTACCGCTGTCACCTCCATCATTTACTTGCTCTGTGCAAGGAACGCCTGCACTCGCTTCGCAAGTGCCTCCTCGTTCCTCTTATCCTCCGATTCCCTGTACTCCACCTCCGTCTCATCTAGCCTAATCCACACCCACCAACCTCCTCCTTAACCTGCTCCAACCCCAACAGCTTCCATAGCGCTAACCACGACTTTCCTCAACGAGGGTAGGTACTGCGGTATATTGCGGAGGAATTGGAGGAAGTCGGGTCCAAGATCGGCAGTTTGTCGCGCGTTATGTACGATGAGTGTGCGGTCGGGCGTGAAGCGGAATTCTTCGATGACGGGAGGGAGGCAGTTAGGGGATACACCCGGCATGCCGCCGACTTCTACGCGTCGGAGGTTCGGATACTGGTCGAGGTGTAGGGAATATCGGGCGGGATCAAGGATCGAATCAGGATCATGCATCGCGCTCTTAATGCGAAATGTGAGATCCTCAAGGGTGTCCTTGGCAGCAAGAGCGGTGTCGAATATGCCTTGTATGTCGTGGCCTTCCGGCCATGCAGTATACGAGAGTGAGCGGAGGCGGTTGCAGCGCGCGACGAGGCGTTCGATAAGGTTATTGGCGAAGAAGCCAAACAGGCGAAGCTGCTCGATATTGCACGTCCAATCCTTCTCCAGTACCTCATTCGGCACCGCGCTCTCACATGTCTGGTTTCGCGGACCGCTCACCAGTTCCAGCGTCTTTAGCGAGCGGCTGCTAAGCAGTTGCGCCGTCTCCAGCAGGCAGTGAATGAGATCCGATCCGTTCAAATTGCGCAGCGTGAGTGTGCGGAGATGTGCGAATGCGCCGCACCCGGTGAGGAAGTCGAGGCTGGGGATGCAAAACCCCGCGCCCGCCAGAGTCAAATCGAACTCCTTCAGGTTCGGCAGCAGCAGAAACATCGCGCCGAGCCGTCGCCAAAGCCCACACTTCCTAATACCGTCGATCCAGCGGTCCTTGTGCTGCGAAGGGATGCCTGACCCCTGCACCTCCTCCACCAAGGATTTCACCATGGATGGCCGCATCCACTCATCAACATATCGCCAAAACTCCATCTTCAACGCTTGTGTCTTCCGCCCCAACTCCTTGGATCCCTCACGCTCTGTCAAAGTGCGTAGAAGCAGGACTGTTCGCCGGCCCGGCTGCCGGGTTAGATCGACATGGCTGAACAGCACTTCTTGGGCCGTACGGCGGAACTTGCGGTTCACCAAGGAGGTTTCGAGGAGCGCGGCGTAGTCGCATGGATCCGGCATCTTGTAGGGTGACTTGTTCCCCAGCGAGTCTTGGGCCTTAGTATCGAGGAGATATGCGAGCACTTGGAGGAGGATTTCCTCGGGGAGAATATTGATGCTGATGGAAGAATGTGCGGGTAAGGACGTGTTCGGCGGAGGGGGAGATGGTGAAGCCATGGGAGAATCTGTGCGGGTTCCGCAGTTGTTGTGTGCGCTGGGTCCTTAGGTGTGGACGTTAAATAGTCGTGGGTATCGTGTGTTGTGGTGCGTATTGTTCTTGACTAATATAGCGGTGATGGAGCGAACCTTTGAAGCGTCGTGGAGGCACAAAGCGGACATGGACGGTGAATTGGGAAGTTTCTTTCAGAAAGGCTGTACCAAGCAAGGTTGGTCCCTTTCAGCCTATTGGATTGAATGTATCGAACACAACTCGAAGAAAAACTTTTACATGCCTGCAGGCGCATCGCTCTTCCGGAGTAATGCGAGACCGGCGAGGGCTTAATGTCCTCTGCGGAACTCGAACACCACTACGCCTTCCTCTTGACCCCCTCCGGCTGCGAAATGAAGTATTCCCATACTCCTATATGCGTCTCCGACGGACTATCCATCCTCTGGTCCTCAGGCTCATCGCCCATCTCGAGCAGCCTCATGCCATACCGTACCGCATGGCAAAGTACACTAGACGCCTTCTCCAACTCTTCGTCCATGGTGTCTTCTTGGACGGAGAGTGCATGCCTCTCCATGCTCTCTAGGATGAGATGCTTCTCGTCCGGGGAAAAGAAATCTGGGTCCTTGTTGCCCTGTAGCTGGTGGAACCTCCCGTGGGGGTTGATCAGCTTGAGAATGGTTGAGCGTGCATGCTGCAGAGCCATGATGTGGATGTCGCGCTTGGGATCCTTTCCAGCTACCTGGAACTCTCGGTACGCATGTTCGTAAACTGTGTCGAGCACTTTCTCCTGTGCTTCTGCGGTTGTACATGAATGGTCGTCCCAACTTTCCACAAGACCTGAGTATGCCATACGAGCGGCCGCTTTCTCGTCCTCGGTATTGCTGAGGCCGATTTTGAGGCCAGTACGTTCGGTGTCGGGTTTGAACGTCTTGCCTAGGTCGAATCGCTGGTCGGCGGGTGGAAAATCGACATGGAGTGCGTGGGTCCTCGGATGATCAGGCGCTGTGACCTGGTCTCCAAGCAGATCGTCAAGTCTGTTTAGGTTCTGCTCAATGCGTGCGCGAAGCTCCTTAAGCGTACGTCTGGCAAGGCGTCCTGGTTGCCTTGCATCGGGGATGGGGAGAAATTTTAGGCATCCATTCACCGCATTCACGAGACCGACGCTGTATAGGTCTGGCGGAGCCAATTCCATCAAGGGAACTGGATCCCGTCGCTTTTTGAAGTTCTCAGCTTCGAACTTCTGGATCCGGTCCAGCTCCGAGGCGTCTTTGGAACTGCATAACATCATCCTACGGATGAGGATGCCGACACTGTATATGTCCGTTTGTTCTGTCAACGGCCACTTTGCAGGCTCGTATTTCGGGTCGCCAACATAGTCGTGCGCATGTTCTGGTGCTTGCCATCCAGAGAGGCCATGACCACGTGCTCTGTCGTATTGCTGCTCTCTTTTTTTGGGATTAGGTTCTGAGCGAACTGCGATATCAAAGTCGGCTAATAAAGGGCGTTTGTATGAAGGGTATTTCGAGTCTGCGCCTCCAAGGAAGACATTGTCGGGCTTAATGTCTAGGTGTAGGATAGGGAGCCAGTCCTCGCGCGGCTCCTCCAAGGCGTTTTGTTCTTGATGTTCGGGGCAAATTCCGTCTCTCAACGTGATCAGCGCATCGACCAGGTTCTTGAAGGTGTACCAAATATAGTGCTCCGGGATGGGCGTTTTCAAAATGCTGTGACGGGCGATTAACTCGTTCAGAGTTCCATGCGGAGCGTATTCCGTAAATACGTATTGTTGCTCCCATCGACTCGGGTCACTGTCATTCGGTCTAGCGTACTCAATCGAGAAGTTTGTAGTCCGTTCGCTCGTGCCCCGCTGGGCGATGATGTGGGGGCACTCGGTAGATGGAAGCACCAGGCTCATCTGCTTTTCGATTTCAACCTCCCTACGAGTCGTCTGGGTGGATCGTGGATCTTCGAAGGAGGTATCAATTGCTTTCACGCCCGCACGCTGTTCAAAATTAGCCTAATCTAGAGAATGAAATGGTGAGTCTTACATCTATAATAGCGCCGGTCTCGTCGAGCTTCACAAACAGGGAGGAAGATCTCGGAGGTATTCCCCATTGCTTTCCTGGTCCTTTTCGGTGCATGTCAGACTGATGTAAGTGCTTGGCGAACCGCCAATCACCTCCTAGAACCGATTGAACATGGTGGCGCTGGCCCGTAGTCGGAGGCAGGTAGAAGGCGTTGGTCGGGTCGTTGTTCAGGATGAATTGGGGTGAGCGATCTCCCCCGATGCTAACAAGTGTCCGCTTTGCAGGCAAATGTTCTTCTTCGGCGTCATCGCGCTTTCGCTTTGACGACCGTGCATTAGAATCATCCTCACTATCAAAGGTGGGGGAACGAGATAGATCTTGTTCATCTGCTTGCGCTGACACGACTCCAATGGCGACATCGGAATTTTGAGCGGGGGTATGGACTTGTGCAGCGGGCGGAGCAGGTATGTTCGCGAGGGGCACTGAATCTTGGACAGGAAGAGCAGGAGGGGGTAAAGGCTGGGCGACCGGAGCCGGAGGGATATTGGCGACGATGACGGGTGGTTGGATGGCAACCACGGGAGCCGGCGGCGGTGGAGGAGGCGGTGGCGCGCCGCCGCCAACGGGGTGCTGCACCTGGGGAAGCCGGCCAATCCGGTTCTGCTCAGCTGCACGAGCAATCCAATACCGGCAGCGACTGTTCCAAAGCTTCACGCGCCCGCGACCAGTCCTCGGTCCTATAGCTAATTAGTTTCGGGGAAGACTGTATAGGATAGTACTGGTACTTGCGTTTGTGTCGCTTCACGTTGCTATTGACATGGTCGAAGTAGTTGATGAAGGCAACGCGTTCGACGTTATCAGAGAGGACATGATCGAACATGTTCCTGTCAAAGTTGTCCAGCGGGACGTACGCAAGCGGAGCAGGCGCAGCCATTTTGTGACAGTGGTGATGGACTGCGAAGATGGACAGGATGTCAAGAAACAGTGCTGAGGAAGGGCGAAAATGGGAGTTTCGCGGAGAACTGTAGGAACTTCAAAGATGACGAAGAAGAGTAGTCAAGAAAAGGGATTGTAGAGAGTCTGGTAGAAAGGTCGGTCGAATCACGCCCTACGAGGGTTCGCTGATCAATATGTATGTGTGCGGACGATGAGGCAGAAGCGCAACCAAATGGAAGTGCTGGAGGAAGTTGTGCGCAAAGCGTTCGCTTATCAGTGTTATTGTTTTATTGTTGGTGGGGAGATAAGGTTGTTGTGTGCCAAAACAATACGAAAACCTTTTGTTCGTGAGTGAAGCCGGCGTTGGCTTGCACACCCGATGACACACCGAAGCAGCCGCCCAGGCAGTCCAGCTCGACAAATGTACTCTAATCAGGGCATTGGAGTGTTTTGGAATAGCTCAGAGCCTGAAATGGCTTGGTGATTGTCGTTGTGGCTGTGTGTGGCTTGTGTGAGGTTCGTGAGGACATCCGAGTTCGGATCTGGCTGCAGGGCAACGTCCACCCCACGATGTCCACCGCTATACCCAGCTCCTATCCACTACTGTTCCAGGGAAGCAATAACTCAGTTTCGCTATCAATCTTGACTTTTGAAGGCGATGTGGGTGGGTGCTGAACCGCTGGGCGAGGTAAGTGACGATAGGGTTTCCCTGTCAGTCGACGAGGTTCATAAGCGATGGAGCTTGCCTTTGGACTCGGGTGTGAGATGGAGGAAAAGTCGATTCAGAACTCCCAGCTAGAGGAATGAAAGCGCCACTCCGGATTTTGAGCATTCCTCAGAAGCCAGTCATCAGATTCGTCCAGACTTTTACAAAAACTGGGGCCTCTCTCGTCTCCGTTTGGAGCCGAAGATGCCGAACGAAACAGGCCTATTCTGTTGCCGAAGTACCTCGCCGACGTCAGTGTTGAGTAGGGCTCGTTTAATGGCTGGCCGTCCGTCAAGCAGACTCTCGGGTCGAGCGTTGGAGATGACACCTGCAAACCCGCAGCTTCTTTTTACCTCCGACGCCTTGCACTTGCTCACTTTGATCCGTACATACCCGTCAAGGCCCAACCAAACGGCGATATCCAAAAAGCACATGGGTTGTTTGCCAGAGTAGCCTGGAGGCATGGGAATGAGCTTCCGTTCCCAAGCGGTGCGCCTTGACTCTACCGCAACCTGGGCAACCTCATCGAGGTAAGTCAAACGTACTTTTTTATCGCTCTCTTCCAGTCGGAGCGCGTATTCGATGCATCCGGTGAGTGGCTCCCACATATACCACCACATCGTCCTGTCCTTGAGGGCACCGGGGCGCAGAGTCTTTAACGACCAAAGAAATGCGTTCGCCCAGCGTTCGCACGGATTGAAAGAAGCACTGCTAGTAGCTTTCATAATCACAGCCCATACGTCATCGGAATGGAGGTAATCTCGAGCAGTCCGGTGGATATAGCGGATCTTTTTCCTTTCGGGCTTTGTGAAGTAGTTGGATCCGCCATCATCGTCTTCGTCCAAGAGGGGCTCGTCGACCTCCAAGAACCCTTTGCATCGTGACTTCAATCGTCTTATCATCTCTCCTACCCTCTCCTTTTCTTCATGAAGAAAAAGTGGCTCCCTCTTCGCACCCATGCTAGACGAGGCGTCCTCGTCGTCCGCAAAGGATAGTTCCAGAATGGTGGCAGATGGATGCTCTCTGAGAAGACGGAAAAACTGGCAGGCATGTCGGAAGTAGATTGGGTCAAGCTTGTTCAAAAGCTTTTCGAATAGGGCCTCCAAGTCAGCCGGAAGTGCATCCAAGCGGCATTGAAGGTCGCACATCCTGTCGGCATTCGACAGGCCTTGTAAGAGTGACTCCACGACGAGGTAGACCCAGAGAAAGACTCCAGACGCCTTCTCTACGATGCTGCGAATGAGGCTCTGCGAACCTCGCGGCTCACGCTTTTGCAGCCGAGCGAAGTGTTTATTGACATCGAACTTCGCCGTGACGTAGTTATAAATGTCTTGCCGAGTTAGGTGTTCCAGGAGCAGACTCGGACTCTTTTCGAAAGCATCCTCGAAGACCAGCCAAGGACGACTGGCAACACAGACTTTGACATTGCTGTGCTTGGAAGTAGTGATCGCAAAGTCCACGAGTTCCTTCGGGTCGCCATCGAATTCGTCCAAGCCATCGATTACGAAAAGGAAACGTAACTGGTCGTTCTCAACCAAAAGATTGAAGGCGCGATGCAGCTCAGCTCACTTGAAGCCTTGGCGACCTCCGCCAAAAGCACCGAACTGCTCCCAGCGCTCAGGAAAAGCCTGCAGACGATACCGGAGACCGGGTTCTGTTTCAGCAACTGCTGAACGGATTCGTAAAGTAGGGTCGACAGGAGCCCCAGTCGGGACATTTGCATGGCAGTTCCCGAGTTCTAGAAGAAGAACCCAGCGCGCACCACGGGTAGTGTGCCGGTCCAGGATACAAGGTGGCTCTTTGTGCGGTCGTTATGATAGAGGTACTTCATCAATGTGCTCTTACCCGACCCAGGTTTGCCTGCTCCAAGTTAGTGTGCTATACAATGACAAAGGAGGCGCAATTCATCACCCGTAATCCAATAGATATGGTCTCCTTCTTTATCCTCAAGCCAGTCCGAGAAGCTGTCCCAGGGCCTTTCGCCTGGGCAGGTGCCCCGTCGGTCAAAAGTCCATGCAAAAGTGCAGCGGTGAGCTTCTGGTATACTTTCGAGACGGTCAGGCATATCCTCAAAGCGAAGCCTGGCGTTGATGATCCGGGAAAAGCGTTGAAGGGAGTCAGCCTGGGCTAGCGAATCCAACTCTAAAGAGATTTGACCGGCAGCGACCGGGTCTCCAAAGCGCCCGCTGCTGTTCGCAATAACGCGTAATAGTTCAAAATGACGCTGTTCCGCGTCTCCCATGAATGCATGCAAGTCCTCTTGGATAGTGAACTCCGTCGTTGGATCGGTCGGAGGGCGATTCAGCCACTCCCTGCTTTCGATTAGGATAAATCCGCGAGCGAAAGATCGTGACATGCCGAAGGGAAACAAGGAGGGCAGTATCAATCTGCCTCCGGATATTTTCGAGCCTAGCTTCCAACGCAGAAAAGTTTCTCTGGTTCCATACCGCTCGCAAAGCCTGCTGAATACTCCAGAAAGTCTTATGATCGCCGTAAGCAGCCGTCTTGTGCACCGCATCTGCGATGCCTTGAGACAGCTCTCTTGCGTCTTCAGTAAGCCGTAGAAGCTGTTCATCGGCACTGCTGAGCTCCAAATCATTCCTCTTGGACCTTAGTCCGTTCGGCCGACCCTCTACATCTTCTGGACGAGGCCTGAGATTTTTGGACTTGTTCAGCCTCTGGTTCTTCGGGGTATTTCTGTAAAGGTCCGCAGACAGCTCCGACAAGTTCTGCGCGGCCTGACGAAGATTCTGGCAAGACTCCAGCGTCCCATCGGCAGAACGGTATATCTCTTTGGCATTCGAGATGAGCTTCCCAGTGAAGTCCACGATTTGGATAACGCTCGAAGTGAGGCTCAAGGACGCGAGCGGCTCCATTATAGCTCTTTGATGTTGGAGTAGGTGACTTCTCGCAAGGCTGAAGCTGAAGTCGACCCCGCAGGTAGCCTGCCATTGTGGCTGCGGCTGCAGATGAGCTGCATGAGCCAGCCCTGTCCCACAGCACTCTAGATGGTAAAGCGCGTCTGATGGGCCTTATTGCTATCATCTTGGTCGTGGGGAAAGAGGACGCGCCGAGGCACAGATAGGGGGATGGGAAATAGCGAAAACACTACATGCCGGCTCCTGGAGAGGTTGTGGAAGGGTGAGACCTCAGGGAAGGTTGAAGCCTGCCCCTGCCCAAGTGACCTCGGCAAGTCACCCGAGCCTATTCCGAACTAGGTCTAGGTCGGCGAAGACACTTGGGCATTCAACGATCTACATACAAACCAGGATGCGGCTTGCTCAGAACATGACTCTGCTTCAATAATGTCTGCGATACCGCGCATGGTTCCTTCGGTTCCGCCTGACCCATCAGCCCTGCGATGATGTAGGCTCCCAGCAGCAAGACGTTAATCCAAGAACGCGATTGCACGTGCACTACTCTTGTCGCTTTCGCCATCATCTGTCGCCGCCGGGACCCAGAGACACGGAGTCCAGCCGAAGAAACGAGTCTTCCCTGTCCTCGATGATGGCATCTTACATCTTTCAGCCGGCAGGTTACTTTTTACGGCAACCGAGCGTTCCGTTGGGCCGGGTATAAGGGTTGGTAACTGGCTGGAGTTGCCTTTTTGGGTGCGGTGTATGTTGAAGGTTACCCAGTAGGTATACCCTGCTATCGCACGTTGCGGGTGGCGGATACAAGCCTTGCATTGCCGAGAGGGGCCCTTGGCGAACGGGTTTGCTTCGATTGCGGCTGGCTACTCACGTAAACCGCAGGAGGTCAAGAGAGGCCTGGACAAGTTTTCTCTTGCTAGTCAATAATACGCAATCGACATCGAGCATAGCCGGAGCCGCGGCGCTTGACTAGGGAGCCATGAAGAAAGTGTGAAAGCATTGTAACGTATTCCACCGTAAGCGCTGTTTGGGTCTACTTGGAACACGCACAGTATGTTGAAGCAAGAGAGGGCCGGACTCTCCACCTTGCCATATTGCTCTCATTATCGCCGCCCCAGACACCAATAAATAATTAGAGGGGGTTATGTTGCAGGTAGCGGAGGTTATGGGGATGGGGAGAAGAACAGTGGGGCCGAGGAGGTTGAGGGACGGCATTGCCACTGCCTAGGGATTGTGCTACCGGATGAAGTACTGTGATTGATGAGGCCAAGGATGCGGGGAAGTTATGCGTGGCGAGGTGGAAGATGATGAGGTGGAAGTGGCCTCGTAGGATACGAGTCCAGCATCGAAATGGGAGGTACCTTGATCCTTCTCTCTTCCTTCATATCATTCTCCCACATTCTCATCTCGCACTCCGTTAAATTACCTCTTATCTCTTTTCTATCGTAACCACTACAAACGTAGAGTATAGTAGGACCCGGCCATCACTAGTCGCCAGCTAAGCCAAGGGAGATGGACATGCTTCACTCCCATTCAAGCCTCAATAATCAAACGGCGTCACACATACAACTTTCGCACTTGGAGCATGGCAAAATGGGCAATCCAAACCAGTGACGCTAGGCCAACGGTGTCGCATCCGATTCGTCGATTCAATCAATTCAGAGCAAAGGGGCGAACGAAGGACTTGCAACGAACATACGTCAACAACAACAAAGCTTCAATGCCCCATTCCTTGCTCGCCACAAGCGGCTGGTTGGTTACGCAAGACATCCAGAGAGACAGGGTTCTCTTCTGTGCAGGCAGATCAGCTCCCCGCGAACGGCCAGGATCTCCCTATTTGCATCGCTTCAATCCCAATGCTCGGGCATGCTAGTGTGTAATTAATTCGCTAGCACTCGTGTAAGAATTATCTAGCTGCTGACGATGCCCAGGACATTGGGCCGGCGGCTGCTGATTGGCCGGAAAAGAGGTTCCGGCGCGCGCGCTATCACATGCCGGGACAAGAGCCCGGGGGACAACATTATACGTAACTGGGTCGGGACTTGTGGTGTCTCGCAGCGGGGCTCCGAACGGTCTACGGGGTCTGGACTACTCTGGGGTTCTTGTCTGCGGAGAGGTATTGCGCGCTGTCGAGAGAGCTGTCATGCCTGGTACGGTGCCTCATGTCTGGCTGAGACATTCTAACGAAGCGGATTTCCATTTCGACGGATTTGTATTCCTTGAATGAGTGTAATCCATTCGCTCGGCGTCGTCGCTGTTAGTTGAAAGCGGATGCAGTGTGCAGTGGAGCGGGGAACAAAGAACTTGCTCGAAGAGCGGGGCATCACACAATCACAAGGCAGATGGCGTCGAGTTGGAGTACTCAGTTAATTGCAGCTACCTCGTTGAGCAAACTGGAAGCCAATCCAATCCACTCGTTTTGACTTCGATCCTCCTGATGCTTTGCGCATCGCCAAACCGCCTTCATCCCGTCCTACCCCACCCAATATCATGAGATCATGGCTGCTACGGCCCGAACTTGCAGCCGGTCTTCGCAGCAAATGCCAAAGAAATAACACAAGCCACGAAGGGTAAGAGGTGCTGAAAGGAGAATCGAAGGGAACTTTTTGCGGAATCGGAATATTCAGGGTGGGTATCATAGATTCGGTCGTAACAAAGGCCATCTCCGCACGCGTCTCGACCATTCGTGATTGTGAATTGAAGGAAAACTGGGCCAGCCAAGGCAAGTCGGGTGAGGAAGGCTCATATCCTTTGGCCCTCTTCCTCTTCGTCGGTGTCCTGCAGCAGCTCAAGGCCGCCGTAGTCGTCGGTGTCGGGTGAGTTCGTGGTGCCTTGGCTAGGTAGGGACTCGGCGCTGCACTCGCGCTGCTTTGCCGGCTCTAGCAGGGCAGAAGTCGGGCTCCGCGTGTGGCTCAGCTTGCGTGATCCTGATCCGGGCATGCCATCTGGCGCCTGAACGCCCAAGAGATCGCCTGCGCATCGTGCAAGGTATTCGTCCACTGCCCAGAAGCCGCATCCGGCGTGCCGCAGCACCTCGTTCTTGAGCTCGAGCACCTCCTCGCGCAGCATCGCCACGTTCTCCTTGAGGGCTTTATTCTTCGTCGAGAAGTCTCGCGCGCGAGCCTCGAGCCCGTTGATGTACTCCTTCTTGCGTTGGCGGCACTTGTGAGCGGCAACGCGGTTCTTCTCGAGGTGCGACTGTCGGGCCGAAGAGACGTGGAATGGGTAGCCGTCGGCTGTATAGGCCTCCACCATCTGGGGCTGCGACTTGGGCCGGCCCCGCTTCCGCTTAGGGGGTTGCGGGTTGGCGGCATCCGGTTGAGCTTGTGATGAGGCGGGGTGGTCCGGCGTCTGGTTGGCCGCGGCCTCCCTCGTCGTGCGGCGACGCTTGGGGGAGCGCTCTTGGGCCTGCGGCTGTGACTGCTCTGGAGAGTCGAGCTGTGGGTGATAGTCTTGCAGAGCTTGAAGTTGATGCTCCGGCCAAAGGGCCTCGTTCCTCAGCTGCTCGATGGGGATGGAGCCTTCCCTTGCGGAGTCGTGGCAGTTCTCCGCGGGCGAAAGCTCGTCGGGTGGTGTGATCTGGCCAAAGCGCTCAATGGAAGCTTGTGTTAGGAGGGAGGGTGGAATGGTGAAAGACGGATTGCTGCTGAAGGCCGCCCATTTTTCCGATGAAGGGGTGATACCGCCGTTGTTCAGAGCGACAAAGGCATCGTTTGCCCAGTCGCCGAAGCCGCTGGTATCGAGCTCCATTGCCATTAATGTGCAGTGTGGGGGCGAGGCTGGATTAGCAGAGGGAACAAGGACTGGCAGGCCAGGTGGGAAGTGTGTGGTGGCCGATGTAGTGTTTGGAGGTTAAGCACGGTGCCGCAACGTTGACGAGAGGAGGCCGAAGGGAATCAAAAGACGACAACCCAGGACGGGCCAACGAGGGGCTTTAAGGCGAGGGGCGCATGCGCCATGCAATTCTGCCACATTCCCATTCCCGAAAGTGCCATTGTTAGGAAACCGATGAGCGGCCTGCAATCGGCGATCGGCAGTGGCGTGTGACGTCACCGGCTCCACTCGCAAGCTCGACCAATCAGCGGGCCGGCAGCCCTTGTTGCTCGAGACGCAGAAGGCACAGGCATGCGCAAAACAGGATTTACTCTTCAGCGCTTGCGACAAATATTGCCGTCCGACGCTGCCATCTCGATCTCGATGGCATGCAGCAAGCCCGGCTTTCCGTGGTTCCCATCCGAGGCGACCGCACTGTCCACGTGACCTTCCTTATGGGCCACCTATATCCATCGTGAAGAGTGTGCAAGGTGGACATCATGCCCTTCTACGTGATATGACCGAAGCAGCTATTCCTCGCCGGTAACGTCGCTCCGGCGGCGCGCTCCACACACTTTGTGGACAACGGTCTTGCCGTGTATCGTGCCCCGCACCACCGTGAGGCGGTCTCACAGCACACACCTCGCCCACGCTCTCCATACACAGCTAACAGCTTACGAATCACGACCTCAGCCCATTCGGTCTGGACAGACTGCTGCTCTGTCGGTTTTATGCACGAGTCGTGACCATCGCCACCAGGGCGTGCATATGGCAACGGCAAAGCCTACCCTCACACTGCCAGCTCGTTTGATACTCGGAGTGGCGGACATCATCTCGCCTCCGCCTCGGGATCAGCAATTGAGCCTCGGAGGCTTGTCACCCTTTTGCAGATAGGCGAGCTGAATCCGAGCCGATGCACGAACATCGCCACCGGTGTTGTCGTTGCTCGCTGCCCCCTAGCCTCTCCAGGCCTAGCCGTTGTAATCCGAGTTTAGGATCCTTCCGAACGTGGCATGCGGTGGCCTACTTTTCGATTACCACATATTGTACCCTGCGACAAGGCAGGGGGCGGCACGTTCAGAATCCAGTCCCACGCAAGAGACACGACGCCGGCCGCGTTGATGACCCGTACAAACGGCTGCGTTGGTCGAATCCTCCTTAGCCCGTCACTACCGAGCCGCTCCTCCAGCCTATTAGACGTGGGTGATCGTCGCTCATGCAATTCTCAACAATTCCATGTTGCATTGCCAACTTTTCCATCTCCGCGGCCAAATTTCCCATCTTTCGACCAGCATTCCCATGCCGACCCTAGATGCATACGTCATCTGACGCATGGCGCTGCCTCGAGAACGGCGAACGGCGTCCCACGCGGACCCCGCATTTGAGCGCTTGGGATGGCCCTCGTAGTTCAGTGGATTGATTGGTTGCCGATGCCACGGTTTGCGCGAATGGAGGGATTAAAAAGCTATCGTCTTTCTACAAAGGGTCATGCGCGATGGATATGGGACATACGGTCGATACGGTGATGGCCCTGGACGGATCCTAAGGCTCTGATTGGCCGTCAAGCGACCGCGCTAGTACCTAGATAGGAATAGACGTTGCCCGAATAGGCAACTCGCGATAATTGAACCTGAAGTTTTCGACACCTCACTTTCTCATGCCTGCCCACAACCACCAAACGCGCCCTCCGGGGGCCGCCGATTACGCTGCAACGCTGCAGGCAGCTGTTATCACGCTCAGGAAGGTTGACAATGCTAATTTTCGCCTCATAGAGTCAAAAACCGGCATCCCAAAGTCCTCCGCCAGCAATATATGGCAACGCGCCGTCGAACGCGCCGGTGGCGAGCCCGCCAGCCTCACTGAGCTCCTCGAGTCGATTCCGCACGATTCTGCCCGCCCTAGCAAGCCCCCCCGGGTCCCCAATAGCTCTGAGGAGTCGCTATTAATTAGAAAGGCTATTATGGACAATAAAACGGAGAAACAACATGTTGCAGCTCGTCCAGCGCTTCAAGAACTGGGGATGAGCGACCTTAATCGGCGGCAAGTCGAACGGGTCGCCCGCGAACACCGCGACGCTCGCCATCCATACGCGATCGTTCGTAAAGTACGACCCAAGAAAACAGCCCTAGATTAAGACGATAAGGACGATCGGGTTGACTACAGCAAGTGGCTAATAAGGGAGCTTAATCTAAATTATCCATGGATTATATTTGTCTCATACGATGAGACTTCCAAGGGCTTTGGAGGCGCCAATATTCGAGGTGGCAAGCAGAAGGTGAGCGCTCCGCGCGGGCACCAATTCAACACAAACGAGGACGCCGTACACACTGAAAAGCCTAAATTCAGCCTCATGATTTGCGCCGCGACGTCCTTCTACGTACGCTGCTCTTACAAGCGCCCATGTATTGTATGGGCGCTGCCCGATGAGCGCGAAGTTGCAACCCTCGAACGCCAGGTTATCGCCGCCAACGAAGAAGCCCGACTTGAAGCTGAGCGTAAACAAGCTGCTGCCCTCGATCCTACGACGCCTGAATACAGAGAGTTGACTGCGTTTAACGAGGAAATCGATAAATATAATCGCGACTTCAAAAGTCGCCACCCTGGCCACAAGGGCATGAAGGGTCTCAAGAAACGCCGGAGCCCTAAACAGTTCTTTAAGCATGAGATTTTTACATACAACGTCGACGGCAAGGGCATGGACGCTATCTGGTTCGCCGAGCAAATACTTAAGAAGCAGCTCTTCCCATATTACTGCTGAAAATCCATGCTGTAAAGTATACTTAACGATGGATAACGTTGGCCTCCACTACAAAGCTCGCCGATACGTCGCTGCGATAATTGACGAGCTCGATATCGCGTTCACAGACCACCCGCCGTGGTCTCTAGATTTACACCCAATTGAGCACTGTTTTGGCCGACTTGAGGGCTTTATCGCGAACTACAACGTCACCTCTGCGAGCAAGGAAAGCAAGAAAGCCGCCGTCAAATATATACAGGAAATCTGGCAGAGCGACGCCGATATGGAGGCGTATATGGAGGAGCACCTCGCTCCTCGGCAGTGGAGAAAGCTCGCTGAGGACTGTACACTACACTATGGCGATAATAACTTTATGGGATGACTCTGTATCGCTCTGCCATACTCTGCAAGCCAGAAATATCGATTATTACCCCAATTTGAGCGATTTCCTGGCTTCAATCGGATGACCGAGCGATTCTGGTGAGGCAGCCAAGGATTACATAAAATCGATCTACGTGTCCCATATCCATCGCGCATGACCCTTTGTATCAGGCCACTTTTCCACCGGGTAGAGCTACCTCGTTGATCGATAGCTTGGCTGCTGGCTGAGGGGGTTTTTGCCTCAGCGATTCTAACCTTGGAACACCGTTGACGCCGCCGCGGAACCGCTGCTGGGTCCCAGAGAGAGCGAATAACCTGAGATGCAACTGGGCAATTCCTGCATCCGCTATCTCCCGTCCCGCGTAGTTCAAGAACTCCCCCGTCGAAAATTTTCCTTCAATTAACCGCTGTTAGACAATCCTAGACACGAGCTGCATGAGCGACAATTCACTCCCTCGCCTACAGCAAGCAGAATTGGAATGAGCAGTCAACGCTCAATGGAGGCAGCTCAGACAAACAGGAGCTCAATTTCGATCTCGACCTCCTACTGCCTACTACCTACTGCCTACTGATTCTCGTTAGGATCTTTTCGCAGCCCCGGAGTGTCACCTTAGTTCTGTTGCGGTACTCTACTCACGCTGCCCGCCTATCATTCTTCCACCTCCGTTGCCTTGAGATGATTTAGTCGAGAGCGCGTTGACTCCAGCTCGCTGTCAGTTTCCTGCTTCGTCATCGGAAGGCGCCCCGAATACCTCGACGAGTATCTCGTCAAAGTGAGCGAGCAGGGCCCTCTTTACTTCTGTAGAGCACGGCTCGCGTCCAAACGGCTTGGTTTGCCTTCGCTGATATGGACTAAGGCCAAAGTCTGCCAGTTTGTGCGGAATCTCACTCTGCGCATCGGGACCTAAGCTCCGAGATGTAGTGGCCCGGAAGACCTGATTTGGGCAAAGCGAGCAATCTCTCGTTTCCGGTGGGATGCTGATGCGTGAGCTCATGCCAAACAAAGCGGACAGCGCGGCCGTGCCTCCTCCATCACGATCGTCCGAATACATGGCACTCCGTTGCTGCCCCGACTCCAACGGCAATAGTCCCACTGATTACTCCAGGAAACGAGCAACCGCTACTAAACCTACATAGATCCGTCGAAGACGCCAAAGGCCATTTCCACCATAGCGGCCTGGTGGAAGGTTGGAGAAGAGATGGCCGGTACTATGTCGCCTACATTAAGTCCTAGATATCTAGTCTGAAACCTCGCTCCTGGACTGCTTTTCCCGCAAAACAAACGTTGTACTCTAGGGATTCTACGGGCCGGCGTCGGGTACGGTCGGAAGAAAGGAGCATGCTCTGAACGCAAACGCACATTATCTTGTGCCAGCTGTGTGCGACTGCATGGGGGGATCAAATGGTGCGGTGTACGTCTTCCGTACTGTCGGGGAACACAAGAACACGGGCTGGGCCTTTCATCGTCAAGCATGATTGGCAGGAGCGCCCTGATTTTCTGATCCGACAGCACTGATTGGCTGGACACAAAGCCGGCGCGATCGCGCCTGCTAGGGCCGCAGCCCCGCCAAGACTCTCCTCTGGCGGGGCGAAGCTTCGGACGCACTCAAAGGACCTGCGACGTCACCATCGCCGCTCATCGACCGAACCCATCAAAAGCCACCACCCGTCGCATCAACGCCCATACTCTATCTTCGAGCAGCCATCGCAGCAAACCAAACGGACTCACTGCGGCGGCCACAAAGCCCACGCCGCGCCTCACCCTGGAACGCTCCAACATCACGTGAGGACGAGTGGCCGACGTGCTATCTCCGTCCGACGCCTACTCTTGCCGGCCATCACCGCCAAGCCACCGGGCATCTCTCACTCTTGATGCAGGACCACCCAGCTGAGTCCAGCGAAGGCCGCGCGCCAAAAATCGCAATCCCGAGGCTCGAACGCGGCGCCCTCACGCCTCTGGCAAGCGAGAAGAAGGATGACAAGGCGAGGGAGCACCGCGTCGGGAGAGCGTGTACCAACTGCCGCAAGCGAAGTACGTTGCGTTGGCTCCAACTGGTGGCGACCTCGACGTCACTCGGGGTTAATGACGGCTAACGGTTTCTGTAGAGGTAAAGTGCTCTGGTGAGACGCCTCGGTGCAATAATTGCGCGACAAATGATTTGGAGTGTGTGTATGAACAGGCTCGCCGGGACCGCCTTAAGTCGTACGTATGTCACCGCTTCTACATACGTGTGGCACATTAGACGCGGTTAACCGAACAACACCAGCGCCACACAGCGGAACCAGGCACTTGTCTCGCTGTTGAAGGACCTCAGCATTCGTGTGGGCGATGCGGATAAGAGGAAAATCCAGAATGTACTCGAAAGTGTAGGTAGCCGTCCTGCGTATCATCCGCATCTTTGCTTCAGCGCACGAGCGGACATTCCGGTACCCATGGTGGAGTGCTCTGCTCAGTGCATGTAAGCCCCCGTTAGAGCCCATCGAACCTATGGCCTCAACAGTAGTGGTGTATACGCTGACCTTTACAGGTTGAAGATGACCTTCCCCCATCCCTAACGCCAGTCAAGTCAGTGAAGCGGAGGAAGCCACCGGCATCTGATGATGAAGATGATGACCCTCATGGCGAAGCCGATGCCCCAGCCTCCGTCGGCTCGAACGAGGACCTCGATCTTCTAGACGAGGATCTATTACGAAACCGCGAGTCTCGCGAAACCGGCTTCGTCGGCCAAAATTCCGAAGTGCAGTGGCTCCGAACCCTCCAGCGCGACCTGGACACCGCTGAGGGGGAGCCTTATGGACTGCCCTACGGCCCTCCGGGCGGAAGCCGGGAAGCTATTTTGCAGCGCTCTCAGGCCCTTGATGAGCGCCGGAAATTGGCCGGACCCATTCGGCCTGTTGCAGACTCGACCTTCTATCTCGATACCGAGAGCATTGAGCTCGAAGTAATGGTAGATCCACATGAGCTTCCACCCCCGGAGATAGCCGAGCGACTTTTCGATTGCTTCATGAAAAAGGTCCATAGGTCATTCCCTATCGTCGCCAACGCGTTCGAGGACCAGTTTCGCCGATACTACAACGCTATCAAACGCGGTCAGCCATTCACGGTTCCGGACAAGTGGCTAGCCATTCTGAACCTCATTTTCGCTATCGCGTCACAATACTCGCATTTTATCCACGCCGAATGGCGCGGAGACAGCCGCGACCACTTGATTTACATGACAAGAGCGATCCGTCTTATTGGACTGAAGGATACCTTGATGATCGTGTCAGCCCCGGACTTGGATGCTATTCAAATGGTAAGTCACGGGAGTTTCAGCGAACGTACTATGCCATTATGCTAATTATAAGTGTAGACTGGCCTGCTCTCATTTTATTACTTGGTAATCGGGCATGTTAGCAGGGCCTGGGTGATGATTGGCATCTCCCTTCGTCTTGCTCTCGCCCTCGGCCTGCATCTGAGAAACGAGGATCCCTCCACGCCAGCTAGTAAGAAAGAGACTTTGGTGCGAACATGGTGGAGTCTTCATTCGATTGAGTGTGTCCTCAGCGCTGTGACTGGACGACCGTGCATCATCGGCCACGAAGACTGCACCGTTTCTCTCCCACACATCTTTTCGAAAGTGTACTCCAATGTCGGGAATGCTTCGGGAGGAACGCCGGCTCGTAGCGATTATAGGGCATCTACAGCCCAATCGTCGAGCATTGGAGGATCAAGTCCAGGGAGAATGACAGCCGCTCCGCTGTCCTATCTGGATGCTCATATCAACATCGGCCTTATTACGCAAAAGGTGCTTGCAAAGCTGTACTCACCGCGCACGTCGACTCAATCTTGGGAGTATATCCAAAAGGCGATCCCGGAGCTGATGAAGGAGTTGGATGAATGGAGACGCAGTGCCCTACTGGACGATGCCCCTGGCCCGAAGAACCCTTTCGCATCTCACGAGGGTCGGCGAGAGTACACATTACTATCGTTTTCTTACTACAGTACCAAGATTCTCATTACGCGGCCTTGCCTCTGTCGGACGGAGCGCCGAATCAAGCGCCAAAGTGAAGGTTCTGCCAACTTCAATCAGAAAACGGCTGAGGCTTGTGTGCAGGCGGCTCAGGGGCTTACATCGCTGTTGCCCGACCAGCCTGACCTCCAGTCTCTATACGAGAATGCTCCTTGGTGGTGCATCATACATAACAGTAAGTAACAATCGTCGGCCACGAGGCAACCCTGCTAACGTCCTTGACCAGTCATGCAAGCAATGGCCGTCATGCTTCTCGAGCTGTCGTACCAGGGGACCCACATGACCACAAACGGCACCGAAATCACCGTATGTGTGAAGAAGCTTATGCGCTGGTTGCGTGCCATGCAGACGAGTAATCCCGTTACACAAAAGGCGTATCGGGTGATCTGCACCATCCTCCGAAACTCCAGTCGGCATTTCCAACCGAACGTGAACGCTCTGCTGGCTGAGGACGAGCCCACTACGAAGGATAGCAGAGCCCTTGAGAGCCATAACTTTCCGGGGCCCGCCTCCGAAGCTGCCCCGGCCGAGTGGTATGGTGGCTACTACCCTACGCATGCCAGCGACGCTGATATGAGTACGGCGAGCGTAGATCCGCGCTTTCTGACGGATTTGCACCAGCCGCAACCGCTGCCTCAAATCCCACCCAACCAGTATCCCTTCTTCTGGTCAGATTCGGTACAGAATCCGTCGGTGTGTTCGAACCCGTTCGTCACGAGCTTCGACCAGGATGTGCCGATCTCGCTCTCGATGACCGATTTATGGCCGGGTGGAGGAACGTCGGGAGGGCAAGCCAGTCCAGACATGCAAGGCTTTTCCTTCCAGCCGCAGCAATCCCCATATAATCCGGAGGACCCATGCCGGTGAGGTCGCTAGGTGGTTTGAGTGTGGAGGTTGGCGCTCTTACGTTCGATTCTTCGTATTATTTGTCACCATACACGATTCACCGGTCGGGGTACGATATCCTAGCGAATACGGTTCTTTAGACTCCTTCCAGAATTACTGCCTTGGCCGGCGTGGCAAATCTCCTTCTGTTCAGCTTTACTTCTCTGTCACGTCTGAAAAAGGAGGAATAGTATCCGGCATGGACTTTCTGGCTCGGAAAGGATATGTGTATGGTGGGTGGGTGGACGAGCTGAGCTTTATTTTAATACCCGCATCGTCCTAATCATGCTGGGTGGAGTCGTCATCGTGATTTCTCCTCATGCGTGCGACCGATGGCGCTTCTCTTCAGCCGCTCCTAAAATGCAAAATCTCTCTGGGGCCGCTGCGTGACGCCAGCTCCGTCGCTTCGTTTCAACCGTCGTCCGTACTCTCGTACGATGGCCGTCCGAAAGAGGACATTGACTTGCGCATGTCAGCACCCGCGCGATCCCATCCCATCCCATTTTGCAATAGCATATCCATCCAGGTATGAGACAACGTACCTCATTAGGTGTCATGCTCTGATAGAAGACGAACTTGCTCAACGCCGGATCTTCAGCCTTGCTCGCCCCGTCAGACGCTGGAGAGCCGTACTTGAAATCTCGCAGGTCTTCCTTACCTTCTCCGATGCCCAGAAGCTACATACCGCGCGCCAGAAGTGCAGGAGCGCAGACGATATGGGACCCATTGCTGGGCGCGCACTCCGAAGAGCTGAAGGACCCTGGGATTAGTCACGGCGAAACTAGGGAGGTAGGTGTGCAGCCTTGGGCAGGGCGGAGTAGAATAAGAAGCGACGAGGTGGTTGCGCTGGCTGGGAAGAGAGAGGTTGCACGCATTTTTGTTGTTGTCTGGAGAGCTGTCTTGTCGTGCTTTTCGCGGATAGCGTCATCCTTACCGGTTGGCGTTGGGCGGCCGCGCTTAGCTCGGTAAGGCGGCGCTCGGAAACTTCCGGTTGGGTGACCGCTCGTCCTCGCCCTCGCGTTGTCTTGTTTTGATAGACTACGCACGTCGCGAATGGGGTTCGCGCTTTTGACGGGTTCAGGGGGCCCAAGAACAGATACATAGAAGGCCTTTTCTTCCCGCCGGCTAACCGTAGAATGTGCGTTGTATGTTGTTATAGAGAGGACGAGATGTTAAACCGTCTGTCTCCACCCCTGACTTCTACTTCTACCTCCCTCGCCTCATGGGGCCCTTCAAGCCCGAGCATCCCCAAGCTTCCAATCCCCCGTAACTGCCCGTTTTTCCACTCGGAGAATATCATCCGCGCCACTCTGCGCTGTTCTTCCCGCGGGGCGTGCAGCGCGACGACGAAAAGTGGGACGTGCAGGCGCAGGTAGGAAAAGCCGACGTCGCGCAGGCGGAGGAACCATGCTACGTCTAATATCAACGCATGATGGTCCGCAGCCACGGAGTCGGGCGAATCGGGACTAGAGGAGACTGGGGTGCTGGACGCGGGGACTGTGGAGGAGCTTAGGGCTGGGCTTGTCTTGGATGTTGAGCCGGATTTGCTGGATAAGGAGGGTGGGATGTGGGACGGGGGAGCGGGGTCTGGGTTGGTAGAGACTAGAGAGAGAAGGATCCGGGCGGCAGAGAAGTAGGCGAAGTTGAGCGCTGTGAAGGGGTCACGGAAATCTGTATGCCCCGTTTCTGGGTTCGTCCAGCACAGTCTCTGCCGCTTGATCATGGGTTCGTAGTCCTGCCACAGCGTATCGACCTCCTCTTTGGCCCGTATGTAGGCTTCAGATCCTGCTCTTCTCTTCCTCGCCCTTGTGGCGGTAGTCGGCGATGGTGAAGCGTCGAAGTATATCTCAGCTAGGGACCCAATACATCCCACCAATCTCTGCATCAGCGGCAACTCTTCTTTCCTCCACCCACACGCACCCATCAGCACCCTCTTGATGCATTCATCCCGTCTGACCCTCCCCTCTTGACTCGTGAGATAGACGAATGCCAACTGGAATCTTACGTGGAAAAACAGATTCGTCAACAACGGCCCGGGGCCGCCCCCTCCTGATGCACCTCCGGGCGGTGCACCTTCCCTCTCAGCTGGGACCTGCAAAAGCGCGACTTCCATCATCTTACTCGCACCCACAATATGCTCCGCATACGCCTGCCCCGTCGTCGCAACCACAGCCTCAAACATACTCAGCATCACGCTCGCAGCCACCATATTCATGCCCACGCCCTTTGGCCCCTTGGCTTGCAACACATGTCCTTGGGATTGCAACGCCGCTCCATAAAGCCCATAAGCGTACTGCAGCAGGCCCTGGTTCCGTGTTTCAATGCCACTAAAGGCAGCAGTTGTTGCCCGCAGTGCGAGTCCCAGGGCATTAGCGCCGTTGGAATTGGACGCGGGAGACGGAGCGCCAGACGCCGCCATGCGCGGGAGTATGTGTAGCCACGAGGGCGTTCGGCGGACGGAGCCGGGGATGTGGCGCCCTTCAGCGCAGAAGTAGCAGACCAGGTTCGCGAAGAAGGCCTCGTTGAGGACGTAGCGAGGGGATACCTGGGAGAGCATGACGAACGCTAACTCCTCCGGCAGTCCTCTCCCTGCATGCCCATAACCCATAACTTCCCATCCTACCGGTCCCGCGGGAGTGCTCTCGGATTGCGAGCCGGGCTTTTTACGGCGAGGCTTCTTGCCCGAGGGATAGGAGCTGTTGTCGATAAAGAGCAACGGCGCATCCGTGACGCCTGGACATTCGCGTCCGAAGCGCTTGCACATGATGCAATGCGGGAGGGTGGCATCGCACTTGATGCGCTTCTGCCTGCATGTAGCGCAGGCTTTGGTTCGTCGTGGCATAGTGATATGCTCTCCTTCGGGGACTTGTTTTGTCTCCTCTCCGGGTCCCCTCTTTTCGGCCCAACCTGATTGAGCGGGTTCAGTCTTCAAAACCAGCTCTTGCCCTTACAACACTCAATCCTCAATTCCTCGATGTGGAATCCGCGTAGAGGAAGAAAGGTCGATGAGATGAAGATGGGAAAGCTGTGAAAGCGAGGAGGTTCCAGCCGTGGACGCGTAAAGATGAAACCAGGATGGACCCTGGCAGCTGTGAAAATCTCCGACGTGAACGCTGAGTGGCTCGGCAATGTAAAGCCGGCTTCCTGGGCCTTGTCTATTTCACGATCTGGGAACAGCGCATATGAACTAAGAACCGATAACTAGGTAGAAGGCATCTCATGTACTAAAAGGAACTATAGCGATGCGTTCTGGGCTTCTGATGGAGGGGGCTAGAAGGTGGTAGGATGCAGGTGGAGATGGAAAAGGTTAGCAGCGCGTGGGGTACTTGTCGCAGAACAGGTGGGGTACATGACCGCTCGTTCTGGGCCGTCTTCAGGAAGCCAACAATGAACCTTATTGAGATGACAAGGTTTGGCATGTCATGCGAAGGAAGCGTACTCTACATTGCGAGCGGTTGGGAAACAGCCACATGAACGCCTCGGATTCAGAAGCGCAGACCTTGGTATACCACGCCGCGCCCGCTACATATCGTAAACCCGGCGTAACCCATCCCTCGAAATAACCGTCATGAAAGGAGGAATTAGAGAGATCCGTGTCATACATATTCATCGCCCACCGGCCATCTCTTTCCATACCTACGCCTTCTGGCTCGTCTCCACAAACGCCAACGCCCCCTCCCGGTCAAACACGTCAATCCGACTCGTACTATTCTTGTAACTGACCGCATAGCACTTATCCGCGACCAACACCATCTCCGGGCGGAACGTCGTACAAATAAACTGGCCGCCGCCCTCGCCGGACTCTCCACCCTTCCCGCTCAACTTGCGCAGCATCTCTGCCACCGCAGTGCGGTACTGTCCGTCGAGGTTGGCATCGATTTCGTCAAAGAGGTAGAAGGGCGCCGGGTCGCACTGCTGAATCGCAAAGACGAGGGCGAGTGCACAGAGCGCTTTCTGTCCGCCAGAAAGCTGTTGGATGCGTTGCTGTTCGTCGTGCTTGCTGTTGAAGGAGACGGCGATGCCGACGCCTGTGTAATTTTCGACGCTGGTTCGGGCGCCGTTCGCGCGCCCGTTCGCGCGCTCTTCTTCCTCGTCAGAGTCCTCCTCGCCGCGGCCTCGTCGCGCTTCGCGGTCGGAGCGCCGCTGGATAATGAGGCGGCCGGTGCCGGCAGGGACGAGCTGGACGAAGACTTCTTGGAAGTACTTGGATACTTGCTTGAACGTGCGCGCGATGGCCTCATCTTTGCGCTGGTCGAGGATCTGGATCATCTGGTCAATCGAGTCTCGCGAGCCAGAGAGGTCGGACCGGCGCTTGGCGAGCTGCTCTCGCGACTTGGTGAAGCTCTCGTACTGTTCGAACGCCTTCTTGTTGACGTGCGAGTATTTCCGGAGCGCTTTGTTGACCTTCTCGATTTCGCTCATGATCTGTTCCATCTGTGTCAGCTATACCATCTTTACAGATGCAGCATGTCGCTTACCCTCTCATCTGACCACCTAGCGTACTTGTGGTACGCCTCTTGTGGTAATGTGCCGAGCTCTCGGATGTCTCGCTGGATCTCGTTCAGCTCTGCTTTATACTCCTCGCGCGCCTGCATCCTCTTGTCCATTCCTTTCTGCTGCTTCTCGATCGCACGCGCAAGCTCGCGGTTGGTCCTCTCCTTCTCCGCTTTGGCTTCTTCTAAGCGCGCAAGCTGAGCCTCCGCCTGCTCCTTTTGCTCATCCAGCTCCTGAATTCGTCGGTCATACTCGGCGACCGTCTTGTCGATCTTCTTCAGGGAGCGCTCGGCATCCTTCAGGCGAGCTGATTGAGTCACAGTGCCGCCGGCGCCGTTCTGCTGCGTCAGGAGCTGATCGAGATTCGGCTGGAGATTCTCGTGCAGCTCTGTCTCGATTTCGGCCTTCCTACCTTCCAGATCAGATCGCTCCTGGGTGAGGGTGGAAAGTTGTCGCCGTAGATCCCGCACCGTGCCCGCAAGAGTCTGGAGCAGCGCTTCCTCGTCCCGTGACAAGGCCTTTTCAAACTTCGATGCTATTTCAGCCTCATAGTCGCTTTGCTTGCTGCCCAGCTCGTTTATCTTCGACTGGATCTCTGCCGCAACCCGCTGCATCTGCTCCAGCGAATTCTTCTTTTGTTGTAGCTCAGCCTGCCTCGCGCGGAGTTCCTGCCTCATCGGCCCGTAGCTGGTTTCCACATTATTTCGCTGGAGTTCCATCTTCTTCACGTCGCTATGTGCCGCCGTGAGCTTCTGCCTCAGAGATTCCAGTTCGGTAGTAATCTCCGTCTTGCGCTCCCGTAGCTGATCGCGTTGCTCTCGCAGAGCAAGCACTTTGCGATGGGCGTCTAGCTTGCACTTACTTGGATCATAGTAACCGCCGTGATAGCCGCCCTTCTTATGTGCTCGGTCACCGTCAGGTGTCAGTGCAAGCACGTCGTGAGTCTTCGCCAGGCTGTGGCAGATGCTCAGCTCGGGACACACAACCACTTTGGCGAAGATGTTCTTCATAGCCTTTTCATAGGCCTGGTCGTATCGAAGTTTGGGAAGTAATGGTTGAGCGTCCGCAGTCTGTGGGACTTGGACCTGCCTAGATTGCACGCGGTTGAGGGATATGAATGTCAAGCGGCCACCTTTCTCTTTATTGAGCAAGTCAATTGCTTTCGACGCTGTGTCGTCGTTATCGCAGATGACGTGGAAGAGGCTTGGCCCAGCGGCAACCTCAGTGGCGATCTTATAGGGTTCGGGAACTTCGAGGAGGTCGGCAATTGTGCCGTAAATGCCCTCCAGGTTGTGTTGTTCCTGAATTCGACGCAGAGTCTCCAAACCGCGACTCGTGGCGTGGTCCAATAGGTGTGAAAGCTCGCGCTCTGCATGTCGGAGCTGCCTGTCGGCGTTGTCCAGCTGTGCGCTTGTCCGGTTCTCCTCGCGGTAAAGGGTCGACTGCTCGTCGCGGATCTTGTCCCACTTGTCCTTGGCCTTTTGTACCTGCTCCCCAACACTGAGCGTGCTGTCTCCCTCTTTGTCCAAGTCCGTCTTAAGCCTCGCAATTTCCTTTTCGAGAGTGCCGATGGCCTTCCGGAGAGCTTTGATGTCATCATCTGTCTGCATCTGGACGGATTTCCTCGTGGCTAGATCCACGGTGATGTTGTCAATCTCCTTTCGCAAGGCATCGTCGCGCTGGCGCTTGTTGCTGTAGAAGGCCGTGCGGCCTTGCTTGTCTTCGAGACGTTTCCGCTGGCCCTCTGCCTCGGCCAGCTGAGAGCGGATGTCGGTCTCTTCATCCCGCTTCTCGTTGTATCTAGGTAACAGCTCGCCGAGCTCAGTCTCGCGATCCCGTATCAGCTGCTGAAGGCGCTTGATCTCCGCGTCTCGCCGCCGCTGCGCCTGCTGCGCCGCAGACTGCCCGTCAGTCAGTTCGTTGAGGTCGATTTCGATTGCGGCCTTTTGGCGCGTGGATTTGCGGCGATCGTCCTCGAGCTGGGCGCGGTCGTCCATCAAGAGCTTCAGCTCACTCCTGAGCTCGTCCATCTCAGTCTCAATCTGCTCCATATCCCTCTCGTTCTGGATGAACTGGGCGCTGCTGCTGTCGACGTTGGCCACCCCATCATGCCTATACGCATCGATGCGCTCGATCTTTGCCTCGAGCTCGCTCTCCTGCCGCTGCTTGAGCGCGAAGGTAAGCGCGCGGCGCTCGCGGTCGTTCTTGTTCCACGCCTCGAGTTCCTTCTTCTCCCCCTCCAGCTCCGAGAGCCGGTCGTTGATGTCATTGACGAGGTCGTCGATCTTTACGCACTTCTTGTCCGTGTCATCCAATAGCTTCAGACTGTCGGCGCGCCGCTTCTCGTAGACATTGGACCCGGAGATCTCCTTGAGCAGACTCAGCCGCTCCTCATCCTTCATGTTTGTGATGGCGGTGACGCGGCCCTGGGGCACGATGTAGAAGGGGTTGGAGCGCGACAGGCCGGCGGCTTCGAGCATCTCGAATACTTCTCGCTTGGTCGCATTTTTCCGGTCCATGGAGTACTCGTCTTTCTTGGCGCCGATGGTGCGGCGGAGGACGAACTCGGGCTTGCCGCTGTTGTGGAAGCGGCCGTCGGTGTTGTCGAAGACGACTTCAACGTAGGCCGACATGACGGCGGAGCCCGATCCTTCCTGCGCCCGTTAGCCGGCATGATACATGATGCGATTGTACGTACGTGCAGCAGCGCCTGGCGCTCCTCGCGGCTCATGTTCTCGTAGTCGTCGCCGAGCACGAAGCGCACGGCGGCGAAGAAGTTGCTCTTGCCCGCGCCATTGCGCCCGACGATGATGTTGCTCTTGGCCGAGAAGGGCTCGATCTTGGTCTGGTCCTTGTAGCTCTTGAAGCCCTGGATGGTGATTTGCTTGATGTAGCCCATGGTGGAGAGCGGCGCGGGGCGTGTGTGTGGTCAGGGCAGAGTCGCGCGCGCGGGGAGGATCGATATGGGGCGATGCAGTTAGCGGTCAGGGCATGGCGAGTGAATGGCGCCGTGCTGGTCGTGATTTGCTTCTCGGGCGACGCGACGACGCGCTTCGCGACAGTCTTAGTCAGCAATACCGGAGCGGAACAACGAGTTTCCTTCGCGGTCGGTTCTTCTATGTCCCATTTCCTGTTGACCCTCAAATTCAGAGCACCCCTCCTACCTAGGTAGGTCGGCCCGTCTCAATTCACTAGACCCTGATAGCCATGCGTCGCGCAAGGGATAAGACATGCGATCAATACTCGCAGCCAAGCGGGAAAGCCCCATGTCACCACCGTGTCAAGACTCTTCCATCTTGGGCTTCGGATACGAAAACCTGCATAATTCTCTCCATCGACATCCCATGGTTTGCCCCGTCAGGTTTTCACGGAACCGAATGGCAGCGTGCAAAAGCCAGTCACGCACACCATCAATTCCACGGAACCACGAGGCGGGTCCATCCACGTTTCTTTACTCCTTGGTGCCCAACAATCTTCAGATGTCAATTTGTCCTATATTCTTCTCCCCAAATCTCTATATCTCGATGTCAATACGCCGCCGCCAGCACACCGGCTTTTTCTCTGAAGCACGCCTAGGTTCCCCGTACAAACCGCATCCCATTCAGACACCTACACTCTCCCCCGCCGCCCTTCCGGTAGCACTCTTAACGTTAGCTTGATTGAGTCCCACGCCCGAACCGAAGCTACCATACCCGCCCGGCCTTAACCAAGTCTCGGCGCTCAAGGCACTCAAGATGGTGGCCTGTCTCCGCTCCCTAATCAGCCTCCTCGCGCGTGTCGACAACGACATCGAAAAATCGAAGCACGCCCGTGCACAACGAAAGCAAGAGGCCGCAGACCGCAAGCTACGGGAGCGACGATGGAGAGAGCTCACAAAAGGGAATGGTAAGCCTCACTATCTCAATTCTTCATCCCTTTGCATTCACCATCCTGTTCACCTGTATTCGCGAATGGGCTGACGACTGGAACTGACGAGCGACGTAGTGGCGGCCGATCGCGACGCGCAGCGAACAAGCGGAGGAGAGCAAAACAGAGTTTCCAGATGGCGCAGCATTAACACCAGGAAGATCAAGGAAGACGGTGACGAGGACGCGGACGACGAGCACAGCGATCCAGAAGCCAATACTCTCGATCTAGCGCGCGTTCCCGCTGCAATAGCATTTTATAGCGGCGCGCTGTAATGTTTCTATCTTCACAATCAAAACTATATCCTCCATATCCACAGCCAAAGCGCACTACGAGCCGAGAGAAGAGCCGCCCCAATTCCAGAGCGCGAACCCATTAGGCTCGATCGCAGCAAAGTGCGCGGTACTCACAGCCACACTCATCAGTCGTGTCCTGCCATATCCATATCCACAACCTTGGAACCCAGTCAGTCCCCCACTAAGTATCCCTCGCACCCACGGACGAGGCTCGTCCTCTCCACCACAGCCATGCTCTCCCCAAGTTTCGCTCCACTCTCCACCCACATCACTCCCCTTCCCTCTCCTCACCTACTACTTACTATTCCACCACTTAAGTCCATTCGCACCACATATCCCCTCCCTCACCTACTACTACTATCCCACCGCTTTACCCCATGCCAACACCATCCCTTTTTCCGCCCCAGAGCTCCCACAGCAATGCACAACCCCCGTCTCATCAGCGACGCCGTCCGCGCCTACATGCGCGCCCACCCCGACCGCGCCGTCGAAATTCGCCAGCTGGCTAGTGCGTATGCCGCACGCCAGGCGGAGAGGCGAGCGGCGAAGTTGGAGCGGGAGGTGGAGAAGCTGTGGAGGGAGGAGGAGAGCCTGAAGAAAGCGAAGAAGGAGCGCGTTGATTCAGCAGTGGACGTCAGCAGCGTGGAGGAAGGTACGGAGAGATGGCAATGCAGGTGATGAGCGCGGGGCTAAGGGGCTGGAAGGGCAGCGGACTGGGGAGAAATACTTATTGCAGAACTCTCCTGCGCGGTTCTAGCGACATGGCTTGCGGACCCGGTGGGAAGACCGCAGTCAGGCGGCTTGCTTGACCGTGTCCGTGTCCGCGGCCTCACATACCACCACCGCAAATCCACACGATCACCTCCAACCTCCCTACCTAGATCACACACATCGACATCACGAATCACAAAAGAGCGAGCAACCACAAAACGCGTTCTGAACACTCTTATGTACTATTTTCATTCCACGCGCCCGCCGTATTCCGGCTGGTATATCGCGCACGCCATGCAATCAAGAAAAAAGCCGGTCGGCGTGCATATCCAACGCAAACGCCCCCGAGAATATATACACACGTTGAAGGAAGCCCGCAAGCCCGTTTCCCACCGAATCATCAGCCATTAGAAGCAAGAAGTCCTCCAAGCCGCCCGTCCGTATTAGACATTCACCCACGAAGCGAAGACGTCTCTAAACTTATCGCGTGCTCGGTGCAGTGCGTGTTTAGACAAGCAGCACCATAGCCGCGCCCACTAAGCCGACAAGCGCACCAGCCTTGTGGCTGCTCGCCGCGCCGGGGAATAGCGGCGGGGCGGTCGTGGTTGCGTTGCCTGAGGGAGTCGGCAGGGCACCCGTCGGCGCGCTCGGCACCGGGACAGACGGCGCCGGGCGGGTGTCGGTCACAATGCCGGGCTGCGTAGGGTAGGGCGGCGAGCCACCAGACGATGCCGGGGGCGTAACAGCCGGGGGAGGAGAGACAGGGGACGCGGAGCTCTCGACCGGTGGAGGGGCGGGAGCGGAGCTCGCAGGGGGGACTTCAGGAGTAGCGGGAGGTGTACCAGTCACAGTGACGGTCAGGGTGCCACAGTCGCAGGGGGTCTCGCCTGGAGGCGTCGTGCCGTTGGTGTACGGGCCGCCGCTGGGGACAGGAACTGGAGTGGAGGATGGCATCTGCTCGCCGTCGGAGCAGGGCGTGCTCTCCGCAGGTGTACCAGCCACACCCGTAGCTGTCGGCGCATTGACACCGGTGCCAAGACCAGCATCCTCGCCCGTAGCAGAAGGCTGGATGACGGCGCTGTTCTGCGGCGCGCCCTCGGTATCTCCAGCGCCAATCGCCTTGATGGACTTGTAGCTGCCAGATTGATCGGTCCACTGGTACTCCTTGGCCGGTGTGTAGTTGATAATCTTGACGCTCTCGACGGTCTGCGTGAAAGGGGCCTTGGAGTAATCGACAGGTCCACCAGCCCAGCTCCGCGTGCCCTCGTTCTCGGAGTCACCGCCCGCCCAGATGCCAATACGCACATTGGAAGGAGTTTGGGGGTAGTTGTTCCCGCCGTTTGCGTCGGCGAACTTCAGGGTGCGGACTGGGGCGTTGTCGATGATCCAGGTCAGGGCGTCGGCGGTCCAGTTCAGCGCATACGTGTGCATTTCCTGCACGTTGGAGACGTCGGCTTCGACCATGCGGTCGTAGGTGGTAGTGTTGCCCTTGCCGAAGTAGTTCATCTGGACTTTGCTGCTCACGCCGCCTATGAACTCCCAGTCCACCTCGTCAAGATCGTCGGACTGCAGGACAATGGAGGAAATGATGCCCTGGCCTGGCGCGGCCTTCATCTTGACCTCGATGTAGCCGAAGTGGAGGTAGCCCTCGGACTGGATGGTGGGCGCATCGCCCTTCTTGGCCACGGTGAATTCGGCTCCGGAAGCGCCGTAGTTGAGCGTTCCGGCGGTCTGCTTCCAGCCCTTCACGCCGGACGCGCCGGCTTTGAAATCGGTGCTGAAGTCGGCGGGCATGGCGGGGTTGTTGGGGCAGGTCTTCTTGGTGGGGTCGCAGTCCGTGAAGGTTTGAGCAGTCGCGAGGGCCACGAAGGCGCTCGCGGTAAGGGAGGTGATAAAGCGCATTGTGGGTACCGTATGCGGTTGTGTTCTATCAAGTCCGGTCTACGATTTGAAATAGAGGTGTTGTGGGTGTTGATAGAAGCGAGCTGTCGGGTTCTAAAATTTTACTCTTCGCAGAAGATGGCGTAGTGAAAGTGACGTCGAGCCTAATGCAACGCGGTATGCACAATGTCTTGGTGAAGGACAGTTGAGTGAAGGAATGGCTGGTCCAACAAAGCGGAGCCCTTGTCCAAAGTATCGACAGCAGAAAAGCAGAATAAAGAATGAATGTGCCAGTACGAAAGTATCGTCCTGCGTTTCAAAAGCGGCGCGAAGGAGGGTAGTGAGCTTTATAAAAGGAGAAGAAGGCAAGACACACAGAAAAAGAAGGTGAGGTGAGAAAGTGGTCTGGCGGTCAGCAGTGCAGTCCGTAAAAGAAGAAGCACGAGGGCCTCTATAAAAAGCGCCACGTCCGCCAGCGTCGCGCAATCTCCGCAGCGCAACGAAATAAAGTGAGATTGGCATGGCGTCTCCTGTTTCGACACTGCTCGGACTTGAGTGGTGGACAGCGGCCTTCCTTCGCTCCCTATGCTGTTTCATGAAACACCAGGTGGAGGCTAGCGGCGTCAGAAAGACCAGGCGGGCTGCCCAGGGTGGTGGTGGCCTATCACACGCCCCGCGTGCCTGGCCCTGGCAGCTGTCTCCGGCAGCGGATGCGTTTGGCGCCCGCCGCCGAAAGCCACACATGGCCTGCATTTCGGGCCTCGACATCGCACACAGGCCGCCGATACGCTGAGGCTGTGCAATCGATAAGGGGAACGGAGCGCAGCTGGCATGGTGATGGTCTACCTCGCGGGGTCACCGTTACATTGGCCGAGACAGGAAGCCGAGGAGAGAATTCGACGTGGAGCTGCTCTGGCTGGCTGCCGCGATTTTGCGACTGCGCTGCGCTGCCGCTGGCTTCCGTGATTGCGATGCGCGACCAGAGCCTCCTTTTTCTTCGTCTTTCTGCGCGCAGATCGTAGATGTGATATCATCGCCCGTTGAACATTGTTTGTGATCGACCGTGAGTGATGCAATGATCATCGCGCCCTGACGATCCCGCGATGGCACAGAGCCGCCTGAACGACTGGGTGGACCGCCCGCTCGCGATGCTGTGACGCAGAGCCGCCGGCAACCGCCGAGCAGATGCATGCGCGTCGACGTGGCTGCGGAAGGCGCAGGGAAAGCGATCAGTGGTGTCGGCAGTTTGCCTGCGTGGTCGAGGAGGAAAGGCAGGGAGAGGCATGATGTTGTTGAGGCAGTGCCGTCAGACCGTCGATGCGACCCCGCCTGCTCGCATCCTCTACCCAGCACACAGCACACGCCAAGAAACCGTTGCCGCCTCGTCGCCCTTGAGAGCGCTCACAGGACTCGGAGACAGCCTTGCCGCACGACTGCAGCCCGAGCGCCGGCGAAAGCTTCGCAAAGCTTGGACGGAGCCCGAAGATTCCTACGGCCGCAGAACTAGGCCGGAAAGACGGCCTCCAAACAAGCTCTTTCCTTCCGTCACAAGAACGCTGCATATGCGATCGAGAGTGCGCGCCACCATGTGTAGCCTCACCATACCATTACACGTAATCCGCCTGGCGCCATCTACGAGCTGGCGAGCGTCCGCCACTTCTCCACCAGTTTTTAGGCCACCATCAGAAGCGCATGGGGCATCTTATTCGGAGTATGAGAACACGTCAAGTCCGTGGTGCTAGTTCACGCCTGCTTGCTGTATGCGATCGCACGAGGAGAAGTCCGAAGGGGCGCACTTGGCGGAGATTGCGGAGAGCATGCGCCATTCTCACGTTTGCGCGTCTACACGGGGATAGGGCTGCCACTTTCACGAAGAGCGCACACTGGGCGTAAAAGAAAGCCGTATCCATGTCATTGAAGAAGACTCTCTAGGTGCCGCACTGCGGCGAAGTGGATGAGACGCCGAAAACCCTTCGCTGGCCGGCCAGCAGACCGTGCCGCACAGTTCAGACACCGACTACGGGACAGCCATCTTGTAAGCGTCAGCTATCCATCAATGAACAAAACAGGAAGCGAAAGAGTGCAGGAGCTACGATCCAGCCTTCATCAGAGCTATCTTGGGGTCGGCAGTAAGTCCAATAGTATGGCACCGCTCATCATCCCACGCCAGCATGCACCAGCAGCAAGACAAACGAGCGGGCAGTGACCATGGTCTCTCAGTTCAAGTGTAGGAGTCATCATTGGGAACGGCGGCGGAAGAAGACGGAGGTGTACGTACCGTCACTTAGAAAAAGGCGACAGCCGAGGATCTAGGGTGTATGGGCTGCCTTGAACGTGGAGTGTCAGCAACAGGGAAGTCTTGGGGCAACAGAAAAAGATGAAGTGGCTCTCTTCTGATCAGATTCTTTTCAGCAGTCGGCAACCGGCTCCGCTCACCGCGAGGAGAGGGATCTGTCCGACGCCCGCGTCCGCATTGCGGGGTAGTATCGAGGGTGAAGTATCATCTTCGAAATGCTTCGAAAGGGCTGGAACAAAAAACGTACGTACCATAGACGAGCTTGGGCTAGTTGAATGGCGAGTTGAATCTAGACGCAAGATTACCCGCTTGAGCTCAGGAGCGTTAGCAACAGGACAGTCTGAAGATGGCAGAAGCAATGACATAGCGGATGGTATTTAACTCAGATTCTTTTCAGTGGTCCGCAAGCAGGCCCGCTCACCGGAAGGAGAGAGATCCGTCAGACTACCCGGATATTGATTGTTTGTGTGTAGTACTCCGGGTGGAGGATCATCTTCGAAGGAATTGGAGAAGAGGACGTGAGGTACAACTTACACTATGATCATGGGAACCGGGCATTCGACGATGAATACCCCCTAGCTCGAATAGTTGTCGTTTGGAGTGGGCACGCTGCTGTTGTCGCGTGAGGTGTTTGTTGCGAGATGGTGAGGTGAGGTGAGGTGAGGGAGGGCGGCGGCGGCGGGTTGATATAGATGTGGGACTCAGAGGGGGGACGTGCGAAATTAATCAGCTAGAAGCGAGAGGTCGCCGTAGTGACGGCGGTCAACGCTAGTGAAGCTGTTTTGTGTTGGGGACGAGAGAAGAGTGGAGCTGGAGTTTGTTTGGACCGGTCTTGGCACTTTTTCAAGAAGCAAGGCGCAAGCAGGGGCTTGGTGACCACAACGAATACTTTTCAACCGTACGTTTGCTAGTGGAGGACTACCGGTGGTAAGCAGCCTCGTCTCCCGAGCCTTCTCACTCCTCCGTCTCATCTCTCCTGCGCTAAGCGGAAGACCCCAGGCCGCGGACTCTCCATCGCGCTACCATCCACTGCGCTCCGTCTGCATGGCTGTGCTATACTGCCTGAGGTCGTCAAACAAGAAGGCTTTGTGCTCCTCCTCTACCATTCTCTTCAGCACGCCAGCCGTGGCTCTCTCCTCCAAGTTCATCCTCAACGCGAGCATCATGCACTCGTTGAGCACATCGGAGAACTTGGGCGTCGGCCGCTTCCTCCTGGCGTCGTCGGCCTGCTTGAAGGACACAAGGTTGATCGGAATGGCTTTCCTTGGCGACTTCGCCGCCCAGAAACTCTTCTTCACGTCCTCGGTCCAGTTGCGGGGGAACTGCGGAACGCCCTTCTCCTTCCTCCATGCGCTTTCCGTGATGTTCGGGTCTTCGACTGGCGGGAAGCCGTGCGCGAGCTCATGTATCACGCACCCGACAGCCCATACATCTCCCGCAGGCGTTGCCTCTCGGCCCTCCCAGGTCTGCTCCGGGGGCCACAGAATGGTCGTGCCCGTGTTCTCTGCCATCTTCTTGTTCTTCGCGTCGTAGTAGGCTGAGAGCCCGAAGTCTCCGAGCTTGACCTTGAAGTCGCTCCAGTTGTCTTTCTTTCCAATGTCCGCGACGAAGATGTTCTGCACTGCGATAAGGTGGCACATGTTAGCAGGGGTTCTTGAGTAGGGAAGAGGGACTGAAGGCCTCCAGGAAGCCCTTTCTCGATGCAGACGAGACCTACGTTTGATGTCACGGTGGACGACTGGTCTCCAGAAGTCAGCAGCTTTCGGGTCGGCGACACCGACCCCCTCGTGAAGAAAGGCAACGGCCGAAGCTAGCTGGCTGAGGATCGACCACATCAGCCCCTCGGACGCGACAGCCTGGTCCTCTCGCCAGAGCTGCTCCTTGTAGCTCCAGAGGTCGCCCAGCGGGTAGTACTGCAGAATTATGCTGTCAGTGTCTGGCTGGGGCTGCTTCTGGACGAAACCGTAGCAGAGGACGATCTTGTCATGAAGAGGTAGGTTCTTCAAAATCTCGGCTTCGGCCGGCAACTTCTTCCCCCTGTTCTTGATCATCTTGACGGCCACCACGAAGCTATGGTGGATCCATCTCGGGTCGGGGCTTGCCCACGTCCACTGCTCCACCTTTCCTTCGGAGCCGACGCCTATCTGCTCGTTGCGCACGTGCGAGTGCGGGAAGTTGCTTGCGGGGTTGATGTCGCCGACGACGCGCGGGATGTGCGCGGTCGAGCTGTCTGTGAGGTCGCGAGCCCAGTCGAGGGTCGGCTTGCTGCGGAGATGGAGGCCGAAAGGCATGATGTCTGTGATTAGATTTTAGCTTTGTACCGCGAAGACGAAGACAGTATGATGCTGTGCACTGCGACTGACGAGAAAAGAAAGCTTCCTAGCGAAGAAGAAAGAGGGAAGAAGGAAGGTTTGTGATCCGAGGGCGAAGGTCCTGGTCCCGAGCAAGTCGCGGTGAAAGCGAAGCGGTGAAAAGCTCTCGGAATCGTTTCACCGCGTGCTGCTCAAGTTCACCAAAGTCGATGGGTTGAGCCATTGGTGATGAAGAGGAGCTCCACGCATCTTGACTTAGTGAGCCTTTAGGAATCTTATTCGCATTCATTTATCCATGTAGAGTACGGTGGCTATCCCCTTGACAAACCAGACCCGCAGAATTCTTCCCTTCGAAAAGACCTCTCCATTAAGAAATTATCCAACAGGGGATGCCAGTACATCGCTTCCCAATGGAAGGCAAGGGCCACTGCTTTAAGAATAACTCGCCGTCCTTGTACAGTCCGCAGTGCTTCCACACCGGTACCCAGCTCTTACTCGGGCGTGTTCCGAGGGGGGCGAGGGCAGGCCAGACACTTGCATGCTCTCGTCAATTTCGACCAGCTCCTAAAACACGTTTCGCCGACACGCAGGGTTTGGGACAAATTGAAAGAGAGCCTTCAGCGCTTTCCGGGTTCTTGCGGTATTCTGTCTTGCAAAATAAAACGTTCCGTTTCGTCATCTGGAAGCGCGTGTTTGCTTGCGTAGTCCTCGTCGACTGTCCTCCTGAAGAGAAAATATCTCCAGGATGTAGCCATCATGGACGTTTCCGAAATCCGACAGGCCCTGGTGACTGGAGGGCGGGATGGCGCATCCAAAAGTTGTGCCGGGGAGCGGCATCTGCAACGGCTTGCTGGATTGAGGATATGAGATCTGTGAGATGTTTTCTGGGGAAGAAACTGTTAATATTTCAAACAGTGCCGTAGTGGCTAGTGGCCAGGCGAGGAATACGCATGTTGGGACATTAAAGGAAGGTTTAACCGCGACATTTGAACCAGTTCCATTAGAGATGCGTCGATCACGCAAGTCACAATTCGAGACAGTTTCCTCTTCCTCCTTAGGAATGTCGCAGATTTTGGTCCGGGTGAGCTATAAGAGGAAAAGTTTGTCTCAACAACCAAAAGTCGAATTGTTCGGAGGCAGTGATTGGAAGCTTCTCATATATAAGAAGGGAAAGCTTGCTTCTTTCCGACGCGCAACCACTCTCGTCCCCCCTTTCACCTTCAAGATTGCCCTTCGCAACACCTATATCTGACAACGCCCCACCGCTTAAACACATTCACGCTCAAAATGGAGAAGACATTCGCACTCCACAACCTCACCTCGTACCTCCGAATTTACCATGTCGAGCTCGCGTCTGCTTCCGTCAACGAGCGATGCTTCAACTGCTGGCGCGACTTCAACACCAAATACGAAGACACCAATCCGGACGAGATCCCTTGCAGCCCGGTGCGCATCAGTCCATGTGGCCACGTCATCGGCGATGAGTGCTTGAAGACACTTTTCCTCCACGGTATCCAGGACTGCCAGCTATGCCGGAAACCGATCAAAGTCAAAAGCCACGGAGCCCCGGTTCTCCTGAGACTAGCTGCCGAGAATTCGTGGTACAAAAGCCAGAGCGAAAAGGCGGCGCGACGCGCAGAAGAGCGGCATCAAGCAGCGAGGAGGCGCAACGAGGCCGCGGTTCCCGAGTACCAGCAACTCTGCAAGCACCTCTTTCTCGGCAGACTCACGATCGGAAACGCCTTCCGACTCTGGTGCCACCAGATGCTCGGATGCCTTCCTCGCCTGCGCGTCCTCGGAATCGTCCTCGCGCTCGAACTCGCAAGCTACACGCTGGCTTTTCTGCTTCCGCGGCCGTATCGCTCTTTCGTATCCCCCTTCTGGGGCTCTGGAGCCGAAGCTTCTTGTTCTCTGCTTGTCGCCATCTTGGTTTTCGTCTTGGGATGGGTCGTCTATTCCATCGCGGCATTGGTTTTGGTGGTGTGGAGCTGGAACCCTGCGCAAGTGCAGATCCCAGTGGGATTAGAGAACGAGATTTGGAATGATACGTTCGGAATTGTTGTGGGGCGGCTTCTGACAGGCGTGGGTGGACTGTCTCGGGCAATAACCACCACGATTTGGAATACGGTGGCGTTTGGGGCAGTTACGGCAGCGCTTATCGCATTAGGGATGAGGAGGTCGAAGAGGCGCGCGGTGGTTGAGGCGGGTGCTGCGTGAAGGAACCATAGAAGCTGGTTCGGTTCCTCTTTCCGCCCTGGGGCTGTTGTTTCATGATGCTTTTTGGTTGGGGATTGGCTCTTCTATTCAAGTTTGCGGCTCTCGCTATATATAAATCATCAACGCGCACCCCTTCATTACACCATCTCCACACCCCCTTCCCCCAAACTACATACATCCATACCCGCACGTTTTCCAACACTCCGCCAACGTACAGCCGGACGATGAATGCCTCATCTGCAAAGAACCATACAGCTGCTCGATGAATTCGGGCCGCCGCCGACCCGTACGCCCGAACGCGTGCAACCACGTCATAGGCGGCGAATGCCTCCGCTCCCTGATAGTCGCCGTCCGGGCCAACGTCGATACTAGAACCACCAGCCATCGAACACCATCCGCAGTGAGAACTTCTTCCTGACGGTACTAGGACGAGTTTGCGAGTCCCCCTGGTTACAGTTTTGGGACGACCTCATCGCATTCACAATTTCGGAGAGCAACTTCCACCGCCGCAAAGGAACTCACCGAGAAGCCTTGTTGTACCGCAATATAACACTTGAGGGTGCCATTCACCTGTCGGCATCGGCTGGGCTGCACGTACTATTTCCTTCTTGTTGGTCTAACTCATTGCTACGATTTCTTGCGCCGCTTGCTTCGGGAATGTAGACCCTGGGACTAATGTGGCTGGAACTTTGGGCAATTTGGTATGTTGTATTCATGAGGTTATCGATCTTTGCGGTGTTGAATGGGTTGGCCTTTGTCGGAGATTCTCTCCTCATAGTCACTTGGGCCTCGTACAGTCTTGGTGCTGAGCTTATGTATACACGTTAACGATCCTCGCATTTTGCCGCCTCGATGGGTATCAATGGCACTAATTGACAGGACAGTGTTTTGGTCAAGTAGTAGCCGTGGTGGGAGTAGACGGAGTATACCCCATTCAAACCCACGTCACATCTTCTCTTGGAGTGCGATTACCCCGTCCGCTCCTTTCTGTCTCCCGTAGCTCCTCGTCCTCCACATCATGCCCGTGTCCTTCAACGTCTTCCATATCCTCATCCATGCCGGGCCAGAGGATGTCGCCCCTCCACACCGCTCGAACATTCATCAGCGCCACGAAGATCCACATAGCCACTAGTAAAATCGTCAGAGCCGAGCAAATGCCTTTTATGCCCTTGCTTCCTAACACGTTGGCGATCTAGATGAGCGCGATGGTGAGACCGACATTCGGGAAGATGAAGGCCCACCAGTTCATCGTGAAATGCAGGTGCGGTAGAGTAAAGAGCACGCTAACAGTGGATAGCGCGAAGAACCAGAAGGCGAGGAGCCAGATGAAGATGCCGGCGGGGACACCAATGCCTTTCCAGAGGTCTCCAGTGGGGACGGAGGTTATGCCGAGATAGTCAGCGGGAATGACTTTGGGAGCTTGGATACCCAGCGCAACAAGCGTATTCGCGGTGTATGCTGTAAATCCGTTAGCTCGTGGACGGTGGGGATTGGGTGCCTCTCTGTACCTGCAGGCCCTACGGCCACAAACATGGCGGGCCTTTTGCTCGGCTCCGGCAAATCGGTAGTGCACCAGTCCTTGGCTGGTTGTACTCCAACACAGCAGCTAGCGGCCCGAGCACGAGGAGTGGGTACATGGGAAGAATCCATGCGGGCATCGCGTCCACCACAGGCAGCTTCTCCTCGTCGAAGATGACGTGGTATTGAAAGACGGCGACAAGCAGCACGCAGGCAGCGTACATCCAGAAGAGCACTTCCAGCGCTTTCACGAGCCAGGGCCCACTTGAGGGGACGCCATATTCCTGAATAGAGTAGAGGATGAGCGCGATGCTGACCCAGAAGGTGCCGAAGAAGAACGACTCGTGCGGGTGTCCTAAATTCAGAGCCGCGCTAGTGGAGCCCGATTACCGATTTGGCTTAGCTTCCCCGGCCGCTTCGATCCGACGACCACAGCCTCGTCGAACTCCCACATCAGAAACCACACCATCACCCCTTCGCTCGCTTTCCTTTCGGTCCCGACCTCGGAGAATGTCGACATATCCCAGTTTCGCGTTGCGGAACCTGGTCCTGGGAATTTGGTGCTCGAGGCGACTGGAGCGGCATCTCTAATAGTCTATCATGATATTCAATAAGGACCCTTCGCCGCGTAGACTACAGGCAGGGACGGCTAGCGAAGAGGAAGACGGCTTCGCGATTGAGTTTTTGACTATGAACCAACTAGTCTGAAGATATCAAAACTGGTTCTTGACACGACGCTAACGTTATATGACAAACATTGAGCGTCGGGTCTTCCATGAACGAAACAATCCTACTCCGCAGTTCCTTCCCACGTCTCCTCAATCGCCCGCAACTCTGGATGCCTATTACGCCATGGAAGAGTCCAGCCGCGTGACAGACGCGAACCACTTCGAGCCCAGTCAGCCGGAATAACAGCCCGTGTCACCTATAAGCATCAGTATAGCAACCAACGCCAATGGAATGGAAGGGGTAGCCCACCGCTTCGAATACATCGTTTACGCCGGCACCAGTTTCTATGTTACACTGGACGTACCCCCACGCACCAATCTCCCTGGCGAAATTCTTCCCCCGAACCAAGTCATCGGGAGAGGTTTCATGCGCACTGCCTGGCTCTATGCCAGTGAGAACGTAGCCGGCCCCGGGGCAATTGCGCTGCAACTCGGGTAGCCACCTTTCCCGCACTTGGTTGCGATCTTGTGATACGCCGAGGGGGAAGCAAATGATAAAGACGTCTGCGTTTGCGAAAGTGGCTGTTCGAAAGTTGTCATATCCCTCTGTTCCGCTTGTGTCCCATAATGCTAAATTGACCTGTCGGCCAAAGATCCTGCCGCGTAGTGTTAGCAGCGGTCTGCGGATCCTTGATCATGTACGGAGCCACGAAACTTTGATTACGTACCCACAGGTAATCACGTACTCCTCGAAGACCACCGGCATATATCTAGGTGGCGAATTTCCGAATTTGAATTTCGACAGTAGTTCCGTTTTACGAGCCGACGCCTCGCCTACGACGACGCATCTAGTTGCTTATCAGCAAACACTTTTGACCAGCGCTGATGAAAAAGGTCGTCATACTTGTAGCATGGGAGAATCTCTCCCTCATCCCCAGGCCGGACAGTGGAAGACCCAATCGACACCATAGCTGGGGAACGGCCTTGTTGACCCGTCTGTGCTGCCAGTATAGGTCCACTACTGGCCGAATTTGCGAGGCTGTTCGTGCGCGAAACCGAAGACTGCGTCCTTGCCGTGAAATACGATTCCAAGGTGATGAAGGATCCAGTGCGGCCAGTCTCCATGGAAGCGCGAATGCTCGCCGTCCCTTGGGATAGTTGCTCAAGACGCGCGCTTGCAGCGTCGGATACCGCATCATCATCCCCCTGTCTCGCCATTTCCATGTATTCCAACTCGTCCACATCATCAATCGATTCGATCTCGTATTCAACGAAAATGAGTTGGCGAGGTGGTACATCGGTAGCTCTAGTGAGGTCTTCCAAGTCATCAATGAAATCCTTAAGGTGTCTGACTAGCTCAGAGAATTTTTCGCGGTCTTCGATGATCCACAATGCTGTCCCAATCGCTGAAGCGGAGTTGGGTCGGCTTCGCTGCGATCTTGTTCGGCGAAACAGCAACTCTTTCAAGCTTCCTCTTCGCTCCAAGAAATTCACAGGCCGCGCGCCAGTAGGATACGAACCGATGGCGATACTGTCACTCCGGCTTCCTTCGAAACGCCCTTCGCAGGGCCTCAGGCCATACCGGTCTTTGAGCTCTTTCGCGTCTCCCAGCAATAACTTAATACATTCCAGCGTTGCCTCCAGCTGCTGATGAAGCTCTGGCTCATCCAATCGCACGTCGTATTGCGTCCCGTCGATGAGGCCGCACGCGCGGCCCCAGGCACGCAGCCGAAGTTCCTGGTTGTTGAACTTGGTTTCAAGGATCTTGTAGTCTTTGCCGAAAGAACGCCCTTTCTGCACGAGCAGGAATGCGCTACTGCAAGCACTGAAGAGCCCGGCTAGTCCTGCAACGCCAACTGCAAGACCGGCAACTTCCATCTATGCGCATTAATAGAAATCCGTGACGAAAAATGAGGCAGATCGAAAACAACAATCGGAAGTGGAAGGCTGAAGGGTGGGTGTGGAACCGGTGAGGCGGCGTGGCTATGCTTACTTTGTTTAGCAAGGGATGCATGCGTGGGTGTATGCATGTGTATGCAAGCCTCAGCATTGTTCCCGGCCAATCACGAATTGTGGTGGCCGGGGGACGATAGCCTTGCTGCACGTCTCCTTCATAGGCCGTAAATTGTGCTCCCTTTTCGAGGATAATTCTACAAAACTCGAGCTTGCAACTAACTTCCTCGTAGCCGTTCCATTTCGCCCTATACTTTTGAGCATACCGCCACGACGAAAGTGACGATATTAACTTAGTACTGATGTTCACTCTAATGGAGGCCGGCGGTAAATTCAGGGCTTCAAGATGAAGGCCCCAGGGCTGAGGATAAGTCTTGCTCCCTTACGATTGTAGCTCGCAGTTAGGAATATAGTCACTGACTCTTCACCAGGCCTTGAACTGCAGTCACAATCCAACGCTGGCGAGGAGTCATTGACATCTAGTGTTCAACGGCAAGCTACAGAGCGCTATGTAACAGTGCGGTCTTGGAGTTCCCAGCAGCGGCTCACCGAAGTCTGAATAAAGCAAGAGAAAACATGAGCAGACCCCCAAGATACGTAGCGCTTGTCGTGTGTTTGTCTATCTTTATGTTCACCACTTGGTCGTTTCAGGTTCCTAACTACTGTACACTAGAGTATTGTCCTCCAAATCCTGACGTGCCCCGCATCATTATTCCGTTCCCAACCCTATCTGCCCGCGGTTGCTCTTTGGACTTGACGTTCGTGGCTCCAGTGTTGGGCTCATCGGGGCACGGCTCTTTATCTACGGAATAGCTAAGCACGCTCGCCTCGCTTCCCGCGGGAATCCGATTGAGCATGTAGAAAAGCATCTTGTAATTTTGGGGTTGGTGAAATATATACCGCTTTTAAGCTTGTAGTTTGGTGCTAGAGGAGTACTGCTGCTTGTGGAGGTTAAGATGTTGGCGTATACTATTGTGGTGAGCCTGGTAATAATAGTTTGTGATGTCTTGCCTAAGGCGCGTCCAGGCGGCATAGGATAAGCCAGTAGGTCTGATACTTGGATCGGACTTGTCGTAGTTTTGTACGGACCTAGGGATGTGGCGCCAACATCCGCGCACATTTCACGGAAAGAGGGGTTAAGCCATTGAATGCGAGAGGCGTTAATGGAGTACTCAGTCCATATATATTCCCGGAAGTACAGCGAAATCTCCTTTATTATTCACCCAGCGAGCTTCAATATCAGGCAACACCTTCAACGCTTGGATTTACACTTTCACACGGCTATCCCCCCGTTTCCTGACACGATACCCGATATGCATTCATGAGTCTCTCCTCTATCCTAATTCATATGCACAGTAGAAGAAGTTCCACCGTATTCCCAATGAAGAAGCTCTCTTCGGCTTCAGTCATGCTCTATATAATTCCGTGCCCTCGTTCCTGACTGCCCTTTTTCTTCCCTTGCAAATCTCCAGCAAACTCTTACACAAATCCAAAAAAGCACTGGTCGCCTAAAGTGTGCTACTCGGCAAATAAGTCACCCAACAGTACCTTTTCAGTAACCCCCTCAAATATCACACCATGGACGGCATGATCGGTAGCGGCGGCCACATACTCGGAGGCTACACTGGTGGCCCCTGGCGCAATCCCGCAATAGTAAAGCTAACCTACTGCTGTGGCTGCCACCAATGGAGCAACTCCAACAAATGGCCTTTAGTACTAGGAAAGAGGATCTGTCCTTACTGCCGGCACCAAAGATTCGGGACTGCGGATTGCCGTTGCCATGAGAATCGATAGCGCGTCACACGCGACGCGGAAATGTGCGTGGAGAGGTTGAACGGAGCATGAAGAGCAGGGTTAGAACAGTGATTTGAGAGAAGGATTGAATGAGGAAGCATACGCGTGTAGCCAGGAATGCTAGCTGGGAATTCACGTGCCGCCGAGGGTACTGTGTGCTTGAATGGCAAGCAGGCATCCAAAGTGCTGATATAAATATTTAGCTACGTAAATCTTATCAATGCCATATTCTCCTGTCGTACAAACCTCTGCAGCAATGTACATTCCTGGCTCACTACTCGTACCTCAACGGACCTACCCTGTCCCCTCTGTCCCCATTCCCAATGCCAACTACAAACCCAGAACTTCCAAGAAGCGCGCTCATGCAATGAGTAACGAAAGAAAACCACACTACAATCCACCGTGGGCGTGGGACCAGGCTAGAGTAAAAATGGTGAGGTGCTGCGAATGTCAGGCTTGGAGCAACATCTTCTTTCGCAGTGTAGCTGGCGGAAGGAAGATGTGTCCATGGTGCTATCACGGGAGTTGTGAGAGGTGTCTGTAGCAGGAAGTGACTTCGAGGTCATTGAAGGTGTGCGATTTGGGCCGATCCGGTGAAGTGTAGTACTGTCTCGAACGAACAATGGAGGTGTTTCTGACAAGTCACAGACCAACGCCACATAAAATCTCACTCTGGCCACTCCCGCCCCACTTTCTTTTCCTACAATTGCTCCAAGTTAACTGCCGTTACTCATTGTATTTCTAGCAACAGCCTCCGCACTCACTCATCACCATGCCCAACCCTATACTGCCCAGTTCCCAATATATCGACTTCGTGGTATGCGCCAACTGTGGGACTGAAGCCTTTTCCTGGATGGCTGAAGTGTTCGCATGCCCTGCATGCGGGGGATGGGAGTATGTTGAGCCACACGAACTCGTAAAGCTGGAGGAGCGTGTGGATCGGGAGCTGCAGTCGCCCAGCGAAGCTGTTGAAGGTAAGAAGAAGCGGAAAAGGGAGAGATCCCCTGGCGACTGTTAGCTTGAACATTGCGAAATCATGGGCATGATACTAGCGTGTTATTGTGCGGCTCGTGTTTATGCACTTCACCGCCTAGCCTTAACTGGATCACATTCACTCTAATCTACCAACAATCTCAGCTTCACTTCAGCGCACAAGCTGGCGTGATGCCACGTGCGCCTAATATCTCGCCGCCTACATAAACGCGTTCCCCCAGCTTTCCACTCCACGTCGTCACGTCAAGGCGCCGCGACATCACGCTAATCCAGACTTTGCTCTAGGCACCATGTCGACCACGGGTCATTCATCCTCCCCGGATGCCGCAAGGACCGGCACGCGTGCCAAAGCGGACAACGCAACACGAGAGCCGCATACGCCGACCAAAGGAGGCGATGTCATGTCACCGCTGCTGAAGGAGCTGGAACTCAGCGTGCTGGAAATAGGAGAGCAGCTCACTCGCGAAAGCGCGGCAAAGAACCACGTCATTTCACCCGTGCGCGATTCCGAGGAGACTTCGGAAGGCAGTCAACCGATGTCGATATCCTCGGGTTCTCCGGCAAGCAGCACAGCGGGCGAAGAAGGGGGCGTCTCCCTCTTAGACAACCACTGGCCGCCATCCTCGTCTCCCACGCCGTCTCCGCCCTCCGCCCTCCCACTTCCTGCGCCGGTGCGCTCCTCTTCAACATCCTCGACTGACAACGCCGCAGCCAAGAAGGAGGAACAGACATGGGCCGGCCGAACCGCGTACGAGAACATTCCCCATGCCGATTGGAACATCTGGCGCCGCTGTTGCACATGCCACACTGCGTATTTCGCGGCCGGCGAGCATACGAACGTGTGTTACTGTGGGCATGAAAAGTGCGAGGAGTGTTGCTGGGCGAGCGATTTCGGGTATGCGCCGTTTTGGTGAAGACTACAAGGAATCTCAATCAAGGGAGAGAAGGATCATCGACGCCAGTTTGACCAAAGCCTAGATAGGATGGGTTTGGATCGCTAGCGAGTGGTTTCTGGATGACGGAAAGAAGATGCTTCTTACGCAGTCGGAAGGCGTTTGGTTCGGCGTGTCGAGTGTCCACGAACGACCACAGTCGGAGGCTTGTTCGAAAGGAAGCAATCAAACACACCATACCCTTATTCTTCGTGCTTGTTGTCCATGCCAGGCACGTGCTTTTCTCATGAGGTCCCGTTGACCTTGGCGCGGTGGCCGGTTATCGTTCTGTCATCGTGGTCTGCTTCAAGTCACTATTTGACCGTTAGTGGGATCCGTAGTGTGAGACATCGAGGAGACTCACCAAACGGTAAGTATCACGGTACTTACGTGTCCGTCGACGCGTTGTGATACGTACCACTTCATACCCTACCACAACGGAAAGGGATAACTCAGTCTACGCTCTCCATCCTCATATCCTCCCTTCCAAGCTTCCAAAGTGCCGCAGAGTATCCCTCACATGAGCGAAACACAACGCACCGCTTTCAGCAGCAGCAACGAAAACGACAACAATCAACATGACCAGCCCGCGACTCAACCAACATCACCCGCGCCCGCTTGCCCGCCGTGCCCAATAAATTGGCGATCATGCCGCAAATGTTCCGTTTATATATCCACTCTTGGGTAGTAAAACCTGCCCGATTGATGGCCACTCGTGGGGAGACCCCCAATTTGGGACGGAACGCGTTGGTGTCGCGGATGTGACTACTGGCTGAAAGACCTGACGTAGCACATGTCGCCGGAGGATATGGAATGCTTGATGGCGATGCGAGTAAGATATAGATGAGCACATGGAAAAAAATATGGAGAAGGAAAGAAAGTGTGTGAACTGCTTCCTGGTTTGCGACGCCAGTGATATGCATAAGAAACGCTGGCGACGAGGGAGAGAAGCCGAGACGGCAGGCGAGTGTATGAGCTGCCCAATAAGCTTCGCTGGGGAGGATATGGAAGTGAGATTGATATGATAAGAGCATTGGGGAAAGGCTAGGCGTTGTAGTTGCTCTGCTTGGATGGCTTCCTGCGGTTTGGGCGGCAACAGCACGGCTGAGATTTCATTGTGTCGAGAGCTTGGAAAACGGGGGAGACGTCACTTACTCAATGCAGCTTTGCCTTGCCTACCAGACCACCTCTCCTTGCGTTCCAAACCCACTCCCATCAACACCTATGTCCCCAATGCAGCTCCCTCGTAATCCCATCGTCCTCCTTCCCGTCCCCCTTCCCTACAACCCTCACACTGACCTCTGGCTTGTTCACCAACGTCTGCAGCACCACGCAATATCTCTCCGTCAACTTTCCCAACCTCTCCACCTCCTCCTCACTAACCTCCTTTCCATCCTCCCTCTTCCCAAACTCAATGTCAAAGCCCATGCGTATCGCCGTTATTCCCACCGGGGCACTTTTGTCCACGCCCAGCGTCCCCCGGAAATCCAGATCGCCCTCCGCCGCCACGCTGCCAGACGCAATGGGTATGCCGAGCGCGGTCGCAACGGCCTTGAGTGTGACGCCCGCGCAGGCTACGAGCGCATCGAGAAGCATGTCGCCCGAGCAGAGTTGGCCGGAGATGTCAGGGTCGGGGCCGCCTGCTTTGGGGTGCAGGCCGGCGGTTCGCGAGGCTTCGTTTGCGGCGGCGCCCGTGGTGAGCTTGCATGTGATGGAGGACGAGTCGAGGCTGCCGGTGGACTTGAGTGTGACGACGGCGGAGGAGGGATTCTTGCGGTATTCGTCTTTGATGGGCGCTTGCATCTCGCGGAGGGTTTGGGCGGGGGTCGCCATGGCTGTGGTGGTCGAGGGGATGAGCTGCGGGGGTTCTGGGAGGCCAATTGAGGGTTTTGTGGGTTGCAGTTGTTAGCAGGAGGTATATATTGACACCTGAAGTCTTTGAGTAACGACTAGCTCATGGTGTGGAGCCGTTTCTGGAAGGTACCCCGCAGGACGTCTGGAAGATGACGAGGCTCCGCATTTCCGAGCGGATGAGAGGAACGTCGGCCATTTGCATCGCAATTGTAGATGCGCTCGGCTCAATTCATGCGGGAGGTACGTCTTGGTTCTGAGATGAATCGGGAGTCGCGGTGCGGGTGATATACTACGAGTTCCGGGTTTCCATGCGATTACCAATCAGTGTTGCACGTGACCCGCCCTCATCGGCACTTCAAACGAGCCCGTCGCCGCTTTCAACTCCTTCTATGGCATGCGCTGACTTAGATATAGGGCCCAATAAACATTGGTCATCACGTAGGGCGTAATCTGAGAGTTTATCTATGCAAAAGTCCCGAGCACTTATACCCCAAGTGACCTTGCACACAACATGCCGCGTCCGCGCCCCGAGCCCTCCTCAATCCACTTCGCCAGACCCATCAACAGTTCTCCACAGTTCCACAGATTCTCATCGTCCATCCACAAATAAATGCCATCGAGCATCACTTTACCCAGACACTCGCACTGGAAAAGCTTCTCCAACCAGTACCAAGCCACGAGGTCGTCCACGATCTTAGAGCCATACTTCTGGTATCCGCCATCCTCAACTTGATATAGGTACTTCGATAAAATTTTGCAGAGTTAAGCGTACGTGAAAGGTCAGCGAGATTGTGTGCAGACCCGGGCATCGAGATGCAAGCAAAAGGTCCGCATGGACAGAGTGCTCCTCGCCGCCGGGGAAGCAATCGAAGTACTGGAAGCGCAGTACTCGCACGGCCTTGAACCCCGCGTTTTGCGGCAACGATTCGAGGAACGCGGTGAAGAGTTGGTTTGCAGGGTAAGAAGAGACGACAAAAATGGAGTTGCGGATGAAGACCGGGCCCGCTTCTGCCAAGATGCCCTTAGAGGTGTGGTAGATTGCGGGAAGGAAGCGAGGGCGAGTTCGGGAGGACCTCTCGTACGACTGCACGTAGACGGTGTCGTCGAAGTGGTGGCCTGCTTCCATAGCTTTCTCGTAGACCATCTCCCGGGCTTCGAGGGGGAGTGCGTCGAGCACGGTGGGAATGGTGTAGTCGATTAATCCGAATCGAGCCTTTGTCATCTCGGTGACGTTGGTGGTCGATGGCTGGACGGCTTTCATCTTGAGCGAACCATAGCGGACTACGCTGTTCCAGGCTTGTCTATTCCATGTGCCGCTTATATCGCAATCGGTATTCTAGGCTAGCATAGGGAACTCTAAAAGGTCTCGAGGGCGTTTCTGGCGAGGAACGGCGGTGTCGGCATTAATGAGGTAGCGAGGGTCCCCTTCGAACGGAACAAGCTTGATCCACTTGGGTGGCTGAGGGGTTGGCTCCCAAAGAAGGAGTTCTGTGGACTATATTGGAGCAAAGTGTCAGCTAATTGCCAGAGTCATTGAAGTATGAGGAGCAGTTGGCTACCAAGCGTTGCAATTGACAGACGTTGCAGCTTGAAAGCTTTTACGAGAATCACGATAGCGCTTGTCTAATGGCTGAGGCAAGTCATTCGCGCATGCTGAAGGGCGCCTCGGAGATGCCTTTCCAAGCTGTCTCTCTTGAGTACGCAGTTCGGTCCCAATGGCGGCGACAATATACCCCTTCACGTTCGCTACCGCAAACATAGCAACAGCAGGGCACGACGGCAGTTAAGGTTAGGGCAACGGCGGGAATTTGCGCATCATGGATCACTGGTGATAGGGAAGGTACAGTAAGGTCCCTTTTAATTACCACTAGTTGGGCCTAAGATCAACTCCTTGCTGGAGTGTTCGTGGCGGTGAATGCACGTTCACATGACAATATCGAGGACACCATCCTTCCGAGGAGTCAAGTTGTCGTCTTCTCCCACGTGAGGAGGAAGTTAGAAAATCTAGGCACGTGGAGTAACATCACATACACACGATTGCATTTCGTCCAAGCAAGATCGACATTGCTAAGCCCACCAGCCAGCATCATGCAGCAGGCCACTAATGTCGCAAACCACACCCAAAAGTCGTCCACCGGTTCAACCACCATGTATTATCATTCTGCCAAGGGCCTAGCAACAAGCCCCGCATTTTAATGGAATAGCCTTGGAAAGGAGTCCATGCCAGAAGGCGCATGCCCAGGTATCAAACAACCTGAGCGCCGACAACCCTTATCCATCATCTCATCCCTCAATATCAATAACCTTCAGGTCAATCTGCACCTGCGTCCCACAATACTGCCTGAAGCCATCGCTCAAGAAGTGCACCAGATCGCGGAACGGGCCCAGCGGATCGCCAACCTTAACGAAGTGGGCGACGATGGGACTATTCAAGCACTCGAGATGCAGCACCTGGAGGCCCGGGCAACGCCACAGTGCAGCCAGGTCGTACCTGCCGGACACGTCGGTGACGCGCAACACCTTGAGTTCCTTGCTCTTCTCCAGATCGGTCGCCTCCATCTTGATGCGCTCGCGCTCGTGCCAGCGCGACGTAGTGAGGCCCGCCGTGTGAAAGGTCAGAGTCAGTTCTTGAAGATTCGGTAGCCCGGCGCAGATCTCGAGATACGGGTTCGCAGTGCGGTTGTGCGCAATGCCGGAGAACCAGTAGAAGCCCTTGAAGCTGATCTTCGTGACGGCGCGGAAGAGCTGCGGTAGGTTGGGCGACGCCATGATCGCGCGGAAGAAGTGGACGTCGGTAAGGGACTCGAACATGAAGATCAGGGAGGAGACGTAGGGGAGAACGACGGTCATCCATTTGTTGAGATCTTTCTGCGCGAGGTTCGGATCGTGGATAAAGGACGGGGCGGTGGGGTTCGCGTTCGGCCGCTCGCGCTCCTCCTTGATGGAGATGACGGTTCCGGCGTCCTCGGATATGGAGGAGGTAGAGACTGTAGAGACTGTTTTAGCGAATGCGCCAGTGATGGTTACGAGGCCACACAAGCTGTACTCACCTGCAGATGACAAGACGCTACCACGACGCGAGGCGCCGGTAGAGATGCTACCGCGATGGCTAGGCATATCCGGAAGGCTTACCCCACGGCCATGCGATGGCTGGCTCAGCAGCGACGGACGGCGTGACGGAGTGGCCATCGAGCCCTGCCCGCTTAGAGAGCCGGAACCCGACTGCGACGGTGAGTTGAGGACGGAATTCCCGAGAGAGTTCTCTTTGAGGTTAACGGGGCTATCATCAGAGCCGTCCATAGCTTGTCCACTAACGATAGTCTTGTCTGGCGAACTACCAGAAGAGCCTGTGGCAAGGTCAGCACCATAAACACGAATCCACGGTCCCCGTTCTGCGGTACACTACCTACCTTTCGAGCTCGATACTGAAGAGCGCTTGTACTTGGCGGGCCACCTAGGCGGAGTGCTCGACATTGCGGTTGAAAGCGCGGGCGGCGATGTTGCGGTGCCTAGTGTATAGAGTTAACTATAAGTTCCAGTCGCCTTGCGGGCAAAACGGTGGGGTGGTGAGTGTTTGAGCGTGAAAGCTCGCGCAGATTTTTATATCCAATTTCCCGGGTTGGTGGGGAAACCTTCTTACGCGAAGCTGCGTGATTACTGCACGTGGGAATGCTGGTGAAAGGCGGTATCACGGGGGCGACTGGGCTATGTTTGCCGGAGCGCCGACCTCGAGATTGGGCCGGATTGATTGAGGAATCGGAGCGGTGGTGTGCAGCAGAAAACTGGAGTGCTACAAGCGGTATCCCACCGACCGGTAAGAAGACAGAGGTGAGGTGGGTAGGCGTGGAGATAACGCTCGTTGTTCGCGGTCGTATCAAGTGGTAAAAACTATCTGAGTGCAATTTCCAAAGTGGCTGAGCGGAACGAAGTCAGAACCCTTTCAATAACCGGAATCAAAAGAGCGGAATAAAGAACGCAGGCTAGCGGGCGCCGAATCGCCGAATCCTTTCCGTGGCCAAATGTGTGAATAAAGTCTGGGTCAGCTTATAGTGCAGAGCGTTGGGGTCGACGGAGGAAGTGACTTGCACAAGTTTTTGCATATAGCGATGTGAGTACATTTCGGTGTTGAAGAAGTACCTCAAGTGCATAACGGTTAGGTCAAGCTCTTCGCGATTCGTTTTACATACTTTCTCCATGACGTTCGGCTCAATCAAGCGTGCTTAATGTTAATTACCCAGAAAGCTGAGACTTGTACGTATTCTCTTGTCGATATTTCTCCCAAGGCCACAGCGTGGCCTACGAAGACGACCGATCGATACGGCCCATGGTGTTCATTTTTCTGTTCTATGGGAAATAGATATACAAGATACAGCCTCCGCCAATCAAGTCGCTGTCATTTCCTTCATCCATCGAGTAGAGCCGAAATGCATAAGTCTAGCAAGATATAGTATATCCGGATGCGAACAGCCCATACAAGACTGCCGATGTACTAGGTGAGAGGTTCGGTGGAAGCCGAATAGCCGAAAGCGGGTCCAAGAGGTGTTAACGACTTGCTGCAAACGTGGAGCGGAGGGCAGGAAACCAAAGGCGCGGTATCAGCGAGCCGATCAGAACACCAACGCGTCGGAAGATGCCTCGCTCGCACCGCATGATTGGAGATCAGAGGCCCTACGATCTGGGCGAGAGATGCGCAACGTGATGTATGAATCGCGCGAGCGTGGAAAGTCGACGTATTCATGCGAGACCTCTACTCCCGGCGTCGCTACGAATCCACTGATTAACCAGTCTCGCAGGTCCATGAACGCAGACATATTCATTGGCGTGCAGGTGATGCCATCATGGCGATATCGGACAGTCAGTGTATGTAGATTCGGCATATCGAAGAGACTCCGCAGGTCCATCTCTAAGGCGAACTGCTCCGCGGGCTTCATTGGCCGCATCCGGCGGAGGAAGTTGATTTGATCCGAGTCCTCGCGGATGGGCGGCAGGTAGAGCCCGTTGAGATTGAGCACAAGCTCCAGATGGCCAAGGTCTGGGGTACGTCGGCAGAAGTCCATAACTTCATTGGCACGGGCGGGCGTCTCGGCTAGTCTTCCAAAGTCGGGAAAGACGAGGTGGGCGACCGCGTGCCAACCGCAACCCCACGGTACTGTATTTAGGAAGCCCTCGAAATACCAGACGTCCTCCATTGTTGTGAGCTCGAACTTTGCCCGCGCCAGGTACAACGAGACGAACTCCTGATAGACCTGCTTACAGGTGTATGCGATGCCGGGGAGACAGTTGGCGAAGGGGAATTGAGGAGTGATGTAGCCTGTATCTGGATTTTGAGTGCCTGAACAAGATGACCGATCCCTCGCAACGTTGATGCGCCGGGGAAGCTCCGTCAATACACTGCTGTATATGAGATTGCGGACTTCACCCGGTATGTCCCATAAGCATCGGCCACGGACCAAGGGCCGGGGATTGGCCACGTTGGCGATGGAGTGGCTTAGGGTGGATGGATAGAGTACTGCAATGACGGGGTTAGCATCTCTCAAGGAGATAGAAAACGTTACGAAGAAGCAGACCATTCAATGGAAATGAAGAAAGTGAGGTCGTCAAGGTAGATGGAGAGATGTTCGAAGGTGGGGTCGACGCAGAAGACGAAGTCGTGATGAGGTGCACTACGACGGGATGCGTGGTTGGAGCCGGTGCCTCTGGAGGGCAAGACACTGTACAACCTATTAATGACATGCCTTGAAACGGTCAAACACTATCCATACCCAAGCTACGCTGATGGTGACCACTGCTGGAGATAATATTATCTCCTACGCCGGAAAGCCCGCCTAGGATCACATATGAGCCTCGGAAAGTATTTTGAAATGTAACGGAACCCATACCTGATGGCTTTTGTGGAGAAGGTAGACTTCCGGGGGCGCCCATGGTATAATGACACCGAGTATTTTAGACCTGTCGGTTTTCTGTCAGCGCTGTTGTGGTGTAGGGAAGATCGTTTCGAGTCACTGTCGAAGTATATATACGCCAGGCCGTTCAAACTAGCGCCATCCCTCCAGCGGAGTCGTTTTCATCATCTTCATCTTCATCTTCATCATTCTTAGGCTAATCCTTGCTCATTTCTCCGAATTCTGAGTTCCTTCCCCGCACACTGCCGCTAACTTGGTAGGCATCAAACGCGACCCTCAAGATTCACCGCTCACTTTCATCACACGTCCCCGGATCCGCACCCCGCGGTCGCGTTTTGCGCTATATTTCCGCGTTTCCGAGCACCGCTAGCCTATCAGGGATTGTTTTGTGTTGCTTCCCCCGCCTACATTGAGAGGCTGCTACACCGACAAGGCACGAGGTAGAAGACGAGTGAAAATGCCTTCCAAATCAGATTATCCTTGGCGTCGCATCCAAGAAGCATTCGAGTGCTGCAGTATTGCAGTAAGAAAGTGGCCCCACAGCGAGGGCGTAGACTCTGACCTTCAATCCTAGGGATTGAAGCCCTTAGGCGGGATCTCTATACGCCAGTGAATCGGCCGTGGAAATGTGCTGGCCCTCACTTAGTCTTGACGGAAACCATAGCACTGAATTGGCAAGTGGCCTGAATAATCGATATTCCCCGGACACTTAGCATTAGCAACCTTGGCTATTGATGGTCTGGTAGGCGAAGTGCGGACGAAGCGGGTTTGCGGGATTGAGTAAGGCGCATCCTATTTTCGACTGAGTAGAATGCAACAGAGTAGAACAAGTCTTTTCCAAGGCATGTTTTCCACACTGTTACTTTGTCGATGTATCGCGTTTTTGCAACAATTCTCCCGGCCGGCGTGCTAACGAATGTGCCGGGGGAGAGAATGGGCCTTGGTATATAAAGAACAATGGAAGGGTGTACAGCCCTCAGGCTTGACTTGTATTTATCGAATTGGACGCCGAGGTCTTAATCTTAAGGCAACTCACTTTGACAAGGAAAATGGAGAACTAGAAGAGAATTGAAGGTGGAATGAAGAGAGGATGCGAAGAATGCCGGGACAAAGAGAACATTGAGCGTCTACTAGGCAATCGTTCGTTAAGAACATGGTGAGCTTATGAATAAGTTACAAAGAAAGACCTTGGAGGACCTAATGGCTGGCATTTTGATGCATGGTGTTTTGAGGTGTGTTGAGGATTGGAAGTCGGCGGGGATGACGTAATTACGCCAAGTCACGTGCTGCCCTGATCGACGCCTGAGGGCGCGGCGTTGCGACAACCAGATGTCTGGGTCCCGATTCGCACGCCGCCTTATAGCGCATCGACCCTTGAGACACGACTCGTCAGGCCTCGCTGGCACTCCCAGTATCCCTGGACGTATGCGTGGTATGCTGCGGCTAATTGCGCGTACAATGGCTCGCTGACGCCAAGGCCGTTGCCTTTTTATTCCTCCCTTCGCACTTCAGACTTCGCATTCATCCGAATGCACATCACCATGGCCGCCCAAGCATCGTCCCGAGGCTCGCTCGAAGAAGGCGCCCCCCTTCTGTCGCCGATTGACTCGGAGACGCGCGAATCGAGTCCCGCTCCGGCGCCCCCGAAGGAGAAGCCGTGGCTCTTCTTCGTCGCCTCCATCTTCTTGCTCATCGCCATCCTCGACGTGGGCGGCTACCTCGCCGAAGCGCCCAAAACGCGCGTCTACGAAGCCAACATCTGCCTCCGCTACTACGAGACCCACGACCCGTCCAAGATCAGCGACCATGGCAGCGTGCCCGAACACCTGTGCAAGCTCGATGCGGTGCAGCAGAAGATGGCCATGGTTTTCGGCTGGCAGGACATGTTTGACGCAATCCCGGGGATCCTGCTGGCAGTGCCCTTTGGCGCCCTCGCCGACAAATGGGGGAGGAAGTGGATCTTGGCCCTGAGCCTAATGGGCGTGCAGCTGGGCTGTGCTTGGATCCTCTTGATCTGCTACTTCCGGAGCCTGCCACTGCAGCTGACCTGGTTCTCCTCGGCCTTCTTCGTCATTGGCGGCGGCCCCATCGTTGCTACTGCCATTGCTATCACCATGGTCTCGGATGTGGTTCCTCCCGAGAAGCGGTACGCACTGGCCTCTTACGCGGAGAGATGCATGCTAACGGACATAGGACGGCTATCTTCCTCTACCTCACGGCCTCGGTGCTGGTCGCCGAGCTGATAGCTCCCATCATGGCTTCTCGCCTCATGGAACACGGCGACTGGTATCCGCTCCTCCTGGCCCTCGCCATCCAGCAGGTCGGCATCTGCATGGCCGTGTTCTTGCCTGAGACGCTGCACCTGCGAGATGTGCCCAAACCCGGCGACGACGACGGCGACGACGACGAGCACGAGCGGAGCATCGAGATGCAGAACAAGTCGCAAGACCATGGCTTCAAAACCCAGCTGCGCCACTTCAAGGATGCGCTGGTGTTCCTCAAGAGCGATCTCACAATTGCGCTCGTCATCTTCACCTTCCTGTCGAACAGGCTCGGGCGACAATCGCTGACGCTGCTAATCCGATACGCCTCGAAGAGGTACAACTGGGAGATCAAGAAGGTCAGTGCATACTCTACCGTGGCAGGCGCGGGCCGCTAACAATGTCACAGGCCGCATATCTCCTCTCTTTCCGAGCGGCTACTAATCTAGTTGCCATGACCATCTTCATCCCCGCAGTCAACATCCTCCTCCTCAAATATGTGCGCCTCCCTGCACACTGGGCTGATGTTTGGATAGCTCGTGGGTCCATAGTGCTCATGACGCTCGCCTTCCTTGTCATAGGCCTAGCCGCGCAACCGGCACTTCTAATCCTGGGGTTACTTGTGTACAATATGGGGACCGGGTACGGCGCCGCGTTGCGCTCCATTGCCATCCATGTCGTGGGCGGCCAGTCCAGCCCTGACATTGGCAAGCTGATGAGCCTGATCGCCATCACAGAGAGCATCGGGACCATGTTTGCAGGGCCTCTCCTGAACGAGCTGTTCCAGTGGGGCATGGACATGGGGCAGGCATGGCTCGGACTTCCATTCCTCGGCACTTGCTTCACGTACGGCCTCATGACGATTGTTATGTTTCTCATCAGCGTCAAAGACAAAGACGTCGAATATGCTGCCGTCGACTCCGACGAGGATGAAGCTGATTCTCCCCGGGCAAGCAGCACTGCGCTGGAGCGCCCACCACTACCCCGCCATACTACCTGAAGAAGCACGCCGCCGAAGCAAGAAACGGAGCCTCACAAACGCCTTAACATCTCCGCGGCGAACTCGGGAAACTCAATGATGAGGTCGTCCCACTCCTCGCGAATCTTAAGGGCTCGGAATCTTGACCTCGCCCACTTGACCACCATCTCCCTCAAATCGGCCAGCCTCGCATCATTCCCCTGCCTGTAGACCTCCCGGATGCAGTCAATCATCTCATCATTCCAAGGCCCAGAGACGAGCCGCTTGCCGAACTTGTCTTTGGCGACGTCGCGCAACGAGGCAATGCCAAATCGGTGGCCAGCGGAATACATCTGGACGTGGAAGACGAGCTCGTTCTGGCGTTCGCCCGCATCCCCGGAGAGTCTCGACACATGTGACGAGTGGCAGCTTGCAGATGGCGAGGGCGTTGCGTCGCCGGCTGTGGGGGTTGCCACAGACTCCACCTCGGCTGCGCTCACCACGCACGTGTCGTCTTCATTGTCAAGCTCCTCAACGCCGTCCACGGTGGGGCCGTCATCGTCTCCACCTGTAAGCTCCTGTGGGAGTCCGAAGGTCAATGCCTGCGGGCCGCTCGCATTGTAGTCGAGCGTGTATAGGAAGGTCAGGACAGCAGCCAGGACGTGCGAGTCGCATTCGGAACGATCAATCCAGATCTTGGTCGGCTTGGCTGGGGATGCATAGTCGTGTTCGCCTTGACGCACGCGACAGAGCTCCTCGAAGAAGCGGCTACGCGGGCAGACGATGGCGCGATGAACCGGGTAGCGATCGTTGGCGCATATGACGAGCAGGTCGGCGTACTTGTTGTGCTTTACGAGGGAGACGATGCCGGAGTAGAGGGAGCAGGAGGAGCTGTTCAGCTGCAGGTGCTTGCTGTTTGCGGCGAGACCATATGGCCGAATGCGCCTACCGTCGTCGGCGTCAGTCGGGACTGGCGTATAGGCGCAGGAAGTGGGAGCGCTTTGGCCGGCGCCCATTGTTGGAACTTGCACGAAGCCGACGCGGATGTTTTGTCTGGCGTGTGCGGGACGCGGGAGGGCGTGTATTATTTGGAGTTTCCTGCTGCCTGGTCTCGTGCTCTCAGGTGAGGCTTGGCACGTCGGCCCTGATTGGACGGCGTGGAGTACAACCATTGCCATCACCACTACCACCGCCGCCCCGACCGGTCCGCAAACACGACCATCGTTGGTGCTGGGAATAGATTCAGTCTCTTTCGTGTCTTTTTCATCTTTCTTGTGTCGATGCTAACGGCTGCTCTGTCGACTTTCCACCCCTCGCTAACATGCCAGAACCATGCGGGCTGCAGTTGCTCACCATCACGCGCAGAAGTCGCAGCGCGTCGACCGCCCGACCGCAATGGCCGGAATAGTAGGTGGGACGGCACGTTCTTGTCGCATTCTGCGCGGTGCCTTCTCTCTCACTCTCCTTGTTACCTTTCCATCCGGCCATGTTTCTCTTCCGTGCATCTGCTTCCAGCTCGTCTTCTCTACAACGCCTTAGCCGCGCTTTGCTACACCAGCTTGCCCCGTCTTCCCATACGACTCCCACGGTAATAGTCTTATCAAACCCACCAATGCTCGCTCGTGCGTCGAGCGACGCCGGCACCCGTCTGCGCCGCTCCAAGTCCACGTCAACCGTCCATCGACATGCACCACCCCTCCCAGAGCCCTTGGATCCAGACGTAGCTCAGCGGCATGCCTTGGCCGCCGCCACCACTGCTTTTGCTCGGGCGCACGGGCACGAAGCAGCCGAACGTCCCAAGCGCAGCTCTGAGCTCTCGAGAAACCAAAGCAACGCTAGTCGCAAATCACTCGCCTCGCAGGGCAGCCACTTTCCACCACGAGAGTCAAGTCTTCACTCCCTCCATCCCCAGCGAGGCGGCCAGGTACCCAGCAGCCAACGTCAACCACGGCCACCCACGATCAACACAGAGAAGTTCCCGCCGTTTTACCCCACTCCCACGCCCGGTAGCGAGAGGCTTCTTTCGGCGCAGCCTTCGGTCACCTTCAATGAGAATACCCGGCCGAACTCTCAGCCGAAGCCACATCGACAGAGCGCCTCTTCGTCAGTGACCTCGCAGCAGATCCGCAAGGCTCGCTCCATGTACTACGCAAGCAGCATCCAGACAGGCTCGCCCATCGCCAGACCTCCAGCCAAGTATCTCACTACGCCGCCCCCAGTAAACCCTACCCCGGATATCGCGTCCACCTTACTTCCACCCCGAACCACCGCACCATCGCCGCTCGTTTCTCCTCGATTGCCAGTCACCGTTGGGCCAGAGGAGACCGTTGACAAGGCAAGAGACAACTATCTCCAAAGCTTCCAGCAGCGACAGGTCAAACAGAAGCCATCTTTGTTTCTCGCTCCCTTCAAGAAGAGGCACGACAGGGGCAAGAAGAAAGAGCGACCCACCTCCGCCGGCATCGTGTCTGTTTCATCCGGGACTCGGCAGACGCCAAACGATACGAGCTTTGACGAGGCGCTGGATGATTTTGGCATGCCTAGGCAGAAGAAGGAGAAGAGGTCGTTCTCGAACTCGATCAAAGACAAGTTCAAGAGGGTCTTCAGACGCACGTCGCGCAAGTCACCTACACTTCCGGTTCAGCAGATCGAAGCAAGCCGAGACTATTTCAGCTACCGGCTCGCCCAGCCTGAGCAGTCGGCGCTCATCGACCGAAGCTTAGAAATCCCAAGCCCGGACAACGAAACTCTCCAGCGGATCCGATCGCGCACGCCATCCCACGAGGCCACCCTCTCCCTCCCGCCCCGACCCAGCTCACGTGGAAGTAACCGTAGCACCCACAGCAACCGCAGCCTGCATAGTGAAACGAATGCTACCTTCCAGTCCTCTTCTCGCGTCACTAGCTGGGGCGATTCTTCGGCTGGCAACACGCTCACCCAGCGCGACATTAAGCGCCTGACCGTCATCCATGAAGCCAAGGATAGCATTGGGAGTGAAGCCGAGCGCAATATGGCGGCTGCATCCCCGACGAGGAAGAGTCTTTCTGCGCTTGCTGTTTTCAGGGACCCCATGCCGATGGAGAGTTTGATGGAGGAAGCGTCCACGCCCATCGATCCGAAGCGGGTATTCTCGGCACTAATGAAAGAAATTGATACGAGTAAGGGCGGCCAAGCGGGAACGGAGCCGGAGGTGCCGTCGCCCGGGGCAGAGAGTGATGTCTTTATCTCGAGTGCGACGAAGGAATTGTGTTCCGCCGCTACAAGGGAGCTCCACGCAAGCATCACAAAACGTTCCGAGCCCCGAATGAGTAGCGAGCAGAGAGCATCTCCTTCGCTACATCGGGATAGTACCGGCACCCACGGCAAGGCCACCGGCTCTCTCAAGTCCTTTGGAAGGGCGCTCAAGTCAACGATCCGTGCCGTGACGCCCACGGAGCATCGCGTCTCTCCTTTATTGGATCGCGCAACCACTGTTCGCGGGCCTGTGAGGATTCCGAGGCCTGATACGGTTAGTTCGTGTTCGTCGACAGACTCGGAGTCTCACAAGAAAGGCGACGAGGAGAAGACGGTGGGTTCTATTAATTTTAAGATGAGTGCGCGCAGGTGAGTGCTGTACCCTCCCCATTTACTCCCATTGCCTCGCCACCCGACAAAAGAAACAAGACTGACGACCGCATAGAAGCCGTGCCACAACGCGCGATTCGCAAAGCTCCAACATCGTGACACCCACAGCTGAGCAACTGGAGCAGCGGATGGAGAAGTCAAGAGACCGATGGAAGACGCCACTTGAGGAAAGCCATACTCCCCATTTGCCTCGCCCACACGACCAGACATACTCCGTTACCAACTTCGCTAGCCAAACATGCACGCATACCGCTCATAATGATGCATTCAACTCTATTGCGCCGGTAGAATTGGCAGGGGTCTCAACCAAGGTATCAGCGTCCACAAACTCGGAGCGAAAAGCAGTTCCACCAACCCCCCGATCTCCCACCCCTCGGCCCGTGTTTTCGCCGTTGTCTCCCAGCGTCTACTCCCGCAACACCGACGGAATAAGCATTCTCCCAAATGACAGTGTCATGTCTCTCAACGGTGCCCACGACGACACCACACATGAAGGTGGCTCGGCTGTCATCCTCACCAGCCACGCGGTTAAGAGCTATGTGATTGGAACGCCTACACCGAAACGTAGGGTTGATTCCGGTCGGTTGAGCAAGGACTGGAAGGCTTGGCTATCTCACGAGGTATCGGAGTTAGAGAAGAACTCCCCGCAGCAGGAGTTCATGATAGATGAGCGGTATACGCCGAGCAATAGACATCAAAGGGACTTTACACAGACCGAGGATGAGGAAGATACTACGGTTATTGTGCACGGGGAGATTGAAGTTCCTACTCCAAGGCAGGTACACATGTTGGAAGATCCACCGACGACGATCCTCGGGGGCGCAGAAGTGTCAAAGCAGGTGGAGCAACGACCGGAGGAGATACCCCGCTCACCAGCCATTCATGAAACACACGGAGGCTCTGAGCACATTCACGGAGTGTCTCCACCAGTTCCATGTCCGATTCTGAAAAATGAGCCGGTGTCGTCCCCGGTAAGCCAATCTTCTTCCTTTTCTCAACCTAGAGCCGAGACGCCGAAATCTGAGCGCATGAACGATCGTTTCCCATACATCACCACCGACCGACGCTCAAGCAGCAGCAGTGCAAGACTCCTACGCAAGTCACGCGCACCTAGGGCTAGCGGCTCATCATCCGGATCGTCATCACTCAGGTCCAAAGCTACGCCCGGCCCGAAGGTATATTCGGACTTATCGGCGCCGTCTACAGATCGCACGTCAAAATATGGCCTGAACTTCCGCTCTAAGCGTGTTGAGGTAGCGGGAAAGGAGGCAGGGAGTGGGAAAGAGAACGTGACACCAAGTTTGCAGGCGCCCAAGCCGTCTGGTTCGAGCCCGCTTCACCAATCGATGCTGCCGCTTCAAGTCGCACGGCCAAAGTCAATGCAGCCGCTCTCTTCTGCAGCTCTGAATCGCGGCCCATCATCTATGGCGCAGTACACCACGTCGGCAGAAGATATGAAGAAGAAATCTCCTGTGGCTAGCCCCCCACGCCCACGTATCCGAGCCCATCTTCGCCCCATATCCCCGGTCAAACTCACAGCACGCCCTAAGAGCGCATTTGATCTCCGCGGCGCAAACACGCCCCCTCTCGCTCCCAGCCCGTTACGTCCGATTCGCCCAGGAATCAGCAGCGTAGAGAAACTGGAGCGCGGTGTAGCAGCAGAACCAACGAAAGCAAGCAGGCCGGTCACGCCCCGCGCTCGCACCAGCGCAATCGGCGATGACACCCTCCGCATGATTCTCGAATCGCCCTGGGCTGTCTCCGGCGCCCCTTCGCCACTCTCGTCCATGGATCGCGGTCGCGCACCGAAGCTCCACATGAAGCATAGCTCCAGCACGCTTGCGCTCAACAAGGAGCCGAGCCCTGGCGCGGAAGAGCGCGGTATCGACGCCGTTATTGATGAGAGGGTGAGTCCAACGCGGGAGGGCAGTAGGAGCGGAAGGGTGACGCCCGGGCAGCGGATGGCGGAGCGGTTTTTGAGGGAGAGAAGTGTGGGGGCCGGGGCGGGGAGTCCGGTTGCGAATGCAAGAGAGGAGACGCCTGCGTTTCTCTGAAGCGGTGGGTCCATGGGGTGGATATTAGCAATGTATTAATATCCAAGAAGGTGTGAGCGGGTGGGGCAAGGGTAATGCGAGGGACGTTACGTTGGATTCTAGATGGATACCAACGCTTTGGGTCGGTGGTCTTTTGTTGGATAAAGAGAATACTGTAGTATCATGAGGATACCAGATGGTTTTTGCAAGGGATTCAGAGAGCAAGATTAACACCGAGATCTTGATAGGGAGGTGGTGGTTCTTATGTTAGTAGTCATTTTCATGTGCAGCACTTTCCTGTGCGTTGTTGGTCCTCGTTCTTGTCCCTGGATAGACATTTGCTTCCCGACTTGCTTCGTGGATGGCTGAGCGACTCTGGATCGGCCAGGGTGTGAAACGGGAAGTTTGCTTTTCGGGCGCTGCACATGGACGCGAGGGACGTCGGCCGTTGCCTGGTTCAACGTGATGGAGGGAAGACTGTTTTCGATCGCGTCGAGGTTGGATGTGCTGGAGATGTCAAATCACAACACCAGGCTGACGGCTGAAATACACTCAGATATCCAACATCACGGAAACTGCTTCCTCAGACTGGAATTCGCACTGGGCGCCTTTACGCCGCTCTTAAAGCCCAAGGTGATGAATCCGCAAGCAGCCCTCTTGATGGCCTTCCACGATGTAGTCCCCCGGCGCCTCTTCTATGAGCCTATGTTCTCATTTAAAGAGGACCCGGTCTTCGTCAAGCAAGGCACGCAGTTCGGTATCGTTCGCGAGGCAGCCTTGGAGAAGTTTACCAATGTTCTCAAATTATGCAATCCGCAATTGCTCGAGGAAAGGATCCGCAGACCGACGTTCGCAGACTACAACACTTTCTTTGATGGATGGGTGACGCAGAAGAAGATATTGGAGGTGGCAGCGAGTCATAGATCAGGGATAAAGAATAACATACGGTTGTCGAGCAGTGGCCGTACCGTCTAACGGAAGGCTCAACCCGGGAGGAGTTCGAGTTGCGGTGTCGCACGGAGCTTGTTGGGCATGAACGCCACGTTGAGTTTGAGCTCGCTGTCATGGACTAGCCTGTGTCCCAATGGAATCGCCAGCATCATCAACACAGAGCTCAAGAAGGCCGCCATCTCTTTCATCACGGCGCAGAACTACAAGGTCTTCGGCACCGTGCTCCCGGACCCAGAGGATGGCATTCCTCAAATCACCGCATTTGACGCAATAAGACAGGGCAATTATGCCGACTTCTTCAAGAAGGATTTGAGTGGGAGAACATGACGTACTCACTGTACCCGTATTTCTGGTCCAACCGTTCTACCTGGCGTCAACGGTTGGGCTTTCGTTCGCCTGATCCCGCGTTTTCCGCGTTCGTCCAAGCAGGAATGGCGAAGGTGGTGGTGCTAGCAAGTTTGGGATTTGGAGTAGAGGTCATCCATTTGCTAGACAACGGGAAGATCTGGCAGGAGGGACCACCTTCGCGGCTGGCCACCAACCGGTACTATAGTCTCATTCAAGAGATCATGGCAGCTGAAGCGAATCCCGATGAGGTCAAGGTTAGCGAACCCTGGTATACCGTTATCCCGACGGATTTGGTGCAGCCGCGGCCGGATGAAGTCCTGCCGAGATTCAGACTTGACGGGAAGGACATTTGGGTTGAGCGAGAGCCGGGAGATGCAGACTGGGATGACTGATTGAGGAATAATCGAAATGCGGAACCAGGTGTATGTGCCGTCCTCTGAGCCACTTCTGGGGCACTGTAGGATATCTCCAACAAGGTGGCGTTGGCAATCCTTACCCGCGTTAGCGAGGGATGTGATTCTAATCGCTGGATTGTTGAGCTCCATCCACAATAAGGTCGAGTGGATTGTCGGACGCGCTATAATCTTCTCTCTCTAACATCATCTCACGATGCGTGTTGGGGTTGTGCTCTCAGGGGTGGTGGAGATGGAGACTTCTCGGTTAATGCCCCGCTTCAGGACCCACTTGGAATCGCGTCACGTCACGATCCTTTGGTCCCAACTCCAACGATCGAGAGCCTGACTGCCTATTCGCGTCAATTGAGGCACACAATGTCACACATATCGCGCCGCTTCCTCTCGACCACACGCCGCCTCGCCGCTCCCTCCGCCCAAGAAGCATGCTCCGAAATCTTCGCGCGCTTCGGCAACAAGCCGATATCAGTACGTAAACAGCTCTTGGACGCAAACCAGCTACACCTCCTCAACATCACGCTCGGAAGATCACCAACGTCCAATGGCCCACCACCGGACGGCACACCAATACCCCCCGGCTACCACCTCGTGTACTTTACTCCTCCAATTGCAGAGTCAGAACTAGGGCCTGACGGCACTGATCGCACCGTGAATCCGCTGCGTCCGTATACGCGGCGCATGTGGGCAGGCGGCGAGTTGAAATGGAACCAGGAGCATTCGGCGCTGCTCCGCGTGGGCCAGATGGTGCAGGAGACGACGAGAATGCTGTCAGCGGAGCCGAAGAAACTGAAAGGCGGTGGTGAAATGCTTGTCGTCGGGGTGGAGAAGACGTTTGAGAATGAGAAGGGCGTGGCGTTGGTGGATCGCCGGAGTTGGGTGTTCCAGAGGGAGATTGTGGAGCCGAGAGCACCGCCGCCGAAGCCGGAGGAGAAGGCTTTGCCTGAAGGTGCGTATGCGCTTCATCGTTGTTGCAATAGCATGAGCGCACCCTTGGCGTTGACGACGGATCTCGACTGACCTGGGTAACCCAAGGCGAGCACAAGCGTGACTTCACGCAAACACCCGTCGCGCTCTTCCGCTTCAGCGCGCTGACGTTCAACGGCCACAAAATCCACTACCTGCCCGAATGGTGTCGCAACGTGGAAGGGCACCGAGACGCCGTCGTTCACGGTCCGCTGAATTTGATCAGCATCCTCGACCTCTGGCGCGACACGGCGAAGACGGGCGATGCAGAAGCCGTGCCAAAGTCGATTGAGTATCGTGCGATGAGCCCACTGTATGTGGGCGAGCGGTACCGGATCCTGTTGGAGGCTGAACGGCAGGGGAATTGGAAAGCAGAGCTTTGGGATAGCTTTGGCACGGTGGGCATGAAGGGGACGATTGTGGAGTAATACTGCCGTTCTCCGTCCCATTCTCGCCTGTCTCTGCGCCCTGATCGCATATTCATGATAGCCGCGGAAGCACCTGTATTACCTAGGTAGGACTTCGGGATTCTTGAAGAATCGAATACGGTGCGTTACTGCACGTCATGCTAGTTTTGCCTCGAACGGGTATAGCGCGGCCCATCTCTGCTCGCCTAGCTAACGTCACTCCAGGGCTCAACGGATGCATTCTAGCAGACGCCTATAAAACTCATCTTTGAACCTGTTCTACCCGGCTGATGCCTTCGCATCGCATCGCAACTCTTCTCCGTCCTCGTCGATTTGGCGCGCGTTCACACACCTGCATGTGACCTGCCCAGGTGGCTTCCAAGCTCTTTCACTCCGCGGGACCGGTCTGCGCCTTCCTTCTCTTTCACTTCGCCACCTGCCAAACCCAAGTATTTCTTTACACACCAGGTCGCCCCTTCCTGTGTTCCCGTCTTGCCAGTGGCAACGGCAGCGGCCTTTAGCACTCCCCTTCTCCGCAGATCGTCCATCGATTCTCCACCACCTGCCGTTCTCCCACCCACCTCACAACCCAGCCCTGCAATGGCACCGCAGACCTCGATCCCACCCGCCGCGAATGTGCTCGGCACCATTGGCACCTTCTGCTGGTGCGTCCAGCTCCTTCCGCAAATCTTCCGCAACTACCGCACGAAGAGCACCGAGGGGCTCCCGGCTTTCATGATGATGCTGTGGAGCACGAGCGCCGTCCCCTTCGGCATCTATGCGATTGTGCAGCGCTTCAATGTACCCTTGATTGTGCAGCCGCAGTGCTTCGGTGCCTTCTGTGGTGTGAGCTGGGCGCAGTGTATGGTATACGGGGTGCGTAACCTCACTTGTACCCCCTCGCCCTTGCATCATCATCGTGTTCGGCGCCTAGAGTCGAGCCTCGGCGAGGGCCAGATTTACTGATGCGATGCTGTAGAGGAAATGGCGTCCCATCACCGCGACCCTCACCCTCGCAACCCTCTTGATCATCTTCGCTGCTCTCCAAGCCGGTCTCGTCTTCGCCATCCGACCGCCCTACCAACGTGGCGTCGAGTGGCCCGTTCTCCTCGTTGGCATCCTGGCCTTCATCCTGCTCATTGCCGCCTATCTCCCAATTCCGTTTGAGTTAATGAAGCGGCGCGGGCGCGTCGTCGGCATCGACTTTATCTTCTTGGGGATTGACGGGGCCGGTGCCTTCTTTAGCTTGATGAGTCTGGTCGCGCAGAACGAATTTGACGTGTTGTTCGGGACCATGTATGCGCTTTGGTGAGTAGCTCTTTACTGCCGCTCCTGCTTTTTTGATGCCGCAGGCTTGATGATGCACGGCTGCTGATACGTGTAGTTGTGCCATCGAAATGAGCATGGTAGCCTCGCACCTCATTTGGCTACTACGTACACGCGGCATCCGAAAGCGAGCGCAGGAGTCAGGCCAGGCGTTCGATGAGTCTGAAGAGTGCATGGCTTGGCAGGCGAAGGGCATCGATTTGAAACAGGGCTTCTGGGACCTACTCGCGAGAGGCAAGAATGGAAAGCAAGGTAGTGAGAGCGAGGGATCGGTTGCGCTGGAAGAGCTGGAAAGTGGGGCAAAGATTGCGGTGCCCAACGCCTCGGTTGAGTGCTTCTCGTCGACGTCAACGCTGGTGAAGAAGTCCGCATGCTAGAGGGAGATGTGCAGGGAGAAAAGACGCGATTGCCAACTTAGACGGTAGGACGCTGTAGATGGAGGCGACTCTAGACAGCTGGACTCGATAGATATAATGGGCTGAGCATAGAATCGTCCATCAGGCGGGGTGGCGGAGGAATCGCGTCGCGTCGCGTCTTTGGCGCGTTCGGTCTGCCGTAGGAATTGCTGTGAACGCAACCCTCGGACTTGACCCTTTCCTTCTCGTCCCACAGTGCGCTTCTGAACTCGAACTCATCCCAGCCCCGATTGTTCCAGCTCCTGCCGCTTTCTACGCCTCAATGCCCGAACATCGACACTCGTCTCGGTGCCCTTTACCGGCTCGGCAGCCACAGGTCGGGCAAAATTCCTCACGAGATGTACAGACAAGAGGTCATCAATGGAATGATCATGTTCCAAGTAGCTGCTCGTCGCCCGGGAAGCGTTTTCTCACGGGTGACGGAAGCGTGGGTCCGACGCTAAGTCGCTTGCAGCTAGCTCAACTAACAGCCCGCGGGCACATCGCCCACCTTGGAAACCCACCTGCCTACCAACACCACTGGACGCTGCTCGCCCGCACCTTAATATGCAGAAAATATGCGCAGGCTCACTTGCAGCAACATCTAAACCGACTTCGGAAGCATACTGAACGCGGTGGGAGGACCAGGTTTCTCCACATAGCGCTAACCCCAAAGGCATGGACCCCTTTTTTTTTTTTTACACGAATGACGATCACGTTCGCGAAGCGGCACAAACCTTGGAAGGCCGGCACGCACCGCTACACAGGAGGCCACGAACGCCAACCAGGGACCATCTCGTCGATTGGAATTGGGCATCTTGCCGTACTTTATCTTTTTTCTCTTCTTTCTATGCCTTCCAATGCATCCCTAGTGCTCACACTTTCCTTCGGTTCTGTCCGACCCCGGATTTCCCCACAATACACTTAATCTCTCCGCCGGCCAATAACACGCCTACTTTAATTCATATCCTGGTCACTTGACGAGGCTGGACGGGCGACCTACAGGGGCGCTCCCTAAACAGCCAGTCTCGGTGTCGAAACATTCTGTCAAACTTTCCTACATCGTGAAACGTTTGGCGCTGATTGGTCGCAACTGTATGCTACGACGTTTGAGATGGTTCGAATTAAAAGCCCAGTGGAAGCGTCCTTCCTACCACGGCTGTTAATCTCCGGGTGAGTTGCATTGTGGTACGGCCATGGGCGCACATGAACCGGTGGGTGCATGGGACGGGGTACATCGCACTCCTGACTACTTGTATAAACAGGCTCACAAGACCATCTCTCTGCTCCCTCCCTCTCCATCCCTCAGCCATCTCTAACAGCCAGTCGTTACTTCCTCGGTTCATTCGTTGTCCAAACTACTTCACTTGCTACATACATTCTTTTCAATTTCCCCAAGGCTATCAAAATGAAGTACACCTTGACGCTCGCTGCCATCGCAGCCTTCGCGGCCGCGCAAACCATCACCGACCTTCCGTCCTGCTCGCTCCAATGCGTAGCCAGCGGCGTCACCGGCGTCGGCTGCGAGCTCACCGACTTCGAGTGCAGCTGCAAGAAGGCCGATGAGCTGACGCCCAAGGTCACGCCGTGCGTCCAGCAGGCGTGCCCCGATGCAGCGGATCAGCAGAAGGTTATCAGCACGCTGGAGGGCATTTGCGCCAGCGCTGGATTCCCAATTACCGTTCCTGAGCCGGAAGCGAGCAGCACTGCCGTGGAAAGCAGTGAGGCGCCGTCTGTTGAGACTTCCAGTAAGCCTTTCCACATCCTTGCACGATCGCTCTGCCCAATCCATTGCAGTCGGCCCTAATACCGTCCTAGTCCCTACCCCGTCCGCCACCGACATTGTCATCACTTCTCCCACCGGTTATCCCACTGGGCTTCCCACCGAGACACCGGAGGAATCCTGCGCTGTCACCACCGTCACAGTCACCGAGATCATGACCAAGCCTACCGCTCCCGGCGTTTCGCCTCCTCCTTACCCAACCGGCTCCGCTAAGCCATCCGTGCCTGCCCCTTCTGGTACCGGCGCGTACACAACTAGCCCGCCGCTGTTCACTGGTGCTGCGGCTGCTGTTAGGGTCCCAGCTGGAATTGCTGGCGTGTTAGGCCTTGCTGCTTTTGTTTTTTGAGCGGTTGGTTAGTGGGTAGTGGGTTGTGATTGGAAAGAGGGGACCGATGGGCGTTGCATGAAGGTAGTGATGGCTAGATCGTTGCGCGAGGGTCTGCGCTCTAATGAAGATCGGTATTGTTGTATATTGCATTCATGAGAGGACAGGCTCGGTAGAAACGCACAAGCACTTTATACCGGTTCACGTGGAAAAAGAAGTTTCCTTTCCCCATGCACATGGAAAAATATTAATGACAGCGGAGAAGGCGCCGAGGGCTGCGACTTCATGTAGCCATGGAGGTCAGGCTACAGCAGCCTTACAATCATGCATGAAGCAAGTTTGTTGAGAGGGTTCGCACTGATAGCTACTTTGCCAGCCTTTTCGCGTTTGTAGAACGTGTGGCATCTGTGCTCGCGATCGCGTGCATCGAAGGCGCACGCTAACAAAGGCCTCCCAGTGCCCACATCGTGTAGACCCTTTCGTCCCATGGCAGATTCCAAATCGTCACCCGAGTGTCACGGCAGCGCGCGCTTCAGGCCTCCAGCCCGCATGAGATCCACGGCGAATGTAGTGATACTTGTAACCGAAGTGACTAAGTATGAATATGCGCAGCCGCCTGCGATATCTAACGTCATTTTCCTCAACTCTAACAATTTTTCTCCCAACACGGTCTACCGTCTTCAGGTACGCTCTCCCTCTCTCGTGCGAGGCATTTTGGTAAGGGCCGGAACACGCTGTGCGTCAGCAAAATGTGTTGCCTCGAGGACCAGCAGCAAGCCACTGCACTAGAGAAAGTCTGCGAGGCTGCTGTAATTCCTATTCTTGAGGCTAGGAGTGTGTCGGCTGCAACAAGCAATTCTAGTGGGTTAACTTTCTCCTAGAACGGCCTACGAGGCTTGCGGATAATTGCTGACTTAGCTTTCCTTAGTCTCATGGGAAGTAATAAGCCGAGCTACTGCTAAAACATTTTACTCTTCCAATAGCTTCACTTTCATGTACCGCTGGGTTTCGAAGCTGTCGGCCAGACGGACGTGACAGGTATTCCCTCTATCCCTTTCTTTCCTTCTCGACCTCGCTGCTCGAAATTGCCCTGCGAGGAAGGCGCATTTAAAGATCCTAAGTGATAAAGGTGGCTGCCTATTCTTTCCCTGTCGCACTCCATGCGCGCGCCTATACGTACGGTATCCGCAGTTTTAAATACAAGTCTTTAAGGAAGCTGAAGCTCGATATTAAGGCGTATAACCTAAATTGACAAACAATGCATCAACACGAGAACCTCGTACACTCCGACACAAAGAGCCGTTCCACCACACCAAACAACCTATCCCAAATTATATCCTTGGCCTTGGTTCTTCTTGCAATCTGTTCCTCCCAAAATACAAAACCAAAAACCCAACAGATTAAAACGTCGTACGCCTCCAACTCCCCAAGCCCTTCTTACAACGCCACCATGACCCCAAACAACGCCGCCAAAAATCCTACACCTGCACTCGCCGCTGCACCGGGGAACTCGACTACGCTGCTCGTTTCCGCCGGCTCGGTCGGATTAGCTGGGACGGACGGAATCGTCTCGCTCGGTAACACGACGGTCACGCCCTCGGTAATCTCGGTGGTCTGTCCCGTGCACGTCACGCTCGGCGGGCACGTCTCGAGCGTCGGATAGCCGTGTCCGCCGGGAAGGACGCATGTACATGTAACAGTAGGCGGGCAAGATGTAGGGCCGAATGTCCACGTCCAAGTAGTGGTTTGGCCCGTGCAGGTGTGGCGGGGCGGGCAGTAGGTCAGTGTTTCGATGTCGGTGACTGTTGTCGTGATGGTGATCGGTGGGTGAGAAGTTGGATGCGGACGAGGCTTTGAGCAGAGAGTCTTGTTCCAGCAAGGGAAAGGCGGCGAGACGCTCTCGCTCGTCGATGGTTCCGGCGGGGGCGTGGTCGAAGACGGCGGCGGCGTGCAAGCCTCGTCAACGGCCGTTTCGTACATCTCGCGGTTCCAGAAGTAGCATCTCTTAGCCGCGCAGAAATACAGGTCCGTGTCTAGCTTGGCCTCCTTGCAGAATGTTGTCATGTCCTTGTACTTCTTTGCGTTGACATCGACGCACTCGTTTAGACATGGGACCTTGAAGGGGTGGAACGTCGAGGTCGGCGAGGGCGACGGTGTGGTAGAGGATGGTGGAGGCGTTGACGAAGAGGAAGGTGTGGCTGCACAAGCCCAATCGATGTTCTTATTGAAGAGGTCTCGATCCCACATATTGCAGAGCTTGGCTGCGCAGTACCACAGTTGGTAGTCGTCCTTTGCGGCCTTACAGAAGCCAGCCAGGTCTTTGTACGTATCCTGGTTGACGCACTGGTTGGGGCACGGACTGCCGAATGGCGCGAACGGTTGCGTAGGACTCGGCGTCGGCGATGGGGTCGAAGAGCGCGGAGTGGGTGTGGGATAGTGACCGCATATGAGACCATACTCTTCGAAGACCAACGGCGTATCTGCTTTGCAAGTGTCATCCACGCACTCTCCGATCAGCTGACCCGTTTGGGCATTGCAAAGCTCCGTTTTGGTCTTCAAGTGGTAGAACGCGACGCAACTCTTCAAGCATTGCTGCTTCAGGGCGGGAATAGGATCCGCGGTCGGTGTCGGCGAAGGCGAAGGCGAGGGTGTGGGCGTGGGGTAGTGGCCACAAATAGAACCATATTCTTCAAAGACGTAGGGTCTATCCGCCTCACATGTTTCGTCGATGCATTTGCCCATCAGCTGGCCGATGTTATCGCTGCAAAATATCTTCTTGATCTGGACGGCATAGTGCTGGTAGCGCTGGACGCAGGTCTTCAGGCACTGGTTCTTGATTTCGGGAATTAACTCTGCGTGAGCTGCCGTAGTAGGTGGCGTGAGGGCGGATGCTGCCGCTGCAAGGGCGGCCAGCGTCGTAAATATGAAGTGCATTGATGAACGAGTGTGTTATGAACGGGTGGATTTGTGATAGCGAGAGGTATCAGAGGGTTTTGTTCGATTGTGGTAGAGACGAGAAAAATGCATGCCTCTCCGAATGTCCCGTGCATATTATACCACTGTCCCATCGTACCGGTGGTCTATCACAAGCTCAGGGACCGACCGTGAAAGGACACGAAAGTACGCCCAAAGGTACTTGAAGAAGGTATGCCAAGGTTGAAGTTAGTTTTCCTTACGGCGGGAATCCGATTTGGGAATTGAAATGCTGGATCCGGAAGAGAAGTCGGAAATAGCGGCCGAACACGGGGTGACACGATGTCATCTGACCGACGTTACCTCGTGCAGGAGCTATGTATAGAACGCCGAGGATAGCCCAATAGATTGCCAGAGATGACGTGAGGAACATATATCGCACGTGCCCTAGTTTCGTCAGGAGACTATTTGGTACTCCAAGGAAGTTGAAGTGTAGTCGTTCGTTGGTGGTGCTCTTTGTTCCCGTCCAAAAGGAGACTAGTGAAATCCTTGCGTACAACACGTCCTGTTACTGTATATATGGGTATACCTCCCCAAATACGCGGCTTCTGAGCTCGCTTTTATTTCAGCCCGTCTTTCGCTTTGTTTCTGCTCTTTAGATTGGCTGATAGAAGCATTAGAGTGGAAATGAGGGTGTACCGAGTCTACTCACCATGTGAATAGTGCAATGCTTGCCGTTCTGGTAGACTACACACCTCTTCGATCCGAGGCGAGACATTTACACCCACTCCAGAACAATGCTATCCCATAGCCACCCTCTCCACTGGGTGCTCGAGGTCACCTTAACATCGACCGTATTCTCGCCCTTTTTCAAAACCTCTTTTCCAACTGGGAACTCCAATAGCCTCCATTCACCCGCTCGTGTCGCACCCCGATACGTATCCTGACTGCTCGGTAGCAGTACACTGTTGGTCGTAATGTTTCCGATCTTCGCTCCGTTCAGCAAGATGTCAGCACTCGAACCGCCCGAAAATCCCGCGAGAGAAGCCGTCAATTTTGCACCGGCTGCAGACGATGGAATAGACACGAGGTTGAAGATGATGGACCAGGTTCCCAGGGCAGACTGCCCGAAGTACCAGTCGCTGGTCTTGGATTTGCCTACGGTATAAGTGAGGTTGCTGGGGCACTTTGAGATGCGGCCATGCTCGAATGGGGTAGGGCCGCTGAGGGCGAAACCATCGGTCACCCGGTCGAAATCCCCGACTTGGAAGATACGTTTCTTCTTATCGGTTACAGCCCATGTCAGCGTCTTGAGGCTGGTAGCCTTGCCCTTGCGAATAACCACACCGTTCTGAACGAATGAGGTCGTGACATCTGCGATCTTGCCGCCGTTAGACCACGCGTACAGTCCGTAGGTGCCCGCCCGAACATCATCGATGCTGAACTGCCCGTTTCCATCGGCGTAGGCCGTGTAATAGTAATCCTTCCCTTGGTCGAGCGTGCTGAGGTTGGAGTTGCTGTCACCGAGGAAGGCAGCAGCTCCTGAAGCAGGTCGCCCGTCACTGAGCAGAAATTTTCCGGATACGGAGCCGCGGGATTGATACGCAACATCCTCAAACCATTCGTACGGCCATGCTTTCTCTTCTTGCTTCCATCGGCGAGCAGCGTCGTCTTTGGATCCGTCGTTCAGATACCAGAGCCATGGTCCCCAGGTCTTGCCGTCGGCAAAGGAATCCTTGGATATAGCTTGGTAGTGAGTGCCGTGGATCATGTTCAGCTGGACTGCATCGCCGGTTAGTGACTCGCGATGGATCTGTCCGCCAAATCAGCTTTTCGTTCTTCTAGCTCCGTCGCGCATATGTGGAATCAAATGACATACCATGAGTTCCTCCTTGAGTTGATCCCCATTGTAGTAATCCTTCCCAGGGTTGATATACCAGCTCCCCACTTCGTCGCCATACACACCGTAGTATATCTGTTCCCGCAAGAATGCGCTCCAATCATACTTGGTCAGGAAGGTCCCATCCACCTTCTGCCACGTCTCGTCCTGCACCTTGGTGGCGGCGACATAGTCGGATAACGGAGGAAGGACGCCGTCCTTGACATTAGTGTGGCCCTTGGGAAAGGATGTGTTATCCAATCGCCATAGAGTGCGAAACTCTCCAAGGGTGGGAAGAGCGTGGTTCACGAAGTACTGGTAGGCGCCGGCGAGGTCGTCGTGGATGAGCCAGTGGAAGTCGCCTTCTTTCGCAGTGAACTTGACGTTGATCCAGTTGTTTCCAGAATCAGCGATGGCCGCTGAGGTCCAGTTGAGATCAGAGGCTGCGCCATCTTTGCTCCGGGGTTAGCAAAGCGTTTTGTGTAGTTATAAGAGTAACGTACTGTAACTCACATAATGCCCAACCGCTTGACCGACACGATCCTTCCCTTTATACCAAAGCTTAGTAGCATACTGCCGACCCTGAGTCACATTCCAGATTCCATTTCCGATCACCCAGGTGGAGTTCCCCAAGTCGGCTAAGAAGCTCTTAGGCTTCTCCTTCCTCTCTTCAAGCGGTGCCGCAATAGCGGCGGTGAAGAGCGCGACGTGCCCAAGGAATACTAAGATGCCCATTGCAATTGACGGGGAAGGGCTGCGCTAGGTACATGATCGAGACGCGACCTCAACCTTTCTTATAGCTATATCGCCTCGCCTGGTTGAATGCAGCTCGGCCGTATTTCTCGGTCGTACTTATCCCGAGCTAACGGAGCCGTCTCTTGAGTTCGCGGGGCTTCTGGGGATTACCCCGGAGTGATCGCCCTCGGGAACAATAGTCCTGCAATCGGAGGAATCTAACCATTTGCCAAGGCCATTATACCATGGTATCTTCAGGAACGGGTTAGCGCACTGCGGAAGCCTGGTCTTCGGAGCTGATGTACCACACGACCTCGCGATAAACCAAGATGCAGGCGATGCCAACGAGGGACTTTCCTAGATATTGAGAAGATGGAGAAGAGGTTGGCAAAAATCGCCGGGCTGGCGCGCGACTTCGTGGGTCGTCGGCCCGAAAGATCCAGGGGGGCCTTCGCATCTCACCCAAAACAAGCCACGCTTGCGCCCGAACGAGGAGAGCCCGAGCCGTCAAAAATTTGCGCCCCTCGATGCACCCATCATTGTAATTATGCGCTTCTACTTTAAGGGCGCGCCGCCGTCCGCGTACGTGTTCGGAGTCGAAATTAATCGGGCTCGAGAATGCCAAAGCTCATGGTACCATTCAACTGCTGGCCCGACGCGGGAAAATGTGGGATGTGACTTGAGAAGCGGCGGTTGTGGTTCTTATCCGAAAACCTGCGGAAACGAAAATCCAGGTTGGTACGGAGAACGCCTTCGGGAGACGGAGGTTAATCGCGTAGCACCACCAAGAGAGTCACGATATAACATGTAAAGTGTGGCTTAAGACACCATAAGGGAGTACACTATCGTACAGTCGCCATCCAACCCAACCCTCATTCCCCTACCTCACGCGTCTAATCTTCACAAACCCTCCTCTTCATCCCGCTTAGCAAGCGGCACATTCTCATACCCATTACTCTCCCAAAACGGCTTCTCCTTGTTGGCCCTCCCTCCCCCGCCCATAAGCTTGACCGTCAACCCACACGGATCCAGAAACGTCATGATCCAATTCTGGTCGTCTTTCCAACCCGGGCCGAGCAGCTCAGTCTTTCCGTCTTGCGCTAGGTAGACGTGATAGTCTTCTGGAAGGTAGCGCCGGGGATGTCGCACATTCCAAAGAATAGAGTTCCAGAACATGATGTCGGCTTCAAAGACGTAAAAGAACCATTCGTAGCGCACGATCGGGGAGAGGCTCATGGGATCCCAGCCTGTCGATGGGTTGGCGGGGATGCGTGATACACCGAAGTGCTCTACGATGCGATATATCGTCCGGATTAAGATCAGAGCTGTACTAATGTACATGGTCCATAGCGGGCCTTGCACCTTCCTGTTCTTGATACCAGCTCTCCTGCAGCGGTGATGAAACATCCCAGCGATAATGATGAAGACCGAGATAACGGCGATTTGGGCAATAAGAGCAGTCTTCGTCAAGATGTGGCCGAGATCCTGTCTGCTCTGCGAGAGGTTTGGGTTGGAGAGGTTGGAGATGCCGAGCGCGTTGAGGACTTCTACGACGGCGGAGAGCGCACCGAAGGTTGTGAGTGTGCGTCCGGGGTGAAGGGGCGCGAAGTAAGGAACATAGAAAAGGATGCGTCCGAGAACATGATAGTTCGCTAACTCTAACAGTGGACTAGAACGGATTAGCGGAACGGAGTCAGGGAGCAAGCGGTTGGAGCCCTTCTGCTCCTCCTACCCGGAATAGGGAACGTACGGAGCGCAGTATATGAGGAGTGTGCTGGCAATGTATATGCCGAGATTATCAATATCGAAAGCGCCATATGATCGCAATGCAAAGCCCACTGTGAAGAGCAGGCAGCAGAACGGATGAAGAGCTGTGACTTTAAAGGACTTGTAGCGGATGCATTGCCATAGATGCACGACACCGGAGATGAAGAACAAAGCGGTAAAAATGATGGCAGCAGCCTTGCTCGGAGCGTAGAAGTAGACGCTGCCTGGAACTTCAGAATGTTAGCTCGGCGTTTATCGGCGGGGTATGTGTTTAGGTACCTAATTTTCCGTCGGGCATGGTGAATGTATTAAATTTGGTCGACGACGAACTGTTTGTCGAGCCCCGCCTTGGTCGACGGCGTCTTTATACACCAGAACCCATCGTTCATCCCCAAGGAGTAATTCTATCGCAGAATAAGCGACCAATCGTATGGCTGTCTGAGGTTCAACCTTAAACCCAATCTGGAAGACGGGAAGGCCAAGACAACCATCGGCCCTGTGTGTGTTAGAGCCGAGATCTCAGCCCTGCGGTATGACGTGACTTCGCAGAGCACCTTGCCGTGATGGAAGGCTGAAGCGTGGAGGCTGTGGAGACTGCCGCCTGGCCTTTTCGCGTGGGTGTGCATGTTCATCCTGGGCCAAGCTGCGGCGCTCATTAGGAGGCTAGGCGGAAGGTCGTGGCCTCTTCCCTCGTGCTTTCTTGGACCCAGGTGGCGGTGCAACATCGGAGCAGCCGATACAAAGGACTATCAACGCCGTTCCCCAGGGTCCGTGGTTATGGTTGTGGTTCGTCAGCACGCATCAGATTTCCCGGTTCCCGGCCCCAACCGAAAAGGCGCTAACCCGAAAGGGAGAAAACTCAGGCCAAGAGCATAGCCTCGCACCACCATCAGCCCTGTGCCGATCCATCTCCAATCCCTCTACATCCGCTCCAGGAAATAAAAATGCAGGAACACGGCTCTCAATACGCTCCATCTACGCCCTTTTCCCCCAATTCGACTTTACCCACGCCTCCTGCATACACCACCACGACGCCATCTATCGATCGGAAACGCCCTCCCGCATGATGAAGCCTGCAGATGGCGCTGAGAAAGCAACCCGACAATGCTGGGAGTGCCTTAAGCGGCGCCTAGTCTGTGACTACACGCTACCCTACTGCAAAAAGTGCCAGAAAGCCGGGAAGCAATGCCCTGGTTACAGTGAGCAGAAGCCACTGCAATGGGTCGAACCAGGCCGCGTGACATCACGGAAGCGGGGCAAAGCGTCTCCTCCTAAACTCCTGCTTGCCTCTCAAACAGCCGTTGAGCCCGGCTGCCCGATCGGGCGCGGACGCACAAGCTGGAAGGCCGCGGACGCTGCCCAAGAGGCGGCGAAGTGGTCTGAAGAGTACACCAGAGTCTTGAGAGAGATAAGAAGTAAGCAGGATATCTGGGACGTGTTTTATATCGCGGACCGGGGGAAGATTGAAGATATCATCGCGAGGGGGTCGCAAGACGAGGCGCGCAGGATGTTGCGAGGGGAGAAGGATCCGCTTCAGAAGCTGGAGGGGATGCTGAAGTGGATGGATTTGGAGGATATACCGCGGTATAATCTCTCAAATGAGACATGCGAAGTCGTGCAGGCGGTGCAATACTGTGCGTTGCTTCCTGTCCGTCTGTCCAGCCGACGGTATTGCTGACGTGCGATGCAGTTAATACTCGCATCTATCCCGACACTCAAACTTTAACGGAGCTAGCACCTAACCCGCACATCATATCCTTTCCGCCCGCAGCACTGCATCTCCTTCCTCTCTCCATCCACCACATCATCGTTTGTCTCTCCTTGAACCACTATATCTACTCACTACCGGCTGAGGTAAATCGGCAAATCGTGAGTAGTACCTCGTCCAAGGTAATAGAACATATGGGAGTGGCGATTCGGCAGCTGAGCGAGCAGATCGGTAAGGAGAAGACAAGGTCTAGTGATGGGACGATCACTAGTGTGCTGGTACGTAGCTCGCTATCTTCACTCCAGTATGTCTTGGATCTCCTCCGCGGTGGAACGCCACTCGTGGAGGCCTTCAACAGGTTAAGACCTGTAATATGCTGGAGTGTGTCTCCCTCTTTAGCTCAAGTACTCGCTAATATATCCGCCGTCATAGATGCTCTTGTGTGCCGAGGTACGTATCCGTTTGGATTACTGGAAAGGAGGATATCCAATGCTAACCACCAGTGACATAGCTCCAACAAGCCACGCCGACGAACTGGCGCACGCACGCGGACGGTCTCTTGCGACTCCTCAACCTACGCGGCGGCTTCATGACCATGTTTCGCAGCAAACCATACCTGCAACCCTCCCTCGTAGTCTTCATCCTGTAAGGCCGCATTTATACCTCCGTAACCCTATCCCTGCTCACACATCCACAGCGTAATCGTCACAGCCAACAGTACATCCCCCGCCTCCGATCAAATGATCATAACGCCCTCCCTCCCTCAATTCCTCGCCGAAGTCACCGAGCTCTACGACCAGGTATTTCCGCACTGTCTCTGCCCACGGCCGCTCTATCTCGAAATCATCCGCATCAACTACCTGCGCCACTCGGCCTCCACCACGGCGTCCCAGGCGGGCGAAAGCGTCGCCGAGCTTTGCTACGAAGCCAACCAGCTGCTCTCCCGCATCGCAGCCTTCTCGCCAAAAGACTGGGCTCAGCCCGGCCGCTACAACGCCGAGTGGCGCCTCATCGGCTCCATTTACCAGTCTGCCATCGCGATATACTGCATTTCATCCTTGCAGTCGTTATCCATCCTACCCGCCACTCCTCACCTGCTCGCCAGTCTCGCTTCTCACGGCGATAACTTGATCTCCGACCTGAAAACGGCCGTTGCATCCAAGCGGTTACGCAGACTCATGGGGTGGCCGCTGGTAGTGGCTGGTGTGGAAGCGGTGTATCGGGGCGAGGCGACGAGAAGATGGCTCGAAGAGGCGCTGTCGGAGCTCAGTCGTGCGAATGGGACGAGTAGTTTCTTAAAGGCTAGGGCGGTGTTGCGGCGGTATTGGGCGAGGGAGGTGGCTGGGTGGGAAGAGTGTTTCTGCCAGCCGTTTGCACTGCACTTTTAACGAGGGGTTTGTTAGCTGGGGCACTTTTACCCTATGAAGCACTTCATGGTGCTGTATCCTGACTCAGGGTTCGTATGGCGCTAGCAGACCTCTGGAGGCGGCCAGGAGCTGGAAGGAGCACGGAAAGGTGGTATAACTGTTCAGATGGGGTGGGTGGTGAGTGATCTTTTTGTACGCACCCAGAGCTATTAGCTGGCATTCTAGACGCTATGAAGTGGGCTGTAAAGATACCGCATCTCGAAAAGCCGTTCAAGCACTCCTCGATCTTTGATCCCTAAGCGAAGCGACAGTTACTCACGATTCCACGACCAGGTTCCTTCTCAGCGCTTCCAGCTCCCCGTCCTGCATTCCGCACACCTGCTTCATGTACTCCTCCGCACTCCCCCACTCCTTCCCCACCATCTCCAGCGCACCAAACATACTCTCCCTCCTAGCCCCGACCATACGCAGCACCGCCCGCCTCCCCTTCTCCAGCACCTCCTCCGGGATGACCACCTCCGCACCATTCGTCCTACCGTCAGCGTTGCTCTTCAGTGCGTCCGCAAGGTGCTCTGCATTCAGCTCTTTCCCCGCCATCTGGCTCAATGCGTACGTCCTAAACCCCGGACTCTGCATAACCCTGCCGGCAATCTCATCCCGCATGTGTCCGAGCCCCAGCTCGGTGAGGTTGTATTCCTCTGCGATTGCGGAGTTCGAGACGCCGAGGAAGGAGAACAGGATGGCGAAGAAAATGCCGGTGCGGTCTTTGCCCGCAGTGCAGTGGATCAGCGCACCGACTTTCCTCATATCCTCGTCGCCCGGCCTCGGCAAATTAGCGAGATACCGTAGAATAGCGGCGAAGGCGGGGCCGGCATGCATTAGAATATCACGATACGCCTGCACAAATCCATCGGTACTCTCGCCCATGTACTTCTGCGGGAAAGTCAGTGAAGGTCTTCAAGAAGGGTGTTACAGATGTTGATAGTGCGGGAAATGAATGCTCCGTCCCTTGCTAGTGGAAGGCTGATGGAGCTTGACTTGAGGCCACTGCCTACATACCATATACCGTTCCGCCAGCCGTTCAGGACTATAATCCGCCTCATTGAAAACCGGACACCACACCCGGCTCACTCCTACCTCCTTCATACTCTCTTCCCATCCGGCTCTCACATCTTTACCATCGCCGTTTTCTGCTTCGCCGGTTACCCCCTTCCAGCCCTTGTCGACTTCAGGCTTGCTCCTCAGATCGAACACATGGCTTATGCCGAGGTCGTGGATAGCTTTCCAGCCCTCGCTGTCGAGTTTGCTGACTTCAGCGCTGCGAAATAGGACCCCTGGGCGTATGCTTGCGCCGCTGGAGGTGGTTAGGCCGCCTGATGAGAGGGCCGCATCGCGGAGGTTATTGATGTTGCTGATGGTGTAGAAGGGTGGAGAGGGTAATGGTGGATTTTGTGGAGTCGTCATTTGTGGTGGGAATATCGGAAGGAGGAAGTCGTGTTGAGAACGGCCGAAATACGTGACCGCACGCGATAACTCTTCACAGTAACGGTGTTGAGGTCGAGATTGGGGAGCCGGATTTCCCAAATCGGTAGACCGGGTGAAGGCGGTGGCGGGCTTATTTTTGGCGCCGACACCGAGAGCAGTGAAAGGGCCTGGCGGAATCCAGGTGCAGGTGCGTGTTGACCGGTATGTGAGATCAAACTGCGCGGGTTAGAAGGCTGCCACCTCCAGCGAGATACTTTCATTCAAATTCAAAGCAAGGGAGCCTTGAGTGACATCTGAAGTCAGCCCTCGGCCGCGGTCAGCTAGTGCCGAGGCCCCGCTATCAGCAATCCTGGGCCGAGGCACCGCGCCTAGCCCTTCTAGGTATGCGCTGGGGAGTGTGCAGATTATTGGTGCGTTTGCGTAGAAAGGACCATTACATACGCGAGGATGAGCTACTTCAGTAGTTGCAGCTGAACGCTCTGCTGGAATGAATAATGGGGTGGGAACGTTACTACTGAACGCTCAGAATAGCCGCCCCATTTTCTCACCTCCAAAGAAAGGGGAGCCGACAACGAACTTTTCTTGCTTTTCCATCAGACTAGGACTGGAAGCCGGATGGTGGAAAGAACTGGCCGAAGCCATAGTCAAGAGATCCTGCGCCACCAATGCGATTCCAAACGCTTGAAGACCGGAAATGACAGACGCCAATATGCGAGCTGCGCTATGCTAACATGCTAAAATGCTTATAAGGACAGGAAACAGCTTTTAGGAAGGAAAAATGGGTTGATACATTCGAAAAGATAGGCTGCGGCGATCCGTAGCTGTGGTGATACAACATGGCGTGGATGTTGAGCGCTCCTTCCTGAGCGTAGTCGAACTTTCTGAATTGAGTGACTTGAAGAACAGCGGTTTTGGGCCTTTGGGGAGACAGATCATGCGCTGGGCCAGAAGAGGTAGGAGGCGCCCCTTGGAGTAGAAACCCAGGCGATTTTTCTGGCCCAGTGTGAAGCGTAGTGCGGCACTGTCATCAACAGGGTTGCCGCTTAACCACAGCGTGCTGGTTGAACGGATTTCTCTGGTGCGGAAACATTGTCTGAACATGTCGGTCTACTTGGAGTGTCGGGTTGTGTCATGTCTTCGGAGACGGCCTCAATAGAAGGCTTCTCCTTGCACTTCTCTCGGGCCGTCGGTGTTCCCTGCGAATTGTTATGACAGGCTTCGACATCCACTATGGTTTCCGACGATTCTGAGCGCGCGAATTTCTTCGAAGGGTGTTCCGCGACGTATTCGTCGTAGGTCTTGCCAGCTTGCTTCGCTTCGCGGCGGACATGGCGCACCCGCCAGAGCCAGATTGCTTGGGAGAGGAAAATGCCGGTCTCGAGCGTCATGCTACGCATTGAATGTCAGCCCAGCTGGCGTTCAAGGGCGGCGGTGATAGGAAGGGAGGCCAGGTGGCGGTTGAAGGGGAAGGACGCTCACTCACCAGACAATGTACATAGAGCTACCAAGAGCGTCAAATGTATGCTGTGCGACTGCATCGTATTAGCGTCGAGCCCTCCAGAACGTGCCCAAGAGGGGCAAGATACCTAAAGCCATTAATGAGAAGAAAGCACCAGCGTAGTCCACAATGAGAAAGATGAAATCTGCTACTGTCAGTCTTTGATGTTGTAAAAGGTGAGAGTACGCGTACTGATTCCGATGACCCGTCCATGCCGTTTAGCTAGTTCAAAATACGGGAGCAGGAGACCAGCGCACTGCATCACAGATGCAACGATGGCCATCAGCATCATTGGCCACTCGACGCCCTTGTAGTATGGAATCTGCAAATGGTATCAGCCTGCCATAGGATTTCGACCGCAGTTGGAAACGATCATACTCGAAGTGTGACGATCAGAATTGCTTCGGTCCCGGCGAACACTGCAGCCATGACTACAGTAGCTACCGTGGCTGTCCAAGCTCTCCAGTGACTATTGATCGTTAGAAGCAAAGAAAAGATCCGCTAGCCTCAACCTACTCATGATAATAGAGCGTTTGCCCCCACGTTATCAGTGTTAAACCACCGAAGCACTGGGGTTGCAGCTTGAGCGCCATGTTGAAGTTCTGGATCTGTTAGAAGAGGAGTCGTGCGGCTATCGCGTAGTGTCATACCTGAACAACGGCGTAGACACCGAATGGAACAGCACCTGGACTTCTCAGCCTCTAGAGAGCATATAGCGACTAGGAACCATACATCCAGCCCACAGCATCAACATAGTGCCGGGAAGGCCGTCGGTATTTTTTCGGCGCCAGTTATGCCATATCCTTCGAGGAGTGAGTGGATGCGTGCGAGGTGAGTCGAGCCAGCTTACTGTGGAAGGATCTGAAGCAGAATTTAGAACGGTCGGGAGAAGTGGGAACGTTTATGGCCTACCTGAACACACCAGCAGCTGGACCCAACGCTGTTAGCGATTCGTTTCAGACAATGCTTGCTTTACGTACACTGAAGAATGGGTCAGCTCAACTTGAGCCAGGTTGTAGGGCAGACTTACCAGTTCCAATAGTCTAGTGAGGGAGACACATAGATTAGCATGATACTGGCGCGGTGGTTTGGAGACCGAATACATACTCCAAGGACATCTGCAGCCTGTTGTTCACAAATCAGTATGAGCTCTACGTCTACGTATAGAAACTAACCGGAGGGATGGACTCCTGGGGCTTTGTCATAGTCCGGAGAGACGGGAGAGCCTTCTAGTACTGGCGTGGAGAATACGTATAGAGCGTGGGGTGGGAGTGAACAGCTTTGACAAGGGCTAACGATGAAGAAAAGCAAATAGCTTAGGAACCGTTGTCGGGGAAATGCGGGGGATAGGGCTGCGGCTTTAAAAACGAGGAGAGAGGTGACGCTAGAGGGTGTGATATGTATGCGCTTGCTACCTACCTACTACGGCGTCGAGGGCGCCCTCCGATAACAAATTATTGCTACAAGTGGAGCGCTACCAATTATATGGACCTAAGATTTGAGGTAGGGACTCCAACGCCTCGCCATAGAGCGGGAACCACGGACACAGCAGGCCACAGTTACCCACTGCGGCGCCCTTGGCTCGTACCATGATGCGAAAGGAGATTCGGAAGTAAGGTGACGACTGACTAGACGCGAACGCATTTTGCTAGCTCAACCGCCGTAGTCGCGTGCAAAATCGTTTGGGCGGCGAGAAATGGTGCTCGAGTGAGCAGTAGACAGCTCTTGGAAAGGATTCAGCGTCGGGGAACGTCTTCCCTGCATCCGTCAATGAGTTCAAACTCACGTCGAAGGCGCCGCGTGCTGTAAGTGGTGAGTGGCTGAGATAGCGAGCTAGGGGTGCATTCACCACACAGGCGATCTGCAACCCGATTGGCGAGGACAGGGGTATCTGTGCGCTCTTCCACGTTCGGCCGGTGTTTATTTGCTCTCCATCTCGATGCATCAGTGCGGACCGGACGCCATTCTAACGAACATGCTGTGGGAACTGCTCCTGTCCTACTGCACACGCGCATGAAGGATCCAGAACCGCATCTTCTTCTCGTTTGATGATTCTTGCCCGCGGGCTTCGAGTAATGCGAGCTGGAAGAGGAAAGGACGATTGGCATTCAATGAAGACCCATGCACAAAGTACTTCCCGACAAGGCCTCGGTCTGGCGCTACAAGCGGACCTCACGCGCGCAACCTCTGTGGCGTCAGTAATCGCCCCTCCTCCAGCTCGATGAGGACCGGATTCAGCTGTTGTCGTGCTCTTATCAGCTGATGCTGTGTAATGGCGAAATCGTGAAAACTCTGAGGCGACATGACTGTCCGCGCCTCGCTGCAGGGCAGTTGTGCTATCCGGCGTGGCTGCCAGTGTGAGACAGAGGCATCACCTGGCAGCCCAGAGCCGCGCTGGTGGAGTCGGCGTACCCCGGGATCGACGCATAGAGTCGCTTCGTGATTCGACCTGCTAGTCCGGGGCCACCGAGTAGGAGGCTCTGCTCTCTTACCCCATCCGAGCGTACGCCTAGTCCCCCGGTCCCTGGCGACTTGCAGCAGGGAAATACGGTCTTTGAGAGCGGCCTCAGGGCTGATTCCTCCGTCCTGACTGCCCATGGACATGCTCTTTCGTGGTGACAGTTTCTCCGCAGCGAGAAAGGTAATGTAGCGCCTCCTCATGAGAAGTGGAGAAGCTGGAGGCAGCAGCAGAATCTAGAGCTTCTGTATCGCCGGGGGGGGTTGTGACGAGGGTGGAGAGTTCCACTCTTCTGCACGACACATGATAGGCAGAGGTACCTAAATCGTTAGCCGGCCCACATACCATAATTAGGGCGAATTTAGTCATCTCCGCACCAACCTTTCCTCTTCACGTCAACCGCGCAAACCGCGATGCGTCTTTTGGCCTCAGGTCGGGTAGACGAGAACCACAGACGTCGGTTGTTGGGAACGCGGGGTCGACGCAGTGCCGTCCTGCCCCAGAATTCCGGGGTCAAACGAGCTTGCCGATGGACGAACTTGGGTTCATAAAGTCGTACTCCGTAAATATGCTAGCCGCGCTGATTTGTGATAGAGATCAAGCGCTCGGAGACCTATCAATGATCGAGGCTCCTATCGTAGATGCACAGCGCCGTCATCCCCGTCCTTCGAAACAAAGTGCCCCTCCCGGAAGCGTCGCCTTCCCGCTGCAGTCAGCACGCCGCCCTTTCCGTTGGTTTCTCGTCTTGCTGTCGTCGAGCGTTGCACAGCCATCCTTTCAACCACAGGTGTGCCACTATTCTACGTGGGCACAGGGCTTGGTTTTCAGGGAACGCATTTGCTCGCGTTGCGCGCTTATGCAGGAAATACCAGAGTGGCAACGAGTGATTCTGGGCTGCAATCCCTCGATGGATGGCGAAGACTTGTCGCTGTTACGACGGTCGAACCATTAGTCCGTGGAAGGCCGCGCTGTATCCGCCAATCGGGGATTTGCCTTTGGTTCATAAAGCCATCACAGCGCAGGTTCTTTCGGAATGGCTGCATTGATACGCAGTCATACTTGTGCCTTGCCGCGTTCGCTCAACGGTCGGACACGACATTCCGACTCTTCGTAGCAGGCGCGAGGATACTGCGAATGGTCGAGGTGCAATGCCACAACGCTCCTAGGATTCATATTGACTTCGGCATCCCGAACCCGCATATACAGTCGAAAACGGTCCGAGAGGGTGCATAAGACGAAACCCTGATTCGTGAAGGAATAAACGAGTCTGTGGGTCATCACCAATTCGGAAAGCACGGACTCAAGGTGTATCTGCCATGGATCAGGAGCTGAGCAGGCCTGAACTGGTGCTGAGAGGCGCTCTTTTCCGCTGCTGATGGCATGGTTTGCTCTGCACCCAAGTAGGCGTCCGCAACATTCCGGGGCAGGGCCATTCGCCGAGCATTCCAGCTTGATGCGAGAAGGTATACGAGCTTTCCGACAGCAAGCGGGTTGGAGGATCGGGCGTGAGGGAAAGTATATGACGCTTCTGAAACAACGGAGTGAGCTTTCAGCCCAGGCGTTGGAGAGCAGCGGATCTACCGTAGTAGCGTGGAACTGGGGCTCCGGGGAGGGACAAGGCAGAGCATGGGCTCGGCCGTGCCGCAATGTTCCTTCCCCACCATACTTGGGAAGCATGGAGTGCTGATGAAAGCACTGACTGTGAACTTAAACGGCGTTTAAACCAAGCCGTCAAGCTCTTCGATGGCAATCAAGACGCTCCTCGCTTTCCGGGCCGCCATCAATGATCGTCTATGTTTGGTGATGCAATAGCAGGTCGACTCATTGAGGGCCTGGCGGTGAAACTTGCTCTGGTTGCAGCCGCCGCAAGCGTCCGTCTCCTGCTATAGCTCCTCTCCCAGGCCGATTTACGCATACTTCAGAGGGAAGATGGCGCGGACTGGGGAGATAGGGACTCAGGACGATGCATGTGACGGAGCAGTGAGGACAAGGCCAGCCCACCGATCAAGGAAGCTGACAGGAGATGCGCGATGGAGTGACCGCAGCGGCTGCATATGCAGGCGGCAACCGATGCGGGAGGCTAACCGCTCCATGCTGGGGGTCGAAAATGTTTCGAAAGGAAAAGCTCCATCGCGGCATTCTGGAAGTGGTATCCAGCTCGAGGCATTGCCCAGGTGATTAGTTAGGCCATGTACCCCTCCCGTCAGTTGCGCTTGCCAGGTCAATCCGGTCGACGTCGTGTTTTCGAAGGAGTCGTATGGGAATGTGGCAAAATCGTGCAGTGTCGACTGCAGGCTGGTCAGGCCTGCCGGTGAGGGAGGCGGCGGGGATCAGGCCAGGCTGGCGTCCTTACGCAGGTGGCCGCCGTGCATCTATCTCCATGATGTATGGTGGTTTAGGCAACGTCGACTCGGTCAGGGTCCCGTCGCCCATGCTTGTGCTGAGGCTCTTTGCAGTCCGGAGCGGGAATTAAGGGCAGGACGTTGGGCATTCATCCACTGCCTGCCCGCCTGCATGGTGGTGTGCGGGTAACATGCCTCTGGAACCGTCGGACGGACGGGGTTGCATTGCGGGAGCGGATGAAGCTGGGGAGAGTGAATAGGCCCGGGGTGGTGTAGTGGAAATCGTCGGCAGTCTTTCAGTTGAGCAGGAAGGAGCAAGACCACGTCACGGAAGGCGCGCTCAGCTGGACCGCGTCACCATCGCAGCATTACCGCGGAGCTCTTCACCGCACAGGCTATCGACCCCCCATGCAAAGGATGGACCACGCTTAGACTGGAGACAAAACGTTGACCACCGGGGTATTATTAGTCGGTCAAAGTGGATTACTACTTCCTACATGGAATCAAAAGGGGGAATAAATATCGAAGGGTAAGAAAACATATGAGAAGAGTGCCAGTCAAGACATCCAGACACGCACCGAAAGGGTTGTGCATGTCTGGTAGAAAACCCCCGGGGTAAGAAGAGAAGCCCTCTACTCGCCTCCGATCCCGTCCGCTTCGATACTGCAACGCAGTCCATCCATTACCAACGCCGCTGCAGCCCAGATTTTTGCTCATTGGTCCTTGAATATTCGACACAAGCGCGTTATCCACGACAATCCAGCCACGGGGGCCGTGGATTGCTAGCTTCCGTTCCAGTCCCGCAAGCTGCAGCGAGTCGCTTACGCTTCATCGCCGTCGTGCTCCTGCAGCTGACCGCTCTGCTCCCTGTGCATTCGGGCCTCGATCTCCTTGAGCTGGCTCTCGCGTGCCAGGAGCTCTTGTCGCTTCTCGTTGATCTCGCGCTGCACCTTGACCTCGATCTCGCGCAGCTTCTCCTCTTCGCGTCGTAGCTGCTCCTCCTTCAGGCGGACGGATTGGCTGGCAAGGTCTTCCGGGTTCATCGACGAATCCCTGCACAGGGGGGTTAGCACACCGTATGACTAGCGAAAATAGATGAACGTACGCAGCAGCACCGCCCTCGACGCTCTTGCTGAGCTTCTCGGTACGGTAGTTCTCGTACAGGAAGTCGTGCGTTATTTCCTTGAGATCAGCAAGATGGCTGTGCAGAAGTGCGCTCCGCACGGCCAGGAAGTCTGAGTGACGGGGGTTGTCGACCTCAACGATGCCCCACGGGTATTGCCGGGCACGCACCCGCCGGCCGTTGACCTCGATGACGTCCTCAGAGCCAACGATGGCGAAAGGCATGAGCCCTCGGAGCTCGGCATTCTCCTCCACAGTATCTTCATCGTCTTCCTCAATGTCGTACGGGAAGTTATAGACGGGAATTCGGTAGTGCTCAATGTCCTCCATGACGAGCTTCTTCGACTCAGCCAGCTCGGCGGGGGTGAGCGAGTCGGCCTTGCCAATGACGGGAATGACGTTGACGCGGGGAGACAGGCGCTTCATAAGCTCGATGTCGAGTTCGCGGAGACTGCAGCGCGTTAGAGATGCATTGAACAAGGCAGGAGATGACGAACCCATGGCCGGTAGGCGTGATGAAGTACAGCAGGACGTGCACACGATTGTCCCGGAACCGAGGGTTACGCTTGATACGGGACTCCTCGGCGAGAATGTCGTCGTACTGCCGCTCGAGGTATCCAACAATCTCAGAGAAACTGTCACGGTGTCAGCTGGTGATGCTGTGCAGCAGCGGCGCGTGCCTACCTGGCCTCGTTGTCGATCTGGTCACCGAACCCGGGGGTGTCGACAATGGTCAGAGAGATACGAGTACCCTCCTCATCGAGTTCTAGCTCTGGCGATCGGCAATCAGTAAAGGTGTTCTCATCTCGGCTTGTGCTATAGCGTGGTGCGGGAGACCGTACCAACTGTGACGGGCTGGATCTTCACGCCCTCCTCGACGTGCGCCGTGTTTGGGTCGTCGCAGTCCTTGTGGTTCAACACCTTCTTGCCGCAGAGCGTGTTGACAAAGGTTGTCCGGCCTGGCGATGGCACTATCAGCTTGATGCCCGCGGGCGTGTGTTGGGCATTGTGGGCACGCACCTGTTCCTGAGGCGCCGCAGACCATCAGGCAGAACTGGATGCCCTTCTTGACATTCTTCTTCCTGCGCGTCTTGAGCATCTGGAGAGCGTTAGCGCAGGCGCTCAATGGCTGTATGCAGGTGTGGCGGGCGGAGGAGGTGCCTCGTGCCAGAAAGGTAGGAATGTTTCGGGGCGGGTCGTACAGCAGACATGTTAGGAGTCGAGCGGTGAGTGTGGTACGTATTTGTAGACTGGGGAGCCCACGGGCAGGGCGGACGGCTGCGGGGATAGAATTGGCGTTGTTACGGGACGGAGAGTCCGTTTGTGATGGTGTTGAGGTGTCGGCGAGGAAATTTGGGACGTTGGCAGCTCCTCCTGCGCAATGCAAAGGGGCTCGCTAACGGCCGACCCCCGGTCGCTGCTCCCCATCTCAGCCGCGGCCACCTGGCGCGCCTCTCTGCGGGTCTGCAGTAGCAGTGGAGAACGCAACTGCTGGCTTTCACATGCCCGGGAGTCTACTATCCAATATTATATCCGCTGCGCTTTATGTGCATGGCGAGTTATGTTGGAGATGCAAAGGCTTTCCCCGCCGCAGCGCCTGGCTCGACCCGGGAGACTTCGCTCAACGTAAATGATCGCTGGTGGTGCCGGTGCCCAAAAGGGTAATATGATTCGGAGCAGGCGACATTGCCCGGCGCGGTTCCAGGTGCACATTGCCTGAGTTGCCTGTGAAACTTCCAGCAGAGCCGCTTACTTCCACCGTCATATCCGGAGGGATATTCATGCATTTTTCCCTACCCTTTGTACTATGTCCCCGCGTGTGTGGTCCGGGTCACGTGAAGGGTCCGAGTCTCCTAAAAGAGACTAGCGCGGGAAGCTTGGACGGATGACATCGCGGTCCAGGTGAGCGTGAGCGCTGATGAGCATCTCACATCCCACCTTCTTTCTTCACGGGCTGCTTCCGCCCTACCACGACGTTTCCCTCGGCCGCTTCGGAGACATGGGCTTAGGATGATGCGATACTCACCGACAACGTTGCTAACGCCGTTTGCAAGGCCACTGCACTTTGGGCACGCGCGCACTCCACCCTCCGCCCAGAGGTGACCCACTACCACCTCTTGATCCTTCGAACCCACCATTTCGAGTTCACAAACCATAGCCAGCATTCGCGATGAACACCCGGCCGATCTTGGACTCCTACGCTGGGCCTTATGCCCTCTCGGCCTCGTTCAACGCGGATAATTCATGCTTCTCCGTCGCGCTGGAATCGGGCTTCAGAGGCAAGCACACGGGAGGACAACGTATGAGGATGTCTGCTAAACAATACAGTCTTCACCGCGAAATCCGGCGACCTGAAGGTTGCGAGAGGTGCCAACTTCCTTGCTATTCATCCACCGTGGACGATCACGGCTAACATCCTTCAGAAGTCGGCGGCGGCATCGGCTGCGCAGAAATGCTCGGCACAACGCGCTACATCGCCCTAGTCGGAGGAGGGAAGCAGCCCAAGTTCCCACAAAACAAGGTCTGTAGTCCCGATGACTCCGACTCCGACCCCTGGGTCTTCATCACCACTGACACTTACGAGGTGCAAATCTGGAACGATGCCACCCAAGTCGTCGCTACCTCGCTCGAATTCAAGACGCCTATCCAGCGCGTACGCATCTCCCAGTCCCACTTAATTGTGGTGCTACTGAACAATGTGGGCATTTATAAGATGAAGAGCCCGCCCGAGAAGATTGCGGATTATGAGACGGTGAATAATCCTTTTGGGTTGTGTGCCCTGGGGAAGGGGATTGTGGCGTTCCCGGGCAGAGCGCCGGGCCAGGTCAAGCTGTTCGAAACGGTAACCGGAAACGTGAGCATAATACCAGCGCACGAGTCACCGCTGCGCGCTTTGGCCTTGAATAAGAAGGGGGATATGGTAGCCACCGCCAGCGAACAGGGCACGCTGGTCCGGCTATGGACATATCCCAGCTGCACCAAGATTGTGGAATTTCGACGCGGCGTCGATCCAGCCACCATCTTCTCTCTAGCCTTCTCTACAGCGGGGTCCATGCTCGCAGTGACCTCCGACAAGTCAACCCTCCATATTTTCGACCTTCCTGTAGGCCTCCAGGCTTCCGCAGCCGAGCCAGACCCGAAGACACACAAGTGGGGCATCTTGTCCAAAGTGCCACTTCTACCCCGCCAGTTCTCAGATACATACTCGAGCGCGACGGCGAAGTTTGACATGGGCGAAGAGCCCGTGGGATGGGGTCCGCAGTCCAAGTCGGCTACATTTAACGCCGGCATACCTGGCGTGCCCGGTGGGAGACCCACGAAAGGCCTGATTGGATGGCTGGATGACCAGACCCTTCTCGTCATCGGAGCAGGTCAGGACGCGCGATGGGAGAAATTCACTGTGGGAGTAGACGAAACCGGACGCAGAGCAATCTTCCGAGAAGGGTGGAGGAGGTATCTGGACTGACACCTCTCCATTACCGACATTCACGCACACTATGTTAGAGAGTGGGCTTTCCCCCGGTCTGGTGTTTTCGAGTGGGACTCGGTAGCCATAGAAGGGGTGGCGTTTAGCACACCTGTCTGGTTGGAGACATGACTTGTCATTTTGAGCATTGCATTGGAGTTTTTGCCCTGGGTGGCTTTTGTGTGCGGTATCTTGTTGCTGCTGTTTTTCCTGCAAGGACATGGCACTGAGGTGTCGCAGCATGTTAGCGTAAGTTAATCGATCAACCCGGAAGTGGCACGGCGATGTTTATGCACGCTCGCCACGAACAGCGCAGCTTTATATAACGCCTAATTAGTCTCACATCTCTCAGCTCTCCTCAGCTATCTAAATTCTAATCATCCACGTCGTCACGAAAAGAGGACCCGCGCAGTCAAGTTTTCCATCTAAGGCCCTTCACATTGGCTTTGGAACCGGACACAGACACACGCCAGGAAAGAAACGTAGGATTATACTCTATCCTCTAGGGTATGTATCGATCGGTATTAAGAATCCACGGTGAGGAAAAAGCCCCGCCTCAACCAGCCTGCGGAGTGGCGGCAAGCAAGCAAGCGGGCCATAACCCGGGCAGCCGCCAAAACAGTGGGAGGAAACAGGAAAATAAAAACGCCCGCCAGGCTGCAACAAAGAAACACAACTTTTCGACAACACCTATCCGCCGCCAGCGTAAATAGGGCGTTTACGTCGGCTTATCGCATCCAATCCTGCCCAGCAACTCCTTATGGTCGCCATGCCCTGGGATGCTAATGCCGCTGGCGCGGCCCGAGCTACTCCTCGCCGGCCTCCTGCTATTTCTCCTAACGCCCACACCGCCATTAACACTCGGGCTCCTCCTAGACGTGAAAGTTAATGCCTCGACGCCGACTTCCTGCTCCACAGGTGCCCACTCGGCCCCGCCCTTGGCAGCATTGATGGGATGCGAGACCCGCTCAAGCTCCGCCTGATCCTCGAGCTCCTCATCTTCACCTTCGTCATCCGAGCGCACATCGTCGGCGTTCTGACCTGAGAGTACCTTATAAACAATCTTCAGGATCATGGTGAACCAGAGGAGAATGATGGCTTGCAGCACGAGAAGCAATGCTAGGAAGCTATACCGGATCGTCGGGTTCCAGCAGATAGGGCCAGTGCGGTCCGTGTACGCTTTGAGGAGATTCGGCCAGATGAGGTTGCCTCCGAGAGCATCGTAGGGCGTGGTATTGGATGCAGGAATCATGGTGCCGTCGGCGAAGTAGCAGCCGGGCGCCATGTCGACGGGCGCGTCTTTGTATATGGACCAGCAGACCATGGGATAGAAAGTGTGGCGGGTTACGAGCCAGGTGAAGACGAAGACGCCGAACATGATGTCGCAGACGCTGGAGAAGCCCATGTATTTGAGCAATTTGGCACTCTACGTCTGTCAATTCACGGCTCAATAGCGTGCTTGCAGCTGGGACTCACCGGAAGTATGATATCGACGAGGTCCATGATACACAGAATCACAATTCCGACGCGCGTGTGATAGTATCCGTACGAGAGGAAAAGAAGCGCGGAGGTAAAGATGTGGTGTGTGAACATCTGCGCATAGTCCTTCCGCTTTTCCTCAATGTTGACCACGACGATCTGCTGGAGCCAGAAGGCCCATTGGACGAGGTAGTAGAACTTGGAGAGACCCGTAATCTCGCGGAAAGGCCAGCCCCTCCACATGCCGTGCAGATTGAACCAGAACTCAGAGTGATACATAATGTACTGCCCCGCTGTTAGCTTCTTTGCTATGGCATAGCCTCCGCTACTTCACTTGCATACGCACCATACCAAGCGACCAGGAGCAGCTGCAGTAGCAAATCAGCCACGCCTGCTCCTTGAACCTCACTAAGCCCTTCTTCGTCTTGATTCCGCCTACTCTCGCCATTGGCCCCAAGATATAGTCCATGACGGCCACCCTCATGCCAGTGAATACGACGATCCACAAAGCGACGAACGGTAGGTCATCGGTGCCGCAGCCGTACTTGGCGGTCTCGGGGTTGAAGTAAGAGAGGTGGAAGAACTTGTGGGTACGCCGTCGCGCGCGGGGGAAGAAAATGTGCGTGAGGAAGAGGAGCAGGAGGAGGTTCACGGCGATGCCTAGTACAGAAGTCAGCGCCAACTCGCATGTCTCGTTTCTTCCGCGCCGGGCATGAGCGTGGCGTACCAATCTGGTGTTCGCAAATCTGCGTACACAGATATCCCATTAAGCTTTCCTCATCGATTTTCTTCTTCGCCCGCTTCCCATGTTTGCGTGCTCCTACTGCCAGCTTCTCCCCATTCGTCTCCGTCCAACCGATCTCGTGGACGCTTCCGAGCGCACTCCCATTCGAGCCGCGGCACGGCACTGATACTTGAGTCGCCATGCTATGGCCGGCGCAAACCACCTAGGCGCGGTAGCTATTCTCAATGTCGAAGGGCTCAATGGCGGCGGCGGCGGCAGCAGCAGCAGGCGGTCTGATAACGAACGTCCTGGCTTCTTTGGCGACTCGAAATGCTAAGAATGAGCGATCATGGGTGTGCGTGCGCGCGAAGCAATGGGGTCAGGACTCGGCGCGGGCCGGCGAAAGACGGGCAATTCTGCGCGCGGGCGTCTCTGTTTCTGTGGGTTTCTGCGGGGAGGGATGTTTCGAGTGGGACGAGCGGTGTGTCCAGGGCCTACAGTAGCGGGCGCGAATCGCACCTGCACCTTCCTTTCCAGACTCCCCCACCAGAATCTTGTTGTGAAATCCCGTCCACAGCTTGCTGGCTTGCCCCTCTGTCGCAGCGCGGAGAATTGGCTCGGAGGAGTGCAGCTCGTTATCGCAGGTCCCGTTGACGTTTCCCACAAGCCGAGTGGCTGTCGCGTAACTTGACAGGTACAGTTTCCAACGAGCTGTGGTGAACTCTCAGCGAGCACACAGGAAAATACAATAGACACGGGGAGCGACAGGAGACGCCCTGCTTTTGGTCCTGTGCCCAGCCAGCCAGCGGAGGTTTTCCTTTTGAGCAGAGCTCCCGCAGTGGTCTGAGCGCGAGACCTCGTTCTCGTCTCTCTGCGCAAGCCTCGCCGAAGCCAAGACTTGGGGATAATCAAGGGTCGCGCGAGGCGCCAGCCAATGGTTGCGCCCATGTGTCGACCTGCAGCTGCACCGTCATATTGCCCCGCGATTGTCAGGAGACGCTGCAAGATGATCATGGGAATGCTATTCAATACTAGGGCACTACTGAGGTACAAACAAATCAAGACGAGCCAGCACTATCCCTCCCTCTGCCGCGCTGCCATAGTTGCACATGCCGTACAGTCCCTTGCGTAATCAATATCCTATCCTAAAGCCAAGTCGAAGAAGAGAGCCCTCCGTGACGCCGTCCCATGTCCATCCCATGCAAATTTACCCCCGCCATTCTCCCACACCCCCAAGTGTCTGCACGCCTCTAGTTGTTGTTCTGCGAGTTGAGGATCCTCAGGATAGCCAGGAAGAGGTTGATAACATCGAGGTACAGCGAGATAGCTGCCGCAATCTCCTCCTCGACGTGGTAGTGGCGCATGATCAGCTGGGTATCGACTAGAATGTATCCCGAGAAGATCAAAGCCGCAATAATGCCATAGCCGAGGTCGACCCTGCTGTTGTACGGGAAGAACATGGCCATGAAGCCAAAGAGGATCAGCACCCAAAGCGCGCCGAACAGGTATGGCATCCAGTTCGTGAAGTCATACTTGGTCTGGCAAGCGAACAGGCTCAGTGCGACAAAGATACCGAATGTGAAGATGACCGCCTCGAGCACGACCTTGGAGTCTGTGAATGAGACGATCACGGAGATGCAGTACGCTTCCAGCGCGGTGAAGCCGGAGAGGAAGACGAGGTTCGTGGGGTATGACTTGCGCTTCCAGAATGTGAGGCCGAGGAAGGCGAAGGACCCGAAGAGCGACACCCACAGCATCCACGGGTTGCTCTGGATCCAGTGCTTGTACGATTCGGATGCCATGGAAATGCTACCAAGGGCGGCGGTAAAAAGCAGCTGCACCGTCCTAGATACTGTTAGCGCTGATTGGGCTGTCTTCCACGTGGAGCGCGTCTACTCACAGAATAGCATACACCTTCCTCACGAATGCCATCCGGATATCCAGCGTTGCCTCGGCCACCACTCCTCCAAACTTGAAGTCGTCTGGCAAGTTGTCATTCTCGCTCCGGGGTACATCGTTGAGCAGTGCTGCCCGCGTCGGGTCTTCCTCCTGGTACGTCGGTGGCGCTTGGGCATATGAGGGCGAGTCGAGCGAGTCGCGCTGCGGGACGTTCTGGTATTTGGGGCCGGCCATCGCGGGAATGTGAGCGGTCGTGTAGCGATGAGTGTCGACGGAGAAGCGCGCGACGCGTGATGACAGTACCTAGGTAAGAAGAGGGCGAGCGAGGGATGCGGAGAGAGCTCGGTGGGCTGTGCCGTGAATAAGGCAGGCGTCATCCGAGCGCCAAGGTTCATGACATAATCGATGGTTCACGTGCAGCGCCGTTCACGAATCTTCCGCCCCACCTCTCGATGCTTCCATCTCTCTAAACGCTATTGCAGAAGCCTTTCATTCCTTAATACACGATCCAAGCATCCATCGAGAGAATCAACCCATCGCTCACGAAAAGCTTCTAACGTGGTACTGACTCGAGGAGGCACTTTTCCGCATTCCATTTTTTCAGAGTGCGCAGCCTCAGGTACAATGCTACAGTCCCAGGATTGCTTCTCCAGATCCCGCTACTCGAAACAAGCAACGACCTGCCGGATGAATCCGTGGGCTGTTACCACGTGCCAGGTCTCAATGCAAAATGCTAGACGCCACCCGGACATGCTTGTTTTCCCTATTCATATCCTATTCAGACACATCAGAGTCGGAGCATCGATATCTATGCGACCATGAATGCCACAGAGTGCACCATCTCGGTTCTTGACCGCTGCTCGCCCCGTCCACTACTGTTTCCGGCTTCATTGGTCTTTCGCCCGTCTAGTCCTACCTCACGGGTATGTACAAGGCCTTCTAGCCAATACTCACTTAACTGCGCCATCGCGTAAGCGAGTCGTACTCCATGCTACGAGCCGCGATTCCATACCTGGTTTTGCTCAAATTCCCCGCAATTGTTTGTACGAGTGCTTTCCTGCCTGTAGGATAACACGAAACGGGATATCCCACCAAGGCTCAGACATGCGCAACAAGACTTTCGCCTTCCGGGTATGAAATTCCACCATCTCCTACGGCGTTTGCAGTAAAACAGGGATGGGTCGCGATGTCGGCCACGAAACGGTACAATGCCGCTATGTGCGCTTAGTGACCGCCATGTCGAGCGGCAGCCAGAATAGGGTCAAGGTATTCAGCAGCCTTATTGTAAGACTACGACCCGGTATAAGTATGCGAGATGTGCTTCAACGTAGAGACGTTCGACTTCTTCCCGCCCACCACTGATATTTCTTCTATCTCACGTCATGCCTCTTCTTCAACTGGTGGTCATTTGCACTTTGGTTGTTCTTTGCTCTTTGGCGGAGGCGGATCGGGTCTTCAAAGAATCCCAGTCCGGCCCAGGGACGTCCATCGAATACCGAAAGGTAGGTTATCCTCTTCAAAGACCCTGCTCTAGCTACGACATGGGGAATTCCCATGCGCTTTCGCAAGCTAACTTATACGGCCAGACCTCGATCTGCGAAACAACTCCAAATGTCCCCTCCTATGCCGGCTACGTCCACCTAACTTCTCCTTCAATCCGCGATCTTCAAGGATCCCAACCTTTCAACGTCTCCACATTCTTCTGGTACTTTTCCGCACGGCGCAACGCTAGTACCGCCCCACTCGTGCTCTATCTCGCCGGCGGTCCTGGCCAATCATCAACCTACTCTGCCCTTACCGAAAATGGACCCTGCTACGCACTGGCGAATGGTAACTCTACCATGCTCAACCCCTTCTCGTTCAACGACAGGGTGAACGTACTATACGTGGATCAGCCGAATCAAGTCGGCTTCAGCCATGATGAGGTTGTAGAGGGCGTATTAGACGTGTTGGATGGGAGTATACTTCCAGGGCCAGCAGAAGAGAGCACAACGAGGATTGCGGGAAAATTTGCGAGCCAGAAACCAGAAGCTACGGTAAACACAACCGCGCTGGCAGCGAAGACCATGTGGTACTTCTTGCAGACATGGTTGGCTGAGTACGTCAGCGCGTTCCACTGCCTCGTCTAGAGGACACTAACATTTGCAGATTCGAAGAGTATCATGGCCCAAAGAATACCCTTAAAATATGGGGCCACTCAGTGTGTCTCACCTCCACCCCAAACTCGCTCATCCCACTAACTTTCAACCACCCAGTACGGCGGCGCCTTCGCAGCCTCCCTAGCCACGCATGTGCTCCACCAAAACGCTAGAATCTCAAACGGAACCCTCCCCTGTACCCGCTACCGGCCCATCCACGTTCCCGCCATCGGCTTCACAAACGGCTTCCTCGATCTCGAAGCCCAAGTAATGTCCTACGCCACCTACGCCTATAACAATACGTACGGCTTCCAGATCTACGACGACGCCACCTACAACCATGTCCTAGACTCTATAACCCGCTCCGGAGGCTGCGTAGACGGAATCCACAAATGCCGCGCCGCAAAAGCCCAATTCGATCCCGATGACATTGGGAACGACCTCACCGCAAACGCGATCTGTGCCGAAGTCGGAAAGTTCTGCTTCGAAAATGTGCTCGGCCCCTTCTATGCCCTGGCCAATGTTAGCGAATTCGACATCGCGGCGCCAAAAGCGAATCCTTATCCGCCGATGTGGGCTGCTAATTTCCTCAACCAGCCATGGGTGCGCAAGGAGCTGGGTGTTCCGGACGGACTCAATTTTACGCTGGTCTCGAAGACTGTGAAGAATAATTTCCTCGCTACGGCGGATATGGTGCGATATGAAGGGGGTCAGGACCTAACTTTCCTGCTGAATGAGGGCGTGCAGGTAGCAATGGTGTATGGTGATAGGGATTGGAAGTGCAGTTGTACGTTCTTCTTTTCTACTTCTTGCTAACTATCCGATCATTTCCTTATACTCATCACCGGCATTCTAGAAGCAACAGAAACTGACACTCGCAGGGCTCGGCGCCCAAAATCTTACCCTCTCCCTCCCCTGGACGTCCCACGGCCCCTTCGCTGCAGCCCCCTACATAAACCTAACCCTCTCCCCGCCCTCTCAACTCCGCACCACCGCCATCGTCCGCCAACACACCCTCCTCTCTTTCGCACGCGTCTTCCAATCCGGCCATTCGCCATCTTGGTACTCGCCACTTACCACACAAACCGTCTTCACCCGTGCGATGCTCGGGAAAGATATACCGTGGGGTGTGCACGATACGGAGGACTTTGTTCGGTATGAGGAGCAGAGGCTGCCGGGTTGGTGGGAGGAGCTGCCGACGGGCACGGTGGAAACGCAGTGTTCTCTTTGGAATACGGGGACCAGCTGCACCGAAGCTCAGAAGCAAGCTTTAGCGAACGGCACCGCGAAAGTAGTAGACTGGCGCGTCGTTTCTCCAAGCTAGGAGTGGGAAGTGCCCCGCCTGCTTCACTAACCCCCTAGACAAGCGCAATCCACTGATATCCATCCCCATAATCAAACTCGCCCCTCATCATCCCCTGCATGTAGCAGGGCCCCACAAGCTGGAACTCTGTGTCCGCTTTCCCAGCAGCTCTTATCAAGTACAGCCCCGGCAAGCCGCAGAACGCTACAATCAGCTCCTTGCTATGCCCATCGGCGCGGTCATGCTCAGCTGGTACCAGCCCCATGCCCCCCTCGTCTGTTATGAAAAAGAACCAATGGGAGAAAGTAGCGACGAGGCTTTCCATGAAGCCAATCAGGTCCCCGTACTCAGCATTCGGCACCAAAACTCTTATGTCCTCGCCTTTTGCTCTAGCATCGCGCGGACTTGCTCGAGGCCGCTCGCGAAGACTTCTCCCTCTTCCAAAAGGAGCCGGAAAAGTCTGGATAGCTTCTCCCTGCTGTACGGAGAGCCGGCACCGACCGTTTGCGCGGTAGTTGTTCGCCAGAGAGCGGATACTCAGCCCCCTCCTCATACAGTGCCTCCACGTGCTCGAGACACGTCGTGATGGACGCCCAGACAGTGAAGTACGGAGCGTCTACGAGACGCTGCTCGGCGGCTTATAGCTGTCAAGCACGACGCCTTGGATGTATGTGCGTGCAGAACGCCAGGACGCTCTGCATGTTTGACTTCTCGAGCAGCGCCCTCTTGCGGTTCTGTTCCGGGGAAGCTTCCCCACTTTCGAGGCTAAACCGTGCAAGCTCACGGAACAAGGAAACAGCACTCTCTCCATCCACCCCGCCTTCCCCAATCCACGCGCGCAGCACCGCGATAGATATCAGTCATGAGCAGGCTCTGCGCGCCATTCTTCCGATCGATACAAATGGCGTCAACCCAGATGCGTAGCGCCTCATCGGGACGAACGACGAAGCTGCTTCAGCGCTGACGCCGACAGACTCTTCGTAATGTTCAAAGCATCATTCTCGATGTATACCGTTTCAGGGAAGAATTCTCCACCCCACGTGTACAGTAGGCTAGCGCCTCGCACCCCGGGCGCCCCTTCCCCGTAGCCCTGAAGAACGAACCTCTCTCTCAGGACATTTCCGAAGCGCGAAGGCTGGAGGACGAGGATGCGGAAAGAGGTGGGCTCGTCGAGGTGGTGGCTGTCGTAGAGAGAGAGATGGATAGTCGCGTTCTGCGGGCTAGTATCGACGATGTGAATACGTAGCGAGTAAGATAGAAGCTGCGAAGTATCCCTGACTGGTTGTCGGCAGCACAAGCGAAAAAGCAAAAATCCCCAAGGCGATTCTTCGAACCGAAAAGGTAAGCCAGGCAGCCCGATCCGGATGTCGCATGAAAACAATACCTCGCCTTCCGAGGCCGTTTCATCTCTCTTCCAAATATCCCCCGTATTGCCTGACTCACTCTTTCCCCATTCAAATACCCACGGCCCTCTAAACACCTTCGCCGTAGCGAAATGAGTAGGGAAAAAAAGAAGCTAGAGATGTTTGAAGGGATAATCATCATTTGTTTCCACTATCCGCATATTCCACATGGTAGCACAATCTCTCTCACCCACTCGCCTATCTCACATTTTTGGCATCCCCCACATATCCACCCTTTGCTCTCTCCCCATTTTGCCTTTGCTTCCCCCGATGCTGCAGCTATGGCCCTCTTCATCCACCAGATAGACTAGGAAATATGCCGTCGGCCAATCGTGTATGGCATCCGAAGAACCATTGAGAACCGCTAACACCCAATAACGCCTCGTATGACACCTTTGCTTCGGCAACCAAAACGATAAGAGACAACCTCCCCACCTCTCCTAGCATACAAATACAAGCTTGGAATCGAAGCATCGAGATATGACATATCGGTTGCATAGTCTGAAGATTGAGTGTTGCTTTCCGTACGGAGGATATCGAGATGAAAACTCCCAGGCGGAATTGACCGGGATGAAAAGTGGAAACCAGAGGAGGGGTGACCGACAGTCGAGGTTTAAAATTATGTATGATGATGTGTGCAGACCGAGGAAGTCCGGGTATCGTGCAGTGCAGGATATAACAGCACAAAGGGGTTCGAATCGGGGAGAAGAAGAAGAAGCGGACGGTATATCCAAGGACTTACGCCATGATTCCCCACTCCGTTTCACTTTACTCCCATTCCACATCGCACCAATCAATCTCACCAAGCTACATCTTATCTTCAGCAAAACAGCTTCCCCGCGAAATATAACAAGGTAGCAGATCGCCCACCTCTTCAGTACATGCAACATAGATGAACCGTGAGATGAGCGTCTGAAGAAGCGAATGAGTAATTAAAGAAATGGTCATCGTGCGGTCGTGACAGACAGGAAAGAAGGACAGAAGATAGATCCAGTCTTCTTCTATAGCAAGATGAGGTAGTTGCTTGGCGCGATACCCGTCTCGCCGTTAGGCTTCTTGGCCTGCCACCACCGGCCGCTGACGTCGGACACTTCGAGGATGTCGTGCTTCTGGAAGCTGATCTCGTTGGCGTCGTCGGGGTTCGCTTCGTAGCTGTAGATGGCCTTTGCGCGGTACGGGTACTCGATGGATGCTTCCTGCTGCTGCTCCTCGTTGGTCGGCGTCTGGGTGGTGTTCATGCCGCCGAAGCGCGGTTGCGAGGAGCCTCTTGCATCTGCACCGACGGGGCCTCCTGGATATCCGGACACGGGAGAGGAGGTCTCGAAGCCGTTCAGCTGCGCCGACGTATACATTTGGGGGGCGGTGTTTTGAGGCGGGACTTGCGGGGCGCCGTAGTTGTTCGACATTTGGCGGGAAGAGCGCGAACCGGGGGTCTCCTTATGCAGGGCGTATGAGTCAACGAATGCGCGATGGCTGGCCTGGGGCTGTGATCCGTAGTAGAAGATCCAGACGATCTAGCAGACATTAGTACTCTGCTTTTCAAGGTCAAGTGGCATGTGCAGGATCTCCAATTGAACGGGTGATTGCAAGGCTGCACATATAAGCGCGGTCCGGGATTGAACGTACCGCAATCATGGATAGCAGGATGAAGCCAGCAGCGGCCGCCTCGAAGGCAGCGACAGCCGAGTACACTAGCGAGTTGACGGAAGAGGTGGTGAAGACGAGGCCAGCTGCGAGGAAGCCCACAATCTGCACGGATTAGCAAGAGCATGCATAGGGTTGCGATTGCACCTACAGCAACATGATATGTCCGCTCAGAATCCGACGCAACGGTGACGGTGACGCCGACAATGCAGAACAGCATAAAGACTAGGGTCCACCAGGCGAAATTGGGGAAGCCGCCGCGCACGGCGGATATTATCGAGGATACGAAGGCGATGATCCAGGCGAGCTGTCATACGATGTTAGTGCCTCAGCCTCACAGGAGTCAGAGCGGCGGATACTGACAATGCCAATGGAGATGGTGGCCAGGGCGAAGGGGTCGCCGATGATGCGGCCGACGGAGAAGGACGAGCGCCCGTGGTTTCCATATCCGTTTTCCATTTTGCGAAGCGATGGCGAGCCCAGGGAGCCGTACGAGGGCATAAGTCCAGAGCAGCGGCGCGCGGGGGGAACGAAGGGGGTATTAAGGGCGCTGGAGGAGCTAAGGAGCGTGGTGCCGGCTTATAGACGGCGCTCGAGACTGGCGAGCTGGTGCTTTGGTACGAGGATGCGAAAGCGGAGGCGCGAGCGGTGGACGTCTGGCCGGAGACGGGGAGCGGGCGCGGACGGCGACGAGCGACGGTGACTGTTGGGTGGGTTTTTGGTTTGTTGTGGTGCAGGCGGGTTGCCGGGGACGCCAGAGCCAGAGGGAAGGGCGACGGTCGCGGGCGCTGTGACGGCTGGCGGCTCGGTGTGTGCGGTGCAGAGGCGTGGATGGGATGTCGGTGGTTTTGGGAGGAGCGACGAGGACGAGGAGGCAGGCGAGTGCGTTTCACTATGCCCGAGGCGCGGTGGGCGATTGGCCAGACGGGCGGCGACGCTGAACCACTGGCACCGGCAGGCCTGGAGATTAAAATGGCAGCACGTCAGCCGTGGCTTGCGCGCAAAGCAGCAGCCCGAGGCGGCCAAAGCAGAGACAAAGCGGTGCGCTCTTGGTAGCGCGGCGCGGGATCCACACAAGACGGCGGCGGACAGGACAATGGAGCAGCAGCAGAAGCAGCAGCAGCAGCAGCAGCAGCAGCGAGGAGAAAGCGAGGACGGGGCCGGCTAATGTGTGTGTGTGCACTGGTGCAGCAGCGCGCCCGCATAGATATCAGCAATAATCAGGGCCAGCCGCGCGGAGAGGCTGTGATTCGCGCGCCACGCCGCCCACCGCCCGGCCGGCATGTGGCGCTATCTGGCTAATTGCTCGCTCATGCGCCATGCCCGTCTCTGGCACCGAACTCCTCCCTCGACCACAGATCCGGAGAAGACGCAGAAAAGGAGAAGTATTGCCCCTCGTTCTTCGTGTACATGACTTGTAGCGCCTTGATTGCAACCACGGAACGGAGCAGCTGTTCCTAATTGCTGCGCGCCGCCCCCCTGTTGCGCCCCCAGCTCGTCTCCCAGATGCCCAGGTGCCATTCCACTACTATTGCCGCATGCTTCCGCCTTGGACGCCAGCACAGCAGCTGCACGTGTTGATCGTCCCTTCTGGCAGCCGCTGTCTGCATGCAGGCCCGTCTGCACCTCCATCGGATCGCTCGGTGCGTCTGAGACGGCGATGAAACGGGCCTCTCACACTGTGTCGCAACCTCACATCACAAATTCATCACTGCAGCCAGACTACAACCCATGGGCGCTAATCACCACTCCATCTGTCCCATGCCTCATAGCATATTCAGCGTTCCTGACACTCGCGAGCTGCCTGAAGCAGCCTATCTCGTCACCAGCCTCCGCCGCCCGCCTCGAAGCAGCCGCCCTTGCAGTTCCTGAAAATCCAAGTTTCTTGCCTCTGCGCGTGACTGCGTTTCGTCCTTCGTCATAGCCGGCTGCTGTTACCACCGAATACCGGTAGCTTAGTAGCGGGGTGTGGGGTGGGGTGGATAGTGCGCTCAATATGTGCGTCTTGAGTGCAGCAATGTGCTGCAGGGGTCTCTCAAACAGCAACTCCCCCGCTCGCTCCATTTCGAAAAGCGTGATCAAGCATGAACTTGATACGAAAGAATATATCCATTGTGAGAATATATCCATTGTGCTTCCGGTGAACTCCCTTCCGGCCCTTACAGATGGTCGTCTAACCTCAAACCGAAGCAAGGGCTCGTGGCGGACACGTTTCCCTATTCCACAAGGGCGGACGCTATCGTGAATGTCTCATCATGGCTTCTCTACTGTGATAAGCCTGGAACTGAGGGGAGCCTGGGCATGGGAAGCCTGGCACCTGTCAGCTTCCCGCTTAGTGGGGCGCGACCATGGTGATAGTGACGTTCTTACAGGACAGTTACAGCGGAATAAAGGCCATCCGCACTTCTTCCAAATAGCGGCCTTATAGTGCATCATCTGAGACTGCTATCCCTTCTAGGGCGCAACTGGACTTAACCGAAGGCTGAGCAACACAGCCCCGTTCAAATCGAGGCCTGCCTCAGGATGCAGATGCTTCTTCCTCCTTCGCTCCCTCTTCCTCGATCTCTTGCCCGAGCTTGAAGGCAGTGCGCACGACTGTCCGTTCGGAATTCATAAGCCGTTTGTGCCATTCCACCCAGACGCGGCCGGCCCCGAGGAAGTGGATCTGCTTAACCCTCTGAACCAACAGACCACTTCTCTTCCTCAGCAATGAAATCTCCAGAGCTTGTTGTAGATGGCGGTCCTCTGCTTCGGCAATGCGCGGGCGGAGCTTAGCGAGCTTTGCGAAGCCGTCGGTCTGCGGTATTTGCTGGTCGTCAAGCGCCTTCAGCTGCGAGGCGGTAGTCGCAAAGCCGGGTGCGCGTTCGACCACCATGACTGCCTTTTGCGTCGTATCGAGTCCAGCATCGTCCTTCTCCTCTTCCGGCTTGAGGATGTCCTTGTGTTTGTTTACTGTTGGCACATTAGCCCAATGCTCTCCTACTCGTAGAGCTGAATGCATACTCAGCTCTTGGGCGTCGTTGAGCAGTGCCGTCTTGTCCGACAGCCTTTTGAGGTCCTTCTCAATCTGATGTATGCGCTCAGGCACCGTCTTCGGCTTCTCCTCAGCGGGCTTGTGTATCCCGCCCAGAACGTACTCCAGGCGGTCCAGCCTCGACTCCAGCAAGGCAAAGGTGAACAGTACGGCCTCCTCGTATTCGTCCATGGCGCGGTCAGAAGATGTGTTGTGTTATGCCGTGACTTGCCCACCAGACGCGGGCGCGTGCCTGCAATCTCTAGCGCGGCTCTTCGGCTTCGGCACGGGCTTGGCGATGCTATCTGCCAACGTCAGCGCTCGACCTCAGCAGTCTTCACCTGCCGCTGTTCTGCATCTTCGCCTGCTACTGAGCGTATTGCTCTCCCTATTCACCGATCGCACCGTATCGAACGCTCCGCTTCCTGACGCATGGTTGCGCGATTACCAGGACCCCGTAGTTCTTCCCGACAGCATGGCTGGCTATTCCGCCATCGGGCCTGAGCCGAATGATACCGATCCCATGTCCTCGAGTACCGGTTCGCTGAGAGGGAGGAGGTCAGATTCAGATGTCGAGCTGCTGGAGAAGGGTTCCGCTAACGGGAGCAGGCGCGGCAGAGGCAAAAAGGACGTGGGATTTTTAGGCCAGGCATCCTGGATATCGAGCGTTATCAACTTGGTCAATACCAGTACGGTCAGATATCTCTATGTGCGTTTCTGGAAGGCTAAATGATGGCAGTCCTTGGCGCGGGCTTGCTCGCCATGCCCTCTGCGCTCTCAAAGATGGGCATCTTCCTCGGCATCTTCGTGATCGCGTGGGCCGGCATCACCTCTGGCTTCGGCCTCTACCTCCAGACCCGATGTGCAAAATATGTCGATCGCGGGCACGTATCCTTCAATGCGCTATCGCAACTTACGTACCCGAACCTGTCCATCATCTTCGACGCCGCCATCGCGATCAAGTGCTTCGGTGTAGCCGTGAGCTACCTGATCATCATCGGGGATCTGATGCCTGGAGTTGTCCGCGGGTTTGCGCCTGGAATCGACATCTCATTCCTGCTTGACCGGCAGTTCTGGATTACTGCCTTCATGTATGGTCATACTATGACAAGGAAGAAGCTCGCCATCCGCTAATTGTCGCAGGCTTATCGTTATCCCTCTGTCGTTTCTTCGACGTTTGGATTCTCTAAAGTACACGAGCGTCATTGCTCTGTGCTCTATTGCGTATCTCGTTATTCTCGTCGTAGCCCACTACATCAAGGGCGACACTCTCGCTGACCGCGGAGACGTCCGAGTCTTCCAATGGGCTGGCCCTGTTCCGGTCCTGGCTGCTTTCCCCGTCATTGTATTCGCATACACATGCCATCAGAACGTGAGTGTCTTCCATCTTATCCTTACAATCGTCCGTCAAAATTCAGCTTTAATTGTTCTCAAGCTTCTCCCACTTCACCTTCCCAGATGAAAATATGGAGGCTTCACAAATTGTTCCTATCCTAACACGAGCTTCAGATGTTCTCCATCCTCAACGAAATCGCCGACAACTCGCACTTCCGCACCACCTCCGTAATCTTCGCCTCCATCGGCGGAGCCTGCGCCCTCTATATTCTCACCGGCATCACCGGCTACCTCTCCTACGGCGACAACATCAAAGGCAACATCGTCTCCATGTACCCCACGGCCGCAGCCTCCACCATCGGGCGCCTCGCCATCGTCATCCTCGTCATGTTTTCCTACCCCTTACAAATCCACCCCTGCCGCGCGAGCATCGATGCATGCCTGAAATGGCGACCCCGCCGCAAGACGCAGACCGAAGCTAGTCCGTCGAGGAATACCTTGCTGACCAATTCGCCTAAGCAGAGTGTAAAGACTGAAATGGGGGATGTGCGCTTCGCAATCATCTCCACCATCCTCATCGTCCTCTCCTTCATAACCGCTATGACTGTCTCGTCGCTGGAGAAAGTCCTCGCGTACGTCGGCTCCACGGGCTCCACTACCATCTCATTCATCCTGCCCGGCCTTTTCTACTACAAGATCTCCGACCCAGATTCCGCGCACCACCAGCGGCTTGTTAAAGATGAGGACGACGAGGATGAGTTTGACAGCGCAGATGCGGAGGGCTATGTCATGAGCGACGCGCACAAGAATCGGAATTGGAGGAGGGGATTATTGCGGACGCTGAGTTTGAGTTTGGCGGTCTATGGGGTTATTGTTATGGTTACTTGTTTGGTTACGAATACCTTTTTGGTGGCGGCAGCGCATTAAGAAGCGGGTATTGTATCATCCCTTTGGGTTGTGATTTCAGGAGCATATCGCGGCATTTACGGGCGTTGTTTTGTATGTGGCGTTGGCTGGTCTAGATGGGAGCGTTGGTAGATACCTCCCTGGGGTTCGCCTTTTTGATTGATACTTTGGTTTTGTTACAACATTTACATGTCCTAAGCAAAAGGACTATGATACTATTCTACAGTTCCTTCCGAGGTGCTGGTCCTGAACGCCTGGTAATGCAATGTGATGCTTCATCTACAGTGGCTCTTCTCTTACTACACTGCTATACAATCCCGCTCTCTACCTCAAGCTTCCTCTTTTGCTTCTGCAGGTTCGCCCACGCTTTCGCTGGGAGCCGCGGAGGCGGATGGGGATGTAGAGGGTGGTATTAGGGATTTTGCGGCGGAGTCCGCTTTGATGACTTTGCCTTGGATTTGGGAAATGCGGTACTGCGGCTCGAGGATGCCGACCTGGACGAGCTGTTAGCGATCCAATTCCTCTTGATTTTGCAATCCCAATGGTCCTCTCCGCGCCTCCCTTCTGCCCTTTGAAACCACCCTCCATTCTAATTTGCACCCTCCCATTCCACTCAACCGACGCGACATCCCAACAGAAGCGGCCGCATCGTAGTCGAAAGAGATACTGGACATACCATACTCAACAACCTCCACGCCGTATCACTCGGCTGCGCACCCACGCCAACCCAGTACCTCGCGCGCGATATGTCCAGCTTAACATCCTTCCACGGCCGGCCGTGCGTGTCGCCTGGGCGCGGGGGCTTGGGAATCGGGTCGTAGGTCCCGAGGACTTCGAGGGGGCGGGAATTGCGCGCTGTCCTGTCTGCGTTTTAGCAATCGCCCTTAAGGATAGATAGAGTTGTGAAGGCAGTGCGCTGGCAATTGGGACTGCAATCGCGAGATGTGCAGGTCGGGGTGGGATATGGGAGAATGGTGAGGGAGGTTCTATGGTTGGGTCAGAGGGAGCTGGGCGTACCGGGCGTGCGCGACGACTATGTTGTAGAAGGGGGAATGTTTCTTGCCGAAGCGGGCCAGGCGTATGCGGAGGACCATCGTGTGGGTGGGATATGTTGCGTCGTTGAGCTTTGCGGTCGCAAAAGTTCAACATGCGGTTGGCCTTCAGGCCGAGGAATTGCCGTGAGAACGGAGGGGCACGTGACGGGCCCCCTTCACGAACTCTACATACGTAGGTATATACTACGTATATATTAAATGATCGAGCTGAATAGGACAAGGTTTAGGAGTAAGGGGAGTGAAGCTGTATGATGCATGTCGGGGAGTAATGAAGCGTGAAGGTATTATGCTGCGAACTGCTTTTGGACATTTCGAAGCAGTGATGTAATCACGTCACCTTATAAGGAGCTCCATCCAAAACTCGCACCTCACTCTCGACAATCTCTGGAATCAAGTTATAGGGCTATTAAACATGGCTCTGCGAGTAAGATATTGCCCCCACAACGACAAGAATCAAAGCTAATAATAGTAGACACTCTCGGCGAAGAACGCGGCAGCGCTTGACCAGGAGCTCATGACGGCGGGTGCCTTTTCGATTGATCAGTTGATGGAGCTTGCGGGCCTTTCAGTTTCACAAGCAGGTAATACTTCCTCTCTTATCATACTTTCGGATCATGCTTCATCATCAAGCAGCCCTTCTCCGCTTGCAACAGCTATAAGCTAACATGCATGTCCAGTATTCAAGCTCCAACCGCTCAACAAGGGACGCCGAATCCTAGTTGCTTGCGGCCCGGGAAACAACGGCGGTGACGGACTCGTGGCCGCAAGGCATCTGTTCCACTATGGATACCAACCTACCATCTACTATCCCAAGCAGAGCAAGAACGAGCTATACCAGCGCCTGAAGAAACAACTCGAAGACCTCAAGGTCCCCTTCACAGACGACTTCCCCAGCGCGCTCAGCCAGACCGACCACATCGTCGATGCCATCTTCGGCTTTTCCTTCTCAGGCGAGGTCCGCGAGCCGTTCCCCAAGGTCATCGAAGCCCTGCGCGACACTAAGATTCCGGTCCTCGCTGTCGACGCGCCCTCTTCTTGGAACATTGAGGAGGGTCCGCCGGGTTCGGGGCCTGGGAAGGGATTCATGCCTGAAGCGTTGATTTCGCTGACAGCGCCGAAGCCGCTGGTGAAGTGGTTCAAGGGGAGGCACTTTCTGGGCGGGAGGTTCTTGAGCCCGGCCATGGCACAGAAGTATGAGTTAGATATTCCCAAGTATGAGGGGTTGGATCAGGTGGTGGAGGAGCCGGTTGAAGGGAAGTTGTAAAGGAAAGATGCCACGGCGAAGGGACTGGAAAGTCAGATGGGTACGGCGGCATCATTGTTACTGCCTGCTGTCTCCTTAACAGAGCTGTGAGCAACAAAAGCAGGAGGCCCAGGATTTGACCGCGGCTTCGTCTCGGGAGGTGATTCCACAAATGTAGCAATTCAAGCGGTCAAGTCGATAATGGGAACTTTGGAGTTACATCATCTTACAAACGACCTTATAACTCTCTTGTATATAGGCCTTACTTGCAATAAAGAATCTCAAGGAAACATTGTTGTGAAATGCGATTTGCGGAAGGGATGGTTTTCGTGCCTCCCGGCTAGCGCATTTCCCCACATTCAACCCGCGGTTCGGTTACAGGCGGCTCTCGATGTCATCCCCAGCTTCCACGCTCAGCCGCGGTAACAATTCAAGGGCAGCGCTCAATTCTTCTTTCCCCCTGCCGCCTGGAGAACGCTCACATATAACTCTTGGTTCTCGGTCTGTCCGCGTCTGAGAGTGCTTCCAGGGCCTCTAGAACTAGGGGATAAAGCAGCCTGCCGATCGTTCGCGGTTTCACCCTTCCAACTGCCACTCTAGCTCTCGTTCCTCGCGGAGTAAACGTACACCATCAGAAGAAGATACTAGGCTTCACAATGGCTCCAAAAGCGCCCTCTCGCGAAGCCCTGACATTGCTCAGGCACTCTATTCGGCCGTCAATTGCGCTGCGCTCCCGATCACAATGCCCTCTCATACCCTCCGTCTCCCAGGCATTGCCTCGTCCACACCGTTTCGCGCTCAGTCAAAATTCGCGTAGCATTGCGACATATACGCATTCGCACCATGCCGACGCCGTATCCGTAATCCCGACTGCGGTGGACACAGGCTCCGAGGACTTCAAAGAGAATAAGAGACAAATGGACGAGGCGATGGAACGCTTGACAACGCTTCATTCCAAGATTGCGCAAGGCGGGCCCCAGAAGGCGAGGGATAAACATGTGCAAAGGGGAAAGATGCTTGTTAGGGATCGCATCACGGCGTTGATCGACCCTGGCACACCATTCCTGGAATTGAGTCAAATGGCGGGATACGATGTGTACCCAGGCGAAGAGGTACCTGCAGGCGGTATCATTACGGGCATTGGAACCGTGAACGGTGTTCAATGCATGGTTGTGGCCAATGATTCTACGGTCAAGGGAGGGACGTACTATCCCATCACGGTCAAGAAGCATCTGCGAGCGCAAGCAATTGCGCAGGAGAACCGCCTTCCCTGCATTTACCTGGTAGACTCCGGAGGCGCCAATCTTCCCCACCAAGCCGACGTCTTCCCTGACATCAACCACTTTGGCCGCATATTCTATAACCAAGCAAGAATGTCGGGCATGGGTATCCCACAGATCAGCGTAGTGATGGGACCGTGTACCGCTGGTGGTGCCTATGTGCCATCCATGAGCGACGAGAGCATCATTGTGGAAAACCAAGGCCACATCTTTCTCGCTGGACCACCACTCGTGAAAGCTGCGACTGGCGAGGTTGTCTCTGCGGAAGAGCTGGGAGGCGGAAAGCTTCATAGCGAGATATCAGGCGTTACCGACTATCTAGCAGTCGATGATGCACATGCGCTCGTCCTAGCCCGGAGGAGCGTCGGCAACCTCAACTGGCACCGCAAGCAGTCCGTTCTCTCGTCAACGCAGCCAACATACAAAGAGCCCCTCTACGACACCAAAGAGCTCTCTGGCATTGTAGGCACCAATCTCCGCCGCCAAATCCCCATCCACGAAATCATTGCCCGCATCGTCGACGGTTCCAGCTTCTCCGAATTCAAACCCGCCTACGGCTCCACGCTAGTGACGGGCTTTGCCACAATCTATGGGCACCCTGTCGGCATCGTGGCCAACAATGGTATCCTCTTCAGCGAAAGTTCCCTCAAGGGCGCGCATTTTGTACAGCTATGCGGCAAACGGCAGATTCCGTTGATTTTCTTGCAGAATATAAGTGGATTTATGGTGGGCGCTGATGCGGAGAAAGGCGGTATTGCGAAGAACGGTGCGAAGCTTGTTACGGCGGTTAGTTGTGTGGAGGTGCCGAAGTTTACTGTGGTGGTGGGCAGTAGCGCTGGCGCGGGCAATTATGGCATGTGGTATGTGATGCGTCTTCTATCTTCATCGTTCAGCTCTTCTAGCCCTTGCTCCGTACAAAAGCTGACAGAAATACAGCGGCCGTGCCTACTCACCCCGCCTGCTCTTCACTTGGCCTAACGCTCGCACGTCCGTCATGGGCGCCGAACAGCTATCCTCGGTCATGGAGGCGGTAGGCAAGCAAGCGGATCCGGAGCTCAAAGCTAGGATAGAACGCGAGAGCGAGGCTACGTTTGGCTCTGCCCGGCTTTGGGATGATGGCATTATTCCGCCCGAACATACGAGGAGGGTGCTGGGTATTGGATTGCAGATGGCTTGCGGAGGACAGAATATCGGGGTTGAGAATGAGACTTCGTGGGGTGTATTTAGAATGTGAGGGGTTTCAAGAGCAGTATAGCTGCTCATTGCATCCTCCAGTCCCCGCCCCCCTCTTTCTCTCTCTGCTTGTTTTTCTCCCTCCACATACCCGTCTCCCGAGCTTTCTCCCTGCCCGCCCCCTCCTCTTTCTCTTCCCTTTCCTCTTCGCCTCCTCTATCCGCTTTCGCCGCTACCGCTGCCGCTGCCTCCCCTCTGCGTAGAGAACGCTAAACCAGCGGAACTATCCTTGCACGGAATCTGCCTAGGCTCGAACGTACTGTTCTGTGTCTAGCCGTTCGCTCTCCCCTTGCTATGACGTGTCTCTGCGGGAGGTGGAGTGCCCGTGGTAGGAGAAGCATGGTAGGAGAAGGAAGTGAGGGCCAATGAGAAGAGAGGCGAAAGAGAGAAGAAAGTACGGAAGCATGTGCGGCGAGCATGAGCGTAGATCGGCGGTCTAGTAGGGTAGATGTGAAGATAGGGTTTGTGAATGTTGCGCTGCGCATGGACATGCGACGAATGTTGCGTATGAGGGAATTCATCGCGGATGCATACTGCACACCGACCGGCGAGCTCGACCTGGCGAAGCTCGGCCCTGCGTGGGAGGAGCAAGGTAGAGTTCTCAGGGTCTCCGGTTAGATGGATTTGGACTAAGCTCTTATGTCATCCAAGTGCAGTACGATGAGGGATTGGCGGTTCGAATGTCCGCTTGTGGGGAGGAAGGGAGAAGGCAAGGAGTACTTTGAGACGTCGAAGACGTTGCGCTAGTTGCGGCAAGGTTTACACAAGCACGCACTGCCGCATTCGTTCGCCGAATCGTCAAAGGATATGGGATGTCAAGCCGCAGGTTCGGAAGCTGTTTTCTTTGTTTTTGCCCCACCGTCCACGTTGAATTCGCAGTGCGCCTAGGCGCAGGGTGTGCGCAGAACCTGCAATCCGACCCGGGACGCGTTGTGACAGCTTTTGACGAGTCCACGGGAAGGTGTTCAATATCTACTCAATATTTCCTCGGCCAAGCGTGCTGTTTCTATCGAGGTTCAGAATTCGCCCTTCGTCCTTGATACGTATAAACGCTTTCCACCGCTCTTTATGGCTCCCGGCGAGACTGCGTCAGCTAGCCCTCGCCAACCGAAACCATAGCTACGGTCTCACGCTATCACCCCGCGGACGTCGACCTTCTGAGCCCCCGGTCTTCCGGTGGTGTTCGATATCGGCTGTCTCCGGCGCGGCGACGTTCTGAAAATATCCAGGCAACTCTTCAATCCTCTCCCCTGGCCGCCTCACCAATCGCCAGCGACGCCAGCAAGATAGACACAAATCTCGTCCTCTTTGATGCCGGCATCAAGATCATAGACCTCGACTCCCGTGATGACACATCTCCACATGCAGCGCGACTTGCATCATGCCTCGTCCTCCTTTCTCTGGAGTCGAACGAGAGTATGAGGCGTCTGAATTCACGACTCTCCCCGGGTGTAAGGTTGGGACGTCGTGATAGGGGGTGGTTGAGGGGGATGGAGGAGCTGAGGTGGGTGAGTATTGGGATCGATACGGCGGTGAATGGAGAGAAGGGTGGGCTGAGTGGGATGCGGGTATATTTGGAGGAGGTTAACAGTTGGCAGGGTTGGAGAGGGAAGGTAGGCCGCGGGATAGGGCTAGGAAAGGAGAGTACAGTAGGGTATGGCGAGGAAGAAAACCGCCAAATTCAGAGATAGAGCGATAAGTGAAGGTTGGAGTACGTTCGCAAACGCGTCTGGATTGCGCCTGCAACATGCTTTGGCTGCTTTGGCTGCGGACAGGAGGGCGACGCGGAGGGTCGCGCGGACGAATGCAGGATATTTTAAGACTGAAGACGCGGCGATGGCTGAGGCATAACCACCAAGAACTCAATGCGATGCGCAAGACTGCCCCCGCCAAGCTGCCGCCGCCGAGAGCATCTTCAGTACTGCGCAACAGGCGTACTAAGGGTGCGTTCTGCCGGAGGGATCCGGTTGGCTTGCTCCAAGGTCCGTGGTTGATTTCGGCGGTACTGAAGAGCGGCATGGACAAAAAGGTGCCGATGGGCGGATTTTACCGCTACTATAGCCTTAGGCTTGCGAGGATGATCTAGATGTTCCGTTGAGATGAGAGGCTCAGCTGTATGCGCTTGTTGTTGTTCTTATCAGCCGCACTCGGTGGTATCCACTAGTCGTACTCGGTTTCGGTCTCAGAGTGCGAACACGACGGCTTGGCACTTGTGCAGTGAACTCAAAACTCAACATCGCAAGTATCTCCCAATACGCAACTGGATGGAGATATATAACTTCTGTATCCCTGAGATGTTCAGTCTCATATCATCTCAATTCTCACCAGCCCGCTCTTTCTAGCATTCAACCAAATTCTTCCTGCCGTTTGTTGTTCAGGTCATTATCGGCTGGACTCATCGCAGCACGTTTTTAGCTCCCACGATGTTTGCAACTCTTGAAAAATTGTCTATGTTCAGCAGCCGGCGTAAACTTCCGGCACATATCGCTACCCTGCTCTTCATTCTCGGCGCGATGGGCGTAACAGTCGCCCGCATATTCATAAAATCTGGACCCACGACACGCAACGATACAATGGCCTTGGCTATGGTCCGTTTTCCAATTCCACCTCTTCTAGCCTTGCAACTAATACAGCCGCTAGGGCGCCAAATCCATAATTATCCTCGCGTATCAGCTCCTGACTGAGCACACCTCACGTTTCCACAAATGGGCCTCGCCGAAGGCGAATACGATTCTGAATGGACTGGAGATTTTGTTCTGGTCGGCGGTGTGTTTCCTGGGAATGCAAAGCATGATGCGGAAGGGCGCTTGCTCGGGCAATAGCACTGCATGCGCGATGGGCTGGGTTGTTGTTGGATTGGCTGTTATGGTGACGTAAGTGGCCTTCCTGGTTGCTCGATTCTGGATGAGCGCGGGCTAATCGTGGTAATGGGGATAGGAAACTCGAGACGTATGTGTTTGTTATCTCTTGGCTTGACTGGAGGTATTTTAAGAAGAATGGGAAAGAGAGGAGGAGCCGGGAGGCTTGGGAGGATATATGCTTGGAGGATAGAAGCCGGGATCTGAGACAGGAGAGGCAGAAGGCGTGAAGGCCTCAGGCCAAGAGAAAGAGCGATAGACGGGGGGAATGAACCAGTGACCTTAGACATGTGAATGCTGCTTGGGCAGGCTCCCATCCCTTCAATTGAAGGCAACGGCGCCAAGAGACAATTCCGTAATACCATCTCTGTACGAATACTGCTGCATCCTACGCGTGCCTGTCGGTTTCGACTAAGCCATTATCAGTTCGAGGGATCCGCGGGTTACATTCCAGCGAGCACCGAGTACTGTACGGACGAAGGAGCGAAAAAGGAGGAGCTCGTTCACAAGTCCACCCCCCCTAGGAATGGAAGTTCTGCCTGGCCGCGAATTCGTGCGTTCGTTACCTAAGGAATTAGCCGGCGATTTGGCATACGAAGCACCAGCGAGGGAGAGAAGATAGAGTTCGAAAGGCTGAGGTGTTTTCTATTTACGAGCGGGATAAATCGCCAGCTCCGCTTGAAGACTAGCGCCTTGGCGCCCGCCGATCAAGCTTTGCACCGGCGCCCGAAAGCCGACAAGTCTCAACGGGCCACAAGCTTTCGACGGCGCCTTGGAAAGCTTCATTGAAAATGTGGGTCGACTGTCAACAGCATCCTGACTCCTCATCACGGCGACGCGCTGTGACTGGCGAAGATCGACCCGCTGAACGCCATACTGACCCCTCATCTCTGCTCAGCCACAATCAACCCCCTCTTATTTCCTGATCTGGCATTCTCGCGGATATGAGCAATGAGGTCACTCCTGGTGTCAGCTTTACGACTCCAACGGAAACCCTATACGCGCAACGGGGGCTCCGGTCGCAATTTATTGGCTCGTTCTCCACTGGGTGTTCGCCAACGGTGGGCATTCTAGTGAACCTGGATGATGTAGCCGCTCCCGTGCCCCACGTCCGGGGGACTGCTGCGCCCAGTCTGCATTCCTTCGACGTCAAGCTGGCCTTTCACGCTTCTCGCTCGTTGTTTCGTTTCTCTTCACTCTCACTTTCGCTATCCTTGCCTCGTTCGTCTCGCGATAAGTTCGCTGTCGCGTTTACTGGCCGATTCCGCCCAACCAACCAAGTCGCTCGCTTTCCCACACAGTCTGAGATACACATGTCGCGATGAAGCTTCTCCGCCCAGCCCGAGCCTTGGCCGCTCTTACCTTCTTCGCGCCTACTTTCTTCTCCTCCCCGGCCTCAGCAATAGATCTAGATCCCACGCAGCCCGACCAGGTCCGCGATGCAGCGAAGAAGGTCGCTACCGAGCTCTTGTCCATGTACGCGAATCCACAAAGCCAGGCGATTATCTCAGGAATTCCAGGCCTGTTGACGTATCCGCCATACTATTGGTGGGAGGCAGGGGCCATGTTCGGCCAGCTAATCGACTACTGGTATTACACGAATGATTCGACATGGAATGATCTGATTAGAGACGGAATCTTGCATCAGATCGGAGACGCGAAGAACTTTGTAGGCTGTCCTTCTGTTCTTTTAATCCGTTCTATCTAGTATGCAGACTGCAGTCCGAGATTGCGCGCCTCCGGATTATAGGGAGACGAAGCGGCATACGCGTCGTGTCCTAACATAGCACAGATGCCCTCAAACCAATCGAAAGACGAAGGCAATGACGACCAGCTCTTCTGGGCCTTCACCGTCATGTCCGCCGCTGGTAAGGAGCCATCGATTGAGAGATTACGCAACGTGTACTGACAAATTCTGCCACAAGAATATAATTTCGACCCTCCTCCGGACGACCAGCCCGGATGGCTCGCCCTCGCCCAGTCCGTGTTCAACCAGCTCGTTAGTCGCTGGAATACCGAGTTCTGCGGCGGTGGATTGCGCTGGCAGATCTACCAGTGGCTCCCCGGCTGGAACTATAAGAATCTTGCGTCGAACGGTGGAATGTTCCAGTTAGGCGCGAGGCTGGCGCTGTACACAGGCAATGACTCGTATGCCAAACACGCCGAAGATGCTTTCAATTGGATGATAAGCACGCCTTTGATCACAGATGACTGGCAGATTTACGACGGAATGGACGTGCTGAAAAACTGCACCGAAGCGGACAGGAGCCAATGGACGTATAACTATGGCATCATCATTGGCGGCGCTGCCTATGTAGGTTTGCAGTATTGTTCCTTACCCACTACATTTACTCACACCATTTCCCCTCCGCTCAAAGTCATGTATATTCGGTGCATCCTGACCCGCGTCTAGATGTACAACTACACCAACGGCAGCCAAATCTGGGCAGACCGACTCCAAGGCTTTATAAATCACACAAGCGTATTCTTCCCCAAAGACAAAGGCGGCGTTATGGTCGAGCTCTGCGAGGCACCACAGAACTGCAACATCGACATGGTCTCGTTCAAAGCGTACCTCGCCCGCTGGCTGGCCGTATCCGCTCAGCTCGCCCCCTTCACCGCCCCGCAAATCCTTCCCTTGCTCCAAACATCCGCTAAAGCCGCCGCTCGCACCTGTACCGGCGCATCTACGACCTCGGGTGGGCCCTATCTGTGCGGCAATCGCTGGTACTTTGATTCTTATGATGGAAAGGGCGGCGTGGGGCAGCAGTTGAGCGCGCTGAGCGTCATAGCTGCTAATTTAATCGAAGAGGTGAAGCCACCGTATAGTTCAAGGACGGGTGGGTCCAGCAAGGGAGACCCTGGACTGGGTTCAGGCGGCGATGATGAATTGCCTATTTATGGCGAGAACGCTGTTACGACGGCGGGCAAGGCGGGCGCGGGGATTATTACGGCGTTGGTGCTTGGGGGTACGCTGGGAGGGGCGTGGTGGATGATTACAGATTGAAGGGTAATGGGTGCATCGTATGTGCCTGCTGGTAATTTAGGATTTGGATCTACTGGTGCTTTTGGGCGTTTTTGGATTTGCCCAAGACGGCGGCTCGGGATGGTATGCGCCCTTTGATGATGTCAACGCGGCGTTTTTTGGGAGGAGTGTGAGTTATGACACGTATGGACGAGCTTTGGGATGGCCAGATGGCTGGTTTGAGATGCTGGCTAGAGCCGTGCCGGAGCACCCGCTTTTGGATATCTACTTCTATAACCTCTTTTTTCTCGAACTCTTCAACGCCATGGATAGGTGTAGTATGCTTCAGTTAGGAGTTCGTTGGCGTATATCTTTTGAAGAAGAATGAACGCCTTCCTAGTAAGGGGCAGTCGGCTGCATGCGGTATAGCATACCTAGGGACACCGTCACAAATGCCCAACCAGTCGGGACATGATCTACCAGACCTCCTTATACCAACCAATGACATCCCCTGCGGCCAGCCTTACGCCCCGCTTACGCCCTATGCATGTACATCAGGTGAAGCTTATATCCGTACCGGAACTCCGCGCGTTCCCTATCTTTCCTCACTCTATCCTAACTTCCTCTCCTCATTCCTCCTACAGAAAATATGGCAGACTTCCGCCCTAAACTCTCCATTCCGCAAGCCCTCTCGAAGATTCCGGCCCCGTACCAGCCCACACTGGTAGCGAGTCTGAACGATGCTATTGAGTTTAAGATTGCAAAGATAAAAGGTTCTTCTTCTGCATTTCCACCGCTCCGCGCACTCTCCATCTGCCCCGTACTAACAATCTCCAGGCGACTTCGTATACCATTCACACCCCACGACTGACGAGCTGTTCTACATCCTAGACGGCGGGCCGTTGACGATGCGCATCCGCCGCATCTACGACGATCCTAGCTCTGAGGAAACCGTCGTTCTTGAAAAAGGCGATGTGTTTGTCGTACCGAAGGGCGTGCAGCATTTGCTGGGGGCGGACAATGAGGTATGTCGAGTTCTGCGCCAAGAGCGAAGTAATGCTGAAATGTGGCAGTGCAGTGTGCTGTGTGCGGAGACGAAGGGGGAGTTGAACACGGGTGATTTAGGTGTCATGTGCGCTAGTCCAATGTCCGATAATTGCAGATCGGAGTACTGACAACGTACAGGGAGAAGACATCGGAAGTAAAGGATGCCAGGAACTAAGCGCAGGCATACGGTTGCCCATCATGTTGAACCAAGCGGACCCGAGATCAAACAAAAGCCAGGGGGGACCCAGGGGAAAGCTATAAGGACTCTCCTTTACCAAATCGACTTCTCCCCGTCCTTCTGCCCGTCTTAGATCTTCAACACCCTTCCTAAAATCTCCATCGCGTCCCTCCTCACACCCTCAACGATATCCCTCGCACTCTCCACCTCCTTCACCATCCCCACGCCCGTGCCTGCCCAAATCGCAGCCCGTCCCTTCAAACCGGGCTTGAACCCGTTATCGTCCTCCTTCACAGCTTCATTATGCAGCTTCTGAATCTCCTCAATGCTCATCCCTCCCAAGTGGTCTTTGTAACTTTGCACCACAAGACTCCGTCCATCGTACGCCGCGGGCCACATGTTCGGACCTCGGAGTTCATCGAAGAGCTTGGAGCGCTTAGTTACTTGGCCGCCGTCCGACGCTTCCAGGACGGCGGATTGGTAGGCCGGGTGGATTGTGATTTGTTCCGAGGCGAGAAAGCGCGTCCCCATCACGACGCCCTGCGCACCGAGCGCTAGCGCAGCGGCAACACCGCGTCCATCTACGATCCCGCCTGCTGCTACCAGGGGAATCTGCCCGAGTCCTTCTTTTACGAGGGCGTCTGCCGATTCAGGTAAAAGGGAGATGATACCGCAGCCCTTTTCAAAGCCGTGGCCTCCTGCGTCGGCACCTTGAAGGCACAGCACATCGGGAGATGCCGTGCGTGCGATGTGCACGGCCGCAGATACGTTGCCGACCTGGATCCATATATTGCTTTCCGGGGATGCTTTGCGGATCTCCGCCGCCCAGACTTTATAATCGTCCAACTCCTTCGCTGCGAACAGCCACACAATAGCGGGTTTGAACTCCTCAACTACCGGCAGGACATCTTTTAGGTTCAGCACGAAGGTTAGGAAACCAACACCGAGCGGAAGCGTCCTCGATGAAGAGATAGAGGGGTTGGAGCTGGCTTTGAAGTTTTTCGCGGCGATGTTGAGTTCCTTGCGCACATCGTCCAGGCTGAAGAGACATCCAATCATGCCGACCCCGCCGGAGAGGGAGACGGCTGAGGCGAGAGCCCCGCCCGCGGAGCCGGCCATGGGGGCATTGATTATGAGGGGGGAGGTGGTCCATGGGAGTGTATGTTTGAGAGTCGACATTCTGCGTGATGTTCGTGCTGGTCGGGAAGGGTAGCTATGCGTAAGGAACAGTAGCAATCTTATGATACTGAGCAAGTGTACGTCAAGTGCTGTTATAGCTTCAGAGAGACGAGAGGGGTATAAGTAGGGTTGAGCTAAAGTAAGATCACATGTTAGTAATCGAATTTTCAAGGTTTTGCTGACGGTGGCCGTGATCGATCATCTCCTCGGAGCTGGCGAGCCAATCTGTTCGCATAGTCGGGAAAGAAGTCGCAGGTTTGGGCTTTAGACGTTGTAGGAAGTTCATACCAGGTATGAATGTGGAGAACACCAACCATATAGGGTTGCAAGTATTTGCCTGTTTGGGTTAGCATATCTCCGTATTAAGTCCGACGTCATGCTCTCCACCTTGCGACGAGCTGAGCAAGCATATGCGTGTATATACAGTATCCGTAATCATGCATGACTTGTGGGATGTAACGGAAGAAATCGGCCTTGCGAGAAGGGAGGGGGGCGGACAAACATAGGATGTGGAAAATGATTCTGACTGGAGGTCTAGTATTCCTTGCTGTCGGATATCTTTTCTTAGAATTCTGCACGTATGTTGCACTGGTTTATACGACGTGGTTAAGAGACTATTATAGCAAGGGGATGCAGCAAGGAGATGTAAGTACTGTCTTGTCTGACGACACGATCATGCACAAATACTGGTATGGGTTTGGTGGGAAAAAGGTTCGTATATATTGTAGCTTGGCCGCTTCGATTCGTAGTATGCTCGACATCATCGCGGTGAACGTTTAGAGCGGGAGCGTCTATAGTCCTCGTCGTCCGAACTATAGCGCCGGGTCTCGCGGCTGCGATCCCGCCGGCCATGGTCCTTTCCACCTCGGTCCCTGTGACGGTTTCGCACGCCGTCCTTTGAATCATCCCGTTGTTTTGAGCTCCGGTGTCGACGTTCGTCTTCCGACTCGTCGCGATCCTTGATGCGTTTGTGGTCTCTATCGCGGTCCCTACTACCGTCGCGATCTCTCGATCCATGTCGGCGATGCCGCCTTTCGTGTTTGCGCTCCTTCTTCTTAATCTTCTTATACTTCTTTACCGCAACATCGGCCTTCTCCTGTAGCCTCTTGACCATTGATTCCTTCATTGGATCCTCTTCATCCAGGTTCTGAATCGCCTTCTCCAGCTCGATCTCTTCCGGGAGCAGCGGCCTGTCTTCGTCGGAGTCGCTTTCGCTCTCGGTCTTGCGCCTCTTCCGCCTGCCACCATCCGAATCGTTGCCCGGGTCGAGGTCAAGCTCTCCCATCGTATTGTCCCTCATATCCTCGTCATCTCTGGGCTTGTATCTCGCATGATCGACTCGCAGTACCCTCTCCATGACCGTCACGCCGCCCAGGTTGTCCACGGCCAGGTCGCAGCTCCTTTGGTCCTCGTACTTCAGCCACGCGAACCCGCGTGACTTCCCCGTCTCTTTGTCCCGTGCTAGTTTTACCCAGACAGGCTCGCCGTATTGTGAGAAGATGGTGATGATGTCGCCTTCGGAAAGCTCGTAGGGCAGGCCACCGATATAGATGAAGGCCGTATCGCGGTAGTCCGTGTGCCAGGAGCCTTCTGGGGTGATACCCGCTTCAAGCTCCCGCTTGTTGAGCTTCTGGATTGCTCGAACCGAGTTCATGGCGGGAAGGGCTCCAACGCGGAGATGGCGAAAGGGAGAGGATAGTCGCAAACGCGCAGTAGAAGATTAGCCCCCCGGCGCTTGGATGGAACGTGTCGCTATGTGGTTGCGGAGGGGAAGTCGTTAAGCTGCCGTGAAGCTAAAAAGTCCAGTCTTGGCGCAGATCCCTGCATCAGAAGCTCCCATGGGCCAGGAAGGGTCTCAGACCTCCACAACACCCCGCGAACACCCTCAGCGCGCGCCGCTGCCTTCCTGAATCCCTCCCATTGCCGTAATATTTGCGCCTGTTTTTCTTCATCCACGTTTGAACCTGGTATCACCGTCCCCCACGCGTTCGAGACCCCCGAAGCACCTCCGTCATGGCGAGCGCGCGTCGAACTTCCAATTTCCCCGGCCGCCGCCCGGGGAGTAGGGGCCAGGAGAAGGAGGAAATATGGAAGCCTATGTTAGACAACATCTCAAGTGGGAAGCGGCTACCAGAGAAGAGCTTGCTAGTGCTAGGTATGCGCATGTGAAGCGGCCGCAGGGGTGAACGCTAATGCGGGATCAGGTGGCACGCCAGAGACACAGCGCGAGTTCCTGGAATCAGTAGCAACAGATCCGGCGAACAATCGAAGGCCCCCGGACCGCGGGCGGAAGGCGCCAATTGCGAACCAGTTTGCGCTGGGCTACACCTATCAGGATGTGCTTGACACAGATCATGAAGGTACTTTTGCTGGGTGCATTGTCGCCGAAAGGAAGCTGCTAACACTTTTAGATATCCTCGCCCGCCTCTCGCTCTACCTCCTCGCAAACCCCTCACCCTCCTTCACCCCCCTGATCAAGCCCTACCTAAACCCACGCACACTCCCGCACATGCTTGTGGTCATACTTCTTGACTGGAACCACCCGTGGCTGTGGATACGGCAGCTTCGAGACTGGATACGCGTACTGCGATCACTTATTCTCTCGCTCGACGACGCATCGAAGGAGGTGCTTGAAGAGAACATCGTGACGCTACAAGACAAGGGACGGACAATGGGCGGATCAGAAGGAAGCAGCGCGCTGGAGAACGTAAAAGTACCACTAGGCCTTGGGGAGTGGGATGAACCGCTCGGCATACCTCTTTGCGTCGTCTGCCAGAACGCCGATAAGATCGAAGCGCTAGAACGGGAACGCGGATGGAAAGAGGAAGAGTTTGACTTCATTCTGCAGTATCTGCGCACGATCCTGCTCAAGCATGGCGCCAGCTTGGTGTACACGATGCCTTCCGCGCCGGGCTCTCTGCAGACACTGATCCATTCGACGCTAGGGATCAAGTCGCTGCTGAAGCAGAAACAACTAAAGCACAACGTTACGGACCGCGACCGGGTGCTCGTACCGCCCAATTGGGACTCATGGGCCAAAATTAGGATACTGAGGGACGGGTTTGACGTCGAAGGGGTCAGCCAGAAGTGGTCTGTCGACATTGACATCCCACGGCATATGAAGCCCCTGATGAACGGGCAACCCGCTGCCGACGGAGAGACACAGGCAAATAGCACACAGACAGTTGAAGTGCAAGGGGAAAGTCCCTCAGCGACCTCTATATACGAAGACACGATCCGGAACCCTGAGACCGACTTCCCGCTTTCCGCCCTACACTCCAAGCAACCCAACGGCATCGAGGTGTCTAGTAAAGATGCACAGGACTTCCTCGTGGAGCAGCTCTCTGTCCTTGACGTACTACGCCGCGAAGATGAAAATGATGCGAAGGTCAAAGCTGCACGAAAGGACGTGGAACCGACGTACAGGACATGGTCCGATGACGTGTCTGGTGTTGTGGAAGAGCACATTGGCCCCGTGCAATTTAACATGGGTGGAATTCAGGTGAATGCCGATGAGATGGTCAAGCGATTACAGGTATGTTCTTAGTCCAATCAAAATCGACCGCGAAATCGGCTCGCTGCAGATAAAGCGTTACATAGTCGAAGCTGTCGCAGCATTAAGGCTAACTCGATGCTAGGATCGCGAAGCAAACAGAGCCAATGAACCCGAGACGCCCATGACTCCACCACCGAACGCCCAAGATCCGAACAAGATGGACAATGACAAGCTCATGTCGTTCTTCTCGGGTCTCATTAACAAAGGCACCACGTCCTCGGCTAACAGTCCCAGAGGTGGGTAGTGCAAATCGGTCTAAAGGTCGGATTCAGGGCTCAGAAGAGAAGGATGAGAAAGATAGTTGGTCATCTCGGAGGTTTTCGAGAATTTCATGTGCAGGAGCTAGGTTTGGAGCCTTTTCGCTTTCTGATCATCACAACATTATGGTCGTCGTTTCGGGTTCAACATGGCTTTATACCCCAGCATAGTCTGTCTACCAAATCTATCTCTTATGTCAGTCAGACATCACCCTTTCCTCTTCCATTCATCTAGGCACCCCTTCGTTCTTACAGTCCCGTATCTGCAAAACCACCCAGAACCTCATCTAACCGGCTCAGCCGACCGTCATCTACGCCCCGGTAACCCTCTCCCGATGCTCAGCAATCTCCTTCTCAATCTCCGGCGTCATTCCCTGATGCGTAGCCACATGCTCCAAGCCCACCTTCTCTCCTCTCCCCGCCACAACAAGCTCATGCGTATTATGGTCAACGTGCAAATCTTCACTCCACACTACGACATCCTCGGTATCACCAAAGATCCTGGCCATCTCCTCGAGTGGGATCCCCTTGGTTTCGGGGAGAAGGAAATAAGCAGCGATGCAACCGAGCCCGGACACTATAATAAAAACCAGGTAAAAGTGCCACCCGATGTTGGCGAATGCGGTGGTTGTGGCTTGCAGGTACACGAGGTCGGTGAGCGCGACGGTAGCCATGCTGAGGCAGACGCCCTTCGCCCGGATGTGGTTGGGGAAGAGTTCGCTATAGAAAACAACGCCGGCGACGTCGACGCCCATGCTATAGACGGCGAGGAAGAGATAGAACATCGCTGTACGCTGTTAGCCTCCACCCACCGTACCACTCACAACGAGGAAAGAAATAAGAGGCGGAGGAGAGGACGAAGCCTCGGAGGAAGAGAGGGGATCCGTACCAACTCCAGCGGCCAAAGCAGCTTTGTTCGTAGCCTGTTCGGCAAAATTGGCCACAATGGCTGCTTCAAGGATAAGGCATACGCAACAGCCGCCCACACCGAGTAGCATGAGCGGTTTTCGGCCCACGCGGTCCATAACTAGCGCGCCAACGGCGTTGAAAATTATGCCCACGGTGATCCAGCCGCATTGGAATTCGAGTTGCTGCTTGGTATCGTACCCCAAGGTCGCATACAACGTCGGACCATAGTTGTTGATCACGAGAACGCCGGTCGATTGCCCGACGAACGCGAAACCCATAGCGAGTGCCGTGCGCCTCCGATATCCCTTCTTCGTAAACATGGCCCACCACCCGGGGTCCAGCGTACGATCTCTCTCCGTCTGCTTCTGCATCTGGTAGAACTCACCCCGCGCAAACTCCTGTTCCGGGTCGTGCTTCAGGCTGTGAAGCCTATACGTTATCTCTCTCGCCTCCTCGACTTTCCCTTTCATCAGCAGATACCGCGGAGACTCCGGCACAATAAAGGTGATGAGAACCATGAGCGCAGGCCAGATCAACGCGATACCAAGCGGACCGCGCCATTTCGCGGAATCAGACTCGGCGAAGTAGAACGCCATGCCCATGTACGTGGCAACCGCGTAGCCAAGCGCGATGTTGATGCCGTTGAGGCCGACGAAGAAGCCGCGGAGGCTCGGAGGTGCGAGTTCAGCGGAGTAAGTAGGCGTTACGGCCAGGAAACCCCAACTTCCCCATCCGGCGATGAAGCGGCCAACGATGAAGGTGGTGATGTTCAGCGCGCCACAGAGGAGGGCCCCGCCGAGCAGCGAGAAGAAGGCACAGTAGCGGAAGCCGGCTTTGCGGCCCCAGCGGTCCATTATGTAGCTTGAGGAGAGGATGCCTAGGACTGCTCCAGCCTAGCCCGAATTCCATCAGCAAACCACTCTTGAGTCGCAGACTCGAAAAGCAAGGTAGGTACCTGGAAAATCCCGCTAAAGGTTCCAATCAGCGCCTCCGCGTTGCTGGTTTCGTTGCCTTCCGCGTCGATCAGGCCCATGTAGAGTAAGAAGGGAGGCTCGCCGAGTGTCATGCTGATTATGGATGCGGGATGTCCAAAGGCGATTTGGCCCAGCGACACGAGGAAGCAGACGAGGAAGTTGTAGGGGTTATATTGGGATTTCTTGGTGTGTACCATTTTGAAGAGATGGGTGGCCTAGTGGACGCGAAAGGAGAGATAAAGAAAAGAGGATAATGGCAAGGAGAGCGGATACAGAGGAGAGGAAGGCAATATGTACGATCTAACGTTTGGATATGGACAGGACAGACTGAAGTACCTGCACCATGGAACCTACTGATTCATCCGACATGATTCGACCCATTACCCTCGACTCAATACCTCACTCCACCGGGTTGGAACAGCTACGCTACGTTTCCCCGCAAGCGCCATGCTCTCCTAAGGAATGTAGAGCCTAGGAAGTACTTGCAGGGGTGCTCGGGCCAATTCCGCGCGTCTTGTAACCGTCCGTCCCATCGCCCGCAATCCTGGACCCACTTGGTGCAAGCATCTGGATCTGGGGGAGATAACAGAACGCGGGGAAGTCGGCATTTCTTTGGAATCATCTGAGCGTCGCACTGTCTTCCTTTTCGCTCATTGTTGAGGACGAAATAGAGTGCACGGCACCCATGAGTCGGGCCTGCGAGGTACGGAAATGGGTTCCCTCGCAGCCCTGTAAGGCTCACAAACGTCATCCCCGCCTGTCAAGCCAATCTTCTTTTCTTACAGCGGTCAAGATCGACAAGCTGCGAGTGCGGAAAGCTTGCCTCGCTCAAGCGTTATGTGGGGGAGAAAGCTGACTCTTGGCGACTGACTCTCCCACGTTGCATACCCGGGAACTTGGATTTTGATCCTTGTGGGTACTCTAGTGGCAGGCTTATCGGAAAGTAGGATGGCGGCTCGTTTGGAGGGCTGGGTGTAGTGGCATTGCCGGAGGCCCGGAATTACCGAAATACGCCGCGGTGGTGGTGATGGTGGTGGTGGTGCTGCTGCTGGGGAAATGGGCCCGAGTAGTCGAAGCTCAAGCGAGGTGACCGCTGCTGTGCTTAATTTAGATTCTGACGACCTCTGTAGAGAAGCTAATGGATGAGAGGGACTTTATTGGAAGTAGAGTCAAGATATGGACGACGTCCGTCTGTACCTACCCAATTAGCCAGCAACCCTTCCTTGTAACCTCTATCCGATGTTATTACCCCGCTGACGATTGATAGATCCATCTATGTCAGTCTTTTATGCATAACTCCTTCGCCGTCCTTTCAACCTTCTGTATGCCGACGTTCGACCAATCGAGTATACTGGAGGTACTTCATGAGGCGGACCGGAATCTAGTCAGAGGGTAAGTCGCCTTTGGCGCTCACACATCGTAAGGTGACAGCAGGCCCTCAGCCCCAACGCCCGCGGCCTCCGCGTTCTTCCGAACCCAGTCCTGGTACCACCACAAGAAATGCTCCTCGGTCGCGCTCCCAACGATGCCCACTTGACTCAACTGACCATAACTCCTCAAGCCGAGCATACCAATCTGAGCAAAGACGGTGCTCTGAAAGACACAGAACTCGAGGATCGCGGCAATGTGTACGTGGTGCAATGGCTTTCCGTCTCTGCGGACGACGGTGACACTCCCGGGAACATGGCGATCGTCATCGCGCCACGGCGGTATGAGGGGATTGAGGAGCCTGGTATTGATATTCATATCAGGGTTTTCTTTCCCGTTCTTGCATGTTGTGCATCGACCGCGCCACGGCAACGAGGGAGGGAGTTTGCGTAAGACAAGCGGGATGCCGATTCGGTCTGCGATGGGAGCCTGGCAGTCTGAGTCTTCAGTACACATGGATACTAGAAGCTGGATCGGTTCGATAGTAGGGCGTCCGAAGATGTCTATGTCGCCTTTACAGTTTATACGAGCGCCCCAGACGGTCTGTCCACTCCCTACTATCTCTTCCATGACCTGATTCCGCTCCATGTCCGCGGTAGTGCAATAGTCCACCCGAAGGCAGTCGACGATATGCCGGTACCCCATGGGCCCGAGATCGTAACTCTGGTCCTTGTAGTCGACGTCGTCGCGGACCCCGATCCCGAGGAGCGAGCCCTTCCAGGAACCAGACAGCTCCTCATCGACCGCCTTCAAGCTCTGGTTCTCCCTTCCGCTAGACGTGTTGCCACGCTTATTGAGCTCTTCATTCGCCCAGACAAAGATCCTCTTCATCTTATTCTCCATGTACCGATTCAAGACCCAGTTGTCCTCCAGGGAACGCATCGGCTTCATATCCTCGGGAAGATCCTCCGGCTTTGGGATTAGATCCAAAAGTCCCAGCCGGTCCTCACTAGGAAGGACGATTTTCACCCAGATAAAGTGGGGCTGGTTGCCCTTCTCGGGGAAGAGTATGGCGCGTACGTAGCCGGGTCCGGGGCGTTTGTCGTCATCAAAGTCTGCGAACGTCTTGCAGAGGGCCTTGTGGATGGGCCAGTCGCTCTTTTGGCAGGTCGACGAGCAGTACCGAATGTTGCGGCAGCCGGTGCAGAGCCTCGCGCCAGTCTCCCTGCACATGGCGCACAGTCCATCCTCCGTCGCGGTGTCTGCCATCTTGTCGCCGGCAATCGAGCTGAGAAGAGTTTGGAAGCGCGAGGTAGCTTTCCTAGTGCGATGCCGCGGGTGGAAGTTGATAGGAGTTGAGGAGAAGAGGCAGCGGCTGTGACGTGAAGTGGGAGGTAGGTTTCCCTTTCACACAAATACAAATTTTGACTAGAACTATGGTGAGTCCCCACCCTCACTAAGATTAACTATGCGAATTTATTGGGCAAAAGGATCGTCCAATCCTTCTGCTCTTCAGTTATGATGCCTTATATATTCGGTAACAGAATTGTACTAGCAATATTATCGTTATATCCTCCCCTAATGCACTGGTCTAGTATTGCGTGTAAAGGAATTGCGCGACCCATTAAAAACTTCTACTGCCGCTAATGCAATAAGGTCCTCTAGCCTGGCTTTCAGCAGACTATTTATAACCTGTTTGTCTCTTCTTCCCCACACTCGAAACTTTCAAGCCTCAAGGCTCCGGATCCAAGGACAGGGCGGGACTTTTCTTATCCGTATGCATATTCGACTCCATCCCGCCGAGACGCTGAAGCACGATTAGCTTAACCCTTGACTTCGATATTTCCACAGCTTACAGTCGTGCTAACGTTTGATGTTAGCATTAGTGTATCATGGTGGATATCTCCGGATTGCATTTTACTCCACCCTTGGGAGCGGCTCTCAGTGCTTGCAGTTTGACGAGTCGAAGTGCGGCGGAAGATCCTTTCCACAAGTGGCCGATAGGTAGGTATACATGCAGCGATGAAACCAGTGCAGAGTTCGACGTTCGATACGATGGCCGCGAAAACAGTATCCCCTATTGCCACAGTCAGCCAACGTCGAACGTTATGATGGAACCAGGGGGGACTGACAGCTTGGGTCGTATGTGGACTCTACCCTTTCCGCAAACTTCAGGCGCACGATACTAACAACACAGGCACTTATTGCTCAGAGTCAGCCACTATCTCAGATCAAAGCACGCGCGGAACTCACATAAAACCACCCATGAAGGTCAGCGAGAGCAATATCTTCTGCCGTAGAGGCATCTGCAGCGTCCACACCAGCGGCAACGGAAGTCCTAGCATGATGAAGTCCGTGACGATATTGCAAACTCCGAATGCCAGCGTGACTTGCCCGTAATGAATGCAGCGTCCTTTCACCGTGACGTCCCAAAGCGCCCGAATAGGGATGCATGTAAACACACCACAGAAGAAGGTTATAATATACCAGGCCAGGATGAACATTGCCAGGCCAAGCAGGGCCTTACGAAACCAGCTCACGGGGAAGATGCGGCGATACAGAAGCAAGATGGAAAACTTGATGCCGGCGAGTGCTGTAAGGTAGACGTTTTCGTTTACGATGTTGTTCTAATGCCAACGTTACTCCTACATACTCTCGGGTCGAGACAGTTTGAACACCTACAATGGCCAATGCTCTGGGGTTCTGCACAAGGAGTACATGTCTTCCTTGCCCGTATCGAGTGCTATAACTCAATCCAATAACGAAACCAATGTTGAATACCTTGCATCGGTTAGCAAGAGCCTCGGCGATGAGGTGTTGGGCGTGTTACCAATGCGAGACCGCAACAAAGGTCATCCGCACCATATCCCGCCGCGACGTGACGGCGAGCCACAAGTCTCAACGCTACTGCGACGAACGCTACCGCTGCGCAAATTATATTCGAAATATTGATCGCTGGGACGAGGGATTCATCAATATGCAGTTGCATGTATTCGACCTCGGACGGCGTCGGAATGATGGGCATGATGGACGTGTGTACGGACGGATTTCGACGAGTTCTCCGAGTGGCTTGCGGAAGTCCTCGAAATTGGAGTTAGCCGCAAGGAAACCTTGGGATAGTGTTGGAGCGGTAGACACACCTGTTGTGGGAATTTTAGTGGGCTAACTTCCGCACCCTGGGTGACGTTCGCAGAATTCGCGGATTTGAGCAACCCAAAACTGTGGATCTCTATCAGCTGTGCGATGCTGGCTGATATACCTCGTATCTTAGACTGACAGGCCCAGGTTGCGACTCCCATGCCAAGTCCACTTGCATTTCGGGTAGTACAGTGGTCAGCATCAATCCCTCTTGAGCTGATGAACCTAGTGCTTCTACGCGAGCTTTACTGCATGACTAGTAGCACAATGGTCAGCAACACAGTCCTCCCTATTACGGCCGCAACCTTTGCATGTGGTAGCGTGTTCTATCATATCAGATCATCGCTCCAATTTCGAACACAGTATCGCATTTGATCAAGATCCAGCCAATAGCTTGTTTCGTACCTGTTCAACTTGTCACGTTCCTTCATCCACTCAGTAATGGAAGAAGGTAAATAATCCCGAACCAAAGACACCAGAGCTTCCACACCACTTCGTCCGATGCCTGCCTGCGATTCGTCCAAGTCAACCATGCCATAAGCCCTCCCACGATCACCGTTGGTGCAAAACCCGTCAGCTGCAGCCCCCAGAACGCAGGGCAGATAAACGACCAGGCAACAACACCGATAGCCAAGGAAAGTCGGGACATACCCTGTCCATACAAAAGAGGCATCGTTCGACGGCCCCTAGCTGCATCTCCAGCCACATCGGGAAAATCCTGCGCATGCACAGTAGTAAAGATGACGGCCCCTGTCAACGCGATCCAACAAACGGCGCGTCCCATACCCGCATAGTGCAAGGGCCCAGCCGTTATTGCCGTGACTCCTGCGCTGAAACACATCAGTCCGCCGGCATTCAAAGCGTTCCTCCACCAAACGCTCGTGTTTGCTCCGTCGAGATCATTGTACATCCATACCAGAGCGACGAAAGTGTTCGTCTCTCTAGAGGCGCCCACGAGGACGCCGGTAACCAAGGCGCATGGAAGAAGGATGAGCAGGTACTGTTGGCCCTCGCGGGAAGTTACGCGCTTGGATGGAAACGGCCGCCACGGTTTATTCTTCGAGTCCTCGAGGATCGATCCGGGTAGGCGCTGGTTTGCGACGTTCTCGACAAGAAGCGTCACCCAAACCCACAAGGCTGCTTTCGCAAGGGCTGCGAAAGCAAATCCTTGACCTTGATCGCGGATTTCATCTGGGGCTCTGAATCCTCCCGTGAAAGCACTCGAGATGGCGAAAACGATTTGTGGAAAGATGACGGTTTTGATGTCGCTCTTCGTGAAGAGGTATAAGGTATACAGGTGATGTAGCTTTTCCGTCTGCTGCAGCTTGCTATTAGTGTAATCCACGATCCTCAATCCTTGATCCGTGGACGTACCTGGAGTGCCATATTGCTCACGGAAAGTACTGATTCCCGTTTCCTAGAGTAGTTACATGCTATAATTTGCTCATACAAGCACCCCGTTTTTATATTGAATACCCACCTAGACAGCCACCGTCCTCCAAGCCCGAGCGGTGGCTTCAGCTGTGTCATCTGCTCACGGGGGAGTACATGTCGGACCGTAGGAATAAAGATCCTCTGCGGAGTAATCCTCTGCCATATTATCTGACCATTGTGCCACCGGAGATCTAAGGCAGCTGAAAAAAAGGATTGAATGGAGACTCTTTCATGATAGAGGCGGCAGTGATCAACATTAGGCTGGCTGACACACCCAGTCCTTCGACTGGGCTCGGGCCGAGATAGACCCCGGCGGTGAATTACAGATGCTTGGTTCTGCTGAACGGGAAGGCCTATCGTCCATCGCGGAAACTGTTTTGCGAAATAGTAGGAGTGAAAGTAGTCTGCGCTGCCCATACCAAAGCTTCGTAGGCCCACGTCAACTACTGGATTATTGTTCATGAACACAAAAGGGCGTGCCCGGTATCCGAGGTTGCTAGTCTACGAATATTCATATGGCTTGCGTGCGTACGGAAGGCCCCTGCGAGAATACGAAAGAGGCATAGCTTCTGCCCGACACCGATGTTCCTCCCGCTTGGCCTCATCCTTCCAGCTCCATCTCACTACACCAATACGCACGCTACAAATTGCGTATATGCAAGCGCTCACCAGAAGGGAATGCGCAGCGCAGCGCAGCGCAAGGATTCCACTGACTAATCAGGAGATAACTAGTGCGCTTCCAAGTCAGACCCGCGTAGCTGGAGAGCGTTTTGTTTTGTTTACGCCGCATTGTTTTTGTCGAAGAACACCAGCGAATTGGTAATTAGCCGGTTAAAAGGCAGCAGGAATGCCAGCGGCGTGGGTTTCAGCTTTCAACGGGGCGTTAAATATCCCCGCCCAAGCATATCCGGCGGAACGGTGCTGGGATCTTATTCGTGGCTGTGCCGCTCAATACCGGCAACGAGCATAAGCTGCCCTCTGCATCTCGGGTAGTACGTGAGAATTGCGTCCTTCGAAGTGGGGTCGAGGCACAGCAAAGTCAAAAAGAAGAACGGTGAGGCGCTCTCACTGACGTCGCAAACTCTATAACGAGACTCCTCAATCACCCGTCTGTCTCCCCGTCTTTTTGCGGATCTTGCAAGTCTTTGTTCTAGACTAGCGTTTAAGTCCTCCACCTCAGAAGCTCACCGCTAACTGCACCCCCAGATTCAGATGTCCAAATCTTCATAATGTCTGCCCGGCTTTCCAAGTTTCAGCGGGCGCTCGCCGCATCGCCATTCCTCATCCTCGCCATCACTTGCTACCGCGCCATGGACATCGACAAGATCATCGCGCATCAACTTCCTCACCTGGAGAAGGGCAAAATCGGATGGGACGGCGGCTCTCTTCCATTCAAAGACTTCTACCACATAAAGTTCCTCGACGACTTATGGAGAGGCACCACTGCGTCGTTCTCGCCTTCGACCTTCGGATACGACGCGCTGAGCTGGTGGCAGATGTTCACCTTCCTGCAGGACCTGGGGCCACTGTACGCAATGTGGCTACTGGAGTCGTATCGCGAGGGAAATCAAGGAACGCCGGCGTATTTGTAAGTGTGCATTATGCGCGTCTGGTCGGCTTCGTTACGCTGATGTTGAACTAGTCCTACTATCTTCGCGTCCGCGGGCCAGCTCTTGGGAATAGGACCCGTCGCTTCGATTTTTTGCTTCCTCTGCTTTGTCTTCGCTCCGAGGGCATCGCATTCAGTCCTCGGAAGCCCCGTTCGCACTCCCAACGCCTTCATCCTGCAGTCAGTGCTGTTGCTTTTTCACACGCTTCCTGCGTTCGGCGCTTTCTTGTCTCCCACCCTCGAAGGGAAGCATTACTGGACCTGGGCCTGGCAAATGGCACCATTATGGGTCGGCGTAGGAAACACCTTCTTCAACTACCTTACAAAGGGTGCCGCACCTCGCATCCCACCCTGGGTTCCTCTAGCGGCCATGAGCGCTATCTCCGCATCAACTTGGATTTACACTCTTCGCGCGTCTCCGTATACCTTATGGGAGATATTCATACCCGAAGCCGCCGTACAGACCGAATTCGAGCCGCACATGCGGAAAGCCTTGCAACTGGACTCGCTATTTGGCTTCGGTAGCGGGTATCTCTGGTTGGTGTACGCGTTCTATGACCTGTGGGCTGCAGGATTTGTGGGCAAGCAGTGGATGGTTGTAGGGGCACTCATTCCGGTTTTTGCCATTTGTGTCGGGCCTGGGGCTGCTCTGGCTATCGGGTGGGTTTGGAGGGAATCGGTGTTACAGAGGGTTGCTTGACCTATGCAAACGCTCGGTTCAGCCTTCACGAGGAGTCACTTCACAGTCACTACTCATGAAACCCGACTTCGTACCTGATTGCAACGCTTTGACAATGCTCCCGCCCCCACCAAGCCCGTCAACCGCCAATAGAAGTATACACTGTTTAAACTTCCTTTTCGATAGTTCTCATCACTACCTTCCTATCCTCTCTTCTCGCCACGACCGCAAGAAGAAGTACTGAACCATACATCATAGTACAATATCCCAGTATCATAGAGGCAAAAATGCATAGTCCCCTGCTCAATCCCACAGCACCGCCAGACAGAACACGACACAATCAGCCTCCAACCATCCATCCACCACCTCAGACAACTCTCCCTCATCCTAGTAAATCCTCCCCACCCCACACTTCACACTCCTCACCTTCCCGCGCCAATTCCCCAACTCGGTCAACCCCGCCCTAACCGGCAGCGGCGCCCCCGTATCCAAAACATCCCTGCACCCCTCGTTCTGGTACAGATAGCAGTCATACAAGCCGCGCGGCCGCATGCTCATCGTAGAAGACAGCATGGGCAAGTTGAGGCACGTGGCCTCGAGGATTTGCAGCGTGAAGCAGGGCGGCTGGAACGCGGGCTTGTTGCAGACGTGGAGGGTTGCGAGGCGCGGGGGATGCGTGCTAGCACGGGGCTGTGAGGGGTATGGTTAGTGGAGGTGTAGAATTGAGCGGCTTGCGGAGATAGGAGGTGGAAGTGGGATTTGTAGGACTGGCGCAGGCAGCGCACTTACGGGCTTTGGCAACATGGTTGCAGGAATCCTGGGTACGACGAAGACGCTTGTGGCGCTGGCTGGCGTTGTGGGCTGGATGCCGCTTGTGGTTAGCTGGGAGAGCGGATCGTGAGGAGGTGTAACGGGCGCGGCGGCCGCGAAGGTGCTCAGCAAGGTGAGAAGAAGAATGGCATGCATGATTGTCGCTTGCGAAATTGTGTTTCGGAACGAGGAGGGGTTGAGAAGGGAGTCGAAGGCTGATATAGAGAATCTCGAGTGTGAATTGAACTGAAGCGGTGGCGGCATGTGAAGTGTGGTGTTGACTGCGCGTTAAGTAAGGATTCACGGAGGAGACGCAATTCCATGTGCGTGGTGGTGTCCCTGCCCACATTCAAGAGAGTGCGCTCGGTAGAGGGAAGCTACTCCTGCAAATGGAATTTACGTGGACAACCGGATGCACTTACTGAATGCGATAATCCACACCTGCCGCCGAACCCCTTGTCGTACCAGTAGAACCTACCACAAAGCCTGTCCCTTCAACATATCCTGGTAACATGGCGCGGGCGTTGGAAGCTCTTCCCGTTCGTGTCGACCGTGCCATGGAATTCTCATTGTGGGCTTCGTGAATGCCGACATGGCTATGAAATCACCATGCCTGGTCATGCCTGCTAGCGTCGCGAGCTGGAATAAGACAATCTGGGATGAGGAATCAATAAAGGATCAAAATCTCGATACGGACTGCGTGAACTGCTATTGGTATCCTCCAAAATCATTGACCTCCTCTTTGGACCCTTCCCGCATACGGGTCAATAAGGCACTCTACGCTCCTCCCCCCATTCCCCAAGTAGACGTCATTGCTCATACTTCGGCAGCGCAGTAACATTCTCCTCAGACCCCGCCTCATACGGCGGCGCATCCGCATACTCTGCAGGTCCCGGCCCACCACCTAAGCCTCGAGACGACGTCGCACGATCGGGCAGCTCCGCCGTCCAGGTACCCGCTAAGGAGATATTCTGCAAGTCCGGTGCCGACCAGGGAGGAGTTTTCGCCGTGGAAGACGGGTCCAACTCGCTCTTCAGTGCAGGTTCTTCGCATCTCCATGTTAGTAAACCAAACGAGAAGGGCCAGGTGGGAAGACGTACTATGCGTTACCCCAGCGCCCCGCAAACGCCGCGGAAACCCACTAAGTGGGTATTCCTCGCCGTTCTCCAGCCGCAGGACTCCATGCACCACAGAATCGGGCTGCCACAGCGGGATAATCAAGCGTAGCATGGGGAATTGCAGCTGGCGGATCATCTTATCCAGCGTGCGCGATGCGATGGGGTACTCTTGGGCACCGTAGCCTTCTTCCCAGAAGACGAACTCGGAATTGCGGAAGGACCCGGATTTGAGGAGTCTGCCGACTTCTTGGATTTCTGTGGTGTGATCGAGCAGGCGGCAGTAGATGCGGACTGGTGATACGATGAGCATTTTATAGAGACCGAGGAGAAGGGCCAATACATACCTGGTATGAGCACTTCACCTGCGGTAGTATCCTGCACTGGCGCATCCGTTTCCGCATAAAAGAGAGTCGCGAACAACTGCGATACAAGGCTCTTCACAACTTCAGCATCAGTCGCTTCCTGTATGAGACTCTGCAGCTCGGGGATGCTTGATACGTCGTCCATTTCCGGCAGCTCGTCGAGAAAAGGATTGAGGCTGATGAAATTCGGTCTCGGATACTGCGCGTACGCGTCCGCTGAGTCTTCAGTAATGTACGATCGCGTGTCGTCCTCTTCGCTCCTCGTGAATCTGGATGAGGCCTTCGTTCGCCGCGTCTCGTTGCTGGCAATCGAGGGGACGGGTGGGCGCTTGGATTTGCCGCAGCCCAGTGAGAGTAAGATGTCCGGGAAGTCCTTCTGGAGCCCAGTGAAGATCGATCGGCATTCGTTTTGGGCTACCTCTATGAGGAAGCCCTCAGACATGTCCTTCTTAAAAAAGAGCTGGCCGAGCCTGGGATCCAGAAACGGCTTGAAGAGGTCCGCATGCGCCATCGAGGCTCTCGCACTTCGCCGCCGTCAGTTTGCGAACACTTGCAGAAAGCACTTGAATCTTACATATCTGCGACCTTCGGCTGGGACGAGTAATCTGTGATTGGGTAGAGGGCGTATGGCACTGTCACGTAAGGGTGAGCTTTATGTTCCAAAAGGGGCGGCAGGGCTACCCACGCTTCGAGGAAGCTTTCCTTCGATAGTTGGAAAACAGAACCTTTCTACCCGTCGCCGACGAAGTTAGGACGGCGACTTTGGAGCTCTGCTGAATAGGATGACTAATCGGGGGGAGATCAATGAGGCGCTGCTCCGGGAACATGGAGTTGAGAACGTCATCCAGAGCCTTCGAGCGATACTTCGGGTGCTTCCCTTTGATCTGAAGGCTGGGGAACCTGTGAATATTTGCTTGCGCAAAGATCTTTTCGAAAAGCGCATGCAGATGTTGCTCGCAGTCGTCGAGGTCCCAGCCTCTGGCATTCAGACCAAGTGCTATGAGGCCTCCGGTTCTAAAATCCTTAGCTGCTGGCAGAACGGTGCATGGAGGGAAGACCTACCCTTCCCCAATGATCATGTCGAAGAATGATTGCACCGGTATCTTCCCATGAAGCTCCTTCTCGATCAGTTTCAGAATCTCGAGCTGTATGACGCTGCGTACGCCGCCGCTAAGCCAATAGTCAGTTCGATATCTTCATGGACTGAGAGCGCCATACTTATTCAGAGCTAGAACACGCACTCCCGCTGCCTCTGGTCTCAGGTAGATTGCTCGAGGTTGCGGCCTTGTGGTCTGATTGACCTCTAAAGGGCACTCTAAGACGTCAACCACAACGTGGCCCTTCCTGCGACCGTACGCCTGGATACAAGCACGGCACAACATGTGCCCACAGGGTAACAGAGCCTCAGGTGTCCCAATCAGACAACATATGCAGAAGGCTGTGTAGCGTAAACCGACCGGCTCACCATCCTCACCTGGAGGATAGTACGACGCCAGCGCATCATCACGATGGATGATCGCAGCCGCATCGAGCTGTTGGATGCCTTGCCGTGAAGCTTGCGCCAGCTTGTTCATGGAGTGATGGAAAGAGATGTAGATATCGTCGAGTATCTGCTTACGGTGACTTTCGAAGGAAAAGTTCGACTCATAGGAGCCGCGAGCAAAGACTCTTCCGTCGGTGAGTTGGTGTCCCTTGGCCGCGTGTCCGCTGCGGACATTGGCGCATCGCAGTATGACTGTTGCGGCCCGCATTTGTTGTTGAAACGCGAGGTTGTTCAGGTGGGCCTGCAGATGCGGAGGCATCGGCCCTTTGACGTAAAACTCGCAGGGCCAGTAACGGTCGCCAAATTCCTTTAGTGCGGCATCTATCTGGGGAACATATTGCGCGAAGATTCTTTCCGCAGTACCTATTTTACTCAGCCTGAATACATTCGAAACAGCGGGCCGCCTACCTTTAAGATTGTTCCGCATTGTGTCTAACATAATGCACGAAGCAATGAGACGTCCTAGTTTCTCGAAGATCGCAGATGCTCTTGGACGTGGTTTCTTCTTCGCCATCCCGACAGCGAGCGCGAGGATGCTTTCGCAAAAAACAGTTGAAAGCCGACTAGTCAAGTACGAGCACTGAACGAAATCGAACGGGGTATCAATGGTTGAGCAGAAATGATCAAAAGCATGATTGAGGTACGCCTGAAATTCGAAAGCGTTGAGTAGCATGCGTGTCTGCGCCTTTACGTTTCTTGCTAGACGACAGCCGCGTTCAATGTCGAGATAAAGCTTTTGGGCTTGCGCTTCTACGAGCTTGGGTCTCCCGTTGGTCGGCAAGCGGATCACCTAACAAGAGGAGCATGTTAGCCAGAAAAGCAAAAGTCAAGACGACATAACCCACTCTGAGCGCGCTGTAGTAGCATTTCATCAAGTCGTCCACTGTATCGATCTTCTTCCCTCGTTTTCTCCACAGGTCTGCATATGTGGAAAAGACCACGTTCTTGTTGACAGTGTCCGCCAACGAGTCAAGCAGCGTTCTGGTCGAAGTCTGCACATCCCACATCTTCGGATCGACGTCATGTTCAGTGGCATTGAGTGCCAGAATGGCGTAAGGCAGGATGGGTTGGTTGTATGTCGTCTCGATAGCCACGGATCCCCAGTCGAGAAGCCTTTCCAATACCCCTTCAATCGCTCTGTTGCTTATTAGCTAAAAGAAAGACCGCGGGCCTCCAACTCCTTACCTTGGGTTTCGGTGGACGAATACGACGACGTCAGAAAAAGCGAAGAGAATGCGAGGATATAACTGCCCCGCGGCAAACTGTCGCGTTCGCTTCGTCTTGGAATCTACCCACTGGACTTCGCGCTCAGTATAGTTCCGGGTAGGTGCGTAATCGGACTCTGACCCCAACGACTCTGCTTCTTCTTTCTCCCGCGTCTTTCTTAGGCTTGCCGCTAGCGGCTCTCTCTCCCCACCGTCCAAGCCCTCCGAATCAGCAAAGAGAATTGGATACTCCGACTCCGCTGTAAGTGGATCGACGTAGAGGTGGACATCTTCAGAAGTCGGAAGGTCTCGACCGGTGATGCCAGGAACCGGGCAAGGGAAATTCTGGTCTTGGCCACTCCACTGATTGAAGTGCACGAGTAACTTGATCAGAGTGCTCTTTCCTGCACCGGTTTGACCGACAAAAGAAACGAGGCCGGGAACGCAGTTCGTCCCGTTCTGGCCACTTGAGGTTGATCCTCGTTGCTTAAACAGCCGCTGATGCATGGAAGTAGCAAGATCAGCGAACCTTCCGTGGTCACGAAACATGAACGGACGGCCGTCTTTCACCTCTCGCTCTAGGCCTGTTTCGACAATCAGACATTGGGCGCTCCCATCGAGCAAGGCTATTTGGAACACATACCAAACCAAGCCGTGACCTCATCCTCTCTGTGGAGCTTTCGAAGCGTGCGCTCATCGCCGGAGCACGAAAACACTGTCTGGACTCGGTTGGCCAGCGAGAGTTCGGTTTTCTCGTGCGGAATCTGGCCCGGTGCGAGGCGTTTGCGGCGGTGAGCGGGCTGACGGTCCCAGCACTCGGCACAGAGGCTACAGGAACATGCATTGCAGTAAAAGTCGGATACGACTTCCTCGCAGTCCTCGCAAAAGTCGGTGTCTTGTAGTTGGTCGAGCGCGCGCGCTTCTAGCGGGTCCATTGCTGCGGGTGGTGGCATATTGGCATGCTTCCCCACTCTTCCCTATGCCACGCGAGGCACGGTAGACAAACAGTATGAAGGGTCCTGATGATAAACGAGCTAATAATGGGTGAAGTGCGTCAGCCGCCTGGCAGCCACGCTGACTGCCAGTACCTTCTCTTCGGTAACGTCAGTTCTACGGTCGCGGGACGAGACAGAATCTTCCCTTCCAGCCTCATCGTCAGAGGTGTCTCTTATCAGTTTTAGGGCAGCGGTGGCTGACATGGGGCGCTGTTATCGCGACCGGGATGCCATAGGCTGAGGATTCGTTGGCGGTCGAAAAGCCGAAACGCGTGCAGGGAAGCGATTGCCTTGCTTTTGCATTGCAGGCGATGCATTGAACGAGCCCGAGAGAAGACGTAGGTATCCGACATTGATGAGAAGCGTGAGGGCTGGCCGAGTTGCGTAACAAATGCGTTCAGGTAATGCCCAGGTTTGATTGAAGGGGAAAAGCCCCAGGCGCGAGGTTGCCCTCCACCCCCACACACTTTTGGCACGGGCCAGCCGAGCTCGTGCATCCCTGGCCATGACGAGTCTGGACCGCGCGCGCGAGATCTTGATCCCTTTGACAGGTCTCCAAGACCTATTTGTGACCCTGAAACAGCCTCAGGAGAGCCCGAGGAGATGGTTGGGATGGAGGCATGTATATGGATCCGAATGCGGCTAGCGCGCCGTTAGGGCGTCAATTCCACCTCATCGCCGAGAGCCATGCAGGTGACGATCCAGCTCTCGATGCCATCTCGCACTACGCCTCCCTCCTTCCACCTCCCGATCTAACACGTGCCCTGGGACTGCGACAGAGGCGGCCACGCCAATCGAAATTACTAATCACCCGTGCAGTTTGCTGGGGCGCCTGACGCTCCTGAGGCGTAGTTCATGTCATTGAAATTGCGCGACCAGAAATCTCAGTGAGCAGGTGGACTGAAAGAGAAGGTATTCATGAATAATAATGTGTCCAATTCAAATGGGGGTGTAGCTATCTCTCGAGATTCCGAAGCTACCAACTACCAACCCGCCCGGATGCCGCCAGGCCTTGGTGTAGCCAAGAGCGGAGTGCCACGACCCTGCATGCAGTTCAATCCTCGAGTCCCGCCCATTGCATACCGGGATCCATTAGGATCCCATCGTTCGGACGGCCCCACTCGCAAAATACGCTTCGCGCCTTGTTGTCCCAGCCGTACCTGCCATAATCAGGGATCCAAGCACCAGGCTTAATGCCCAAGATACCACCGCTGCAGTTGGGCTCGCTTGTTCTCTGTTAGCAGACAGCTCACCGAGAAAAATGGTTGCGGCACCACTTACGTGAACAATTTGCACCAGAACACCTTCTCTTGACGTACGTAGGCGCTGGAAGAGACAATCGGGGCGAAGTACACGCACACCTTCTCCTCCATCCAATGCCGGGTAGCATGGTAATCAGAGCCGCGGTAGTTTGGATGCTCGAACATGTGCATCAAGATGGCGTCAGGCGGACCCGCCTCCTGCCCCGATGGTGCAGGCACAGCGTCGAGAGCTTCTGAGGAGTTGTCGCGCTTCGTCACTTCCATGACGCTTCCAGAGAGGACTGAGGGGGCTTCCGAAGGGGGGTCACGCTTGACCTCGAGACCCTTGGCCTCAGCGTCCTGCTGAACAGAGGGAGCGGGAACAGCGACCCCTAGCACAGCGACGGCGATCGCGAAGAGAGGGAGAATGAACCGCATGGTAACAACCGGTGATGTTGATTGCAGGTGATGAGAAGACTTAGGTAGAACCTTCAATTTGGTTAATTGAAGCCGAAGAATGGGTGAGGTGAGGTAGAAGAAGCTTGAAGCGGGGCTGAAAGGGTTTATATGGGCGAGAGGGAGAGAGGACTGAGCGGAACCACTAGCCGGATTTGGAAACGCACGATCCTTTGGGGAGGAGAAGCAGCGGCGACGGAGCGATTCGAAGATTCTGGAGCGGTCTTGGCGATAATTTGTAAGAAACGTGCTCGAATTGAGCCTTGTGAGCCAATCCCAATCTCGGAAGTAGTTCCGGTAACTGATCTCGAGGATGGGGGACGTGAACGAGCTCTGAGTCACTTCGTACTACGGTCGGAGCACCCCAACAACATCAGTATCCCCGCCAATCGAGAATCGAAAAGCGGAATTCCACGCACTGCAGAGTGGTCTACACACCACGTTCAGTCGGTCTCAGGTAAATGGACTGGGTCAGCCTGCGTCACTCCTCGGTTGCCCAACGTAACCCGACGCCGGAAGTAGAGCCGCAGCGAATGTAGACGACTAAATCCGGGCCAATGATGACCGTTGATATGAAAAAGGCCATGTGAGCTATTCTACAATACACCTACGTGACTTCATGAAAGCAATCACTTCCTATCTTCTACCTACTCGTGATCATCCTGCCAACTCCGCTATCAACCCCACCCAATTCGCCCGAGGACCATAAACCTCTCGTAGTGCAAGCGAACAACCCCAATGCATACGAACTAGCTCGCTCACTGTGACTAGCTGATACCCGCATAGCAACGTTGGTATGCTACGCTAACAGTCTATAATCTCATAACAGACGCTTTAAAGCATTTGGAATACTCAACCTCCAACTTTACCACAAGAACCATAGCCAAAAGCCCTTCCTCCCTTCTTTCCGTCCACCCATCCACACCATCGCCCCCTCTCCCCGCCAGAACTACTCTACTCCCCACCCCACCCAGTCAACCCCGCCCTTCCTCGCCTCAAAGCACTGAAACGAACTCACCCTATCATTCGGCCTCTCCTTACTACCAATAAGACTAACATCCTGCGTCTTGGCATTCAAGTCGAAAATAGCATGCATCGTCGCAAAGCTCCACTTCTTCTTCTCGCAGTTATGTTCACTGTATGCAAACAAGCCATCAGCACACTCATCCTCTCTGGAAATACGCAGGAACTTATTCAGTTACGGTGCCCATGCTACGGCATCAGAGCAGTACTCACATATAAAACCGACACGTCGTCCCCTTGCTCACCCTCACTGCGCTGGCCTTATCGTTCAGCCACGCGTTATCCCCGCTCAGATCGACGCATTTCAATACGTCGAAGCCGTGGCATTTCCTGTAGTAGTTGTCTTCGCAGATGTCGACGCGGCCGATGGGGCCGGTGGCCCAGGTATCTTTTCTTTGATGTCGCGGCGCTTCGTCAGGCTGATGGGGGCGTTGGCGATGCGGATGCGGACGGCCAGGGGGCGTGATGGGGTATTTGCGGGTTTAGGAGTTCGGGGCCGAGGGGTCGGGCTGGGGAGCTCGTCGCGGAGATGATGAGGAGGGTGCAGAGAAATACTGAGAGGTGCATTGTAATCCGTATAAGTGACTGTATGTGTGGAGAAGATGTTGTGGTTATCAAAGCCAGGGGGGTAGGCGAGATCAAGATACCAAGGAGATTGTGGAGGCAATGAGAAGTTTGGGGAACGGAGATACACACTCTAAGTATTTATATGCTATGGAAGAATGCTCGGGGCTGTGATGTCGCTGCGTGGTTAAGAGATCTTGCAGGTCCTTGGTGAAGTAGAGAATTCCACGGATTATCACGAAAAACCCGACGTCGCGGTCCCTTCCGCCCGGGAGAGAATATGTGACGTTTAGTATTCGCGGCATCAGCTTGATCTCAGATTCCGTCTGTTCAAGTTGGCCCTCCGCGCACTGCTGTACTCAGTTTCCCCCTCCAGCTCGAACTGATTCCAGACATCTTGCTCAGTCCCTTCATCTTCCTTGCCCCAGTGCGTATCCCAGATACTCGTATTCGCCGGCCGCGCATCGATCCGCGTCTCCTGATACTCGCCATACTCCTCTTCATCGTCATCGACCTCAGCGACATCTTCGATGATCAGCTTCTTGCCATCGACGGGTCCATATCCATAAGCGAAGAACTTCTGGCCGCGGGCAATGAGCTGCTCCCGGTTGCGTTGCTTCTCCCCAGGACCGATGTCGCCTTTCGCGGGCGGCTTCTTCGAGGGAACTCCGCTCATCGTCCGCATGAACCATTGGTAGAAGCCATCTTCTTCTGCGGGAGCCCAGTCAAGATGGATCACATAGCATGGCAGGATCTGAGCACTGTTGAAGACAATGTAAGCCCACTGGCTCTCGTTGACGTGCGAATCGGCGCCGTGGAGGGGCTCGTCGAGCTCCCACCAGTCATCGCCCCTCTCCAGGCAGGCGGTTCGGCCCATGACTGTGGCGCACACTAGGAGCTTCATTCCAGGGAGCTCCGATGGTTTTGTCCTTTCTTGGCCCCACCCGGTGTAGCTAAGCGCGTACCATGCTTTTGGAGATGAGTAGATGCCGCGGCCGTATGCGGTGCCGTTAGAGACAGGAAGCCGCTTCTTGGTCGCTGGATGGATATCTCCAGGTTTCAAGAAACCGTGTTGAACGATGGAGGGGACGAGGTCGCGGCGCGTCCCGTGGAAGGTGGTGCGGGTTTTAGTTAAGTGCTCGACAAGCTGTTCTTTGGCCGCTTGTCCATCGCCATAGCGGCGTTGTTTCTCTCGCGGGACAAAGGCCTTGAGGTCCTTGACTGGGACTCTCATCAGTTTGTCGCGGAGAGTCTGCTGATATTGGAGAAACTTGGAGGCCAGATCAGAGCGCAAGATGTTTTCGCAGTGAAGGATCCGGTAGTTCGGGTCGATGTCAGCGCAAATCTGGGCTGGAGTCTTTCCGAGGATGTGGCTGGCGGCGCCGTGGACGGTCTCCAGGTCAAGGCCCTTCATCTTCAGCTTGTGATCGAGGAGGGGATCAAGGTTGTTGATTTTGCGCAGATCCCAGTACGTCTCCTTCTCCTTCAGAGTCTTGCGCAAGATGCCCCGACGATAGTCCAGAAGAAAGCTCGTAGTCTCTTCGATAAGGCGCAGGATGATTAGTCCAAAGTCAAAGACGGATACCTTCTTTCCACACTTGGCGATCTCGTCCGAAATCGCATTCCGCAGTGCGAATCGTATGCCGTCAATGACCTTACGGGGGAGCTGATACTCATGGTTCTTTACCAGACTGACGATCGGCTGAAGAATGTCCCGCAGGTTCACCATGAGCTTGAGCTCGAGCTCATCGAAACCAAAAGTGAACTCCTCAAACGCGACATACCCGCGGTACTTCACCTCCGGTGGCAGGTTCGAATCGATGATATCCAAAATCCATTGAGTCCGGACCTCCCGAGCAACCTTGAAATTCGGCAGCTTGACCCCCTCTTCCTCCTGCATTGCGAACCAACCCTGCTCTTGCTCAAAATCCGAATCGTCATCACCCGGATCACCCATGAAGTAAGAAAGCAGCAAACGTGCCTGAGGGCTTGGGTCTTATATACCCATATGCGACAACTGCCTATGCCTTACAGCTCGCTCGTGAGAGCATAACGTGACTCAAAACCTCTAGAACAGTCATAGCGACGAGAGGAAGAAAAAGGGCGGAAGGGCAACAACCCCTCCAATCAGCATTCGCTTCTCTGTGGCTATGCGTCTCCAACAACCCGGTGCCGTCAACAAGATCCAGCGCAACGACCATAGTGAAGAACAAAACATCGTATCCCCAGGCCGTTCAGGTACTTCGCCGCTTTGCTCGAGCGTCAAAACCAACTGTGCACATCTCGACGAGAGACGTCGTGAAGCTCCGGGCACGCCCTTCTTTAGGGCGGAGGCCGCCTTTGGGAGTTTACGGCGCATATTGCTCGACTACCCGTGCAACAACCTGTGAAATCACTCGCTGCAGCCTTGTTAAAGGCGGAAAAGATGCGAAAAGTGGTGGAAGAAAGCGTTCGACTCGATGCCTGCCTGGAGTGTGACGAAATTCCCTTTCGCTTCGTGAAGCTAGTCCCGGTTGGGTTAGCGAGCTCTCCAAACAATGCCTCTTTAGCAGATGAAATCTCAATTTATATGAAGCAGAAGCTTTGTGAAAGACTCCTCAACGGAGGAAGGTCTATAGTTAGACGCACTGTTTTTAATAGTTTAGGGAATCTCGATGCTGCGGGTGAGCAATGCTCCTGACGCTTCGTATATCTCCAGACACTACACTCCTTTTCTGCAAAGATTTTCTCGCCCAAAACATATAACTGCAGAAGTGAGATTATGGGAAAGAGTTTCTTGCAGACTGGCAGCTAGAATGGTGATTGCGTACTTATAGATCTGTGAGAAGAGACACTTTATTTGCGGGTCATCAAAACGGGAATATGTGCCCGCCGGGGTGAATCGAAACTTCCTCATTCCTGCGCGACCTATTCACATTTCGTCCGACGCTACAGCGGCGAGTAGTCTACTACATTCTACCTTTGTCCTTGCGTCCAAAGAATCAGAACACGACATGATCGTAGCTAAAGCCACATGCTCACAGGAGAACGAGTAGTTAGGGGAGTAGGTCTCCAGGGCCGAATTCGCAAATATGTTACTCCTATCCGCAGAGGGCTAAGCACATGCCAAACCAAGTCACTAGCAAAAGTAGGAGAGGAAAAAAAACCCCACCAGATCAGAAGTAGACATCCCACGCTCTTTGCTTTTGCGTCGTCGACGTGTCTTCCCCAAAGCCTCACCGCGCGCCGGAAAGTGCCTCTCAACATCCGAAGAGGGAATCAAAGGGAAGGTGGAAGGGGCTCGCGACACCACTGCTACAATAAAACCGCCAGACTATTGTTCCAGCGTGAATTTTCTCCGGCCGCAAGGGAAGAAGGGCTTGTTCCAGGATCTCCTCTTGGATAGGGGCAACCATCGCCTTGTTGTTGGGATAATGCACGCCAACACCGCTAGCTATCACTTGGGAAGTGCAGAAGACAGCAGTAGCTCGACTAAAAATTAAGTCCGGCAAGCTTGTGCCTTGCACCGCACCAACTGTCGTCCTGGCGGCTACGCTCCGCCCGAAACAGCGTTGTTGGACATAAGTGTCGAGACTAAAATATAGACCGGAGTATGCGGAGCGCGTTGAAAATGAGCAGGTCAGCTCAAAACTCTGCGCAGTAGGAAGCTGAAAGCTCTACAATTCCGGCTCTCGCGCATTGTAGCCGTGAAAGACGTCGTAACGAGAGTGTAGAGGCTATCGCCACAGGTCCGGTACACGGGAAAGGTTGCTCGATGAGGCATCCATTCATGGAACGCGTCGTCTCCCCCAACGAGGGAAAAAGGGCGACACTATCAAACAGATCCGAGCTGCAGCCACACTCGATAGCTAAGGACCCCACCACTAGAAGAAAACTGAAAGCCAGAAACGCTGCCGCGCGGACAGTGTTGTAAAATGGCCGCGCGAAGCCACTCGCCCGCACCGATGAACCGGGCCCAGACTGATCGGCCTTCAGTGGCCTTTAGATCAGTATCTGTGAACGCATACGACGTATTAGGAAGCATGTCCCCTTGCACGAGATCAGGGAGAACAGCGATGCTGGCGATTAGCGAACGATCAACGAACACAACCAGTTCGGTACGCGTCCCGCAATGGGGTGATGTGTTTCGTGAACGCAGAAGCGAACCACTACAGTCTATACTCTTCCATTATCCGGGAATAATCGTGAAATGTACTACCGCGAAGCGCCTGTCGGGTTGCCTGGGCTTGGAGCTCATCACATCTCTCACGATGCGCAATGTGAATCTATATACGGTGGTCTGGGTAAAACGGGTTGAGATGTGTCAGCATTGAGATGCTACTAATTCTTCGTGTTTTGCGGGGATGTCTCGTCGTGCTCACATGTCAAGTTCTTCCTTCTTCAATTGGAGATATAAGAGATCTTCGGAAGGACGAAGGAATAGATTGTCCTCGTAATACTTCGTTGTTGGTCTAGCATTGCTGAAGAGAGAGATAAGAGTCGATCGAGTGACTGTGGAAATGACGTTGATCCAACGTGATCATATAATTGCAGAAAACGAGTCGATCAGCATCTTCTAGATCAGACAGACTATGTCTAGCGAGCCGTAAATCGCGGGCCTTTTAGAGCAGGCATGAATGCCAGTGGGCTGAAGTTTCTCAAGGACAATTTACCTTCCGTTTCGAGTAACATGTCGGCAGGATAAGGATAAACGGGTTTAGATTTGCTTCTCTGAATGGTGATCAGCTCGTCTGTCACTGTTAGTCATGCGCTGAGGCGAGTTAATCCCACGCATCTCCTACCTAGCTCAGGGCATTACGCGCTTTGATCATGCGAACGTTGGCTAACTCGGAAAGGAGAACCATAGAGAAGACATACCGGGCAAAACCAATTGTGGAGGGTTGAATCATATCGAGCGGGGTTGCCGCAAACTATACGTAGTACTTGCAAATCATATGACGTTATGTGAGACTTGCAGCAGCGGTTTCAATGAAGTGCGACGTGATCCCGTCACGGAGCAGCAGCAGCTCGTTGACAATGTCAGGGATATGCTAACGTAGGCGCAGTAGACCATAGATCTACTGAGGGCACATCGGACACCCGTGGGTTTCGGATCTCGAACGGGGCCGTGATGCAGATTGCGAAGAGATGAGCGTGAGGGAGGGCCGGAACTAAACCGAAGTTTAGGGAATGGAGGAGAGCTGTTGGTACACCGCCATTTACTTCTCGAAGCCATTGCAGATGACGAGATTGTTCACCACGCTTCTGTCTAGGTGTTGCATAAGGTCCCCTAAGCTAGAGGCCCTAATGCACTCGAAGAAGTGATTGTTGAGCGCCCACATGGTGAAAAAGTAGTGACGGTTGCCAGTTTGCTTTCTCAGAGTAGAGTTCTCGCACCCATCGTGTATCCTCGCAGCATGTTCGCCCAGTTTGGGGGTTTGCGCAATGGCGGAACTTGACTTCAGTAGCATAGGGGTTGAGACTGAAGTAGGATGCTAGGCCGTGGCTATGTTGGCCTGAGTACACGTGTAACAGGCCCTACGAGCGGTTGCTTCGAAAGGCGACATTGAAAACAAGGTATAGCCTGGAGTAACTTGTGATGGGGCAACAGGATTGGACCCGATTGAGCAAGTTTCTGAGCCTTCTACGGCAGTAGCTGCTTCCGTAGGATGTATTCTTCAACATAGTGAGTAATCAAAGCTAGATAGAGGCGGTGTGGCTGGCACTCTAGCCTCGAGAGGCTACAATATGTATAGGTTGAATCGAAGCCCCCTTGCTACGGCTAACGTGCAGCGGCATGGCAGCCGCGGCTTGAAACCGCCGACCAGCCACTTCCAGCCACTCAATAGTTCTCTCTAAATTAGCAACCGTTCTTAGATGGGCAGGAAAGACGTATCTATTCTGAGAAGGAGTCAAATAATTAGCACGATTCTTCCGAAGGCGTTCTACGTGTTCCGTCTGCGCTTTGAGCACGAGGCAGGAATTCCGAAAGAAAAGAGGCAAGGCGTGATACGAAACGATAGCACGTAATGTGAGAAGCTACTGACACGCATGCGCACTGTTGAATTGCAGCGCAAGCGGTTCGCAGGTAATCTCCCATGTTGCAGCAGGACGTTATAGGACTGCTTAAAGTCGCTCGGCGCGCGCGGAAGCGCAATGTCAAGACACCAGATGTAGGCATGCACACGAGTGCCACACGCAAGGCTACAATCTGACTGCCATGGCTTTCGGTGGAAGAGAATAGAGCCCACGGGCGTTGGCAGTGCGTTCGCAGAAAACAGGAACGGAATTTCGGCCAACCAGTCCGGAAGCCGGCACCCGAGAACGTTGTTTTAAAACCAGCAGCAATCCCAGAAAATTGTTTCACGTCCTTCTGGTGGCGGAGGAACTGCGGCCAATAAGCCCGGAAGAGTACACTAGGTACCTTTTGGCGGCCCGGACAGAAACTAACTTTGACAATGACAATTTGACAGACACACAGACCAACGCTGATAGAACCTCGGGACGGAGCGATCCACGTGATGTGCCGGAAAACGGAATTTGAGATCTCGTCGCGCCTCTTGCCGACCGAGGGTGTGTTGCGTTGAGCAGTTACCCGTGTCTGCGGCAGTAATCGACAGATGTTCGCACAGCATGGATGCAGATTACCCCTGTCGGTTCGGAGATGCTCGTTCGGTCGCCTCTCGAGTCGACGAGGGGGTGCGTCATCCACTGGGAAAGTAATGAGGCTGATTGGACGGATGTTCGAGAATTGTGACGACGCTGTAGCTAACTAGACTGAGAGACTAGGTGGTTGCAAAGAATGAGTGCGTTTCATCATCCAGTTTAGTTTCGGTCAACACAGTAGTAGAGTGGAGATCAAAAGTGGAAAGGATGGAAATGAGGGGTCGCTGTCGCTAAGACGTTCGCTCAGGGTCGCTGCAGCAGCGCCACGGCAGGACCAGGTGGGCTAGAACTGGCGTTCAGCAAATGCGTACGACTCGTTCTGCGATGAGAGCTTGAAGCCACGCTCTTTGCAGGCGGTGAGGTTGACCACCCAAGCGCAGAGGTAGATATGTCAACATGGTCGCACGCGGGTGACTGCAAGATGCACCTTTGCGCATGCTGTATGGTCCGGAGACTGGAGATGATGGAATGCGACACTACACACGATCCATCGGTGACTGGACCGAGCACACTTCAATCCCATGACTTGGGAAGGTGGAAGTCCGCTATTTCCAGATACCGGGTGACGTTGCTGTTGTGTACCGCGGGAAGAGTCGCTGCGTCCTCATATTGGAGGAAGAATCTGTGGGCTGCGTGAAGGGAACATGCGAAGGAGGGTCGAGATGCTCTCTGCATGGTACCATAATATGTACAACCGGCCTTGGAAGGAAGAACGAGTCCTCACCGACTTGTCAAGTCGTTGTTGTGGGATGATCCGTTAAGTGCCATGTACGTCGATCGTCGAGGGACTCTCGCCTTTGGGTAACGGTTCACAACTCCCACTCCGCCGGCACGCTTGTGAGGGCGGAAATGTGTACAGTGTCACGGATACTACCACGTTCGCGTTCTCATTTTCGTCTCGTCGCCGTGGCCAATACACCGACGTTCTTGAGCTCAGTACAGGCTCGGACTGGCATACCTGGGGTTGGCGGTGACAGACAAACCGCCACGCATTACTCTGTAGAACGGGTCGTGATGGCGCCGTAAAACTATGAAGCTCAGCACGGGGGCGGTTGCAGTTGCGATTACGATTACGGCTATTGCCGTTTGCTGGATCCAGTGTAGGCAGAATTGTCGGCCAAAGGGCAAAGAACATGCGATGATGTTCGATAAAACAAGAGCGCATCATATACTTCCAGAAAGCCGGTGGCGGGTTCCATGATCCGACACGCTTTCGAGACGGCGGTGGGGCACGTAGTCAAACTCCCAGGCTACTGAAAGCGTCGAGTTAACAGGGTTGCCCTGGCCCGCGGATGGGGTACGAGGAGGGCAGGAGACACGATAGGGCACACGACGGCGGGGCTTGAAACCAAGTTGAAGGTTGCGCTGCGCACAAGATGGCGTTGGTGGCTCCCATCTTGTATGACAGCGCCAGTCGCAGAGCTCTGAACCGAGGCGGGCACAAGACGCAACCCAGCAACGATATCGAGGCAGCAAGGGCCTTCCGCTGCACGTTGTTTTCCGCGCTCGGTGAGAGACGTGCACGAGCGTCGTCGTCCGGCGTTGTGTCTTCCCAGTTGGTGCGGTCGAGGACATGCGGTGCGATGATATATGAGGTCTCCCTCCTGGCGCGAGCCGGGGGCGGTGCAAGCGATTAGCCCGGCGCGATGGCACTTGAGGCGGCCGAAGATTCGACGCTACAGCTCGACTGACAGAGCATGGCGCAAAGGCGGGCGGCCTTGGCGGCCCACACGGTGAACTGCTAGCCGCCCAGCAGGAGAGCAGGACGGCGGCGGCGACGGCATGACAGCGCTGTTGTGCGACACAGCGACCCGCCGCGTTGCTTCCGCACAGTCGCATCGCAGCTTGTGCGAGTACCAGACCGGATTTGCTGGAGCGGCCGGGCGATTTGCTGGGGCTCTCGATGGGCGTGCGTTTCCGAGCAGGAGGTTCGCCGGGGCCAGGATCGCAGGGCCGAAGACGCTCTCTCAAGGGCCACCATGATCCCCGCAGGAACGGCGGGGGAGCACCAATGGCGCACAGCGGGAGCGGTCAGGACGGACGTCGAGATGCATGGGTCTGACTCCGGACCGTCTACCGTCGCCGAGGCTGCATGGCGATGGATGGGGGCGGGCGGACGAGAAGAGCGGTACGTACTGCATTGGCCGGCGACGCTGCCCTATTTGCTCCGCGCTGCTGCTGCTGCGGCCGGCTGAGCGCCACGTCAAACTTCGCGCCGTCGAGGACATCGCTGGCGGAAACAAAATGCCGCGGCTGGATGAGATGGAGGCGTCCGGGATCTGGCGGGTTGATGCGAAGTTGATCGGCCGGCAGCGCGGGATATGAGGAGCCTGCCCAGATCGGGACTAGCGCTCGAAACCTAGCCGCGAATCACCCGTGGCCGCCTCCTCCACCTCCTCCCCCTCCCAAACCGTCCACCAGCATCCCCGATGCGCACCAGCGGCCGGCGCCAGTCAGCTGTCAACAAAGCCCCAGAAAGGGGCGTCCATTGAGCGTCCTCTGCGCCTGCCTCTGTCTCGTCAGCGCCCTGCTCGTCGTCCACGCTGCACGTGTCGGCCTCTCACTCCGCCTCCAATGTTCAAACAGTAGCGGGGCCCTGGATGTTTCCACCAGATCAGGCACATCCCTGCCACTTCTTTTCCTCGTTTGAGGGCGCTCTGCGCGAGTCACATAGTCGCTGTCGTCTACCCGGGGCATCCCTCAATTGCTCGTGGTGAGCGTAGGTATCGCTGTCGATCATCCGCTTCAGAGCAGTGCCGAGTCGCGGAGCCTGCATCCCACTTCTATTTTCGTACCACCTGCTCAACGCCTCTTCTGCGTTTCGATATGCCCTCTGTTGCCGCACTAGACGCCTCTCGCCGTGTGAGGCCGTGCTGGATGTCGACAACACACCCAGACTCGCGCTCCTGGCTGCTGGGAAGCATCCGCATGCACCCGTATGCTTGCCCAGCCACCAGCCCGGTTTGGCTTGCGGCAGCTGTCTTCCCGGCACTGGCTGCTCCAAGTCCAGGGGCCCCGTCACCGCGGATCTTACGTCCACAGCAGCTCACTATGCTCGAATTCGTCTCCGCTCATGGCCACGAGGCGGGTGGATGCAGCGTCGTTCACGCAATCTTGCCCCTCCGAGATCGCAAATTCCGGCCCCGGTGCGTCCTGCTCCAATCGCAGGGCGGCGGCTCCCCAGAAGCAAATGTCACAGTCCCGTGCGACGGGTCCCCGGTAGAGGTCGTGCAGCTTGTGCTCGCGCCTCAGGGTGTGGCAGAGGCACTGGCTGATTGTCTCATGTTTAGACCATGTAGCTACAGAGCAGGAAGGCCTGACTAAGGGACCAAGGCAGGTTTAGACTCGAGAGACTTCGGCTGAGGGCAAGCCTGAACAAAGTGGCTTCCTAATCGGGTGGCCTGGCAGCGAGCCGCCTGGGGGATTTAATCTCCTGCTCGTCAATCTCCAGCCACCATGTCCACTAGCGACGTGACGGGACGTTGACAGTTCGATGCGGCGGTCAGGGTTGCGGCGATCGCCAGGGCTGTGCTGAAGCAGAGGCATAGCAGCCAGCGAACAGCAGCGCGACGAATGGAGCGAGCAGCAGATATCACCCCTGCACGCGTCTGCAGTTTCTCAGTTTCTGCATCGAGTCAGCTGCAGCCTGTGCGAAGCGGATCGGCGACGGTGCAGGGCTCGCGGCGAGTGGTGGAGACAGCGGCGACGGCTCTGATGGCAGCGCCGTGTGGCCCCGGGCCTAGCGGCCTGCACGGGAGGCGCATCTTGCATCGCGCAGCTTCACCACCTTCGCCGGCAACCCAGCGCGACGGCTATCCCTGGGAGAGTACTAGCCTGGGTCTGCTCGTGCCTCGAGTCCTGCGGCATAGTGGGAGGGCCCTTTGTTTCCTCTGCCAGCCCACCGCCAGCCATATGCCCGCTTGTGTCGCGCTCGGAGAATAAGCAGAACCTTAACTCTCACCTGTCAACTTTGCGGGCGCCGCCCGACGGTACCTAGCGGTCCCCTCTCGCATTTTCTGGCACCTCCTGGCGCCCCCAAATCCAGACGGAAGCTTTGCATGGTCCAAGGGCGCCGTTGCACTTTTGCCTCCACCATCGTAGCGCCCCGCCTGTGGCTCGTCAGTCGGGCTCTGTTAAATATCCCTATCCATCCTCAGTCACCCGGTCTGCCCTCCCGCGAACCGCTGGCTGTTTGCGCCGGCTGATCCTCATCCATTCCGCGCGCGACACTCGCCCTGTGCGCCGACGAGAAAGCCCATAATACGAGTCCTATAATTACCTCATTGGGCTTGGATACCTAGGTCCACCACGGTCGACTTATATCAGACGTATTTCCTTCGACTGGCGGCATTGGTCCTCTTCGGCTCCACTTTCTCTTCTTCGCAGCGGCGTAATCAGATTGGTGAGTGATTCTAGTCGTTGGGAAGACCCCTGGCAGGTCGAGCCGTGGTAGCTGTGTATACTTGACGCGACTGAGGCTCTGACGGACGTCTGGCGGCTCCGGAAAGGGTGAAGCACGCTCAACAGGCGTCACTGGTACGCTACGAGGGAGGTAACCGTTGAAGCTGCGAGAATCGGCTGACGAGGTATATATTGCAGCACATACCGCCCAATGGAGTACCTCACGCTCCACGATATCCCGCATCGCCACTTCCCTCTGGGACCGCGCAGAATGGCTTCTCCAGACGACTCTCGTAGCTCTGAGAAGGCGCTGCCTGGCCTGGCTGCAGTACGTGAGCTTCCTTCTTTTAAGCTTGACACGCTCCTTCCACCCACAACCCCACCCGCACCTCCTACTCCTTATATTCCTATCTCCAAAGACATATTCTCCAATCCCACTCCCCAATCATTCCTATCCAACGACCCCCCAGCTGCCATGTGGGCTCCTCCTCTCAGGGACGTCATCAAGGGCATCCCACGCATCGACAGCCTTAATAGCCCCAGTGAAAAGACCGTAAAGAATGACACCGATGAGCAGAACCATCACATTCGCAATTCACCGCCATTCCAGCCGGGCGAGCAGCGACAGGGTCAAAATTCGCTGCCCTCGTTCTCTCAGGTACGCCGAGCGCTGAGGCGCTACTCTTTAATTCCACTGACATGCTTAAGTTGCTGCACGCCGTGCGCGAGCCATCACCGCCGCGTACGCCCTCCCGCAGGGCTACGTCAATTGCGAATTCCCCTGTGTCGGCAGCGCCGCAGTTTGACGAGGTTGCCTGGACAGACACAAAGCGCAGGCGCCTTGACACTGTCGCCGATGTTTACCAGCACTCCTCGAATATCGACCCTGCACTTTCCTCTGCCTACAACCCGCCCATGGGTTCGCAGCAGCCAACAGTGCATCAGCAGGCTCCCAGCCATCATCACCGGCCGAGTCTTCCTTATGTGGCACCCCCAACGCACACCTTGTCTACCCATGTGCGTCACCAGTCGACTCCTGTTTCTCATGCGCATGGATCGTACCAATATTCGCATGCTCCTCCTCGCAAACTCACTTCGCTGGCGGCTTACCAACCTGCGCGATTGCATTCGTCCTCTTACGACCCCAGAGGGAGCTACTATCCGGATCCTCATTCCGCGGCCCACGGTTACACGCTTGAAAGGACGCATTATGATCCCCGTTACGGCCCGCCCACGTATGTAGCTGCTCCCCATCCGGGCTATGACGGCGCGTACCTCCCACACCCGCACCCGCATCCGCAGCACAACTACACCTTCCAGTCAACACTCGGCATAGATCAGAGTTCTTTCAACAGGAAGCGACGAGGAAACCTCCCCAAGGAATCTACCGCTATCTTGAAAGAGTGGTTCGCTCGCCATCGGGAGTCTCCATACCCCACCGAAGAGGAGAAGGTGGAGCTATGCAGGCAGACGCAGCTCACTCTTAATCAGGTACGTCAGGTCCCACTTTTCAATCTGTCTATTGAAGGTGCGCCCCGGCTGCACCTGTCTTTCAAGTGCCAGTCGACGCCCTTCAACTGTCCTGACCCCTCTTCGTCCCAACGTTGCAGCCCTCGGCCCCGCTCAAGAACCACAACTGGGTGCGTCGTTAAGAAATAGCGCAACTTACACTTATCAGGTGTCCAATTGGTTCATCAACGCCCGACGGCGTGCTCCGCAGAAAGAGCAACGCGAGGCTCGCGAGAAGGGCGAGGCCAATAAGGACGACGCACCGTAAGCCCTCGCCCTCGACCGCCGGCTCCTCCGCCCACTCCAATGCTCCCCTCGGGTCACGTTTGACTGTTGGATTCGCTCGCAGTTGATCTGCTTATCCACCACCGGTCTTCATATTCTCACCTCGATTACGACGGTATCACGGCCGATCCGTATACCTCGAACTTACGCTTCTGTCTAATTACATTCTTTGACGACGTCTCTCGACGAGGGTATATCGGACAAGGATCCCAAAAAGTCTTTACTTCCTTCGATGCATATGGTCATTGGTATTCTATTATTTGGCTTCAGATGGCAGCCCCCCGAAACCGGGGCGCCGTCCAAAAGAAATTTCCCTTTCGAATGGCATTATCTGGCGTTTGGTGGGTTATCGGTACCCTCTCCGAATACACACTTGGGATCAGGAATCAACGGTGGTAATATGGGTTGTAGGCTTGAGGCCTTTGGCTTCGTCTCCCCCTTTTGAGTTGTCTGCTGTGATTTCTTATTGACAAACGAGTCGTTTTCATACCCCAGCTAGGAAAGCTGGGTAAAAGGGACGTTGGATGGGACATCACGAGAGGCCGGCACCATGGCATTGTCTGTACGCTATTCACGCACTTAATAGTCCTAATTGTATAATTATCGCTGAAGCATCATAATCATCTGTACACGTTCTATCTGACTGCCTGCTCCTCCATGCAGTCACTGCGTTGCTCCTCTTGGCCGAGGCGCGCCGTATCTGATCCGAACTTTCGTCAACCTCGTCCTGCTAGCCACTCTCTCCCGCCCCTTGGTTGAGAGACCCTCCCACCCATCGCGTGAAACTCGGCAGCACCGCCAGAATTCCAATAGCCTGACCCATTATCCCCCGAAAAATCGTCCCCCATCTTACACAGCCCGATGCGCTCGAGCTCGGTCCCCCTTCCATAGCGCCTTGCCGCGGTTTTGGGAGAACTGTCCGCTCGCCCCTATGCTTTACCACTTTGCACTGCACTGCACTTTCCCAACGGTCAACCTGGGCATGCATTACGTTTGCGAGGGTCAAGACCCCCCGCCATCTGCCCGCCAGCCAGTCACGTCCCCGTGTCCGCTGTCGCGACGCCGCTATCCGCACTGCCCCCGGCCCACCACGTCGATATCCAAAAAGCAAGCCAGACTCTATTGGCAACTCCACTGCATAAACCGGGCCGCGGGAATCCAGAGCAACACTCACGCCTACGCCTGCCTACCAGAAGCGCCGTGTTTGAAACCCCCCTGCTCGCCCGCGCAACTCGTGAGGAACGATATCACGATGATGCCTGCATTGACCCGACTGTGAACCCCGGCCTTGGCTGTCGTCGGAGTCTGGCGCGTGTACAGTACCGGCCGCTCGCCCGTCTGCGCTCCCCTCACTGCTGCACTGCCTCGCTACCTGCATGCGCCTTAGCAAGTCTATCTACCGCTCCCTCCTTTGTCAATACCTAGGAGAATGGCAATTATTTTTGCAACGTGCGGGCTGGGAGTTGGTGAGTCGGGAGAGTTTGTTGCCCGGGGCGGAAGCATAGATGTGGAGCGAGTTAGCTTGCACTCGGACTCTCTTGTCGTTGCGAGGGGAATGATCGTCATGAGTGGGCTGATTGAGTTCGAAGCAGGTGCTTCTTAGGGGTTCAGAGGGCAGTCAGTCAGGCAGGCAGTCAGTCAGTCATGCGTTGAAAGAAACTATTATCTGTGTTTCTCAAGCAGGCACACTTAGGCGATCGATGCATCGCCGTCTCGTTCCTGCATCACGAGCATGCATCGCGAGGCTGGCTGGCTGGTACGCTTATCCCGCTGCGTGAGCCAGACAGCCGTAACGCAACCGCGGCCAACGGCCTTCAGAAGCATGTGCGCGTCGAGAAGAAATAAAAATAGCTCGATGTTGACATCCCGACAGCGTGACAGCATTCCTACGCATGGCTTGAGTACACAGCCTCGCCTTTATCCATGGGAGGTGAGCAGTTCTAGTACCGCTGGAACTCGCCCATGCAGAGTGATGCAAGGTGGAACTCGGGATAAAGTGAGGCGACCATGCGAGGTCGGCCCGTGGTTGAGCGGAAGGGTGGTTGAGAGACGGGTATAGCCGTGGCCGTTGAGCGGTAATGCAGCGTCCGTGGTTGGATGTAGGGGGGGAAACGTTGAGGGCGTTTTGATAGCGTACCGAGAGTGGAGTGCGGAAGGCGCTAATGGGTGTGGTGAGAGCGTGAAGAGTGGCTGATGCGAAGGAATGCAATATTAGGTCTGCGTGATGCTATGTACGTCAAGCCAAGTATGCTGCGCTTCGGGTATCATAAGAATGCCATTCCAACAGTCACATCGTCAAGACCCTGAACCGCTATGCGCTCGCCATGCACCTCAACACCTAGTAATCCCTTGAAGACATTCAGCGATTTCTCCGTCGGGAGTCGGAGAGCAGGTGTATCTGCATCCCGGGCCGATCCTCCTGATACTCCGCAGCCATATCCAACACTTTTTGCGCCCAGCCAAACTCGCCGCGAATATCGTCGTGTTGTATGCAGGGGCTCATCTTCAACGGGACGAGCCACTGCCAGATGCTGTAGCCCATGATGCTCTGTAGGTTCGGCCACGTGCCTATATCCCATGGGTGATCGAACGGTTGCGTCTGGAAGAGAACGTAGGAACGCGAGGCATCGCGCTGCACCTCCTTCAGCACAGTAGGCGGCTGTTGATTCGGGCTCCTCGAGGCCCTGGACGAGTTTTTACTCCGCGACGTTCCCGCCGTAGCCAGCATCGCGATATTGTGTACTCCGCCTCTTTGCACGGTTTCGATCGTCGTGTAGTTGATGCTGAGATTCCAGAACGTCGTGAAAAACATCGTCCCCGTAAATATGCAAAATATACCCGCCAGGGCAGTCGCCGCTATCCAAGTCGCTGGCTTAGAGCCCAGTAGTCGTATGCGCTCCGCCAAAAAGTACGCCATCGGAACCAGGGTGAAAGTCGTAATAATCGTGCCGTAGAAAACGAACTGGATGAAGAACTTGTGCGTCGTCTCACTGATTATGCCGCCCGCCCACGGGCAGTAATGGTCCATACGTCGTACGCAGCGATTAAGCTCTCTGCAATGGTGGGTGCGGTCCGGCTTGAAATTGTGGCATTTATTGCACCAGAGCGGATCGCCGTCGTAGTCGGCGATGAAGGCGTCGTATTTCTCGAAGTACTTTTGCGACGCTTCTTGTTTTTCGGAGGAGGGCTTGCCCAGCGGCATGAGACCCGGGTTTGTCCAGATGACCTGGAGAAGGCGCATCCAGGTCACCATGAGGATTAGAAGGAGAATCGAGAATACTGTGATGAGGGCTACCGCAGTGGGTTTTCTGGGGAAGACGCCACGCGATTGGAAGTCTGGTGAGGGCCGAAGAAGATATTCGATAGCGAGTGAGTATATGAAGACGTAGGCCGTGAAGCCCAGGGCTCCGAGCTGTAGTAGCGGCATCAGGACGGAAGAGAGCTGGCCCATCCTCTGGTCCAGTGCCGCCTTCTTCCTGTCTTTCTCCGAGAAAGACATGCTGGGCAGGGGTTAGGGTGTGCGAAGGCCTGCGAGGTGCGGAGGAGAGGGGGCGCGTCTGCGTAAGTACAGGGCCGTGGGACGGCCTTCAGCGCGCAGGACGGCACTTGGGACAGCGCGCTATGTACACAGTCCTGCGAGCTTTCAGAAGCCGCGATCTGAAGGATGTTGAAGCGTGATGGTGGTACGTGAAAGCGCGATGGGGTTGGAGAGGGTTGTAAGCAGGAATGCTTGGCGTGCTCAGCCACCCCAGCCTCGTATTTCGCGTCCCGCGGCCCAGCACGTGACGCGATTGGACAATGCGCAACCTTGTTTTGTTTGTTTCAGATCGTAGGATTGGCGAAACAACACCGCAGATCTATCGCGATATGCCGAAAAGGGCCCTTTTGATGCTTCATCAGGAGAATTGACCATGCTAGCTGCAATTGAGGGTGGATGACAGAATGCGGGGTAGCACCGCGGGGTGAAGGCTTTCAAGTCGCTCTTCCCCGGCTTCTCATGCCTCCGTTTATCTCTACCCACCGTGCCACCCTTCCTCCTCGCACCCTCTTCAGACATCGGCCAAAGCAGATGCTTTCTCTTTGCCGTTGTCGCCCTCCAAGGTTTCTACGACCCGCTCGATGCCGTCAAGTTGTCAGCTGAGGCTAGCGCGGCCGAGTCATTGACCTGCAGATGGCAGATGATCTCATCCACAAAACCAATTCGAGCCCCATCCCTCAGCCCTTCGACCCTCAGCTGTTGACGGCTCTTTTCCTTTCGGCTTCTATCATCCAGTCTCTCATGCGCGCGCGAAGAAAGTGTCGCTGTAGCTCCGTTCATCTCGCTTCACTCTATATCTCATTCGATGGACTCCGTAGCCGCCCCAAAACTAGCACGCTTTCGTCACCGGAAGTCCTCAGCCTTGTGCGATCGTCTCTCTTCTTTTCTTCGGCCTGACGCATTATCGCTTGTTTTGCTAGTATTCGGCCATCCATTGACCCAGCCGCCGGAGAGGTGATGGCCCTCATCCCATTTCCGTCGAAATGAGCGCACACTGTGTACTCGTGGCAGCACAACCACGGAAAGTGAGGCGCGAAAGAGGGCTGCAACAAGACGCTCATGCCCGAGGCATTTTCGGACCATGTATTTAGGTGCTGCGCCCCGGCGCTGTGAAGCTTGCGACTGACGGCCTCCTCACCGCACCTTTTACCGGCACACCGCGAGGCTTTCAATGCCAGCCTTGTGGCCTCCCCAGGCCCGTCAGTCACGGCAGCATGTCTGCCTAGGGTTGTACTTCACCTGAGACGCTTCCGGGGACCAACACTGAGTAAGCTATGCTGCCCATGTCTAGTCCAGCAGGTTCTTACTAGCCGCCAGGAATCACTGCGACAGAAGCCTCATGACTCTCGTCCTGTCCACAACTCCGACTGCGCCGCCGCAGATCCGCGCTATGTATCCAGCCCCTACGCAGCATTCGGCCCCGTTACGAGGGTTCTGTCCGCCTCGAGTCCGGATTACACAACTACAAACGGCGGAGTGAAAGCGGCCATGCCCCGCCGGCGTGTCTAAGATAGGGGAATTACATATGTCAAAGGGCTGACAACGTTGGAGTGTATTTCGCATGGGGCCAGCCCTACCGTGGATAAACAACCGACTGTCACTTCAGGCTCGGGGTCATCGTACGACGGATGCACCCCGCCACCACGACCATCAACAACCAGCCGCAATTAGAAATTCTTGCAGACCGGAGACATCGAGGGCTTCCACGTACGGTCCTGCGGCACTCTCTCGATCCCCGCTTGTCTGATGGACGTGATACCAGGCAGGGCTTTTTGCAACTGCTGTCTCGGTGCGGGCTTCGTTCTATACCGTATACCTCTCCTTGTCCGAGTCAACAATTTGAGCCTCGTCCCTCGCTCCTAAAGCCCCCATTAGCAATTCTTAGTGTCTTTCTTTTGTGCTATTCTGACGTATTCCCGGCTCTATCCCACGCCGGGTACGGACGACCTTCTCTTTTGGCACTCAGTGTCGTCCCTTGCAGGTTGTGCGACGTGCGAAGCAATATCGAAAGCGTGGGATGCATGTAACAGTGTCAAGGGTGTTGCCTTCCAGCAACCAGGCCCCGGATTCTGTGCTAGGGTCGGATTGTTGGGTCAGTTGCGTTGGTACGTACACCCAAATCACTCCAACCGTTTCTCCAGACGCATACTCTGTTCTCATTGGCCTTTTGGCTAACTGAAATTGTACGGAAGCAGAAGCCCCTTCATCGAAGCGCACTCGAGTCGGTTGACGCTTCGGCTCTGGACTCTTCCTGTACGCGCAGCTAGGCAAACAGGCAAACGTCTTTCGCGGTGAGCCAATCTAATTGCGGTCCCGCACCAAGCCCTCCCGACCACACAGCGCAGCCGGGATGAGTAGCGCAGCTTGTCACCTGCATTCACTCGGACCTTGTCGAGCGTGGGCGTAATAAAACGACACTCGTTCGACCTATCACGTTTGAGATTACCACGACCACTCAGCAACTGTCAGGTCCGGCACTCAATGGATTTTCTTTCAACAGTCACACGCAGGTGGCGCACACGGGCTCCGGCCTAAACTTTACCAAGCCTGGCCGCCACTTCTCGGCCCTATCCTAGGGCTAACGGTCTTCGACGCCTTCGGCTTCACTCCCAATGGACCACCATGTCGCCGTCCTGTTCACGCTTGGACCGCTTGTCGACGTCTTCGGCGCTCACCGACGCATGTTAGCATCACAGTCCTCCAAGGTCCCTTGCCGGTCATGCTACCCTCTCTCACCGCACCTGGTCTGCCTCCGTGGAGGCCTCCCTAGCCTGCGCCTTGGCCCTCAGCTCAGACGGTGACGGTGGCTCATGCTTTTCTGCCTTCTTTCCTTACCGTCAGGAACAGCTCGCGAAGGAGCTCGTCAAGTATATGGCACGCCCTGTCTCGAGCACGCTATAAAGCGGCCCTCTCCCCAACGAAACTTCCGGACAAACACACCACAGCCCGCCCGCCACTTCTTCCGGTTTCTTTAAACCCTCAATATCCTAGCCGACCGTCTTGTGTTGTTCAACGACCTGCTTCTACCTTGTCAAAATGCATACCTTCTCCACGCTGCGCTTCTCCACAATGGACGTCTGTCTATTGAAGCCCATTCCCGCCGAGTGTGGCGACGCTTTGCGTACCGCTTTACCCTTGACCGAGCTGGACGACCGCGACTGCCCTACTCTTCTACGTGGGCTTCGACTATCTCTCCTGAGCCCATTGATGGGTGCCCCTGTCGCTTCCACCTGTCCGGGAGAGTCGCACCATAAGCACATCGACGAGCCTTTGCAAGATGGCCCAGAAGACTCATATTGGTACTGCCCGGAGTGTGGAGATGGGCCCTACCAGTCCTGGAACCCATGCTGCGCCAACTGCGCGTACAAACGAGGCTAAGCGGAGAAGGCATAGACTCGATACGGTACGTCATGAGAGCCACCCTCTAACTCAGTAGTCTAACATGCTCTGCTTCGCAGGCTCGTTCATCTTTCGAAAGCCTCTGGTTCTTAAGGCATCTCAAGCAGCTCTCCGCCCAGCGATCTTGCAAACGTCTCCACCCCGTGCCGTGGGCCGCTCTTGAATCCTTACCTCTGGCTAACCGTTACTGGACCGTTTTCCTTTCCACGGTGGATATTTGGTTTTGGACTTCCCTTTCGTTTACTCCAGAGACTTGATGTCTATTTTATCCCGTGATAACGGGTTTTGGTGGTCTCTCTCGTAGCATTCCAGCGACGGCATTGCATGAGCGCGATAGCTATTAGAAGATTTTCCAAAGAGCCCGCTTGATGCGGGCTGCCTCTTCACGGAGGAACTGTTTTAGTACGACTATATCACATATTTGGTATTCTTACTCCATCAAACCCCCGTTGATTCATTGCTTCCGCGCCACTATCAAGATACCTTTTCAATCCTGCCGTGGGTTTTGAAGGTGGGTTGCAAAGGCTATTAGCCGCACGACTTTGGGGGCCATTTCGGCCTGTATGCGCGGTTATCTCGACCCCAGAGTCTCAGCTTCGAGGATCTCAGTCAAAACGCAGGTACGCGGCATGTTGTGTGAAGTACCGGCATGCGAGGCAAAGCGGCATTGCCAGAAAGGCAAGAATCTGCTTGTATGTCACACAAAGGGAAACTGCGTAATCCTCGCTGAGGCTCGCAAGGCAATCAAAATTGGCTGCCCTTCCACCGGCGAATCAACGTCCATAGAGGCTGTTTAGTTCAGGCTGCTGGGTGGCGTCGCTGGCGAGCCAGGATGCCTGGAGCTCTCGGTCAGGACCCGATGTGAGGCCATGAGGAACCACAACAACCTCAGGCACTCACACTACCAAAACGACGACCACTTTCGGTCCTTATGTATCCGTCACGCGCCGTTTATAAACCGGCACGGCCACCTTCACCACGAGATCGTCCCTCCGGCGCCGTCGCGAGCTCTAGCATGGAGCTCCGGTGCACCTCCTACCCCGTTCACGACACACCGGCCCGGCCTGCGAATCCCTCGCGAGACCGCTCCTTTCTCAGCTCAAACGCTCCGTCACGGGGCGTCTGAGGGACGCGCGGGAGAGGCGTTTTGCGCAGATGGCGCCCTAAGCTGAGCATCATCATTTCACGCCAGCGTGTCGCTTGAGTGCGGCCTCAGAGAGAGGGCTACAGGGCAACCATACTAGCCGGTGGCGGTGGGCCGTTACGGGCCTTTGCGCCTCGCCGTTATGGCTTGGGCATAGTCCTGCGTCCTCCATTTGGAGTATATGAATGGGAAGCCCACCCCCTATGTCGTGTTGCTTACTTCGTCACTCATCGAGCCCCCTCAAGGACTCAAGACTCCAGACGAACCACTACTACTTCTTCCACATCGCTACCTCACAATCCAATTTACCCACAAGACATTATCAACATGCCGGAGTACTGGTGGTGCTGCCAGTGCAAATCCGGCGGCTACAACGTCGAAATTCATTCGGCGTGCAACGAAACCTCCTGCCAGCACAAAAGGTGCTCGGCCTGCCCGACTGAGAGGCATGAGTGCCTCGATTCCTCTTCAGAGTTCGGAGACACGCACTCCGAATGCAGCGACGTCGCCCCCGATTCCCTGCTCGTCTCGAAGTTCGACTTTCGCGTCCCGAGCCCAGAACTTCCTGCAACTCCTCGCATGCCGTTGTCGATACTCTCCCAAGAGGGTATGAAGACTCTTTCTTACATGCCATCTGGCACATCCGACCACCCCGCCCTCCTTACGCACGCCTATGCTGCCGCCCTCGATCAGCCTTCCTCCCACAACGTCAACACCCACGGAACCAACACCCGTCCGAATGGGCACGGCGAGCGGGAACTCCGCTGGTACTGCTGTTACTGCGGCGATACAGACAACAGCTACAGATACCAGAGCCACTGCCCGGATTGTAACCACAAGCGTTGCCGCTATTGCACAGTGACGGAGATCATAAGGAAGTAGGGTTTTGGTGGTGGACACAGTTGGCTTGGAGTTCTTGAAATCGATGTGGGTCTACGCCTTTCTTTGTTCTTGCAATAGGCTAACATCTTCGTCTAGCTCATGGTGGCTAAGTTGTCAGGTTTCTTGTTGTTTCCTTTCTCGTCTGGAGTTTGTCGGGTCGTCCTTTCAATCTCTTATCCTTTTCAACTGATACCCTGTTCACACACCACACTATGCTGGCCAGAGCCAGGGGAATCTCTCGTCAAGCACTGCATAGCGTGGCGGCTTCGCCCAGCGTTCAAGCGTCATTGCATGTAGATATCCCGGTGTGTCTCCTTCCTCGCGGGCCAAGGGGAGATGCACATACCCGTGTCTTTCATTTTCGTCTCGTACATGTATCAAAGCACCAATACCCATCCTCAAGTTCAAGTTGACGTTCAAGCTTCGGTCACTCTGCAGCACTCTCCTCTGGCACAGCGCGATCAATGCGCCGGCCATCCCACCACAAACTTGGGTTTAAGCTTATTCGCAGCCACACGCCTCGCCTTACGCCTCAACAGCTTCAACCTCATCATGCGCACGCATGACATGCCGACTTACTCGTGCGCTCCACTGTTCGCACCGCCGCCCAAGTCCTCCCCATAAATCAGGCGACGCACGCTACAGCCCCAACCAGCAGCCTCACAGGCCTCTTCGCGAAGGCAAAAAGGAAGCTTCGGCAAGCCCTGTCTCAGCGCCATCAGGGGACTGCCGGATCAGCGCAAGCCACCACCATCAGCACCCGCGGCGGGCGCGCTTGTGGCGTCTTACCAGCGCAAATTCTCCGCCTAGACTTGCCGGTCCGCGAGGAATGGTTTTTCTCCGCGATCTACGCGGCGGCCGTTGATCGTTGGGGGTTGGGAGTTTCGCGCCGGTTTGTTGAGTTTTGCGCGGTGAACGGAGGTAGTTACGCGCGACGAAGACACACACTGAGCGAAGCAGCGACGACGAGGAGCACGAATAGAATACACGCCGCCCGTCCGCATGCTCGCGTGCTTGTGCTAACTCGCGCGTTACACTCAGCTCGACCGGCCGCTTCGCACAGCTAGCAAAACTCGCTGCCTTGCGATGCCTCGCCGCCGTCTCGTCTCGTCTCATCTCATTCCAACATAACTATTACGAAGTCCTCCCCTCCCCCTGCGCTTTCTGCCTTGCTACCCGATGCTACCCGTGTGCCAGAAGGTAGACTAAGAAGCGAGAACGGGGTGAATGTGCGCGCAGGTGACGAGGACGTTGGCTTAGGCTATGTGGCGATGCGTGCGGCGCAGGAGCATCTTCTTGACCGACCAGACAGGGCGTGCTGGGCAAGCTTCATCCTTCCGCCTGGCTGACGGTCGGTTTATTGCTCCTGGAGGATCGGAAGTGTGGTTCATTGTTCTTATTTGGAATGCTAGGCGCTGGGCTGGCGTACGCGCAGCATCTTGGGTCGCATCTTATCAGTTGCGGCTAACTGCCCGATGAGGCATGTTCTGAGCCCCGTGGATCGCAGTGCTAAATGATTTTCACGGCGGCGCGGTTACGTGCGGTGCGGCAGCAGGCGTCGGAGCCGAGGGTACATAATAATATCGATAAGGCGAAGCGAGGGTGCGCTTCTCATCTCATCTCATCTCACCGCAAAACCCTGGTTTCCATCGCCTTGAAAGAAAGGAAGGTTATATCGGTCCGACTATCCATCTATCTCTCTATGTATCTCGCAGGGCGTTGCGCCGCGCACCACCTCGGCTTCACGCCCTCTTAGCTCACTCCACTGCACTGCGCTTCCTCAGCGGACCAGACCATCTCGCACCGCCCCTCGCGCTCCGTTTTGTGCCCCTCGTGTTTGGTATGGCCGGCCTCTCGCCTTGAGCAGCGAGGGTGCGCCCAGCGTTTCAGCTACCCAGAAGACCCGCACGTCACGTTCTCACAAACAGGGCACAGCACAACCGCGTGAGAGCACATGTGCGGTTTCGTTTAGTTTCAGCCTGGGAATCGCCTCCCTGTTGCGTGCGTGCGCTGGGGGCATACATAGTGCGTCTGCAGCCCTGTCAGCCCTGTTGTGGCGTGCAGCGAGCTGGTGGGCATGACGCGAGATGCAGCAGCCGCACTGCGAGATGGGCATGTGTGCCTGGGCTGGGCCGGTCTTCGACCCGCCACAAAAGGGGCGCGAGGCTAGGCCACTGTTTGAGAAAGAAGGGAAGCCTCAGGGCAAGGGCGTGACCGCAGGATAGTAAGTAGCTGGAGCGGAACCGAAAAGCAGTTGTGAACCTGAGAAAGTCCTGAGGCTCAAGGCAGCGTATCAAGTAGATGAAAAGCTGCCTGATACTGCCTCGGATGGTGCAGTGCACCTTGAGCTACTTTAGCTCGTCCTCCTGCACCTGGGCACTGCTAAAGGCACGTGATTCACGCTCGCTGCGGCCTGGGGTGGTACAGAAAGAGCCGCTTGGGCACCACTACTGATGAACCTAGCGCTTGGGCATGAAGGATTTCGTGGTCCCCCGGACAGGAGAGGAAGTTCGCGCCGCTTTCGTCCTCTGCTTTCGGAGGTGACCGGTGGGGAACTAAGAGGGCCGGGGAGGAGAGCAGGCAACCGTCCCAAAGAGGTAGTGTGCATGCTGCGGCTGTAAGTGGTTCCGAGAGTGGCGAATGACCGGGGGAAGATGAGGAGTGTCGTTTCGATTGGTGAGAGTCGCCACGTAGGTCGTTCTTACGCATGTGCTTTTCGCGTCATGGGAATGCTAGAAGTGGAGAGCGCTTGCGGGCCACTTCCGCTGAGTCGACGCGCGCAGATAGCTCGCAAACTCTGCTCGTGCTGTGAGTGCCGAACTCTCCCTTTCCAACCGGTGAAAACGCAATATAGCTCAGCGCCGGCAGCGATGAGTCGAAGGAAATGTGGGGACGAGGGGAGTCAACCGTGACGCTAGGGCGCTTGTTGGCTGGATTGAGGGAATAAGTCAGTCCTCAAGTCATCGTCGGCGCCCCCGAGAACGAGCGGAGGAGTGGACGCTGCACCAGCGGTGGACGTCGAGCTGAGAGAGTTGCGAGGCAGAAGCGTAGGTGCATGTTGCATCGAGATCGGGATATTGATGAATCTGCGGTATGTTACACGTTTCTTTACTTGGTTTTGTACAGTTCAGTACTGATACAGAGAGGAGATGTCGTACGCCTGTCCATGCGGGCACCGAACGCCGATGAAATGCTTCCAGGTCCTCCGCTGCGTCCTCTTCTTCCTCTTACGCCTCAACCTGACACACCCACGGCTCGATCCGCTGTCGATAATGGCCAACGGCGGTCAAAAAGCCAGCGAACCCAGCTCTTGCTCTTTCCTTTCCTCGATGTATCGGCGCTTGAAGACCCTTGGCAATCGAATCCTCAATCTCTACTTCTTCTCCTCCTCACTCTCCTCCCTCTCATCCCCCTTCGTCTCCCTAACATCCTTATACGGCCGGCCTGCATAAAGCATATAGCCCTTCTCCTCAATCGTGCCCGCTTTCTCATCCTCCATCGCCCTGCCCTTCCCAAACGAGCCTGTTTCTAGCTGTCCTGCTACGGAAATCGGTCGGTTGCCGCGGAACCGCTTGCGCATGTCGATCTGCCCTTTTTTGCACTCGGCGTAGCCCTTTTGAAGTTGCTGGCATTGCGTGGGCAGCGTGTATTTAAGCGGGGGACGGAGGCAGTCGCCGGGAGAGTGGCGCTCGACCTGTGGTGTGGATGAGAAGGTGTGGAGGCTAAAGAGGATGAGCGGGGAGGTGTACCATTATGCAGTCTGAATTCTGGAGGCAGAAGGCCAGCGCGGCGCCTGTGGGTATAGTATGTTAGTTGTGGTTCCATGATAGCTGCTCTGAGGATGCCGCGGAGGTGGTGCGACGGCATCTTCGAGCAGCTGCTGGACGAGGAAGATCGAGGAGCTTACGTATATCCTTGCACGACTGGGGCATCTCGACTAGTTTCTCAATCGAGAAACGGTGTTTGCTATCGGTTCATTGACAATATGAATTGTGATGTGAAGCTCAGAGCTGCATCGTGCTCCCGCAGAAAGTTCCCCGGCAAAAGTTCGGCAATTGCCGGAGGGAGCGCTGGAGGTGTGATCTTCACATGCCAGGGGCAAGGATCTAGTGCCCAACGTCATGCCTCCGACAACACACTATCCATGCGTGCAGCTGTTAATCGCTTTCACATGGACTCATATATCTTGTGATGGAAGAAAGGTTCAATTACATACCCCTTTTGCTTCTCGCTTGACCACTTGCGCTCCCCCTTTTCTGGCCAACACACAAGTTCGCAAGTGTTGCTATCAACGCACACGACCGTCGCGAAAATCCCTCGAAGGACTTCACCCTGCTTTTCCAGCAGCTCAGCTATCCCACGTCCTCACGAGGAATTCTGCGACCAAAGCTGGAGAAGCTGCCGGGATGGCTCTCCATATACCCTTCCTCTCGCGCCTCCATCTGCGCGAGTACTTCGCCCTCGGCCTCTCAATCATCCTAATCGTCCTCGAAAGCTTTATCTCGGTCATCACCCTCGCCCTCCCAACGCCCATCATCAAACTCTGCTACCGCATAACACGCCGGCTCTTCAACCACCTCTCCTCGCCCTCCTCCCGCCGCTCGAGACAAAAGAAGAAGGGCGTGTGGAGCTCTATCGCCAATGCGTCGGATTTTGGGGAGCTGTGCGAGCTATACGGATACTATACGGAAGAGCATGTGGTGCAGACGGGAGATGGATACCTGCTTGGCCTGCATAGGCTGGGCTGGCGGAGGGGCGAGGAGGACGTCAGGGTCAATCCTGGGCCCAACCATAAAGGAGGAATGAAGAAGAAGGTGGTGTATTTGCACCATGGGCTGCTGATGAATAGCGAGGTGTGGGTCTGCTTGACAGAGAGGGAGAGATGCTTGCCCTTCGAGCTTGTGGAGAGGGGCTACGATGTCTGGCTCGGAAACAACCGCGGAAACAAGTACTCAAAGAAGTGCGTGCGGTGCAACCCCGCCTCGACCCAGTTCTGGAGCTTTAGCATGGACGAGTTCGCCTTCCATGATATCCCAGACTCCATCTCCTACATCCTCAACACTACGCATCAGCCATCGTTATCGTACGTTGGCTTCTCTCAAGGCACAGCTCAAGCATTTGCAACCCTATCGATCCACCCCAACCTGAACGACAAAGTCGACGTCTTTATTGCCCTGGCTCCGGCCATGTCTCCGAAAGGGCTTAATTCAGGAATCGTCAACTCCTTCGTCAAAGCCTCGCCAGACGCACTCTTTCTGGCATTTGGTCGACGTGCCATCCTTGCTTCTGCAACAATGTGGCAGTCCATTCTATACCCTCCTATATTCGTTCGCTTGATCGACGCTTCGCTCAGATTCCTCTTCGGATGGACGGGGAACAATATCGCTCCCCACCAGAAGCTGGCGTCTTATGCGCATCTTTACTCCTACACTTCCACTAAGAGCGTCGTTCATTGGTTCCAAATCATTCGCAACGGGACCTTCCAGATGTACGATGATGAAGCGCCTAATCCCATCCTATCAAATCGATCAAAGTACTACAAAGTCGCCAAGTTTCCGACCAAGAACATCAAAACACCCATTGTGTTGGTATACGGAGGCTCGGACAGTCTCGTTGATATCGACGTCATGCTAAAGGAGCTTCCTCGCCATACAATCGCTAAGGAGATCCCGCATTACGAACATCTGGACTTTCTCTGGGCTTCCTCCGTCGACCAGCTCGTCTTCCCGCATGTTTTCGAGGCGCTGGATCAATACGCAGGGGTCGAGCACACATCTGTTCAATCCCTAAAGCACAAGCGATTCCGATCGCCCGGCCGTTATCACGGCCTGCTTCCCGAGTCTGGTGCACTTCCTGGGCCTGAAGGTGATGATGCGGCCGAAGAGAGCTCGTCAAGGTATGTATATCATACCACACATAATAGCATACCTTAGCTCTGGTCTTTGAAAGCCGCTTTTGAAGGCTCTCAGTAGTTTATCCATAGCCTAAACGTGCTGGAGTGTTATCCCGTCCTTCTGACATAACATTTACTAATGTATATTGGCACCTTTACAGCCCGGCAGTCCTACGAGCAAAGAAGCACTCACAGAACACGAGGCGGATCTCCTTTACCGATCAGCCGCACGACTCTCCGCAGCCACAGTCCATGGCGGCCATAATGTCGAAGATACCTCACCCCGCCTCAAGTTACGCCGCCGCTGTGGAGCGCCATCACTCTCCGACTCACTCCACGAGCACCTTTCCGCCGCCCGCGCCAAAGGTACCGGTGCACACTATGGATTCTCCAGCCGCCTCCGTAGACGCCTCACAGATCACCGCCCGTAGCTCTACCAGCAGGCCCGAAGGCTGGTGGTCTTCAGACGAAGTCGCCGGAACCGGTCACTCCGAACCGCCAACGCCGACGCCCCATACGCCGCCGAAAAGCCCACGCAGACAGAGCTTCGACAGTCAGAAGAGCGGCAGGAGTGGTAAGCTGAGTGTGTTTGGTGAGCGGGGGATTACTGTTGGATTCGGGAAGGCGGTGAGCGGGATCGTTGGCGACATGGGAAAGGGTGAGGGGAGCGGGAGCGGGAGAGATGGTGAGAATTTCGGGGAGGCTCAGGGGGAGGGGAAGAAGAAAAGGAGGGGGAGGAGGAAGGCCGGGGTTGGGGCGGACGCGAATTGAAGGGCTGTCAAAGGAAGAGGACGCATGTTTATGTCGCATGAATGCTGAAGGCCTTCAGGCTCGTTCGATGTACATATGTTGGAAGCTCTTCAGAGCTTGTTGCATGATCCACCATTGAATGTTATGACCTCAGCTCCTGGGGCAAGACCATTCGCCGATGTCCGAGCGCTTATCGGTTACCTTAGTACCCAAAGATTCGTCGCACTGACATCTCCATCACCCATTGCATCGACGTTCCTCAACATTCCCGTACCGCCAAAATAGTACAATTTCTGAGAATACACGTGGTGGCCTTGCGTCCCCTCCTTAATTGGCTAGCTTAATTGGATCTGGGCAGGTATCAGCATTCCGCGTGCACATTCCATAACAATGTTGCAAATTGATCTGGAGCACGCAGGATATGTTCAAATTAAAGCTGGCTCACAAAGATGCGTCAGCGGCGTACCCTACGTTCATCATCGAAGTTCATCTGAAGATGCGGCCGCACGCCTTGCTTGTTGCTCTAATCGGCGTCGCAGACTGTGCTCTTGTGGTATGTACGAGGCTTAAATCCTCTTCACAGCCATCGTGACTGACTAGACAGGACCGCCAACATACGGAGCACCCGCACTCTTTCGTTTCCATTCTTCCATCCGAAACTGTTTATCCGTCTCGCAGTCACGGGCTTGGATTGCAAGACGATCCGCCGATCCCAACTAATGATCCCATTGCGGACCCGATCGATCGCAGCGGGATCTTCCTATCATACAAGAAGCCTCCAGTTGACCGTCCGGGATCAAAATTACAATGGGTCTGGGTAAGCGATGGCGAGGATGATGAGGATAAGCTTCCAAAGTCTGTGGACTGGCGCAACAAGTGGGAAGTGAATTGGATTACTTCAGTCCAGGTGAGAGTCTAGACCAATGTCCCTTGACCGGTCTGACGGCAATAGAACCAAGGCGCGTGCGGCAGCTGCTGGGCCTTCTCAATAACAGCACTGATCGAAGCTATGACGCGCATCCAACACGGCTCATGGGACAAGCGCAGCGAAGCTGATCTCCTCGAGGCTTCGCAACGAAATTGCCAGGCGGGATGGGACTTTGACCCTGCTTTTCAGCTTATTCAACAAGATGGCCAGGGCCTCAGCGATACCATGTGCAACATTTACTACGCTTTTGATCGGCCGTATCTCGGCTGCGGCGACCGCTCTGGAAGAGCTTTGCTGCTCGGCAACTATACGGCACTGGAAACTATCGATGACCAGAAGTGGTGGCTTCATAACATTGGACCTATCACTTGTGCTATTGACGTGTACAAGGATTTCTTTGAGTGGAACTCCAGCACCATGGGCGTGTATCGCCATGATCCCTCATACACTCAGCTTTACGGCGCGCATGCGCTCTTGATCGTTGGTTATGATGATGACAAGGAATGCTGGATTGTCAAGAACTCGTGGGGTTCGAGCTGGGGAGACGGAGGATACATTGAGATCGGGTAAGTAAGCTCAGTCCTTCCTCTAACTCTCAAGGAAGCCTTTGCTGAATCCATCTTTCCAGGTACGGCGAGATCAGAATCGACGACTTTCAGAACAACACCAAATACGGCGTTACGAACATCGATCCTGACCAATGGCCCCGCCGCCGCCACAGAAACGGCAACATCGTTCAGAGCGCGGAAGGGAAAACGCACCGGGATCTTGAAGCCTTCCGATCAACCGCTGACGGGAACCTTCTCTGGCTACAGCGAAACGGCGAAGGGCGTCGCAAAAAGTGGTATGCAATAAGCGATGAGATTCAAGCCTTCGGCTTCGATAGAGACTCAGAGGAATCACCGAACTACTACAACGCCAGTGATGGCGCGGTAACCGGACAGCCAGTTTTTCTCGAGACCAGCTTCGGGCGCCAGCGGGAGCTTCTGTACTGGGTGAAGGATAAGCTCACATTCTCGCATTGGTATTACAGCGCAGTGGACGAAGAGTGGTTCCAGACTGCTCCTGGGGGAGCGGATGACTTCGCGGAACAAAGCCACGGAGATATCGCGGGGTACCCAGGGTTTATCCAAAACGACGACTCCAACTTCACAGTGGTCGTCAAGACAATCCATAACGACGAATCCGCTCTTACAGAGGTACGCAGCATTCCTTTCCTATCTGTCCATTAGATCGCATAGACCCACAAACAACACAGTACACGCGCAACGTCGACATCGGCAAATTCAACGCCACGCGCTTCGTCGCCCCCGACAACATCCTGCAATCCGGCCCCTCGCTCATCCAATCCAACATCAACCTTAACCTAACGGCCAAACCCTCCGGCGGAAATCTCTACGTCGTCGCCCTCCTCAAGACCAACCAACTGCAGCTCTTCTGGCGCGCCGCCCACGAAACACATCTCACGTCCTGGCACGCAGGCGAGATCTTCGGCGAAGCCATCCCCGACACGCCGCCGGTCATGATCCAGGACTTCTGGGAGACGCGGTACGAGGACTCGATTGGCGGGTTTCAGCTTCTAGTCGCAAAGGACGGGTATGCGGAGCATTGGCAGCGTGTTAATGAGGATATTTTGGAGAATCCGCCCGTGGAGGGAGAGCAGGGGATGTGGGAGAAGGTGGGGGAGTTTGGCGATGGCGAGATTAGACATGTGTGGGGGCTGGTGCAGGGGAGTTTTAACTTTGCGCTAGAGGCGGTGGTTGAGGATGTGGATGGGGCGTTGTGGTATTGGGAGTACACCGGGGAGTGGAAGAAGAGGGCAAGACTGCCGGAGGGATATCAGGGTGGTGGGAGCGAGAGGGGGGACGCGGAGGAGGATGGCAAGGGGTTGCGGGAACAGAGCTGCTGGGAAGAGGATCAATCTGAGTAGGGCCTGCGCTTAATGGCATGGGAATATACGGGAATATGCCGAATAGATCGTGGAAGGCTTTTCCAAGGCCATTTCCGCAGTGATGGTGAAGTGGGAAAGAAGCACACTGAGTATTTTATGATTCTTGAGTAGGTACTCGTAACGAAGCTAGAACGATCGAATGACTCGTGGCCATGCCAATCATGAAGCAAGAACTGCAAAAGAGATGGAAAAAGCATATAAATCGCTCGATCAATTGGTCCTCTTAACGACACGTGAATTCGCGTAAATTACCGTCCCGAGAAACGTCAAACAGGGGCGCACGTACCCCGCAAGATCGACAACACGCGTTCTCGTCACACAAGGCCAGCTCTTCCTTTCTCATCCAATTCATGGTCTTTTAGAGATTCATACACGTCCTCTATAATTGCTTTATTACCCCCAAGTATTCCTAATATAACGAGCCCTGTCCTAGCGATCGACAATTCTTACTCCAAAGTAGCAACACTGTCAGGTGACCACGCTATCCCCACACCATGATATCAGAATCGCTGCGAAGCATCTACCAGCAATACAAGCACGACACCGATGTGGTTGCGTCATGGCTAGCAACAACAGCCAAAGCTCACGGTTATTCGAAGCCCCTGGGCTCTCAAACATCGGCATCCGCGTCCGCAACGCCCAACAAACCATCAGCAAGAAAGAAAGGTAAGGCACGCAAAGAAGCGAAGAAAGCGAATCCTCCTCTAGCATCGACTCCCTCGATCCCATCCACGGACCAGCCGTCTAAGCCCAAGTATATGCTCGCCATCAGGGACTTCGTGCCTCTAGCCGAGCACATCGCCGGCCTCGAAGATGCCGCACTCAAAGTTCCGCATTTCTTTGAAGTTGCATTGGAAAGAGCCATCTGGGTTCGGAGTTCCTTCTCCGAGAAACTGGCTGCAGCGGGAAAGACGCCAGAGATACCTATTTGGTTCTCATTCGCAGCACAAATCTATCTAGACACCCTGAACACCGTGAAGGTAAGCCTGCTCCGGCCCCGCAAAAGAAGGTATGCTAAACAAATCATAGATCGGCCGCGGCTGGGACGACATGCGGCGCGTAATAGCCAGAATGAAACCGTACGCGGCCGAGTACCCTCGCGCATGTCCGAAGCTAAAAGAGGTCCTGGACAATATCTCCCAGTGTATAATGATGGACCCCTTTGCCATGATCGCGCAAATGACCGGTAACTCGTACAAAGCATACAAGTTCTTCAGCCGCCACCCGCAGCACTGCGGGCTCTGGATCCATTGCGTGCGCAACCTCTTCCACAGCCACGCCATAGAATATGCCGCTGTCCCGGGCGGCGTCATGTACACAACGCAGCTATACCACGCGCTCCGGCAGGAAGGCCTGCTTGGTGAGCAGCGGTGGGAGGATCTCGAAACGCTGTGGAAAATGCAAGGCGATTCTACGTACTTCTTTGGCGAGCCGCCGACGACGTTCGAGGGATACTGGAAGAATTACTGTCTAGCTATGGGGTTTTCGGCAACGAGCTTTGCGGCGAACAGACGCGGTAAGGGAGTCAAGACGAACAAGGGTAATCTGCGCGAAATGAAGTTCAAGGGTATCACGTCCAGGCTGATCCTGCCGCGCATTGCGACGGACGGCGATCACCGCCTTCTCACCCCGGACACCGTGGAAGAGTGGATATCCCAAGGCGCCGAGGGACGAAGCCACCACTCCTCCTCGCCGTCCACCACAGACCTTCCTCCTTCTTCTTCCAAAGACAAAAAGCACTTCACCCCGCTCCTCCACCGCCTCGCCGCCGCCATCGCCTCCGAAATCCCCGACGTAACCTTCGACTACTTCACCATGCACGACAACTGCTGGGCCGTGCTGCTCCTCATCAAAGCTGAAATCGACAAGATGCAAGGTCCTACATGGAGTCAGCAGTACAAAGTCGACGGGCAGAACCTGCCGTTCGTCGTTGGTGTGGCATTTTCGGCCGCGGCGGGCAAGCTGGATGTCGAGCGGGATATCTCGCCGTCGATGGATCTGTTGCAAGGGGAAGCAAAGGTGCTGCAGCGCTGGTTGGAGGAGGGGAATGGGAGTGTGATTGCGGAGGCGGCGGGGAGGGAGGTGCAGATGGAGGAGCTGGGGGGTATGGGGGATCTTGCTGAGGGGAGGGAGGAGGGGTGTGCGCCGCAGTGATGCAAGCGTTGGGATAAAGATTGAAGTGTGTAAGCGCTCAAAAGTGGTATATCATTCATTAGAGTAGGGTTAGAACAATTCACCTTAGGTCACCTGCATATCACTCTAGAGATCACGACGCATCGCCCCGCTTCTCAGAGCGTGGCTTCGTTCGCGCTTGCATATTGTGATCTTTATAGCAAACCGCCCTCAAAACCGTTCGACTTCATGCACCCACCCCTAATTACCGCACTCTCCCTTCAAGCCCACTCATCAACCCCCATTGTAAAAAATACCATCTACTCACATCCCCCATCCTAACCTCCGGCTAACCACACCTTGCAAAAACAAGCTTACTCCACCTCACCCTCACACTTATAAACCTAGCCGTTTCGCCCACCATGTGCAAAGGCCTGTGATGCGCGTGGTGCTTTTGAGCTCCAATTTTGCACCGCGTTGCGGAAGAGGCCAGGGTTTGTTTGCGGAGGGGGAGCGAGTGTGTGAGTGTTGTTGGGAAGTGGATGGTGGGAAGGCGGGTAAGAAGGAAGGGGCGCATTGTGCGGTGCACGAGGCTCGTGGTAGAGATACTAGGGATGGTGTCGGAAGTGGGGAGGGCAGGGAAGGAGGGATGGGCTTCGAAGATTGGCGGGACAGAGGGGCCTATGCTGCTGAGGGCAAGGTTGTAAGGTACTAAGGCGGGGTGGGGCGATGTAAGGGCTGCTGTGGTCCGGGAAAGGGCTTTGATAGTGGTGGGGAGGGCATGGTGACTTGGGTAGGAAATGCGCAGATGCATGGGAGGTTTGAAGAATAGTGGGTAGGTATGTGTTCTGGGATTGCGTGATTTGGGTATGGGCAGAAGAGTAGTGAAACTTTAGGGTACGATGGGTTGAAAGCATGTTGGTTGGTCTTGATTGTAAAACTACACTTACTCGCTTGGTGATCGGGATGCTGACTCGTACTCAAAATCTGCTCGTATGTCTAAGATCTTGCTTGGGATTTAGCATACTAGGACGAGCTCTGCAGTGGCATGCAGGTCTCCTTGGTTACCCCTACGAGTCCGGACCCCATCCAAATAACTCAGGAGAATAATAAGAGTCATCTCGCCACGGGATGCATTTCAGGCTGAGCCGAATCTTCGACGACTTTCTTTGAATGTAGGCGTCGAACCATTTCACAAGAGGTTCAAAAACTTCCCGATTTGAGCAGCCAAGGAGTTCTGCGTAGTAATCGCCTCCACCTAGGGCAAGCGTGACAACCTCGAGCTTCGGGAGATCGAACAACGCCGTGAAATCGTATATTTCAAGCAGGTCCTTCTCATCCTTGAATTGCTTCAGCTTTCTATCGAAATGGTCCACAAAACATATCGCTTGTATTTCCACCCATAGGCGGCGCAAGCTGGTACAAAGGCCGATGGCTTTGCCAATGCCCTGATTTGCTTTCAATCTAATGCTGTCCTCTATGCGCATCTCGGAGATACTTTTGTAAGCTTTCCTGTCAGGTATGCGGTCGAGAAAGTCAATTAGCGTTGCTTCGTTAACTGCTCGACCGCCGTTCATAGTGATAGCCCTCCCTCGCAGAAGGGCGGGCACAGATTCCTCGAGAATTTGACGATTCGCGAAGCAGAAGGCCGGAAGAATTGGAGGGAACAACGCTTCCCCCGTAAAGAAGCTACCAGTCTTTTTACGCAAGACGATTGACTTTGGGAGGTCCGCGAACTTCGCCGCATAGACTATGTCGCGGATTTCCCTTGGCAGCGTCATAAAGCGATAGAAGAATGTCCTAGCAGAATCCGCACAGCAGAAGCTACTAGATGGCCGTTCCTCATGACTGCAATTGCTCCCCGCGCCTTCATTGTTCCTGTCAGTGGCGCTGGCAGGCGCCGCAGTGACCGGGTCGGTTGTTCCTCTACTGGCTGTGACATTTCCGTTGCCGATGGCCACCTCGATTGCCCCATCGGCAGCGGGGCTCGACGGCGCTGTATGGTATTCCCTACCAGCGTCTTCATTATCGCTCTCTCCGGCCGCCCACTCTTCGATGTCTTCCCACTCGTCGTAATTTTTCCCGCGTACCGGATGTGCCATACGTGGTCCGCGGACGACCTTGCGAGTAGTGCGGCGGTAGAAGATGCGCATGTTATCGTTCTTCTGAGCTGCTCTGGTTGTTCATTGCCGCGTGCGAGCTTTTGCGAAGTCAGAAGGGCTTTTATAGTTGTGGGGGAAGCGCTTGGTGTTGAAGTGAACAATGCTCAGCCGAAATATTGTTTTGGCTTAGGAACTTCCCCGTGTGTGTTCAATGCTGTGAATGAAGAGATTGCCTTTTCATCTGTGACCGCCTTTAGTGACTGATGACTACGTCCTATTCGGAGCCCTAACTAGAGCCCTTGGTAGGATTAAGGCTTGGATGCCTTCACTCGATAGATTCAACATTCAATCGTGTTCTCGAACATCATCCCGCAATCTCGGTCTCTAGCCGGGCAAGAAGGTGCTCGAATACTTATTCTTCTTTGCAGCCATGGCTGGGTTCTCAATGTTCTCCATCGGCGAATCTAAGCTTCAGAGTCCTGCGATTTGGTACGGCGAACAACACGCCGAGGGTGCATCGCGAAAGAGCTCCCACAGATAGCGGAGCAGAAGGCGGTCAACGGTATTTCGGTCGAGAAAGTCAATGAACCGCTGTGCTTAGTGTTCTCATAGGCATCGTCCGACTTTTCTGCGTTCGTCCGAGTCCCGATTGAGTGATCGGCTTCACGCGCTCCTTCTCATGGAAACTGTGCTAGACCTGTTGTCATCCAAGCGGGAACTGTGATCCATAGATAGATAGTACGACGGTGGAGGACGCGCATCTTGTCGTGAATTCAGGATGCGACCGTAATCGAAAAGCTTCAATCCGCAAATTGCCTCTTCGATAGAGGCGATTTTTTGTAGCGTGAATTTGGCAAAAGGTGGTCGCGTGCAGGTGTGAGTGTGGAGTGTTCGGTTTGTAGGAGGAAGTCAGTGTAGTCGTCTCCTTTGTTGTACCTGTATAAATGTTTCACTGCTATTATTGCCAGCGTTCGTCACTGGTGGTCATTTTAGAATGTTGGGCGTGAAGTCTTGATTTACTCTTGAAGGCCAGAACGAATTGCATTACCAGAAACAAATTTTAGGCCGGCAGAAGCACCCGACGACTTTCACAGCTTTTCCTGGATAGTAGAGCGTGTTGGAATTTGGCGTACGCCTCAGTGACATGTCCGGAATGGTTGCCAAATTCGCAGAGCCCGGTGAGTCGAGGTGAATTCGTGGCGTGAGGAATCCATACTTGCTCCTGTTCGTTTATCGTCGTCTTTTTCGAGTTTCCGATAGCAGACTTTCTCTACAAGGCAAGCAATTCTGACGGATCATGAGCAAGCTGCCCTTGTCACGATCGCAATATCCCCGTACCGCGTCTCCCGCCGCAGCCCGCACGACGCTCTTGGAACGATGGGCTCGCCTCAAAGCGCTCTTTCACCGGCGGAACTGTGTCGAAAACCACTGCTCGCCCTGTGCCGCAGACCCGTTCCCAAACCGAGAGGCGGCCAAAGCTTTCTGGCTCCGCTTGATGTCCCTGCCTCTGGAAGTTCGGGAGCTTGTATATGCCGCCAAGTTCGCCCATCTCCCTCCCACGACCATGTTACGCTGCGGGAATGACGCGAACCTCGCACGATACATGTTCCCGGCCTTGCTGCCGCCCTGGTGTTATGTGGACCAGCAGGTGTTTCGCGAGAGCGCGCCGGTCTTCTTTGCCTCCCGAGCGATCGTCGTGCGGAACGATGAGTGCTTGCGTATGTTGTGCGAATTTCTGGATCGTATACCCGAGCAAAGAGCCTATCGTCGTATCCGGGTTTTGCATGTCGAGGGATACACCAGGCTGTTGGAGCAGCCAGCGCCCTACAGTAGTGAAGCTCGTCTTCGCCCGCTCTTCGCGCACTGCGAGGGGCTTCGCTATATCAGCGTCGAGGTACATGCGTGGCAATTCGGAAATCATTCGATACGGGCAGGGCTCGAACACATAGAGCCGCTGGCGCGGATGTTGAAGCTGAGGTTTTTGGCGGCTTTGGAGTTGAGATGTGTAGGATGGGAGTTCCCGCGCGGCGTGGGGCTAGAAGACATCTTCAAGCCAGCTATAGACTGGCTAGAGGCGGAGATTGGAAAGGCCAAATGGAAAGGAAAGCTAGTTGTGAAGTACGTCTCAGAGGAGAGTAAGTGGCCTGGCTCGTACTGGGTTCTGACATCAGCGGTAAGGTATCATGGGGGAACGGAGGGTACCGGTCGATAAACTACAGACCGAGCGGCGGCAGCATTTCTAGAAGGAGGCCTCGTAAGGCTGGTTCGCACCCTTGATGGAACTTCTTGCCCATGGGGCGCTCCAGTTGAGACAAAGCCGCTGTACAAATCTGAGAGACTCATCAAGTATTTCGGGAGTCTCGGGTTCTGTGGAGAGGAGCGCTTCGCGGTCCCTGTCAAGATGCCGAGAGACTGAAGTTTCCGCAGCAGATCAGGATGGGGAAAGCGGTCCGCACCAGGGAGAGAAACAGATGAAGTCTTTCCGCAATGAATTCTAGGTGGTCGAGGGGGCTGATACAGGATGTCTTCGGCTATCGGCCGAAATCAGCGCGACGCTAGTGCTAGTCGTATCAGACGAGCTTGTGCTTCCACGGAGCCTTTACTGTGAAGGTACTGGGCAATCCTGAGAAAGAGCTCATCCAGAAGGCGCTGAAGTGAATGCGTTGATGCTGATTGATGTCGACAGTTTATGAAGCTGGCGGTTAGGCAAAAGGGCGTGAAGCACGCCGCAACAGGTGTTCAGGTGCGCGGTAATCGGATGGAAGCTCTAGCGTACTGCAAGCCACAGGGTCCAAGGGCATTTTGATCCGCACTAGCCCGATAGGGTATGTAACCACGTGATATAAACTCACTGGTCAACAACGCCCTCGTGCCTGTCCCTGGATTTTGAGGTGGACACGTATGTTTCAGTGTGGATTATTGGATTGCAACTGAATGCTCTGATCCATGGCCTTCCAAGTTGCAATCTTTCACTCAAAGCCCAAACCTGGATCCCCTTCGTAGATGGATCTGCACCGTGTCTCTCGGACTTCTGCGGGCCCGCAGCATCTTGCCAGGTACGATGAGGCATCACATTTCGACCCTGTGAGAGTTCTGTGTGGACAGGAATGCAAAGTGTTGTGCGTCGTCTAAACGAGACTAGGCCGGCATTAGTTTCGCCGAGCAGCGCCAGAACGGCGACCAGCCGATCGTCCCACCGTTTCCCTCTCATCCCACCGCTACCGATCCCACTCTCACACGTCCTAACTCTCCGAATGGAGGCTTCGGCCCCTCGCGCGCCGTCGGAGAAAAGTGTGCAGTCGCACGCCAGGTCGCGGAGACGGCCTGTGAACGGTGGGTGATCTGATTGCGCTTGCCCGACGAGCCGGTCTACCAGTGTGCTGACAGCGTGACAGCGTGTGTGACATGTCGAGCTCGAAAGGTGAGTTAGAGTTTAGTCTAGGCTGCACCGATCCGTGCTCCAAGCTTTAGCAGGCGCCCTACGTCGGTTCGGGTCGTTGCATACCGGCGTCGAACCACGGCCCGACGAGGTGTACCATCTGAGACGCGGCATAGCGCTATCTCTAGTCATGAAGAAGGCTAACTTCGGCGGACAGGTCAAGTGCGATGAGCGCCCGGGCGGGTGCCTGAACTGCGAGAGGTTGCAGTTGAACTGTGTGCAGCCAACCGCAGAGGGGGCAGGATCCTCCGTCAAAGAGCAAGCCGACCATGCTCGCGCCTTGACCGGCATCAAGCGGAAACGCACCTTTCGCGTCTGCGTCCCCTGTCGCCAGAGTAAGATCAGGTGTTCGGGCGAGAGGCCATCCTGCTCAAGATGCAGGCAGAGGGCGACCACCTGTGTTTATGATGCTGAGGCGGCCGAGCCCGCGTGGGTCCACTCCGTCGCTCCCTCCGCTACACATGGATCTGCACAGGAGACAATGACATCGACTCCGTCACCACCAGTTCCCCAGAATGCACTCGCTTCAATATCTACCAGCCTGCAGAACGCCGATCTCCCGCCGTCCCTGGCTTGGTATGTCCAGAAGCTCTTGTGCACACCCCGGAGACATTCTGATTGACGGTAGGCTCTTCGCCCCGGAGTTACCCCAGAAGCCGAAACTCCACAGCTTGCTGGAGGCATACTTTACCAACGTCTATCCACTTCGCGTCTTCGCCTTCGTGCATAAGCCGTCGTTCATGCGAATGCTCGAGGAGGGCCTGCTCACCGATACCTCGGACCAGGCCCTTCTCCACATCATGTGCGCTCTGGGTGCTCGCTTCTACGCTCTCGACTACAGTGAGTCTTACTCACCTCTTCCCCGAGAGCTGATCCAGAACGCTGGCAGTCAGTGGGCAAAGACCGCTGAAGAGATGTTCTTCGCCGACTACAGCACCATCTCAGTCACAAAGCTGCAGGTGCTTGTTCTGCTACATGACCACGAAGCTCGAACGGGCAACTACGCTGGGTCATTCTTACTTACAGGGTTGATCATTCGCATGGCGCATGCACTGCAGCTCAATCTGGAATATTCTAGAGACATACTCTGCAAAGAAGAGCCGCATGGCTCCAACGAGATTTCAGCGAGAGAAGCACGGAGGCGTCTGATGTGGGCTTGCTATGTGGTCGATGTATGGGCTGGTAGTGGTGTCGACCAGCTCACCATCTTGAGCGAGAAGGACATCAAGCTTCAGCTACCGTGCAACGAGCGGCAATTCCTTCTGCAGATCCCCTGCGTTACCGAATGCCTCCAGCCGGGCGAAGTACTGGATTTTATCCCCAAGGAAGACCTTCCTGAGAGGCCTATTGAGAACATGGGTATCTCCGCATACTTTGTGCGTATCGTACACATCTGGCAACGGGTTCTACGGTAAGCAAGCTGATCTCCCACAACGTTCATTTCGGTGCTGATATCGTCGAGTTACATCAAACATCCGAATGAAGTGCAACCGCCGTGGATACCTGGGTCTGAATTCGCTAATCTGGTCGATGACCTCCACGCTTGGAAGCAGAGTCTACCTTCCTGGTTGGACTTCTCATCAGACAATATCTACATTCGCCGCGCATCGTCACAGCTTGGCGCGCTGTTTCTCGTACACTGCATGTATCACCACGTGCTATGCGACTTACACCGCATATCGCTTCCCGACTTGTTCAAGGTGCAAGAGCCTTACGTGTTCCCACCAGATCAACTACCATTCATGGCCAGTCTACAGACTGCATGCTTCGAAAACGCGCAACGGATCTCTGTGCTTATCACTACCATCCTACAGCACGGACTGAAACAACTAGCGGATTCGATCCTTCCCTCGTTCGTTTACAATAGCAGTCGCATCATGTTATACTATATTGCGAGAATCCTTGATCGCTCAAAGCCGGATGCGGCCACTGTGATTAGCCGCACTATCGAACTCGTGGACCACAACAATAAGGCACTTCACGATATGTCGCAGCTGTACCCGCTCGCAGACCAGTTGGTATGAAACGGTGTGCTGAGGGTTGTGACAATGCAACGTGCTGACTGCAAACCAGTATCTCACCACCCAACGATGGCTTGATACAGTCCGCGCAAGCGTAGCAGTTGGGCAGCCAACCGCCTACATAGCCCCTCAAGACTCTTCGAACTTGAGCACGACGGGGGCGTCAGAAGTCACGCAAGTGTTCACTAGCTCACACCATTCATCACGCTCTAACACCTCTTCGTAGTGGCCCAAGTCCATCCGGCACGGTCGAGACGATTTCCGAAAGCCAATTCAACCCGTTGCCACTTTACGGCACCTCTCAGGAAATGGCCGGCGAAGCACCAGGTTCTAGCGTTGTATCGAGCTCGTCCTCCACCTTCAATACATACGTCCCAGCCCCTGGTTACCCGTACACAACGGCGCCCGCCCCAGAGCCGCTGCAAATCGGCGCACAGCCAAGCCTACTTGCTATGCAGAATGCTTCGGCCTCGCAATCGGATCAAACTGTTAGCCCATATTATTCAGGTATGGAGAACCTGGATCAGCCAATGTTCGACTTGAACGATCTCCAGAACTTCTTCGAGTGGGAGAACGGGGAAAATGCGCCATCGACCGGAATCGAGGGCTTCGGGCCCCTGGGCTGGAATAACCTTTCGAGTATGCAGTAAGCACGGAGCAGCTTGGACTATTTCTTGGCTGCGGCGGGGCAGAAGATTCGCAATGGCTATATGGCGTGATCGGCTTTTTTGGCCGGATGGTTTCCTGCAATGTGCCTGTGCATGACCATCGACGTCCAGCCAACATAGCTGGCTTGGGGATACCTTGTCCACCAACAGTCGGGATGGTTCCTTTCCACTCGAAGCGCCAATCAAGGCGAAGCCAACTCGTCTCCTCGTATTTGATCGATAACGAGCCGAAAATCTTCGCCCACAACCACTCAATCTCCTCCTCGCCATGGCCATAAAAGACTTCAAAACTTCTCTCAAAGCTCTTTCTCAGACGAGGACCCAAGTCCGGCCCCCATCGACGCAGACTCCGCCTCGATCATCTCCTGCAAAAGCCACTGCTGCCTAGCACACAAAGCCGTACTCATAGCCGGCAACTCTCCTCACCTTACATCATTCATCGGCCTTACAGAAGAGCGGAAAGTAAGCTCTCCAATTCTCTAACTATCCCGACACATATTCGCCGCTAACCATCACCCACCGTATCAGGACCCCGACTCCCGCTTTCTGAGCAGTAAAGTTGAGAACGCTGAGGAATTCATATTCAAGCCTTTCCTGCATTACCTCGACATCAATCAGTGCTCCCTCCCACACAGGGTCGCTGAACCAAATCTACGCGCTCTGGGGCCTTGTCAGCACAAATTTCCCGATTCCAAACTGTCCGTGCTCGCGATTCGATGCCTCGTCCGAACATCTACGGATCCACTTGCAGGCCTACACGTTGACGTCCGTGCACGACATTGTGCCGCTAATGAGATAAGCCCGCTGTGCTATTCAAGGCGTGCGTTTCCATTGCACTTGGGATATGGTCGCATTTGAAGAAGTGGTGCATGGAATTTTCGACGTTAATAGGCGGGGGACCACGGGAGGTATTTTTGGACGTGCTAGCCGCGCAACCGAAGCTTTGAGACAAGGAGGAGGGAGTAAAAAGAGCCGCGTACGGCCGAGGAACGGGAAGGCGGGAGAGAGAATGGCGATGGAAGTGCTTAGGCGTGTGCAGAGAGGCTTAGAGGGATGGAAAGGGCGGCCGAGTTGGGCGTTGACGACGTCGTATAGCGAGTAGTGTAGCTAGACTGTAGTATGATTATTCAGGTCGTACCGGGGCAAGTAGATGAGCGCACCATCCCCGGAGTGAGTGAATCACAATATCCTGGCGCGATCTTCGGAAGTCATTCATTCATTCCGCCCCTCTGAAACCCGCCGAGGTGCTGCAGCACGGCGGCAGAGAAGCAAGGCCAGACACCCACTTTCTCACTCACTCACCCACTCACTATCCCCTCATCTTGCACCCCATTCTCTCTCGACTCAGATACGCTACACAGTTGCACATGCGACTCTATATCCATTGAACGATGCTACCTATAAACAACGAATATCCAGCCAACCAGCTAATGCAACGCGCCTGAACATCACTCAACCAAGCAACTATATAACATGCAAAAGCAAGCAAGCAAGGAGCACTTTTCCCCTTATATGCGGTGCAAAGCCCCTACTTACGTAACTAAGCACGAACCGGTCACCGTCTTCTTTCTTGCTTGGTATGCCAAAAGTGCACTCAACCGATCGTTAAGTGGGATGGGACCTTAGTTTAACCTAGGCTAGTGTCCCGCATGCCGATGCACGCAATCCCACTCATACTATTGTGCTATCGTCAGCAAATATTCCCATGGAATGGAGTGGAGGGGAGTTGGCATAAGCAAGCGGCGCCGCTCACCATGGCGATGGGACGGGATGGAACGTGAAGATTCCATCAGAGCCCCGGACAGACGAAAGCAAAACAGGCAGACAAAAAAAAAACTGCACAACACCACAACGCCTAACCACAACACCGCACAGCTACCCCGCCAGTAAAGAAAGAAAGTTCGATAAGTTCAATCAGCCCCAAACACCACACACTCTCAGTTCCTAGAAGCTCGACCGTCTCCTCAGCCTCCCCATCAAGGCCCCAGTACCTCCCCAGACAGCAGTGGTATGCGCGCCACCCTTCCACTCTACCTGCCCCTCGAAGCCTTGCTTCCTGCTATACCACTCGTCGAGATCAAGGAAAAAGGAACGTACCACTCTGCCTTCTTCATCTCCAGTGTAGACGTTATGCGGCATGGGCAAGATGCAGGTAATTGGCGCCGCGAAGTTGGAGCCGTCTTCGCGCGAGGCGTCGGTGTGGTTGAGGAGTTTGATCAGGTTGATGGTCCATTTTGCGGGCGGTGGGGCGGAAGGAGGTGAGGGAGTTAGGTGGAAGATCTGCGGGTTCTTTGTTAGTGCTTTGTTTGTTTGGAGTTTATATCTGGTGGGGATGGGAAGGGAAGGAAGAGGAGAGGAGAAATACAGACCTTCACCACGCCCCTCCGATGTCCGGTAAAGATCAACTCGCGCTCACACCACTCATTTCCGACGCCCTCGTAGACCGCTACCGCCGTAATCCCCTCGCCATCATCCTCTCCCTTATCAGACACATCTTGATCCAGTAACACCTTGCCATTCAACGTCGTGACGATAAGCCGCGGTCCGCAAGCTAGCGCAATATGCCCTGTGACATTGTTGATCCTGGCCGCTTGGACAGGCACCGGATTGCGCTTCTGGGCCGGTCCGAGATCGAGCTCTCGTACGAACTCCGAGCGGTTTAGATCCCAGAGGAAGACGCGACCATCGGAAGATGCGGACAGGAACGCGGAAAAAGCGCGGGATGATGCCAGCGTGACGACCGGACTCTTGTGGCCGAAGAGCGTCGTGACGTTTTGTAATTCGACGGTTCCCTTCTCGCCCTTGATGACGTTCCAAATTGCGACCGTGCAGTCCGTGCCAGCAGTAATAAGCGTGCGGCCGTCGACGAAGAGTGAGGTGGTCAGTTGGCCCGAGTGCAGGTGCTCGAACAGGCCGACCAGTTTCTTGGAGTTGGAGTCATAGAAGCGGACGCTGCCGTCGGTGAAGCCCCATTCCATGTAGCGGTCGTAATGGGGCGGGATGTTGTGGCGGAAGGGAGCGGAGCAGAGGAGTTTGTCGCTCTTGGTGATGTAGGCGAGCGAGGAGACACGGTCGTTAGCCTCGAGGAGCGTCATTGGTAGACGGTGCAGACCCTCGGCTCCTGTGTCTAGCTTTCGGAGTTTGGGGGCGTGTTCTTCCTTTTGTGGGTGCGGACGCTGGAAGATCTGGACGGGTGTCTGTCCGAAGTTGTTGATGATGCTGATCTTCTGAGCGCGCTCTTTCTCGTCGGTGATGGAGTCGAGATCAATGGCGCCCTGGTATGTCGTCCAGTGGTAGACGTTTGCAGCCTCAATGGCAGCTTCTCCGCGCTGTTTATACCCAAAGATGAGATCTATCCAGTGGTGCAGGTTCTGACTGACATATGGACTCTCCAATGCCTCTCGTTGTTTCGCGATGAATATTGCAGGGTCACCTTTAGCCCACGGCGGGAGTGCAACGTCATCGATCCGCTCGCCGCTGGCACGGAGGCCGAACTCGTAGCCGTTGACGTTGGTAAGAAAATCTGCTAGGAAGAAGAACTCGGGCGTCAACTCTCGCACATCGGCCATATTCTTCTCTGATGCTGATTCCCAAGCGCCCCGTATCGAGTAGAACATGCGGTCTGCATGATCCCATGTGCCTCCTTGGATGAGTGAAAACGCCGCACTAAAAGGTTGTAGCCGCATCAGGTAGGACGCTACAGTCATAGCTGAGGAATAATGCGTTCCGTAATGGAACGCGTGTTCAGTATCGCCCATCTCTGCGAACGAATTGAACCTCTCGCGGATCGAAAGCTCTTGGTCCGGTCTCTGACACCCAATTGGTTTCGTCAAGTCTCGGAAATTACGAGGGTTTGTAAGATCCAGCTCCGTGTCTTTGTAGTTTGAAATGACCCACGGGAATACGGGATATTGAGTAAGGTCATTGAACGTCCGTCCGGCGAGGGTATTAACAAACATGAGATAATGGAAGTTTGAGATTTCTCCCTTTATCCATTTCCTGGTGACAGGATGAGAGGACACAGAGCTGAAAGCAGATGCGAACCTAGAGCCTAACGTCTGCGGCGCTTCTTCAGGATTGCGAAGCGAATCCAGTCGCCAGGATATTTCAGAGTTGCCAAGTAGCTCTGGCTTGACGACATGCGGCGCTCGGGTGATGAGGCGTGAATGGATATCGTTCCGCGCGTTGTTAGATATAGCTGTCAAGAGGTAGCTGCGACCGTCGTCGAAGAAGACTTCGATGGCAACATCGCGATGGAGGAAGCGGCGCTTGGAGATGCTGATAACTTCGCTCCACTTCCAATTCCTGGTTGCTTCGTCATGGCTCCTGGGCGGAGGTCGCTTGGTGACGGCTTCTTTGCCTGCAATGACTTGTACGTAGGGATCCCTCTCGTCTGCAGGTGCTTGCCAGACTCGTACAATTTCACCGTCTGATCTCTGAAAGAAATCATCCAGGAGATATAGGCAGTCTTTGCCCACGATAAGCAGCCCTTCAATAGCCTCCAGGCCAACGACGCGGGAGATGTTGCACACGTACTGCACTTGATCGCCGCGGTTTAGGCTCCTCATCACTTTTCGGTTCTTGTCTTCGAAACCGTCCTCGTCTTCGTACATGGCTTCTACCATCTCGAAGTCCTCCTCGCTATCGGAGTTCGACTCCTCTTTTGGCTCTTCTTTTGAGTCCAGGGCAGATGACGGCCTCATACTGGCACTGGCTGTAGGAGTTGCACCAACAGCTTCCTTAGTGGAAATAGTGGGAACGGCGGTATCGAGCCGTAATCTGTCGCGGCCAAGTGGGTCCGTATCCTTGCGTTTTGGCTGGTAGGCTTGGTCTCGACTGGTGTTGTCGATGATTGTGCGCATTCTCTGGCGGTCTCGACCCTCCGTCTCGTCAAGGCGCCACTTTGGCATCGGGCTATCCTCAAACAATGCGCATGGGCCTCTCAACTGCCGCTCAAGCTTAGCCATAACGGTTGCTAGAAACGTAGCGTTCTCTTGCTGATCCTGTAGTACCCGTTGATGCTTGATGCGCTCTGAAGCATGGATGTTGGATCGCCAGTGGCTGGTCGAGTTCTCATGCTGGCTCCAAGTATTCTCGTTCATGAGCTCCTCTGCCTGCCACTGCTTGAGCTTCTCTCGTCGTTTCGCGATTCGTTTTTGTGAAGTATCTTCGGTTCGCTTGTTTTGCTCTTGCGCGAAATCCTCCCACGTTTTAGTCATGGTGCCATAGAAGAAGCTGTCCAAGTCCGTCTTGTTCTTGTCGAACCAGAGGAGGAAAGTCTCGTTATCCAACTCCATTAGTTTCTGGAAGCCATCGTATAGATCTTTCTTCTCCGTATGGATGGCATGACTCAGGATCGCGGACGTGTCTTCCGGCTTCTGCACGAGAAGAAGCCGCCAGAAGTTTGCCGCAGCTAATCGGACCTCTTCGTGGGCAGATGAGAGCTTCGTATACAATAGGTAGCAGATTAGCCGTAAGAAAAGGCCTTCGGTATTCTCCGTAGATAGGATGATTGGCTGCCAGTAAACCATCTTCCCGATGACGCGAATAGTGTCGGAGCTATCCTCGGAACTATCGGGTTCCGCTAGACGAAGTAGTACGAGCCTGAGGAAGATTGTTCGGATAATGCCAATCGCCTGGGTACACAAACGCACCGTCTTGATCCTGGAGATATCCGGACGTTCAAGATATTCGAGCAAAAACCCCGCGAAATCAAGCAGCGGCTCCGCCCCATCTAAGAACCAGCCTTCGAAAACAGCCTCGGAAAGGTGAGTTACAAACCGCGATAGATTCGTGAGGACTCGAGGCTCGTGGAGGAGCTTTTGATCCAGTTGGAGCGCATTCGTAACGGAGGAGATAGCCTGCCGAAGGATGTAGGATTCAAAGTATGCTTGATGCTCTTGAAAGCCTGGTGGCGTTTTCATGAACAGTCCGAAGCCAGGGAAATCCTTCCTGTTGAATAGTTGATCCTGGAAAACAAGTAAGACAACCTCAAGCATAGCCTCCACAACGGTGCTGCCAACTCTTATTGTAGCAGGACCGCTGTTTGAATCAAGGATAGGGTTCAGCCGCGGGGCCTTCTGATTTTTGTTCGACTTATCCGCGGACACGAGCACAAAAGATGAAGCCCGCCGAAGAGGCACCACTCGCTGGGAAGACGGAGAAGGCGAGAGGTTCACTTTCGTCGTCCGAACGATAGGAGCTTGTTGGCTATTGGCTTTCGATAAAGGCTGAATAACCACGTCTTGGCCCTCGAAGGTCAGAGCAGACCCTCTCGACAAAAGCTCCGTTTCGGCGCTCACACAATCCGAAGTCACGATGACTGGGTACAAGACGAAGAGCAGCTCTTGTACGTAGTTCGACGAGAAGGCGTAATCGCGGAAGAACTCAGACCGCGAGTGCAATTCGGAGAGAAACTGGATCGCCGAGTTAAGTACGGCAGCATAATTACTCAAGCGCTCCGACTGGGGTGTGCGGATATCTAACACGATTAGTAGGGATAACAAAAGGTAGAAACATCAACCTACCTATGAGTGGCTGCTTTGCGTTTAAAGACATCGTTCGACGCCTTCCCCTCGTCATGGAAGCCTCTCCGTTGGTGTTTTTCGGTGGTTCATTCTCCACATTACCGGGATCACGGACGATCGTGCGCAGACCTGTGTCCAGCATTGCGGCTATCACGGAGAAGACCTCTGGATAAACAATGCGAAGTTTCGCGTGCGGAGAGTGGGCAATGAATATGTCTACCAGGTTGAACACATCAAAGTCGCGCTCGAAGTCAATCGTGGACACATCGCGGTCGAACAGTATGGCAAAGCATATTGTCCAGATCCCTGGGGTGTTCCACCAGTGACGAAGCCTATTCTTCATGAGAACAAAGCCGCCACTCTTCTCCGCGAATTTCTTGACATAGTGTGGACCATTTGCAACCAGGAGGCGAGCTAAGATCGTTGCGGCCAAGACAGCTACTCGCTGATCCGATTCCGCGAGGAGGTAGAGAAGCCACTATGCAAGATCAGCAGAGTCGCAATAGAAAATGGAAAGCCCCTACCTTTCCCGTTACATTCTTCGCAAATCGAATGATCTCGTTTGGATTCGCGCGATCGCATAAGAGCTCAGTGAGAAGCCCAAGAATTGCGACGCCTAGGTCAGCAAGAGAAAGACTAGGAGGCAGACTGGGGTCTTGGCTTGGGCTTGCAGAACGCGGCGTGGAACCAGGGGTCAGGATAGGAGGCGTTCCTTTGCGAAGGCGAAGTGTGCTAGCCTTTGGCCTCAGTGTCCGCCTTGCGTATGAGGCACGGCTGTCATGGAGTGCGTAGGTGACGAATAGCGAAAGAGAGCGAGCATTCTCTCCGTTGAAGTTGATCTGTAGAAGCACCTTGAAAGCGTTCAAGAAGAGGGGGAACGTTTGAGGCGTAAATGACTCGCCCTTGAGCGCATCAGTCAACCGCTTGACTACTCCTGTCGATGTGTTAGCTAGGTCGCAAAGGTAGAATAGGCTTGACGTACTTATTCTGTGGAACCGCTTCGCATTGTAATGATGGTGCTTGCTGCCTTTGGCAAAGTCGACGAACTGCTTATAGTACAACCTCTGTGTCTCCAAAGAAATTGACTTGCGCCAGATTTCGAGATCGACCAAGAGAACACGGTACGCTAGAGGATTGATGATGAGGGACTCGGTGGGGTGCTGCTCATCGTATCCAACGAAGCGAAGAATGACGCAAAGCAGCTGCAGTACGAAAGCTTCACATTCGTCGGGGGTAGTGTCAAGGGCTCCAGGGTTCCGCATGCCCAAACCATAGACACCAGATCCCAGCTTCTGACGCAGCACTTCTGCGAGAATAGCAAAGCCGTTGCTCTGCTCCATTGCTTCACAATTGCGCCAATTACCTTCGACGGCTTCGAGAAGTGTCTTTACAGCGCGTAACACACCGTCTAGTGTTTGCGCAGCCTGCACCAGCTTGAGACCTACTGCGGCGCAGCCACCAATTCTCCATATGGCGTCATCAAGAGCTTGCGGAACCACTACTACTGCGTCGCCAGATAGTCGGCCAAAACCACGAGCTTGAGATAGAGCATCGTTTACTGAGGGCACAGCCGCATTGATGATTATGGGCGTACCATGCATCCTGGTATACCTATGGAGTGCTCGTGCTGAGTCTCTCGATAATGATCGAATCAGTTGCGATTCGTCGATGGCATTGCGGTCGTCATCATCCATGACGGAGCTCGGTGTGAAGCTCAACAGGATCTTGGATTCAGGCATTAGATGGCCTGCATTCGTGCGGATAGCGGAGACAATATCCGAGCGTTCTTCCTTCCCGGGATGCAGAATTTCGTTTTGCACATGCAGTTCCGCGGAGGTTCGGTATGTCTGAAAAGAGCCAAGTCTGTCCTGAAAGTTACCGCAATATCGCGGGCCGAGCTTGTTATAGACTGCTATGAGCTCGTCAGACAATGGCTCAGAGAAGAGATGAAAGGAGGCCATGGAGAGTTTCGATGTGAGGACATTCCTTCCCATCCGAGGAGCCAGATTTCGTGGCGTCCCCAAGAAGGCAAGGATGTGATGTTGGCGGCCATTGGAGGAGGTTGACGCAAAACTTTCTTGGCTGCTGTCCAACACTGGAGGATGTGAAGGGTAATGCGCCTTCATTGTTTCTGTGAACTCGCCGTCCACGTAGAGAGATGCTTTATGGGCACCCAGACCCAAAGCCTTTGCCCGGCGATGCGCAACTGCTATGTGGTACCACCGGGCCTCTTGGAACCGTGGGGCTTTCTTGAAACGGACGCTTGGTACAATGCCCGACGAGTGCCCCATGTAGGTCTGCAGTATGAAACAACGAGTGTCCTTCTCCAAATACGCCATCATGAAGCAAGTCTGGGTATCATCGTACGCACCGAAGATGGTGGTATGGCAATCAGGGTCGTATTTGTCTACCCGTATCCAAGCAGTAAACGTGTATCCGCCGCCGGGCGAGACAGGAGGGAAGGGGCGGCCGATGTCGGGGAGCTCTATAGCGCTAAAACCGTGTAATGAGAGATCGAATTGGATGAACGGAGGCCCGCGCGACGTACGCATGCCCTGGTGGAGAAACTCGGCGGCTTGATCCGACACTGAAGCTTTCCGGAACAGGTAGTATGCATCGTCTAACCGGTTGATGCCATACTCTACTAAGCTGTCCGCCAGATTTCTGAGCAGGCCAGCTTCCACAGGCGCACATTTGTTATCGAACAGCAGCGGAAGGATAATGGTGAGCACGCCCGTGACATGCAGGGCTGCTTTGTTGTACGAAGACAGTGTCGTTATCTCCAGGATGGCAAGAAGGACCGAAACAGAGAGCGGCTTCGACCGCGTCCCAGGAGCATCTTCGCCGGACAGACCCAGCCAGAAATGAAGAACGATTGGGACAATGTCTGGATTCTGCAGCACTTCATTGCCGCTGAAGACATTCTTTATCAGGCTCCGCAGTGTATCCAGGTCCACGTCGACGTCGCTGTATATGGAGCGCGGGCTGGACACGACAATCTCCGTCGTCTGCTCGCCATTCTCTTGCGGCTCCGCTTCTTCCTGCTCCGGCTGGGCTTCTCCGACCTTCTTGTCAATATCCCTGAATATGCGCGTCGTGGCCTCCTCGCCCAGTGCGAATGCAAAAAGGCAGCCAAACAACTGCTCCTGGCCTGCATCGTCCCGCTTGCTCTCGGACTGGCCACCGAAGATGCCGGTGCTGCCCAAAGCCTGCTCGAGTGCGCTCCAGCCACCCTGTTCGACCCGCTGTGCAAAGAAGCGCCTGTTGCCCGAGTGTTCGTTCAATGCATCCGACAGCACATCCAATGTTCCCTTGATGACCTCAAAGAAGTCGATGCGGTCGGGCGGGGACAGGTCGGCGGGCTTGTAGAAGCCGGAGATGGAGCGGAGGGTGAGGAGCAGCACGTCGAAGCCGCGCACATGGCGAAAGGCATCCTTGGTCTGCGTGTGCTCGTGGGACTCTATGAGCAGCTGGCGCATGCGGCGGAGGGCATTGCTCTGCGATTGGAGCACGTCGGGCGTCGGCGGGGACGTCTCGGAGGCGCGGATGAGCTCGTCGGCGAGACTGCGCAGCTCGGCAATCTGGTTGTTCATGGGCGGGATCCTCGACGCGGCCGTGGACGACCGATGGCGGCGCGCGGTGGCCATGTTCAATCGAGTTCTCCGCCGCTGGATAGATTTGTGGGAGGGGGCTGCGGGGAGAAATAGAGAGTCATGTCTCTCTGGTAGAGATTCGCCGCATCAGTCGGGGCGTGCAGTGAAAGTAATACTAGACTCGGGGTGTGAAAGACGTGAGCCGAAGCGTAGCAGACTGATTACGTCGTGGGGAGGGCTTGAGTGAGCAGTGGATGTTGCTAAAACGGTAGAGAGCTTGGACCCTGATCTCTAACAACGGGGGCCCCCCAGGCAGCCGCCCCAGACGGCGATGGATCGGGCTCGCGATCGAGGATGCACAGAGAGTATGGGCGCTCTCCCTGAAGAGGTGTTGATTTCTGTCCTACCGTGTATCTGCCTCACGCGCGCTGCTCGTGCTGCTGACGGTGAGGCTGTTCACGCGGCGGAGCTTCGGTGGGGAGTCCTCGCCGCATTCGGAAAGCCCGCCTCACGTCTACCGCAGCTGCTGTACCGAAGATTGAGCGACGCCAGGCTGCGATAACGCATCGCACCAACGCAGGATGCCTTTCCATGATATGAAATGCTTCATGCAGCGGAGGAATCGCCACTCCTGAAGACTCGCAGCGGCATCTTGGATGCGTGCAGCACCGCATCTCGCTAGCACCCCAGCCTCGTCGCACAGCCGCGGGCAGGCGCCAACCAGGGCGGCAGGTCATGCGTCAGACCAGTAGTGGCCCGTGCCTCGGCCTTGATAAGAGCTCCAGCGTCGCCATAGCTACCCTCCCACCACTCATCATCCCCCCAACACTCCCCATCCCTCTCCCATCATCGCTATTCTCGTTTCTCATATCGCTGCTCCCCTCTCTTCTTCATTTCTTTGTTAGCACTCGCCGCGCGAGTACGCCCGCCATCATGAGGTACGCTCTCTCGCTGCTGCCGGCTCTGGCCGCAGCATCGCCTCTCCTCCAGGTCGGCACCATCCACAACGGTGCCGCGCCCGTCCTCTCTTCGACGCATGCGAAGGAGGTGCCCAACTCGTACATGGTCGTGTTCAAGAAGCACGTCAAGCACGAGGCTGCCCAGAGCCACCACGAGTGGGTGCAGAGCATCCACACCAAGAACCAGGACGAGCGCATGGAGCTGCGCAAGCGATCGCAGTTCCCCCTCACGTCCGAGGTCTTCGACGGCCTCAAGCACACTTATAACATTGTTGGGGGGTTGATGGGCTACTCAGGTCACTTTGACGATGAGACGCTTGAGGCCATCCGGAGGCATCCTGACGTGAGCCAACCCCATCCCTATCTCCCATTCTCCTTGCACCGGCGCTTTGTTCTGCGCTTTGCAACGCAACCTCGTGCCGGAAAGAGTCGGAGTCGTGCGCTCCGCGCTCTGCTGCGTGAGATGGCGGCTCCACTCGAGCTGGCCTTATCTCCGCAGGCAACTCCGCCCAGCCGCCACGCAATACGTCGCAATCGCACGTGATACCGTATCCAGGTGCCAGCATCAGATAACCGAACCAATGCTAACGAAGATGCTGTGACAGGTCGACTACATCGAGAAGGACTCCGAGGTCCACACTATGGGCAGCAGCGACGACTACGAGACCGAGAAAAACGCCCCGTGGGGTCTCGCCCGTATCTCGCACCGCGACTCGCTGAGCTTCGGCACCTGGAACAAGTACCTCTACTCTGCCGACGGCGGTGAGGGCGTTGACGTCTATGTCATTGATACCGGCACCAACTACAAGCATGTTGACTTCGAGGGCCGTGCTCACTGGGGCAAGACCATCCCGCAGGGTGACGCCGACGAGGATGGCAACGGCCACGGCACTCACTGCTCTGGCACTGTTGCTGGCAAGAAGTACGGTGTTGCCAAGAAGGCCAGCGTCTATGCTGTCAAGGTGCTCCGCTCCAACGGCTCCGGCACCATGTCCGATGTCGTCAAGGGTGTTGAGTACGCCGTTCAGGCCCACAACGAGCAGGTCGAGGCCGCCAAGAAGGGTAAGAGGAAGGGCTTCAAGGGTAGCGCTGCCAACATGAGCTTGGGTGGCGGCAAGTCCACCACCCTTGATCTCGCCGTCAATGCCGCCGTCGACGCTGGCATTCACTTCGCTGTCGCTGCCGGTAACGACAACGCCGACTCTTGCAACTACTCCCCCGCTGCTGCTGAGAACGCCGTCACGGTCGGTGCCTCCACTCTCCTTGATGAGCGTGCCTACTTCTCCAACTATGGAAAGTGCAACGACATCTTCGCTCCTGGACTGAACATCCTGTCTACCTGGATCGGATCTGAGCACGCGACCAACACTATCTCCGGTACCTCGATGGCTTCTCCCCACATTGCTGGTCTCTTGGCCTACATGCTCTCGCTCCAGCCTTCCAAGGACTCCGCTTATGCCGTCGGCGACATCACTCCCAAGAAACTCAAGGCCAGCCTCATCTCAATCGGTACCGTTGGTGCCCTCTCTGACGTCCCAAGCAACACCAAAAACGTCCTCGCCTGGAACGGCGGTGGCTCTTCCAACTACACCGACATCGTCAACAAGGGCGGCTACAACGTCAAGGCTGTTGAGCAGGAGGAAGACTCCATTACCATCACCATCCCTTCTTTCTCTGAGATCGAGGAGGACATCCAGTCCGAGTTTGAGAAGGCCAAGTCCTCCGCTGGCCGCACCGGCCACCATCTCCAGGACAAGCTCGACAAGCTCACCGCCGAAATTGAGGACTTCGTCGCTGAGGAGATGGAGGGCTTCTTTGAGGAGTTCAAGGAGCGCGTCGCTCGCGAGTAGATGGCTGTAAGCCGTCGAGTCATTGCACTGAGCAGGGCAGGATCGGGTTGATCCTGCTGACATAGCCGTCGCTTCAGGTTATTAGGAAGCGCTGATACCCTACTATCTTCGCATGCTTGCATATTAGGTCGCGCAAGGTTCTGTAGGAATTGTCTCATAGCATGCTTATCACATGGATCAGGATGGATCGGATCTAGGCGCCGGTATTTGTGTGACTCATATTTCGCTATCTCCTTGGGTTGGTACATGTCCTACATGATCTTTCTGTATCTCAAAGGTCCCGCTGGGATTATAAAGGGAGAGTAGCACGCAGATAGAACGAATAAGCCGGTACTTCCTTCCGTCTCTGTGTTCTTGCTTAGTGTAGCGTCCACAGGGCTTCTAACTGAGTTAGCGGACTTATGAGGTCAGCGGTATATATGGTGACTGTTCGAAGGTCTTGGCATGGGCGCTCGGACTCGGTTTCCGAAGTAGGATTCGGCCAACCTACTTTCTCACCACCACCCTTCATCTAGCCTACGTACGCCTTGTATCAGCATGCAACCCACGACATTAACTTCTCAAAGACTGTGAAAACGCTCAAGCTTTCTTCCATCCCCAGGACTAGTCTGCGGAAGCTGCAAGACCGCAGCCAAGCCTTCCCATTCAAACATTAGGCACCAGTCGCCAATCACGGTTTTCGCCAAGATATGTTACCTGCTTGTGAACTATAACTGCAAGAGGAGGCAAATATCGCTAGAAGAGGTGATCGAGATGGCACATACATTCGCCGGGTCGTCGAATGCTTCGAGCCCGGACTCTGCAGCTACGCAGGCCGGGAGCGGGGCCGGCGCTATTCAAAAGAGCTTTTCGTGCGTTCTCTGTGCGCAAAGGAAAGTCAAGTGCGACAAGGCGCCAGGCGGGTGCTCAAACTGCACGAAAGCGAGGGTGGAGTGTGTTTACAAGGCCCCACCGCCGCCTCGTCGCAGAAAGAAAGGAGTTCGGGAACTCGATATCCACGCCAAATTACGCCTCTATGAAGGTGCGCTTCGCAGACTGGGCGTGGAGCCTGATGAGCTAGTCAAACAGGAGCTGGGGAGGACGAAAAGAAAACAAAGCGAGAACGGCGTGGTCGTCGGCCTGAACGACATCGAGGAAGGAAACCTCCCTGAAGAGTCGACAGAAGTCCCGGGCGCGTCGGACGTAGGCGTCCTTGTCTCTGGGGATGGGAAATCAAGGTATCTTGATAATGCCCTGTGGACGAGCCTCAAGAGCGAGTTTCGCGATTCGAAGGAGATCCTGGATGATACGAGTGACGATGAAGATGAGTTTGAGCACAAGGGCGACACTTCGTCCCCAACGGGATTCTCACCAGACGCCGGGAACTTTCTTATCGGCAGCCCGAGGTCGACCACAAGCCTGAGGTGTGTATGTCCCCGCTCATATGTCATTCCTCCCTTAATCCTGCCTCTCGAACCCCTGAAAATCTCGCAGATTGAGATGCTGCCGTGGCGCTAATACCTGGTCGGCCGTCAAGGCGCTGTTGAGCTCTCTCTGCTTCATGACATTTGCTGACGTTTCTCGCTATGGTCGTAGGCCGCTGCACCCCCAGCCCGTCCAGATCTTCAAGCTATGGCAAGCATATCTTGATAACGTTAATCCGATCGTAAGAATCTTCCATACGCCAACAGTACAGCAAATGATCTCGAATGCCACTGGGAACCTGGACGATCTTCCGAAGAATGTCGAAGCCCTACTGTTTGCGATTTACTTTGCAGCCGTGGAGTCCTTGAGCCCAGCTGAATGCGACAGCATATTGGGTGAGAGCAAAGCAGTAGTGAGTCCTAGATTCACGGCTGCAGCTCAGCACGCGCTCGTCAACGCCAGCTTCCTCAAGACGTCAGATCTCATGGTTCTGCAGGCATTGGTCCTCTTCCTTGTAAGCCTTCACCAAGACCTAACTATCTCTAGTATATATTTCATGGCATGATGATTGATGGGTAACAGACTTGCGCCCAAAACTATGATGCTCGAGTGGTATGGATCCTTACAGGTGTAGCTCGACGCATCGGCCAACGCATCGGCCTCCATCGCGACCCGGAAACCCTCGGCCTCTCACCCTTTGAAAGTGAAATTCGGAGACGCTTATGGTGGCAAATCATCATGGCTGATGGTTTTGCCGAAAAGCTCGCGGGCACCGGTGGAAACGTCCTCTTCGGGAATGTCAAGCGACCCGCTAATCTTAACGATAGCGACCTTTTCCCAAGCATGAAAGAACTCCCGAAAGAGCGAGAGGGGGCAACGGAAATGATGTTCCATCTCATGCGTTGCCACGCCGGAGAGTTCCTCAAGCGTTCTGTGAACTCAGCTAACCATTTCGACGGCGTGTGGAACAAGCTGAGCACAAGTGGAATTACGCTAGCCGACAAGGACAAGGCCATCGACGATCTCGAGGCCCTCATGGACCGGAAGTTCATCCAATACTGCGATCAATCCGTCCCATGGCACTTCTTGTGCACGTATCTCGCTAAAGCCATGGGGTTTATGTTCCGTTTCATGGCGCATAATACGGACCACCACGGCGACCCAGAAAGAGCGCTTCCTCAGTCTGAGAAAGATATGCTGTTCCGCGTGTCTTTGCAGGTGATAATATATCAGAATCTGGCCTATACAACGCCGGCTCTTCAGAACTTTTTATGGCATATCAACTCGCATTTTCAGTGGAAGGCGTTCATCTACGTTCTAGCGGAGCTGAGGTACCGCACCCAAGGTACCGATATCGATGAGGTATGTATCCCGCAATTCGCATATCAACATATTCAAACCTGCCCCGTATCCAAAAATTGCGCTTAGGACTGGTAGTCCGCATCTCGCCTGATATTTTCCTTCTCTACTCTATGTATATTGATCGAGAATCTTCGCTAATGTGCGCAGGCCTGGAAACAGGTGAAGCTGGTGTTTGACTTCCATCCAAATTTCGCAAAAGAAAAGCCGAAGAAAGCACTTCCAATTGCAGTCGGCAATCTGACGCTCAAGGCGTGGGATGCTTATCTAGCGGCGAATGGAGTACCAGCAGAAGGCGAGCCGGTCTTCATACAGGTACTACGCACTCGACAAGCCAGAAAGGAAGCATCAGCTAGTCCATCGCAACCATCCGAGCCTTCGACTGCGCCATCATTACCGCCCGATCCGTTTCCTCCGGAGATAGTAAATGTCGCTGCACCCGAACTTCAGCCACTCGCTGATCCTCTCCAACCACTGCAGTGGAATGCCGACTTTGTGGCTAGCCTGGAGGCGCCGACGACGATGCCAGTGTTACCGCCGTTTGATCCGGACCAGATGAATTGGTCAAATTGGGATAATTTGCTTGCGGACTTTGAGATGCAAGGTGCTGGGGAGTTCCAGACCGATGTGACGGCGTTCGATTTCGGCATGCAATGAACCCTGGGAAGCAAAGATCGAGCAGGGCTCGCAGAACAGTGGGCCTCCACGCTGGACGTGAGTTTCATGCGCGAGAACAGTAATCCCCATTCAATCTTACATAGCACGGCCTGGGAGTACATCACCCCTCTACGTTTCAAAACTCCGCTCATGCGTACCTTCACTTCATTGCGCTCTTGCTTTATTTCACCAGCTTCCTAGTGCCCGGAACAACCTGGCCTCCGACGCACACTTTCAGCCTCGACTTCCGCACATATTTTCTTAACTACCTAACACTTCGCGCCACGGCACGCTCGGCAAAAATGATAGAAGAATCGCGCAAGTAGCTCGTGGCTTCGGTCAAAGCGTACGTTGTCTCACGCATGCGCTTTCGTGGCTTTTATCTAACGTGGTAATAGTGCCTATTCCGCCGGCGACTATTGCGATCTCGTTATCACCTGCCGGGGCGATGTATACAACGTACACAAAGTCATTGTGTGTCCGCGCGCGGAGTTCTTTGCCAAGGCTGTCAAGTTCGGCGGAAAGGTGAGTGTCTGATCAGAGCTTCCGCGATCACTACCCTTATCAGCCAGACTTTGGCTCCATATGTTCTTAGAGAACCTATTTATGAGTCTTGCTAATACTCCTTACAGGAGGCCCACGACAATGTGATTGATCTACCAGCGGACGATCCCCATGCCGTCAAGCTCCTGATCCAGTACCTCTACGAGGCGGACTATAACCCTCCTGTGTCGGCCCCAGCCCTTAAGGATGACGTCAATGTCAACTCTCAAGCTCCTGAGCATTCATGCCCTCATAGGCATTGTGCGAGGATAGTCTGTCGTCATCACCTCTGCGGCCTTACATGCGTCAGCAACTGCCGTGGATTTCGGTGTTCGAAGTGCCCGAAGCCCTCTCCAACGAACGTCTCCGGTCCGCCCGAACAGCTTCTTACGCACTCTAAGATGTACGAACTGGGAGACAGATACGGAGTCGCAGGCTTGAAGAAGCTGGCACAAGAGAAGTTCAAGATCGCTTGCCAGCACTTCTGGGATGATCCGGCGTTTCCTTCCGCTGCTGATCACGCGTTCACGACGACCGTGGATCAGGATAAGGGTCTGAGGGATGTGGTTCGCAAGACGATCTACGATCACATCGCGCTTGTCAAGAAACCGGAGGTTCAGGCCTTTCTAGCTGAGGCTGGTCTTGGTATTGGCATTTTGGTGGATAAGATGGAGGAGCTGGGCTGGCCTTGAGCGGGATGGGTGGGTGGACGGGATGAACAATCTGAGGGATTCCTACCTACCTAGGTTCGCTTTCCATACGTTCTGGGCCTAGGTCGACTCTAGTCGACGGCGGGTATCATGCTTTCGGCGCAACGGCATTAAGCTAGGTCGTCAACACAATCGCCTCCCCTGCACAGGTATCAACAACAACACCATCATATACGCCGGATCATAACATTGGCGAGCTGGATTCGCTGTCTTCTGGGGAGCAGCACTATGACCTCACAACACGCCCAATGGCAGCTTGACCACTATACCTTACTGTCTTTTACATGTCATGCCAGACGATAGTAGCGAGATCTCTTTCATCGCTTTCACCTGTTTTCAGTGCTTTCACCTTCGCTCCTTACCATCGGCGAACACGTTGGACGGCCGGAGAAACTTGGCGTCGCCGCTCGCTGAGCTACCTGACCTGAACTCGTTGCTCTTTTCGCACATTCAACTTCTCACCCCCTCAACTTCTCACCCCCTCAACTTCTCACCCCCTCAACTTCTCACCCCCTCAACTTCTCGCCCCCTCGCCTTCTCGACATCAACTGCGCGCAGCATGGCGGAAGCATCGCAGATGCAGCTCCCGGATACCGTCAAAGGGTACGTATCTTGCTGAATCTGCGACTGGGATGCCAGACTTGGCTCACCGTGCTCATCTTGCTCACCGTGAACAGCTTCCTCGTCTCGGGTAAACATTCGGATCTGGTTATTACTTGCGGCAGCGATACGTACAATGTGCATAAGAACATAGTTTGTGGTCGCTCCGACTTCTTCGCCAAGACCGTGGAGATACAGGAAGCCGAGGACGGCAAGATCGACCTGCCTGAGGACGAGCCGGCTATTGTCAAGTTGCTTATTCAGTACTTGTATGAGGCTGAGTACGAGCCAACCCTACCGATTGACTTATCGACACACGGCGATGGAGGATGGAGGATCATTGAGCTCGTTTCCTCATTCCTGCAGCCAAGGCACATACCCTTGCCACAGATCTCATGGAAGCCGGAACGTCTGCACTCATCACTACTGTGGAAATCACTGCGGCTACACCTGTATCAACTTCATCTGCCAGCAATGCGCGCCTCCAATGGGCGGAGAGGCCAACCAACTCTTCACACACGCCAAACTGTACGGGGTTGCTGATAAGTACGACGTTACCGGCTTGAAGGAGCTCTGCAAGGTCAAGTTCGATCTCGCGTGTCGCCGTTACTGGAACGACCCTACATTTCCCACGGCAGCGTATCACGTATTTTCTACGACGCCTGAGAAAGATAAAAGGCTTCGAGACGTGGTGTGCAAGACCATTTCGAAGAACATGTCCTTGCTGAAGGACCCTGCTATTGAGACGCTGATGAAGGAGGTCAACGGGCTCGCCTTCGGGCTACTGATGGAGAAGGCGGAGGAACATGAGTGGATGTGAGCAATGGAGCAATTTGGTGCCGTGAACAGGAGTTGGCGGGAAGCTTCAGGGTACGAGGAAAGTTGCCCGACTTAAGCGGCAATTTTCATGGCTTCAATAGCTCCACGAGCTCCTCTATGATCCAGGCCGAACATCAGTAATGAGATTCGCATCACCTCCTCTTGGATCACTAGCGCTTTCAATGTTTGCTTCCTAGCGGAGTCGTGCATTCGCTCCAAGCATGCTCTCCCCGCTTTGTTTGCTCCTTCCGCGCTTGCCTGCATAGACGAAAAAGCTTGCTCCCCGCGCACAGTACTATATTTCTCCGGACTGCTCAGCAGTCTGCACATCACCCACGTCCGAAAATGGCTGAGGCATACCGCGACCAGTTGATGGCTTCGGTCAAACGGTATGTCACTGATCCTCGCAGAATGAAGCAGCATCGCAAGCCCTGACAGTATTGTAGGTTGTACGCCTCTGGCGAATATTCTGACCTCAACATTACCTGCGGCAACGACAGCTACAAGGTGCATAAGGCGGTGGTATTCCCTCGTGCGGCACTCGCAAGTGTCATGGCAACGGTAATTCCTGACCCTGCTCCCTCCCTTGTTCTGTCTATTTTATCTTATGCGGCTGTTCTTGTGCTAACTAGATTACAAATCACAGGATGGGACAATCGATTTGCCAGAAGACGAACCTTACATCATCAAATTGCTCATCCAGTATCTCTACGAGGCGGAGTACGACCCACTGATTCGGGACGACTCTTTCATTGTCCTCAAGACCGAGACACGCAGCCCTTACTATTGGGCAGCATACAGCTACGAATTCCCTCATACGTGTGCTTCGATCGAAAGCTACAGCGACAAAGGGGTCGTATGCCCCCATCATACATGCGACGAGCAATGCCGAAGCAACTATCAAGGTTTCATCTGTGAGAAATGCACACAGCCAACGATGAACGGTCCACCCGAGCAGCTCCTCACTCACGCCAAGATGTACGAGGTTGCTGATAAGTACGACGTCGTCGGACTCAAGGACCTCAGCAAGGAAAAGTTTCGTCGAGCCTGTGCAGGATTCTGGAACCACGCATCCTTCCCTCTCGCGGCGCACCATGCTTTATCCACCACTCCAGATCACGACAAGGGTCTACGCGATATCATCTCGACAACCATCGGGCAGCATTTAGAACTGATAATCAAACCGGAGATCAAAGCTTTGCTTTGGGAGTTCAATGGCTTGGCTTTCGAGGTGATCATGCAAAAGTGGGCGCAGGGTCGGCGTTGATGTGGGCATAGGGGAGGTGAACTTGGATAGCTGTTGATGGAATGGTTACAAGGCTTCGTTGGAACGTGGAGGCCCGCATTGTATGCGTGTTATGGACATACTCTAGCTCCGCCTAAGGCACTACGTTCTAATGGATTATCATGAGTTGTGGGTTCATCTCCAGTAGACTCTTATGTAGCGGGGATTGCTGAAGAATAGCCGGCCCGAAAAGGCGGTCTCGGTCTCCCGGTGTGTGGACGCCAAGCAGGCAGCTTCTCATCAGAGCACATTCTACGGGGACTGCGCGCAGTCATCGATTCGCTCGACCTCGTTATAAAGAAGATGCGAGCATACTATATATATAGTACTAGTAAAAAAGATACTATATTTCTAATCTATAGGTTAAAGAGGTACTATTAAAAGGTTTAGTAGTTTAGCGGAGCCGTACATTCACTCCAAGTATGCTATGCCTTCTTTGTTCGTTCCTTCCGCGCCTGCCTCGCTTAGATTCCTCGCCCCTTGCCTTCCACCTACAGCACGGACCGAGAAACTTATGCCCCGCGCACCCTACATTATCTCCTTCGATTTCTCCCTGCCCCTCAACCTTCTCCTCCCCACATCTGCCCAACACCAACTTGCACACGAAAATGGCGAAGGCATCGCGCGACCAGCTGCTAGCTTCGGTCAAGGGGTACGTCCACACTCCCATCGTTCCGCCCTCTTGACACAGCAGAACTGACGATGACCCAGACTTCTTACTGCGGGCGACTACTCCGACCTTACGATTACCTGCGGTGATGACGAGTATAAGGTGCACAAAGTAGTAGTGTGCTCTCGCGCAGATTTCTTCGCTCGTGCTATCAGGCTTGGTGGTCAGGTGCGTTTAGAGTGAATCTACGCCGACGGCATGCGGCTAAAGAATCATAGGAAGCGCAAGACGGCAAGGTCAATCTCCCAGACGATGAGCCAGCTATGGTGAAGCTGCTGGTTCAGTATCTGTATGAAGGAGAATACGAGCCCTACCTACCAGCATCTACGTCACCACCACCAATCGCCGGCCCAGCAACCCCTCAAACTCCAGTGGTCAAGAAGAAAAAGAAGTTTGGGTTAAGCAAATTCCCCCATACTTGCTCTTACGATGAATATGGCGAGCGTTATTGCACTTACCCAATCATCTGCGAGCATCACACGTGTGGCCGAGGTTGCAACAAGACCTGCAACAGCTTCAACTGCGATATCTGCAATCCTCCGCCCAAGCGTCCAATTCCCGCCGGTTCGGCCGATCAGCTCCCCACTCACGCGAAAATGTATGAGATGGCCGATAAGTACGACGTCGTTGGCCTCAAGGATCTCAGCAAGGACAAATTCAGTCGCTGCTGTGAGCATTTCTGGAACGAGCCGCAGTTCGCAACAGCTGCACACCATGCCTTCACTACTACCCCAGACTACAAAAAGGGCTTGAGGGACCTCGTGAGCAGCACCATCTCTAAGCACATGGAGCTCATCTACAAGCCGGAAATCCAGACCTTGATGAGGGAGTTCAATGACTTCGCTTTGGGGATCCTGCTGGAGAAGGCGGTAGAGTGCGGCTGGGGAAATCCATAGCGACTGATAACATGGGCTTGCGGGATGGGCGACTTAGCGGAATAGGGTGAGGAATCTTGGGTATCTGAAGGGCTTCACGGGATGCTTGATTCTTGGGTCGTGAAATTCGCTTCACATCTTGACCGAGGGAAGTTCGCCACCTCTAGGTTTACTCGACTCTACCTAGGTACTTAAACCAATCAGACCCTATGCTTATCCCAAATTCCTTCCCACCTTAGCACTTTCAACACTCAAGTTAATCAATCAACTCCGACCCTTCTCTCGCCCATTCGAACTTCAAACCAATCATGAATGTCTCCATTCGCGACCAGATTCTCGACTCTGTCAAGGAGTAAGTTATCGAGTATACACCAGACATACTAGGACATCTCACTCACATTGGACAGACTTCTCAAGTCCGGAAACTATTCTGACTTTGTCATTACTTGCAAGGGCGACACGTACCGTGTCCACAAGGCAATTATCTGCTCACGGGCGGATTTCTTCGCCCGTGCCGTGAGGTTCTCTGGGAAGGTATGTCTCTCTACTTTTGCATCCACGGTCGGAATATCTCCGCGGTCGAAAGATTAGCCGACGGGAGCTCAATATATAACTACTATAGATGATTAAGCTAAAACACACGTCTTCTTGCATCACCACGATCGCGCATCTGAAGACGACGCTGGCTAACTAGTGCGATAGGAATCCGCGGAGAACAATATTGACATACCTGACGACCACCAAGTCGCCGTCAGCTCATGATTCAGTTCCTGTACGAGGGAGAGTACGAGCCACCGCTTCCGCACGAGCCGCCGCCACCCAGGCCCGAACGCACCACGGAAGGGAAGCTCTGCCATTACGAGTTCCCACATACTTGCGAGCGCGGCTGCCAGGACTCATCCCGCATCGTCTGTCCTCACCACAGGTGCGGCTATCAGTGCCGATATAACTGCAAGGCTTTCGTCTGCACCACCTGCCAGCCACCGGTACACCCGGCAGAAGGAAAAGCGGACCAGCTCCTCAGCCACGCTATTCTGTACGAGATCGCAGACAAGTACGATGTCAAGGGCTTGAAGGAGCTGGCGCGCGAGAAGTTCTCCAGGGCGTGTGCGAAGTTCTGGGACACGGAGGAGTTTGTGGCCGCGGCGAAGCACGCCTGGAGCACTACGCCGATTGAGGACCGCGGCCTGCGAGAGGTTATCATCAAGACGATCGCGGAGCATATGAATTTGCTTAACAAACCGGACGTTATGGAGCTGTTGACTGAGTATAGTGGGCTTGCGGTGGGCGTTATGGAGTTGCGGGCGAGGGAGTTGGGATGGTTGAAGGAGTGATGGGGTATGGGAGATATGCGAGGGGTAGTGAGGGTGCATGGTATAGAGTATGATGGGAAGGCGGTGAGAAACTGCACGGCACCACGGGGCTATGCTGTAGCACTCGATAGCAGGAGTAAAGACGCACTGCTGTCGTCCTAATCTGGACGCGATCAGTCATTGTTATCAAATGGCTAATTATCCAGGCCTTGCTAACGCCAAAAGTTCACATATTCTTGGATTTCTTGTTTCTGTAGCGCCTGCGCAGACATATCGTGGCTCTGCGCACACGGGCTTTCCCACTGCCCCACCCCTGCTTCAACGGCCCTCTCACATAGCTGTCTTGAGGTTCGTCCACATGACTACGGCACTTGCTCGTGGCGCTCTATCACCCTGCAAGAATTTTCCTTCTCCTCATACGGCCTAAAGACCAGACTCCTTCCCTCGGCACATCTCACGACCCAAGGGCACACAGCCACCACGGCTGACCTGACCCGCCACCATTCGGTCGATCAATTGAAGCAGTAGTGTACTCGCCCTTCTTGAAAGCATGACAAGCGACTCATAGAGTGGTGCTGCTAGACAAGCTGGGTATGCTATGCCGGCTGCAGTGCCCTAGGGGAGCGCGAATGGTGGAGTGGATATGGGGTATGGGGTGTATTTTGCAACGAGGTTAAAGAAGCAAGCGGCTCAGGGGCGAAGGCGCAATAAAATTGTAGGAGGGAGATCTTGGAGCTGTGAGACGAATACTGAGGGGAGGATCAGAGTCGCGGGGTTCGAAGGTTCGAAGTCCCAGTAGCTTGTAATGGTAACAAACATCGGTCCTGTGAGACGAAGCCCAATGTTAACAAACAAACCTACCTAAGAAATTACATAAAACGTAAGCAGAAACTCGCTTCGTATTGCGTCGCGTGTCTTCAATTCGCAACCATATACGATGACTGCGCAAACGGCGTTTTCTTACGGAGGAATCTCCCAACCATTTATGGAGTCGATTAGAAACCCCAAAGCACAGTCTCTAGATATTCCGACGAGATAGTCCTGCAGCTGCCATTCTAGCTGCGGTATTGATGTAAAGTAAGCACTTGGGAGGCGAATCCGGCACGGGTCCACAATTTGCGGCAACCATGGGACTCTGCTGCGCTACCAATCAATTACTACTGTGACGGCTACTAACCGTCGCGTACGCAATACGAATGGAGATGTATTGCGGCGCGGAGTGTTGGGGAGCTTTCTGTCTGGAGGGGTGTTTGCGCACTGCCTTGGGCGAAGACTATAGGCGCCGAAATAAAACGCGTGTATGAGGCAGTTTTCTGGGCTAAGTACTAGGATGTCTGCAGTATGTCAGCGGAAGAACCTTGAGGGGAGGCGCGGATGGCTCGCAGTCAGATGAAGCGGCACAGCACTGGTCTGTATTTCGCGTCCACATATCCACGCCTCAACAAAGTAATAGAACGAAGACTCCAAATCCGCACTTATCTCTGAAAAGCGACTCATACTAAAGGCCGACTCACGTCCACATCGCGAACAGCCCCGTGCAGAGCACCGAGAACCCAGCATGGCACCTTGCGCTCACGAACTAGCCACCTCCATCGTGGCGAACCTCTCAAAGATCCAGGCATTCCTGGAGTCCAACAAGCTTCCCAATCTTTCAATCGAAGAAGAAGTCCCCCAGCAGTTCCAAGCAGACCAAACTTTTGCGGCGCCCAGGGACGCTGCCCTGTTAGCCTGCAGAGAGCTCCAAGCCATGCTGCTTGGCTCATTCGGCTGCGCAGGATACCAAACTGTAAGCAGACTAGACACCCACCCGCCCATCTCACCCTTCTAACACCCCGTATGTCAGGCCACAGAATTCGCAAACACACAAGCGATTTGCCGGTTCAGGATCGCGTCAAGCTTTCCGGAAGGGAAAGATGCGGCCACGTACGACGAGTTAGCGGAGCGGTGCGGACTCCCCGAGCCGGAAGTGCGACGCATCGTGCGAGCCTCTCTGCCTTGCTACGTCTTTCGGGAGAGGAATGGGAGGGTTATGCATACCGCGACTTCCAAGATGTTTGCGAAGAACCCGCTCATGTGCGAGTGGGTGGAGATGACGGCGGGTGAAGTCCTTCCGGCGGCGTTGAAATTCGCGGATGCGATGGAGAAGTGGCCGGGGTCGGAGGAGCCAAACCACACCGTCAGTGCATCCCTCCTTATAAAACGCCTAAGCTCGATGACAAAGGCGGCTGCTTCCTCGCTCGGGTATAAGAAGTAGTGGCTAATAGTACCAATCACAGGGCTTCAACGTCGCCAACGCCACAGACGAAATATCCTTCCAGCATATGGCCAAGGAGCCCGGCCGCTTGGAAAGATTCGCAAACGCAATGGGCATGTTCAGCAAAGGCCCAGGCTACTCCCCGAGATGGCTCCTCGAAAACTATCCCTGGAACCGCATCGGCGCCGGAACCGTGGTGGACGTCGGCGGCTCAAACGGTGACTACAGCATCCCAATAGCGCAGGAGTTTCCTCGCATCAAGTGCGTGGTGCAGGATCTCCCCGAAGTCGTTTTGAAAGCTGAGCCTCGCCTCCCGGCGGACTTACGAGACAGAGTCTCCTTCATGGCGCACGATTTCTTCACCGAGCAGCCCGTCAAAGGCGCTAATGCGTACCTCCTTCGCTGGGTCCTGCACGACTGGTCCGACAAATACGCTATTCGCATCCTCCAGGCTTTGATCCCGGCGCTCACGGAGGCGTCGAAGATCGTGGTGCATGAGTACATTCTGCCCGTGCCTGGTGAGACTCCCACGCTTGAGGATAGGACGCTGAGGTGAGTTCAACTGAGCAGATGCAATGAGTAGAGGGCTAAGCGCGTATTGCACAGGATCTTCGACACGAGTATGAGGGGGCTTACGAACGGGAAGGAGAGGGAGGCGAGTGATTGGGAGGCGCTGTTTGCTGCTGCGGATTCCAGGTTCCGGATCGAGAGGATGGAGACACCGCCTGGGTCGAGCTTGGGGATTATTGAAGTTGGATGGAGGGGGTAGGGCATTCTCGTAGTCGTCGGTTGAAGATGGCCGGTTTATTCAGTGTGCCTCTAGAGAGGAAGAACGGCAGGGGCATGTTGCTTGGTGAGGAATAGAAAAGTGGAGTCGATAGTTTGCGAATGGGGTTGTAGTGGAAAAGAGAGGTACATTCCAGGTTTGCGTGAGGTTGCACAACGCACGAGCCACATCCGTACGCTTCCCTTGCAGCGTTCTTTCCGTCTTTACAGCGCCCTCGCCCGTCACCTTCGACATCATCCATGAACATACGACAGAGTCGGGCGGAAGGCTGTAGGCTGTAGGTGTGAAAGCGTGGCCGGGGTATGAACAGCTCGACATGGAGAACAGTGGACCGGAAGCCGGCATTGCAAAGGACCATGCGGCTTGAAGCGAGTCGGATAGCGTCAGTCGCTGTATTCACCTCCGTAAAGCTCAGGACCTTTTCGCGGTGGATCAACTAGAGCGTATCTCTCCTCCACATATACAATCTGAACCTTCACCTCCACCTCCTCACACGACCTGCACCTTCTCATCCCCTCACATCACCCGCCCTACAACACCATAGCCGCCGCCCCAGCCAGCGCAAACATCGCTGCGCCCTCTACCCCAAACCGCGCCGCCGCACCCGTACTCTGCGCCGCGGCTCCACTCCCCGTCGCACTAGCCCCCGACGCACTCGGCGTCCCCCCCGTCGTCGCAGCCGCACTCCCGCTCGCCCTCGCACTCGTCGCAAGACTACTCGCCGGCGCCGACGCACCACTCGACGCCACAGCGCCCGCCGACGCGCCCAACAAGCTCTCGCCCGCCGTCACCGTCGCGGTCTGGAACGCGACATCCGTCCCGGTAAGCGTCGTCCTCGTGCTCATCTCGCTACCACTCTGGATCTGCGTGAGCTCGGGATCCACAATGCTCTCCTCGCACGCGAGCTGCGTGGCGCTGCTATCATACGTGCAGCCGAAGCTCACGCGGAGCGTGTCGGTCGCGATGTCCGCCCTGTAAATCGTCGTTGACAGGATGGTGTATGTGATCTGGCCATCGCCCCAGCCGCACTCGGTCTCGTCGACGTTGGTGGGGCACGAAAATTGCAGGACCGTGGTTGTGGGGTCTGCCGAGATGACGGAGGCGACGGGTTGCGCGCCCGAGACGTCGTTGTCGAAGCCGGGCCAGAAGAAGGGGAGTTGGGTTTCTGCGAGCGCGGCGCCGCTGGTGAAGGCTAGGAGGGCGAGGGAGTGGCGCATTGTGGCGGATGGGTGGTTTCTTTTTCTTCGTTTTCTTTGGGATATGGCGGAAGAATCGAGATGAGACGATGCGATGCTGTGCGGATGGCTTGATGGAAATCTAAAATGACGACAACTCCAACGCAGAAAAATTCAATTCAATACAACAAGTATGTCAATCAAAGTGCAAAAGAGCGTAGAGAAGCGTAGCGAACGACCGTTGAAAGTAGCAACCCGCGAGCGAGGTAAAAAAAAAGCCGTTGCGGGCGGGCGTCCTCTCCTTTTAAACTCCGGTCGGTCCCGAACTCGCTTGCAAGCGCCCCCTGAAGCTTGACCAAAAAGCTTGATCGCGCGGGCCCTGGTGTCCCCCAATAAACCCTAGCGCGCATCCTGCGCATCCTTTCTCCAAATGAAAATTATGCGATTTATTAGCGCGTAGCACAGGTATTTAGCCAATTGTGACTGCGGCCGCGAATAAGGGGGCCTGGAAGGTGGAAGCGACGTTTCAGATGGGGGCCTTAAAATAGCCCTGGAGGATGGCGATAGATATCGTCGCAGCCGGGTGGTGGAGCCCCGGAGTCGGTCGAAATACAGGCTGACTGACTCTAGGCTCATCTATTTAATGAGACACACGTAAGCAAGAATAATGAGATGAGGTGCAGGTAAGGCCAGGAAACTGGAGCCCTAGATTTGCGTGCATGCGTAAATTCAGTCCTGTGCTACGTAGCCCGTATACTGCAGAACGATCTCACGCAGTCCACGCCTCACGTGATTTGTGCCACCGCAGCACCCACCTGACACCTTCCCAAAGATAGGAAAAGGCGGTACTAATATCCAGCCATACCTTGCTCAAATAACAATTTCTTCTCAATTCTATGCTTGCTTATCCACGCGTTTTGTGTACAAGGTAAGCTAACTACATTCGGGACTAATACAAGGAAGCGGAGTGCGGTGTTGGAATAAACAGCAAATAAAATACTCGATCACAATACGCAAGGAGGTTCAAGAAAAATCAGTGGCGAGGGGTGAAGGAGCGCTGCATACAGTTGTAAGAAAAGAAAGAGGAGTGCTACTCCACTTCTTCCTCTTCTTGCTGTTGAGCTAACTAATTAGGGTGAAAAGCGCGGCTTTCAGCGGCGGCCGGATTTGAATTTAGGACGGACATACCGATTAAGTGGGGCAGGTTGACAGCGCTTCTAGAGGTATTACAGCAATGAGTTCTTCTAAAGCGCTGATAGGTTGTGGATATAGACACATGACCCTGCCGAAGTACATGAAGCGTAGCAAACGCGGGAGCGGGAGAAACAACATTTGGATTTCGCTTGGTTTCCGTTCTCGCGCTCTCTTTCGCTCCTACGTATCGCCTCATCGCTCCCGCGGCGGCGCTGTTTGCTTCACTTCAACCCCACTCCCTGCACCCTATCTACCCCGCCATCTCCCCCTTACAAAAGCAAGCCCTCCCGCTCCCTCCGCCTTCCTCTCCTTCCTCTCCACCCTACTCTCATTCTAGACAGCAGTAGACAACATCAACCTCAACACTAGCGTCAAAATGCGCCTGCCGCACTTCGCGCTCCTTCTCCTCGCGCTGTTCGGCCTCGCCCTCAGCGCACCAACCTCCCCTTCCGACGCCAACTCCGAGGACGCCAAGCAGAACCCGCCGTCCTGCATGGACTGCGACCACATGTACGAGCAGTGCCTCGCGGTAAAGTCCCTCTTTCCCAACCCCTATTAGACTGCACAAGTCCTTCTCGCGACCTGGGGCTAACACACTCGACACACAGAGCAACGTCAACCGGCCCCCCTACACCAGACTAAACTGCTTAAATATTACCTGCCACGCGCTCTTCGGCACTGTAAGTCCACCCGTCCCTTGCTGTGCTCGACTGTCGGAGTGGAATGGAAGAACGGAGGTCTGACGGTTGTGACGTGTAGTGCGAGGAATGCGGTTTCTGTCAACGCCACTGGGATCCGTCGCACCCGTGGCGTCCGCCGCGGAAGGGACAGGCCGATGGTGAAGCGTCCAAGGCCCAGGATGCTACTACCACTGCCGGGGACACGACGGCTGAGGATGCTCCGGCTCCGAAGCCACAGGATGAGTCTGGTAACTAAGGTCGTCGACCGCTCCGAGGCTTCCCTCTTTTGACGATGGCGATTGCGACGGGAAAAGATGCGCAATAGCTAGGGTGATCATGAGGGACCGGCTCAGGCGGGGGATGATCCAGGAGATGTCCTATCTTCAAGATAGGGGCATGGCGTTATGGGATATCTTGCACAGCCGGGTGATAGCCTGGATTAATTAGCACATAGAAAGCGTGAATATGGACCAATGATCATCCATTTGCAACAGGTGCCTCTTCAAGCCGTCGTTCGCTTGCAAAGCAATTTAGCATTAAGAAGATCGATTCCACGGTTCATTCGGTACGTAATAGCGGGCCTGAGGCCGATGGGTATCTAACGCCGGGAAAATCTCAAAGTAGGAGAATAAGGAGAGGTAGGCTTTTCATCGCATCGGCGGGGTCATATGAATGTCGTTGGAAGCAAGACTGTTAATGCGCCGGACAGAATCGGCCGACGAGGCGACGCGGGCCAATGGTACCGCGGCGGCGGCGGCTGTTTTGAACTCTTCGACAAGCTTGACAAACTCGAGGCGATCTAGGAGGGCGATTGTTAGAAAAGCGTGTGACGAAGGCTTCTGGGGTCGCGATGCGTAGGGGGAGGTGGGACCTAGCACGAGAGGTAGAGGAATGAGCAGGCTTACATCGTGCATCTTCGAACGTTAACACTAACTCAGAATAGTCTCCATGCGCATCTGAAGTAGAACGTGTGTGGGAGTGGCGTGGCTCTTTATCATTGGTATAACTTTCGGATTGGATGGCGGTCATGGTGTTGACATTGAGTAACCTGCCTCTGGCCTTGTTGGACACCGTGATGGTAGCATCGAAGCCAGTAGGGTACGAGATGTCGGTTGACTCGGTGATGTAACCGTTCATCCAGAGGAAGTCTGCCTCTTCATGCAACCGAATTGTGACTACGGCTCCCCGTCTTTTAACTCCAAGGGCATTATCGTCCACTTCCTTGTCCCAGAGCAGAACATCAGACTTCCCGTATTTCTTCGATCCGAAGTGCTTGTTCTTGGTTTTGAATTTGGTGACGATGGCGAAGTAGCGGAACGCCCAGCCGGTCAGACCCTGAAGCATATCCACCACAGCTGGGATTGTATTAGAATTGGAACTAGAGAAGGAGTCATCAACTTACCAGGTGGAGGAGTAGGGAGGCTGTGCTTCATGCCGATCGGGAATTTGACCACCAAATTGGTCTTTAGCTGTCGAGCCCTGCTGAATCTCGCGACTCTGTCGTAATCAGCGGCGGGCTCGCCTTGAACATCGCTTTGATATGTTGGCGTGGATACGTTCTTCATCTCGACGGTCATCTGATAATCTGGTGCTGTCGCAGATCGATTGAGCTGGGAGTCTTGTATTCGAATGTCAAGATCGACCTCAGGCCACTGAATGAAGAGTTTCGAAGTTGCGACAGTAGGAAACACGGTGGTAAGCGCCGCGACGCGATAGTTCCGCACACCCTTCCGACCAATATCAAAAATGTTTACTTCGGACGTTTCAGTCACGTCAATCCTTCGTCCATGACTGACGATTACTCCATCTTCGTACGGGAGTCGCGCAATGTCAACAAATTGATGGGCATCCTCGATTGCGTTAAATGCAAGCGTAACCTCATTGTTAGGTTGCTTGGGAGTGTAGAGCCAATCATATTGCTCCCCGTAATTCACCGCTCGCCTTTCTGTCATCTGATTACAGTCAGACCAGTGTAGCGTGACTGCGTTACCAGAGATGGTGAACTGGAGATCAGCTAGTGGGAGCCAGAAAGAACTGCATCGACGCATCTCTGGACGTCCTGACAAGTAGCTCACGACTAAGCGGCGGGTGATCCACCACATCATGGGTATCGGAGGATTGATCACACTAGGATCCTGGGGCTGTGTCTCGTAGATTTGGACCTTGTTTTCACCGATCTCACACTTTGTGCAGGTGTCGATAGTGGGAATATCAGAATCGAAAACGAAAGACGAGTCGATATCCTCGTCGCTTTCTGATCCCGTAGACGCATAGGAAGCGTTGAAGATGTGCTTCTCATTCGTCCGCGGGGCACACGCGCACTTCACCTCGAAGCTTGCCGGCGGTGGCACGGGAGATCGGCGAGGGGCGGATGATGATGATGCTTCCGATTCCGGAGGCGGCGGGGTGAAGAGACTTGATGTCCTGTGGCTGTTGGACCGCGAAGAGATGTGGCGCGAAGGCTTATTACCAGGTACTCCCACTAAGGGGCTCTCACACTGGCCATTGTCGATAGGATCCATTGGGAAAGGGACGGTGTCGGCGCTTTCTCTCCGGTGCGGGTTTTGAGCCCGGGGCGATACAGACCGATCTCCGGGGACGCGATGTCTGCTTGAAGGAGCATTGCTCCGCTTGTCGATTGAAGAAGGGCTACTACCTCGATGTGGCAAGTCCAATGAGGTTGAAGCGGATGGAGACTTGAACGTGTGATTGATGCCAAGGCCGCTAAAAACCGGTTCGTGGAGTGTAGGACTGTCGACGACATCTATCGGGGCGATGCTGTCTGATCTTGAGCAGCATGTGGCAAGATAGAGACTAGGATGTGGGAGGTCGGAAGATTGCCTGTGGATCATGTCCACGATGTCGGAAGCGCTGAGGCGATCCTGGGGCTCGGTACGGATCTATTTGAAGTCAGCATCCTCGAGCAGGAGGCATGGAACTGTGGGATTCCTACCATGGGAGTGATCCAGTCTAGCGGCAGGTCATCTGCGGAATCGTTCTTCTCACTTCTGATCTTGACCAGCCATGCGTTCATGGCGTCCGGCGCGCACCAAAGGCCTTGAGCACTTGCATCGGCACTGTGCTCGAGGAGGAAATTGTTGACTTCTTCGAGGGGATATCCCTTGATTACGCTGAGGATCTCCAGGAAGACGCATCCCAAGGACCACATATCGGATTTGGTATTACGAGGATCCCTGCCGAAAACTTCAGGAGCGCAGTACCTCCGAGTGAACTTCAGCACGTCGCCTTCAGTGGTGGAATTCTCACTCTTGGACCAGTCGCGCGAAATGCCAAAGTCGCACAGGTATACTCTACCTCTTTCGCCCAGCAGGATGTTTCCAGGCTTGATGTCTTTGTGTCTGACTCTCTCGGCATGAAGATAGGCGATGGCGGTAGCCAGACATCCGAATGTATGACGCAGTGTGGAGATGTCGGAAGCTGCAAGGGGCTCTTCGCGGGATTGGCGTTCAAACATCGACTTCAACACGTCTTTTGCGACGGGGTTCAGGATCAGGCTGAAGGACGTCAGGTCCGTAAAGCTAGCCACGAAACTGACGAGGTGCTGGTGGCTGATGCGCTGTAGCACCCCCACCTCCTGCTCGAATTCGACGAGCTGAGCTCGCTGCGCCTTTACGACATCCGCACGGAGGATACGCTTGCACGCGAACTCCTTGCCAGACAGCTTGTGACGCACGCGAGTCACCTCAGCAGAACCCCCTTTCCCGATCTTCTCCAGCTCCTCAAAATGTGAGCTTCCATATTGTATGTGTCGGTGCGCGGGGACGGAGGAGAGCAGCTTCTCTTCGCTCATAAGATCCGACTTGGAGAGGACATGGAGCTGGGTGCGGCGGAAGGCTTGGGGCGAGATGTCGACGGAGGAGGAAAGGTGGCTGAGGGTGGCAGAGCCCAATGGCAGCTGTAGGGGAAACAGAGAGGTTAGCATGCGTGGAATATCATGGACCGAGGGAGCAACATACCCAGAAGTCGCCGATCTGCTCAGTGTCGAACTTGCTGAAGACTGGCGTGTCATCGTCGAAGCCCAGCATGCGCAGCAGTGTGTACAGGCGGGGGTTCTCGCTCCATGCCCGGATGAGCTTATCGGGGTGTTGATTGAGGAGCTCCTTCACGTCGAGGAATACGGCGTCATCGATATATTGCGGGAAAGGCTTGTGAGGGACGATGTGGGCAAGTGAGTCTTCGATCTCTTCGCGCGCGTCCGGGGGCTCCATGACTTCCCCACAAATGCGGGGATCGCGTCGGAAAACATGGGAGGAGAGAGCGAAGGGGAGGAAATCAAACAACGCAATCTCATCAATCTCCCGTGGCTGCAGCCTCTGGCCAGATAACGCCCACAACGCATGCGGTGGGAGGCCTGGTTATTGCGGGACGGAATGGTGGGCGCGCGATGATGTACGCGCATGAGATGGGAGCTGCCGCCTTTACCAATCAGCCCACTCGTCGCTTGCACCGCCATCGGACCCCAACTTTCCTCAGCCCAGACGCCTGGTTCCAGGCAAACAACGCGAAACGACTACTACTTCGACATTCGGGAGGCGGAATCACGACCTCGCGGCATGCGGCCGAGGAAGCCGGATACCATCAGGCGCTCCAATCTATCGCCCTACGCGTCCCGCGGCCAGGGTATCACAAGGAGGAGGCTGTGCCAGACGCCTTCGCGAGCTCAACTCACAGACTCCGGCTCGAGCCCCGAGACGCGGAGACGGCTCGCACAGCCTCGTTGCCTTGCTTCGTGGACCGATCGCTGAGACGCCTGCCGCCTATGATGCGGATTCAGGCCTCCCTCCCTACCCGTCTTAAAATGCACAACACCGCCAACAGCAGCGCGAGCCACCTGTTCCTTCGCAATTCCAGTCTTCCACCATGAGCTTCGTACAGGGCGAAGAGATCGGGCCGACAAAACCCGAGACCCAGGAAGCGGAACGGCCCGATCGCCGGCTCGCCCAGCCGTTTTCGGGATGGAACCACAGTCGCATGTCAGCCAGCATCGACGCTTTCATTAGAGAAGGCGAACTGGACGATTACGCGCATTATATCCGAAGAGGCGCGTTCCTGGCCCAGTCAAAGAATGCATTTGCCGTTGGACACGGACGACGCGATGGTTTGACCCTGAAGGACAGTGAGCGAAGGTACCTGGATCTTGAGAACAGCCCGCGGCGCATCGACAAGTTCAAGCAACCTTGGAGGCTCTTTGCTCTCGTAGGACTTTGCTCTCTGGGTGCCGCCGTGCAAGGATGGTATGTCATCTTCGATTTATTATTCCCTGCCCATGCTGACCCCAAGCGGGGACGAGACGGCGGTCAATGGAGGTACGTGAAGCCCTTCGGACTACGTGCAACGACTCACGTTATAACAGCCCAGGTCTACTACACGGACGCGCTCGGCCTCAGAGGAAAAGATGGCTGGCTTGGCCTTGTCAACAGCGCACCGTATCTATGCTGCGCCTTCTCGTGTTGGTCAGTGTTTCTTAAACTGTTCATTACGACTTTGCTGACGCAAATCAAAGGCTGAACTACCCCATGAACAAGCTCCTTGACCGACGGGGGGTCATCTTCGTAACCTGCTTGATCAGCTCTATCACATGTCTCGGCCAAGCCTTTCCCCAGACATGGAAGGCATGTACCTCCCTCCTATCCTAACCTGATCATTACTTGCTAACCAGGCCTAGCAACTTTTCGCCGCGCGCTTTTTGCTCGGGCTTGGGATTGGTCCTAAGAGGTATGCTATGTCATCCCTACTTCCGTTTCACGTCGTAGTACCATAGCGAAGATCAGATGAGCTCTGGTTGACCTCACCCAGCGCCACGATTCCAATCTATGCCGCAGAATGTGCTCCAGCCAATATTCGCGGCGCGCTCGTCTCTATGTGGCAGATGTGGACTGCATTCGGCATCATGTGTGGCTACATCGCAGGCGTCGCCCTGGCCGGTTTGCGAGACGGCATGAACCAATCCATCTGCAACCAAGAGGCCGGCAATCTCCTCACATCCCAGTGCAGCTTGAATTGGCGGTTAATGTTAGCAAGCCCGATGATCCTACCCATCTTCGTCGTCGCCTACGTTTACACGCTACCCGAGTCACCGCGTTGGCTGCTCATGAAGGCTCGAAAAGGAAACAAGAAGAAGTATGAGGAAGCATTCATGGCGCTATGCAAGCTAAGGCACACGAAGCTGCAAGCAGGCCGAGACTTGTTTCTCATCAATCACTTGCTGGACGGCGAGGAGGAGATCATGAAGCTGCAGAAGCCTTTCACTGAACTTTTCACTCTCGGTAGGAATAGGCGGGCCCTCACTGCTTCCTCCATCACGATGTTCCTTCAACAGTTCTGCGGTAAGTACGCTGCAGTTGATATGCCATCATCCCTCCAGTCTTGCAGCCGTATCTGAGAGTCGTTCAACGGGTCAATGTGCCTAGGCAGTCTGGGCGTCCACTCTTCTCTCTATCAATACAAGAGTCTAACGTTGGATCAAAGGAGTTAACGTCACGGCATACTATTCTAGCACCATCCTCAAAGAGCATGCATCTTACTCCGTTCGAGCATCACTGCTTATTTCTATGGGCTTCGGCATCAGGTACCAAGGCCTCAGTACTCATAGTGATAGAGCCTATGCTAACTTGTGTTCAGTATGTAAAACCTTTCTCGACGCGCACCATCTCTAGAAATAACGGTGATTGTATTCCGTCATGTTGAGCGTCTGCTAACTGTAGCGCCACCTCAAGTCAACTTCCTCTTCGCCATACCGGCCATATGGACCATCGATACGTTCGGCAGGCGCAACCTGTTACTCTCAACCTTCCCCTTCATGGCGCTCTTCCAAATTATAATGGTCGTCGCCTTTGCACTGCCCAATCAATCAACCAGCCAGCACGTCCTCGTAATCATAGGCATGTATCTCTTCGGCGTCGCCTACTCGCCGGGGGAAGGCCCCGTCCCCTTCGTCTACAGCGCCGAATCGATGCCTCTCTACAACCGTGATTTTGGTAAGTAGCCATACGCTTGACATGTTCCGTATTCCACCTCGAAAAGCCATCCATGAAGCAATTCAACAGCCGAGCCCTGTCGATCGCCATTCTTCTCCCGTGCTTTCACGTTTACTGACACGTCCCCAGGCATGGGCATCGTCACGTCCATCAACTGGTTCTGGAACTTCTTCATCGCGATCACCTGGCCGAAATTCAACACCGCCTTCACGACATCCGGCGCCTTCGGCTGGTACGCCGCATGGTGTTTTATCGGATGGTGGATGATTCTGTTCTTCGTTCCCGATACGAAGGATCTCAGCCTTGAGGAGCTCGATCAGGTGTTTGGTTATAGCACCCGGGAGCATGTGCGGCATGGGGTGGACCAGCTGAGGTGGTTCGTCAGTAGGTACGTGTTGAGGAGGAAGGGGCTGAAGAAGCCGGTCTTTGTGCAGAGGGAGGATCCAGAGAAGGTTTTCGATACGAGGGGGGAGGTAGGTGATGGGAGGGGTGCGGTGTATGAGGAGGTGAGGGAGGAGAAGGAGTCGGGGCCCGCGGGGAATGGGGTATTTGTAGGTTGAGAGGATTGGCTTCGGGTAGGGGAATCTAGATAAGATGGCTGTTAAGCCATCAGCTGCCGGTTAGTTCGCGCTGATAGTTAAAAATGGCGGAGGAGGAGTTCCGGCGACGCATGCAGACCTCACCTCGCAGGAAGCTGATCCAGCTCAAAACATGATCCTGCTATCATCGTCTCCCCTTCCGTCACTGGAAATATGGGTGCACACACGACTCGCGAAGCAGAAACACGGAGCAGGTAGCAATACTGATAGACCGAAGGCGCGGAAGGTGGATTATAAATCGGCGAGTGAGCAGAGCTAGGGGAGGCCCGCCATGAAGGATTAAAGTGACGCATCTAGGATACTTCTTTTTTTGGATGATCCCACGCGGGGATTTACCTCGCAGCATATTGAAACTTTATATTCTGAAGGAGTCAGCTGGAGTTTCTTACTGATTTGCGCGGTTAGTGGGCTAACACCGGGGACGTGGAAATACTGGCTTCGTCGTTTGTGTGTTGGGTTATGGTAGCATCGGGTGTGGAAATAAGGCATGATCGCTGGTGTAAGCGAGTTGATCGGGGCGGGTACTATAGCACCTGGCGATAGGATAGAAAGGAATTTTACGTTGAATCCCCCAACCTCGTGTTGCCGGATCTGGCTACTGGTTCACCTGACCATTTGGCTCCTGAATACATATAGCTACTTCCTTCGTAGTTCTATCAATCAACTCGTGCTTCCTTACTTGTCAACTCTCTGACAGCTTTGTATTGGGGAAAAAGAAGCTGAAAGTCGGAGCTCGCACAGGTGGGTCAGATGCGAGTATATGCCGGGAGAGCGCGTTAGGGTGGCTTTACAGGGGATGTATAAAATATTTGGTGGAAGCAAGTAGGAAGTAACTAATTTAAAGCTACACTAAGATAGAGTAGACGTAGGTACCTAGGCGAGGTGTATTTTATATAGAGGAAATGTGGAAGGAAAAGACCAATCTAATGCTTCTGATAACTGTACAGTATATGTACTCAGAGCAGGGCACCTAGCGTTGCGACAGGAAAGATATACGAGGCAAAGATATACGGAGGAAAGGTAGATAGAAGAAGGGTATATTTCAGGGGAAGTGGCAATTGCGTATTGAGACATGAGTTGATTGATTGAGAATACGAGAAATATGGCTACATATATATGACCCAAGTCACGTGTAGCAGTAACCATATCCGCCAACAGTATATAAAGGAAAGGTAGATAGAGGAAAGGTTCGGCTGTTTCGTGGGCAGATGACAGAAAACTGGGAAACGGGTGAAAGGCTAGGAAACAAGGAAAAACAGGGAAAACAGGTGAGGGGGTCACATATGCGTTCGGAAAGTATACGTCCCAGTGAGGCGTTAGCGATACAGAGAATCTTGATCAAACTAGGGTCAATGAAAGCACTGTCTTATCGATATCCTGGCGCTCCACCCATTCTCCGTCCATTACTCCATGAATGTAGCACTCGCCAACGAGTTTCCATGACTCAGTGCCTCCGCCGCTCATCTCGTATGGCCGAAGAACAAATGGGACCTTCGCCCCTCCGACTATTGCCACGTGGTCTCCTTTCACCAAGTGCTCCGGACCCAGGCCCAGATGCTTTTGGTCGGCCGTGAACACCGTTCGGCGTTCCATTTGTGCCTGAGATATGGAGAGGAAATTGACCAAGTCCGATAGGGTTTTCTCGTTGTCAGTCTGTCGCTCCGTATCCCCGCATTCCACAACGTCATGAGGTGTGCACGATCCTGTGTACTGAGCTATGCCCCCGGCTGATATTTTGCCCTTCTGGCCATCTCTTCCCGCTAGATCCAAGGTCGAGGCTGTAGGGGCATCGTCTAAACGTGTTTCTTCCACCGAGCCGTCTGACAGTACGAACGGCTCCAGAGACTTCTCAAGGCTGGCATTCGTCTTGGAATGAAGACGCGCCCACTTGGAATCCGTTAGAAAATATTGATCGGCCAGTACTGTAGAGATAACGTCGCCAAGGCTAAAATACCTTATCGGCTCCGGGTTGCAAAAGCGGAACAGTGCTCTGAACCAATCTATCGCCTCTTGTGTTAAGGGATACTCTTCTGGCGGTATGCTCGGCGGAGCGGGATGCATGACCGCAGTAATCGGGCCGAGCACGATACCCCGTAGGTGTAGACGTTCAGGGTGATCTTTCGACCACATAACTTTGGGGGGCAGCAAAGATCCAGCAGCAAAGAATTTTTCACAGGACGGGAGATCCACATTCAGTGCTTTCGCACTCGCCAGTGTCTTGCCCAGCCGATTGAGCCAGTTCGGTACCCAGGAAGGAAGATTCAGGTGTACATGGGTGTCCTCTCTGCCCGGCGTACAATGAGCCAGTAGGTCCAATGACTTGTCTTTGATGATCAAGGCCCTCGCAACTTCCGTGAAGACGTTTTCGTCAGAATCAGCGTACAACTCGGGCCAGCGTATGCCAAGATCGTGCTCATCTGCTGCTAGGCCTTTCAGCGCGAATATGAAGTCCTTCTTTTTGGTTGCCTGAAACCCTTTGCCCCATTCCGGGCTGCTTGCTCTATTAAGCAAGACGCCCAGGGAAAGAGGTTGTTTTGCTGCATGTCGTCGGCGGCGATGGGTCATTTGGAACCAAGCTGAAGTCAGGAGGGTCGTCCTAAAACGATCATTGAGTACCATGGGCATTTTGTCCATGATGGCATCGCGCACCTTTCGGAGAGAGGCTGGAGTATGAGTGTCCTTTTGCAAAGCCATCGACATTCCCACACCACAGCATGCGACAGCCCAGAAAGCCGCCTGGAATTCCAGGTAACTGGCCATCCTATTGCCACAGATGAAAATGACATCGCGGGCAACGACGAACTCTTGAACGACCCAGATTCTGTGCCACCACTCCCGGGAGAGGAATTCCCGGAGAGGTGTCCAAGGGATGGTGCTGGTAGGATCATCCTTGACAACGATCTTGGCTAGGAGGTCCGCCAGTGCATTACTTTGGCAAGGCGCTGCTGTGTCGTCGATATCAATAGCGGACAGAAAGCGCTCCTGGACCCAATATAGGGGTGTTAGGTATTCATCCAGCGCAGAGTGCAGGAAACGTTCCCCTCCCGCATTCAATATCTTTTTACCCAACGCCGCCATTTGATCGAGCAGGAAGTCACTGTCGTCTCTTGAAGGTCCGAACCACGCCGCCACCATGTGCGCAGTCTCGTATACCGAAACCATTTGATCGATCTGCCAGCCTTTCTCCACCTCATCCTTCTGGTTGATACAAACGGCGTCAGCCCATAGCCACGAGCCCTGGAAGCATTCATACAGGCTGTTGAGGGCGTCGGCGAGGTTGCGCTGCGCTGCGAAGCGTACACCGTTAACCAGTATGTCTACGGTGCCATCCTCCAAGTTGCCCCACGTGTAAGAAAGTGCGACATAATGCAGTGGCTCCTCGAGGGTCGCGGCCATCAGGGTGCACTCCATTGGTGGTTGAGATAACTCTGGGATTGGGTCGCGACGGTCGATTCGCAGGAGTCGGATTTCCCGTCGCTTTCTTGAGAGTGGACTGTAGAGCTTTGTCGAAGTCATTATTGCAGGTGGCCAGAAGTTGAAGGTGAGGAGAATGGATGATAAAGGACGGATGGGTAAAGGTGCAGCCTGATGGGCAACTGCCAAGTGCTCGCCGAGCTTCAGCTCGCCAGCCACAGCCTCGCTGTCCTGCCAGGTGCAGAGCCACGGCGTCCCCCGCCAATGGTAGTGCATATATCCTCGCAAAAGCTCTTGAGCGCTGCATGAGCTCTCCGTGTAGCCGTGCCCGCCTCCCGACACCGCGGCCATTTGAGCATCACCGCACAATGGACTATGGGATCAGAAGTTTTATCGGCCGAAACGTTTTCGAAACCGCAAATCCGAATCGACACGGACTGGTGGTACCTTTGTTGTAGATCCCTCATCCTGAGCAGTACTTACTCCTCGCCCGAATCCTCTCCCCAAACACCCACAAGGCCCAAGCAGCCGGCAGTCCCAGCACAAAGCTCACACCCGCCAGCAACGTATTCCCCCATCCCCACTCAAGCGCATCGTACATCCTATCCGCAAAAAGCGGGAAGCTAAACCCCGCCATCGTCCTCAGAAACGCCGCCGCGCCCGCCGCACTCGCCGCATGCGTAGTATACGCATCAATAAGATAATTCTGCGCGCACTGAAAGATGACAATCAGCCCGCAAGCAAAAATCGCAGCGCCGACGTCCGGCACAATCCAGTGCGTGTGCGCCTGCACCGCCCAGCCGTACGTGAGCAAGCCGGCGGGGGAGAGCACGCCGCCGAGGAGCATGGGCGGGATGCGGTATTCGGGTTTTCCTTCGGCGGTGTTGTAGAGGGTTTTGAGGCGCGCGTAGAGCCAGTCTTGCAGGTGGCCTGTGAGGAAAAGGCCGATGAAGAAGCCGATGCCGAGGGAGAGGTAGTTCAGCGATGCGATGTGGACTTCCATGTCGTATTCGTCTTCCCATACCTCTGGGAAAGTAGACAGCCTGCACTTTTGTAAGCCACTCACTCGCTGCTTCCCTCCTATTTAGTCCCCAAGGGAACAAAAGACAACACTTACACCAAATACATAACCCCGTAAAAGAATGCGCGGTACACGCTAATCGAGATAATCGCCGGCTGCGTGAACAGCATGACAAACGGCCTCACGAGCGCCTTGCTCAGCATTTGGCCGACAGACTTCTGGTCGTGCTCGGTTTTCAAAGACATGTCGCCGGTCTTGTTGCGCAGCTTCTTGGCTTTTTGCCGCAGGAGGTACGGCCCGTAGGATTCGCTGAGGAAGAATATGGCGAGGGCTTGGATGGCGATGCTGAAGAGGGAGGTTGCCCAGAAGACCCAGCGCCAAGTAGTGAAGTGCGTGCAAAATGCGCCCGCTGTGGGAGGGCGTTAGTGGAAAGTAATGGAGGGAAGGGGGACGATGGGGCGTACCGATGGGTCCGATGGCGGGTCCGAGCCAGGTCATCAGGCCGTAGATGGCACTGCCTAGCCCGCGTTCTTCTTTCGTCCAGATATCTGCTAAGATACCTTGGCCGATCTAAAAGCACGATTAGCGACTTCGCTACGACAAGCCCGTAGAGGTGCATAGTGTGATGTGCTACTTACAGCCTGCGGCGCACTCCCACCCATGCCGCTCAAAAACCGGAATGCCAACATCTCATCCTTATTCCTGGCAAACCCACACAAGCCATTAAACACCAAAAACCACAGGTTACAAAGCTGCAGCACCTTCACTCTGCCAAAGACCTCGCTTAGCGGGCCGATAACGAAGGGCCCGACCGCGAAGCCCAGGAGGAAAATCGCCATGACGAACATTCGCATGAAGTCGGACTCGATGTCAAAATCGTCGGCGATGGTGTCGAGCGCGGGCGCGACCATGGTCGATGCGAGCGGCGAGATGAAGGTAAAGCACGAGACGAGCCAGGTGCCGATCCATTTTCGCGAGTAGCTCCAGTTGAGCGGGTTTTGGGGGTCGTTATCGCCGTCCCATGTTACCTGGAAGAAGTTAGAGTCTGTACAGAATGATGCTGTGAGTGAGTGGGCGCCGAGGCGGAAAAGCGACTCACGGTCCCACGAGTGGCTACTCACCAACGTCCCCTCATCACCCTTCTTCTCCAAATCCTCCAAGTCACTCTCCTTCAGCGCCTCCTCGCTATCGCCAGATCCTTTCGTTTCAGCCTGCGGACGCTGCGAAAAACGGTTTAGAATGTCTTCGATACTCCATTTCTGGAGCAAGCTCCTGTCGCCCGGCGATCTAGAATGCGCATTCCTCTCCTGCTCGAATTGCAACGGCGGGATGCGGTAGTCGCTATATGTTCTGAATTCCAGGGGAGGACTCATTGATGTGGTCGAACCGCAAACGGCGTTGTGAAAAGCGGACTGGGAAATACGCGATGCGATATGCGACCTGCAACGACTACGCGTGGAAAACCATTGCTTCATGTACGTTCGAGCCTTGCTGCCGACATGCTGCTAATTGCCGGATAAACCCACCAGCAAGGGAATTAGTTCAATGATGGAATTCGACGTTGCTGTGCCGCGTTCTGCAACGTCAAACGCGCGCCTATGACATCATACTTTAGGTTCCCCAACTATAGTTGCTGTGCCTTGCTTGTTGGCCACCAAAGCCATGCTACAACCCATGTCATGATTTTCCCATCCTAGCGCCGCGTAGCCCGTGGATCTGGGGGATCCTCGGCTAAGGCCCTTGCGGTAGCATGAGATTCGTCCGACCCCTTCATTCGTGTCACGTGACATGTCGATCATTTTCCCTCCGGGTTGGTTTTAGAACAAGGCTCGTGCCGATAACCGGGGGTGCAACTATCGGTGGAGCACACGACAGGTTTCTGCGTCAGGTTGCGGCTTGTGGACGTGCAGATCCAGGGTCGGGAGATGCTTGGTGATGCTTGGTGGGACAGCTTGGCAGGGTAACTGAGCCTTGTTCAGCCCTGGACGACGGGAATAGAAGGGTAACGTCATGTGCCAGGGGTCGCGGTTACTCACCGATACAGTGATCTACCAAGGTTCCTGATGAATGCAAGCGCGTAATCCCCGTCAAGCCGCCCTTCCAAGCGAAGCCCTGCAGAGCATATATCCAAGATCCAAGAATCCAGAATCTGGGATATATACTCCCACACATACTCGATAGGGCGACCTCGTCACCTGAATCCCAGATCAGTTGTATACCTACGACCAAACACGAAAACGAACTCACGAAGCCACAATGAAGCCAACATCCGTCCTCCTCGACCCGCGCAATGCGGCAACGACCCGATCCCCGGAAATACCAATGAACGTCCTCGTCGCACCCGCCGGATTTAAAGAAAGTCTCGAAGCTGAACAAGCAGCGCGCTACATCGAAGCCGGTATCCTGAAAGCAAACCCACACGCCAGCATCCGCAAAGTACCTCTCCACGACGGCGGCGAAGGCTTCTCGAAAGCGCTCGTTCAGCAGAGAGGCGGCACACTATACGAGATCTCTGTTACCGGACCTATTGGCGAGCCAGTCGATTCGTACTTTGGCATACTGCAGGATGGAAAGACGGCGGTGGTTGATATGGCGGCTGCGGCGGGATTGAGATTGGTGCCGAAGACGCACCGCGATCCGGCGAGTACGACAACGGTCGGTGTGGGGGAGCTGATGAAAGCAGCGATTGAAAAGGGATGCAAGAAGCTTATCGTGGGGTGTGGCGACTCAGGAACCAGCGATGGAGGAGCGGGGATGCTGCAGGCTCTCGGTGTGCGGCTGCTCGATGGCGCTGGGCGGGAGCTACCGAGGGGAGGGGGAGGTAAGGACATGCATAGACTCTCAAAGATCGATATGCAGGGCCTGCACCCCCGGTTGAGAAATGGCGAGGTGGACATCGAGGTCGTGTGTAACTTCAAGAACGTTCTTACTGGTCCCCGAGGCGTTGCGAGGATCTACGGTCCACAGAAGGGCGCTACACCCGAGCAAGTCGAGCTGCTTTCCGACGGCTTAGAGAAATACGGCAGGATAATCAGCGACCTCCTTGGAAAGGATATCACCACAGCACCAGGGAGCGGCGCCTCCGGTGGCCTTGGAGCCGGCCTGCTCCTCCTCCACGCCACCGTCAGAACCCGCTTCGAAGCCGTCATCGAGTATTTCAACATCCGCGACCTATTCGATGACTCAGACCTCCTCTTCACAGCCGAAGGCGGCCTCGACTCACAGACACCGCACGGTAAAATCACCGCCGAAGTAGCCAAGCGCGCGAGCGAAAAGGGCATCCGCGTTGTCGCTCTCGCAGGCACCATTGGCTCCGGCGCCGACGACTGCTACGAGTCCGGCATCGATGCGTTTTCGAGCATCCTAAAAGCGCCCGTGAGCTTGGATGAGGCGATTAAGAATACGGAGACGTTGCTGCGGGATTGTGCGGAGAACGCGATGCGGATGATAATGGTAGGTCAGTCGCTCAGTCCGAGCCCGAGTCCTTCGCCTAGTCCAGGTCCGGAGCGCCAGATGCGTGGGAAGAGCCCGGGGATTGGTCCTGCGCTCGAGAACTTGAGGATTGAAGAGAGGGATGTGGAGGCGTTGAAGCCGGGGCCGAAACGGAGTGTTACGCTTCCTTCGCAGCTGTTGCAGCCGGCTAATCACTTGACGACGCCTGTATAGTAATGTATTTTGATGGCGAACTGTTCGAATTGAACCCATTAGGCTACAAATAAGGTGCGAGGACTGTTTGAAGACGTACCTGAAGTTTGCGTGTGATTGCTCGCTATGGAGCTAGAATAATGTTAGCATTCTAGAGAACCATGTCTTACTGTTAAGCAAAGCCGCTACAAGTTGCAGTACCGAACACCCTCTAAGCTATTAGCAGCGGTAGCCACGGTTTGTATTACTCCTCGTGAAGGTCTTCAACTACCACCGTAGAATAGAAGCTGTACTGAAGGATCCATTATCCCAGACCTAGCATTTTCCCGCCTGGACATGAGTCAGAAGAGACCAGTGGAAAACAGGGCATTTCCACCAGGTCGAAAATGCTCCTAGACATCTCCAAACATCCAATCAACTCTATCGCCAATCCTGCAATTTAACTATCAGCGCTCGCCTACCACCACGCCAACTCCTCCCCTTTCTTCCACAACACCTCCTTCGCCAGGTCCCCATACACCTTCAGCCCCATAATCTCCTTGCCCTTAACCAATGCCATCTTCCCACACAACAGTTTCACAACCACCTCCCGCATATCTCGCGCATGCTCCGGCAGCCGCTCAAAAACGAACTGCACCGCCTCGGCAAACTCTCCAGTCTCCGAATGGCAGTGCGCACAGTCTCTGAATTTCTGGACGCACAGCTCCCGCAGCGTAGGGATGAGGTATTTGTCCGCGAGAGCGTACAGACCGACGTGGACGAGGAGATGTGAGGGCTCGTGGGATCCGACGTCGGGTACGCAGCTGGACTCGGGACGGAAGCCGTGGATGCAGGTCCCTACTCTGGTATGATTCTTTGGAAGGGTGATTGGTGCTGGTGTAGTTCGGCCCTGGAGAGTTGGAGCCACAGTAGCCAGGTCGTAGTCAAGCTGGTAGAAGAAGGAGATCATCAGCTTGACAAGGGCGGGATCGTCGCCTTGCAGAACAATCGATTTCTCCTCGGCTTCCTGCAGCATGCATACTTAGCGTTTCTTCTTGGGGGAAAGTGAGGCAGTTCACATTGGGGAAGTTTTCCGTGGATTCATACGTCGACCGAACTCACCTTTCCGAAGTCGATGGCCCTAGCGAAGTAGTCCGAAAGCGCGGTAATTATTAGCTTGTGGACTTTGTACTCGTCCGTTCCGCACTTGATAGTGAAGTCGGAGAACCTCGCATCGGTAAGGCGGCTACTGAGAGAGTGAGCTATGGGACGATTGAAGCAGGAGTAATCCATACCCTCCGAAGGACTCGAGGAGTTTAGACGTAGCATTTGCAGAAGGCATTCTGAAATATGTCCTCAACTGATTACAGCTAGCGAGGACAATGTTGAGTTGGTTCGAAATGGCGAGGTCTTGGAACGGGCGTGTAGTCGACATTGCGGTTGCTTATATGTCGGGATTCGTTCATGAAATAATTATGTATAGTCAGACACTGTACGCTATGGCCTGGCAGTCTTCGGGGGGTTCTGCCGAGCGCGTCAGGCTGGGTAACGGATAGCAGACCGCTCCCCGACGGTGAACGAATGATGAGTACTGCGAGACGTGAGATTGCGCTTGCTTGATTGGTCAAGCCTAGCGCAAACTTTCCTTTCACTCTATATTACTCTCATTCAGTCTCCACTGCGCCGTAAAGTCTTCACCCACAACACACAAACACTTCTCCATTCCCCCATACCTGTTGCCTTGCGCACTCGCTTCGCCATGTCGACGACAACGCAGCAAGATGTCCTGATGGAGGCGATCAAAAAGTGAGCGAGCTACCCGCGAGCCCGGCCTCACACTTGCGCTTCTACTGACACTCCCAGGCTATACCTCTCTGAGAAGCACTCTGATTTCAAGATCAAGTGCGGCGACGACGTGTACCCGGTCCACAAAGCGATCATCTGCCCGCGCTCCGATTTCTTCGACCGTGCGGCTCGGTTTGGAAAGGTATGTTTCGTGGGAAACACAGTAAAGTAGCAGGCGCTGACAAAGAGTGAAGGAAGCGACAGAAGGCCAGGTCGACCTGGTCGAAGATGAGCCGGAAATCGTGAAACTGATGATACAATACTTCTATGAGCTGGACTACCGTATCCCAGGCCTGCCAGATGAGCCGCCGTTGTCCGTACGCTTCCAATCGGAACACCCTATCAACGGGGCGGACCTTGATTGGCGCAGGTCGTTTGCGACGGGTCTCGCCAACCTCAACGAGGAAGCTATGGCGGCCGCCGTCAAAGTGACTCACAAGCACACCCACGGCGTAGCGGTGAGATTTGTAACGTCAAGAAAGGCCTACGTAAAGACTAATAGTGAGCAGTTATCCGGCCGAACCCACGTCCTAAACCCGTACACGTGTGGACACCGTTCTGGATTCGGGAAGGAGCTCAGAAACATCATTGATAATGAAGCGTCCACCCGGGGTACGCCGTGGAAGCCCATCGCCGCTCGTAATGCGCCTATCGTTCACGCCAAAATGTACGCCATAGCCGAACAATACCAAATTGAAGGCCTCAAAGAGCTCGCGGTCGACAAGTTCATCGCCGCTTCGGAAGACCACTTTACCAACGAAGGCTTCTATGACGCGATTGATATTGTGTATACGACCACGGTAGGGGAAGATCTCCGCCTGCGAGACGTGGTTGCCAAGTACATCTGCGACGACATCGAGGTATACGGCCTGCATTCACGGGCGGAGGAGAAGTTGCAGTCGGTTCCGGATCTTGCCTTCCGTGTCATGAAGATGCACTTTGGGCCGAAGGGGTGCGGCGTTGAGGGGCGTTCGTAGGTAACTGGGAGCAGCCAGAAATATCCATTCGGATAGGGTGGGGCTGTAATCGGTAGGGCCACCTTAGCATGCTAGGAGGCACTTGCGACCGGGCGATGTCCAATGGATAATAAGTGGTAGTGCGCGATATTAGGGTGCACAAAAGCTATGGCTCCTGTTGCCGAACCGGAATGCATTAGATGCGGCACTGGTACTCTTCCCGTCGGCGTCATTTCGAGCGATGACAATCGGTAGCGTGCGCAGTTTACGGACGTAAAGGCCCGTGCCACCGCTACTTCAAACCATTTTCAGCCTTATCAGCTAGCGGTACGATGTGTCTTCTAATAGTGTTGTCAGACTTGACGCGCATGTGTCCCGTGCCAGGAACGCCGAGCCGGAAAGATTTCGGGATGGGTACGTCGGGCCGCAGTTGCAAGCTCGTCGGGTTACCCAAGGTGGTGGTACAAGGCCGGTGAAGGACCGCTGACGTGTTGGCTGGATTAGGCCCCCGCATGGCCTCTGCCTTGTGACGTCGTGGAACCGTTGGATATATCGAATACTGCCACAGCCTCCAAAAGAGCCTCAAGTCGTCATAAGAGACGTAGAAGATGCTTCGATCCCTATCCGCGACTTCGAGCTCCGTTTTGTAGATTTTGCGGACCGTCTCTTGCGGAACTCCATGGTGTCTTGAATTTCTTGTAGGCGGCGACGGTGCTTCTTGGAGGAGACAGCAGATACATCGGCATTTTTTTCAATGAGGAATACGATGAAGTCCTCCTGATTTTTGTCCAGTGCATGGTCAAGGACTGAATGACCTGCCCGATCTTTTGCATTGATGTTTGCCGTGTAGGAGAGCAACACATGCGCCACTTGGATATAACCGAATTGCGCAGTGATGTGTAATGGAGTCCGTCCGCAGTCATCCTTCGTATTCGCCAGAGAGGAGCTCTCTGGACTCCGCTCTAGGATTCCTTTTATTGCCTGTGCTCCTTTCTCATCGCCTCTGCATGCCCTTATCTGGTAATGGAAGTCCACCCAGGCCTTATTATTCGGGGTTTCAGTATCTGAGAGCAGGCTGTCCGTTCGGTAGGTAGATAGAGGCGCGCTCGAGGTTGTGGAAGAGATGGAGTGCCGGGAATGTGCGGTGGCGGAAGACGTTCGACGAGTCGGAGCACCGATTTCGAATGCGGTCGATGCTACTGATAGTGTACGATTGAGCGGCCCAATCGTATCCGCCTCAGCGACGTGTTGTAGCCCGGCTTGATTAGCCATGACCTGTTGCTACGAGTCAGATATTGCTCCCACGCATACACACCAGGTAGCTTACTACGGGAAGGGCTTCCGATGTTCGACGATGGATGTCGGAGATGAGCTGCCTATTTCACGTAAGCGGCGTGGTTGAGTAGGTAAGATTCGGGCTGGACTTGCGTGTTCCAACAAAGCATTCCGTTTTTGATGTGTTCTCGATGGCGCTCAATATCCTGAATAGCCTCTTCGATGTCCCTCCTTGATCGGTCGGAGCGAATCTTCAGTACAATCTTTTGGAAAAAGGTCCGTGAATTTCGAGTAGCGAGGTCTGTCACCATCGCCTGAACTTGTTCAAGCCGGACCTTGCACTTCGCAAGTGAGTCGCGAACGAGTCGCGATGCGCCGTCCTCATGGAACGTTGCATTTCTCCACGTAGTATCCACGGCTTTGAGCCATTTCCGCAGATCGAGAAGAATGACTACGAGCTTTTGAATGAGAGCGTCGACTTCCTTGGCCTCCCTGATGAATATTGCTGTCTCTCTGATGATGGCTAGAGACACCGTCGTTAAGGTGACGATGCTGGAGACCGGTTCTGCCATAACGAAACTCTATATCGGTGCTATCGATCCAGATTGGCCTTGGAAATATCTGGGATGATCGATAGAAAGGACTTGTTGGAGACGGCAGGGTACAGGGCTGAGGTGGAGCCGGTGGGACTCAAGCTGCGGGTGCTGACTGCCCTTGCATGAACCATATAGGAAATGAAGGAGGCCGAGCGTTAGAGTGGCTGAGCGGAAGGTACGTGACCACCGTATGTCGCTAGCTTCCGTGTAACATACTAGTCGGAGCCCTCTAAATCCCCGTTGCCCGTCGTTCCCTCGGGGGGACTTATCGACCTCGTTTCGTAGTATCGCGCGCGGCAGGCTAAAGGACTCTTTACCAGTGCTGGCGTTGTTGCCAGGACCGGTACTCTCTGCTTCTGCGGGCCCCGGACCGTCTCATCAAGCAACTACGAGCTCTTCGCGGCCGACTTAGGCACCCTTCTCATGTGTTAAATGAGAAACAAAGACGGATGGCTGCGGCTTATTCTCGAGCATTGCCCAGATAAAGAGCAGGCAACGGGGTCGTGTACTTTTGCATGAGCTGCAAGCGACGCGAGGCGGGGAAGCTCGACCGATAAGAATCCGTGGCCTAAACCAGTCACGTGAGTCTTGCGTCCCGCTGCTGTGGGTTTCGATTTGTCTTTGCGGATGGCGCCACGTAGAAATTGAAGAAGCAATGGGTGGTGCCGATACGGCACGACTCAGCCTGCTTCATCGCCTTGTGTGACCCAGCTTGAATACGGTTGCGCCCGTCGTGCGGGGTCGAAGGCTTCGCGATGTGGAGGCGGAGGCGAAGGAGAACGTATGGCGCTCGCACTCAAACCGCGATAACTAGAGGGAACGCTTGAAAAATCGCAGGAGAAGCGGTGGGCTCGAAGAAAAAGAACGATCCGTTAGCGGTGAGTTAGAGCGGAGGATATCCAGTGTCGCCAATGTTGTGATGCAATCGCCGTGCTGCGCTGTGCCAAACGCCGTGTTCTGGCATTTTGGCAAACGGGGCGTCCAATGGCCTTGTGGTCACCACCACAGCCCCCGCCAAGGCCTCGCATTCTGGATGCAAGTGCGGTTTGTTACGAGAGCTAATGCAGATTGCTTTTTCTGCATGCCCATCGTCCCGTGTACGGTTTTCGGCTGCGCTAGCCCGATGCAGATAGACTTGGAGAAAGCCTGAGGGGAGCCTTGATTCAGCCTCGCTTGTGTGATGGAAGGCTGTCGGGATATAATAGAGCCCTTGTACTTCGTCCAGACGCATAACGTCAGGTAGAACAGCTCTTATTGTTTGAGGTCAAGCGATGATGGATGAAGGAATGGCGAGCTCGAATGGCCCCGACAATAGAAACGAGGTCAGCATAAATGAAGCCTTGATGATGGGTACAAACTCACGATATTATCCAGAACAACCAAAACTCGTACCAGTCTCCTGTAAGAACACACCCTCTTGACGGAGATATATATCTTGAGAATACTGATCTACACATAGACACTTCGCCCCGTGACTCTCGGAGACCGTAGGCTGGTGGCCAACCCCAGCGAATCTGCTGGCCCTCGCCAGACGTGCGTTGGAGATATGATTCATGAACACAGACGGGCTGACTGGTGGCGTAGCATTGATAACCCTCTTCTCACGTTCGATGACACTGTCGTACGGTCTGACACCGGCAAGACGGAACTCGAGCAATACGTCCTAAGCTTCTCTCGCGAAGCCGATATCGACGACCGTTACGAATTACTCTTGTGTGGGGCGCGACTGGCACGAGACAAGCAGGAAGCTCTAGCCAGGTACGATAGTGAGCTCACTGCTCCAGAAAGGGTCTTGCTCGAGGAGGAATCCGATAAGAAGACTGGATTCTGGAAGCAATCGAAGTTCTTCCGCGCGACCATCATCACTGCCAGTCTGGCAGGTATGATCCAGGGTTGGACTCAGAGGTGAGAGGGCGCAATCTCCACTCCAATACCGGCTGACAAGTCCATTGTAGCGCCAACAATGGGACTATTAATGGAATGCCACAGGTGAGCGGCCCATGGTCGCACTTGAGAACTTCTCCTAATGGAATGTCAGGAGTTTGGACTTTGTATAACGAGCGGTGATGACTGCATCGGAAGAACCGCTGATCTCTGGACATTCGGTAGGTGTCGCCCCGATAACATAACTGCTGATCGTGCCTCGAAGGAAGTCGGGACCAGTGATTCCCGGCCGAGGTTCCGCAGATATGTGGCTGACTTGAGTATCCTTCTCTTGTAGGTATGTTGAATGCAATACCGCTACTCTCGGCGGCGGTATTTGGGACTACTCTTGCGGACCCTCTCCAAGAGAAATACCTGGGGAGACGAGGCAGCGTGATGGTCTCCTGCTGCATCACTATCGCATCGACCATAGGTGCTTCTGCTACCCATTCCGTCGCCCAGCTTGCGGCCTGTAGGCAAGTATTCCACTTACGAACCGCCTGCCTCAGCTCGATGTGCGTGGGTGCTTGCTTGAGGGACTACGTAAGTAGTGCTTCGCAACGCAGCAACGCAGAGTGAGATAAAGCGGTGCCAAAACACCCTTCGAAGAACTGTCCTGACTGCGTACCCCCACCTTTGCAGAGCAATCAATGGAATAGCCCTAGGCGCCAAGGCTTCAATCGGTGAGAGAGACACCCACGAGCTTCCTCAGGCCGTCGCTAATGCTGATTAGTTCCGATCTACTCAGCGGAGGTAATATACCTTGAACCATACCGTCGCTCGCTGACAGGCCATAGATCTCGCCAGAACATATTCGGGGTATGAACAAACGGGCGGGCTCATTGGCGATCACTGACGACCGCAGGCGAAATCCTAGCGAATTGGCAGCTCGCAGACGCATTGGGTAAGCATGTACCATTCCCGACTAGTGCTCCTTTTTGAACCGCCCCAAGGCATATTCTTCGCGTTCATGGTCAACCTGGTCATCGTGAGTTATGTCGATGATTCTTTCAAGAGCTGGAGAATTCTCACAAATACTGTCCTCATTCCAACGATACCGCTACTCACGATGATCTATCTCATGCCCGAGTCACCGCGCTATTTGATGAAGCATGGGCGATACCGAAAGGCATTAGAGTCCTTCACGATGATCCAGACAACGCCACTTTTAGCTAGCCGCGATTTCATGTACGCACACGCGCAGTTGGATTTCGAGAGTCGCTTATTGAGCGGCAAAGCGAATGAGCGGGGAAACCTCGCGGAACGAATCGCGGCGAGCAATGGTGATATTCCGGTAACGATCGCTAGCCGGTTAGGTGGAACCACCAGGGAGCATGATGAGATGTTGCAGATATCCATCTCGCCCGCACAGCCGGTCATGAGCGGAGCCCCAGGGAACGCCTCAAACGGAACGAATGTCGCGCGAACTGGAATCGGACAACAACGGCCCACAACCAGAACGCATCCAAGCCGCGGGAGAGACATCGAATTATCGAGCATCAGCCGATGCGGAAGCGATACCTCTAGTCTTGATATCGAACTGGCAGCTCTGCGAGTAAGGCGGAAAGAGAACCCTTACTTCTACCACATCGGTGTGACCGGCTACTTCAAACGCCTCCGCGAACTGTGGAGCAACAAGCGATGCCGACGAGCTCTGTTGAGTGCGTCGATCGCCATGATTACCCAGTACGTATGATCGGTGGCGTTGTTTGGCACAGCTTGGCCAGATTCTGCCCTCTACTCGTCCTACTCTTGTGCACACCGGGGTCCCTGCTAACGGCAACTATCTTTGTAGACAGATGACTGGCGTAAATACGATAGCTTTCTTGGGAACAGCGGTGTGGGAAAACTCATTGGCCTCGCCTGCATCCCCCAAGGTCACCGCCATTATTGGACTGTTCTTCGGCCTTGCAAACTACATCGGCGGGCTTCCAGCGGTACCAAACTCCGCGTACAAATAGGGTTGAAAGTGTGCTAACATGTGGACAGTAAGCAAAACCTTCTATTTGCGTAGTGTTGAGCACCTACGCTAGGGCTGCTTTAGAATAGCTTGCTGATTGTGCCACCACTTTTAGGTATTGGTTATCGGATAGAGTGGGTCGATCGATACTTCTGCTTCTGGGTCTTCCGAACATGGCCTGGTCGATGCTCCTATTCGCCCTGTTCTTTCTGATGCCGGAGAGTTCAGCGGCACGTGTTCCATTAGTCTCCGTCATGGCGATCGTTTTCACACTCTTCTATGCGCCAACTGCAGGGACATCTCCCTTCAGCATCTCCGCCGAGGTGAGCATGGTGGGGCTATTGACGGTAGAACAGTCCTACACAGCCTCGCTTCCTTGCCCCGGAATCCAAGAGCTCGACTGACGTGCATAGGTGTTCCCATTGGTTTCGCGCGAAGTAGGGATGGCCGTGTCTGTTGGAATAAACCTAGGTATGTAGATCGTGGTTTACGTGCCGGCATGTCTCGGCTTTTCATGTCCGGGAAGAGCTGCTCCTCAAGATCGGTAAACAGGCCGAGGGATGCCGGGGTCTGGGCTCATCTCCGAAATGAATGGGTCCGCTAATTTTCATTACACTTGCAGGTGGCGCCGGAATCCTTGTGCTCGTCTTCCCTATGCTGATGCACCGAATCGGCACCACAGGCGCTCTGTCAATCTTCGCTTTTTTGAACCTCGTGGCTTTCGTACTTGTTTTCGTCGCTGTTCCAGAGACTCGCCGGCGTACGTTAGAGGAGCTGCAATTCACGCACGATTTGAAGACGCGGTGGCATGTGGAGTATAGAGTGAGGTACATCCTCCAGGACCATCTAAAGAAGAACTGGTGGCGATATATCACCCGGAAGCCAGTGCGGCCGCCAATTCCATTCTACCGATGGGCGAGGATCACTCATGGCAATGGTGGTGACGAAAGTTGAGATGGAGCTTGGTTGAAAGGTGATTGTGGAGGTGAGGTTTGGGTTTTGCTCGGCCCAATTCGTTTCCAGGTTTTTCCGTCCGAATCACCCGCACTAGGCCCAATTTTGGCCTGTCATGGCCCACATTCGCAGATAGCAGGCCCAACAACTCTCTGGTATTTAATAATGTATCCTTTTGCGGGTATCCCTCCCAAATCAGCGGTCTCCACAGTCTCAACCCAGATGGTGGCGATGGAAAGGCCGATCGCCAGGAATAGCCTAGCGTGATGCTAGGCTATTTTCGTTGAGCTATTAATGCCACGTCAACACACACAACACGAACGCATCTCTTCTCCTCGCAACACCACGCTCAACTTCGTCCTTGGCGAGGCCTCCTTTCGAAGTAGTCAATGTATAGTGATATACGAGATCCACTTCGCGTTCCTCCCTCCAGCCTGGTGGCCTCCCAAGGTTTGGACTACAACTATTCTCCCGAATTCTTACCGTTCGGCAACAACCTTTATGGCCAGCATCTAGAGGGGATGCAGTGGATGCGATGGTCGCCAAAAATCTCGCAAACACCGCATGAACTCAGAGATTCGTATTCATAATATCGCAAAGTTCCTTGCCCGGATCGTTACGTCTGCTTTCATGTGCTAAATCGGCATCAGCGCCGAAGAAGACATGCCGGATAAATATCCTACTCGCTTAGGTACTGTTCCACGAGCGCTGTACTACCGTGAGTAGAAGAATACGAGTACGGAATCACGAATACGCCCTTGGTTGCCGTACTGGGTCTATGGAAATAACCCACGACTACGGAGCCGATTTCGTAAACCAGCGCGAAGGTCCGGGCGCGAACTCGAAGAACAGCATTGCAGCTGCTTCCGATATTCGGTTCTGGCATTGTCAGGCCATGGTCGCCCCTCTATCTGTTGGCCATTTCTACGCTCGAGGATAAATTGGACAGGATGCCACCCAGTTACACCGCTCGTCCCAGAGCTTTTCGGGATCCAAGACTCAAGAAACAAGCCATCAGCCTCCGCCATCATAATGCGTTTCGTCGCTATTCTGGCCATCGTTCCCCTCTTGGGTAGCGCCATCGCTACGCCCACCGCAAGAGTCTCTGAACTTTTCAAACGGGACTATGGGTGTGGCGTCCTGAGCAGCGATAACGGCGTCTGCAACTTCCAGTACATTATCAATTACCCTATCTACTCATAAAATGACACTAACAAGAGTTACAGTTGTCTTAATGACGTTACGAAACGCTGCGCCAATGGTAACGTTCTGAAGCCGTACAAAGGGGAATGTGGAGGCTTTATCAGCGCGTAAGTATCACGTACTCTAGTAGAACTGTGCCCGGCGGGATGCTGAAGTTGGCGTCTAGTGTATGCCAGTGCTATTATAACTCTAATTGCGACGGTTCCGGCGTCCGTTGTGGGGTCAGTAGCTGCGCTCCAGGCCCTACTTACTCTCCGCCCACATCTACTTTCACGTCCCCGTTCCCAGGCCACACTTAATATTGTATTGGGACGTGGTAAGCTTCCGTGTTATGGGGAAGTCACTCCATGCTGAAGAGAAGGCATCTGGACCAGCTTTGGAGCAATGATTATACACTTCAAGGAGAGGAAACCTTGCATATCTCGTACGGCAATCGATGTTTCCTCCGATCAACCTCCGCTATCTTTTCACTTCTTTCCTACTACACCTCGAAATTGCAATCAGGGTGGTGTGCCCTACTTTGTCTGCTCCAATACGCATCTGCGTCCCTTTGGGCAGCCCTCTGCTCGATTGCTCGCTGAATGAGCGCGGCCTTTCGCTGCGCAAATTTCAACTTCACCTCGTTTCACCAACCATTATTGCGTAGGTAAACGTCATAGGCAACTACCGCATACATCAGCCCTCTCATGATGCTCTCATGATCAGCACTAAGGACCTTCGGATGCCCGTAGCGGAAGCACGTGATTGGTCTTGGCGCCAAGCCCAGCCTTCCTCGCAGACGCGTTCCTGGCCTCTCTACTAAACACCATCTTACTATACCTTGTTTAGCTTCTTGGGGGAATCTGAGCTGACTCAGTTTTCCAAGGTTAATTGCTAATTGTTGCCTTTCCTTTGGTCCCACGCTCAAGCGACTCATAAATCACAAATGGTAAAGATGTAAAGAACATAATCGACATGTCCTTTAACCGTCAGAAAGCGAGCGTTGAGATACCGGATGCTACGAAGAGTCTCAAATAGATGTCGAGTTGGAAATATGTCTCAGACCACTGTGAAAGAGCAATCCATCCCAAAATCTTACTCAAAGCGTTGAATCCGAGATCTTGAAGCCTCCCGGACACAACTTTTGAAATACCTCCTCAGGGTCATACTTTGCGGCAACATCCTTCATCTTATTCACATTTTCAGCTCCGTAGCTAGCCAATGGCTGCTGACTCTTGTCCGCATAGTTCATGTATACCCATGGTAGAAGCCCGTTCTCGATGGAGCTAGCAAAGTCTCGGACAGACTCACCCCATTTCTGGAGCATCGGATACGCAGCCTTCTCTTGCTCGGCCGTCTTGATGACGATGATTGCAACCCACAGAACGCCATCTTCTGGTTGCCCTGTAACTCCCATGATATTCCCCCCGCGCTCTGCCGATCGCTTTCCGATGCACTTTGAAAATGGCTGGAACAGGCACTCAGTGAGGAAATTGCCTTCTGGAATTAGAGCCTTCAAGTCCTCCACCACCTGATTGTGAAGATCAGCCGCTTTGTTGAAAATGCGCACATCATTCTTGATGGTTAGGGTGTAGAAACAATTGCTATGCAGGTATCAGCACCGAGAGCTTCTTCTGAGGCTTCTATGGTTGGAGCTCACTAGTATCCATTCGGCACTGGGTCATACTCGGACACCAGCTCCCTGACTGTCGTCATTTTGCACATATCCATGACAGCCGGGATTGAGACCATCTTGTTGTATGCAGGGGCATTCTCCACAGCGCCCACCTGAATGAGGGCTTCGATGACAACGACATCCTTCTGCTCGGGCTATTGTGCGTCAGTACGGATCAAGTTTGAAGTCGTGTCCTTGAAGTTTGAACGAGCACCCAGTTCCCCAACTTAGACGAGAGGGCAAATATATATCAGCTGCAGACTCACTAATCTCATGTCAGCAGTAATAACGACAGCAAGAAAATGTTACTTACCCATGTATGCAATGAACAGAAGAATGTTGCTGTCAACCTCCTCGGGAACGTGAGGTGTGAAGTCTTCAAACGCCTGGAGTGCGTCACCGATGTATTCCTTGGAGAGAATCCTAAAGCCTCCCCAGATCTTCTCGCAGACGAAGGTCAGCATCTTGAAGTTGGTGACGATACCAAAGTTTCCAGACCCTCCCTTGAGAGCCATGAAGAGGTCTTTCTGAGAGTTGGTAGCATCAGCCGTGACGATGCTACCGTCTGCTAACACCACCTCAAAAGAAATGATGTTGTCGCAAGCAAGTCCTCGGCTACCAGTGAAGAAAGTCATGCCACCGCCAAGCAAAAGTCCACCTACTCCAACCTTCCCATTGCGACCGCCAGCTACAACTCGGCCATGTTTCTCCAACTCAGTATACACATCCTTCCAACGTGCGCCGGGTCCGATATCCACATTCCTCGTTTTCTCGTCGAACTTGGTCCAGTTCAGAAACTGGAGATCAATGGTCACGCCATCCTGGATGTTGTTGGCGCCAGCCCATTGCGTGTGACCTCCGCTTCGAACGGCGAACTTTTGACCCGACGCTACGAGAGTTTTGACAATGGTGGATACTTCGTTCGCGGTCGTGGGGCGAACTATGCAAGCAGGCTCGATTTGGGAGTACAAAGACCAGAAACTTTCCTGACGCTCTTTGTATTCATCATCACTCGGCAGCAGGATTTGGTTCTGCAGGCTCAATTCGGAGAAGATCTCGGCCGGGTTCTTTGTTGTCTTGTTGGCCATGATTGGGTATTCGCGACAACTTGAAATGAATGAGTCAGATGGACTGGTATAGGTGACTAGAGCTTCAATTCACTCTCTCCAAACAAAGGCAGCAATTCGTCTTCTGGTACTCAGTCAATGCTAGATAGAAGGTGGCAGCTCTTCAAAAGCGGCGCAGCTGTGCCAAGGGACTACGCCATAGTGCAACATGATGTTTTATAGCACCTTCGACAGCCGGTAATCCCGGAAGAACAAGCTGTTATCGACCTCAGAGTCAGCAGCCGATGATGCATCAGAGTTGGATCACCTTCCAGCTTTGCTGTACCATGCTGCGACGCATGGTTTGAAGGATCATATCCAAGACGGGGAATGTCGGCCATCATAGCCCGAATGCTGGACTCTCACAGGCACTTTCTAGCGACCTCGGTAACTATCACAACGCAAGACTTCTTGCTGACATAGAGGCAATCGAAACCTTGCAGTTATGCGTAAGCAGGTTCTTTTACTTTGGGACACAGCAATTAAAAATGAGGCGTAGTCGTAAGCCTTCCAAAGATGTTATCCAATCATTGCGAGATTAGTTTCGGGGGAACCTGTCACATCTGCTGTTATATGAGGGCATGGCATCCAATTGCACATCCCCAGGCCGGGATCGGGCTGACGTTGGCTGCCATCTTAGGAGGGGAAAGACGCGAGGTGGCGCCTGCGACACAATCGGTTCCATGGCACATGCAGGACCTCCCAGGCGTTTAGCAACAGCCCGTCACCGCTGCGTGCTTTCCGGAGTTCGCTCGGACAGATAATCTCATAAAGTTCTTTTAGCTGGCCAAACCGCCACAAACGTGTCAACCCATGCCGCATATATGTAAGGTTGCAATTTCTGAACCGCGTCCAGCGTACAGCACGAAAGTCCATTGTTTGGCATTCCACCGTAATAGCTCGCGCTTCCAACTTTCGTTTCTTAACCAAAACGCTGTGTTGTCCTGTCCCATCACTATACTTCGACCTAGCTTCCAATTCTCCGACACTGCAATCATGGGTGCTTTTTGGTCGCAGCTGCTACCTCCGCGTCCCGCCTTTACCGAGGCAAACACTCCAGCGCTCGATGGTAGAGTCTTTATCGTCACGGGTGGCAACGCGGGCATTGGATTAGAGCTTGTCAAGATGCTCTATGCTCGGGGTGGCTGCACTGTCTATATCGCGAGTCGCTCTTCCACGAGGATAGCCGCGGCGATCGCGGACCTGAAATCAACTGTCGATACAAACAAAACCCGACCTACAGAGCTGAAGAGCATCGTTGTCGATTTTGAAGATCTCACCACAATCTCCAAAGCTGTGTCTGAGTTCCTCAAGCAAGAATCACGATTGGATGTCCTGTGGAACAACGCCGGCCGCATGCAGGCTCCACCGGGGAGCACGACGGCCCAAGGCTACGAGGCTCATATGGGTACAAATTGCCTGGGCCCGCATCTGTTCACCAAGCTCCTACTTCCTTTGCTGCTCAAGACTGCGAAGATTGCGCCATCAAGCTCCGTGCGGGTGATCAATACCTCGTCTCAAATCGTCGATACGACGGCGCCTCCAGGCGGCTTGGTAATGGCGCACCAGGAGCCTGGAAAGCACATTCTTGACAAGAACTTGTCTTACGCCGAATCTAAGACTGGGAACTGGTTTCTGGCTTCGGAACTTGACAAGCGTACTCGCGGCGACGGCCTCGTTTGCGTGGTTCAAAACCCAGGGAACTTGGCCACCAAAGGGTGGGATCCGGTTTCTCTACTCGGAAAGCTCATGATAGCGCCCTTTTTGTATGATGCAAAGATGGGCGCATACACAGAGCTCTGGGCCGGATTGTGCGAGGAGGTGACGACTCAAGATGGGGGAAAGTATGGTGTGCCTTGGGGAAGGTGGCATCCAAGCCCTAGGAAGGACATCCTTGAAAGTCTGCAGTCTGAAGAAGAGGGCGGGACAGGTCTTGCGGCGGCTTTCTGGCTCTGGTGTGAAGAGCAAACCGCGCCATACGCTTTATAATATTCAAAGCAATGCGCATGCTGTTCGGTCAGTAATGACAGAAGCTGGGATTCAACGATGCTACCGGATATATATGGGCAATACTTCCAGAAAGCACTAGGTGTTCACCTTTTGCCATTGAAAAAAGACTATCACCAAAGACAACACGCTCCTTTGGTATAAATATATCGTCAAGAAACTCAATAATATCATGAGCAATCGTCCACAAGAGTATTTCCGCCTATTGGCCGACCATGTTTCTAGGAAATAGCTCGCAATCGTAGAGAGCACTGCTCGGGTTCGTTCGTCGCACAAAGCGCTGTCCCATAGATAGAAAGAGATGTCGGGCATTTCATGAGCTCAAATCTCCATACCAGAAGAGTAAACAGAATGCACATCTCTAAATATACCAGTCTTCTGCCATAACACCCTCGAGGGCCTAATCCGAAAGCTAACTGAGGCCCTGCTCTGGGGTCGAATTGCTCATTGTGGGTGCCTTCGTGATTTCCATCTCCGCGGACTCTGGGTATGAGAGAAATCTCGAGCCATGTAAATCTCCTGCTGTATCCATACTCGACGCCAGTGTGAGCGTTCGTACAATGCGAGTATTGCGCGTCGAGCACGAAGGTCTTCATAGCACTGATCGGGTGCCACCATTGTTTTAATTAGCCTCGCGCCTTCTCGGCGGTGGCAGCATCTTTGGTATGTCCCAGGCCAGCCCTAAGTGAGCATATCGATGCAAATGCAGCGACTCTTTTATGAACTTGTGCATCTCCATAAAAATGGGACGATTCTACGATGCCGACTTTGTTTCCTTTTCCGGCGAGGTTGTGGTTGACCCGCGCAAACCTTACAACAGTTCTCTTCCCCCTATTTTAGGGTTATCCCCCTAAGATAGAGCTCTACAACGGCGTAGAACAGGGTGTCCCAGTTTCTGAGAAATTGGACATATAGACAGTGGCATTCTTCATTTGGCATCTCGTACACTCTACACGTGGTCCTGGCTTTCTCGGGAGCGAACGAAGCTGGCTTGCGAATGGGTTTGCACTGAAACGTAGGGATTGAGAATGGAAGCCCCGATTACCCCTCGGAACTCGAACGAACAGTTTCGATGCCGTCTCACTATAGTCCCGAACTGGCCAACTTGATGTTTGAATGCCTGAAATGGAAGCCGAATGACAGGCCAAGCCTAGAGACGCTGCTTGGAAGGATTGAGAAGAACCTAGGGGAGTGGGATGTTTTGATAAGAAGCCGGAGGAGTTAGAGCGGGAGGCAAAGCAGAGTGACGAGGAGGTGCCCAAAGACTTTAGGATACGCTATCCAAAGCGAAACACCTTCGAGAGGGGAGAGCAGTTCGTTTCCTTCCCGAAGCGGCGCAAGACTGAAGAAACGGCTGTAGAGGAGAACGAGGCGAAGGCTGCAGTTGCACTTCCTCTATCTAAACTCACGAAGGACGAGATTGAATCCCAGTATAACGAAATCATCAAGGAAGAAATCGCGGAGCGACCCATCAACGGCAAAGCGCGACTTCGGCTGATCAGCGCCATGCCGGGATACCTCCTTCAGTATGAGCTGTACTCTTTCCAGGATCCATACCTCATGGGCATGCTACAAACGCTGCTCTCGGACCGTGTTATCAACCAGGACCGTAAAGTCTCAGACCTGTTGGCATTACCAGCAAAAGCTGGGAAAACGGAGCACCTAGCGACAGTTCTATCTCACTATTAGAAAGCCACTGAAGGAGCCATTGAGCACATCGAGGAGAAGGACAAGAACTACCACCAGGCGCTGGACGAGTTGAATCATGCGGCGCGATGGGGGCAGCTGTTGCTGGAGCTGGATGAGTAGCAGCTCTTGTGCCCGATCAGAAAACGATGCCCTTGCATCTCGCCGTCAAATTGTTTATCAAAGCAGAGCTCGGAAACGACGCTGGTGATCCCGACTTTGACTTTGAAGGAGGACTAGAGAGTGCTGAAGAGTAAGAGTGAGCCAGTCCCCTGAGATTGATTCGGCGGACGCGTGAGGTTGTAGCATAAGCGCCCAGAGACCGGTCCGTGGGTCACAGAACCCGGGCAGGCAGAAACAGTCAAATCCGATCAACTGCGGCGCTTATCCCCGGATTCCAAGGCTGGCCCTGCATATATGGGGATGCCGGGGTAAGTGTTGGAGATGTGGAGAGGACACTGCGGGGCACGAGTGGGGCAATCTCCAACGTCAAGCTGCTGACGAACCTCTAACCTGCGACTGAGACACGGCCACAGCGAAGCTCTAGCTTCTTCTATGTTGGCTCCTGTTGGGTGCATCTCGGCAATTGTTTGCATACCAGATTGAGCTTGCTGAGAGGCTGCCGTTGAGGGATAGAGACGGCATCTCTGAGCCTGGTCGATCCCCCGCCTCTACCTCGGTCGCTTCTTTGAGCGCATTTACCTAGGTCCATACACTTCACTGGGCTTTTAATCTCGGTCGACGTTCCGACTTTGGTATTTTCTTTTCGCTTCCGATAATCATAAACAAGAATGCCTTCGGCCACCGAGAACGGCGCCAACGGCGTGTCCAACCACGGCATACCCACTTCTTGCCCGTCATGCCCGAGTCCCCTCAAATACTCTGGCTCCCTTGACCACCTTCCATACTTCGAAATCTCGCCCATCATCGGTCGAGAATACCCGACCGTCAAGGTTACGGACATCCTCAACGCGCCGAACTCTGAGGAACTAATTCGAGACTTTGCGGTCGTCATTTCTGAACGCGGCGTCGTATTCTTCCGGGATCAGGATGACCTGAACATCGCGGACCAGAAGAAGTTTTGCGATCTTGTTGGGAAGTTCAGTGGAAGACCAGCCGAGAACGGGCTGCATGTTCATCCGATCTATCGCGACCCGGGGAATCTGAAGCTGCCGGATGGGTCCACAGACGAGAACATGTAATTTGCGCCTACGCTCCCGCATGCTTGGTACTGACGATCCCAGATACGTGATCAATAGCGAAGCTCAGAAGAAGATCTACAAAACGATGGCTGGCCGGGCCGCCACAGAACCGCGTGACCTCTCCCGCGAATGGCACAGTGACTCCACGTTTGAAACAGTCCCCTCCGACTTCTCATTCCTTAAAATGGAAGAGACACCTCCACATGGCGGCGACACGCTTTGGTGCTCCGGCTATGAGATCTACGACCGCATGTCGCCATCATTCCGATCGTACCTCGAGACCTTGACCGCAACCTGCGCGCAGCCCGTTTTCCGGAGTGCTGCGCAAGCCGGCGGATATGAGGTTATGAGCCCACGAGGCAGCCCACTAAACGTAGGTGATGAGTTCGCGCCGAGCCATCCCGTAGTCAGGACGAACCGAGTCACGGGGTGGAAAGCGATCTTCGCCGGCGTCGGACTACATGTTACGAAGATCAACGACGTGTACAACTACGAGGACCAGGTGATCAGGGAATACGTTATGAGGCTGATTACGCGGAATCACGATTGCATCGCGAGGATGAAGTGGACGAGGAACGCGGCGGCGATTTGGAACAATAGTTGCGTGTGGCATGCTGCTACGGTAAGTGCCTCCTACTTTTCGAGAGAATATTGGAGACGACTCAAGGATCGCGCTAATACATTTTGATAGCCTGACACCCATCTTGTTGAGGGCAATCGCGTTGGTGTTAGGGCGTCCAGCATTGGTGAGGTCCCGTATTTAGATCCGAATTCGAAGTCTAGGAGAGAGGCGTTGGGTATTCCGCCGTTCTAGGAGTCTTATTGAGTTTCTTTTCCAAACTGTCAATTGTCTTTCGAGAAATTATGAACTATGATAGGGAGAAACCGATTGTAGCTTGCAAGCCCCCGGCCTTTCTCGTTCGTGCCCTTCGACCGACTTGTTCACCGCGCGACTAGCCACAGCTGAAGATCTGATATCGGGTAGGTGGCAAGTATTGAGGAATGAGTTTGATTGTTTGAGACTATGGGAAAAATGGCTATATACATACTTAGGTACGACCTAAGGTCACGTGAACTAGTAACCATATCCCGCAACATCTGACCATACTCCACACAATCGCACTCAATCTTATCACAATGCGTCACATCGCAGCGTGGCTACCTAAGTAGGGCCACTTCGTAGCATAGCTGCTGGTTGGTTCAAGCTATATGGGAAGGAATTTTGCTGGTATGGCAGGCAGAGCGTTCTTGGGATAAGGTCCTGGGGGCGTGGAGCATTCCGAGATGGTGGTGGTAGAGGGGAGATTGAGGACCCCGGGATTATGTGTTCGTATATCAATTCGCGGATCTTTAGTGGTAGGGCTAGGAAGACCTTAGGTCTGGCTACGGGCTGGTTTGGAAAAATAAGTTAATCTTCCCTATCGAATCGCCCGTCGCAGTGTTTGGTGTTGGGCCACATGGGGATTGTAAATCAGCCCGTGTTGGCCGATTGTTCAGTGACATTTCTTTACTGTGGGGCATAGCCTCCAATTCTTCAAGCACCTTTGAAAATTTCCGCTTGCTCTTTATTCTCTCATCTTTGCACCGCGACGCACTCTGCTGGCATCGAAAGAGTCGGAAAAGGAATGACTTTGGGGGATCGTGCCATGAAACATCCACCCGGATGTATCTCCGGCGCTGCTAGAAGGCCTTTTGGAAACTATCGCCGAAGTCAAGGTATCGGAGAAGAGTTGCAGGAACTTAAGAGATTTAATGATCGTGCAAGCGGCGGGTAGAGTACATGGGTGTGGATTGAAGAGAATGTGAAGAATAGCGCTAAATCTTGCAGCCGTGAAGCCCTAATTACAAAACAGATGTGGGAGAGTTCCTGGGTGTTGCTAGCCAAGTTTTTGTGCCGACAGCAAATTTGCGCCGCCCATATTCAGGCCTTTCCGAAGTGAAAATGGAACCCACGCCCTTCCGTCCGGAACCAATCATTATACGGCCCCAACAACTCATCCTCCGTCACGCCGAGGTCTTCTGCGCACATGTCGCTAGCCTCCCAGATGATATTGACCGAGAATTTCCTTCTCAGCTCCAACAGCGACCTGAACTGGGTGTCTTCTTCCAGTCGCCTGAGAGACCGCAGCTTGTGCTCAGGCGTCAATCTCCGATCATAGTCGAGCAGCAACCTCACATCGAACCGGAGCGCGAGGGTGCGCAGACCCAGGCATCGCGAGACCAGGTCGTGAGCACCAAGACCCCCGGGCAGGTACCCGCCAATGGGGTAACAATCCCATGCGTACTGGTGGTTGCTGCAATGATATTCGAGATGGCGCACGCTCATAAAGCCTTTCTCGCCCGGGAATCCCTCCAGGAAAGCATAGAATTGGATCTCCTTTGCGTCGTCGAACGCGATCGTTGTGCGGCGGAGAAAAAAGAAAACGACTTCTTGGAAGACCTGGTGACTGGTGAAGGAGATGGCAGGAAGGGCTTTTGCTGAGAGAGCGGAGAAGGTACCAGGTAGGCGGGAGGTGGGGAATGTTATATGGCTGGGGAGATCGGCCATAGCGTATGCATATATTAGTTCTCGGATCTCCAGTGGAAGGGCCATAAGGCATAGCGATGCGGGTGTCTGTATTTAGGCTGCGTGGAGGGGAAGACTCGAGTACGGGAGACTCGAGCACGGAAGACGAACGACTTTGGACAGACACTTGGCGAGTTTATACATTGCGGGCCTTCCCGGGTACTCGGGGTTAAATCTCGTGGTTGCGAAAGTGTACTAAGGGCGCAGTACGCGGATTGAGGGCCCGTACTCTGATGAAGAATAAAGGGTAGATTATAAAAGCATTCAGCGACAGACTTCTTGTGAATTGAATAACAAGTGCCTATTTTCCATGGAAGCGGTTCAACAGCAAGCTGAGTGGCAAGCTAGCAAAATGGATATTCACCTCCTCACTTTGTGAAGGCTTGGCCATACTGTTCGTCATTCACCGATCGCTTACCCCGGATATTCATCTCTTGGAGCCACTTGCGACTGGGAATGTCTCTCTAGCAATCCTTTGCCCCCATCGACAACCAACAAAATTTTCCACCTCCACACTCACCCGGCTTCCCTGCTTCTTGAACTCCAGGTCAAACCACGAAGCTGTTATACGATTATGATGGAGAGGTATATTGCATTGTATAATGTAGGTAGCGAATAAGGCATATGCGGAAAATGCGAAAAACCAGGGCCAAGGTGAAGCAATGTCGTTTGAGCGCCGCTCGGTGGCCTGCCCTTGACTAGCGCGGATGGATTGAAGCCCCCTATACTTATTGACGACTCCCAGCCTGCTGGACGTAGCTCGAGACATGCGCCTCCACCTTCACATTCCTCTCCCGCTTCTTGAAGCCTTCTTCAAACCACGCCACGAGATCCTTCAGAACAGCCTGGGGCTCCGCGATAGCACCTCCGTTGGTTAGAGGAGGCAACGATCCAATAGGTGCCGATAGGAAGCGACATCCTTCGTACTTTATGACCAAGTAACGCAAGGCTTGCGGACTTTCGAGCAGCCTCTCATAGCCGTAATACGCCGCAATCTCTGCTCCTGTCCGGCCAACCCACCGACGCGTGTCCCGGTCGAAGGTATACAGCGCTCCAGCATGTGCAGTCAACGTTAGGTTGTGGAGGCCTGGACAAAGTGCAACGAAGGCTTCCGGAAAGAAGATGAGCCGGGCCTCCTCGAAGATGACGCTGCGGACGCTCTCGAAAAGTCCGTTCTTTCGGAAAAAGGCCCGTAGCCCAAGTCCACAGCTCTTGCCGGTGATGGCGATGGCGGTACGGTGGAAGAAACTCGACAAAGCCTCGGCGTGAACTTGCCGATTGAGGAAGCACACCGGGGGTAAGGTTCTTGGTCTGAGAGTGAGCGGCGACAGCTCTGCCTCATCAAAGAGGCTGTTGATTGGGACTCTGAATGTGTCCGGAAGGTCTGTCATGGCGAGTTCGTAGATTTCCTGTCGCACTTCTGGAGGTAGGCTCATGAAGCCCGTGGGACGGTGCTCCTCGTGTTTGCGTGCATTGCTTTTGTTGATTGTAACGCACATTTTTTCGGCCCATAAGACGGTCTGGGGGATTGGAGAGAGGTAAGTGCAGGATGCTGTGAGGTGATTTTATAGAGTGCCATTCTAGCCAGAGCGGAGGAGGAATGGTGCTGTACCATGGTATTCAGACCAGCGCAAATTTTCCACCTCAACACATCTATATGGCAACTCTTGACGAACTACAGCGTGAACCATGTCTCAACGCTACAGATTATTATCGGCTCCCAAAAAATTGCATACCGAATGGCATAGTAGTGCCGGAATAGGGGAGCGACTCAATTTCTCCACTGATTGTCAGTGTTTGCATCCGGTGTGAATCGGTGCAGGCATCCGAAAATGAGCCTACGTGAAAATGAGCCTACGTGATGCCCCGTAAGTCTCAAGCATCGCTAGCATCGCTACCGTCCATCATCATGGCGATCATTTGGAAGGGCTCTCACTGATGTTTCGGTTGCGCGCCGTAAACCGCCCCGGCAACTCGCTGCGACCACGGCACGCACGTTCACCCACGTCAGTAACGGCGGCAGGGCGAAAAGTTCGATAGAGTGCTCGAAAGTAATCAAGCGAACACACGTTGGAAGTTGTATGGTAACCTGTTCGCGCTGATGAAGCGTGGTCGCGTGACTAGCCGGAGGTAGCAGTGCGAATGGACTTCGTCTGCCCGACTGTACCTCTGGCAACGACAAGCATGAGAGATGCAAGGGAGAAACAGATAGAGTGTAAAAAGGTACTCGATAGAAGAAAAGAGGCTTCCGCGTAGGGGGAGTTCAGGTCGGCGATGGAAGCTGTTACCCTGCTATTCCCAACGGCGTAGGACTGGGAGGAAGCGGCTGCTTGCGGCGACCAACGCCCAAGGACTAGGCTATTGAGGCACCATACAATTAGTCGACATTCAGGGGAAAGCCATAGCATCCGCCCTGTTCTCTGAGGCATTGAAGAAGTTTGCGCGATGGATGAGGGAAGGAACCCCTCATTTTCGGCCCCTAGCAACAAACAAAGGCGGGCGCGGGGCACGCTAGCCGAAAACACAACTCCAGGGCTCCATCGCTGCTGCCTGGTCCACCATTAGTTAAGCCATCACCATCTGCCGGTTTTCACATCACGATACATCATGTTTCCTCTTCTTTCCCTCCCAAGTGATCTGCTACAGCCCGTCATTGATGCTATTGACGATGGCGCCACCCTCGTGGCCCTTGCCCAAACCTGCTCGATGCTGCAGCCTCTCGCGGAAGCCCAACTCTTTAGAAACGTCTACATTCGCAATGGGCCGGATGCACTGAAGCTTTCGGAGGTCCTGGAAGGCTGCCCGCGCCGCTTCGACTATGTCTACACGCTGGAAGCCACGCCGAGCCCTTTTGATTGGGCGGGTATCGAGAGACTGCCGGACTTGGTGCAGAGGATGAAGAAGCTGCGCGAGCTACATGTGGAGAGCCCGCTCATCAATGCACATCGGTATATGCCTTGGTGGGCTGAGGGACCGGTGGTGGAGTACATGGGAATGTTCGAGAAGGCAAACGATCTCAGCATCGCGGAGGCGCCTCTTAGAAATCTCACGTCATGTGCGATGCATACCCAAACCCACTCTCGTGAAGCGGCTAACAAGCGCAGTAACCTTCCACTCCAACGGCCCCAGCACACGATATTACCACATACGCACCATACTACCCGTTCTCCTTTCGCGCACCCTCCGGTACCTCCACGTATCCTGCATCAACATGATCGGGGATTTTGGGGGCGACAATCTCGGTGACGAAAGGGGACGAACACCTCTCCAAACTCTCATTCTTGACGAATGCTACATCACTCCAACAGGTCTGCGTACCATTCTCTCACTCCCACGGAATCTCGTCTCGCTTTCGCTTAGGGAGACAGATAGGCACCTTGGGCACGGTGGAAGCAAGCTTAATGAAGACATCGGCATCGTTCTGTCGGCACTTAGTCAGCAGAGCCACTCACTGCATTTTTTTCAGCACAGCTGTCCGGGTTTCTTCGAGCACCGCCCCCAGAGCATTCGAGAGCTCAGAGCCGCTTGGGAGCAGCTGGAGAGATACGCGAGAGCAGCGAATGACTCTCCCGGCTTCTCAAAGTTCGCACAGCTTAGGACCTTGGAATTGAGCTGGCTTTCCGTTCTTGCCCATATTCTCAGCAATCCAGCCTTGGCGCCTCCTGCTCTCGAAACGTACCGCCTCATGGAACTGGACTACGGTTACGAGGGCAACTGGGAACACATGCCCGCACACATCTCCGCGGTCGCATCAGCAACCCCTTTTAAATGTCTCGAACTCCATACCCTGCCCTGTCACGCACACCCCAGCCGCCTCTCTCGGACATTCATGCTCGAATCCCGCGCGAAGAAACTCATCGAGGTCGCGCGTATCGTAAAGTCGCGGAACGCCACAACGGCTCTTGTGAGCTATGAGACAAATTTTGGCACTATTCCTCCGTATTTGTATTGCGAGGAGCAGCCGAAGAGCAAGGTGTGTTTCGAAAGTGAGCGGTTCTGGAAGGAAGAGGAAAAGTATGCGAAACTGGTCGCTGAGGGAAAACATGAAGATAGGTTGGGGGAAGAGGAAGGGCCAGGTGATGACGGGACGGTGCTTGCTGCGCGGATTATTACGGGGTATCGATGCTTGGGACTCGCCGAGTTGGCCTAAGCGCCGGAGAGCGAGCAATGGAAGAGGCGGATATTCACGGGCGAGGGAAATGGTAGGAATGAGAGGGGCCGAGGAAAATACGGCTCCGGGGGTGTCTAAGCCCTCGGAGATCTGTGTTTATTTTTTTGATACGGCCTAGATCCAAGCGACATGTCCGAATATCCTAACTATCCCAAAGAACATGCTCCAGGGCTAGCACATGTCGACATACTCTACTACCCCTGGACGATGTCCCATCATCTGAAGCTTGCCATATACAGCGGGTCCTCGGCAAACTCGACTTCGACGCTCACCCTTCCCCCAGCCTCCCCAAACTTCTTCCTCAGGAAGTCCACATATGCCCTAGGAATCTCCTCCTGCTTGCACCCCAAAACCCAGGCATACACTTTACAACAGGTGAAGATAATCTTGAGCGTCTTCAGCGACTTGAGCTCTGCCGCGCGCGACAAAAGCAGATTCTCGTCCACCGCATCCGGCTCCGCAATGGCATACGAGGCCTGCCCAGTAGCACGCAGCACGGGCCGCAGCAAGATCTGGACGGTCAGACTAGTCAAGCCCGCGCATTGCGCTGCGAGGTACGAAGGATACGGAGAATGTACTGGCGACGTCAGCGACGCTTCCGACGAAGAAGCAAACCGTTTCATGGCGTACCAACTCAGACTGCGGACTGCCTTGAAGCCACTGTGCTCTGGGAATTGGGCGAGGAAGTGGAGCAGTTGGCGCTGGCTCGTGCACCTATCGCTGGCCCAGAAGTTGGTGCGCGAGATGTAGATGAGTGTGGCTTCTGTGTGCGTTTGCCGGCTCGCGAGGCAGATTCCTGGGAGCGTATTGCGGTAGAGCGAAGGGAATGTGAGGGTCATACTCAGGCGGATGGGGAAGTCTGGGTCCAGGGAAGACATGGCGAGTTCGTAGACGCGGTCGCGCAGTTCGCGCGGGAGGGAGAGGAACCCGTGGAACTTTGATGGGGCTTGCGCGACTGGTGGGGACTGCGTGAGGATTGATCGAATCAGAGTCAGCGGCATGGTTGCGCTGTTGGGGTTGTCTTTCTTCCTGCTTTGGGACTGCACGGTCTGGTCTATGATGGAGTAGCATGTTATAAACATACGGGGGACGCACACAAGGCACGGGGTACACACGGGGGTGAATACTACACACACATGCCCTAGGTACGGACACGAACACATTGTGCGTACTTAGCGGTGCATACAAGTCATCCCTTCTTCATCCTAGGGTTTTTAGGGAGGTTCTCGTCCCAGGACGAGCAAGATGGATTCACACCGGGACATGGGACCACTGAGGACGTTCAGGCTTTCCCGAAATTCCCAGTCTTGGGCTACAAAACATAGCGGAAACCATGGGCACGATCATGCCTCGCGGTGACGAGTTCGGATGTGACAAGTCATGGGGAGTAGGTGTCTCTTCCTGTCGCCGGGAAGTGCCCTGTTGCATGATATAGCTCGTATTCTTACATGACTTCATGGGTTCCTATATCCATGGTAGTAGCCTTTTCTTCCGCGACTTCTGCAATCCGCTCGTGTCTCCATACTTGCCTTTTCATTGATATGCTCTCAAGTGACAGGCGGGGTGTCCAGGTGGTTCGCCAAGGGTATGCATCTCACAGTATCCTCCCCAGCAGAAAAGCCTAATATCGAGAAATATAGTGCCTAGGACCCTCGATACCTTATGTTCCCAAAGTGTTCCTGAGACTTTAATAAAGCGCGCCGTCTGATTGGCCCATCTGTTGGCGGGAAGTGGAGATGCGTACTTGGAGTACCAAGAAGCGTACTAATGGTACTGCCTCGCTGTCGTACCCCACGTCGGGCGCGTCCGCCCTTCAGGCTCTTCAGAGGCAAAAGGAACGAGAGAAGGTACGTAGCTTGACTAGACGAACAATCTTCTACCTCGCAGAGTCTTCATCGGGGGATGCCTTCGAAGGTAAGAGGCAGGGAGCCAGACCCAGCAGATTAGATATCCATAGTACCCACTGCGGATCCGCTAGTGCCGCCACATGGTCATGTGATGACGTGTTCCCGAGGCAATTGGGCTTGGGAAGCGTCGGAGAGTTTGCTGTTCTGGCCTTTGCGTGAGCGTTGGCACCGTGATGGCGACTATGTCAGCAACGGGTGCTGGCTACGGGAGGCCGCAGCACGAATTGCTTCACCGCGAATGTCACAAACAATTTTTGTGTGCGGATGGACCCTCCCGAGGCTCGCGGAAGCTCTGAGGGGCCGAATCAGGGCGCAGGTGTTTCATCAGCAGGCGCGGCTGGACGAACCACAGGCGGGCTATTATGCCCTCTTCCAGCAAGCAGCCACGGAAGTGCGGGGCAGCACGCCCATCGTCGGCTCGCGGGTGGCGTGAGGGACAATGGCGCGTCGACGAACCGGGGCCCAGATGCCGATCCGTTGCGGGGCTTACCAATACGGCCTGCCGCAGGCGGGGTACTTATGCGCGCCCCTCCTGCCCGTGCCCGCCAACCTCTCCCACCAACAACACCCTCATTTCTCCCCAACGACACTCAACGACCGACCGCACACCACCGCACACCACCGCAATCATGGCTGCCAGCGAGTGCCCAGTCAAGAAGGCCAACATTGGCGGCGGCGGCACCCGCAACCGCGACTGGTGGCCCAACGACCTCAAGCTCAACATCCTCCGCCAGCACACGGGCGTCACGAACCCCATGAGCAAGGACTTCGAGTACGCGGCCGCCTTCAAGAGCCTCGACTACGATGCCGTGAAGAAGGACCTGCACCAATTGATGACCGACTCGCAGGAGTGGTGGCCCGCCGACTTCGGCCACTACGGCGGCCTGTTCATCCGCATGGCCTGGCACAGCGCCGGCACCTACCGCGTCTCCGATGGCCGCGGCGGCGGCGGTGACGGCCAGCAGCGCTTCGCCCCGCTCAACAGCTGGCCCGACAACGTCTCGCTCGACAAGGCCCGCCGCCTGCTGTGGCCCATCAAGCAGAAGTACGGCAGCAAGATCTCCTGGGCCGACCTTCTGCTGCTCACCGGCAACGTCGCCCTTGAGTCCATGGGCGTCAAGACCTTCGGCTTCGCAGGTGGCCGTCCCGACACATACGAGGCCGACGAGTCCGTCTACTGGGGCGGCGAGACCACGTGGCTTGGCAACGAGGTCCGCTACTCCTCGGGCAAGGAGGGTGTAGCGGGCGGGGGTGCTGGTGTAGTGGACGGCGACCAGCACAAGAAGGAGCACGGAGACATCCACTCTCGCGACCTGGAGGAGCCGCTGGCGGCTGCGCACATGGGTCTCATCTACGTGAACCCGGAGGGTCCCGATGGTATCCCAGACCCGGTCGCTTCCGCCCGCGACATCCGCACCACCTTCGGCCGCATGGCGATGAACGACGAGGAGACCGCCGCTCTGATCGTCGGTGGCCACAGCTTCGGAAAGACCCACGGCGCAGCGCCTTCCGAGAACTGCGGTCCCGAGCCAGAAGCTGCTCCCCTTCACCAGCAAGGCTTCGGCTGGCAGAACAAGCATGGCCGCGGCAATGGACCCGATACCATCACATCCGGCCTGGAAGTCATCTGGACTGCTACGCCCAACAAGTGGAGCAACAAGTACCTTGAGTATCTCTACAAGTACGAGTGGGAGCTCACCAAGAGCCCTGCCGGTGCCAACCAGTGGGTCGCTAAGACGGATGATGCCTTCATCCCTGATGCCTACGATCCGAACAAGAAGCACAAGCCGCGAATGCTGACCACCGATCTGGCCCTGCGCTTCGACCCCACATACGAGAAGATCACCCGCCGCTGGCTCGACCACCCGGATGAGCTTCACGATACTTTCGTTCGCGCCTGGTTCAAGCTGCTACACCGTGACATGGGCCCGCGATCCCGCTGGGTTGGCCCCGAGATCCCCAAGGAAGTGCTCCTGTGGGAAGATCCCATACCACCAGCGGACCACCTGACCATCAACGACTCCGACGTCGGCGAACTGAAGAAGCAGATCCTCGCCACTAACGTCGAGCCCACCAGCTTCATCCGCGCCGCCTGGGCGTCCGCCTCGACATTCCGCGGCAGCGACAAGCGCGGCGGTGCCAACGGTGCTCGCATTCGCCTTGCACCCCAGATCAACTGGAAGGTTAACAATGCAGCGGAGCTCAAGCCCGTCCTGACTGCGCTGGAGAACGTGCAGAAGAAGTTCAATGACTCTGCACCCGGTGGAAAGAAGGTCTCGTTGGCCGACCTCATCGTTCTAGCCGGTGTCGCGGCCCTGGAGAAGGCCTCCGGCATTTCTGTACCCTTCACGCCCGGCCGCACCGACGCCTCGCAGGAGCAGACCGATGCGAAGGCCTTCGAGCACCTCGAGCCGGTTCTTGACGGCTTCCGCAACTACGGTGTCGGCACATCTCGCGCGAAGACCGAGATGTTCCTCGTCGACAAGGCACACCTGCTCACCCTCTCCGCTCCTCAGATGACCGCTCTCGTCGGCGGCATGCGCGCCCTGAACGCCAACTGGGACGGCTCAGCACATGGCATCCTCACCAAGCGCCCCGGCCAGCTGACCAACGACTTCTTCGTCAACCTGCTCGACATGGGCACCGAGTGGAAGCCAACCGACGAAAGCAACGAGTTCTTCGAGGGCGTCGACCGCAAGACGGGCGCGAAGAAGTGGACTGCCACCCGGACCGACCTCATCCTCGGTCACCACCCTGAGCTCCGCGCTGTCTGCGAGGTGTACGGTGCGTCGGATGCGCAGGAGAAGTTCAAGAAGGATTTCGTGGCTGCGTGGGACAAGGTTATGAACTTGGACCGGTTTGATGTGCGGAGCACGGCTGGTGTGGAGAAGGCCAGGCTTTGAGGGATAGTAAGGTCTAAGCTCTAATCCAACGGCTTGCATGGCGTCATGACATGGTACATACCTATGGCATAGGGTAGCAAATTGAAGAAAAAAACTATTTACATTGCAGGAGTAGTTCCTTCTCTTCCACTGATAACGTTCTGGTGTTTTGCTAACTGCTCGCTCGCTCGCTTCAACATCCATAGTCAAGTCGGCCCGACCGACAAATCATCCGGTCATCCGTTTTACAGTCATATTCCTAAATGCTTCTCGTTTTCGTAAAGACGCTGATGGGGAAGATGGAGAATAGGTATTAGGGTGGCAGTCATCACCACCAGCGGCGACCAAAATCTCCTCGCAACATAGTCAGAAAACAATGCCTTTCACCGTCGAGGCAAAATGCTCGGTGCGGAAATACTTCAAACGCACCTGCACCCGGTCCATAAAGCTCCATCGCTCATCCCAGCTTCATCAAAGCCGACACAACAACCCGACCCCAAAACCACACGATGAAGACGCCGACCTACACGCCAGATGTGGCCGAACCCGCGCCGATCCGTTGTCTGTGGGACACATTGTTCAACGACTGCTCGGTCCCCAATTTGCCCGTTCAAACCTCGACCTTCTTCGCTCTTCCTCTCGAACTGCGTATGGAAGCGTACCACCACGCCCTGACCGGCGCCCGCCCCAAATTCGCCATCTCCGAAGCCGCCCTCCTCACCACCGACCTCTCCGCCCTGATAATCCGCCAACTACCCCCCTGGTGCCTGTCCAGCCGCCAAGTCCTCTTCGAAGCCACGCTCGCCTGGCTGCGGCGCGTGCGCTTCGAGCTAGAAATCCGGGGCCGCTGGGGTAACGCCAAGCTGCTCGAGTTCCTCTCCAAGCTCCCAGGAGACGCAGGATTCACCGCCGTCCGCGAGCTCGCCTACACCACGCTCCCGGAGCATATCCCCCGGGCAAGGAGTGCAACGAGGCTCGTGCGGCAGTGCACCGCCCTACGCACGCTAGCGCTACGTATTGGATGCACGACTTTGGTTACTATGGAAAGCAGCGGGTTCGGCGAGCAGGGTCTGTATCGCCCCAAGACGCTCGCGGAGTTGCAGGATACGTACCACTTGCAAGGCTTGTTTGATGCGTGCGCGCACACGCTCCGGCGTGTGGAGATTCGCTGCCAGGCGCTGCTGCCGTATCGGTGGCTTGGCGCGGATAGGACGCGAGCGAAAGTGTACAGGGCTTTCCAAGAGTTGGTCGATCGATGCGTTGAGGAGACTGGGAGGAGGGCGCAGGTTGAGCTTTTTACCGTCTACGAGCAGAAAGTAATGCCTTCGTGAGACTGAGATCTGAGATAGCGCTGAACTACCTCGCGAAATTGATTCTTAAACGTATGCAGTTCATGTAGCATCAAACTAGTGCAGTCTAGATAAACAACAGTGCTACCCTACCACACTATTCCTAAATTCCCCCAAAAGTCTCCAACCGCAAACCCTAGCCTACCCGCCCACTACCGCCACTCTATATCCCGAGAAGAAGCGCGTCTAAGCCTCGTCCAATCTATGGTGCTTCTGATCTCGAGGGCCGTGGTGCGTCTTGCGTAGATGTCGGCTGGCGATTGAGGTACTTTTGAATCCTATGACGTATTGGTTTTCAGTCCTTCAGGCGCTCAGGCCATCAGACTTGCTTCACTCCCTTCGCTTACCTTCCATTTCCGCCGTCGGATTTGTAACCGCCTTCACCTGGATCTTCGTCGCACTAATATATAAGAAGCTGACCCCTCTCAACGGAGGCTTCCAATCGCAGTCTCCTCCAAACTGTTTCCGCCGCAGCATCAGCGCAAGGCGCAATCGCAAATCATGGATTCTCCGGCAGTCCAGGAGCACATGGAAATGTAAGTGGGCAATATGCGCTAGAGCCCGTACACGCTAACTGGTCCAGCACGGCCCGTAACTCGACGGACTCCCCCCTCTTACGCCTCCCGGGAGAACTCCGCGACAGGATCTTCCGCCTTGCAATTGGCGGACACGTCATCGCCGTTACCAGAGATGGGCGGGGCATCCAGCTTCTCGACCCGGTATCGACAAAGAAATACCGGCCCGCCACGGCAACCCGGGGTACCAAGTCTTCTCATCGTGGCAGAGCAAGGTTTCTGCAGGGCGAGCGTATCCCGGGCGCAGAGCGGGTCTCACGAATCTTCACTCTTGCGTTCGTCTGCCGCCAGATTCATTCCGAGAGCCAGCTGCTTCCGTACAAGCACAACATCTTCCACTTCGACACGCCCTGGAGCTTCGGCAGCTTTACCAAACGCCTCTCGACGCCGCAACGCCAAGCTATCTTCTCCGTCTCCGTCGGCGGCGACTACATCATCGAGAAGATACTGTTTCCACGCCGCAGGGCCGGACTGCGCCCACCCACGGTCTATCCAATCGTCCCAAACCTGAAGCGTTTCTACTTCTTCTTTCCGCTTACGGATTACAATGGTGGCCCAGATCAGGAGTGGATGGCTCGGGTAGCGGTACACTTCCTGGGACGTGGCGAGCGTGAGGAGGAATTGGAGGTCTTTTTCGTCGATGTGGGCGGCGAGGTGAGGATCGAGGCCGCGCTTCTAGCGGAGGCGAGGCTGGAGGCACGAACCTGAAGGGCCGGATCTGCCGTAAGGGGAATCGGCGGTAATGGCTAGCGGGACTCCACGGGGCCACCTTGGTTATAGGGACTGGGCATATGTTGAACAGAACATCATTGTTCAGAGTACGTTGAGTGCTTCAGTGCCGCCTTTTATGCGGTCTGCTCTGCTAGCTCTGTCTCTAATGCTGCACAACTCTGCAGTGGCTCCCCATCAAAGCACACGCCACTAACGTGATCCATGATTTTCCGAAAACCGACTGAGTAGGGCCAACTGCAGTTTGAATTGAAGAACACCGCCCGTCGATTTCTCTCTTAGACATTCCCCAGAAAAAAAATTTTCTTCCTGCACACAATGGCCTATACACGCAAACAGCGACCGCGGAATAGTTTGGAGACAATTTCGATGGTAATATTCTTCATCCACTTGGCTCAGAAAGAGGAAATTGCGTGACAAGGATCTTCTAATCATTACTAGGAGTGTACGAGTGACTAAATTTCACATGTCGCGGTAACATGGGTATTGCGCTTCCCTTTTCGGCTTTTCTTTTCACTCCTGCTGTGGCGTTCACCGCGTAATTATAATAGACCCGCTTAGGCGGTCATTGCGCCGAACGTTTTCTCTTTATTAATATCTCTCGCCCGAGCGCAATCATAACCGCCCTTCACGAGCGGACCACCCACTTCGTCGACGAACGCAGCTGACGATGGGGAACTATCCGAACACTCAAGCCAGCAGCAACGAACGGCGCTCGCCAACCCGGTCCTCCCCGCCTCACCAACCCGGTCACGACCTTACCGCCACGATGGTATGTCCAAAGAAGCAGGGAAGTCCCGCTGGTCAAATTGTCAAGATCAGCAACGACGCGAACATCTCGACCGCCACCATCGGCCCCTCACCCCCACGCTTCCTCTCCCTCCCGCCCGAGATCCGCGACATAATCTACACACACTACATGTCCTCCCTCCCCACCCGCGTCTGGATAAAACCCCACCCCCCGCTCAGCAAGCGGACCCTCTACCCCGGAACGCTCCCCGCCCTCTGCTTCGCCTCCAAGCACCTCTGGCAAGAAGCCACTCTAGCCTTCCTCCGCCGCACGCGTCTCATGATCGAAGCCGACGCCTACAAGACGCAGCCCCCGCTCGCCTCCTTCCTCGCACAGTTCCCCGGCAACAGCGGGTTCGCCGCCGTGCGCATGCTGGGCTATCCCGACGCCGTTGTGGGCTACAGCGCCGACTACACGCTCAGGACGCCGTCCCAGCTCATCGTGAGATGTGAGGCCCTGCAGAGCTTGCTGCTCACGGTGAACGTGTACTTCTGCGTGCGGAGCGCGGAGGAAACATTCGCGCAGATTACCGACGACGACTTGGATATGGCTGGCATGCACTTTGAGATGAAGTCAAAGGGAGATATGGCTGCGGCGGTTGGACTCAATGCCATCTTGAAGTGTGCGAATCTGAGGTTTCTGAAGATTACGTGCCAGTATGAGCACTGGCATTATGGGGAGTGTGGGGTAAACTTTGGGGTTTCGAGGATCGAGGATATTTTTGGGGGATTGGTTGCTGCGGTTGAGGAGGGTCTGAGGGAGAGGTTGGGCAGCGTGAGGGTCGAGTGGGAGTATGTGGAGGAGTAGTTGTGGTGGGATAGGGAGAGTGGGGTTAGCTTGTGACGGCTTTGCGGACTTGGTGGCTGGTGTGTGCTTGGAGTTGTGAAGGTGCGACTTCAAATACTAGCGTTCTCAAGCGTACGGCTTCATATATACTAGACAATCGAACGGAATTCGGCTCTTCCTGAAGCATAGCTTACGGGTTAGATCTTACATTATCTGCTGTAACATCCGTTCATGCACATCATTGAGCCACATCTCTTAGGTGCTCTAGTCTTCCCTAAAAGCGTTAAAATGCGCACATAGCGCCTGGGCAAAGCACTCATGTGCCATATCAGAACCGTTTCATTCCCCATCCATAACGCACTTTTAGTAAAGCACGCTATAACGTCGAAATGACGCAATTACGACATCTTTATTTTGAAATACCGATAGAATCTAAGAAACGAGCACGTCATTTTCTCAGACGTTGTGTTTCACACCATTTCCCGAGCTCGCCTTTTCCTCAACAAGCACATCCAGCAAGAAGCTATGTTGACTTGTCTGCGACGAACAAGGTTCCTATTCGAGCACGACGAAGGGCATTATAATCTATCCCTTTTACAACTTCGTCTCGCGGATTCCAGGATGCCTTGAGTCTATCCGCGTGCTATCTTATCTTAATCTAGGCCATTGGGTATCTAGACTGTATTTGGGTAATAGTCGTCTGTCTGGACCATGCTCGGACATTTTCCTAATTAATGTCCGGGAATCCTTCGCACGTGTGGATATACACTCGTGCGAAGACAGTGGAGACCCACTGGTAACAAGTATCGCCTCAGCACCGTTGAGGAAATTGAGGAGCGTTGGGCTTTCGAGGGTATGTTCGAGATGAAGGATCTGAGACGCCTGCGGTTCGCTGTTCCGGGTGGGCAGTGAATCAGGGTCACGAGCCCACGGCCAGTTCAAGGGAATCATGAAAGTCACGAATGGCCTGTGAAAGCTTTGATCCAGCATGGGGCACCACAATCTTGCCTCTCTTCCGTGGTATAAAACCTAAAGGGTCCGCATACACTGCATTTGCAACTCAGCCAACACACACCTCCCCACAGCCAAGCGTAGAAGAAACTATTTGAGCGGGTGCTAGATTGGGTCGAGTTTTCTCCAATAACAGCGGACGATCCTTCCAACTACAACCTTCGAATCGCAAGCCTATCCGAAGCATGGTCCAGTTTGCCAAGGAGACCAAGGTGGTTCGTCGCAACCGGGCCCGCCGGCGCTCGCACTCGACTAAGGCTATCGAGAAGGACGCCACTCAAACGCGGAGGAAGGACGGAGGAACAGCGCAAGAGGAGCAAGACTGGGAGGACATATTCGAAGGAGAAGGAGATGAAGAAGCGCAAGTCCAAGAAACACGGCGAGGCTTCGACTTCCTGGACTTCCCGCGAGAGCTAAGAGACGAGATCTATATCCACGCTCTCGCCCCGCAACCGACTCGCGTCCCACTTCATCAGAACACATCGCTCTCTAAGCTCGTCATCTACCCGGGGGCGCTCCCTCCCTTCGCGTTTGCCAGCAAGCAAATCCACGGAGAAGTAATCCTTGCCTTCTTCTCGCGCACTCGTTTCGTCTTCGATACAAGCTGCGTAATCACGCATCAGCGCTTCCTCGACTTTCTGTCCCAGTTCCCCAGTGGCACCGACGCAGTCCGTATGCTGGCTTACCTTAACCTGCACCGCTACGGGGACGCGGAACTAGACCACCGGCGCGACACAGACATCTTCTCCGCAAACGGGCTCGTCTCCCGGCTTCCGGGGATCACGAGCCTAGTCCTGCACATATCCTCAAGCGACGTGATGGATTTCTACCGAACCGAGCATAGTAGCGTGGTCGGAAAGCGATTGAAGACAAAGGACGAGATGAAGCGCCAGTTTCACTTCGAAGGCTTATTTGACATGTCGAAGTTGCGGCGGCTAAGGTTTGTCTGCGTGATTAGAGGGTTCGATGTTAGATATATGGGGCAGGGGCGGATACTTCCCGTTGCGCATCTTCTGCAGGAGCTGCTCGAGGAGGGTTTTGAAGCGAAGGGGAGGACGGTGGACTTGGACTTTGTTGTCGAGGCGAAAGGGTTTTAACGCTGGATTACGCTACGAGCTCAAATTGGTCCGTAGAGTATGCAGTAAGGTGTAGGCGCTTTTAAAGCCTTCGACGCGCACGCGCGAAATAGTTTCACAAATAAAAGCTGATACGTACTAAGTATAGGGTATCAGATATCAAGGCAATAAGCATTGGACATGCGGATGTAAAGCGGACTTCGAGGAAGATAGCGGAGACATGACGACTCGAAAGAGTAACCCAATAAAGATGCCGAAGCGTAAGCGGCCTTGGGATGGAGACAACAGCCCCGGAGAATGTACCATACGTTCCGCTAGGTTGAGGGCGGGAAGTCGGCTCTACCTGCCCAGGTAGACAGTATATATTTGGGCTCTCTGAAGCCGGCCAAACTGGACTACAATGATGCTAACAGCGTCGCGATGTCGCCAGCGCCTGGATACCGTATGCGTGAAGCTACTGCGAGAATGTACTGGTGGTATAATTAGCGCTCATCATTGCCCATAGTCGTTCGTCCGGCCTTTTCGAGGTGAAACGAAAACCCCCCATTCGACGCAGCCAACATACCTCAGTAGTATCTAGACAACATGAAAACTTGAAGAGCCCCGGGGCAACGGTACGCCTGGATCATGTTGCCCAGTACGTCGCTGCTCGGATCCAGCGAGTCTTTCGGGACCATATTCATATATAATCTGGGGCTCCTTTTTCGTTGGCAGCTTCGTGCCATGGTTCGCGGTGGGCTACGCCCTCATCCGCGCCCGAACCGTTCTTTTCTACCGACTTATGCCACCTGCCCGTGGTTCTGTGATACCCTGTTCCCTTCTCTTAATTTTAGCGCCTTTTGAGTCCTTTTGTGCGTAGGCGTAGTCAGCATAACCTCTATAGGTTGGTGACTTAAAACAAGAGAAATCAATCAATCAATCTATTCATATATAAAACCATGCATGTGCGCACCATACTCTGCCTCTCTTCATAGCACGCACAACTGACGCTGACCAAGAGTTGCTTCAACCCAAAGATTGCCAGAAAATCCAGCCAGTATCTATTGATTACCGCACACAAACATCCAAGCTCTTTCCGAGTACGCCCTTCCTCCTACATCCCATCCATAACGCACGCAAATCGACCTTGATCAGATACTCTCAAACACGATGTCCGACTCTAATGAGGTAACCGCGCCCATCTTCGGTCCAACAATGACCAGTCTGGACGAATTCCTCGAGTTCCGTGACCTCGCCGAAGCCGTCGCCTCCTATGCCTCCTACGCGGCAACCCGCACCACCTACATCGAGCCCTTCCCCTTCCTCTCTCTGCCGCCCGAGATCCGCTGCCAAATCATCCACCAATACCTGCATCTCGAGCGGGAAGCAGGCGGCATGGCCAAGTGCCTGCACTACGACGAGTGGCGCAACGCCTGCTGCGTGTGGTACTGGCCGACCAACCTGATAATCTGCGACCGGCACGCAGCGACGGAGCTGCCGCCGCCGCAGTTCCCGCCGTGGCTGCCGAGCTTGGCGTACGGCTGCAAGCAGATGCTCGGCGAGGTGGGCGTGGAGATGCTGAAGACGACGGCGCGGTTTGAGTTCAAGTACGTGTGGTACCGCGAGTTCCGGATCGTGCCGTGGTTCATGCGGTTCCTGGCGAGCATTCCGGCGAACGAGGGGTTCGAGGCGATTCGCGAGGTCAATTTCCCTCACGGCAGGTATCCCTTCTTTCCTGTTTCTGAGACACTGCTGATGGACAGCAGCGCACTGGTACAATCATAATCGCGAGGGGCGGGTGATCGACGAGCAGAACCCTGATGTGCAGCTCATAATGCGCTGCCCTAACTTGCGCAATGTGGGCTTCACGTTCCACGCGGAGAAGATGACGATGAAGGATCCTGAGAATACGTGGGACCGTGTTCATCGGCCACTCGAGGCGGTCATCGAGTACTATCAGCTGCGGCCGATGCTGGAGTGCAAGCGGTTGAAGCACATATACTTCGAAGGCATCTTGCCGCGCTACTCGTCGTCCTATCCCTCGCAGCCGTTGAAGACACTTGAGGACTTGGGGAATTGGCTCGTGGATGCGTTCGAGGAGAAGGGGCGGGAGGTTGGTGGTGTGGAGGTGGAGTATCACGAGCGGAATGGGTACTATGTCGGCCGTAGGAAGGGTCGGATGTTGAAGGGCTTCAAGGCTCCAAAGGTTCGTGGTTTTCTCTTGCACAGCTTGGGCTCATTGCTAAAGGGTGGCAGGCCGAAGAAGAGGCACGTGCTCAGGCCCCCAAAGTCGTCGAGGCCGAGGTTGAGGCTATCGACAGCGACGACATCGTCAACCATACGCCTGTTGTTAGCTATAACCCGTACGACCTCGACTGGAGCACCGACGAGGATGACGACTACTGGTAGAGGTGGAGTTCAATCTGGCATTCCATCCATTGCTGCGGGGATGATGTGTCGAGGTCTAGACTCCAGTCGCTACAGCGCAGCCGGAACGAGCATGGACTGATGAGAGCGTTGGAGACGTGGTCAATGTATCCTACGCCGGTTTTTAGTTAGCTGAATGGATAGTTAGACCTCGTGCGAAGCTGACATCGCACCTTTGACCTCCCATTATGAAGCCACAAACAATGCGGTGACGTATGGAGTGACTGAGTGCCTGACGCCGCTCAGGATCTGCGGCGTGACGACGTGTTTGAAAATTGCATGACAATGGAGTGAGGAACGAGGAACGTGTGGTGTTTCATATGCAGCCAGCCAATCAGCGGTCGTGCATAGAGGCTGATGCACCCCTGCAGCCAATCAGAGTCCGGGTATTGGGAGCTATCCGCATCCAGCAGGACCCTGACGTCACACAGGCATTCCATCCGACAGCTCCCCAGCCTCAGGCCAAAGAACCGAAGGCAGCCGCACGCTTAACTACCGCTCAGCCCACCACAGTACCCGCACCTCTCCAGTCTACCACCAAACTCCCTCATACCCCAAAGCTACAACTTCAACACCCAGAAAGAATCCCCAAAATGGCGACCACAACCGCATGCCCCATCGTCGGCACCACCAACGATGTCCTCCCGCCCAACCACCCAGACATTGACCTCGCCAAAGACGGTCAGACATGCCCCGTCGTCGGCGCGAAGACAGACCACCACCACAACCTTCACAAGCACCCGAACGTGCCCATCCCGGATCCCGCGAGCCCGACCGCGACCGAGTGTCCGGCGCTGAAGAATGTGATTCAACAGCCCAAGAGCCAGGCTATGGATGATGAAGTGTGTCCGGTACGTACTGACGCCTGCCTGCTATTCTGGGGCGGAGAAGAGAGAAGGTGCGAGAAGGGGATGTGATGTGCTGATGGGATGTGCTACTAGGTTATCGGTCCCGCGACGACTGTCCTCCCGCCCGATCACCCGGATACGAGCAGCGCGAAGGAGGGCGACGTGTGCCCGGTTACGAAGGCGAGCGTGGCGCATCACAAGACGAAGGTGCATACGCATCCGAGTGTGCAGGCGGCGTCGGAGGAAAAAGTATGCCCGGTGACTGGGCAGCATGGGGCCGCTCATTAGAGTCTAGATGCAGCTTGCCGGAGGATATCTGAGGAACGTGGGATAAGGCGTTAGTACGGTCATTGAATCGAGATACTCTAGGAATGCTTAGTAACTCCTAAGGTAGGGCGTGGGGGGTTTGCGGGGAGCACATGTTTTCGCTGCAGCTGCAGTCGTCTTGTCTGTTGTGTATCAAGTGGCTGATCTGCCAATTGGCTACAACAGCTAGCAATCATACGAGTCCAGTAAACCCCGATCCTATTGGCCCTAACGCCACTTCCTCCTATCCACCCCTTACACCCACCCATTACATTCATTTCCCAAGAACGCCCTCCCAATCTTCCTCCTTCTCGCACCTTTCCAACGCCTCTCTCCCCACCCACCACGCCTCCCCCTTCGCCCGCTCAACCCACACCCTCAAAACCCCATGCTCCGCCACCCAATCCATCCCATACATCTCCTCGATATAGCACACCTGGCTCATAAGCACCACATCCGCAAGCGTAACGCCCGCCCCCTCCCCACTCAAACTGCTCGTCCCCTTCCCAACCACATCGCCCTCGACCCAATTCTCCAGTCGCTGAAGGTAAAAATGAAACTTCTTAGCCGCGTGCGCAGCCGCGCTAGGTGACTGCTCCGACGCAGACGCCAAGCCGCTCCAGGCCAGCGTGCGGGGGTCGGAGTGTATCATTTCGGCCATGCTCCACGCAAGCGCGTCGTTGAGGAGCGAGAGTATGTCGCGCGTCTTGGCACGCTGCGAGATGGTGCTGCCGTAGATATCCGCCCCGTCGAATACCTCCTCCAGCCAGCCCACGATGCTCAGGCTCTCGTGCACCCAGAGCGTCTCGTCGTCGTCTTTCTCGACCCGCATGCACGGCAGCGAGGTGTCGGCGGGTCGGGCTTCGTAGCCGGGTTTCGCGACTAGGGACGCGGTGGTGGGGGATAGGATGATGGGGATCAGGTGGATGTTGTGGGCGGTGAGGGCGGAGAGTGTGATGTGCTTGGCGCGGAGGTAGTAGATTATCCGGCGGGGGAAGAGGCCGGTTGGCCAGAGCCAGAGGGTTGTTTTGGGTAGGGCGGTGGTAGTGGTGGGAGACATTGCTCGGAATTAGAGGAAGGAGATGCGGAGGGTGTGGTGGATATATGGTCTTGGATTGGATTTGGAAGGTAGTGTGATGATGATGGCGATAATGGAGGATTGGAATTGTTAGTTTGCTTCGTCGCCGCCGCTTCTTTATACCCATTCTTGCTTTCTGTATGTGGAATGACTAGATCGGAGCGGTGCGTGCTGGCTGCGTCCTGTACCACATGGGGACTTTCCTCGCTCGCTTCCTCGCTCGCTCCGAACTGTCATATCATTTTAAAGGAACGGAACATTAGCGGAGAGCTTTCATTCCAGCCTGCTCGACCTGCGCGCCTGCTGTGTGAGTACCCCAATGTCTACAATCATGGTATGGTTAAGATGACAGCACACCAAAGGACTCCGGCGAGTTTTATCCAGGTAAAAGCCTAGCCTGAATCCCTTCGGAGACTTTTCGAGACTGATGATGATTGGTAGAGGAGATGGCCCGTCCCGCGGTATACGCTATGCGCGCAACATGCTCAAATATCTTCGGAGACATTTGAGCATGTTGCGCGCATATATAGCACTAATTCGGATAGCCAAAAGTGTCATGATCGTTCTTTACGTTGAGTTCCATTGCATACTCCATTACAATCAGCCCTATTACGAGGGTAGCACCATCACGTGGTTAATTGTAGACCGGCATCGATGGCGCATAGCCCGTGAGCCTCTCGCCATTGAGCGGCCGGAACTTCTTCTCCTTGTACCAGACGTGCGCATCCTCGGCCAGCTTCTCCACTTCGCTCCACCGGAAGTCCTTCTTGGGAAGGCCATCATAAATGCCCCGGGCTAGGTCGACACCAATGTTGCACTGCTGGGCAAGATACTTCTTCTGTTTTAGGTATTAGCGTGCATTCAGGAGTGCAATTTGGAGCTGCTTACCTGGATCTCCGGGAACTTGACGAATTTTAGCATGTTTACAGTGTTCTTGATCGTATTCTTCTTCTCCTGGTCCGACATCACACGACTCCACAAGTCCTTAGCTTGGTCGTAGTCGCTCTTCTTTCCTTCATGCCAGTAGTGGCTCTTGCGACTCATGACGTTGTCGCCAACCTGATACGGCGCCTCGGCAGTATCCGGTCTGAACTTGTGCGCAAAACTGTTCGGTGCATACTGCTTGTTGCCAGCATGGTTTGCGTCGACGCGCATCTGGCCGTCGAAGTTGAGAGAAGCGTACGACTTGGCCATGAACGGACAGTTGACCGGGACCTGGTGCAGGTTCACGCCAATGCGGTGGTACTGTGCATCGCGGTAGAAGAACATGCGGAACTGAAGGAGAGGATCTGGAGAATCTTCGATACCCGGCACCATGCTGCCGGGGGAGAAGGCGGCTTGCTCGACGTCGCGGTGGTAATTCTCCGGGTTCTTGTTCAGCACAAGGCGTCCGAACTCTTGCATGGGGAATTGCTTGCGAGGCCAGATCTTAGTTACGTCGAAGGGATCGAATCCAAGCTTCTCGGGATCGGCGTCTTCGGGCTGCATGACCTGAACCATCGCTTTCCAGGCGATCTCTCGGCCGTTTTCGATAGTCTCCCACAGGTCGCGCTTGGAGTAATCGGGGTCTTCTCCGCACATCTGGGTGGCCTGCTCTTGGGTGAACTGCTTCTGGCCGTGCTCTGCGATGAAATGGTACTTGATGTAGACGAACTTGCCATCCTTGTTTACCCACTTGAAGGTGTGGCAGCCATAGCCGTGGTTGAAGCGCCATCCTACCGGGGTGCCATGGTCGCTGAAGAACATGAGGCCGGCATGGTTGCCTTCCGGCGTATTGGCCAGCAGATCGAAGATGGCATCATAGTCAAAGAGGAAGTTCTTAGGGTTGCGCCATTGCGATCGAATCACATCGGGGCCTTGAATGGGGTCACGGCAGAAGAAGACGGGCTATGTGATTAGCAAGAGAGCGGTTAGTGCGGATGAATTGGCTTACGAAGTTCAAGCCGACTATGTCGTAGTTGCCTTCCATCGTGTAGAACTTGATGGCGAAACCACGCGGGTTGCGGGCTTCGTCAGCGTACTCACGACCAGGCGTAACAGTGCTGAAGCGGATGAAGATAGGCGTCTTCTCACCGACGCTCGACAAAAAATTAGCTTTCTAGTGAAATGTTAGTGGCATGTTCCTTGGTTTTACGGCGCGTGAAGCCCACCGTCAAGTCTGAGACATTCTTGGTGCATTCGAAATAGCCGAAGGCTCCGGACCCAGACGGGTGGACCACACGCTCAAGGTTCTTAGAGCGGTTGAAGGTCTGCTGCTTCCTGATGAGCGTCAGGTAACCATGTTCCGATGCACGAGAGAAGTATCGCATACTGGAAAAGGAACACATCGCTGGCGACTGGGATTCCTCCAATGGTCTTGCTGTGCTCGCTGTAACAGGGTCAGCACACGTTTTCATCTCATAGCGAAGACGAGGTACATACGGGTCGGGCCATGGAATACCCTCATTGTTGGTAAAGTAGGCACCGTCATCCTCGCGCTTGCCGCCCTGCACCGCTCCGGACACCTTCGCGATGATGTCGGCAGGGCCTTCGTTCGAGCTCTGCATATGGCTGAGGCGGGGTGCGCGACCCTCGCCCTGTGCAGCTCCCTGAATAGCCATGGCAGTGGCTTGAAGCGGGTGTTGGAGCGGGTCGTTCTGGTTGGTGTTGGCAGTGGTGCTAGAAGGGGCCATTGCTTTTGGGAGCTTGGAGGAGAGGTTGGACGGGATTTCCATGATGCGGGGAGATACGAGGCGAGCTTAAGAAGGAGCGGAGCGTAGTAGTACGCCATCGTCGTCTAAATGAAGCCTCTGGTGAAGCATACAATTGTCAGACTGATGCTTCGCTGACGTGCACGACATGCCTTGTAAAGAGCAGACGCTCGTCCACGGTTGGTGCGGAGAGCTTGGCGGCCCCGAGGACGGCCGGGCGTGCGACGACACCAAGACGTCAGCTGAATTCGCGTGTCGGGAGCGGTTCGCGATGTTTGGGAATGCGTGTATTTGGTGTTGCGCATTGAGACGTGATGTGAGCGTGACGTCCTGTCCAATGAGCTTGGCGGAATTATTAACCTCCACGGAGCAGCGCGCCGGCCAATCAAGGCAGTCGAATTATTCAACCGGTGCTGCCTCATCGTGTTTATTTCGCCAGAACGAGCAGCCGCTTCTGTGCGAGGTACGTAACGGTGACGGTTTGAAGGGCGATTCGGTATGCCAACCGCCCGCAGTATTTCATAGCTGCGGGCAGCTTCCCCCGCCCCGAGCATATCAGCTTGCACTCCCTCTCTTACTTCGCGACTACACCATGTCCTCTTCCCGTACACTCACGTCAACTCTTGTCCGTACTGCACTGCGTCCAAAGACAGTCCGTCTTCCAGTCAACAACAGGCTTGCATCGATCCGTGCCCACACCGCCGTCATGTCGACCATCAGCGAGGCCATCACCAAGGACCACCGCGAGCTCGAGCAGTACTACAACGAGATCGTCAACTCGGCCGACGTCGACCACCAGCAGCGCTTCGGCAACCAGTTCACCTGTAAGCCAAACCCGGCACGATTGTTAAGAGTGTGCTAATCGTACTGCCACAGGGGAGCTGGCCCGTCATTCCGTCGCCGAGGAGCTCATAGTCTATCCCGCCTTCGAGAAGTACATGGGCGCCGAGGGTAAGGAGAAGGCCGAGCATGACCGCGCGGAGCACCACAAGGTACGTCCTTCCAAGACACCCGTCCATATGGTCCCCAGCTAACTCTTCTTAGGTCAAGGAACACCTCAAGCGCTTCCAGAACATGAGCCCCAAGGATGCCAACTACGTCGCCGAGCTCAAGTCGCTCATGTCCATCCTGCAGCACCACATCGAGGAGGAAGAGAAGGATGACATCCCGGCCCTCGAGAAGGCCCTGAGCAGCGGCAACGACACAGGTGCCTCAGAGCAGATGGCCAAGAGCTTTGGGAGGACCAAGGCCTTCGTTCCGTCGCGGAGCCATCCGAGCGCTGGCGAACACCCGCCGTTCGAGACCGTCATGGGTTTGCTAACCGCACCCATTGACCACATCGCCGATATCTTCCGCAAGTTCCCGGACAAGACCGTCTCGCCAAATCCGTCTACGAAGTAGGTCGTAAAACTCATGGGGGGTATTTGGTCGACGGTTACAGATTCGAAGGCATTCTAGGGTGGGTGTTGGCGTTAGGTTAGGCGCTCGGGCTATCCTCGATGGCGCTTTCGGTTCTTGCTACATCATACTCGACAGCATGCTGTCTGAGAGCTGTGAAGCTGAATAAAATCAGTATGCTATCGCGATAACCCCGTCGCAATCCGCTCACTACGTGATGACTAACGCATCAGTACCTATGAGAAGGTCGGCAAAAGCGCAACTCTGATTGTGTTATTCGTCGCCATGATGCGCTTGCAATGGCATGACCGCAGTCACTGAACACGGCCCATCGCCCTAATCAATAGCGTACCGTTTACTTAACTGCTCCGCTGAGAAACGAATGTGTCGAAAGAGAACGAGTCGAAGAACCCACGGTCCAAAGCGATTTCGAGATTGCGTAGTTGGCCCGTGCGCCTGCATTAGTCAGCACCGCCGACTTCCAACGTCCACCGAAGCTTACTGTTCCCTTCCGTTCGACATCGAGATTGACCATCATGTCACCAATTACATTTCATCAGCTAGTACGCGGCATTTGCATGAGTATTGCTACCTGCAACGTCATGCTAGTTTCCCACGCGCGGTTCGTCACTATCGAGGCGCTCCACTACGCGGAGAATATGGTTATACTAGCACCCAGATTGAACGTATGACTTATTTAGGACTCACGTGTTCACATATCCTACAACGGAGGCGATTATACACCATTCGCCTACTCTTTACGCGTCTCGGCGCGCCTCTCCAATGTCTCCAACGCTAGTCCAATCCTGGGGTAGTCACAACCTCTACCGCTACCCTTCTCCCCCTTGCCCCAAAACCGGCCTTCAACCAATCCCTCAACTCCACCATAATAGTCCTCGGGCTCAAAGCTAGAGATACAGCATCGTACCACCCCATCACAGCCCCGCTCCCGGTCTCAACCCTTCGACACGGTTGGAATCTAGCCGTGCTCCTCAGCTCGATTTTTTCAATGTTCTCCAGCCCGAATATGTCATTCAGTCTGTATGTCTCCTCTATCCCTTTAGCATTCTGGACAAAAGAAGTACCGTCTTCTTGGATCTCCTCCATGCTAACTACTTTCAGGAACCAGGATCGATGAAAAGTTAGGCTTACTGTACGTAGACCTTTGCAGCGTAGCATGAGTTCGATATTCGGGTTATATCGTCCCTCTGGAATATCCCAATAGAACTTGTGGAACACGAGATGTCGCACACTCCAGAATCCCTGCTCTCCTGGGAACCTCTCGAGGAATTTGGTAAAAAGGCCACGCGACTCGGTTATCCATATATCGAACTTCTTCGAGCGGATATAAAACAGTCCGGCGTCGATGCGTGTTGCTTTGTTTACATGCAGGATTTCGTATCTCAGATCCCCCATCAGGTTGTCTCCAAGGTAGGGAGGAAGAGGGTGGATGGAAGCCGGTTTTGGATCGAGAATATAGCCGTATATTTGCTCACGCAGCTCAAGAGGTAGCTTTGGAAAGATGGTCTGGGTGCCATCTACGCGGTAGGGTGCGAGCTCGTCGATGTAGCCGTCAAGGCCGCGGAGGAGCTCGCCGAAGGAGGTGTATGTTGTATGATAGGTCATTTTGCTTTTGTGTTTGCGCTGCAGGTATGTTTGTTTGCTTAATACCGCGGAGTAAGGTAGGGAGGTGGGAAGATGCGCAAAAGCTGGAGAGGATGCGCAACGGTAAGAGCCTCGCGGCCACGATGTCACATGCCCCCTTCGACGATCTGGTCCACCATGAAAACATGGGAAATGTCACACTGATTTCGTTACATCGTCGCAAGATTCAATACGCATTCATGCGCGATCCTACACATTGACACCGCTGTCTACTCGTTTCTGAGTTCACAGCGGCCGCCTGGCAAGTCACCATATTACGAGTTCCGCTCGCACCAAAAGCCAACCCCCGTGCGGCTCCTCGCCTCTCCAGTCGTTCTTTACCACTGTTCCATACAAAATCTTCTTCGTTACCAAACAGCCGCACCGCAGAAACCATGTCCTACACCAACTTCCGGGGGTTGCTAACCGCGCTTGACGGCTACATCGATGAGCTGTCGCCATACACGGTCGACCTAAACAATACTCTCTTCCCCCGTCTACCACTCGAACTCCGCGAGCTGATCTACCGTTACATCGCGCATCCACCTCACCAACGCGGGCCCCGCCGCACTTACGTCTCTCGGCACGCTGGCGGCGCACTACCGCCTTGGAGACCCTTATGGCTTCCCACCATATGCTCCGTGAACTGGGCAACCTGGATCGAAGCGGGCCTGTACGTCATCAGGTCCACTGAGTTCGAAATCATGTATCCCGACAACCTCGACTACTTCGCGAAGTTCCTGGACACTTTCCCCGGCGAGCAAGGCTGGACCGCAGTGCGAAGGCTATACTTCACGCTCTTCGATCGGAACGGGGTATTCCACGCAAAGAGAAACGGATATATTGACTTCATGCATAGATGCACAGGGCTGACCGAAGTCACGCTCAAATTCAACGTCCGCAAGCTGCTGGACAAGCAAACGGTGCTGCTTCCCTACGTGGCTCTCGCTCACATGAACATTTCCCAGTCCGCTGGGTTCCTCACGCTCGACGAAGTCACTGCTATGCATGGGCTAGAAGCGATCTTTGAGGTAAGCTCGCTGAATAAGGTGTATATTGATGTTTTCCCTAGAATATATTTACATGCGGAGGGGTTGGCTGATGGGGTCCTAATGGATGGTATGGAGTTGATTGAGGAGTTGGCGGAGTGGATGCGGGAGGGGTTTCGGAGGCGAGGGAGGAGTGCGGCGGTCGTGGTGAGGGAAGTGAGGACGGAGGGGCTGACGTGGGATTCTTTGTGGTTTATCTGAGCGTGGAGTGTTTCGGCCACTTGTAGATATGTAGCTCTGGGTGCAGCTCTGGGACTCCTCATTTTGTTATGGGTGATGAGTTGTGTCCCACTGCAACATTAGGAAGTCATAGCGATTCTCCCGCTGCGATTCAGAGAATCCAACCACGGCCTCAGACAGTTTCCGGACCATGAGTCTGAATTCGCCCAAGGAAATAGATAATCATATCACTAACTAGTCCACTCTACTCAAAACATCACAACAGCACAACTTCCCCTTTCTCCTAACTCTCCACCTATGTCACTACGTCGGCCTCCATCCGCGCGCCCCCCTCCTAGCCGACCTACTAACCCCCCGGCAAAAATCACACTGCGTATTCCCCTGCGCATCTACATAAGCCCACCCGAGGTCCCGCCTCTGCTCCGGCTGGCCCGTCCGCGTCGTCGCGCACTCGCCGCCCCAGCGACGCCTCACGCACGTTGTCCAGGAGTCCCAAGCGACGTGGCCGCAGCCGGCGTACCGCATGAATATCATTCCGCACATTGCGAGTGTTTTTGGATGCTGATTTGTATATATATGTTGTATGCGTAGAGAAAGCAGAGGTTTGGGTTTTTGATAGAAAGGATTTGCTTGTATGAAAAGGGAGTCGTGGAGGATGGCTTGTGTGTTTGGGGGGAGCCATTTATACTACACGTCGACGCTTCAAGTTAAGTTTGTGGAATCGGGAATAGGGATAGGGAAGAGTAGGACGCCAGCAGTGCCCGAAGAAACGTGTGCCTTGGGCTTTGCGTGGAGTGTGTCGTGGCGGGGGGAGAGGTACACTTGAGTTATTATAGGTGCCCAGAACTTTACTTCAACTACTCAGGCCCCCTCTTCTTCTCCCGGTCGAGTCGTTGGCTGCCAGTTCAGAGGACAGCACCTCCCCCGCTGTCGCTTCTCCTTCCAGGACCACTCCAGTTGTCCTGCTTTGATTTATTCATCGTGGGTGCTCGGATTCGCTTCGTCGCAGTATTCAATGTCACTGTCTTCGTAGACGTGATCACAGGCTGTGTATCCGGTTTTAGCTTCCCTGCACATGGTGAAAGGGGCGTACGAAAGCGGCATAGAAAGGGAAGAGTACTTGTGATAGTGCCAGCGAGCGCTATGTGACAGCGTTGATGAGGCAACTGGTCGTGATACACGAAGGAGAGCGACTGCAAGCGTGGAGAAGCCATATACACATTTCGCACCGGTGAATATATACAATTCCATAGCTCCCCTTCACCGCGACTCAGCATAATATCTGTCTCGCCCCTCCTAAAGCCGATCACAGCGTGAACCGCATCGGCGGCGGCCCCGTTCCATTCATACCGCATCCATCCGTGAAACACGCACTCACAGTATGAATATATCGTATCTTCCCATCCTCGACCCGAAACCAATGACTATCCGGCGTCCCCTCCGTCGGCCTCGTGCGATCCAAGCCCGTAAACCCCAGAAAAATATCCACCGTTCCCATAACCTCATCAACCACATATCGGCGATTCGTGAGCGGCGTGTTACTCGGCAGGCCGCCGATATTGCAGGTGTTAGCGGAGAGGTTGCCGCGGCCGGTGTACGCGCCGCCCTCGAGGCGCGCGCAGGGTGTGCCGAAGGGGACATCGACGGAGGTGTCGTTGCAGCGGTCGGCGTAGGCGTCGCCGGCGGCTTGGATGGCGGCGCGCGACATGCGGTTGGCGGCGGGAATGGGGGCCCAGGATTCTTGGCTGCTCCAGTAGAGGTACCCGGTTGCGTTGAAGGCCCAGTCGCCTTTGTCAGTTACGAGGCTGTCGATTAGTTTGACGTTGCCTTCCTGTAGGAGTGGCGGGATGTATTAGCACATATACAGAACTGTGGAGCGAAGACTGGAAAGAGAAGGTCGGGAGTGGACATCCAAGCATGTCTACGTCACGTGGAACATTCTCTACAGCTAGAACCGAGTCACGCTGGAGGGTGTGCCATGGCAAACGTACCTCGTCCAAACTCATCTGCGTATGTACCACATACGGATGCATCGGATCCGTAACAATGAGCTCAGTGAAGGTCTTGCACTGCGTGGTATCGAGGGAAGAGCGATTCGCGGCGACGACGATCGGGTATGCGGGCATGCCGCTGAGGATGGAACTTGTCTTATTGTTCTCAAGATACACCATAGTATAGGCTAGATTTTCGAAGCGGTCGTGCTGGCCTGTGACTTGCATATCGATGTACTTGTCAACGGTATCCTGGAGGTAGTCGCGAGTGCATTCGAAGGCCGCCGAGGCGGTTGCGGCCATAGCGGCGAGGCTGAGGAAGGGTGACGCGACCATGGTGATGGCGATCCTGGTGCGAGCTATGACGGGGTGTTCGATGACGCCGCAGACCAGGGCGCACCTGCCCTTTATAGTGGTATTTCGAGATGTGTTTTATCCTGGTCCATTGCTGGCCAATATACCAGAATGAAGTAGTGGACCTGGGAGGCTTGAGCACATGGGCTGGGCATAGAACTGGGGATCCAAAGCCAATTGCAGAGAAAGAAGCTCAAAAGCCCCATTTCGTTTATATGGGAGAAGAGCCTCTCTTGTGCGACGCTGTTCTCCAAGTCGTATATGTAAATGGTGTGGGGCGGATCGGCATTGGTTCGTACCCCTGGCGGCTCAGCGGGATGCACCCCACATCATAAAATTGCCCGCATAGGGTCCGGTTATGTGCGCCAAGCGGTCCCGAGATTCCGTGGGAAGAATGATGTGTTGCACGGGTTCAGGACCGGGTTGCTTTTTGAGTCACCGTTGGCGATACGCTGGCAGGTCGTGTTGCGGGACGTCTCGGGAAGCCACCGGAATCGCACATCGTTCGCGTATCGATAACGAACCTCGTGTCGACGACTCTCATATTTTTCGGCCTCCTTCATCAATCCCATTCCCTCACCCCCGGAACCTGCTCGCAATGCCTCAGCCTACAAGCAATCCTCGACGCCTCGCAAACATTCCGACAGTGGTCAAAGTCAAACGACATCCAGAAGGTATTCAGCGATTCGGCCTGCCAAAACGTCAACGCGCGTCCTCTTCCCCAGCCCCGAGGCGGCTCTCACAATCTCTTCAGGCGCCGGACCACGCGCCCGCTGGTTGCCGCCGCGTCCTGCTTGTAGTGTAAGCTCCGCCGGCGTCGTCGATTCTGCGGATAGGAGGAAGAAAGCGTGATATACGGTCTTGAAGAGAAGGGTCGTGAGCGTAAGCACGAGGGCGGCGTGTAGGAGACGGCCAATGATGGTCAGCGCTGCCGGCTTCCATCTCATGGTCGTTGGGGTATGAGTGAGGAAGAAGAGATGCGATGCGACGCGCGTTGGGACGGAAAACGCGTATGCCAAGAACGTTGCTGTGGGTCTCTACCATGGGGCGAGGTGCGAGAACCGTTTACGATCGCCATTTCTAACTCCCTTACGGTTCGATCACCCTACGCGGGTCGCATCGCTCCTTCCATATCCATGGCTATGCATGTAACGTTGGAACGCCGCCCGGGCGGACACCAAGTAGTCACGTGACATGATCCGACGAAATCCGACGAAAGCATACTATGCTACCGGGACACTACCTTTTAAGCAGGCACGGGTCTACATCTAAGGGAACGTAGTCCCATCAAGCCCGCCTCTAAATTCTCATTGCTCGCATACGAACTCCCTACCCACACCCGCACACCCTCAACCCCGCCACCAAACCGCAAACACTAGCACCGCCAACGCACTCCCCACCACAATCCAGCCCCTCGACATCCTCCACGCCCTATACCACAGCAAAAACCCATGCAACCTTACCGTCGCCTTCGCATCATTAACTCTCGGATACTCTTCCTGTGGCACCTCCTTCCCCAAAAACGCACACAGCGGCACCCACCCATCCCCCGCCTCAAACTCCAAGAGCCTCGACTGAAGAACAACACGCCGCACGTGCGCGTAGTGCATGATATACGAGTGGCGGAGCGCGAGCCGGTCATTCGGATCCCCAGCGCCCCAGTGCGACAGGATGGTGTGCAGGATGCGCATGTACGGGCCCCAGAAGACCTATACGTCGCGAGTAAGTAAGTAAGCTGATTGGGATGGAATGTGAGGAGTAAGAGTAAGAAATGGACATACCTTATCGTACTTCGCCCAATACGGCATGCTTCTCCACCTCGTAACCGTGAAGAACGTCTCGTTCATCGAGCGGAGCCAGGAATCCACGTCGCGATTCGTAAGGATGACTTTGGCAGCGGGATACGCGGCTAGCAGTTCGTCGGCGAAGAGGATGCTGGGTATATCTTCCAGAACCTATCGTCTGATCAGTCGCGCTCGTTGACCCGCCTTACCGAAAGGGCTGTGGACATTGTAGTCGCCCAGGAATTTATCGAATTCCTCTTTCCCGAACGGCTTTCCTTTTCCTTCGAATTTCGCCTCCAAAGCCTCGTTCCAGAAGGTGAGATGGCCTTTGCTCGTGTTCTTGAGCGCTTCGGACATGTGGTAGACGGTGTAGCCTAGTTTTTCCAGCGCAACTTTGAGTGCTATACGGCAGCTTTAGCCAGCTGAGGTTTGTGAGGTTCCTTTCCGCGATGGACTTACACATTGTCCCTATCAACGGTTAGTGCGAGTCCGGTCTCGAAGCAGTCATGTCTTACCTGTCCGACTAAACCCGAGGACGAGCACTTCGACGTCTTTCGAGCGGGGCTTGGCCGGCGTTGTGTCGATTAGTCGCTGCGAAGCCATCCTATTTGCGCAAATTCGTTCAATGATGATCGGGTAGAAGATCTGCAATTCTCCTCATTAAAAACCGATGCGGAGTCGAGCTTTGTGTGAATGTAAGCAGAGAACTCCGAGGACTTTCGCACGAGAGGTTGGAGATCCCTTAGTGGGGGATTACAAGCTAAACCCAAACCAGCTACCCACAAGGGTAAAATGACACCAATAGCGTCCATTGCATCTACACATCAAACGAATTTCTACGTACTGAAATGGGATGGACCCGCCAGCAGTAACCAATTTACCTACGGAGACCCTCGGAACAATCTCGATAGCCAACAACGTCGAGGCGTTACACTTCTGATGCCTGTATAACGGTGTCCGGGCTCTAATGCCACGCCGGCGTCCTGCATTTCCCCTTCGACGCCATGATACGCAGTCAACGAGCATCGACCGGCGCTGTTCCATCCATTCCACCAGGATACACTACAACACCCCAGCGCAGCAGCTTCTCTTCCATCTCCGTCCCGCGCTCCTCAGGATGCAGATGGCACACGATAGAAAGCGCAAGCGAATTCGTCGCTGGTCCTAGCATCTGCATCAGAATCCTCAGCGGGAGACTCGTCGTCTCTTTCAGCTCTCGATTGCCGTACCTGAGACCCTGCGGTATGCACAGCACCTCTTGTACGAACTGGGGGATGTAGTCTGAGAGGTCGGAGACTTTGAGCGGATATAGCATCCTCAATCATGGCTAGCGCTATTTCCGTGCTGATAAGCAGTAGCCAGGATGATTAGACGAGTTGTTAGGCTTGGGTCGTCTTTACTCTTCGATAAAGCTTCTCTTGAGAGACTTATAACTTCTCCTAAGTCATTTATATCACCTTCCCGCTCGTATCTGGAGAGATACATCGTGGACAAGTCATTTTGTAGTATCGCAGTACTCTCATGGCCAGCCGCTAGCGCCTCCTCAGCTTTCTCGATTGCCTCATCAACATCGTCCAGCAATCCACGCTTCTCATATCTCGTACAGAGGGCATTTGCTTGGTTCATCAATAAGGCTGGACGAAGTGGTGAGCACGGATCGACGGATTCAATCGCCTCTTGATAAGCCGCAATAGCGTTATCGAGGTCGGTTCTCAATCCAAAGCGCTCATAGCAGGTATTTAACCTCATCCCTTAGAGCGCCCACCATTGCGCCAGAGTTGAGTAACCTCGCGGGGTTGTCTTGGTTGATTCTTGTCCTTTGACAACTGCTTCTTTGCTTGTCGACCTGGACGCTTGGAAATAGGCAGGATGACCAGAAAGAAGACTACGTTATTAATTCGTATAAAACTAGTAGTCTATATTAAACCTACTAGCCTTCTACTTTAACAATAAAACAAAAGAGCGTTTTGTAAATTAAAAAAAAGAGCATAGCAAGAGTACCTCCCTCCTCTCAACGCTCCTCGAGTCGCTGCAACTTGTTACTCTAGGGCGGCAGGGTTTCCGGCTAAAGCTGTTAGCATGGCTGGTCTCATTTTCATGATTAGTGATTCTCACATGACCGTTGATGTAGACCGCATCGATACAGGTTCCAGGGACCGCGTTCACACTACAAAACACATTAGCCCCCAGCGCGCTTACCGCATCGCGAGTAACTTACTTTACATCCCACGATTCATCGTCATACATGGTATGCCCTCCATAACGGCAAGCCGAAGCTTCCTTGTACAGCCAGTCGTTGATCACGACTATGTCGAGCCAGGCGCCACCATTGCCCGGCATTCTCTGAATCGTGTAAATATACGAATTTCCGGAATCAAAGTCGGACCAGCAGGCATAACGCATTTGCTGGTCGGCGAAGTAGCCTTGGAAGATTGTAGCGACGTTCTTTACATTCTCTTTGCCGAGTTCTTGGTTGGCTTCGGCGCCATGCGACCAACATTCTGCGGACGCGAGGCTCATCATCCAGGGGAGACTCAGGAGGGCTTTGCGGAACAACATTTTGGTGGAAGGGCTGTTGGTGCTTTGGTGGGAAAAGATGGTGAATTCAGGTTGGGAAATTGACTCTGGTAATCGGCTTTGATGAAGAGTTGATAGTTGAATGGAACGAGAGTACTGCTAGCAGAAGATGCTGAATATATATACTTCTTTTGAGTGTGTTCCAAGGGGAGAACCACCCACGTTTAGACAGTCAAGCTGCGTGGTCTGATGTCCTTCACCGGGCAAAAAAGGCCCAAGAATAGCCACGCGTTGAACTCCGCCACAGAGATGGGCGCGGACGGACTCAAGTCCACATCCATAGAGAATTCATCCCCGCTTGGATTTAATCCGTGGAGCTAGGCTAAACTATAAGGGGCAATAAGCGCGAAGCAGAATCCATGGATCAAATCCACGCGACGGATTTCCATCCGCGCCCATCTCCGCTCCGCTAGAAGGTATACGGAACTATTGTGATCACAACTGAGACAGTGAATGAAGGCTATGAGACAACGGACAACGCAATTTTAATTACACAGTAATCCAATAGTGTCGCCCGTCGCTCGCCGCCTGTCGCCCTATGGTGTATATAAGCTCCAGGCAAAGCTGCGCCACCTATACAACACTCGCGCAAGAGAAAACTGCTGGTAACCAAGTTTCTAAACATTCCACAAGAGTCTCATAAGTCAAATTACTATTGTAGCCGTGTGGGAGAGCTCAAGTCCGAATAGGCGAGGTGTATGCGGCACGGGGCTTACAGGGCGTAAAGTCATTGATTAAAGATCGGTAGGAGCGTGAGGTCCATGGGGCGAAAAATTATAGTATGATAATTTACCTTCTCCTAGCTGACATAAGATACAGCTTTAGAGAGGCGGGAGGCTTGCTGAACCGCTGAGATCACCCTAAGCGTAACAATTTCTCAAACTTACAAGCAAGGCGCAGTCGGGCAATTAGTAGTGAATAGCTCCCGAAGGGCGTCGAGAAGAATGTCTTGAAAGTCCGAGAGGCGGTCCAAGCCATGCGTTGCGTTGTATTGCTACGACCGCCCTGTGCTCAAGTGGACACATTTTGGAGCCATAGGCGCAAGGCTCTAGTGGCTACGTTTTTGATATAAAGACAGGACGTTCCAGCGTCGGATGCCCAGTCAAACATCGTACAAGCCCAGCAGCCGTATTTTCCAGTCGTCTTCTTTTGCTTTCCTAGTATCTATCAAACGCTGTTTCTGTTCACCATGAAGCCTGCTGTACTTCTCACAGCTGCTTTACAGCTAGCTTTTGTGGTTTCAACGCCCATACCGACTAGTACATCCGATGGAAGAGATATCGCAGTGGTCGAGAAAAACGTCGAGCACCAGATGGAACGAGAACCGGTAATCGATCTCATTTCAACGGATGAGCTTGAAAAACGTGCCCCCTTCCTCTTGTCTGCAGCTTGTGTCAGTAACGTAAGAAACCGATGGATTGGCCCCGCTAATATTTTACTCAGATCGCCTGTACCACAGGCATTGCGGGAAACCTGGGTTATCGAGGGAACCCAATTAGAAGAGGAACATTTACAGGCCCACTGTGGGGTTTATTTCAAGTGTAAGTGATCTTCACAGCATTATGGTTCCCCAAATGTTGAGTGCATATGATACTAATCATGTGATTAGTTGTCGGAGTGGCTGCGCAAGCGTATGCAGTGCACAAATCACTGGCAGCGTTTATGTGGAGGGGTCAGTGCAGCAGGTCACGCAGACCGAGCAGGCTTGGATTTCTGACATCGTACTGGGACAAACGCCATATAGGGATTCATCGTATTCAGAAGAGTAGCTGTTGTGAGGAGCAGGCCCGCGTCGCGGTGTTTGGCAATTGTCGGGTATAGAAGAGCCGCAAGCCACGGTGCCAGAGTAGCGAAGGAGGCTTGAGGTTTTTCGTTCGATTTGTAAGGCTATATATGCCACTCCTGTCCTTCCAGTAGTTTGCTTTCGACCGAGGATAATTTTCAAACATTCTGAAGTCTGCTGCTAGATTTGTCGGTTACTGTTCTCCCCTTTAATACTATCGCTACTACATCCTAGGTGATCTTATCCATAACCAGAAATGGCGTTTGCTGAAACCTTGATCTACCGAAACCATCTCTCGATTATATCAGCTCCATTGGAGCCACTCACATAGCCTCATCCAGCGGTACCGACCAACTCTTCTTCTAGATCTAGAGCCAACACTTGTTCGGAACGAGCCCAGACACGATACCAAACGGCGTAATGACTGTCTCCGTAACCATGAAACCGGGTTGTAGCCGATGCCAATGATCGATACTTAGTCTTCCTGTGCTTTTCTCAACTGTAATTGTGAGAATATGCAATTCTGCCTCGGAGTAGTGGTTGTTCGACTTCAGCGTGTAACTGTTGTGGTTGGCATCATATGGTTCAATCAGCCGGAACCGTATTACGGACTCAAAGGCAGGACCCTAGCATATGGCAGCCTAAAGCCCTCCAGTCCAGCAACAGCGGCACAAACGCGCATATTCAAATAAAAAAATCGTCGGCATCAACCAACAGCGCAACACCCATAGAAAAATTCCAGCCTAAACCCAAGACTAGCAACTCCGCCTAAACCTTCCCACCCCATCCCTGCCCTAGCCATCCCAACACCCCGAACCAAGGATGCAGACCCGCCAGAACGCCGGTTCCCACCTCCGGTCGCCCCTCAGCACCCAATACTAAACCCCGGAATACACTCCCCATGGCTCCTCTCCTCCACCTCCACCCTTTCATCCACCCCCTGCCTCTCCCCAACCCCAACCCCCCTCTTACACCCAATGCTAAACCCCTCAATGCACTCTCCAATAGCAACAGGGTTCGGGCTCCTCTTTGCAACCTCAACTGCAACCTCGCGCCCAACACCAGCGTCAACAATAAACTCGACCACAGGCGCAGCAAAGTCAGACCCAGACTCAGGGTTAGCCTTGGCCTCGCTGAGCTGGAGCTGAGGCTCATCCGCAGCAGCCCTCTTGCAGCCGATGCTGAAGCCGGGGATGCATTCGCCAATGGGGATGGGGGCGGCGAGTGCGGCGATGCTGATGAAGCTGGCGATGGCGAGGAGTGTTGGCTTCATTGTGGTGGGTTGGTGGGTGGATAGGGTAGTGTGGGGTGCTTCAGAGGGTTTTCCGTAGAAGGGTTTGTGTGCGCGGATAGCGTAGCGTGGTGTGCTTCAGGGGGTTTTCCGTAGACGGGTTTGTGTGTGGATAGCGTTGGGTGAGGTGCTTCAGAGAATTGTCCGTAGACGGTTTTTGTGTGTGGATGTGGAAGCGTGAGGTGCTTCAGAGTGGGATGGAGTGGAGATGGATGGATGAAGAAGAGAAGGGGGGAGGGGCCTCCTTATGTAGAGTTCCACAGTGGACCGTGCGCCAGCAATTCATTTTGTGGGTTGGGTAGAATATGTTGAAGGACTTCGGGCTCGCTTATGGGCAGTTGGGCATGGATGGAATGGTTGGGTGACGGTTCTGGTCGGGTGGACGTGACGGGAAGGGTGTTGGACGCACCCTCGGTTGGTCTATGGGCATAACATGGTTCATAACGCTATATAGTGGACTAGGCAAGTAGAACCGCATCACATCTTGCCGATCACCTCCACACAGATGATGAAGAAAGAGGCCCACATATAGCCTTAGGCAACGAAATGTCCCCCGTACATGAGCATATTAGCTTAACTCATAGCAGCAACTCGCATGGAATGAAACATAGGTCCCCGTCGCTCACCTCACTCCTCGTCCTCGCTGCCGTCGGAGACGTCTCCGTCGCTCGACCACTCCCACTCATACTTCGGCCTCTTTCGGAACAACGACGGCGGTTCTTGCACCAGTTTTCGCTTAAGACTGCCATGGCGTTTCTTTACATCGTACGGCGAGGGGGTCTTGCGGTCCTTATCCGACTTGACGGTCAGAAAGTGTTGGTAATATAGATTGAACTTGTCGACTGTGATCTCTTGGTCCACTAGAGCGGTATCCCGATCGTCGTGGATGCTCGATACTCGCGTCATCTTAGGCTCGAGCCAGTACCTGTTGTAGCGCCACAGCGCTTCCACATGCAGTGCATCCAAAGGCTTCTCGTCTGTGCGCGCCAGGATCATCGAGCCGCAGTAGTATGGCCCTGGGGGAGCATGATCGTACGATTGTGCAGGACTTGGGGCGTTTCGCCGGTCTGTCTCAAGTAACCATTCCTCATGGAGATCCCGCGAAGCTTGGTTGTAATCGTCTTTGCAGCGGGTCCGGTACGGTGCATCGCGGTGCGCCCTGAAGTATTCCTCGAATGCAGGCTTCCGTGGGTATCGCGCTGACGCGATAGGGATCTCCATCCTCTCGGGGATGGGCAGGAGCTTGTTGGACTGGAAAAGACGGTGAGACAGAGGAACACGCACATTTTCGAAGAGAAGATGGCCTTTAAGAGCCTCCAACGCCATGTCCTTCTTCAGATCGCCGTTGCAATTGATTTTGACCCCACACACTGTCCTTCCAAAGTACCGCATGTCTTTGGCCAAAGCGGTGCTCTGGTACGTGTTGAGGAAGTCCAAGATATGACGATAATCGCTGATATCTAGATCCTCAGACTTCATAGAAAGTTCGTCGACATCATTTGCGCCAAAAGCCAGAACTGGACCTCTCCATATCCGGGCAAATCTATTGTCAACGAGACGCGCGATACAGTCATTCTTCGGGACACGACTGGACTGGTCCGCGCAAACGACAATCTTTATAGTTCGCTCCAGATCTCGACTCAGGACGCTGGTCTCCGTAATGGAATGTATGCGCCTCTGCTCTTCTGGGAAGCCTGCGAAGTAGCTCGCCAAGATAGGCGTCTCGTAATCGATGTCGTCCTGCGTTTTGTTTTCCCAGAACTTTAGCCATACGAATTGAACATTGCCGTCGGCAGCGCTGTCCGGGAAGTAAATGGCGCGACGGAAAGATTTCGCTGGTCGCTCTTGCCCTGCTGCCCATGCTCCGCACAAAAGGGCGTGGGCCAGCGCGTCTTGATCCCTACAGTTCGTTGAGCAATAGTAGACTGCGTTGCAACCCTCACAGATGATTTTGGATGGGGCCGGGCACATCATGCATGGCAGTTCCGACGTAGAGTTGGAAACCGTCGGTGTCGTCCGTCGCGGGTGTCCTTGGGATGGTGTGCGCGACGGAGATCCCAGATCGACACGCTGCGGAACTGCTAATCCAGCGCCAATGTCCGAAGGGTCGTCGAACTGCTGATGGGAGATGGCTGCATTCGTAGGCCTGGTATTGCGTTGAGCGCTCGTCGGAGACGTCTCTCGAGCGGTCGGCGGTCGGCTATCCAGGGCGGACCCATGAACCGGCGGTGCCATGGTGAGGACGTCGCTATTGGCGGCGTCATTTCCAGGTAATCGGGCATCCATTGTAGCCTTCGTCTCCCCTTCCACGGGATGAGAGATGCTGGGCTCTTTCGTGGATGACTCGGGCTCGTCCTTGACCGCGGTAGACACCGGCTCGTGCTTCGCCGTCGAAGGCGGCTTGGACATGATCCCAAGCTTGGTGGCAATCGTCTCCGCCATGCTCGCAAGGAGTATGGAGAGAGGTGAAGGTGGAAGAGGTGAGAGGCCAGTGCAAGGCGCGTCGGCTTCAAAGTTTGAGGTGTGGGGGAAGGTGCCAGCGAGAGTGGAAGGAGCGTCCACACCCGCTCCTTCACCTGGTTCTGCACTTGGGGACCTCAGGATTTTCAAGAGGACTCATCGACTGAAGCCATCTGAGAAGTCTCTGCTGAATGACGGTCGACAACTGGGGATATCTGATCTCATGGCTCGGCTCACCGACCTCAAGCACCTGCCAGCAGCGGTGAGCACACTAGCGAAGCCCACCTGGGCACATCTCTATTGCAAAACCAGGAGCATAAAGGCCAGCATATGGTGGAAAGATGTGTGGAATAAGAGGAGTCGTAGGTGCCATCCGGAAGTGCCATGACGAACAGTGAGCCAGCACCGGTTGTCGTGTCAAGCTATGAGATTTAGCGCGAAGGCATAATGCAATGCTCGAATATCCTCGGACCAGATGAAAAGCGTCAGCATCTACAGCATAGGGGTAATGACATCGTTGTTCTCGCTGCGGCCGCAAGCCGTCATCGGAGCGGAGCCATGTCGACGATGGCCCGCAGATCTACATGCGAACGGCTGTTCGGCATCGCCATCAAGGCTGTATGGCTGAGGCTCTGAGAGAATAGCTGAAGCATGAAAGACGGTGTCTAAACACTGCCTCCACATCGAAATCAGCGGTGCTTTGAAGACGCAGGGCATCATCCAATCAGACGTCGGCATGCTAGTCCGAATGCGAAATACGAGCCGAGTACGTCACCAGCGAACTAAGCCTCACGAGTCAACCTCGCCAAAGCCTCACCTGCTCGCATTCAACGCCGAATCCGACTCCAACGCTTCTACGGCCGTTCCATTGTCTGAAGAGATGCTATAAAGATGACCGCCAACTTTGACATGATCGCTCCACTAACAAACGCAACTCACACACCGCAGCCCCGCAGATTTCCACCGCTTCAAACACGCATCGCACAGCGCCAGCATTATCCGCCATGAGCACGACAACACTCACCGAGAAGGCGCTAGAAAGCCCATCCATCGACATCAAGCAGCTTTCCGAGAAAGAAAAGCAAGAGCTCATCGCCGCGGACGCTGCATCCATCACCAGCGGCACCACACTCGGCGCAGCATCGCATCTCCCCTTCCAGCCCGCGAAATCGCTGCACATCAATACAAAAGGCATCCCCGTCCTGCGCCTGCCGCTCCCGCCCTCCGAGCTCACAATCACGATCCACAACCCCGACGGCACCGTCGCATACCAGTCCACGCGCGAGCGCCGCAGCTCGGGCAACTGCGTCTTGACGGATCCCGATGGGCGCGAGCTGATCGGCACTACATACTTCTTCGGGCCGAAGAAAGACCCCGTTCTGACGCGGTTGGATGTCGGAGGCGACGGAGACAGCAACACTATCAAGACGGTGTCGAAGTGGACGTCGCGGAGCCAGAAGTTCCTGCTGCCCGACGGCCGCACGTTCGACTGGGAGTACAAGAAGGAGAAGGGGTTTGGCGGAGAGGGGAAAAAGGGCACCGCGCTGGTGCTGACTATGGATGGGAAGAGGATCGCGGCGTTGATTAGGAATGAGGAGACGCGGACGCCGGGGAGCAAGGGCTGCAGCGCGGGGAATGGCGGCGAGTTGGTGCTTGGGGATGAGGTGGGCGGGAAGGAGGGCGTGAGTGAGGAGGTCGTCGTTGCGACGTGCCTGCTTATGCTGAAGAAGGAGATTGATCGAAGGAGGGCGGTGCAGTTCATGATGCTTGCCGCCGCTGCCTCCGGTGGCTCGTAGCCGCTTGCGGGTTAGTTGTTTGCTGAAGGCGTTCGGGGATGGTTTTACGCGCATGGGGATAGACGCCGGCTGGTATGTGCATCTGCGCTGTATGTACTGGCCGCTTACCAGTTTTTATCTATTCGGTCAATATCCAACATCTTCTCAGTCGTTCCACTCACATCAAGTCCCTGCTCTCCCGTTCCCAATCCCTCAATGCCATCCACCACCCTTAGCGGTCTCGAAGCACATCCCCAACCCCCAGCCACGCCTCAGCATCCCTGCTTCTCCCTCAGTCCTCCCCCGTCCATCGGCCGCCTCCGCCCTCATCTCCGCTCACCGCAACATTCTCAACATTCCAAAACCTTCCCCGCCTTTTCATCCCCCATGCAACGCCCCCGTCCTATACAGCCAATCCCTCTCCTCAACGATACCCTCCGCAAGAATATGCCGTCATTCCAGCACGTGCGGCCAGCCCTGTACCACCGCGCCAGGCACCATGTGCGACATATTCACAGCCGTCGGTGCCGCTCGCCGCGGAATATCTGCTTAACTGTACCGTTTGCGGATCCCATGCTGCGTCGCACCACCCTGAACCTTCACGTTGAACACGACAGTGGGAGCTGATTGGGCGGAATGCTCCCGGCGTCTCCGGTGGTGAAGGGCGAGGAGTCTGGAGGTGTTTGTCAGGTCAGTCGCGATCACGGACCGCTCGTAAGAGATAGCTGCGTAGCAAAAGTTATATATATACTTTGTTGGGACCTGACTTTCACGCCTCTTATCATCCTCAATCTATCCATTCACGCCCCTCGACCCAGATATAAGGCCTTTATCGCCCTCTCCTTCTACTTCTACTCTCAACCCCCAGCACATCGGCACAACCTCGAGCAACACGATGCTGCTCGCCGCTCTTATCCTCGGCGCCCTAGCTGCGCTCGCCAACGCTGCCGCGCTCAGCGGATGCCGCCAGTGCTGGGACGGCGCGCCTGGTACGTAGTCCGCAGTCCACTGTCTAGCTGTCTTTTCTTTCTCTCACAGGGAGCGCTGCGCTGCGAAAGCCACGCACGCAAGTCAAGACTCCCGTTCCTCCAACCGAACCCGAGGCCCTCCCTCCTCTTCATCGATCTCCTCCCTTTCAACCCTCATCCTCGCACGTAACGCTACCATCCACTATTGCTCTGCTAACACACACCCTCCCTTCGCAGACTTCACCCCCTACCTCGCAGTCTACTTCCTCGCCAACACTGGGCCGGGTAAACTCCGCGGACCGTGCGAGAAGATCATGCTGCCCGACGGGGTGCAGAACAGCGGCTGCATCGCGCTGACGCCGTGGGTTCCTTCCTCCTCTCCTTCCTTCCGCTCTCTCTACTGGGCTAACCGACGGAAAGTGGATGCGTCGCCTCCCAGGCCAACGAGATCACGCTTCCTGCTGGGGGCTGGAGGTGCCATGTCTTCCTGTAAGTCTTTTTCTCTCCTACTTCCTCGACTTGATTTAGGCATAGCGTTGGGGTAGAGGTGCTGACGCATGGAAGCGAGGCGACGTGTAGCGGCGCTGGCTACGCGCAGGAGGGTAGTGGGCTGCCGCTTCCGGAGGAGTTCAAGGGACGGCTTGGGTCGTTTTACTGCGAGCGGAAGGACGGAGGAGCGGCGTGTTGAGCTGATAGCGGGGCGCAGGGCTGGCTGAGTGGTTGACTGTGTTGGCTGGGTGTGAATATGGGTGATGGGATGGACATGCCCTCGTCGGCTCTTGATATCGTCCATTCCTTACCAATACAAATTTCATGGATAGAGTTGCTGCCCTACCAAGTCTACCGAGTGCGATGTGCAGCATTCATCTTCCTATAAATCTAACCGATAACGGTTAGAACTTGCGCAAGTCTAGATCTCAGTACCAGGGAGGGGAGCGTGAGTCAGGTTGAAAGCGTTCTGTAGCAGTACCGGGTTCGTACTGGACGAATGACGTTGCTGGACCGGAGTCGGAACTTGGGGGAATAGGAAATCGTCTGCCGTTGAGCAGTGACGCGAAAGCATCCAAGGGGGGGGGGAAGCACGGACCGCCGTTTCCCGTTGTCGCCCAGAGCTTCGTGAGACTGGCGCTTGGAGGCTATTTGCTGCTGGTGCGCAGCGTGTATGTGAGTTTTGAATGCCATTATCGGGGTCCGTCGAACTTGGGCGGAAGGGCGAGTACAATGGCGGCGACGACGGCGTCGCACCTCAAAGTATCGAGCAGGGGCAAGAAACGTTGAGCTTAACAATGTTCTATCCCTAATAATAGGGTAGCGGATCTGGTGCTAGCTGTAAGAATGAGGCGCGTAGAATGAAAGGCACTGGTATGCTAGAGCTTGCGCGGTGAACTTGTCGGGATAGAGGTCTGTAGCGATATCGTTATAGCAAAGGGTATTGACGTGAGATTTGTTCTTCGTCGTTGTAGTTACGCAGTAGAAGCAGCCAACAGGCTATCGGAATGCATGGTCGTATTCGAAATTTCGTAGTCTAATAATCGTGAGATTAGAAGATGTAATTAATAACTCAGACCTGCAAACTCGCCCACTTCAAAGCTCGCCCCTTCGTCTACTCTCCATCCACTATCTTCACACTCAGCTTCTACCAAAACGTGGCCTTTGACCGCGCAGTTCTTCGTAGGGCGACTGTTAGAAATAGGTAATTCGACTCACTGTCTGAGGACTGGAGACGGAGAATTAGCATGGGACGCGACCAATGACCCTGGGTCGGCCCGATCCGAATGCGAGCGAATACGGCGAATACGCTAATCCTCGAACGATTGCCGTGATCAGCAACGCTGAAACCTGGAACCGGCATTGCGGCGAGATGAGTGCGAATCCGAGGACCCTGGTCATTGCTGAGATCGCCGGATACTCCTCGATGTATATAAACTGCGATCTGGGACATGCAGCTGGAGCAGGATCTCTGAATTTGTTCTGACTCGCCCCAAAATCTGACGCGTAATTGGCTTCGCACCAATGGCGCCGCATGCCGAAACCATGACGATTCCCATTGCCATCGATACCGGCGGCGTCAAAACAACACTGAACTACTGGGATCGCCACGAGGCACCGCCCGAGGTTCTAGACTTCACTAAGCCTGGCACCGAGTCAAAATTCGAAGAATACCAGAAAACGATCGAGACGCTTCCGATCACCATCCACAACGTCCGCGGGAAAGAGGATCAATATACCCTTGAGAAGAATGGCTTCCAATACGTCAAGGACGACATCCCAGCGCTGGAGGGATGCGAGACCGAGGACGACGTTCGAGAGGTTTTGTTGCCGGCCACCGAAGAGCTCGTAAACGCGTGACGGGCGCCCACAAAACCGTCATCTTCACGCACCGCATCCGCAGCCTCGCCGAAGATCCGTCCAAGCGCGCTGATAACAGAGCCCCAGCGCACAGCGTGCACACGGACTTTACGCGCGCAGGCGCGCTGAACCAATTCAAGACCGTGATCCGCGACCCGTCCGAACTCGCAAGCCTACAAAAGTCCCGCATCCTCGCCATCAACGTCTGGCGGCCGCTCAAGACCATTAAAAAGGACCCCCTCGCTATCTTGAATTGGGCTTCGGTGAACGCAGAGCAGGATATTGTGCCGAACAGGATGATCATGAACGAGCACTTTTGGGCCGAGCTGGGGAAAGTGAAGTACGCGGACGGGCATGAGTGGGTGTATATGGAGGGCCAGACGCCGAGCGAGCCGCTGGTGTTTAAGCAGTTTGATTCGAAGGCGGAGGGGAGCATGACTGTGCCGCATTCGGCATTTGTGGATCAGAGGTGGGTGGATGAGGCCGCGAGGGAGAGCATCGAGATCAAGATGTTTGCGTTTGTAGAGGAGTAGATGGGGGCGAATTGGGCTGATTCTGTAAGCGAGAGTTAGTGATGCAGGGACATATCAAACAGTTAGGGTTGAATTGCTTGCCTCATGAGCGATTGATGCGCTCCCCAGCCATTTATCTGCAAGCTGCAGCGCAGCCCTTCCGTTTCCGTGGCTTGACATTCAAAAGAGGCTCTCATTGGGAGCCTCATGATTGAAGCAGAATCTGTTGTGAGACATTTCGCCAACCGGATAGAAACCACCAGTCGGTGCCCGCATACTCCAGAATCCGGCAGTACTGGCGAAAGAGATTTATGACCGATGGCTCGGTCCTAGCCTTCAAGGCATCTATGTACTCGTTTTCCAGCCTGATGGGCCATAGGAACACGGCGCGTAACGCTGGATGCCCTGAGTATTCGATACCGTGTTGAAGGGCTCCTCCTAGTAAATCAGCGGCGATTCGGGTGCGTTCGTCTGGACAAGTTGGATGGGAACGATAGGCTGCCGCTTGGACATCTACAAGGAAACTTGATATCAGAGGGGACGGCTTCGGCGGGGTCGGAAGCGGTTTCAAGATGACGGATAGTGGACCTTTCTCAATGAAGGGCTCCGTCGTGGAGAGGATCATGTTCATGCCCCGAAGTAGTTGAAAAATATCGAGAAGGGCATTGAGGCTGTGCGCATCCGCATCCGCGAAAGCGTTCAGCGTGACCAACGATGCACCTGCGAACAAGGCATGGCAATTCTCCGGATTAAGGTTGCCGACCGAAAGGTTCGTGTTCAGGCCGGTTAGGGCCGCCGCCTGATGCGTCGAAGCGAGGAGGCGATAGTGATGGCTGCGAGAAGGGTTGATGTGTGCCAGGTGGTTGGATGAAAAGGCTAGGATGGTGTGCATCAAGAATCTGTGCTTGAACGCCTCTTGTGGTACCGCATAGCCCCAGATTTGTTTAGCTTGCTCCACGCCAGGCATTGTAAGAAAAGCGTGTGCTGTGTAGTGGTGCATCAGCTCGAGGTCTTCCATCCATCCTCCGGTCGCAAGGTCTGCAGGCGCGGGTGGGGGGCGGATGTCATTGACAGTGGCATCGCTGGGTGGGGTTGGTGAGTTTGATGCTCCATTGGAAGGCGTCGAAGGATGTGACGCGGCTCCATTCGCGTGCGACGGTGTTCGCCCTACTTCCACCTGGGTTGCTCGCGGGCCTGGAGATGGCGTGTGCAGGAGACTACACTCGGCGTTGTATCTGGCGCAATTGGAGCATGGGCGGTTCTCGTCGCACTGGTCGATTAGACGGCGATTTAGGCAGGCGGCGCGCGACGTTCACGTACCTTGACGCGTCGGATCTTGCACTGCTGACACCCACTCCTCGACTTCTTGGAACCCAGCCGTGGCATCCCGCCTTGGCTTCAACTACGAATGGACGACTGGCCGACTGGTTACACAGATAAGGCGGTGGGATGCGAGATCGAGTGCGAGTGCGAAAACGGTGGAGGTGGATGTGATGCGGGGGTGTTTCAACCGCAGAAAGATGATTCGGTGACGACGACGCTAAGCCACTTTTAGTTAGCGAGCCCAAGGAGCTCGTTTCCTGACGTGCATCTGAACCCGACGGGAGTCCGGTACTTATTCTTCAGTAGCTTCCGCCCGCGAGTTCTATCCTTAGCTTGACGGCTTTATTTGCAACAAACCTTCTCCGGCTTCGTCACGAAAGAGGCTTTGCTTTCCTGCTTTGACCAAGCTTGCGAGCGACCTCAGGCTGCTCTTTGCCTGCTCTGCCCAGGTGTTCCGCGGCCTGCGCTGAAAGTTTCATAATGGGAAGTTATCATAAGGCAAACAACGTGGACTGCCTCGTCTGCAACGCTTGTGTCGAGATCTCGGCTTAATCGCCGGCGTCCGTACCTCTCCCGGGCCTCACCGGAAAAGTATTCAATGCTAATTCTCGACGAATAATAGTCACTGAAGCAAGTGCTTCGAAAGATGGCTTATCAGTGAGTGAAGTGCAAAAAATGCGAATTATTGAATTTTTAATACTTCACGCTGTTGACACAGGAGCCTTTCTGTGGATGGCGGACTCCCACGTTTCCAGAGCAGCCTCATAATCCACCCACGTTCCCTATATAGCTCATTCCTTCAGCGCAATGCAAGAACGGGCATTTCGCCATAATATCACTTTTCCATCTGCAGATCGAGTGCAACGAGAACGCCATGCGGTTTACGCTCATGCGCCTGAGGTTCTCGGTAGAGCGCTCAAATCGCAGCACCAGCAAGCTACCCGCCATACGTAGAGCATCATCGTCATCAAGCAACAGCTTCCCATTTATGCGCCTTCCACGCCATATTCGAGAACTCATCTACGAGAAGCTGTTCGAATTGTCTACGCCCTCACGCCTCGTCGTCCGAGATCCCACGGTCTCCCTTGGCAGCCTTCCTGACAGTATTCTCCGCGCACTTCCCGCCATCTGTTATACGAGCCGCGGGATATACCACGAATCAGCATTACTCCTTCTACGCAGCCGCGAAGTCGTTCTCGAAGACGTAAACGCCATCAGGGTCCTATCTGGCTTCCTGCTCCATCCTTTGAAGACTGATCTCTGTTTTGGGGCCACCACCTTATCGTTTAGTTCTGCGGTGTCCTGGAGACCATGTTCAACGCACACTGCTCGGCAGCTCCTTGAGATATGCCCTAATATCCGACATGTGAAGATTGGAATTACCGCATTGACTTGCGTTGAATATACGAGGAAGAATGAAGAACACTGCCGCATACGAGCGAGGAATGAGATGGCTGACCAGATCGACCTTACATGCCTGCTGAGCTGTGAGCGCTTAGAGACGCTGACCCTATCATGCGAAGGCGTAAATATGCTTGCAGGAGAGCTGGAAAGCGCAGGGACTGCGGTATTCGAGCCGCTGGTCGGGTGGGTGCTACAAAACATCTGGTGGGTCGGAAAGATCAAGTTGGTCGCGGAATACGAAGACGCCGATGGTGGAATAATCCGTAGAAGCTTTGAGAAGAGGTTGAAAGAAAATCCCGACCAGGGGAAGCAGGAAAATGCACGAGGGGCGGCGTCTGGGTACGCGGCTCGCCACGGGTCCTTGAAAATCAGAAAGTAGAATCCGCGGGCTAATTGTTTCTTTTCAATTCTCTGAGTTCCATCTTCACCTTTAGCCATTAATATAGAACACTTTCTCATAACGTCATTTCAACTTCCTCACCTCTACCGCCCAATTTGGTTAGTATAGAAATAGCGTTGGCGCTAGCGCCCGGATTGCAGCCTCGAACGCGACAAACACATCGAACCCTTAAACGACTTCCATCGTCACCAAAATAATTATCTCACCGATCAAATCTACGACAAACTGCACAGCATCGCTTCCCAACGGCGACTAATGGAGCCCACTAGCAGGGGACCACAACGATCCGCCGCAGACGCATACCGACTCGCATCAATGCTGCGCCTTTGCGACCTCGCCCCAACCTCACCTGTAGGCCGCAGTTGGTCCACCCGCAAGGCATCGCAGACGGCAAAGCCAGGCTCAAACGAAGCTTCGAAGCGACAAGCTAGCGGAGAAACCTCCGACCAGGCGAAAATCGACGATCGCGCTGTTAGCATCGACACGGCTACGGCCACCGTGACGATTACAAGGCGCGATCGCGGCAAGCTCATTTGGACCGAAGGTCCCGCATACAAGCTAGAGCTCCCCGCGCACAGGAAGTGGGAGTTGAATTTCGGACTCTACATAAGAATCATGGATCTGCCCCGGGAGTTACGCGATCTAATCTGGCTGGCCAAGCTCCGCAGTCTCGACCTTCCCCGCAGACTCATACTCCGAGAGGCCAACTTTTATCATGATGATTCCCGCAAAGCGAACGATCTGCGATTCCCGCCTGTCATTCCGGCCTTCTGCTACATCAACCGCCAGATCTTCGGCGAGACTTTGCCGCTCTTCCTGAGCGAGAGGGAGCTTGTGTTTGGATCTTCAAGGGACATATCGAGGCTTGGATGTCTTCTCGAGCGCATCCCGGATGGCGAAGGATACCGCAGCATTCGGTCGATCGTCCTTGAGGATCGCGTCCGCTGGTCCGGTCAAGTCCAGGCAGGTGTCGGTCCGTCTTGCCGAACAACTCTCACAAGATATGGCGAGGATCTTTTGCAGCGGTGTACTGGACTCCACCACATCGCTATCGAGCGATGCGCATTCCGTTGCTCCCGGCTTTGCTGCAACAAGCGTAGAGGAGAAAGCCTTGGCGATGCTTCTCGGAGTATTATGAAGTACCCGAAAGACAGACTTGTCCGCGAAATGGACCTGAGTTGTTTGTTGGTGTGCAGCAATCTGCGCACGGTCACGCTACGATGTATCCGAGGAGATTGCTTCGCGAGGAAGGGCGGTTGCACGACGCAAGAGGACTTCGCCGACTGGGTCGACTGCGTTCGGGAAATTATCGGCAATAAGCCGCGTGTCCGACTGGAGGTCGAGTACGTGACTTTGAAGTTATGGAGAGGCTTGGAGACGTACATGGGGTGGGCGAAAGACACGGAAACAAAGCCCTAGGTTACGGAGAAGCACCTAGGGTCGGCCTCTCTTCAGGAGTAAGGGAACATTATCCGACGGACTACCTAAGCCAGAGCACGTTGGCATAAGTGCTAAGGCGGGTTACAGACTGAAGCACCCCCTCCCAACTTTTTCATAGATCAAAAAAGTTCCTTCTTCAACCACCCCTCTGCATGCAGCCAGCCTAGACACCCCATCCCTCCTCGCCCCTGCGTTCAAACTCCGCCACCTCCGCCATCAATGCCGCCCTCTCCTTCCCAACCAGCAACTCCACAACCCACAAGCTCGCATCAATCCCCGACGTAACACCCCCCGCATTCACAATCCTCACCCCCGCCTCCGTTATCCCCGCATCCACCCATCTCTTCCGCACAACATTAACCCCCGACTCTCCTCCCGCAGCCTGATCTGCGACCTGCTTCAGCGCGTCATACGCAATATGATGCGTAGTCACCGTGCGCCCTGCAAGAATCCCCGACGCAGCGAGAAGCAACGCGCCCGTGCACACCGACTGAACAACGCGATATCCCGTTTCCCCCCTCGGCTTCAAACCCGCAAACCTCCTCACAAGCCCGGCGATCTGCTTCCCCTCCTCGCTTGGAATGAACGTCTTGAGCATATCAGGATGCGCGCCCGGCACGACCAGAATATCGTACTCCTCCAACCGGCTTTCCACCTCTGCGAAGCTAGCGTGCGGGACGTACACCAGCGCGCCCGCTTTGACCGGGCTGTTGTGCGCAAACGTGGTTATCTTGAACTCGGGCTCGCCGGGTTGCGGCCGCGTGCTGAAGATTTCGACCGGCCCGCTGAAGTCCATGACGTCGGCGCCCGGGTAGAGGAGCACGGCTATGGAGAAGACTGGCGCCATTTTGAGTCGGTTTGGTGTACTGAGGGGACGTACAATGGGTGGCGTGGATTGTTTGAAGAGGGGAGTTGTGCATAAGCTTGGGGGAGTGGACGGAGGCTTATGTATAATACGGATTCGTCGGATCGGAAGAAAGAGTGACTCCGGTCCGTGATGGGGCGGGGGTCGGCGTGCCGGCTTACATGGGAACTGCGGTATGACATGGCGCGGATTTGGAATGATCATTCTGCGAGCCCTGAGAGATGACTGTGCTGTTTAAGCGTTGGATGCCTGAGCTTCAGGCGTTGGAAACAACTCCACATGTTCGATCACGTGATGCAATTGGACTTCCTAATCCGGGAACTGCTCAGGCGGCGCCAACTTTGCAAGTGTCAAAACCAGCGGTATGGAACTAACCCCGGGCGCCATGGACTGCTCCGACCCTCTTAGGTCATCCTCTCAAGAAAGCACTTTCTTCAGCACTTCCACCAACCCTCGGATCTCTTCCTCCGTATTATAATGCACCATGCTTACTCTCGCCACAGCCTCCGGCTCCAACCCCAACACCTCATCGCACAACCTCTTCGAGTAGAAATGGCCCCATCGAAACCCAAAGTTGCTTATCTTCTCCGCCTCCTCGACGAGCTTCTTACTCCCCATGCCCTTTACCGTGAACGAGATCGTCGGCACCCTAACCGCTGGGTCGGAAGACGTAGAGCCATGCACAGTGATGTCGTCCCGCGCGTTCAGGAAGTCGAGAATAATGGCTTGCAGCTTGCCTTCGTGCGCTGCGATTGCGGGCAGGATGGGCGTGAGATAGGATGTTATCTGCGGGATGGACTGCGTGCACTCGTAGTTTGAGGCCGCGAAGCCGAGTTTGTCTTCGAGCGTTTTGGTCGGGTTGAAGTAGTGCGGCAGGGGCTTGACGTGGTGCTGGGCGGAGGCGCTGGCGTAGAGAACCGAGATGTGCGGGCCGTATACCTACTTCAGCTTTAGTAATGGACTTATTGCAGGATGGGGTAGCGAGGGGAGTATACCTTGTACCACGAAAACGCATAGAAGTCCACGCCGAAAGCTTTCACGTCCACGGCTCTATGCGGTGCAAAACTCACGCCATCCACACATAGCAACGCGCCCGCTTCATGCACCGCATCCGCAATCGCCCTCACATCATGGATCGTGCCCAAGATGTTGCTCACGTGCGTACACGCCACGAACTTCACTTTCGGTGAGAGCAAGGGCTTCAAGTTCTCAGGCGTGAGCTTGAGCTCCGGTTTCTCGGAGACCCACCATTTGACCTTCAGCTTGAGGCGCTCGGCCATGAAGAGCCAGGGCTTGACGTTGGTTTCGTGCTCCATTTTTGACAGGATGATCTCGTCGCCTTCGTTGAACTGCAGAGCGCCGGCGAGGTTCATGAAGAGTTGGGTCGTGGAGCCGCCGAGGACTTGGAGACGTTAGTGGGTGCATGGAGGAGGTAATGGGGAAGAAGAAGCCAACCTATCTCGTCACGCCCGGCGTTCATGTATTTCGCGGCGGCTTGGTAGCCTTCCTCGTACTTGGTATTCGAGATCTGTCCGGTGTGGTACGACGCGCCGAGCTGAACGTTCGTCTTGGAGAGGTATTGTGTAATCCTGTGAATACCATCAGCGATGTGATCACCTTCTGAAGCTGTGTTTACCTACGAGTCGATCACATCTCCAAGCGCCTGGCTTCCTCCCGCGTTATCGAGGAACACTTGATCCTGTTTCAGTGCGGGGAAGCGCTCGCGCGCTTTCGCGACATCGAATGTGCTGGCCATTCTTCCTTGCGGGCAGGACGCTGAGATGCAGAAGAATGTTGGATTGAAAGCTTTCGAGGAAGGGTACCTAGGTGCAGTATCGTGGGTGTTGATATCGATTAGCAAATCGCTGCACGACACACGCGGGCGGTGAGGGGTGACGCCGGAATAGGAAGGTGCTAAATTTGGTCCCGTCGCGCACGCATCCCGCGCTGGATTCATTAGAGCAACTATTTCCACTTCATAGTGATTCTCATATCTCATTGACCGCGAAGGAAGGAGAATCGATAGGAAATGATTGACCCGAAAGAGGAGGCGGTGATAGTAATAAGGCAGACGCCAGCTTCCAAGATGACCCGTCCGCAGTGCCCTTTAGTCCAGCATTTCTCCCTCTGCTATCAGGATCCTATCATCCTAAGAGTCCAGAAGCAGTTGTCGAGACGAAGGCGTCCGATCAAGTCTCCACGATCCTCGCGCTCTCCATGAAGTACTCATCCGTCGGACTATCATTATCCCAATTGAATTCATACCCAATACCACGATACGTGCACCTGAACTTCAGGAAGTCGACAATCGGAGCCAGCGCCATAGTATCGAGATCAAGCGGGTCGCCATCTCCCACTTCCGGATCCCCGTCGCAAGCCTGGGCAAGAAACGGTCCGCGATAAGCGGGAGCCACCTTCGGTCCCAGCCACTTCTTCAGGCTCCTATTCACCGGCGACCCATCCGAGAAGAAGTTGTCGTTGTGCCAGAGGTAAATACTGTATCCGAGCATACGATGCAGCGGACGGTATCGGTCGAACGACATGGTGCGCGCGAATACGTCTCCGAGGTAGGTCTTGTGGTTGAAGTCGTAGAAGCGCGGACCGTGGTGCTTGATCCAGACGAAGCGGGGACGCGCATCGTCGGCTGGGAAGAGGATTCCGCGGCTGTAGTTGGGGCCGGGGCGCTCCTGGAAGTCGACGAAGGCTTTGCAGAGGAGTTTGTGAAGGGGCCAATCTTTCTTCTGGCAATCTTTGGAACAGTAGCGCGCGTTGTGGCAGCCGACGCAGCGTGCAGGGCCTGGTTTATTGCACGCGACACAGAGGGGTAGCATACCTGGGTCGGCGGCCGATAGAGCTGGAACGGGCAGCGATGCGGCTCCTGGAGACTTGGTGATCGGTTCGGTCGCGGCGGTCTCCATGGCTGCTGGTGTCGAGAGTTGTAGAATTGGACGTCGAGCGAGTGTGGAGGAGAAGGCTCATCGACGTGAGAATCATAGTGAAGGTCGAGTAGTGGATAGCGCTGCTTCAGTCTTTCGCCTTCACCTTCGCTTCGGCTTGCGAGCATGTGAAATAGGGTGCTTAAAGAGGAAAGGATTGTGATGGGCTAGTGCAGGAACGAAAGAGAAGGAGTCGAATGTGTTCAATACAGCGGTAAAAGAGACGTGATTCTGGCTGTTGCGCCCATCCACCACTGTTTCTAACCTACTTCGACAGATTCGTCCACACCGCCGTCTCAAATGCTGCGCCCAATGCCTGACTCTTCTCGTCGTTCCACGGAACAACCTGCGTAGCAAACATCAGCGCCAGTCCCCGCTCCCTATTCACACTCCAAAGCAGATTCGGCATGCCACTCCACGTAAGCGTTCCCTTCGGCTTGAAGTAATTCTCGCGTTTACAATCCTCCATCACCAGGAAGCCGCCCAGTCCCATATTACCGACCACGCCCTCGGTGCTGCGGCCCATTATAGGTCCCCATGTACGCTCTCCCTTTGCCTCGAGCGCCTTCAGTGCATTACTGCCGTCGGCGAACTGGGGCGTGAACATCTGCTCGATAGTTTCCTTCCGAAGGAGCACCGGAGAATCCTTGAGCAGGTCTGCGAGAACGCGCGTATAGTCGTGCACGTTGGAGTACAGTCCAGCTCCAGCGGACTCATCGGCGGGCTCCCGGAACATGGGATTCGGTCCATCGGTAAGTGATCCATCGTCCCTCCTTTTGCTAGCCCGCATCAGCTTCTCCGACACATGTGGCTTGCGGGACAGGTGCCAAGTGAAAGAAGTGATGCCCAAGAGCTTCGCTATGTTCTCTTCCACGTAGTCTTCGAAACCCCTTATAGAACCTTGGTTGGTGAGCCTCACGACGAGCAAGCTGGCCCAATCGAGGCCCGCGCCATACATCCAACCCTCTCCTGCCTCGAAGGTGCGAGGGTAGGCGTAGTTCTTGGCGACAAAACCGCTTGTAGAGAACTTCGGGTTCTCCCCGCGAGATCGACGCCAGGCGATGAGGGTGGGATCCATCACGTCGTATGCGGCGCCGCTAGAATGCGTTATCAAATGTCGGAGCGTGAGTGGTTTTGTAGGCTTTTCGAACACAAACGCCGCGTCGCCTTTCTGTTTGACAATGGGCTGAGAATTCAGTTCCGGTAGGTGCTGGTCCAGAGGGTCGTCGAGGCCAATGAGTCCGCGCTCGACGCATTGGAGGGCAGCGATAGCACCTATGAGTTTTGTGCATGAAGCTAGAAAGAACGTCTGGTCGAAGTCCAATTCTACCGCATCCTCGACGACGCCGTTGAAGCCTGCAACCTTCTTGTAGACGTAGTTGCCTAGCCTTCCAGTAAGCGACGTGGAAGACGAAAGGCTATAGCGACATACCATTCTTGTCTACAACTGCGGTTACCGCTCCAGGAACATTGTTGGAGCCCCTCCTTGTCGCACTGGATAGGGTTGCCTCAAAAGTTTCCATCGTCAGGATCACGTGAGGGGAAAGTAGTCCTGGGCAAGGGAAGATTGATATATCGCCGGAGTGAGATTCCTGGAGGACAATCGACGTTTCCGAGCCCAGAGGAGTACTCTGTAGACCTTCCCGAAAAACTGTATACCGATAAATAGGTGTCGCATTACAACCGTTATCTTGTTCCGCAGCTCGGCTTTTCTCCGTTCGAAGGATGCTCTGGATTTGTCATCTCTCGGCCGTATAGACCCTGCTCCGCGCTAGCAAACGCCTGAACCTCGTAAATCCTGTGGAGGATCCATTAGAAGTACAGGGAGAATGTGGAGCTGGAGGCCTGCTAATTGCTGCCTAGATGCGGTTTGTATCCCGATCGGGTTGGGGAAGCGTTACCATGCCGTCAGAAATGTCAGAAAAATCTCGCGTTTACAAAGCATTGACGGGCGAACAGAGCGCCACAAGTCCCTTGGCTCCTGGGAACGAAGATTCCGCAGGGCTGGCAGCGGATATCTAGGCTTTAGGATGAATACTTAGGCGCTGACTTCCAAAGAGCGCGCTCCAAGATTAGGGCTTTAGAATGCAGTGTGGGCGGCTTCCACAGACGTTCACCGCTCGATTAGGTACATGGACTATACAGGCTCGGGTATATCAAAACCTTTGAGAGCTACGCAATGCAGCTTGTCGTTCCTTAACGACATCGAGCATAGTACGGCCAGCCATGACCTTGTCCGCCGTGGGAAACCTTTGAAACGATTGAATCAAAGTTCCCTCGTTGACGCGGACAAGTTCGAGTTCGGTAGGGAGTGGATCATTGTCGGAGACTGCTCCACTATATCGCGTTTCATGGGAGGGCTCCTGAGCGGGTCTTGGCGCCAGCTCTACCCTGAAATTGTCGTAATTACGCTGCTCCGCTACCCGGCGATCATTCTTTACTTGGAGCAGTGGGAGTTCGGGCTTTACACAAGGGGCATTGATGGCTGCATCGTACGAAGACCAAAGCTTCTGAATGTGCCTCGAAACTTCATCGTCTTGATCCAGACACCCAGCGTTCGATGCCGCTTGGAGAAGTGCCTCAATATCGGTTGAGAGGTCAGACAGGACTTGTAGGAGATCATCACACCTTCTCTTCTCCGAAGCCGCCGCAGTTTCTTTTCTTTTCTGATACGTGCGCTGTGCCTCGCGCACCTGGGCGCGACGTTTCTAGGAGTAGATTAGCCCTTATTCAAAAGATTATTATGAGCAAAGCTACCTCGATAGCGCTCTCGTCGCGTGGCTTGCTAACGCGAGGTCTTCCCCGCCCGCGGCGTGGAAGCGCAGATTCCCCTATATCCAAGGACACGTTCTCAGCTCCGGACTGGTGGTCCATATTGTTCGAGTTGACAATGGGTTGCAGCCAATAACCATAGCCAAATCGCGTTCCTGCCTGAACCAATTCTGCGTCGCGCTGCTCGGCGTTATCGGGCGGAGTTGACTCCATTCGGAGCGCAGCAGATGAAATGAGGACAGTATGACTTGATGAGCATCAGACAAGGTGATGTACCAAAGCGGAGATGGCATTTTGATGGTGCAATCGAGAGACGGAGTGCTGCGTGGGTGGTGATCAGAAATCAAGTTAATCCGAGGTGATTCGTCCGGATGCTTGGGCCACATTGCGATTAGTCATCCTGAAACTCCCCCGCCAGCCTTCCCCCTGCCCAGGTGGTGCTACCATCGTTATCGATGCCTAACCGCACTCAGTCAATATTCTCCTTCATTTGCAGATAGTCGACGAAGAGCTTGCAACTTTCGCTACACTACGCCAGGGCAACGGGCGAGCCACATTACTTCGAACCCTCTGGTCAACGATGCCGCATTCGGCTTAGCCCCAATCCTATCATACCTAGGTCCACGGGTACACATCCATCCGGGGCTCCGTGACCGACACTGTCTCTCATATCCAGGCCATCTTCATAGCTGCTTTCAACAAATCCGACACTTGACAGCCTCCCATCAATTCGGTCGCCTCTTCGACCGGTCGAATTCTCGTTCGGCAGAGACCCGCCGTTTCGGAAATCATGAAGCTACAATCTCGGGATTGCATTATACCTAGGCTCTAATAGTGGCATTCCACTGCAAACTGGCTACATACCCGAATCCGGCGCACTCCTAATCCTGCGATCCCTACCGTACACATCCAACAGTGGCAAACCTCCATACCCCTTCTCCTAAGATCAGGGTTTCACCGCCCTCACGGAGATGTACCGCCCATCTCCCCAGTTCAGCCAAGTCTCCACGCCAGCCATGACATTGGTGAACTTGTGCTGAATACCGAGAAGCTTGAAGATCTGATATGGCAGGTATCCAACCACGCCAAACAGCCTCCAAAGCGGAAGCACCTCATCCGTCAAGTCGTCGAGCGAGTAGTCCTTGAAGCCGGCGCCGGCGACCAACTCCTCGTACCCTCCCTCTTTGAGCGTATTCTGGCAATGCGACAGCCTCAATACGTCTTGGAGCACTTCCGAATTGCGGCTGAAATCCGCCTCGTGCAGCACGATGACGCCACCAGGCTTCAACAGCCTGTAAAAGTTTCCGAGGACTTTGGCTGGATCGTCGGCGTGAACGAAGGTTTCCATCGTGTAAATCCCATCAAACGATGCGTCCGGGAACGCAGTGAGATTGTGGTAGTCAGCATAGTCGACGGATATCTTGTCCTCGAGCCCGTTCTTCTTGACATTCTTGCGAGCATCGGTAATGTGGTGAGGCGTTATGTCGATCGCTTGAACGTTCAGGCCTTTGCGCGCCATGTACATGGCAACGTAGCCAGAGCCCGCGCCGGCATCCATGACTTTCGATCCAGGTTTGAGGTCTAGGCGTGTGTAGAGCTTCTCTTCCATTGCCCGCTGCGCCTTGGATACCGGGAACGGGGAGAGCTGGCCTTTCTCATAGAGACCGCAATGCCTTATGTCGGGTCAGTCCAGGTCCCGAGAAAGTAGGCCCAAGCTTCATGTTTGTTCATCACCGATACCGATGTCGCAAAGGTGCTCGTACTCCACGACGTACACGCACATCTCGAGAGACTACGCGGACATCCACCTGCGACCATATGCCCGGGGTACGTACCTAGTGTTGCCTAGCAGCAACCAATATCCAAGCCTCGATTCAAGCGAGCTGTAATACTCTTGCACAGATGGAGCTTCCGCTCCATTGTTCGAAATGAATGCTGTCCGTAAGATTAGCATGCCGCTACTAGTAATCCTAGTGTTCCGACAAACGAGACATTCGCGATTCACGCTTCTCGCAGGGTCTTATCCAATTTAAGCCTGCCCCAATTCAAGGCACACGAAGTCGTGAAGGGGTAGACTTCGCAAAGCCATTTCGGGTCCCAGAAAAGAGCGCTTGAGAGCGCATTTGTTTGCTGGGGACGAAAAGCCCGTGGGCAAACACTCACCGATGATTGCTGACGCCAATAACACGAGAGTCCCAGCCAAATATCGAAGTCTAAATCTGCGCCCTTGGGCCGGACGCGAAGTCGGAGGATTTGAATCCGCCATGAGGACTGAAAATGACGAGCAGAGAAGGTAGACGGGATGGACGTTGATGTCTGAGTATTTGAGCGGGTGAGAAGGTGAAAAGCGCGTCGCCGCACGGTCCAGCGCAAGCCACCTCCTGCGCCTCGTTTCGCAAGCAACCCCGCCCACGCTGACGAATGTCAACAACCGCTCACGTCTTGATAGGCGCCGAAGACGTCAACGTTCGAACAGCACTGGACGGTGGAAACGGGCCTGTCCCACATCCCCTTCGAATTAACCGTAGCATGGCGATGTACCAGCGCTTATCGACACTCTGTGGTGGCCGCTACGGGGTGCAAAGGACAGCCCAGACGCTTCACTACAGCGGCACCAAGATGCAGCCGTTGCTCATGTACGAACTCCGGCTCTGATAGCTAACTGGTCGTTTGCCGTGCACCGAAACCCCTGTGTTGCAAACTAATTGACCCTCCGTCACATGGTCTTGCTGTGCCGCCTGCACCAGCACGGATCTGGAGCACGACTAATAAACGCCGGTCTGTGATATTAGGCCTAGGTGCGGTCCGCACCGTCGCTAGCATGCCGCCTGACTTAAGATCGGCCTGCTGTCTCCACCGCGGTATGGGTCCACCTGTCAACCCAGCTTGACAGCATCCAAGTGCCCCGGGCGGGCTCCCGGAGAGGTACTCCATGAATTGCTCCGCCGTCAACGCAACTGGCAATTTCGAAGGAACTCGGGGCTGGGTACGACAGTCGAACGATCGCGGCTCACTGGACATCATCATGCTTCATTACGATCTTTCTCTGCATCTGGACCTCCGTCTGCGTCAACGTCCCAGCACCTGAACATGGAGTATGGGCAATATTCCGGGACAGATGGCATATGTTCTGTCTCGGTCTCCTCGGACCGGAATTCGTCGTCCTAATCTCTGTCGGGCAGTACTGTGCCGCAAAAGCGTCCGTTCGATCGTTCGCGGAAACGAAACACCAAGGCTGGACGATGAAGCACGCCTTCTTTGCTGACATGGGAGGCATTCACTTGCAATTCCCAGACTCCAAGTCGTTCCCCGTGAACGGCAAGCAACTACACTTCCTCGTCAGCAACGGCTACATCCCGTATCCCAATATCAGCACAGGAGACATCATCGATAAGAACAAAGCCGATGGTCTGGCCAGGTAGCTCTGGACTCTGTCAGCGGGTTTGATGGTTGCTAACAGCTAAAAGGACCATATGCACAATCCAGATCTTCTGGTTCACACTGAGCACCATCTCTCGTCCGATCGCGCGATACGCAGTCACGACACTCGAACTTACCACACTCGCGTATATATTCTGCGCGCTGGCCACGCTATTCTTTTGGCGATGCAAGCCGATGGATATTCGCACCCCCATCATACTCGAGTGCCCGACGCCACTAAGCCGCATAGCCGATCGACGAGGACGTACGGCAGCCGAACCATACTACTACACGCCCCTAGATTTCATCAGCCGCGAAGAATGGATAGCGACCCGGCTCTGGACATACTACGTCAACCTCCTTCGCCAAATGCACGTCGTCCACACATATGAGCGGTCGCTGCCCATCCGCCACTTCTCCTCGTTCAACTTTCCGCTCCCGACGCGCCCCTTCATATTCGCGATTCTAGGCATCGCCTTCGCATACACGGGCATTTTCGTGGCTGGTTGGAATCTGCATTATCCCACCAGAGCCGAACAAGTGCTTTGGCGGACCTGCACCCTAGGAACCATGATCATCACTGTCATCGGGAGCCTCTTCGAGGTTACTATAATGTTTGTTCAGTACCGCCGGCGGCACACCGTCTCGGCGCTTGTTCACAACCCTGACATCGAGATTATGCCACGGTACCCCACCCATCGTCCCAGGCATCCGTCAGGCGAACCCACGAACCTGCAGAGGAGACTGCAGAATCTTCGCAATAATACGCCCGAGAAAGACCCGCACTTTGATATCCCGATCAGGTCTTTAATGATTACGACTCCGATTTGCGCTTTGTATTGTATCTTTAGGGCTTTCATCCTGGTGGAGGATATTATTTCCCTGCGGGAGCTTCCAGCCAGTGCCTTTGCAGCAATTGACTGGTCCATGTACGTACCGCATATTTGAAGCACATTCACGCATCGCTTGCTCGTATCGAGTGTTCAGCTTGAGGTTTCTTTTTGTCTCTTGTTCTTCGAAGCCGGCAGTCGATCGTCCGATTCCCTCCTCGCCAAGCAAGTGGCTGATATTGGAGTTGGTCGAAATCGTGGTGTGGCCGTCTGTTCCCATGCTTTGGCCGCAACTCGAGGCTTTTAGGATCCACTACGAATGTGTTTTCGGACACGCTGTCCTGAAGAGGTTTAGGCGAGGCTTTCTAGCCGCCCGACTCAGATCCAATGCTGGAAGCTTCCAAAGTCTCGCCTGTTTTCTCGTTCAATTGCTCAACAGCCCCATCATCACTTCATTCTTTGCTCAAGAGGACTTCGTCGCCATCATCATCAAGGCCTCCTTCTGGATGACTCCGATTGATATCATACTGGAACTCATGCTTGCCAGTGCGCTTTTCCTCAAGGAACCCCGGAAAATCATCGACGGCAAGCTGTGGTCGCCCGTGTCGAACCATGCAAAATTGCTGAATGTCACTGGGTGTGAGAGTGTTCTTCGGGACCATGCTTCTAAAACGTCTAGCCATCTTCTCGACTTGCTTATCGCTGACTTTCTTGGCATGATCGCGTCCGAAGATGCGACTGAAGGTGATCGATACGGTCACCTCAGTGCTCCAACCGAGCTAGACCTTCTTGTCGATCCGACCGGGCCGATGGGGCGTTGGTGATCATGATGAGGAGGTGTCCTTCTTTGGATGCAGGGCCGTCGATAGTGTTGAGGAGACCGCTCAGTGTAGCATGTGTTTTGTGCCTCCGCTCTGCTGGTTGACAATGTCTCGCATGAAGCCCGGATGAGGGATGGTATGACTAGTTTGGGCTATCCTCATCGCCATCCTCTTCCAGTCCCGTTCCGGAACCAACGCGTTTCATAGTCTTCTCCCGCACTATGCCTGCTGCGTCAATATCTTCGAACAGGACAATGCATCGTGGGGTAGGCTGTGAAAGCGATCTTGGGGTGAAGTGTCATTCATATCCGCAAGTATGAAGAGCTCCAGATCATAGTGGCTCGCGATAGCTCGTGACAAGGACGACTTGCCGGTGCCAGGAGGACCATAGAACATGTACCCTCTACGATAAGGGGTGCCGCTCTGAACATAAAAGCCCTCGCTCCGGTCATCAAAGAACTTCTGCAGTCCCACAAGACGTCTTGCTTCGCCACAGGCTCCATATCGATCGTCTCAAGGCGGTGCTTCTTAGTCTTGAAGTTCTTGTTTCTGTTAACGTGGACATTCTGAATCTTCAGGATCTTGTTCTCTGTCTTCGAGCCCCTCTGAACTTCCTTGAGCAGCTGTTGGATTGGCTCCACGCTATCCCACGGACAACGCACATTCCGCTTGCCGTAATTGCTGTCATCGGGCTTGTGTAGGACGAACGGAATGCCTTGGACGAAGAAGAAATTGTAGCCAGCGGAAGCAATGAGCTGCTGTGACTGTCCTTCCTCAGCTTTTCTCGACTTTTCGTGATAGCGCAAATTCGTTCATTCTAGGTGTTCGAAAGTCGGAAGCCATGCGAGTAGTGTGCTGGATGGTCACTCGCTAACCCAGATAAATAAGTCCGTGGTGACAGCGTCGCGACAATCCATCTCCGCGGAGTTTGTAACGTTCTTGCAAAACCAATCGAGCGCGTCTTTGCTGTAATTGCGAACCGGAACGAAGATCGCGACCGCCCATACCAGGTACGATACATTCAAGCCGACCCGGTCTCGTATCCAATGCTTGAAGATGGGGCCTCTCTAGACTCTTCTCAATCGATGGGTCAATGAAATCCTCACGCCAATTCGGTGGTTTCCGTAATAGATTTCCTTCTTCGCTTTAACAATTCTACTGTCACTATGCTGCATCTTGCTCCCAGTAACTACTGCGACTGTGAACTTCTCCATGTGAAGAAGGGCGGGATTGAATGCCTTCAGCTTGGCTTTTGCTTACTTGCGAATTCAGACCCAGTTCCTTTGATACTGTTATGGGTCTTAGATAAAACCACTCTCTCGCTACCTTCTTAGCGCATATTATTCGCAGCCTAGAACAACGGTTCCAGTATGATTCCTTGGTCCAAAAATCTTTGCAGCTTATGACGAGAAAGGATGTCATTTTGGACCCGCGCTGTGCGTGCCCTGGATTTGACCTGCAGATGAAGCTCTGGCTTTGACCTGCTTGAGGCAAACACGACTAGGCGAAAGCTGATGCGGTTTTTCTCGTGTAATTTGGTAACGATAAGTCATAGCAAAAATATCTGACTTCCCTCGACCAGTATCGAGACTCGAGAGGACTAATCTCCGGCTCATGGAGGCGGCGTTGAAGAAGTATCTAATATTTGAAAAATACGGCTACAGCGGGGTCGTCTGAGTAAATCGAAGCTGATGGTAGAAGAATGAAAGATGCGACGCGTCGACGCGCAGGTGGGATTCAGACTCGGACTTTGCTAACCAAGCCGAGAGGTATCCGGTATCCGAGCGACGATGGATGACCCATGAAGTTCCCCCGGGCTCCTGCTCACAATTCGAGCATCATTCCATCGACTTTCAACACTAAAATGGTGTATAACTCTCTGGAAGCCTCCCACTCTGTGAATCGTGCTATTAGGCCCAGTTGGAAATAACCCTTTACTACCTCCCTTTACTACCTTGCGGCCCAGAAACCTACCACATACCGAACGACAGCGTTCGTTTATGTCGGCTTTTCCTTCCAAGTCGCTCCATCTTCAGCCACCTTCACACCCTCTCCTCATCCCTGGAACTGATAGCGCAGGCAAAAGTCCCTCAACTGCGGATATCTGTCCAGAATTCCCTGCACCCGAGTTCGCATACCGAACCAGTCCATATCGCCGCATAGCTCCTCCGCTATCAAGGTCCTGATCGCCTCGTCTCTGTCTGTGGTATTATCCATCAAGTGGTGTATCGTCTTAATCTTGACCTCGGCATCGAAAGGCACGTCAACTATATCCTTTTGCAGTTTGTGCAGGGCGAACTCCCGTAAACCGTGAATGTCGTACTTGTCGGCAATGATATATACCTTTGCGTGCGCCAACAAGCCGTCGTCAGGCGGGTCGTCGTGAAACATGTCGCCTTCTTTCGATTTCGGATCTTCGATAATAGCGAGAAGCTCGTCGGCGAATTCAGGTCCTATCTCCGAGGAATGAAGCCAGAGGCGCTTTACTTGATTCGGCTGTCCCCAGTCGTCAGCATGCGAAATTACAAAGTGGCGAAGGTGGATTCTCACTCGCTTGTCAGGATACTTCCGATTCACTAGAGCTACTAGCTTGGCCATACCCTCGTGGTTCAGATAGAATATCCCGTCTTGCAGCCGCCTCCGGACCTCACGCGTTAGACCATCTTGGCTCCAGTCTAGATACACCTGGAAATGGTCCGAATCTTCAGAATCGGCGCCTGGATCTAACTCATACTCCGATGTGTACATGTACTGAAGCATGTATTTGACGATCGCTGGCTCATCATTTGGGAGGTCGATCGCCCCTTCCGCTTGCTCCTGCATTTTCGGTCAATGATACTTGAAATGCGTAGTGAAATGTCTCACTCACCTTTCCAAATTTTACGGCGCGAGAGAAGAAGCCTGACCATGGGCATATGATGGCCTTGTGGACCTTCCAAGTCGACGTTCCGCAGGTGATGGTGAAGTCTGAGTATTCGCCGGATTCGAGAAGTCTGACAGTATGAGCAGGGCAACTGGCTCGTTTAGTGAGCAGTCGTACTTACGATTTCTGCTGCCTTAGGAGCTTTTCGTAGTAAGTGGTGTTCTCGTCGCGATCCATTGGTGGGCTGGAAGTCTATTACAGAGTGGTTGGTGCATTCAGTATTCAGGTAGAGGGGTTGCTGAGGTGGGGCAGCTATAAGTATAGAATATAAGGCTCGGTTCTTAGGAAATGTAAATTGGTATATTCACTCCTCTGCGGTAAAAGTTTTGGGAGGCGCCGTGCGTGGGCATGCATTCTCGCTAACTTATTATTCACAGACATTCAATGGCACACTTACCAGTCACGGTGCTTTCATTCCGCTTTCCCTCTACGCGGACGGACGTGAAAGACGGAGGCATAGGTCACGTGCGTTCTAATTCACTCTCGTTCTCGCAACCCGAAGCGGTACATCCGAAAGGAGAATGTGGCCCTTAGCTCGCACTCCTACGCGAGCTCTTTTCATTTATAGACCTTGCTCATCAGTTTGCAGATGTTTCGCAAGAATGATGCATCCCTGACGTAGTCACGAAACCGCCACCGGAAGGCTGTAATAGCCCTGACTTGAGCTTTACCAAACCTAACGTCACAATATTTGGAACAGCGAATATATCAACTGTCAACTGTGATCTCTGAGGTTGTAACTGCCTCTCAACCAACGTGGTCAAATCCCCTATCGAAAGCTAATTCCCCGGCTCACACTGCCAAGAAAACATGCAATCGGTTCTTCACAAGTCATTGGGCCTAGCGAGGTGGACCCAGACAACCTCGATGGTCGGGTGGCTGTGGTCACTGGCGGCGCTTTGGGCATCGGGTCCGCTACACCTCTTCTCAGGTCGAAGTGTCGCTAATAGGGTTCCAGATACGAGATCAGTCGAGCGCTCGCTCTGGCAGGTGTCAAGGTCATCATGGTGAACCGCAAGGAAGAGCAAGGATCCAAAGCCATCTCAGACAACAAGAAAGAAAAAGAGGACGCACAAGTCGAGCGGAAGGAAGCAATGCAACTTAGGCAGCCTCAAGGAGGTGAAGGAGGCTTTCTCCGACCTGCGCTCCTCGCTGGACCGTCTCGACTTCCTCATTCTGTCCGCCGGCATCAACACCAATTTTATAGCGAGGACGCGGACGGCATCGACCGGCACTTCGGCGTCAATTACCTCGGCCACTACTACGTGTGCAATTAACTCTGGCCGGTGCTCTGAAAGACGTCTAAGATGGACACGAGCCCGAAGCCTAGGGTCGTGTTTCTGTCTAGCGAGATGCATAGGTTTGCGCCGCCAAACGTGAATTTTGGCAGCTTGGAGGAGATCAACGACAAGTATATGGACGGTACACGGTTGTATGCGCGGACGAAGCTTGCCATGATCCTGTGCGCCAAGTTTGGGCTGAGAGATCGGGTCATCAAGCCGAACGGTGATAAGATCTATGCGCTCGCCGTGCATCCCGGCGCTGTAGGTTACCCTTCGAACTTCGAGGTCTCAGGATGCTGATCGCGTTCCGATAGGTCAACACAGCGATGCAGCAGCAGTGGAAAGACGCATACCCTGGCATCACTGGCAAACTCCTCTCGAATGCGATGCTCTTCGCTGGGCGGGATGTTGAGCAAGGTTCATTCAGCGCGCTATGGGCTGCGACGAGCCCCGAGATTGAGGAGAAGGACATGAATGGCTGGTACTTCAATGACCCGGTAAGCACATGTCCTCCGGCTCAGGCTTGTAAGCAGAAATTGACTAGGAAGTAGGGCCAACCCGGTAAGGAGACCTCTCAAGCTTCCGACCCGGCGCTTGGGGCTGCTTTGTGGGATCTGAGCGAGCGCCTCGTGAAGGGCAAGCTGGGTGAGGATGCTCTCCTTGACTGGAATAAGGAGGAGTAAAATCCGACGGTGGTTCATCAGGAGCACTCCGGCACTGAAGCTCTCTAGAGAACGTTAACCAGGTACCAACTTGCTGGCTTCTCTGGTTTAATATTATGAGGTCTCCAGTCTTTCCTCTACTAGGCTCAGCAAAGGAAAGGCATATGCGAATGGAGAATTAGGTATAATACCATATTACGTCCGCCCCTGACCATAGTAGTTCCACGTAACGGACACATATGATTGCCGCGGAGAGGACTATCGTTTACATTCACGAGCTTCCTCAGCTCCTTCAGCCAAGGTCTCGAGTTCATCGCGCGTGCCTCTAAGGGTGAAGGCTTGGACGTCAATGTTGGGGGATGCATCCAGACAGAGCGCGCTACATCTAAGACTATATCGCTGACATGCTAATGCCCATGCTGCTGCTCCATGGAGACTCAGCAACTGATCGTGACCATGAGGCTCATCGAGGGAGTCGTGGACAACTGAACGGGATAAGTATATACCGAGTTTGAGAGCAGGTCTGGAGAGGATCGGGTACGTGGCGGGCGGGAGCTGCTGACGCGGTTTATGAACGCGTAAATGTGAATTTATCGGCGCGCGCCCGTTTGATCAACTGAATACAAAGGGAAAGGGCCTAGAGAAGGCGAAGAAGAGGCGCGTCATCATGACTGGAGGCGTGCTTGTGCGGATGCGGTGAGATTCGGATTCGGATCGATGCGGTTGATACCAAGCATGGCGAATACTTCGGTGGCTGGCGCTCATTTTGAGGGAATAGTTATCTCATCTCTATAGAGAAATGATCTCGTTCGATGGCGCAGGAGAAAGTATTGATTTTTGCAAGAAGAGACAAGAGCACGACTCTTGTAAGTGATAACGCGCTCGCGTCGGCCAAAAGAGGTCTAGTTGTTCAATAGCGCGCACTGACACCTTCATCTCAACCCTCGTCATGCGAGACCACGCCGACTACATCCCCAAGATTTATTTCATCGCCCTCGCTCTTCGCCGGTCAGCTTGCATCCTGCATTTCGTCCCTTTTCACGTTGCGATTCCGTTGTCAAGTTTCCGAAATACGTCTGAAAGAGCTACGAATAACCTTAACCAATTACCTACGTACACCATAGTGGGCAAACGACGATATGAACATTTCCAAGAGTCAATGCAATCGTATGCGCAGTTTCTATTCTCGCTAGACACAAGCTTGACTAACTTTGCGTGCACAGGTTGCTGCAGAGCGGAAAACATTCCGATTTCGTCATCACGTGCGGTGACGACACGTACAACGTGCATAAATCCATCGTTTGCTCTCAAAGCGACTTCTTCGACGCTGCAAGCCGCTTTGGAAAGGTAAAGACCATCCTGAATTCGTTCACTCAGTATTCAACCGCTGATGCTTTTAACAGGAGGGCGAGGAAGGAAAGGTCGATCTGCCTGACGATGACCCCGAGACCGTCAAGAACATGATGCAGTATCTGTACGGCCTGGATTATCATCTACCGTCCGACAATGCATCCGGTCCGATCCATGTGATGTTGCCGAGGGATCCATCTGCTTCGATGAACAATACCGCAATCACGTGGGCGCGGCGGGTCGACATGACAGTGTGGAAATTAGGTACGGTGCTCGTGGAAGCGATCCAACGGTACCATCCACAGATTTACAAGGTAGGCGCTCGCGCTTTGGACTACGCGTGTGGTCCCATTTTTAACCGGAGGTGTCAGGATTCCGATAGAGCTATCATGCTCCAGCTAGATGACAAAGCTCAAGAACTTGCGGTCAATGAAGTATACAATCACGTGGTCACCGTTTCCAACAACTTTACCAAAGAGTTCCCCGATCCGCCTTGCTGCAAGTATCTGCGAACTCACGCCGAGGTGTACGCGCTTGCCGAGAAGTACAACATCTCAGGCCTGAAGGAAGCAGCCGCCGAGAAGTTCCAGGACACGATGGAAGACATATTTACGGGCCAGAGCTTCTACGACACCGTGCGCTTCGTGTACACATCTACTCCCGACACGGACGATTGCCTGCGCGACATCGTTGCTGGGCGCATCGCCGTGGAGAAAAACGTTTACGGCATGTACCCGGAGCTGGGCTAGTGCCTGGAGGAGCTACCAGATCTAGCTTACCGGTTACTACACTCGGAGTACGGGCCTTCTGAAACTGAGTGATGTATACTTTCTTGCTCTCCTTTCTTCACTCTGTACGATAGCGTTATTTTAATGATGCCACCTTGGCCGTCGTCGCTCACGTATGTTTTGGGCATTGAAGCCATAGATACCCCTAATTACCACAATTACCGAGTGACTAGTAATATCTTACCCGGCCATGTATAGCGCCTGTCTATCAAAGCATACCAAATTATATTCTCGACATGCAGCAGTTGGCTAAACTAGGCTTAGCTTGAATCTTTACCGTCTTTGGTTAGCTTGCGCTATGACCATCCAGAGAGCCTCAACCAGGCGCCAGGCAACCTCAACCACGATCAGACAGAGACACTCGCGGATCAACCATCAACCAATCCACACAAATCACACACTTGGCCACTCTCCATTTAGCGTCTCGTCTCGATTCACGCGCTCATCTACGCCTACTCCAATGGGCCCCTCCGGCGGTCTTGCCAATGCGATTAAATCGTACGAAGCGCTCCAAGCTCGGCTATTCATCACAAATGACTGAGTTGTCAGGTTGCTGGCTTCTGGGAAGCACTCCGACTTTGTGATCACTTGTGGCGACGATGTCTATAACGTCCACAAGGCCATCCTGTGCAGCCAGAGCGATGTCTTCGATGCTGCGAGTCGATTCGGCAAGGTCAGTAACATGTCATGGTGCGATCGCGTAGACATGTTGCTGACTGTGGAGAAGGAAAGCGAGGATGGCCGAATGGATCTAGCCGAAGACGAGCCGGAGATCGTGAAATACATGATCCAATACCTCTACGAGGAGCAATACGAAGTTCCTCGCGCCCAGGACGAACCCTCTGTAAGAGTGGTTATAAATTTTGTGGACCTTCCTGCAAACAAAAAGGTGCAAGCACGTACATTGGTCGAAGGCATCCCATCCCTGAGGCGAGATCTCTATGATCGCTTCATCAAAATTATAGCCAGTGATGGGCAGGTATTGGTGAGTCCAGAAAACCCCGCCACTACTCGAACCAAATGATTAACTTGCAGAAGTCCGAGAAAGTGCTTGGGAGAGTCCAGTTGTCCGGCGATATGGACAGACTCGTCAACCGGCAGTTGCTTAGGCTGCTTGAACAAGCCCACGAAGACTCTTCACATCCGCCCACACATCTATTCCCGTCAGACCGTGAACTGGTCGTCCATGCCAAGGTCTATGCCATTGCGGATAAATACCACATTGATGGTCTCAAGACGTATGCCGCAAGCGCTTTCGCCGGAGCCAAAGTCGACCGTTCCACTTCTCCATTCCTGTACGATGCCATTGACGTGGCGTTCTCCACCACTCCTGACGAGGATATCGGACTCAGAGTATGGCTGGCCTACGATGTACTAGGACAACTGAATCAATTTGGCCTGTATCCCCGACTGAAGGAGAAGTTGGAGCAGGTCCCAGAGCTCGCTACATTTGTACTAGGCCTGCAATTTGGGAAGCATACTTCATAGGGACCCTATTCGCTAATTCCTAGGCCCTATCTCCCGCTGAGGAAAGCGACACTCTTTCTCCGCCCGGCAGAGCATTTCAATCCAGTGTCCACGGTCGAAGCCAATCAGGCTTCATGACCCGAAACAGAAGCATTTCCTTTCATTCGGCCCTGGTGTGCTATAGTTATCTCGTCTGAAGGCGCCGACTCCGTATATGGAGCCAGCTTCTTTCCGATTTGGCAGGATTCATAGGACCCAGAATGACACCAGGGTGCGCTTTCGGCAACCCATTCGCACAGTAAAGTGTGCAACCTCGCCGCCGCACGGGATGCTCGCAAAACCAGAGATCTCCTTACTCATCATAGCCCTACTCCTACTCATTATAGCCCTGCTCCAAGATCTTTCGCTATCCATATATATCCATTACCGTCGCAAAAACAGCATGTTCGCAAGAAAGGCCCGGTAGCTCAGTGGTAGAGCGACAGATTGCAGATCTGAAGGTCTCGCGTTCGATTCGCGATCGGGCCTAACTCCCTCATTTTTTTCTGAATCAATCAGCTCTTCTACTTTTTTTTATCGCCTCGTCACGGGCCTCGACTCCATTCGGAACTGAGCAGGCTCAAGAATCTCCTCAACGTTCATCCATTCGTAAAATATCCCGCCCGACTGCAGTATCCACACCCGACGAGGCACCGCACATCACAAACACCGGCATCTATGCGTCTCCCCAGCAGATCTCGTCCTTGATCATCTACACCATCACTAAGCAGGTAACTTACCAATACATCACAGCATACTTGCATGGAGGAGGGCTGCGTGAGCGCGGAATAGGGTAGGTATATGTGATGTGAGTTTGCCTCGCTTGTACTTCCTACGTTTTTACTCTTGGTGGCAGTGTTGGGGATTGGTGTTGGCTTTGAAGTGATAGTACCAGAAGACGCGGCCGAATTGGTAGGGGAACCCGGCAAATTGGGCATGGCGTGATGAAGGCTCCGCTCCGGGGTGGATGTCTACCAGAACCCTTTCTTGGCTCATTCAGTTCTGCACCATGCGGAACAGCAATGTAATCCAGACATGGCGCGTCTTCTTCTATTCTCACTAGTCGCAGGTGCCATATCAGAATTAGCATCTCCATGCCAACCTAAACGAAGTCCAGCATACACATCCACACGCAGTCTACACCATAAGACCCGGAAAAGAAACCAGCGGAAATCCTACGCCCACTTCCCCAACAAACTCATTATCGCCATCCCCGCCACCAGCGCCGTCATCGCACCCCCTGTCCTCAGCACGCTCGCATTCAGCAAACTGCCATGAATCCAATCCCGCGCTAGCATCTCCACAATCCCCACCCATGCCAAAATCCCCGCCGACAGCGCGTCTAGCGTACCAATCGCCACCAGTGTCGATGGGTCATTCCCGTTGAACTGGTCGAGGACGCCAATGCCGATACCCATGCCTAGAGGCGTGACAAGCGCGAAGGCACTAGCCATAAGGAGCTTCTGAGACATGGAGGCGACGGTTTTAGGGAGCCCCGCGATGCAGGTCCCCAGCGCGATGCCTTCGAACATTTGGTGGAAGAGGATGACGACGAAGAGGGTGAGGAAGAAGGAGTCGCCCGATACGACGAGGGTGAGGCCGATGACTGCTGGAGATTAGCACGGAGTTCCCCCTGGAAAGAAGTGATCTACTGACGGAGTGAGTGGAAGATGATTCCTGCCTCGAGGACGATCACGTTTAGTTTGGCGTCCATGTTCCCGTGCAGATGGTCATGGGAGCCGCGCATATCGCCGTGCACGTCTGCGCCATCGGGGGTGCTTGAAGCGGACTTCTGCGCGAGCTCGCTAGATGCAGACTGTCCAGCTTCGTTGTTTGCAGCACGCTTCTTGCTCTCACGCCACAGCAGGAAGCGAGCTCCAAGGTAGTCGACCAGGAAGGAGAGGAACAAGCCCGCCATGAAAACAGCCGCCGTGGTGGCTTCGTACGAGAGTTCACCCAGGCATTCATTGCCGAACATCAGGTCGGCGTGAGTAAAGAGCTGGTTTCCCGTCAGTAACGTGGCTGGAATAGTGCGTTGAAAGGCAAACGTACGTGGACGAAAGCGGTGGAAAGAATAACTCCTGTTCCAAATTGTTTGAGCACGCAAAAGACGATGCTCTTCTGGGACATGCGGAAGAAAGCCGAGGCGATTATGGGACCGAAGACTCCAATAGCGCTGGTAGCTAGAATGACGAACAGCAGTCCGATCCGTAGCGGCTTGTTGTAGCTGCGATCAGTTCGTTCGCAAGTAACCTCTTCATCGCCGCCAGTACAGTGTCTGTCGCCCCGTTAGCCTGATGCCCCACCCGGAGTCGCTCAGAGAGCGTTCGACTCACTCAACACCGGCATGGAAATGGCAGTGTTCGCCCTCGTTATGCGTCGTGTCTTCTTCCTCCTCTTCGTTATGCTCCTCTTCGGCATGTTCTTCGCTCTCGACGAGAATCTGAACATCGTCGCCTGCAGAGTTCACGCAGTACCTACTTGAGGTTAGATACAGGGCGCTCGGAGAGAGGCTCATACTCGCGTTTCATCGCCATGTGTGTGACAGTCTGTGTACTGCGACTCGAACTCTTCCGTCTTGGTCGGCCCAACAACCTGGTACTCCTCGGTCCCCACCATGCAATATCTTGCTATATTAGCATGCCACAAGGCCAACCGATGTCGGGGGACTCACTGCACTGTGCTATGAGCATGGCAGTCTGAGACAGCTGTAATCGCCGGGGCTGCTGCGGTTGTTGAAGGAGCTGATGTCGTAGTTTGTGCAGCCGCAGTCGCGCAGAGAAGCAATATGGCGGCTGAAAACGCGGATCTCATATGTACAGGCATGTTTTCGGGGAGACGTGAACACAACACACCCTCAGCAAATCCGCGAGGCTGCTGCGCTCTGATCCGCTCGCGCTCTTGATATAAAGAGAGGTTGAGGGTGGCGAGATGTCTCTTCCGCCGGCTAAGCACCGTGATGGCGGAGGGCTCGCAAAACACCATTTGGAATACGGAAGGTGAGGCTTGGCGTGGGCGGATTGCGTGAGTACCATGATGTCCAGCGGAGCGTCTTGTCGCGACTTGGCTTCCGTTTTGATTCGGTCGCTTTGCTGTCGCTGTTCTCAGGGTGCCTGCATCGAGAAAGCCGCCTGACCAATATTTGCTTAGTCTCCGCCTGTCGCCTTGGCGTCGATCTTGGCAGTGAATGCCCGGGACTGCTGGCCTTGGCATGGCGAGCACGATGACTAACGCCCCTCGGAGTACGCCGCGCGGGGGCTTGTACTACTCCAACATCGTTCTCCAGAGGCGTCGCTGCGTTTGCTAGGCGTGAAGAGCCTTCAGTCATCGCGGCCCATCAAGGTACTTTGCGACTGCCGCCATATGCCATTCTTTTCCAATTTCTCACCTAGTCGACCTTGGCCGGCAGGAAAGCTCCCACGAGGACTCCTCTCCGGGAAGCCATTGCATCTGCCAAGCTGGTAGAGGTGCCGTTCTAGATGGCCGGCATTGGCTGTTGGGGTGCAGAGTGAGCGCAGAACCTGCTGTTCGAGGACGTAAGCGGCTGCGCGAACATGGAAAGAGGGATGATCCGTTCGGTGAGGCCGTACTGCATCCCGGAGGCTGACTGGACGATGAGGCTATAAAAGGCTGCGGCCAGCTGCGAGGATTGGAACCAGGTATCTGGGCCAACATCAGTTCGCATCCATACAATCCCCTGTGCCTCGTGTCTAACTTTGACCCAATATATCGACTTGTTTCGTTTCTGCAACCACCATGGCTCTTCTTCGCTTCTCCCTGCTCTTGCTTGGAGTGTCTTCGGTTATTGCCTCCCCAGCCCGTATCGCAAGGCAAGAGTCCATGACCACCACCGTCGCGGCAGCTACTCCGGCACCCACAGCATGGGACGAAGGAGCCGTGAAGGACTTCACCATCCACTCCTCCTGTAACAACACCGAGGCGAGGCAAATCAAGCGTGGTCTTGACGAGGCCATGGAGCTTGTTTCTCATGCCAGGGACCACATTCTCCGTTGGGGTAACTCCTCGGAGATCTACCAGAAGTATTTCGGCAATGCCAGCACGGGCGAGCCTATCGGATGGTTCGAGAAGATCGTGAATGGAGATAAGGCGGGTGTCTTGTTCCGATGCGATAACCCGGATGGCAACTGTGCGCTCGAAGGTAAGCTTCGCGTGCTTCGGATACTTTTCCGATCATAGCTGATTGCCCCAGGATGGGCCACTGGCGAGGCGACAATGCAACGCTCGAAACCGTCATTTGCCCACTCTCATACGAAACCCGAAAGTCTCTCGATGCCATGTGCGGCTTTGGATATGATGTTGCCAACGGCGCAACGAACTTCTATTGGGCCTCCGATTTGCTCCACCGTCTCCTGCACGTCCCCAAGGTCGGGGAAGGTGTTGTAGAGCACTATGCGGGCGAGTACGACGAATGCATTGAGCTTGCTCAGACGCATCCGGAAGAGGCTGTGAGGAACAGCGATACTCTGCAGTACTTTGCTTTGGAGGTATATGCCTACGACATCGCATTGCCGGGCACCGGGTGCGCTGGGACATGGACTGCGACAAGTTCCGAGGTCCCCAGCGCGACTCTGATGCCCAGTGCGACTGAGACGGAGACTCCTTCCATCACTTCCGCGGCTCCGCAAGTACGTTGACCCAAATTCTCGTTAGTAGGAAATAGAGGTTAATAGGACTAGGAATGCCACACTCACGCAGATGGCGTCGTGCACTGCTCTTGAAGGTAAGACAGATTCGCCGGTGAGGATCGAGGGCTCTGGGTAGAGATGGGCGTGGAATAGTACTCCGAGAAGATCGAAATATAATGGTAATAGTCCTTGTACCGAGGCCAACATTGACGAAAAGTGATCAGTGCTCATCGCATTTGAAGACGTGGTAAACCTTACCCTATACCGAAGCGTCGCTGCCTCTATTGGCATGGCTTGAGTAAAGGGCCAGGCAAGTCTATGATACCTTCATGAATCTTCGGTCTTTACCTAGCGAAGACTTTCAGCTCTTGCTTTCTATAGCGAGAAGTAAGATGCGTTTTGTTTGTATGTGCAACGCGATATTACGATTCCAATGAGGTCGCTTGCTGTGGGGCCACATCCTCCAAATCCTAGGTGGAAGGCTCAGTTTGAGTTTAAACTTCGCCTGATTAGAGCGCATCCACTGTGGAGGTCCACACCAATCTCTCTCTCGCGCTGTGCTGCTCCAGTCCGATTGATACACTGTTCGTCTAGGGTCCTCCGAGCTACGCCATCGATTCCTCTTGGCGGTCGAGCGACAAAGGGGCGTTGGACCTGGACTTTGTGGGGCCGCACTGGCTTCCAGAAGCTGAGACATCTATAAGCCGTGGGGCCTCTGCCGTTGATATTGCGCCTATCCTAATATGGGGATGCAATGGGGCGCGATCCATGAACTGTGCATTAGCGAACGGGTAGAATGCGGAGGATATATTAAGCTTAAACTCGCCTCAATCTCGAGCTCCCCGCACATTCGCGCAACAAGCCCGTGTAACTCTCATGTTTCATTTGTTCGTTTATCGATTCGCAGGCCGAGCGGAACATATCCAGAAGGCTGGGCATCATCCAGGATGGGGCTCTGTATGCCCCATGTACCTGCCGAAATCCCAACGCTAATGATGAAGAATGCTGCTGGGTCGAAGAGTCTTGGCCAAGAGATAGGACATACTCGGCGCGAGCAAATAGATTGTCCGTTGTGGAAATGGAGGAGGTGATATAAGCAGACGGACAGCCCATGCAAACCCTGGCATCGTACATCTCTTGTTGCACAGTATACGTCCAAGATGCAGCTGCTCTCAGTCGTCGCGATTGCGCTCGCCGCGCCAGCAAGCGCCATGCTGCGGTTCTCATGTTCGCAGCTTGTCGTTGACCGGATCGATCCGTACGACGCATCACAAATCTGAACTTACTCCGCTGATGATTTTCAGGCTCGTCAACCCTGGTGTCGCACCTTCGCCGCATCTTCATCAGCTCGTGGGAGGAAACGCATTGAATACCACCATGGATCCAAACGACGATCTACCGAGTATTGCGACCTGCACCACGTGTCAATTCACCGAAGAGTATGTGAGGCGAGCATGGGTACCCTTCTACCGGACTCCGCTGATTTTGTACACGTGTCTAGCTTCTCGAATTATTGGACTGCCGTCCTGTTCTTCAAAGCGCGCAATGGCTCCCTCCATCGCGTGCCGACCTTCGCGAACCAGTACCTGGAGCCGGCAAACGGCGGCATCACCGTTTACTATATTCCCCCATATGATGGCAAGACGATGGTTACCGCTTTCCAGAAAGTACGTTGGCGAATGGGTTTTCTAGCGCGAGCTGACCGGCCTCCAGGGATTCCGCATGATCGTTGGGGATCCAATAAGGCGCTCCTACGTTGGAGATAACGATGCCCGCGGGCTGAGTTTCCGTTGCTGGGGTGAGAACTTCTCGGGAGATATCGGCGCGCCCGGTATGGGCACGGATACGCGGACGCTTCCCCCCAAGCCCTGCCCGGGCGGCATTCGAGCCAACCACTTCTTCCCCACGTAAGTCTAGGCTCTTATTCTCTTCAGTCGACGCTAACATCCTGCAGTTGCTGGGACGGGAAGAATCTCGACTCTCCCGACCACAAATCTCATGTCGCGTATCCTGCCAACGGCTCCTTCGAGATGGGTGCCGCGTGCCCGGAATCCCATCCCGTCAAGATTCCTCAGATCTTGTACGAGGTCGCGTGGGATACTCGCCAGTTTAATGACCCGAATGAGTGGCCGGAGGATGGTTCACAGCCATTCGTGTTTTCGATGGGTGACGCGACAGGCTACGGTACGCATGCGGACTACGTCTTCGGCTGGAAAGGTGACGCGCTTCAGAGGGCCATGGATGCGAATTGCCAGGTGAATTGCCCAACGCTCAAGATGCAGTCGACGCAGACCGCGAACAAATGTCAAGTAGAGCGGAAAGTGAATGAAGAAATCGACGGGTGGCTGGACGAGCTTCCTGGAGGGATGCCTGTAACTTATTCCTGAAATGAGGGCCTGTAGAGAGGGTCTGCGGCAAAATCGCGACGACCTAGTGATAATGACATAAGGTAGACCGATAGAGCGCAGTTGAGATATCGTTATCTGTACACCCAAGTCTGCATAGTGCCCCGGGCTTTGTGACCTGTGCGAACCATGACCGACCGCGGGAGCAGACACTGTAATGGCTTCGCACGGTATTGAGGATGTATCCAGATGATGACAGGATGATATGCGTAAGCTTGGTTGACTCTCTTCGAGATGCGGGTGACTGTAGGGCCGATGCGAGGTGAGGTCGCGTTGGGATGAAGAGAGAACGTCGCGTCTCCAGGTTAGCGCTTAGGCCATAGGTGGACTCCTTAAAAACCGTTCTTGTTGAGATTGTTGGATTGTTGAGGAATATTTGCTGGAAGCCTACATCATCGCGGTGTTGACAGGGTTAGGCGGAACCATGGTTGCTTCCGAGGTCCCTGGAGTCCAGTTTACGCTAGTCCATTCTTGGTTTAGTCGCATTCGCGCAAAATGCTTAGTAGCAGACAGCAAGTCCGTATTAGAATCCCAGAGCCTATACTACCAAGTTCAGCTATAGTTAGTCAGTCGCTATTACTCAGGAGGGGCGGTATCGCAGTATGCCAGAGTAAACACTTGAATTATATTCTATCTGAACGAGCGACAAGAAGCGAAATTTCTGAAAGCCAAGCTCAAAACCCCCGACGCTATGCTATGCAAAAAAAAAAAAAAAAATTCCAAAGACAAAACCAAAATGCAAGATCCACTGCTCCTCTCATCTCAATCTGTAATCCCTTAAGCGTTGCACTGCAGATTGAACGCGTTCATGTTGCGGGGAGCAGCAACACCAGCCTGGCCGTCCAAATCCACATAATTCTGGCCCTTTCCGTACATGTTGATAATGTCGTTGACGTTCTGGAAGAAGCAATGCGTCAGGGGTGTGTACGAGATCAATTGCGCCGAAGTGGCCATGATGGCGCCGTCCTGGTCGATTGGGCTGTCGCGGAAGAGGTCGGGAAGTGCGTGCGCGTGGCCGTCACCGGGGATTTCGACAGTTGCAAAGCGGCCCGTTTGGTCGTTCATGACGGAGACCTTGATGAGGGGGTAGACGGTGTCGCGGGATTGCATAGCCGGGGCCGCGCTGATGGCGGAGGCGAAGATGGCGGCGGCGAGGGCGAGAGTGAACTGCATTTTGATTGATTGATTTTTGGTTGGATTGGATTGATTTGGTGGGTTGAAGGTTGATTCGTGGAGTGAGTGTCGTAAGGAGATGCGTAAAACTCAGGAAACGGAAAGAAACCGAAAGGGAAGTGGAAGAGAAGAGTGGATTGTTGGTTTGGATTGTTGGTGGTGATGATGGAAAGTAATTAGGCGGAGAAGACAGCATGCTTTATACCTCTAGGATGCGTCTGAGCTGCTCGTCGTAGAGGTACTCCAGTACGCTGCTGAGCCTGTTCGCCGACTACCTCAGCGAGCCTCCTCCTCAGCTTCTGCTACTGTGGTACATTCCAGCTCCGCCATTTCGCACTGCGCACAAGTACCCTCCGTGCGAAGTCGGTGTGGATACGAAGTGTTTTCGACGGGTTGCTTCTTACTTCAGCGTAGCTCGGGGCGCAGCCTGCAGCGCGAAATTTAAGCTTATGCTTAGCTTCAGCCGCGCCCCAACCACCAACCACGCGGCTACACTGCGTTCGGCCAATTCTCGAAGAATTCTACGAACGAATACCAGGGCTATGCCGCGATCAGGTAATGGCGGCATTTCACGGGCCCTTCCGTGGGCTGTTTGCACCAAGGCAGGGCGGGGTGTGGAGATGTCCTAGGCGGAGCGGGAGCGCCATGATCGCTGCTATTTTCGAGCGTCGTTTGGGGCTGTAAGGCCGCTCTGGCTTTCTTGGCTTTACTGATGTTACATATCCGCTGCCAACAAACGTAGGGGTTGAGAGCTGGATCAAATGAAGATGGGTTCCGCCGTCTGCACAAAGAAAGGCGGTAGAGAGCTGAGCTGCAAAGATTCTACGCTCGGACCACATAACGCTAGAGCATTCCTAGCTTAGTGGAGACCCATTCATCCTTCTCCAATTTCCACCGCAGTCTGTAGTCTTCACTCTTCAATATCAACCGTGTCTAGAAGCCACGACGGAATATGTCATCGCTCGGCGGTCCTGCGAGAGGAATGAGGCGTGACTATTAGATCGTAAGTGGCAGTCTCTACTCCGTACCCACGAAATAATGAGGATTAATCGCTCACATGCTATGTAGCCAGCATACTTCGCCGCCCGTCTCTATGCAATTGGCCTCGAGTACATTGCCATTCTTCGAAACGCATTGCTTCTCTCGCATTGCAAAGGATTGACGAAGGCTTGGACAGCTACCCTCAGCCAGAGGACGAGGTACCGATCCCGATCCCACTCTGAAACCGAAAATTGGGATGTCGGCGTTACCCACGCTTCCCTGCAACCAAAAGGCAAACACTCCATGCGCGGTAGAGATCCGCAGCAGATATATGAGGAGCTGTGTGCTGCTCCCGAGAACCAGTTCTCATCCCGTATCGGCATCAGGCGTGCTCCCGCCATTAGCCTCTGAAGCTCTTCAGGCTGTGCTATACCAACTGCTATCCTCGTCGAACGTTCATTCTTGACACTCAGTCCACACGCATGATATTAGAGCGCTGTTATATGCCTTGAACACGTACTTTAACACCCATGGGCACGAGACGGCCGATGACGCACTTCGCCGACACGACTCCTGTTCCAGCGCGAGGAGTCGGGAAGGGGCTTCTTCCCAACTGGACGCCATTCCCCGTCACCGCGCGAACGAAGTAGATGATCTAATTAAAGAGGTCCACCCTATTCAAGAGACCGCTGGTCCAAACCAGAATAGGTCGTGGTGCTTTTCGCTCGTCCACGGTCAACCGCTAAAGCACCTCACGCTACGCTATCCACGCGTACGATTCCATCCACGCACGGCCAGCTGAAGCACCTCACGCTGCTCTATCCGCACACATGAGAGAAGTCACGAAGAAATACTTCAAAAACAAACTTTCCATTTTAGAGACACCCGTTGCCGCATGGACCGTTCCTCACCACCCACCTCCCCCGCGGAATTATTTCGCTGGAACACATTCGTCGTCTTTGAGTCAATGTAAGGTGCAAATATTCCACAAAGTGGCTGAACTTAGTACATGTGGCCTGTAAGTCTCGCGCCAACTCCCCATGGCAAGACGCAAAGTCTACACAGTACGACTGGTTACGTGGGAATGCTGCATGCATCCCATCCGGGCCCCAGGCAAACATCACCCATGATAATCCCGACGCCCTTTGATCCATTCGACGCGAAAAGCCTGGAAAACAATGCCTTTCCTGTCCTGCCCGACTTTGTAGAGGCTATGATGGAGGCGTATCAGGTTTTGAAACAGCCAGAAATGACCACCAGCTTCATAAAACAAAACAGTGATATAGTACAGTGACTCCATCTGAACCGGAAACAATAACGCGCCAACCTTTCCGACTTGTCATTAACCCAGCACCCCGACCAATCCGAAGAGAGGCACTCTACACACACTACTTCGCCCCTGTCCGCCTCCCTCAACTCCTATATCCTCCTCTGAACATTCAGCACCACGCCACTATGCGCATCCCTAACAGTATACTCTTCTTTCGCCCTCCTCAATCCATTGCCACTATCCCTTCGTACGACCACTCTCTCTACCACGCGGGTCTCCTTCGCCGGCTCGCATTCTCGAATGTGTAGATGCACGGTTCCTGGGTGCGGACTTCTCGGTTACGCTTGTGAAGTAGGAGGACGTTGTGTTGTTCGGGTATGTTGTTTTGGAGATGGACATGAGGCGGCGGGAGAGTGGTGGAGCGGGAGCGTTGTATCCGCGCGAGATGGTGCGAGTACGGGTTAGGTCCATTGGGAGGTTGGAGATCCTGAAGAGGATATACGAGTCGATGGTCACAGATTGAAGGAGATGTTTGATCCGCGTATGTGCTGGATGCTGGGCGGTTGGTTCATGGTAACGGCGCTGCGCATCGCATTTATGTATCTCCTCGAGGCGGACAAGCCGGCTAGCATCCTCACGATGCGCAGCACAATGACGCTGAAGCGCTGGGATCTCGGGAGTGTTTTCCAAGGTCGAGACCCGTATTGCGGAGAGTTGGGTATGGCTCGCTGCGTGGAGGTCTGCGTGACATGGGATCCCCTGTTAGGAAGATGTATTCGGAAGAGACCTGAATCTTGAGGGAATAAGGAAAGTGCATGGAGATGTGACTGTAGGGAGTATGCGCTTGTACTTTGGGACATATATGCTGGAGTTTTAGTAGCGGGGCGTTATGCGGAGAGATAGGATTGTGTCTCCTAGGAACGGATTGGCAGGTGGTCATTGACAGGTCCTGGTTTCTGAAGGGAGCCTGAATTAGCTAGAGTGGATGCGGTGGGGAGGATGTGTTGCGTTGAATGTCCGTTGGCTTGAGGAAAGAGGCCACCGCCCAGGTCTGATGTATGGGACCCTTGCTCTTCGGCTGTCTTCGGCATCATTATCTTCATCTTGTTTTCCTTCTCCGTCTTACCCGCCTTCTTCTTCATGCTCTATGCCTTCATCTTCCGTGTCGTCTTCTCCTGCGTCTTCCGCGTTTTCGCCCTCTACTTCTTCGTTCTCTTGTTCCAATTGGGGCGCCTCTCACCAACCGGGTTTCGGCATCCTGGCCCTCAAGGCCTTCACTTTTCTTTTGAGGTGCCAATTCCTTGATCTGGCGGTTATGACACTGTGGATGAGAAGGGAATTCCTGACCACGATAACGTGGGTACGATGAAGTGCCTCTTCTCTCCATTCGGCAAAGTCCCAGACGGGGGATTCAGGGATAGGAGCGAACAGAGTACCTCTTCGTAGCTAGAAGCCGGCGCTCACCAAACGTAGCGACACACATTGCACGCTAAAGGTCTCCAGGACTAGCTTTCCAAGGCCAAAGGGAACTCCAAGGAGTCCGCCCTCTCTCTTAGCGCAAGGAGCGAGTCTTCCAACAACCAGCTCCTTTCCGATAAATGTCTAATTCTGCCATCAAACCTTACTCTCCTTGCCTTCATGTGGCACTCCGCCTTCGCACACCGTCAAAAGCAAGGGGCAAAAAAAGGCAAAAACATACAACAGCCGGGTATTCGCTAGTGGTCACCCACCTAACTACTAATCCGCCGGTATCAGGTTTAACGTTCGCAGAGCAGACGGGATGCAGTGGTCTTCTGATCCTATGGTCGTATGTGCTAGTAATGCATTTGGTAGAGGTATATATAGGTTGTGGTAGTGGGGCTTGGCACAGCGATGAAGAAGAGGAACGACGAAGTGGATCGGGAGGGATTGGTTTAGAACGAGAAGGTATAGTGAGGTATTCGAGTGGTGTGCGGATGGGAAGTTTGTGCGGTAGGAAATAGGAGGATTTGCTAGCTTACTGCGTGTGTTGCAGAAGGCGACTGAGCGATTAATTAGCTAAGAGTAGAGAGAAGTACTCCTCATTCACGCTAGGAAGAATAAAATATCGCATTAAAACGATAAGAGTGAGAACCAGAAAGATAGGTAGGTTATTACTTACGCTGTCCTGGTTACTTAGAGATATGTCGGATGCCAGAGCCTTAGATCCTGTAAACTTCGCCGCTGGCTTGCGCCGAGAAAGCACGCCAGAATTCTTTAGAACATCTCTTACACATACTAACATTGTCCCTTCGATTAGAAGTCATTTCATCCCTTACGTTGCACTTTCGTTTCGCCGCACTCTCATCAGAAAAGGCCACTCCGCTTGGACAGCTCCATAAGCTACTGAAGACCAGAGGACGGTTATTAGTCCGAAGACGCCTCGACGGCAGGGTTGAAAAATGGTCAAGCCAAATTCCATCCTTTCAGATATCGATGCGCCTCCCATACCCAGCGTGCGCACTGAAGAAAAGCCAAGTACTACGTCTTCATCCATGTAGCCCATTCCCACCAGTAACAAAAACACGATCGCGTCAGCCAATTCCCCAACGCACCATAGTACGCGCCAACCTCCTTGCGTCCCTAGAAAGGTAAAAGAACCCAGATGAAACACCGGCACGATTGCACCACCAGCTCGATGAAGCAAATGCGCTTCCGCGTTCCCCACCACCCAGCTTGGTCCCGTCATTGCGATATCGAGCAAGCGCCATCCAGAATACCCTCTACCAAACGATCTTCCTCGATCTTCCTTTATCCTAAAAGGCTGCAGGCGGTACGCCTAAGCTCTCCTTACCTCTAACCCCATACCACAAAAGGTGCCGGTTATGACGGATGCTGCACCTTAGGCCACCTTCTCCCTCTCCTCCTAATTACCATCTCATCGTAATAAACAAACGCAGCTACGCAATGTCGCCGCACAATGCCTCAATCTCGCGAGGGGCGATCCGCCGTTGCTCGCATTCGGCGACGTCATCCCGTCCCCTTATCGATAACGATCCCGCGGGATGAAGCCGCAAATCCCGCACGCTTTCCGTCGAGAAACGCCACCAAAAGGACCCTGGAGTAGGACGCGCGTAAACTCGCTTGGCTTGGAGGAATCTAGAACGCGGAACTGAGTTTGCGGGAGTACCATGGTCACTATGGGACGTGTGGCCTTGCTCGTTCAATGGTACTGACTAGTACAAAGGTAGGCGCTGTGACCAGAGCCAGTTCGAACGTCACTGCAGTGTCAAGAACAGTAGTGGTTGGCTAGCGGAAGTATAGTCAGGGGCGGTGGAACGGCGTACTTTGAAGAAACGAAAGGCGCCGACACCTGCGAGGATTACTCCTTTGGGAAGGTACAACGTTTACGCTGTACGCATGCATGAAACACTGTCGCTGATTCGCAAAGTGTTAGCTTGCATGATTCTTACAAAACTCGATCCAAGGCACCATGATCGCAAATCGAAGGTAGAAGGTGGTATCATTGATAAGGTAAGGATATCCAAGAATCGAATCAAGGCCTAAAACAAAAAGTACCACCGAGCAAGCGGTAGCGCAGCCCATAGGCCGGAAGAAAAGTAGGTGTAACATCGCGCGCAGGCTTCTCCGCAAAATAGAAAGATGAGTGAGAAGCTTGGCGGCGTCTCGGTCAGCGAGCGCGAACGAACCTGCCGTCTTTTGCATGCTCCGCTGTTGCAGCTGTCGCTGCTGCAGAACGCCTGACGCCAATGCGTCGGACTGTGACTGCTGATAGGTACTGCCGAGGATGACACTTGAACTCCACCGGGCCGTCGTTCGTCATAGGCCCAGGGATGACCGTTTCATCGCACAAGCCATCGGGGTCTAAGAACGCTGCGCGGGTACTTTTCGCTCTTCCAGGATGGGAATATGCAACCGTGACAGGCATGCTCGATCGTGAATGAGGATTGGTGGGAGATAGTGCAGGCTCATGATGTGACGGGCAGACCACTCGCCATCCTGAAGAGCTCGAAAGCGAGTCCTGGCGTTTCCCGCACAGCTAGCTCGACGTCTTTGCGGAGGGACAGGTCTGGGTGGGAGCGGAAGGTTTGGATAATGACGTCGCGCAGTCCTCGATCCGTGTCGACGGTGGATTCGTACGCTTCTTGGCAAGCTTCCGGCAGCTCGTCACTGTTGATGTGTGCCTCGATCTGATGCGTGAACTTCTTTCGGGCGAGAGACTTCAGGCCAGAAATGCCGTATCTGTCGAGACGGTTAGTGGCTGCAGTTTGACGTCTCGTGGGGCTGATTGGAGCTGGCAGAATTGGAGGGGGATTGCAGACAGGGAAAACCGGCAGACGTTGCACGCTGACGCGTTGGTGCCTCCCGGCACTGCAAGCAAAAGGGGATGGGGAAGCTTGCGGTGCTGATTGGAGGCCCAACGGTACGACAGCAAAAGAGGAGGTTGAGATTGGAGGAGCCCGGGCAGCGGCGGGGGCAGATCTGACGTGCGGTCCGTGCGCGGGTTGATCTGATTGGCGATCCGCCGCGCGGGCTGATGCACATCGCGGGGTCGGCGCTCAGAGTCGCCGCCCAAGGAAACGTGGGCGGAAAAGAACGTCTGCGCGCGGCACCGCAACGGGACAAGGGAGGTGCATGAATGAGGCAAAATGGAAGGAGAGGCGCAGCTAAGGCACACTTACTTCTCAGCGATTGCGTACACTTTGGCGTGTGTGATGAGATGTGGTCTCTCGACATCGGCCTCTGGCTCCGCCGTCACGGCGTCGAAAGGGTCCTCCGTGAATTGGTCAGCCGTCGGTGTCTCAGGAAGTTTTGCCGACGCATCCAGGGCGTCGAACTGGTTGGCCTGCTCCTCTGGGGGTGTCATGGGCATAGCGCTGCCAGCTGCCGACGCCATTGCAAGTAGTGGGTCTTCGACCAGGGCGAAGTTGACCTTCTTGGGCGCTCGTCGTGAAAAGCGTGGTGATCGGGCGCCAGACGATCGCAGTGAGGAGCTGCGAGAAAGCGGCTTGCTTAGATAGTCGAGATGGTAGAAATCTGAAACAGGGTCAATCAGAAGGGCGCTCGCGATTGCAGGACGGCCTGGTGCTTACAGTGTACCATATGCTCCACAGCTTCCGGATCGTCTTCGGTGAGGTCGATAACTCCAGTTTCCGATTCGCGGAAGGGGTTGCGGCAGGCGCCATCGAAGAAGGTTGATCGTGATGCGAGCAGAGCGCGGTGGACTGAATACCTTTTGTCGCCACAAATGATGGTCAGGTCTGAATATTTGCCGGATTCAAACATTCTGGGACAACTTAGCAAGAGTTGTTAAAAGAAACGGTTGAACATACGACGCCAGTGCGGACATGAGTTCAATGGTTGGGGAGTCCATTATGGATGATGGTAGGAGGATGGTCGAGGTAGTTGGTCTTGGAAATTCGCAGGTGGATGTTGGAGACAAAAGTGAGGAACGGGAGGCCTTTTGAAGGTGGACTGTTGTAGGACCCTGATCTGCAGTGCGAGAGAGCTGCGAGGTACCGCGTTTATCAGGAGATGGTGGGCGACCTTACGTAGGGTCGGTAGACGATCAGTTGAGCACCGACGGTGAGATCCGTGGTTGGCAGGGGCGCTGTTCGCCGAGCGTCGAACGGTGACCGAACCGGCGGATTCGAGCGGGCGTCTAAACGGGCAGTAACCGATGTGCCGATGTTAGGATGACCTAATCTTAGACCTAAGTATGCGCTGATCTGTGGTGGATGCGGCTGCGAAACAAAAAGTCGAATCTGGGAGGGATGCGCGCTTTTTGTATTCCTGAAGCGCGGCCAGGGTTGCGTCTGGCCTTTCAGGGCGCAACAGCTAGAATGCTTCCGCCAGTTGCATAGGCCCAGAGCTTCTAGACGAATCTGGCGAGTCACAGGGCAGACGTACTTTGCCGCCATCATCCCAAAAGCCAAGCTGACGCGCAACGCCCAGTCGCGGTGGCATGGGACCAGGCGGGCGTGTAGCGAACGGCTTCTGCTAGGGCGGAACCAGACGCCTCGTCAGCGCAGCAGGAGAAGACGACGTCGCACACGAGGTCTTGCAGGCGGTGGCTGTAGCGCATTGGACAGGGCAAACGGCATGGCTGCTGGCGAGACCCGAATTGGGATATGCATTGGTGTTGGCGGCGCAGACAGCCAAAACAATGTGTCCTCTGCGCTGCTGGGACCGCGCTGCCAACTCGACTCTCCCTTGGTAGCTCCCAGCAGCCTAGCACCCTCTAATTTTGTTTACGCATCAAAAGCTGCTGCAAAACTCGACGCGGTCGGTGAAACGGAAGCACCGCCCGCCGTGGTGAAGGCATGAATGAGGGGCGGGGCGGAAAATGAAGGTCCACATCAGGGTGCGGGGTGCTGGCTGCTGCAGATGCCATTCGCGGGAGACCCATGGTATTGTTGCTCTGCCGCACGCCTCTACGCGAGCCGGTTCTGGGCTCGTGGTGTAGGCGAGCGTGTGGATCCCTACCAGTCTGAGGTCGCGATCTAGACGTCCCATGATGTGGTTGCGCTTCTCCACGGGTTCCTATTCATCAGCGCGTTCCCCAAGCTGCAACATCCTCGCGGTCAAGCAGGCATGTCCCCCGTGTCTGCTGCAGGACAGCGGGCGCTTCTTCTTCGGATGGGACGGATGGAGCTGGATGTGCTGTCGTTAACAGTGACGCCTCGTGACCTGCTCAGGAGCATTTCGCAGTAGTAGGTAGTGAGAACATGGCTGGGACCGGTTCGATTTCCAGCTGCCCAGGACACCCACGCCGGTTCGCGGACAGACCGAGTGCCTCCGGCTCGATCGCGACAGGCTGCCCAGCGATCGTGGCCAAGCCCAGCCTTCACGCGAGAAGCGAGAAGAAGCGCAGCGGCGGCAGCCGCACCCTGTGGACGAGCCCAGAGCTCATGAGGCTTGTGAGGCTTGAGAGCGAGGCCTGAGGCGGCGACACCGACCGCCTGACAGCACAGCGTCGAGCCAGATTGAGCCCTTACCACCAATATTGGAATCAATAGCGCGTAGAGAAGAAACGAGAGTATAGTGTGAAATTGCAAGCTCGGGGTGGGCGCACTCGGCCTCGCTAATTCACGAGTTGTCGTCGCGATGTGTGGTGAGGGTGTTTTGGTGTTGGGGAAAGAATGGTGTGGTGGACGGAAAGGCCCAGAAGCGAGACCGGGCTCCTGCCAAGACCTCTCTCCCGCGGTGACGCACCGGCGCGAGAGCCTCCAACAACAATTTCATACAAACATCGCTCGCCGTCCACGACCCTGCCCAGCCCGTGAAGCAGCCCGCGGCCTATGCTCACAACTCTCTTACTCTCACCCTCTTAGCGCTCCGCCCTGCGTCCGCTCTCTCCGCACCACAGGCCCCGCGCAACCATGGGCGACTACAAGCTCTCGGCCTCTCTGCGCGGCCACGAAGACGACGTACGTTCCCAGCACCCTACCGCCCCAGATATCCTGTGCTCTCATTGATGATCGCCCGCTGACTGCTGTCCTAGGTTCGAAGTGTCGCGTTTCCCCACCCCAATACCGTCGTTTCAGCGTCAAGGGACTTCACAGTGCGGTTATGGACCCTCCAGGCTTCGAATCCGCCGACCTATGACAGCACAATCAAGACGCATGGCAAGGAATTCGTCAATTCGCTGACCATCGTCCCTCCCTCCTCCGCCTATCCTGAGGGCCTCATCGTTTCCAGTGGGAAAGACCAGATCATTGATGTGCGGCAACCAAGCAAAGCTCTCGACAACGACGCCGATGCACTGCTTATCGGGCACGGCTCCAATGTCTGCGCGCTAGATGCGAGCTCAGACGGGAAGTTGATAATCAGTGGCAGCTGGGACCAAGATGCCCGAGTTTGGGAAGTGGGCAAGTGGGGGGACTCTACGGTACTGAAAGGCCACGGTGCCGCCGTGTGGGCTGTACTGGCCTACGATCCCTCCACCATAATAACAGGTATTGCGACCTCTTTATTTCTGCTCCTCTGCGATCGGCTTCGAACGGGGCTAACCGCTGGTCGCAGGTTGTGCCGACAAAGAAATCCGCATATTCCGGCCTACAGGGGAGCTCATCCACTCGATACAAACCGGCGACGTCGTACGAGCATTATGCAGGTTACCTGCGAACCATCCATCCGGAGCCCACTTTGCCTCTGCGGGGAATGACGCCGTCGTCCGCCTATGGACCTTGAATGGTCGCCAAGTATACGAGCTCCATGGCCACGAAAATTTCATATATGCGCTTGCAGCTCTCGCCGATGGACGAATAGTAAGCTCCGGAGAAGATCGGACGGTGCGCATATGGGAGAACCAGCAATGTATACAGACGATCACGCATCCCGCAATTTCCGTGTGGACGGTTGCGGCATGTCCTGAGAATGGCGACATAGTAACAGGAGCAAGCGACAACATAGTGCGCATTTTCACTCGCGCGGCGGAGCGGTATGCTGATCCCGCGGCCATTGAACAATTCAACGATGATGTCAAGTCATCCTCGATACCGCAGCAGCAAGTGGGCGATATCAACAAAGAGAAGCTACCTGGCCCGGAGTTCCTCACACAAAAGTCCGGCACAAAGGAAGGACAGGTACAAATGATCCTCGAAGCCAACGGTAACATCTCAGCATATCAGTGGTCCATGGGTGCGAACGAGTGGGCCAACGTTGGGACAGTTGTCGACCAAGCTGGCAGCAGTGGGCGCAAAATCCCTCATAACGGCAAGGATTATGATTACGTGTTCGACGTCGACATCGAGGACGGGAAACCGCCCCTGAAACTGCCATACAATCTGTCGCAGAATCCGTACGAGGTGGCGCGCAAGTTTTGCGAAGACAACAAACTGCCCCTTACCTATCTCGACCAGGTCACGAACTTCATCGTGCAGAATACGCAAGGTGCAACGTTAGGTCAGTCCGCTGCACAAGGTGCTGACCCTTGGGGCACGGAGTCGCGGTATCGTCCCGGCGATGCAGCACCCGCCGCGCCACCGCAGCCCCCTGCACCTAAGCCTAAGATCCTTCCCCAAAAGGATTACCTTGACATTCTCACCGCAAGTCACAAAGCTATCTTCAAGAAGTTGCAAGAGTTCAACCAGGCGCTGGTAAACGATGGAAATAAAGGGTTGTCCCTTAATCCGTCGGACATCGATCAACTAAATTCTGCAGTCGCGTCGATGGAAAGGGGGAACTTAAAGGACGTCGATTTCGCTGCCATCGATCTAATTGTCAAGGCCGCAACAGAATGGCCGCCCGAGAAGCGTCTTCCCGGCCTCGATCTCCTGCGGCTACTCTTCGCAGCTGAGGAGTCCAGTGCCTATCTGACGACTGACCATAACATTCTTACACTCCTCGCGCAGTCGGGAGTCTTCGAGCCTACTTCCCCCTTGAACAACACGATGATGGCAGTGCGGTCATTAAGCAACTTGTTCAAAACCGAAATAGGGAGGGCGACGGCTAGCGAAGAGTTTGAGCAGCTGCACGGTTTCATCTCCCCCTTCCTCACCTCGCCAAACCGTAACCTGATCATCGCTGTTACCACGCTTTGCATCAATTACTCAGTCCTCCTTACGTCGGAGAATAACGCCGATCGGGCACTGTCATTGCTCGACGACCTTTCGAGGATTCTGAATAGTGCTACGGATTCTGAGGCCATATACCGAGCGCTGGTCGCGACAGGGACACTTCTTTGCCTAGGCAACGACTTTTGCGAGGCTGGACGCGATATTCTGCAGCTTGGCACCGCTATCTCGGCCGCAGAGAAGAAGGCTAAGGAGCCTCGAGTCAAAAACGTGGTGGCGGAGATTCGAGAGAAATTACAGGGATGACGAGGAAGCAATTCGCTCGAGTGGCATAGCCTCATGGTGTCTGGAGGGTGATCCGCCCCAGAGGCATGCGAGTTGCAGTAGTGGCTGCAGTGTGTATAAGCATAGACATGGATAAACTGGCATTGGTTTTATTAGCGATGGTATGCATAACCTTCGTAGGTAGAGATTCTCACATCTTAGTGAGGCTGAGCATCACATACAAAACCCACATGACGTCTTGCCCACCAGTCAAAAGACATGTCACGTCAATCCAGCTGGCGCAAGCTTAGTCCATCTAATAAGCTTAATTCACCATGCAAGCAAGCAAGATACGCGTGCGCGGCTATGCATACGCACCTGCATGCAGCTCCGTTTTTGCGCCCCCCACATACTCATCATCATCACTCCATTGATCCCAGAGCCGCTCGACTATGACCCCACAATTGCCCCATTATTCACCCACTCCTGCATGATCATGACCCATTCACATCGGCGGTTACAAACGCCGACTCACCGCTAGCGCGGGCGGGAAATGCCAAGGGCGGGAACGCGCGCCGATCAGCTTGCGCGTTTAAAGCCTCAGAAGCAAAACGTTTCTACCAGTGGTACATCCTGTCAAGTTGGTCTTGGGTGGCCCAGACGGCTGGCGAAAACTTGCTGGTTGACTCAGCGGATTCATGCGTTGCGTTGCGTGTGTGCGTGCGTGGAGATGTCGGTGGATTAGAGCTTGCCAAGACCGATGCAGACGGACTTTGCTATTTCGGGGTTGTCGCGGAAGGCGTGGGTGTGATTGGGTGAGCGGAGAGTTAGCTAACCAACTGCAGCTTTTCTTCGCTTTCCGAAAAAGTTTCAGAGTGTCTCGAGGTTGGACTTTTGATAGATGCCCGGGGGTCGTTTGCGCAAGGGGGAGATGTAGGTCAGAGGGGGTGGAATGGAATGGGTTGGAGAGAGGGTGGGGAAGGGGGGATGAGGATGAGGATGGTTGACGTCAGGATTTCTCTGGGGGCAAGAGCAGGTCATGGTGATGAATGAGATTGAGGAGGGAGGGTAAAGCGTTGACACGAACGCTCCATTCATTCACGTTCTCATAATACCCATTTTCCTGCCTTTTCCGCCCTTCAGGTTCTATCTTGCTATTACCCCCGATATCTTTACCTGGCGGCGTCGACTAAAATTTCATTCCGCCCAAACGCGCACGTTCCGAGATCCAATTCCGAGTTCCGAGACTCCTCTTTCCCTATCTTTCGGGAACACGAACCACGGGCCTAGACAGGAAAATAGCCCCTGGACAGAGTCTGAAAACGGCCTCCTAGACCAAACATGTCCAGCAAAAACGAACAAGGTTCCATCGACGTCCGCCAGAAAAACGGTCTGTCTCCCCTGTGCACGACCCTGCATCCTCACTCAGGCTAACAGACACGCGCATAGTCTTCCAAAAGCCCCTCCACCAACACTCCAACCCGCGCTCGCAACCCTCCTCCTCTCCCCTCCCCTCTGCCATAAAAACAGGCTTCTGCAACGAGGCAGCGCCCATCGCGGCGACGCTCACAGATGGCTTCCTGGACTTCAGCGCGAATCGGGGCTTGGATTTGCGGAAGCAGGGCGTGGGGCCAGGACAGCGGTATTGTCTCGAGGCGGCGCGGTGGAAAGATGCGTTGAGTGGAGGGGTGGATGAGGAGGGGGTTCCGAAGGTGAAGTTGAGCTCGACGCATGAGGCTGCGCTGGGGAGCGTGGGCATGGAGCAGTTGAAGAGGTGGGCGGCGGAGGGGGATGTGGAGAAGGGGGTTGTTTGGCCGGGGAGTAGGGGGGCGATTAGGGAGAGTGGGGTGATTGGGGGGAAGGAGCCGAAAGCTTAGGATGGGAAGGTTTTGATGCAGAGCTGTTTAGCCTGGCGGCAGGCGTTGGTTGCGCCATAAGTGCCGCCGCGAGGGGTGACCCCGGAGGGAATGAGAAGCCACGACGCTTCTGTGGTTATGGCTAAGGGGCGAGAATGTAGTATAGGGTAAGTATAGCATCGAGAGGAACTTATGCCTGTATGATAGTGAATAACCGCGGAGAAGAAACGAACGGTCTCTCCGTATATTACCAGCCAAACATCTGGTACCCCCCTCTTCGCATCGCCTAACCTTCAAACACACCATCTACTCACTGTATCGAATCCGGACCGCGCACCGAAACCCTTCAGGCTCCGGTATGCGCATTCGACATCTAGGGCTCGGACAACCTAGACGAAGTGATCATGATTGCGTCAAAGAGCTGGAAGCCTAGCTGTCTTTCTTATCTATTACGCGCATCATTGAACCCACTATGCTGAAGCCACATAATCAGTATTGTCTTCACGCTCGAGTGATCTCCTTGAAGTCGCACAATCCTCGTCTTAAGTATTTCGATCGTGTGCCCTAATCCCCTTACCACCCACAACACCAAACCTCTTTCTGGCATCCTAGCTACATCACAAGAACAACCAAGTACAATATCTCAACGACGATTTTACCATCCTTTGAAGTTCAACGTGCAGCGCTCGACTTCGCACTTTTTCGCCCTGGGAGGAACATTCTGGTCCGTGCGCAGCTCTCTCGGGCCCGAGACCAACTTCGCGTCCGAACAACCTCAACGCAAGGCTGTTAGGGACCGAGGAGAGAAATTTAGGAGTCATGTAGGGACCGGAGAGGGGATAGATGTAAATATATAGACGAGCGTGTTCGTGTCACACCACCGTTGCTATTCGACTTGTATTCAACGACTCTCTTTCTTTGCGGACTACGAAGTATAAGACACGATACGATACGAACGGGGTGTGTATTCAGCGATACTACCTCTTGCACGCGCTTAACTGTGCACCATTGCACCCGCGGTCTGTAGAGTCCTTGTACTCCGACGGAACGGTTAGCAAACCAGGAACTTCTTCACCTCGCGCTCCACGCGCCCATCGAAACCCTCTCCCAAGCGAAGTCCACCACCAACCGCGACCCAGAGATAAGACACCAGATAGCAGTGCACCGCCATGGTAGTCCAAAGCGGTATGGCAGAGGAGAAACCCTCCGCCGAGCTGCCTATCTCCTCTTCCCAACCGCCCTCTAGCCTCACCGATCAGCCGCCCAAGCAGGAGCCCGAGTATCCACCCATGAGCCGGATCTGGATCGGTATGCTTGCCATATACGTCACCATGTTCATCACATCTCTGGTACGTCAACCTCCTCTCTCCCTATCCAGTCTTCCACTCCTCATATCCCATCCCACGCAAACCTCACACATCTGCTAACACCCCCACAGGACAAAACCATAATCGCGACAGCCATCCCATGGATAACGAACGAATTCCACTCCCTCTCCGACATCGGTTGGTACGGCAGCTCCTACATGCTCACGCTCTGCGCCTTCCAACTCCTCTGGGGCCGCATCTACACCTTCTACCCACCGAAGGCTACCTTCATCGTCGCCATTATAATCTTCGAGGTCGGGTCCGCGCTGTGCGGCGCCGCGCCGTCGTCCACATCCTTCATCGTGGGGAGAGCGATTGCAGGCCTGGGCAGCGCAGGTATATCGAACGGCGCTATCATCGTGATGATGGCGCTGGTGCCGCTAGAGAAGAGGCCCATGTTTCAAGGGCTGATTGGCGCAGTGTTTGGGGTTGCGAGCGTGGTGGGTCCGTTGCTGGGTGGTGCGTTCACGCAACACGTGAGCTGGAGGTGGTGTTTTTATCTCAATCTGCCGTTCGGAGGGGTTTCGATCGCGATCCTGATTCTGGTCCTGAAGATACCGCCGAAGCCGAAGGAAGAGCCCGTGCCGCTGGCGCAACAATTCCGCAAGCTGGATCCGCTCGGAACGATCTGCTTCCTGCCGTCGGTCGTGTGTCTGCTGCTCGCGCTGCAGTGGGGCGGCACGACGTACGCGTGGTGGAACTGGAGGATCATACTCCTGCTGGTGCTGTTTGGCGTTCTTATCGTCGCATTTATGGCGATCCAGGTCTTTATGCCAGAGACCGCCACCTTACCTCTGCGCGTCCTCAAGATGCGAACCGTCGCCGCCAGCTTCCTATACAGCACGGCCGCCGGATCATCGATGCTCGTGCTGGCTTACTATATTCCTTTGTTCTTCCAGGCGATCAAGAACTTCTCGCCTCTTGATTCGGGGTACGCGACTATACCGTTCATACTCTCTCTGGTCATCGGAACTATCCTCGCGGGCGGCCTAGTGCAGCGCATTGGATACCCAGCTCCTTTCATGATTCTGTCTACGATTCTGGCATCAGTCGGCGCGGGCATCATCTCCACATGGCCAGTCTCTGTCGGCAGTAGCAAGTGGATCGGGTACCAATTCCTGTTCGGCTTCGGGTTAGGCATAGGTATGCAGGGGCCTATGTTGTGCGCGCAGATCGTTCTTGCAAAACGGGACGGGCCTATAGGCGTGTCCCTTATGATGTTCGGTCAGAACCTTGGTGGCGCCATCTTCCTTGCAGTCGCTCAATCTGTGTTTACCGACTCGCTCGCAAGCCAGCTGACGAAGATCCCGGAGATCCATCTGAGCAAGAAGGAGATCGTCGAGCTCGGTGCTACGAGCATTCGGAGTCTAGTACCAGAGAACATGCTGGGGGTCTTGCTGGAGGGCTACAGGATTGCGATGCGAAACGTGTTTTACGTTGCGGTTGCACTGATATGCACCTCGTTGATTGGAGCAGTATCGGTTGAGTGGAAGAGCACGAAGACGGGGCACAGACCGGGCGCAGGTGATACCCAGGCCACAAAGGACAGTGAAGAGAAGGCAAGTGCGTGAAAACGTACGCAATGTAGGAAGAAAGGAGTGAGAGGACCAACAGCAGCTGTGCTCAACAGGATTGACGCATCCAAACTCACATAGACGTAATATAATCTCCTCTCTTTGTTTATGAGCCTATAGCAGTTGCTCAGTTGATGATATATCCGCCATCGACTACGACGCCCGATCCAGTGACGAAGCTGCTCTCGCCAGAGCAGAGCCAGACGGCGGTATCCGCGATCTCGCTGGGGAGCCCCATTCTGTCCATCGGAGCTATGCTTATAGCGCTCCTTAGCCTCGAGCTAACCTCGCCAGACTCCGAGGTCGTCATCGGGGTAGCGATAACTCCAGGGCAAATCGAGTTGATGCGGATGTGGTGCGGCGGTTTGCTGTAGTCTATCGAATCGGAGCGTGTAAGCGATAGTACGGCGGCCTTCGACGCAGTATAGATAGCTGCCTGCGTCTTTCCGACAATGCCCAGCTGCGAGGCTATGTTCACGATGGAGCCACGTTGCCCGCGTATCTTTGCTTCCTCTTCTGAGAGCGTGAACCCCTTGTATGGCTTGACGTCATTCCTCAACATCAGTTTCAGCTCTTCCTTGACGCACATCCATAGTCCGCGATAGTTTATGCTATTCAACTTGTCAAATTCCTCGAGGCTAACTTCGGCTGTCGGTTTATTGGATCCCAGGACTCCAGCGCAATTTACGGCGTAATCGAGACATGGTATTTGGTTGAAGAGTTCCGCTACGAAGTCAGAAGAGGAGATGTCGCCCAGGACAAGCGTTATCGTAGGAGACGATGGTAGGTTGAGGGAGGCTATAATTGATTGTGTGGCTTCGAGGCCTTCGGCGTTGATGTCCGTGATGTAGAGGGTCGAGACACCGGCTACGGAGAGAGCGACGGAAACGGCGCGTCCGATGCCTGATGAGTGCGTCAGCTGTTACTAATGCTCCCGGAAAAGAATCAAGCCAAAGTTGAAGCGTACCTGAACCAGCGCCTGTCACCACCGCGGCTCCATGGACGCGTTTAGACTCGAATGAAGCACCCATGATCTTTGACGCGGCGAAGTATTATGGCAGCTTGCGATTAATCCTGGAGGCTTGAAGACATGAATTACCATGAGGATGTATTGAAGCCATGATAGGCGATGCGCAGAAAGTATCAAGCGGGGAAGAGTGGGGGAGCAATGAAGTGTTGATGGCTTAGATCCCGATAAGCCTGCGCCTGCGCCACATGTGGCTGAGAGCCGCCTCAACACTGGAGGACTGAGGGTTTCACTGTGACGCCGTTACTCCTTGCACGCACGGTCTTCTCACGAGGTGCTGTCCTATATCTACTCCACAAAGCACTGTCCTACATCTAGCCCACAAGGCGCTGTCCTACATCTACTCCACAAGTTGTTGATCTACTCTACAAGGCGCTGTCCTACATCTACTCCACAAGGTGGTGCATGACATGGCGCTGAACTTGTTTGGCACACTGATTCCGCAATGGTCGCCCACTGTGCCACTCTTGAGGCAAGCTCCTGCGCTCTGAAAATTTCGTGGATGACAGCTAACGTCGTGGAGGGCTTTCAACGAACAGGAATATTGGGATATGACCATTACGAGCGGTGACCTGACCTTTCGAGTCCATAAAGTGATTGCGTGCTCTGCCTGCAAATTCTTCCGGAAGGCATTGAGCTTCCCCCTCGGAAAGGCAAGTTTGTGCATTACCTCTTGCAAAAATAATCTCTAATCAACGCAGGAGGCCGATGGCAATCACATAGATCTTCCTGATGACGACCCAGAAATGATTCGGCGAGTGATCATCTACCTCTATACCGGCGATTATGAGCCAGCCTGCAGCATAAATACCAAGTTCCTGCGAGGGGTCCACCAATCCCGCGCCAGTGTGGAACATGCTTCGGTCTACCATCAGCGATTCTTCAACACTACATTCTCTTTCAACAAACCTGCCGCTTACAAGGCTAACTCCGAGTGCGCCTGTATCGCGAACGCGGTCCTTGGAGAGAGCGCAAACCAGCCATTTGGTGTTCGCCCTTCCAATATACCCCGAGAAGTCTCAGCAATTGATCGGGCTGCGAATACTGTTCAAGTCATGAACCCTCTGACGATACACGCGACGATGTATTCGCTCGGCGACAAGTACGAAGTTGAGCGACTTTGCGAGCGTGCGAAAGAAAAGTTCCAAAGCTGCCTTTACGATCACTGGAATTCTGAGGACTTCATCGAGGCCGTGCAAATCGTCTACAGCACCACTCCCGACACCAACCGTGGGCTCAGAGACGTAGTCGTTGAATCGTTCCAGACCTACTTCAATGTCGACCTTAAGCAGATGCCAGGTGCCGAGGAGAAGTTGGCCACTATCGATGATCTCTCCTTTCTTCTGATGAAGTCGTGGGGCAGCCGAGGGTCAACAAAAGGGACGAACGGATTCGGCTCCTCATAACCTCTGCCACCGTTGTGTGCATGGGTAATCCGCCAACCCCATCAGAAAGAGAAAAGTCCCCACCACCAAACGTGGCGGTACACATTGCACCTTGAAGATCGTCCGGACTGGCGTTCCCTAGCAGAATACTGGAAGTCAATGTAACGTCTAAGACTAAACCTCTATGTGGGCTGTCATGCATATTCAAGTATTCCCACTTGGCTTAAGCACCCATATTTGTTTCCTATATTTAACTGTCGTCCCTACTCAAATCCGCTCTTTCCTTTTCCGGCAATTCCAACGTTACACAACCCACCTTCACATTCCACAACGCACATTCCACCCAACCTCGCCTCAGCCTCCCGCAACCGACCACCTCACCTTCCGCAACCCTCCCTCACCCGCAACCATCACTCTTCCCTCACCGTTTTCGACAGTCAGCTACATCCAACATGCGCAATCCAGCTAAAGTAGCACTGCGATCAGTCACCATGTCCTCCGCACTACCACCGCGCCAACGCCAACACCTACGTTGGCGAAGCAAACATCCACATCTACATTCGTACACCCGCGACGAACGCACTGCATCTTTCAGCATAACATAACACGTTATATTGCGCATCATTCGAACAACCCCCCCAGGCGACCAGCAATGGCAAGACCTAACTTCGATGTTACGGACGCCCTTCCGCGCGCTTCCATTCTCACGTACCTCCGCCGTCCACGCCCTCGCCCAATCCGCACGGCAGCGCGGCCATCCAGCAAGCGCTCGTCTCGCACGCCGCTCCTGCCGCGCATTCCCGAAGCCGGAGCTGAGAACTCAGACGAAGAGGCACAGCTCGGGTTGCGGACCGATTGTGACAAGCCTCCTGTGGAGCGCGACATCGAATATGAAGACGAAGAAGATCAGAGTTGCGAATGGGGCTTCTATGAAACGCTGGGCCTGGTCTGTTGTGCGCTTTGGATGCTCGTATTGGTTCTCAAGGCGGACGTTCTTCTATCGAGATCGGGAACTTGGGAGGACTGGAGCGTGTATGGCGTTGGCACAGGTGCATCGACTGGGCGCGAGGTAAATGCAAGCTTACTCGTCGAATGACAGATCGAGATGCTGATAATGAACAACAGATTCACTTCTGTCTCGTAACCCCGAACCGCGAAGCCCCTAGTTCACGAATATGGCGCTTCATGCAGCCGAATGCCTTTGGTGACTGCGCCACCCAGATCGCTACGCTGAGCGTCGGGCCTACGGAGGAATGGAAGTTACTCCCGGATGACAAGATCTTACTTGAGGCTATGGAGGACGGGAAGGGCGGGAAGTCCATGAGCGAAGGACTTGATAAGGCTGAGGAGCTGGGAGACGATCTCGCAGAGGAAGGGAAGCTGGGTCGGCGAACCCCGAGCGATCTGGAAATGAGGGCGAGGAGGTAGTCAGTGGCGGACGCATAGAGCGTCCTGGCACAATTGGAGACAGTGAAGTATTTGGAATTAGTGGTAGACCTCTCGACTTTGCTCCTTACATTTTGATCCATCGCGAAGAAACCATTTTATCAACAACTTTTGTGCGCTGTCATGCAGCTTCCATGCTTCACATTACTCCCCGCCATTACTCGTTCAGGTACGCTCCCGTACGGAAAGCTTTCCAGACTGCCGGATCCACCTCCCACCACATTTCCACCGGCTGGTTCGAAACATTGCTTGGGGTTGACGCGGGGCCCATGTTCTCTTCCTTTCTCATCCGAAAGCCATGAGACCTTCAAAGACTAATCCGACTAGAGACCTTCCTCGATCCATCGGAGCGCAGTGGTGAAGTCATCGGGAGAAAGGTGCTTTCGGAGACGGTCAATTGCTGCCCGATCCATGGACCCAGTTCTTACTCGCCAAGATCGGCCGGCGTGGCTGAAGTTGAGCTTCGAGAGTATAGTCTCATAGCACCTGCCATCGTCCATGAACTGGTCGATATCGCGAGTTCGCTTGCCGTCCGAGTTAGCCCACCAGCAAGGGCAAAGGTCGATCTTCATATGCGGAGTCTCCTTGACGACTTTTGAGAACAGTAGAAGTTGCTCCTCGGAAACTCGAAAACAATTGATGTGCACAATTCGCGTAGCCACTATGATAGCGGTAGATGCATGGCTGACGAAGTGGCGCAAGGCCTTGATTGCGGTGCGGAGATATTCGATGGGTGCCTCGGAATAGTCGTCAAAGGAATCGCCTCCCATTTCCATGACGTCAAAGTGTAGGGTATTGACTTTGAATGGTATGTATTCCGTTTCTCGGTGCAGCTGTCGACATGCGAGGCCCAGAGGGTTAAAATGATTGTGATCCGGAAACAGAAAGCGACGCTTTCGAAACCTGCCAATCATCTTATCTGGAGTATAGCTCTCCCAATGCCAGAAGAGGCCTTCATCGTGTGCCAATGCATATTCCGCTATCCGCAACCGGACTTCCACGGGCAGGTCCATGAACCGGAATGGCTGGCCCCCGTACCTTGTTAATATGCCTTTAAGGAGCGCACGAGGGTCAAAGAATCCTCGAACGTGGTCCCGAAACTTGGGATTCTGGAGGAACCTAAACAGCAACTTAGTATTTCGGAAGCTAGGGTTGGGGACAGCCGGTCTTACTCTGCGTTCATCTTAATCAAGAGAGGGCGACTGACGGACGTCAGGCTCCTGTATGCCTCGACAGGAAGGAGCGAGGCGACTTCCTCTTCGACTCCGTCAGAGACTTGCATGTTGGTCGTGACAGCGCTGATCGCGGTGTCGCCCGCCATGATTGCGTCGAGCTGCGTCCGTGGGGTGTTGGTGGGTGCGGTATTAGTGGGTGTGTGGTGGATGGTTTGTGCGAGCATTTTGGCGGCGGTGCGTTTGCGCTAAATTTTAGGGAAGGAACGGTTCACGGGTGACGCGCTGTCACATGACAGAGCCGACACCTGGGCATTACCGAGGAAGGCGACGGGAGTTACGTCGTTTGGCCCCATCCTCCCTCAGGATTTCTAAAAATGCTTCGTGGGCGTGGATGTACCTCAGTAATCAGCATGAAGTGCGTACTGTGGAAATGGGAAATGCGGAGTGACTCTCGGGCAATAACGGACAGCATGCGGAAGGTTGATGTTGAGGAGGCACCGAATAGTACGCATATCAGGTGTGTGTGACAAGGAAAACGACATGATGGAGCTTGAATAGGATGAGTTTAAGGTGGCCTTGCTATACGGATTCGCCTTGGGTGATACGCAACCCACGCCGCGTCACTCTCAGGTCCTGCAGTAGAGAAAATCCTCAAAGCCCAGTGTGCCGTCCCCACCCTCGTCATGGAAAAGGATTGATGTGTCCCGGGAAGCTTCCAACGCCAACACCAAATAGACTGCATTGCGCAGATGAACTCCAGATTCCCGCTCCAAAAAGACACTGTATGAAGTCTCAGCACCCGACACGGTGCGTAATGTTCGTATTATATCGACGGTCGAATGGAATTCTTGAATGCGACTGGTGTAGCCGGATTAGCATACTTTCCGAAGCGTTCCATTCTAGGTACTTACTGTTCATGATATCCTTCGACGACAGGTTCTTCGCTTGGTCCTTCTTTGGCCCCTTTGTTTCCTTCTGGAGCAGGGCGTCGGTTGATCTTGTGGAGTCCGTCGAGGTGCGAGAGAGGATACGGTAGAAGGGAAGCTTGCCCTTCTCGGGATCGGTGGTGCCGTAGCTGGGAGTGCTGGCTTTGTTGGTAGAAGGCATGACTATGGAGCGGCTGGTGTGGAAGAAGGTAGATTGTTTCGTATGTCTTAAGTGACTCAGTCGAGTGCAGATTGACGTAGTGAGTAAAGAGATAATGGTGGATCTAGAAATACCTCAATGGTTGATGGGGTGGTGAGACTTGCCCATCAACAGCCGTCTATATATGCATCCGACTTACGACCATTATACGGAGTTAGAACGCGGAAAGCCGAACGAGAGATGGTGATCAGCCAACCGGGTGTACGCAAATGTTGATGCCTGTGATGGCCTTACCGATGCTGGCTCCGCATCAGCCAGTGCCGTGTGCCGCACTGTTGCTGCCTTGAATCCTTCTAAAGCCCAATACGCTAACCTGATCCACTAAAATCCAGAAAGTCCCTAATTGTGAGGGCCGAGATGCGCCATTTTCGTTGTTCCTCTTAGGCTATGAATGCGCAGCTCACAATCGACTCATCAACTATGATAGGGAGATGACAACGAAGGACGAAGCCAAGCCCAGTATTGCGCGTAGAGGTACGAATTGGTTGCGAAACCCACGGGGTTGTCGTCAGTGATGGTTACCTGGAGAGGATGGCACGATAGGGCTGCTTAAGCGAGAGCCGAATACGAACTCCGGCATCTTATGTCAGCAGGCTGGTCGGGGGAGAGATCGACTGGTGCGATGAACCACTAGCTCCCGAACGCCGACACAATTATCGGCGTTCGACTCCGCACCTCAACTTATGTCATGTCCATTCCCGCACCCACTTCTCTACTGTTCTCCTCATCAGAAACGTCACGACGGCGTTCAATTCCGCTTGCTACATCGATACCGCGCCGGCATTGGGCTCACGAAGCGTGAGGCGCTTCTGCACCTGTTCGCGTTGGACACCAAGCTGGTCCTCACGGAGCTGGCTTTCCTGTGAAAACGTCCATGCTTGACTGTTTCGACACCGAGTCAAGACTAATTCTTTGCAGTCGGGTTTTTACATACGAAGAGAGTCGAAAGACTTCGGGATAACGTTTTAGACGATAAAGAAACCACGCTTGCTTCCGGCGACTGAAGCGAGTGAAGTTTGGTCGTGAATCAATATGGTTCGGGTAGAGCAGCCATATGGTACCTAATGGCAGGCTGACTCCAATAAGACAGGAAACCTATTTCCCGCGCGGCTTCGGGTCTCCCATCAGAATCGACGCCTAAACACGACGTTCCGGCGCAATGGCAAGCTACAGTCGTGTGAGCCCTGTCGAAAAGGGAAACTCCGCTGTGACCATATGATGCCGACATGTGGGAGGTACGTGTGTAGGACGCATACTAGTGTGTCTTACTTGCCGCTGGAAAGCCCTCCCCTGATGACCTTCCACAGAGAAGCCCGGCCCGTTCGATGATTTTAACTCCGCTTTCCTTCAACTGAAATCACTCGCTAATGTGTACCGCCACCTTCGCAGATGTACTCGACGAAACAAGCCCGAGCAATGCGTCTACCACCCCGCGCCTCTGACCAAAGCGACCAAAGCGACCAATCTTCCAACTCCGCAGACCATAGACAACGAACTCACTAGTCCCTCAGTAAGTCGTTTGCACATGCATGCTCGCCTTCATCCCCTGGAGGCCTTTTGGGTTTGCATTACAAAGCTGAGTAATGCGGTGCTATTAAACCAAAACTGACAGACTTTAGGCCGTACTACAGTCGTTCGAATATGACGCTAGATCTACATCGGTCTCCGCCACACGAGTTGATAACACTCCACAACCCCAGCCAAGAGTTACTCGAGCAAGCAGTCTCCCGGCCCAGCCTTGGTCGTCTCTCAATTATGGCCAGCAGACAATCGAGGAGCTCCGTCGCCCTCTGCCAGAAGCGCATGTCAGGTACGTCGGTTTCAGCCACGGAGAGCCCTCAGGAGTAACGTCCCATGCCTCGATCTCCCCACTCCAGATGTAGATATAGATGCTGATGCCTACGTCGATTTTTAGGGGCGACTCGATAAGTTTCCAGCACACAGCGGGCTTCGTACACCACACGGCGATCTTGGCTGAGAACGAGCTCAGTATCGGAATCCTACCTCCCTCTGACTCCGCACCCACATCCAAAGTTTCCCAGTCTTATATCGATAGGGGAGCAGCAGTGCTCACGCTTCTCAGGGAACTACCAGTCTACCATCGATATATTGAGAAATGGTTCTCATTTGCTAGAGGAATTATCGTGATTGAGCCGATGTTTAAGCTGTTCATGTCTGGCATAACGTCCACGTGGGGGAAATGGCTGACCAACCAGAACACCAATAATGAGCTCAGACGAATGTCTGAAAGAATTTGGGAAAATACGCTGAACCCGCTATCCAGACTTCTGAATAGAAACACAACGCCGCGGGAGTTCTGCCTGTCAGTGACTGGCGAGAACCTCAGATGGGAGGTCGTGGGACTGGTTGTAACCCTGGTATCTCTGCTCGCCCAGAGTCTCTCAGACGGCGATCCAATCTTCTGCTCGCATGACGATCCGCCCGTGGATCGGGCCGCTCTAGTGCTCAAAACGCACAATGCGTCCGAAATATGCGTCAGCTTTTGCGATGATTTCGGCATCCTGAACGACCTATATCTGTGGCTTCTCTACGAGGTACGCTTTTGTTTGTCTCTTTCGAATTTGCTTTGTATTGCTCACTTTTTCTCCGCATTTGGCCTCTCGCACACATGCTAACATGTTACCTCTCTGGCATCGCAGAATACAATCGTCTACTGCTCATTGCGCACCAAAGGGAGTGAGTCAGTTTGCTATTCCTTAGTTTGCAAGCATCCTACGATGCAGTGATAACCAGCTCTCCACCACTCCCGCTCCTCGCGGAACATTGTAAAGGCCGCACCAACCCATGCTGACCTTCTAGGCTACGAAAACTGGAAAAAGTCTGGGATAATCTCGACCGCTCTAGTCTACTGCAACTTTCACGAGGAGATCAAAGTGGACGACAACACGCCATTCTTCATAGCTGAGATGCGGAAACGACTGTTCGTGTGTTGCTATGAAAACGACAAGTACTCCGCGTCCTACAACGGCAGGCCTCCCCGGCTCACCAGGCATTATTGCAAACTCCAGCTTCCACTAGATTTGAGCGATGCGCAAATGATGTCGGACGGGCACGACCTGGAGAACGCTCTCGCAAGCCTGGATGACAATGGCTGGAATCAACGGGGTATCGTCCAGCGCTGCACTTTCGCACGCGTATTCGTAGCCGACTCTCTGATCACAGAAGAGATTCTGGAAATTTCAATGGGCGACCTAGCTCCGGAGGAGATTGTGCGGAGAGCAGCGGACATTGAACGAAGGGCCGTCAAGTTCTACGACAACCTACCTGATTTTCTGCGCATCGAGGAAATCGATATGAAATCCGCGCCAATCGAGATCCTGTTTCTAACATACATCCGAGTCGATCACCTCAGTCATCATTTCTTGCTACAGCGTACACTAATCAAGAAAGTCGGCGCGGATTCTTCAAAGCTGCTAGCTGTCTCAAAAGAGATATTCTGGTTCATACTGCACGTTATAAACCACAGAGATGTCTTCAAGGACTTTCAGGTCGATTTCATCCAACTTCTCACGTACAACGGAATTCCCTCAGCAGCCGTTATTGCCGTCGAGCTTCTCCACCAAGAGCAGGATCCTTCCTCAACCTCGGGTACGTATGTCGCGGTACACACCCCAGCATTTCGGTCTTATTCTTTTATCTGTGGCGAGACGCTCCTGGCCGCCTCCAGCAGGTAAAGGAATAAGGCGTGCTGAAATGGCTCTCTGCTTCCGTTCAAGGAATTCGCTAACGTGTACCCTCGTGTCCGCAGCCCTGACGAATCCTCTCCCGCGGTCACAGATTATACAGGATCTTTCAGTGTTCGTTGCTTGCTTAGGCGCCGTTCGGCCGGAGGCTAACGGATATCCGAGCTGCGACCGGGGAAGGAGATTCTTGAAGAAGATTCTTGATACGATCTTAGAACCTGCGCCCTCGAGAGCTATCGGCAGCAACTCAAGTGCTGGGGGCTTGGGCGATCCGAGTTTGACCGATCCGCTCTTCCAGACGAGCTCATTGAATGATGGGGACTTCATGCGCTGGCTTGAGTCCATGGAATGGGAGCAGGATAGCTGGGTTAACTTCAACTAATCGCGAGCCTTCCCGCGCCGATGTGTTCTGATTCTGTTTATGCTTGGGTCAACCTGAAAGCCTCCAGAGAAGCCGCAGTAGGTGAGGCCACCAAGTGCTGTGCTGCTGGGGGGAGAGTTCGGCCCCGACGCCTGCACCCTTGCTACACTCCTCAAGACGACCGGTCACCGGCGACAGCTCCCGTCAACCTCGAACCCCACCCTATCGCCCATATTACATCACGCAGCATTCCCACGTCCGCATCCAACTACATTCCGCGCACCCAATCGGAATAGTCTCGCTTACGATGTGACGCCACACCCGCAGCACCGCCACTCCAAGCCCCCAGCCTACGTCACCACTTTTGTCACCACTTTCGGCCGTACCGTGCCATGCAGTCGGAGTAACTTTCCAATAAACCATGCAAGCCCTAGAGCATTCTTATCAGGATTTATGCTACCCGAATCCGATCGTGGGAAAGCTTACAACCGGTAAACGCGATCTTACGTGCGTGTCAAGGCGGAGTAGAGACGAGGGAGCTGAGTGAGGCTGTGTATAAGAAGGTGAGATGAACCTGAGAGGGGAGCTTTTTGGAATTACAACGACAACTCAAATCATCTGTCTTCCAAATACTTTCCTTTCGGACTACCTTTGCACGACGAAACATATATACTGAAAGGATGTGCCGTAGACGCCAAAGGCAATACCTCGCCACACCTTCACCCTACCAAGCACGCCGAAAAGGGTGCTGCACCTCGCGCCGCCAACAACGCCTAGCCGCCGCCGAAGCCTACACATCAAACGTCTACTACCCCCAACCACCCGCCCCACTTGCACTCTCAAACCAACAAATAACTTATTCACACCACCACCAACGCAACAACCGCTGCGACATCCCCCATCGACCCTTCAGCATGGCCGCCCTCCTCCTCGGTGCTGTCGGTCTCGGCGCGCAGAAAATAAAAGAGAAGCGCGACGAGCGCAAGCAAAAGAAAGCGCCGTTGCAATGGGAGGAAGAACGCAGTTACGAGGAGGCGAGAAAAGCCGCGATAGGGGATGCCAGGGAAGTTAGGAGGCAGGAGAGGAGGAAGAGTGATGAGGCGGAAGGGGAGAGACGGAGGAGAAGTGAGAGTGTGGAAAGGGAGGAGGTCCCCCCGCCGAGGTATGAGGATGTTGTTCGGGATGATGGGAGGAGGGAGACTGGGTATAGGGCGACGGGATAGGGGAGTAAAACGATGAAGGACGAGTTGGACGAACGAGAGGGTTGAAGGGGAGGACATGGGGCGCTGCTGCTGCTGCTGCTATGACTTATGATTCCTGTTGATGATTGTCGCGGTTGCTGCGTTTTACGAATTTGCGCATCTTCTTGCTCGCTCATATGTTTATATACTACATACTTGCCGCGAGTGCAATGTATAAATTTCCATCATGCCCTTCAAGTCCGCGTTCCTTCCGCCCCTGTACGACACCGGACCGGGTAGGGAGTAAGTCAAGGGTAAGTCGCCCTGCGTCAACAACAGCCGTTTCTTTGCATGAATTCATTAATATGAAGAAAACAATCACAATTTATTAAAGTTGCATCGTCCCAAACGCTTCAGAAGGGAAGAAGGGAACGGACTATGCATGCCTAAAGATCTCCCGGGAGTCCTTTTATACGCGAGAAAAAAGCAACATCTTGGACTATGCACTCTATCAAATAACCATACCCCGCAAAATCTCGATCATTACGGTCCCTGCGTATCTAGTACCTGCAGATCCCGCATGTTGATCAGAATCTCCAGACCCATTGCCCGATACCGCTAGCCTGTTCCCGCTTCCAGCAGGCCCGTTAGTCATACTCCACCATTACATCACCGCCCAATCATGATCACCCCTCACCCCAAACCTCAACATAATTCCCGTCCACTCCACTCGGAAACTACAGCACTACACTACATACTCACCTCCAACTCTCCGTTCAATCTCAGAATTGCTGTCTCACACACCCATCCGTCTCTAAAACCACACACATCTATCCATCCTTCTCACGCCACCACCAATTCAATCCAATTCCATCCAATTCCTAAAACATAACCAAACAACCAAACCAAACACCATGCCCCGCCTCCCCACAAACCCGCTCACGCGCCCACCCCGCCTAGGCTACACCCTCCACTCGCGCATCCTCCCGCGCTACTCCTCCGGCTCGCCATCGCAACCGCCCACCTCGCAGCCCGCCGCCGATCACTTCAATAAGACGGGTGAGAAAGACGCGTCCGACCCGGCGAAGATAAACATCCGAACCGACGAGTACTCCAAGTCTGGCGGCGACGACATCGTTGCAGAGCAGACGGTGGCTTCGTTCCGGGTACGTTATGTTCAGACTTATGACGAGAAAGATCATTGATTGATGGTTCGGACGAATAGAGCTCCAACGACCCCGCGATTGAGAAAGAAACCGCTGGAAGAGGCAATGCGGTGAATCCGCTCGAGACGAGTCCCGCGACGCCCGAGCTGTCGAATAGTGTTGTCGAAGAGCACGTGCGTTTTCTTTTCTCTTTGTTCTCCCCTCGCGTCTAATCGCGGGTGGAAGGGCTGGCTAATCCTGGCGTGAAACAGTACGTCGAGAAGAATGTCGAGCGGGATCCGAATGTGCGCAGTGGTAAGGGCGTGACGCGGAAATCGAAGAAGGTAGTGAAGACCGAGGTGGATTTTCAGCCGTCGGTGAAGAAGGGAGGGTGAGGAACGGAAGAGGAGGATGGCTGGAGTGTTTGACGTATTGGGGCGGCGGATGGCGTGTTTTTGAGGATTTTGAGGGAGTAAAATGGCGATGTACTTTAGCATAGCGGTGTTATTGTATTGGTACTTGTGTAGCAGACTGCACGATCTGGATTAGCATTCTAGCAACTCCATCGTTTGAACCGTTTCCACTAGCACGCTGGACTATATGTGCGCGGTGAGTTGAGCCACACATCTGGGTTGATAAATCTTGTTCGCGCACCGGAGGCAGCAGCAGTAGCAGAAACGCCGACGCCAAAGATTACACCGACGTCTCCCTGGCCTCTGAAACAGCGATCGAGCTCTGCAACATCGTATTAGAATACCTCAGCGAACAGTACTCCGACCCCGACGACGACGATTCCGAAACGCTAATCATATCGTTCCGTGAGCCTAGTTCTCGAGCTTCCTTCGTCCAGGTTCTGGCTCGTTACTACGTCGACTGGGGAGGAAGACGCGTGTGTCAAGCGTGGGTGGTGGGGAGACGATGGGGTCGCTGAGGGAGTTGGCGAATCGGGGTCCTGGGAAGGCGGTTGTTGTGGCGAAGGTGGAGTTTTTGTTCTTGCTAGGTGAGGGATGCCTGGGAGGACGAAGCGTCTGTCGATCGGATGCTGACGGGGTGTAGATTGGGAGTCGTATGGGGTTGATCGAGAGGGGTTTGTGAAGTACAGGGTAGCGGCTGGATGAGGATGTCGTAAGCGAGAACAAAGGGAAATGCAAACCAGGAGGTTCCCTGGGGACTTTCATGGCGTGAAGAGCCTGGTGTGCTTTGTAGGGGGGTCGAAAGAGACTTCAAAGTGGGAAGAAAAGAATAGATTCGTGCCGAGAGAGCGGACAGCAACGATCGTCCGGCATAAGCAAATGAAACACCATCCCAGCTACCCCGCAATCCCTATCCGTAGGAGCGAGCTTCCGATCTTTTGAACACCGAGAAATGCAACTATGCGGGTCGGCAACCGATCGACCGCCTCCACCTTGACTCCTTGGGGCTACCCTCCGTAGCTGTCATCCACTTCACCTCGCTTCTTCTTCGTTGGTCTGATCGCCCTGCCGCTTGAAAGATGTTAGTATATCATACAACAGAAACAGCTCTTAAATCCACTCTTCGTCTCAATCTCAATGCATCCTCTCACCTCCGCCGACTCCGGTCTCCACTCGCTTGTTGCGCCGCCTGCTGCGCCGCCTCATGTCCTAGCTCCGCCCTCAACTCTTTCAACTTCGCTTCCTTCTCCTCCCTCCTCTTGGTCTCCTCCTCCAACTCCTTCTCCACGACGTCCATCTTGCTCTTTATAAACTCAATCAGTGCTTGCTCTTGCTCTTGACTGAACGGCACATTATCCCCGCCCTTTTCCGGTAACTGCGCGCTCCGCTCTCCATTCGGGAACCCGCGCTTTGGGCGGCCGTTTGGCCCTATCGCCATCATAGCGGCCTTCTTGCCGCCTTTGGCGGGCATGAGGTAGTTCCACTGGTCTTCTGCGGTGAGGGCTTCGAACAGCGCTTCCGTGGGTTCGTTGAACTGGACTACTTCCAGAAACTCACTCCTCACGCACCCCGTCTTCTCCTGTATTGCCTGCAGCTTCTCATCGCCATACTTCTCCAGCTGCAAAAAGTGCTGCCTGTACTGCGCCTTCTCGCCGCTAATCGGCTGGAAATGCAGCCTGATATCGATGGTGAACCCGCCCCAGCCCGTCTCAGTGACTTCGTACGGCGGGTTCTCGCATGTGCGCAAGGGGTTCTCGTACGTATTAAAGATCTTGAATTGGACCTTGTTCAGCCAGGTTGTGAGCGCGGGATCGCCTTCGGGCTGCCGCACGTAGACGGTCCAGCGCTTGGTGTGGTCTTCGGGGACGTTCTTGGGGCGGTCGGGGTGCCCAACGGGTGGCAGCGTCCAGGCTTCCGAGCCGATGACTGCGGAGGTTAGTTGGGGGTGGCGCTGAGAATATGAGGGCATGCGCACTGATGTTTCGACTTATGCGCTTGTTCTAGACATCATTAGCTCTCCTCAAGGAGCACAGTTCGAAGGGATACGGACCTTGACGCGCTTGTTCGCGGCGGGGGCGGGCATCTTGAGCTTGTGCCGCCCTGGCTCTGCGGTCTAGACGTCGCTCTCTCACGAAGTTGACCTTACAGTTAGAAGCGCTGGTAGTGTTCAGGGATTTCGCGCAGACAAAGGACAAATGAGCAGTGTGGGGGAATGTGTGGTGTAAAAGTTCGGTGCCCTCCCATCCAAGGTTCACAGAAAGACCGCGGAGGTCTTGGCAACGAATCCCTGCCACTTTTCAGCCCTACGCCTCGCTAGTGGAGTGACATCAACACTCCGAAGCTCCCCCTCTAGCCTCTTCTTTCCCCGAAAGCACAACATAACACGACTCAATGGCTTCAGCAGCAAAGAAGAAGCTCGTAGTGTGCGGCGGAAATGGCTTTCTAGGTACGCACTCCCAAATTCTGTCCCTATCTCTGCTCTCCGAAGCTCCGGAATGCTCACGAGGGCACAGGAAGCCGCATCTGCAAAGCGGCCGCACATCGCGGATGGGCCGTAACCTCAATATCGTGGGTGGCCACCACCATTCCCATCCATCAAAGTCCCCACATTTAACTAATTGAACCACACAGTCGCTCCGGCGCACCCCACTGGGCCTCTGTAACCTCCTCGCCCAACCCGCCCTCCTGGTCCTCCTCCGTCTCCTGGGAAAAAGGCGACATCCTGAATCCCGCAACATACACACACCACCTCGACAACGCAGACGCTGTCGTACACTCCATGGGCATCCTGCTCGAAGCCGACTACAAAGGCGTGATAAGTGGGAAGGAGTCGCCCATCGCAGGGCTCCAGCGCGCATTTAGCGCCAGCAAGCAAGGGACGCAGAACCCGCTGGAGCGCAAAGAAGGGGAGCCGTTAAGACCGCAAGAGAAGGACGGCCAGTTGACATACGAAGTCATGAACCGTGACTCAGGTACGCTGTCCTTCCACCCCCCACCCAATCCCCGCCGCTCCGTAAACTTCCCCTCAAACATCCACACCAGACCAGACTAACAAACAAACCCCCTTCCAGCCCTTAGCCTTGCCCAAGAATCCGCCGCAAAATCCATCCCAACATACCTCTACATCTCCGCCGCAGCCGGCGCCCCCGTCCTCCCCGCGCGCTACATCACCACCAAGCGCGAAGCCGAGGCCCTCATCTTGTCCACTTTCCCCTCTCTGCGCAGCATCTTCATCCGTGCGCCCTTCATGTATGACTCGAGTCGGACCTTCACGCTCCCGATCGCGGCCGCCGGCGGCATAGCGTCGATGGTGAATAGCGCCGTGGGCGGGAGATTGACGTGGTTGATAGGCGCGGGGGGCATCAAGCCGCTGAAGGCGGATACGGTGGCGGATGCGGTGGTAGAGGCGCTGGAGGATGCGGATGTGAGGGGCGTGGTGGAGGCGGGGGAGATTGAGAGGCTGGCTACGAGGGCGTGGAGGAAGGGTATGCTTTAGGGGGCAGAGTACGTGTGTTGTAGGATAGTAGACATCACGGATGCGACGCATTCTCGCGCTGGCATAATCTCCATTGAGAAAGATAGGCTCGCGCCTTGTATATATTATCTATCCACCTTCCCCACCAACCTTCCTCGAGCCTTCATCCGAGCCCCCGTGTCGATTCGACCTGCCTGTGCTTCTCGTCAGCTAACAGCTCCAGAGATTGGCAAACAGAAACCATAGAATATAAAATCAAGTAATCAGTGCTCTCTTTGATCCGCAAAGTCGCACCCGCAGCCTGCGCCGCGAGCCAACTATTCGGCGACACCTTCGTAGTTTAGACTCTGCCCACCACACTGGCTATCACACAGAAAACCGAATATGCAGCGGGAGCGTCTAGAGGTGCCGGGCTTTTCTTCGTCATAACTCTATTGTTGCGTTGCATCGCAAGCAACGTTGATGGAAAGGGGAGGAGGAAATGGAGACTTACCATATATGTTCTATGCGCACGGAAGCCGCTTCAGTGGACACGCGCACATGCGCTCGGGCGTGCGCGACGTGGGATATAGTTGAGGGGAAAGGGTAAGAAAAGGTCGGATTACTTCTTCCGCGCGGACTGCGAGACGAGCTTTTTCTTGATGTGCTTGGGCATTTTGTCCTTGCGCTTTTCGCGCTTTTCTTCTTTGACGGCTTTTTTGTGGTCGCGCTTTGCGTCCTTGTCCATGTTCTTCTTTCCTCTGGGCGTACCCTTTTCGAACTTGGACTGGTCTTCCTCGGAGGATTCTTCCTCACTGCCTGACTCGGTCTCGTCGGATTCGTTGGCGGCGGGAGTCGTATCGGGAGCGACCTTATCGGCGAGAAGGCCCTGGTAGATCAAGTCGTCGCGTTTCCCGGTATTCACGAGCTCGGCGTCGCGCTCAATGTCGTAGACTTGGTCGAGCGTCTGCGGGATGTACTGGTTGCGAAATACTTCGTCGTCAACATCCTCCTGGCGCTTCTGTTCCTCGCTCAACTCTGCCCTCTTCTTGAACATCTCCGCAATAAACCCCTCCATCTCGCTCAACTCCTTGCCACCCTCCTCGCCCGTGACAAACATGAACACCTTCCGCTCGCTCAGCACCTCGACGTTGCGCGAACGGAAGAAATCAGACACGTTTTTGACGTCCATGCGCAGGAACTCGAGGGAGCGCGGGTGGTCGTGCTCCACGGACTGCGAGACGTCGATCATGTAGAGCTTGTTGGCGTGGTAGAGGAGGTTGTACTCGCTCAGATCGGCGTGGACGAGTTTGCAGGTTTGGTACATGGTGCGCATGTAGCCTAGCAGCTGAACGTAGAGGCTCTGCCACTTCTGCTCCTCCTCCTCGGGAGTTAGACCTTCGAACACAACATCGCGTAGTCGTGGTGCTGGCCAGCCTTTCTTGTCTCCGAGAAAGCTCATGACGAGCACATGTAGGCGGAGGTATAGCGGTTCCGGGCATGGTATGCCCGCGTTGTATATCCTCCGCAAGTTCCGCATCTCTTTCTCCGCCCACACCCTCACCATGGCGCGATTGCTGCTCTTATTGTAGCCCTGGCGAAACCTAAACTCGCCCGTAACATACTTATCCCGATCCTTGAACACCAGAATGCTTGTCTTGTACACTTTGATCGCGCGATGCATCTCCCGCGCGTCCTCACCGTCCGGGACCGTAACTGCATGATACACATTCGCCTCCTTGCCTGTGGAAATAACACCGTGAATCTCAGAAACGATGTTCCTGTTGATGAGCTGCAGCAGAATCATGCGCGTCCGCGGATCCAGCACCTGCTCGCTTGTCGCCCGATCGCTCTTGTCTTTGTCGCGAGGCCCGCCGCCGCCGGTCCCCACCATGCGGTCGTCGAGCTTGATCTTGTTGGCATGTTTGGCGAGCGAGGCTACCTGGTCATCGAGGGAGGCTCTTGTGTTGGCGCTGGGTTTCTGAGGGTTCGTCTTCGGTTTCTGGTCGGCGGCGATGGCGGGGTCGTTCAGCTTGCGCTGGCGGTTGTAGGCTTTTGTGTAGTCGTTTGGGTTGGCGGCGGAGATGAGGTCGGGCGCGTAGTCGTCTTCGGACTCGTCGAAGATGGAGGCGATGTCGGTGTCGCTCTCATTTTCGGTCGTGGGGTTTGCAGCCGGTGGGTCTGCTTCGGCAATGGGAGCGTTCGGGTCCGTGCTGGCCATGGTTGCGGCACGCGCTTTGTTTTCTGAAGTCGTAAATTCGAAGCAGTGAATAAAATCGGTCGGATCCGCGGGCGGTCGGAAGTGCGTCGGTCGCAAGATACAGTGAGGCAATCGGTGCGAGAGGTTGCAAAGGATTTATAGGGAGCGTAGCCCTTCGGCGAACTTGTGCAGTAAAGGAGTGAAGAAGTGAATGACTGGAAAGGGTGATTGTGGGGTACAGAAAAGTTCGGTGAGACCAAAACCACGTCACGAAAACACGGCAGAATCGCGGGGTCTAGCGAAGGCGGTCTAACGAGCATTTACCAGTAGTATTCACTAAAGCTCCGCATTGCCTTATATACACTCTACGGCGCCAAGTCTCCTACCCTATTTTCAGCCATCTTGCAGTCCTTCAGCTCCATATTCTTCACGCTGCCAGACGACGTAGACGACTTTGTCCAACGACTTATCCAAAAACTTAGCCAGAACAAGCCCCAGCGAAGGCAGACGTTGACGTGTCTATTCGGCTGATCAAGTGCAGCTCTTGCTCTTCCTCCATCTTGGGCTGGACTCCGCAGCTGATATCCTTAGCATCGACGCGGGTCCGCCGTGGTCGCGCGCGCCATTTGAGCAACACCGGATGGTTGTGAAAGGAGGCATGCGTGAAAACGGTCCATATCCCTGCGGGGACGTCCGAGGTCCTGCCTTTCATCTTGCCGTCCCAGGGATGGTCGTTCCGTGCGGCCTTTTGAGCAGACCTGTCCTCCGATCACATTGCGTTTGAAGGCATTTGGAGCTCTTACACTTGCCTAATCCCGAGCGCGACAGACTCTCCTAGGAAGAGAGAGCTTCACATCCTCCTCTTCACCCTCGTCAATGCTCGCTCCACTACGTTTCTACCAAGCTGTGGTATACTCCGGACCTCCCATTCTGGGTCATCATCGTCGTCTCCCTCTTCTCCCTCTTCAACACGCGGGATAGGAACGTTGCGGACCTCGTATCGCCTCGGTGGATCCCTCAAGCCGGGCCATATGTCCAATGGCAAGAAATCACCTTGAGAAACAGCAAAGTGCTCTCTAGCGCGCTCATCTTCGGCGTGCAATCTATCAAGCTCTCTTTGCGCTTCTTCTGCCTTTCGCTTCGCCTTCTCGTGCCTCCGCCTTCGCGAGGATATCTCGACAAGCAGCTCGGCGTACGCCAGATCAAATCGCTCGTAGAATTCTCTCTGGTTCTCCCACTCCTCTATACCGTTCAAGAGCGTTGGCCGCGTGTCTTCTAGCCAGGAGGCATGGAACGACCGGGAAGTCGCAATGTGTGATCGAACTTCAGCAGCGATGTGCGATATCATCCTCAGAATGCTGTTCAGCGCGGAGTCTTCGTTGCGCAGGTGCGTTATATGACTGTCAATCTGGGATAGGAGAAACGACATTTCTGAGCCGCGTTCTCGAATCTCCGAAACCACGTCCTCTACTTCTTGGGCATCCTTCTGCAGCACACCCAGCATCTCCTGGCGCTCTTCTTCAGTCATCGGTTCCTGTGGGGCATCGGGATCCTCGCCAGACGGGACGGGAGCATCTCCCGTTGCTTGGGTCGCCGCCGCCGCGCCGCCTTCCGTGTGCCGAAGTGCCGTCGCACAGAGATCATAGTGCCGTACTAGAGACTGAAATGCCTGCGCCGCCTCCTTCGCGTGCCCTTCAAGATCATGGTATAAGCTCGGTATGGGACTAGGCGTCGAATCGGTGACTGGTGTGTTTGGGACGTTCTCGATTGAGTGGTGCAAGTTCTCGAGCGCCGTGTCGAAGGCGTCATTGCTGTCTTCGAGGCTTGAGCGGGCCTCGTTGTATCTGTCTATGCAGGCACGGAGTGAGTCTTTCAGGTTCGTGACTGTTGCGCTGTCAATGAAGTCGTACAGATGCTTCTGCGGAGTACCGGGAGGCTGAAGGACGGACTCGATGGGAGTGTCACGTAGAACGGCGAGCGTAGACTGGAGGCCGGCGAAGGAGGCATCGAGGTCGTGCAGCAGTTGCTTCGCCCATTAGTGGTTGATTCAGCTTGCACGCTTGTGTGGATAGTCACCTTGAACTCAGCCCGCACATCCGCCTCGACCATATCTATGCCGCGGCGGACGGCCTCCAAACCATCTACTTGCTCATCAACAATATTCCTGAGAGAAGCATTCTTCGCCGCGAGAATCGCATTCTCTTCTAGCTGCTCACGGGCCGAGTTGACGATGTCATTGGCGCGCCATAGGACCGTCTGGGTGTTCAAAGCGCGCTTTGCGGCAACGAAGTGATTTACGAGGTCTTCGAGGGTTAGAGGGCGGTTCTGATCAAGCGACCTCCTCGAGCTCCCGCTGCTTGCGGAGGAGGCCGGTGATGGTGGAGAAGCCATTGCGGAGAGGGAGTGCGGAGTGCGGAGTAGGCTGGAGCTTGCGGGCGGCGCTGAATGATTGGGCAGACGCGACTGGCCGAGCACATCGTTACGGCGAAGAGACGAGCGCGCGGAGCACCAGTACAGTGGATTGCTCAGCTGCGATCAGGCCATGTTGGTAGCAGGATGCAAGCAGAGCTCATGCGGTGGAGTCGCAGCTACCTAGAGCTCCGCCCGGTACGCTTACCCAGAAGGGCAGCGCGCATACCGTTCACTGGGGTCCCCGGTATTCCAAGCGATAAGGGCTGCCCAGACGCTGAGCGATTATTTGCAATATTCAAAGAAAAAGGGCAATTTGTGAGTGATAGCTGGGCTAGGCCGGCGCGAGTCAAAGGCTATTGCGTGATACGGGCGCTCATCGTGGCGGTTGATGGCGTGCTCGGCGACCTCAGAGGTGAGCGGCGACGTCCCGAGAGGCGTAGCCGCAAACCCCACCGCCGTACGAACCTCGAACCTCACGACCTGACGACGTCCAACCCGCAAAAGCAAAGCCGGCAGCGCAGATTCTGCCATTGACTCTTCACCTCCGCGAGCGACGACCCACAGCTACCAGCCTGCGCACCGCTGCCCGCCACGTCCTTGCGCCCGGAGTGATTCGCGGAGCCTGTGAAACCGTCGCCGTGGTACCTCAGCACGCAATATCTCCCCCGGATCTCGACACTGTCGCCCCGGCCACTGCTCCCCATGAGCGACTCTGCGCTGGGACCTTCATAGGGACCCTTGCGCCCGCACAACTTCTTGCGCAATTGTCATCGGACGAAGATACCGTGCTGTTTGCCCAAGATGGCGTCAAATACCACGCATCCCGTTGAGCCTATCGCAATCAGTCGCAACCCGCCCCAGGCACAGTCGCACAGCCCTAAGAGGAGGCGGCTATCCTGGCGCACTCAAGTTGCGCCTTCGTCTGACGGAATCTCAAGCTCCTCTGCCTCCGATCCGCACACCGCCTTGTTGCAAGGACACGACCACGAAGGCCTCTCGGGACGCATACGACATCTAAGAGAGGAAGATAACGAAAACGAGAGCCAGAGGGAGGAGTCTTTCGTGAACAAGAACGCTTCGAAGAAGTTGGAGAAGATGATTACGCCATATCTCGCCCAGCACATACCGCAGCAGTACAACCCGCTTGGAGATCGCCGGCAGGATGCCCCGAACGCCAATACGAAATACTGCTACCGCCATCGACCGGATCTCCTGTGTAGGAGGCAGGCAGACGAGCCGTCTATGGAGCAGTTGCAGGACGTGGGTTAACTGTTTGCCATCATCTTGAATAACTACTGACATTTAGCAGGAGCTCGGGAGGGAATCTCAGCAAGACCAGCAGAGCATCGCCAATGTTTGGTCCCTCTTCTCCGCCGCCCCATCAAGACATCGCAATCTCATGCTCCAGGGCATCCTCGCCCAGTGCTGCTTCCCACAGCTGTCCTTCATCTCCTCGTCTGTCCGCAACCTCATCAAAATCGACTTCCTCTCCGCATTGCCTACCGAGCTGGGCTTCAAGATTCTCTGCTATCTGGATACCACGTCGCTGTGCAAAGCCGCCCAGGTGAGCCGGCGATGGAGGCAGCTGGCTGACGACGATGTGGTCTGGCATAGGATGTGCGAGCAGCACATTGATAGAAAGTGCACCAAGTGTGGTTGGGGTTTGCCTCTCCTAGATCAGCGGAGGTTGAGAACTGAGAAGAGGCGGATACAGCTGCGTGCTTCAGGACGAGGACTCAACGAGTGGTCGCCGGACATTACACCTATGGCTGAAGCACCTCTACCCCCCACGTCCCTTATATCACAGGATTCCGATTTGTCCGACTCGACTCTCGGCTCCAAGCGCTCTGTCCCAGATGGTTCGTCATCGCCGGAGCAGTCCTCGAAACGTCCATGCACGAAATTGATCCGGGACCAGCAAGCGTCCTACTTCGACCAGCCGAAGAAGCGACCGTGGAAAGACGTGTACAAGGACCGCTTCAAAGTCGGCACCAATTGGAAGTATGGACGTTACTCTACCAGGGTCCTCAAAGGACATACCAACGGCGTCATGTGCCTTCAGTTCGATGATCGCGTTTTGATGACTGGATCTTACGACGCTACAGTAAAGGTATGGGATCTCGAAGCAGGAAATGTGATCCGCACCATCGCTGGCCATACCCAAGGCATTCGCTGTCTGCAGTTTGACGACGCACGCCTCATCACGGGTAGCCTGGATGGCAGCATCAAGATATGGGACTGGCGGACGGGCGAATGCAAGAAGACGCTGAGGCCTCACTCTCGTGGTGTCATCGGCGTCCACATGGCGGGCAAGCTGCTTGCATCAGGATCGGCGGACCACACCATTGTGGTGCACGACTTTGCCACGTCGACGCGCTTCCAGCTACGCGGCCACTGCGAGTGGGTTAACTCTGTCAAGATCGACCTTCCCTCCCGGACGCTCTTCTCTGCTTCCGACGATATGACCGTCAAGCTGTGGGATCTTGATACCCACACATGCATCAAAACCTACGAAGGTCACGTGGGTCAGGTTCAGCAGGTGCTGCCCCTTCAAGTCGAGTTCGAGATCGATGAGGAGAGTTTCGTGGCACACGCCAACGATTCTTCCGACACGGCGTCGCTCACCTCGGAGGCGCAAAATGCGCATACTAATGGCCATGCTGGTGCACCAACCGAGTCCCTGTTCCCGAATGACCCAGACCGTCCCGCTCCACCAGCCTACATGCTTACCGGCTCTCTCGACGGCACGATTCGTCTTTGGCATGTTCCGTCTGGCCGCTGCGTGTATCCCTTCTTTGGGCACGTAGAGGGTATTTGGTCTCTTGCGGCTGATTCGCTGCGACTCGTTTCCGGCGCTGAAGATAAGTTGATCAAGGTCTGGGACCCGAGGACAGGGAAGTGCGACCGTACACTAGTCGGTCACACGGGGCCGGTGAACTGTGTTGGCCTCAGTGATTCGATGTTGATTAGTGGTAGTGAGGATGGCACGGTAAGAGTGCACTGCTTCATGAGTGAGGGCTAGCAGGGTGCTCGATGTCCGTGGGCACGTTTCCACATACGGTTTGATCGTATTTACTGTGCTTTACTTTGATTATCTAGCGTACGATGCTTCCAGCGAGGCGTCACGGATTAGGCTCTGAGGCGGCGTCCCCCGGGAAAGGGCGTCTGCTAGCCTGGCATGGCATAGCACGGCGCGATATGGCCTTAACTTCAGCAGGACTGCAAATTGGCATAGAGGGAATTGCACATGAGGCGTCTGCTGCGTCTGTTGGCATCAGCTGCCCCGTGTGTGTGGCTTTCTACTCCGCTCTTGTACGCGCTTTTTCCCCGCACCAAGTTTTAGATACCCGTTTTAAGGCTGCGCTTTCACCCAATCATAAACCATCTCTGCAATCACTTTTGTCCAACTGCTTCACTCATACACGTGGAATGGGAATTGTCATATGCTTGTAGGAGGGGCAGGCTTTTGTGCCACAGCAGACGCAGACGCAGACGCAATTGCTGGCGAGGATTCGTCTGCGAATGGCGTGATATGGGACCATCAGGGTGGGTGGCCTGTGATGGGGGCAGAGAATTGGAGGAAGGGATTTGCTCGTGCATATATTAGGACCCGCCTGCCTGCCTGCCTGCCTGCCTGCCTGCCTGCCACTAAGGTGTGTGCAATGTCTCGGCCGGCGGCCAGCTCCAGACAGAAGAGAATCTGTGTTGTCGAAAAGTTTCATTCATAAGCCTCCACGACGACGACTAGACTCCACTTCCAGTTCCACTCCGCTTCAGCCCAGGCCAGGCTCTACATATATATCTCGCCTCACCTCAGCTCAACGCAGCCAGCCAGCCGAGCAGTCAATCAATCGAGCAATCGATCAATCAACCGACCCTTCGACAATGCCCTCCTCCTCCCTGTCCTCCTCCCCCTCACTATCCATCCAGTCTCCTCCTACACATCTACACAGCAACCCCTCCGCTTCCGCTGCCGCTTCTCCGTCCAGCAGCGGCAACGCAGCACCGCTAGTTGTTGTGCAGATCGAAAGGCGAGAGAGTGCGTGCATGGCGAGGGAGGCGCAGTTGTTTTTCTTGCTGGGGTTTCGTGGGCGCGTGGATGGGGAGAGTGGGAGGGGGGGTGTGGTTGTGGGGCTGGGGTGAGGGGATGAGTGGGTGAGTCCGTGGAGAGCTGAGCTGGGCTGGAAATGAGATATGGAGGATGGGATGGTATATAGTGGTATGGGAAGGTGCTTTGCAAGGAGATTTCGAAGAGGGGAGGAAAAAGGTTCGGAGGTGTGCGAAGAAGAAGATGAAGGGAGTTTATTGTTACCCGGGAAAAGAGGAGGGGAGAGCGGGGGGACGAGGTATTTGAATTATCGTGGGGAGGCCTTGGTATATCGTCAAGGAAATGGACGGCTGTGGGTAATATCGAATCGTCCGGTTCAGATTTTCACCCCTTCCTGCTTCTTGCTTTGGCAGCCTTCTTCTTCTGCTGCGCTTGTGTGCTCCTTCCAGGTCTTCAAAAGCAATTGAGCGCAACTCAACCAACTCGCTAGAACGCTCAAATGACGTAGGTAGCCGAAATCAAATCTCCCAACTTTACACTTTCTCTTTCTTTGGATATTTGCGTTATCACCGGAACTCCATGTACAACACCCACCCGCACGCTATGCATTCCATCCATACATTGCTCTGTGCTCATTACTCGTAGCGTCGCACCCGTTTAGTGCGCCGCGGTCTCCGGCTTCCGTCCGTGCACGAAGTAGAAGCGGAGGTACATGTGCAACGAGCGGTCGCGCACTTCGTTTATGACTTTGGCCATTAGGATTCTGCATTCGGGTTCGCTCCAGCCGAGGACTTTGCCGATGAAGCCTAGTGTGTAGGGTTCAATGCCTGGTATAAGTGTCAGTGCGCGGTTATGAGGGGAGAGCGGGCGCTGGGGGAGGAGGTACCCATGGCCATGTGCTCGCGCTGGTAGCGGCCTATTTCCTTCATCTTGGGGTCTTTGGGCCAGGGGCCGACGGGGACCTGGGACGACGTCAGCCTCGCACGCGCAGCCCAGACGCGCTCATCGCCGGCGTACCTTGACGCATTTATCATAGACATCCACGAAGCCCGCGTTTAGCATGCGTTCCTTTAGGGTGTCGCCGACCTTGATGACCTTCCCGAACTTGGCGGCAGCCTCGTTGCACAGATCCTGCCACTTCCGTATATTCTCCGCCTTCATGATGGTCTCGTCGTCGCTCTCCACCCACGCCATGGGCTCCTGGAACTCGACGTAGCCGCCGGGCTGCACGTGCTGGAAGCACTGCACGCACAGCCGGTCCCAGTCGTTGATGGCGCCGGACATGCCGCGGCAGTGTATGAAGTCGAACTTCTCGTCGGCGCCGTAGATCCAGTCGCTCTCGGCGTCGTCGATGTAGAACTTGACGTTCGGCGGCACCCAGGTCGGCTGGATGGGCGAGAGGTCGGTGCCGAGCACTTCAGAGCCCGGGTTCTCGTCGCCAAAGTCGATCGCCCATATGCCGGTGCCGGTGCCGATGTCGAGCACGCGCTGCGGCGTGGCGGCCATGGGCGCGTCGTACAGCTTTCCGCCCAGCAGCAGCAGCCAGATGTGGTGCAGCAGGTCCAGGCGGTCCTGCTCCTCGTCGTCGTTGGGTAGCACGTATGCGCCGCTGCGGTAGCCGTGGTAGCGGCGCCCGTTGGAGTACTCGTAGTTGAGAATGGAGGAGGCGAGCGAGGTGCTCGCCGTCGAGTGGCCCTCGAAGGCTGAGTCGGCGTCGGAGTCGGACGGTGTCGTGGTGTCGGGCTCAAGCTCGATAACCTCGTCCGACTGTCCCACGGGCGCGTGCGAGGGACTCGCTGCTGCTGCCGGCGGCGATGCTGGCGCTGGAGGCCCGCCCTCGCTGGGGCCAGCGGCAGACATGGCGTGGGGAGAGGGTCGTTCGTCGTCGGAGCAGGCTCTGAGGCTCTTCCGCAAGCGCGCAGAGGGGTGCTGGCCGCCTTATGTATGACGAGCAAGGCGCGCAGAACAGGAACACAAGCGAGATGCCCTCGGCAGTCCTGCAGGCCTCCCGCGTGGTTGAAGGTTGTATCGACATCCGTCCCCGCGGCCGCTAGCGGAGACACATGGCTTGCGCACACGAGGGCTCCACCACCCACCCGTGGACGGCGCTGTCGACGACTGGCCCTCCAATATACGTACATACCGCCTTTATCGCGCGCCCGAATAGCGACGGCCACCGCGAGCCGTAGCGTGGCCGCCTCCACAGCCGCGGGCGTCGGGATGCTCTAGCGTGCCGCTTGGGGAAGCCTTCCGCGCGCCGCGAGCGACTCGGTTGCACGAGCGTCGACCCATGTGGGCAAGCGGGAGCACGCTTCGGCGCGCCCCTGGGAACCGCAATGCCTCCAGCAAACCAGCATGGAGCATTCCCCCCGGCCTGGCAGCGATAGGCTTGCAAAGTACGCGATGCGCTGCTTCTTCGCCCGCTTCTTAAGTGCTCAGGTTTCGGGGCCACCGTTCAACAAAACACGCTCCCCGCCCACTCTCCTGGGACTCTCTGACAGCTGCGGACCATGGACCTGGAATTCCTTCACCGCATTACCGCCTCGCCCTCTGTGGCCGGCGTGGCTGCTGCTGCTTTCGTCGCTTACTGCGTCGGCCTCTATGTCTACCGTCTGTTCTTCCACCCGCTGGCCAAATTTCCCGGCCCGCGGCTCGCAGCCATCACATCCTGGTACGAGGCCTACTACGAGATTGTCAAGAACGGGCAGTACTCGAAGAAGATCTCGCAGCTGCACGATTACTATGGTATGCTTAAGCTCCAATTGCGTATATGTACGCGGGAGACGACGCGCCTTGGCTCACGCTTGTCTCAAAGGACCCATCATTCGTGTCACCCCGCACGAGCTCCATATCAGGGACCCGCGCTTCTTCGACGAGATATATCCCAAAAATGTCCATCTGGACAAGGAGGGATGGGACAATCGCTTTGGTACCGAGAACGGTGTGCTACCGACCTTCGACGCCGCCGTCCATAAGCGGCGACGCGCAGCACTGGCTCCGATGTACGTATTCCCCTTTTCGTTTCCTCGACCTTGACGGCGCAAGAGACGCACAAGGTATCATAGAAATGAACGTTGTGTTTACGTATTACAGGTTCTCACGCCGGTCTATCCTGGACTTCATCCACATCATCTTCCGGCACGTCGATACGCTTTCGGCGCGTATGCAAGAGTTTGAAGCACGCAAGGAGCCGATGAATCTCAGTCATGCGTTTCCCGCGTTTACCGGTGATATCATCATGGACTACTTCTTTGGCTTCAACTACGGCCAGCTCAAGAATCCCCAGTTTGAATCGTTCCATGAAGCGTTCGTCATGGTTGGTGGAACTGGTCACATCGCTGCGCAGTTTCCCATTATCTTTCCGGTCAGTACTAATCGTGGAATCTTACGAGGAAGAAGAAGATTTAACCGCCGGGCAGATCATGAACTCTATTCCTGACTTCATCACCGAGTGGCTGATGCCCCCAGCCAAGCCTTTTCTGCAGTTCAAGCGTGTAAGCCTCCCTATGATACAGCTTGAAGGCCTCCCGACTCACAGAACAGGATATGCGAGATACCATTGTCCGCACGCTCGGCGGCGAGGACGTCAAAACCAACGACGCCAAGCGGACAATCTTCCACGAAATCCTCGGCTCCAAACACCTCCCTCCGCAGGACAAATCCAAGCAACGACTCGAAGACGAAGCCCAAATCGTCGTAGGCGGCGGCATAGAAACCACCGCCTTCGCCCTGAGCATCGCATCTTTCCACATCATCAACACGCCGCGCATCTACCAGCGGCTCCATGCCGATCTCGTCAAGGCCTTCCCCAATCGAACCACTCTCGAACTGCAGCCCCTGGAGCAGATGCCCTACCTCAAGGCCTGCATCATGGAAGCCCTGCGCATGGGGTACGGGCTCAGCGCGCGCAACCCGCGCACGCATGACAAGCCACTCCAGTACAAGGAGTGGATCATCCCCGCAAGGACTAATATTTCCATGACAATTCCCGAAGTTAGCCACGACGAGGAGATCTTCCCGAAGTCGCGGGAGTTCATCCCAGAGCGCTGGCTCGACGACCCGAAGACCAAGGATGGCATTCCGCTGGACAGGTTCATGGTCTCGTTTGGTCGTGGTACTAGATCGTGCCTAGGTATGAAGTGCGTTGCACCCGCTTTCCTTTCCCCTGTCCATGCCAATCAATCTATCTGATGCATGCTCGGTTTGCTAATGAATAGTGCGGTGAATTTAGTCTTGCCTGGACCGAACTGTACCTCACGCTTGGCATGATGTTCCGGCGGTACAAATTCGAGCTCTTTGAAGCCGATGTTAGTGATGTGGAGATGGGGCATGATTTCTTCATTCCGGTGACGAGGCTGGACTCCAAGGGCGTACGGGTTTTCGTCGAATCGACAACGGATTAAACTAATGGGGGGCCGGTGGGAAGGCGAAGATACCCAGTAATAGTATGTTGAGCAGCCAGCGTTATTCGCGTTCTGGGTAACGGGTTTGCAGTACAACACAGGATCGCTTTTTTCCCTGCGCGATTCAGGGGCATGCAACGTGAGCTCGTGAGTGAGTGGTAGCCCTCCGGTTCGCCCGAGCTGCAGGTCCAGCGTCGTCGTTGTGCGATCTCCTGATCAGGTTGGTATCGTTATTCCCTGTCGGCCAGCCCTGCGAACCCGGGTCTTGGTGATCCGATATGTAACGGCAGCATCGCGATTTACGAACACGACGGGTTTGCTCCATAGATACGACGATGATGGCGCTGAGCGATGGGCGATGGCGTCGCGCCGTAACGCTTAGCAGAGCTCCTGCCGCGTCTTCTGGAAGGATTGGCTCCTGGATCGTGATGAATGAATGGGCTGACATGCTACTGCAGCATTTCTAGCGCGAACGTGATTTGCCCGTTGCTCGAGCAGCCACAGACAACCGCAACTAAGCGTAGTCCTTTGCCCCTGGTGAGCTTCTAGAATCCTTCATTCGGCCCGTTCGCGCTAACCCGTTTCGGATCTACTCCGGGGTTCTGCCGAACATGTCGCCCTACCTCCGTCCTCAGGTGAAATCACCTCCATCACCACCGGAGAGCATGCGTCACTCGCAGCAATCGTTGCCTACTCGGCAACACTTCCGGCCGGAATGAGAAAACAGCGTCATAATGCATTGTCCTATCCTCTCAAAGCCTCGAAGACAAAGGAGCCGCGTCGACTGCCGCTTCCGATGAGCATCACCTGATGCAATGACAAGAATTTCCTGCAGCTCACACGAGGGTACCTGACGCCACTTTTCCGGGGCCCCGAGTTTAGTTCACCTTTACTATTCGTCGTTTTCTGCACATCAGGTTATTTGCTTATTCTTCGCGCCGTTGCTGCGCGGCTGCTACTGTGGCGCTACTCGGCTTTTTGCAACGGGCTGGTGACGGAGACAGGTACACCGACGGGTAAGGCTAGTAGGAGCTAGCTATGGAGGAGCGACATCATTTGATATCGTGCGACTCCGGGCACCCTGTTAGGTAGTGGGTTTTGTGGTTTTGCTGGTGGGGAGTGCGTGCGGACGGCGTCTGGTACAGCCCCGAGAGAGGATTCCGGATATTTGGGATGCCATGGAGGCGACGATTCAATCAACAGTGACACGCAATTCCGAGGCCTCACGCCATATTCCCCGGATAGAAGCGATATGGTAGGTCTTCTAGAAGGACTGAGGGGCGAGGCGGGTTACGAGACCCTGGTAAATACTCGGCCCCTACAGAGAAACCTTGCAACAACATCACGCCTACTCAGCTCTATCCATGGTCTTTCGAAGTGGCATGACGACTAGCTTTTTGGTTGTCTCGTGTTTATTGGTCATTGTCCCTGAGGAAATGTATGCATGGACCGCTTTTGGTAAGGCACGATGTTCCATTCTTCACGTCCCATTGCGGCGGCTCGGCACAAAGTCCCCGTTTGTTCTAACACTTTCACTCTAGACTCGACATCACGATGCTGCTCACGCGCGCACAGATGGCCGCTCGCGGCGACCGCGGCCCAGGGTTTCCCTCACCACCCGTACCGAGTCTGCGTCCATATAAAACTCCCACACACCCTGCAAGGGCTTCTTTCATTCCTCACCCTGCACTCCATACAACTCGCCCCACTCACACGGTACACACCCTCATACACACACGCGCGCAACCACATCCCTTGCATAGGACCCCGCATTCTTATCTCCGACAACCAAGATGCGTTGGGCCCCGTCGTCAAACCGCGCGACAGACGTCAATGCCCGCGTTGAGTCGCCAGTCACTCTTCGCGCCTATCTGCTTTGCGTCTTCGCGGCCTTTGGTGGTATCCTGTTCGGATACGACTCGGGATACATCAATGGCGTCCTCGGCATGAACTACTTCAAGCAGGAGTTTGGAGGTGAGTCTATGCGGCCGCGTCTATCCGACATGCGAACATCATCAGTTAACAAATGAACAGGTCCGTCAAATAACGAAGATGCGTATAATGGCCATCTCTACGCCACCTGGCAGAAGTCGCTCATCGTTTCCATCCTCTCTTGCGGCACCTTCTTCGGCGCGCTCATCGCTGGCTCCGTCGCCGACTGGATTGGCCGTCGTTCGACTATCATTGTCGGATGCGGCATCTTCTCCGCTGGTGTCGTCCTGCAAGTCGCCTCTACCGCAGTCGGCCTCCTCGTCGCCGGCCGTCTGATCGCTGGCTTCGGTGTCGGCTTCGTCTCGGCCATCATCATCCTGTACATGTCGGAAGTGGCGCCCAAGGCCGTCCGCGGCGCCATCGTCTCCGGCTATCAATTCTTCATTACAGTCGGCTTGTTACTCGCTTCTGTCGTTGACCAGGGCACGCATAGCATGATGAACACGGGCTCGTACCGCATTCCCATGTCCATCCAGTGGGTCTGGGCGCTCGTTCTGGGCACCGGCCTTTTCTTGCTCCCGGAGTCGCCCCGTTACTATGTCAAGAACGATCGTCTGGATGATGCTGCGAAGGCTCTGAGTATTCTCCGTGGCCAGCCGGTCGAATCGCAGTATATCAAGGATGAGCTGGCTGAGCTGGTGGCTAATTACCGCTACGAGATGGAGACTATGCAGTCTAGCTGGATGGACTGCTTCCGTGGCGGCTGGAAGCCTTCTGGTAATCTCCGTCGTGTTGTTCTCGGCATGGCGTTGCAGATGATGCAGCAATGGACGGGCATAAACTTTAGTAAGTTCACCGTCCCACCACCTCACCCCGACGAAACCTAACAGATGACCAGTCTTCTACTACGGCACCTCGTTCTTCCAGCAAGTCGGCATCGAGAACGAATTCGCTATCTCCATGGTGACGACCGCCGTCAACGTCCTCTCAACCCCGATCTCCTTCTGGACCGTTGAGAAGCTCGGCCGGCGCACGCTCCTCATCTACGGCGCCATCGGCATGGTCGTCTGCGAATTCATCGTCGCCATCGTGGGCACTGCCATGGGCGACGAGTCCGACGCAGCGGGCTACTGCCTCATCGTCTTCACCTGCTTCTACATCTTCTTCTTCGCCTCCACTTGGGGCCCCGCCGCCTGGGTCGTCATCGGCGAGATCTTCCCGCTGCCGATTCGCGCCAAGGGCGTTGCGCTCAGCACGGCCTCCAACTGGCTCTGGAACTTCGCCATCGGCTACATCACACCCTACATGGTCGACGAGGACGAGGGCAACCTCAAGTCCAAGGTCTTCTTCGTCTGGGGTTCCACCTGCGTCCTATGCGTCCTCTTCAGCTACTTCCTCGTCCCCGAGACCAAGGGCCTCTCGCTTGAGCAGGTCGACCGCATGCTCGAGGAGACCACCCCCCGGACCAGCAGCAAGTGGGTGCCGCACTCGACGTACGCGGACCACGCCGCCGAACGGGACTCGGAGAAGATGGTCAACAAGGCTGTGCATTTGGCCGGCGGCCAGCACGTCGAGCATAAGGAGGTCTAGGCATGCCGCCTTGGCTTCCCGCGCTGCTGTACGATAGCATCCCTCCGGATGGGATGGGGAGTGCGCTTGCTTTGGAGCCGGCTTCTTCGGCAGCAGCTTTGCCTGCTGCGCCCTCGGTGAGAATGGTATAGCGTCACCGTTACACGTAAAGAAAGGCGGTAATGAGGGTGGTGATGGTGGTGTGTTTTATTCACTGGTATACCCTGGGAACGGGGGGTCACGGTCACGGCGTTCTTGCTTTCACACGTATGGTCGGTTAGACGGAATCTTCCCCTCGCTTTAGTCGCCTCCTCTCTCTCACTCTCTCATTGAGCATTCATGGCTTGCGGCTGCATGGTCATCAGCGCTCGCGAGATATCCTCTGTCGCTTTCTTCCTTCTTGCATCTGAGTGCGGGTTCAGATTGGGACCTGCGGAAAGAGAGTGGCGAGCGGTGGCTTATGAGTACGAGTATGGATAGCGAGGCGATATCAAGTAATGTCTTGTCTATTAATGTCTTATATCTTTCTCTTTTGCCACCCCGTGCCATGTTGATGTTTAAGGGTAAACGCATAGTGGCGTGGGGCAAACTGAGTGTCCTTGAAGCCAGCGCTTTGCATAGCCCAGCTCAGCCCAGCCCAGCTGCCTTCAACACGTATAACGAAAACAGTTCATCCCACGAAGTCCGCCATCGCAGGACTCAAGCCCATGCATACATGCATGCCCTCGCTTCAACCTCTCCACCACCGCTTCTTGCCCACGCAGCACACACACTCGCAAGAACTCCCTCAAGCTTGCCTCCAGTCCAGCACAGCACAGCACAGCCGCCCCCGCTTACACGTCGCGCTCACCAGCACTCGCTCGGAGGCTAGCGAGACAAATATTCTATCCTCGCCGCACGCCGCGTGATAGAAGTCGGCCAGACAAGCAAGAGGAAGAAGGGCGTGCGGAGCGCTCGCTCTGTTGGACCGTTGACGCGGAGAGAAGGGCGCGTGGAATGTGCTTGGGAAGAGGAGAGAGGACGTATCTTGCTATCTCTGCCTGGGCCATATCTGCGGGGGGAAGTTGGCCTTGAGGGAGTGGAGTTCGCTAGCTGGGCGCACTTGGGGGAGAAAGGATAGGATAGGATGAGATGGGATGAGATGAAATGAGGCAGAGTCGGGCAATGCCAGGGGTGGGAGGTATGCATTTATATCGCATCTTCGGCGTGCGTCTTGTGCTCCGGTGGCATCTCGAGCCAGTCGGTAGAAGTCACGTCCGCGGCGGGCGGTGGGAGGGAAGGTCCTGATATCCAGCTAGTCAGTGTGGCGCTGCCAATCTTCGACCGCCGCTCCAACGAGCGTGCGTGTTCTCCGTCCCGTTCCTGTTCCGTTACGTTTCGTAAGTACAGCTGCAGCTGGCGTGAAAAGCGAGCCACTCCTCCACGGAGCCGCGGCGCGGGAAGGAAGTTTCAGAGGAACAACACTTCCTTTTAAAATCGCGCTGAAAGGGAACGTACGGAAGCGTCTGCGGCGTGTTCGTTGCGAAATGGTGGAGCAATTTCAAGTGTAAGAGGTTCATTCACGACTGTGTTGGTGGTTCTAGAGCTGGAAAGCAACATCTGCATTGGCAGCGAGGTGGATTGTTCGTTTACTCTAAGTCCGTTGCGGCGCGGGAGCTGTGAGGATGGGTCTCCCCTCCGGATCCAGTGCAGTTTGCACATAGGCTTCCTTCGTTTGCACTCAGTGGTAGGGTCGCCATATCAGCTTTCGGGGCTACGGCCTATATGGCGGGTGCTATATAAGCTTCACTCGCCGCCTCCCCAGGCAGTTTTCGCGTCCCTTCCGGGAATTTTGATGAGTCTGGTGTTGCTGGATGAGTCGGCAGCTAAGTTTCTCGGAGTCTTGAATAGGATTTGATTCGAGTTAGGCGTTGAGGAGAGAGGGAATGCATTGGTGAAGTCCTACGGCAAGTTTAAGTTCATCAAAGCAGACATGAGCCTCTCGAGCTCAATCGACGACGTGTGTTGATAGATGAAAACAAGGGAACCACCATAAACCTTCTCTTTGCGACTCAAGGAAGCTTAGGCTTCCACAAAACCACATCTCCCTCGATCCCTCCCTTTTTCGAGGCGTCGCTAACGGCGTTTGCAGCAACAGTCGCTGGCCTCCCTCTCGCTTCCTGCCTCATCATGCACAGCCGCACCCGCTTCATCCTAAATCTTCTCACGTTCCCGGAAAAGGGGAAGTCCTTCCGCCCGCGTTATCAGCGTTGGCGCGGCATCTTGCGAAGGCGCCCTTCACGGACAACATACCCGGTCTTGACTTCTCCTTGCGCAAATGGCGCAACCAGGGCGCATCCGTCCAGACGCTGCTGCTCGAGAAGGGTGCGCGGCGGGCGGGCGACGTCAGTTTCATTCACAACCAGAGGCGTCGTCAAGGGCGGTATCACGCGCTTGAGCCGTGTTTGGGTATGAACGTCTTGCTCGCTATCGCGCGATTTCGGGCGCTACTTATCGAGACTCTTCCTGGTAAATATGCTGAGCGGTACTTGCTCTTGGCTACGAGTGCGAGATATGCGCCTCGGCAGGGCGGCGCGGCTGTTTCGAGTGTGCCGTAGATGGGAGACTGGTGGCGGCTCGAAGAGGCGCCATGTCCACCGTGAACCAGAAATGCGAGAGAGAATCGGCTAAGGTCGAAAGATTGATGTTAGTGTTCCGGAGGAATGGTACGGCGGAGAAGGTTTGGAGGTATGGGAGGAAGGATTTCATGGAGATTACTGGAGCGGGAGCGGCGTCGTAGAGTATCTGGCTGAGGAAGTGTTGGAAGGGAGGCTGGACGTCGTATTCAGAAAGCTGTGTCTTCTTCCTCGTTGACGGCTGGAAAGATCGTGGAGAAGAAGACAACTAGTCCATAGGAAGGATCATCGACGAATTGCTGCGTCGCTTCATCCATGCACATATTTTATATCTCTTGCGGTACGTCGGTCTATGTCTCGTGCGGAAGAATTTGATATGCCTCTTCGACCGCGGAGGTTTGGTTCGTGATCACTCCATGTGCTCCTGGAGAAGGATATCAGGGTTCATAGTGGAGCTTCCTTTTCAGCTCAGGGCTTTTATAGAAGAGCTGCGAGCATACTACGTGGACCCAGGACACACGAGGCTACATTCGAACCTGTGGCAGGCACGAGGGCGGTGGTCAAAGGTTCGGGATACTAACGGTCGACTACGTGGCGAGCCGGGTGGGAACGGAAGATGGAGACAATAACTGCTATTTCCCTGATGACGGGATGCTGATGCTCCATGATACCTGGTGCTATGTGTCACTCCGTGGTGTTCGTATGCGGGGAATTTGCAGAACGCTAGTATGTTTCGGGGCTAGCCACATAGAGGGGCCATTGAGCCGCTATGCCCCTCCATCTCCGTGACACAGCATCTCATCCTTTCTATCCGCGATCTCATCCTCACAGTCCCGCTACATCCACACCGCCATGGCCTCACCCCTCTCCCCCAACAACAACAAACCCCACGCCTTCAACCCCCCCACCGTCCCCACCCCGCCCCCAACCTACGCCCAAGTATCCACCACCCCGCTACTACCCACCAGCAAACTCGTCACGCTCGCGGGCCAAGTCGGCCTCAGTGCCGACACCGGCAAGATCGTGCCCGGCTTCGACGCGCAGGTAAAACTCACCTACGTCAACATACTCGCCTGCCTCAAAGCCGCGGGCGCCACCCCGCGCGACATCATCCACGTGCGGCACTACATCGTCAAGGACACGGGGCGCGTGGGCGTCGACAGCGAAGACGAGCTGACGCGCGTATGGGGCCATCACTGGATGGAGTTTATGGACAAGGAGGGCGAGGGGCACCGGCCGCCGGATACGGTTGTGGGCGTGGCGTGTTTGGCGACGAGCGAGCTGCTGTATGAGTGTGAGGTTTGGGCGATTGTGCATGCGTAGAGTGCGGATCCCAAATCGTACGTGCGGAGGATGTGGCTGGGGGCGCGGCGCTGCAGATACGAGGGATCGGGATTTCTGCGGAGGATTGGGCGATATTGCGGGGAGCGTGATGCTGGGAGAGGAGAGCCTATCGGGGTGGCGGAATATAGTGATGCTTCGCTTCCAAGAACGGGTAGGATCCTGACTGCTGGTTTGTATCCTTGCTGTGTATGGTGTAAGAGATTACCAATGACTGACTATCGTGCGGTTTTGCCGCATGTGAACTTCGATGTCAAGATCGCATCATGAGATACAGTCCTTTGAAGGCCGGAATGCTGCTCAAGGCTGGTGTACGCCGCGAATACGAGCTCCATCATTTAGCCTAGGGATTGTAAGGTACCCCGCGCAGCCCTGGCAAGTCACCTGCCATTACTGGATGAGAATTGCATCGTCTAAGCCTCAAGTTATAGTAGCGAGATGTGAAGGATCCGATCCTTCCACGGCATCTGCGAGATCTTGCAAATCATCTTCGGGGAGTTTGATGGTCGTCGTCTCACAGCAGCCTCGCCGATACCAACGAAATCATGAAATTGCATCGTATCATGGGACTATACCATCCTAGCTCGTTCCTGTTCTGAAGGGACCGAAAACAACATATAAGAAGCTGTCCCTCTGTTCTGTACCGCATCATAACCAGTCTTCCAATCCTGTCAGTAGCCAGAATGCACATCCCCAGCCTCATCCCCTTCCTCGTCCTCGGCAGCACAGCTGCCAGCGTCGTCAAGCGCCAATACGACAATGACTTCAGCGGCTCCGGTAACATCCTCGTGCTGAGCGGAAAGAACATTGCAAAAGCAGACACCTCCGACATCTCCGGCTGCATCGCCGACTCCGGCAGTCTCGTCACCGATCTCACCAAATGTGGCGTCTTCACGCTCGGCGACCCCCAGGTCAGCGAGACTTTCAGCTCTAGCGCCAGACAGTGCAACTTCGCCGATCCGACTACGGTCCCGGGCGGCTATGCGTTAAAGTGCAATAGCACGATGCAGAAGGGCGGTTACTGGTATTCCTTGGTAAGCCACGCCGGCGCCGAATCAGAGGTAAGACAGGATGCTAATGGTGATATAGGATGGATATGATCCGGGCCCCGGGCTTGCGTTTATTTGGACTGGTAACCTGAACCCGTATTATGAAGCTACGAGTCTGCCCGCTGTGGGGGAGGAGGCGCCGATATGGCCATACTTGGGAGGGCCGGATCCACCGACTGATCGGATGTACTTCATGTGGCTGTGGAAGAAGTTGAGTGACTAGGTGGAACATGAGGATCGATTGCTTGGCCGCACATGGGATATCAGGTTGCGGGGCTCGGGTAACGAGTCTGTGCTCTAGAAGACAAGGCCTCGTGGACGCCGTAGTTTGTCCTCGTCCTCGTTTAGAAGAATGCACTGCAAGCCTTGCAATTCGCACGCTTTTATCAGACCATTTTCCGGGTTCCTCCAGGTCCAGTCGTCATAGTAACGCCCTGATCGTTGACGGATGTCGAATGTAAACTTCTGTAGCTTTGGCGTCGCTGCTTCCCAACCAGGGGCCGCGGACCTCCTCCACGTGACCTCCTCTTCATCGACCATATAGTTCATATGTGCTCCATCTATAGTCTCGCCACTCAAATATGCCTTAATAAAATCTAGAAGCGCTAGATTTGTCCAATGCGCAAAGGCGTCGTGATCGAATAAATCGTCTATGAGTGTGAGCGTAAAGGCCGAGATATTTGGAGGGAGCACTTGGGCCAGGGACGGAGCGTTCGCTGGACGGACCTGGCCGAAGAGTACGGGCAGACAGATTTCTAGGGTGATGAGAGACGTAAAGTCGCAGAGAGAGCCTATGGAGCCTCTGCAAACCGTTGCAAGGTATTCTGGGTCTCGTGCCTCCTCATCAACAAAGATCTCGTAGTCGATGACCAGATGCTCGAGGGTAAGGTAGACGTGGTCTAGAGCAGAACGTAGTGAAACTAAGTCGAGGGGTGCCTGGGACGACGGGCTTAAGTAGTCGTACTCCAGCGTCGTAAGGTTGGGCGTGCTCTTGAGCAGGGAATCAATCTTGTGAGGGGCAGCCGTTGTGCGAATTAATCGCAAAGCCGTGAGATTGGTCGCGACAGGTTCCACTGGAAGCGGCCAGAAAAAGGGGACACCGGTCTCCTCGAGCCAGCTAGTGATTGGATGATTCGGTAGCAGCGATAAATCCAGTACGTGCACTTGCGGTAGATAGAACAGCAGCAGGAATGAGTCGCGTGGCAACAACGTCTGTGCGTAAACGGTCTCTGGGCCCGACTCGCAGCCTACGCTAATACGTTTTAGCTTCTGGAAAGGCAGTCGTTGGGCCTTGCAGAGCTGGCTGGTGGGGGAACCGTGTCGGAGGACTTCTTGAAGGAATGTATTGGACCGTAGGAAGTCGATATCCAGGGCGAGCGTATCAAGATTGGTACAAACGAAGAGCAGCAGTGCCACAACAGCCTTTAAAGATCGTTGGCCGAAGATTGCCTGCTTCCAATCCTCAGGTCTAGCGAATCGTGACGCGTTGATAGCTTCCTCGAACAGCTTCTTGTCGTCCGAGTCGAGAGCGGGCGTATACGGAGGAAGCTCATCCTCCACCTCCCAATCCTCTAAAAGAAAATCGAACCCTCTGTAGTAGAGGCTAATGCTCTTCACGTGCCGAATAAAGTCGGGTCTTTCGAGGAGAGTCCGGAGCAAGCTGGCGAGCTTGGGAGTCGTACGAGCGCGGTAGTCCCAGGTCATGTTGATGGCGCGGAAAATGCCTGGAATTGTAGCTGCGCGCAATGACTTGCACGTCAAGGAAAGGTTGTTGATGTCTTCGAATGCAAGGTTTGTGGCAATGGTGTCAACGAGCTCGTTGGGGAGCCCATCCAAGGCGGCCATGGTGTCTCCGTCTCAGTCGAAATACTTTAGCTAGCAAGCTCGATAATTGAACTCAAATAACCTTCAGATGCGTGAAAAACTCTTGCGAAGCAGATAACGGTGCGTGTTGGGAGCAGAATGGACGCGCTGTGGGGTTGGAAAACAAACCGGGGGTTGTGACACCCCAAGTGCGCTAGCCAGAAGAGGAAAGGCTCAGGCGCCAGCTTCCCTCTTCTCCAGGGCTGTTCGTTCCGCAAAAGCTACTATCTTCAGATTGGGTCAGTGACCTCCCTCGACGCATTTTATGACGAGCCCCATCTACTCGCACCGCCTGACTGGCCGCAAACAACCGCCTTCTCGAGCTTCTGCCTGGCGCGCCCGCGGACCCACTTCGATGCTGCCTGGTTCTCGCACGACTTGACCCTGATGCTGACTTGGAGGCTCTTTCCTACGTGTGGGGCCCATCTATTTTCTTAGCAGATTTCTCATGCATGGGGTTTATGGGATGGGATCAGCGATAATGCAAGGAGATGTCGCTGTTGTCCTCTATGGAGAGAGGAGTCCCCAAGTTTTGGGCCCATTGAACGCAGGGTTCATGCAATATCCATCAGATAGATCATGTACCGCGAGAGCGTGGCAGATTGTGAAGAAACAGGCCCGGAGGAGCCTTTCGTTATACATAGAAGATATTGCATCCGCTGAGCCCTCCTCTATCTCTTTCTGCCGTGGTGCTTTTTTCTCAACCGATGATAATCCACACCCCGAGGAGTTTCGCCGCCCATCGATTCCACCACGACGATACACTGCCTCAATCCATCTCATACTTGCTTGAATCCATCATCCTCCCTCTTCACGCGCTCCTCTCCTTCCCCTCGCCCTCATAGTCCGGCACATATGAGTCATGTTCCGGTACCTTGCCCGCCGCCATATCCCTCATCCTCTTCTCGTGCTTCTTATGCCTTCGCTTCGCCCGCTTCGCGTACTTTGCCAGCGTGTTATCACGGTTCTTCGCCCAGTTCGGTCCGGCGCCCGGCGGCGGCGCTACGTGCAGTTAGGACTGGGATAGAGTGGATGTGGAAAGAGGGGGGAATGGGTATGCGTACCTTTGGCGCCATTAGCAATGGCCACACGCTCGCGCTCTCGCGCTGCGTCTCGAAGCTCGCGCATCTCGTGCTTTGAGAAGGGTAGGAATCCACGGGCTTGCTTTCCCTGCTTGCGCTTCTTTGGGTTGTTCTTGCCGGCTGGGGCTCGCTGGCCGTTTTGCTGCTTCTCGCGCTTGGTGTTGTTGGTGGTGGCGTCGTTCATGGCGTTGTTGAACTGTGTGGTGTTGTTGAAAGCGCTGTGGGAAAGGTAATTGCCGCCTGCATCGATCTGCATCTTGCTGGACATGGTGACACGCTGGTCTCGCAAAAGGGGCCCTCGAAAGAGAGTCGCTGACGACGAACAAAAAGCAAGGTTCGGACGAAGACGCAGCACGTAGATAGGCGGCGGAATCTGAAAAGACGAAAGTGGAGGCGGAGAGGAGAGAAGAAGAACGAGTGAACGAGTGAGCAAGGCGAATGTGGGGTCAAGGCTAGTACAGTGGAAAGGAAGGAGCGCCCATGTCAGTGCTATGGCAAGCGTGCTCATGCAACACCATAACAGCAATTGATCTAGACCTTGAAGTCTATCAAGATGTACTTTTCTCCAATATTTACACTTCTTAGCGTATCTTCAGTGCGCTTCCCAAACTATACGTCTTCGCGCTTCCACCAAGAGTCACCCATAGCGTCACCGGATCTTTGCCGACCTGCTCCTTCGTCGCGCTCGCAGCACTCTGCACATTGCTGGGAAAGGTGACCGGAATAGCCGTTCCACACCTCGCGTTCTTCGCGTTGACGGTGACTCCAGTGATCGACTTCCTATCGTCCGAGACCTGGTATGTCAGGTTCGGGAGGCATTCATCGCGGTTCTTACGGGCGATGACTGCTCGGGCGATGTCGTCGTGCTTCAGCGTGATGACGGGCCATTCAGTCCTGCAGGGAATTAGCATGAGCGATCAAGCTGGAGAAAGGGCTACGTACAGCCTCGTAAACTCATAGATCACTGCCTCAGTCCACGCCATCAACAAGCTCCATTTCTTGTTCTTCCCCATCAGCGTGAACGCAGTGGTGTCGCTAACCCTCATATTCGCCTGATGGAACATATACGGATCCCACCGAAGAGCGAGGAGGTACTTCGTATTCGTGTTCTTCTCATACTCGATCTGCGCGCTGAAGTCGCCTGTCCCGGCCGCAATGGCCTTCCATTCAGCGTTGACGCAAGCAGGCAAATCGCAGTTGTAGTAGATAGACGAGCCGTAGCGGCCGACGATGTACGCGCCAGCATATCCGTTCTCCTTTACGTTCGTGATGATGGGGTGGTAGTCGGACTTGCGGCTTGGGACATTCATGAGGATGGGGCGCGAGTTGTCGCCCACAGCGTACGTGATGTTGTTTTCGAGCCAGGCGCGGATCGCGTCGCCGTTATGCAGACCAGTGATTCCAGGCGGAATCAGACCGCTGGGCGAGAAGTAAGGCGAGGACTCCGCATCGGTGAAGCCCACGCGCTTGAACCATTCTTGATTCCATTGAATCTCTTTGACGACGTCTGCGTATGTTGCGTTCGTCTCGTCTTCGTGCGTGAAAGTATGGGAGACGTGATAATACGAATGCATGTTCGTCTTGTCCGCCATCCAAACATGCAGCGGATCCAGCTCCATACAATCAAGCGTCCACTGCCACTTCTTGAACTTTTTATTCCACAGATCTGTCCCCGTGCCGATCGGCTTCATGTAGTCTGGAGGACCATCGATCTGGTCAGCATACTCCACGCCTTCCTGCGGATCGCAAAGGGCGGGGTCATTGTCATAGTCGTGCTCCACAGCCTCTTCGATATCCCCATTCCCGTTGTGTCCGAGCTCTATAACATACGAGGAACCAGGAGGAAGCTTGGAGTTGACTTCCTTCATCCAGGTGACATGCTGTTGATAATCGGCGGCTTGGATGCGGAACGACTTTCCGGTCTGGTAAAGCTCGGTGAACAGGAAGTTGTCGTCTATCTGAGTATTGAAGTAAACACGGCGGAAGCCGAGATAGAGGCCGCGCGTGAGCCAGTGGATCCATGCGTGGGAGAGGAGAATCGACGATGTCAGGTTGGGATCGAAGTTGGTGAACCATACTTGCTGCTCGCGTCCAGTTGGGGACTTGTTGATGACTGCAGCTGTTGTCTTCGATGTGCCGCTGCCAAATTGAGCAATCTCCGTTGTGGCGGAAGTGTTGGTGATTTTGGCGGGATATTTCGTCAGGCCCTGGGTGCTCATTTGAGCATTCCTGCAGCTTTAATTAGCCTCCGGTCTTGCACTTTCAAGGGAAGCTTACAAAACGATATTAGCGGTCGAGAAATCCTTCGCGTTCGAGATCGAGATAGGCTGGTCAGCAGTAACTAGGCCACCTGCACTTTGCACACCGAACTCTGCACTTGGCCAAGCATTCAAACGCACCATCCTCACGCCGAATGCCTCCTGGTAGCTGTACAGCTCCTGCCATTGCTTCGCGGTGAGAGCCTTCGCCCAGTCATCTCCGTTCTGATATGCCCGCGCGCTGACTGCAACAATGCCGCCGAAGTTGCCAGCATCCGGGGTTGAATTCAGCTGCGGGAATCCTCCTCCTGGAAGCGAGAGATCCACGACTTGGTAGGGGATGCCGTAGCCCTCCAAGACCGAAACACCAGAAGTCGCATTAGAGTCGCGAGAGAGGATCAGTAGTGTGCTATTGACCGTAATCGCTCCGGCGGTAAGACGAGCGAGTAGCGCTGTCAGCGTGCATAGCCGGAGGAGTGATGCGAGCGCCATGATCAAGGAACCCTTCGGGGTGGTTGCACGATGCCACAGGTCGTGGAGAGGAAAGGGTCCATTGTGGAGGGCGTCCTGCGAAATTAAAGAAAAAACCAGAATGTACGAAGTGGGGAATTAAGACCTGATCTCGGTGTCGGAAGTGCTTCCGTTGCTCCTATAGATCGCATTAAGGGGAGCCTCCTCGACGAGGGCATGATCGGCGCGGGCAAAATCGTGCGACGTTGAGACTGCAACCTCAGGTGGGCATTTATGAGCCTAGCACGTAGGGCTAGCACTCATTAAAGTATATCCCTTTACTGTGTCGTATACTCGTGCAGGGAAATGCAACATGCAGAAGTAGGTTAGATGAGGCGGTCGTAAGCCTGGTGTCGATCGATCCCAGCATGGTGGTTCCGGAAGCCCTGACGAAGTCCGAATTCGAGATGCGGTCGCGGTTTTATTGGGCTGTTCCTGGTACATCTCATTCTCGAAGTGTAGTATAGATGAAATGCAATTTGGGAAGGTGATAATAGCCGTGCGGACTGTTGCCAAGGGGCAGGCCCATCGCCTCCGCCGAGCGAACATCGAAAAACATAGTCTTTAAAGGCCACCTTGGCAAGTCTGCTTTAAATAATGTTGTATGTTCGGAGGGTTGCCGTAGGTGGAGTCGGCTGGCTCCATATAAGATCCGGAATGTAGCTGTCGCCCACGACGGTGAATCTTTCCCGTTGCTGGGCTGTCAAATCGTCCGCCGCATGCAATGGTGAAATGCAGTCTTGTGAGTGCTGAGTTTGAGAGCAAAATGCCTTCTGCGGAGTGCAAGACCGAAGCACGATGGGTGTCCGACTTCCTGGAAAGGTGACGATGATATCTCCCACCCGCATGCTCGCAGGGCCCATTCCAAATTCCCCTGCTTCGGTGAAGAAGCACCGCCGCCCAGGAACCAGCTGCGCAGCTACCTGATGAAAATTGGTGGACAGGTCAGGATCGTTGTGGGAGGGAACCATCTCATCCTCTGAACAAGGTGTATAGTCGAAGAGAACGCGATCGTCCCGGATAGAAGTCACGTCCTTGCCTCCAAAGGTCAGCTGGCAGTCAGTCAATTGACTGAGATAGGTCAGAATAAACTTGCTCCGGGCTGCAGTCGCGGGAGCGAGAGGGTTCTTGAAGAAATCCGGGACGAGACGGACAAATCTCCCCTGGCCGAGACGTACGTGGCCCGCGGTGACTGCGCCCACAAATATCACATCGCCATCTTGTCGAACTGACGATGAAGACTGAGCGCAGTGCTGATGAAAGTAGTCATACCAGACTTGGAGCACTTTTGCTAAATCGCCCTCATGTGACGAAAAGTCGTTAAGGTCTCCATTTACGACCTGGCCAACTTTCGCGCGCTCATGTGCTTCGATTTTTAGAATGCCGGATTCAATGGTAGGTGGAGTTGTTGTGTTAGAATCATCCCTGGCCGAATCAATCATGAAGGAAACGGGTCGAAATTTGGGCGACGACCGCCAGTCAGGCACCCACGTTGGAAGGGCATCTGAGGTGGCTGCGAAGGAAGCGCCACAGCTAAGGAGAAGACCGGGCCGGACTGTTACTTCGGCCTTCGCGTAATCGTAGTAAACTTGTTCAGCCGACTTGGAATAGTTCACCGGGACTGGATCCGAGCTCAGGCTGTTGAGTGCGAAGAGACGATCGCGATCATCCGAGCACTCGGCTGCATAGTATTTGACAAGTAGTTCAAGCATCGTGGGCTGGCAGAAGTTGGGATATGAATCGCTTCGCTGCCCTTGAATGTTTTGAAGTCGGTAGACTGCGCTCTGCTGGCGCTCTTGGGCCGGACCGAGACCGAGCGTAATGATTTCTTCGTCAAGTAACTCCGTCATGCGGGTTACAAATCTCGAGAATATAACGGAATGGGTCCCGCAAAGTAGGTATGGTTCGTGGCCAAGTGCAACCTCCTGGATAATCCATCGCCGCTGAAACCAAGGGCGGTCCAGTACCCCCTGCAACCAACCAGATATAGTCTCTTTAATAGGCTGGGGAGAAGCGAGGAGCTCTTTATACGCGTAGCGAAGTGAATGCAGTATGTAGTCGTAACTTGGAGCAGAAAGGGTTTTGAATAGCAACTCCACCGCGCCCTTCTCGCCCACTTCGGTTCCGATCCAGATCAAGACCCGCTCAGCTTTCCGGTAGACTTGGTCCATTATTCGAACTTGCTGCTCTTTCTCTGCAATATCGCTTTGATTTATGCATAGCGCATCGACCCACAACATTCGGGTATCCATCGGCCGACGAAGGTACCGCAGCATATCCATGACATTGGGCCGGATCTGTAGAGTAGACCTCCAGAATTTTTGAATGACCATAAGTGGAACGGTGTTGGTGTCATCGCCCCAGGCGTAAGAGATCGCCTCGTAGCTCGCGTTGGAATTGCGTTCGTGCGTTTCCTTCTCCTGTCGATACTTTTCCCAGTCCTGCTTCCGATGCTCTGCTTCAAGACGCTTCATATCAGAGGACGCATCTCTGTAGTGCTCTCTTGCCGCAGAATACGAATCGCCCGTCTGCAAGATGGCTTGGAAAGGTCCGAGCGCTCTGCAATCAGAAGCATATCCTGCTTTTGCCTCATGCCAGGCCTTCCGCGCCTTTTCGTACCTCGACTTCGCTTTCGAATACTCCTTATTGAGCGCTTCAAGTAGTTTCAAAGGCTCAGGAAGCTCCTTGCAGACCTCTAGGCTGACCAATACCGGATCGTCGAAGCGTTCCGAGGGTAAGAGGTTGAGGATACGGATGTCGCGGGGAGCTTGAAGTGGCTCATAGACGTGTTTAATCATTGACTCCATGTTGGAGGGGATTGTCTGCGTTGCAAGATTCCATCTATGACCGGGAGGGCGGTTTCTTGAGCTGAAAGTCAGGGGCAGCTTGACGCGTGCATGGACCCGCGACTGGGCGCAGGCCTAGACCTGCGGCTGAGCAACAAAAACATCGCTTGCGCAGCCTCGATACCACGCGATAAAGAGATGTGATAGGTTGGGGGTTGTTGCAGGCGTTGTGCTCCAGTGTGAAGAGGGTGATGAGATGGCTCACGTTGAAAAGTGAGTGGCATGTAAGGATGGCGATCATATGAATCGGGTCTGGTGGCTCAGGCGTTCCCGATGCGGAAGGTGCAACCGAGCCTCCCCAAACCCCTCCACTTTTCTCTCATCATCCTCGCACTTTCAGAGCCCTATCGCACCAGCAAAAGTCGTGCCCAGTGGCTCAACCACCCCACCCTCTCGATAAATCGCCGGTTAGACTTTGCCAATAAGTACATCATATTCCTCCTAGCTGCCGGATAGGCCTGCTCCCACCACTACACTCGTTCAGCAACATCGATTAATCAAGATATAGGACATCAAGGCTTTAGCTTGGAATGAGTCTAACCGCAAACAATCCAGGCCAGTCTTTCTACCATATTCCTCGCTACAAACGAAGGAGCGGCTCTCGCGAAGCCATTGCGCAGTGTTTTCGACCCATGTGCGATGGATAAACTTTCTTTTTGGCTTGGGTGCCAATCAGATACCGGCCCTCTGGCTAGCAGGATCCCGATTCTTTCTTCCAGCAAGGACATTCCACAATCTTATTTACCCTCATCAAGGGAATCCCGAAAGCCCACCCATTAAAAGTTGACACCTCTAGCCGCTACACTGGCATACTTCTTGCCGCCGAACGTCCTCGCGACTCCAGCAGGCTCATGTGCGACGCGGCTCGTATCCACATCGCTTCTAAACCGATGCGACACGCTCGTCTCCTGCATCTGCCTCAGATCACCCTTCGTTTTGCGATGTGCGAAGAACTTCCTGATCAAAAACCAGAGCAGCGCCACCAAAAGTATTCCCGCACCCGAAACTCCGACTCCGATACCGATCTTCGCCTTTTTCGCCAATGCCGGCTCTGGTGGAGGCACCATAGGGTACTGCATAGAGAATGCGATGTTGACGATGGCCAGTGTTGGTTTTTGGGACATGGTGAGCGCGGAAGCGTGAACGGAGGTAGGGGTGGTGGTGAAGAGAGACCCCGTCTTGCGCTCGCTGCCGCCGTTGACGAGCGTGTCCGGGATGGGTGGAGGGGTGAGCTTCGCAGAGAGGGACGAATAGCATGGTACCTGGCCTCCCAGCGAGGTACTCCATAGCCAGTATGATCTGCGATATATCAGCATCGCTTCCAACCTATTTCTGAAGCCTTCGGAGCACTTACGAAGGACAGCACGCCGTTCCACCAACGGTATGATAATCCTTTGGGCATCCGGTCAACGTTCCCTGGCTCGGCAGGAAAGATATCGGGAACTGCGCTCCGTTATCCCGAGCAGGATCTCCACCTGTGCCCGTCGTCATTGCCGCAGCTCCTCCGCCAGCAGTTGGCGTCGGACAACAATCCGCCTTCGAAGATATGCACCCTACCACCGGAATCCACACCGCTGTTGGTCCATCGATTATAGTGTATGCGGGTTCGGTACAATAGCCTTGTAATAGCGTTGCCGCCATTGGAGCGGCTGCAGGGAAGCTGGGAACCGGAGCATGGCTTGATGTCCGTGGTATCTGGTCGGCGGGCTTGACTTCGACAGACGTATAGATTGGTGTTGGTATGATGGACGGTGTCTCTCGAACAGCGTTCGGGATATCGGGCGGCTTGGATGTTGTTCTCGCCTGTGTGCCATCTAGAAAGCAAGTCAGTGAAGCGCGAGAAGATAAGACAAGGCTATGTACTATTCATCGGATATGGCACTGCTGGCCATCGCGGCTTAAGCGTGGATCCTGGCGCTGGCATCTGGAAGCTCTTCTATGCACTCCTACGTGCTGAAAGCAGATGATCGTGTCCCCGCTGAATAAACCCTGGTTGTTGCCCAGGCCGACAATCAAAAGACGAAAATGGAGGCCACAATACCGCGCGAGGCACTCTCCTCTATAAAACCCGCCCCCAAGCCTCCGCCCGCAAGCGCCTTCCTCATCCCTCACCACACAATTCACCGCCCACCGCAACACTGCCACGAAAAGGCTGAAACTCGTCCAAAACCACGCACGCGCGAAGCCCGCATAGGCCCAGGCCTATCGAAAAGGCTGCAGAAGAGGACGTGTCGTGCAGCGGAAGAACCAGTGCCCGGGATTATGCCCAGCGATCTGGTGCAGTGGCGATGCTCGTGTAACCATAGATTTGACGAGATATTTTGGTGTTTTTCGCTTATGGAGGGGGGCGATTGGATGGTTGTGAGGGGGGGCTTTCAGCTGCGATGCGCCAAGCGGGGAAGTTCCGATGGGGCTTGAGGGACGATGGGCGGGGTTAAATTGCGATTTGAGAGGTCTTCAGGCGCTTTGTCGATTTTGCCAGTATCCAGGTATGTTCTGGCGGCATGGCTGAGTTAAAATGGACGACACCAGGGAAAGCAAAAAAGGTCACGTGATATGTTCTGTGGGCACGACGTCGTCGCGCGCGATACTTGTTACGCTCTGGTTCTCGGGCTGTTATTCCTATGTGTAGATCGAGGGCCTAAAGTATCTGCACTGGTGATCGGGAGTAGAAGGTTCAAGCAGGATGGAAGGGCAATCCCACAGAGCCATGCCGCACTGCCCCGTCTTACATTTCCTAGGTTTGTATAATCATCTCTTCCGCTTGGACTTATTATGTTTCCTACTCTGAAAAGTCACGGAGCCATCTCTTCCTCTCGAATACAAATCTCCATTCTCCAACCTGTCGGCTTCAGCGGGACTCCATTCTAGAAAGTATTATCGTGCTATAAGCTACACACGCCATTCACTGCTGCATCGAATGGCGGCAGCGCTTGGCCTGGGACCTTTCGTACTCCCAGGCTCAATTTCAGAACGTAGGGACGAACTCTCTCAAACAAAGTCCAGCTTTTACTAATCCCGATCACAGCTACCTAAACAGTGAGCACAGCTAGAACACCACACACACACACATATATATATATGTATAGATATAGATATGTAGTTATATCCGCCCTACGGAAAGACTCCCTTACTATCCATCCACAGGTTTCGACCGCAGAATCCTCTCTCGCCCTCGCTGTGATACATTTACACAAAGATCGGAGAGCGCCGTTGTATGACAGTCTCCCTCCCCGTCTCGAATAGCCCTATTCCCCTGTACATACAAGACCGCTTCATACTTCCCGTCCTTAGAAGGCCTGGAACGGACCCGGAAGTCGGTCTCTGATGGCCATTCGGGGAACATTCCTACTGTTGCAAGTGTAAGCGGATGGACAGAGGAGCATCCGGAGAGTGAAAGTGGGACTTACAGGTAGCCTCTTTGGCGCTTGCTTCAAGAGTGCTAAGGTTTTCCCGGGTGGTGGCGGCTGGGAGACCGGGTGTTGGATGTTTGATGGGAAAGCTCGTTGCTCGGCCGGCGCTGTGCACTTTGACGATAATGTGGTATGTATTTGTGTCCGTTCTGATTGAGGGATTGAACGAGTGTACGATACGTGTAAATATGCCCATAGTGGGTGGGAGCTAATGTTAGGTGTCTTCGAAAGCCGAGGTATCTTCGAAATGGGAAGTAGGAATTGGTGTCTTTGACAAGCCTGCAGAGTTGGAGAACTGGGATCTTATACGCCGGGAACATGTGAAGAACGCAAACCTTAATGTGTGAAGGCCACGAATTGCTAAGTAGTTATGTTCACCAGCGCGAAAACCCCAGGGTTAGATTCAATGCCGAAGTTCATTCTTCACTTATAATGGAAGAGAATAGCCAAAGCTGGCACACCTTGCGTATGTAAATGACAGTGCCTTTCGTTGGACCTTATGCGAACTCAAGTACATGATTCAATATTGAGACATACGTTGTACCGGAGCAAGAGCGGGGAGAAATATCTAAGTGGGAAGATCCTAAGAAAATTTATGGAATGAGCAACCGGATATGTAATCACCACGCCGCGAACATAAACAGGAATCTCGCATATTTTGGACGCATCTGGGTTTCTTTTTTGTGAAGCTAGGCTCCTAGTCGCAGGAAATTGGACGGAATTGCGTTCCATATCCATTTAGTTTCGCATCAGCAATGGCAAGATGCACGCTACCCATAAAATCCAATGGGCGTCCTCCCAGAGAACCATATCAAAATAGAGAATCGCGGAAGCCTCGCCCCGCTATGCACATCTTCCTGCTCGTCTAAGCCCCTCATCATGCAACTTCCCTCTAATACCCCATATCGCATCGCGATGATTACCACCCATACCCTTCGCAACGATGATCTGCTCCTCCCCGCCTTTATGCAGCGTGGCTTCATACCCGTCTCCAATTTTCGTCGAGCAGACATGGAACTCCTTCGCATCTGAATGCTCCTGCCGCGCTCGAGCTAGCCTACATCAGCTTCGACCGTTCCCTTCAAGGACGCACCGTACTCACAAATAGCTATCTCCGCCCAGCTCAACAACTGCGCCATGTTATACGCTTCTTTATCCCCGGGCACCCTTCCACCCATTTTCTTCGCCTGTTGCTGGATCTTTTTCACTTTGTCTTTGTACTCCCACTCCATGTAGATATTGCTCGGCGGCTCTAGTGCGAGATTCCAGTAGTGATGACCGTGGCGGCCCATCATCCAGTGTTTGTTCGTGAACTCGTGCCATCGTGTGAGAAGGTCTTTGTGGTAAGCTGTTGGGGATTTGGTTGTATCTTCTGCGTAGATAATGGCGAAGTTCTCTTTTTCGCCGAGTTCGTTTTTGGCGACCTTGATGTTGATATGGTAGGTTTGCGCGATGAGCTCGTTGGGGTCGATAGCCATGGTAGTGAATTTCTGGCGAGAAAATCATCCACGGGAGGGTATTGGTAGTGTAAGTTGTCAATACCAATAGCTGTAATTGTATTCCAAGATGTTTCTATATTGATGATGGGTCCCCATTGCGGACTTCATATATTTGCCACTTGTGAAAGAAATGGATATATGGTCGCGAAAATTCACTTAGTCGACCACCTGCCACCGTACTTGTGAATCAAGCTGCATGACACGGATGCTTCAATTGGTTATCACATATGCAGAAATATCATGGTAGCAGAGTCAACAAGGAAGGTTATTTAGTTCCGGAACCTGATTTCTGATTTCTTTTAAGCTAAATGAGCGAATATAAGAGAGATTTTTGACAACACACTTCCCACCATATCTCCATGCCCAAGAAAGTCTGAACGCCCCTGTTCGTGCCGCCACCTTTTCTATGGACGAGTTAACGTTGCAACTCCGCGCAAGCTGATTCGAGAGACTTACTCGGCAAGTAGAAGCGGTGCAAAGTCGCCCACTCCAGTGCTTACTCCTCGTCCTCTGAAGGAGGCTGACCCTTAGGCGGCTTTGGCCCCTTGGGAGGCTTCGGGCCCTTGGGAGGCTCAGGATGAGGCTTCTTCTTGTCCTCATCGCGGATGGCTGGAGGGCCATGAGGAGGGGGCGGTGGCGGCCCATGCTCCTTAGGCGGCTTCGGATCATGGTGAGGCTTCTTCTTGTCTTCGTCGTCTTCGTCGCGAGCAGTCGGGGGACCCTTGGGAGGGGGAGGTGGCCGATGCTCCTTCGGAGGCTTCGGGTGGTGGGGTTTTTTCTTGTCATCATCATCGCCGTCACGGGCAGCTGGAGGTCCATGTGGAGGAGGAGGGGGTGGATGGCCCTTTGGCGGCTCCGGCTTCGGATGCGGTTTCTTCTTGTCCTCATCACGGATGGCCGGAGGGCCATGAGGTGGTGGTGGTGGCGGCGGTGGAGGCCCGTGATCGGGACCCTTGGGAGGCTTCGGGTCGTGGTGTCCAGGCGGTCCCTTCGGGGTGTCCTCCGCAATGGGGACAGCAGCCGCGAGGGCGCCGGTAAAGAGCAGGACGTAGGTGAACCACTTCATGATGGTAAGAGTGGTAGGCAGAAGAATGGTCTTGCAGTGTTTGGTGGGAGTAGTAAGGAGTTGTTGAGCCGGTGTGGTGTCGAGAGAACGGTAGCAGAGCTGCTCTAGCTTTATACCCGCTCGTCTTCATGCTCGCGATGCTCTTACACTTGCTGTTACGTCGATACTTTCTCTCCCAAAGGCCGCCTCGTGTTCGTGAGTATGGATAATTGGCATCATCGTACGGCGTCCTTGAGGGTTGGATAGTATCGTCAATGTGGTGTCAACCAATCGACAACATCGCGATGATTGAAACACTGGGTACCAATGTGCCATCAGGTTCGCTCAAGCTTTCCGTTAAGCTTTTCCCGTGCGGGGTTGTATATGCACGCGACAGCGCTCCTTGCTAGTCTAGGAAAACGTACGCCGGTCGCACACGCCTTCTCATCGATCAGCATCCAAAATCCGGGGAGTTTCTTGGCATGAACCTGGTCGTGGTAATTGAGGCGTCGTAATGCGATCGTGACGAGCTTACGTGGACGGGTCGCGATTGTCTCTACTCAAGACTGCAAAGGGAATCGTGCCAATTCTGCACGCTCTACGTGCTACCTCCGGCGTGGATGATCCTCGGATGGCTACCGAATAGACGTAGATGAGGGTGACGACTGCGCCCGGATAAACGCTGTACCCCTCCCATGGGACCGAACTCCTAGTGGTCCGAGAAGGAACACTATGTTCCTAGGTTCGGAACCTGCCGATTGGTACTTTGTGCTGCCTGTTTAGGCAATTCGCAGGTACAATGGGCGAATAGTCGTGATTGGTCGGTTGCTCCATGATGTACGAACAAGGCGCTACAGCGACGCCTTTCCGCTAACGGGATCGCAGAGCTAAGAATAACGAACAGTCGATAGCGAGAGGAGTATGGATGAGCAGAACTACGTCTTCGCGCTCCTCTTCCCGAGCGAGGCTACGTAAGCAACACTCTGGATAAGAAACCCCTTGCTTGCTCCGGCTGTACGGAGGTGCTTTAACGTCAATGTCATGTCATCAGGTGCTTAATGGACGCTCCTCTGAAATGCGTCCACGGCAGTCCCCCTCGATCACATTGAACGCGGACGAGTGAGCGTTAGGCGCCAGAATCGCGCACAGCGGCCATTCGCGAGCGAGCGATCCAGGGCCGATTGGAGTGAGTATTAGTGTAACCACCATATGACCGAGCATGCCACTTACGCACTGATCCAAGAATGCCGTTTGGCCTGACCCATACGGCAAATATACCAGCCATTGGGGTCCCTAGCCACGTCCTTCGAGACCCCCTCACCTCCGCACACTGCACATCAATACCAAAGGTGCAACCGAAAATGCAAGCTCCCGACATCGCCAAAGCGGAGAACCGTAGCCGAGATTTATCATCTCGTCAATTTTCCCGCAGGCGAAGTTGAGCGCTTGCGCGCGTTCGTGATTAGGATGACGACGCGCTTCCCCTGAAACGTATGGACTTTGGTCTCGGTCTCGTACTTGCTCCTGTCGCCATCCTCGTGTGCTTCTAGAGCGTGACGATGGTAGTTAGGAAGATGAACGTCGCGTTGGAGAAGTGAAGGATGGATGGGGAAGGAGGGGGTCGAAGAAATATAGGGTGTTTGCATCGCGAGAGTCGACACCACAACGTTCGTATACACACGCTGTTGCCCATTGTCGAAAAACAGGCGAGATGTAGCGAGAGTAAGTCAGCTTTTGGATTACTCGTATCAACTTCAAAATGATACCTGACTAGCCAGCACAGTAGTACCCACTCATACGCCGTTCTTCTCCGCACCCCTTTACAGCCACACCTACCCATCGTACAAATCCACGTCCGGCGCTCCATCCGGGCCTCTCCCCGTGCTTGATCCCTCATTCGCATCCACCATCTCAAAGCCCTCCATAAGACCGCCCCCAGCACCACCACCCAGCCCCTGCAAATCCTTCAATCCCATCAAGTTCAAAAACTCATTATCCTCTTCCCAGTTCATTTCATCAAACCAGCTACTCGGCAAGAACGGCAACCCACCACGAGAGTCGAATAGCGAGGAGCTCGAAGCGTGTTGGAGGCCGAAGGTAGGCGTGGCTGTTCCGCGGGTATGGAAGGATGACGAGAGCTCTGGAGGGGCGAGTGTGGATGCTCTGGTGGCGTGCGCGGAGGAGGGTATGAGGGTGAGGGATTGCTTGGACAGCGAGGGATCGGTGAGCTGCTCGGCCGTAGTGTGCTGTGTGCCAGTATCGGCGCGTGCGGCATCGCCCGAGTCGCGGATAAAGTGTGCGACCACGCTGCCCATCAGCACAGCGGGCTGATATGTCTCGCTCATCTCCTTCATACACTCGCCCAATCCTTTTAAATACTCCAGCAGCCTAGCTCTCTCGCCGCCAACCCGATCTCCCTGCAGCAAGCTGATCTCAGCCATGAGGGCTGTTGCAGCCGTACCGACGTGCTGCAAGCCGGTTACGAAGATGCGCTGGAGTGCGTATCGGCGCTTGTAAGCGGTCATAATTTCGGCGACCTGGACGGCGTTGGTGACGCAGACGTCGCGGGAGAGAGTGCTGAAATGCGTGGAGCCGGAGTGGCGCGCGGTGTTTGACTGCTGAAACTGAGGTTGCGTAGGGAAGCTGCGATGGAGGAGGATGAGGGCAGTGTGGTATTGCGTACTTTCAGTCGTTAGCCCTGCACTGTCGTATACGGGATCTTGAGCGAAACCTACTGTAGAAGATAGAAAGACGAAGGCGCCGTCCGAACATTCTCTTCCGTCCAACACAAGCGCGCCGGCAGCTCGGCGTACCAATTATTCAGCTTACGATCTAGTGTCGCAATCTTTAAGTAAGCATCCGAGGGATTGAGGTTCTTCCTTAAGTCGCGAGTTTCACAAAGCGGCTCCAAGAGATCCATGAGCTGGAGCAAGGCTTCATAGATGCGGGTTTCGATCGTCTTTTCGTAAGCATACGTGCGGGTCTGACTCTCGATGAGGCGGTCGAAGTCCTTCCTCAAACATGCGGGTGCAATGTCAGACGGTTTGAGCATAGTTGGACGCCCGAGGTACAGCGCCCAATATCTGTACACTTGTTAGGGAATGGCAGACAGGGGAGTGGAAGACATACACGTCATTCATGATGCAGGCCCAGAGCACCATATGCCGAATCTGCACCTCACGCTCTGTCAACCTCAGCTCACTCGGGTCAACATGCAACCCCACATCAAACAGCAGCCTAAACGCCATCCCCGCAAACATCCACCCCGTATCATCCCTCCCAGCAGCAACCTCCAAATCCCCCAGCAAGAAGAAAGCTTGGATCGACGGGATGCCACCGGGCTTTATCAGCTCAAGCTCCGCCATCTTCTTGGCCTTCATATGGAAGCACGACGAGTCCGGGTGCGACGCAGGAGTCGCCAGTCTTTTAATATCCGGTCGGCTCCTGTCGGCGTATCGGTAGCCCTCCGCGAGCATGGTCATGTGGAGGAAGTTGGAGTAGAACTGCGTGCCGCCGCTCTTGAGGTCGTCGAGAAACGCCCACTTATGGACGACGTGGAGGGCGGAGTTGTGGCAGTCGAAGAACAAGTCGATGAGATAGTCGTGCGTTTCGGGGCTCAGATCCCGGACGAGCGTGGATATAGGCCAAAAGCTCTCGGATATTTTAGATGGATCCGAGGTCGAGCGTGAAAGGATGTGCATACTTGTCGTTGGTCCAAAGAACCTTACGCGTCCAGACGCCATATCGAATTTCACCGGTCGCGGAATAAGCTTGCCAAGGATAGCTTTGCTCTGGGAGGTCGCCTCGTCCATCCGGGAGGACGCGGGCACTTGTCGTCCCGCATCGACATAAGGCGGAGGCTCATCGTCATACACTGGAGTAGGTTGCGACTCGTCGTCCGTTTCCATCGGGAGCGGTAACTCGAACTGGTCCTGCGCGGTCTCCACACCGCCATCGGGTTCCGGAAGTGCATGCCCCTGCCCGTTCTGCCTGAGGAGGTTTTCAAGATGCTGGATTCGCCTGCTGAGCTCATTCGCCACAGCTTTAGAGTTGGCACGGCTGCATCGACAGTTTAGGTAAGCCTAGGATATAGGTAGAATGGAGAGAGGGATGCGTACTTCTTCCGCCCATCCCTAGAATCGAAAGCGCAAGTAACTCCAGACAGCCGGCATTGCGTGCATGCATCTTCTCCAGGCTCAATCTTGCACTATGAATTGTGAGATACTTCCTATGCGCGAGAATGAGTAAGCGAGAGTTACTCTGATACGACTCTTGCGGCAATTGAGACATGCCATGGAGGCGCGGCGCCTCCTTCGAGCCGAGAATTCCGTTTCTGCGGTGGAGCTCGTCATAAGTACAGTGCCTCTGAGTTATGCAACCTGGATTGCTTTATCGGATGATCAAGAGGCAGTCCGGGCTGGACGTCTAGAAAAGAAGTGGCCCGGCAGGAACGTCCCTTAGCGTGGTGCCGGATCGACAGCGCTAGTGGTGTGGTGAGGCGGGGCCCCGGATCTTGGGTGGAAAAGGTTAAGCGATGGTGGAGAATGGAGAACGGACTGCATGCTTAGGCGTTCGAAAAGGGAACAAGCGGGGTTTAAGAAGCAGGACATGCGAAGGTATTGAGGTGAAGTTAGGCATTGATTCAGGGATCATGGGGAAGATATTGTGAAGATATAGTGAGGATGTATCCTTCAAAACACTTAGAATCGCCCTCTTGCGAGAAACTTATTCGGAATGTCAACCCATTTCGCTCGCAGGTATTCGCCGACATTCTTGCCTAGGGTGTCGTAGGTGCTCGTGGAGTTGAAGCCGCGATCCAGGTGGTCTCTCAGCAAGAAATGCACAGCTCTAATACCAGGAATCTCAAAGCGCTCAATCTTGCCGCCCTTATACTCCTCGTCGAGCATCAACTTGATCTTGCCAATGGTGAGAAGTGACCGGAGCCAGTCCCACTCATCGTCGTGGCGCACGTAAAAGCCGACGTTCGCGTCAGAAGCCTTGTCGCCAGATCGACACCCGACGACCCAGCCCATAGGGCCTCGCGTCGTGGGTCCGAAGATCTTCAAGTCAGCTGGGTCTTTAGTCTCGTAGCTCGGCTGGTCGCGAGGGTACTCTTTCATCTCTGCACACGGTCGAACGTCGATTGTCTTCCCGTCGAGCCAAGGCAAGACGACGCGGTGCTGGACCTCGGACTGGGGGAGCAGTGAGACATAGTACTCATAGTAGACCTTTCCCTCGGACTGTCGCTGGTCATTGCCCAGCGTCCAGCCAGGGCAGCCCTGTAGGCCATTGTCCATGCACCAGCGGTTGAAACCGGGAACGTCGAGCGTGGACTTATCGACCAGCGTCTTGTTCTTGGTTTGCACGAAGATTCTCAGATCGCACGTCGCCACATCCTGGTTCCTGGGGTTGTCGGGGCAGTAGCCGTTCAAGCTGAACTTGAAGCATGAGAGCTCCTTTACGGCATTGCCGGCGGAGTAGCGGACCTGCCTCTCAACCCACTCCGCCTTGGCCTCAAGGTCAAGACCGCAGATGTACACGTGGAACTCAGCCTGATAGCCGCCAAATGCTGTCATGCCGACTTTTGTAGTAGTTGGCGGTGCGAGACCTCTGACGCCGGCCACGCGAACGCGGTCCTTGCCCTCTTCCCACATGGCGATGCCCTCCAACAATGCCGTCACATCTGAACCGTAGTATAGCGGGCCTTGAATCTCGTAGAGCAGTTGCGAGGCGACGGTTCCGATCGAGACCTGCCTGTGTCAGCTCTAAAGCCCAGCCCTCGAATCAGCATCACTCACCTCCCCTCCAGTGTCGGGCTCCTTCTCGATGGCACAGCTGCCGTCGGGGTACAGAGACGCGATCGGAAAGCCAAGGTTGTGGCATCCCTCCATGAGCCGCTTGAAGCCGGAGAAGTATCCGCCGGTAACGTAGGCCGCGCATTCGATAAGATGGCCGCAGATCAGACTACCAGCGATCTGGTCGAAGTCCTTGTCGCGGTTCCAGCCATGCCACCACATTCCCACTGCAGCCCTGTTAGCATTTATGCGCTCTCTTTCTCTGTCCGCGATATACCCACCTCCGACCGAAGGAGCGGCATCCGCGACACGCCCACAGATGACGATATCGGCGCCGTGGTCCAGTGCCTGCGCGATGCCAGCGCCCCCTAGATAGCACTGGGAGTATATCGGGGTGTAGCCCCAATCCTCAAGGTTCTCGCCCGTCATTAGGCTGGGGAATTTCTCTCCCTGCTTGATGAGTCTGTTGACTGTATCCGTCACCTCGTCTCCCTCCACGTATGCCACCTTCAAATCTAGGCCCTGCCTTTCCACCTCCTCCTGCACCACGCGTGTGAGAAGTTGTGTATCACATGCCCCGGCATTGACGGCGACCTTGATTCCCTTTCGGGCGATGTCGGGCAGCGCGGGCGCAAGGTTCTCGAGGAAGGTGGGATCGAACAGGCCCGCTGGCTCCTCCAGGAGCTTGCCCTCGACGCGCAGCTTCTCATTGTCAATCTTCTGCGCGCCATGCAGCGTCATCGTGCATTCCGACAGCCAATCGCCGACAATTGCATCTACGTCGAGCTTCGCGAGGGAGCTGATGGCGCGCTGTCGGTCGGAGAAGCCACCGGACGCTCCTGCGATGCGGACGGGGCGCTTGACCCCATTGGAGCTCGTGTTATCGTCGGTGGTGCCATTGGTATGGCCATTGACGACTTTGGCGGCTACGTTCGAGAGGAAGGACATACTGGGCGATGAGGGTGGTTGTAGATATGGCGTGTTCCTTCACGGCGGCGGCGGCTTTAAGGCGACGGGGACGCCCATGTCGGTCGAAGTAGCCATTGGAGGCAGATTGGTGCGAGGCGCGAGAGGAGCCGCGCAGCAGTCGGAGGTGTGAAGGATGATGGTCTTCCGTTGCGTCGCGAGAGGTGCAGTTCACTGCCAAGACTCCGATCCGATCAGGAAGGCGGGGCTATAAACCCCCGATGTGAGTCCGGGAAAGCTCTTCCTCACCTCTTCAGCCCTCTGCCCCTCAACCACCGTCCATGGCTCGGAGTCTCGGCAGTCTTTCCGATGCCGAAGGCGCTGTTCGGAATGTTCGATGGCGGGCATGGTGAACGGTTCTCGTGGCCGGTCATGCATAGATCCCTGAAAATAAAAGTAGGGACGGGACTCCTTTTGTAATTCATACTCAGTCGTCCTTTTCCAGTCAATTGAGCTTCCATTACTGCCTTCCAATCGCGTATTCCCCCATCATGTCGATCAAGGACAAGGTCATCGTCATCACAGGCGCCGCCTCCGGCATGGGCCTCGAAACTGCCCGCCTCTTCGCTAGCAAGGGCGCGAAGCTCTCCCTAGCCGACATCCAAGAGCAGCCTTTGAAGGATCTCGAGGCAGAGCTACAGCGGTCTGGTGCCCAAGTGATGGCCACGGTGGTAGATGTTAGCAACCGGAAATCCGTGGAGGATTGGATCGCGAAGACAGTGGAGAAATTTGGGAAGCTTGACGGCGCAGCCAATCTGGCTGGAGTCATCGGAAAGCAAAACAACATCGCGGGCGTTGAAGAGATCGACGACGCGGACTGGGACTTCATCTTTGGTGTCAATACGAAGGGGCTTCTGAACTGCCTGCGGGCTCAGGTGCCTCACTTCAACAACGGTGGCGCTATTGTGAATGCTGCCAGTATCCTGGGTTTGATCGGCTCGAAGAAGAGCATCGCATATGTGGCATCCAAGCACGCCGTCGTGGGAATGACGAGAGCCGCCGCAAAGGAGCTGGGAGAGAGGAATATTCGGGTCAACTGCTTCTGCCCGTAAGTCTTAAACGACCCACGGCCCTTTGCCTCCGTTTACTTACAATCACTGCAGTGGCCCCATTGATACTCCGATGTTGAGGAAGTCCGCCGAAATCCGAGGAACTAAGATGAACTATGATTTCCTCGCCCTGAACAGAGCCGCCGATCAGAAGGAAGTACCGCCGCTCCTCGAGTTCTTGATCTCGGATGCGTCTTCCTTCATAACCGGCGTAGCCATGCCCATTGATGGCGGGTGGTTCTGCTAGCAGCCCATAATCACCCTAGAATGAATGTTAATGTGCATCTCACTTGCACGCCCATCTATCAACTGGCTTTCCTAATTCCTGTTCTATTTGATACCATTTACTTGAAGAGGCAGGAAATCATCTAGAACGCCATCAATCGCATGCTTTCATCACTGCCATCACGCGCGCTAACAGCGGCCCGCTTATGACACCCACCGGAAGAACGGTAGGACGCATTCGGCCTCTTGAACTACTTCCACCTCCGATCCGATATGACGACTTATCTGAACAGGATTTCACGGCATCTCATCAGTTTCCGTACCGACCCACCGAATAGCCAGACATACCTTCGGCCGCACACGCCTACCATACTCCACCCCCTGTCTTCCATCCCGTCTGTCTCAGCAACCTCGGGCCGGAACAACTCAAGCCATTCACTCCCCAGCTATAGTATATCTTCAGTGGTGTTGACCTTATCCTCTATCTGCGGTTACTCCCCATCGCCTTCCCTCTTCCGGTCATCCTACTCACAGCATCCCGCTCCCGCTCCCGTGTTGAACGTCTGCATCATGTCCACCGAATCCCTAATCCGCGTCACCGTCCTGGTAAACCGCAAGCCTGGCACCACCGAAGAAGAATTCAGCAAATACTGGGCCTACAAACACGGCCCACTAGCCACGGACTGGCTCAAGCGCAACGGTATCATAAAATACGTCCAAGTAAATTCCCCCTTGGCTTCCCTGTACCTTCCCTCCCCCCATTCCTCTCCTACCACCCTTTCCCCCTATCTCCTCTCTTCTCACAAAACCCAGTACCACACGACCTCCGCCTACAAAGCCCTCGGGCAGAAAATGTTCGACGCCACGGGCCGCTCACCGCTCGCCTACGATGGCATGGGCGATTTTTGGGTGAGGAAATACGAGGACTTTGAGGCTGCTTTTTTAGATCCGTATTATCAGGAGGTTATTCAGCCGGATGAGAAGGAGCTGATTGATATGGAGAGCATTGCGGTGACGATTGGGGTCGAGTATGTTGTTATTGAGGAGGGGGAGATTGTGGAGAGGCACGCTAGGAAGTTTTAGGGGCTTGAGTAGATGGTAGGGAGGGAGGTCGAATGGTACTTTGGCCTGTTACTGTCATGCGGTTGATTCGGAGACGCTGCGCCCAGTAAGGAAGCGCAGAAAATGGCAACTATCTTGTTGTTGGTTCTAAATGCGCAGGACATACTATACAAATCTTTAATATACGCAAACTTCTTAGGGTAGACCTAAGGTAACCTAAAGTCTTACCAGACTACCACGGCTTCTCACCCGAAGCCTGGAGAGACAGTGAGGCAGAAAGCCGCTAAAACGGACGCTGGGAGCCTCAACTGCACGTGCAACTGCAGGAAGCGGCGGCGTCAGGTGCCTATGTAGGTACATGCACATAGACGGGGGCAGTAGCGGGTTCGTCGTGGCCGCTCCGGACTGGGACGTGTTCCTCGAGACATCAACTTGCGCCGAGGCTTTAGCGATACCCAATGTTGTCGCCATACTATGGCAGGTTCACTAGAGTTTCCAGGCCATACACCACATGCACAACAGCTGGAGCCTCACTCAAAACGCCTTCGAGAGCATGGTTACCCGCTCATATCAGATCCTGATGACGTCGATGTCAAATTGGCGCAGCATGAGCAGACGACATGCCCTTTCCTGGGGGCTATAGTCGGCGAAGCTCAAAAAGCAGCGATGACCTCAGGAGCGCACTTCCCCTCATTACCGTCATAGTAGGATGCGGCACGTAACTCAGTCTAGATACCATTCGCTTCATTTCTACTTGCGGGCGGATAGCTTTGGTGCACCGGTGGCCAATCGTAAAGGGGGAAAGACTCTTTGTCTTTTCAACACACCTAGTAAGCGTTGAATTGTGACACAGGCACTTTAACTGATGGTTAGACTCCGGAGGACGACTCATATCCTACAAGATTGGGACAGCTTCGCCCGCGACGTTCGCCAAACCAAACACCAACGTCACGGCCATTAACTCTTTCACGCCACCAGATGCACCAGAAAGGCGACGCAAGGCTTCCGAATCCACGTCAAAGGCCTCGCACTCACATTGACCTCTTAACTACGGACTGGATCTCGTCAGCCGTCCTATTCACCCGAAAGCTCATGTACACGGTGAGCAAATTGTTCCGACGGCAGGAGACAACATACATTAATTGAACCAGACACTGCAGCGATCTGGCTTCGTGGCGATCCACCCCAATCGATGCTGGTAACCCGTGTTCTACAGCATTCGAGGTTACAATCCCCGAGTATGGCTTTGAGCACGCGCATTATGCAATGAACGCAGCGCGATTGCGGGGAAGGGGGTCGAGTGACATTGCGGGGCGTGTGGATTGGCGCTAGCACCGTATTCGAAAGTTAAGCCATCAAGACTTGGAGAGGGCGCAATCTGCAATTGGATAACTGAACGCCACTCGGACAGTCCGACCGGAGACTAACGCGCGCCACAGCCATCCATCTGAGAGACGGCCCAACCAGAAAGTTACCTAGGTAGAACCAGCCAGTAACCACTAGCACTATTACGTGGTATATACCGCATTATTGTCGTCTCAAGAGCCCTCATACGCTTTGAGACTCTACCAAGACCGGGTACGAGAAGCTTTTGCATATGTCCTCCCGTTCGCAGGTTTCAACCGCAACCGCTCGGAATGGATTGCCTCTTCAGCTGTTTCCACTAACCTGTTATGTCCAAGTCGGGACTACCCCATAGATTTGCAAGCCGTCTTCGCCACATTGTGGATCTGAAACAGACTTGACGCACGAGCATGCCGATTGTCCCTCTGTCAACACCGATACTAGTCGCAGCAAATTATCGCATCTCGTTTTGCGACCCTCCATCGCTTGCGGGTCCCAGGGGTATCAAGATGGAATACGCCCCTAAGTAAAATCCGAAGTCTCTGCGTGGTGATATATAACCGTGCTTCACCGGGACATGCCTGCTCCGCTCCATCATTCACACATTCATATGCTCAAGTACCATGGCTTCTCGGTCCGATATCCAGATCGCTGCTTTGGCCGCTGGCTTCACCCTCGGATATGGGCTTCTCACTGTGTGGGAGGCCATCAAGCAGACTCGTCAAAATCGTAACCCCCTACGAAGTGCTTACATTTACATGATATGGGGCGAGGTTATCGCGAACCTAGCCATTGGGGTCGTGGGATGGGTATTCCTCGATGGAGTCATTGGTCCGACGTAAGCGCCGTGTTGAATCATTTGCAAGATGTGGAACGGGTTCTGACTTCACGTAGTGTTCCAGTCCTCTTCTTTATTCTCTTGCTCTGGGTCTTCGAGATACAGCTATTAATGTGAGTACACTCAAAGTGCCCCTTGTGTTGAGACTCACACACACCAATAGGCAGATCATCATCAACCGCATTGCCTTGATTGCCGAGCATAAGCGCACGATCAGAAGGATTAAATGGGGCACCGTCGTCGTGATCAGCGCTATTAACGTCGCAGTCTTTTGCATATGGATTCCATCGCACATAAGCCCTCCGGCTAGCCAGCTGTAAGTAGCCTCGCGAGGCGTCTCCAATGATCCTTGCGCAACGGCTGACCTCTCAAGATACGTCGACATTAACAGGATATGGGACCGGGTGTCAAAAGTCCTCATTATGCTCGTGGACGCTCTGCTGAACTGGTACTTCTTACGCACCGTCAAAAAACACCTGGTTCAACAGCACGGCCTTCTCAAGTACCAGCCTCTCGTGAGTTTCAATGCGAAACTCATGATCGTCTCTATTAGCATGGACGTAAGTCCGATCTAATGTCGGTACTCATAAAACTCATATACTGACTACATATCAGGCTATGCTAATTGGGCTTATGTCCCTACCAAATCAAGTCGTCTATATCCAATTCCACCCTGTCGCATACATGGTAAAACTCAATGTTGAGATGTCCATGGCCTCCCTTATCGTCCGCCTCGCTCAAGGCCGAACCGAGAACGACGTGTTCGGACCTCACTCCTCTACCGACCCACGTTCCCACCACCGCTCTGGTGCGCGAGGCACTCAAAGGCCCCATGAGGGCTTCGAACTACGATCCTACGAGACTGGTGCAAATGGACATCAACGCAAGCACACCGACACGAACTTTTCGGGTATACATCGCCGCACCGACGTTCAGGTCGTGGTAGAGAATACGGACAGACATGGTCCATACAAGACCGGTGAATGTGCTAGTTCCACCGATTTGAAGAGCTTACCTCAGGTAAAGGAGGACATGTATGACGATGATATACCACTTCGTATCAAGCATGACGTAGGATTTATAGGGAGAAACGCGTAGTTACGAAGGACGTATTCTATTTGTGAGGGATCTGAGAAGTTACCAAACGCCTGCTGGATTCAATGTGCAATTTGCCCACTCTTCTCAGCGTAGAAGACTGTAGTCGTATTTAACCCCGCACTCGCCCGTCTATTGCATTTTCTCTTCGCATTCTTCTTATTAATAACCCTATCGCTAAATCTAAATTTTTAAGCGCATTAGCGGATTATTTTATTCTATCGAAATGATTGCATAGCCTAGAACGACCTGGTCATCGCCTTTAACGCTCCCACAGACCCCTTATGACAAAGGACGACTGTAGGTACGCTAGGCCTTACCTTACCTAGGTGCGGCGCTAGGCGTCCAGCCAACTACGTACCCCTCAGAAGGGCTTCATGAAGCGAATCGGATCTACGGTTCCAAATGCCCGCTCTTGCCTAGCAGCCAACCGAACGCCCGGGATTCCTTACCCGATTGCGTATAACATCACTCCGGATTCAAGATAGCCAGCGTCATGAACCCCCCAGTCTCCCACCTCGCAACAATTAGTCTTCCCGGAGCTGTTCGAATGCGCTGGTGAGCACAATGAACTCCATCGACATTCCGCTCAAGGACAAGATCATCCTCATCACGGGTGGTGCATCCGGTGGGTATCCCTTCCACCACGCGCACAACGTGGCATAGAACTGACCACACATCCAGGCATCGGCCTCTGCCTGACCAAACAATCCCACGCTGCCGGCGCCCGCGTCCTAGTCGCTGACCTCCGTACTACGCCTGAGTTCGACAGCTTCGCAGCCGGCAAATCCAACATCCTCTACGTGCAATCCGACGTGTCGCACTGGCCGGACTTCCTTAAGCTGTTCGATGCCTGCGAAAAGAAATGGAACGACGTGCCTGATGCGTACGGCATCTGCGCGGGGCTTTTCGAGCCTTCTTTCTCCAACTTCTGGGACGATCCGGAGGAAGAGAAGGGGTACAAGCAGGTTGATGTTAATGTGAGCCATCCGATTAAGCTGACGCGGTTGGCGATTAAGAAGAGTCTGGGGAGGGGGAAGAGGGCGAGTGTGTGTATCATTGTAAGTCGACCTCCCGAGGAGAGTTCTCAGCACGTGACTTCTTGGAGAACAACCTTGGAAGAGCCGGAGGCTAACAGGACGATAGGCATCCATCGGCGGCCTCGGAGGCAGTCTAGCCGCGCCCCTCTACTGCGCCACTAAGCACGCCATCGTCGGCTTCGTCAAGTCCATGAAAGACAGCGAGCCCCTTACGGGCGTCAAAATAACCACCATCTGCCCCGGCCTCGTCAACACGCCCCTCGTCACTTTGGACAAGAGGGAGCAGTATTCGTTCCACGAGAACAAGGCCCTTACGCCGCACTCTGTCGCTAAGAACATGCTGGAGCTGATCCAGAAGAAAGAGTATGGATGCGGCACGGTGCTGGAGCTGAGCAAGGCGGGCACGAGGGTGGTGCCGGAGTGGAATATTTCGCCGCCGTCGGCGGAGGGGACGGGGCAGAATGAGGTGGAGCTGGCGGCGGGATTGGAGGCGCTGCTAGCGCCAATTCAGGCGACATTGGCGAGGGAGAAGGCTGCGAAGTTGTGAGAGGGGGTTTGTGGCATTGGCGTCGAACAATGACGAGTTAACGTCTACGGGTACTCTGGTCCAAATCCCTTCGTTCATCTCAGTTCTCTGACAGTGATTGGCGCAGCAAGCGTTTCCAAGGTCCTAACGAAGCAGCTGCTGAGCCATCACGTGGGTGGACGGTGGCCCTGGGCTTGCCTTCCTCAGACGCGCCCCCATCTTTCTTCCTTCCCTTCCCATTGCATCCTACCTCGACTCAATATCACAACACTTAAATCTTTCCTATCCTCTCAATTGCCATCTCACCACTCCTCAGAGTTGTCAATTCCGCAAAGCGCCATGGGCCACGCCGTTTTGGCTGTATTCGAATTCCTACCCATCACCCCAACCGCTCTGCGCAGCACACTCTAAAGCTCCGACGCTGCATTACCCTCATTCCTAGGACCCAACTCCCGAAGTCTCTCACTCAACTCTGCGTGTACCGCGACGATTGTACCCAATGGGCTCTGTTCGCGAGCCACGAATCTTGCGGACTGTGTCCGCCATGCGTAAGATCCATACGCAATGAGGCAATCATGGAGTACGTGTGATTTCTGCGATCTGTTATATCGGTTCGGTCCAGAAAGAAAGTTCAGCGCGGAGCTAGCTAGGATAAATACAATCCTCGGGGAAACGTCACTTCACGCGAGACGATGGTACTCTCCAGACTAGAGTACTGCATGTTTGGGTAGACAAGGGTGAAAGATGCGCCATGTCGCAAAAAATAGTGTGGCATCCACTCATCTAACTCGGTATTGACAGTCAGGCACATACATCAGGGAAGTACAATCCCGTACCCTCATTGAGGTTTTCGATTCCCTATGGGACAGCGAATTTGGAGACGTCACAAAGCCTATAACCGCTGTCGAAGCCCTATGGCAGGCGAGCCCATCGATAAGGAGCGCCCCCTGATTCCAGCGAGATGCATCCCCAATGTGGAAGATCAATCAGAGAGCATAGTCAAACTGGTTGAGTCACTGCTGGGGTCCTTCTCGGGTCACGCTTGAGAACTAAGCCCAGTATTTGGAAGGCGTCCCCGTCTCCAAGATTCCGAAGACCCTGGGAATACCACCACACCCACGCGAGCTGAGCTGCTGGTATTAGTGAGTTTATTAGACGAAGTGTGTAAACTATTGCTGACCACAATAGAAAATGCTTCAGCAATATGGCGACGACGTATATTCCTATTGGATCCTTGTCATGGAGCCGAACACCCATTGTATGACCGTCTGACTACGTCGAGAACTAGCCACCGGCGTAAGTTTTTCATCTTGTATGGACATGGCCTGCTCAGGGGGATGTTGCCTCGGTGCAACGTGTCAAGGTCTCTCTCCTCACGTTCACATCGAGGAGTATTAGGAAGCGATAGTGCACTCGACCGGAATTTTCTTGCTGCTCCCGAGACCACACCTTACAAGCACTGCGACCAAAGCTAGACCGTGATACGCGACCTCATTTTCACGGGCTCCAACATCGTTCATTGCAGAATTCACGTCTAGGCTCTGGCTTTGATTTTTTCAGACTCTCCAGCGTAACGTTTTCTCAACGTCTCAACTGCGCTCTTTAGTCTGTCTCGTAGTATCAGCACGATCCCCACGATCGCCAATACAAGAATCCCCAGTTTACAATCTCACATTTCACACAACTCTTTGGATTTTTACTGGTGGCATTCTACGGGATGGGGTCATGCCGGCTGAATTGGTGGTTACCTTTCAGCTCGTGGAGCTACGAGTTTCGACCATGGCTGAGCAGTGACAAGAGGCTCCGGACAGCAGGGTATGGAAGTGGAAGAGGTGCTTCCAAACCCGAGGGCCTGGCCTCGCAACAGGCAGATACACGTCGCGCCGGTACATCGAACGAATTGACGACCCAACCGACAACAACACATCAAGTCCTTACTTCTGAAGCCACTGCCTTGGGTGGAAGACATCTCCAACGTCTGATCTCCCTTGAAATACCCAAGGCATCGATGTGGAAGTCCGGAGCGGAAATTCTCTCTCCCGGGACGCTCATTCACCACGGAAACCGGTGGGTCGCGTCGCCGCCCCGACTCTGGATTATAAATTTTCCCACGCGCACACCAATCTCTTCTCTTCCACCACAAACAACAAAATACTGACAATTTTGTCCAGCTTCCCCGAACATCGCCCCATCAACGCCGCAACAGCCGGCTCTTCCTCTCACAATGGCAAGCGGCAGAGACCCAACGCCCATCCCCGACAGCGACCGCGAGCTCCTCTTGGCCGCCATCGACGAGCTCAAAGACATCGTGATGAGCGACGATATCTACCGCAACATCATCAAGCTCCATCACCGGCACGCCGAGATCCCAGCCGGATTCGAGATCCAAGCGCCCATCAGCGGCATCGAGCTCGCTGTGTACGTCCAAGATCCGGACGAGGGAACGATTTACGTCGATATGAGGCACTGGCGCGTTTGGACCACCGTGTTACCCAGGCTGGTGAAGCATATGGTTACGGGTCCGTGGGGATGGGATGCCATGGTCACGGCCTCCCCGCCGGGTGCCTCGTTCGTTCTGAGGAAGATGGAGTAGGTGTGGTGAGCCGCAGGATCAGTCCAACTCACTCCAGCAAGGCTGTTGTTTACCAAATTGCCTGTGGGGTTGGGGGGAGTACGTAAGTGACGTCGCCAGGCTGGGCTTTCCAGCAAGCACGCTAACCAGGTGAAGGTTGGCTTCCACTTTGGATATCACGGCTCCCGACGATTTTGTGTTATTGCACCGCCACGTGCGAGGGATTTGGGAGGAATGAAGCTTTGGGAAACGTGGCAGACTACTTTCTTGCACTGTGGTTGTAGCTTACGGCCTGCAAGACGGCCTACCAATCTGGATCGGTGACGATTCTCACTATTGAAGCAATCCTTCACCTGATGATTTCTTTCTTGGCCTGGCGCAATGTGACTAGACATGCTCTTCGCCCATACCATTTCTCGCCTCGCCCCAGACCTGCGACAATTTACCTCCGTAATCCAAGATCCGCACGACCATGCAGAGAGCCAAATGGTATCTAGACAACGCTCACACATAACTCTGAGGGATACGTTGGTCCCTACGCGCTAACTAGATACAGATTTCGCTTCCACTTTGGGATATCTAGGCTCTATAAACGGGCGGCATGTTGTTGTATTTCTACACCGTTGCGTGCGCGGCATTTTGGAGGACTGAAATAATAGAAAATGACAGCGCCTAAGTTCTTTCACTGTATTATAGAATTTACCGTCTGCAAGAGCTCTTAATAACTTGCAGCTCGACCGAAGTAGCTACTCTAAAAATTCATCTTGTGCGCTTACATGCTCTCTCTGTTTTGAATTCCTCGACATCAGTCACACTCCGTAGGTGATCAGCTAGGTGGAGCCAAATATCTGAAGAGGAGTTTTGCGGAAATTCCAATGAAGGCTATCCTCCATTAGCCTGCTCGAAAGGGCGAGAAAGGTGAATCTGCGCGACTTTTGTTTATCGTTTAGTAGTGATTTTTTGGGTGTTATAGATGGTGGCAGCTACAATACGGTATCAATCTACACAATTTGATAGCCCCCGGTGACAAATATTCGCGCCCATTCCTAGGAGAACCGAGGATAGCAATGAAGAAAGGAGGTAAGGAGGGCAAGAAAGAGGAGCGAATTGGATCGCCTCACAAATCTAAAGCTTACCAAACATGTAGATGGTTCATTGCTGCTGGAAGAATGCCACATAACCCAACTGCAAAGCTGGAAGTAGTCCAAACATTGGGAAAGAAGGTCCATACGGTATTGGTAAAGGAGGTCCATACGGTGTTGCAGACATCCATGTGCTATTATTGCAACGCTCACACGTGACTCTGAGATATTTCCTTTCGGACAAAAAGCCGGGGGATCTACTGCCAGTTTTCCTGGGATTTAGAGCATCTTCCTGGCAGAAGCAGCAAGGAAAGCTGGTGTAGGGTCCCAGGCGATTACTAGGTATAGGCTGATCGGTTTCGGTGGCTGCGTCCCGTGTTCCACCGTTGCGCGTGTCGCGTCTCTGGCCATCCGATCTGTCATCGCTAGTATCGCCCTCTCCCGTGCTACTATTGGCGTCGGCCTCCCTGACATTGCTGGCTGATAGGTCAGCTTGAAGAGCGAGCCGCTGCTCGAGGCGGTCGGCTTTCAAGTGAGATACCATGGTATGGGAATGACCTGAGCCGGAGATCAATGCAAGCTTGAAGGTCGGCTGATATGGTCTGTTGGCCGAAGCAGGCGCGTCTTCCGACATATTGCAAAGGCGAGCATCCAAACACTGGGAGAAATCCAAGTCGCCTGCGGCCCTATTCGAGGGTAAATGGATGGAAACATGTTGGCAACCGTTGAAGAAGCAGGGTTCCTGAAGCATGAACGTTGGCGGTCCGTCCTCTGACAAGACCAGGGTCCTGGAGCAGAATCTGTAGAGCCCTTGATCTGGGACCCTACATCGCTCAATATCGACCCAATCGTAAATGGATAGTCGAGACTCGGAGCTGAGCTCCATCTCCTCGCCGTCGGTATACGGGCTTGTCGGTCGTGGCGAGGCGAAGCTCAGAGAAAACGAGACAGTATGAGCGAAGTCCTCTGTGTCCGAGGGGTCATTGGAATCTAAATCTTGTTGAGACCGTGTAGGGGTCGATTGGCCCGAATGAGTCGTGGAGGCTTCGATGAGGGACATTTGAGGGCGCATCAGGTGCCTGTTGAGCTCACCACACACCAGGGCTGCGAGATCCTCATTTTGCGCCGGGTTATTTTCGTTGGGGACGTCCGCCGAAGTGTCCCGTGTACCGCCAGCAATAGTGAGCTGCAGTTCTTCATCGCTAATGCTTTGTGTCTCTTGCGTAGTGGTGCGGGCGATGACCATCTGGACCTCCCCTTCCCCGTTCGCCCAGGGCGGGCTGCATGAAACCTCCTGACTAGGCCTGATCTCGCCAGAAATGCTATCCTGGGCTGTTGGTGGCTCGAAAACGCCTGTCTGCCTGTCGTTGCGGCGAAGGTGGTCGAGTAACTTGTCGAATGCTGCAGAGTGAGCGGCCATTTCTTTATGAACTCCACTCAGGCTGATGCACCTAAGATTATTAATAACCGTATATATGGCATCTCACCGCCTGTTAACCTACTGGCGATTGTTCTGAATGGTCAAGACACATATCAATGCCAAGCTTATGGAGCCTTCTATCTCTTTCGCCGCCTTTATCAAGTCTTTGATAGCATCTGCCGTCAGAACTAGATTGGCTGACTTGAGATATTTCGTGATGTACTCCCAATCAGAGAACATTTTGCCCACCCTCCTTTTGATCCTCTTCCCAATCGTTTCGAAGGCTTTGAGCTTCTTTTCGATGGTCTCCGCAAACAGGTTGAGGTTCGTTGCGGCTTCACTGAGACGGCTTTCCACTTCCTCGTCCAGGCCGGATTCGGATATGGGCTTCAAGGTTTTGATTACATGGGCGATTGTCTTATTGGACTGTGACTATGTCAGCAAATGGAGAGATGGACTTTAATGACTTTTACGTACCAATTGGACGCCTGTTAACACCGCCTCAAAGTCCTTCAACAGATCGGGGGCACCTTTGATGGCCTTTGCGAGTTGAAATATCTTCAGTGTACAATTTGTGATGGTGACTACGCTTGCGGCAATCCCAAGCGCCTCAGCCATATTGGGCACGGGCCGTGGGAACGGTGGCCCTGAGCCCAGGTCGTGGGAAATATGGGGAGTGAGAAGGCATACCTAGGCTGAGGGACGCAACCGTCGCCTGACTAAATAGTCCATTCCACTGCAAGAATCCGCCTGGTGCGGATCAGGCTGAGAGAGCGGTGAAGGCTTTGGCAGCAAGAATCCGCCTGACGCGAGCCAGGCTGAGAGACCGGTGAAGGCTTTTGCATCAAAGATTCGTTGCGAGCTCGAGGCGAGGCGGGGCTTGCAGCAGTTGGCTTATCAACGACCAATAGCACTGTGATGCATCCCAACACCGCGCAGTTGCAGTTCCATCCCTTGTGCCGCGCTCTGTGATGGGCTATACTTGGTCGCTCTCTTATTCGCGTCGCGTCGCGGAAGGCTGATTCCAGTGAAGTTTACCTCGTGGCAATTGAGCATGCCGTCCCCAAAGCTGCCGAGAAGTGGAGATGGTGCTGCGTGGTGTGGATAACGCCATTAGCGGGAATCGATCGCTCATAACTAGGTCCATGGGTGTTTTAGGCTTGGGTTTTAGGCTTGGTGTTTATGTTGAGAGTGGAAAGTTGAGCATAACATTGTTAGATCGAGAAAGCTCGGATATACCTAGTGCTAGTGCGGGTGCAAGAGCAATCACGTAATCACCACGCGATCCTTAACAGTACCTAGGTAAGTAATGTGGGAACTTGAGGACAAAACATGTACATTACCAGATGGAAGGCTGGTAAGCCGACTATATACAGATGCCCAGTATCACGTGACCGAGTAATTCGGTATCCCGGAGCCCTGCTAGCGCGGTGTGGCTTTCGAGGCTGCGCGGGCACGTCCCAACATTTTGGTCCTTACAAGAGACTCGCTACACCACGCTAGAATGCCGAGCCTGGGGGTTGACTGTAGCTGCTTCCGCCAACAGTTTAACCCTGTATTGCAGAAAGTGCAGCTTTGAGCTCCACCGGAGTACCGAGGTGCAGAGACAAGTCGGCATTTCCACCTGGCACCTAGCGATACCATTTGGAGTCGTCGTTGGGTATGGAAAAGAAGAGCATTGGGCATTAGAAAGGATTCCAACCGCGAAGAGCTTAGCAATTCGTCCAATGATATCCCGCCCGGCATAATCCGGTGGCCACGTAATATGACGTAATCGCAGCCACGCACTCCTATTGGACTGAGCGGTCTCGCCGCCACTTCGCGCCTTGCCGGTCATCGCCCGTTCTAGCTACTCGCGCGTCTTTCCACCGTCTTCCTGCGCGTTCCGCTCACATCGTACGACCACATACATATAAGCCAGTGTACTTCGGAATGTCGACTGCGATAAATTGACTTTGCACTCCGCTGTTCTCTCGTTCTTCCCGAGCCTCCACCTGTCATCTGTTGCTTCCCGACCCAAATCTTGCAAGCTCCGGCAGCTGAGAGCCCCGCGTACCATGGGCCTCCTAGACCTCCCCACCGAGCTCCTCGACGGCATCCTCGATCTCACCTTGCCATCGGGGATAGAATCTTTCGCGCTCACATGCAAGACTGCTTATGCCCTCGCTGCCCCGCAAGTTCAGCGACACAATGCGCTGAAGCGTCAATGGAGACGGACAACCAACTACAGCACGCCGCGGCACGGCGATACGCTCCGCATCTTGTACGAGATTTCCCGCGATCCGCTCGTTGCGGAGTACATCGAAAGCCTCGATTTATGGAATGAAGAGGAGCCCGGGCCGGACGAGGAAGAGGACGCGGGTCGAGAGGGTGGCCTTCTGGACGACTTTCGCACCGACCAGGCCGCGATGGAGAAGCTCAAGGAAATGGTCACTGCATCCGAGTTCCTGGACGGCGATGGGCAGGAGTGGTGGGAGCAGATCGTGAAAGAGGAGGAAGCGTATGACGGAGACAATCAACACTTATCTCACGCTACCATAGCCCTACTCGGCCTTCTACCCAACTTAAAGACGCTTCGATTATGGCCTGATTGGCTGGAAATATCTCGCTCATCGCCGAAGCACGATAAGTGGCTTCGGACGATGAATGAGGGGCTGAAGCGAATTGTCAACAGGGCTGGCCAAGGGAGCGGGAGGCCGCTGGGGAAGCTGCAAGCCATCGTGCCGTACATGTGGGCTGGTTACGAGGAGCGTACTGGGCTGCAGGACGTGCAGGCATTCATGACTCTTCCGAGTCTTACAGAGCTGTACCTGGTCAGCTGCATTGCTGTCGACGACGGCTACTCCGGCATCCCGTTCGAATGGGCGGCGCCCGGTCTTATGTCTCACCTGACGCGCATCGAACTTGCTTCCTGCTGCATGGATGCGGACGGGCTCTCGGCTCTGGTCTCCCACACACCGAAACTGTCCATCTTCAGGTACTCCCACGAGACAAAATGGCACGGCTGCGAGCATGACTGGAATCCCGGCTCTTTCATCGAAGCCCTAGCCAGGAACTGCGGTAATACCATCACCGAGCTCGCAATCACTATCGACACACTGTACGGCGAAATCATCAATGGCGCCTCCTCGTTCCTCTTCTTTCCCAAACTCGAAATCCTGGAGGTCGACGTGCGAATCTTCTGCGGCCCCCCGGTGGAAAGCGGACAGCAGCTTGGCGAAAACGCTGTCATGCCCGAAGGAGCCCGCCCCTGGACCAAGGAAGACATCCCGTGCATAGGAAGCATGATGCCCAAAAGCATCGTCCAGTTGTCCATCAACACAGAATTTCCGGAGCCGGACGAGATGGCGCTGAAATCGCTGCTGAAGAACCTGAAGGAACAGCGCGCCGAGCGACTGCACAAGCTGGAAACAGTCATCCTGAGGCAATACAGCAACGACAGTGCGCACGAATTTGCCATAAACGCGGGCGCTACCTTGGAAGCTTTCGATCACGGAGTCGAGAATGTGAGGCCGCGGCATACGATGCCGTTGTGGAAACGTGAGTTTGCCGAACGGACTGCATGGCTCAGATCCTAAAGCTTCGTCAGGACCAACGGGGCAGCCCCCGCACTCATGAAAAGCAGCGCTTTCGAAGTCCGAGGTCTCCAGCAGCTCTATACGAGTCCTCTTATTCGACGTCGCCGTGCACTGTAGCCTTGGGTTATTTCAGAGGGTATTCTTCCGAAGCGAGCGCTGTGCAGCAGTGGTGGAGGGTCTCGCTTTGAATCCGCGCGTATTATCAAGCAAAAGGTCAGCGAAGCAACATATGATATCTCGACCTCTGAAGACGGGGCCCACTAGTCTTGTCAAAAATCCCGGACCCTCGTTATAGCGATGCCTTTAGTCCTCTGGTGCACCTCCCAGATGGCGAATTCCATTTATTCTCAGTAGATCTCCGCTTCGGGTCGTAGTCGTCGTACGTGCGCGAATCCTGATACCCTCGCGAGGCGCTATGTTGCCAAGCATTTATTCTCCGATAAAGCGGATGGCGTTGAGCCGGTTGAGAATGTTTCACACCCATGTCGTACAGCATTGCGGCTCTTACGCTTTGAGACTCCTTCGATGATACCCAGAGATTAGTCCGAATCGGGTGCGCCCTGTCTGAAAAGAGCCTATGTTTTGGGGACGTTCAGGCGCCGTGAAGATGTTCCAAATGCCGAGAGACTCGGAGCTGTATATCACCACCTCAGGCACGGCGACAGTGAACATGCCCAAGCCGTCTTGCCACTTCCCTTTCAGCCCTTCAAGCCGTCATTGTATTTTTCTGGAATATCGATAATCCTCCGAAACGATGTTTTTCCTATCTGTCTTGCTCTTCCTCGTCTTCTTCCTATCACTATCCTCCGCCCAATCGAACTCGAGCTGGCCCGGATGGAACAGCATATCTAATATCTTTGCCTTCGGCGACTCCTACACCGCAACCTCCTTCCTCCCCAACGGCACGCAGCCCTCGCCCGCTAATCCGCTGGGCAACCCTGCCTTCCCCGGCCGCACCTTCTCCAATGGCCGCAACTGGATCGACTTCCTGACGTACACGTACAACGACAGCCTCGTCTTCAGCTACAACATGGCCATGGGCGGCGCGAGCGTGGACTCCTTCGGCATGCCGAATCCCTTCCGGCCGTTCGACCAGCAAGTGCACAACTTCTTCCTGCCGAACTATGCGCAGAATGCGAGTGCAGGGGCAAAGAAGGCGCAGTGGGAAGCGAGCAACACGCTTTTCACGGCTTTCTTCGGCATCAACGACGTGAATACGTCGTTTAGGATTGGTGCAGCGGACATGACGGCCCTGCACACCCGCATCTTCGCTACGTACGCCAAACTCGTCGATGAGCTGTACGTAGCCGGCGCGCGCAACTTCGTCTTCATGAACGTGCCGCCCGTGTTTCGCTCGCCGTTCATCAAGTCGGGCGCCATGTTCGGGGGCCAGGGAAACACGACGTCGGCCACGGCGGACATGTTGGCCGAGCAGAGCAGGGTCGCGATTGCAGATTTCAACATGCGGCTCCGTAACATGGTGACGCGGTTCACGCAGCAGCGCACCGATGCCACCGCCTTCTTCTTCGACACCTTCACCCTGTTCAACGACGTTCTTGACAACCCCGAAAGCAGACCCGAAACCGCAAACTACACCAACACCACGGGCTTCTGCACAACATATTCGGCGTAAGTACCCGTTCCCGCGATGGAAAACGGGCGATGAGGGACGTGGATGGCGATGCTGACGATGTACACAGGCGGACGTACGACGAAGACACGTTTAATAGCGCCTGCGGCATCCCGCAGAAACAGTACTTCTGGCTCGACGCCCTGCACCCCACGCCCCCGATCCATGACGCCATGGCCGCGGAGCTCGCGGCACAGCTCCGCGATGGCGAATTCGTCGGCGCCAGTAATGCCACGAGGCCGAACATCGCCCCCTCTGCCGCGCCGTCAGCATCGAGCAACCCCGAAAGTAACGCTGCGCATCTACACCTTCCCTCCTGGACAAGCTGGGTCTGGACTGTGGCCGCGGTGTGGCTCGCGTCGGGCCTTCTTTGAAGCCGCTGGGAAGTGCTGGTCGTCGTCGAGATTTGGAATCCGAAGACGTTTTCGAACCAACACAAAATATGGCGAGACGAGACGATATGCAGCACTATTCCCATTACCGCAGATGGCAGTCCGACACATCGGCGTGGAACGATGCGCTAACTCTTCGGGGAATTTTCGAGAAGGCGGATCGATCTGGGCGGCGTCGTTGAAACGTCTTGCGTCGGATGCAAGCGCCGCATATGCAACCTCAGGCTCATGCGACGACGACCTGCAGCGCGATGCGATGCGATGCGGGGCGATATTGCAAAGCCGTATAGGTAAGCTGTGGGAGCCGTGGCCAATGAAGCCCGGGTAAGCGGCATCGGAACCACGTACATAGAATCGAGGTATATAGACTCGGTCTGTCCGTTGTCTTCACCACCAAACAACCAAGCAAACCAACGACCTCGAAATTAATGCCTGCTCTCCTCCTTCTTCCAGACATCATCACTACCACAGTCCCCACCACGCCAATCATGCACCTCCACATACGCACTTCCCTCCCTCAACCTCCTCAGCACCCACGAGCCCAGCGCCAAACCCAGCGCCATCGTCCAATGCACACCGACGCTCTCGTACATAGGTCTTGCAGCTCGCACTATCCCGCCTGCAACCAAATACCGCGGTCATAGTAATACTCGCCAGTACGACGACGGCGGCGTGCTCACGTAGCTGTGTCGATGATGTGTAGTACTCGTAGGCATTAACATACGGTATCTAGCCGCCAGCACGACGGGAAAGGCGGAGCCCGGCGTGTATAGAGACGGAGCGATAGGTTGTGCAAGCGAGACCGGGAGCAACTGGGCGGTGGCGACGACGGGCCAGAGACGGAATTTAGGCGTGGTGTGCGCGCCGCAGGAGGAGAGACCCGTGGCGCTGAACGTGAAGGCCGTGGCGCTGAGGGCGCTGCTGCCTGTCGAAGCACGTAGCCGCCTATTCGCAGCGAGAAGACGCGGTATGTCGCCTTGAAGATGAGATGTAGTCGACGCCGGAGGGGATGCTGAAGAGCAGGATCTGGTGTCATCGGAGGACGAAGAAGCCGCGTAGGACTGACTGCGACGACGGGCTCTGTGGCTGGCGAGGAAGGTAGCGGAGAGGGGGGAGGACTTGCTTGAGCCAGCTAGCCGGAGGAAGTGGCCTGCTCATCAGCGTGCTGGGAGACTTTGAACCGGTTGCAGATGGAGACGTGGCGGAGCTGCTGGGTTTTCTTTCCAGTCTAGGAGTACGGCGTACACAGTAGTCGTAGAGAGGTTTTCGGCGACCGTCGCGGGACACGTGCTAGGCGCGTCTGGCGCGCTGTTGGTCTAGCTAGCTGTCTTCGGCGTCGGCCCAGGCTTAGAGAAGGGAGGGGGTCATCGTTGGCATCTGAGGCGCATTCGATGCGACGACTATGCGATCAGCTTCCGGTGGTGCGGGTGCGCTGGTGTGGTGGTGTTCCATCCAGGCTTTCTCTTGATGAGCATCCCGACTCTCGCGACACACTGCGGTTCTACTAAGCACCTTTCTCTTTCTCCGTCTCTTGTCCGCTGCAGTCATCTCAGCTCGGAGCCTGGGTTTACCCTGCCGTTGCGCCGGCGCAGGTGGTATTCGACTTCCTCCGCCAATCTCATTCCGTTCCATGTCTTTCCTAATCAATCCTCTGTCGAAACTGCATCTTTACCCCAACAAACGAGAACGCGGATTCAAGCAGAAAGAAAGCACCCAAATGCAGAGTTCCGGTGTTGCCGGATAGTTTTATGTTCAACGGGGACTCTATTTTCGCGCGTGTCGTGTACGTTGCGTTGACGTAAGGGTTACGAAAGAAAAGTCGCGTGCTCGCCCCTTTTTCCCGAAGGTATGATGTCGGTGTGCGGCCAGTAGTGTACCACGAGCGAGTTCGGAGCTATGCGAGTGCGGTTGGATCATATTTGTGGAGAGAAGCTTCAACACTAGAAATGGGCGAATGTAGAAACAATCTGGATGTCTGTGGAACGATGGGAGAGGGGCTCCATCCATGCCGTCAGTGCCATTAGCTGATCCGTGAAGCCATCCCCTTAGTCTCCGGGTGGCTCATTGTGCTTTAAATTGTTGATCGGTCTGGGACGAATGTGAGCAATGAAGACCAGGACATATAGGTGGTTGTGGTATGATAAATGTGTGGTGTTATTTGCGTTAGCGCGCATCATTACGGCTCAATGACGACGCAATTGCTGCTCGATGGTGAGTTTTGCAGAGCGGTGCTATGGCCGGGGGATCGGTGTCGGAAAGTCTGCGGAGTCTCCAGTGGCATCCGGGGAAGTTTATCAATGTGGAATATAAAGTCATTTGGTGGTACACGGTTCCACAGAAGGGTTAGCGCCCCGCCCCGGTAAAGAGAAGAGAATCAGGTCAGCAGGAAGCCCAGCGAAGGGCATGAGGGAACAAAGAAAAGCGGAAAAAAGATCATGGTGAACTTGGTCGATTCATGACGGGAAATGCTGCTTGTTGAACTCGTCTACGATTTGCCTTGCGGCGGTAACAATGTCGATGGCGCCGGGGGAGTCTGAATGGCAGCAGAGCGACACATGGTAGTCGCCGATGGGCAGCTCTAGTTCCTCGCCCGAGACTGCAGTGACTGACGCATTCTCGACCTGTGCTCGGACATGCTTCTTCGTCTCGTCTGGATGCCATGGCCTGGAGCACCTGTCAGTCCCGGTCGCGAGCGGAGAGCAAGGGTTGATATACTTCTTCTTCCGGTCAATCACTAGTGTCCTGTCCGCGTTGTATTTCACGTCTCCATAAAGTTCCGCCACGAACGGGAGTCCAAGCTCCTTTGCGACTTCCTCGTGTATGGTCCCCGCAAGTCCAAACACGGTTGTACCTTTCGGAACGGCTGAATACACGGCCCTACATGTTTCCTTGTCTCTATACATCATCGCGTATAGTATTCCGTGGGGTTTGACATGATGCAGTGGCATGCCCTCCGCATCCAGGAACGCCTTGAGCGCGCCGACCTGGTATCTGACTGCGGCCGTCAGTTCTTCCGGCGACATCTTGATCTCGCGGCGTCCGAAGCCTTGTATGTCCGGGAGGCCGGGGTGCGCGCCGACAGCGATGTTGTGTTTCTTGCAGGCACGAACAGTCTGCTGCATGATTAAGGGGTCACTGTAGGTGTTAGCCAAGCCCCAACCAAGAGCAGCGAGGAGCATACCCAGCGTGGAATCCACAGGCAACATTAGCATGGTCGATAAGCGGGATGAGCTCGTCATCCGGGCCGCACTTGAAGTTGCCATAGCCCTCGCCCAGGTCGACGTTGATTTTGACGGGATGCTTGATCGCAGGCATCGTGAAGATGCTCGCTCGATTCCACGATCCCTCAGGCCGAGCACACAGCCTCTGATATGGCTCGGCGGAATGACGGCGCCCAGGGCCCCCGTGTTATCGACCCCTCTCTCCTCCCACTCTTGACCCTACCCGCGATGACGTCTGCCCCAGCGCGCCCTCCCAACCAGGCAACTCCGTCGAGTCGACATCCCGGAATCGTCTGACAGGCGTCTCGGGCGGATCCAATCGCACGGTCCCCACGTGTTCCTCAGGCTTCCGTCACGATAGCGGCGAGCGGCAGAATGGAAGTCGGCGACGGGGGCGGGGTTCAGATACGCCAGCGGCTGCTGTGCGGCATCTGTCGGCCGGATACGGGCTGTGCACGATCCATTGTGCTATTTGAAGAGGGATTGAATACTCCTGGGTGGCACACTGAGAGGATATCGAGGATTGCGCGAGGATGGAGAAACTGAGGTCGCTGCTCGTTGCGAACCGAGGCGAAATCGCGGTTGGCTTGGCTCTCCCTATCGATCCCACACCCCAGCCCGCTGACATCGTGCTCACAGTGCCGCATCTGCAAGACCGCGAAGAAACTGAGCATCCGCACCATCGCAATCTATTCAGAGGCCGATTCGGCGTCACAGCATGTTCGCGAGGCCGACGAAGCTGTCCTGCTACCCGGCAGCAATGCGACGGCCTACACGGAGGAGAACGAGATCATCCGCATAGCGAAGGAGAAGAAAGCAGATGCGATCATCCCTGGCTACGGATTTCTATCCGAGAATGCGCACTTCGCACGTCTGGTGAAAGAGGCGGGGATTGTCTGGGTCGGGCCAGAGCCTGAAGCTATCGAAGAGTTTGGTGTCAAGCATGTTGCGCGAGGACTGGCTGAAAAGGCCAACGTGCCCATTGTACCAGGGACGAAAGGCCTAGTCGAAGATGAAGATGCGGCCGCGAAGGCAGCGGAGGGGATTGGATTTCCAGTGATGCTGAAGGCTACAGGTGGAGGCGGCGGCATGGGCCTGATCACCTGCAACAACGCCGACGAGGTACGCGAAGGCTTCCGAACGGTGCAATCGAGAGGGAAGACGCTATTCAAGAACCCTGGAGTCTTCATCGAGGCCTTCTACCCCGCCAGTCACCACATTGAAGTCCAGGTGTTTGGGAACGGACGGGGTGAAGCGATCCACTTCGGCGAGCGCGAGTGCTCCATCCAGCGACGACATCAAAAGGTCGTCGAAGAATGCCCAAGCCCGTTCGTGGAAACGCATCCCGAACTCCGGAAGCAGCTAGGGGATGCAGCTGTTCGACTCGCTGAGTCGATTAATTACGGCTCCGCGGGCACCGTTGAATACCTCGTGGATGACAAGTCGGGCGACTTTTTCTTCCTTGAGATGAACACACGACTGCAAGTCGAGCATGGGATCACCGAGCTTTGCTATGGCATAGATCTGGTAGAGCTGATGCTGAAACAGGCAGACGCTCAACTAGCCGGCAAAGGTGGCTTTGATGGGGAAAGCTTGAAGAAAATGCAGCCGACAGAGCCATCTGGGGTAGCGATTGAGGCCCGTATCTACGCTGAAAACCCACTCAAAGACTATGCTCCATCACCTGGTTTGCTACAGAAGGTACAGTGGAAGGACGTTCCGGGCAGCCGTATCGACACCTGGGTGTTCACCGGGTCACGCATCACTCCAAACTATGGTATGCTAGTATATACTTCTGTTACCCCAAGGTTCCAAACTAACCAAACCAGACCCTCTCATAGCAAAAGCTATGGTTCACTCCAAAACCCGCGATGACGCCATAGCGGGCATGAAGACCCTTCTCAATGAATCCTCCATATGCGGTCCACCGACCAATCTGGAGTTCCTCGCCGAGATCCTAGACGATCCAAAGTTCAAGTCTGGATGTACTCTGACTAGCTTTCTCAATGACTTCAAATACGTTCCGCATGCGATTGACGTGATATCGGCGGGCGCCTACACGCTTATTCAAGACCTACCCGGACGGCCTTCAGTAGGCAAGGGCATCCCGCATTCTGGGCCTATGGATCCTCTAGCTTTTCAGATCGCCAATATCCTGGTCGGCAATCCGCGGGGAAAGGAGGGCTTGGAGATCACGCTCAGCGGACCTGAACTGCGGTTTGTCGGCCCCGCCATTGTAGCATTATGCGGCGCACCTATGGAGGCGACATTAGATGCCGAGGAGTTCCCTATGTGGACAAGGGTCAAGATCGACGCTGGCCAGAAACTCAAGATTGGAAAGACGACTGGCGGCGGCTGTCGTTCCTACCTCGCAGTTTACGGTGGGTTCCCGGAGGTTGCCGAGTACTTCGGCTCCAAGTCAACTTCCCCGCTTGTTGCGATCGGAGGCTACCAGGGACGAGCGCTCGCTCCGGGTGACCTCCTCCGGACCGTCGCTGAGCTGCCGAAAGACTTCGAGCCGGTCTCTCTTCCCGAGCGTCTACGGCCGATTTACACATCGCACTGGGAAATAAAGGCCATGGTCGGCCCACACGACGAGGGCTATCTCTTACCCGAGGACATCGAAATGATATATAGTACAGAATGGAAAATCTCACACAACGCCTCGCGCAGCGGTATCCGCCTCGTCGGGCCTGTACCCAAATGGGCTCGAAAAGATGGCGGCGAAGGAGGCGCTCACCCCAGCAATCTCATCGAGTACGGATACCCTGTCGGCACACTGAACTGGACCGGCGATGATCCTTGCATCTTTCCCGTCGACTGCCCGAACTTTGGAGGCTTCGTGAGCAGCACGACGGTGATACGGGCGGAGTGGTGGAAGTTGGGTCAGTTGAAGGCGGGGAACACGTTGAGGTATGTGCGCGTGAGTCTGAAGGATGCGCTGAAGAAGAGAAAGAGGAATGATGCTTTTCTGGATAAGGTAGAGGAGGCGATAAAGAAAAGGGACGGGTTTGATGAGATTGAGAAGTTACAGGCGTGCCATGTTGACTTCCATGAGGATGATATCGGGAAGGCGATTGTGTGGGAGAAGGAGGGGGATGAGCACATTCCTTCGGTGAGGTATCGACAGGTACGTTTGCTTCCCATTCTCTTGCGCCGTTGTTTTAGTCATACGACGTGGTGGATGTATTCATGACAAAAAGGGCTCGGAATCCCTTCTGGATGAGCTGTTCCAGCTCGTTGACTCTGGTTAAGAGGGCGGCTTCAAACAGGGCCACCATCTCCCGACGGAGCATTTCTAATGACTGATAGGGCGGCGACGACCATCTCCTCGTTGAGTACGGCAATGAAGCGTTCGACCTCAACCACCGCTGCCGCGTCACAGCGCTCGAAAACGCTCTCAACTCCTCCTCCACGCCCACGATTATCAAAGACAACCTCATGAACACCGTCGGCTGCTGCACAACACTGCTTATCTACTACGACGGCTCCAAGCTCCCGCGCGAAGATCTCGTTGCTCACCTACAACACCTGGAAACTCAACTCGGCGATCTGCGCACCGCCAAGGTACCCACACGCCTCTTCAAGCTCCCAATCTCCTTCGAATCAAAACTTCAAACCGAAGCCACAGAGCGCTACATGACGAACCAGCGACCCCACGCGCCCTACCTGCCAGACAACCTGGCTTTCGTAGCAAAGAACAACGCCTTCACGCCCGAGCATCTCAAGAAGATCTACCTAGCCGGCGAGTTCATGGCCGTAGTCGTCGGCTTTTTCTGCGGCAACACTGTCTCCCTACCAGTCGACCCTCGCCAACGCATGTCCTGCCCCAAGATGAACCCCAGTCGCGTCTTCACGCCCGAGGGAACTGTTTCCTGGGGCGGCTCTTGCATGTCCATCTACCCCGTCGACTCACCCGGCGGGTACCAAATGACGGGCCGCACGGTCCCGTGCTGGGACTACTACGGCTATAAATCCGGCTTCTCCTCCCAGCGGCCTTGGCTGTTCAAAGACTTCGACATACTAACGTACTATCAAGTCGAGGAGCACGAGCTCGATGACCTTTTAGCCAAGTGGCGAACGGGCACGTACGACTTCGAGTTCGTGGATATCGAATTCGATATGGGCGAGCACAACCAACTACTGCAGAATACAGCGGAGGAAGTTAAGAGCATTAGGGAACGACAGGCCAAGGCGCAGGAGGAGATGGTGCGGGCGGAGAAAGAGAGTCTGGAGCGGTGGAGGAGGGAGAAGGCGGAGAGCGGCGTGGATGAGGGGACGGTGGAGAGGCTGCTGGAGGAGGAGGGCGTTGTTGGCGTGGAGGCTCCCGTCGATGCTAATGTGTGGAAGGTGGAGGTTGGGGAGGGGGAAGAGCTGGGCGAGGACACGGTGGTAAGTCAAGTCATCGCGCTACGCACTTCGCTGTTAATGTTACTGATGATTGTTTACGCAGATTGTTATCCTGGAAGCTATGAAGCTTGAGATCGCGGTTAAGACGCCGGATGCCGTTAAGGAATCTTTGGAGAATGGGAAGGTTGTACTGGAGAAGATGTTGGTTAAACCCGGGGATACGGTGCAGGCGGGTTCGCATCTGGCCTTGCTGAGGAAAACGTAGGGTTACATACACTCAACTAGTTACTTCATCTTTGAACAACTCCCTCCGGCGGTCAACAATTGTTACACATCCTCCGGTGACGGGCTTGGCTGAGCTTTGCATCGGGTCTAATTATGGATCTGGTAGTGTGGTAGGTGCGTCCCATACCTCTCTCTACTCGCTCCAGACAACAAACTCACCACTCTCCACCGCCCCTACCTCACCATTCACCACTCTTTTGATGGGCTATCTCAATGCCCAAGAGGAGGCGCAGCCTCGCCTGACGCTTATCGATACACAGCCGTCATACTGTAGGACAGCGGTGCCACGACGTCGGGGCGGGGACGTGCCACAGCTGATCCATTTCAGGCTGCATTCGTCCTACGACTTGCCAACACCTTCATGGGGCCGGCATTCATAACCTGTGGTTTTGTTTGCCATATGATCTTGAGCAGCACAGGGAGGCGTGTTCCCGTGCTAGCCACCTACCTTTCTCTCTGCCAACACTCTCGCTACTTCTCTTTCTCCTTTCCAAGACTACCATCACAGCCACTCACGATTCAAAGCCGCTGAAGGCTACGAGATGGGCGACACTGCATTTTGGGCCCCACGCTATCGAAAGCGCGCGATACGCCACTGCGACACAGAACGGTCAGCCTAGTAGGACGACCGATTGATCGCCAACAACTATGTCGACTTTTGTCCACATAGCCAGGAGGCAGACTTCAGCTTAGCCGGAAGACGGGTTGTTCATATATTTCTTACGCCGGATTTCGTTCGCGCGGTCGCATTGTACTCCTTCGAGGTCAGCCTTGTCCCAGGGAGCAGACCGCCTGCGCTGAGTATTCAAGCATAAAATGATCCCCGGCCGAAGGAAAACACAGAGAGAGGCTTTACGTCCGCCAATATCTTTTCCACAGCCTTCAGGCTCTGTCCACTCTCCTCTGTACAGAACTCGGTTCAGCTCGTTAAAAGCCTTTCGGGCCCCTTTTCCACCCTCCGAAGTCATTACTTCGATAACTTCCCACCAGCCCCATCATGAGCAGCAACTTGGGCGTTCCTGTCGAGCCGCAGGTGTATATTGGTACCTGGACCAACTGGTCTCGTGGCAAGATCCTCGGTGCGACGCTCACCCTCACGCAAGTAAACGGCAGCTTCCTGATCGCCTTCCTTGCCTTGTTCGTGTCCTTTGCTGGAACGAGCTTCTTTCGCCTCACATGTTTCGCGCTTCATCACATCTTGTCTTCGAGGAACCCAGAGGATGACGTCTACCACCAACGCCAGGCCATTCTGCGGAACTCCGCTAGTGGATCGAATGCTTTCTGCTCGCTATCGTCTCTATTGTGGTCCCATCGACACCAAACCAAACAGGAGACGCACCCGTTCAAACGCGTTGCACCTCTTCTACTCCATGCTGCAGTCACAATCGGAGCGTTTGCTGTTGCTGGTATCTATTCCTCAAGAATTACAGCACTCACCGGAGACGAGGTCTTGGTACATAGCCCTGAGAATCTAACTGGGGGGAATTACTCCTTCGAAGACGAGTTCACTCTCTACTGGCCCTTCATGTCTACCAGGATCAACGCCTTTGCCAATTACGCTCAAGACTGCTACTCCGACGGAGAGACGAAGGCAGCCGCCTGCAAGATGTTTATGAAGCCACAGCTTCCTCGTCAAATTGATATGAATGCTGCATGCCCGTTCGCGTCTAGTCTGTGTCGGACGAACACCGGAAACGTTCGGATCGATACAGGATTTTTGGACAGCCACCATGATCTCGGGTTCAATGCTCCAGAATCAGACCGTTTCAGTTTCCGACACGTTCTTCAATGCGCGCCTCTAACTACCGAGGGATATGTCAGACACGCGAATTACTCTAGTGATTCTGTCTCGCTTCCATTCTCTCTATACTACTATGGACCGCTCAACCTCGGGAGCAATGTCACCAACTATACGCACGCTCAACAGACCCAGACGAAAGAGCTTGCTGGCATGGAATGGTCTTCGTTTGCTCGTTATAGCATTCTGTATGTCAATTCGTCCTATGGAAAGCAGTCAATTATCTCGCTGACTATGTCAGGTCGGTTTATGCGCCCTCGCTCAGCACAAATTCAACAAATGCTTGGGACCCCATTGAAGGACTTAGAGGCACCAACTCTGATGTAACCCTTACGTTTTTAACTGCCAGGAACATATATTATAGCAAACCGGTAGATGATTACTGGTTCTCGGCACATCAACACTGGAAGGATGTTCGTACGGCATACTCTGAGCCAATCCCTTCGTACAATGCCGACGAAGCGGCTTCTCCACTCGGCTGCACCACCCAAGTCCAATTTTGCCTTGGGTCAAGAACAAAAACTCCACTCTGCTCGCCATTGGAAGGACTCATCGACCTTTTCCAGGAAGATGGCGCCACCAATACTACTTTCGCGTTTTCAGAGCCTACAACTGAGGCCCAAACAAACTTCACAAGGGCCTTTCAGAAGAAGTTCCTGGGGGCAACAGCACTTCCCACAGTCCTCCAAATCTTAGGCGGCGAAATCCTCCAGGCAAGGTTCAGTCTCCATGCGACCTTTCAAGTCGGGTTGCCGGACGACCAGTGGAAAACGGAGGTCAAGCAGTGGTCCGCTATTCTACTGGCCGCTCTTCAGGAGAGCATATTGGATTGGGCCACGGGGCCATCCGACGAGCGCTTGATTACCTATCTCCCGCGTCCGAAAAACGACCAGGAGAAATTCTTCGCTCAAAACTTGGTACGTTGCGAAAGTCATTGTGGATAGGGATGTTCTAACAGGACGGCTAGAAAATTCGCAGCACCGCGCACGCTAACTTTTCTATACTCGGCCTCTGCATTACGTTCGGTGTTGGTGGCTTGATTCTCTTAACCGAAGCTATCCTCGAATGCGTGTACGTCCGGCTCCTCTGGAAAGGGCGCGACTTCCATCAATATCCGCGTCTCGAGTGGTGCCTCAACGGGACGCTGCAGCTCCAGCGTCTCGCGCATGAACAGCTTGGGTACGGCAAGTGGACCCGCTGCGATGAAGGCGTCCCGTTCCTCGAGGACGACACCAAACTGGCTACTGTGGATCTGGAAAACCCGAAGCATCCGATGCTGAAAGCGAAAGAGGATAACAGTGCGTGCGGGAGTGAGTCGACAATGAGCGGCAAGGGAAGTGCTACGCAGATTGAAATGGCTCCGAATGGTGCAGCGCCATCTGGGGATACTCACCAGGCCTCCGGCGGATCCTCCGCTGAACAAATCGGTGGCAATAACAGTCCACGTCCCGTCGGCGGCCTTGAGATGGTTAGCGCTCCGCTTTCGCCGGTCTCACTGGCCACTTAGCAGATAGGGGAGGAGATGGAGAGGCTTGTAAGGAGATGGGGAAGGTTGAATTTTGGAAGGGGAGGTGCGGGAGTGGGCATTTGGGCGGGTATTTGCTAGGGGGGTGTAGAAATAAACACGGTGTGGAGGAAATAGAAGATCGGAAAGCCCTCTTGAAGGAATTCAGTGGATGATGTTTGGGCTTTCGGAGTGGAAGCTGAAGGATATAGCAGCCGGAGATAGCGGAGATGGTTCGGAGATCGGAGACTCATCCAAATTCGCATTTTCGCTGCAGAATTTCGCCATCTGTTTTCAGCATTCGGCTATTCTTAAATAAGGAGATATCAGCATATCTTACGCCTGTGTAGATGCAGGGTAGCGGATTTGTTCGCCATCGCGGCGCATTTCCGCTCCCTTGTGGAATCGGTTAGAGGATTTGTTAAGCAGTCGGCACTCACACCATCCGTCCCGGAGCGATCTTACGAACCTCTCCCTACCAGAGATCCACATCATATCCCGCGCAGCCTTATCATCCACAGCTTTGAAATGCCGCCTCTGAGCAAGCCGCCATCACTTGCTCCGGACCCGAAGCCGCCAGAACATTCGCCCACCTAGACCCCGTCGTCGCGCCATGCCCGCCGTCGGCACAAAATCCCTGCTCGCCGGACTCATTGCGGGTCTCTGCCTGGGCCTTTTCTTGCAACAAGCAGCCCTCGTCTACTTGCCGAACTCGTCGCCTGTCGCAGAAGGAAGCCTTGGATCCGAGCCGCCGCACCACTTTCTACTCTCATTCGACGCCATGCTGAGAAATTCCTTACAAATGGCCAGACAGGCGGTACGGGCCGGCGGGTTCTTAAAAAGCGGCAGAGTCGCGCCGTCTTCTCTACCGCAGCACCAAGCGACTTCGATTGCAACGACTCCTACCATCGCTTCTTCTTCTTCGACGTTTTCGACTTCCACTCCAGCAGCAGCGGCAAATATGGCGTCCCAGAAGCCCTTCCTCCAGGCCGTCAAGGAGCGCCGCACCTACTACCAGCTCAACAAGGAGGCTCCCATCTCCGACGCCGCCATCACCGACATCGTCAAGCAGGCCGTCACGCACGTGCCCTCGTCCTTCAACTCGCAGTCGGCCCGCCTCGTCGTGCTGCTCAACAAGGAGCACGACACCTTCTGGGACATGGTGCTCGAGGTGCTGAAGCCCATGGTGCCCGCGGAGCAGTTCCCGCAGACGGAGCAGCGCGTCGGCGGCTTCAGGAAGGCGTATGGAACGGTGAGTCTACCCTTTTTCTTTGCTTTCTTGATTGATTGAGTGGCGTGCACATTCTGGGCGGTGGTGGGGTGCGAAGATTCGAGAAGGTGCTTGGTGCGTGTTTCGCATCATGAGCTCAGGAGAGCTTCGTACTGCCCCACCAGCTCATGCAAGCTCCACCACCACCGTCATCCCTCGTGCCACATCCGAAACCACCCCTGTCCCAACCACACCAACTAACCCCCCGCCTCACAGATCCTCTTCTTCGAAGACCCGGCCCCCGTCGAAGCCCTGCGCAAAGCGTTCCCCATCTACGCGCACCACTTCGGCGACTGGAGCGAGCACACATCCGCCATGCACCAGTTCGCGCTGTGGGTCGCGCTGGAGGCCGAGGGCTTCGGCGCCAACCTGCAGCACTATAACCCGCTCGTCGACCAGAAGGCCCAGGAGCATTGGGGCGTCCCGCTCGAGTGGAAGCTCAGGGCGCAGCTGGTGTTTGGGGGGCGCGCGGGCGAGCCCGGGGAGAAGGAGGTCAAGCCGCTGGAGGAGAGGGTGTTTGTGCATGGGGCGAAGGAGTAGAGGGGTTGTGTGGTGTTTAGCGAATTGAATCGAATTGAGGGTTTAATGTGTCTGATGTGGCCTTTTTTTTTGGTGTACTTCGTCGTTATGTGGGCGATGGGGACGGGTTCAGCTTCCTTCCTCTTTGATCTCCCGTAAAATCCCCTTACGTTGACACCCTCCCACACAGCACCGAAACCCATCCTGCGACTGGACTGCTAATCTTGCACGAGCTGAGCCCAAGCCCACGTAACTGACGAAAGCTCTCACTTCTTTGCTTCGAAACCCAGGCGCAAATCCACACCACCTGTGCCACGATGGTAGAATGGACGACACGGCCGCCACATGATTAGTGCGGATGCGATCTGGCGCTACTGCACTGCACTGCGCTGCTTATCCCGAGCCGAGATAGCTGCACATGAGGTCTGGGGTGGGAGCGCGAGGCTGAAGGTCAGCGCGGGGATTGTGTTGGGCCGGCACGCCTTTCATCCTTGCATCTCATCTCATGCGTAACGCTGCTTTGTATCGTACAATGCGTATGTATCTTGCCACCACTTCCCCAACCGGGGCTTCATGTATCCATCAACCTCCTCCCATCTCCTCCAGGTAATCCCCTTAAAATCAAAAGCCAATAGTCCTCAATCACACTCCCTGGCGCTGCTGGCTCGCAAAACTCAGCCCCCTCATCACACTGCCTCTCCTCCCGCCTGGCACCGGTCCACCATGCACAATAGAATTATGCCGCGAGCCATACGCACCAGGCAGCGCACTGACTCGCCTCCCGCCAGTCTCCTGCCTGGCCGCACTCAGCTGCTGTGCGAACGGACTTCTCTTCCTCAGCACAGGGCCCTTCCAGTAGATGACGTACACGGCGGCGACCAGCACAGCCGCGATGCAGAACAGGATCGTCGAAGCGTAGGCGAGGTGGTTCGGGTCTGACGAGTTGGGGATGTTCTGGAAAAAGGGCGTTGCGGGGAGCGTGAGAATGCCAGCGAGGAAGTCGCGCGACCAGCCGTTTCCACCTGTCGCTGAGGCAGAATACGGCCCGTATGCGCAGATCATGTAGTCAATGGTCGCCATATAGATGGCGTAGTTCGCGATACCGATGATGGCGGCGAAGACCATGGAGCCAATCCAGTGGATTGGCGGGCCGGTAGACGTCCACGCGAAACCGATGAGCCCGATCGGCAGACACGGCGCCGTGTACAAGAGCCACCAGAGCCGAGACTCGTACTGTGCGATTTCGTCGTCGGGCTTCTCGTGGCGCTCCTTGATGTTACGCTTGATGGCTGGGATGAACGAGAACCACGCGAGGAAGTAACCGACGCCGATGGAGCAGAAGGCGAGTCCGATGGCGAAGGTGGCAAAGTCCCACTGCTTGTAGACGAGCGCGAAGGACTGGATGAACATGAAGACAAGCGCGTCGGAGAAGCCGGAGAGCAGGGAGAGGACGAGCACGATGGGCTCGGTGAGGAACATGCGGAAAGGTCGGATCCAGGTGACGAGGATTTCGCGCATGGAGAAGCGGTCTTTAAAGGCAGTGAGCTCGTTGGGGCCCCAGACGTTGACGGGCTTGCCGTTCTTCTCGCCCTCCTTGCGCCGCTTCTTCGCAATCTTGTCCATCATGACGGTCGAACGGGTTTCTGGCACCATCACTGCATGCATGAGTTGAACGACACCACCAAAGATGAGCTGGATCCAGATGTTCCAGCGCCATGGGCAGAACTCTTCGACGAATCCACCTACGACGGGTCCAAGGATTGAGCCGCCGACTGACGAGAAGACGATGAATGCCTACATGAAACGGCGGTTAGCGATCCGATGATGCACGGCTATAGTGGGAGGGCTTCGACTTACAACAGCGTATTGCTGCGTGTCAGCTTCCCACATATCAGCGACCATGCCAAGGGTCACTGAACCGCCAGCCGTCGACAGGCCACCTAATGCGCGGAACGCCAGGATGGTGCCGAAGTTGGGCCCGACGCCCACGGGAATTTGCCAGATGTTCACGAAGAACATACTGAGCTGAAGGATTGGCCATCTGCCGATTTCCTCACTCCACGGCTAGAGAGTCGAATTAGCTATATATTCACTTCGGCCGAAAAAAAATTAAGAACGCCCATTTGGAAAGGCGTTGTAACGGGGTGGGTTGGAATGATAAAGGGTGGGCTTGAAAGAGCGGCTTGGTCCACTGGAACGAAAATGGGAACGAGAAGAAGTACATACCGCCCAAAGTTCGCATCCGAAGGCGTACGTGATGAGGAATATCGCAGCGCCTAACCGCGCAACCTGCTCGCTAACACCGTACTCCTCCGATATTCCTCCAATGGCGTTCGAGTATAGCGAAGTGTTGAAGTTCATCGAGACCTGGACCAGGAAGACAACGCTCAAGATCATCCATTTCTTCCACTTTGGGAAGGAGAATCCCAGCTCGTCGTAGCAATCCTCTTCCGTGATCTCATAGCGATCGTACGTCCCGTACTTTTCGTAAAACTTGCGGTCCTCGTCGCTCGCTCCAACGCCATTGGTCAGGTTCTCATGGTGTGTCTCGAGGTCGGAGGTGTCGTCCTTCTTTTCCGTTCCCGCGATGCTGTTGTTGCTGTAGTCCGGGTTGTTGAAGGAAACTCGTTCCGCCATGGCTGCTGGGGTAGGTATAGGCTACGAACCGTTGGGCAGGAAAATGAGTATGAAGGAAACCCGACGTCAAATATAAAGCGACCCGCGGAATCCTAGCGTGGTCGAGTGGAGAGGCAAAAGAAAACTCGACAGTGCGACTGGACATACTAGCCGATAAATATGGGTCCCCCAGAGGCTTCGTGCGAGCTATGGTATGCTGAAGGTGATATTTCGTCATCGCACAGTTCCTTGCTGACACTTATCGTGCACTGCGCCGCCGGAAGGGCTCAAACGCGCCTGCTCGCGTGCGTCACAGCCTGTCATGGTCGAGCAGAGGGTGCGGCGATAAGTGGGTCGTGGGCACGAGCCGGGTTGACCCAACCGCCACAGCTCCTTCAGCATCATCGCGCATGCTGTCTTGCTCCTTCAAAATCCGGGGAAGGCGTCAGCATTTGCGTATGCGGGGTTTCGCTGATTTCTCATCGCGATTCTGTGTGTGTAAAATATCGTCAGATCGTAAGCCGTTGGTGCGATGCCCAAGACATTTCGGCGAGGGCCACAAGCTTCGCGATTGTCGTTCGCCAAGCGCGCCTCAAAGCTTTTCGCGCGGCATGGGCAATGTTGCTTGTGCCCGATGTCTTCAAGTTCCATCCATGACATCATGCCCGTGCTGACCCTTGCAGCGCGATCGACTCGCGGGCGGATTACCGTTTTCGGATTATCCGGAAACATCGTTGAACTTTGCTGAAGTCCACCTGAGAAACAGCTCACCGGATAGTCCCCTTGAACAGCGACGCTCTCTCATGCTGTGCGCAACTCGTGACCGTGTCCAACGACCGATTAGTGCTGACCGTAAGCGGCTCTCGTGTGTAGCGATGTAGCGACGATCTCATCGGTACAATTGTCGATCTTTGAACTGCAAGGCCACCAGTGCGGGCGGACCGGAAGCCACACCGCGATGCATAAGTCCGACGGCTCCGAGTACGACGGTGGTATTACCGGTCTGTAGAATCCACGGGATGCGGGGTACAGGTTTACCTCTCATCGTGAGCCCCAGATATGGGAGGGCTTGGACGTGCCCATGACCACGGCTCCATCTTCTATTCGATCCCTGTATGTGTGTCCATACCGAAGGTAGCTTTATGGGCAAGGAGTGAGCATGTTGTAGGAGGTCTCGCAGACGGCAGAAGTTTGTTGAGCGGCGGCGACTTGTTCATAGGTCGAGCACCTTTCACGGGGTCCTACGGGCTTAGGCGTATCAGCGTACAATGAGATAAGTGTTTCGTATTCAAGTCCGTTGATAGGAGGTCGAATATGGTCAGGATAAGAGTCGTGAATTCGACGGAGGACGTTGGACGACTTCGGAAATGGCAGAGTCTGATCCGGCGCTAGCCGGATTAGAACTAGCCAGACTTCCCCACGTTCCTCGGCTTCAGCGCTGACATCCTCATCGCGACTCCGCAACTCCAGGCTTGCCTTCCGCTCGCCGAGGTATCGCAACAATGGACGCCATCCACTCCTCCCGAGCTTCTATGCTCCTTCAAGGCCTCACTCTCCGCGGTAAACTTCTCAAATCCCAGGAGCTGTGTGAGGAAGAGGTCCAGCCTCCCTGAGCGACCCACCATGGCCGCCAAACGCGCGATCCGAATTGCTGGTAGGTATTCTGGCTGAGTATATCTCTGCACAGTGGGATGAGCTATATGCATGTGAGCAGCGCTGAAATGATTAATCAGGATGTTCCGGCTCCACGACCGACCGCCGAAATGCGATGACGCTGCTCGCTTCGAACTACAAGAACGACCCGATAGACGTATTGGCCGGTGACTGGATGAGCGAGGGCAATATGACTGTGAGAGCTGGAACAAAGATCAATGGTCGGGTTCCCTGCGACACCACCCCGGCCGTTACTGACGGCATCTCGTAGGCCAAGTCGACGCGTATGAACCAACCTTCCTCGAAGCTCTCGAGCCCGCACTGCCTTATATCGCCAAGTACCGCATCAAAGTCGCCATCAATGCAGGCGCCTCCGATACGAAGAAGCTACATGAGGTGGTCGCCAGAATGGTCAAAGCGAAAGGCCTGGACCTCAGCATCGCGTGGATATCCGGAGACGAAGTCCTGCCGCATCTGCTTGAGACGCAGAAGCGCGGGGATTCGCCATTCGAGAACATCTGTACTGGCGAGAGATTAGGAGACTGGCAGTTTGAAAGCATGTACGCCCAAGCATATCTTGGTGGACTTGGGATTGCAAAAGCTTTCGAGAGAGGCGCGGATATAGTTGTGTGTGGGCGTGTGTCCGACGCAAGCCCCGTGATAGGGGCTGCGTCCTGGTGGCATAACTGGAAGCGCTCTGATCTGGATAAGCTGGCCAATGCTTTTGTTGCTGGACACCTTTCCGAATGCTCGTCCTACAGCACGGGCGGGAATTACACTGGCTTCAAAGACCTCGAATGCCTTGGCTGGGAGAACATCGGCTACCCCATCGTCGAAATATCGACCTCCGGCGAAGTCATCGTTACAAAGAACAAAGGATCTGGAGGTGAAGTCTCCGTCGATACGCTTACCTCGCAATTTCTCTACGAGATTCAAGGACCGTGGTACTTCAACTCGGACGTCACTGCTATTCTGGACGACGTATCCTTCGAGCACATCTCTACCAACCGTGTCGCCTTACGAGGGATCAAAGGCGCACTACCCCCGCCTACTACAAAGGTCGGTATCACCGCGAAGCCGATATACCAAGCTGAAATGCACTGGTTCATCACGGGGCTTGATGCTGCCTCCAAAGCACGTATGATCGAGCATCAGATCCGTGCGCTCATGGCCCCTCACATTCAGAACTTCTTGCACCTTTCATTTCAAACGATCGGCTCCGTCCCAGAAAATCCTACAAATCAGAATGCCGCAACCGTTGATTTCAGAGTCATTGCGCAGGCTCGCAAGGCGGAACATCTAGCACCAGCCAAGTTCGTACGGCCATGCATCGACCCAATAATGTGTGCTTATCCAGGCGCAACTCCACACCTCGATCTACGACAGGCATTCCCGAAAGAAGTGTTTGAGTACTACGTCACGCTGCTTCCGCAGTCGGTCATTTCTCACCAAGTACATCTCAGCACGGACGAGGTCATCGATATACCGCCACCGTCGGAAACGAGAACATATCCCAAGAACCAACCTACCCAAGATACTACCGCGAAAAAGTTCGACCTCGCATCGTTTGGTGCTACGGTCCGCGCACCACTTGGGACAATAGTACACGCACGCTCTGGCGACAAAGGTTCGGACTGCAACGTAGGATTTTGGGTGCGCCATGCCGATGAATATACGTGGCTGCAGAACCTCCTTTCCACGGAATTCGTCAAGCAGCTTCTTGCGGACGAATACAAAGGAGGCAGGATTGAAAGATGCGAGTTCCCGGGCCTAAAGGCGGTACACTTTCTGTTGAAAGATCACTTGGATAGAGGAGTTAGTTGTACCCTCAGTGTGGACTTCTTAGGGAAGAACTGCGCGGAGTATTTGAGGGCGAGGATGGTGGATGTGCCGTTGAAGTTCTTGGCTAGAGGGAGGATTTGAGTGCCAAGATATGTTGACTCGAAGAGTAGTCATGAACCGATGAGTCCAACAGGCGGAATCATATCAAGGTGTATGTGTCATCTCTGCGCCACATCCACATATTTAGTAGCCCTTGACCGAAGCAACACACATCACTGCTAAACATCAAACTTCAGCCATCAAACGACCGAATACTATCACCCTATCGCCCCTCGCGCTTTCTCACAGGCACGCCTTTCGGCGACACTTGCGCTGCGACATGAACACCATACTAGAGCCTTACGACCTTGTCGCAACACGTTACCACATCCACATCGCTTTCCAACCCTCAGATAGCGGCAGACCATCGTACCCATCAGCCGTCCACGCCGAGAATACACCCGGCGGCCCAGCGCCACCGCGCAAGACCCTAAAGATGCGCTGGCAGGCATGCAAGGAGAAGCACTGGCGCGAAAAGACGCACGAACCGGGCCATCATTATTGGCAGCTAATTGTAATGGAGTGGTCCAGCGATAACGACGAGCAAGTCAAGGCACAAGCCAAGGAGATCCGGAGCGCCGCAGAGGCACGAGGCGAGAGGGTCCCTGGAAAGAAGGAAGCGCTTGCGATGGCGCGGTTGGTGCGTTGGGTGCATGGCAGGACGAGTGTCTCATCGGACTATGCTTCGAATCCATTGGCTTTCCTTAAGAATTCTGTAAGCGAGGATACCAAAGAGGTCCATGTATGGTCTGAGAACACTGGAAATCGTCGGTTCGAAGCGTCCGTCTTCCGCGAACTGGGCCAGGATAGCCCTATTGCCACGGCAGTTGGGAGCAATCACTTCGAAGCAATTCAGAAGCTGTGGGGATATCTTAGACCAGGGTAATCGCCTAGCGAGGTACGAGCATAGCTACCTTGTTGCTTAGTGAAGTACGAGCGGAGCAATTACAATTACGTTCGAATTGCCAGCTAAGATACCAGGCATACAAATGTAGATATTTGATCAACAGAGAAGCTATGGGGCTGGCGAGCGCGACTCCTGCGGGGCACGGCGCCGCCCTTCGCTAAGTGAGCAGCGGAGCCTCAACACCACGCTAAGCATCGTGACTGCTGCGCAATTATGCCCAGCTAGTTACCACTGAATCCTAAGCTCAAGCCCGTTGGGTTGCTGGTTTCCGTTCGACCTCATATCCCTCATCGGGTTCAGAGACGGCAGCTCAATCCTCACCCCGCTAGCCTTGCTCTCCGTTGGCCCAGCTCGAACGACAGATGGCGGGTCCGGTGAGACCGCCTGCACAGGTCCTGGCTGAGTAGTAGTCTTGGGCGCAGCTTCAGCAGGGGCAGCAGCAGGCTTCTCGACCGGCTGGCCCGCATCTCCGCCGTCGCCCTCACCTTGGGTAGCACGGTATGCTGCGACTCCAGCGCGAGCACCAAGCATGGCTAGGTTGATGCCCATACCCACAGCGTTCAACCCCGGAACGAACTCTAAGACACCGCCCACGACCTCCGCCCCGGCGATGATCCGATCGGTCCAATTCGTCGCCGTGGCGAGGTCGTGTGTCGCCGTCGCCAGACCAATGCCGGGTATGAGCTTGCTCGCAACCTTGGAAAGGCCCCAGGCGGCGCCAGCAACGGCTGCTTTCTTCGCTACGCCCTTGGCCGCCGCCTTTGCCGCTGCCTCGGCAAGCTTCCCCGCTGCTCGGGCGGCACGCTCTTTGGCAATGGTGGCGAAGGACTTGCCGGTGCCTTGGACGACCTCGTAAGCGTGGCCTTTCGCCACACGTTCCATCGTCTGTCTGACCAGTCCCTCGAACTGGAATATCTCGCTGGCTTCTCCTTCGACGACAAAGACGAGGGTATGCTTTGGCATCGCGCCTTTTAGGCCCGCCCACACCTTCGAGAGCCGCTCGTTTATCCATCCACCCTTCCCGGCTGCCCCCAGGTATTCTTTGGCAGCCGCTACCTCGGCCTTGGCGTCCGCGACGCCATTGAGGATGCGCTTCTCCAGCACAGCCGAGTCCTTCATGGCACCAGTTACGGCATCCTTCAACTCGATGTATTTGACCTGGATCATGCCGTCCTTGGTAATGATGTCGAGTCGTTTAAAGCCGTCAAAGCCTGCCTTTAAGACAGCATCCTTCCAACGAGCAACCCAGACTTCTTTCTCGGCACCCTGTTCGATCGTTTTGACGTACTCCCATACCATATCCTGGGCATCGTGCCCCTTGAAGATGTCCCTGAGCCACTCGGGCGGCCCTAAGCTAGGAGAGGCGCCGTTCCCGTCAACATAATGCACTGGGTTGGAGAGGCAGTACTGGTAGAGATTCAAACCGTCCATACCCCCTCCAGGATCTGCACTCGTCCACCGAGCCAACCACGGGGCATAATATCGGGCACCGTGGTACGACAGGCCAGTTTCCTCGTCTCTCTCCTTGCCCGTGAAGCGATACCGTTTCGGAAGCTCCAACGAGCCATCAACGCCGGCATACGTGGTGCTTCCGTACGGCGAGTACTCCTCATACGTTAGCACACGCGCCTGGTCATCGAGTTCCACAGTTGCTGAACCCTGATGGTTCTTCAGCCGGTATCTGTGGACTTGGCGCGGAGCCCTGTCAGTCCCGTTGATGTCGAGGGTGCGCGTCTCAATGAGCGCCACCCTGTCAACGTCGTCTCCCACGTGGAAACTTTCCCTTTCCAGCGTTACTTGGCCCGACTGATGTCGGCGGAATATCTCCAATGTGGCCCCCAGATAGATGCGCTCTTGTATTAGGTTGGGGCTACGCTCGATAATCTTCCTCACTCGCTGTCCCGAGGCATCGTACACATAGTACGCCGTGCCACCACCGCCAAGATCGACTTGCTTCTGCTGGTCGAGATAGTTCCATGTCACGTTTGGCGTGCCGGCGGAGCCTCCCAAATGCGGCATGCGAGTCATGTTACCGTGAGCATCATAGAGGTACTGCTCAACGCTACTAGATATGCTAGTCGAAGTGAGGCGATTTCCAAACTTGGCTGGTTCTAACGTGCTTGGCTCGTTGTGCTCGAAGACTTTGGTCCACGTATGCCCCGGCGCCAGAGGATCATCGACGCTGTGTTTCATTTTCTTCATGTTCCCAGTGCGGTCGTACACGTAGTCTTCACGATAGGTCCCCATGGCACCACCATCGCCAGGCTGTGGTCCGCTTCTCGCCGAGTCCTCGTGCGAGTACGGGATCGGGGATCCTCCCGGCTGACCCAGATGCTCGCGGCCACTTGCGCGGATCAGCTGGCAGAGGGCGTCGTACGTGTAGTCGGTCACGGGCTCCACTACTCGGTTGCGGAAGTACACGGTCTGCTGGGCTGCATCCTCAATGGTGGAACGCATGTTGCTGGGGTCGTAGGTATATCGTAGATCCTGGAGGACGTCTGTTCCCCCGGACGACGGCCGGGTGGAGAGAAGCCTCACGAGTTCCCCGGTGCTGGAGTATTTGTACGTGGTTGTAACGCCGTTCGCGTACGTGACGCTCTGTCGAACGCTTCGGGCATCGTATTGGAGATCTGCGACAATTGGTGCTGGAGTGGCTGACTCGCCACGTATGATGGCAGAGACCTGCACAAGACTGTTGATCTCGTAGGAGAAGAACGTCACGCTCTGATTCCCATTATTCGAATTTGGAGACGTAATGCTAACTGGTCGGCTAAGAGCATCAAACGAGGCGAAGCCCCTAAATGCTTCCGGCTCTAAATGCGAATCGAGGAAGGACCACAGAGCTCCCTCATCCACGAAAGCCGCTGAGTCCATGTCCATAGGAATGATGGCCTCAAGTCCTTTCCAGTCGACTGTTTTCTTGTACTCGGTATTTAAGCGCTTGGAGTTCTCGAGCAGATTTCCCTTAAAATCTCGCCTCTCATTAACTGTCAAGCCTGCTTGGTCGACCACCAAGTATGTTCTCGACTTGAGATTGAGTTCCGCCGCCCGGGGGTGATGCTCGCCATACACTTTGTAGTTCACAATACATTCTGTTGTTGGTCCGCTGGGAGAATGTACATCGCCTGTCACGGAGGTGAGTAGATGGCGACCAGCTTTGTCGTACACGGTCTTGAGTCGATGGCCCCGGTCATCCCATTGGTATAAGGGCTCTTCAACAGCGTTTTGCAGGTATGTCGTTGTGCCAGAGTCCATTGACCTTCGGATCATGGCGCGGCCAGCCATATCGTATTGAAACATCTCAACAATGCGACCCGGGAGGTCATTGCCATTCATGGTATCTGAATCTCGAACAGCAAGACCATGTCCCTGGATATCGAATTCGATACGGGTATGCTGTTTCCACTCCTGGCCGTCCAGTTCGTGGTCTAGGCATGCTACCCTGTTCCACCCCACCTTCAGATACACCCGGCTGAGAGAATCGAAGTGGGAGACAACGCAAGTGCCGGCATGGACCTTAGACTTCTCGGCCGCTTGTCTCCGACGGTCTCGCTCGGGGAGGGCCATTCGTTGCTGAAACCAGGTTTGAAATGTCGGCTTAGTGGCGAAATATGCCTTCGTGTATTGCTTCACGTCTGTGTCCGTCCGCGGATCTAGTTCGACCGTGTCATTGTTGTCCCACGCTTCCGATGTCCATGTCGTGAAGACTGTCTTCGTATACGCTCCGTTCGGATGGACCGTCGCCACGTTTCGGCCCATGGCATCGTAGAAAGCAATAGAGCTAACTCCTGCTCGGACATCGAATTCGAAGGTATGCATGTGAGTGAACCACGGTTCGTACTGTGCAACCGTCAGGCCTTTGTTGTTATATATGGTCCAGCCGCTCGAGATCCAGCGTGGATTGGAGGGTTCGTCTGTCAGTACGGGCTGGCCATCCTCGTCAAAGATGATGCGACCGTCCGCGTCCCTTTGCGCGACCGGACCGGGCCGAGTCTGCGCCTTGGTCTGAACATCCCGGCCGAATCCGTCTGTGTACGAGAAGGCATGGTGCATTTCAGGCTCTTCATTCTCAGCCAAGTCTTCTTCATGAGTGACGCGGGAAAGAGAATACGAGGCTACCGGCTGAGGAGAGCCTGAGCTCTTAGTCCGCGTGTATGCCCCGAGGTCATACACGGCCCTCCACGTAGCCCCATGGAGGATGGCCCTCGGATCCGCCGTGGGATTTGTCATGTGTGCCAGGACAATCGACTCCGGGAGATCGGGCTCAAAGCCTTGCAACGTGTCGCCGACCGGCTCGCCAACCTTACCCATCACCGCCGAGCCTACAACTGCACCTAAAGCATCAGTGGCTACGGCTGTTCGGTTTCCATTTGCATCCGTAAGGAGCAGTGGTTGTAACGTTCGATAATCGTTGCCGTTGGAGATCCTGTTACCACCGCCGTCTCGCTCGCCAATGGTTGCAATATTACCTGCCGAGTCTTCGGCCTCGACGACGAGCATAGTGTAATCGTCGTACGTCACGGATGATTCTACCCCGAAGACGTTTCGGGTCCTGATGAAGCTGTAAAAGCTAGATCGAGCATCGTTTAGCTCTTGCAATACATCGTCAGACTGGGAGTAGAATATCAAGCCACTGCCAGTCCAGTAGCCATCGTAGGGATCGTCTTCGGGGAATTGATCCGAGGATTTGAGCTCGCTGCTAGAGTAGTATCCCCCGCCGTCTCCATCTTGACTGGTAAGGACACTGTCTCTAGACGGAACGAGCGGCAGGCCGCCTCTCTGGTAGACACTATCGAACAGGGCTGCCGTGAATACTAGCCCGTAGCTCTGCAAAATAATGCCGCACACGTCCATCTGGCCCAAGGGCAGAGAAGATGCCAAGTCATCCGATCGACAGATCGTTCGAGACAGACCCAAGAGCCTCTTTTGGGTCTTGGACAAGTCCGGCTGTGCCTCGTACGGAATCTCTTCGGCATCTTCCAGAAGCTTGAAGTTATCTGTGGAGAACTGGTCAAGGCTAAATGGCGAGCCGGGCTCTGGCGGTACGAATCCGGTTAGCTCGTACTCCCGATGCTGGCAGTTCATCGGCACTCTGTAAGCATGTGGGAATCGCGCTGGATCATCTATAGGGTTTGTGACTTTGCTCTCTGAGTACGTCATGTAGGTCTTTGTCTGAGCGTCTCTGTCCCACGGAGTCGGGAGTGCAGCGTCCTGGTCGGCTCGGCCATATGCGATGGCTACCTCGCGGAGTATCTGGCCGTACTCATTCCTTTCCAAGATGATCTGCTGGGTGATACGCGGGTCGGACACATCGCGTTCCAGATGATACGTCAAAATCTCTCGCGGTGTCGCCCTAAAGACAGCACTAGCGTTGCTTGACCCTTGCTGTAGCTTCTCGATTGTATAGTTTGTCTCCGAGAAAGACACTGGGGTCTTGGCTTTCTGGATCTCAGCATCGGACGAATCAACCTGAGCATCATTCATGTATATTTCCTGACGCAGCAGGCGTCCTTTCAGAGCACGACAAGCATCGTACTCTTCTGCTGCTTCAACTTCGGCAGGAAGAATTGTATCCGGCAGCAACCACCAGCCAGGATTGTGGAAGTATTCGCGCTCATATTGACGTGAGATTGTGTTAAAATCCTTTGAAAGTCCCAGGTGAAACCAGGACTTTGTGTATGTTGCCGGCAAGCTGTACTCTTCCGCTGTGTTGCTGCTGTCTGGAAAAGATATCGGTGACAGGTTCTCCGTGTCCCATTGCTCCACCATTCCAAAGCCTCGAAACTCCCGCTCGACGCCGTCATAATGGCCATGGTGATATGCGAAGCTGCTCGTGAAAACGTTGCGACTGATATGATCAAACGTCTCGGTGAACTCTACAACCGCGACAGGGTATGGCAACCGACTGATCCATGGCCTGCCGACCTTTCTGTCTTGAAGATAAAACTTGGTGGAGGTGCTGTAGTGAATCTTGGTTGAGGCGCCCATGTTGTTCTCGAACTCGACGAGCAGGTGGGGCTTGACACCACCCATCAAATCCACATACTGCATCGGAGACTCAGCTGTTGGCAACGGATCCGATATCACAAGACAACTGGTTCCATTTCCGTGGATGTCAATGATGGATACATCAAGGAATGCGGAGATATTTGTTGCGGAAGCAAGCATTTTCGCGTCGCTCCAGCTGTTGCCGCACTGATTGAAGTAAAGGCGTGGCCCGCAACGGTGAAGGTAGATCAGATCAGTCGTCCCAGAGCCATCGATATCTCCTAGCAGGACTCGTTCCGGGTCAAAGTAGTCGTCATCATCAAACTCCGGTGGATGGTCCATGACGATCTTCGCTCCAAATCTGCCGTAGCCCAGGCTGGGCCAGAAACACACCTCTCCGTTGCCGATTAGCACCACATCTTGCATACCGTCGCCAGACATATCGCCAAAGCAGAAACGGACCCGAGCTAGGGGCTTGCTCTTGAACAGCTGCCAAGGGTTCTCACATTCCTCTAAATCAATGGTGAAGCCTTCTGGGGCGCCAAATCCCTTGGTGCCGAGTGATGGATACCACACAGACTGATCGGTCATGACGGCATCGGGATGGCCATCACCAGTCAGATCGACAAGGTGTAATGCTTCACTGTCTAAGCTGGCCTTGAAAGTAGAGTCAAATGGCCTCCAGGCTTCCCACTCTTCCTTGCCAGAGCTCTGGTAATAACCAAGCGTGCCGGAGTCCGTCACAATCGACACGAATCCGTCTCCTTCGAGGTCCATCCATTGTATGTTGCCTATGTTGGTCATGTTGGGCAGACTTGGCACTGTCTCCATATGGTCAAACATCGGACGGGAGACTCTGGAACCATCTGGCTGCACTAGTTCTGAGATGGGCGTAATGTTGCGTTTGTAATACCATACGCCATCTAACTCTGTCAGAATGCCAGAGACACCTTCGCCGAAGAGGTCGATACACCGTGTCTGTGGTTCCGCTAGGCCCGAGGGTATATTTTCAAGTGCCTCCCGCTCGATAGTTCGCAAGTCATCCTGCACAGAAGGTTCAGAATACTTGAACTCAAGGCGGGGCATGGACCGCTTCACGTACCCGGACACTTCGCGGGAGTCGTGGCGATAACCAGACTGTTCGACCTCGGCCAGGAATGAGTATATGTTGGCGTCTACGCCGTTCGTGAGGTAAATGAAGTCTGTGCTCCGAGTTAGGCAATCCATGCCCACGTTATCTTCGTGTTCGAAGTGATGGAACATCAGTACCCTTCGGCAGAGCCGAGCGGTGCGCACTTCAAAGCCAGACGTGTACCTCGAGAAGGCATCGGGTCGGTGTTTCCAAGGTGTGTTTTCCCTTGGCGTCGGACTCTGGTCGTCATGTTCTCCGTAGTCGAATACAATCTCGAACATCCAGCCCAGATCGTCGAGTGCTGCCTGGCTAGGGAACACTACTCGTTGTCCATGGGTGTCTAAAAGGGTTGTCCTGTTTCCGTACCTGATGGACTTGATGTACCTATTTGCCTGGCGGATCACGCCGTCGGCTCTTCCTCGCCTCTTTTGGTGATTCTTGCTCAAATCCACTCCATCCCCGTTTTCTGACTTGTAAGTGAATGTCATCGCGTTCCCTCTCCAGTCTCGTGTGTCGCTGATAAGCCAAGAAAATGTTTGCTCTGGGGCTACCTGATTGAAGATTCTGGAGTTCTCCGACCGCCCGTAGATGCTCAATGTGTCGTCTGATGAGTAAACACGCCAGTGAACGTCACCTTCCGCCTCCAATTTCGTCCATCTGTCGACTCGACGGTAACTGCCCTCAATGCGCGGCTTGTAGCGGTGGATGACGTACCCTGGGACCGAAGCCCGGTCTTCGTGGCGAGATCCGTCAGGGAGCAGCGCCGGCACCAGATCTTCTGCCCCAGAAATTACGAACACATCCAATTCAATGTCGTCCTTGTACTGTGGAAGCCCTTTACTCGTCTTTCGGGTGATGGAGTCCAGGCCCAGAGACCAGCCAAAGCCAAAAGGCCCGTGGCCGTTCCCGGAGTCGTATGAAAGCGACAGCGTCGGCCCGAAGCCATCACGGCCAGGGCTTGTCAGAATAGGCACTGTCAAGGACGCCGTGCCTGTGACCGGGTTGGTGTCAAATTTCTCGCCCATTCCTTGGATAGTTCCTCCTCCTTTAGGGAGAGTAGCTCCTGGCAGCGGTGACTGCTGCTTTGTCGGGCTATTCGACGGGGATAAATCGCCTGGCTTCCCATCATTGCGCCTAGACTTGGTCGACGTTACGCCTGCGGTTTGCTGTGGCTCTTTCTCCATGATGTTGCTTGCGGAATGGTACTCCCCTCAGTCAACGCTCGCCTGATTACCGATAGAGTTGACGTCGACGAGCAAGGGCGCAAAGTGCTTTGGGCATCCGCTACTTTGTCTACTTTTCTAGGTCAAGCCATGTATTGACCTGCTGTTAAGCTTTCCATGGAGGAGGTCCAGCGGCCTCGACTAATGAATGGGCTCCTTGAGGAATTTGCTTTGAGCAATTACAGCTCTCCCTTGATGCCCCCAGATCAGCCGTACCTGTAGTTCAGATACGTCTGACCTGAACTCAGAGCGTGTCAGCTCCTTCTCTCCAATCACTGGCTTCGAAGGGCGGGGTTGGCGGCATCTTCCGCCAAAATAAAGTTTCGTCAGTCCAGAACTGCAGGACCAAGCGTTCAGCCGCACGATGTACCACCAATCAATGCTCCAGTGTGGCTGATGTGGCTTGGAATTCCCCTCAAGACGCGAATAGTGGCGTCGCGCTGAGCCTGAACCATCTTGGCACGACTAAATGGTGGACGTGGTAAGTTCAGTGACCCCATCCACATTGCTGAGCACAAAGGCAAAGCTGCTTGCTGTTCGCGCGCAATGTATTGAAAGCCTTCTTCTTGCTTTCTTGGCTGTCCTGCCTCGAGACCTCATCAATCACATGGGCAGCTCTACCCCAAGCACGTCACCGAGCTACCTCCAACTCACAGTCGTCGACAATGGAGGCACCGCCTCCAATTGTCTCTGTGCTGGAGGCTGCGGTCCCCGTTACACTATCAGTTGGGTCGACAGGGCCCGCCGTCACCCTCCTACACTCGTATCTCCTCCAACTATACTACGCCAATAAGCCCAGGGAGCCCTTCGTGAACTATCTACCACCGTCCGAGTTGGCCACAGCAACCTTTGGGCCTCGGACCAGGATCGCAGTATTGTCATTCCAAAAGGAAAACCAAGATTTGCTCGCCTCGGCTCCCACCGGAACGGTCGACCGGGAGACTGCGACAGTCTTGTACACCAGGCTGATTCAATCCAACGTCGACCCCAGACACCCCTCCGTCTTTTTTATTGTAGGCCGCACCCGATATGCGGACGGCTCCGGCAGCTCCGACTTGGTTGTGTCGGTCTATGACAAAGACTTGCGTGAGCGGAAGCTCCTCTTCGTCACTTCCCCAGATACGCAGGGGTTCTTCGCCGCCTCGTGTGGCCGCAAGGAGCTAATTAGGGGCGATACTGCACGGCTCCCAGCCCTGCTGGCCACTGTCTCGACCAAGAAGAAAGACGTTCTGTATGCCTCAGGCTTGGACGACATTATTTACGAGGCCACATCTCTAAGCATCATCGACATTCAACTCATGCAGCGCCCACCCTCTGCTCCAATGGCAGATGACTTCACTCAAATGGTCACAGCCCTGGATTCAGTCCTTCCTCCGGTCAAAAAGAGCACGGTGCATAGCCAAGATGCTTCGCAAGTCTCGTCCGGAGAGGCTGTGGCCAGCCAGGCACGTCAGGCGGTACCGAGTCCTCAACTTGGAGAGCGGATCCGATTGCTTCGAGAGGATGACGAGGCTCGGGACCTCAGCTATCTTACCCGCCTTAAAACTGTATCCTTCTCGAAACCAAATCTTATCAACGTGGTGCTGGCTCATCGCTTAGCCGAATCTGCCCAATCCGAGGACAAAATTCCGCTCCCCCCTGAGCTTTTCTACGCCATCTTAGCCACAGACACCTTCAAAGACATCGCAGCACCAAGCGCTGAGAACTTAGGTCAAGCCGACCTCGACTTAGCGACCCCAATCAAACCCTTGCTTTACCAACTAGCTCTCCTCGATGACTCCGTCATCACGAGCGCGGTTGCAAAGGCGGTCGCAAGCAGCCTTGCTCCTCCTACATTGATTGGCGGTGACTACATCAGGGATTGGCATCGGATTCGCGATGCCGCTAAAAACTGGCTTATAGTGCAACCCACACTCGAAGACCAGATATGGGATCTCATTCAAGATTTCTTGGAGAGTGGGAAAGAGGCAGCCGTGAGGGGCGTTCTCGCTGAAGAGAACATTCAAGGCGACCTGTTTGGTTTCATCGAGAGGTTGATTCAGGCCTTTAGCAGGACGCGGGACACTGTGTCCAGCGAGCCACTCGCGGGGAGTCCGCAAAGCCAGCCCTCCAGACCGCTTACGGACGCCCATACAGCGATGAAGAAACTTAGGGGCTCACCCGTCGAGTCCCTGAAACAGCTCGCTGAAGTTGACACTTCGGCCTTGGCAATACACATCGCCAATGAAGTACCGGATGCAAACATTACACACGAGCATCCTACTGTCACAGCAGCCGCATCACAACTCGAGAAGCATCTTGCAAAGGACTTTCCAACTCTCGCCTTCAGAGCTAAGCTGCGACGTCGTGTCAACCCTGCGCCTCATATTAAGCTCGCAGGGATATCATCGCCGAAAGATCGAAAAGGGACATCAACTAGCTTTGGCGCGCCAGAGCTTGGGATTGATGCACGCGCAGTATCCAGCTTTCTAGATGCCCATGAGGAGTTCGACCTACAGCACTCCAAGCTGGAATCGCTTCTTTCCAACTCCACCATAGATTCGAAGACATTCGCGAGCCTCGCCAAGGTCCAACGGATCTTCAAGGTGGCGCCCACATTTGAGACAACGCAAGCTTTGCTGGATGAAGGGCTTCACTCAGCCACTCAGATCGCCAGTATTGGCCGGCCTCGGTTAATTACCAGTTTAGCTAAGAAGCCCAGTTTCACTGTGGCCGAAGCCGAGGAGACATACGCTCGAGCAGCCGACGTCAAGCTTGCGGCGTCCCTCATCACAGGCAACCTTCAAGGCGCTGCAAACGCTCTGCGTGCTACAGGGGTGTCGGAACCACTCCCACCAGCCAAGCTCGAGGCACTCTTCAAGGAGTTTCCCAATCTTGCCTCCCTCTTCAATCTTGGAGATATCTGCGCCTGCTCAGAATGCATGACGGTGTACAGTCCGTCGGCATATCTGGTCGACGTGTTGGAGTTTCTGGGAAACCGATATGTGTTAGAATCTATTGACGGGCCTGACGCCGGGCGTACCGCGCGAGATGTCCTGTTCAAGCGCCGCCAGGATTTGGCAGAGCTAGACTTGAGCTGTGACAATACCAACGTCACGTTGCCTCTCATTGACGTTGTGTGCGAACTCTTAGAAGATATTGTGGCCCCAGATGGACTAAGCCCGGGGGCATTCTCTGGGGCAGTCACTAAGGGCAAGGTCTCCACGGAGTTGCTGCAGTTTCTCCGTGATGAGTTGAGGCTGCCATTCACGGCGAACGCCATCATTTCTGATGAATTCAATGGAGGATATAGGACCGTTCGAGACCAGACCTTTGTCGTGTCACTCAGTTCCAACGACCAGAAAGTTCGCGTTTTGAGGCAAACCTACGGTGACGCTGCTGCTCTGGGCGCAAGTCCCACGTACGTCAACGCTGTGGCATACGAGCGACTGGCCAACTGCACATATCTGCCAATGCTCCCATTCAACTTGTTCCTGGAAGAATGCCGCGCATACCTGAAGCAACTTGGGGTACCAAGAATACGGTTGATGAAAACGCTTGCGCCCAACGCTGCATATAACAATGCGCTGGAAGCTCTCGGGTTCAGTCCGACTGAAGGGGGCCTCATCACCAACATTGATGAGAACGGCCAAGAGAAGTACTGGAACACTGGAGATCCAGAAACTATCGTGAGCACGCTCAAAAACGTCCTGACTTTCACCAACGCGGCGCGGATCGAGTACACCGAATTGCAAGCGCTCATCAATGCCACGGCCTGGCTCAACCCGCCAGCCGAGCCACCACCAAACGCATCCGTGGAATCAGTCGGCGTGATGTTCATCAAACACAAAGATAGCACGTGTACTTTGAAGGAGAAAGACATTGAGGGTCTCGACATCGCAGCATTGGACCGTCTGCACCGCTTTCTACGCCTCTGGAAGGGGCTGCTTCGGAACAACAAAGCCGGATGGACAGTGGCGTTGCTTGACAGATTAATCATAGCACCTAAGTTGGGGACAGGGGAGCTCGGCGGTGACTGTCTTGTGTCCATTGAGGACGTTGGAGAGTTGGCGAGCCAACTGTCGGCTCATGTCCGCACCAGCATCGACGAGGTCGTCAACATATTCGCGGGGCTCCCTCTTCAGGGCCAGGGGACAACATATGGCTCGGTATTCCTCATCACGTCGGCAAATGGCCCGTTGGACTCAGATTTTGAACTCCGCAACATTGCTCTCAACGACTCGGACACACCACCTCCAGTTATTCCCAGGCTCTCCGAGAAGAGCGAATACATCTCACAATGCCTGAGCATAACATCTGTGGATACTCGGAGCTTAATTGAACTGATCTCAAAACCTCAGCCTGATTCAATTCTGACACTCGGCAACCTGTCAAGAATGTACGCCATCGTTTCAATCAGCAGACGATGCAATATCTCTGTCGCCGAGTATGGCATCTTCTCAAAGCTCAGCAGCCTAGACCCCTTGTCCACAACGACGAGTCTCTCGACTTTCGCCAGCATGGTTTCGAATGTGCAGTCACTAGGACTTTCCGGCTCCGACCTTGACTTCCTCACACAGCCGCCCACGGCCGAGCCCTTGCCACAAGAGATACCCGACGCAACCGTTGCTCAGCTCCTGACCTCGTTGCAGCTAAAATACGCCGAGGTCCAGGCCGCTGGCAAGTCACCGTTTGACGATACGTTGCCCGCGGCGGAGAATCAGCCCAGCGCACTCGATCTCCTCGCGCAAATCAAAGGGATCTCGCAGCTCGACCTTTCTCAGTTTAAAAAAATGCTCACCGGCGAGTTCAATGCTGCCGAAGGGTCATCGTTGATCACGGCCAAACTCCACGGTAACATCTCCTACGATGCAGAAGCCAACATCACTCAAGCACAGCGTGCTCTAGCAGCCGACCCTGGGAGTGAAACTCTGAAGAAGGAGCTCGTCAAGGTTCTGTGTGAGGCTCTGAGTGACCAATTTGCTTTGTTTCAGCGCGAAAATGCCCTCGCAGACGTCTTGCAGTACTTTGAACTGAAAGCAGAGGTGACCGCAGTATTGTTGGATAAGATCAGGTCGCTGAAGACATTGCTAGACAAGGATATCGCTACCGGAAATGTGACGAAAGTGGGATTCCCTCTGCAATACAGGGCTATTTACTTGCTGCACAAATTGGCATTCCTCCTTGGCAAGATTGAGCTCTCCGAGACAGATGCCGCCTGGCTTCTTGACAAGGCTCCCATCCTAGGCTGGGCGGACCTTGGAACTCTTCCAGTCGATGCTTCACATGCTCCTGTTAGATGGGAACTGTGGTTGGCTCTACTGAACTACCTGTCGGCGATACAGGGATCTGACTTCCCTATGGTCAAGAATCCAGAGAACAAGACAGCACCGTTCACACTGAACGGTCTATTTGATCTGGTCCTGAACCCTGGGAGCGAGCTCGAGACCGTGTCCAAATACCTCAGCAAGCTACTTCCAAGCGATGAAGCCATCACTTCCGACCTGATAGCTCATTTTGGATATACAGTGGGAAACCTAAGGCAAACCTCTCAGCTTCAGCTCCTCGAGTCGGCCGCAAAGATGGTACGCCAGTCGAGCCTGGAGACATCCGTTGCTATTGCTCTGGCTGAAGCCGAAACTCCGGGCAGTCGAGACGTTGTCTCAGCACGGGATACTCTGAAGTCTCGGTACACAGTACAATCAGATTGGTTTGATGTCCTGAAGACCATCCAAGATCCGCTGCGAATCAGAAAACGAGACGGGCTCATCGATTTTATTCTAGCATCCAATAAAGCGACACTCACCTCAGCCAAGGATATTTCCGAGCTGCTGCTGATGGATGTCGAAATGAGCACGGAGACGCTAACGTCTCGCATCATTCAAGCCCATCAGTCCGTCCAGCAGTTTTCCCAACGCTTACTTATGGGTCTGGAGCCAACCCCGATCGCCGGTGATGACCCTTTCTGGTCCCATTGGACGGAGATGTCACAATACCGTGTCTGGGAGGCTAACAAGAAGGTGTTCCTCTATCCTGAGACGTGGATCGAGCCGGAGCTGCGAGACAACAAGTCCGAACTCTTCGTGGAGGTGGAGGAAAAGCTCAAGAAAGAACCCATGACGCCGGCCAATGTGGAGCTTGTAGTCGCCGGATACCTCAATGGCCTTGAGCATATTGCGGACCTCGAAGTGATGTCGACATTCTACGAGGTTCCTGTCTCTACCTTGCACGTCTTTGCGAGAACCAAGGGTGGTGATCCGCGTGACTACTACCATCGGGCCCTCGTCTATGAAGCCGACTGGAGCCCTTGGGAAAGATTAGACGACGTGGGAATTTCTGGGAACCATCTGCTGAGCTTTAAGAGGAACAACCGCCTTGCCGTCGCATGGCCGACATTCACTCTGGAACAAGATCCTGTGCAGCAACAGACGCCGCCATCCATTCCGGATCCGAACAACCTCGTGGACAATAGCGCTGTATCGAGGAGACAGAGGCTGAAGATCCAGCTGTCAATCAGCACCAAAAACCCAGATACTGGGAAGTGGTCAACCGCGCTCATGTCCCAGGATGGAGTGATGTGGCCGGGGCCAGGCGACATATACGCAGCGGCAGAGACATTCCCCGAGTTTCTCAACGAGTCCATTAGCCTACAGTACATCGATCTAGAGGGCAACCTGGGCCAAATGATTCTGGTCTGCGAGAACACGACGGGCCGGGGTACCTACACTGGCGCCGCCAAGGTCATCGGCGTCTTCAACCTCGCTGGCTGTAAAGGATACCCTGAACCGTTCCACTTCGGATTGTTGAGTGGCGAGACATATCCACAGTTGGGATTTTTAACATTTCCCCAATTTCGAAACACATCGTTCGTGGAGCAACGATTCCGGAAGAGCAGGAATCTCGCCACTACCTCTAAATCTGACTTGGCCATCCGGACGATGCTGGACGGGGGTTCGTTTGCCTCCATTCTCGGCACTGAGTATGGTCGGTTCGCGGTCACTCACCCAACGCAACTCACCGTCATCGATCGCGCCTTTGTCGGCCTGCAAATGTACTCCCTGGGTAAAGCCAAGGCAAAATACAACAATGCCTTCATAGCGTCCTCGTATCGGGCGTTCATACTTCCACAAGGCACCTTCCTTCCATACTTTGTGAACGACTCCTCTACGCGCGGTTACTTTGTCCTCCCCGGCTACGAGAGCTCCACCAAAGGGGACACCAACTTTCGCACGGCTTCCGACACATTCGAATTCTTCAACAAAGTGATCAAACTAGCGTTGAAGTGGATTGATGCGTACTACAATCTATACAACAGGAACATCAAGCTCCTCCGACAAAAGCTGAACGAGGATGAGGATTACCAGATACTGAAGAAGGAGTTCTTGTCCGTCTACTTCAACGCTGAGGTCTCCACGGACATGAAATTCAGGGCTGGCAAAGCAAATCTGGCAAGCTTCTACCATCCGCTGGTGTGCCTGTTGAAGTCGAAGCTCTACAACGGGGGAATGCCCGAGCTTCTAGCGCGGAAAACACAACTCTCGGTAACCGACTTCGACTTCAAGAAGTCGTATGACCCCCAGGAGTACGTCAGGATGCCGTATCCACAAGAGAACCTCGACTTCTCGCTGTCCGGTCCGTATTCCGGCTACAACTGGGAGCTCTTCTTCCACCTGCCCTTCCAGATCGCCGCCGCGTTTAGCGCTGATCGTCAGTTCGAAGCGGCACGAAACTGGTACCACTACATCTTCAATCCACAGGGCGCCGACATGGAAGACCCGTCGACGGGGCCCGACAGAGCAACGGCGCCGCAGAAGCGGTACTGGCATACTAACCCCTTCTTCAGGATGCAGGTCAAGGATTATACAGAGCAACTCATTGATGGTCTGCTCAGAGAGGTCGCCGCTGACCCGGAGGGGTTCTCTCTGAGGGACGCACTCAAAACGCAGATCCAGCTCTGGAGAACAAACCCCTTCGCACCTCATGTGATTGCCCGCACTCGACCGGTAGCGTATCAGATGGCTGTAGTGATGAAGTATATTCAGAATCTGATTGATTGGGGTGATCAGTTGTTTACGCAACTCACGCGGGAGACGATTACCCAGGCCTCGACGCTCTACATGGTGGCCGAGAAACTCTTGGGCCCCAAGCCACGCGTTGTGCCTCCTGCTATTCCGGTCCCAGCTAGGAACTACCAGGAGCTTTCAAGTAGCATTGACTTGCTGGGGAATGCTTTGCTCCGGATAGAGAACTTAGTTCCTGATCTTGGCTCCCTGCCTCACCACGGACAAGAGCTCCCGGACAACCCGCCGTTCTCCTCCTTGTACTTCGGCATCCCACCAAACACCAAGATGCTGGAGATGTGGGACCTCGTGGCCGACCGTCTCTTCAAGATCCGCCACAGCCAGGACATCAACGGTAGTTTTGTGTCTCTGGCTCTGACCTCGCCGCCGATCGACCCCGGGGCACTAGTGCGAGCATTGGCTTCCGGGGTATCACTGCAGGATGTCATATCTGGCCTTAATGCCCCGCTGTCGCATTACCGCTTCGGCTACATGCTGCAGCGAGCGCAAAGCCTAACTGAAATGGTAGTCTACCTGGGCGGTCAGCTCCTAGGAGTGCTGCAAAAACGCGACGAGGAGAGCCTGGCCAGGCTCCGTAATGGCAGTGAACTCACCGTCCTGAAGGCCGTGAGAGAGGTCAAGATTCTAGCCATTTCCCATAACGAAGCTACCGTCGAGGCGCTAAGCGCATCTAGGGCAGCGGCGGAGGAGCGGAAGGCCTACTACGAAGGACTCGCCAAAGCGGGCCTGAATTCAGACGAGAAGAGGAGCTTGACGGTCAAGGCGGAGACATACGACGATGACGACGACATGCACGGGGGCTACATTGCCGCGGAGGTGTTTCATTACGTCCCCAACGTCAGTGTCGGCATCGCTGGCTTCGGCGGGTCGCCCAACGTGTCCGCGTCTTATGGCGGGAGCAACCCGGCCTCGGCTATTGCGGCCCTGATGAGCGCCAAAGCCTGTCGCCGAAGCAGTAAGGAGACAACCGCCCAGCTCGCCGCGACGGCGGCTAGCTACATCCGACGGGGAGAGGATTGGGGTTTCCAGAAGCGACTCGCCGAGAAGGACATTGCTCACATCGACAAGCAGATCGCGGCGGCCAACGTTTCGGGAGAGATGCTAAAAGCCGAGCGGGATGCACACGACACCAACATAAATGAGGTGGCTACGGCGGAAGCCTACCTGCGGTCCAAGTTTACCAAAACAGAGCTGTTCGAATGGGCCGTCGGTCGCACATCGGCGACATACTTCCAGGCATACCAGCTCGCATTCCGCATGGCCAAGCGCGCCGAGCGTTGCCTGCAATTGGAGCTCGGCGATTTCTCGAGCGCGTCTCTGATCAAACCGGGCTATTGGGATAGCCTGCGAAGTGGTCTACTCGCCGGCGAGGAGCTGCAGCTCGACCTGGGACGCCTCGAGGCGGCGCACACGGAACGACACGCCCGCGAGTTGGAACTGACCAAGTCTGTGTCCCTGGCTCGGCTGGATCCCATTGCGCTGCTGGCGCTCCGTACTTCTGGCAAGTGCATCTTCTCCCTCCCGGAGGCGATCTTCGACCTCGACCACCCAGGCCACTACTTCCGCCGCACCAAGACCATCGCCATCTCCATCCCCTGCGTCGTTGGGCCATTCACCTCCGTCTCGGCGACGCTGCGCCTGCTCTCAAGCCGGTACCGTGCCAAACCCACGCGACCGGACTCGTATGCGGAGACGCCCGGGAGCGATGACCGCTTCGTGTATAACGTGACGCCGCCGCCCGTCATGACGGTCGCGTCGTCGGCAGTCAACGACGCCGGCGTGCACGACCTCCGCCCAGACGATCCGCGCTACCTGCCGTTCGAGTACTCGGGCGTGCTAGGCACGTATGCGCTAGAGCTGCCGCCAGTGCAGCAGTTTGACTACGCATCAGTGGCAGACGCAATCCTAACCATCTCGTACATGGCACGGGATGGAGGCAGCAGGCTGCGGACAGCAGCGACGCCCGCGCCGGTGGCGGGCGCTGCGGGGGTGGCCATGCGGACAGCGTTTCCCGTGGAGTGGAATGCGCTCAAGGCTGGGCGTGCCATTGAGCCGGTTCTCGTGAGCCGCGGTCGGCTGCCGCACTGGGCTGTTGTGCAGGGGCGGACGGCGATGGTGAAGGAGACGGTTTGGTGTGCGATCCCTGTCGAGGGTGTTGACCTGGAAGGCCTCGTTGTCAGTGTGGCGGACACAGACGTTATGTTCGAGAAAGCCGGAGAAGAGGATTATTATTGGAAGGGGACGCTAGGGGCTGGAAAGGTCAAGTATGGAGAGAAGGTCAAGATTGAATGGAAGGACGAGGCAGATACGGGGAGAGTCGGGGAGCTCATTTGCGTTGTTAGCTTTGATGTTAAGGAGCCCACTGAGTAAGGGTTAGTTTGAAGTCTTGCTCACCTTCTAGTTGTTAGCAGAGAATACAATTGATCTAGAGTTACCTATGTTGCAAAAATAAGGTAAGCTATAATTTCGTTTACGCTGTTAGTAATTCTATGAATGGAAGTGGATTGGATAATTAATTGATTATTTCTAATTCTACTCAGTTCAGCCGCGTTACCACTCACCGCGGATCGAGCTCACGCTGGCGGAATGGGGGACTGCAAGCTCACTACGGTTAGAATCAAATTTAGGGACATGTCCAAAGATTGCGCCTAAAAGACCTCTATTTTAGAGGCAGTTTTTAGAAACTTTTCTGTAATTCAGGGAAGCTTATGTGAGGATGCGAAGCTTAAGAGAGGAAAAGAAGCCAAAGTATAGACTCGCGGCTCGACATGAGATATTATTGTGGGGGTTGTAGCCTAAGCATTTGGATAGCATAGTAGGAAAGGCGAGTCTGGCAATAGAAATGTATTAGGAGCAAAAGGATCACGATCACCTTCTGCTCATGTAGAATAACATTCTATATATATAGATATCCACTAACAAAATAGGATGATAGTTGGGAAGGCAGGAGCATCTTAGGCGGCCTCATTGTGGACAAAGCAAGCCAGATACAAAGCGGGACAACACGCCCGCGCCCCAAAGCGCATGGTAGGCAAGACGCAGTAACGCTCGTGGTGAGGGTAAGAGTAAGTGTGAGTGGGCAAGCAAGCGCTGACATGTGCTTGTATTTGCGCACACCACGAGTGGTGCCGCTGGAGAAGCAGAGGATGCAAGTATGGATGGAGCACTTCATCCGCTACCATGGTTTTCCTCCAGTAACCGAACGGATCGTAGCGGAACAGGATTTCTTAACTCCTCTCTTCTCTATTGCGGGGAGAAGCGCACTGCTTTCTAGTTGCAACGACCTGCTGCAACTCCCTCTTCGTTTTGGCCACCACTCAGCATCAGCATCACGAATCTGGTCGTTAGTGAAGGTGAGACCTTGATAGAATCCAGTCTCGTCTCTCTCGGAGGGGCGAGGTGGGAGATATTGGTCGCCAAATTAATGCCTCAGGCATTATGGCCAAGAGCAAGCAGGCAACAGTGCCCCGCTTCACCATACAACTCAACATCACTCATCCTCTTGTTTTTCGCAACGCTGCGTCGAGTAGCACAGTCATTTCGAAGCTTGGTGTCACAGAATATATCATGGCTTCTACCTGTTCCACTCCAGCGTGGAGCAATTTGGAGACGTAACCGCAAATCCCACTTCACACGGGGGTGCTCCTCAGCTGATATGAGAATAGCGACATGAGTGGGCCAACCTGCGACATGTGCAGCGGTATTCGGCGTACAGGTCGGCCAGATCCTTCCCAACAGCGTCTATGCCGGATCATAATATTATACACAAAGCGCCCTTCAGACAGCTATTTCCAAGGTTACATATCACGCTGCCCTTTATGCACTTTGATTGTACACTTGCTTTGGGAGGATCTCCAAGCCGTCTCTTCATGGGAAGCCAATGGAGGCAAACTCACGGAGACAATACCTTCCTGCAGCCTGTCCTGTCAACTCACGCTGGATAAATTCAGCCATCGAACGATTGGTGTTTGGATCAAAGGCTTGGTGAATGGAGAGATGCGGGACTCGTTTCTTCGGCTGGCAGCACTACTGAAAGAAGGTGATTAGCAAGCTGCATTCTTCAAGGATGCGTGCTGACTTGAGTCAAGGTCGGTCCTCATTATATGAACATATCACTGTACCACTACGGACCGATTCGGGTGAATCTATCACAGCAATTCCAAATTGGCTTACTCAATGCCGCTCAAATCACCCGAAATGCCGACGCCATGTTGACGAAGGCTCTTCGATGCCAACGCGTTTAATATACGTCGGCGGTGGAGAAGAGGAGGATGACCCTGTCAAGTTAATCTATACCAATCGAGCTGACAGAGTTGGAAATATGCCCTACATAGCCCTCAGTCACCGCTGGGGCAACTCTGCCACACTTGAGCGTATGAAGCTCACGAATGGGCGGATTGCACTCTACAAAAAGCAACTTCCTCTTTGTGACATGTCAAAGTACGTCCAGGACGCAGTGTGGTTGACGAGGGAGCTGGGGTTGCGATACCTCTGGGTCGATTTTCTCTGCATTATTCAAGACTCGGAGGATGACTGGGCAGCTGAAGCGGCTGCCATGTGCGATGTTTATGAACGGTGTACGCTCTGCATCGCGGCGTCGTTCCCAGCAGCAGTGTGTGATCAGGACAGGGTCTCTTTACCTGAGGGACATTCCGCCTGGTTTCCTCCCCTTTCAAAGCCCGTCTCCCCACTTCGGAATCCTTCACGGAAACTCTTTCGGAGATTACTCAACCATTCACGGTGCAGCACACCAGCGCCTACTATTGCACCAATCCAAGCATTTGGCACAATGAGGTGAGGGATGCGCCATTGAATACCCGAGGCTGGGTACTGCAAGAGCGGTGTCTCAGCCCTTGCACGGTATATATGGGACGGTGGCTGCTGTGGGAATGCGGGGAGCTGGACGCAAGCGAGGCCTATCCGCGAGGCCATGGGATCGTTTCAGTGTGGTCGGATTGCCCAAAAAGATGGAGGCGGACTTTAACTAGGGAGGTGAAAGAACTTAGACAGCTGGTCTCAAGGGCGAGAGTATGGCAGGAACTTGTCGAGAAGTACACCCTTTGCCACCTGACGAAGAGTGAAGACCGCCTTGTTGCCATTGCAGGCATTGCTCAGCGCTTCGCGGAAGAAACCAACGACACGTATCTCGCTAGCCTCTGGCACTCGCATATTTTCTCGGATCTTGCTTGGTACGTGCCGGATCTAACGCAAGCGAGAGAAAATTGCCTTGGTCCTCTAGGTATGTAGATTCAAGGCCTCGTATGATTGTGTGACTGACGCAACGCCATGCAGTGCCGTCATGGTCTTGGGCATCCACCGGTCACCCCGTCCTCTTCTCCCGAGATCGCGGACATGAAAATATGTTTTCCGACATAAAGATTTTCGAAATCCGGGCCGGACGACAGACACCGAAAGCATGGATTGAGTCTCCTATCTGGGTCATGGTGTTGCAAGCCCCCCTGATACAGATTTCTTGCTCAGAGTTGGGACCAATTACGTTCTCGCCCACGGAATACTCCGCCTATAAACTGCAACTGGAAAGTCTCTCCGGCCCACATCTCTTACAGCCACAGTTCTTCCCAGACCAAGCAGAGCCTCTGAAGGTAGAGGACAATGTATACCTTCTGCCATTGCAGACCGTACGAAAGCTTAGTACAGCTACTCCGCTGACTAGAGATGTGGAGGAGCTATGTTTGCTGGTTCTGGAAAGAGTCGAAGTATCAGAGTACCTCGCTGAAGCAACATCCCCTTTCGACTACAGACAATGGACTGTCTACAAGAGGATCGGATACCTTAGGCTGTTCTTTGCCTCCAAATCTTCCACAGGAAATCCATTCGTTAGGGAATTTTGTCGGCGTAGCAAACAAATAAGTAGGCGGGATACGTGGAACATTGACAGTTGTGGAATACCGGCTAAGGAATTTGTGCTTATCTAGCTAGTTCTTTAGAAATAGGATAGAATATTTCTTTTTTGTTCTTACAATTATTGTATACAACAGTGAGGATAATTTGCTTACAAGTATTATTAGAAAAACTGTTATTCTCTTATGTGCAAGGTGTGATAATACCTGGTACCTTGTCCTCACATCTACCTAGGTATTATGCAGCCGCAACATACTTGGTAGGCTTCCAGAGTCCTGGTTGACAAACTCCCACAAGAATGTCCGACGCTCCCGAGGAAGAAATCATGCAGCGCCGTCCAGCTTCTGAGCCTCACACATCTTGGCATACATGCCTCCCTTCGCAACCAGCTCGCCATGCGTTCCGGCCTCCACAATCTTGCCTGCGTAGAAGACGAAGATGCAGTTAGCGTCTCGGACCGTCGAGAGGCGGTGCGCCACCGCGATGGTGATCCGGTCCCCGGACGACGCCGCCTCCGACAGCGCGCCCTGGACGAGCTTCTCCGACTCGGTGTCCAGCGCGCTCGTCGCCTCGTCGAGCAGGATCACGTTGGGCTTGCGCACCAGCGCCCGCGCGATGGCGATGCGCTGCCGCTGACCGCCCGAGAGCTGGCTGCCGCCCGTCCCGCATGGCGTGTTGAGGCCCTCGGGCAGCGATGACACGAAGTCCCACACGTTGGCCGCCCGGCACGCCTCCTCCAGTGCCTCGTCCGGCACCGCCTCCGTCGCGCCGAGGTCCGGCATGCCCTGCGAGATGTTCTCGCGGATCGTGCCCGGGAAGAGCGTCGGCTCTTGCTGCACCAGGGCTACCTGCTTGCGGTACAGAAGCGGGTTGATGGATGACAGGGGCGCAGACGAGTCGATGATTATGGCGCCGCTTGTCGGATCGTAGAAGCGCTCTAGGAGCGAAATCATGGTGCTCTTTCCGCAACCCGAGGCGCCCACGAAGGCCACAAAGTCACCTCGTTGAATCTAAAAAAGGATTAGTGTCAGTCAACATGGCTCGATCCCGAACTCGCGTCTCCCAGAGAGCAGAGAGCAGCCTTCCTTCGAGTACAGTAGGTACTTACCGACAGAGACACGCCCTTGAGAACACGGTTGTCCGGCGCCAGGGGGTACGAGAACTGCACGTTTTGGAAGTCGTAGGAGCGGCACCCGTGCTCGGGTCCCTTTTTTCGGTTTTCGTCAGTCTCACGGATGGTCCCGTCAAGCCCATCGAGACAGAAGTAGTAGTTGGCGGCTTGGTTCGCCTTGGTGAAGCCTGGAAGTTGTCAGTAACGCGAACCCAGCGCGCTTGGGGCCTCCCCCGGACTCACTGCTGGCGAAACTGAAAGCCAAGGCGGTGGCTTGCCCAGAGAAGTAAACACCCATAAACGACACGATGAACTGATAGAAGCTTATTTCCCCGTCGTTGATCAGCTTCGATCCCCACCTGTTCGCACAATCAATCGGCTGAGTTGCTTCACAAGACTCCGCAAAACCAGGAAGCAAAGACTCACCAGAACCCCAATGCCAGCACGAAGTACTCGACGGACTGCGTGAGAGAGAACCAGGTCATCATGTGGAACATGGGCCCGCTCGTCTGAGAGATCGCGAGGTCGAGCTCGTCGACGTACTTCCTCAGTACGGTCCTCTCAATGGCGAGCGAAGAGACGGTGCGGATCGCCATGACCGCCTCTGAAGCCACCGAAGCGCTTGCCGACAGCCTCTGGCCCATCTCGTGGTCCATCTTGGTCTCGAGCCTGACGCGGGCGTAGCCGCCTAGCATCATGAGCGGCAGGCCGACGAAGACGCCGACCAGCCCTAGTTTCCAGGACACAACGATCGCGAGGACGCTCGACGCGACGATGTTGATCGCGGACATGAGGATAATGGCGACAGTGAAACCCATCAACTCCAGGATGGCCTGCGGGTAGGAATCGAGCCGGCTGATGAGCGCACCCACCGTGTTCTCAGACCGGTCGAAGAACTGAAGGTCCTGCCGGAGGAAGAACTCCAAGATTTCCCGTCGCATCTTCCTGCTGAGAGCCTAGGGTACAGTACGCTCGCGGTCAGTATCGTGATGCGAGATTGGGAACGGGATTTTCCTTCCTGCGCCAAAGACATGGGAGCTCTCACCTGTGCGATAGTATTGGTCGACCACCCCATGACGAAGTATATGACGAGAATGCCGAGCGACATGACGAAGAACATCAACGAGATGAAGTTGCCGCGAGCGACCACGTTTGGAGAAGTAAAGACGCTCATGATATTGCCTAGCAAGAGGGCTTGTCCAGGGTTGATGGCGGCTGCGAGTGATATTGTGGTAAGCAAGTGTAGCGGCAGTGCCACGCTCTCCAGCGCTTGAGCTGGGGAGCCTTTCTCAGTCGAAACCACTCACCTCCTCCGATGCACGTAGCTATTGTGACCGCGAACCAAGGCCAGATATCGGGCGTCGATCTTAGAAGCTTCCAAATACTGAGGATAATGCCCGTCTTCTCATACAAGTCATGGTCTTCCCCGTCCTTTAATGCCGCCAGTTGCTGTGCCTCGGCCGTCCGGATCCTGGCAAGAGACTGAACGCGATCGACATGATCGTCTTCCCTTTCCAAAGCCTCATCGGACGTACTTGTGCCCCCGGAGCCATGGCTCTTCTCGATGTTAGCCGGCGCAAGGTCCTGGGCCTTGACGAGAGTAGTGTAGATGCCGTTCTTGGACACCAGCTCTTCGTGATGCCCCTGTTCTACGATCTTACCCTTGGACATGACTACGATGTTATCCGCCTTGCGGATGGTCGCGAGCTTGTGCGCGATGACGATGGTCGTTCGGTTCTTGGAGGCGCTGTCGAGGGCCTTCTGAACGATGCCCTCGGCGTGCGGGTCGAGCGCGCTAGTCGCTTCATCGAGGAGTAGGATTTTGGGCTTCGAGATGACGCTGCGGGCGATGGCAATCCGCTGCTTCTGCCCACCCGAGAGCAGGCCGCCTCTCTCGCCGATGCGCGTGTGGTATCCTTGCGGCAGGTTCTGGATGAAGTCGTGCGCGAAGGCGAGCTTCGCGGCCTCTTGGACGCGCTGCATTTGGTCTTCTTGCGATGCTGCCTCCCATTGGGTGCCGACGAGACCGTTGGCGATGTTCTCGAACACGCTGCCGTTGAAGAGCACCGGTTCCTGGACTCGTCAGAAAAGTGTCTTGCAAGTCTATAGTATGCACTTTGGGTGTCTTGCCTGTTGAACTAGACGGACATTGGTCCGCAGCCACTTGAGGTTGAGCTGACTGATGTCCTTGCCATCCAAGGAGATGCTGCCTGCTCGGGGGCTGTACCATCTTTCGAGCAGGGCGATGATTGTGCTTTTTCCTGAACCGGATGGCCCCTTTCCCCCGCTTAATCAGAGGCTTATACGACAGATACGACCGGAGACTACTCACCACCAACGCCGTGACCTTGCCTGCGGGGATATTTAGGGTAAAGTCCTCTAAGACGGCGACATCTGGACGCGTAGGATAGCTGAAGTTAATACCGTGCAGATCGATGAATCCGACAGTTTGGTCAGGCTTGTCTCCCGATTCGTCGAAGGGGTTGATCTCGGATTGCCTTTCGATGAGAGCGAACAGCTCTGAAGCTGCGGTCGCCGCGCGACTGAAGGTGGCCATGTGCGGTACTACTTGCATAACCGTACTCGCAGCCATGATGACGGAGAAGAGAACACTGACGTCTTAGTTAGTCCTGGAATCTCTATAATGAAATGGCGGTCTGGCTGATGGCTCGCGAGAGGATGAATAACTGACACAAAGACGGTTCCTAGGTCGGAAATCTCGCCGCGGTCGAGCATGGCGATGCCCTGCCAGAAGGCCAGGCCCATGCCGGCGTAGACGACGAAATACTGCCCTCCAAACACGATGCCATAAAGCTTATTCTTTTTCATTCCCTGGGTGTACGCATCCTGGAGGTACGAGTCATACTTGGCCATCACCCTCGGTCGAAGGCTGAAGGCCTGAATGGTCCGGATCCCTCCGAGGACGTTCTCGGCATAGCTGCCGGCTTGGGCGTAGACCTGCAAGATCTTGGTCTCGATTATGGCATCGATGCCACCGGCCGTACCGAGCACAATGATCAGAGTTGGCACCATAAAGATGAGGATTAAAGTCAGCTTCCATTGTGTGACGAACGCGATCGCGAATGCTGCCACGAAGGTGGATATGGCTTGGATGGCGATGCCTAATTTCTCTGCGATGCCGGATTGGATGAGCTTGCCGTTCGTGGTCGCCTGCTGAGATATGGAGCCGGAGGCGCCCCGGTCGTAGTAGGTGATCTCTTGGCTGAAGGCAGCCCGTAGATAGCTTCGTCGGACGTTGCGGGTCAAGTGGTACGCGACGTAGGTGAAGAGAGATGCGTAGATGTAGGTAGCCACTAGACGGGTGACACCTATGTAAACGAAGTAGAGGCTTTGGTTGCATTAGCATATGATCATTGCCATTATCTAGAATTAAAACAAAGGGGAAAAATGCTCTTACGCCGATGTCCGCACGGCGGACATGAAATTTCCAGGTATCGAGTTCGCGTCGGAGAAGCTGAAGTCGCTAAGCAGCGTCAAGAACTGTCCCATGACCAGGTTGACCATAGCGACAGCAACGCCAGACGCAATAGCAGCTACGAAAGCAATGCATTCGAGGACGTAGAGTTTGGTATCGCCGAAGGTGAAGACTCTCTGCAAGATAGATCGTCCCAGCTCGTCAGCCACTACTCGTACAGATGAGGATGCCAGACTTACCAGGAAACCATTCGTGCCTTTCTTCTTCTCGGCAGACTCGTCATCTCCTTGCTCAGGTTTCACTGGGATTTGAACATCGTTGGCTACTCCGTCACCTTTCTCGGCCTCTCCAGGGTCTAAAGGAGCTGCCATCTTGTTCGCTCCGGGTTGGGGTGTAGAAAAGGAAGAAAGGAGTGGACGATTGACGCAAGATTTCGAGCTTTCCCAATCTAATGAAAGAAAGTGATTGGCAAAGGGGATGAATATATAGAAAATGACAAGAGCGACTATAACGAGACTATTTAGGCCGCAGTGGAGGACGTCCCCGAATCTTTGGCTTGACGGAACCTGCGTTTCATCTTTGCTCTCTAATGCCTCGGGAGCTTGGAGGCTACCACGTCCGGCCCCAACATCCTGGGTATCAAGACGTTGGCCCTCTATCAGAGTGCATCAGAGGGAGTCGATGCGGATGGCGGAGCCTCCGAGCCTGCGAAGCTCCGAGGCTCGGCGCCAAGCCTCGTAGACCCGGATTTCCAACGTTCCATCTGGGTCCCGATGCCTCCGCCCACACCAACACGAGTTCTTGACCTTGCACGCTCGCTCGCTTGTGAGACCTTCGGAGGAAGAGGAGCACCAATTGACGCCGACCAAAGCACGACGACAGATCCCGGGTGGCAGTGCCTCGGCAGGCCCCACCACCCACTCACTCACTCTTGATGGAAGAAGAGTCGTTCTCGCGGGCTGAGGAAAACGAGGAACAGAATCCTGCCGCAACCGAGAAGCTAGCAGTGAGCTTACCGATGTACCCGCCCTACGTGAAATCATATCATGTGGCTGATCAGCTTCTTCGAACATAGTGTCATCGATGTCGCCAGCGCAAGGTGAAGACATGACATGCATCCCTCGGGAACCTACATGTGTATCAGTGTCTAATTTCTCGTCCAGGTGAAATGTGACCGGGGGAGCCCGTGTTCTCACTGTGTCAAGGCTGGGACACAATGCTCATACGCAACCGGCCCCAAGCTTAGAGAAAGGCGGCAGAGGGTCATGGTCTCGAACTCATAGTAAGTAACTGCAGAATAACGGACCGCCTGCCAGGCACTAGTGAGGCGGAACATCCTGCTGAGATTCATCAAGTGATTCCAAATTGGATGCAATATCGAGGAAAATCGACGAGCTCAGCCAGCGAATGAGCCAGTTGAGTCACGAGCCGGCCAAGAGTAAAACCTCTAAGCCCCTCGACTTTGCAGACCCTATCAACATCAACCAGGAGGGGCGCTGCTCGTCCTCCTCGTTCGGGTCAACGCCACCTTCTTCCTCACTCGGCTCTACGCCAAACCAAGGAACCCTGCCGCATAACCCCACCGGCGAGGGCGTCCGTGAAGTGCACTACAACTCTTCCAAAGCGGAGTACGAGGGTGAGTCGTCGCTTTTCGCTCACGCCGTCTTCGCTAGTCGGTTTCTTCAGAATGCCATTAGCAACACGACCAACGCCGAGGTCGCACACGAGATGGAAGCCGTTCTTGACGGCCTTAGGACTGCCGTTCATTCTGGGAAACAACAGCCCGATACGCTCGATAAACTGTATCCTCGTGCCAAGGCGATCTCACCTGGCTCGACGACCCGCAACCTCCCTTTGCCACCCATCGACAAGGTGTTCATGTGCTTGCGTATGGCTAGGGAATGCCCGCAAGTGGCCATGCTATGGTTGGGGGACTTTATTAGGCCCACCCAGTTCAGCGACTACTTTATCAAAATCGTATCGCCTGGTCCAGCTACCGAAGCCGACTTGATCATCGTCCATTGTGGTCTTTACTGGTTGTTCTGCGAATGCTCCAAAGCCGTCACCGACGAAGAAACGAAGCAAGACTACTACACGCAAGCTCTCATATGCGAGGCAAACCTCGAGACTGTCCTTGCCAACCTTCGATTTCATCAGCCAACAAGTATGGACTTCGCATATGCGATGGGCATGGCGGTAAGCTGTTGCCTGTTTTGCGAGAACCAATCGAAAGGCCCCCTTCCCACTGACCGTACATACTAGTCCTTGTATTGCCTTCAGAAGAGCAAGCCATCTGCCGCGTGGAATTTCATCAATTCGGCCTCGCATATGGTACAAGCTCTTGGCTTGCAACATAACGTGCCTGCAAGCATAGAGGGGCCGGAAGAGAAGGGCCAGAAGAGAGAATTGTTCTGGACCATATACATGACCGAGAAGATGCTGTCGCTACGCCTAGGTCGTTCATCGACCTTCCGAGATCAGGACATCACCCTGATCCGTCCTGGTATGGAGCGTCCCAGCGGTTCTTTCTTGGCCGAACTGGCCCCTGGTTGGATCAACATAGCGAGTATACAGGGCCGGATATATGACGACATCTACAGTCCAGGCGCCCTCATGCAGCCACCGCACATCCGGACGTCTCGTGCCCGGGCTCTTGTAGCCGAGTTGAAAACTGCCATGCAACATGCGAAGGACATCCACGTGAGTTTGTCCCCGCTACCTACGCAGGATATGAAGTTTTCTCGTGCCAATCACCCCTCGAGACAGCGCCGACGGTTGACTGACCACAGGACCATTACGAGGCGATCAAAGGGCAAGTGCTGGGGCTGGATTTCCACGAAATAGCAAGACGTTCAGACCGAGTCATCGGCCTTTCCATGCTTACGCTCATCTACCGGAGCATCCCCCCCGAGAAGCCATCGACGTCCGCATTTTGTCAGGAGTGCATCGGTGCCGCCAGAGATACGCTTCAAGAACACGACCGATGCGTCGCCGCGATCACCAAGGCGCGAGGGAAGACAGTGTTCCTTGAAGCATACATCAACTGGTTCGTTATCGATGATCCCTCGTTCCGTCCTCGTCTTGACTAGATTAATCTGACGTGGAGATGCAGGACCATCACCCAGTCTCCGTTCATCCCCTTCATCATCCTGTTCTGCCACATCATCGAGACGTCCGAGGCCTCAGACCTCGAACACATGAGAGGCCTTGTCGAGACACTCGAGTCTGCATCGAACTCCCAGGCACATAGCACATGCAGCAAGCAACGTCGCCTCTTCAAGGCGTTGTACGACGTCGCGGCCAAGTATGTGGAGGTCAAATCCCGCGCGGACAGTGTGCAATGGGGAATGTCGTGGTCAATGGCTCGGCAGCAGTATGTCGATGCGTTCGCCAGCACGACCTCTAACGGTCTCGGGCTCGGTACGTTGGACTCTGCGGGAATTGTGGGAGACCTGGGGACAACGAATACTGCAGATGCTCCTGGTCACATGCCGTCGCACGGCGAGGCTTACGGGGACGGGATGGGGCTTGTGGATGGGCCTATGGCGTTGCAGAACACGACATTTGGGGATGTGGACATAGAGATGGATCTATCAGGAGCTGAACTTTGGGACTGGTTTAACAAGAACCACTCCATTATGAGAATGCTCGAGAATGCATAGAATTAGCATTATATACTTTACTACTAGTAACAATTATTTTACTTATTTCTTACTATATGAAAAATCGAAATTATAAAAGGTTTAGCGTCCGAGTTATAACAAAACTACAAGAGAAAATAATATATATGATAAGAAATAGAATTCTATAGTGTTTAAACAAGGAACTGACGCTCTGTCCAGGGAAGCTAACAGACGCGCCTTACCCCCTACGAGTAGCTTCTCATCTTTCTCACCACCTCTACCATGCTGAACGGTAGTATGCTGGCCGCAGCTTCAGTAGACTGCCTCGCCGCTTGAGGGTAAATCCAAGCCGGCCCACTCCATGTCATGAATGCCGCTACCCAGGCATATCCCAAGGCTCTGAGTGCGATAGGTGGTCTCATGCTCTCTTTTCCTTGACCGTTCTCCCGTCGAAAGATAGAAACGACAGCTTGCTCTAGCAGCACACCGAAACCCTGCGTGCAGAAGAACCTGAACACCCCAAGCTTCCGCAATGGCATTCCACTTGCGACGCCAGCAACTGTATGTAAAGCTCCGGAGAGCGCAAACGTCAGAATCAAAGTGACTGAGCCTGCAAGCGGAGAGCCTCGGGGACGCCTAAGGACATCGTGAACAATGGCAGAAGATGGCCCCGTCAGCGGCCGGCGGAGCAGCTGGTGCCAGAACTTGCTTGCAGAATCAGGTCAGTACCACCTCGATAAGCACTTGTATGAGGAGCGGACTTACACCCATACGTTCTTCAAGCAGTAGGCATCGGCGACCGAGCCGAAGGCAGGGCGCCAGTTTTCGACTTTGGAAAGGCCGAGTGCAACTGCTACAGTCGCTGAGAGGGACTGGAAGCCCTGGATTACACAGTAGAAGGTGACGGCAAATCCAGCGATGGCAAGAGCCCGGCGCTTGATCTCTGCTGCCGTAACACCGCTGAGCCGCGCGAAGAGCAGTACCAGCTCCGGATTGAACAGTTCGCGCGCGTTCGCCGGTGGTTTTCGCGACCCCAACATGTCGAGCAGAAGATAGCAGGTAAATGCGGCCGCGGCTTGTCTGGAAACAAACGCCCATCGAGAGGGAATATAGCTTCGGTCCGTGTTGGAGAAAGGCGGTACATTCTTGGCCTCTTCGAGCATGCCTACGCGGCGGAAAGCCCACATAGAGTTCCAGCCGAATTTGAAGCGGTCTAGTAATATTTCTTTTGAGGAACCATCTTGGTGCCGTTTGTATTTTCCTCCTTGCCCTCCGCCGAGCTTGGGCTTTGGTAGCTCCACCTACTGATTACGGCGAGGTCCAGGTACTGAAGGAGTATGGTAAAGCTGAAGCCGCCTCGAAGAGCGGCCCAGCGCGATCTCATATAGAGCGTGGATGTGCGCACGATTGAGTACACACAGACGCCCAACAGTGGGACGGCTGCCGGACACACTAAAGAATGAGGCGATGTGAAGCCAATGGTGGCAGAGCTAATTAGGAGCTCGAAGAGCAGTAAGTGAGGAGGCCTCAATGCAACCTGGGTAAGGACTTGGGAGAGAATCCGCGTTGCCATTACTACTGGATCAAGAGCCTGAAGGGAGGGTTGGTGTAGTTGGAGCCGTGGTGGATGAGAATGCGGCGCAGTCGTCGACCTGGCCGCACGCTATACCTTTCGGACTAGTCCATTCACCTTTGCCGTAGAGTTCATACCGATCCGCCGCGAATACGTGTGTCAGCGTACCGCAGACCAATGTAGTGTCACTACTGGTCAGAGAGATTCAGTCTAATATGTGCTGCGCGGTAATTGCCCTCTCTACTTCAACGCTAAGTCAGTCGGCGTGTTCATGCTGGCCTTTTAGTGGCTATCTGCAGGTTGGCTCACTTTACCAGTTCGGCCCAAGATACATCCCCTCTCCCTCCCCTTGCATACTTCGGCTGTGTCGCCGTTATGCTTAGACCTATTTTTTAATTCGAAATGCCCAAGGACGGACATTGCAGCTGTAGTTTGCGTGGACAGTGGTGTTGCATGTCCTTTCGTCGCTTGCGGCGTAGTTTATTCCCTTCCCGAGGTTCCAGTCTTACTTTACTGTCCGGAAATGCACCTGAAGTCTTAAACTAATTGCGGCGAAGTGCGCTCATTCAATTCGCCCAACCTCATCATGTACAATACGTAATTAGACTCCGTTCCAAACGTTCCAAGACGTTTTCGCAGCACCATCTGCGTCGCGCCTGAGCGCTCTGACGCATGCGACGCCTCACGGCGGAAAGGACGGACGTTCTCCAGCCGGTCTAAGCTTTGCAGAGCCTCAGATCCTCCATCTGCTTCCAGCGCTCACTTCCCACGGCAGTCCATCCGTAGAAGATGCCCTGTGGGTCATACTTGTCTTTGATTGATAGCAGACGTTCGTAGTTCTCGCCGTAAAATACCTCTTGCCAATTTGGCTCCCACATATCGCCCTCGTTCAGATACGCGTGGCCACCTCCTGGAATCAAGGAGGAGAGCTGCGGCACAAGTGTGTTTGTCATGAGCTTCTGGTTGGCGATGTTGTTTTCTCTCGATTGGTAGTCATAGAATCTAAGTCAAGACGCATCAGTCGATATTCCCAATCATTAACCATTGAGTTGGCCGGTGAGAGAAACAGGCACTACTCACGTTCCAACAACAATGCTAACCAAAGTCTCCCGCCATGCCTTGAAAGCAGCATTCGGCACATCTGGAGTATTAGATACGTTGAAAGCCAATCCTGAGATCCAAGTCCCGTACTGGGTGATGTTCTGGAGCACCTTTCGAAAGGCGTGCGTCTTCTCGGTAACCACAGTTCGAGGAATCAGGCGACCGCCGATTTGGAACGTCCCTATTGCGGTTTCGGGGTTGACAGCTTGAAACATGTCGAAGAAGGAAGGGAAGTCGTTTGAATAATAAGCTACATCCATAGTCAATCAGATAAGCCGACGCAATATTGACTATAACTTACCGTATTTGATCCCCAGCCCCTGCAATTTGTCAAGTACAGGCTTATGCAGTTGATCCATTTTCTCCCTGGTCATACCGACTCCCACAGCTGGAGCGAGTATGAAAGTCTCTTTGTTCAGCAACCATGTACTCGCGGTACCGGCATCGATAAGGACAGGAAGTCCGGCGAGGTACGCTTCAACGCCGCTAAAGAAGATATCCGGGGAAACACCAGCCGCAGAGAAAGTAAGGTTTGCACCAGATGTCAGGCCATCGGGATACGCTTTGACCGTAAGTGATAGCACGGCAGCATATGTTCCTCCGCCACCGCCAGCCAGGGCCCAGTAGAGGTCTGGGTTCTTGGTCGGAGAGGCGCTGCGAATTTCGCCGTCGGCCGTGACGACTTCCCATTCCAGAGCTTGGTCTGCTGCAAGGCCGAACTTGGTCGCCAACAACCCATGGCCGCCGCCCTGAGTGTATCCGCCCGCAAGTCCAACAGTTGGGCCCGTGCCGCCGACTATCACTAGACCAGCATTATGGGCTGCTTTGTAAGCATCAATGAGCTTGACTCCTGCCCCAGCCTTCAGGGCTTTCCCGGTGTAGTGGTCCGACTCATAATCCAGAATTTGGATGTCCTTCATATGATGCGTCCAGAGTGCAATTGCACCAGCGCCGGTAGACTTTCCGAGCCAGTCATGTCCCGTGTTCCTGATGACTAGGCGAATGTTGTGGTCCTTCGCGAATCTAATCGTGGCCTGGTAGTCCGAGGCTTCCCGAGCGTCTACGGAGTACTGTACATAGGCACCGGTGACACACTGAGACGTTGGAGGAAGAAAAGCTTCGCAGCTTTCGTTTGCGAACCACGGTGCCATGATTGAAGAAGACGTCTCCATGTGGGTGGAAGGGAGCAACCACGTGGCTCGGAGGGCATCGCATTCAGCCTCGTTGAAGGCAGCGCCGTGGCACGGAGTGGCGAGAGGCACTGTTGCAACGAGCTTCCCTCCAACAGTGTTATTGAAGCTACCCCATACCACAGCGGCTGGCCAGCACGAGTCGCCCGGAAAGCAGCGGCAATCTGTGAGATTGGCTGCGGTGGACTGAGTCCACCCGAATCCCATGTTAACCGCGTCGAGTGAGGGGAAAGACGTAACCCCGACGGCGGGATCCGCCATGTAGCACTGCAGTGGTCCAGACGAAATAGTTCGATCGACAAATGGGCGTCCTCAAAACGAGATAGGGGCTGACTGAAGAGCCCAATGGTGCAGCAATCCGGCTTCAGACGGTACACAGCAGGCTGGTTGCGGGGCAAGGCGAACGAGAGAGCTCGAAAGCTGTCATAGATGAAATCCTCCCGTGCAACATGATATGAAGTCAAAGATATACCCAAGGGCGATGCGCAGAGACACCAGCCGAACCCCTTGCGGCGTAGTATGCGTAAGGTGCGGCGTAGGTGACTGATTTGTTCGCCCACAGCTCGTCAACGTTCCAATTCGCCCGGATGAATCGCTCAGTGAGAAATCTCACCTCAAGCAAGGAGGCCCACATATTGAAGCCAGTCGACCGCTCGACTGCAGCGTTTGCCAGCTTTGGATCCACTTCGTGAGGCACACATTGCCTTACCGTCATCCGTCGCAACCACGCCTGTCCTGTAGACATGCTTTCCGAACTCATATTACCTTTCCTTAATGGACCTCCGCGAAGGAGATGTTCGGATTCTCTTGCGCGAGTAATTCGACTGTGGTCGCGGCGGCGACCTTTCGCGACCTGTCAGCCGCCGTGTCCAGCTCACATCCATGCCGTAAAGACGCATGCAGCGCTAACTATAGTCAGAAATGCGTTATACGTTACTCTCGCGGTGGGAAGAACGGAAGATTGCTACGATTACGAGGAAGGTTAATGTCTATGACGTATTAGTTTGGTTCTATATTAATAAGCAACGAACCTAAATGCAGACCTGCATACTTAGGTTATTCATTCAATACATACCAACTACCCCCATGCAGTCAAAGCCGCGCCTCCAACCCAGCAACAAAAACCATGCCGCCCAACCAGCCACCCTTCCCAATCCTCATATTCAGCAAGACATCCTCCTACCGGCACGCCTCCATCCCCACCAGCATATCCGCGCTCCGCGCACTAGCAGCCAGCACGCACCTCTTCACAGCAGACGCGAGCGAAGACGCCGAGGCCGCCATCACGCCGTCCTCGCTCTCGCGCTACGCCGTCGTCGTGCTTCTGCAATGCACGGGAGCCTTCCTGACGCCGGCGCAGGTCAGCGCACTGAGGGGCTTCGTACGGGCGGGCGGCGGCATCGTAGGAATCCATGCGGCGGCGGCGGGCATGCCGCTGGATGCGTGGTATGGCGCGCTGATCGGGGCGCAGTTTGAGAGCCATCCTGAGCCGCAGATGGGGAATGTGCTTGTTGGGGATGATGCGGGGCATTGGATTCTTGGTGGCAGTGGAGGAGGGGGGCGCAGTGGCTGGATGGATGAATGGTATAATTTCAAGAGCCATCCGCGGGGTAACGCGGGGTTGAACGTGCTTTTGAAGGGGGATGCGAAGTCGTTCACGGGCGGGACGATGGGCGAGGATCATCCGCTTTCGTGGTGTCAGGAGTTTGAGGGCGGGAGATCGTTCTATACGGCGTTGGGGCATTTTGAGGAGGCTTATGGTGATAAGTGGTATATGGATCAGGTTTTTAGGGGGATTCTGTGGGCGGCGAGGCGGGAGCGGGATGCTGATTAATCTATCTCTTATGACCTTTTGTCTATACTTCTATCAGGATACCACTCCGTGTTCATTATCTTCCTTTCTTGATTCTTCGCACATCACTTCGCCGGTTCGTAGGAAGTTATCCTAGGAGACGACCGATTGACCCCTTAGTAGACCCTCCTACAAATCTCTCGTAAACTCAGACTGTTGCCGCCACTTCTCTCCGTATCTGAAAACAAAGATAGGTATCGGCGCAAGGAACAGACTGAGTGCTCCAAGGCAAGTGAAGCCCCAACCATATCCAAGATGCTCGGCCAAAGGACCGGTGGCCAGGGGTAAGAAGGTTCCCATGAGACACCTAATCACAATGACTCCGGTCATGGCAGAAGCAGAGTAAAGCCCAAAGGCGTCCACAACATACGCGGATAGAGGTATGAAAGAGAGCAGGAGGGTGAAGCCGAGCAATGCCACGGAAAGGAGGAGCAAGGAGATGGGCAGTTGCAACTGCGCTATCCAGCCATAGGCCGTAACCGACAGAGGGAGGGTGAAAGCGCCGATGATGGACATGGGAAGTCGATACTCTGGTAGTCCAACAGCCTTGTCAGCGTCCCGAAGTTTAACGTAGATCCTGTCGAGGCTGAAGTTGCAAAGGAATACGGCCAGGAAGGAACCGACGCCTAGGGACAAGTCAGAAGGGCTCGAATGGCAGATGCACTCGTGTAATATATCCCGCAAATAAGGAACTTACTGAAATCGACGAAAGCTAAGCCAGTTAATGCCGGAGTGAAGCCGTAGACGTCCTGGAGAATGCCCGGCAGCGTAGTGGACAAGACGTAGAAGAAACTAAAAGCCACAGAACCGAACAGAGACAAGGCGAGGAGAACCCCGGAACTGAACAGAACGGAGAATGGCCGGGTAATTGAATGCCATAGCTTCACGCTAGAGTCGTGATTGCTTCCCGCATGGTAGTGGTTTCCGCCGTTATTCCGCTGCAGCCGGGCAACTTTTCGTCTTAGGAGAGTCATCTTGTACGTTTCCCTGAAGCATATGAGGAACAAAACCTCGCACAGGACGGCCAGACCGGCAGCGATGAAGAGCACTTGTCTCCACCCCAGAGTCTGAGCAATGGCGCCACTAATGGCAGGACCAACCGCACCGCCGATGAGCGGTGCAAGCATAATGAGACTCATTGCTGAACCCCGGTGCTCACACTCGAACATATCACCGATGATTGCGGGGTTCAGAACGTTCGAGGCCACTGAAAGACCCGTGAGCACCCTCGCAGCGATGAAGAGCGTGGTGCTCTGACTGAGGGCGGCGAGGACGGTCGCCAATATGAACAAGATGTTGCATCCGTTCACTACGGGGTAGCGACCAAAGATCTCAGAGAGGGGGGCGATCAGGAGGGGTCCCGCCGCTTCGCCTAGCTCCCATATCGTCACGAGAAGCGCACTCGCTGAGGAACTGGAGTGGCCGTTATTAAGGTCTTCCACGATCGTATTGGCCACTGGGACTACTGAGATGCAAGTGAATGTCCTGAAACAGTCGTCAGCGGATGTTCAAGTAAACGGAATTACTCAGTTCCCGTTTCGCAAAGCATCCAAGAGCGATGCACTTACACGGTGAAAGCCATGCAAGCGAGTAGCAGGACAATTCCCCATTTAAACACCACAGGCCACTCCTTGGGATTCTCGCTGTCCCCATTCGGATCAAAGTCCAGGATGACTTCGGTATGCTTGACGCCATCCTCGAGGTCTGCTGGGTGTGCTTGCAGCAAGGGCTGCTGCTCGGCTACCGTCATCCTGGATGCAGTCCTCGAAATAGGGATCCGCCGGTGGTAAGGTTGGAAGAAGTGTTCAGAATTGCCCTTCAGCGATGAGTTGAGAATTTTTTATCGTGCGCTTCTCAAAAGGGACGCAGAGCGGCGATGTTAACGTAATCGCGCCTATCTTGTTGTTCGGCTGCATTAGCCCCGTACATTCAGCAGGAAGCATCCATATTTTGTGCAGCCGCGAATAGCCGAGAGCAGACGCAGACAACGATAAACCGACGACACACCAGTCCTTCGTTCGAAAGCATCGCGACGGCAGGGAGAGAAATGCACTATTAACTTCCAAGGTTGTGCGTGCTGCACTGATTTAATCGTCGTTCTCCACGGTTCGCTACCCCGCTCGTTCGGGACGTCAGCCCTACTAACCTCAACCATCATCCATCCATCCCACTTCACACGAACCCTCTACAGCGACTCAACTACCCCAGCAACTCCCGCGAAATTGAGTTGATAAACGCTATACCCTCCCTCCTCCAGGTATCCCCCTCGACAAAGCTCCCATTGCTATTCAGCACCATGTTCCTCGGCGCATCAAGGGCGTACTTAGGCCAGTTCGGCAATCCAGTCCCGTTATTCCCGTTCGGATTCCCGCCCACGACGAAGTTGACATACGCTCTGCCGATACTGGTGCTCAGATCCTTATATGCTTGATACTGCGTCACGGGACCGAGCGCCCCGCTGATGTTCTGGAAGGAAAACACCACGTTGACAAAATGCGGCACGGAGACGGGTACGGACTGATTCCAGAGCGGCGTATCGAAGCGGTAGCTCCACACGTCTTTGCCCGCGCGCGTGTAAACCTCGCACATCTTCCTCCGCTGGGCAATCATCACCAGGTCGCCTCCGATGGCGGCGTCGCGCCGCCACTGCAGCCCGTACTTGGGGTACGTTTCGTTTCCCAGCCTGCCGTATGGAGGCTCGTTGATCGGATCGTTGGGGTATAGGTCCAGCAGCTTGCGGATGCTTGGTGGCGACAGCGCGTACGAGCGCCAGTACATGAGGGAGTCGAAGATCGCCGTCGCGTTATCGAGGCCGTGGACGCTGAACGAGACGCCCTCGTCGGAGTTGGCGCCGGTCAGGAGCGGGACCTTGATGAAATGGCCTTTGTCCATGGAGGTGGAAGGATACGCCTGCAGGAAGTCGCCGTCGACGATGGGATTCCAGACCTGGCTGACTTGCGCTGCGAAAAGCGCTTCCGAGGATATGGCTCGGAGACATGCTACTTTATCGGTCGCTGTCCAGCAGCCGGTTGTGCGCGTCAGATTCTCCACAGGCGCGGTGTAGTAAGCGAGAGGGGCGAGGAAAGCTCCGACGGGGCCACCGCTTTCCAGGATCGCCGCCTGGAATAAGCCGTCGTCTCTCCCACCGTACGAGTTGAGATGCAGACCAATGCTTTGGGCGCCAGCGCTTTCGCCCCAGACCGTGACTCGAGCGGGGTCTCCGCCGAAGGCAGCGATGTTCTCCTGGATCCAACGTAGAGCTAGTCTCTGGTCCAGCAAGCCAGCATTGCTGCTCCCCTCGGCAAGGATCTGCGGCGTTTGCAGAAAGCCCCATACACCTGCACCGCGTCAGAAAGAGACTGTGGATTGGATATATGTGTCTTACCAAGACGGTAGTTCATGCTCACGGCAACGATCGGAGACTGTGCATCTTGCGAGTTGCGCACTATGCCAGAGAGATTGTACTGTGGATCCGCCGTCGATCCAGCGTACAATCCACCGCCGTAGATCCAGACAAGCACCGGCAGCTTCTCATTCGCATATCCGCTTGGGCGTACCACTATCGTAGTCAGCAGATCTCCCTTCGCCTGTATTTCTTTCGAAAGTTACCGTTAAGAGTAAGACAGTCCTCCGAAAGGTTGAAGTTGGTCCTGTACTGGTAGCAACTGTATCCATACGCCGATGCATCTCTGACACCAGAAAAGGCGGTCTCGATGGACTGTGGCCATTTGAATCGCAGCGGGCCAACTGGGGGCTGCGCATAGGGGATGCCTAGGAAGAGGTCTTGGTCCCAAGCTTCGAGATACCTGCCGGCGTATGTTCCATTCGACGTGGTGGCAGTAGGTCTGGACGAGTTAGACGCTGCGTGCGATTGGGTGGACAGAAAGATCGCGGATAGCACCAGGGGGAGTTGGAAGCGCATTTCTCACAGCATGGCATTCGTAGAATCCTGTGTGGTTGTCTTGGACGTGGTCGTCTATATAGCATTACACTCAACCATTGGATGGGTACCTGTGGACGGATAATTCGCGTAGCTCTACTTTAGACTCAGTGATAATTTTTCCGCCCATACCCCTCATGCCGGGAATAATGGCACACGTCGGAGCGAAACACAGCTAGGCTTGCACGGCCGGGATTATGTGCGTTCGGTATGTATCCTGGTATCTCCCCAAAGTTCGGGTGATCAGCGTCATCGACAATAAAGATGAGAAGCTGGGTAGAACGTCTAGTTGCCGCCACCCAAAGTCGCTTAATTCTTTACATTGGTCCATGCTTATGAGCATTCGCCCCGTTCGTAACTTAAAGACCATAACCCTTCCAAGGTTAGTACTGAGCTGTAGCAGCTAGTTAGCGACAAGATGGAAAGCTTATAGGTCCAGATCTCGTCTAGTCCTCCAAAAGATCACCAGCTTTCTTTCGCATGCGAAAAATACCACCTCCATCCTGCCCAGGTGCGTAGCTACACTATCGCTATGGATCTTTTTGGCATGAAGGTTACCGCACCGCTTACCGTAGTGTTATCTTTACTTGCGTCATCGCGGGTTTTGGGATCTTGTGCACGGGCTGCTGTACTCGTACATGCCGGAGCTTCTCTCAGTCCCGGTTCAAGTGACTACCAATGGGTTGGTTGTGCTATCCCATCGTTGGAGGGGACAAGTTACGTCCAGCATGAGTACCGATAGGGTAGTTCCAGTGGAGTCCAGAAGGGCCAATGACACTGGAAGCGCCCTTGACGCAATGGGCGCGTTCGCGACTTTAAAACTTAAAGCCTTGTGTGTGGACGCTCTACCAAGTCCTGTGAGACGACAGCTGGTGACGTCAAAGGGTTCCAAAGTGAAGTTGAATCTAGGAAGCGACGATGGAGCGCTCGCGCTCAGTGCGGTGAGATCGTCTTGGCACAAACATACCTTCTCTTCATTGGAACAGTTCAGATGAACGATGTTCGCACCTCTAGACCCGGGGATGTCTTGCACAATCCTTTCTCTACTACCGTCCACTGTGCCAACGTATACGGTCTGGTCTTTCCGCGCCACCATGAGATGCGTCAGGCTCTGCATTGGCCTAGCAGCCTTCCTCCCTCTCGCTTTCAGCCGGGTCATTGATATAACATCCGGCAAGGCCCTTGGCTCCTCAGACCTCAAATCGCCATTCCAGCAGCGCGAGCTCTCGACCGAGGTTTCCACCGCAGCCGCCGGATGGAGCGCTCCCAGGGCCGACGATACCGAATGGATCAAAGCCAGGTGCAAGGGTGCGACCTTGATCGCTATGATGACGCGCAACGACGAGGAGGCTGGAGGGTTGCTCGAGGGCAGCCCGGACTCCGCCGCCAGCGCCTTCACAGACTTCCCTCGTATGTTGATCTCAGCTTGAACCGAACGATAACACTGACGTGGAGGGCAGACGAGTTCGAAAAGTGGGGATACACCCACGAGGACCAGACAGGCGAGTTCGAATGCGACCTTGACATGATCGGAGTTACCAGCGCACTGAAGGGGCTCGGCGTTTCCGAAAAGAATAGGGATGAGGGTGGCCAGGTCGTGTGCTGGGGAATACAGCATGCGCAAGACAAGATTATCGACAACAAGGAATATAAGGTGAGTAGGATGCGCCTGGAGGGGCTTTGTCCATCCCTAATCACCGCGAGCAGGCAACTGGAGCCAATTACTTCCTCGGATTGAACCCCGTCGACAGCGTAATAATCGGAATGAGCCTCTACAGTCCAGCGCACATGGGGAAGGCCAAGATACCGCCTGTGACAGTCCTGCCCGACCTTCAGCAAACCTCCGACGTCATCTGGGGCCAGTGGATCCTCCAGGCAAAGGAGCGCGCGAACAATATCCGCTATTACATCGTCAACGCTATCACGAACTCGGCGACGGGACCGATCATACAGAGCGCGCTGGAGTCTGCCGATGCGGCGCCGCTGAAGAAGTGGCCGGGCCATAGCTTCGGAATGGATACGGATGAGGGGAAGGCGCTGCTGGGGACTCCGGTTGGCGTCGGGATCGCGTATCTTCTCGCGCAGCATAAGGCTCAGCTGGGGATCAAGACGGTGAGCAAGGTGGATGTGTTTGAGCCCGATGAGGGTGGGAATCCTTCCCTGGCGTTCCATATCGGATGATAGGCGGAGGCGACGCAGACCAAGTGCCGAGATGGGACGGGTCCCTAAGTTTCCACGGGGCCCTTGGGGTATCTGCTTTCTACGCTCGTGATATTGGTCGTCATTTCATGGGATAGCTTGATTTTTCTCTGCTCCTTCTCTTTTACATATGTAGCTTCGGGCGGTCAGGCACGTATCCATACCTATTCATCTTCATCTAGGACACAGTCCACATATGTCAGCCATCCTCTTTCTGGTTCTCTCGTAGGATGTTTTGCACATTCATTGGTTGCTTTCCGATGCCGGTGGCGGTGTGCGATTACGGTATCAAAGAAATTCTGGAGCCAGCATACTCCGGGGTTATCCCAAAGAATATAAGATACGTCTTCATCTGGTGAGCAAGCGGGTGAAACTTCGATCTCGAAACTAGTGTTGACGTCAGTTCGTGCGGCGGAGTCGGTGAAACATACCGCCGAGCAGGGATACGAGGATAGATCGGAAGCTCAGACCCGGCAAAAGTTCATCATCGCGTTCGAAGACCATTCATCTCCTTGTGCTCCGACAAAACGAATCAACACCCCATTGCGCTCGCCAACTTCCCTTCGCCGCCTCTTCGCTATCCAGAGTCTTTCCCTTAAAAACACCACAGACCGCCAACATGGTCAAGCTCGAAGAAGTCGTCGACGAGGAGTTTCTCCGCCAACAAGAAGGCCCGCAAGACGACGACGACTGGGACACGGATTCCGGTGTGTAGCTATTCCCTCCCTTCCCTCCCCTCTCGCACATATCCGTCTCCCGCTAACCCACTCTCCCCGCGCAGAATCCGAAACCTCGAGCATCGCCAGCGGGCTCGGCTCGCCCGACGAAACGCTATACGAGCGCATCACGGCACTGCAAGACATGATCCCAGCGTCGACGCGGCGCTCGCTGGCGTCGAAATACGCGTCTGCGAGCAGCTGGGTGAAGTCGGGCCTGCTGATGGGCGGCAAGACGCTGTGGGTGGTCAGCACGAGCGCGCTGCTGCTGGGCGTGCCGTGGGCGCTGGCGTACAGCGAGGAGCAGATGATTGTGGAGCAGGAGCGGGCGGAGATGATGAATCAGAGGGCGCAGAATGAGGTGAGTTCCATTGAGCATGAGTGGTGTAGGGGTTGCGTGGGGATGGAGGCTGACAGTGGGATAGTTTCTTGCTCAAGGAGCGCCGGGCCAGCCGCAGGGCGCGAAGCCTGCGCTTTAGTTTTGTGCGCTGTCGACGGTACTTATTGGGTTTGCGTGTTGGGGACGGATTCTTGGCTTGTCTTACTATAGAAGGGAAAGGAGACGTGGAATGGCAGGCTACGAATGGATTGCACATAATGGGACCCCCATATCCCGACGACCTGTACTATAAGTTTCTCGGCTCTTCCGATCACAATTCATCACAACTAGCCTCACAGAGGCTTTTCGCAGAACTGTCCTGGTGCGCAAGCGGAGTAAATTTTGATGCTCAATGCTCCTATATATACAGTAGCAGCCAGCGTCACTGCTTTGCAGCTGGCCATGTTCCACAGCCGCATAACAACTCTAGCTCAGCTGTCGCCATTAGATTCAACATATGCGCCATTATTCGGTACCAGAAAAGATAACGGCGTGGGAAATCTACTCGTCAATGCCCCTAACCAACCGCCCTAGTATTCGTGGGATGGAAACAGGCGCTTTTTGGAAAGCGAGGCGCCACGCTCGCTCGCTCAGAGTTCAAGGAAGTGGTAATACAGCGAAGAGAAGAGTTATGGTGATTATAGTCGGATACAGGAGGGACGGGCTTAAAACGGGATGGCGCCGGCGTCGGATACGGCGCGCTCCTGCTGCTCCATGACGGCCTCGTCGGCGGCGTCTATCGATACTGCGAGACCGAGCTTGGCGGCGTTCTAATCATACATTAGCATGCGCATCTGAACGCCGGGGAAGTTTTACACACCTGCTTGTGGTCAATCTCACCCGAGAAGGAGACGCGGATGGGCTGCGCAATCATCTTCTCCAGCAGGCAGGCAACCTTGCCCTGGTTGTCGATCTGTGCCCTGAAAGACGACGACCGGAAGTCGTACTTGGCACCAATGGTGACACTGCCTTCCTTCTGCATGCCCATGCCACCCATTGGACCGCCCGGACCCACGCCCGCGAACGCGAGGTTGCAGTTGATGCCCGTCTCGACCTTCTCGGACAACCGTCGCCAGTATGAGGCCTCAAGCACGCCCCTGTCCGGAATAATCTGTCCGCACGCCATCCAGTCTGCCGCCTTGTATCGCGCCGCGTATGAGACGTTCAGCTCCGGGGGGTAGGCCATGGCAGGGCGGGTCCAGAAGGCGTCGATGCCGAGGGACAGTCTCGGTGTCACAGCTTGCAGGTAGCTGGCCATGATCATGCCGGTTATGCCGCCATCTAGCAACGATGGATTGACGGCCTTCAGCGACGCGGAGAAGTCTGAGCCGGTGTAGTCGTTCTCGAGTGAGACCATGTTGCCTTGCGAGGTGAGCTGCACCGAGCTTTTCGAGACGAGCGCTTGTGTCCAGCGCCAGTTGAAGCGGCCGGAAAACTGCAGCTCGTTGTCGAGGTTGCCTTGGAGGAACACCTGCGGGGGTCAGCTACGCAGGCAGCACGCGAGCGGCGCAACGAACCTTGGGCGAGCCGTAGAGGGCAGTGTATGCATATGGCGGCTGCGCTTGCGAGCCCATTGACAGCGCGTGCGACACCTGGAACAGCGGCGAGGCGCTGAAGGCCTTGGTGAGCTCGGCGCGCAGGCCGGAGAAGCTCAGGTTGTTGAGGAAGACATCGCGCTGCACCTCCTTCGCAATGTTCTCGACGGTGCCGGGGTTGGACAGCCCCAATGCCTCTCTCCGCTCCTGGAACGCGGCGTAGACGTCTCGTAACCGCCCAAAGGCGCCGTTCTTGGGGGTGAGGAGGTCCGACACCGCTTGCTGCTTCTCGACCTCCATGACGACGACTCTGGGATGCGGAGGGCGAAACGAGATTGATGAAGAAGAAGCGTCCCTGGAGATGAAGGGGGCGACGCCGGCTGAGATGGAAGGGGCGGCGGCAAGGGCTGGCGGTGCGGCAGATGCGAGATAGATAGATGGTTGATGTCGACGCTCGCGAACTTTGAGAATTCTCCAGGAGAGCAGCGCTCGGACCATGACACGAGCCACGATGACATAAGGCCCTTAGCGCCACCCCGGCTGCGATTCCGCTATCACGGTCCGGTCTGAGATATGACGCCGGCGAGCTTGCTTTTTCCCTTTCACGGCCGTCTTTTTCTCACCTCCTCCGCCTCGAGCCCGCTGCCCCCTCGAACGTCCATTGCACCCTCTGCGCGGCCAGCCCGAACGAGCACTATTCGCCTGTGTTCGCACCCTTGTCCGCCTGCTGCGCCATTGCGAACGCTCGGGAATCGTCTCTCGCCCCGACATCCCGGTTCCGAAGCTTGACGTGAATTGTTGAACATCCTCTCACGCATTCCGAACCGCTCCACTCCTCCTTTGATATTCCGCAAAACTCCCTAAACTTCTCCGTGCTACTTTCATTTCTTTCCTTGTCCTAGTCGAGCCATAGTCTGTGCGATTGAAGATGGATACCCTACTGTGAGTGTTCCGAGCGCCTTGCACGTGCAGCAGAGCAAACCCCCCCGGGCTGTCAGGCTACGGCGGCAGTCGAAGCAGACGTCATGCTCACAAGTTCCAGCACTGCAGAAATCTACGCCAACTCGCCCCGCTTCCGGCGGCGGTCGAGCACCTTTGTCGATGCCATCCACGATCTGCCCGAGAAGGAGGAGATGGCCCCCGCCCAGCTGTATAGCACTGAATCCGGTCGGCTATTTCACTCGGGACGTATTGTCATTGCTACTGTTGGGCTCCCCGCGCGAGGAAAGACGCACACATCCGTCGCCGTTGCGCGGTACCTCCGATGGCTCGGTGTGAAGACGCACGTGTTTCATTTGGGCGACTACCGCCGCGCAACGCTTGGCCCGGGCATGGACGTCCCGGACGACTACTTTTTCCTGAATGCATCTCCGCAGTCTGTGCTGCTGCGGAACAAGATCCTAAAGAAATGCCGCGAGGACATCTACCATTTCCTAGAGCACGACAAGGGACAGGTTGCCATTTACGATGCCGTGAACGCCATCTCCATGGGCCGTAAGTCCCTAGCAAAGGAGTTTGCTAAGAACGGCATTCAGACAGTCTTCATCGAGTCGCATTGTACCGATGAGCGCATTATCCAGGAGAACGTCCGTCGAGTCAAGATTTCCTCCCCGGACTACCAGGGCTGGAAGGACGAGGACGCAGTCCATGACTATCTCGCGCGGATCAATGCCCGAATACCGCATTTTGAAACAATGGAAGAGCCGGAGCTCCATTGGATCAAGATGATCAACGCAGGCGAGCGCGTCGTAGTCAACAACTGCGCCTTCGGCTACCTCTCACAACGAATTGTCTTCTACCTCCTAAATCTGCATATCAAATCCCGACAGACGTACTTTGCCCGCGCAGGAACCACACGAGAAGAGGACTCGTACAAGGCGGACGCGTCGCTGTCCCCTGAAGGCCGCGACTACGCCAAGAAGATGAGCGATGTGTTAATGAAGTACCGCGAGGAAGAGAAGCAGAAATTGATTGAGCAAGGAGCACCGGACGCTGCTTTGAAACCCCTCACTATTTGGACCTCTACCCGTCGCCGCACAATTCAGACAGCCGAGTATCTGGCAGGTAAAGGATACCGCGTAAAACAACGATCGCAGATGAGCCAGATGAACCCCGGCGTGTGCGAGAAGATGTCAGAGGATAAGATACGCCAAGAGTTCCCGGAAGAGGTTGCCAAGCACGAGGCAGATCCTTACCACCACAGATATCCACGAGCAGAGGTACGTCGTTCACCTGGGGAACGGACGCCACGCACTAACCAGACGTCCAGTCATATCACGATCTTGCCGTGCGCATGGAACCCATAATCCTCGAACTAGAGCGCGAAGAAAACGACCTTCTCATCATCGCCCACGAGTCCGTCCTGCGCGTTCTCTACGGCTACCTCATGGCCTGCAACGCTGCCGACATCCCCAAACTCGAATTCCCCCGTGACGAAATCATAGAGGTAAGTCCCCGTTTCCCCGCCCGTCCCCATTCCATCATGTTCCTCTCGCCCATCCCCACACCCAACACTAACATACACCTCCCAGATCATCCCCTCCAGCTACAACAACGTCGCCAAACGCATCAAAATCCCCGACCTTCCCGACTCCATCGTCCCCGGTAGTCCCGAGGACATCAAAATCCCCGTCCCGCCCAGCGGAACCGTAAGTCCCTTCTCGGGCCTCGGCACGCCCCAGGCCGGCTCGGGCACAGCCACCCCTCAAGGGGCCCTTCCGCAGCCCCTGCAGCTGAGGAGAACGCATATTAATCCGAGTGATTGATGCAGGTGCGGTTGAGGTATCGATATGGTGCTACGTGGGATAATGAGCGGGCGAGCCAGCAGACGGACTTTGATTCGGATTTGGACGAGTGAGGGGATGGCTTTTCGAGTTCGGTAATGCACGGAGGCATGGGCGGATGCATGGGGGAGGATGTGCTTTTTGTAGACTTTTGCGGCATGGCGGTTTGATTCGAGGGAGGCGTTGCGCTGTGTTTAGATCGGTAGAGATCACGTTAGACAGGAGATATGCATGTCGGTTCTTGCATGCAGATCTGCAATCCAGTTCATTTTTACTCTCTCCGCATAGCAGATATTCTGTCATGATCGTGGCACTTGATCCCGTATGTGAACCACATGCTGGCCGGACGAAAGCGGAGATCAGGGCCTAGCTTAGTCAGCGGGATACATTACGCTTCCCCTCTCGCTCAATGCTCACTCGTTTCCATGGGTCCGTACATTTCATCTCAACATCTTCCCATCACATCATATCACCACACAACTCCATCCCATCCCAAGTCTACCAACCATGCCGCCCTCCACACGCTCACCCCTCCCAACACTCCTCCTCACCGAAGCCGTCCTCAAACTGCTCGGCGGCGCCATCTTTTTCCTCTCACCCACCAGCGTTCTCAAAAACCTCGCTTCACAGCCCTACTCCCCAGCCTCACTCAGTCTGATCCGTAGCCTGGGTACGCAGACCATCGCATTCAGCGTCCCGCTTTTTCTCTCGGCTAGAAGCGATGCGAAGAGTGTGGGGAGTAGGAGGATCGTGTATTGGGGGCTGCTCGCGCGGGAGGGGGTACTGGCGCTTGGGTATGTACTTCTCTCGTTGTCTACCAACCTGTATAACCCGGTCTCCTGGGCTTGAGATCGGAGGGATAGGCTAATTTGTATGGTGGGGTTTGCAGGTTAGTAGCGCAGATCTCGTGGAGTTGGATGAGGGAGTCAAAGGGGGTGGGAATGGAGGGCGACGCGGGCCGTGTTAAGGCGTTGGAGGGGTTTGTTGTAAAGGGTGCTGGATCGAGGGACGAGAGTAAGGAGAAAGAGGAGAGGAGGCTGAGACGCGGAATGTGGTTGTGGGTTGCGGAGTTGGTGCCGTTTATCGTGGGGAGGGCCTGGGTGCTGGGTGCGAGGCCGGAATGGTTCTAAGGTACCATGCATATGAGGAGTTGCGATACGCCGCTCATCCTCCACTCCCCATGGTAAGGAAAAGCTGCACCATCGCAACCGCCAGGGCTTCGGACGTCGCGATGAATGCGGCGACCGAAAATCCGTCCTGTATACTTTTCTTGAGTACGGCCCACAGCACGCCAAACAGTGTACTCGAAACAAAGCCTAGCAAGAGTAGGCAGAAGATTCGCTCCGCATCCAGACCTTCTTCCAGGTGCATGCCCCAGCCCGTATGAAGATCCGGAGCAAGTCCTGGTGTAGGTCGTTCGTTCGTTCTCTTCGGGATCTGATTCAAGCATAGCACATCTTGGAGGCACTCTTCGGGATTGTGGAATCTGTGCATGAGAAAGTCGCTGCCGATTGCGGGGATCCTACCGGGAGGCCGCGGGTCGAAATCGTAGTGGTATTCTGTGACGGGCGGCATGCCGACTTCGATACCGTCGACTTCTTGTCGCGGACGGAGGGTGAACTGACGAGGGTTTCTCAGCTGAAGCGAAGAAGGGATCAGATGAGGATGATGGTATGTACCTTAATAAAGTGCATTTTCTGCACCGTATATAAGCTGAACTGCCGGTACATCCAGCTGAACCTGGCGTTATACCTATCCCGAAATGCTTCGAAGAGCTGTCTATCCCGCTGAATTTGGATAACACCGAGATCGTGGCGCTGCATCAGGTACTTCTTGATACGGAAGCAAAGGAGGATGTAGTCGTCCGTCACGTTCATTCGGGTAGCCCCCGTCGCCGTGGGCTGCCCAGGTGGGGTCGGAGTAGGTTGTGAAGATCGTCCGGACTGGCCTGGGGTAGTTACTGAAGCTCTCAAACCACCCGAAGTTCCTGTTTTTCCCGAACTAGTAGCTTTAGACTGCGCAGCGTTTGCTGTAAGTGCTGATTCCCCGCCAGCAGTGTTCCCGGCAAGACTAGAGGCCAGAGGAGTGCGATGATTGCTAACTTTTGCACTTCCCAAATATAGCGAACTCCGCGAGGGGGTAGGACTTTCTAGGTTGGGTTGTCGATCTAACACTTCGCCGGGGAGTTCTGCTGGCAGCTCCTGCTGTGTGACGGGATGACTGCCTGCGTTGGCTAATACGCGTCTCCAAAGGTTGTCAAAGATTACCCGGAATCGCAGGGGAATGGACTTGAGCAGATCACGGTCAGGATGAAAGGCGTTCCAAGGCACCATGGAGATTAAAAATCCTCTCAGTTCCAACTGCTGGGCTAGTTCCCTCACTGAGCCACGTCTGTATTCGATATAGTAATCGAATCCTTTATGGCCGCATTTCTGTTTATACTGTTAGATACGAACGACCGTCAGGTATTCGAAGTAGGTGAAAAATAGACCAACTCACGCAAGTCCAATGAAGCCGGAAACCTTTTAGATTTACATCAAGAAGCTCGGAAGGCTCAGCTTGAGTGGATATCGCCGGTCGTTCACTGTCCTCCGGAGTCGGGATCATGGTTTCTAGGGAGCTCCTAGGGCTTACCGAGGGCGGGAGTGATCTCGCAGAGAGTGTGGACGGAATATATGAGTCGTCGGTGGTCGCGCCGATGCCATGTCCCGATCTTGAAGGTACGATGTTGAAGGTATAAGGAAGGGGTGTTATCGGCATCACCGTTGGGCCCGCGGTCTCGCTGTCCATTAACTCATCGACATAACAAGTCCCAACTAACCTGTAAGTCGGAGAGGTATGAAATGACCACCATTTTGTGCCAAAGCCTCGAAGAACAACTGGGACACTGCAGCTTGGGAACATGGCGAGAACTGGAAAACAACGTAAGGTCAATTTCCGAATGCGCTGGAACCAAGATGGGGAAGTGCTTACTGTCGCCTTGTTTAGTGCCAGCAGGAGCAAGTCCAAGGAGGTTGCCCTTGATAGTCCGCATCAATCGTCGCCCCTTCACTAGGTCACTAATCCAGTTTCGAACGCGTCCAAGCGATCTGTCTTGTCCCATCATCTCAAGGACATCCACATTGTTGCGCTGCGCCACAGGGACCAACTCCTTGAGCACTAGTCGGACATGGTCCTGACTTCCGGAATAGTGTGCCAGAAGCATTTCGAACAGTTCTATCATCGCCACGGAGTGGAACCACGACTGTGGCACGCCCTCCGTGAGGTTGGGCTCGGACAGCAGGTCAATCTTGGAGAGCGTGGAGCCCTTGACTTGCAGCATGCCTGTGGATAGACTCACAGACCACTTCAGTTGGTTTGCATGATTTCCATGGCCCAGGAACCAGTGAGCGGAATAATGCTGTTTCTGCCCTGGCGGTTGCACCAAGCTTGATGCAAATTCGCTCGTGGGATCGAGCCAGATCGGAAATGGGCCCTTTCGATTCCATGGTCTGAATATCACATCCAAGGAACCTGACTGTTGTATGCAGAATTGGAAGAATTCCGTATACACCTGTTTGACGGACTTTGTATAGTCGGGTAGGATTTCGGGTTTCTCCAGGTGGATGTCGCATGCAATTGCTAGAAGGGCGAATATCTTATCACGCGCATCCGTGGCCTGACACTGTGAAGTTTGATAAACTAGCTCTTCCAGCGAAAGAAGAGGTTTCTTGATCTCGCCCGATGAATCTCGGGTGAAGCATCCGCGAACGACCCCGATTAAACGGCTAGCCCCTTCAATTTCAACTTCACTAGGAGGATGATTACGATAGATCTGATTTCGCTGGTCGAAGATGGCGATGGCAGCCTCAAATATCTTCCAGTCCAGTGACTTGGCGCCGATGCACATGGAGGCTCGTCGCGCCAGAGCGATTTCTTGGACGATCTGCGAAGGTGGCGGTACACTCAGCACATGTCTTAGAGTGGGAGAGGAGAGTTAACGCTCTAGCGCGGGTCTTTACTTGCTGGAGGCCTCCAGGGCCTTTCGCAGCTGAAAGCGAAGACAAGCTTCAACCTACGTACCCAAATGCGAGTGAAATATGGCCGTAGTAGCAAAGCCGCAACGGCTCCCCACCTTGTTGAGGAATTGTTTCCACGCAAATATTCATCTGTATCAGTCGCTTCAACAACGTCTTGGAGAAACTGGAGCGCGACGTCGCCGTCGTTGAGCTTCCCAGAGCCTAGCCAAACCAATACTCCGCTGGCTTGCCGAAATATCCGTGGCATGTTTGGAATTTGGTGGCAACGTTCGCCGATATTTTGCATGTAGATGCATGCTGCATCCACCCACAGACGCCGCTCTTCATTATGGAGCCGAAACTGCTTAAGCGCGCATATCAAGTTCGGCGGTAATTCGATTTTCGAACCGGAAAGAGAGATAAAGGGGGAGGAGACATAGGCTGGTTCTTTGCAGGTATATGAAATCGCCTCATACGCTTTTGAACTAGCCTCCCGAATCGCACCATCGTCTCTTGGCTCCAGATCCTGTATCTCCAGTCTTCCCTGTAGTGGAGCTTGAGCATCCTCCGATGGGGACAGAACAAGGACACGAATTTCATTTTCCTTCAACGGCGTAAACGAGTAGACGGAGCTCTGTATTGGCATCTTCGAGTAGATTGCAGTTCCTTCTTGTTGTCGCCGATGGTCCTCGAATAATGATAGCGTGTGCACAGAGGACTCTAGGTCCAAGCCTAAGGAAGATCTGGTCGATGGTGGCTGCTGTGGGGAATGTCGCTCCTCGTCCTCCGAAGCCACTATTTTGTCGCTTCCGGACCGGTCTTGAGCAGCCTTCTGAAGAGGCCTTCGAGAGATGAGCGTAGGCGGCCCCATCCCGACAGCAAAGACAGAGAAGCTAGAAAAAGAGATTCGATGCGACTTTGGAAAGGTGTCTAGGAAGACGACAATCGAGGGCGATGCCGACGCCTTTTATACGCGGCTGAAGAGGCTAGGCATCAGCCTGCAGGCGGTGGCGCCCTAATTGACCGCGATGATGGACGTAGATTTGCCAGATCTCCTAGGGCCAGCGTCTGCTGCATAGACGCCGTGAAACAATGTAAGGAATACATCCCAAATATTTTTTTCAGATCGGTTCCAGATATGAGCTCAAACAAGGGTGTTGCCCGGGAAGAGTGTCACTGAGGTGTGTGGGAATCCAGTGGCATCCTAGGGCGGCGACACTCGCTTAGAATATATGCTAAACCGGGTACGGACTAGCGCCATTGCGCCCTGGACTATTCTGAGAATGCTACCTAAGTATATCCAATTGCCCAAGCCCTTACGCACCTCACCCCCAATCTCACACTCAGCAACGCTGCCCCTCAAGCTTCCCCTTCAACCTCGTCAGCGCCTCCACCCTCGTCTGACCATTAAACTGCCCCAACTGCCCAGCCAACATGAACTCCTCCACAAACCCCTCATGACGGCCTGCCCACAATCCCGCGGCCCAAGAGTCGGAAGCGTCCTTCCTTCGACCATGTTGCAGGCGCTTAAGCGCAACCGAGAAGTGCGAAGGGGTGTGGTGACGGTGCACTATACACGCGAGCCCTAGGCAACGGAAGTTTGTAAGTATGAAGAAGAAGGAGAAGGAACTTAGGGGGACTCACGCTTGATCTCTTGCACCAAAGCAGCCTCGCTGCTCTCACTGGAGATGCCGATGGCAGGGCACTCCGTCCATTCATACTCTCCCAGCTTCGTATTCGCCAACATCGAGGAAAGCGCTCGCAGGGCTTGTTCTCGGGTCTCATATAGCGGCGACTCAAGCATCTTCCTAGCTTCCCAGCCCGTGTGGAAGACGGCCGCGGTCCAAGGATCGTCCGCGGACCGGCGACTGCCGCTGCGGACTCGCTTGGTTGCCACGCTGATGAACTTGAGCGGGAGGGACGTATAGACCCCTGAGGCCTTTTCTGTGACATGCGTTAGCGATGAAGGAAGAGGGGGAGAGGTTGATTACTCCGTAGTGCGTCGATGAGAGGGTCGTCGTTCTCTTGCTGAGCTAGTGGAGGCGGTTGCCATTCGTATTCTTGGGGATTTGGTCCTGGTTCTTGGGTATTGGAGCGGACGACTGCAGCTAGTGCGATGAAGATTGCGGTGCCGGCCAGCAGTGAAGCCCACGGGGAGCTAGTCATCAGAGGCATGATTCGAGTGTTCTCTGGCTGGAGGACGGATCGGAAGCGAAGGTTTATATCTAGAAAGAAACGAGAGAATGACTCAACAAGCGTAAGACACGGGTAGATGGATATGAAGCGTTGAGTGGCGGATGTCTTGCAGAAGTGTCTTGTCTGCTGAATGGGCAAGAAGTATGAGACCAAGCTCGGACAAAGAACACGGGGCAAGACACACCTTTGTGGGAGGGCATTGTACGGTACAATGGTCTTTGTGCGCATGCCTATACTGATTCAGGTCCCATGCGTCATCGTGCGCTTTCGTGGTTCTCCTCCCGAAATCCGCTTCTTTAGACCTTCGTCATTCGTGTATACATCACCCACTCAGCCTAGCTTCTTCACATCCACCTACAACCCCGCAACCATCAAATCCCCTTCCAGCAAATATTCCAAAGCTGTAAGCGCCTCAAACTTCGAATCGCACACCCTCGACTCCCTGACCACCTGTAGGCCCCATGGCTTGCCCGGCTCATAGCGAGAGAGCGGTCTGTCGCCTGACAAAACTGCGACCCAGCGGATGTACCCATTCTCTTTCGGTTTACGCTCGGCAATGATGGCTTTGACGAGGCGAACGACCGTGGAATCGGACGACTTGAACGGTGATGTTCGTCGCACGCGCTTGAGGTTGAGCCTGAAATCTTTCATGTCGGGATGGAGAATCTGTGCTTGCGCTTCGTGAAGAGACGGTTAGCTAGGCGGACGAATATTGCGGCCGGAGAGGTAACAAGCGTACCTTTGATGTGGGCGACGATGGGATCGAGGAGCGGATCCCGGCATATGTGTGCAATGGCCGCCGCGAGAAGTAGCAAAAACCCGAGGCACACCAGCAGCACCCAAGCGTTGATGAACATGCCGGCGGGAGCCACTTCGAAGCCGGAGTTGCGGACGGTCAAAGAAATTGTCGCCATGCTTTTAGAGGAGGAAAGTGCCCGTTGCTAAGGTATATTAGTTTGCTTGCGATAGGTCCGCGGGAGAGGCGTTGGGAGAAAAGGCGCATGACATCAGGTGAAAGCTGCATGACTCGGGTAGAGATAACGAGACTAAAAGGCAAATGGAAAAGGAGGCGTGTGAATGCCGGAAAAGATTCCCCATCCGCCAGCCTACATAATTCTGTGACTTCTACTATGGCGTGTGTTGAGCGGTCACGCAGCTGTCGTTGAGAACGCCGATACAATGACCATGTTCATGCTTACCCATGTTGAAGTACGAAACGGGGTATTGTCGTTGAGTTTTAACCAAAACGCCCAATGCTCACCACGCTGGACACTGCATTGTTGAAGCAGGTCATCGAATCGAATCGGCTCGGCTTAATCGCGCTTCTCCGCGCCATACCCACCTTTGCCTTCTAAATTCTCGTATGTCTTTCCTTCGGAGCTGTTGCCATTCCTCGGGCCTCTCTCGTCCAAATCTTCCTGCAGCCAGCGGAGGACAAGTTCGCCCAGCTGGCTGTTGCCTGAGATGACTCTTGTGTCCAGCTCGGGCGTCACGTTCAGCTCCTCCATGCTGCCCCACTTCTTCACCTTGCCCAGCGCCATGTGCACGAGATGCGTGGGCCATGTTGCCAGATTATCCAGAATATGCGTAGCATAGACGATGGTGCAGGCTCGCGTCTCCGTCTCCCGCTTCAAGAAGGCGAGGAAATTGGACCGCGAGAGCAGATCTAGATCAACCGTAATCTCGTCCAGCAGCAGTATTGTCCAGGGCCTCAGCAGCCCCATGGCCAGCTGCACCCTCCTCCTCTCGCCATCCGAGACGGAGTGCATCCTCCACGAAAGGTCGATGTCTAGTATCCGCACGAGCTCGTCACGGCGCTCGGAATAGTAATCGCCGCCGACGGAGGAGAGAAGCGTAGGGACGTCGATGTCGGTGCGTACAATGGGATTCAGCACCCATTCGAGACCGAGGTATGTGACGCCTTCTAGTCCGAACTTGAAGGGGTCGACGCCGGCGATGGCGACGGTGCCTGCGGGTGCCATGCGCTTGCCAGAGAGAAGGCGGAGGAGCGTCGTCTTGCCGGCGCCGTTTGCTATTGCATATCAGTATCTGCAGCCATATATATGGGTTTCCGAGAGCTGACCTCCTATGAGCAAGGTCCTGCTGCCCGGAGGCAGGTTGAGGAAGACCTCTCGGAGCCCGGTGGAGCCATCCGGGAAGGCGTAGCTGAGGTCCTTGACGTCAATTGACGGCGCAAGCTCCTTCACGCTCTGCTCCGACATGGTTCCTAAACAAGTTGGCTGCTGTGATCCGAAGCGTGAGGGCTACATTTTTATACAGTGGAGTGGTGGTGGGACTCACTGTCAGAGGTGACGGGCGTAGAGGAGGCTAGTCCGGAAGAGGAAGGCGCCCTCACGAGATTTTTCGCGGCACTTCCAGCACGAATCGCCTTACAACGCCAACGGATGTATGCTGCGCATCGTCAGACACTTCGGCGCGCTCAGAATGGCCGCCGCACCAGTCAAACCGCTGGTGGCCATCGTTGGCACGACTGGGACGGGAAAGTCCGATGTAGGTACCTCAAGAGCGAACCGAATATTTTTAAACACCGACTAATCACGCCAGCTAGCTGGCCGTTGAGATAGCCCGCAGATTCAATGGCGAGATTCTCAATGGCGATGCGATGCAGTTGTATCAAGGACTGCCTATTATCACCAACAAGATCACCCAGGATGAAATGAAGGGGATCCCGCATCATTTGCTAGGCTGTATCGGTCTAGAAGAAGGGACTTGGACAGTAGGCAGATTCGTGAACAAGGCATTAGGAGTGGTATGTGTTCTGAAATCGTCGGGAGCGCCATGGCTAATAGCCCGCAGATTGACGAGATCCGAAGTCGAGGAAAGCTCCCCATCTTGGTCGGCGGCACTCACTACTACACTCAGTCATTGCTCTTTAAGGATACTCTTCCGGACGAAGCACTCCCCAGTACAAACGAAGACGGCCGCCGTCAATTCCCCATCCTTGACGAGCCCACCGGAGTCATCCTGGAAAAGCTGAAAGAGGTGGATCCAGTTATGGCCGACCGGTGGCATCCTAACGAGAGACGCAAGATCCAGCGCTCGCTTGAGATATATCTCAAGACTGGGAAACCAGCCTCGCAGATATACGATGAGCAGCGGCTCAAGCGAGAGTTATCACCTTCCGCCCCTAACAGTGATCCTAAGGGCGAACGCACCAACGACGCAGGCCTGCGGTCTCCAACACTGGTTCTTTGGGTTCATGCGTCAAAGGAAGTCTTGTATCCGCGACTCGATTCTCGCGTCGATAAGATGCTGGACAGAGGCTTGCTGGCTGAAGTCGAAACGCTCACTAATTTCCGCACATCCTGCGAAGCCCAAACAGGCCAGACTGTGGATCAGAGCCGCGGCATCTGGGTCTCCATAGGGTACAAGGAGTTTCTGGATTATCAAACTGCACTTACTGGACGTTCGGCTTCAAGGTTGGATCTCGCAAATACGAAGACAGCCGCCATCGAAAAGACACAGGCAGGCACGAGGCAATACGCGAAACGTCAAGTCCGTTGGATACAGATCAAGCTTCTCAATGCTCTCATCAACGTTGGTCATGGCAACAACATCTTCCTGCTTGATGGGACTGATTTGTCGAAATGGGAATCTCAAGTCATACAGCCAGCAAACGACATCACCAATCGATTCCTCCTCGGTCAACCACTACCGGATGCGGCGGAGCTGTCGCGGACTGCGCGCGAGATGTTAACTCCTAAGAGAGATTACGACCTTGCGCAGCGACCAGACCTATGGCAGAAGAGGGTCTGCGAGGCTTGCGGCACAGTTGCGGTAACGGAGAATGACTGGAACCTCCATATCAAAAGCCGCGCGCATAGGCGGGCCGTGGGTGCGAAGAAGAAGCAAGATAACGTCAAGGCTAGCTCGAGACCTGTCAAGGCGCCACGAGAGGATTTAGTGGATGTCCTTGAGAGTTACATGGAAAACTTTCCCGACGATGAGCGTATGAGCTAAAGGGTACCATCTTTCGCCGTGCTATTGCATAATCGCGCATGGAACTCTACTAATCGCTGCAAACACTTTCCCGCTAGTTCAGCCGTCTCTTGGCCGCATATAACCGATAATCTCACTTAGGCATGCGGCAGCGGTTGTTAATGCAGCGGCACAGCAACCAGGCATAAAACCCCTCGTCGGCCCCATCGGATCATACGCTCAATCCGAATCGAGAATTGTGGAAAGAACATGGCAGACAAGGAAGTTGTCGTCCCGCTCCTCATCAACGGCGAGGAGATTACCAAGTCCTCGACGTTCGATGTTATCTCTCCAGCGAGCGGCCAGCCATGTTGGAAAGCCGTCTCCGCAACCCGCGAAGATGCCGTCAAAGCCGTTGAGACCGCGCAAGCTGCGTTCCCATCTTGGTCAAAGACGAAGCCAAGCATGCGCACGGCGGTCCTGCTCAAGGCTGCGGACATTCTGGAATCCAGAGTCGAGGAATATGCCTCGTACATGGTAACAGAAATGGGCACTGACATGGGTACCGCACAATTCTTCGTTGTGCCGCTCGCAGTCGCTATGTGTAGGGATATCGCAAGTCGCATTTCCAGTATCTGTGGTAGTGTTCCCGTGGTTGAAAAGGAGGGGCAGAGTGCTATGGTTTGGAAAGAGCCATACGGTGTCTGTTTGGGTATCGTGGCATGGTGCGGTTAACCTTCTGGAGTCCATCCGGCTAGCTAATGCTTTGTAGGAATGCACCGTATGTCTTCGGCATTCGATCAGCTGCGACCGCTATCGCGACTGGGAATACCACCGTCCTCAAGTCTTCGGAACTTACTCCGCGTTGCTATTGGGCCATCGGAAAAGCATTCAAAGAAGCTGGTCTGCCTGACGGGATATTCAACGTTATTGGGTGTAAACCACAAGACGCTGCGCTCATCGTAAATACTATGATCGATCATCCGGCTGTTCGGAAAGTCAACTTCACTGGGAGCGCTGCTACTGGACGAAAGGTAGCCCGCGTGTGCGGCGACAACTTAAAGCCTATCTTGATGGAGCTTGGAGGCAAGAACAGTGCTATTGTGTTAGAGGATGCAGACTTGGAGAAGGCCGCCGGGGAGTGCATAGCTGGGGCTTTTTTGAATGTACGTGAAGTCCCTCGCCTCGGGTCGTGGCATTGCGGTCCAACTTCTATAGATCAGTCAGCATTCTCGAACGGTCAATCCTTTGTCGAATCTGTTCCCAGGCTAACACTGCACAGGCAGGCCAGATATGCATGGGCACCGACCGTATCGTTGTCCATAGCTCAGTCGCGCCGAAGCTGCTGGAGATCATGAAGCAGCGGCTCACCGAAGCCGCCAAGAGCTCCGACCCGCTCCCGAACGTCGTCTCATCCGCGTCTAAAGCCAGGCTTGCGAAACTGACTTCGGAAGCAACTTCCCAGGGAGCTCAAATCATTACAGGCAGTGCCACGCAGACGGATGTTCCAGGCGCCGGCTTCGTCCCCACAATCCTTGGTAACGTCAACAAAGACTCCGAGCTCTACCACGAGGAAGCCTTCGGTCCCTTGGTATCAGTGTCTTCTTTCGAGACCGATGACGAAGCGGTGAACTTCGCCAATTCGACCCAGTATGGCCTGAACGCTGCTGTATTTACCAAGGATCTGAGGCGGGGCTTCGCTATCGCGAAGAGGTTGGAAGTTGGAGCTGTGCATATTAACAGCATGACGATACACGATGAGTCCACGCTGCCGATGGGCGGAGTGAAGAATTCGGGCTGGGGAAGGTTCAATGCTGCGGAGGGTATGGAGGAGTTCCTCATCAAGAAGGCGATTACCTGGGATGATTAATGGGACATCTAGCCTGGCTCTGGGGATGAGACTGGTGAGCATTATGGATCCATGTCATATCTGGTTATTGTTGGCATTCAAGGGGAATAACCTCCAGGGTACTTATACGACACGCTGTCCGAAAAGGCATTTGACGTATTTAATTCTGAAGGACCGCCAGACGTACTGCACATGATCAGCGAGTATGACTCCATTCCCCAAGATCCCAAACCCGCCTTTGCGTTTGTGAGTTTACCCGCAGAGAGTGTCGAAGAGAAGTCTAGAAGGCGAAAGTACAGTCTCTCGACCGCAAACCAAACAGCTAAACACAAACCGGCCTTTACGCAAATAGAAACATTAGTTCAAGCAGTCCTTTCCCACCCTACGCAAACATCACCATGTACAGACTATAAAGCTCTCACCTCTCTCCAGCCAGAATCCTCGCATTCTCACCCCATCCAAGCACACGCCGCCGGAACCCTCAGCGCACCACGCAGGAATGCCACCCAGCGACACCCTCTCCTGGAAAGTCATACTAGCCAGCGGCATCTTCCTCTACGCCCTCAGTACAACGCTCTACAACATGGTCGCCGAGCCAGACTACGAGCGTATCATCGCCAACATCAAAGGTAAACCTCATCCCATCCCATCCCATCCACTCTTATCCGTTCCCTTCCTTTCCCCGCCCATACTCCACTACCCTGCTCACACCCCGACAAACAGACAAAGCCCGGACCGTCTTTCCGCAACACCGCGCCTTCGTCGTCAAAACGAAGCGCGTCCAGCGTCGCTCGCGCGCTGGTTACGATGACCGTGATCCGTGGGTTGCGGGCTTGTCCGTGCGGGGCGGCGAGGGACGTCCGCTGAGGGAGTCGGAAGAGTGCGCGGGTAGAGAGGCGGCGATGCGGGATTTGGAGAGGTGGGTGGAGGCGGAGGTAAGGCGGAGGAGTGTGAGTGGAGGAGGGCGGGTTGAGCGGGTTGGAGGATGAGGGGTTGGAGAGGAGAGGGGAGCAGGGGAGGAGTGGAGGGGGTGGGGAACTTTGTCTCTGGTGGAAGGAAGGGTTTTGTGGTCATGTGAGCGGTGTGGAGACTTGTCTACTGTCCTGCACTGCTCGCGCTGTCTTGTGGAAAATTTCACTGGGGGGTTGCTTGGATAGCGTGTGTTCTATGCGTGAGCTGTTTCACGAAAATGCACTGGGATGGATCTCTTCTAAAGCCTGGCATTTGATGGGCGACGACAGATGCGATACATACATAGACGTATCACGACGAACATCTCGCCACATCACCGCGAAAAGAAAGATGCTTCCTCGGTTGGACGGAAAAAAAGAGGTCGGCACACCGTAGGACACCCAGATAGGCACAGTAATCCGCTCCACTCCAGCGTCATTAAAGCAAACTACGCATTCCAGATGTCAATTTACGTCCTCCCCCCTCCACGCCCTCAGACCCAACAATCCGCTCCCCAAGCCGCGCAACCGCCTACACCGCCATACCATTCGCCCCCACAACCTCCACAACCGCCGGCCCAGCAACAACGCAATCATCCGTCACACACCCCTCCTGCTTCGAGACAACCACATAGCTCTGCCCATGGAACCCCGGCGGCACCACAGTCACGAACCTGCCCTCCCCCTCCAGCGTCGCCGGCACAAACGTCGGCCCCTCGACACCAATCCACGCCGCAAACCACGGCCCGGCGCCCACAACAGCCTCCCTCGCCACAAGCGCAATCGTCCCATTCGACCGCACGCCGCCGCACTCCGGAGCAAGACTCAGCACCGGAAACGCCTTGACGGGCAGCATGCCGTTGGCAGCGGGGCACGCGACGATGAACGGCGCGGCCAGCGTGTAGACCTGGTCGAGCGTGAGCGGGGCGTCGAAGGCCTGCGGGAAGGGGGCCTGGCGGGTCCCGGCGGCGCGCAGGTAGGCCGAGTGGCGCGATTCGACGGTCAGGATGGAGCCTGCGGCCGTGAGGTACGCTTTCTGCATTATGGAGGCGGCGGCGCCGAGGTAGGCGGATACGCCGACGCCCTCGAGGATGGAGGCGGTGGCGAGGAAGGCGGGGACTGAGGGGACGCTGAAGGCGTAGGTGCATTCTTGGACGGGGGTTGCGTTGGCGGCTGGGAGGGGGTGGGGTTAGTAGAGTGGTTGGTTGGGGGGTGGTATGATGTGTAAGGGGGTGTGGTGGTAGTGGGAACGTGGGGGCGTACCTATGAGTGCCTGGGTGAGGAAAGAAACGTGCGTCGTCTCGTCGTAGGAGACCTCCTTCAGGTTGTTGTAGAAAGTGTCGTCGTAGCCGGCTTTCTTGAAGTGTTCCAAGGTGAAGTTGGCGAGGCCTTCGCGGTAGAACTTGTCCTCTGCCCATGCCACATTAGCCTCGTCATGAAAGAGGGGGAAGGAGGGTTGCAGCGTTAGCTTACCAAGATGCTCAAGCGTTAGAGCGTACTGCAAGATATCTACATCCGTGATGTTAGGCATGGACTCAGCCATCTCCGTGCGACGCGTTGGATGGGAGAGACATGTTGCCAGGAGGAGGGATGAAGCAGCGAGGAGCTTCATGGTGAAGTGGAAGTAGCGACTAGGTACAGTGAGATCAATCTAGTCAAGATCTGATATGATAACTATAACGATGAGCACTTCCACCACGGCTCCCATATCGTGTCTCTTTATATCCTTTGCCCTCGCGATGGAATCCATCGTCATTTCCAGAACATCATCATCCTCGGACGCAACTCCGACTCCTCATCGTCGTGAGGCTATGCACTCACGGAGACATACTCATCCGTCCGATCAGCCTCGTCTTCATCTCTCCAAGGCCGTACTATCCGCTCGAAGTGGCCACAAGAAAAGCCTAGAAGACAAAGAAGACGCCGACCACCTCGATTCCCCAACACCACTATCCCCAAACCAAGACGTCGTGCACGAAAGGGGAAACCATAGCGGAATCTGCCGTCCTGTGGGCTCCCCAAAAAAGAAACTATGTTTCGAAACAAAATCCACGGATAACGAACCATCCGAACACACGGGATACAAGGCCGACGTTACTCGATGCGGAGGTGAACGGTGCTCGCTTATCGGCCAATGAGAGATGTCAATGACGAGCTTGAAGTTCAGACCCCTGACTAGCGCCAAATTGACGCTCGTAGTGCTCGGAAACATGCCTTGCCGAAGGAACGTCGGTTCCCCATGAGATTGGATTTGCGCAGTAGGAAGTACCGGTTAAAAGTGATGGTTCTAAAAATTGCCAGGGCTGTTGCGGGCAAAAATAAAACTAAGAGGAGCGCTACGAGAAAAGAGTGGCCGACGATGACGTAGCGATATCCGCGCTGTGAACGGGACGTATTCAGTAAACTTGTCCGGAACTCCAGCAAAGCAGTCTTCGGAAGCAACAGAGACTCATATGGCACTGCTCTCAGAGCCCGCTGAGATTATACGCCAGCAGATTCGCGGTCCCCGTTGGAACGCCCGAAAGCGCATTCGAGGTCGCAACCTCTCTCAGCCTCTCGCACAGCTCCACAGCCCCTCGAGGACCTTCAAGCGCCAGGAAGTAAGCTCCCAAGCCGGCAATATGCGCCGCTGCCATTGAGGTTCCCGATAGGACAGCTGTGCTAGTGTCACTTGTGATCCACAGCGAAGGGATCTGCCACCCAGGGGCAAAAATATCAACTACAGATAGTCGTCAGCGACAGCGTTTCAGTGGCACTATATCCGTAGGGTCACGTACTGAGAGGACCGTAATTCGACGTGGACATCTTCGCATCGTCCATCGTCGTGCCCCCGACCGTGCAAGCTTTAGGCTCGGAGGCTGGGGAATAGCCCCCTGCGTCTGTGTTCGAATTTCCTGCTACTACGGCAAAGAAGAGGCCTGCGTTGGATCCGCTTGCGACGGCTTGATTGAGAGTAGCGCTGTAGCTGCCTCCGACTGCTAGGACGGCGGTTGCACGGCCCACTCGTCCTTTGCTCTGCATGTCTTGGACCGCCCAGTTGATGCCCGAAATGAGCACAGAAACTAGAGGCAGTTAGCGGTATCGCTCGTATATAAGGCGGAGCGAGTGTATGATAGACTGGCCGGCGATCTGCATTGGAAGTGACCAACGTAATTGGAGCGGAGCATACTTGACGTTGAACCCGAATCATCCAGAGCCTTCACCGAAATGATGTTCGCGAAGCGCGCTACCCCATATGTCTGGCTGGACGCGATACCAGCAACATGGGTTCCGTGCCCGTTCAGGTCATCATTCGAGCCCCCAACCGCATTGAACCCGTGTGAAGCCCGTCCTTGAAACAGCTGGTGCGTTATCCTCACTCCCGTATCGATGACGTAGACGTATGTGCCGGTACTTGGGCTAAAGGCATAGTCGGTGCTACCTTTCGTCCTGTGGGAGATGCGCCCTAAGCCCCATGGTGCACCGGTCTGCACGTCGCGGGCTGAGAGCTTTTGCGGCTCTGAGGGAACTGGAGCAGCAATTGTGATCGTCTGATCAGCCTCAATATAATCGATCTGGGGTAGTCAGCCGCTTGGTTAATCCGTTTCTTATTGGAGCTCGGGTTTGGCGAAGAACGTACCTGATCACTCTCCGCTAGCATAGAAGCCACGCTTTTCGTTGTCCGGATGGTGTAACCCCTGAATCCATTCACGTCGAAAGTTTTCGGTGTTGCGCCATCGTCACTCGTGTTCAGGATGCCATCCGCCCAGCTAAGATGCGACGAAATTGCAGTGCTCGAGAGTCCCTTCTTCAGCACGACGATGTAGCTGCCCGGTATTGCTTTCGCATTCTCGAGGCCAAGGATAGAAGACACGGCTTGTATGCTAGTGACGAACACGGCCAGAACGCTGAAGAAAACCCGCATGATTCCCGGCTTAGAGTGCAGAGTCCTCGGAGGCGATCAAGGAGCCACAATGCACACCTACATCGGCATTCCCGAGGTCGATGCACATTTATATGGGCTTCTTCGTGTAGAAGGGTCGTCTATGTTCCCAATCCGGAAGGCGTTCGTATTTCTCTTCTCGAGCACGCATCGTAGCTCTTGGCCCAAATGATCACCGACGTTTTCGAACAGAATTGGGCAGACGACGCGGACGAAATACGTCGCGACTGGTGCGAGAGCGCAAGGGCGATACACAAAGCGAAGTAAGCTGCCTATCTCTGTTAACGGCACAGTATCGCGAGTAGGTGGTGGTCTCCTGGCGTTCGCTCAATCATCTTGGCGGCGCCCATGGAAGGCTGCAAAGGCAACCAGTCCGGAAGGTAGTACGGCTGCATCCGGAAGGCCAGAAGCGCGTCGCGCATTGCCGTGCTACAGATATCTCCACCGCCGTGTTGAGGACTCGGATACGATGCCTCAGGTAAACGCGTCGCAATTCGTGAAGCTGGTGTTTGGACTTGGGAGAATGCGCTGAGCAATCGCTCTTTCCGCTGGCGATCTATTACCCGAGTCGTCGTTTACGATCGCTTTGGCGGCCAGAGGCTTAATGGAGCCATGGTAATCGCTTGCCTTAGTTGACGGATGGTGTTTCGCTGCTTGTCGAAACGGAAAAGACGCGGAACTGGGTGCGAGGGGGCCTTGATGACTAAGCTATCGTCCTTCCGTCTCAAGAGGCTCGGATGACTATATCTCCAAAACCAATACCTCATCCACTCTCAACTCGTATATAACTGTTGCATAAAGAGGCACAGAATTATCGCTGTTGAATCATTAATTGATTGAGGGACCAACGGTGCGGGCAATATGCATACAAGAAGTCACGTAATGTAAACAAGTGGCCCCGGAGCGAACCAAGTCCTCTAATAGAGACAACGGCATTCAAAGTAGTTCTGAGAAAACGCCAAGGTCCAAGGCACCATAGACCAGAGAATGATAGTTTACCAACGATATTGATACCGAAGCTATACAGACACCTCAAATCCGTCGCCCCCAGCACAAAGAGACTAGGGTATCATCCACAATCCATCATTCTCGAGCGGAAGAAAGCGACCAACATGTGTATGTACCATGCAAACCATCCATGCCCACGCTATGCAAATAAAAATAAAACGCTCGAAGAGAGAGTAATGGATAAAGGAACAGAGACAAGCCCGCGACGCCATTCCATAACTGTACACCACCACTGATGCACCCACCCAACGCTTAAACCTCAATATTCTCAAACGGGTCCCGATCCGGCGGTAGCCCTCTATACAGCACATTGCCACTAGCATCCAACCGAGCGTTTACACTCGTGATCCAGATCTTCTGGCTAAACGCAGCGGTGCGCTGGATCTCGTCCTTAGCGATGCCTAGCTCATCGTGCGGAATCCAGATGGCCGGTTGAATAGCCCTCGTGGCAGGGTGCTGGAAACTGCGCTTAACAAGCTTCTGGCGGGCCTCGGGCTCGATATCTTCTAGCTGGTCGTCGATATCGTCGAAGAGATTGGCAGACGGTAGCGCCTGTGCCTCGAGATCGCGTATGGGTCGTTCGGCACTGTCGATGCCCTTTTGGAGGACCTGAGTTACCGCGGCGAGGGGATTGACTGGCTTTTTCTTGTGCTCATGCTTGTTTTTGTGTTGGTAGGAGTGGGATCGAGATCGGTCCCGGGATCGGTCCGCCCAGTTGGGCCTCCGGTGACGCTCTGGACTCTCCGTAGCATGCTGCGAGTGAGTGCCTGTTTTTATGCTCTCAAGCTGCTTCAATTCATAGGACCCGGAGTGGTATGCTTGTGACCTCCGACGATCTTCCTCTTCCAATTGCTGGGACTCAAGCTGCTCAGCTCGTTCGCGAGCTTCCGCTTCGCTGTTGAGAGAGCGATGTTCCTCGTCTTCTTTCGGTTGCCAGCGCGAGGCCTGTGCGCGCTGAAACTCCTGGTCTCGCTCGACCGCTTCATCCTCAAAAGTAATTGGCAGATACTTAAACAAAGGTCCAAAGGCCCTGTTGAGGAGGAACTGGAATAGTACGGTCAAACCGAATGAGACGATCATGATTATAGCGTGCGGGAAGCACGACAAGCCTCCGGAAGGTGTCCTCTGGAGGAAGAACAGGCCGATCAGGCAGAGCTCGAGGAAATAAAGCCCAGTAAAGAGCTGATTGATTGCCTTGGGGAATATCAATCCGTTCGTTTCGGCCCTGGCGTACGAGACGTAGATCATCTGGTACCGGTAGGTGAACCAGAAGAGACTGAATGTGATCAACATCATTATCATGATCAACGGAGCCACGACTGAGTAGATGAGCCCTGAAAACATGTTAGCTGCTGGCTAATGAACTGCGCTCCCTTGCTTACCGATAGCACCAAAGTTGGTGTAAACAGGGATCATGTTTCCCCAATTGATGCCAGGCCTCTTAAGCACCCTCGAGACCTTCTCGCGTGGGGTTGTATCCAGAAAGCGGCTGATGAGTATCATCAGAATGGCTGCAATTTGTAGTAGAGTTCCCGAGCTGATACTCAGCGCTTGTAGAATCATGTACGAGAAGAAATAGTTGGCGGCTTTCGGTAGATTCTGCGCAAGTGTTTGAGGAACGCTGACCGGGTTATTCAGCAGGGTCTCAAGTGTTCCGGTGATACCCGTGGAGATGGATACGACCAGGAAAAGCTGGATGAACACAAAAGCGAAGTAGAAGTTCTGCACTAGAAGTTCCCTCTCACCGGTAGTGGTGGTACCGGTCAACTCGGCGAGGAACCGTAAGAGAATTGGTAATAGAGCGAATAGAATGGCGAGAAAGGCGGGAGGCAGCACACCCTGGATGAAAGAAATGGCCCATTGGGGAAGTTTGTTGAGCCAGGCCAGCCAATGTAGGTCATCCGTCAGCGTCTTGATCTGCGAGAGCGCTCCCGTGAAGGAAACCGGAATACCCCAGGTGATAATAAGCCCCACAATAAGCAGAATGACCAGGAACATTCTCACATAGCGCATCCACCATGCCATGGTAAGGTTGTCCCAGAGAACCTCGTTGGGGTTGACCTCGACTGTGCGCGGAGCCATCTGGCGGGGAATGTGGTGGCTGAGGGACTGGCACGCCATATGCGCAGCAACCTGATGATTGAACTGAATGAAAGCCGAGTTCATCAGCGGAAACCTTTCCGGTTCGGACTGGTCTAATGCGATCTCGTGGTTGAGGCGAGCCAGTTCCTTGCGGCAGTAATAAATGGTGTCCACCTTCTTCCCAATGAGCGGAAGCGAAGGCCACCATGATTTGTTGAACAGGGGAATTCGCATCGTCTCACGGTGCTTGGGCTTGACGTACTTTCTCCAGAAGGCGTCCGGACTGTCTTCCACGAAGCTTTCGTCGTAGACTCCTGCGTAATCGTACTTGATCTCTTCGGGAACCTTGGCCTCGATCGGGAACTCTTCGCCCTCGGCACGAAATGGCTGTGGACTTGCGAAGTCGCTCATTCGGCGAACTGGATTGAGCGGCGAGTCTCGCACTGCTCGGAAAGCTTTCAAAGGACCAAGAGTGGATTGAGCCGTACCGGGCGGTCTTTTCTCCATGGAAGCGGGCGAATTCGGCTCTGAAGTGGTACCCTCAGCGTCGTACTTGTCCTTGCTAGGATCGCGGAGCGGTGTAAATGTGTCGCTGCTCGTTCCCCTCTGCTCGAAGTCGGCAGTGGCGGGCGAAGACAATGGTCGATCAGGGATCCCGTCGAGCTGTGCGTGCTGCTGACTTTGGCTCTGCTTGTGCTTTCCACCAAAGGCGCCCTTGAATCCGCCGACCATCTTACCGCCGAGTCTACCGACATCCCGAATGCCCTCGCCCACGACCTGTATTCCCTGGCCAACGACAGGGATCGTGGGGATTCTGCGCTTGCGCTCAGGGGATGACGAGCGAGACGATGACGAGGAAGAAGACGAAGACGAAGACGAATTCTCGACCAACACCTCCTGAAGAGTCTGCTCGATTTGGTGTGGGTTGTTCGCGCTAACGCCCTCATCATGGATCTCGTGTGCGATAGCTTCGTTTTCCCTTGCTTCATCGGCCTTCTTCTCCTTCTTCGACTTCTTTCTGCCCTCGTCTTTTGCTTTCTTCTCCTCCATCTCCTTGTGTTTCTTTGTGCATGCGATGACAAGATTGGTCTCAGCAGCTTCTAGCGCGCGAGCGATCTTGGTTCGCTTATTGACCTTCTCCATCAACTCATCGTAGTCTCGGTTAATCCAAATCTCCCTGATGCCGCCCGGAAAGACATCGTATAGCGCATCCAGTGCGGCGGTGGTAAGCCATTTTCGCGGAATGCTCTGCACCAAAATCGTTGTTGCGGAGGCGCGAATGCGGTGCTCAGGCATGGTGAGGATGGTCTGCCTTAGGCGTACGAACTTCCTCAGAGCCCGATAGAAGTTGAAGCACACCCAAATGACCACGCAGACGGCGAGAACCAGGTGGGCCCATAGACGACGCACCTTGGACTGCACGCCAACGTTCGGCCAGGCAAACGAATCCAACCCCGACACGTTGGGGACATCCCCAATGCGGTTCAGAGGTAGAAGTATAGGCAAAATGATTATGGCCATCGGGATGAAGATTCGAAGGAGGAGTTGGAGGTATTGTAGGAAGAGGTAGCCATCCACGCCGGCGACGCGGATGAGTTCTCGGTCGCTGATGGTGAAGACATTCTTGAACGATTCGATGGCGGTCGTGGGCGCGGCGATTCGTTTCCGCTGGGGCACGAAGGCAGTTTTGTAGTAACTGGATGCGTCAGAACATGGGCTCAAGAGCTCCTGGGCCGGCTAGCCCGCTACTTACTATATCTTGCGGAAGAGGCTCTGCCGTTCTGCCGCGCTGTCTCCTGTGCCCTTCTTAGAGCGCCAGACTTTCCAATTGCCACTGAGAATCAGGAACAGCAGAATCTGCACGCCGAAGACGACCGCGGCAGTCGAGATTGAAGCCGCGAAGGTCTTGATGCTCTGGTTCTCGCTGTTCTGCGCTGCTCCAGCATTGGGAGCAGTGGAGTCCGTGGACGTCGGCCGCGCAGAATTCGTACTAGACATGCTGCGTGCAGCCGAGATGCCGTGGAACTGAGGGACAGTGTCGCGGGGTTGTCAATTCGGTGACGGTAGATTCGTAGCACGCTCGCGTATCAGGGCGTGGCGGCCATGAGCGCACGGCAGGAGCAGCGGCCTCGAAGGCGGTTGCAATGGGATACAGGCGGGACAGAAGCGAGAGGAGGGTCGTGAAGGTGCTGCGGAGGGGGGAGAAGGGAGAGAGGTACGCAGGGAGGGTTGAGGTCAAGTGTTTCAGCGGGCCCATGCCAGCGCGATGAGGAACTTGGCATCCAGAAAGCGTGCCGTTCGCTCGCGCCATTTGCGTCATAAGCGAACACTCACAGCCAAACGATCGTCACAGGCAGCCGGCGCCTCTAACGCGTCTCCCTTCCCTAGCTTCCCTCGCTTCACCCAGGCCCTCCCTACCGGCGTTTGCGTGCCTGGCTAAGAATAAAGGCTCCCGCGCGCGTAGAAAAGAATATCATTTTGAAACTTTTCTGCGCCTGGGCAGAAAGATCTGCAGAGGAGCGATAGAGTGATGATTCAGGGGCTTACAAGCGGGGGAGGATCTGGCGCTAAAAGCCGCATGACGGAAACGCGCAGCTGCCCAGCCTTGCCGTCCCAGATTCAAGGAATGCACCCCGGACCGGCACCCGCGTTGCCGATCACGTGTGCTTACCTAGGTAGTCGCGCAGAGGCCGGATTATTACAACGCCGAGTAGATTTTTGTAGTTACAGTTAATTATTGAGCCTTGCGGACCTCTCCGCTGAAAATTCTTGTGATAATAGCTGTCGAGGGGGTGCATTGACTGAATCCGCGCATGGAGTGCGCCAAGACGCTAAAGACCGGATCCAGCGCGACTTGAATTGCATCACAACCTCACAACCCCACATCATTTTCGAGATGCCTCTTGCCACCATCGCAAAGTACCATATCGCAATGCGCACCCATGCCCCCAAGAAGGTAGTCATGCGTTCCACGAGAAATTCATCTGGCGTGAACGCACCCTGAGAGCCTGGCTCGAGCTCAACGTGGACCCAGCAAACAGAGATACGGTCACTCACTCCAACATGGTCGACTACCATGAGAAGCATGCATGGCTGTTGTATATCTGTATATCCTAGACTCTTACTTCAGAGACGCAACCATGTATTTCAGAAAGGCCGAGGCAAGAATTTCTGTCATGCCCTACACCAGTGCGCTGATTGCTCTCGAACACCAACCCGACGAGATTCGGGGGGAGCTCGAAGGGCGCATGATGCAGGCCGAAAAGACGCTTTCCAGGCTTGAGCAGGACGAGGACACTGATAAACACTCCATACTCAAAGGAACAAATACCGGGTTTTGTAATACTTGCTTTCACGACATCTAAAATGTGAAGATATTGAAAATCTTGTGAGATCCGTCAATCCTGAGATTTTCGAATGAAATAAAACAAAGCTGATGGAAAGGTCCGAATTCCGCCTAAACCGAACACTTCCCGCTCAAAGGCTTGTCGCTTGTGGCATCCTCCGGGCGGATGAGCAATGAATAGAATGGTGGAGCTCAAATAACAACAGCCGCGTCGCATTTCTTAAGCCTATTACCAACGCCCCAAAATCTCACTCCAAGGGGCATGCTTCATGCAAAGCCATCGTCCACATACCTTGGCTCGACCTCAACGACCGGACCTTTGTAAGTCTTTTTTGCCCAAAGAAGGTAGTACAGAGTACTGAAGACAGCTACAAAGCCTGTCACGAGGATCGACCAGTTCATGTTCTGTGGGCTGACGTGGGAGAAGCTGGGCCAGAAGCTAAAGAATAGGATGAACGTAAGGTAAACGCAGGCAAAGATGTTGTTGGCAATACCGAGGGCTCCGGGTATCCTCCAGGGCCCCCAAAGAATTGGAGGAGCGCTTTCTCCAGTGACAGCCGAGGATCTGTTTCCACCAATGCTGACTTTCCCAGCGGGCACTATACCCCCCGTACAGCGTCGATATAATAAAAGGACTGAGACCAATAGGTAGGATGAGAAGAGACCTGCGATGGAAACGGAGATGATGCCGTTGAACGCCGTAGAGGAGCCGATGTTGACCAAGGCCAATACGCACGCTATAAGTGTTGTTGCCGCGACGGAATAGACCGGAATTGATGTTCTCGCGCTGATCTTTCCAGTTGTGAGCTAAATAGTCCAGGTTCCCCCTTCAAGATATTGTGGCGACTTACCTGACTCAAGAAACGCCATCCCGGAAGTCCCTTGTCTCGCGAGAATGCCCAGAAAACTCGGGAAGAGGATGCGAGCAGCCCAACTGTGGCGCTGGTAGCTAATACCATAATTAACGACGCCATTATGGCCGCCCCGGCGGTTGAGTTGACTGCGTGTTTGAAGATAGCCATAAAAGGATATGCTGGGTTCTCCTGAAGGGCCTGCTCTATGTCTCCAGCCCTGAAGAGGAGAGTGAGAATCATAGCGAAGCCTAATGACCCATTGATCATGATTCCAGTCATGAGAGACCGAGGTACTACCACGGCCGCATTCTGGATCTCCTCGCTCATCTGCAAAAGGTTAGTGAGGATCCCACACGAGACAAGAGCTTACACACATGGATGGCCCCATCTCCACCTTTTCGCAAGCGTCAGTACGTCCCTAAAAACTTGTCGGATTGTGCAAATGCTTACCAACAAATGCAAAAACGCTTCCCATAAGTCCAATGCAGAAGGACAATCCCTGCGTCTTCCATTCTCCGAGATTCATGAATGTTGTGAATACCTCTTTGGTCTCTCCCCTTGGGCCAAGTGTCAACAGCGGTATCATGACCCCAAAGAACCCGACGATATGAAGGACAAGAAGTAGACCTTCAAACTTAGGTAGAAGCCACCCAGCTGAGACATTTATAATGACTCCAAATACCATGATCGCCCAGTATAACAACGTGCCGTGCCAGTTTTTGGGAAGGTAGGTTGGTTGAGTGAGGATGAGGAGCCCCTGCACCAGTGTTCCGGTCAGATATGCGCCTGAGCCGACGGAGGCTTGCCAACCGCACAAGGTGAGCCACCCTGATGTTTATTAGATTTTTGTCGTAAAGATTCGATGAAAGAAATACCGGCGACATAGCTTAATGCCTTTTGCAGGCTTCGTGGTGCGAGCATGGATACCCAATGGTACTGGCCACCCGAAGTAGGTGCCCTGCGATGCCATGGTTAGATTATTGTCAACTTGAGAGGGCATAGCTGGGCGTACATAGATACCAGCTCAGAGAGCACGATGAAGGTTGATACAGTTCCTGCCCACACGAGAAGGTATCCGTAGATGACGCCGGCGGGGCCGCCACTTTGAAACCGTTATGCCTGCTCCAGTCACAGAAATACTTTCACACTTACTTTTGTAACCCGACTAGGAACAAACTGCTACTAGTTTAGCTGGCGATTCCTCATTGAGCACTGCAGGGAACTGACATTAATGTTGCCTCCCATGTAACCAGAACTGTGCAGCTAAATCCAAGGATCGAAAGAAAGGCAAATCGTCTCTGCATAGCCATTCGTTAGCATCCGGACAAAGGATTACAACAATAAACCCACCTTCAATACAGACTTCTTTCCCAGCCTCCCTAAGGCGGCGTCGTCACTCTCTGCAGCTTTAGATCCGGAATGCATTCGCCGCAACTCGACGTCGGAAGTCTTGGATTGAATCTCCATCTTGGAGACGGTGACTTGAATAACGAGACACGTATAAGGAGGTGTGGAAAGATACCCTCAATTCTGGCGTGAAAGTGTGCGTGAGACGTATGTGACGAAACAAAAAGCGCACCAAGCTCCCACGTTATCATGCCGACGATCAATTGGGACGTCTCAGGAGATAACCACGCGTGGCAAAGGCTCAATCGATATTGGCCTGCATGTCCGGTGCATGATATTGCTCACCCGCATACGGGAGGCGTGGGAACTGCAGGGACCCAGTCTGTCGGGTTCGCACGGCCCTCTATGTGTTTAACCGCACAAATTAACACACCTCCCTGAGGCGTTTCCGAACCTGTTCTCTGGGTGCGCTTATCTGCCGCGTTCACAGTCTACTTTCAATGATCGCTAAGGCGACATAGCATGACTCGAACTTAGGTCAGGGCGCCGTGTTGGCGGCGTCCCCGTCACTTCAACTTTCACGCAGTCTGAACTTTAGATACCAGTCTGATCAATGATTGCGAATTGACCATGTAATTATGGGACGGGCATGAGGAACGCGTGGGGCTGCTTGCTGAGGTCTTGTGCAAGATGCATGCGCATCAAGACTGCGCCCTCTCTACACCGAAGGTCTTCGTGGTGCTGATACCGTCTTGCTGCCCATTTCGTGAAATATCGAGGAGCTTGTAACCCTTCCCACTCCCCTTCCCACTTCCTTCAGTGGAATGCTCCCCCTTTCGGCGCAACTCGTCGACACGAATCAGCCCGGATTCGAAACACTCCATAAACAACTTGGCGTAAGGAAGAGAGGTTGTAACGATGGCGAGGCCTTGAACGATCTGGTTGCAAACGGTCGACCGCCAGTACCCAAGCGCAAAATCGGTTCGGAGAGGACTCGTGCTGCTGTCCTTGTGAAAATAATAAAGCTGAATGGCCGAAACACAAACCACCCTGTAACTGATTAGCTTGAGTGTGCGTCTAAGGGAGACATCTTACAGTAAACGACAGGCAAAAAGACTGATTATAAAAGTCTTCCGTGGCCATGCCACATGTAAAGGAATCATGATTCCTACTTCTAATGCCACGATAGCAACTTCCGAGATCATGTTCGTGATGGTTGCCGCATCCCACCATGCCACCTATTCCAGAATTAGCGAGTAGCCATGATCGAGCGAAGGGATAATATTAACCTACCCGATCGATACATAGACCTGAAGACAAATCCCAAGTATCCGGCGGTTTACACTGGAATGCTGAGACAAACACGCCGACAATCAGCCATACTAGTGCAAATCCTCCCAGACCATAGTTCAAGTTCCTGTCGAGCTTCTTGGGGGTCAAGCCGTGAATAAAAGCAACGATTGCGAATTTCGAAAAGGCGACCGCAAAAAAGAAGAGTATAGTAGCGGCATATTGACTCTAGAGTATGTTATTACGCAGAATTCAGAGAACATTCTCTTCAGTACTTGCTTTCAACATCGCGTGTAACTGATCCTCACTGAGGAGATTTGAGGGCTTTCCAAAGCCATTCGATGTCTGCACCGATACAGCGATAGACTGTGCAGTGCCAAAAACCTAAAGGTTTCAATGAGCTACAGTCCCAATCCACGATGCCGGGGGATAATACAAGGGAGCAGAAGACAAGCACTGTTTCTAGATTGACAGCTCTGGACGTGTAGATTGTTATACCAGCGTGCGTGAAAAAAGCCAACGCACTAATGACCAAAGACATCCAAGTGACGATTTGGACAACAGGCGTCAAGTTGGAATCAGACACGATAATCTGAGCCATCGTGCCTGAATTGCCGAGATGAGAAGAAGTTGAGTTTAGTGTGGAGCTAGTATTCAGTGGGGGTAAACCAAAGGTGGAGATTGTGGCGCTAAAGAGTGCAGAACGGCTCGCTGAATCTCGTGTTCCAGTAGATGTGTCAGGGCGTATTCCCGAGCAGACTCGAGTCATTACTACCGAGACAGGGATGAGCAACCGGGTTTCCACTCTGGTGGGTCCCCAAATTGGATACGTCCAGTCGCCCTTTAGGCCCAACAAGGGTTGAGAGTTTTGAGTCCGACCGTACAACCAGCCTTACATCGGCTGCCTAATGGAACACGGACCGAGCACTCCTTCATGTCTGATAACGGCTGTGTATGATGCTTGTAAGCCGACCAAACTTTCGGGTCGGACTTCAGGATGCTGGGCTCAGAATAACGCCGACGTCTAACCGAAGAGTAGCTACCTATCATTCTAAAAATAAGCTGTATCTTCTATTGGCTACAAAAGAGCTTGATTGTATTTTAGAGATGATGAGTTGTTGATCAAAATATTCGTTCATCTTAATCTTTACTCAAGATGTCGAATTGTGTGACAAGAGACGTTATTCTCTACCAGAATTTTAGGGACACAGATACGATCCAAGGCGTGTTACAAGTCGCAAGACATTGAGGCCAAAGAAACCACGCGCCTGAGGCCCCAACAGAGGTGGATTCAGGATGCTGCGGTACTACGTGCTACTCTATCAAGTCCTTGCCGGAATATAAGCAGCGGGGCGATTGCTTCCGCAGCTTCCTCTTTTGCCGATCGGAATGTTCTGGGCCGTTAGCGGTACACAGTGTCGGGTACCGCGCCGCATAATTGCAGCTTCACGTTGCACCGACAGCGCAGAAGACCACCCAATCCCACACCCCCCTCATTCCAACGCCCTCTGAGCTCTGTTCGCGACCAAACTTTTTGCCAATTTGCGTTCCGGCGAGAAACATCACCGAACAATTTTCACGTCCACACAGTCCCGAACCCTAGCCGCTCAGCTACCAATCATGGTACTCCACCTATCTGACGTCAATCTCGACGCCGACTTTGCAGAGCTCATTGAATGCCAATGGGCGGCACATGAAGACCCCTTTCAGCCATTCTACCGACTCTTTTGTCCTATCTACGAGAGCGGCCGAGAGGCATCAGTGAAGGAGTCTACCTCACGTTTCCTCGAATGGGCTCGCCACGACCCTCACGAAAAATGGTTGAAGGTCGTAGACACAGACACAGGGAAAATTGTTGGCGGGGCATTGTACAAAGTCTACAATGAGAACCCGTTCGCCCATGCGGAAGAGGAGGTAGCGTACTGGTACCCCAACGACAGCACTAGAGACTACGCGAGCCAGGCAATAGAACAGATGGATGTCCCTCGCATGGAAATGGCTACTAGGCCTCAAGTCTGTAAGTGAGGTCTTCGATCTTGTTATGCGGCAATAGAAGGGACTGACCAAAGACAGTTCTCAACATACTCTTCACCCATCCCAACCACCGTCGCAAAGGTATCGGATCAATGTTGCTTCAGTGGGGTATCGACACCGCAGAAACTCTCGGCGTAGAGTTTTGGCTCAATTCGACGCCGGTGGGGAAGCCGCTATACGAAAAGTTCGGCTTCGAGGTGGCGAAGAAGAATCCTCTAGTTCCGAAAACAGAGAGCCCAGACGAAAAGTGGAAGCAAATGGAGGCACAGTTCGATGATGTAGTTTTCTGGACAATGTACCTTCCGAAAGAAGGCCTCGTCGAAATTGGCAAGACAGTGAAACTGAGGGAAGAATGAGCACGCGTCCTCCTACGATCTCTTAGTATTCACAGAGCCAATAAATTGGATGCACACTTGTACGTTATGGAAGAACTTGTGGATTGAATTCAAGCGAGTGCCTAAGGTAATAAGTACTGCACCACCGAGTACCATGCCATCTTCAAACGGGATTCCATATCGAAAGGAACGTCCGAGAGCTTTCAACTCCGACACAAGGCACCGATCACCGATTTCAGACTTCTAGGGACTAAAGGAAGCACGTTGATCAGCGTTCTATCCAGTATCGGAATACCACTGGGCAAACATACAAGAGATTGGTCATGACGTTGATGATGCCCCCAACCTTAACGAATTCAACGCGATTCTGCTGAGCCTCGGCCTTCGGCTCTTCGATGAAGGCCTTCCACGGCTGTTCGCGCTTGTCCGCAGCGGATTCAGATGCGAGTTGAGCGATCAGAGTGTTGCCAGCCATTGCGTGCGATGGTGTATAGGCTGATGACTGTCGAGCAATCAGTCACGAGTCGAGATCTTAAACGAGCTTTCGCTTACTTTTGGAATTGTATTGTTGTGGAAGACGGGACGATGGGTGAAGATTGATTTGGTGAAGAGTTGGGTGCCTTCTATACTCAAGCCAAGACAGCACGTCGGCTCTAGACGGCCCTATCCTCGTGGAAATAGCAAGACATCCCGAAGGATGCATGTGTCGGTGGCCTGAATGCTCGCGAACCGGGTGTTTACCCATAACTTCTATGCCTGCAGTAGCTCATGGGTATATATTGGAGTGAATCATGTATGCAGGCAGTCGTCGCGCAGCTGCATTATCAGACTCTGAGTCCGCACATGGGATCCCAGAAAGGTGACTGTGTCGTACGCATCTTCGCGCTCGGTGTAACTTCCGGACTTCAACTTTGTCATTTTTATCCCGAGATCCTCCCATGTACGGCGCAATATCCTTGACAGCCTTGAATTTTCGGCTTAAAGCCTGCAGTCACAACCACCAGTGATGGAGGATACCCAATCAAAGCCTTGGAGAACCTACAGCGTTCGGCACAACTACCATTTTGGCCCCTGTTGACTCCGTGGGTGCTTGCCAAGTCAATATATTGATGTGCAGCGGTTGCCTTGGCGTTATCAAATGCCTGAGGAGTTTCACAAGCAAGTCATACCAACGGGGAGGCATCCTATCATCTGCTCCAGATGAGATGTTTTCGGAGACCGAAAGTCTCACTCCTTTGAGGAGGGCATCAACACTGCAGCTGGTCGATAGTCGCCGCAGTGTGCGATTTGGGGTCTGGTACGATAGCATCTGAGTTGCCTTTCCAGCCGGCCGTTTTGATTGTTGCCCTGTTACTGAACTTCCAACTTCACCTCGTGCCCTTTGAATCATGATGGGTTCTGCTGAACATGCTGCCATCCAGTTTCTGAAATGGCAGCCTCTCTACGAGAAAGAAAAGCCATTCCAGCTTTTTCTTGACCTTCCCCCAGACGTTGCTGATCAACGAAGGACAAACCTTGCGTTTGAAACAAGAATGGTTGAAGTCAAGAATATCAGGGGTCATGAAAAGTGCTTCGATCTCGACGAGAACGGGTTCATCTATCGAACCATGGATGGGTTCGAGGACTTGAAGGACAAGACGGAGGTTACGGGGCAATATCTCCCAGCAATAGAGCAGCTGCTGAGGAAGGAAGTGGAGCACGCAGACAGAATTTTCATCTTCGACTGGCGGGTACGAACCACCCCCTCTCTTTTCGTTCTATTTCGTCCCTAACAATCGATGCATAGATGCGCGAAAGCAACGCTGAAGCGCAAGATGGCCTCCTGGATGTCGGGAATAGCATGCTTCCTTTGCGACCAGCAAACTTCGCCCATTCAGATCAAGGGCCATGTTCCGTTATCAGACGTGTTCAGGCTCAATTCCCCCAAGAAGCTGAGGCTTTGCTCAGGGGGCGAATCCGTGTGTTGAAGTCAGCTCACTTTCATTCGTTGGCAAGACAACCCGCTAATGTCACGATAGCGTTTGGAAACCCCTTCGCAACAAGGTCATGGATTGGCCTCTTGCAATGTGCGACGGCTCGAGCCTTCAAGCGTCTGATCTCATCGAAACCGATACAGTTCGTACCTCATATGTGAGCACGAATCTCTACTCGCTGCACTCGCCGGACACTCAGAATTGGATGTATCTGAAGGAGCAAGAACCAAACGAGGTCGTAATATTCAAGCAGTTTGACTCGGATCCAGCGGTTCGGTCCTCTCGTAAGGGTTGCCATTTGATGACACTGTAACTCGTGGCTGACCCCAACAGTCTCGCTTCACGCTTCGTTCAGACATGAAGAGCTGCCAGAAATCTTTGCGCCACGGAACAGTATTGAGGTTAGGGCTATTGTATTTACGAATGCGGTGGGAGAAAATGTAAAGATTCAATAGATTAATGCGTGTGGCGCTGGAATGTATGCCATTTCCACCATGCAATAAGATTGCCTCAGTTCCCCTTCCGCCATTCTTCCTTCCTGCCTACCTCTACTTCCTCTCACTTAGAACGAGATAATAATTTCAAAATAAATTACTCTAACTTCCACCCATATTTACACCACGAGCAGGAAGGCTAAACTCTACTATCTACTCCATGCTACGTAGTACTATATGCTCTATATATTGCTAAGACGATAGACCCGAGTATTATTAGATAGGGTTATGCGTTGACCCAGCGCCGACCCAACATTTCGTTACAGGGGGTCCCACCCCACCTGTTGCTTAAAACCGTTGACTCCAGTTGACCTTAGCCTACGCCACATCCGCTCCCACATCTCCTCCCACATCTCCCTCTGACTCTTTCCCGTGGGCTACACCAAGCTAAAATATTAGCCACCTTCAAGATTGCAGCCGTCTATCATTGTAACATTTTGCTCATAATGGCTACGGAAAAACCCGTCACGGTCGTTGATGAGGAAGCCGAGCTTCAACCCGCGGCGACGCCGTCTCCTACGGACGACCAGACTGCCGAAACGGCCTCCCACAACGTATGAGATGTATCTTTCCATGCGATCAAACTCTCTCGCTCATACGATGTTCAGAAACCCCATAGTCACGCCGTTCAACTGGTTCCGCCGAAAGACTGGCCAGCGAAAAAGAAATGGATCTCACTCATGATACTCTCAAGCTTCGCCTTCGTCCACCCACTCTCGGAAACAATGATAGCTCCTTCTATGGACGCAATTGCACGGGATCTTCACTTTACAGACCGCTACGACTCGATGCTGTGTCTATCGATCTTCCTCGTCGGAATCGCTGTTGGGCCACTTATCTTCGCGCCTCTTTCTGAGGTGTACGGACGGAGACCTATCTTATTGTCCGGTGGAGCTTTCTACACCCTCTGGACCATTGCCTGCGGTTTTGCCAAAACGCGAGCCCAAATCTTCACTTTTCGCGTTTTCTCTGGTTTTGGCGCCAGCGTCGCCCTTGCCCTTGGCGGGGGTGTCATTGGCGACGTCTGGAAAGCAGAAGAAAGGGGAAGAGCTCTGGGGTGGTATCTCCTCGCCCCTCTGCTGGGTCCGGCGATAGGCCCGATTGTTGGGGGCTTTATAAGCGACTCGGAGTCCTGGCGCTGGGTTTTTTGGGCGTTTTCTATCGCTTCCGCGGCTTTTTTACTTGTCGCTGCTCTTCTCTTCCCTGAGAGCTACGAACCACGACTCCTCGAGCAGCTCGAACGGGCAAACAGGACCAACGTATCGCAGTTCGGGACGAAGAAACATATCAAAACCGCTTCAAAACTTTTGCGACGCAGCCTTATACGACCAGTGCGTATCATATCGACTCAGCCCACTGTGAACATCCTGGCTGTCTTCATGGCGCTGCTTTACGGTATCATGTTTTTGTTCCTCTTTACTTATCCGCTTTTATGGATCGGGGAATATCAACAGTCTGTTGGTATTTCAAGTTTGAATTACATTTCCGCTGGTCTCGGATTCACCCTTGGAGCTCAAAGTAAGAACACAACAACGCTGCCATTGCCTCTTTTTGCTTACTGATAGCAGTTGCTGGCCATGTCAACGACCACGTCTACGCCAAATTGAAGCGTCGCAATGCAGATGAAGGCAAACCCGAGTACCGAGTGCCAATTCTCGTTCCAGGTGCAGTTCTTGTTATTATCGGCCTGCTGATATACGGCTGGGCCGGTGAGTCAATAACTCACTGGATTGTTCCGAACATCGGCTCCTTCATATTTTGCACTGCCTGCATGCTGTGCACTTCTGGTGTGAATACATATGCCATCGATGCCTACACGCAATATGCAGCATCCGCTATCTCGGCTCTCAATGTCTTGCGAAACGTCACCGCGATATTATTTCCCCTTTTCGCACCATACATGTATCAACGACTTGGTTTTGGGGTCGGGTTCAGCATTTTGGCTGGAGCATGGGCTGTTTTCAGTTTCTTGGTTATTGGAACAATGTGGTTGTGTGGCGAAAGACTCCGGACAAAGTATCCGTTTTCAGCGTGAGAGGGAGTGTACGGTCCATTAACTGATAGGAAAGGCCGAGGAAGGTTCCGAAGAGACAACGGGGGGGATGGCTGTACAGATTGAAATCGAACGAATATTGTAAGCAGCTAGTAGTTGTGGCTGAAATGACATCGTGGCTTCCAAGCCCACTGACTCTCCCAGCTTACCGGTAATAAGAAAGAGCCCTGGAGCGAAAGATTGCCTTGTGCTAATTGTAAAGATTCAACTTGGACAAGAAGTCGCTGTCGCAATTGAGATAAGAAACGCCAGCACCACTGCTCTGGTACAGATCTCGGTAACGCTGGCCTGGGGTGTTTCGATGCCAGGAACGCGTTCTTGGGATCTCGCTTCTGACGTTTCCATCGATCAGGCTGTACCCTTTGTAGCGAGGCTCGGGAGGGACCCAAAGGAGGTTTCATGATTGAGAGAGGATCGTCGTGGTTTGCTTTCCTAGCACCGCGTTCGCCCAAAGAGGGCTAGCGCTCAGCCACCACCTGGGCGCCTGGGCACTTGCCATCGACTGCATCTCCCTTCCCCTTCCAGCACCACCATCTCCACCACTGGCTTTCTCCCCCCGCGCAAGAACGCGGCGATCCAACTTCATCTGCTCGCAGCACACTGAGGAGCGTCACGAGACTTACGCACGGCCCTTCCGCTGTGCTTCGCCATGTCTCCGCCCCAGGTCGGTGGCTGTGCATGGAATCACAAAGCGAGAAAAACGAGATCCGCCCCGCCAGGCAGCTTTTACGATGGCCGAACTTGGCACGACAGGCCAATTAGATCGCACGATGGCCATCGAGGTTACCCGTTCAGGACCGCTTCTGGTGGTGTGGACGGCTTTTACCGCAACTGCCATGTCTGCATGAAGCCCTTCGTTGTTAATACTTAAGAGGATTGATATCCGGACTTTGTTTAGCGCTTCAGATTTCGTTCGACCACTTGGCTCTTCTTTGATACCCCGTTTCTATCGCCTTAGTCAACTTCAAGTTGTCACATCTTTATTTCACAATACCATCGATCAACTCCTCGGTTCAAAATGTCCACCGCGGTCGCGCTCCAGGACATGAGCCCACACGCTCAGCGCCATGACAGCGTTATCCGACATCGATCAATTTCAAAACCCGACGTCAAGCCCAGCATGGTCACAGAGGAACAAGACGATTGGGTGAACACACCGCACGACATCGATTCCTCAACATTGCCGCTCGAGTCCCGCTCGTTCGTTCCCACCAGCACATATTGGATTTCACCCCACTTCCTGCTATCGAAGAATATCACGATCCTCGACCTGACGCAGGACATGACTGTGCCATACGCCGGTCTCACCAATGCGTACAAAGAAGAAGTGCAGAAGACACTGAAAGATCACTCCTTCACCCCAGCCTTCACATGCCACCGGAATAACTGGCTCGGCCTAAAATACAACATCACAAACGATCAAGGGGAAACAGTCGCAGAATGGAAGCACCCGTGGTCTTCAGTCGGGGAAGCAGTCCTTACCTTCCCCGAAGACTCGCCGCACTCTTCACATCCCATTAGTCTGCGCAACAAAACCTGGGGACTCCGTACGGAAGGCTTTACGTTGAATTCACAGCCCTACTTCTGGGAGATGGACAGCGTTTGGCATAGCACGAACATGACCCTGTATAAGGTGTTTGGATCTGGAGAATATGAGAGGAAGGTGGAGGTGGGCAAATATGCGCAGAAGTGGTGGGGAGGTATCGTGACTGGAGGGACTGTCGTTGTGGATGAGAAGGAGTTGGATGGATTCATTGCTTGTTTGACGCTGTGCGTGGTGTTGAAGAAGAAGCGACAGCGTGCTGCGGAAAGGCATAACGCCGGGGAGTGACAGGCGAGACATGATAACGACAAGAGGCGCATATGGAGTTCTATTTGAGATACCTGAAGGGAGTTCGTGCTGCGTACATGGCTTAGGCGTTACCTAGGTAGGCTGTCGGGTGTTCTGGTTCAATACTACAAGTTCAAATTTTCAAGGTCTTTTCCAAACCGCTATACCAAAACAGTCAGCTGGCCCGATATATACCCTTGGGCCTCTTGGAAGATAAGGAGTGGTACATGAATGGAGCGTCACGTGACCTCGTTTCGCGCTAAAACCCCGCAACACGCGAAACAACGTCGACTTACCACCCCAACTTCTTGACGCGATTGCCAACGCCCTACTAGGACCCGACACGCCCCACGACATGTCCCGGCAAAGTACAGTCGTCGAGCAGAAGCAGCAGTTTCTCCAGTCGGAGAAGCTGTTTCTCTCGCGAGGAATTGCGCCGTCAGAGAAGCTGAAGAAGATCGCGCTTGATGGAGGTGTGGAACTGAGCGTCTTGAAGGGTGCTTTAGACAAAGGTGTCGCAGATAGCCAATCTGACTTTGTACTCCGACGCTGATTCGCATAGTCAATCGCGACCTCAAGCAGCATTCGAGGAGAGTCTACAGCCGCCAAATGACTGAGCACGTAGTCGAGCAAATAGACAACTTCTACTGGGCGTCCGGCGCGCGAGAAGTCGACTCCGAAGCGGCAGACAACATCACAGACGTGACAGACGACGGCAACGCGCTGTACCAGGGCGACGACCTCACACAGGACGACATCATCTCTAAGCTTCCAACACGATGGGACACATCCGCCGACCGATCTCACTCCACCTCCCACGACGACGAAGTCACTCAAGACGACTACCTCACCGCCCTGACGCGTCTACAATCTCTCTCCGCACGCCGCCTCACCCTCCAGCAGAAGCTCAACACGTCTCAAACACTCCTCTCCCTCCTCGAACTGTACCGCAAGCCGATAGAAAATATACAGCCCAATTTGGTGTGGAGAGATTCGCCGCTTACGCCTGAGCTGATGAAGCTGAGGACGCTGGCAATACGGGTTGCTGGAAGGGTCGGTGAGCAAATCAGGGACGTGCAGGTACTGGCTACGGCCGAAGAGGAGGATGAGGACGTTGTCATGGGTGGAGATGAGGAGAAGTTGAAGGTGGATAACGTGCTTGCGAGCTGGTAGGAGGTGGGTTTGGATAGGGAACGGCGTTTTGGAAATTAGGGTACCCTTGTCTTTGGACTTGACTCGGTTGAGGCGCAAGGAAGTCATGTTACTGGGACCTCGACGGTGGGTTGCACTTGGGATACTTTCTCCCGATTCCCGCGCGACCTCCAAAAGCTGCTTACCGCCGGTGGATTAATCCTCGGCCATTGCTATGCAAGTTCGTTTTGCGTCGCTACATCACTCATTATGATATTGATCGGTTCAGAATGCTCGCTCCTCGTTCAGCAGTTTGCCCCGGCACAGGCCGGACTATAAGCTTCTTACGCTGCTAACCACCTAAGGCACTTTAGGCATACGTACCTAGGTAGGTAGTTGTACTGATCTCATTACGGATACATACGCCACCCGTCGGCAGGCGCTATCCGTCGTCCAATTGCTCCTTCCGCATTCCACGACCGCGTCGGTACTAACCTGCGTCTTCCGTCCTCTATCGACCCCAACTTACACTCCACCATCGCTACGAAACATCTTCCAGATATATCCATACTATCGTTACCTCACCACTCCCTCGTAACCACAGTCAGCATGAGTGCCCAATACGTGCCGTCCAAAGCACGAGTATTGGAGCAGGCCATTGAGTCCAACATTCTTTTCCTGAAGTTCCTGGCCGACCAGCATGACTTGATCAAAGTCAAAAAAGGCGACGTAAGTCGTTGTCCGGCGTGCTTCAGCGACTGGAAGTCCTAACAAGCCGTATTCTCAGATGGAGCAAGCTCTACGAGGCCTATTCGAACCATTCGCCGAGCAGCAAGTCCGAGACGCTCAATCGCTCGGTCTCACCAACAACGAGATGTGGGAATACTACTGTGCAATGCGGGCAGCGACGACATCAGCCCGGGTTGAAGCATCACAGCAGAGTACCGCCACGACCCAGACACACAATTCATACGTCTTCTCGATGATGACCGACATCATCAAGATTCAGGTTCCCGAGTTGTATAAGCCTAGTTTACTAAGTGACTTCCTGGCTATTGTCAAGAGGACGGCTATCGGTATCCTCGAGCTTTAGGAAGGTGAGAGCTTGAATGAAATCGAGAGAGAGTACGATGACTTCCTTAAACTGTACAAGAAGGAGAATTCGGCCAGGTATGATCCCCAGCTACGGTTCACCGTCAGTTTCTTGAGGGTCTCCAAGATTATGTTTCCAGAGCGTGGTGGTTAACAAGCTGGAAGCCCCGCAGGACAACGCGTGGACTCACCCGAACCGTTGCCCGGACTATATTTTTCTGAAGGCTTCGAAGAAGAAGGCGACGAGGCAGCACAGAAGAGACTTGACCGCCATGTTATCCGGGCCGCGAAGCGGTTTCACCCAACCCTCGTGGAGCCTCTAGTCCAAGCTTTGCGCCCCGAACACTATGAGCGGAAAAGAGAAGAGCAGACGGTACGTAGATCACCCTACATATACCAAGCATGGTTTTGCATCATGATAGCCGCCTTCACCTCATTTGCGGCTCTTACTAATGCGTACCAGGCAGTGAAGGTGGGCGAACCGCCGTTCACCACAGCTGCACCTCCCGAGGAGAATAGGCCCAACAATCAGCGTCAAAGCCCCGAGCCGGACCCAACAACCGTTGGTGTTAAAGCTGCTGAATCCAGCCAGACTGGGCAATCCGAATCCCCAGAAGACCGTGCCAACTGCGTTCTCATGATGGCCAAGATCATGTACGACGACCCAGACCTCCAAGACGGGCAGACACCTCCGTATTTCTTCGAGCCTTTGAACAGGCCTCGCAGAGATTCAGGCCTATCTTTCCTAAGCCAGCTTGTGAATCACAGCGCCGTCCCACACACTTCTCTCTTTGGGCCTTTTGTCGGCGGAGGATCCGCAGGTGGAGCAGGTCAACCGCCGCGCAAGCCATCTGGGGGCGACAACAGGCTTCCGCCCCCTTCTCCGCCCGCACCGGCAGACGAAACAGAGGACTTCGAGAGATATCCGCTCGACAGAGAAGCTATCGAAGCCCTGTTGGATCAGCCCTACTCCGACAATGACAACCCGTTTCTTCCTACCGAGGCGACAGCAGCACTCCCGACTCTTGAGCAGAACGAGAACGAGAACTCTGAGACTGTTGCAACTCCCACAAGACGCGGCACCACACTGCGCCGTATCTTAGCAAGAATGCCTAGTAGGCGGGGCAAGTCGTCCAGCTCCCGTCCACCAACCCACCCAACCCACCCGGCGCGCACCAGAATCGATCAAAAGAACAAGGAAACTGAGCGCAATGGAAAGGGCAAGGAGCGAAAGGAGGGGACAAAGGAACAACATGCAGCACGTCAAGCTGAGGAGCGCACACACCTCATCCGATTCCTCACGACCATGGACCAACAGGTCGTAGACCGGTATCGTCTTGAGACTCTGAGCGGACGGGAGCGTCTGCTGGCGCGCAGGGGCCAGCTTCGAGAGCACGTCCTGCTGCGGTTGGCAAATCTAGGCGTGCAGCCATATGAAGTTCGCGACGACGTTACTTTCCAGGCAGCTATTTTGCTTGTGCTGGAGGTGGAGAGGCTGTTGCTACCCCAAGTTCGAGAGCGTGAGTCTGCGGCGAGGGAGGCACAAGACAGGGTAGCCCAGGCGGACGAAGCCCAGGAGAACATAGCCCAGGAGAGCAACGCCCAGGAAGACGAATCCCAAGAGAACGACGCCCAAGAGAACGAGCCCCAAGAGAACAAGCCCCAAGAGAACGAGCCCCAAGAGAACGAGCCCCAAGAGAACGAAACCCAGGAGGACGAAGTCCCCGAGAATGACGCCGGCGAGAGCGAGCGGCATAATAGGACGGACAGTGCGACGGACAGCGATTCTAAGAAGACGTTGCCCGGAGGCAATATCGGTTTCGGGAGGAGCTTCAGGTATGCTGACGCAGCTTAGCGGTGGTGAAGGCGAAGCGCTTCTCAGTGGCTCGTATGGATTGGGGTCGGCCGGATGTCGAGTTCCCTCGTCCGCGGATTTTGCAGGTCTTCTCGCTGCGATATGTGGTTTTGCAGTCCCTTTCTGCAGCGATATATCATAATTGGCACACTGTGTATTCGGTTAGTTCTTGGTAGTTCCGTTGCAGGAAAGAATGCAATTCTTCACACCAAGTCTTGGGATGCGTGTTGCAGATGCTATGTTCAATTAGACGGGTATCTCCATGTGCCAATCCGACATGTCTCCCCATCTATGTGCAATCCCATTCCAAGCTATGCCCAAGCTAAAAGGGATATCCCGCTGAACGCCAGTGCTATGCATGTCTGTAAAAAAACCAGTCTTCTTCTCCCAGAGTAGAAGTCTAAAACTCCTTAGCAGCCTCTCCATCACCAGCCAAGCCCATTTCAAGGCCTCTCCCCCTCTTCCTCATCACTGCTATCCGCCCTCTCCTCCCACCCCGCTAACCGTCTCAACACCCTATTCTCCTCCTTCAACTCCTTAATCTCCGCCTTCAGCGGCCGCTCCGCATCCGCCTGCAACTTCAGCGCGCTCCTCGCGTACTCGGCTACCCGGCCCAGCCCTGCCTGCCACTCTGCGTGCTCCAGCCGTAACTGCATCGACGTGTTGCGCTCCTGCTCGAGCAGCGCTTGGTAGTGCTTGTGCAGGGAGAGGATGGCGCCGGTCTGGGCGTAGGCGTAGGGGTGCACCTTTTCGACGATGGTTTTGAGCGCTTGCTCGTACTCGGTGATGACGGAGTGCAGGGCGGTGTTGGTGCCGGAGAGGTCGGTGATGGCTTTTTGCGAGGCGGAGAGTTGGGATTGGAGGGTGGCGAGTTCGGCGGCGCGGGCTGCTGCTATGCGTACGTCTCTGTTAGCTTTCACATCGTTGCCGGTTTCCATTTCTTGTGGTGGTGGTGGTGGTGGTGGTGGTAGTGGTATCCGAGGGGCGAAGCAAGCAAGAGGAAAGGGGAAGGCTCCTACATACCATTCAACTCGCCATTCACCTCTCTAATCTCCATGCCCCCAACGCCGCCCTCCTCCGCAGCCCTTGCCTGGATAGCCTGCACGCCGTTCACAATGCCCAGCGTCTGCGCGCGGTTCTCCTCCAGCACCTGGCTCAGCTGCTGCACCACGCTCCACAGGTGATTCATATCCGTCTGCTGACCGCCCGACGGTAGGCCGTTGACCATCGGTATGCCGTTCTGCTGTCCGCCCGCGCCGCCCATGCCGTTTGGCTGCGATCCGGTGGGCGAGGGGTTCGGCGAGGGAGCGGCGCGCGGCATGTTGACGTTAGGGCCCGAGTCGAGGAAGGAGAAGTTGTTCATGGTGGAGGAAAGTTTGCTGGACGGAAGCTAGGGACGGGGTTGGAGCGAGTCAGCTGCTTGTCGCAAGTACGTAAAGGCGGGCCGTGGGTGTGCAGCGTGCTGGTAGGCTAGCTGTTTCGGCGTGGATTAGATTGTTTGGCGGCGCGGACGGGGTGATTGGTTGTGGATTCGCGGCTCGGTTGGGCTGCGGTGTGGGTATGCGGGTGAGGTGGCTCCAATGATGCGACGTGTACCCGCAGCTTTTCACTCGCTGAGGAACGATTGATCGTGGATATAGTCGATCTCGAGATCTAAGAGCTGAGGGCGTTGCTGGAAAGGCATGGTCCCGCCGAGGATATCCCGAGTGGTTGTCCGAATATGGACTAGCGCTATGAGCCTGATTGGGTTCCCGAGGTCCGGCCGATATGACAGATGCTATTCGCTCAATTATACCATGATATTCAGATGTCTATGCTGCCCACATTGACTTTTGATTTCTCTCATGACTTCATAGCTTCTGCTCATGATCCTCAAGCTCGCAGAATGCCTTGAACGTCACCATGCCCTCTCCATCCTCTGCATCTGCCTCACTCTCCAAGACGACTTCAGCCGTAGCACCAACAAAGAAGACGTAACCCTCTTCGATTTTCTCCTTCTTTGGCCCGACACTGATGGTGCCCTTTCCCTTCGTGCAAAGGACAATGCTTGGTCCTTGAATGGGATCGAAGGTCGCCTTTGCGCCCGATTTGTTCAAGGCTGTCCGTACGACGGCAAATTCGGGAATCGGCGGGTCGTACAATTTGCTAGAGGAGTTCGAGCTGTAGGCGGCAGCATTCAGAGTGACGTAAGGGTAGTCGGTTGGGTCCATCTTTTGCTCACTGATCGGGGCATAAGAATATGTTAGCATAGTAGTCAGCGTGCTGACATCCTTGAATTTCGGCGTGAAGCCCGCGCGAACAACGTTATCGGACGACGCCATGCACTCGATGATGTCGCCGGAAAGGTATGCGTGGATGTCGTCCGCCTTGAGGAACATCGCCTCTCCGATCTCGAGCTGGACGTAATTGAGGAAGAATTGCACGAACAGGCCGATGTCAGCGGGGAACTCGTCGTTGAGGCGGATGACAAGGTCTGCGAGCTCCTTGCCGCCGTTTGTGGGACCTCCCTCTCCCGCAAAGCTTGCACCCTCCGTCTTGGCTGCTTGGAGAAGCTCCTCGGTTGCAGCTGCCAGCGCGTCCTTGTCCGCATTCATGAGTTTGGTGAATGCGGACTGTAGAGCTTTCTTGTTTGCCTGCATGTCCTCTTCCTTGTCTGAAGTCTCCTTGCCTTTAACAGTATCCTCGAAGTTCTTCGCTTCCTCTTCCCCGACGAGCTTTCGGAACGACGAGACATGCTTGAAGAAATGTGAGATCTCGGCGAGGGGACGGAAACCGCAGAGTCCGTCGAAGGGGGTGACGGCAATGGTCATTTCCGGCTTGTGGTTGTCGTCTAGCTCATGTTTAGCTACGGTTGCAGACTCCGCAAGCTGTTGAACTGACCTGGATAGTTCTTGGGGTCTTTCGCATGCAGCTGTTCAGCAAGCTTCTTGTTTGGATGGGCCTGGATACTCAGGGCCTTATTGATGGACAAGACCTTGAAGAGGAAGGGCAGTTTATTGCCATAGCGCTCAGCAATGTCCTTAGAAAGAAGCGCTTGGTTATCCTGGACTAGGTCCAGCAGCGTTCGTTGGGTTTCGAGGTCCTTGGAAGGTAGCGACGGGTGTGTTCCCATCCATAGCTAGCAGAGTGAGCAAAACGCTATTGATTGCGAGCAAGCAACGCACCTCAGCGTAGGGTTTCTCCTCCTGAATGGAGAAGTCGCTCGATGCCGTCGCAGCAGCGAACTTGGCGGCAGCAGACGACTTGCCAATCTTCCCTTCGCATCTTCAGCATCCAGCTCAGACGTATTTTTCCAGGCGGGGCTCTGACGTACCCCAGTCGTAGCTGTTGACGCCTGCACAGTCGGGTCAACTTGTAGAAGCCAATTGATTCGGAATATAATTACCGCATTGGAGCCGGATAAGAGGGACCTGCATGACCATCTTGAAAGCCGTCCAGAGAATTGGCAAGCGAAGAGTTGCGGAGCTATCAAGACGTCTTGACCACCCCGCGTTGTGGGGTTGGAACAAGCAGCGGCTAGTAGCCACAGCTAGCCGCTTGTGGCGTTAGCTTTCTCGCTAAGTTGCCTGCTGTGAGCCTTCCCAGCGCCGCAACGCTCGACCAACCCTCACCCTCCTCCCGAGGTCATCAGCGACCTGCGCTCGTGCCCTTCTGCTGTTGCGGAAGCGGTAGCAGACAGAGTAAAGAGCGCGAGCAGCTACCCTGGCTCTGTCAGGATGGCAGCGCGCAGCAGGCCGCGAGCAGGCCAACTTAAAGATGAGATCGACGAGGAACGGTCACTGTGGAACCAGATACGGGCCGACGGTCGGCGGTTCGATCAGCTTATGGTAAGATGGCATCCCGTTCTGACTCCGAAGTATTTCATCCAAAGTCTTCCCTTTCAAGGGCTCTTCCCTTTTCATTTCCACTCATCCCCATTCGCGGCCGCTCGCCTTTCGTCTAAACGCCGTTTGGCGCAACTATCATGTAGAATGGCCGCCCGTTATGGATCTGCCCTATTCCCAGCCCACAGCTCAGGGGCTCATTCCTGGAGTCTCTGGAGCAGTCTGAGCCCCTTCGCCACTTTGATTGAAGCTTTTACGAGTGTTTGCTGACTACGTAGGCACGGTCCGATGAACTTCAGAAGAAGATAATGGAGCTCGATGCAGAGCAGGCCGCTCGAATAGGTATGCAGGCTAGACTGAATGATGTCCAAAGATCTTGCGCACCACCCAAACGGAAGCTAATCCAACCCTCCAGCGCGCGGCGACTCCCCGTCTATGCGCATCGACGCCGAGCTCGACCAGAACCTCCGCGAGAACATTAAACTCAGCGAAGAAATGCTCACGCTCATCAAATCCGAGCGCGGAAACGACATCTGCGAGCAGCTTAGCATCCTGTCCGCGCTGCGGTCCGCCGACACCGACAGCTCGGCATCACGTGCCACCACCGTCGGTAAATCCCAGCGCGACCGCCAGAACAAGCGCAAGCTCACCGATACGATCGACGACCGGGATAGCATCGCAGCGGACAGCCCCGTTGCGCCAAGCCCAAAGATCCCCGGCAAGGACCGGCTTATGCAGAAGTCGGGCGGGAGCAGGGCGGGATCGGTGCCCGCGGCGCGGGAAAGCAGCGTCAAGGCTGAGGAAGATAGCGAGCATGTCAAGGGTAAGAGGGCCCGTTCTTTTACGACTTCTTCCACTAAGAGGGGCGGTGCTCATTGAGAGCTTTTTCCTTGTCGCTCTCCTCGGAGTTGGGCGTTGTTTTCCCCGTTTGTTTGTATCATGCGATGCGATACCCCTCTGGGCGGACTTCTGCTTTCTTTTCCCAAGGGTTATTCAGGAGTCTCTTCTCTTAGCTTCCTCCGCTAGTGTATTGCGAACGGGCCGCAAGAGACCCCAATTACTCCTCCCTTGACTTCAATCTCTCCTTGTCCTGTATCCTACCTATATCCTACTATCTCTCCCTCCCTTCCCCTCCTCTCCCGCTAACCCAACCCCCACCCGCAGAGACAAAACACCGCCTCACCGTCAACACCGAAGTCCTCTACCGCAACACCAAAAACCGCACCTCCACCACCGAAGGCGAAGGCATCCTCTGCCGCGTCACCTCCGTCATCGGCGAGGGCAAGCAGCGCCGCTACGAGATCATCGACTCCGACCCCGACCCCCCCACGCCCAGCATCCCCTACCGCGCATCGGTCAACCACCTCGTCGCCATCCCGTCCCCGGCGTCGAATCTCACGCTGCCCGATCTGCCCCCGAAGCGCAATGTGCTGGCGCTGTACCCCGGGACCACGACGTTCTACAAGGCGGAGGTGGTGAGTGGGTGGAGTGGGGGTGGGAAGGCGGCTGGTGGGGTGAAGAGGGAGGATGCTGCTGTGGCGGCGGAGGGGAGGGAGGATTTGGTGAGGCTGCGGTTTGAGGGCGAGGATGAGGTGGATCGCGAGATGAGTGTGGAGAGGCGGTATGTGTTGCCGGATCGGCAGTGAGGTGTGTTGGTGTTGTTGACGCGACGTTGGGTTGGATTTTTTCTAGATTGATCTTCGGTGATGATGTTGGGTAAGATGTTGGTTGGGTTGCATGTATGGTTGGTTGGTTTGTTGGCAAGATCTGGAGACCATGTGAGAGTGCATGTGGGGACCACATACGGGGAAGGCGTTGGCTGTTGATAGGATAGTGATATTGATATTGATAATGCTATTGCTTGCAACTTGCTGTTCGGGTTTAAGTGGCCGCACTTTTGTTACGTCTTCGCCCTTACCCGAACTAAATGAATCGTGGCGAGTATAACATAACACGCACCAAATCTCGTCGTGTAGACAATCAACGCACACAATTCGCAAACCAGGTCCATGGTACACATATCCATATAATCATCTATTCCTATTCAGACAAGACACGCTTACCCGATTCGCAACTTTAGAATACCCAGCTCAGCGCCAACATCTACAAGAAAAAAAAAGGGGGAGTTTCGTGCGACACAACAAAAGGCAGTCCAACCAAACCGAGGGTATCTCCACCCCGCGCTCACTCAGAATCAAGAAAAGAAGCGAAGAAAAAGGTCCGGGTCGACGAGACGCCGGGATACAGGCATTAGAAAGATATAAGGGGGAAACGAGGGTCCATTACAAAACCAGCCAACCGGGAACGGAACCGGGTATATGCAGAACAATGGGGAAGGCTGATGCGGCATGCAGTCGTACAGATGGAGAGGAGACGGAGGATCGAGGGAGGGAGTGAGCGCGGGTTCTATTTGGGAGGGAGCTTCACGTTGTTGGAGAGCCATGCCTGTGTGAGTGTTAGCAATGCTGGGCTGAGAGAAGTGAGGGGGATGGACGAACCAGGCCCTCGAAGATGCCCTCTCCTGTTGTCGCGCAGCTGGGCTCGACTTTCCAGACGTGATCCTTTGCGATCTTTTCTAGCTGGAGCTTGTCCGAGACTTCCTTCGGCCGCATGGCTGTCCTCAGGTTAGCCCATTCCTGTGACACTGGCAGGCAGTATTGTATGATATCGCACACACCTCCTTGCAGATCCTGCTTGTTTGCAAATACCAGCAGCAGCGCATCCTTCATTTCTCGGTCCTGAATGATGCGCGCAAGCTCCGTTCGCGCCTCGTCGATGCGGTCGCGGTCGTTGGAGTCGATGACGAAGATGAGGCCTTGTGTTCCTGTTCGCGCGTCATATTAGCCCGCCATTCCCGATATGTATACGGGACTGCGAAAGAGGGGGATAAGATACGGAAGGCTGGTCGGGTGCAACTTGGTCTGCACTCGCTCGCCTACCCGGAACCGAATCGCGCCCCAACAACATACCAGAGAAGTAGTGTCTCCACAGCGGCCTGATCTTGTCCTGGCCTCCGACGTCCCAGACGTTGAACTTCGTATTCTTATACGTGACGGTCTCGACGTTGAAGCCGACGGTGGGGATCGTGGTGACGTCCTGGTCGAGCTTGAGCTTGTAGAGGATGGCTGTACCCATGCTGTCAGCAATTGCCTCTCTCCGCATCAGGTATGGAATGGAGGGGCATGGAAGAAACGCAGAGACGTACTCGTCTTCCCGGCAGCATCCAGCCCCAGCATCAACAGCCGCATCTCCTTGGATCCGAAGATCTTGTTCATCATTTTGGATATTGACGCGCCCATGGTGTCTGTCTGTATCGCGCCCCGCTATGTCAGAAGGACTGTGAGCCGTGTTCGACAATTTCGATCTCGCTCGCTATCGGCGTGCGGTGAGGAGACCAGGCAGTCGCGTCGACACGGTGTGCTGTGGGCTCGGCGCGGTATTCAGGACGCGTGCGTGATTGACTCTTGCGCGAGAGTTCTCGAGACAAGTCCGCTGGAAAGGGTGCAAGAAAAGCCGTTTCGGTCAACGGTCGCGTGGGGAGGGTGTGGGAATTTGAAGGGCGGGCGCACCTCCGCTGGTTTGAATGAGGTAGAGCTTCAGGGTGAAACAGGCCAGGCGCGGTGCAGATCGGGCAGCCAACCGAAGCCTCCGAGCGCCAACCACCAACGCTCTGAAACACATCTCGCTGCTCCCTCGAAAAGGGGCCAAATTCATACCCCATTGAAATTGCAAAGTCGAGTTTTTGAGTTAGGGAGCGCACCTGCAGCACAGCCTGCAGTAGTGTCTTGTCGTGCAACGAGCGGTTTGTGATACACGTCGCCGCTAGGGAGTAATCTAACGCTGCAGGTACGCGCGAGCTGCTCCTGAAGCTGGCAGCTGGCAGATGCGCGGTGGCACAAGGGCAGCTTTTGATGGCGCATTGGAGCGGTATTACGAGCCGGGATAATGAACATGATCAGGGGTCATCTGGAGCGTCGAAACAAGTGTTTCATGTGGGAGATAGATTCAGATCATTTATCAAATGTCGACTCATCGCATGCATGCCCCTTGGATTCGCCCAATGCAGACTTGCGCGCTGAAGCAAACCCTCCAACCCTCCGTCTATGTCGATGACGAGTACATGCAATTAATCAAAGACTCCCAATAGTTTGTCTCTGGAATCAAAATCCGTCACCGATCCCCCGCTTCGTCTCCTCGACCAGCCTTTCCAGGTTGTAGTCCCACCACCACTTATGGCTCTCCTCCTCGTGGTTGCCCGACTTCTCGTCCCACGGCTTCGGACTCAGGATGTAATGTATGTTCTTCACCTGGTCGTCCCTCCAGATCTGGGCATGTACGCCCTGGTGTCTCAGCGTCTTCAGCGCGTTGTAGATGTACGGTAGCGCAACCCAGCGTCCATGGAACACGTCGCCGAGCAGCGATTGGTCGGCGAAGTCGTAGTTTACGGATGTTTCGTGGGCGAGTTGGTCTGATATAAGCTGGTAGACCTCGGTGGAGGGATTTACGACTTGCAGGCCGCCGTTTGGCATTCCGAGGCCGAAGGTTGGGGAGGCGCCTTCCTTTTGTGCTATGTCCGGGGTATCGTGTTGCGAGGTGAATGCGCAGTTCTCGGGAACCCTGCGAATGCATCAGTGAGTCATCCACTACCTTTCTTAGAGCCGTGAATACCAGTTCTTCGGATAATGCGGCTTCTTGAGCGGATTGCACACGCAAGCATGGCTCGCCGCGAACACCCTCTGACCTTTCCCGCCCATGGTCGACGGATCCAGCTCCATTTCCATAAGCTCGTCCATGTTCTTCAGCACCAGCATGTCCGAGTCCAGCTGCACCACGCGGTCATACTCGGTCAATGAAAAGGGCGTAAGCTTGCTCCAGCAGTCGTAGAAGCGCGGATCGTTCGTGAAGTCCTTGTGCAGTTTTGGGAGCAGATACTTGACGTGCTTCTTGGGGATTCCGCGAGCCTCGAGCGCGGCATGGCCTTCTGGGGGGAACGTGTCGGTGTAGAGGGCGATGAGCGGGTACTTGGACTTGTGCTTCCTCAAGCTGTAGTCGAGTGTAAGGAGGCCGGCTAGGTACGCGGTATTCGTGATCAATGTCGTCCACACTGCGACTGCGTCGGTAATGGCATCTCCATGCTTGTCGCTAACTCACCTCTCTTGGAGTCGCCAGCGGGGTTGTCTTCCTGTGTCATGCTTGGTATCTACTACCCAACAAAAGTGAGTGGTGATGTGATAGGGTTAGTGCTGAGGGTTAGCAATACAGCAAATATGTAAACCAGTCATGGCGGCACAGGTGAGTGCCTGGAGTTGGAGTGGAGGGGCCATCGTTGCACGCATCCAAGACTCGGTGCCGAAGGAAGCCGATCTCGGAACCCCAGTCGAGATCGTCATCGCAGCTCTCGCGGAGGCTTGCGCTTTTCCGAATCTCGAGCTTCGCACGGTCAGCATGGGATGAACATATCCACCGCCCTCCTCTCCAATTCCCTTTCGCCCTCTTTCTAATCCTCCTCTCCACGACGGCTGGACAAATGCCGGCGATACTGACGACCGGAAGAGTGCACCAATGCCTGCGACGGCCGTGAAGAGCGAGGTCCCGCCGGGCCTCGTCGATGCCCCGGAGAGAAGTAGGCCGGAGAAGTCGCCCAAGAACTATCGCGGCTTCGTCGCAGGCGTCTTCTCAGGCATAGCGAAGCTCTCAGGTGCGCACCTTCTCCCGTCATTCTGGTTCCATACTAACAGCAACCGTAGTGGGGCATCCCTTCGATACCATCAAGGTCCGATTACAGACGACCGATAAGTCGCACTTCCGAGGGCCATTGGACTGTCTGCTCCAGACGTTGAAGAATGAGGGTGTGAAGGGCATCTACAAGGGCGCCACGCCGCCGCTGGTGGGCTGGATGTTCATGGACTCGATGTATGGTCCCGCCGGATAGAGAGGGTGTCGCGCTGACGTTGCGCGCAGCATGCTGGGTTCCTTGAGCGTATACCGGCGAGTCCTGAACGACAATATCTTCAATCCGAGACGAGTCGGCGATGAGCAGAAGAGGCTTCCGGTAATTGGGCATGCAATGGCAGGCACTATGGCGGGATGGACGGTATCCTTCATTGCGGGGCCGGTTGAACATATCAAGGCGCGGCTACAGGTGCAATATCAGGCTGAGAAGTCGAAGAGACTATACAGCGGGCCCATTGACTGCCTGAAGAAGACGGTACGTCCCTGCACATCACCGTGAAGTTCACTTCTCACACTACCATCACAGTTCAAAAACCATGGCGTCCGCGGCGTCTTCCACGGCCTCAGCGCCACTCTCCTCTTTCGCACCTTCTTCTGCTTCTGGTGGGGCACCTACGACGTCTTCACTCGCGCGTTCCAGAAAAACACCAACCTCTCCGCTCCGGCAATCAACTTCTGGGCCGGCGGTCTCTCCGCACAGATCTTCTGGCTCACTTCCTACCCGAGCGACGTCGTCAAACAAAGAATCATGACGGACCCACTTGGGCCTGAACGCAGGTTTCCCAGGTGGAGAGACGCAGCCAAGGCGGTCTGGAGGGAAAGCGGCTGGAGAGGCTATTGGAGGGGTTTCGTGCCTTGCTTTTTGAGGGCTTTCCCAGCGAATGCGATGGCGCTAGTGGCTTTCGAAGGGGTGATGAGGGCTTTGCCCGAGTGAGTATTTGGGCTGACGGCCTTGTCTTATTGACGTACCAGGGTAGACTCAGAAAAGAAGACATCGACATGGCAAATCTCGAGCACTCCACTCCCCTGCAATATACTCTCCCGCATTGCACGCACTGCGACTCACTAGGATTTGAAACAGAACAGCTCACACGTTTTCCGGCTTCGCGGCCGCTTACCATTTCTTCGCTCTGCTTTGTCCCGTTCCTTCAGCGGCCTTCCTGCTCAAGCAAACACGTGCATATAATGACTCCGAACTAGAGACGCCGTTGCACGGTTATCTTTTCGACTTGTTTGACTCATCCAGAAGGCTCGGCTGGCTTCTGGCAGTCTTTGTTGTCCTGGAGCTTCGCATGGGGGTTAGTGTCTCAGCGAGACCAAAAGGTCTTACGAGAAGGCTCACGGTACTCTACTGCGGCGTATATAAACAGATCGCTGAAGACCGCTGTGCCGATATCTTCCTCTAAGCGTCAAGATCTCGCGACTCCTACGAAATACAGCTATTCGAGACTGATTCCTAGGTCAACCCTGCAGTAATCTTCCAAGAGTCGGTCTTTGGACTACGCATCGAACATGTCGGGTAGAGCCAGCTTCGGTCAGCGTGGCCGTGGGTGTCGTGGGCGCGGGCGCGGAGACTTTCCTGGAGGACGTGGTGGAGGCTATTCCAATGGTGGTCGTGGTAATGGTAGGTTCTGTGACTACTGCAAGAAGCCTGGTCACGTTGCGGCAGATTGCTACAAGAAGATGAGAGACGATGGAATGCCAGTCGAACCAAGTCCAGGTAAGTCTACCCAACCCTCGGAGTTGATGTCACTAATAAAGGGTCTAGGCTCTCAGGGGCACCGTGGCATCGCCAGGCATCCGTATCAGCAGGAGTCCTTCACGTACACAGGGGATGCTTCTGATTCCTCCTTGGGACTGCCGGCAGCCACCGCAGCCCTGCAATGCGGACCGAACACAGGAGGGAACGTTACTGATCCTCGAGCGGAAGCGCGAAATGCGTTGATGAAGCTGGCATCCGGTGCCCCGACATCCGATAGGTTCGACTTTCCGGTGCGAACTTCCTTTCGTGATTCTGTCTCTCAAGTCCATACGAACCATTTCAGCATATCCGTTGATACAGAGACAACACTGTATGAGTATACAATTCTCGGTGCGCCAGCCGACAAGAGCAGGAGCAAGACCAAGGAACTAATACAAGCCCTCATCGCAAAGCGCTCTTTTCTCAAGAAAAGCAATGACTCTTTCGCGACCGACAATGTCTCCAAGATCATGTCTTGGAAGAATTTGCACGAGACGATAGAGTACCCGGTCATGGACCGCGGTGAAGATGGCAAGCCGCGTGAGTGGGGCAGAATCCCCGTTGGCTCGGGTGATAGGCCTGCTATGTTGCGCTTCCAGTTCACACGCGAGGTCAAAGTTGTTACGCTTCTGCAGTACGCCAATGCTGAGGTCAAGCCCAAGAAGGTCGAAACCTCTGAAATCGGCCCAGCGATCAACACTCTCAACATCCTCATATCGAGAGTCGTCACGAGCCAAGCTATTCTGCTCAGGGCGAACAAGTTCTTCGTCAAAAGTGGTCACCAACGGCTAGGAAGCGGGTCACTCTGCACAATCCGAGGTTACTTCTACACCACCAAGCCGGGTATGGGTCAGCTCCTACTCAATGTCAATGCTTGCACCAGTGCTTTCTTCTCGCCAATCCTTGTCAGCGGGTTTTTAAGAGATGGACTACCTTTCGAGATGAGGACGGCCGATACGACGCCCTAAGGGGCTTACATATGTACATCACGTATGATCGCAAGCACCAGGATCCGACGAGACAAGCGAAGTTGAACAAGGCTGAATCGCGCATCAAGACTGTCAAAGGCTTCGGTCAGCATACCTCGCAGCAAACCTTCGTCCCAAGACGACGAGATGGCCAGCTTGAGAGTCAAACTACAGTAAAGGCGTACCTTGAGAGCGGCGAGCGGTCACAGATGCATGGTTCCTCACGAGCTTCCGCCGACTATCTGTAGCACACGGTATTGCACTCAAGGATGGGGAGCTGAAGGCGGTGAATGTGGGTACCTGGGACCAGCCTGTTTGGTTCGCTCCAGAGCATCTGCGCATTCTACCGTATCAGATCTATAAGCGTCCTGTTCCGGATCATCTCACTAGAGGAATGTTGGATGTGGCTTGCCAGCCTCCCGAGCGAAGCAAAGCACTCATTCAAATGGAAGGCCTGAAGAACCTTGGCGTCGACGTAGCGACTGGGCTCGTGTCCCTTGTAAGTTCGTCATACACAGCTCGATAATGTCGCTAATCAATTCCCAGCCAAACTGTCCTCCAATCCATATCGATCCCCGCCTACTTCAGGTTCCGTGCGGTCGCCTGAATCTGCTGCAGCTCCGCTACGGAGGCAATGATTCCATCGACTTGAATCTGACCAAATCAACTCAGTGGAATCTGATCAAACGCCAATTTCTCCGCGTTAATCGCAAATCAACCTTCAACCTCTTTGTTTTGCTCGGCCCATACCTCACCCATGGCACATCTGATGCCTATCTCAAAGAATTCCATGAGGCCGCTGAGAAGTACGCTACCGGGATCTACAAAAGACGCGGTACCCAGCAGCTGACAGCTACCAATATCGACCAAGGTCTAAAAAGCGCCCAAGAGGCAAACGCCAACTTCGTGGTGTTGATCCTGAAGGAGAAGAACGTCGCCGCATACTCTGCCTTCAAAGACCTGGCTGATCGAAAGTACGACATGCATTCGCTCTGTATCACGGAGAAGCCCAACACGCAAGGTAGGAATCTGAAGACCAATTTGGGAAGCTATTTTGGCATCGTCATGATGAAGGTAAACCTCAAGTCGGGCGGAATCAACCACGCAGTCGAAGGCATCACCCTCCGGCATACTTTGGTGCTTGGTGCGGACGTGACACACCCCTCGCTCCTTAGGTGCCCCTCGGTCGCAGCCATTGTCGGTTCCGTCGAACCGTACGGAGGAAAGTTCCTAGGCTCCATGCGTCTTCAATCCAAAGACAAGACGGAAATGATCGATGATGTCCAGAGCATGGTCGAAGACCGGATAAAAGACTGATCCGATCACAACGGTGGAAGACTTCCGGGTAACATACTATATTACCGCGACGGTGTGAGCGAAGGCCAGTACACGCAGGTCAGGGACCAGGAGCTGCCGGGGATCGGAAAGGCTTTCAGTGCTGTGGCGACGCGAAAAGGCTTGCACCCTGTACCGGAGGTCAAACTCACCGCCGTGGTCGTCGCAAAGCGTCATCATGTGCGGTTCTATCCGATAGATCCCAGTGATGCCGCGCCTAGAAATGGTAACTGCATCCCCGGCACTGTCGTCGATACTGCCGTTACTTCGCCCTTCTACTCGGACTTCTACTTGCAGTCGCACAATGGGCTCAAAGGGACGGCTAAGCCTGCACATTACTTTGTCCTTAGGAACGAGATGGGGATTCCAGAGAAGGAGTTGCAAGATTTCGTAAGTGTGGATTGTTGCGCCCGTTTGAAGATTCTCTGCTCCCACAGCCATGGCTCTTTCTTTTCTTTCAGCATTCTCGCCTCCGTGCTGACAAACATCAGACTCACAAGCTCTGCTACACCTACGTCCGCGCAACCCTCGGCGTCTCCTACGCGCCCCCAGCATACTACGCCGACCGTCTCTGCGAACGCGGGCGATGCTACCTCCGTAAGTTCTTCGTCGCGGACAAGACCATGCGCGAGGAATTAGACAGAAAGAAGCGCGCTCTCGAGACGGAGAAGAAAAATGCGCGCCAAAACCAACTTCCCGCGACAGCGAGGCGCAAACGGCAAATGGCTGCCCAAGTCGGAGAAGGAAATCCAGCAGGAAGCTGATGATGCGAAAGAGATTGAGGAGAAGTGCAAGAAGGATACGATGGCGGAGGCGGCGAGGGTGTTTGGCGAGTATAATGGCGCGGAGGTGGGAGGGAATCCATGGGGGGAGAGTGTGGGGAGGAGTATGTTTTGGATGTGAAGGCTGAAGAGAGGTTGGGTTATCGAGGACTAGACTTGGAAGAGGTGGAATTGAATTTGCAAGACTGGTGCGCCAAGCTCGACACAGCATTCTACGTGGGTCTCTGCATTGTTGTTGCTTTGCTGCTTGGGATAGACTGGTTGTATTTGGCACACGCATGAATGGGTTGATTGAGCTCGTTGAGGTCGCAACTATTTGCCATATCGTTGCTGACCCACTTTTCCGACAGGCATTCCGGATTGAACAAGCAGGTATGCACGGGTTCTCTGCGCTCTGGCTTTTTGGTTTAGCTAACTGATTGTCAAGGTTTCTTGGCGAATTGCTCGTTGAGATTGCAACTAAGTGTTGTATTGCCGCTCACTGTAGTTTTCTCGAGGCGTTTAGAATAGTGCGATCAGGGGTGTATTGTTCTCTCTAGCTCTAGCTTTTTTTGTTCGTCTAACTGATTGTCGGGTTTTTTTCGGTGGATTGCTTATTGAGACTGCGATCTTTTGTCGTATCATCGCTCACTGTAGTCTTCTCAAGGTGTTCAGTTTAGTACAATCAGGTGCGTACCGTTCTCTCTAACCCCGGCTTTCTCGTTTATCTAACTGATTGTCAAGGTTTGCTGGTCGGTTTCCTCGGCTCTATTTAAAGAAGATGCTTCCACAAGCGGTTTTCGAGGCAACATTGAGGTACGTTTTCTTCCCTCTTGCTGCTTGCGCTAATGCACTATGATCAATCCCGCACCCCGAGATCCTGTGTTCCAAAGTATATGAGAATAACCAGCGCCATCTTCAAGATTTTTACCACCAGCTACGGGAGCTTTCGACCAGAGTCCCGTACTGTACCCCATCTTCCCGACAACTGGCTCCTTTGCATTCCCTGCAGCGAGATCCTTCCCTCCCACAATGGCGCCTCCACCAGCGCTCAGCAACAGGGAAGAGCAGTTCTTCAGAAAGAATCTCCACAAGAATCCGTGCGTCCGATGCGGCAACCAGAACCCAAAGTATCCGCATGCCTTGGTCGACTGCCCCAATACCCAGGCAAAATGCAGGGCTAAGGACACTATGTATGCGACCTTGAAGCCCGAGGGGAAGAAGCAGACTGCCGATGTTCTCATCAGGGAGATTCAGGAGGAGTATAAGGCTGATCAGAAAGCTCGGGAGGAACGCGAGGCTGCTCCGCGAGCTCGGCAGGCTCAGCAGGTTCAGCAGGCTCAGCAGAGCGCGACAAGGCAGCTGGCCCCTCGGCACAATGTCGCTGTGCCTACTCAACAAACTACCTTAGCACCGACGCTCCGACTGCGCGGGACTCCCGTCACAGCACCTCAACTGACTACTACCGTGGCGGGTGGTATGGCTCAACTAACTCTGGGTTCGGCGGGTCAATCGGGGGCTTCTCAAGCGCCTCAAATGACGTCGATGACGGCTCCTGCCTCTCAAGCGGCTGCTACCTACCCAGACATTCAGTACGAGAGAGTCACCTTGGATATGATCAATCCCCAGAGGGCACCGAGACAGAACGACATGATAAGGCTGGGCCGAAGCGCAATCCGGGATTCGATGGCCGGAGCTAAGCTCAAAACACTCGCTCAATCCAGTCTTTCATTGGATTTCCCTCTTCGAGAAGGCTTCTCTAGGGCCACCTCCACAGTCCTTACGAACCATTTCCAGATTGGCATCGCCAGGCAGAAAGACAACCCGCAGGCAACGCTCTATGAATACCGAATCTTACCTGCCTTGACTGGCAAGAGCAAGCGAAAGATCAGATCAATCATCAAGACCGCGATCGAGAACTGCGATGTGTTGAACACGAATGAGACGAAGTTTGCTACCGATTACTTTGACACCATCATCGCATGGAGCGACTTGCACACCGCCCTTCAGCAGGCAGGCCATCGAAAAATCGCCGGAGGCGGTGCCAGCGAGAAACCGGAATGGGAGTTGGTCACTCTCCAGGACGGACCAACCACCCTGCATCTGACCATCCGCTTCGAAGGTACCGTGGACCTCGCGAGCTTCATCGCGCACAAGAATATGGAGACTCGTGCAGACAAGTTCGACGTTCAACCCGTTGTGCGGGCCTTGAATATAGTCGTCTCGAAATGTTTCAATGAGCCGCCAGTCGGTACGGTTCCCGTTGGTGCCAACAAGTTCTACCGCAAAGACTCTCACATGATCCTGACTAATGGAAAACCTGAAGATAAAGGACTGCGTAGCTCGGACTCTCTTTGCACCTTGCGGGGATATTCTTACACCGTCAGTGCCGGTGTGGGGACAATCCTGCTGAACATCAACTCTGCTACGAGCGCTTTCTGGAAGCCTGTGCTTCTAAGTACGGCGATGACTGATTGGACGTTTGAGGATACCGACTGGAGTGTTTTCGAGGGAATTCTGAAGGGCCTACGAGTCTATATCACTTATCAGCGCGGAGACCCGAAAGATAAGGAAACGTACGACAGACTGAACAGTGAGCATGCTCGTGTCAAGACCATAGAGGGCCTTGGACTATCCGTCGAGAATCAGGCCTTCGAGAAAAACGGGCAGGAAGTGAAGGTCCAATACCACCTTGAGACAAGTGAGTTGCCCCACGCAATAGATTTGAACGCTCGCATTCTCATCTCGTCTAGCCTACAACATGACATTACAGTTTCCGTGGCTCTATGCAATCAACCTTGGAACACGACGTGAGCCGAACTGGTATGCTCCAGAACATCTGAAGATCCTTCCATACCAAAAGTACAAGGGTCTGGTGCCAGACTGCATCACCGGAGGCATGCTCGCGGAGGCTTGTCAAAGACCACCACAAGCTAAAGCTCTGATCGGAGTTGAGGGTCTTGAGACTATGGGAATTCCACGGACGGCCTCGGAGCAAGTGATGGCGATTGTAAGTCTATCGAATTATTTCTTCCCTCACCGAAGCTAATGAAATTCACCGGAAAGCCAAGGTGCCCTATCCTCCAGATCACGCCTGCCATGCTCAAAGTGCCCAGCAACAAATACGCGTTCCCCAACATCCAATACGACAACGAGACAATCGCCGGCAATGAGCGCTGGAATATCCGAGATAAACGACTGTACAGGCGCCCTGGTGCGACTTTCAATGTTCATGTGCTGGCAGACGACGCATCGCCAGCTGATGTCGCTAAGTGTATCAACAACTTGAGGGACTACGCTGGTCCGCCATCGGCCGACGGAAGGCATCAGAACTACAGTGTTGCAACGGTGGCTCGTACCGGTACTTGGAATCTGGAGCGTGATGACCTTCGGAACCGTAAGAAAATCGCGGAAGGCATGAACAAGATAGAAAAAGGGACCAATTTCGTTCTGCTGCTGCTCAAGAACAAGAAGCCTACGACGTATGCCTACTTCAAGGATCTTGCCGACCGAACGCTTAGCCTCCATTCCGTCTGTATCACTCAACGATGTCTCAGGCAAAACGTGGGCGAGAAAATGAGCAACATCGTGCTCAAATTGAACCTAAAGGCAGCAGGTAGCAACCATACCACCGCTACAGACGGCAAGATCAATAGTGTCATGAGGGATACGCTAGTCCTGGGGGCGGACGTTACTCACCCTGGTGTGGGCGCGATCCCAGGATGCCCTTCTATTGCAGCGATTGTTGGATCAGTGGATGCATGGGCTGGCCGATTCCTTGGATCTATGCGCCTCCAGAAAGAATCGAAGAAAGAGGTATGAGTCGCAATGCTCTCTCCATGTTTTGTGCGATCTCTCACTAATTTCTGCAGATCATTGACGAGGTGGAAGCCATGGTCCGCGAACGTATCAAGGATTGGGTCATCGAACAGAAAGGAGCCAGCAAGTTCGGCACCCTCCCCGCGAACATCCTCTATTACCGAGATGGCGTTGGCGACGGCCAGTACATGCACGTGAAGACTCTGGAACTGCCGCAGATCCGTGCGGCATTCCACAACGCCGTCGCAGAACTGAAGCGAGACAAGCATATCGCGCACTCCGTCAATCCCCCGGCCCCGAAGGTGACGGCAATTGTCTGCGCGAAACGGCATGGCGTCCGATTCTATCCGGTTAAAGACGAGAAGCCCGAAGCCGACAGGCATCAGAACTGTCATCCAGGAACCCACGTCGACGACGTCGTCACCTCTCCCTTCTTTACGGATTTCTACTTGCAGTCTCACGCCGCGATCAAGGGAACAGCAAAACCAGCACACTACTTCATGCTGGTAAATGAAATGGGGAGGAGCGTCGAGGATCTCCGTCTCTTGGTAAGCAGCCCATATACCTCTCCGTCTCTGAATGCCCAGTTCCTCTACTCCGTGCTAACACTAATGTCAGACCCACGAGTTATGCTACACATACGTTCGCGCCCCTATTGGCGTCTCTTATACAGCACCAGCGTACTACGCTGACCGCCTTTGCGACCGCGGACGCCAGTATCTCCGCGATATCTTCTACAAGACACCCAAGGGTATGGATGTCCGCGGAAACTTCGACAAGTTCAAATGGGATCTGGAAGATGCGAAGAGGGACGCCCGAGTTGCCAAATGGGGAGAAGAGCGTATGCATGGCGGAACAAAACGACCGAAGGGTCCTGGGGAAGTTGAGCAGGAGCAGATAGATAGAGATGAGGTCAAGAAGAAGTGCGAGGAGTGGACTATGGATTTGGCGAAGGAAGAGTTCTACATTCATGGTCTGGATAAGAACCCGTGGCATCCAAACATCAGCAAGACTATGTTCTGGATGTGAGGAAGTGTGGAAGGCGACAAGGTGAGGCTCGATTGACGGAGCTGGTGGTGGGTGCGAATCGACTGGGGAATGAGTTACGACTTCATGAATCTCCTTTCTCTGTTGTTCGATTGGCTGATAGATTTCCTTTGTTCGTATGTCTGTTTTCACATTGACTGTTCCTAGTGTCGCTTGGGTTAGATTGGCTCTTGCTCGACGTATCAAAGACTGTTGCTTTTGGCCCGCGATAGAGATGATTGCTTGGCTTTAGATTGGTCCATAGACTGAATGCACCTTTTCTTCCATACCTTCTTCCATGTCTTCCCTCCGCCTGACACTGCCTAGTACACCGTGGTCAAATTCCCAAACCATTCTTCAAACAACTCCACATGTGTGAGCGGCATCGCACCCCATCCATTACCCACGCGCTGCACAATCTGTTCCGCCCCCGTCTGCTCCCAACGCGTCAAGTTCCCGCCATTCGGATCGCCCGTCTTAATGAAATTCACCCAGTACGCATTCATCTTTTCCGCAATCGCATAATCATCTGCAGTCCACGGCAGATCGGTCCCATACAAGTTGTTGAGCACGTAGTTGATCTCCGATTCGTGGTAGGCACCCTGGGTTTGGCCGGGCGGCGCGTGGTCCCAGAAGTAGTTGTATACGGGTTGCTGGGAGGAAGTAGCCCAGAGTTGGCTCCACAACCATGTGCCCACGGCAGAGCGGTCGCTCCACTGTGCGTTGTATGCTGCGGAGACTGCCGCACTGCTGTTAGCACCTCCGTAGGCGGCGAGGAAGTCGTTCGCCCAGGATTCGTACGTGGTGTTAAGGTCGGAGAGGTATGTCGACGCAGATATGTTAAGACCGTACGACGCGCCGCTTTCGTCCTTGGTGTTGCCCGTCATGATGGGTACATCGTTCGCTGCGCCTTGTAGAAGCGATTCCATGTACGTGGTAGGCAAGGCGTAGTGATCGAGGACTGCGCCAAAGGAATCATTGCCCTGACCGGGAGGAGAGGCGGTAGTCCCGAAGGCAGAAAGCGGGAGCGCCCTAAGCTCCTCAAGTGATGTTGCATTGAGTCCTGAGACATAGCTGGATCCCTTTGCAAGAGCGGCATCAAGAGTGCCGTAATTTTCGGCGAGACTAGAGCACAGCGGATCTTTCGGGTATCGGACGCCGCTCTGAATGATGGCGCCTTTGATGAGGCCCTTCACGAGAGGGCTGTTGACGATGTGGTATGTAGCTGCAGAACCGGCAGACTGGCCCATGACAGTGATCTGGTCTGGGTCGCCTCCAAAAGCGGCAATATTTTCGTGTATCCATTTCACGGCTGCTTGCTGGTCGAGCACGGCCCAATTTCCGGAGCTGTTTGTGCCGTAGCTCGCGCTCATCTCGGCAGAGAGCCATGGGTGAGCAAGCCATCCGAGTGCGCCGTTGCGGTAGTTATAAGTGACATGGACGACCCCCTTATCCGCCATGCCGCCGCCGTCGAACAGCGCGTCTCCAGATGTTGACCCTGCTGGGTAGCTCCATATGGCGACAGGGAGCTTCGCATCCGTCGAATTCGCCGCGGTCCAGATATTAAGACTGAGGCAGTCCTCGCTCAAGGTGTGATCTCCGACCTCGCCCAGGGTGGCGGGGCATACGGGACCGAAATCTTTGGCGTACATAGTGGTATTCCATGCGGAAACAGGCTGAGGAGGCTTGAAGCGATTCGATACCGCCGTTGAGGCGGCATATGGGATGCCCTTCCATACGGTGATGTCTTGCCAATTATCGATGCCTTGGGTGCTGCCATTGAATGCTGGATAACCTTGCACATCTCCATATTTGGTACTGATCACTTGGTTATACAAGGCACCTTTGGCGAGAGAAGCAAAGGCGACGATGCCGCCTAGCCTGGCCGTAGCTAGAAACATGATATAAGAAAAGAGTGTGGAAGATGAGGAGCGTGAGGTTCGCTGAAGTCAAGCGAAAGAAGAGGACGCAAAGTCAGGTCCTTATCACTGAGAAGAAAGCATCACTCGGCCCAAGGTGGATACCCTTCAGGTCATTAGAACGCGCGTTTCGAAACATCTTCAGCTCTGCCGCTGTGATGAGTGATGCAATCACCGGACATCGCGTACCCATCTGCGGTAGTATCGATACTCGCCGATCCCTAAGGAGGAAATGCGCGACGTAGTGACCTAGGAGTCTGTACGAAATCGTTGTACAAGGCTTGCGTAAGCCTACTATATCGACCGGTTAATCAAGTTATGCTAGTCGCAGTCGCCGTAATGTCTTGAGCATATATAGGGGTCGGTAGGGACTTGAAAGACGACAAATTCATTGGGAGAGGATGGGGGTGACGATGCGTTTTTGAGGGTAACGCCAAACAAACGCGCCAGCCTAAAGCGGCTAGCGCCCATTAGCCCAATGTCCTTTCGCCTCAACATTCGTGACGACTTCGTCCTGTCGCCATTTCTCTTGACTGCAACTCGGTCAATCCTTATCGCTGTAGATCAGTATCTCGGATAACACTTCCCCACTCTTCTAGCACCCTCAACGTCTCCTCACATTTAGTCCTCAGCTCATCCGCGCAATCAATACCCAGCGGCATCCGTAACGGGATCTCCCTCCCTTCTGCGACACCCTCTCCTTTCACCAGGTCCAGAGTGATTTCAACCAGCTTCTTCGGATCCCCCGGCTGCGCTTGGTCTTCCTTCGCGAGCCCTTTCATCTTCTCGCTGGACATGTCGGCGTAGTCAGGAATCCTGGACGGCACGGCTTTCATGTTGCCGCTGGAAAGGAGATTGGTGCGAAACCGGCCTGGCTCGATCAAGAGGGTCTTAATTCCGAGAGGCGCGGTCTCCCTGTTAAGGGCTTCGACGATACCTGTTAAAGCAAGTTAGAGAAAACTGTGAGGATTAAGGCATGAATGGGAAGCTACGTACCTTCAAGAGCGAACTTGGACCCCGCGTAAGCACCGCAGGCATCGTGCCCCACCCAACCCGAAAGCGAACTAATAAACACCATGCACCCACTCTTCCTCTCCCTGAAATGTGGTAGCACCGCCTTAGTAACTTTTATAGTCCCGAAGACATTCGTGTCGAATTGCTTTACCCAATCCTCGTACTGCAAATCCTCTAGCGTGCCGATCTGGATGAACGCCGCGTTATTGACGAGGACGTCGACTCTGCCGTAGATGCTGATGGCTTTGGCGATCGTAGCGTCGATAGAGGACTGGCTGGATGTGATGTCGAGTTGAAGTGTGGACGCTCCAAGCTGCTCCAGGTGTGCAATTCTGGATAGGGTGCGTGCTGTGGCGATGACTTTGTCGCCTCGGGCCAGTATGCTGTGGACGAATTGCTGGCCGAAGCCGGAGGAACAGCCTGTTATTAGCCATACGAGTGGTGCCATTGTGATAGTGGGCGGGGCGTTTCTGAGTGGAGTGACGAGTTGATCCTTTAGCTGGTCGACAAAGAAGCCGACGATGAGAACATTGAAAGGATAGTTATACTTTTATATCGTACCGATGGGAGCGCCATCATGTCACTGCGTCCTGGGAGGGCGATGTACGGGTACGTGCAGCAGTCGATGCGAGCCGAATATTGATACTTACTCCGAATCATATCGGAGTGTCCGTAGGGCATTATTGAGTCACTAATGGAAGCGAAGGGCTGAAGAACGTTGGAAGGGTGGCATATGGTGTATTATCGCCTATATCCGTTTTGTAGTAGTCAGCGGCCTCGGCCGAGGTCGCTAAGTCCGCATATGCTCGCAAGCGTACCAGAAACACGAACATGACATGCTTTGCTCAAATAACGTGGCACACATTGGCCATGATTTCAAGGAAAAGTGAGGCGCATACTCTTGCCTGTGGAACGTCTCCAGGAATAGCTTTTCAAAGCTACAAGTAACACACGCTAGCATGTGTACGGCAACATACTGTGGTAGGATGGTAGACGATAGACGATAGATAGTGAATAGGCATTGAACTTCAACCTGCCTTTATTGAGTCGATTTCGTCTTGTAGTGATTTTCACCAGCCTTGAGAATCATCTTCCAAAGATCCAGCTCCTTGATCGAATCCTCAGCGCTCGTCTTAACGGGCTTCCCATTAACCACGCATTCATAGAATTCGAGCATTTCTAGCGTATACGGATCTTCGTAAGTTCTTCTGACGACGCGCTCGGAGAAGCCGTAGGAATCCTGCCCTGGTCTGCTATCGATCTTCTCGCGGATCGTTATGGTGACTGGAAGACCTTTGACGTACGGCGTGTCGTAGTCGACACGGACGATTTTGTCTTCGCCGTAGACTTCAATGTGCGCGTCAAACGTGGGTACGGCGTTGATACCGGACTCAAAAGTTACCGAGAACCCGTCGTATTCGAATAGTGCGCTGTATATGCCAGGGAGGCCAAGGCAAGCTCCCAGTACGGACTTGGGCATGCCGATTATTTCTCGCATCGCAGAAAGATCGTGAGTGTTCAGGCTGTAACACGGTTAGTGCTATTAAAGTGGCATGCGGTAAGTGTGTTCTACCTTCCAAGCATTCGCAGCATCTTTATCGACTCTTCCGTAACGGCAACCCCGAATTCATCTCTCAGCGCAGTTTCTACGATGTCCTTCTCGCGTTGCGCTCTTAGCTTCTTATCTCCGTCTGTAAAGTCGGAGAATAGCCGCGGATAGGTCGTAGATTGAGACACGAAGTTCGAATTGGGTCCAATGATAGCTCTTACACGCGCGTAGAGGATGGGACCCATCTTCTTCACCTCGTCCACAGCCTCGAGAAAAGCCGGCGCGTACCTACGCATAGTACCCACAAACACCCTGCCTTTCGATTCTTTTTCCGCATCAATCAAAGCATAGACGTCCCGATAGCAGAGAGCAAGCGGCTTCTCAATAAGACACCACTTGTCATATTTGAGGGCCAAAATTCCACATATGACGTGCGCCTCGTCGCCATTGCAGATCAGCACAACATCCACGTCAGGCGATGAACACAGTTCCTCCGGATCGGTTGTCGTCTTTGGTACTCCGCCCTGTACCATTTTGGCGCAGTGGCTGAGCGCATCGTGTGAAGCGTCGCAGAGGTATGTCGTTCGGAATTTGGTGTTGAGGAAGTTGTAGATAGGGATGTGTCCGACTTGGGCGATCTCGCCGCACCCTATGATGCCAACGCGGAGTATCTTCGAACGCATTTTGGAGTGAATGGATAAAGACAGTCGCAAAAACGGGACATGATATGAAGGTATCTCGCAGGAAATTCTGTCGGAATCAAAGCCGCGTTTCGGAAAGGTGACTGAGTCAGTGCCCCACCGCGCTAGCGCCGCATCCGGGAACACATGACTTCGCAATGGCGCTTTAGCTCCGAACGGGGAATGCCGGCAGCTCCTTTGACTTCCGACATCCCACTTCTCATTGCTTTCATCCGACACCGCTGCCTGCCTTGACTCTAAGCGCGTTATCACGCGAGATGCAGTCTTTGCAACTATCTGCTGTCCCACGCAGCCTGGTTCCGAACACGGATCCGAGTCCAGACGACATCCCGCCCGATCCGGAGTCCTCTCCGCCCAAAAGGAAGAGAGATTCCGGAAGAATGGCTTATCCGAGGAAGAGAGCTCTAAGGGCATGCGAAGCATGTCGGAAGCGGAAGATCAAATGCGACAATCAAAGGCCGACATGTGGAGGATGCAAAGACCTCGAAATCGAGTGCAATTTTGGCAACGGCAAGAATGACCGTTCCACGTGAGTCAGTCTTTGCACGAAGATAGACCGGTGCTAATACTGTTGAGAGGTATGATTCTGCCAGCCTAGAAATACTGGAGAAGTTGGACTACGCTGTAGGGCTTCTCGAAGCAGCACGTGATACAGCATGTGATACTTCCATCACCCTTCCAATTCATCCTCAAGCTCGCCAAGCCAGCCCCGTAGTAGACGAAAACATTCTTTACCCGAGTGCTCAACATCATCCGACTCCCGGATCGTTACCATGGTCAGAAGACAACGTGAAGGGCGACGCTGAGATCCTGCTCGAGTCATTAGAGATTGCAGGGCGGAACCCTCAAGTAAGTGAGGATATCTTGGACTGGGCCATCTTTCAGGGAAAGTACGACAGATCGAGAACGGAAGTACTCATCTTCAATCCTCGGCAAGAGACATATGGTGACGAGACGGTTGCTACAATTAGCTCGGATGCGGTCCGAACAGCATCACCCGGTAGGGGAATTCGGGAGGAAGACGTCCCTAATCTCATCGATACTTTTCTGACGAACGTTCACATCAAAAATCCAATTTTGGATTCGGACGACATTAAGCGGAAGGGTAGAAGGACAGCGGAACATGGCTTCGGATGGGATGCGGCATCGTGTCTCGTAGTGCGTTTGCCTTTTCCCCCGACAGCCTAATGTACTGACAGGAAAGCTCATCGTATGTGCTCTTGGGAGCATATCATCGATCTTCGACCCACAGCCAGTTACACCAGCCTTAGCAGACGACCTGAGCAGCGTAGCCGACACTCCCGAGTACTCGACGGCTGAGAGTTATTATGTTTCTGCTCAGAAACGCATCGGCCTTCTTGAAAACTCCATCATAACGACCCAATGCTACTTCTTGTCCGGTGTCTATGAGATGTATTCTATGAGACCCTTGAAGGCCTGGGCGTCCTTCAACCGAGCTTGCGTTTCCCTGCAGATCTATCTCAGAGGTCAGCCTCAGCGCAACTTCATCAGTTCAAAGGGTACGTATGTCGCACAACACACTCTAGCATATGTTAGTTTTTAACTGCAGAAAGCTCTTCCGAGAGGCTTTTAGCAGGTAAAGACCTGAGATATGCCAGAGTAATCCCTTACTAACTTAAGACACCTGCTAAGTGTACCACTACCTTTGTAGGTCTGGAGCGCAGACTCTACTGGTCGTGTTTGAAGTCTGAATGGTAAGCGTCATCTCAAGATTACCTCATTCTATAGGGCTCATGCAGCGCAGCGAGATCCGTATGGAGATTAACCTTCCGCCTTCCGGCCTCGCCAAAGTCAACTATCCCGACGTATTCCCAAGCCCGCCTGCTTCCAGCCCGGTCCTGTCCGATGCACTCCCACGGGGCATGAGCTCTACCGTCCATAAGAACTCATTTGCCGCAAACAGACTAGAGCCGGATACCGAGCTCATTTGGTGCTATTACATCTCTGAGATTGCAGTACGCAGGATTGGTAACCGCGTGATGAACTGTTTCTACGAGCAGGACGAAACGTCTTGGCTCTCCATGCCTCCACACCGGATGATCCGAATCGCCGAAGAACTCGAACTGCAGCTCACCCAATGGTAAGTGTCTCCATGTATGGCCTCTCCACCAGGGCATGCTTGAACTCTCATGTCCACCCTCGCAAAAGTCCTCGTGGATACCTTCAAGTATCTTAACAAAGCCACATCTACTTCACCAAAACTTCTCCTAGCAGGAACAGTACACGCTCCACAGCACTATCTCACTTCAGTTATGGACACGCAATGCAGAGAGCTCTACCAGAGCTAGCAATGGGCGGCACCGAGCTAACAACTCCCAGGTTTGCAAACCTCCCCGAAATCCTAGCGCCCACTGCTAGGGAAAGTACGCATGATCATCTCGTGAGGGAGGAGCTAAAGTTCATGCTTCATCCACGGCTGCTAGATTTCCGTGAACGGATATACCGCCCTTTTCTCTATCTTTGCCTATATCACCCCCCAACAGACCCAATCCAAGAAACATTGGCGCCGTACGTTCAAAGACATGTCCAAGCTTGCATTAAGGCGCTACTAAGAGGGACACCTCGCCATCGCCACCACGGTACATGGTACGAGAACCGCGGTATGTTCCTCAAAAGCCTGCTGCTGGTTGCAGCTGTCAAGAGCCGGAAGATACACGTCGCAGATATTTGGCGGGAATGCGTTCAACTCTGCCTCGCCGGATTCAAGTTCTGGGAGCAAGAGGCGCCTGACCTACGAGAGGCAAGATTTGTGCTCGAAAGTCTACTTGCTGAGCTAGATTACTCCTAGTCGTCTACCGGAAACCGCGCCCCTCCCTGCCGCCTCGCTTCGTCCATCATCTCCATAACGCGAATGGTCTCGGCCCACGGCATGACCGCGCTTTCTTTCCTTCCCGCGGCGATGTCATGCGCTATTGCATCCGCCTCCCAGAACAGCCCAAATCCGGGATTTGCCACAGTATACCTCTTGCCCTCCGTTGTTCCCTCGTCTTTGGCGTATATTGTAAAAGCGGACGGGCGCGAGGCGGAAACGCCTTCAACTGTAATATAGCCGTTTGTACCTTCTATCCGACAGAAAAGGTCGGGAGTCTTGAACATGGCGGTAGACGTGCAGATGGCTTGTCTACCAGTCGAAGGGTAGTACAGCACCACCGTCGAAGCCACATCAATCGAATCGAATAGCGTCTGTACCGCCTTTATTACCGGCTTCTCCGCCTCTTCGCCAACCTTCGCATCCAATGCCAACAAGCCCCATGTCAAGCTGTAGATGCAAATGTCCAGAAGTGTACCGGCTCCTAACGCCGGATTTCTCAGGCGCGAATCTGGGCCCAGAGACGCGAAGTCCTGGTCCAGGCCGAGATCAGCGAACACTCTGTGGACGCTACCGATAACATTCTCCTCGTGAACGAGTCGCTGCAGCTGCTGCACTAGCGGAAAGAAGCGCGTCCAAAGAGCCTCCATAACGAAGACGCCTTTGTTTTCCGCAGCCGCAAACACCTCCTTCGCATCCCTGGCATTTAGGGTGAAAGCCTTCTCACAGAGGACATGCTTTCCCGCCGCAATAGCAGCGAGACAGTTCTGCTTGTGGAATGCGTGCGGTGTGCCGATATAGATAATGTCGACGTCCGGGTGATTGTAGACTTGCTCGTATCCAGCATACACCTTGGGGGCGGGCAAGACGTCTGGAATCCACTGCTTCACGAAAGCTTCGCCTTTTCCTTGAGAAGAGGAGCCGATAGCAGCGATCGTGTGCCTAGCTTTCGCGTCGGGGCGGGATAGGGAAAGGTCTCGAACGAACCAGGAGGATATCTGGCCGGTGGCGATTATGCCCCAGCGGAGCGTTGGCAATGATTCGGATGACATTTCCAGGACAGCCTACAGTCCAACGTGCAGCCATAGATGCCCTTATACCGATGTCTCTAAACAGCCCTTCCGGTCGGAGTGACTACCACATCTTCGCAACCAATAATGTCACGAACTGATGCAGGCCCAGTCTCCCCGATTCGCTGTTCCTTGGCGTAGATACATCTTCCCGCCGCCTTCCGTCAGCCGCGGAAAGTGGCGAGCACTGGTGCACTTCGGGCCGAATCTGGGTGTCAATGAACAACGGCTGTGGAAATAACTCCCAGTCTCCCCGCAGGGGGTTAGCGTATTTCCACATCTGGCTCGGACAATCTCCCCGCACGACTCTTCACTAACTCCGATGACTCTTGGACTCTAGGCCGCACACAGGGCAGCGTCCAACGCGCACACAGGGCGCGCTCCGCACACGTGAGAGTGCGATGGTTTCCCCAGATTCTACCCCCGGATTCCATGCGCCAATCAGATGTGCCTTGGGCAACCATGGCCACGGGCCCTTTTCCATGACTCTCGACCGGATTCCTGGGAGCATATAAAGCAGGTCGAAAGTCCGTTTCCATCGAACGTCCATCACTACTACAACCGTCGAATTGACTGTCTGTGTCTCCAAGATGGCCCCGCGAACTGGCTCTGTGCCTGAGGATCTCAAGAAAGATTATGTGGAGCACATTGAGGGCAGAGGACCTGTCACACACGACGAGTACTCTCGCAATGTCAACGCGAAGTAAGTCAGCGCTCGAACCTTCATCTGCTTGCCGGGAGTCCTTTAGAGTAGGGTCAAGACGCTGAACGCCGTGCGCTCCGTCCCCTGAAGGCCCCCAGCCACCCTTTTCTGCAGGCCGATTTCAACCATCTTGTGGTCCGACTTTTGGGAATCTGCCGGCATACACTGCACCTTGCTGACCGATCTCGGCAGAATCATCAACCCCTTGGGTGGCATTGCAAAGCCGGAGCTCTTGAACCAAGTCTCTCGATTCTGCGAAGCCTACGGCCTTCAAGACAAAGAAAGCACGTTCCAGAAAGGTGCCCTCGTCGCGCAGAACCCCGACTTCGAGAACGTCCCAGAATTGGATGAGGATGACAAGTACCACCTTCGCCGCGAGAATACGCGTACGTCGTCTCCACTCGGCTGGGCCTTCCTTCGTTGTGGACAGCGCTAACACGAGGCGAAGACAAATGGCACCTCACTAAGGATCTATATTTCACGATTGCGGTGTGTTCGCTCGGATCCGCTATACAGTACGTCTTTTCTCTGCAGTTTCTCACTCCTGTCCGCTAAAATGTGTTAGGGGTTGGGACAACACCGGAGCCAACGGCGCGAATCTCTCCTTTCCATTGGAGTTTGGTATTGAACACAACGAATGGCTCACTGGCTTTATAAACTCAGCCCCGACGATTTTCGGTCTCTTCAGGTATGTGTGTAGTCTAGCATGTCTTCTTTGGTTTTACCTGTGGAAAGCTCCTCCTGGAGACCTTGGGCAGGCAAAGACCTGAGGCATCTGCCAAGGGTACCGCCACTCTTTCCGCCGCTGCTCTCAAAGGGACTCTCATTTAACCACCGTTTCCAACAGTGCATGGGCAACTGATCCTCTCAACAACTGGCTGGGCCGTCGTGGGGTAATCTTTGGAACCGGCCTGTTCTGCGTCTTTCCAGTTCTTGCGCAAGCCTTCTCGCAGAACTGGTGGGGTCTTCTTATCTGCCGCGCGTTCATGGGCATCGGTACGTGATCCATCTCCCAGAGCGACAGTGCTAATTCTGGTGTGCAGGAATGGGGATCAAGATCTCGACTATTCCCATCATGACTTCCGAGTGCGTACCAGCTATTATCCGCGGCGGCCTCGTAATGAGCTTTCAGCTATGGGTGGCCTTCGGTATCTTCATGTACAGACGCTCCATGAACATCCGGATGAATGCAGATACTGACATGGTGCAGTGGTTTCTGCTCCAACCTCATTTTCTACCGCATCGGCCGCCTTGCATGGCGTTTCCAGCTCGCTGCAGCTTTTGCGCCTGCCATTCCGATTCTAATCTTCATCTGGTTCTGCCCCGGTACGTTCCTCGATCCCATCTCATTGTGGATCATCCCTAACGCACTCCTCTTTCAGAATCGCCCCGTTGGCTCCTCAAGAAAGGACGCATTCAAGAATCCTTCCACTCTTTCTGCCGCCTCCGCAACTCCGAAATCCAAGCGGCTCGGGATCTGTATTACGCATACTGTCAGGTCAGGGAAGAGGAGAGTGCGTTCGGAGGTGCTTCCTTCGCACGACGTGCTTACGAAGTGTTCACTGTGCCTCGACTGCGGCGTGCCACACTCGGTGGTTTTATCGTAATGACGGCACAGCAGTTCTCCGGTATCAACATCATGGCATTCTACTCGTCGACCATCTTCGCAGAAGCTGGGTATACTACGCGTCAGTGTCTGTTTGCGAGTTTCGGTTTTGGCTTGGTCAACGTAAGCACGATCTAGTTGGAAGCCTAGGTGTATCGGAGCTAATACACTCACAGTTCGTCTTTGCTTTCCCAGCCATATGGTCGATCGACACCTTCGGCAGAAGAAACCTCCTTCTCTTCACCTTTCCTAACATGGCCTGGTGTCTCCTTGCAGCAGGAGGCTGTTTCCTGATGCCCGTGGAATCCTCCGCTCGCGTACCACTCATTGCCTTCTTCGTATACCTCTTCACGGCATTCTACTCGCCTGGAATTGGGCCAGTGCCGTTCGTCTATGCCGCTGAATGCTTCCCTCTTTCCCACCGTGAGATTGGTGTCGCCCTTTGCGTGGTCTGGAACAACACTATTGGGAGTATTCTGGGCTTGACATTCCCAAGCATGCTGAGGGGTATCACCCCAACGGGTGCTTTCGGTTTCTACGCCGGTCTGAATATGCTGGCTTTCGTCGTCATTTTCTTCGCGTTGCCGGAGACCAAGTATGACACCCTTTTTCTCATTTCGTCACCCTTCCTACTTCCTCAGTCGCGATTGGACTGGACAGCATGCTGACGAACTCATAGGCAACGCACTCTTGAAGAATTGGATTACATCTTTGGCGTTCCAACGCGTAGACACGCGGGCTACCAGGTCCGCACCTATCTACCCTGGTGGACCAAGCGCTACGTGCTCTTCCAGAGGAAGGCGCACTTGGAGCCATTGTATCATCTCGAAGGGTTTGAGGGAGGCACTCGGGTTGAGGCTGTTGCCGCGCATTAGAGTGGGCTGCCAGACTGGGTGGGCGCGCCGCAGAATGGTGTTGTGTTTCGATGGCGGGGTTTTTGTAACTAGTCTTCTTCGTGGAGAATCAGATGTCACGACAAGAGTATATTAGATGAAGCGCAGAAGAAAGTAATTTGCACTCGAAAGAGCTCCGAGACAGACGTGATGACGTAAGCAGCGCTTGGCGAGCTAATCCTAACCTCGCCTCGGCGCGTTCCAGCCTCCACGCGAATACAACCATCGGTCTTTGTATCTTAGTCGGGAACCGTCACTAAGTACATTCTGTATCAACTCCTATTGCGTCCACTTTCGCTGCACTGCTCTCGACTAGGCGTCAAGAAGTCCTTCGACGCAGGGCCCAACTGGAGAGAGAGGGCTTCCCGCTGTCGACGTGTTTGGAAAATTAAAAGCGTCAACATGCCACGGTCGTCAAAACGCAAAGCTGCCGGAATGCCCGAGACATGCCGAGTCCACGATAAACGACAGGCGCGTGGGAGTAAGATCTCCCGCGAGAAGCAGGCAACGGGATTAGACAGCCTTCCGGACGAGCTTCTCCTAGATATCCTGGATTCCTTCATCATCCACGGCTACTATGACGAGAGCCGAGTGCGCGTCTTGTACAATCTCTGCTTGACCAGCCGCCGACTGTACCGTCTTGCCACACCTTACATGTACGCCATCATGGACAATCTCCGCGCAGATCCCGGCAAATTCCTTCGATCACTTATCCAGCAACCGGAAATGGCTCAGAGCCTGAGGTATCTCAGCTGGGTCGACGATCACGCTGAGCCGTACTTCTGGGATAAGAGCAAGAAGTACGTGCTCTCGCAGATCGAGCGTCGAGCGCTGTGCAGAAAGGCCGAGGAGTTCGAGCTCATAAATCCCCGACTATATGCGAGAGGATTCCGGCAGCAACAGCCTCGGGACCACCTCACGGCGCTGCTCCTTCTCGCTCCCAATATCAGACGCTTAGAAGTCGCAGATAGGAATGTCTGTTGCTATCGGAGAGGTTACCCTACCCCGCCAATGTGGATCAGACTCCTCGGGGAGGCTAGATTTGCGGTGTCTCCGCTTATCTCTCAGCACTTCCAGCATCTCCGCTCCCTCCATCTGCACATGGGGCCTATCAAATTCATGCACATTGTACCCATATTGGGCATCCCGTCTCTGCGCCTAGTTGTGTTGGAAGAGGTCTTTCAAGTCGTCCCGGTAAGCTCCAGGGCCATGGAACATAGCATACCCCCACAATCCTCGCGGATCGAAGAATTTCACTTCGAAAATTCCTATATCGGCTCGGAGACTGTGGCCCAGCTTCTGCGTTCCTTCCGAGGCCTCCGGACGTTCGTTCTCGCATTCGATAACTTGGAGCGAACTGGTGCGTACAGATCATACGAAGGCCATCCACCGCGGCTACATTACCCTACACTTGCAGAAGCGCTCCTCGAACACAAGGACACATTGGAGCGCCTCGTCATTGAGGAGGACACCGATTGGGACCTGAGGGATATCTACCAGCTCAATCAAGGGAGTCTTGGTTCTTTGCGTGATATGCATAAGCTCCGGTCTCTCCAGACTGGCCTTGACTCATTTGGAGCCTTTGAGATGGACGAATATGGAGCGTGGTTCCCAACAGAGCCTACGAAACTGTCAGAAAACCTACCACTAGCAGTCGAGCGGGTAGAGCTTAGCATCGAGGAAGAATTCTACGATGAATACGAGAAGTACTGGAGAAAGAGCTTGGATGATCTAGCTCAGTCATGCAGGTCGAATTTGCCGAATCTTAAGAAAGTCAATATTCGGCGAAAGTTCGTCGACGGCATGTGGATAGATGAATGGTTGACGAAGATCCGGGACAAGTTCGCAGAGCAAGACATTGAGCTATGGATAATGAGGGACGTAGAAACCTTCGATTACATCCTCGACTATTAGCGACTCGCTACAACGCAACCGCGCATCTCCTCTGATTCGTTCCCTAACGCCTACCCCCTGTCCGCTTTAGATAGTAGCTCCATAGTCGCTCCTTTCCAGTAATGCGACGCTCGGTGATGCGTCCTCATCTTCTATACAAGCAGTCATTTTGGGTAGTGTGATGTTTCGCTTCTCTCCCCTTTGCGAAACTTGGTCGTTAGACTTCAAGTAGCAGCACTACACAAGCAATAAGGCTGTAATTAATAAACAACAACGATTACCAGGGTTCTACGAAAGTGTGTAGCGGCCCAGGTTCATCATCGAAAGCACGAAAACCCAGAACTATTTACATCAGGCTGCTTGCCACACTAGACCCCCTACCAGGCCAAACCCGTCGCTCGCATCGCTCCGAATAAACGCTTACCGCAACGGCCCCAGATTGCACCGAAAGAACCGCAGGCTCGAAATCGGAGAACCCCGCCGCAAGCACCGCGCGCGCTGCCGCAGCAACCCCTCATTTCGACCCGACCCCACCATGCCACACACAGGGCCGCCGACGCGGTGCGGTCCAAGTAGCAGCGATGGTCGCCCCGTCCGGCCGCGCGCGACCTCAGTTTTTCTTTCTTCTTCTAATTGACCCTGTTCTCCTTTCTGTCGCGTAATCTGAGTATTAGCACTCTCAAGATGTCAGGTAAGTCGGTACGGTACAGTGCAGCACAGTACAAGCTCCATAGCACAGCATCCTCGCCCGCTCCGCTTGACAGACGGACAGACAGCTAGACTAACAGCTCCAACAGCCAAACACTTCATAAACGACCCCACGCACCTGGTCAACACAGCCCTGCTGTCGATTCCGCACACCAATCCGGCGGTACAATGCGACATCCAGAACAAGATCATCTACGTCTCCCCGTCCGCGCTGCCCAGCCCGCAAGTCTCCATCATCAGCGGCGGCGGCTCCGGCCACGAGCCCAGCTTCGCGTCCTTCGTCGGGCCCGGCCTGCTCGCCGGCGCGGTAGCGGGGACCATCTTCGCGTCGCCGTCCGCAGAGCAGATCCGGCGCTGCATACTGCACCGCGTCGACCGGCAGCGCGGCGTGCTGGTCGTGGTGATGAACTACACGGGCGACGTGCTGAACTTCGGCATGGCGGTGGAGAAGGCGCGCGCGCAGGGCGTGGCGGTCGATATGGTGGTTGTGGGGGACGATGCGGGCGTGGGGCGGGCGAAGGGCGGGAAGGTGGGTCGCAGGGGCATCGCGGGGACGTGCTTGGTGCAGAAGATTGCGGGCGCGCTGGCGGCGAGGGGGTGAGTCTGGACTCTACCTACCATAGGGGGGATGTGGAGTGGAGCGGATTGCTGATGTAGTGGTGTAGGGCGAGCTTGAAGGACGTGTCCCGCATAGCGAAACTGACCGCGGACAACCTCGTCTCGATCGGGTCGTCGCTCGCGCATGTCCATGTCCCCGGGCGCAGCGTGGCCGAAGGCGGCGACGACGAGCTCGGAGAGAGCGAGGTCGAGATCGGAATGGGCATCCACAACGAGCCTGGCTCCGAGCGGAAAACGACCGATCTGCCGGGCCTGGTGAAGACGATGCTCTCGCACTGTCTAAACGCGTCAGACAAGGACCGGAACTTCCTCGACATCTCGGGCAAAGATGACGTTGTGCTGCTGGTGAACAATCTGGGCGGAGTTAGCGTCCTAGAAATGGGAGGTATCACGAACGAGGTCGTTGAACAGCTAGCCAGTGACTGGAACATCAAGCCGGTGAGAATATTGTCGGGCACTTTGATGACTAGCTTGAACGGTCTTGGCTTTAGCATCAGTCTGTTGAAGGTGACAGATACCGGTCTGGGTCAGGGGTCGTCTATGCTGGAGCTACTTGACGCGCCTTCAGAAGCAAGCGGATGGTCTGCGGCGGTGAAGAGCGACACATGGTCGAAACGGGGACAGTCCACAAAGCAGGAGGAGCATGATGGTGTGGAAGAGGTGCCTTCTAGTAACCTAAGGAGTGAGTTTTCCTTCGAGTTCTTGGGTTATAGGCTGGCTAACGTAGAGTTAGTGGATCCCACATTTGCTAAGTCAGCTTTGACGACAGCGCTCAACAGACTCATTGTCGCGGAGCCGGATATCACGAACTACGACACAATTGTGGGCGACGGAGACTGTGGTATTGGCCTGAAGCGCGGTGCTGACGGTACGTCATATTCGATTCATTGTTTTCCAGCCGCTGACGCAAGGTAGCGATTCTGAAGATGCTGGAGAAGTCGAAGAAAACAGAAGATCCCCTCGTTTTCCTGCACAACATCATCCAAGTCGTTGAGGTGGCCATGGACGGTACTTCAGGCGCCATTTATGCCATCTTCCTGAACGCGCTGGCGCACGGCATCCGTCAGAACTCTTCCTCCTCGGCACAGCCAATCACTCCCGAAGTCTGGGCTAAGGCTCTGAGTACATCTCTTGAGTCGCTGGGCAAATACACGCCAGCAAAGCCAGGCGACCGAACGTTGATGGATGCGCTATATCCATTCGTCGAGACACTCTCAAAAACGGGCGATGTCGACTCAGCAGCGAAAGCGGCGGCAGAGGGAGCGCAAGGCACAAAAGGGATGAAAGCCAGTTTGGGACGGACGGTATACGTCGGCGGCGAGGGGTGGCAGGGCGTTCCAGATCCAGGCGCGCATGGCCTCGCCGAGCTCCTATTGGGTCTGAGCGAAGGATTGAAGAAGTAAGATATGGTTTGATTGACTGACTGCTGATTCATTCCGCCATTCCGCCTCCGTTATGTAAATTTTAGGCCCTCAAAACTCCATGTCGTAATTCAGACTCATGACACCCAACTCTTCGTGCTAACAGACCCTTTAACTCAACAAGACGAGGATCACGGAGTCGCCCCGCAAGAACCTGCTCACCGATTAGCACTACTGATACAATGAGCGCGTGACCTTGACCTTGAATGACTCACATTTTGCTGATGAAGCGATCCTTGTTGACCTTTCTGCCTAGCTGCCCGTTCGCCAGCCGCGGCGTCTCGGTCCACATCTCTTTCGCGTTCTCCAGGACCATGTTGCAGTGCCGGTCGAAGGCCTTGACGCGGGCGAGCAGCTTGCGGTTATTGCGGCACGATATGAGGACCTGTGTGCGGGTGCGGACGGCAGTCTGCAGGATGGACAGCGGGCCGGTCGTCAGCTCGTGCTCTTCGACTTGGGCGACTTCGTATTCGGTCAACTCGGATCGCGGCTTGGAAAGGAGCTCCCTGCAGGTGGTTAGCAGTCTGAAAGTTTTGCGAAAGGATGCACTACACACTGAAGCTTTGCGTCGACCATTTTGTCTGCGGCGATGGGCTGGGGGAGCGGTATAGAAGTCGAGCGGCTGTGGCTGTAAAATATTCGATTTTAGCACAGGTGGGCGCACCGAAGGAGGATAATGTCCGGTCGAGGTGAGGCACAGACCGCAGAGGTTGACTTGTTCTGTATCTGAGCGCAGGACACCACAGCAACGAGGGCAGATAGGGAGTTTTCGCCGGCGGGTGGAGGTCGAGCAAAGACGTGAAGTGAGGGAGCTTGCCTAGAATCGCGCTACGGCGGTACGTTTAGCCGATGCGAACCAATGAGAGCGCGTTGTGCCCGCTTATGTCACCATCGCGGATCCTAGCTCCAACATCCAAGCTCGAGCATCTTGAACGCAGCGAATTCGCGATTGCACCCTCACACGACACGCTCTTCCCGATTTTTCGCGCCCGGGTGCCCGTCGGAGCTTTCACACATGTTGTAGTATAAATATTCCCCGCATTCTTTCCGTCAATCGCTTTCCGCGCTCCGCTGTCGCTTTGTTCTCGTGCACGTCGAACGCGTCCGCGATGATCGCTCGCCAGCCACCGATCGCGATAACAGCAGGACATCACTGACCACCTCCCTTTCTAACCACACCTCCGCAGCTCTCACCACCACGTCTACACCACCGCCTGCCCTCTCGTCAAATATATGGGCAGCCATGTCAGCGCCGTCTCGTAGTCCGGAGGATGCTGTTCAGCATGTCTCCCCTGACGCTGGCGCTGACGGCATGATGGACATACCGCGACGACTCATGCGAGGCAAGCAACACTGCTACCACGGATTGTGCTTCTCTAACCTTTACTCTGTATGCAGTTAAGGTGCTCTACACGTTCGATGACCAGAACAAGTCGAATTGTCTCGCCCGCCTACCCAACGCACTGAGCATACCGACCGTCTCCCTGGACGAAACCACTCAGGTCGGAGTCATAGAGCTGAAGACATGCATCCAGGCAATTGTTTCTGCCAGGTAGGCAACCATGATGCTGACAAAGCCCGATTATAGCACAGGCTCACTCAATGTTTCCAGTCCCGAACTCGTTGCAAAGCTCGGCCACGACTACACCGTCTACGCCTACGATTACTCCGAATATGAAACGCCTCTCGTCGGCCAAGGCATGCTCTCGTGGATTCTCGCGTCGGCCTCTGCTACCCCCAACGCGCCCGCTGAGCAGTCTCAAACCATGGTCACCGGTCGCGTGTGCAAGAACATCCTAGGCCTCTTTTCGAACGGTGTCAAGGAAACGCTGGAGGTCAAGCTCAAGCTTGTGCCCGTCCCCACTTGCATGCAGAGCGAATATGTGGAAAACATGGAGAGGTATCACAACTTGAGCAAGGTTATGCCCGAAGGAATGGACTACAATGCCTGGGCCGAATTTCTCGACGCCAATCCCGCTATCCGTCAGCTGGCACAACCTACTCCAGGCAGCAATGGTCAGATGAGTCAGAGGAGTTATTTCGGTGGCGTGGAATCGTTCCATGAGATGCTTACCCGTCCGAGCCCCACCGAGAGGAACGATCCCTTCCACGACCAGCACCGATTATCCTTCAGCGCTCATGACACCCGTGCCTCGAGTCCAGCCATGAGCACTGTCTCCTTTCACCCATACACGTTCAACCAGGATTCTCGACCTGCGTCTCGTGCCTCGGTCCGCAGCGAGACGGCTTCCCAGGCGCAGTACTACCCGCCCGCTGGCCACATGGGACAAGACCAGCAAGAGGAGGGACCACCCAAAAAGAGAGCGCGCATCACCAAGGCAAAGAGACCGAAGAAGGCAGCGCTGCTTGCCGGCAATGAGTCGCTACGCGTAACCGCCAGCACTGCAGCATCGGTACGACTCCACAGGCCAATTGCTCCCAACCCAGGGGCCGCCGTATCCGCGGAGCAGGTGCCCCGAGCGCCGACTCCTCGTCCAGGAGATGCAACCCTGTCTCAGCCCCAGGGACCCCTTCGCCTACCACCAAGTCTACTACGACATGCATCTATGGATGAGAATCGGCCTTGCCCGGTGCCGTACGATACCAGCCTCTTCTCCGACACCGCTGTAGACTCGGCGGATGACGAGAGGGCGAGTCCCGGCGAGACACCTCTGAATATTCCATCATCGCCACCAGCCATGCCGCAACGTCTCGCCTCCTCGGCGCCCTCTAGCCCCGAGCTTCCGGTCCTGCCTCTTCCAAACGATTCTGGCTTCGTCAGCGATATTCCCACGGGTCGTGAGGATAACGAGGCGGATCCCAACAGCAGACCCTGTGATGGAAGCGATCTCCCCATCGCTTCTGGGACGAGGCGTCGTGCAAAGCAAGACAGGTCTTCCCATCCATGGATAAACATCACCCAAGATCAGGTTCTGGAGCAATCGCAGCTGCCCACTGTGAACGCGAGTTCTTTAGACAGCAGCCTCCCTCCAGCCGATGCAAATGTGGATGCGGCACCCCGCCGCTCAGGTACACCAAACTTTCCGGCTCAGCCCTTCGTGCCAAAGGCGAGGGGACTTCCTAGGTCACACACGTGGTCCGGAGAGCCCATGTCTGATGCGCCTACTCCTGCTGAAGATGGCCGCCAACCGCGAAGTGGCGCTGGTGCAAACCGGAGGCGGCTTATCGGGGAGAAGTTGGAAGAGCCCATGTCTGATGCACCTACTCCCGCTGAAGATGGCCGCCAACCCCGAAGCGGCGCTGGGGCAAATAGAAGACAGATCATCCGAGAGAAGCTAGCGGACGCCCTTGTGAAAGGTGAAATGCCGACGTATTGCAACAATTGCGGTCAAATTGACACACCTATCTGGAGAAGGGCTTACACACGCGTGGAGAAGGGGTCACCGGTCGGCATCACAATCTCATCGAACAAGTCGGATATCACTGCTTTCGAGATCATAGAGCCAGGGGACGATAACGACGACCAACCGCGGTATCGCATTTTCAAGCAGATGTTAGAACCAGAAGAGGCGGAGTCGCAGACGTTTACCAAGCTTATTTTGTGCAACCCTTGCGGCTTATGGCTTAAGAAAAACAACGCCATGCGACCGCATGAGATCTGGGCCAAACCGCCCTCTGATAAGCCCAAACGCAAGAGGAACGGAAAGAAGGCCAAGGGCGGAGCGGAAGAGGGCATGTCTGATGCTATCGTGCCAAATTCGGAACCCGTCATAGCGGACAGCCAGGTGGAAACAGAGGCGCCCTCTCTTGTAGACGGCACTGTTGATACCGGGGCCCAACCGTCAGTACAAAGTCGCTCAGCAAGTTTTCAGGCTACCGCAGGCTATCAGTTGGATGAAGCGGCGGCGCAGGCAGCTCTAGCACGGGCTATCCAATCTAGTCCGGTTGGGCTCAGGGGCAGCAAGAACTCCCCAATTGAGGTCGAGGCGGACTTGACGCCGAAGCCTACCCGACGACTCTTATTCCCTTCGCCACGCGAGCCTGGCGAGGTAAAGTCCTTAGCCGATACTCGCTCCTCCGAATCTCCATCCGCTCGGGCTTCTGCTCCTAGACAGACTGAGTCGACACAACGATTATCCGTGGATGCCGGGGATACAGATAAAGAGAACTGCCCACCGCCAATCGACAACGAAGTCGATGGCCTTACCCATCTTTTCGAGGATAACGTCTCCCCAAAGACGACGCCGACAAAGGGCCGCTCATTAGAAGACTTCCTCAAGACCCCAACGCCAGGAAGTCGTTGTCGCGCACCCCTTACGCCCAAACGCGGTGCTGATCAGGCCAGCCTAGTGACACCATCACGCCTCCTCAAGACACCCAGGACCAGCGGACGAGCCACCGCCATCGCTCCCGAGACGCCCTTCACCCGCCAGCTCAACGCGCTGCTCTCCGATTGCCTGCCCACTTCCCCCTCCCAAGCCATCGACCTCTCTACCTTCCACATGTTCAATACCCCCGGCCGAAACGGATTCTCTTCCGCTCAGTTCACCGACTTCTCGATGCCCGATGACTTCTTATCCAGCGATCTCCCTGTACCGAGCTCACCGCCGGGTGGCCTAGGCTTCTCAGTTTTTGAGGATCCGAACACGAGTACGGTGGGTTTGTGGAGCGGCGCAAGTATCTTCGGAAGCGATGCGGTGATATCTGGGATCGAGACAGGAGAGGCCAAGGAAGCAGAGCGCCGTGGTAGCGCGCAGCCTACGCTAAAGATGGATGGAATCAGTGTGGACTTTGCTGCCATGATTGAACAGGTTGTCGGGGCGTCAGAAGACCAGACCCAGAGCTCTGAGGGCCGGGTTAAGATGCCTGTTGTGGCTATGAGAGAGGAGAGCCATGAAAAGACATCTGGAGACAAGGATAAGGCACCTGAGACATCTGTGGGCGCGGAGGTTGGGGACGTTCCTGGAGCTGCGAATAAGGCATCCGAAGAGCAGGAGAAGGGCTCGAAGGGTAAAGACAAGAACCCCATCGCCTACATACACACCCTGCCAGACCAAGCCTCTGTGCCTGGGATCCAGGAGCAGAGCACCGAGAGCCTAGGCCAGACTCCCACTGCCCACCCAGACGACCAGAAGCAGGAGTCCGACGACCAGGCCAGGATGCCTAATTGCGGCTCGAATGACCAGACGAGGCGCCTTGGACCTAAGAGCGAGCATCCCCACGCCGGTTCTGATGTTCGGACTTCCAATGGCCGTGACAAGACGCTGGATGCAGCTAGGAGACAAGCCGCAGAGCCCTGAGTGTCGGGCAAAGACACCTATGCTATCTCAACCGACATGACGCAGAGCGAGGAGGTTCCAGGGGAGCTACTCGATGCGGAACCTCTGAAGCAGAACACTGAAATGCAGGAGTGGACGCCCGTAGCCGCGGAGTAAGTGTCTGTACATACCCCTCTTGGACTTTCTCGCATTCCCATCGCGGCGTCGAGGTTACTCACGAAGCGCGATGGTTATGTTTGATTAGAGCATGGCGTTTTCTGCATTGGGCATCAACGGGCATTTCATGAGCGATGAAACGAGGCATGAGTACCTGTATTAGTAGTACACGTTCGACCTGCAGGTTCGGTGCAAGCAACGCGTCTTTGACGCGGATTCAATTCCATTTACGCATTATCCACGCAGTTCCGATTAAGTGATGTTCGTATTAGTATGGCAAGAATGAAGTGCTTCAGGTCTTAATCCTTAGCCAAGTTTCCGAATGAACGAATGTAAAAAAAAAGCATTGCATTGATGTCATAAAAATGTACCAGGGTATCATGGTTCCCGTGTCCTGAACGCCTATGTAATGAAGTCCGCATCCTCGATCCGTAGCGATTGAAACTACTACGCGTCTACGGAAGAAAGAGATTCTATCTGCTAAGCTAGGTGAGTTCTTCGGCCCCCATCCTGAGTACCTTCGGTCTATTTCTTTCCCGCTCAGCTCTCGCCGAAGCCGAAGAAGGCGTCGTCGAACTGGGTTGCCTCCGGGTTCTCATAGTCCATGTTGAAGAGGTCGTCCAGGTCGTCGGTGGCCATGGTGTCGAGCATGTCGTTGCTGGTGTCGGTCGCCTGTTGCGTGGAGTCTGCTGGCTTTGTCGTGCCGGGCTGCTCCGACGATGTGTTCCCCGCCGTGTCAGGGAGGTCGGGCATGGCGAAGTCGAGGTCCATGTTGGTGCTCGCGTTCGCATTTGCATTGCCGTCGTCGCTGCTCTTGGCGAAGTCCTCGAGGCCGCGCAGCAGCGAGGGCGCGGAGTCGTCGAGAGTGAAGTTGAGGTCCGGGCCTGAGGCGTCCATGTCGACGTCGCCCTGGTTGTCGCCTGCGGTGTCCATTACGCTGTCGCCGAAGATGGCGTCGAAGTCGAATTCCGAGTCGTGCTCGGTGGCCGGGTTGTCGGCGCTTTCCATGGGCGCGTCCTGGGCAGAAGCGGAGGCGGTCGCAACGGGCGGCCGGGCGTCCTCTTGCTCGCGAGTGAGCGCCCGTGGCTCTGTGGGCTGCTCTGCGGGCGGCTTGCTCGGGCCAGGCGCGTCGGGCTTCGCGGAAGGTGCGGCGGGCAGCGATGACTCTTTCTTGACGGGCGCATTCTTCTTCGCAGAGGACTCGGCGGCCAGTCGCGCCTTCTCTGCTTCCTTCTCCTTGGCCGCGGCTTCGCGCTTCTTGCGGTCGGCCTGCAGCAGCGCGAGGTCGCGCCGGAGCACGGCCTGGGCCTGCTGGATCTCCGTCTCCAGCTCGTCGAGCGAGTCGTTGAAGCGCTCCGAGGCGGCCGTCACGGCGCGCTTCAGCGTGTACTGCATGCGCGCGGCATCGGGGCCGGCCTGGTGCGCCTTGACGTAGCGGCCGCTGGAGATGAGCTGCGGTGGTGAGCGGGAGCCGCATACACAGCACAGGAGGCACGGTAGGCGGGGTACGTACCACGAGGTTCATCATGGCCTGCAGGTTGTCCAGAGCGTGGTGGGAGGTGGGCTGGGGCGCCTTCGACTGCTCCGGCGCGCTCGCCATGGTCGGAGGCGGGGAGCTGTCAGAGTCGGGGAGCTGTCGTGCTGGCAAAGGGCCCTGCGTCGGCGATGCGTGCCCGCCGCAGATTGACAGCTGCTGCTGCAGGTGGGAGGGCGAGGGGTCGGGCTAAATTGCAGGTGCGGCCGCGGCTAACTAAGCAACCTTAATTCGGGCCCCCGGTATTCTATCCGTCAGGACGGAAGCCTGATACGCTGAAAATTTCACGCAGCAGCACCGTCACGCTCTGCTGCTGCCCCCGCCGCGATCAGCACTCACAGCGTCCGACGCGCCCCAGAAGCCGGGCAGGCGGCCGGCGCAGCGCCCAGAGCCCAGAGCCCACAGCACATTAATGTAATATTGTCGCAAAAAGGCAGTGCGAGCCCTCGCGATCGGCATGACTACGGTACCGGCCTGTAAAATACCAGGCTTCTGCAACGGGCCGCAGCCTTACAGCCAGCCCAGCCCACGGTAGCTTAGCGCCGCTCTGCCACTCGCCCTGAAGAATCGCAACCCTCTCCCTCGTCCTCTCCCTCTTCTCACCCCACAGTGGACTAAGGCTAGATCAGCTCTCCATCGTTGTTCGGCGTCGGGTTCGCTTCTCGTCTTCCTGCGCCTCTTTTCCTTATTTTCCTCTTCCTTTCCTTGCGCTTTCGAGTCCACGTTGGCTGCGCTCCCCGCGACTGCAGTCTTCACTTTCTTTGCCGCCTCCCGTCTCGACCAGCTCCTTCCCCGCCGCCGCCATCCCTCACCCGTCCGTCGTCGCGTATTACTTCGACATCGCCCTTTACCGAGTTCGCCGCCCGCATAAGAGTTACTTCGTGTAGACGCGCTTCTGTTGTTTCGTCGGCGCCTTCCGTGACTGCTTCTTTCGTTGCACTTCGTTCGAGCCATGGCCGACTCTGCGACGTCTGCGACCGCGATGCCTCCCCCACCCTCGTCCGCCGGCCCTCCTGGCTACGACGGCGGCAACCAGGGCCAGCCCCAGCAGCACATGCCGCCGCCGCCGCTCGCGCCCGTCATCATCCCGCAGAACACCAACCCCATCCCCACTGCCATCAGCTCTCCGATGAGCGGAAATGTCATGTCCCCGACCAGCGGTCAGCCCGGCTATGTGCCGCGCCGCGCTGCCCCGGAGCCGAATAAGAGGGCCTTGTACGTGGGCGGATTGGATCCTCGCGTCACCGAGGATGTGCTGCGGCAGATCTTCGAGACGACCGGCCACGTCCAAAGTGTTAAGATCATTCCGGACAAGAATGTGAGTGACGCCGCCCTGCCCTCACCTTTAATCTGCGGGAAGTATTGGCGGGGTAGCGCAGTGCAAACGCTCGCGCAGAGCCTTCACTCTGCTGCTGCCCCGCTTATATAACCCACCAGCGCAGCTCTAAATTTCAACAGGAATCCCCAGGACTAACAGCTCAGCCTCAGCAGTTCAACTCCAAAGGTTTTAACTACGGCTTTGTTGAATTCGACGACCCAGGAGCAGCCGAACGCGCCATGCAGACCCTCAACGGACGCCGCGTCCACAACAACGTGAGTACCCGCCCCGTCGCTGACGGCGCGCACACACGACTGACACCGCTTAGGAAATTCGCGTCAACTGGGCATACCAGTCCAACAACACGGCGAAGGAGGACACGTCCAACCACTTCCACATCTTCGTCGGCGATCTATCCAATGAGGTCAATGATGAGGTCCTGCTGCAGGCCTTCTCCACCTTCGGCCCTGTGTCGGAAGCTCGCGTCATGTGGGACATGAAGACTGGCCGGTCGCGTGGATACGGCTTCGTCGCTTTCCGCGACCGCGCCGATGCCGAGCGCGCCCTGAGCTCCATGGACGGCGAATGGCTCGGTTCGCGGGCAATCCGCTGCAACTGGGCTAATCAGAAGGGCCAACCGTCCATCTCCCAGCAGCAGGCCATGGCCTCGATGGGAATGACGCCAACCACGCCATTCGGACACCATCACTTCCCCACCCACGGCGTCCAGAGCTACGACATGGTCGTTCAGCAGACCCCGCAGTGGCAGACAACCTGCTACGTCGGCAACCTCACCCCCTACACCTCGCAGTCGGACCTTGTTCCTCTCTTCCAGAACTTCGGATACGTCACCGAGACCCGCTTCCAGTCTGACCGTGGCTTTGCCTTCATCAAGATGGACACCCACGAGAACGCTGCCATGGCCATCTGCCAGCTGAACGGCTACAACGTCAACGGCCGGCCTCTCAAGTGCAGCGTAGGTTGATCTTCTCTTCGTTTCCTTACTTGAGCTCACATTTCTGTTTTAGTGGGGCAAAGACCGTCCACCGACTGGCCAGTTCGATGGCTACTCGCCCGCAGGCGGCCCGAACTCAGCGTATCCTCAGACCCCGAGCACGTACTTCCCGCAGTATAGCGCGGGACCGGGGGGCCCCATGTCACCCCAAGGTGAGCGGCATCGGAGGAAGCTACAATATCGGAAATCACACTCTAATACGCGGGCAGGACCGAGCCCCGGTGGACAACCCTTTGCCCAGTCCCCCCAAGCTGGCTTCGGCGGGCCTCAAATGGCGCAGCCCTATCAGCAGATGCCCGGCAGCGCCGGCGGATACGGTCGTGGTGGCCAACCCCAGCAGCAGTGGGGACAGCCCAACCAGGGCAACTTCAACCAGAACGGCTTTGGTGGCTACCAAGGCTAGTCGTCTCGTGGCCCGTCATCCAGTCTTCCCTTGTCTGCGCTGTTCAATTCTCACGACATGCCTGGTTGTCTAAATTGGCGCTCTTTGGATAGCACCATATTTTCCATATTGGCACTTTCATCTGCTATCTGCTCATGTCTCAACGGGCCTATGTTATGCGTATTTCTCCATTCGAAAAAACAGCTCTGTCTAGTTAGCGGGAGGGCTTGGGTGTCGCCGTACATGGCATGGTTTGGAGTACCCTCTGTACGTTTCCAGTTTCCGCGCGGTCGGCGGATGTCTCTCAGTCTGTCAGTCTGTCAGTCGTATGCGTGGAATGTGTTCTCGTGCGGGCTCTTTTTAATGAATCTCCTTGCGCTGCATCATGTTCTCCTCCTGCTTCGATTGGTTAGCTACTTCTACACCCATCTTCTTCCTACCGTGGTTCTTTGATCTGTTGAAGTTTGCTCGCATCATCGAAAGAGCTCCTTTATTTCCATCGTCGTCGTGTTGTTGTTGTTGGCGTCTTCGCGTGGCATACCCCGTTTCAGGCTTTTCGTCTACAGGTTGTTATCATGCTCTCTCATCTCAATGTCTTGTGTTGTCGTCGAGGCGAGGCTTCCGTTTCACTTTGTGATTTCGCGATAGATGGCAGTCTAAAAGTTGTCATAGTTCTTGAGGATGGGCAAGAGATTTTTAGGTAGTACTTTTGGTATTGGATATATCCCTTGGAAAGTCCCTTACGCGACACATTCGTCTAGAAGACTCATGGAAATGCTCCTAAAATACTAGGGGAATACAATGCTTACTCGCTCACTTTGGTCATGGCTGGCTTGACATTTGTGTATGCTCTTACCGAATGCTAACGCCGGATTCTCACCGGTGAGTGGTGGCGTTGCATTTGAACGGCTTTGTCTCCCGTTCTAAATTGACCGTGATCAAAGCCCAGTCGTAGCCTTCAGTTAGCAAATTTTGTAGGCCCAGCAGGGCGTCGTGGTGGGGTGCATCCGCCCCATCTTCCGCATCACGTGATTCTCGCTCGGCCCTAGCTAGGTAGCTAAAGCGCGCTAGGTAGCCTTCGCGAGTCGCGTCCGGGCGTTACACCACAAACCCCGCGAGGGCATGCCGTTCATTGATACTATAGATCTCTTTCTTTCTTTTCTTGTCGCAGCCCTCCTCTGCTGTATGCTTGCCGCGTACTTCCGACTGAGCGCGTCACTTCGGTTCACCCCCGCGAAGGCGTCGTCGCCCCTTCCTCAAATACGTACCGCAACACGACCTCGAGCATACTACGGCTACCTCTCCGCTCAACCACACTCAACCTCTGCCATGTTCAAACGGGCAGTAAAGTCCCACAACGCCGCTGCACCCTCACAACTGCCCGCGTCTAGGCAGCAATCTCTCACCAATTCCTTCAAGCGCCCCAACAACGCACAGAAATCGAGCGCGTACCCGCTCTCGACGCTCTCGGGCAACATCACCAAACATAATGCTGCAGCCGAGCGGAGGACACCAGGGCATGCACACGGAACCAAGAGAACCTCAAGCGGCCTGGCCAAGGCATTGAGCTCTCAAAAGGAGGCCTTCGACTATCCCCCGCTCAACGTATCCGACTACGAGAACGACCTGCCCGGCGCGTTTCATACGACGATGGGGAGCAATCAAGCGCCCCAGATCCCGGTGTTCTTTGACGAAGATGACTTTGATAGTGACATTGACCTCGACGTTGAGGACCCGGCTACGAAAAGCACAGTCAGCTATCCTACGCTACCTGCTGTAGGTACAGCAGCATCAAGAGACTCGGCATACCAGTCCGTGACCCCGAAAGCATCTCAGAAGCAGGTACCAAGCAGCAGTCAACCGATTCCATGGTCGTCGTCCCCTCCGGAGCACTTTGAGACCCCTCCCAAAGCCCAGAACGCAGTCCTGCGTACGAAACGCCGCACTTTGCCGTGGCAACAGAAAGCGGGCCAGGTGAAGACAGAATCGTCCGAACGAATAGAAGACGAACCTGGAGAGGAGCCAGAGACGGTACGGCCGAAGAAGCGGAGGTCCGCAGAAGCCGCTCCAACAGTCAATTCGACCCCGTTGCCGAGATCAAGCAAGCCAGAATACCCGTGGAACACGACTGCGAGTGCTCTAAAGCTGCAGCAGAAGGAACTTCGAGAAGCGAACAAGAAGATCAAGGCCAACGAGGGTACCGAGGAGGACATGAAGGCGGCGATTTCAAAGAAAAAGAAGACCACTATCCACCGTATCTTCCTGAGCGAAGAGCAGCAACACGTTCTCAACCTTGTCGTGGAATACAAAAAGAGCGTGTTCTTCACCGGCTCGGCTGGTATGTGGTTGCGACACTCTGTCTGTACACTCTGCTAATTGGATTCGAAGGTACTGGTAAATCGGTTCTTCTGCGGGAGATCATCTCGGCATTACGAAGGAAGTTCGTTCGCGAGCCGGATCGAGTGGCTGTAACGGCTTCCACAGGTCTCGCTGCATGTAATATAGGAGGTGTCACGCTGCACAGCTTCGCGGGCATCGGTCTAGGCAAAGAACCGGCAGAAGATCTGGTGAAGAAGATCAGGCGGAATATGAAGGCTAAGCAGAGGTGGATGCGCACAAAAATCCTCATAATCGACGAAGTCTCCATGGTGGATGGAGAATTATTCGACAAGCTAGAGCAGATCGCGAGGACTATCCGAAACAACGGCAGGCCATTTGGCGGCATACAACTAGTTATCACGGGCGATTTCTTTCAACTTCCACCCGTACCGGAAATGGGACGCGTCGCCAGGTTCGCATTCGATGCTGGAACGTGGACTACATCCATCGAACACACCATCGGTCTTCACCACGTATTCCGTCAGAAGGATCCAGTCTTTGCGGGAATGTTAAATGAGATGCGCGAGGGCAGGTTAACACCCACATCAATTTCCGAATTCAGGAAACTGGATCGACCGCTCCCGGTGATCGGTGATAACATCGAGGCTACTGAGCTGTTTCCGACGCGGCTGGAGGTGGAGCGTGCCAACCAACTCCGCATGAACCAGCTCCACGGTCAGACCTACAGCTTCGAAGCCCGAGATGGTGGATCAGTGACCGACAAGGAGAGGCGCGACAAACTGCTACAGAACTGTATGGTTCCAGAGATCGTACACCTAAAGAAGGGCGCGCAGGTCATGTTGGTCAAGAACATGGACGATACGCTAGTCAACGGCTCGCTAGGCAAGGTCACAGGATTTATGACCGAGCAAATGTTCGGCGTCTACAAAGAGAACGAAGACGCGTTCCTTGAGGGCGCCGCAGAGGGTGGTCCAACGGAGTCCGAGGTCCTCAACCAGCTAAAGCAGAACATGCTTGGCATTAACACAGCGCAACTATATCCCGTCGTCCGCTTCGCCATCGCAGACGGCACAACGCGCGATCTCCTCTGCAAGCGCGAGAGCTGGAAAATCGAACTCCCCAACGGCGAAGTGCAGGCCTCGCGCGAGCAGATCCCGCTCATCCTCGCCTGGGCGCTGTCTATCCACAAAGCGCAGGGCCAGACACTCGAGCGTGTGCGCGTCGATCTAGGGCGCGTGTTTGAGAAGGGCCAGGCATATGTAGCGCTTTCGCGTGCGACGAGTATGGCAGGCTTGCAAGTGCTGAAGTTTGATCCGCGGAAGATTATGGCGCATGACAAGGTGAGAAGTTTTTATAGCTCACTAAGTAGGGCGGAGCAGGTGGAGAGTAAGGCGAAGAGCAAGACGATCCTAGGGAAGATGCAGAGGGCGGCTAAGAGGACGGTTGCTGATGAGGACGAGTGAGGGAAGCGGTGCTGGATTTCGAAGGCTTCGGTGTGTGGTTAACTGTGAGGAGTGTATGCATTGGTTAGCATTGGTAGCACGCGAGTGTTGGAATGTCCTAGGCGGCAGAGAAGGCTTACTTCCCTAGGGCGCACGTCGCTCGCGAGATGTATGAGGAGTATGCATGCATTCATTCATTCAGTCATGTACGCGTAGGTGATGCTCATGCGCCGTCTATAATCTTATCCCGGGAACTTTTGTATACACGGAGATGCCCCCAGTGCCAATTTGATTCTACTCTTCCAACTTAATCTCGCCCTCAAAGCCATTGACATGCATGAAATTCGCCCTCAGGGGGGTCACGCTCGTATACCCCTGGGCAACGGCCCACCCATCGTTCCCAGGTTCACTCTGCTCCACGCTCTCATAGACATCCTTAAACCTCGGCGCCCACTTGAAGTGCTTATGTGTATACCGTATGTGCCCCTGCCCCGACGGCGTCTCCCTCCCGCTTTCAGTGCCGCCATCCTTGCCCAGCAACTCTTTCCGGCCCAGCTTCTCCTCGGCGCGCCGTATCTGAGCCTCGATATCGCTCGCGGTATCGTCGTCTTCGGACGGCACTTCGAGCACCTGGAAGCAGGACCCGCTCTTCCACGCATTCTGCAGCATCTGCGTCCAGAGGATTTTGCGGCGTCCGACATTCTCGACGAGCGGCACGTTGATGCTGTAGAGGTGCGTGGCGGGATCCCAGTGCGCATACAGATGCTGGATGAGCTTCGCGGAGAGCTCCGACGCGCCGGATATTATGCTCGCGTCGTGGTTGCGGTCGAAGAAGGCGTAGCTGAGCGCGATGGACTTGTAGCCGCACACGGCGGCTTCCATAGCGCCGCCTATCGTGCCGGACGACAGGCTAAACACCGCTGTGCTGTTTCGCCCGTAGTTCGGGCCCGAGACGACGAGGTCGATCGGCCCGCGCGCTTTGAAGTAGTGGAACAGCCCGATTTGCACGCACGACGCCGGCGTGCTGTCTACGAGGATCCATTCTTCTTCTGTGCTGTCTTCGGGCAGCGGCCGCGTGGAGACGGTGCCGCTGTTGCAGAGGCGCCCGTTCTTGACCTGCAGCGGCGACGGCCGGAAGTACGTCGGTTTTATGGAGTGGCCGACCAGGTGGGCTTTGCCGATCCAGGAGCGTTGCGTGTGCGGGAGGACGACGGAGACGGTGTGGCCGTGGGATTGGAGGGTCGACACTGCTCTTGGAGTTAGTGGGGCGTGCTCTGGTGTGACGGAGGGCAGGGAGGGGTTTGAGCGGACCCAGGGAGTGCACGTAGGGCGAGGACTGGTCCGAGGGAGGGCCGTCGTCGTTGGTGATCTGGTGGCGCGCGTTAGGTTGCAAAGGGAGGATTGCAGAGACGATGGCATACCAGGATATGCATCTTGGATACTCGAAGGCTAGGGAGGAAGGGTCTGCTTGTTTGGAGTTTGTGCAGCACTCTGTATCGCGCGGCAGCGGTGACGGATTTCGCCCACATTGACGTATGCGTGTTGGCGTGATTTCCTTTCCGAAGTCGCTATCGATAGCTCGGAAGGAACTGGCGCTCGGACCCTCCCGCTGTGCATCTAACGAGGTGAACCATCGTCATTGCATCACGAAGGTAATCCGATGGTGGAAGTGAGCAGTCATCGAAAGCCTGATGATCAGCGCAGACGAGGCTGCTGCCGGCCTGTCATCTCCTCGCGGTACCTGCGCCGTGGCTCACTCCCGTTCCCGCATCACATCGCAGCGCACCACACCACCGCGGAACTACTTCGACGAAGCTGCTCACTGTAAATTCGGTCCGAGACTCTACAGCATCGCTTTTTCTTTCTGCACCCGGAGCTCCAACCGGAGTGTTCTATTTCAAAGCCTCTTCGGAGACTCCGTTTCGCACAGCCATCGCCATCCACTCTTCCGTCTCCGAGCCCTGCTATGGCCCCTCTCTCCTCCGACTTCCGCCCCTCATGGCCCCATTCCGGTCTCAACACTCCGGAGGCTCTGAAGGATTTTGATGCTGGAAGCGGGCAAGCAGCAAATGCGGCGAAGTCCAATCCCGCGTCGTAAGGCTGAGATGCCGGCGCCGGATCCCCACCCGAAGCCGTAAAGAGAGAACTATCACCAAAAGGTATGGGTTTATATAGTCACCATAACGTCGATTTCCACTGTTTTTGCTCAGTCTTCCGTATTCAAAACCATCGTCCCTTCTTCAAGAGTCTCTTCAATCTTTCTTCCTGCTTCACAAGCTCGGGCCCGAAGAAAGAGCACGGAATCTCCGCAGCAACGCCGTCCTTCGTATCAACCAATAGGACTATTCCTTTACACGTGACATCCCCTTCGCCAAAATGGTCGTCCACGTCCCAACCGCCTCCCTCGAGGGCAAAGTCGCCCTCGTCACCGGTGCCGGCCGCGGTATCGGACGCGGCTGCGCCATCGAGCTCGGCAAGCGCGGCGCCTCCGTCGTCGTGAACTACGTCTCGTCCAAAGGCCCCGCCGAGGAAGTCTGCAAGATCATCGAGGACTTTGGCAACGGCGCAAAGGCCGTTGCTATCCAGGCCGACGTGTCCAAGGTCTCAGAGATCAACCGCTTGTTCGACGAGGCCAAGAAGGCAATGGGCAAGATCGACATTGTGATGAGCAACTCGGGGACGGAGAGCTGGGACAAGACGGAGGAGATCACGGAGGAGAAGTACGATCACGTCTTCAACCTCAATGCGCGGGCGCAGTTCTTCGTCGGCCAGGCGGCGTATAAGAACCTCGAGGATAACGGCCGCATCATCCTCATGTCGTCGATTGCTGCGGGTCTGCTCGGCGTCAAGGACCATGCGCTGTACAACGCGTCCAAGATGGCCGTCATTGGCTTCATTAAGAGCTTTGCTACCGACTTCGGCAAGCGCGGTATCACGGTCAACGGTGTGGCTCCCGGTGGCATCAAGAGTGATATGTTCACCCAGAACGCGTGGCACTACATTCCCGGCGGCACCCCCGACTGGCCGGCTGAGAAGATCGAGACCCTAATGGCGAACCACTGTCCGCTTGGAAGGTGTGCGGTGCCGGAGGATGTTGCGCGGGTCGTTGCATTCCTCGCCAGTGAGGACGGTGGCTGGGTAAACGGTGAGAATCCCCTAAGTATTTTCTCGTTATAAGACACGGAAAACTAATTACCGCGTAGGCCAAGTGCTCACCATCTCTGGCGGTTCCTCGCAGTAGAGGAGGGATCGAATGTCTTCTTTGTCACAGCTTCTCTTCGCATTGCATTAGGATAGGGGCAGGCTGCCTATGTACCATGGTATCTGGGTATGGATATTCCCAAGAAAGGCCGCAGGCGTGTTAGACTACGGCGAGGCGCATACGAATGCAACGAATTTCCGTTCGCAATGTTCGAGTGCACGCTTTCAATGTGTAACGCGAGCAATCGCAACCGAAAATCTACATTGATACTAACTAGGGCTAGCTGCTGGCGGGGCGATCGTGCAACGTTCCACATCCCCGCCGAAAATTTGTCTCGTTCGTCCCTGCCCTCACTTTTTACGCTTCCTTCACTCCCTGAAGGCCCCCCAGGAGTGGGTTCCCAGAGTCCAGAAAGATCCATGACAGGTTAGTCCATGTACATAGGTACCGCGACCCAAGGGGCGCTGACTTAACCGACACAAAGCACGCGGCATGCAACGCTCCAATAAACGCAGGCACTTGTCTCGGGAGAGGTCTCCTAGCAAGCGCACCAAGCGCCACGCAAATCACGACGGTTCGAAGGGGTTTGATTCACTCCCGGACGAACTGATCCTGCACATTGTCCATCACGCCCTCCGGAGCCAGAATCGTGTGTCCACGTTGACCAGTTTTGCCTTGACAAGCCGCCGTCCCTCCCGCATTGTAACGCCAATTCTGTACACAACATGCAACAATTCTACCGGAGACTCAGCAAAGTTCTTGCGCACAATCATCAACGCGCCGCATCTAGCCAATATGATCTCGGACATCCACTGGGTCTATGGCCGGCAGGACGACATGAAACTTCTCGACAGCCAACTCGACCATACCGAGCGCCGAGAACTATACCACAAGCTCAATGACCCTGGCCCCTCGAGCACCGGCACCGGCAGCAGCGTGTTCGCGCCCAGCAACATTTTCGTACCCAGAAAATCTCGGGATTACCTGGTGGCTGTTATGCTGCTTGCCCCGAAGCTTTCCTTCCTCGATATCAGCGACGGATTGATGCAATTTCCTTGTATGTCTTTTTATGAAACGAACTCTGTGCCCGCCTGGGTGCATATCGTATCCGATGTAGCAATTGGCAAATCCGCAAAACTGGCCCAACATTTCCAGAACCTTCACACCATGCGGCTCAGAATGGGTCGCTTGTGCCTCCAGCATGTGTCTGGAATACTACGTCTTCCGTCGCTGCGGATCCTCGGGCTAGAAGGTGCACCCGAATCGTCATTCGCGCTGTCGACTAATTGGAACTGCCCTGCCCGAACATCGCCACTCCAGGATCTCTTCCTTGACACTGGTTTCATCAGCTCGCAAGCTATTGCCTAGCTCCTGGGGTCCATCAGGGCACTCCGCTTCTTCATGTTTAAGTTCACACACTGGACCTGGTCGCGTTTTTTCGGCCTATTTGGAGATGGAGAGGCCTCTTGTCTCGATTATCTGTCGCTCTCCAACGCCATTCTTCAGCACAAACATTCCTTAGAGGAACTGTCATTGCTAGAGGACACCAACTCGAACTTAGTGGCGTTCTATGGCCTGGGCTGTCTACGGTCGCTGCGAGAGATGAGCGAGGTCAGATACATGGATGTGGAGCTGAAGGCGTTTAGAAGGCCCATGGATGAAACCCAAGGACAGTATACGACGAGCCTGGCGGACCACCTCCCCGCAAATATCGAGCACCTGGATCTCTTTATCGAGGGGAAAGGCGGAGATTCTTGGATGGAAGGGCTCGAAGACCTCGCGCGGTCCTGCAGGCTCCGATTATCGGCATTAAAAAGACTTGAGGTGTACCATGTTCTTGGTACGGTTCAGTACTCTGAGACGGACCAGAAGAGGCTTATGGATGCTTTTGAAGAGGAGGGTATAAAATTGGAGTTCCGCTTCGTCAGGGATGACGACGAGCTTGGGCTCTGGACGAGATGAAATCACTATGCGTATCAGCGAAATCTTGAACTGAGCACTAGACGAGTTCATCTGGATCTTCATCTGCTGGAATACTTTCGGGGGTTTCTTAGAGCGCCAAAACTCCGGGAAACTGTTCATCGTACCACAGTCTTCACTCAAAGAAAAACTTCTGGGCTTCTTGGTCCTTCCGCTGCCCTAACCTATGCCTCAGAGTACAGCTCTCCTTCCACCAAATCTCGGACTTCCATGCCCTCCTGCATCAACAATTCCACCCACCGTCAACACTATGAGCACCGCCAGTAATAAAGCTGCTCCCATCGCCTAGTAGAAAGGCAATTAGTTCAGCGACCTCATTCGCCTTCCCGCTCCTCTTTAGCGCCACACTCATAGCTTCCGAAGTCCGGTGCTCTGTCTCCGCTGCGCTGTTCTCTTCCGCGATCTTGCGCGCGTTGGCGTTCATAGGCGTTTCGATATATCCTCTGCAGAGAGATTCAGCGATGTTTTCCTTGCGCCGCTTCGAAGAGGAAGGAATGGTAGGAGAGATGGAAGAGAAGGGCGTAGAGATGAAGAGGAGAGGAGAGGAGAGGAGAGGAAAATACGACACTTACGGACATATAGCATTAACCCTCACCTGCCTACTCCCAACCTCCTTCGCCGCGCTGCGCGTCAGCCCGATAACGCCATGCTTGCTCGCCGCATACGCTGCGTTATTGGGTCGTCCTTGGAGGCCGGCGATAGACGCAGCATTCACAATCGACCCGCCGTCTGAAATGTACCGCAGTTGGTGCTTCAGACAAAGCATCATGCCCTTCAGATTGACATCCATGATAAAATCCCACTCCGACACATCTTGCTCCGCTATCCCTTTGAGACCGATACTCTTCCCTGTTCACGTCATCAGCTCAGCTCAGCTCAGCTCAGCTCAGCGCAGCTCAATCCTGCCTTCTCCTTCCACCTCGCTCTGCACGCACAATCCCTCCCCTCCCCTTCCCATCCCAATGAATAAGCCAAAACGCCCACCAACTCACCAATAACCCCCGCCAAATTCGCACACCCATCCAACCTGCCAAACACCCCCACCGTCGTCTCAATCCACTTGCCCACCTGCTCCTCCGTCCGCACATCCAGCTCATACGGCAAGACCTGCACGCCGGGATACTTGGCCCGGATCTCCTTCTCCGCCTTGTCGAGCGCAGCCGCGTTGACGTCTGCGAGCGAGAGCGTGGCGCCCCGCGAGGCGAGCAGGTGCGCGGTCGCGAGCCCGATGCCGGAGGCGGCGCCGGTGAGGGCGATGACTTTGCCGGCGAGGAGCGGCATGCTCAGGGTAGAAGAAACTAAGGGTGGAGGGAGGATGGGGAAAGGAGGGAAGGAGTAAGGCTGGAGCTAGATAGTAGTTCGTGATGGACTGGGGCGGCCCTTTTTGGTGTTGTAGCTAAGGGGCTGGGGCTTGATATGTAGGTGTGGACGGACTTGACAGGTGCGGAGGCCGGATATGCTATTCCGATTGGATGCTATGCGGGGCTTCCGGGGGGAGGGTACGGCGAGCGCTAATGACGCGTTTGTGCGAGCAGGCTTTGTCGGGTTCTTGGAGTCGCTTCCATTATTATTTTTGCTGTTGGAATGTGTTGGTTTCGGGAGTAGATCATTGACCACAGGGTCACGCTTACATAACGTCAGGGGCGGCGTGGCCAAAGCCTCACGCCCGGAACATACGTTCGAGCGATATGTAAGGCCATTGAGTGCTATGTACCATTCCCTTGTGATTCCCTGCATAGATCTTATATCCTTCCGCGCTCGAGAAACTTATCCGGGACCTCCACGCGCCTGCACCTAATCCACTCTCCCAAATTCTTCGCCAGCGTATCCACGCCGCTCCCCGAATTATACCCCCTATCCAAATGATTCTTGATCAGAAAATGTACAACACACAGATTCCTCATCTCAAACCTGTCAATCCTGCCCCCTTTCCAGTCCTTGCCCAGCAGTTCCTTAAACTTGTCTGTGGTGAGAAATGACCGCAGCCACTCATACTCATCCTCCCTCCTCACGAATAGTCCGATATTTGCGTCGCTGGCTTTGTCGCCGCTGCGGGAGAGGGCGATGTAGCCGAGGGGTGCGAGGGTCGTGGGGCCGAAGGTGGATAGCGGGATGGGCTTGGAGGTCTCGTAGGAACGTTGGGGGCCGTAGGTTTGTGTCTCTGAGGGGAGAGGAATAGGGATCGGAGCGGATGAGGAGGCGGGGAAGAGGAGGTGGACGCGGTGGTTGCAGACCCATTGTGGGATGAGGGTTACGAAGTACTCGTAGTAAGGTTTTGGGGCTGATTGGCGGAGGTCGTTGGGGCGGCTTACGCCCTGTCTATTGTTAGCATCTCTTCCAAATCTGCCCGTGGTGGTCGTCCATAGGGAAGCGGAATCTAAACTCACAGGGCAACTCTGCAACACCGTCTCATACAATCTCCTCGCGAACCCATCCGGCTTTGTCCCATCAAACAACTCTCTCTCCCTCGCCTGCGCGAAAATCCGAAAATCCGCCGTATTCCCATCCTGCGTCCCAACACCCACACCCTCGCCTGTGTACCCCAGAAGCTGGAACTTCAAGCATGAGAATTTGCTCATGATATTCTCCCCAATCGCATTGCGGGCTTGCTCCTCCATCCACCGCATCTTCTCCCGCATGTCCAGCCCAACAAGGTAGAAGTGCCATTCAGCCTGGTATCCACCGTGCGCAGTGACGCCGACGCGTGTTGTCGGCGGAGGAGGAAGGCCGGTGATGCCGGAGACGCGGACGCGATTGGGGGACAATTGGGTTAGGAGGACGTCTTCGAGGTTGGCGACGACGTCGGAGTTGAGGTAGAGGGGGCCAGAAATTTCATAGACGAGTTGCGAGGTTACGGTTTCGGTGTTGACGATGCCTCCTGTGTTCTGCGCAGTCCGTCCCATCAGGATCCTCGCAATTTGAAGAGAAATGAGGATTTGGACATGACTTACCGGCTCCTTCGTGATGATACACTCTCCCGACTCCTCAACCTCTGCAATCGGGAACCCCAGATTCAGATGCTTCCCCTCCCTCATCAGATCTTTAAAACCGCTATAATAACCACCTGTAATAAAGGCACTACACTCAATCAGATGCCCAGCTACCAGGGCTCCCGCCATCCTATCCCACTCATCACTCTTCCACCCATGCCACCAAGCGCTCAGTCCAATAGTCGGCGCTGCATCGCTCACCCTCCCGCAAATGACGATATCCGCACCCTGCTTCAGCGCCTCGCTAATGCCCAGGCTACCCAAATACGCTTGCGCGCACAGCGGCTCAAAGCTCCACTCCTGCAGCGTTCGGCCATCACACAGATTCTTAAACTCATGCCCCTGCGAGACAAGATCGCGAAACTGATCGGTAACCTCATCGCCCTCAACCCACGCGACTTTAGCCTCCCAACATTCCTTCTCCATGCACATCCTCTTCACCACCTCCGCAAGTAATTCCGTATCATTCGCCCCCGCATTGACCACCAGCTTCGCACCATTCCTCTTCAGGTCCGGTATCGCAGGCTCAAAGCACTGCAAAAAAGTCGAAGCGTAATTCGCATTCTGCAACTTCTCCTCAAATGAGAAAGGACTGCCACGCTCTTTCTCAAGTTGCGTTCTTTTCTCCTTTCCCGCGCCATATCCAGTCATTACGTTTTCAGACAGCCAGTCGCCCACGATGGCGTCGACAGCGGGATCAGAGGCAAGACGTGAAATTGCGGCAACGCGGTCGGTGAAGCCTCCAGAGGCGCCGCCGACGCGGAGTGCACGTTTTGGGATGCCGTTTGACGCCATTGTGGGTTATCGGAGGGACAAGAGCAAAGTCTTGGTGGCATGGTGAAGGATGAATGGGTTGAATTATAAGACTAGAGACGTCAGAAAGAGCGGTACAGGAAGTCTGCGGCGGCATGGAGCTTCGGAGAAGCATTGCACCTGAGTTTCCGTGAGGGTGGGGCTTGGAGAACCGAGGATCTAATGAATCATTAGCGCGAAGTCAGCTGGATGCGGCCCGAACCGTGAGCCTCGCATACATCCAAGACGGTCGACACTGAAACGAGCACGCCTCTTAGACGCTCCACGAGCCTGTTGCCTCAAAACTTTGGATTTGTTTTGAAGGACCTGTGCTTCTCTCATGATTTTGCTTTTACGTTCCTCTTCCCCATTACTTTGATACTGTGGTTGGTCAGTGATTGGGCTACGTGGCGTCCTCTCCTTCTAAGAAGAGCACCCGAGGAACGGGGCAAGTATAAGACGAATTGAGAAATCTGAGGAGTATCATTCCGCCTATGGAGCCACTCGTTAGGCTGAAAACTTAGATATCCGTATCGCCCAGTCCCTCCATCCCGCTTTTGCCCAAACTCCATGGCTCAAATGACTGAACGTGAGACATCATCCGTAAGGAAACCTGAGAGACGGCTTTGCCATCGAATTTAGACAACGAAAAGATCGGTTCGGAAAGAAGATGGTGAAGCCATAGGAGGCGCATTACAAGCCAGCTGGCTGGGTAAGAAGCGGGTATGACGAAGAACGGCGGGTAGATGGTTGGGAGATGCGAGGGGTGAATCCGATCTTGGGGGTCGCTCTGCTAGAACAGGTCAACCTTCGGCCAAGATCCCATCTCCAATGTTTATAACTCAGTCTTGGAAGCTGTGAAGTCCCACAGCATCTTGACGAGCGAATCGGGTAGCGTGTAGAGATCGACGTGGAACTCGCCATCTATAATACTGTCAATATAAGAGACACTTTACTTCAGAGAGGGTCGACCTACTCTCGACGTCGTTCTTGGTGTAGGTCTCACTGGTCTTGTTGTCATGCACCATGGTAACCACCTGAAGAAGATCATCTTCGCTGAGCTTTTGCAGGCCATCGGCGAGCTTCTCCATGTCGACCTACGGGGCGCGTACGTTAGTATGCCGCTATAAATCGCTTAGGGGGGCCACCTACGTTCTTGTCCCGCTTCCGCTTCTTCGCTGCGTCGGCCTTGCCACGCACGCCGTTCGTATCGCCGGCAGGGCCAGACTCATTGAGCAGCGCCAGAAGATCTGGTCGGGGATTCCTGAAGGTCTATGGCACTATCCGTTAGCGGCGCCATCCTGTCCCTGGGGTCTGCGGGCCGACATACCACTGTGTGCGTTGCCTCGTACCGCTCGGCCTGGAAGTTGAGGTCGTGCTCAAGAGTGTGGTCGCCTCCCTTGTGCAAGGCGGTGAGGACGATGGTCATGTCGAACTCACCCCATCCTTTCTCCTCGATGCGGAACGGCGGCTTCTTGAAGGCTGCGCGAGTCAGCTTCCCTTCTATCTGTTCACTCTGTAAGGCGCGTACTCTGCTTGTTCTTGTCGAAAGATGGGTGGAGGTTGTAGACGGCCTTCTCGAAGCAATTGGCTGCCACCTCTCTGCCGTTGTCGTCCAACAGCCAGATCTCTATGCTCCATGACCGCATCGGGTAGCCCTCCATGGGGGACGGCTCCGCGCTGTTCCAACCGTGTTAGCGACACGACCAGACGCGTGCGACCTGCGCGTATACGTACATGGGCCGCTGGGTGGTGATGAGTTTGACCGTGCGCTTGACCTGCGGAGGGATTAGCTACCAGTCTTCGCCGTATTTTGGGTGCAGAAACTCACGTCCGGCATCTTGCAGTAAGCCTAGAGACGCGCCGAATCAATACGAGTTGTGCGGGAATTTGGTGTACGGCGCGTGTTGGCGGGCGCGTTTTATGCGGAGAGGTGAGGTTGAGTGGCTGGTGGCCGGAGCTTTTGGCTTTGGGGCGGGCGGGGATTTTGCAGACGCGAGCGGGAAGGACAAAAAGGTACCAAAGCAACAAAGCTGCACGCTTGGTCTTGGCGACCGGCGCACTGTGAGCACCCGTTGCTCCAGCGGATAGCTTCTGGTGAATCTGGCGTACGGTCAAAGTGAGAGAGCTTGCAAGAACAGCAGTTTCTTTCACTGCCAAGCCATGAGCGAAGGCGAAGCTTATTGCGACCGCATCACTTCCAACGGCTATCGTAGCGCACCATATTTGGGGGAGGCCTTTGCTCTAGCGCAAGGCCACTTTAGATACTATCTATGTGCAGGGTGTGGGCATCTCTACCGCCGGGTTATGGGCTATGCTACTAGTCCAAAATTCATCGCTGTCGTGCATCCATTCCATGTTTTGCGTCCATGGCATCCCTCTGTCCACCACACGCTATATACCCTTACTCCGAAGCCTTAAAGAGTGCCTCGTTCTCCTGCTGGGCCTTGATGAAGGCCTCCTTGAAAAGGTTGGCATCTGCGAAGCCGTGCGTCAGCCATTGTATCCTGTGTCCGATATTCCGCGTGGTACTCACTCTCGCTGTTGGCGAAACGGATGGCGAGCGTCTGAGCTTCGGGCTCGCCTTCGCTGACGTCGGCGGCCGCGTTCCAAACCCAGCTGCGGTCGCTGCCTACGTTGGGCGACAGCTTCATGTCCGGGACAACTACGATAATCTCAGCTAGAGCTCTAAATTAGACTGGGAGAACGCCCTACCGTAGTGGTTGGCGCAGACCTTAAGCGTCTTGTCGCGTCGCATAACGAGACGAGTCTTGCCGTTCTCCTTGTGCTTCAGTAACCGGACGTCGCCAGTGCCCCGCTCCTTCCACTCCCGCGACTCCCTGTCGAACTTGAACAGCTTCGCGCGCATCTTGAACGTCTGCTCCTCGAGCTCCTCGTTGGTCTTGACATCGACCTTTTCGGTGAGGTGGACGATTGGCTTGAACTCGACGTCGGGCTCCTCGTTCTCGGGGTTCTCGTCCTATGCGGGTTAGCATACATGACCACAAAGAGGAACCTTCCACTTGCGTCTGCAGCCTTTGGCTTGGAAGCGCCTGAGGGCTCGTCGACGTCATCTGCCTCTTCCTTCTTTTCCTTCTTGGGACCACCACCAAACATTGAGAACACATTGTCCTTGACGGCCGAGGCAGCCGTTGACGCGGCGTTGGTGACGGTCTCAGCGGCTGAGGCGGCCGGTTTCTCTTCCGCGGGCTTAGGCGCGTCAGTAACATCGGAAGTTACCTTCGCGGTCTCGTCCTTGGAGAGGGTTGCGCCCGGTGCGGCGGTCTGCTCGGCGGAGGGATCAGGTTTAGCCGTGTCAGACATTGTTGTGGAAGACAACGACAGGTATATAGGGTTGTGGGTGTGTGTAAATTAAGACTTGGTAGAAGAATTCAAGACGAGGGTGAACGGGCGCTGCGTTTGTTGGCGGTGCACTTGGGATTTTGGAAACGATAGAGGGGCGAGGGGCACAGACCAATACGCTAGACTGCATTGGGGCGATACCGCAATCGGCACGTGCTAGGCTTTCACCGACGCCCGGCCAGCCCTCCATGGTGCCTAGAACGCTGCCTGGCCTCCTACGGGGCCGCATTCCTGGAGAACAATCCTCTAACTGCGAAAAGACCTGCTACCTTCCCTAGCAGCTTTATTGCAAGTGGAAAGGCCGCCTGTATCTTGAATGGGCTGCTCGGTCTAGCGAGAGCCACTCCTGAATGCCTTCAGCGGATTATGGGTAAGCCTAAGCTTGTCTACCGAGTCGGTGCCAATCCTAGCCAAAGCATTACTGTTTTTCGATTGACACTGCCTTCATCATTATCCGGTACCATCTGCTCAGGTGCGAATTTCTGCGGCATAGCGATAGGACAGCATAGGAGAACATCCGTGGATGTCAGGTGCAAGGCGCCAGAATATATATCTGAATTGACTACTGCATATAGCCCGAATCTACGCTAACCGTGAATACCCATATAAATTCGAGCTTGCCAGCGCCATAACAGCTCTAGAGCACTGCCCAGAGACACTTGGGAATCGAACCGCGCCCGTGCCGTGGATATCTAATGCCTCCAATCCGCTCGGGATCCCGTGCCACCACCAAAAAGCGAACGCCAATCCATGTTAAAACGAAATGGGAATAAGCACTCGACAGCGCTCCTGTGTTTACCACCCGATCTTCTTGCAAGATCGAGTCTTTTTTTCTTCCTTGCGTTTGCTTGACAAGCCCACAGCTCGCTCAAATCCACAGCGTATCCGATAAGCATTGTTGCGCGCTCGCAGAGCAGCACGAGAAGTCCTTGCCGGAGCAGTTCCCCTCCGAAGGTTCTTCCACGTCGCTTCTGACATATCCAGCAACACCGAAGCGCCGATAGTCACTTGGCGATCCACCTCTTTTTTGGCCTTTAGAAGATGCTTGCGGACGCTCTGATGGGACTGGTGGACTTTGTGTTTCCAGTCACAAGCCCCTTGTTCCGCATCCGTCACACCGGCCCGTACAAGCTTTGGAAGTGTCGTGGTAATGTCTCGTAGACCTTGCTCCATGGTAGCTAAATCACGTTTGACGAGATCAATCAGTTGACCAAATTTGGACTTGTTGTGACCTAGTGTGATTTCGAAGGACTGTTGCATCAGCGGCTTGGTGTGAGTGGCAATGCTCACGTTGAAGGAACAGAGTGGGTATTCCCGTTCCAGATCCACGATGTACATACCGCCGATAGTGCGGACGTACCGGATGGGAATGGCTTTGGCGTCTTTGGAGACTTGGATCTGGAGTTGAGGTTTCCGCTTTCTGCTCGCAAAGTCTGGTGACGGACTGATCAAAAACTGGTGGTCGCCAGTCCGCGAAATCTGGAAGCCACCCAGTTTCTCTTCCTTCTTCCGCTCCGTTCGCAGCGGCGAAGGCTGTTGTGATGATGCCACGACAGTGAGGTCCCGCGGCGTGATGCTGATGGTAGCCGAGGAAGTGAACGAGACTACTGGTGCAGATACTGCGGTAGTCGATGCGGAAATCGAGCTGGAGGTTGAGATTGAAGTGGGAACCGTTGACTCAACTTCTACGGTTGGTGCATTGTGAAAACGGCCAGGCAGATATGCGGGGGCAAGCAGAAACGAGATCACCATCGAGGTGAGGAAGACGAAAGCCAACAGTGCTTTCCACGGTGTAGACCAGGCGTTTGGCAATGAGAAGGAAGCCTCCGGCATGGATCGTGGGAGAATACTGCGTAAATTCCACGATCGCTCGTCCGGCTTGTCTCGCGCCGCGGTGCTCGCAGAAAGATCGGGACTAAGAGCTGCCAGGTGTCGATTCAACTGCACGGGGTTGATATCCATAAAGGTAGCAAGAACGATGGGAATGGTATCCTGATATGCCCACACAGAGTCTTGATCCCTCCTACCTTCGACGTCAAACCGTAAGCTCTTCGGGCCGGGGTTGAATGTGCTCGAGTAATGACCGAATCGCCAGTGCTCTGCAATATCGAGACACGGAATACTGCAACGTTCGAAGGCTTGACGAAGAATTGGATATTGGTCAAGCGCTGGCGCCGCCAGCCCGGTATGAGGATACCAGAAGATTACGAGGTCCGGGCGACGAGATGTGGCTGCAAGATAGGGTGCATGGTCAAGGTCGAAAGTCATCTGCGTCCCATCGTCAAGCGTGACCAGGACTCGAGGTGCTTTGCCGGACTCTTCGAGCGCTTTGATGCCCGTACAATGATCAATATCGAGCACTGGTCCGTACGGTTCCATCCGGCCACCTACCATGATGGACCGGGAGGGACCTGGAGAAGCGACAAGCGCTGCACCGATGGCCGAACTGATCCCTTGTTGAGCCCAGCTTACGATGTCGCCCACGTACCAAATCCTCAGTGACCTGTCTGCAGGCAGAAAGCGGTCCGAGAGGGCAGCCCGGACAGTGAGCCTCATCTCCGCACAGCCATAGGGCTTTAAGACGGAACCAGAGACCTGCTCGTCATCGAAGTGCTTGACCACCGCCCAAGCCTCTACGCCGTTGTGATGTGCACTGAGCTCTTCCTGCATCTTGAGCAAGCGAAGCTTGTCGCTACCTCCCGTCTGCGGCACTTCGGTGAGTGTGCTGTTATCGCAGCTGATTATAGGATCGTGATCGTCAGGATGGGCAGGCGCGGACTCGAACTGCTGGGAGGCTTCGTTGGCGTCGTGCTCGAACTCATCGTCATCGTCGTCTTCGTCGTCAAAGTCGGAGACATCGTCGGGCGTGGGTCCGTCGGTGGAGGCCAGCGATTCGGTATGGCCCTCATCATCTGACGTACCGTAGAGGCTGTCGTCCAGCGGTAACACGTCGTCCGTTCGGTCTCGAAGCACCTCGTAAGCGCTGTCGTCGAGAGTATTGGCCTCCCCTACGGAACGGCGAGCGTTCGAACGCATGATCAATGTGTTGAGGTCCAGCCTAGCCAAAGAGTGGTTGACGGGGACTGGTGGGAAGCGGAGTTCCTGCGACGACTCAGGGCTGCTGGATCTCATGTCAGCGGCGGAACATCAAAGAAGTCAGCGGGTGGCAAGTCGTGCAAGCGGAGCAGGAGGCAGACAGAGGTGCGAAACACAGGTGAGCGGGCAGGTTTGGTAACGTTCTCGGGCGGACGCTGCCTAGTCTACCTTCACGCGTGAGGCAGCCTTACCGCGGGGGAGGGCGAGCGGGGCGGCTGCACGACCACGTTCCGTGCTGGGAGCGGCGAGATGGCGAGCGGCCGGGTGCCCATGCAGATACCGGAGACAAACGTGCTATTGCAGCAAGGAGAAAGCAGAAAGGAGTGGTGACGGTGCAGTGAAGGTCGTGTACTGCGGCGAGCCTGCGGAGGGGTGAGCTAGGCTGAACCCCGCGCGGCCGCCCTTATGCAGCTACGTATCGCGCCTTGGCGGCATCGCTATCAGCACCGGCCCGTGGGAGTGCCGTCACGCAAGCCTCACCAGCAAACCCTATTGCACGCTGCACGACCAAGCGCGTTGCGTGATGCGAAAAGCGGACGCTGGTATTCGCACAAGTACAGTACATGGCCTATCAATACGTACAGTGCAACCCGCAACGCCGTCATCCCCAGGTGTATGCCCATGTCCAGTGGCGGCCGCCCCCCATTACAAGACAGAAAACTCCGCCGCGCCGCAGGAAAGGGCTAGCAGCTTAACTCCAGATTCTAAGGTATTACCAAAACAGATCCATCCTAAGCAGAGGCCGGCGATGCCCAGCCGCCTGCAACCTCGACCCATTCGGCAAGGCAGGAGCCTTGCTTGCCTTCTACGTCGACAATGTCGGTGTCGCACTTACACCGGCAGCCGACACCGTTCTCCTTGGGCGGGTCCGGCGTCGCCCAGTATTCGTCTTCCTCGATGCGCTTCTTTTCGTCTTTCGTCGTCTTCTCCAAGAACGGTATCCTGGGCAGCTGGCGCGCCGGCGCATTGGCTGGACAATGCTGTATCGTTGTATGCCGATAGCCAAAGTCGCGGAAGTAGTGGATGTCTTTCGGTCCCAGAAGAGCTCCAGCAGCAAGCGAGTGGATTGGCGCGTCTCCCCACTAGAGAACATTAGACACGTCTACGCTGCGCTGAGTGCCAAACTTACCCGCTCCATCCAGAAGCCTCCACTCCGGTCCATCATCTCGAAGAAGTCATTGTATTCCTTGCTTCGGAACCAGTCGAGCCTGGCGATTTCGAAGTTGCTCCAAAAGTGGCACATGTTGTACGTCTCGCCCTCCATTGCTTCGGGGTCGATGTCCGGAAGTGCTCCACCGGGTTCAGAGTTGAGAATCTCTTCGGGCAGTGGCTTCTTGTATTTGGCGTCGTCTTTCGGCAGATCCTTCTCTTTCTCCTCCGGCTTCTCGGTGAACATCTCCCATAAGCCCTGGGAGGTGAGGTTGTTCATCCTCTTGTATGCTGAAGCATATCGAAAAATGTTGGGCACTGTTTCCCTGAGTTCCTTTACCGCAATCGTGAAGCCGTAGGTCTTGTTGTTCCGAATCATGTGGATGAACGGGTCACTACAACGCTTAGAGCTTGCCACCGTATCTGGGCCAAGGTACATACTAGGTGATATCGCAAAAGTACTTAATCTCCGGCTCGAGGCGCCAGTACCACTCGTACTTCTGGAGTAGTTCATGCTTGTAGAAGAACCTGTATGATTTTGTTAGCTCGTCCCGGAACTTCCGTCAAGGATGCTTACCCGGAGTAGAAGCGACACATGTGATGGTAGCTTTCCATGCCTCCGTACATGATGGCCGCATCTCCTTGCTTCTGAATTCCTTCTTTTGCGACAGCAGGATCAGCCCAACCTGGGAAACCCCACATCTCCGGGGTAATCTTCCCCCATTCCACTAGCGCACTCGTGTGGTTCTCCACCGTTTCTCTGAATGTCTCGTTGAAGTCGCCGTCGTTCAGAAAGACGTATGGATAATTGAACCATCGATTGAAATGTCTCTCGATCGACTTGATTGATTGTATAACGCCGTCTAGCTCCTTGTTCCTCGCCAGCACCACGAAAGCGGCTTTCGCTCGGGGTCCGTCGACCTTGGGCTCGAGGCAGCCTACCGCGAATGGCTTATCATGCTTGTCGCTTATCTTCCTGCGACAAAGTTAGCATTCGAAGCGCAATGGTTGAGCAAGTGGTAATATCGGCATACCGTATCGAGGGAGGAGTGCCTGCAGGCATCATCATGATGCCTTGCGAGTCCGGCGATCTCACGAAGAGAATTAATATTAAGATTATAACGAGACATGGAAACAGGAGCACAATGCCCAGCGGTATCGAGACGGAGGAATTGCCCTTTAGTCGTATCCGGCGGCGGAAGAAGGCTAATCGAGGAGAGACTTTTTCGGCGCGGCGCGACAGGTCGTCGAACTTCTCGAGGCTGCCTTTTGTAGAGGGTAACCTCCTTGTGATGTTCTGTAAGAGCCCCATGGCCTCCCGCCGTCAAGCGACCCTTCCAAGTCAAAGCTGGTGTGCGCCTCCTTTGCACCAATCCCACCTAAACGAAGGTACAATTTATCGCTTCTGGTCCAGGAACGGGATGAGAGGCGATGGAAAGGTGCGCGGACCGAAGGGTCGACGTATCGGCACAAGGAGGTCGAGCGGGTAACGAGCGTCCGGAGAGAGGCCTCCAAGGGGGTGGTGAAAGAAGTGGAACCGTCGCTCAGGGGAATCTGAGCTGTTGATAAGAGAGGCGGCGGGTATGGCGAAGAAAGGTGCGCTTGCCGCGTACGATTTGCTCAGTGGAGGGGATTGCGTGTTAGTTCGACGTTTCCCGAGCTAGCAGGAAATGTCGTCGTCGGCGGGCAGGGATGGGTGCCAAGCAGCAGACCGGGCGATAGGCAGTGCCGCCGGGACGCCGCTAGAGATTGCACCGTTTGACAGGCGCCCTCAGAAGAGAGGCAGGCGCGCCTCCGCGATGTCGCGCTCGTGTCGATGCAATTCCATTATCAGCGGAGGATCTCGAGGCATCGTTGCTGAGGGGCGCTAAAACACGTATTCGCGGAGTTAGCATCGCCAAGAGATCCGCCTGGGAGCCGAGTCAAGCCTGCGCCACCTATCAAAGTGCGTTCCCGGCGCTGTCACCAGCACGAGCTCCCTTTCCCGACCGCACAACCCGTCAACCAAGATGAGCTTCAAGGCTAAAGATCTCTCATACGGTAAGGCCAACTCAGCGAATCCCAATGCCTTCTGACAACCTCATGCAGACAATGCGCAGCCCACCTTCTTGCGACGGTTGCGAGGGGAGCTGGCAGGAGACGACTCAGCGCGCCATGAACGCCCTATCCCAAGGAACAAGAGAATGAAGCAGGATGACGAGGAGGATGCTCCAACCTATGTCCTGGAAGACACGAACCAGTCGCTGACGAAAGCCGAATATGAGGCCCTGGTCGCTGGGAAGGAGCCGGGCAAGAGCGATGAAACAGCCGAAGAGGGCGAGAAACCAGAAGTTGCGCAGACCGACGCCAAATCCAAAGACAACATCGTCGAGCTCGGCAAGATCACGAAGAAGCGGAAGGCCATCAAAGTCATCGGCGAAGAAGAGAAGGAGGATGCCGAGGAGAGTACCAAAGCATCCGACGTCAAAGTGACGAAAAAGGCGAAGAAGAGAGGAAAACCTATCAAACTATCATTCGGTGACCAAGACGAGGGTTGAATCGTGCTCCCGTTCTTTCCGGCACTTCAAGGTCACCTCGGATATTTGCAACATCTCCTTCACGCTGGGAGCCCCGGGTCATCGTATAATGGAAGAGCAGAGGAGCCCTGAAACCATTCAGGCAAATCGCAGTCCTGCCCAAATCTCGCAGTGCGCGTTAGTCAATAGGAAAGGTGAAGCGGGCGCTCTCCACCCGCTGAAAACCCACAGTGGCCTTCCATGAGCCAAAAGCTAGGCATGTCAAAATCGGGAATGTCTCTGATACGAGCTCATGGCTCTCCACTGATTTCAACTCTGTTCAGCCGATGGTTCGACGCTCCTATATAGGCCTATGCGAAGTTCGCCTGGCCGAATCGTTGGAGGCTCGGGGTAGCGAGGATTGAATGGCGGAAGCAACACTGGTACTCGTGTATCAATCAGATGGCATTGCACCTATCTAATTGCAAGGGAAATGAACTTCGTGTTTGGAATGGCATACAAGACGCCTAGTGAAACTATCTCTCGTTGAAAAGGAGGTGCCGAGAGAGACCTGGCGTGTCTTATTCGCGTCGTGACACGACTCTCATTATTCTCCAATCTAATTCAGTGCCGCAGCGGTCAAGAACGGTTTACTAGTCCAACGGGCCGTATTAGCTGCCGCTTCCTTAGGCCAAGGCACTCCATCTCGTCGGAATTTTCGGAAGCGCGTCGGAACGTGCGCGACCGGCACCACCTCGGCCCGCTCCGTATCCGACCTTTCAAACTGTCACGCAGCGCCTTCTACACCCCAGCTATAACTCGCAATGTCTACGTTCTCGCTAGAGGTATGCAAGCTCTCAACACCAGTGAGTTTTCAGCTGACTATTTGTCAGGCTCTCGACAGGCATATCGAGAACCTTCGCTCACAGTTGCAATTTCTCAATGAGACACTCGATGCCACTGACCACAACGCACCCGACTGGCTCGCCACAAATCTCGTGTCGCTGCGCAACAAGTCGGGCAGACTTCAAGATGACATGCAGAGGTTCAGAGACCAGATAGAGAGCGAAGGACTTGGTGTGAAGAAGGTGAGACGCTTTACACCGCTGGGCAAGCGCATGGTTAATGGAGAACAGACTTCGACCAAGAAACAGAGGCTCAGCGTAGAGGGCATGAAGCCAGAAAGCCCCACGCATAGCTTAAGTCGATCTGCCTCCCAGAATCGGCCGACTTCTCCCACAAACCTCGGTGCTCACCCGCCACCCGAACCCCCGCAGCCCGAGGATGGCTACGTTGCCCGGCAGGTAGACGTCACGGAGGAAGTCAATCGGAGACTGCATGAGAGCCGCTTGCGCAGACTCATGGATTCGCCAAGTACGGCTCAGAAGCGGAAGTACGATGTGTTCGAGGATACTAGGATGGAGAGCGGTGGAGACACTGAAGATGATGGAGAGGGCCACTCTGAGAGAGAACGCAGTCCAGTGAAGAGGCTAAAGGCGAGCAGGGTGTTTGAGCCAGTGTTGAAAAGGAAGGAGGACCGGTTAGCCAGGGGTGATACGCATGAGAGAAATGGGGACAGAGCAGATGTCAAGAGGAGAAAGGTCTGGCCCTATCCTGCATAACGGGCTTTTCCTTCCATTGTACGATAGACGTCCGGTTGGCTGTGTAAGATGCGAGACGTGCAGAATTTGGGTTCGACATGCCGCCGCTTGGCAATGCTATAAAAGAAACTGAAGCCTTTCATGCTGCCGGGAGGATAATCCCCAATTCTGGACAGATTCGGCGTAAGTCAGCATCAACGAGTATTTATTCCAACGGTTCCTATGAAGCTGAAGTTATTCTTACTCCTCGGTGTCTCGATCTATGGTACTAGTTTAGGAAGGTTTTGCCGAGCAGGAGGCTAACCGCCGTCTTTGCATCATGAACTTGTGGAGATCCAAACTCCACCTCTGCTCCACAAACGCAAACCTCCAATTGCGCGCGCATTCCTCCATAGTGTCACTGTACACTCCCACGTTATACGACAGTCAAAATGGCGACACCACAACCGCCCCTCACGCCGGAGGATCGCCTCGCGGTCGAACAAAAAGCCCGGTATGACCGCATAACGCGCAACCTCGCAATCGGCGGCGCCATAATATGTCCCCTCATCGCGCTCATGCCACCCCGAAAGCTCGACCTCTACACTTTCTCCCTTGGCGTTGGCTTCTATCTCTCCGCAGACCACCTCGCCCAATCCTACAACGGGCGCCCGCTCTATTCACAATTCTCGCTCGGGTCGCCGATCAGAGAATTGCCGACAGAGAAGGCGAAGGAGACGTCGCGAATACTAAAGGAGCGCGAGGAGCTGGAGCGGATAAAGCGGGAGGGATCGACTGGGAAGGAAGTGAGGCGGGGTATGCTGGGGAGGCTCTGGATGGGGGATGAGGAGGAGGGGTGGAAGGAAAGGAGGATGGAGGAGGAAAAGAAAGCGCTGCAGGAGGGGAAGAGCTATGGGAGTATTATTCTGGATCAGATTTGGGAGGTCTGGAACTGGGATAAGAAAAACAGGGAAGGGCGTGCAGAGGAGAAGAGCGGAGACGCGCCGAAGAAAGAGTAAAGAGCCTGATTGGATAATGAACCAACTGTGTATGCTATGGATCTTGCATCATATGATGGATGAAGCACATGGGATATTGTATTAGGAACCAGACGCTTCGTGTCGGCGCTCAGCATTCCACCCTTCGATTCGGCAACCGTGTACCATCGCAGAGCCACACTCACAGCCATAAATGGGTCAACGCCTCCAGAAACATACTCTGATACAATGATTTTTGATGCAACAAATGGCTTATCACTATGTCTTCAGCAGCCAGAGCATGTCTTTCGGAATTCACAGGCTTTCTACGGCCGGCACCCCTCTATCAGGGCGTCAAAGGCGCCAGTGGCCGAGCGATCAATAGGTCTTCCTCTCAAAATTGGTGCTCGTCCCCAGTCCAGTTCCAAGACGCAGGAACCCGCCACACTATCTGAGCTAGCGCCACTGACGAGCCCACCAAACCTTCTGTCTCAGCTCAGACCGCCAGAAAAGCAAAGGCATGACTATATCTGGACAGAACACACAACCTCCCCTTTATCTGTGTAACCCATATCCCGCACATTCAAATCGTTGCCTGATCACGCGCTCCTCACCCGCTTCCGCGAAAGCCTCGAAGGCTCATTACCATGTCTCAGTCTGATGCTTCCTTCAACGGCTCCGGCATCGACCCCTTCCCTATACCCATGAGCCAGGACAGTTTCGATCACGGAGAGCTGGATACCTGCTTTGCGAACCAAGATCACAATCCAATGTATTCACCCGCGCATGGTGAAGACTTGGAAGAGTTAGACTTCAGGCTCGATGACGATTCAACAGCTCCGACAGACTCATCGAACACCACGATTGCATCTACTCCAGACTTTGCAGGTTACACGTTCGGGAAACGAGGCGCCGCCATCGCACCCGCCTATCCTCCACCGGGTTATAATTCTCCGCATCCATACTCACTTGAACTCCACCACGGCTTCCCTCCGACTCCCCAGCTCGCTCAACGTCCCGCACCCCTCCGCTCACATACGAGCAGCTCCTTCCTCCACCCGCCACAATACTTCTCCCGTACTCAGCAACCATACCATCGCCGGTCCCTTAGCCAAGGCGACGCTGACCGCATTGCAGCCGCTACGCAATCAAATCCGGTGTTCTTCCGCCTGCAGGTACCACGAGCGCGCCCTGCTACACCACTCGAAGATGACATTTCGAGGCTCAGGAAACGGATGGGTCCGTATGACGATGGTGGCAGGAGCTTGAGTCAAAGTCCGGGTAATAGTATGGGTAGGAATACGCCTACAAGCACGCCAATGCCAGTACATGAGGATGCTTACGGAATTGTATCCACCTACATCGGCATGCCGATGACTTCAGAGGCCTCGTTCATGGATACAGAGGGGTTGTCAGTGCAGCTGACCAGCACTAATGATTCCAGCTTCCGGCACATGAGCCACCATGACCAAGTCAGCCAGAGCCGAAGGGTCATTGAGATTGGGGCTATGGCTGTGGTCAACGCGGCGAGGGTCGATCCATCGCTGGCCCGCAAACGCAGCCGGCTGCCTGGCCTGGACATCGAAGAGCCGGGCAGGGACGCGGAGCAAGGCCGGAGAGAGATCTTGAAGAAACTGGAAGAACTAGAACACCATCTCAAGCACGAGCTATACGATTGCGACGAAGCACTCAAGGCATGCGGCATGATCCGCGAAGCGCTGGCTAGCAAGACCAAGGACGATGCTCAAGTACTCGAACACCAAGCCGCTGAGAGGTGCAACGGGGTGCGAACTCCTATTGCCGCGTTGCTCGGATGTCGCGACCCCGATGGCAGGCCCGCGAAAGTCGACGACGGAGATGATATCCTCGCCCCTCCCAGCCAAGTCATCCCCATAGGAGACGATGAATTGTACCACAATGCTAGCCACGGCGACCTGTTCAACATCTTCACGAAGGGGAGGCGGGAAAGCGAGATGGAGACGCACGGTCTCTAGGTGCGAGAAGGGTTCACGGCCTCAATAATGGTTGGCGATATCACAGCATAGCATAGCGATGGCGTTGATGCGGTGGGGTTGGTACTACGGCGCTGAAATTGGACATGAGGGAGGTAGTTGTTTCTGTATTTACTCGTAACACTAGACAGCCTGCACAGATACCCCTTTCCTTTCTTCTCCAGCAACAGCACTTGGGGCGAAACATCATCTTCGTAGCGTTCGAATATATACTAGATTTCCTACTCTAATCCCAACAATCGAAATCAAAACCGCATTTCCTCCCTCCTAATATCCACCACCTACCCACTCTCCACTTCTATCAATCACTCTTCGCCACCCCAATCACCCTCCCCCTTCCCATCAACCCCAACTCCTCCGCACTCCTAAACCTCCCCTTGGCCATCTCAACATCCCCTCTACTCCTTGTCCTCCTCCTTTTCCCGTGCTGACTCTTCTCATACTCGTCCTCCCAAAACCCCCACCCAAAAATGCAAACCAAGCACACCACCACAAAAAGAGCAATCATAAACAGGATAAACATGAAGAGCGCCCAGAACCCCGACGCGAGATAGTCGACAAAAGAAGCGGTCCAGGAGGAGAGAAAATGCGCAGTCGTGCCTTTGCGCCCGTAGGCGTCCCAGTCGAGGAAGTGCATGATGAGCTGGGATGTGCTGGGACGGGTGACGAGGTGGAGAGAGCGCGAGACGAGAGATGCGGACAGGATTTCATAGGTTGGCGCCGGCTCTAATGCACTTATCAATTGCTTTTCCACAAGCAGCACCTCGAGCAGCTTCTGCTCTGGATCGTCCATTTTGAATCTAAGCTCTTTCTCGGGTAGATCGGACCAAAGCTCGAAGACGTCGAATTGGAAGAGAAAGGCCTTCACGCCCTGCGAGGTCTTGATGGCGCGGAGAGACTGGCGGTACGAGAGGCCGAAGAAGCCGCCGCCGAGATTGGTCTCGTGACTTGCTTCGAGCTGGTTGCTAGACAGGATGGTGGAGAGCTGGTCGATGGAGAGGTCGTGGACGACTTGGTTGGCGAAGACGCGGGGGAGGTTGCGCCGCCCGGAGTAGAGTTCGGCGTTGTTGATTGCTATGAAGGTGCTGTCGTAGGGTAGGCTGATGTTCAACAACTGCTCGCTTGGTCAGCCTCATCCCTCACAACCATCATCAGATCTAAAGTGTACCAAAGCGTTCTGATCTTTCCTCTCCGACCACGGCTCATGGGTCCCCTTCGACGTATCCTGGAACAAAAACGGGCATCCGCGACAGGGCAGTTTAGCCACAACGTTATACCCCTCTTCGATTATTGTTATTTCCGGCGCCACATCTGCAACAATTGCTGCGATAGCATATTGAGATAAAGAAAGCGCCGCGATAAAGCGGGCTATTCCAAGTATCATGGTGGGAGGAAAGCTGTGGGCGTGCGGTGGTAGGTGGCCATGGTGAGATGTATTTGAGGTTCAAAGAAGGTGAGGTGTTTCGACGTGGAGGATACGGGATTAGGTAAGCTTAACGGCACGTGAGCGTGCGCTTGAGAGCGACACGTCATGTGATTGGGAGATTAGCCGCGCCTGACATGACCTCAGCTCGCGGCGGCGACGACTCCTCGTGGGCTGAGAGAATCACTCAAAGACTGTCGTGGTCTGGAGTAGAAGGCATCATATGTCCACTTACTCAAAGATAGGTGCTTTCCAGCATGACATGTCCGCCCTCAGGCATGCGAGGTCACATCGGACAAGAACCCCTGTAGCGGCACCACGATGTCGCTGCCCCATATAATTCCGTTGCAACTGCCCTGATGAACTGTTTCATCCCCAAATACCCTACCCCCATCGCATTATTTTATAACAAACCCACAGCATCCAAGGACTGCTCTGCGTGCGCTCTCCCTTCTTCGACCATGCGCTCGGTGCGCTTCTCGAAGCCAAAAACGAAGCGCATCTCGCTTGCCGATGACGACCCCAAGACTTTCGCCGAGTTCTCGTCATGTATACAAGGCGTTTCACATTCGAAGCCGACCCCTGCCCGGGTGGTTGGAGTTGTGCCACTTGTGGAAGAGAAAGACGAGCAAGACGTCGAGTATGTGGAGAAGGAAAATGAAGGGGAACGCCACGCCAGCTAGACATCGCTCATTGGCCTAAGAGCTTCAAGTAGTCCGCCTCCTGGGACGCGCCGCCACGAGGCGAAGCGTCCGCCCGCGTGGTCCCTTGGGTTGAGCAAGTAGTATTGTAGTATCTGGTGGAAAGGGTAGGTAAGCAATGGTAGCGCTGACATGGAGACAGAGATTCGTTATCGAGAAGATGCTAATGTTTCTGGACCGAGATTCTCCTAAGTCGTATATCATGCACTCATGCCCCGCGCATTACGCATCAATCTATCGGACGAAAAGAAACCGCCAATGGACAGCTAGCGAGCCCACACCTAAGCGCCTGTTATTCGCCCTTGAGCTTGCTCAGCGCACGTTCCACCATCCCGATCGCCTCCTCCAGCAGCGCGATATCCATCTTCGCCTGCCCAATGCCGTCTGCCTCGGCAATCCTCAGTTCCCCTCCCTCCTCTAGACTCGTCTTAAAATTGCTCGCCGCTTCTTTCAACGGCGTAAGATAGTGCTCCTCCATATTGCTCCCTTCATGCAAGCCTTTAATATCCAGAACATCGTGCAGTGGACGTGCAGTAAGGAGGAGAAAATAGAAGTTTAACGCCGCAAGGTAGAACCCCAGTTCCTGCCGGAATTGCATGAATGGCTCTGAGATTTCCACGGCGGAGTGGTACGTGTGGGTGAGGTCGGGAAACAAGAAGGGAGCTACTGTTGAGAGGGCAACGGGGGTAGCGAAGATGTTTGGCGGGTTGGAGTCGTCAGTTGCTGGATTTGCCGAGTGTGGTATATTGGGGTTCGCTTCCAGTGTTTCGCCCTTGAGCCAGGTCACAGCGCTCGCTTTGAGGTTCTCGTAGGGACAGTGTTCTAGCGTGTCGCGGATGAAGGTTAGTCGGACCAAGTCTGAAGGGTGGGAGCGTAGGATCGTTGAGGTGAGATAGTGCGCATGGTAGCGCAGGCTTGGAGACGGCGTATTGGCGGATACTAGGGATGTCGTCTGTAGATATCTTGCGAAATCCTCGTCATCCTTCGGTTCTCCTACTGCGTTCTTCTCGAGAGCAATTAAGCCAAGAGCAAGCACGGTGTCGAGAAGGGCTTCAGGCTCAAGACCTACGGTCTGTTGGCCCATTACGCCCACAAAGTTGGCGAGTATCGTTGCGTGATCTGGGAAGATGCATATGGATGGAGTGTCGTCAACGCTCACATTGGAGTAGAGCTCCTGCTTTACGCTCCGGGCGGCAAAGAGAAACAGTGAGCCAGTCTTGGATAATGGGATATCTTCAGCGGAATTAGGCGGCTCATCCTCGGCTCCTGGTATGCCTTGCTTCTCTATCTCAGGGTCCATGATCGCCTGAACAAGCTCTTCGGTTTTCATGCCGAGGTCCTGGGCCAAGGCGACGATCTGGCCGACTATCGCCGATCTTGACTTCATATCTTCGTCTTCTGCGAAGCGGTCCGCATATTGGCGTTTTCCGGGTACTATTCGCTCAGGCTCGTACTTCTCCATCAGCCTGCTGGACCATGCAAGGCCAGGAACATCTTCCTCAGAGTTCAAGGTCAGGACATAGTCTTCGACAACATGGGTTAGAAATGATTGGAGAAGCCGGTTGACCAGTGTCTGCTCATGAGCTGACGGCGGCTCACTCTGCGCTTCTGGATCCGGTTCAGAAAAGCCAGTAGCAGCTCGCAGCAGATTCGCGCTGCTGGCTCGTGGCGGAAGATGGGGCCTCTTAGTCCCAGACAGAGTCTTGACGAGTTTGACGGCGGACAGTGTGAGCTCATCCCGATGGGTCCTTGCTCTGTTGTACGCGACTAGCACGGCCTGGAGGCTGGTTGACAGGAAGCGGCTCGGATACTTGGTCTTGACGCGTCGATGTAGCGCCATCAATAGGTCAACCAGAATCTCGAACTTGAGTACTGGCAAGGGTGGGAGTACGGTAGGTGGCAGAGCCGGAGAAGTACTCGATTCCCCAACCTCCACGGCCGGCACTTTACTGGACGATCCTTCTTCGAGCGGTGCCGCCTCTTCGTCAGAATCTTCATGTGGCTCTTCAAATTCCAGCAGCCGTAGAGCCTCCGTGACCTTCAATATCACCTCCCTCGGGTTGCCCTTCGCAGCAATGTCCTGGAGGCATTCTTCCGAGGCTGGAAGAAGCGGAAGCAGCAGATGAACCAAGTCCCACCCGATATTGACGGTGAGGTCGGTAGTCAGCAATACCTGGTGGAGCACTGGCAGATTCTCTTCGGTAAGGTTGTATTCGACGATGGTGAGATAGGTCAAGTAGTCGGTCGCTGGGGGTAAGGCCGCCAAGAGAGGGTTCTGCTCTTTCTGTCCCTCGGCCATGGTGCCGGTATCCCTGGCTCTTCAACGTGTAATGGTAGAATGGAGTTGTTTCAGCTGGGGGTTGGAGCAAACTACTGTGGTGGACAGCGGAGCGGAGTTGCCGCACCTGGAGATTGACGCAATGCCTCGCGCTAACGCCTAAGCTAGTCTAGCGTACCCGCTCTCGCCAAGCGTAGCCCAGCAGATCGCAGCCGCCAAAGCTCGACCTCGAATTCGAGCGTCTTGCCAGTACGAACCGCCTTCTCCACCACACTCGCGCACCATGGACGAAAAAGACGAAGGCCACGAGCCGCTCGACCTAGTTCGCCTCTGCATCGACGAAATCGTAATCGTAAAACTACGCGGCGACCGCGAACTCAAAGGCCGCCTACACGTACGTTGAAGCTTGCCGTGCACAACGTGAGGACGGATTCTGATAACGGGATGCAGGCATACGATAGCCATTGCAACTTAGTCCTGGGCGATGTTGAGGAGACAATCTTCGTCGCCGACGACGAAGACGAGGACGAGGCGCCGCGCGTGAGGGTCAGTATCCTCGCTCCTCCATCTCACCGACACGGAACATATACTGATTGGGGAAACAGACAGTCAAGAAGCAGTCGGAGATGCTATTTGTGCGAGGCGACTCGGTGGTCTTGATCGCGCCGCAGGAGGGAGTTACGCAGTGAGCTTCACTGCACCGCTTCCTACCGCAAGAGCAGAGTTCTTAATGACCTTAAGGACATTGGTGAACGGATGCGTGAACGGCCACGCTTGAGATACCCGAATGAGAGACGTTGCGAGGACCGCTTGGTGGAGAGGGATTGCATGTGATGGCTCGGCGCTGATGGAGGAGTCTCTTGAGGGAAGATGTTGCCCGGTCAGATTTGCACCGCGCCCGAAGGGAGTGAGACACGCAATGCGTACGGCCACCCAACACTAGTTGAGCAGAACCATACACAATTGAAAGATCCGCAAAGCCCAGACGGCCTGTTCTTCCCTTCTGCACATCATCCTGTGCCCTCTTCTGACCCATCAGTTGCATGAAGGCGGGCTGGAGTATGTCAAACTTGGACTGCATGAGAATGCGACAGGCAGCTGTTGGGCAAGGGCTGCGTCTCTGATCACATCACCAGCAAAAGGAAGGCCAATGACCATAGACGTAAGCTTTTTTTTGACTACGTATCGGTATACGCCGAAGGCCAGTAAACCAGGCATAGGCGCTAATGTACGAGCCTCTATAGACCACTGTCCATCATAAAAGGAAAAGGAGAAGAAGAAACTGGGAAGCAAGCCCGCGACGCATCGAAAGGTCCTGTGGAAATTAAATGTAGGGGTTTTCATGACTTCATGTCGTCGTGAGTTGCGCCATTCCGATCCACCACGCTCGCAATGCAAGAAAATCATCCGAAGGAGAAAAGCGTGTGCAGCGCCGCGCCCATGACTACTCCTCGGAAGGCACCGTCCCCAGTCTGCACTTCGCTGCTCGGGGTAAGGAAATTATAGAGATTTAGCAAAGGTGGTGTTTCGATCAGACGGGAAAGCCGTATACGCCGTGTGCGACAGCCGACGGAAAGGAAGGTGTGGAAGACCTGTGCTGCTGTTCCAAAGAGCCACCAATTCGCCGAGAGTCCGGGAACAATAAACAAGAATGGAGAAGATGCCGATTGCCTGTGCGGTAGGCTTGGCTCCTAGCTGACGGCGGTAACCAGGGCTGCTCGACCGTGTCGGCGAGACGGCACCTAGAAACCTTGGTCAGAAAGAGAGAAACCACGGTCCGCGGGATCAATGTATTCACTTTCGTCTCCAGGTCTGGCTATGACCAGCAAGGCTGTCCCTAGACACGAAAGGGAGCTGGAAGCCCTTGATGACTTCCGCCTCAACGAAGAGGGATGCCTTCTTGTACCGCTTGTCGGTGTACTTGTCGTAGACCGCGCCGTGATGCTTCTGTGGGTTGTCGCAGCATTCAAGGATTACGGATACCAACTGGCGGAGCTGTTGTAAGGTATATCCGGAATAATGCACATGGCTCTGCGACTTGGGGAGGGTTAGCACTATACGGCACGAAAGAATGACCAAAGCATACCCAGTCACCCTTCTTCAACATGAAGCGGGCAAGGCAGTGAGCTCCCGCGGCAAGGAAGCTGGGAGCACATCCGACGAAGCGCTCATCCATGATCGTAATCTCGAGGAAGTACTTAGCGAGCGTCCGGGTCTCCAGATCATAATCGTCTGCTTTGCTGATCCTTCGGAGGAAGCTCATTGGTCCTGGCCAACCCAACTCAAACTTCAACATGTTCAGCATGAAACGCTCGGCTTTGAGCACCTCGTCTTGGGTATAGGCGCCATCGACCATGTATACGATCTCCGCGACAGCCGGGCAATTGATCTCCTCGTACTTGGCTGCGAGGAAGAGGGCCGTGGCCCCAACGAGCTGCAGCTTGCCAAGGGACACGACCTTGCAGGAGAGGAAGCGGTCGACGTAATTGACACTCAGGAACAAGGTTTCCGGCAGCAACGTGAAGCGGTTGTGGACCTGGACGAGCCAGTCGATAAGGACTGATCGCATAGACCATTGAATCTCCGATTGGTGATCCATATAGTCAGCATTGGGCGTCAACCGCTCCTCGAGCTCGTGCATGTACTCAAATATCTCTTCTCCATATTCCGCGACCATGGACGTGTCCCATTGCTCGTCTTCGGCGTCTTCGACAGTCCGGTTGGCTTCGACGTATTGTTTAGCGGCCTCGAGTTCGCGTTTAGATTTCGCGGTAACTCTAGGAGCAAGCACGAGCGTGACGCCGCCGGTAGTGTTATCGCCGCGAGACCGCAGGGATCGGGCCGTGGTATAGCCATCGGCATCGTAATATTCCTCTTCGTCGTCCTCATCCCAATACTCGGCGAGCTCTTCGTTGCGTTCTTGCTCGAGAGCGCGTGCCTTCTCTTCCAGAGCTTCCAGATGATCGTGCGTCTCTCGGACTTCAACATGGGTGCTGGAGTATTTGGTCTGAACGTCGACATTGGTCACTTTCTCCTCGTGAACGCTCTCCTTGGCCTCCGCAGAAATCATCCCGTAAGGCTTAGGATGGGTAGGCTTCACACTTGGGAGCAGCGATGAGGCAGTTTCGCTAGCAAGTGCTTTGCCTGCGCGTTCCGTTGCAGCTTGTGTCCGATCCTCATTGCGCGTTGCCTCAGCCGCCGGATGTAGCAGTTGACGTGTTGGAGCTGGCGCGGTCGTGGTTTCGGGGACGGGATCTGAGTGGGTCTCCCTGAACACGGTTGTGGCCTTCTTCGAGAGCGCCTTGCGGATGTTGGTCGTGTTGTGGACCGCGTCCAAGGTGACGTGCTTTGGCACAGCTGAGGCTACCAGCTCTGACCCATTGGCCCCGTTCGCGTTGGACGAAGTGTTCGCGAGAGGGCGCTGAGCAGGTCGCAGCAGCGCGGTGGGCTTTAGCAGCTCCTTCGCCGAGACAATGGCTGGGTCCTTGAGGATGATGTTTTCCTTGCCGGCGGGTACCTGCATGTCGTCCTGAACATGAGGCTTGCTCGTGTTGGTCGCGTCCCCAAGAACAGCGCGCTTGCTCGCAGCCGCCTTGATCCCTCCCACATGCATGAGTGTTGGCAGCGCCGGCGTCGACTTGTTTCGGTGGTGGATGGACTTGCCGGCAGGAAGCTGCACCGGCGCGTTTTCATCGCGGATACGCAAGGCCCGCATTGGGCGTTGGGGCTGGAGAAAATTCTGTTAGCGCTGAGGACGAGTGGTGTTGAGTGAAGGCGGTGGATCGAGACGGCGCCGAGGGCTTGCGAAGTCGAAGCGGTCCAGGCGGACAGCGACAGGTGGACTTGGGGACATGCAGCTGCGTACCTTTGCATCCATGCTGATGCCTTCTTGTCAATTGACAACAGATGCTCCAGCCGATGCTGTGCAGACGTCGAGCTGAGCAGGAGGAGCGAGGGTAGTCGGAGAGGCTGGATAGGGGAGCGCTCGGTCGCAGCGCAACAAACAAAGGCCGTCCTATAAACAATTACTCCATCTAACTTGGCGACGATGAGATACACTGGCAGATATCGGCGGACGACACGAGGTGGTGGAGGTTGCAGGACAACAGCGCTGGGGACGAAAATATAATGTATCGCTCTGGACGTTGTTTACCCAGAGTCGCGCCGTGGAGCTTGGGCATACACCCGCAAGCGTCCTAGCGTCTTTTGCTGACTCGGCAACCGCCTTGGCACTCCACGTCATCTGTCTAGTCGCGACTTCCGACCAGCATCCCAAATCCAACTTCACCGCGCATTTCCCCACACCCGCTGAGTTCCGGCCTCATAAATTTTCCAGGCCATGCGCCCTTCGCTCCGGGGCGGGTGGGCATAGTTTTTGGAGTTTGCGCCCCTCAGAACACAGCGATCCGACAAAACCGCCCAGGACGCGTCGTGTTGCGACCGCCAAGAGTTATTTCTCACGGGCAGGACGCGAGATCACGTGCCGGACTTCGTTGTTTCCAAAACACCGCCAACACTCCCTTGCGCTTTAACTGCAATATCAAGCTCCTCGAATGGTCGCCCGCACTCGTCCAGGCTGCTCGCATCGCTGTCGCGACCGCCACGGGCCTCCTCAGCGGCCGGGAGTCGCCAGCCGTCCGAAGCCCACAGCCTATCACGCTCCGCACTGCCACCGGTTTCAAACTCTCTGCCTGCAGTTCGCAGTTCCCTTGTCCTGCGCCGCCTGTGCTCCGCAATGGGCCCAAAAAGGCACCATGCTGCCTTTGCAGAGTATCTGCGGCTGCCGGCGTTGGTCATCGGTCTGTCGGTCTGTCGCTTGCAGGTGCTTTGTTCTGCCCACGCGGGCTAAGGGCCGAGGATTGGCCTCTTCACCGACAACTTCCGTGGGCGCCATGACGAGATCACGCTGCGCCCGCTCGTTTCCTACTGACTGGCCAGAAAGGCCCTCGCATCTCTCCGCACGATGGCGGCTTGCGCGCGTTGCGCGAGAGCAACCGAATGCCGATCAAGAGCCCGTCCGCTTTGAACCGGACCCATGTCTGCAGACATGCGGAACCACTACGTATGTAAAATGCGCCGGAAGTCGTTCGTCATGCAGGGTCGAAAATTCTAGTAAACCACGCAGTTTCACGCCTCTGTCGGCACACTACTCGGCCCGGAACGTACGTTGGAGCGTAGGAGAGGCGCATTTTCCTATCTTGCGTGCTGTTGAATTGTCTGCCGCAAGCAGGGAGGTATAGCTTAGTGTTCCCAATTAGACGCCCAGCGCCGCGAGTCTGCGGCCAACGAACCGCAGCGCTTCACCACCTGGGGAAACGATGGTTCTGCGTCTGCTATTATTACCAGCTCCTGGTCGCGACTTGATAATTCAGGCTTTCTGGGAGTGCGCTCCACCGCGATCAACCGCCATCATTTGTTCTCCTCCCACGGGACCGTCGCGCCCGGCCAACAGAAATGCGCAGCTCAGCTGATTGGCCACGTCTGAGAGTACTGTGTATGGAGAGCGCCTCTGGCAACTGACAATCGCTGCTTTCCGTCCCGGGTTATTTTCTCTGCATCATTTGCTTGCCCGTGGCATGGATTTGTAGGCTCTTGAGATATGCGCCGGGCAGTCTGGCCGTTTCAACCCCGAATGGAAGGCACCAACAAAGGATTCCTGAACGCTGGGCCTGCGCGGCCGGCTGTCATGCATCGTTTAGCCTCGTAGCCGTACCGTCCATCTGAAGATATCTGCTGCAAGCAGACGGCTTCAAAGAGGGTGGTCGGGTCCATGGGCGTATGCGCCCGGCCTCGCAGTCCACATTCCAGCGCCTGCGCGGGCCGGGGGTACTCATTTGACGCTGAAAATCAATTACCAATTGGCAGGCGACCGGCCACTCGTCGCAGTTTCCATGCAATTCGTGTGTGTTGAGCTCAAGCATTTACGGTGTTGGCGTAGTGTGCCTCGCGTAGATCATCAGGTCCGACTGACGAGGTCCTCAAGCCATCCCTCCTCCACCACCTTCCCACCACAGTTCCGTCGTGGGCCGCGCCACGTCCTGGGTTTCCTAGGTCCTCACGCTTCTCCTCGCACAGTCGCTCTGTTGGGTATGTACTCGAGCGCTCGTGCTGCCGCCTTCGTTCTCTGCCAGCGCTCCCACTGACCTGAGCGCTGCGACCAGTGGTGGCTACGAAACTAGAATCGCAGCGCAGCGTCAGAGCCCATCTGGCCCGCCCAAGCCCGCAGTCGGTATGTACGGCTTTCATTATGCCATGCGACCAGAACAAGACTCACGGAAGTCGCTGGCTGCCGCCCGCGCGAGCTCCAGCGATGCCATTGCCCGCCTCCCTGCGGCTCGTCCAGCGACGACGAGGGCCCGCAGCAGCCGCCCTGATTCGGCCTCGTCGGCGGCCGATGAGAGGCCATCTGCGCTTCATACTGCATCATTGAGGCCCAGTTGCTAACATCTCGCTTTGTAGAGTTGATTCCCGGTTCCCTCCTCCCGACCGCCATTCGCTCTAAGCCCTTGCGACACCGGCGGGATCGGTGTGCCGCCAACCACCACATACCGAATCCTACTGCAGAGATTCTGGGACTACAGTCCCACAAGCGGCAGGCAGGACATGCAAGTCTCGAACTTGCTCACGGAGAATCCGGCATCTGGCGCTCGACGTTCCATCGGTCCTGCTGAGGGCCTTGCGATCGGCCTACAACACAGCGCCGGGCACATCGGTGCAGGATACAACATGCATCCTCACGGAGGCGACGCAGCGATGCTAGACATTTATCCAAGCACGGAGACTGCGTCTCCCCATGATTCGCTGTCACCTACCAAGGCTTCGCATCCGAAGTATGTAAGCTTCGAGCTGCTTCTCCCGCAGTCGCCGCAGCACAGGGCCCGTCTCCCGATGCGGGTGAACATATTTCCTCATGACACGACCGATTCTATCATCACAACAGTCAAGAACTTCTACGGCTTGTACGAGCGCAGGGGCGTCGTGTTCGAGGACGGGCACGGCAACACCCTGATCGCGAGATATGAGAACTTCGCGCATAACATGGTCGTCTACGTCCGCGTTACTGCAGAAGAACCAGATGTCGACGAGTTCACCCATGGTGCTCGTCAGTCCATGTCTCCCCGGCGCCCTCGACTAGACGAAGCGTTTCAGATGCTGCCTCCATCGCTCTCTCGCGCCGTCGGACGACAGAGCCAATCTCCTCAACCTGGACGCGGCAGACGCAGTGCGTCGGCGAGCACAAACACAAAGCGCTCTCGACCTGCCGCGAAGAGTCGTGGTCCTAGTTCTCATGGCAGTTTTGCGGACCTTAACGGAGACACCAATGCCTATAGCGATAGTGATGGTGGTGACGCTTCTGTTACCAGCTCGCGCCGCTCAAGAAAGGAGCAAGTCGCCAGTGCGGAGATCAGCGTCGATAACATCGTTGAAGGAGGCCGTCGCAAGCGCGCCAAATTTGACAGCTCTGTGAGTATTGTCTGCGTGAGAACCACGATATGCGGCATCTAACATCCTCTTCCTCGCAGGAGCTCCCCCTATTCGTGCCTCCTCAAGTCCCTATGACTGCTTCACTCTCGTCCGTTTCGCCGCAGAGGCGCATCAGCAGCAACCAAGGGGCCTCGCCCTATTCGCTCAACAACCAGCAGACCTTTGCGTACTCGCATCCTCTGCCGTCTCCTCAAAGCTATGGTCAAGTCGATAACTCCTATCTTCAGGGGTTGGCTACGCCATATTCGGCTTCGAATGGCCCAGCGCAGGGATACCGCTCTCGCACACGTGGCTCGGCCCAATACGGTCCATATCGCCAATCCGGCAACACTGGAGGCATCTTGCCAACACCAGACCCCACCCTTGGCAGTATCAGTGTCATTTCTGATGAGGACGTTGCTCGTCAGCTAATGCGACTGGGCGATGCGTCCAACTTTTCCACACACGGGCGCACATCTACCTCCACGCTTGACGATGCATTGAGCGGCAAGGCCGAGGCAGCATCCTCCAGTGAAGAGAGCGATGATGGTAGCGAGGACGAGCAAGGGCTTCCACCTATGCCATTCAGCATGGCACGTGCTAATGGCGTCAATGGAGACCTAAGCCGGGGTTACGACAGCGGTGACAGCAGCGGCGAGGAGTACGAGGACAACCGAGATGACTCCTTCAAAGGTGAAAGCGATGAGATCGTTCCTGATGAGCACGGCGATCAGCTGGAACAGCATGGCGCAATGAAAGCCCGCTCCTCCGTCTCGAGCAAATCCGGCAAACCTAGCAAACCGCGTGCGCTCGTAAAGGCTAAGGGCAAGACCGCCAAACCGCCTATGTCCCCGACATCCCTTCCTCCTCAGTCGCGCAAAACCTCGAGTGCCTCGATTAACGGCCAACATCAGCTGGGTGTTGACGAGGAGGATCTGTCGACTAAACCACGCTGCCAGCGATGCCGCAAGAGCAAGAAGGGCTGCGATCGCCAGCGTCCCTGCGGACGGTGTAAAGATGCTGGCATCGGCATTGAAGGATGCATCAGCGAGGACGAGGGCAACGGTAGAAAAGGACGATATGGGCGCCACATGGGTGTCCCAGTCAAGAAAATGCCAATGGACCCTCCTCCGTCGCACGATCAGGGGGTTCCGACCGGGATCACGCACCACTTCGCCATCCCCAGCGGCACGATCGAGAAAGGCAAGAAGCGAAAGAGGTAAAGGGTTATGCTCGCCTTCCTATCTCTGCAACCTTTATCGACGTCTCTCGCACTCCCTAAGCCCATATACCTGTGGGCTTGCCATATCTCACCTTTGCGCCAGTTGTCCCCTCATCTCGATGTCTTGGAGTAGTATGGGAGTCTTTTCGCGGAGCAAGATCCTACAAGTTACGATGCTTCGATTTTCATCTCCTATCTCTTTTGTTATCTGAGATTGCTGTTAGTGCGCCATTTCGTTGATCTCCCTGGAGTTCATGAGTATGAGCAATCTTGGATAGCGCTGCAGGGAGGCACTCTTCCGTTCCGCTCCTTCCTCTACCCCAAAAGTATTCTTTGGCGTTCCCTAATCTACCACGCCTGAGAGATGGACGATGATGGCGACGCCCCATGAGGGCGGGTTGCTGGTCTTAAATTGCTCAACCGTTTCTCTCCCCGGCTCTTGAATTTGGGAGGGCGCGATGGTAGGGCCTGGGGTTAGACGGGTGGTTGGCTATGGTGGTCATGGTATTTCTTTATTGCTTCGGCTTATCGCCTTACGGGTGTTTGGGACAATAGCGACCTTTAGTTTACGATATTGAATGACTAGCCCTAGCGGAAGACGTTGGCGTGTAACAGTTCCTGGTGATAGGTGACACTGGGGGGTTTGCTAGCTGATTACCCAGGTAAGGTAGGACATGGTGTCGCCTTCAGGGAAACATGGTAGTACCAGAGCAAACATGCCTCTGACGACCTTCGCGACTCTAGATACGTTTCTTCCAAGGTTAGTTAGCCAGTAGTTCCTGGTAGCCTTCCAAGGTCGTTCATTGACCAGTAACGGTGACTACTATTTTGGGCGTTGGTCGCGTTAAGCGATCCAGTAACGGCTTGGTGGCTTGGGTTTGGTGGGGCCGTGGCTGCCTCGAATCATTGCCCAATCATGAGCGAGGGTGGCTGTGCCTGACTTTTCGACCTTCTGTACCACCTGTCGCATCGCGCAAGGCCTCGAATCCTGCGCCGTCACCGGTGCCGTATTACCACTTCCCAGCCCACTTGTGCTGCAACGCTTCACCACGGAGGATGCCAGGCTGTGCCCCGACGCTTGGGGCCGCTTCCTCCTTCCCTCCCCTTCTCCTTAACACTTCTCCGCTCATCAAGCAGCACGGTAGCCTCTAGATCCTGCTGCTCTCCTCGTTCGACATGGCTGAACCAGCTTCGTCAATCAAGTCGCGCATTGCGGCGCTGAACATCGAGCAGGTCCACGCGCCCTCGCCTGGGAGTCGCCCCGCGTACAGCTATGAGCAAGCAACGACGCCGAAGAAGAAGCCACCCCCGCCACCTCCTCCTGCCCCAGGCCAGCGACCGCCGGTTCAACAGAGACAGCAGACTGTGAACAACCCTCCTATCTTCAGCAATGCGCCAACATCAGCGAGGTATTTGGGAAACCAGCCGGCGCCTGCGAAGCCCGACACGCCGAAGATATCGCCCGCACTTCCTCCTCGGCCGCCCCCTCGAAGCGATTCGAAGCAACCCCCCAGCTTGCCGCCCCGCAAGTCCTCCGAGAATACTCCCAGTCTACCGCCCCGCAAATCTTCCGAGTACAGCATAAGAAGACGAGACTCTACAGAATCTATAGCTACGGTATCTTCGGGGATATCGTCGCTTTCTCTAGGTTCCGCGAAAACGGCGTTCAGCAATGCCACGTCGAACGGTGGGCAGCTCCATCAAGTACGAGCGCCAGCCTATGATCCCTCCAAGCTACCCCCGCTGCCACCGAAAAAGGCGCCTGAGGATCCTAAGCAGAGCAAAGCGACCTTGAAAGCCATGAAGTCAACCACAGACGTGCTCGCAAGCAGATCGTTACCGCCCCAGCTACCATCTCGGCCACCACTACCTACACGGCCAGAATCCAAGGCGAAGGACCATGTTCAGCCAGAAAAGCGTCAGATACTACCCCCGCCGCGGCGCTCAGCTCTCGACTTTGGAATGAACAAGTCCACTGAGTTGCCTCCTTCCATTCCCACTAGTCGACCGTCGGCTGATTCTTCTCCTTCTCCTGACCCAGGTGCACCTCCGCCTATTCCATTAGCGTCTCGCCCGAATTTGGATGCTATTATGGCCTCGAAACCCAAGCTGGGCGCTACGGCGGCTTGCCTCAAGTGCCGTGACTTCTCCGCTCCTGACAGCCATGCTGCCCGATTCTCTCGTAATAACCTCCCGTCTTCGGACGTAGGCTGGCTTGCATCTCAGCTGACTTCGTCTTTCCCATCACCCACCGACAAGGCACGAGCTATCTTTGTCTGGCTGCATCACAACGTCGACTATGACACGCACTCCTTCTTTAGCGGGACCATCTCTCCTTCTACACCAGAACGGACGATCACAACGGGACTGGCTGTGTGTGAAGGCTACGCCGGCCTTTTTGCGGCTCTAGCGCTCAAAGCTGGCTTGGAAGCCGTCGTAGTTTCGGGGCATGGAAAGGGCTTCGGCCATTCGGCCCTCAAACCCGGCGATCCCCTTCCTGCGTTCAGTTGTGGTCATGCGTGGAATGCTGTACGGATTGATAATGGGGAGTGGAAGCTGATCGATGCTTGTTGGGGGGCTGGAAGCCTTGGATGTGGCAATACCTATTCGAGGCATTTCACGCCTTCCCAATTCACAATGGATAACAACGATTTCGGCTACTCACATTACCCCGCAGATCAGTCGCACTTGTTCCGGACGGATGGTCGTATCATGACCTGGGAAGAGTATGTCATGGATGACATGGGCGGACGAGTCCAAATCTACGGAGACCCAGACGACCATGGCCTTGGAGTCCGCACTTTCCAACCGGCGATGAGACACCTCAAGGTCCATGACCCGCACGATGCACCCGTCGTTCGGTTCCAGTTCGCCACCGTATGTCCGCACTGGAATCATGAGAGAAACGGAAAGGGGAAGCCGTACATCTTTACCCTCCATGTGGGTGGCAGGGATGGCAGGAACTCTCAGCACCTCCCCTTCAATACGGACGGCAAGGTCTGGTGGTTGGACGTTAACCGCATTGAGCTCGGCTGCATGGGTCAGAAGGTCAGCCTCATGGCTGTCATTGAGTTTGACGGTCGCGATGGTAGAGGCCTGACCATGTCGCAGTATAAGGCAAGGGTAGGGAGATGTGCTATGAAATGGAGTAGTGTTGCAATGTGGGAACTGGTTTAATGCATGGACACGGGACATATGGATACCCTAAGACCGGACTGGATTATTGGTCTGCATAATTGCGATTTGAGTGGCCATGGTATTTGCATTGGGATTCTGTTCTTTATATCAAGACAACCACATTGAGCGAACGTCAGCGTCAGACCAAATAGTCGCGCTAATGTCAAACAAATATGCCCAAATCTTAGGCGCCCTCCAGCTTCGTGGAACAATTTTTTTTTTGTTTCTTACTGAGAGAAAACGCTCGGAGCTTCACATGCCGAACAGCCCCGGATCCTGTGCGATTACGAGACCACGTGACTGTGGCTTGGCGCGATTGGAGAGCTCAAACTTCCCAAGCATTAGACATCCTGCAACGCGCCTCTCACCTGGCTCAACACGTCCACCGTCCGAGCCAAGTATGCTTTCTGCAGGCTTCTGAATCATCAGTCAACTATCATGGCATCTTCAGGCCTTCTTGGAATTTCAGTCAGCGTCACACTGCAACACCCGCCGAACACGGTCGTGGAAGGTCTCGTCGCAAATGTCAACCCGCAGACGGCAACCCTGACGCTCCAAGATGGTATGACGAGGCTAGAACTCCATACAGAATGGCTTACTGACATGCCATCTAGTTCACTTCCCGGCTTCTGGGCATCGCCTGAATAGCTACAACGTGGAGGGGCATGCCATTGCCGATATCAAAGTCAATACAGCCGCAGCTCAGACACGGCAACATAACCCGCCTCCACTCCACCCGCAAGCATCGTACCATCAATATACCGCCAGTCAGATCTCGCAAGGCCCTCCAAGCATCCGCTCAGCGCCACAGCCCTTCGTTGACCCCGCGATCCTCAGCATGGGCAAGAGGGCCACCGCCCCTTCCGCGCATCTGTCCATTGCTGCCCCGCCCCAAGAAGCACCAGCTACGCCGATAAAACCTATATCTTCCGCCGCTGTCGGACCTCTGCCGACCAATACCTCGCCCTTTGTCGGTGTTGCGAAAGAACGGAATTTGCGGAAGCCAAGCGCAGCAACTCTTGAGGGGCCATTCTCATCTCTGGACATAGCAGATGCAGAAGCGCAGGAGAGCGACGAAAACAAGACTGTAGAGCCCGTTGCCCGCAGGACGAGTATCACGAAGACCCGCACTGGAAAGCCCATGGACGAGCCCATCGTCCAACCTGCCGCAAAGAACGAGGAGGGTTACAAGCGCACCAGGCGCGGAGGGAAAGCGCGCAAGAAGGAGGTTGCTGCGCAGGAGAGGCGCAATGGAGCACATGTCCATTCCTCCCCGGATGCTACCCGTAAAACGTATGTCTTTTCCTTCTTTTTAACACTCAATCGTAGACGCGAAGATGCAAGCGAAACACTTCGGGCAAAGAAGCTTACCTTGAGCAGGAAGGGCAATGGCTGGAGGCAGACGCCCATGCTTCAGGACGCTGAGTATTCACAAGCTCGGACACCAGGTGTTATCGGCGGCAGGGTCGGGTTGGAAGCAGCGCATGCCTCGAACCGCAAGACGCGGCGCCAGAGGGCACTTGAAGCGAACAATGGGTGGGCAACAGAAGATGCAACTGACATCCAAGATATGCCCGAATTTGATTTTGCCGAAAATCTCTCCAAGTTCGACAAGCGCACAGTATTCGATCAGATCAGGAACGAAGATACGACCGCTGACGAAGATCGACTGGTCAGCTTCAACCGTCTAGCGCGGCCGGGAACGCATGGCGGCAAGAATCTGCACCCTACCGAGAACGTGCTCGATGGGCGACGCCTGAAGAGCACGTCGAACTCAAGTACAGATGACGACATGTCAGACGTTGGCAGCGGACGCAATTCCCGAAGAGCAATGTCGCGGGCTTCAATCAAGCGGATCCCAACAAGACAGAGCAGTGGCGTTCAGGGCGATATTGAAACACAAAGTCATTCTGGAGGCACGAATCTCATGGCTCGGACCAATCGAACCTATCTTAATCGACAATACGCGTCTTCCTCTCATGCTACTGGTAGCCCGAAGCCTGGCCGGATCACGACGCCTCCAGACTCCCCACTTCTCGAGGCCGTATCGAGATCTTGCCTACGTTTAGTCTCTAGCAACCGTAAATGCCATACCATTACCCCTGGCGGCATGCTTGCAGTCGAAGAGATCGCTGAGGTGGACTTCGGGCTCACGGAAGATATCATGGCAGAGAATGCAGGTCGTGGCATAGCAGAGGTTGCGCTATCAGCTATCAACCCCGGCGGTCGACGGTTAGCCCGCGATAATCCCAATGCACGTCCCGTCATAGTGGTTTTAGCAGGCAATCATCGTGGCGGAGCCAGAGCGATAGCTGCCGCTAGACAGCTACACGCTAGAGGCCCGAAAGTCATGGTTGCCCTCCTTGGCTTCGAGCGAAACGCAGACTGGGATCGAGACGTCCGGCGCCAAGTAGAGCTGTTCAAAAAGCTCGGAGGCTCAGTTCGTGCCTGGCATGACACCGAGGACGCTTTGAAGAGGTTACAAGCACCACCTGAGCTCATTATCGACGCGTTGCTCGGCCGACACAAAGAGTTCGATGCTCTAGGAGACGAAGACAGGCGAACGGTTCTAACGATCGTTGGTTGGGCGAACAAGTCCCGCGCTGCTGTTCTCGCCGTCGAGACGCCGTCGGGCGTAGGCGGCTCCACCGGTGAAGTTGCAATCCTGGAAGGCGAGCCCCTCGAGGTCAGAGCGAAATACATCGTGTGCCTGGGTGCGCCGAAGAGTGGATTGCTCAAAGCACTACACAATGGTGCGGGACGTGAACCGCAATGGCTTATCTGGGTCGTCGATATTGGAGTCAATCGGCCATGGAGAAATGCGGGAATTGGCGGTGGGAAGGGGATCAAGTTCGGCGAGCACTGGGTCGTTCAGGCACAGTACTCCGAAGAGACGGAAGGCGATGGCCTTAGGGGTTAGAAGGATGGGGATGGACTCTGTACAAGTCGACTCTTTCGCATTGCGCGGGCGTTTTGTTATTGGATCACGGTGGATCCCGGATGGGAAATTTGGCACCAGCTTGAACGTCATAGCGAGGGCCCCCTTTAGAAGCTGCACATGGCGCAGCAAAAGCATGCAGACTCTCAATGCTAACTTGTCTTTGCGGTCTGCTGCGGTCTGCTGCGGACCAAAGCGAGCGGAACTGTCCCGCTCGCTAAAGCTTGGCCAGCTCTGATAAGATAAGAGCCGAACTTCGGACCACGGTTTAGACGACGATGCGTCCGCATCTTGAATTGAAGCATTCGCCATATCCACGAACATGGCTCAACCCGGCACGCTCCACCGCTACACACCCCGCCTCGTCGCCTTCGAGCACGCACCCCCGCGCGCTGCATCAGCGCCCGAACCGCTCAACACGCTCCTCTGGATCGGCGGCCTAGGTGACGGACTCCTCACAGTGCGCTACCCGACTGCAATCGCAGCCTCACTACCGCCGAACTGGCGTCTCGCCGAGGTCCTACTCTCCTCTTCCTACAAAGGCTGGGGCACCGGATCTCTCAAGCGCGATGCGCGCGAACTCGGCGACTGCGTGAGGTATTTCAAAGAGGAGGCGAGGAAGGGAGGGAAAGTCGTGCTTATGGGACATTCGACGGGCTGTCAGGATATCATGGAGTATCTTGTCGGCGCGGGCTGTGAGGGGAGGAACGCAGTGGAGGGCGTGGTGTTGCAGGGCGGTGTTAGTGATCGCGAGGCATGGGCCAACATGCAGAGGGATGATGAGGGGATGAGGAAGGGGTTGGAGGATGTAATGGAAATGGCGGAGAAGATGGTAAAGGAGGGGAAGGAGAGGGAGGTGCTGCCGCGCGAGGGGAATGTGGTTACTGAGACATTGGGGGCGCCGGTAACGGCGTATAGGACGCATAGTTTGCTTGCGAAGGGCGGCGACGATGATTATTTCTCCAGCGACCTGCCGGATACAACGCTCGCCGGCACGTTCGGAAGGATTCCTGAGACGACCCCGGTGATGTTTCTCCTTGGTGGAGAAGATCCATATGTTCTGGCTTCCGTCGATAAAGAGGGATTGTTGAAGCGGTTTGCGGATGCTATAAGGACAGGGGGTGGGGTGGTAGATGATAAGAATGGTGGGGTGTTGCAGGGGGCGCATCATAATCTAAATGATGATCCCGCGGAGGTGGCGCAGGATCTGGTGAAGAGAGTGGTGGGGTATTTGAAGGGGCTTGAGAGTGAGTTGGATGCGCCTTCAAGGCTATGAAGTTAGTGTTCTTGCTGCTACGCTGCGATGGGATATAGCATATGCTTACACGCTCGGTGGTTGGGAAGATACAAAAAGGAGAGACTGGTCTAGCAGCTACCGCCATCGGCCCTGAAAGAATTGCTTGGCTTCTGTAGTGCCACGCTTTGCATTCAGGAGGTGCAGCTGCTAGTCTCCTCGAGGATTTCATCGAGATTCAGGAGCCGAAGAGAACGGCACCGGCTACTTCGGGGAAGAAGTGGACCCACAGAGGGAAACGTGCAGGACAAAGACAGACGGCTAAGTCTGAGAAGCAGAACCGGGGGACCGTATGCACTGCCATGCAGCTAGACAGATGTCGTTCTCTTCGATCAAGGTCCCCACGTTCTTCATCAATTGCGACGGCCTGTTCGGCATCCAGCGACAGTACAAAACCTCGACCCCAAAGGTGTCTTTAACGTACCTAGAGCTCCAGCCAACCCAGAACGCCTCGGAGCCATTTCTCGACGCTGATGATGGTAGGGAGCAGGAACCACGATTCGCCGCTCTCCGCGAATTGGAGAGCTCGAACAAGAGAGCGGAGCGGCGTCACGAGAAGACGAACAAGGAGTCAATGAGCAGGGTATATTTGAAGGTTAAACAGAACGCACCTGGCCAGCAAGGCAACACTAGCGGTATGAAGTCGGCATATTCATGAAGGATGTAGATCTAGATGTTGGGAATGAGAACGTGGCGGCTGTGTCTGCTAAGGGGAGAGGGTTGAGTCGAGGTCTTCGGCTTTGGGTGGCACAGTGCCGCTAAAAGGCACAATCTGGACGGATGGGCTTTACGGTTTGCGATACGCAACCGCGAGGTTTGATTGTCGTGGAGTAATGGGCGCATTTGAATGTACATCGGAGCCTTACTAGATATATCCTCTCCTCTCTAATCCGTCTCATCCCCACCCCCTCCTTCAATGCACTCCTAATGGCACGCCCGGCTCCACCTCCTCAATCTAAAATAATTCCACGGCAGGGGCGCCGCAAATCCTGCTCCCACACTCAGCACAGCCGCCATCCAAAACTTTGGATCATTAAGCACCACAAGCCCGCCGGTGAGATGATAATCCACCACGTTCTCTGCTCCCTCCATGGCTAGCATAGATACCAGGCTCATGCCAAGCGCGGTTTTGAAAGCCATGGGCCAGGGGAGCCGATCTTTGGAGAGGTGGAGAAGTACGGTTTCTAGGATGAGCGAAGTGGAGATGCCGGATGCCACTGAGAGACGGTGTGTTAGCAACTGTTCATGTCCGCTGCTTCGGGGTGGACTCTTCTCTTTGGATGCTTTCAGAGATGGACAGCTGCCCCCTTCCACGCAACTTACTTGACACGCCCATGATAGTCAACATCCCTAACTCCGGGAAATAACTCTGCAATATCCACATTGCGGAAAAATCGCCAACGGTGCATCCCACGAGACAGCGAAATGTATTGACGCCAGCTCTTTTCCAACTAGGCCGGTGCGTCCAAAAGGCGAGTTGGAATGGAGATGGTGGCTCGGCTGGGTTGTGTAGCTTGGTGGTTCCACCGACTTCGTGCTCATGACACGGGCGAGATTGAGACTTTGCCCGGCTTTTTGGTGAGGAAGTTGAGTTGCATGCATATGCGCCGGATGTTTGCGAAAAGGAATAGAGATGGGAGGGGATTCGCCAAGAGGATGATGGCCGGGATACATGTTGGATGGTAAGGAGACGTGGTAGGCGATTCATGATGAACGGCAGCGGGAATGCAATGCGCTCGCTCGACGAGCTAAGGAAAGCGAAAAAGTAAAGATTGTAGGAATAAAAGGGATGGAAAAGTTATTGTCAAGGCTTGCGCCGCAGAAGCCGCGCAGGGACTCCTTACGTACAGCACGTATTTTGGTAGCGCGAAAACACCTCGTCTTCGGCTCGATCCGGAAATAGCTAGCATCGCAGACCCGTCGAGCCAATGCAACATATCTGAACTGCTCCAGGCCCATTTCTGCATCCTAGACTTGGGGGCGTCCAAAATTTATAGCCTGGGCGCGGGTGGACGAAATGAAGAAGCCAGTCCTGATCAGTGCTAGTGCGGATCAAGGTTCGCCATTGCCCATTACGCGTTACATTGACTCAACTGCAGCACCACAGCATCCCAAAACTCCTCATTCCTGCCATTAGCATCCAATCCTCTCAGAAGCTTGGTGACGACCTTTGCATAGATGGCTCCCATGTCTGGCTTCAACTTCCTCGCCTGCGTCAGGAGGTATTCACGCCACGCCTCCCGTCCCTCCTCCCCTCCAAACTGCCGCCCACAACTCTGTCTCAAGTCTGCTAAGGACCGCCATCTTCCAATCTCTAGTAGTACGCATCCCAGCTGATACTGGTCGAATTCTTTCCGATATCGTGCTTCCCCGCTGGAGCTGTCTCGGTCGACCTTGAACCAATCCGGATGTTGATACAGTTCCAGCTCCGAGCCGGACGAAATAACTGTTTCGGTCTTTTGCCCGCGCTGCGCTGGCCTCGAATATTCCCAACCCATCAGATAAGGCATTGTGATTGATGTTTGCCGGGAGATGAAGACTACATTTTCTGGACGAAGGCCTTTGTGCAGCCAGCCACAATTATGGATCGAGAGTAAAGTTCCCGCGAGTCCCGATGCCAGGCGGAATCGGTCACCTAAGGGAGGCCTCAAGTCTTCGTGTTTGAGCGTCTTGTTCTCCTCGTCTCGTACAGCTGGAAGCATCTCGGCGAGCGTTCGCACGGCAATGTCCGGGTTGTTCTTCATAATGGCAGGCATCTGGTAAACGACGCCGATCCAGTGCTCCGGGATACTGATCGCATTTAGACGGTTATGCTCGAAAAAGCCATATGACTTGAGGACATTGTGCAGGAAGGTCGGCGGGAAATTGAGCATGCCCACGACGTCGCTCATGCGGAGTCTCATTTCGTTCCTGTCAATGAGAGACAGGTCATACCGCTTCCACTCGACCAGCACTCGTTCCTCTTTTCCGTCGCTAATAAGCGTCATCCTTGTTCTCTCCGGCTTTTCCTCCAAGGTTAGCTGGGCGAGACCCTTAAGGCGAGACGCCTCCAATTGTCGCCTGAACTTCTGCTCTTGACTCTCTTCAGCCAACTGGAGTACGAGTCGCTGCGCGTCTTGCTCCTGCCGCATCCTGTCATCAATCGCCTCATTGATCGCTTTATGCTGCTGCCGAGCGGTTCCAGCCTCATCTGGTCCTGGCTCTGCGACTGGTCCAGAATAGTCTCCCCTACTCGCGACTGCTTCATAAAGAAGTATTCGGAGCCGCTGCGACGTTTGCTTGTATAAAACATCGTTACATCTCTCAAGACCTTCTACCGCATGTCTGAATTTCTCCTTGTCTCTCATAGCCCAGAGGATCTTCTTCGGACGGCTGGTCCGTTGCAAGGCTTCCTTCCGCCTCTTTTGCTCCAGTTCAGTCCGCGAGACGCGGATGGATTGCTCTGGGGTGATGAATTTATCAATCACAGAGCTATGAGTAGCTAATCTATAATATCTAGTCGGCAGTTCGCTTATAGCAACGGCGCCATACTGTGCGACGATTCTGTTGGCACTTTCGAGATACTCTTTGGTTGAGAGCAGTCGTTTGTCTATGATCTCGGCGAATACCTCGGGCATGGAGTTTAACTCGCTAAAGTTCGGTCTCTCGTCGTCTCGAAGAACAAGTCGGTGGGTGCGTCCCCAAATCCAAAGTCGACTCTCAGCCTCGAGAATGCGGTCTTCTAAATCGGCAACATCATTTCCCATGTTTCTCATGCTCTTCAAGCATGCAGAGACGACCCTGTACGCATGAAGACATGTTTGGATACCGCTGATGAGGCCTGTTGCAAGCGATACTGGCTCCATTCTGGAGGCTTCTTCGATATATCCACCACAATCCGGCCTATCTGCTGAAGGCCTTCAGGTCTAGCTTCACTAATCTCAAGCGGAGACTGTATACCGCGCTATACGGTCAGCCTTTTGTTCAGCCTAACGCTCGGGATGAAATTGGAATCATACATGGTCCGTTGCTTAACGTTCGTGGAGAAGGGTGCCGGCAAGGTCAGACACGGGCACTTAGACCTTTAAGGATCCGCCAGAAACCGCTATGGCCTGATCAGAGCTGCGACGTTCTTTTCGTCAAAACATTGATATTGATCAGGAGAGACCAGGCTGTTGGTGCCTAGTCCAGCGTGGTGTGGCTTGACCAGGTCTAGCGAGCCGCATCTAGTCAGCTGACAATAATGCAGGTCATCGTCTACAGTCCTGGAGTCGATAAAATAGCCTGGCTCACCCATTCTACATGCAAAGATCATTCTCGACTTTCTTATACGATGGATTCGTTTCTGTGTGCCGACGATACAGCAACGGGGGATTCTTGGGTCGCCGCTACATCAACCCAGCAGACTGAGGATGATCAGCCCCGTCGATCAACGGAAGTGAAAGAGAAAGACGCAGATCTCCTCAGCCTGATCGATCTTGAAGCTTTCGTCAAACTGCAGTACTCCACCGTAGGTCCTGTGGGAACTTCGGCCAACCTTGGATCGCCAGGCGACTATCTCAACTCCTTGGTTATCCGTACCGGTGGTTCATTCTCTGTGCGCAGAGTGCCGTACTCCTCATTTTATCACCCCATCGATATCTGGGATGAACCTCAAGGGCAGCGTAAGCCCTTCGTAGTCGTCAAACAGCCTCTTTCCGGCAGCAAAGGGAGAGAAGGCGGATTGCGGAACCCGGAAGACCCAAAAAGGCTACACTCGGTTCTCCTCGAGCTCAAGGTACTGTATCATGAAGCGATACGTAATCATCCGAACATCGTTAGATTGCACCATTTCATGTGGGACACACAGGATCGGACAGATTCCATTGCGCCGTCCTTGGTCTTGGAATATGCAGAGCTCGGCACTCTGGCCGACTTCCAAGGTGCTGGGAGAGTCTCATTCCACGCGAGCTTGAAGAAGCAGTTTTGCCTTGACGTCGCTCGCGGGCTTTATTTTCTGCACGAATGTGGCATTGTTCACGGGGACGTTAAGAGCGAGTGAGTCTGTTCTTTCAATCAATCAATCAATCCCGCTAACCGCAAAAGAAATATTCTTGTCTTCCTAGAGCCACAGAAAGGGAGACGTGCGAATGGATACCGGGCAAAGGTGTCAGATTTTGGTACGTCTTCCCGCATTACTATTCTGTTCGCAGTTTCCGCACTTTAACCATGACACCGCGGGAAGTGTCGACGCAAAAATCAGTTGTGGTGCAAAGTTCCATCGGTCGTGTTCCTCCGTCGATCTGCTGCTGGCAACAAGTCTTTCACTGCCAAATTACCGAAGTAACAGTGCTGACATCCAACTAGGTTCCGCACTCATCGAGGTGTTTCCAAGTTCCGATGCTCCGGCGAGAGTACTTCCCGGTCAGACGGCGCCGTGGGAAGCCCCAGAAGCCCTTAACAAAGCGCCGCTCGATCCGTTAGGACTGCGTCGTACAGATATCTATTCCTATGGTCTCATGGTATGGCGCATAATGTGCAACGGCAGACGCCCACACAAACGGACGACGTCCGCTGGGGATTTCCCATATGTACTCTCCGAAGACGAGTTCGAGCGCGTCAAGTTCACAGGGGATGTACTACTTGCGCTGGCTAACGACTCTCTAAACGATCGCTGCCCAGGTGACGTCGACAAAGAGTATACTGGGTCAATCTTCAAGGAGACCATTCGGTTCAATCCGGCGTTAAGGGTATCATCTTTCGGAGAGATTATTGCGCTTCTAGACTGCCCTTCCCACTCTCGGCCAAAACAGTAAGCCCCCATTTTATCTCATTAGTCCGTCGCCTATACCTCATGTCGAATGGCTCCGCCAGTTCAACCCACTAAAATCTGGGGCGCACTACGCTTCGTCATCCAGCGCCTTCAAGAGCAATCACAACCACCTTTTCAAACTCATTGATTCTGACTCGCTTCAGGGATATCAAGCCTGTCCAGCTTCGCAGAGGAGAGTTTGGCATATGGTGCACCAAGGTGAGCAGGTTAGCGGGAAATATATATCTTCGGCTAATTTTTCGCTAGCTTCCAACCTATATGTACTTCCTTCGAACCGCTCCCGTTGGCTTTAGAAGCCTTATTTGCACTCAACTGGCACAATTGTCCAAGAATGAAGACGACCGCTTCAGGGCCCGAGCGCTTCTTGCCTCCGGTATCTGCCACCTTCAAGAACTCCATCCCGAGTTTAACATAGATGCCGGAGTGCGGTTGCTAGCCGAATCGGCAGAAATGGGCGACGCGTCTGCTCAAAGCTTGCTGGCCTGCCTCAGAGTCCAGGACGCCCGATACCCCTGGAACGACTGGCTGGTGAATGCCATTCGAAATGGTTCCGTTAACGCAGCTATGCAACTGCAAAAGGCGAACCCGACTCTTTTCGAAGCCGAACTTTCAAGAATGAAGTCGGACAGGAATACTGTCGCTCGCCAGATTGCACAGCATCCGGAAACTCTAAGGGATACCAACAGCATCCAACTCATCCATACACTAGATCAGTATTCCCAGGATATGCTATTCCGGAAGGGTGTCCAGGCTTGTCATTGGGCGGCATTTCTAGGGCATCTGGACGAGTGTGTTAATGCGGATGAGCTTAAAGCGCAAGTGCACTCCATATCCTCCCTGAAGGAGACTCCTCTGCACTATGCTGCTATCAGCGCAAACATCGAAGCCGCTACCTTCCTCCTACATTATGGCGCAGATGTCAATGCCCGCACCAAGTTCGGAGCTACACCACTGCACTATGCCCTTCTTTGTCTCTCACCAAAGGGCATGGTGGAACTCCTCCTCACGAATGGCGCTGATGCTAATGTTCTGTCGGAAAGCTCCTTGAGCGATCAGCCTAAACGAGCGGACTGCTTCCGTCTCGGCGTTGGCTCGCCTCTTCATTTTGCAGTTCTTTTCGAGGATGTCGACCTCGTGGCGTTACTATTACACGCTGGCGCGAACCCGAATCTCAAGAATGCGGCGGGTGTAACGCCGTTGCAATATGCACTCCAGGCGCGCGATCTGCGTATGCTTGAGTTGATGCTGCCATTTACGATACAAGATGAAGCCAGCCTACCTGATATCCACAATCTCTATCCCTTCCTCACAGGGTATTTCCTGACGCCTTTGCAAAAGCTGGTATACTGGCGCGGAAATCCCATGGCGTACCTACTCGATGCCATTGAGCTTCTGGAAAGACATGGTCTCTACATCGATGATCGGGGTATGCTCTCCTGGGCACTGGATTCCGATAATGCCGACATCGCTGATTTCTACATTACGAAACTCGGCCTTGATACGGGCAGAACGGTCCAGCCGTGGCGCACTCTCCCGTATAATCATGGCCCCGAAGACGTATCAGTGGAAGTGTACTACTACGACCTCCCTACCATGCTGGCCGTCGTAGCATTGGCCTGCGGCACTGCGGTGGTCAAAGTCGTCGCTAAGTACATTCAGGGACCTTTGCCACCATGGGGAAACCAGGGGTGGCCATATCTAACATGTGTTGCGAACCGCAAGTCTACCTCGCCGTCAGAAGCCATGGCAATCATCGACACGCTCCTTGAATGCGGTGCCCGCTTCGACGTCCTTGACATCTCCGGTCACGGCCCTCTACACAGTGCTACCGCGAGCAATAACCACGAAATACTGGACGTTCTCCTCGCTCGCGATCCCTCCATTGACGATGTACGCGCTGCTTTCGAGCTCTGCATCCACAAGAGCCATTCCCGTGCGGCCTCCACAATGATCTACTCTATCCTCAGCAAGTGTCCGCAAGTCCTGCTGACGCCTCTACAAGACTTATCTCGCCCATTCAGCAGCACAACGGCGCCTGCTGGCCCTAATCTGAACTATCTGAAGATGTTGGCTGGTGCACAGGAGTACACCAGAGATGAGGTGCTTAATGAGTACATTCTCCGTTCTGTCATTGCCGCGTTGAAGGATATGGGGCGGGAAGGCTTACAAGCGCTGAGCGATCGAGTGCAGCAGAATACAGCAAACAACTGTAGTCCGCTGCACGAAGCTGCGCGGACGGGCAACAAGCGTGCTGCGACTATTATGGTAGAGCAGGGCGCTGATATTAACGGCTATGTGGCGAACCATCTGGAGCAATTACTAGGCCCTCCTCCACCGGAGTTCGACAACTGCCAGGTTCTCGAAGATCCATTCCTTCAGGCAATCCAAGCGGGTCCAACGCCGCTCGACTGCGCACTCAACCGCGACTGGTTCCTGACGCTATTCCGCTACATTGGCAAGTACCAAACCACGGTTCGGGATCTCTTCTACGCCGGCGGAACGTACCTAGAGCAAGCGGCATATGACCGTCGAACACAGGATGTGGTGCAGTACCTGCGGAGCACAGACGCGAAGACGAAATGGGAGCTCTTTAGTGTCCCGCAACCGCCGCCTACATCCCAGCAATCGCGGAACACGGCATCGCATCGGCAGAAGTACATCGATTCCACAACGGTGCAGCCTTCTTCAGACACGGAGACCCAGATCTTTAAGTTTTTCGGCAAGGCATCGGCACTTCCTGTTGCTAACATGATGATGGCGCGGTGTCCAGATTTGATTATGAAGGTGGATACTAAACGGACATGCTTCTCTACGCTCTTTATCGAAGCTTCTGCGCGCTTCGAACAATTATTCGCAAGACACTGGACGGAGGAAGAGAGCGAACTCAAGCTCGCCCTTGAAGAAGTGTCCAAACAATATCACGCCTGGAGCGAAAAGCATGGTGCCGCGCAGGGCCTTCTCAATCCCATAGCGGATTTTCCGTTCCAGAGTCTAGTCCTAGCCGCTGCCCTGCGGTTCTGTCTCGCCGAAATCAGTGCTGCGTTGGGACATATGAAGGAACTTCTGGAGCTGAAGCCAAGGCCGGTGTAGTAAGTCTAGTCTTGTCTAATGGTTAAAAGGGGCCTTGCTGATGTATATGTGTTCGGCAGTTTCCAGCAGCGCGGTAGGGAGCTTGCGACTGATTTTAGACGCGTCATCCAGGTTCTTGTTGAAGAAGATGTGGATTTATTGGAACTGAATCGGAGGGCCGTGGAGGAGGTTGAGACGAAGCTCGGGATGAAGATTGAAGAGATGCAATTGTAACGGAAGATTTGGAGTAGCGAAAATGCCGGGCTGTGGCACTTGGTGATGTGACCGTCTACGCCGCTTCCCACTATCACCATCTCGGTACCCTGCCGGCGTGGAACGAATGCGGGCTTCTTCCAGGCTCCGACACATGCGGATGAAAGCAACCCGTTTTGGGAGTATAGGAAGAGATGGCGTGAGAAGATCATGAAGAGACATTGCGGCTTACGCCGAGTCGTTCCTGGCAGAACGGAGGAGATGTTGAAAAGAAATGTAGACACCATCAGACATGACTTTCCAACACAAATCTTGTTTAGGTCTAGGCCGGACACTAACGTATGTTGACGGAGAAGTCAAGTAACAGGAAGAGGATCTTGGAAGTAAACGCTCCTAAAAACAGACGAGTCTATTGCCGCATACTGTGCGTCCTCTAGGTACCGAAAACTATGTAAATCTTCTTGCTTATACTACGGTAATTGCGTAGTGAGGCATGAGCGAAGTAATTACAATTAGGTTCTTATTCGCCTGCGTATATCCAAGCACGTCGAGTCCGAATAGCTTTGGTGAGTTCGAATAGCAAAGGTTTATAATTATCTCAGCATTATATAACTAACTAATGTCTAGTATTCCTAAGAGGATATTATAAGTACGATTAAATGCTATGTACTATCATGCAACTCCCTCGAAATTACTTTTTGCCTTTCATAGTGACAAGCACCCGTGCGATCGGAGCACCCCGCAAAAGCTGCGAGAAGAGGTCTCGCTGTTTAGTGAAAGGGCGTCGAACCTCTATGAATGAGTGGGGTTATTGTATGTACATTCCCAGCGACATCCAAACCTTCTCATGTTCTACGCCTCCGCACTTTCCCGAAATATCTCCTCAGAGTGGTCCTTCCAAATGGTGAAATGCGTCTTCCCTTCTAGAACTCTCAACCTGCCCCCGCCCAATCGTTCGTCTATCCACTGCGCCATCTTCACTGGCGCGTGAGTGTCCTGGTCCCCATGCACCAACCACACCTTCTCGCTATCCACTTCCTTCAAGTCGAATCCCCAATCCGTTGCGAGCACAGCTCCGTCCTGCATACACCCCGCAGTGCCCTGTCTGAAAGCCTCAAGGAGTGCTGCGACGGAATCGTCGAGATGGAAGTCGCTGTCGCTATCATTACTAATGAGCGCTTTTTCTTCCGGGGTTTTGCACTGGTCCTCCAGCACGCGCTTCAGGCGCGAGGGGTCTCTTGTGCGGTAGGGGAAGATAATGGAGGGCAGGAGAAGATAGCGAGCCACAAGCTTCAGACACCATGGCGTTATGCCCATCAAGCGCCAAGAGAGATACGGCACTGTGTCTGGCAAAGCTTCCATGGGCCCGATTCCGCATACGACAGTTGTGCCGCGAAGTCTCTCTTTAGGAATGAAACGCGCGCATGCTAGGGCGAACGGTCCACCTCCACTGGCCCCTAGTACGCTGAACCGCCTGATTCCAAGATGATCCGCCAGGCTCACCACATCTTCAGGCCAGTCGGTGAGCCCTCTGTCGGCGAGCGTGGAAAGTCCACAGCCGGGCCGGTCGATGGTAATGAGGCGGGCACCGATCTTTTTGCAGATCCTGTCCCAGCCACGGCCCACAATGCGGCACCCTGGAAGGCCATGGAACATGAAGATTACGGGATCGGACGGGATTGTGGAGCCGTAGGTTGCGAAGCCAAGGGTGCGCGTGTCGGGGAGGGTCAAAGTTTGACATTCCTCGGGTTTGAGTACGAGTTTGGAAGGGTCTGGAGGCGATGAAGGGCCAGAGCTATCATAAAACCCAAACATCTGGAAGCTTTGGTGTGTAGAATGAGGACCAGATAATGGAAGCCGGTAGAACGACTTGCGATTCGGGACCTGTCCACGACGGGCTAACAAAGCAATAGGATCGATGAAATACACACATCGAGCTTTCGGGGAGATTCTCAACTGGTATTTAAGTCAGAGAACGTTAAATTCCCGGCCTGTACGCTGGCTTAGGCTGACGCCAAGGAAGGGAGTGGCATCGCAGTCGGCTACCCGGAACGCCGTTATGCGATGCTCCGATCCAGCACGTGACGTCGGTATATTTCCCCTTTCGGTTCATTGGAGCTCCCAGCACATCGTTCTGTTGCACTCAATTTTAGTCCTGTTCCACGAGAGTGTGCTCAGCCCTTCTGTAATGCGCAAGACCCTTGGGAGTAAGAGTGTAGAAAGAAAGGAAGAGCGGTGTTAGATGCATTTATACCCTTCCCGTCCCGCTCGTCATGTAGCACACGAACATCCAAAACCTCGACTTCAGTCGGAAAGCCTATCTGTACACCCCGAGCAGCTGTCTTACATATGCACAATCGGGCAAGACTTACAAATTCGATACACCACCAAAATGCCCCTGTAACACCCCCCAAATTGCTCCCGTATCATATCCATATATCATACACCACCTCCTTCGCCCCCGCCCAACCACCCCTTCAGCCTCTCCACAAACTCCCTTTTCGCCTCCTCTCTCCGTTCTCTCTGTCTCTTCTTTATCACTCCCTCTTCTCTGATTCTCTCGCTCCTTGCCAAACTAACATACTTTCTAACCGGTACGCCCGCCTTCCCTTCCAACTCCTCGTTCCCGTTCAGTCCTACACTCCGGCTTCTAAACCTCACTCTGACACGCCGCAGCCTCGCCTTCCTATTCGCCACGAGCCGTATAGTTTCAGTGATTTTGCGCGAGGACGTGCGGGAAGGAAGACGCACGCGGCGGCCGCCGCGATGCTCCGAAGCAAACGGACGAACCAACGCTTCATCACCACCTACCAGAATGCGTCGGAATACAGGACCCTCAGCGCGCGCGTCATACCGTAATTTTACCCCTTCAACAACCGTACGGATCTTCGCATTCGTCCTAGAACCTTTTCCCTCCAACGCCCGTCTGAGCGCCGCGTTCCTACTCGCCTCTCTTTTTTCCTCGACGCTCAATCTCGACAGCTTCTCCTGCCTCTGCGCGGGTGCAGAGAGTTGGAGGCTTCTTGAACCGAAGTTCTCGTTCTCCATGTCGTGGAGACGTCGTCGGACGGTATGTTTGCTGGTCCCTTCTCTGTTGTAGAACAGATCAGCGCTGAAGCCGCGCAGGCTCACGAGTTTCTTCTCCAGCGGGACGATCGACCCCGCTAGCGGATGCGGATATTTGTGCCGCTGCCGGCTAAGGATCATACTCCCTAGGCGCCAGCGAAGCGATACATGAAGGTTGTAGACATCGATGGCAGAGTTGTTCGTGGCGTGAGCGAGTCGCGCTCTTAGGCTAATGATACCCAGGATCCGGGCAAACCTTGCCTTTAGTTGTTCGACAATGGAGGTGATATATTCGACGCGTGCGAGCAGACGGTCAAAGACATTCGCCGTGATGCGCTCGAGAATGATTTGGAACTCCTGCTGCAGGGCGTAGAGCCGTGCGTCGTTCTGATCGGCTTGCCTGTCAATTCTGCGAATCGCTCGCCTAGTTCGTCGCGCGACCTCCTCTCCCATCTCTCCCTGGAGATTAGATTTATAATCCACGATACGCTTGCCTTGCAAATCCAGCAGACTTTGTTGACGATTCTGGATTCTGATACTGCGCATGAGCAACCGATACTCCTCAGTCAGACGTTGAACCGTTTTCTGCGTCTGGCGGAGTTTGTCTGCGCAGTACATGGCTTCATTCCTGGCGACCTTGTAGTAACGGATTGGTGCGGAGATCTGCTCCCCTCGTGATTGCGGGAAGACTCGCAAATCGCGTCGCAGATTCGGATCGCGTTCGTCATGGGAAGTGCGGATGGGGCCCGCTGTCTTGATAAATGTCTCCTGGATGGGTGCGTTTTGTGCTTCCCTTGTTGGTTGGTCAAGGCGAGGCATATCTTCCAAGCGTGGAAGACATAGAATTGATGGGGCATCCTTGCCATATAGTCTCCTAACCTTTGCACTGTCAGCACACTGCCAACAGACACAGGCTTAGATACGTGCTTACTAGAGCGCTGTGGTAAGGAACATAGCGGGACTCAAGGGAACCATACATTAACTATCGAAGCATTAGAACACTCATTTACATATTCTCCTCCGGACCACCTACATCCTCTTCTGGACCCTCCTCCCCGGACGCTAGATTGACAGCCGAGAAGCGAGAGAAGGGTACATCGACTATTGTCGACCCAATGCGAGAGAATGAGTCCCCCGATTCCAACTTGAATCGACGATCGAGAGTCATACCTCCTTCTGTCAAAGCCCCGAAGCAGTCCCTGAAGACGAAAACCTCGTTTGATTTGGAAACATCATGCTGACTTGACCCCATCGGAAGCGCGTCTGCCGTGCTTGGAATTGTACCGAGTTCCCAACCCCACGGCATTGCTGATTCCGTTGACGCGTTGAGCTCACCTGCTTCCGCTTGGGTGGTTGTCGGTGAAATGAAGAACTGTATAGAGTCTCCATCGTGTGCGACTTGCTGAAGCGCGGCTGAGAGGTCACCTGGGCCGTCAAATAAATCGGTGTCTCCTTGCATGACAGACGGGCCAAACCTTTCGGTAGTAGCAACTGGATCCAATGAGAGCAAGCCGGCCTTCTTTCCCCAACCCCCACCGCCACTCAAAACGCGATGCAGACGGGCACCAGCTGCCAGCGCGGTTGGCACTAGATCGTTCCAGAGAGGTGGATCTCGCTGCCAAAGGGCCTCCCAGAGTTCCTTCTGGGTCAACGAAGGACCAGAAACCCCTTCAACTCGTAAACGCCCGAGCATCCGACGTGTCTTCTGTAGAACGGGACTCAGTGTCTCCTTGGGGATCACCAGTGCCCATACCGACGCTGCTTGCGACGGCTCTCCTCGGCAGGTGAAGTACTGCGGAACGACCTGCTCTAGCTCCTCCGACGCGGTGACACTCTTGCCACCAGCATCAATGACCCGGCGAAGGATATTCCCCATGCTTGCATCCACACGGCGGGGCATCGTCAGCGGCACCAAAGGGATCGCGAGCGCGGTGACGCATTGTGTGGTGGATCCGCCCGGGTGTATCTTGATGCCGTGATGCGTGATACTCTGCTTCGACTTTAGTGTGAGGTCCTTGGCGCCCTTGCCCTTCTCCCATGTGGAGAAGGTCATGGTGGTTGGCAAGCCCGTCTGAAACACGGTATTCGCGACCGGAAGCCGCAGAGTGTCCCCAAAGTACCCGTTAGGTTCCCAATCTGCTGAAGATATGAAACTGATCGCGGCCTTGTCATCTGCTATAGGGGACGAAGATGAGACGGAATCGGAGAAGCGGAGGGTTGTGTATGCCATTCCTTCGTGCCCTGTCTCCAACACTGGAGGCTGCCTTGTCCGCTGAGGTGCTCCATTTTGAAGGGCTTCAATGTTCGTGATTGGACTCGGTGTTGGCAGCTTGTCAACGACAGCACATAGCGCGTGTATCCTGGCATATGGGAGCTTCTCACGTGCGATTATATGCTTGTAAGCCCGGCGGAGCGCTTTATGGAGGAATGTCTCGTCATCGAGGAGCCACGGGGCGAACGTGGGCGTAACAAAAAAGACGGCGAAGCGGTCCCTGCTGAGGCGGCGCCGGTCGACGGGCTCGATGTGTGCGACGAGATCCTCAGGTTGCTGCGGGGGATTAGTTTCCCACTACGAATGCTCGCTGTGCAATCCTCACAGTGTCTACTACAGAACTGGGTATGATTATAGCGCTGTTGGACGTGCTCAACTTGAGAGTCGTGTCATCTTGCTTCGAATCTTGCGCGTATGAGCGCCGAGCGCAGTCTCGCGCGCATCGTGGAGGGCGTTGGACGCGGGGCAGGACAGCGATGGCACAAGGAGGAGCCCGCAAGACGTGACAAGGCCGCGCGACCCAAGGAGGCATGAGTGGGAGCTCAATTGACCATGATGCTCCTCGCTAGCTGCATGGTGGTCACGAAGTCACCACCCGCTCCAGAGGCTTGAACTTTGCGCCAAGGAACCGCGCTGACTAAGCTCTCCGTTACCCCTTCATGACTTGACGCGCTATTCTGGCCGCACCTCGAAAGCCAGGGTTGGAGACGTTCGATACTATGAGCGCGGCTGTAACGCTACCTCCTAGAGGGGCAGTTATCGTAGAATATGGCCATATCAGGTACCACCGTTATTGGCGCACGGACGTTGAGGCTCCGGTGGAAACGTGCAACATCGCCTACATACCAACAAGGGCGAATTAACCCCCCTCACCGTCTCTCCTCGCATCCGCCCCTGCAACTCGGTGCTCTCTCCTCTGCGCTGCTCTTTTGCGCTGCCCGATAGCGCTGAGGCGACCCCCGAACGGCGCGCCGCCGCCGCTTGCTGACGACTCGGAACTTTTTGATGAGCCAGCTTGGCTTCTTCTCAACTCCCTACGAAACACCACCCACGCGTCCCAAACCCCGACGCCGCCCCTCTCCTCTTCTGATGCGCCACTCGTAGACTTCTCTTCCATTGGCAACCCAGGTTCGCCTCCCTTCTCCCGCGAAAATGCCCACTCCACGCTCGTTACGCCGCCAGAACCCCATTACCTTCGTCCTTGCTGGCATCCTCTGCATCGGCTTCTTCATCTTCTTCTTCTCCAGCAATGACACCCCTTCGGTGTCGGCGCACTCGGGCTCCCGCCAGATGGCCTCGAATGTGCTGTCCCCGCCCTCGCTGCCCTTCCGCAAGTCGAAAGCGAACGAAGCGCAGAAGCCCCCGCCCGTCATGCACTACTACATGAACAACGTCACCCAGTCGCGGACGCCTGCAGAGAACGAGGAGAAGGTCCTTATTCTCACACCGCTTGCGCGATTCTACCAAGAGTACTGGGACAACTTGGTCAAGATCCAATACCCCCACGACCTCATCTCGCTCGCCTTCATAATACCCAAGACGAAAGAGGGGAATGCTGCATATGCGGCATTGCAGACCCAGGTCACCAAACTGCAGAAAGGCCCAAATAAGAAGCGCTTCGCGAGCGTCACGATCCTCCGCCAGGACACCGAATCACCCCTCCAGTCGCAGAACGAGGCGGAGAGGCACAAGATAGAGAACCAGAAGTCGCGCAGGGCGGCCATGGCGAAAGCGCGAAACTCGCTGCTCTTCACAACGCTCGGCCCGACCACCTCCTGGGTCTTTTGGCTCGACGCCGACATCGTCGAATTCCCGCCCACCATCATCCAGGACTTAGCAGCGTACGATGCAGACATAATAGCGCCAAACTGCTACCAGCGCTACTATGACGACAAGAAGAAGGCCATGGACATCCGGCCCTACGACTTTAACAACTGGATAGACAGCCCGACGGCGAAGGAGCTCGCCGCGAAAATGGGCAAGGACGATATCCTGCTCGAGGGATACGCCGAGATGCCCACCTACCGCAGCTTGATGGCTATGATGTATGATCCAGCTGCGGACCCGGGCACCAAGGTCAAGCTGGATGGGGTGGGTGGAGCCGCGCTGCTGGTCAAAGCCGACGTGCACAGAGACGGCGCCATGTTCCCCGCCTTCTCATTCTACCACCTGATCGAAACAGAGGGTTTTGCGAAAATGGCTCACCGATTGAACAGGGAGAGCTACGGCCTCCCCAACTACCTTGTGAGACTGCTATTGCTCTATTTCCATATGCACTGGGAAAGCTAACAATAGCATGCAGGTATATCACTACAACGAGTAGATTTCTCGCCGGGGACTTCTCTTTCCTTTAGAGTGAGTGTTCTCACTTTGGCGATCATTGGGCGGCGTTCTGCGGTGCGATGGCGGGCATTTTCTATTTCTCGATTTCTTTCGTCTCTTCCATTGATATGCGCGTTGGCATGTTCTATCAGATGTATTACATAGGATAGCTGTTTGAATCTCGTTTTACACCGCCGCTGGCTAACGGTGCGGCCGCGAGCCGGGTAGGAAGCTAGGAGCTTCTCGAACTCATTCGTGTGCTGAGATGTAGGAACGGAACGCTCTCAATTGAATCAATGCTTCCCATTCAAAACATACAATCGACTTCTATCGAGGATCCATACAAACGAACGCCTTGTACGCCATGCCAAAGAAGCTCATGCTCTAGAAACCAAATGCCAACCCTCTCCCCCAATGATGCTTTTGCCATTGATCAAACCTGCTGGAGATAATTCGCAGGTACACTCCTCACCACACCATCCTTCTCCACATCTGCCCACCCATCGCCAGCATCCATATTAATTAGCACGAACCTCTCTCCCTCCGCCATACTATGCTCGGCATCGCTCTGCGCGGTGTACTCGTACATGGCTTCGACGTACTTGAGTTTCTTGGCGCCACGCTTGGGCGCCACGGCCGGGCCTTTCTTCTTGCCCGCCGTGGTGGCCGTGGTGACGCTGCCGGCGAGGGAGGCCGACGATGCGGAGTAGGTGGAGTCAGGGCGGTTGGAGGACGGGGGTGTGAGGGGCATGGTTTCAACGTAGGAGGCGGGGACGAGGCCTTCCTTGGAGCCGGCGCGGACTTTGGTCCAGCCGGAGCCGTCTGCATAGGGTGAGTACGGCACGTCCTGGGTTAAAGAGAATGTAGATGAGGCACTTACCATCCGGTTCCAATATAGTTACATCGCGGCCGTCGGGTACAGTAAGCTCGCCATCGCCGTTTTGCTGGTATGCGTAAAGCATTCGGCCCTTCTGCTCTGTAGACTTCGATGCCGGAGGAGGAGGCAGGTCGGGATCTTCCTTGACATACTGCGCGGGAGGTGGAGCGACGATGCGGTTTCTCCTGGGGGCTGCTACGGCAGGTTTCTTCTCCGCGGGAGGCTCTTCTGTTGTTGGTGACATGCCGCCAGACACCGACCGATGGGCGGTAGCTGAATATCCCGAACTAAGGGTGTTCATCGAGTTTACGGTGTCGCTCCGACGTATCTGCGGCATATCCGACGCCCCACCGGGGGAGCCATTAGCTGGCACTGTGGTATGAGCTGACTTTTGTCGCTCGTCCTTAAGCTTCTTCTTCTCTTCCTTGCTCTGTTCGCCGGGACAGTCCGCTGGGACTTTCAGCTCGCATTTGCTGTGACATGTGTATCCGCAGTCTCGGCAATCGAAACCTTTGGCAGACAAACCCCATATTCTGTCACCGCAGAGGTCGCAATTTGTCGGTATCTTGAAGGTTTGAGACTTGAAGTTGTGGTTCCTTGCGCCCAAGCTCAGATCACCAACGGCCGAGGTGATTGTCGCCACTTCCACTTCCCCGCTCACCTTCTGTCGCTCCACTTCATGCATGCTCTCCTGAAGGGAAAAGATGGCACGAACTACTTCCACTTCATCTCTTTTATCTTTGCCCTCTCGAATGTTCTGCCGCACCTTCCTCGCATTCTCCACCTCCTTCCTCTTCTTGTCTAGGTCGCGCCGCTGGTCTGCCAGTGATGCTTTCGTTTTGATGAGCACATTCCGAAGGAACACTGCTGCAGCCTCGTCTGTAGCAATGGTACCGTCGTCAAGCCACACCGGACTAGGTTCGAATTGGAAATCCGGAGGCTCTTGCCATGGACCAGCGTTGTGTCGAACAAACATCATTGAGTCGAGCAAAGGGTTATTTCGTGGAATCTCCGCCGATAGATGTTTGAGGTAGTCGGTGCTCCGTGATAGCGTCTGTGTCTCTATCTGAGCAGCAATCGACCATAGGGAGTTGAGCTTGTTAACTCGGGTCTCGGAAAGGTCTTGCAGGCTCTGTTTCGGGAATGAGAAGGGCACATTCATGGTGGAGAGCCAAGCTTACATCAAGGAGCTCAGGAACGTACTCATGGTAGTACATCTCCTTTTGCTTGTTCGTTACGTTTATGTTAATAATATAGGTGTTCTGCACCAGTCAGCGATCGGGGGTATAGCAAAGACAAGCGCAATACCTTCACGTTCCGCATCTCTCCCTGCTGTTGTTCGAAAGCGTTTCGTGCTTTTTGTTTCCCGTGGTCGAAAGCACTATCGATCTTCTTCCTACGATTCTCCACCTCCTGACACACGCTGTCATACTTGCCCTTCATTTTCCGCAGGTCTGCGTATGTAGAATCGCGCTCCTTCTCCAGCTTGGCAGCGTAGTCTGCATGGTATTTCCGTAGCTCTTCGTACCGCGCGGCGAGGCCCTTAAGGGGGTCGGCGAGATTGGTGATGAGAGCGCTGGCGAACTGTTCGTGTTCCGAGGCTCGAGACTCTAGTGTCGATAATTGGACTCCCCATGTTGTCATAGAGGCACTGCGGTTCCATCCGTGTTAGCAGAGAGTCCTCGCTTGGGACACGCGGCAACCCGTACCTCTCCAGCGAGCCCGGGGTGACTGTCGGAGTGTCGCCAACGCTCAAACTGCTCGCCTTCCTCGCCTTCTTCTCGTAATACTTCTTCGCTAATGCACTAAGTTTTGCCGAGTATTCCTTCTCTATGACGCTTCTTTCTCGGTAGAACGACTGTATGTCGTCCAGCCAAGCGATGCCGCCGGCCACCTAAACTCCACCACATTAGCGTTGGGGAATATATGGCATGGAAACTGCAGTCGGTGGGGTTGCGCAAGGCCTCGGGGGCGATAAAGGGACCGCGGGAAACGTACCCAGGCATTAACGTTCTTGAAGCCATCCTGTGCAGCCGTGTCAGTCGAGGTTCCGCGCTTGGAGTGGTTCCAATACCTTCAATTCAGCTCCGAACTGCGGAGCGATGTCGACTTCCATGCTCATGAGGACAGTTCAGGAGCGACGCCTAGTATAGGGCAAGACGGCGCACCAACCATGGAGAAAATGACAGGGCGTGGAGTACGGTGGTGAAAGCCGGCGCGGAAAGCGTTGGCGGAGACCGGGTGCCCAATTGGTGGGGCGCGTTGGCTGAGGGCAGCAACGGCGGGAGTGGCGGTGCGCGCCAAGACCTCCGCCGTGCTTCCGATTGTGGTACTGCGGTCAAAGTAAGGATGATAATAGCTCCCCAGCTCTCTGCGACTGATTTGGGAGAGGCATGTAGCACCTGGGCAGCGTGGTAGGCCCTAGGCAGCACTTCATCCTCTCCGTCGCAGCTGCTGTTCATGCACGCCGCTGCCCAATGCGGCCTAGCGTGTCAGCCACGGGACCCCTGCCTGGTGTTCCCCGCCGTCTGAGCTCTTGAATTTCGATTATTAGCTTTGACAGGCGCGCAACCTTGTCCCTCCTCCTTCACCTACCCAGGAGATTTCCGACGTGGACTCCTTTGCCGCTCTCACGAAATTCTCTTCGCTTTGCCCGCTGCTCGAGACTCTCTGCTAACGGCATTGCGCTCAGCTTCCAGCTCCCAACCCTCACCTTCGACAGCTCGCGACCTCTCCGCTGACCGTCGAAAAGTCGCTGAAGGCCCCTAGCCTACCCAACACAAGACATGTCATCTACTGAGGCTGCCGAGGAGAGCACTGTGGCTCAGGCCCAGGTGGACGGCAGCGGCCCGCCAGGAAACGGCTCTGCGCTACAGGAACCCGAGTTCAGCGTCGAGGTCAAGCTGGCAGACCTGCAGGCCGACCCGAATAACCCGCTGTTCTCCGCCAAATCGTTCGAGGAGCTGAACTTGTCTGAAGAACTGCTCAAGGGCATCCGGCAGATGAACTTCCGCAAGCCGTCAAAGATCCAAGAGAAGGCGCTCCCGCTGCTCCTCCTCAACCCGCCCACCAACATGATCGCGCAGTCGCAGTCTGGTACCGGCAAAACCGCCGCCTTCTCCCTCAACATTCTGTCTCGAATCAATCTGGGCCTCGTCGCTCCGCAAGCCTTGGTCCTCGCACCGAGCCGAGAGCTCGCCCGCCAGATTCTGGGCGTTATTACACACATGGGTCAGTTCATCGACGGACTCAAGACACTGGCTGCTATTCCGGATCCCACGAGGCGGGGCCAGAAATACGAAGCCCATGTTCTTGTCGGCACACCAGGGACTGTCACCGACATGATTCGGCGGCGACTCATCGATTCGAGGAACATGAAGATCCTGGTGTTAGACGAGGCAGACAACATGCTGGATCAGCAGGGCATGGGCGAGCAGTGCACTCGTGTGAAGGGGTAGGATGGCTCCTCTCTATTCCGAACATATGCTGACTTGAATAGTATGCTGCCCAAAGATATCCAAACGGTCCTCTTCTCTGCGACCTTCCCGCCGCACGTCATCAACTACGCCAACCGGTTCGCGCCAAATGCGAACGTGCTGACCCTCGCACATGAGGAGCTTACAATCGAGGGCATCAAGCAGCTGTACATCGATATAGACAAGGATTCGGACAAGTTCGCGACGCTCCTCAAGTTCTATGGTCTCATGACCCAGGCATCCTCCATCATCTTTGTTCGGGTGAGTAAGCCCTCCTAAATGTGCGCTCCATACTGATTCGCTAGACCCGCAAAACCGCTGAAGAGCTTGAGACTCGCATGGTCGCCGAAGGACACAAAGTCGCGCAGTTGAGTGGTGCTCTAGAAGGCCCGGAGCGTGACCGGATCATCGACCAGTTCCGGACAGGCGAGGCAAAGGTTCTCATCACGACGAATGTGCTGGCACGTGGCATCGACGTTCAGTCCGTTACTATGGTCATCAACTATGTACGTTCGTCCCTTCCTATTACCCCTCGAAGGTCTCCGAGACCCCGCATACATGGACCAAATCATGCTAATGCACGATAGGATGTGCCCACTATGGCAGACGGCAGGACCGCAGATCCGGAGACCTATCTCCACCGTATCGGCCGTACCGGCCGGTTCGGACGCGTGGGTGTCGCCCTGACCTTCGTCCATAACAAGGCTAGCTGGCAGCAGCTCCACGATATCGCCAACTACTTCAAAACGGACCTGCACCCTATCGACACAAGGTACGTTTTGGTTGTGAAGAACCAATCCCGGAGGCCTTCAGCTGGCAATGTTTGCTAATGTTCACAGTGACTGGGATACGGTTGAGGAAATGATTCAAAAGATCATCAAGAGCTCCAGGGCTGGCAAGAGCACGAAGGAGATGACGTCGGAGATTACCGCTGGATCATGAGCGGCATTAGCACACGAGCCGAGCAGTTAGATCACGAGCAGAATACGAACGGACGAGGGCATGAACCATATGAAGACATTCAGGATCAATAATCCTCACTCAGATAGATATGGAAAATTCGAGATACCCCTCCCAATATGCCCGAACGCCGATGCAGATGCGTCCTCTTTTTTCAACTCTCAAAAGCCCGCGGTGCGATAGCCAAAATAACAACCAGACTACTCAATATCAGAGCGCCCGCGACGGCACTGACTACCAATATGCTGCCCCTACTGGCGGGGAACTTGCCCCTTATAACGTAGTGCTGGGCCTCGAAGTAGCGGTGGAAGCCGATGAAGAGGATGACGACAGAGATGCCGATGAAGGTTGCGCCGAGGGGCTTGCCGACGTGGCGGAGGCGTGCTTGCGGGGTAGCACTGGGGTCGGAGGGATTGGAGGGCGCGATGGTGGTGTTGAGACGGAAGAGTTGGGTTACTGCGATGCCGATGCTAGCGAAGGAAAGGGAGGTGCGGAGCCAGGCGAGGAAGGTGCGCTCTGTAATCCATCCACACTGTTAGCGCCGAATCGACTCGTCAACCTATGCCCGAGACGGTAGAAGGGGTACGGGAAGGGAGAGGTATACCTAGAGCTAGATGGTCGCGAGCTACAGACCCTTTATTCTCCAACTCCACACTGCCGTATTTTTCCAACCACTTCCTCCACCTCCCGCCCTCCCTCCTTACCACCTGTGCCGCCTCTCTCTCCGCTTCCGCCGTTCTCTCCTGCGTGCTGCCTGTCTGCACAGTCCCCGTAGTGCCTTCCTGCGCCGTTGCACTATCGTCCGTCCCTGTCGCATTCGCACTCTCTTTCGCCGCTATACTCGGACTTATACTCTGGTAATCATTCTTCGAGTTCCCCTGCGCGTGCCTCATTATGGGCGCGGACTCGTCCGCTGAGCTGGTGGCGGCATCTCTCTCGCTGAGTTCTTGTTGTCGGCGGAAGCTGCGTTTGCGGGAGCCGGAGGCCATGAAGGGTTCGCGAGGTTCGGAGAAGCTGACGCTCTTTCGATCTAGCGAGTCGCGCGTCGTCGGTGAACTGGTGTTTGTAGAGTCGTGGGATGCGCTGCTCTGGTGTTCATGTGCGCTCACGCTCACGCGGCCTCCCGCATCGGGGGCAGCTGCTTGGCTGCTGTCCATGGCCTTGGTGCTGTGGCTGCTGCATGGTGGGCGTTAGCCAGGGGCCGCGAATCTCGAATGATAGGGATTGTCGTCTAACATTGCTGAAAGAGGGTGCGGAAATGCACGATGTGGTTGTAGTGCGAGATTCGTGATCGCAACCTGGGTTGACGCAATATGCGGGCAAGCTTCTGCTTCCCCCGCACAACAGCACTGACCTATGGGAGCTTTATGCTTCTGGGCAACGGCGTGCAGGGTGTGGGTTGCACAAAGGTGAGCACATAACAGAAAGGAAGGCTATCGATATTTCAGTATAGATGAATGAATGGGACGTTTAAGAGCTTGGAAGCTGTGGCTTGGTTAAAGAATGGACTGCTCTCGGAGAGCGCGAAGGTTTGGAGCGACGTTCCGATGATCTACTATGTCGCTCTAGCCTCTTTAGTGCGACCATCGTTCTCGAGAGCTGCTCGGAACCTTGGAATACCTAACTATGGCGTATTATGTAGACGTAAAGGGCGGACGAGTAAGTCTGTCGCGTACATATTTGAGTATGAAGGGAAACCTGGCTGTCAAGCGCCAGAGCGCCTCCTGCCGTCTTTCGGCAGAGAAAGACGACTGGCATGCGAACTCTCTTTTCCTTACTAAGACATTTGCTAAAGTTGACTGCCACGTTCACAGTCCCTCCCGGCGAGAGCTCGTGTGAGTGAGACCGTCTCGGAGACAACGTGCCAAAGAACATGTTGTGCTGTGGCAGATTGGCGTCAAATCTAGTTTAGCGTGTTACTCCCAAGGTCACCCGCAACCTCGGCCCCCGCAACGCTCTCCAACTCCTCTTCACACCGTCTCAGATCCCATCGCTTTAATCAATCACACTCATACACATCACGACTCGGCTTCGCTCCAACGCTCGCTTCTTTCAAGACGAGCGGACGACGGTACGACGGTAAAAGTACAGGGCTGATGAAGTGCGACCTCGAGCCACCTTCGCTTGGAGCAGGTCGCTCCACGCTTCGAGCACCGTGCCGCAAAGCTGATTGCGCTGACGTGGGCCATATATATACACACACGAGTATCACTCACCACGCCCAGGAACTTCGCCGTAGGATCAAAATCACAGTGGGAGAGGTTCCTGGGGAACGTGCCAACCTCGTGCTTTGTCGCTGCACACAAGCGCCGACTGTTTAAGCGGGCGCTTGGTTGAACCTTAGTCAAGGAAGCTTGAGACTCTCCGTGGCCAAGCATTACCCTCGTTCGCACTTCGCCCGTGCTGTGTGAAAGAGAATTGAGAGTACTCTGCGAGCAGATCTCAGAGCCTGGGCAAGGCGGTCACGGCAAAGTCCCAACCCTCAACCACCGACGTTCTAGGTTACGACTATTCATAGGGGGGGAGTGGTCTAAGATGCGGCCATAGACTTCGCCACATTGTCCATAGTGCCAACATTCCGCAGATGCATGCCGAGAACGAGGAATGTGGCACGTAGGGATAAACACTCCCGTAGGCGGTATAGCTTCAGGAACCGTACTACCCCAGGTCGTGGTACAGAGCGGTGCGCAGGAGATGGCCCAAGGCCCATTCGTGGTTTGACAGATTTCTCGAAGTCGCCGCGGGCGATGACCATGCCCTAGACCACCGACAGCGAATAGCTTGCGATGCGACTTGACTGTGCCGCAAACACACCGCTTGCCGCCCGCTATACTTGGCTCCGGCGCGACCTCTTTGGCACAACGTAGGTGGCACAGGAAACCAACGAGCGGCTGTGTTGGAAAGTATAAATGAGAAGCTAACGGGCTGCGTGCTCAATGCAACGGTGTGACAAGCCTATAGTCTGTTAAATCTTAGTTTCCCCCGGACGCAATTCAGCTCCAGTCTCTCCTTTTTTCACTCCCAATGCCTCTCTGATTCAGTCATCACCAACAATCGTCATTACAAACGATCTAGTCACTCATTTGCTTTCCCAAAGCGCGAGTCCTACAACGGTGCTCCGGCTTCACCCACACAACGCCGTTTTCCCTTTCCCACCGCCTAATCGCATCGCGAAGACTCTCAAAGCACGAAAGTAAGCCAGCTCGCATTCCACGCCCTTCACCACGAGCAAAACTGCAAACGGGGCAAGCGCGAGCTGTCGGCCCTGCCTTGGCGCTGAATCCGCAAATTGCCAAACAAACTCGCACCACCCCCGCCTCCTCGCCCTCGTCCTCTCCTTCATACCGCTCACACGCTGCGATCAGGTCAAAGATTTTCTTTATCGCGGCTCCACGCCCCTTCCTCCTTATTGTTTCCGCCACTCTACCCGGAGCGAGCTATCTCCAATTCACTCCTTAGGCGACTCAGTATATCATTCCTGCCGCTTCCGCTCATTCCACCGCAATCCTCGACGGTTGCGACAAGTGGCTGCTTTACGAGGCGTTATCAAAGCTACAACAAGCTTTTGCGAGCGTCATTTGAGACATAAAGGTCAGTCGCTGTCTGCTTCCAACGCGTCGCATCACTGGCTACGTACGACACAGAGGCACCCGCGATTACCCTCTCGATACACCACTTGGGTAACAGCGAACGTCAAAATGAAACTACTCGCCGGCATCTTCGCTGCGGCGGCTCTTCAAGTCGCGGCCCAGCCGCATCGCCACGCGCATCGCCATGCACCGCAAGGCGTTGTTAAGCGCGAGCCGGACTCGGTGACCAATGTCGTCTACGTCCCCGGACCAGTCGTGACAGTGGTTAGATATGAGCTCAACGGTCACGAGATCTCTGAGGCCGAGGTCCGTCAGGGCATTGCCAACGGAACCTTCACCTGGGGCGACGATGGCGTCCTCTCCTCGTCGGCTCCGCCTGTTGCCGAACTTGCTCAGGCAACACCGGCACCAGAAGAACCGGAGATGCAGCCGCAGCCGAATCAAGACCCCGTCCCGAGCGAGGCTCCGCCCGAGAACACGCAGCCCGTGGAGACGCCAAGCTTGACTCCAAGTGCGCAACCTGAAGCAGCAGCACCCTCGTCTTCACCAGGCTCATACCAGCCAGTTGATCAAGACGGAAATTGCCCTGATTGCGACAAGCCTTTCCCTAACGGAACGATTTCGTGCGACTCCTTCCCAACCGGCTATGGTGCAGTCCACCTCAGCAACGAAGGCTTGGGTGGATGGACCGGTATTCAAGATCCGGTGGATACGGGGGCTAACGGCTTCGACAACATCATGACCGTTCCCAAGGGTTCGTGCGACGATGGAACCTGTTGTACATCGGGACGCTTCTGCTCCTATGCCTGCCCCAACCCGTACCTCAAGATGTCGTTCCCGAGGAAGCAAGGAGCGACTGGCCAATCCGTGGGTGGGCTTTACTGCAACAACGCCGGAAAGCTCGAAATGGCCGACGGCTCTATTGGCAATACTCTTTGCGGCAAAGGATCTTCTCACATGAAGGTCAAGGTCCAGAACAAGCTATCAAAGCCTGTTTCTATCTGTCGCACCGACTACCCGGGTATGTGTCTTCACCTAGCCGAGCGCGTATATACTCACATTGAGCAGGTACCGAATCTGAGACCATACCATTGACCGTTCAACCCGGGCAAACCGGTGAGCTGGCGAATCCAGACCAGAGCGCGTATTATTTCTGGCAAAACGCGCCTACGTCTGCGCACTACTATATCAACAAACAAGGCGTTCCGGAAAGCGAAGCTTGTACCTGGAACAGCCAGAGCAACGGCGCGGTCGGAAACTGGGCGCCGCTTATCTTCGGGACTTCCTTTGACGACCTTCGACAGCATATGGGCTACACAAGCTTGAAGCAAAATGAGCTTATCTGGAATGACCGCGCAGATTTTACGGCCACCTTCACGGGCGACGGGGTCACGAATCCCTGCAAGTTCGTTGGTTCCACGGGCGAATTTTGCTCTGACGGCAACTGCGGTCATGACGTGAATTGCACGGTAAGCCCAGCTCAACCGTTCGCATTGAAAATCTCTCTGATTCCGAAATAGGCTGCTGTCAATGACGGCAGCACCCTCACTCTGGTGTTTACCGATGACTAACCGCCAGTTACACCCCATCTCCTCGAGCCATACCCATTTCGGCCCTTTTCTTTCTTACTTCATTTCTTATCCCCTCCCGGATTTTTGACACCTCCGACGATTTTCAGCGCATGGGCTATTCTACATACGTGGATGTTGGTCAATACTTGACTATGTCGAAGAGTCTACATGGTGACGGGCTTCACTATCGAACGGATCTCGACGGATTTTCTTGGAACAATTCGGATTTGCGAAAAGTTTGACTACGATATCCTATGCGAGCATCCAACTTCGATCATGGTTTCCGACATCATCTACGGATCTCCTTCGATCTGTAAGCATTTTCCCTTCTTTGCACATACGCCGCAGGACTGCCACACCTGCCAAACTGCCACCTTCTTCTTCTCTTCTTTGTTTCTTCTTTTCGGACGGATGGGCAAGGGCATGGGCTTCGAGGGGTGTTGGAAGGGGAGATGGGAGCTGGAGGCTGGTGCCAGTTACTATGATGACATGGTTTTGAAATGGGGTTTACGGGTCGTCGACGGCGGTGGATGGTGTTGGGTATCGCCTTTTCGGATTGCTGTCACGGGGGTGTTTGCGGGTTCGCTGCTGGGGATGGACGGATTGCGGACGGATCTCGGGACTTCTCGACGACGGATGACGGTCAAGGTGAACCTTTTCAGGCGGGCTGTCGACCACATTGGTCTACACATGAATGGATGGTGTTCATACCCTATTGCTGTCTCATGTTCTTGCAGGATAGAACTGACCAAACAGCTCCGCAACAGCACATCTAAGGTAAGCAGGCTCACATAATGGTACTAACTGAAGGGCTTTGGGACAGCACTCCGCCAAACACGGGCTGTCGAGCCTCACTATAAGCTTTAACTTGCTTCTTAGGCCATGGCCCTTAGATGCGCTTCCATGTTCGTCAAACGCCGGAAAAAAGCTTGCTTCCACACCATTATTGCATATGCTGCCCCTTTGGTTAGTCAAAGGAACCTCGGGAGATTCCACGCTGACTCGGATCCGCTTTCCGCCTAGACGCCTCCAGCAATGCCCCTAGGAAAGCCCGCAGCTCCTCCAAAGGTAGGCTCCCCTGCTGAAGCCACCACTAAGCTGACGAAAAGTCTTAACAGCCGAGCGAGTTAGAGGGTAAGCAGCTGGTTAAAGAAGAACCCCTGATTAAGATTACTCTCTGCGACTTTGAGTGTGACCTCGACTCAGGAAAGATCGCGTCCGACGTGCCCTCTGCCAAGAGCGCCTCCTCCTGGTATACTGTCACGCTGGAGAAGGGAGGAAGCTCTAGGAAGCGACAGCCAAGCAAGAGAAGGTTGTCGTCTACCAACGAGTCACACGATTGGGCGATATTAGATGTCGACGAGGACCTCGCTCTACCGCAACCAACCGTCGCCCTGCACATCAAGCTAGAGAAGAAATGTCCGATCTTACAATTCGGCCGATAGATCGCGGGGTTGGTTCTCATCGTGCAGGGTTCGGGTGCGGCGGTCTGTACAGTCCCGTTAGCGAAAGCTGATACGAGTCGGCCGACGTATCGCGGTCATGGTACGGAGTACACTTGTATGATTCAGCAATCATCGCGTACCTGCTTCTATGTACCATTGCCGGTTGTCTCGTCGGCAATGCGCTTTCATGAAGGATGACCGGCCGACGCAGGTAAAACGTGATTTGGTGGAGTGCAGCGCCCCATCTAGTACTTTGGACGCCCTCAGGATTCTCTTTTGTGCGCGCCGATCTTCATACACATCTATAGAGGCGGCTGAGAGTCTTGTTGTCTTCTTCTTGCGGTCGAGGGCGCCACCATTCAACCTGATACTACGCCCGAGACGTGCATTCTTTCGCGTAAGCCATGGCTGGAAAGCACGAGCCACAGCCAATGGCCATCGTGGGGATGGGTAGGTCGCTCGGCAGCAGAGCAACTGGTCTCGATCGGTCGCTAACGCACCGCCGTTAGGGTGCCGCTGGGCAGGGGGCGTTCGTGACGCGCCGGGGCTCTGGGAGTTTCTGATCAACAAGCGATCCGGCTACCAGGACTGGGCCGCGCCTCGCTTCTCCGCCAAGGGCTTCTATCATCCGAACCCGGAACGACCGGGGACGACTGCAGCCAAAGGCGGCTACGTCGTGACCGAGGATCCGCGGCTTTTCGACCCCGCCTTCTTTGGCATCTCCGGCCTCGAAGCCGAGACCATCGACGCATCGCAACGCAAGCTGCTGGAGGTCGTGTACGAAGCCTTTGAGAATGCGGGCGACACGTGGGAGAGCGTCGATGGAACGCGCATGGGCGTCTACGTTGCCGACATTTCCTCCGACAACTCGTATGCGCAGACGCGCGACTGGGAATATGCGCGGCCGCATGCGACGACGGGGGTGTGCCACAACATCCTCAGCAATCGGATAAACTACATCTTCAATCTGCGCGGTCCCAGGTGGGTGGCCAGATGCGGCAGAAGGAGCCCGGGCTAACGTGGGCAAACAGCGTCACGCTCGACAGCGCATGCACCTCCGCTCTCTATGGCCTGCATATGGCCATACAAGCTATTCGCGATGGCAGCTGCGACTCGGCCATCGTGGCCACGGCAAACTGGATCATGGATCCCAGCATGCAGATCGCCATGGACAAGCTCGGTGCCTTGTCGGCGACCTCGATGAGCCACGCGTTCGACGCCTCTGCCGACGGCTACGCACGCGGCGAAGGCTTCGCTGCCATCTACCTGAAGAAGCCTGAAAAGGCCATAGAAGACGGCTCCCCCATCCGCGCGCTTGTTCGCGGCAGTGCCATCGGCGCCAACGGCCGCTCGAGCGGCATCACCCACCCCAGCGGTCCCGCGCAGGAGGACATCATCCGCAAGGCGTACGAGAACGCAGGCGGGCTGCGGCCCTGCGAGACGCCCTTTCTCGAGTGCCACGGAACCGGCACACGAGTTGGCGACCCGCTCGAGGTGGAGGCGGCGGGGAAGGTCTTCGGGCCAGGACGGTCTGATGCGCGCGAAGACCGCCTGCTGATCGGGTCAGTGAAGACGAATCTGGGCCACACGGAAGGCGCAGCGGCGCTCGCCGGCATTTTCAAAGCGGTGCTCGCGCTGGAGGCGGGCGTCATACCACCAAGCATTGGCGTGAAGACACTGAATCCCAGGATCGACTTCGACACGGCCAAGGCCGAAGTCGTGACGGAGGTGATCCCCTGGCCGAAAGGGAAGCTGCGACGAGCAAGTGTGACGTCGGCCGGCTTTGGAGGCTCCATCGGGCACTGCATTCTCGACCACGTGAACGTCGTGTATCCGGACTACGTCAAGCCGGGCATTGTGGGCAGAGCCCAGACCAATGGCATCCACGAGACGAATGGCATCCACGAGACGAATGGTATCCACGAGACGAATGGTATCCACGAGACGAATGGTGTCAATGGGACGAATGGTGTCAATGGGACAAATGGGACCAACGGAGCTACGCACGCCAACGGCTTCCACCATGCAAATGACAGTGCCCACGTCCGTTCGAATGGTCACCACAACGGATCCACGAAGATAGCACATCTCCCCGCCCGCGTGCCAAAGGCTACGAGAAGGGCCGATCCCGGTACCCGCCAGCTCGTGCTCCTTCCCTTCTCGGCACACAGCGACTCCTCCCTGAAGGCAAACATCGACGCCATGACCCACGTTATCAACCAGCACTCCCTAGCAGACGTTGCTTACACCCTTGCAGACCGCCGATCCAAGCTCACCCAGCGAACCTTCCGCATTGTGAACAAGGATCATGTCACACAGGGACTGCTGGACGACGTCCAAAAGGTTTTTTCCAGCCCGCCTGACGCTCTGCGGCTCGGTTTCATCTTCACTGGCCAGGGCGCGCAGTGGCACGCCATGGGAGCCCAGCTCTTTGAATACCGCGTTTTCCGCTCTGCCATCGAGCATCTGGACCATGTTCTTGGCACGCTACCCGGGGCCCCGTCCTGGACAATCGAAGATATTCTTTCCGGAAATTGCGGTGTGGACCGCGTTCACATGCCAGAGATCTCGCAGACAGTGTGCACGGCCGTCCAGATCGGCCTCGTGGATCTTCTCGCCTCGTGGACCGTCCTCCCCTCAGGCGTCGTCGGACATTCGTCTGGCGAGATGGCAGCGGCATATGCGGCGGGTCGAATCACGGCTGCTGAGTCAATAACAGCTGCGTATTACCGCGGTCAAGCTGTCTCCTGCAACAAGCAGAAGGGTGCCATGCTGGCGGTGGGTCTGGATGTGGATCAAGCCTCTTATTACCTCAATGGTCAAGAGCAAGATATCAAGATCGCTGCTATTAATTCGCCGGGAAGCGTCACTCTATCCGGCGAACAAGAGGCTGTGGAGAAGCTCTCAAAGACCCTTACCCAGGATGGCGTCTTCAACCGGCTGCTGAAGACGGGTGGGAACGCGTACCATTCGCACCACATGGCTGCGCTAGGGCACGAATACGATGCGCTGCTCTCAGATGGGCTGACCCGTCTCGAGAACCTTAGGATGCGCGACGAACGCCAACGATACCCCCACATTCCCTGGGTCTCGTCGGTCACCCCGGATAAGCGCATGCTAGATAAGAGCGTCCCTTCGTCCTACTGGAGAGCCAATCTCGAATCTCCTGTTCGCTTTGCCAACGCTGTTGCAAATATTGTACAGCAGGAAGGTCTCGACATCGGAGCACTCGTAGAGATCGGGCCGCATCCCGCTCTCAAGAGCCCTCTTGACCAGATACTCAAGGCTGTTGGCAAAACTATCCCATACGTGGGGTCTCTGAAGCGCGGGGAAGACGGTCGAAGATCGGTACTGCAGATTGCCGGCTCTCTGTTCGGACTGAATGCTAATGTCGATCTGGTCGCAGTCAACGCGACTGACGAGCGCGCTGGAGGAGAATGGTCGCTAGCACATGGCGTCACCGCAATAGATCTTCCCCCGTATCAATACGTTTATGGACCGGTCAGCTATTACGAGAGCCGGTCAAGTAAGGAGTTCCGCCTCCGCCGCATCTCTAGACACGACCTCGTAGGGTCCAAGCTGGCCGGCAACGCAAAGTTACGACCACAGTTCCGCAACGTCTTGCGCCTAAAGGACCTTCCCTGGCTGGCAGACCATCGCTTGCTCCCCGACGTCGTCTTCCCGGCTGCTGGATACATATCTATGGCCATGGTAGCGGCATCCCAGATCCACGAGGAGTTCCCGGATGCGTTGCCTGTTGTGGGCCATTCGCTTCGCAATGTCAACATCAAGACAGCGCTAAAGATCCCTGAGGACCAGCAAGGGATAGAGATCATCCTCAGTATGGAGCTCGCTGCCACGGCGACTGCACAGACGCCGGCATGGGCCAGCTTCTCGGTCAGCTCTGTCGCTCGCGACTCAGAGCAGTGGACCGAGCACTGCACGGGCCTGGTAAAGGTAGATGTTTCGAACTTTGTGGATGGCGTCAAGATCAGCACAGCCACGGAATCTCGGCCTGCGGATACACGCAGCTGGTACAAGAAGTTTGCAGAGATCGGCTTAGGATACGGTCCAGCATTCCAGGCACTCTCAGAGATCCGCGCAGATCCGACGAAAAACCAAGCCTCTGCGAAGCTCGGTCTCAAGACGACCGCAGGCATCGTAAAGGGGGGAGAGTCCTCTTATCCCATCCATCCCGCCTCTCTGGATGCCATGATTCAGCTTGGCCTCCTCGCCTGCCACGGGGGTCAAACCGATAGGGCAACTACCGCGTTCGTTCCAATCTATCTCTCAGAGTTGCGCCTGCGGACCGGAAACGATCAAGACTGGGGCATTGCTGTAGCTCTCGGAGAATTCCGGGGACTCCGGTCGGCCTACCTCCAATTGCAGCTAGAGAACCAAGCGGGCGACCTGCTCCTCGACATCAAAGACCTTCGTTGCATCAGCTACAGCCTCGAGGACCAGTCTCCTAGGAAAGACCGTGCCAAGGCTTTCGCTAGCCCATTTACTCGTATGATTTACAAGCCGAATTTCCGTACGCTCAGCAACCGACAGGCTCAGGAGCTCTTCCCACCTCCAGCAGAAAATGTTGAAAAAGGACCTCTTCTTGACTGCCTCGAGACCATAGCGGCCTTGATTGCCGTTGATGTGTACGAGACGTTTATCTCCGGGAACAATACTGTGCTGGATACATCCGGAACAATAGGGCACTATGTCGCATGGATCAGAAAATTAGTAGAGGAGACTCCATCAGACCTCATCATCGAAGCCAGGCAGCTCTCTCCTTCCATACGACTTCAAATGCTGCAAGACCGGTACCAGGCCACCAGCCACCTTGTCGAGACGAAGGCTTTGCAGCGCCTGCATGAGAACATGTCGGACATGTTGCAGAGCCGTAGGCCCGGTGAAGAAATCCTGGCGGAGGGCGGTCTGTTGGCCGAGTTTTTTGACAGCAGCCTATTCCTCACGGGTGCACACCCCCAGATTGTTAAACTTTTCGACTCCCTCACCCATGCCAACCCTGGCCTCAGGATCGTAGAGCTTAAGGGTGGGAAAGGCCATACGGCACGCCTAGTGGTGGAGACGCTCAGTAGCATGAACAGCATCAAACGCTACCGAGACTACACCGTGACTGACGTTTCTGAAGCCGCCCTGCAGACGGCTCGAGGCCAGCTTGCTGAGCACCACGATGTCGGCTTTTCCGTTCTGGACATGGAGCAGGGCCCAAAGGAACAGGGCTACCAGCCGATTTACGACGTTGTACTTGCATCGCAAGCTGTGCACACTGCCTCATCCATCGCAAATGCGCTGGAGAATGCCCGGGCACTGCTAAAGCCGGGAGGCAAGCTGATCCTGGTTGAGTTCACAGGGAGCAGTCCATGGGTCGGCCTCATCGGTGGCGCACAAGTTGGTTACTGGCATGGCGTGCACGATGGCCGCATTGACAGTCCCTTCCTAAATGTTACGCAGTGGGATGAAGCACTGCGCGTGGCTGGCTTTTCAGGGGTAGAGCTAACGCTGGAGGATTACCCACATCCGAACACGTACTCAACCGTCCTAGTATCTACCCTCCTCGATACCGTTCAGCACAGTGTCGAGACAGCTGGCCCTCAAGTTGTCCGGCTCCTCCATGGTACGCAAGGAGCACCACCCCTCGTGGGCCAGCTAGCGCGCGAGCTGGAACGCCGCAGTCTACAACCCAAAACAGTTCCGCTTGATAGCACACTGAGCGAGGTACCCCCAAATGCGCGTGTAATTGCCTTCCTTGATGGCGAAAATCTACTACTGGAGGCCGACCGGCAACGTCTCGAGATCTTCAAGTACCTCGCCCACCACACGACGAGCATGGTGTGGTTGACGTCGACGGGTATGACACAGGGGCGCAGTCCTGACGGAGCGGTTGTCGGCGGACTCCTGCGCACGATCTCAACTGAAGCACCGACAGGCCGCTTCTTCTCGATTGATATCGATGCTGATGACTTCAACGTTGTCAGTGGGCTTGACAGAGACGAGCTCGTCCGTGTTGTCGCCGACCTGGAACAAGGACTGCAAGAGGTTAAAGACGTCGAGAGCAGTGACGATCGAGAGTTTGCCTGGCACAGCGGTTGTCTCTGGGTGAGTCGGCTAGTGCCTGAAGCAGCACTGCAAGGGTACGCTGAGCGCCTCCCAACGCCAATAACCCACGGCGTCGAGATGTTGCCGCTTGACAACCAGGGTCCTATGCGTGCCGCTTTCGAGACATCCGGTATTCTCAGCTCGCTCTATTTCCGCCCCTATACCGAGCTCCGCCAGCAGCCGCTGTCGCGTGACTGCATTGAGGTTAAAGTGGCCGCCATGGGACTGAACTGGAAAGACCTAGCGCTCGCCACTGGCCGTTTTGACAGCAACAACCTGTCATCGGAGTACGCAGGTATCGTTACTCGCGTGGGTGCTGATGCAGCCAGTCGCTTTGCCGTAGGCGATAAGGTATATGGCTTAGGCAAAGGTCATTTCGGCAACTATGAGCGCATGCCTGCTTCTCTTGCCCAGAAAGCGAGTCCCGAGGACAACTTGGTCGACGTGGCTACCCTGCCCGTGGTGTTCATGACGGCTGTATACGCATTCGAGCACCTTACGCGTCTGCGCAAGGGGCAAAAGGTACTGATACAGTCAGCATCAGGTGGCGTCGGCCTAGGTGCGATTCAACTAGCGCGTGCCAAAGGGGCCGATGTCTTTGCCATGGCTGGCTCGCCGGAGAAGGTGCGCTTCCTCGTGGAAACAGCTGGACTGCCACGCTCTCACGCGTTCGCCGCACGCGATCCCGCTCAGTTAGCGCACGCTGTGACTGCCACATGCAATGGCGGTTTCGATGTCATCCTTAGCACCGCGCAGGGTGATATGCTCTACGAGACCATCAAAGCCCTGGCGCCGCTCGGACACCTAATCGATATCGGTCGACTGGATGTCAACGATGCCAAGGCCGTGGGGCTCGAAGTCTTCCAGAAGAGCGCAAGCTTCTCGTCCTTTGACCTTGCGCGCGTAGTCGACCGCGACCCGGAGCTAGGCGCAGAGCTCATGGCGGCTGTAGACAAGCATTACCGTGCCAGGCGCATCGGCCCGATCCGTCCCTTGGTCGCCTCGGACATCTCCCAGCTTGATCAAACCCTGCTCGGATTCTCAAAAGGGACTCATGTCGGCAAACTAGTGGTAATATTCCAGAACCCCGACTCGTTGGTGCGGATGGTGCCGGCAACTCCAGCAGCAACCTTCGACCTGGAAGCATGCTATATCATCACAGGAGGACTCAGCGGTCTTGGGAGATCAATTATCCAGTGGATGGGCGATCGCGGCGCGAGGGAGCTAGTAGTTCTCTCGCGTCGCGGACCTGATGCCCTTGAGGCTCAAACGCTCGTCGACGCACTGGCTGAACGTGGTGTGCGAGTCCGCCCCGTTGCTTGTGACCTTTCCAACCCTGAGCAGGTTGTGCGCGCTGTCGAGGAAGCATCCGCCGCCCGGCCGTTGAAGGGCATCGTCCACTGTGCGGTATCTTACCAAGATATTTCCTTTGACAAGTTATCCCTTGAAGGCTGGTGCGACGGGCTTGCGGCCAAGGTGCTCGGCACTCGGAATCTACACGAAGCCACGAAGGATCTGCCACTGGACTTTTTCGTCATGACCACGTCCATTCTCTCGGTGCTCAGCTTCGCGACGCAGAGCGCATACACGGCGGCCAACAACTTCCAGGACCAATTCGCGCGGTACAGACGTCGTCTCGGCCTACCTGCGACAGCAGCCCAATTCGGACTCGTCAACGACGTCGGCCATCTGAGCACCGACAACACCACGCTCGAGCTGATGGCGCGCAACAAGGTTCTAACCGTCCCCGAGAGCTACTTCCTCCGCCTCCTCGAACCCGCTTTCCTCAACCGCCATGACGCTGAGTCCCTTGTACAATGCACCGGTGCTGCGTCGGACCCACTAGCTGCAGCTACCTATGTGACTTACATGGATCCAGCGCACATGGCCGCCAGAGAGCGCGAGGATGCGGAGATGGGCATCCGCAGCAGTACTACCTCACCACGCTGGTACAGCGACGCGCGTGTCTCGCACGTGATGCGTGCCTTTGACGACGCGATGCGGCACAGCGCGAGCGACGAGAACGGGTCTGGAGCCGCGGCTAACGGCGAAGGAGGGGGACGTTCCGCAACCGCGCAGCTGCGTCGCGACTTCAACGAAATCGTTCAGAAGGCGCTCGCTGCGCCTACTCAGACTGACCAGCTCAAGCAGCGCGCGCACGCGGTGGAGCTTGTCACGGGAGGCATCACGGCGACGGTGGCGTCGATGCTGCTTTTGGATCCAGTCACGGTGAACGCGGCTCGTGCAGTGTCGGATCATGGTGTCGATAGTCTCATTGCTGCGGAGCTGCGTAATTGGTTCCATGCGGCACTTGGGTCGAAAATCAGCATGGTTGATCTTTTGGATCCGCGCACGAGTATTAGTGCGCTGGCGGCGAGGGTGGTGGATGGTGCACTTGAGAGGAAGGGTTAGGGTGAGTGGGAAGGGGGGAGAGAGGGGAATTAGGGGAATTACACTCGTTTGATATCGTGTGGGCATGAATTTTCTTATCATATTTGGAGCTAATAGAGTCATGTCTAGAAATATTAGAAATGTGTTTGGACTACTGAGCCACCGGAGGTGGAGCTACGTCTAATGATTTTAGAATGGATAGAGCTACCGTCGTAGTTGCATCTCAGGGATTTCTGGACTCCGTTTTGTGCGTCGTTCCAAGAAACAAAGCGAGGTCCCCATCAATGTCGTCATAATACTGCAAAGAGAGAGCCACGCAAATGTCAGGCTATTTCATTAAGGGGCAAAAGATTAGTCCCAGATTTTTGAATTCGCACGCCGCCACTATTGCTGTTTATTCAGCGACGAATCCAAGCCGGCAATGAGCACCTCCCAGTTGGCATCTGGCTCCTGGGGCGGTGTGAGGAAGAAATCGCTCAAGCCGGATAGGTCCGAATGCTCGAAGGAGGGCCACTGTGTCGTCGCATCGCTGCTCGGCGTGGGCCTCTGAACGGGGCCGGCCTGTATCCGTTCCTCTGCACTCGGTACACGCAGGTTTGGCACCTTGTCGATGAGGCGGGCCAGCGTCTGAGCGCCTACACTCGCCATGTTGCTGACTTCTGCAAGCGTTCGCAACCGCGTGAGCGCGCCGTGCGCCGCCCGAGCGCATCGGTGTCGCGTCAGCTGGGCCTTGCCGGAACCAAGAGGATCGATACGGAGCGTGGTGCTCGGAGGATAGTTTTCGCCGCTGCCGGGGAAATCCGCGTCCATGCAGAGGCCGACAAGCAGCACGGCGGCTTCGAACGTGGGGAAGATGATGCCCGCGAAGCGTGTGTGCGAGCCGCCCAGCATGGCGTGCAGGCTCGAAACGCCGTCCAAGACCTTCAATGCCGCCACTGCTAGGGCTTTCCTTTGCGATGCCAGCAGGACTTGCTTGTATGCGGGGAGGCTCTGCACTTGGCTCTGCTCTCGTAGCAGAACGGGCCGAAAGTTGTAGCAGAGAGAGTCGAAGATGGTCATGTGCAGGATCTGCCTTTGCGGGGGAAGCGTATGTATGCGCGCGTCCCACTCCTCGCTGGGCTCGAGGGCGAAGACGGGTGGTAAGGTGGTTAAGAAGTCGGTGCAGAACTTTTCATATCGCTCCTCGGCTACGGTCGCGTCGTATTCCGTTCCTTGTCGCGGGGTGAAGCTCCGCCAGAAATTCGCTAGACGCGCCTGGATCAGGCGTTCGGAGTATCCTTCGGGTGCGCCTTCGTCGTCGATATTAGGGGAGAGGTGCATGCACGGGAGTGCTTCGGGACTCAAGGCACATGGGAGGAAGGGGATGCGGTCGAGCTGTCTTGAGAGCGTGCTGCATATCCTTTGTTAGTGATGTGCGGTCATAAACAGTCAGAACAGCGATGTTGCATACCTATCCCATATGTAGAGGTTGCAGAAGACTCTACGTCGCATTTCCGTCTCAAGCCCGTGCATGGGGGGCATGGATGGCACGTGGCCTCTGTGGAGGCCCACTCTTTGCGCTACTCGAATGGCGCTATTGAGCGCTTCCCAGAAGGTATTGATTCGTCCTTCGCACTGCGCCCGCAGTCCCGTGAAAGCCAGATGCTGCACGCGCAGCAAGGAGCCCCTCGCATCCAGCCGCACGCATATGGCGGCCAGTTGCTCGGCGATATCGTCACATGCATCCCGGATGTCCGCAAGAAACATACCGCGGATTCTGTCGATAGTGTACGATGGCGAGGGCAAAAACTGCGCCGCGTAGGAGCATATTCTGAGGACGAGCACTGCGAATTCAACATCGAATATCGACGAAAGCGGGCCTAAGCCCCACCATTGCTGGTATCGTGCCAGGAACCATGGAGGGTGCACGAGCTGCTCTATCCTATGTGGGGTATATACGAATTAGCACAGCGCGGCTAGAGCAATTCAGTGGGATTGGGGTTCCAACGAGATGGTTACGAACCAGTGGACCTCGGTCACGTAGTACTGGACCAGAAAGTCGAATATCTGGCGGTCTGGCATGCGTGCAATGTTCTTCTGGATCTCTTCGGATGTGTCTGCCGGGATAGGCCTGTCCTTCGCATGCTGATGAATCTCCTCTTGGCTCAGACCCAACTATGCGCATCGATCAGAACAGATGAGTGATCTTCGAAGTCATGAGGTAAATGAGGAGAAAGGACCGGCTTACCTTGCGCACCAGGGCCATGGTATTGGACTCGCTGTCCTCAAAATACCCAAAGAGCTCGGCAAGTGACTCGCTTCCCTGATTGATCGCCGAGTTGCGCCTCGTGCTCCAGTCCGACAACGCACTGACAGGCTCGCTGCTGCTGCTCCCATACTGGAGCTGGGCAGCAACCGGCTCCGCGGGAACGTCTTCGTTCCGACGGTCCTCCGTCTCCAGCGATGCCCTGGACCCCTGCAGTGCCTGCGAGTGGTAGGCACATTCCTCAGGACGGCGCCGGCGAGCGCAGTGGTTGCATGGGTAGCGACGGTTGCACTACACGACCCAGCATGTTAGCCACCACCTGCTGCACATTTGCGGCACGCAATCGACCGCCTGGTGTAGCGCCGCGACGCACCTTCTGTTTCCTTGTATAACAAGGGACGCACGAGGACACGACGCGCTTTCGACCAGTGCTCTGCATCGTCGACGTATTGGTTCAGAAGAAGGGAACAAGGGATGGGGTTTATAGAGAAACATCGAGGTATGCAGCCCCCAACACGGACCGGCGTGATCTGACTAATCGCTTAAGCGATCTATACCCAGGTAGAATAGAACACCAAAAAGCTGCGGTGGTAGCACTCTTTATCAACAGGGTTTCTAGAGGACCCATCTAGGGACCTTGGAAGCTTTCTCCATTTGTCTAAGCCGCATGATTAGGTTCGTCTCGCCCACGCCTCGTATGCTGCATGGCGGGAACATGCGCCGGACCTGAATGCAGCCAATCACACAAGCCCAAATAAGCGTAAGAGATAAGAACTATTACTACCGCCCTGGAACCTATACCCCGAGTACTGATGCGCGTAACGGCGAAACGGAAGGCCGTTGACCGGGTTCCAGACTCCCTATGGATGAAGGCCCCACCACCGCTACTTTCAGACGGGTTGCATTGCCTAGTTGAGTGGTACATGCATTCACGCGGCATATGGCCTGCTGACGGGCCGCCCTTACCCGCCATCTTGCCGACTTCACATCCTTCACGACCGGTCAGCCCGTGGCGGTTCGTCCCGCATGACGCCATTGCTTGTCTCCACCTGCCCCATGGGTTCCGACAACGCGCGGCATCATCCGTACTAATGTTGCAGTGTCGAAATGGGGAAATGGTCGGTCCTATTTATCTCCCAACACGATACACGTTCCCACCGATACTACGCAGTCATGAAAGATTCTGGGGGGAAGCCGACATGATTTGTATTCCGTGCGAACTCTACAAACACCGTATTCTATTCCGCGATCACACATTCGAGTCGACCACCTGCCGCAAACGGTTTCTCCGACGAGATGGACTCACCGCCGCAGGTACACTTCCAGCAAACCCATAAGTCCCTCAGGGCGGAAGTTGCGGATTTCATACCGCTCGTCCGCTTCCTTCAGAAGAGCACCAAATTCAGCTGCAGTGCGTAGCTTACCACCGAAGCCCACTAGCATGATAAGGTCGATCTGACGCAGGCCCCGCTCGAAGTCGCGTGTCAGCGTACCCTGCACCGGGACGACAAGGTCGTTGATGAGCAGCGGCGTGGTGGGTTTGGAACGTTCGAGTCCCGGAACCAGGGCACGGAACATTCTAACGACATCGCGGTCGCACCAGTTCAGCGCACAGGCGCGCAGAATGAACGCCGCAGCGTCGCCTATCGGCTGCGGCTCGAAGAAACTGTGCTGCATAAAGGAGACGCGACCGCGGATATCGTCGGTGAGCAGCGACTGGCCTGCTGCATGCATATCTGCCGAATCTTGCACGACGAAGTTAAGGTCAGGGAAGTGCTGCGTCAAGGGTCTCGTAGTCAGAAGGTGATGACTCGAACGATGGCGCGTGTGAGTGTTACCTGGGCCAGCGTTATGGAGACTTTCCCGCTGCCACCGCCGACGTCCACCACTGTGCCCTTGAGTTTTCCCCAGGGAAACGCCTCCTTCAATGCGTTGATGTTCAAATTCACTGTTGACATGTCAGCCTCTAAGCAGAATTACGCCGATTTCACGCAACAGCAAGAAGCCGAAATGAAAGGCATGTACATTTAGCCCATCCAGCCATGGCCTTGGCGAATCGAATCGAACGCTTAGGGTCTTTTTCATAGTAGTTGAAGATGGGAAGGCCATGGCGTGTCGTGAAGGGAGTGACAGCGCTGTCGTACTCATGTGGTGCCGCCCTGACATTCTCGGCTGTGGCCGATGCCGCCTGAAGCATCTCATCGACTCTGCAATCCAGGCAACCACAGTTAGTACGTGCCAAGTATAGATGAAGCGCCCTTCTTCGAGGATTGCGGCAATTGCGCCAAGGCAACGTACGTGTAGTGCAGCGTGGCACGGACCTCCTCATCCGTATGCAGGAGGTACGAGCTGGGATTGTGCGCAACATATCCAGGTGTAGGTTCGCGGAAGATGAACTCGGTAGCCAGGAGACGAACGATGCGGCGCGTTCTGTCCAAGTCCATGCCCGCTTTCTCGGCCAGCTCTTCTAGGGAGATCTGCCCCTCGGCAGGGACGATAGTGAAGAAGCCGAAGTCGAGCGCCACCTGGATGGCTGCAAGCTCATATCCCTGGCAGCAGAGAGCGCGGAAGTGCCTCTTTGGGCCCTCGACGAGATACTGGAGATCTTCCAGGGACCGTTTCAGGTCACTGTGCAGCTTCGCATACTCGAGAGTCTCCGGGCGGCCAACGCAGTCGGGTGCAAACGTCGGCTGGGCATGCTTGGTTTCCTGCAGGTACTGTGCGATTGCCTGGGTCTGCCGGACAACGTCATCGGCGAGGGCGAGCAAGTCGCCGCCGTCGGTGGCTTTGGACACTGTGCCGTTGGTTCGCGTGGCCATGGCTGAGTTTCGAGACGCTTGCCTGGGCCTTGCGCGAGCTCAAAGGCCTTATACATGGTTATCATGGCATCCGTCTCCAGCGTTGAGTTTACACAGTTCAGTACCAAGCCATGAAGCCCGTCTACGGTTGAGGTCTTTGACGGCCTTGGTGCGGCTGCGGTTTGTGCCCCTGAGGAGGTTTTGTAAGCAGTTGCTGATTTCTCACATTTCGGCCGACGTTTTACGGGCATGCGGCGTCGATCTCGGCCCTTGGCACCGTTGGGCTTAGTTATGCCCCTTGCGCCGCTAAATCCGCTAACTGCGGGCACCCGTGCGGTCCGTGCCCGCTGTTTGCAGACACGATTGACGCTATCCCCCTTACAGCATTACAAATCCAAAGAAGCTCACAAACCGCAAGGCGTTCGTTATTTGCGCCGTGTGCTGCCACAGTAGCAAAAAGCACCAGAGCTGTCGAAATACCGGCGCGCTGTTCAGGTTCCTCATACCATTCCCATACCATCCCCCCAACTCTCCGCCAGCAATCAGCGAAAATGGCAACATCCGACGGCAACGAAAGTGCAACCACCGACGAGAAGCAAGATCAGTATCAACGAGGTCTCGACGATGCCCCGGAAGCAGGGGAGCTCGAAGCGGCACCCCTACCTGACGCCGCCCCACGCAACATCAGCGGATGGAAGTGGTGGCTGACCATGATTGCCATTCTGACTTCAACATTCCTATACGCCCTTGATGCCACCGTGGTTGCCGACCTCCAACCCGTCATCGTCGAGGAATTCGACTCCATCCAGGACTTGTCATGGCTCAGTGTCGCGTTCCTGCTTACCGCAACGGCAACCAATCTGTTTTGGGGACGCATATACAGCAACTTCAACGCCAAGTGGTTCTACATCTTCACCGTGCTCGTCTTCGAGATCGGCTCGGCAATCTGTGGCGCAGCGCCATCCATGAAGGTCATGATCGTGGGACGCGCCATCGCCGGCGCGGGCGGCTCGGGCCTTTACGTCGGATGCATGACCCTCATCGCCATGACCACCACCATGGCCGAGCGCCCCGTGTACGTCTCCTACACCATCTTGACCTGGGGCATCGGCATCATCCTGGGTCCCGTGATTGGAGGCGCCTTCTCCGAGTCCGCAGTTGGTTGGCGATGGGCATTCTACATCAACCTCTTCATCGGCGCTGCCTGCGCTCCCGTCTACCTGCTTCTCATCCCCAATAAGGACCCCCGTCCAGGTGCAACAATCAAACAGCGGGCCGTCGAGATGGATTACCCTGGAACGGTGCTGCAGTGCGGGGCGCTGACGGCTTTCATCCTAGCCGTTAATCTTGGCGGCGTTACCTTTCCGTGGGATTCCGGACGTATTATCGCGCTGTTTGTCGTGTCTGGCGTACTTTTCATCATGCTGGGCGTTCAGCAAGTCTGGAATATCTTCACCACGCAAGCTCGGCGCATCATTCCCGTTCAGTTCTTCAGGTCGCGCACAGTACTCATTCTCTTCGCCGCATCAGCCGCGAGCGGATCATGTACTTTCGTGCCGATCTATATGGTTCCCCTTTTCTTCCAGTTCACGCGCAACGATACCCCTCTCGATGCTGGTGTGCGGCTACTACCCTTTATTATTGCCCTGGTGGTCTTCGTCTTCCTCAACGGAACCCTGATGGGGAGACTCGGCTACTACATGCCATGGTACCTAGTGGGAGGTTTGCTCACCGTGGCGGGCTCTGCTCTCATGTACACAATCGACCACGACGACTCCGCGAGCCGCGTCTACGGTTACACGGTGCTGATGGGAGCGGGAGTTGGCATGTTCCTGCAGGCATCGTTTTCAGTCGCACAGGCCGTCGTTGAACCGGAAAACATCCCGCCGGCCATTGCCTTCATCACACTAGCCCAATTCATTGGTATTACCTTGGGCCTAGCCATCGGGAACGCCATTCTACTCAATGCCAGTCAGACCACGATCCAGCAGATTCTGCCCACAACGCCTCTGGCGGACATTCAGGCCGCCATCTCGGGCGCACGCTCAGGGCTGGTGCAGAGTCTCTCCCCGGAACTCAGGGGCCGTGTGCTTGCCGCCATTGTCGACGCTATCGACAAGACGTACATCCTTGTCATCACCGGTGGCGCCCTTGTCACCGTGTTAAGCCTAGGAATGCGATTCCACAAACTGTTTGGCGCGACTCCTGCTGCTTGAAAATTTCCTTCTGTGGGTTGCTTTCCGCGCAGTGTTACGATCTAGAGCTAGACAATGACATTGTGCGGAAAACCTTGTATATTAGGTTTTCTTCATTCGAGAGTAGAAGTAGCACTGTATGATAGCAACGGTTCCCATCCGCTTTCCCACCGTGTACTCAATTGCTTTGGAGATTTCTATCGAGTCAGTCCAGGCAGAGTAGCAAAGCCAGACTTTAGTAAAGCCGATAATCCCATCCCGCGCACCGAGCAGCCTCGAAACTCCCCATCAGATATGAATATTGAAAGGAACGTGCCATTGGGAACATCGGGTCTCTCCTTCCCTTTGAATACTAACGTAACAGCGAGCATGATTCAGAGCACTGCAGCATCCCAAAATCCGAACACCTGAAAAACATACCCTACATACAATGCATCCGCTGTTAAGATCCTATTTCTCACCGCCAGCTCTTCTGCTTCTCAACCTCAAACAACACTGATCCGCCCGGTGCACGATTCCATAACTGGCCTTGGGATCCGCTAGCGCCGGCGGCACCGACAGCAAATCAAAATTCCACACCACCAGTGTGGCAACCATACGGAGCTCCAGATAAGCCAGCCGACGGCCCCAACAGCTGCGAGGCCCCATGCCAAACGCAATCTGCGGAGCCGCGTTCGCATCGAATTCGACCTCATCCGTGCCCTCCTTGCGCACCAGCCAGCGCTCCGGGTCGAACGCGCTCATGTCACGGCTTTCGTCCCAGCCGTTGTTAGTCTTGACCGTGGCACCGCGTCGTGCGGGGTCGACTTGCATGGACGGCGCGTGGAAGCCCGGCCCGTTAGCGATTAGGATCACGTTGGTGCCCTTAGGAACCGGGTGGCCGAAGAGCTCGGTGTCGCGGGTGGCTTGTCGCGCGACGCTGGTTGCGTGCAGCCGCAGTGCCTCCTCCAGCACGGCTTCGAGGTAAGGCACCCGCGCCTTGTTTAGTTCGGCGAGCGTTGGGAACCGTTTCTCCGCGTGCGCATCGGGATAGCCTTTGTACAGCGCGTCCCGCAGGTTCGCTTGGATTTCCGGGAGCCGAGTCAGGTAGATGAATGTCCAAGCCAGGGTCGTGCTCGTGGTATGCAGTCCGGCGATAAACTGGCCGGCGATCTGACCACAATGTGTCAGCATATGAGGAAGGGGGAGAAGCACAAGACGAAAGGGCATTGATCTTACCTCCTCCATCAAGATCGGGCTCTCGTAATCCGGCTTCCGGCCTTGTTTCTCAGCCGCCTTTTTCTCTCGCATCAACATGTGCTCAATCGCCGTTTTTGTCACGCCAGTAGTCTCGAGCCTTCTGAGAGCGCCTCGGACTTGCTCCTTGACAACTTTCCTCTTCACAGTCATCACCTTTTTGTACCTGGGTGTCTGACGGAGCCACCACATCGTGAACGTTGGCGACACGGACTTGGTCACCTGGTCGATTGCATCCACCGTCTGGTAAAGCGCGGTGATGAATTCGTTGAGTGGGGCCTCTGGGAATTTGGCCTCACCGTTGGGTCCTGTTTCAATGCTGGACGGGTCAAGTTTTGACGCTAAATCAAACTGCGGGCCGATGGCTGTGTGTTCGAAGTGGCGATCAAACACAAAGGCCAGCATACCGTCGAGAGCGCTGTGATTCAGATCCTCGTTGACATCAAAGGGCCTGCCGTTGGCAACACGAGCTTTGTTCTCCCAAAACTCCACGAGATGGATAGCATTGTCGTACATGACAGGACCGACGATGTTATTGAGAAAACTCGGGCCCATGAGATCCTGCAACCATGCTCGGGTCTGCTTCCAGGTCTTGCCCGTCTTCATCCTGGCGTGGAAGCCGTCCAGGGGCGCCAGGCCATCAGTGATGAAGTTTGATCTGTCCCACTCGGGCCGTCTCGTCATGATATCTTGGGCCTCGGCGGAATCGGCGAGGAGCAGCCAGGGCTTGGATAATGGCGTGACGAATACCTGGCATAAGGGGGCCTGGAGCTTGTTTACCTGCTTTAACAGCCACACGTTTAACTCCCTTGTGACTCCGACTTCTTTGAGCATGTCCGGGGCATCTCCAAGCAGCCTCTTCTCGGAACCTTTGTTGTATGGAATGCCCGGGAACGGCCGTGGGAGTAGCAGCCGTACGTACACAGCGTATAGCACCCCAAAAAAGGCGAAGGCAATCAAGGACGTGGGCACCAGCCCTGCTTGACCGAGTTGGTCTGCGGTAGAAACAGCCATGTGTTGGATAGAATTGAGGAGCTCGTTCGAGATGCTATGTAACGGAACAACAATTTCGACAGCAAATACAAATAGCTCAACAAGTTCTTACTAGAGTTACTCTCCCACAGAATGATATTATATATGAGGGAGATAGCGGAGATAGCATGTAGTGAGATGTACAACATAAGTCGGGGTAAGGCTCGCGTGCATCTGTCGGTTTACCCCCGAAGTAGGGGGCCTGGTAAGAGTCCTATCCAGTCAATCGGTGTCACGTAAAAAACGCGGGGCCGCAGGCGCCCCGATGAACTTCGGTCGAACGGGCGTCGGCCGAGTCTGGCGAAGAAGTTCTGTCACCAATGTCAAGACACACTTCGCGCAGATCGCGATCAGACGACGAGGTGAGCAAGGCACCCGGCTCCGCGCCTCCGCATCCACCTTCACGCTTTTGGCGTCGAGCAGAGAGTCGTTCCTGCGCTGCTCCACACTTTGCCGCCATCCTCGACAAACTCTGGACTGCGGGAGAACGCTGGCAAGCTCACCTTGGGTGCTCTGCGTCTTTGTTGCGGAACGCTCAACTCATACTTCGCGCTCACAACTTATTAGAGGGCTAGACTCTATCCTTTGATATACAGCGGAAGACAGCTGGCATCGGACTCGGCCGTGCGCGACTAGTGGGTTTGAGAGTACGATTCGAGTATCTCTGCGTATACGTAGTTGCTCGGCTTGGCAACCGCTGCCATTCCCCTTGTTGAAGGTGATGAGACGGAGAAGGATGGCAGAGAGCCGTTTTGTCGTTCGCCAGTTGACTGCGTGTCTTCTTGAGTCAAAAAGCGTTGGGCTTCCATTGCATGTTGCCTACACTGAACCGTGGATCCTTTCTGTGCTAAACCACTGAACCTTTTAATAATACCCCTTCTGCCTCCAGAGTTTAGAAAATCGCGTCTTTTTTGCTAGTACTATATATGTAGTACGCTCGCATCTTCTTTATAACGAGGTCGAGCGAATTCATGACTGCGCTGCCATTTCACGGAGTTTCTTGGGAGCTGCGCGTCAACAAGAAGACCTGTGCCGACATTGCTTGCTTGTGCAAAGAAAAGCTTACCAACCAAGTAGGGAACATGTAGCAGTTCTATTCATCCTATCGTGAAAATGCGACCATTGCGAATGCCTTCTGTTCGACTACGGACAGATACTCGCTCCAGGGAGCCGCCATACCCATGAGACGATGCTCAGGTTATACTGTTCTCTTAGAAATGTCGCAGTGCATCCTTGCGACACTTCCATCCTCACCGACGTGGCGAATTCCTCGACATGTCCGTTTTCAAACTCGCACGACTGCTGAAAGTGTAGGCCCTTCAGGAACCGGGCGACTTTCACGGACTTGAGTTCTTCTCCGCCAAGGACCTATCTGCGAAGGTCGGTGCGGTTGCTGCCCTTGTCAACTTAGGATGTGACGTTTCTTGCATCCAGGACTGCTAATCGCTCTCCCGGTTGCGTAACCGGCGTATCATCACAGGACGACCAGGTGCCGCAGCCTGCGCTCTCGTGTGCCAGGTGCTGAAGTTGGATCACACAGTTTGAGTTCCATTCCAGACGCTTGTATGATATGCGGGACCGGTGCCGATGGATGCATCGTAGGTGCGATTGGAGCGAAAACTCGATAACGCAGTTGGTGATGATGATTATGCCTCCGATGGTGAAGATGAGAGATAAACCGAAGATAGAGAAATTTGCGAACGCAGTGCTGTGGATTTTCTGTGGAGGATAACTCAGTAGAGCTACATATGTAAAGGATGCTTGCATCATACCTCATTCTTGCAAAAGTAAACTTCCTCGGGGTCCCTCGTAATCTCATAGAAATCTCGCACGCCGTCGTTCGGGCCGACCGCAAGGTCAACCAGTCCCCCTTGCATCGCTGCAAGAGTAAATTTTTGCCACCTTTCCATATCCAGCTCCCATTGGTTATCCTGTAAGGCCCCCTAAATGCCGTTGTTCAGACTATATTTCGCCATTAATGCACTAGTGCCGATCGATTTGGTGAAGATCGGGGGATCCGTGTAATAAGTACTAGCGAGAAACCCCCTTCGTGCAAACTTGATTTAGACTTCTGCAGAGGCAGGGTGAGCATAGGACTCCAACATCGCAAGGTCATTTGCCGGTTGCAAACTGGTGCACTGCTTGCCCTTCGGCAAATCGGGAAGACAGAGCTGCCATTGCTCAGCGCAGGCAAGAGGAGACGCAGCATTGTCTGAAAGGTAAGTTGAGACCTTCGTATTGGGGTCATATCCAGAAGGTAAAGTCCTTCAATTGTTGCGGTGTGCTGCATACTACGGGTCGTTGACGGCTTGGGGGTAGGTAACAGCGTTGGCTGACAACAACCACACCGCGCCTAGGGGGTTCCTAAAAATAGTAAAGCAGATATTGCCTAGAAAATATACGTAGAATTATGTTCACGGGCCTAAAATACGTCTAATAACGTACTAAAAGAGCTTAGACAGATTTTTAAGTAGGAAATGTCTGCTTTACTATTTCCAAGGACCACCTAGGCGCGGTATGGAAGTGAAGAAAGACGCCAGCATCTGTGCGCGAAAGAGCATCAATAGGGGCAAAACCGCTATTAATTAAGCTGCCGTTCTGGCAGCGCGCGACAAGGGTGCTGTCGAAGTCAGTTGTTGCTGAATGAACGAGGATTTTGTTTCTCTCACTCTAGATCATACTCCATAGTAGAGTCCTCAACACTGGTGTTGACCAGGGCGCGCCGATACGTATAGTTTCTCATGACAGTGTCGTTGAACATCTCGCCGCCATAGTTGTAGAATGTTTGGAGAACGCCCAAGCTATTAAGCTGGGAACTGTAGCCACTCGTGATCAGTGGACTACAATGTGAGACGCGACGGACTTATAAACGTTTGGAGCCGGGACCATTTATTCCAAGATCGTCATTTGTGTCTAATAGAACAGTATCCAGGATGGTGTTACCATTCGGCTTGTAGCAAATATCTTCGGCGAAAGGACATGATGAATTATGCGTAATGACTGAATTCCTGGTTCGGCTTTTGATATGTCTTGCAGTTCGTCTTCTCGACTCCACCCGAGTAGTAGTACGCTAAGAAGTGTTGGGCGAACTCAGGATATAATGTATTGTACTAATCCTTGAACGTGACGGTGTCAAGTTTGTCAACCCACTCTCCGCAGAAGGGATTATCGTGAAGCAGTACCTCATCTCCAGATAAAGCAGTGATGTTGGAGAAAAAAACACCTGTCACTGCGAAGGCGAGGACGCTGACAGAGATATAGATGAGGCGGGGCGATATGTGGCGAATCGAGTGGTGACCGTGGTGCCTCCAGAGCTAGACCATTTGAGTGAGTTCCTACAGCACTGTGGCGCCATTTGCAGAGTTCCGTAGAATGGATTGACGCTGATGGTAGATTCCGTCCTGCGCAGTTGGCTTCGAGAAGACGCGATACATGATATAGCACACTATTCGGAATGCGTAGGTACTTGAGAAGGCTATAAGGGGCGCTACAAAAGCGACTAGAAAATTGCCTTCCGACCAGTTGATTCAGGATCCAATATGTACATGAAGTTGAGGGGATAGCGCCGACTCGGCCATGGCGAATCTGGAAGACGACCGAATTAAGTGAGGGTGAAGACCCAAGAACGTATCAACGAGTCGCGCGCAAAATCGACGTAGTCTTTAAGGGAGTAAAACCAGCACATGTCCGCAGGCATGGCTTATACCTTACCCTAGCGTTGCACATAGTCGGAAAGGTTTACCATGCGTCTCATAAGGCGCACCATGGATGGCGGCAAGTGAGATTTGGCCGCCTGGGGGTTTCGCGGGCCAATCTCATGGATGATGCAGGGAGTTGCAGGCCAAGTCGAGAGAAGATACCTACGTATCGTGGGGGCAGGGGTAGCGCAAAGGGACAGGAATCACAGACAGATCACTGCATGTTCGAAACTTTGGGGGCTGAACATTCGAAGGGATGTTGGTGGGATGAAGTCGGTAACGAGGTACAGTGTTTCACATACCTTCCAGACTCCAAGTGCCCGTCAGAATCGAAAGCACTGCCTCGATATGCAATGCCGCGCTCATGTATTGGTTTATCCCAACTCTCTGCTCACGAAACACATCCGCCACCAGCACCTCGTCACGGCCACGATAGGCCCCAACGCTCTGCGATATCGCGACATCCACGGGCTTCTCGAAGAGCCTCCATAGCGTTATCAAGGACGTCTCGAGCGAATCCTCAAGCGACTGATTCCCACCAGAGTCTACATGGCTGTTCTCTACCATCTCCGTCTCTAGAAGACCCCCATTTCCATTGAATGCCGCTCGGAAGTCCTCCCAAGGAGCGTATGCCGTTAGCGAATACATCAGCACCGCGCCATTCTCGTATCGTGCCAACCCGAGAGCGGAGCACCTTCGTGTTGTGCGGCGCGTCTAGCAACAAGCCTTACCCTTGGACCGTTGTCTTACCAGCAAACCGAGGCGAAGCTCAGCGACTTTATGGTAGAGATATGAGCATGCTCAGCCTGGACTGCGCGAAAACGGCAGTGTGGCCTCTAGGGAGGTTGCTCGGACGATGCATCCTCATTATTAGACAAACCAACAAATATCCGCAGCCCCAGGGCTTCGGAGAGTGCCTTACGCGCGCTACTGTTTCTCCGCGCCAGCCACAGCAAAGCCGTTATCACTGAAGTCGCAGTCTCGATGTCTTTGCCATCCCAGCATTGGGTAGGTAAAATAGCTTGCAACGGCGGTTCGATGCCTCAGTGAGACGCAGACCTAGAGGCAGACTCCGAACCCGTCCGCTCCATGTTGTCTGAGGACTATCAGCACCCGTTTTTGAACTGGAGCGAACAGTGTGTCCTCTAGCACGGAAGACCGATGCGGGCTTCAACAGAAGTGATGAATCCGTACTTACAAGACGCGGTGAAGAGAGAAAAGGACAAGGGAAGGGCTGGACGGAGTACTGAAGGAGATGCGGAAACACCACCAGCGTTTGGTAGGACCAGTAGATTACTTTGTCAACTGACCGCTGAGTCCATCTTTATGTCCCCTAACAAGTCCCTTTCGCCATACATACTCTCGTCTTTAGGAAACCTCCATCGGCATCGCGCAAATCATTGGCCGCCTTCCGTGACCGAACGAACTCAAAAACGCCCAGCCTCCCAGCGAGGATCGCTCAGGTTATTACTTGGGCGTAAGTGAAGTAGCATTGTGTCAGTGTTTCCATAAAGTCCCAGCCTAGGCGCTCCTCTCATTTCTTTGTTGCCATCTGGATCTCTCCGCATATTACTTCAAAGAGATATACTCATGAAAGACATTGTAACCCCCCCCCCCGGAAAGCGAAAGATCCCGACATCCCGAAAGCAACGAGAGGTACCTCGACTTCGCGGTGACATTGACCTACCCGCACGATATTGCTTCGCTCGATAAATTAGCCGCATCATGCCTAGATAGTATTCAAGCTATATTACATATCCTACCCTTAACTTACACAAGGTTAGCCATGTTACTAACTCTGTTGTGCTTTACGTGCCTTTAGCCTTTTAGCACTATCATCGCTATAACGTCGCCCTCTCCTTTTTTTCGCGAGCTAGAATTTAGTGCATATAGTTTACAAAAACAATCCATGCTTACCTACAGAACTTTAGGGCATAATATTTTAGACGGCATAAGATTATGTACTACCTGGATTGGTAGCGATTTGTAAAGGATTACTACGTATCACTTATATAGGGTGTATCTATGCGGAAATCTTATATTTTTCATTATCTTTCATCTATTTCTATCTAGAATTAATCAAATTGGACTCCATGGGCCGAAAACTTGATCCACCGAAGCTTCAAGATATTCTCATTGATTTGGTGTGTGGGAATAGCTTCAGGGCTATCTCACGACGTCTTACTGTTAATCGCCAAGCCATCTCATCTATATTATTAAGCCTTAATCTGTATGGGCAGCTCTAAGCGCCACCCAGCGTTGTCCAAGGGCGTCTCTAGTTGTTACTACGGTACCAGGAGCATGTAAGTAGGCACTGATAGCTGAAGCTTTAGCTAACGGCTGTATAGGGCCTTCTCGAGTTTCTCAAAGAACGCCCTACTACATACTGTGATGAGATCCTTGAGTTCCCGTGGGAGGATTTCAACACAGTGGTCTCAGAGCGCACCCTTTTTAGGACCCTACAACGAGCTGAATGGAATCGAAAGGTAGCAGCCAAGCACGCCGGAGCTAGGAGCGACGCCCTGAGGCCTGATTACTATGCCCTTTTACGCTGTTATCGAAAGGAACAGATCGTAGGTGTGGACGAGTCGGCAACCAACCCAAGAACTAGGGAGCGGAAGAGAGGATGGGCACTTATCGGAGAAGCTTATGTGGCTCTATATAGTAGGGATAGGACCCGTAGATGGTCTATCCTTCCTGCTATGGACGTCAGTGGTTGCTTTGCGTACGCTGTTATTCATGAAGGCTTTATATCTAGACTATTCGAAGACTTCCTGTAGTATTAGGCCCTCCCCTACTGCAACTCCTACCCCCTGCCGCGCTTAAGTTTAATAATAAATAACGCCTCTATCCATAGATCTCCTCGAGTAGAGCAGCTCTGCCTTGCTGCCGGCGTACACTTGGTGGAGTTGCCGCCGTATTCACCGAATCTGAACTCGATCGAGCAGACCTTTCAGGTGCTGAAGGCGTGGGTAAGGCGCAACTACTAGTTACTGGAGAGCTTTAATGAGTTTGGAGACTTCTTGCGCGCTGGTATTGAGTCCTGCTGCGTATGGTACGACTGCTACGGCATGTTTCATTGGTGTGGGTACCAGGATTGGGGTGGTAGGGTGAGCGTTCACGCTCTGCACTTTTAACTTCGCGTTCAGTGCCAACATCACGACTAACATCATGCGAATTAACTTATAAAACTTAGGGAGCTGTCTCGCATACGTCTTATCTAATAGCACGCAAATTATTATACAATTTTCTAATGGCGGTATAGAGTTCTGTTGTTAAAGCAGCTCGTTCGGATGCTGGCAGGAACCGAAATCAGATTTCGAGTTAACTCCGATAACTCCGAGTGCGCGCCCGAGGTAAGGGGCTTGGCTGCGTGAAACAAAATCAGAAACTTAAAACAGAAACTCAATCCCTAGGTCTCGCGGTAATAAATACTTCGTACCCGGTATAGGAACAACAACACTCTCGCTTCGCGCTTCGCGCGTCGCACCCTTAACGGTGCCCATTCTGTCGTTTAACTATTGTCCTGTACCACTCTGATACAGTATGTATTATCGTGCTAACTACCTCATGCAGGTAGATAGATATACAGAGTCCCACCTGTCTGTTAGTTCCCTACCCGTGTACGCTGGCGGACAGGAACCCACCCCGGACCCCGGGATTCGGACCAGACCAGGAGCGTTCCTACTTAGGTATGGCACAGATCTGCTTTCTGCACCTGCATATCCGGAGACAGACCTCGTGCTCACTCGCTCGCTCCCGCGCTTTGAATGCCGATGCCGATATATCCGTTTTTCCATCCGCATTCCCATCCCCTCTTCCACTCACAAGACTGCCATTACATACAGATCGCCAGCCAGCCAACATCACGCCCTGAATCATAGACGTCTTCTTGGACACGCGTGGCACAGGACCAGACCAAAAAGCAATATTCCTCGCTTGTGACAAATTTGCTATACCTAGGTATACCTAGCTTTTCCCCAAGCCAGGCCCCAAGGGAAAAGTAAACATACATATCCGCCACCACCCCGCACTTCGCCTGCTGCTTCCCCGAGGGAAGGGGCACAAGCTCTGGGGTCTGTGCGATGTGCACGTGCTCGTGCAAGGTTGGGCGCCCGGGTCGTCCTGATTGGGACTGATGCAGCGGAACGTGGCATCGCTTCCAGGGCATGCGGTGCATAGGGCGATGCAGGGTCTCCGCGGAGCCGGGGGAAGTCTGGTTTGTCGCTTCTTCACTTCAAAGAGCGTATCTAGGAGGGAGGAAGTATGCGAACATGATGCCATTATAAGGGAAGAGACTTGACTTGCCGCCTTCTATCTGGGTATAGGTACGCGGTGAAAACATGCCAATTGATCGTACTACACTGTAGCCACCCGTAAAGACAGTCGGATTGAGGAAATCGATGACCCTATGCTACGACGACTCCGGTTCTCCGATGTCCTAAATGCTATGGCCGCCTTATGCCATAAGACCATGAGGCCATTTCCCGAGCCCTAAGCAGGAAATGCAAAAGCCGAGGCCATACAATGCTAGTATCAAAAAATCGTAAGCCGTTGCAATAAAAATAATTCGAGCGGACGCGTGTGTAACCGTACTGGATGCTGCGACAGGAATCAAGATAAATGACAAGAAGAGGAAATCGGGGCTTTTTCTCGAGCACCGCATGCGTAACGGTGCGAACCCCTGAGCTCTACAAGGAATCCATCCAAGGTGCCTCGTAGGTTGCTCATACCCATCCCGAAGGGCTTCGCGGACATTATTTCATGCCAATGTACAAGGAGGTCTGGAGCTGGAATAAACATGATCCCTCTCCTACCATTGCCCCAACTAGACGGCGATGATGGTGTGTGTATGTGTGTATGTGTGTGTGTGTGTGCGCGTATGCTTGAGACGGGCATCACGTCGTGTTCCGGATAGAAAGCCAGAAAGTCATGAACGGTTTCAAGTTGGCGCGTTGGAGAAGGCCAGAAACTGGCTCGAACGGTTTCCGTTCGCGTCGTTACTCGAAACAAAGTTTGGAAAGGATTCCTCTTCGGCGGCTGACGAAGACTCCAGAGGAATTCCGTTGTGCCCGCCATGCGTCAAACAGCCCACGCACTCACACCCGTCGCCACATTGACAAGTGCCGGTAGCATCGTTGCAGCCCGGTAGCTCAATCTCCCCCCAGAAGTACGAAGACGGTGAGAGGGTCGGTGTCTCCTCGTCTTTTCCGTCGCTCGGGCTATCGGCGAAAGTCGGGCTCTGTGCCGCCTCTTCCATCTTGAGGGACGATGTTGCTTCTTGAGTCGTGACTGGAGCGATGTTGCCAGCGGCAAAGTACTGCGCATCCAGCGATGGAGGGACCTGGGTCGAGTTCTGGAGGGGAGTCTGCGCCCATGCGCCCGTAACGGTGAGCGGGGTGCTTGGCATGCTCATGGTGCCGTTCATGTTCGCCTGGAAGTTCATCTGGTTTGTGGGAAGAAAATTGGCAGGTGCTGTGCTGTTGTACGCCAATCCACCGTCAGCGCTGAATCCAGGATGGTGCGGGTAAGAAGGCATGTCGTATGTCGGCGGCGGTAGCTGTCCCCAAGCTCCATGGGTCATGAAATGGTGCATCGACCGCATGTATTCGATCATAGTCGCATTGTTCGGGTGAGCCGCACATCCAAAGCAGCTGCAAGAGTCGCCGCAGTGGCAGTTGTGTTCGGGCGCATGCGTTGCGCCATGATTGTTCAGTGATGGCATCGGTATCGACGCGGGCGGCTGGTAGACAGACGCCATATGGTTGTAAATTGGGGTGTTGAAGTTGAATGGCGGGGGCATCGGCATGTAGTTGTTGCCTTGGTTCATCATGCCATATTGTGGATGCTGGAGCTGTCCGGGATACTCCCCGAAATGCGGGCCAAACTGGCCATGGCTCCTCTGAGCTCCGTTTGGCTGCGCGAGCTGAGGTTGCGTTGGCTGGGCAGACGTGGATCCCGAGCAACATGACTTCTTGGACTGTGCAGGTTTCGGCTGCTCGTTTGTCTTATTGCTGCAGCAGCCTCCGCCTTGAGATTGAACTGGCTTCGGCTTGCAACAACTTGAGGACTCCTGGGAGTGCGAGGTAGCAGGGCGGCTCGTAGAGAGGGCGTTATCCGTGGGGGTGGTTTCCGAGCCGTGACTCGCTTTCCGGGAGGGAAGTAGACGGGGAGTAGAGCTCGCACTGGAGGGAGGCGAGGCATCATTGCTTTCGCTCGTGGGAGTTCGTGTGAGGAGGGACGAGGAGTCTGTCTCGCCGTCCTGGGCGGCTTTGATAGCCTTTTCAATGACGGCGGGGTTGAGTGCGTTGGTTGCTTTTCTGGTTCGGTTCTTCTGAACCCGTCCACTGGTGTTAGCTAGGAGAACTGGCTGGTTGCGCTCAGATGGACAAGCGCATTCAGACGCCTTGGGGATTGTGTAGTTGATGACGACGCGCTCGCAACTGCAGGAGCCGCTGGGGTGCGGACAGCTGCTCAGTGGCCGACCAGGCTTACGGACTTCCACTAGCACCCGGTCGCGGTGATCGCATTTGGATGAGCGGTGGCCACGTATGCATGGGCCGCTGTAATCTCGTCAGCGGACATGAGGGATAAGAGGCAGACTTTAGCGTTGACGATCGAGTTCACAGGTGGGAAATGCTCGCTCGGATTCAGGGCTGATAGGAGTGTGGTGTTGTGGTGTTGTGGTGGGAAGAGGCAAAAGATGAGGGGGGACGACACCACGTACCAAGCGACCTTTTTCCGCTCCCCGTTGATATCGGCCCACATGGTGTGGCCTCTAAGAGAAGGAAAGGGAGAATTTGCTCATATACCGCAGCTAACGATTCGCTACGGCGGGCGAAGCTGGTGGTCCCTGGACCCCGGATAAGAGGTGATGGGCGATGGAGAGTTCAGTGCAGGAGAGCACGTGGTGAGGCGGAGGGGACAGTGCAGAAAGCGAGCCTGGCGCGAGACTGGTCCCGCCCAGCAAGGCGGTTCTGGCAAGAGGCCAAAGGGATCAGTCGGGCTCGACTTGGCCCTGCTGTAGTCGGGGGAGGGGGTACAGACAAGCTCGCTCGGGACCTGGACTGGGTGTGCGACTGCGATCCGTGTGGCTGGAGACGCGGATGGACCTGTTGCAGGGCTGATACAGACTGTGCTTTGGCGTAGATTCGCAAACGGTTGGTTGGTGGTGAAGCGTCGCTGGGGGGGTTAGATTGATGAGGCCAGAGTGCGCGATGCGCAGGAAAGAGCAGATTAATCTGCGGCGAGGGGCAGGGAAGCGGGAGGCGGCGAGAGGGGCAGAGAGCTGGAGGGAGGAGGCCACGGCAGAAGAGGCAGCGGCGACGAGCGTCAGGCCGATAGATGCGCGCAGCCAGGAAGGTACAGTAGCGGATGCTGCAGGTGCACGACGGTCGGGTGGAGGCGTTCGGCGGCGCCAGGGCCGTTCTCGAAGCTGTCGCGCGCGAGGAGAGACTCGGGAGACAGCAGGCGGGCGGTGGGACTGCGGTCGCTGGCGGATTGTCGGTCGTGAGATTGTCGAGGTCCAGCGTGGTGCTCGCGGTGTGGTGAGCAAGTTTTATTACGCGTTTAGGCTTAGGCGCTGCTGCAGCCGGCGCCAACGCCTCGACCCGCCGGGCGTGGATGTGATTTGCAGCGAGCTTCCTTCGCGATGGTCCGGCGTGCGGAGCGTCAGCCGGCAGGTGGACGTGGAGAGCGTGTGTGTGTCTGGCAGTCGACGCGGGCGGTTCGATTATAATAAGAGTTGCGGGCGAGGCTCTCAACAAAGGCGCTGCGCCGCCGTCCGTCCCTGCGTCCACTTTCGCCGGTGCCTTTCATGGCATGCGCCCGCTATTATTACTATTGAACACCCCGGAAACGCGTGGGGAGACCCACCGGACGGCGCCCACAACGAGTGCGGTCAGGTGCCCGCGCTGCAGGGCTCGCAGCCGCGAGTACCACAGTGAGCACGGCGTTGCAACCTCGCAACAACCACTGTTGGGGCCGCCGTTTCTCATCCCCTCCAGGTCGAAACGCGAAGCGTAAGCGAGTGCCCCTCGTCATCCGTGGCGCTGTGGCGCGTGTGGCTAGTGGGAAGTGCCACCGTCTGCACGTCGGCGGGGCCTTCCGAAAACCCCATCCTCCGCCAAGCCTTCTCCCCCCCGTTCTGCACCCCTTCCTGCACTCTGCTCCATTGCCAACGCTTCCAATAACCATCGTACCGCCGGAATGGCTTCAGATCCCGACGGCCTCGTGGACCTCTTCCAGGAGCCCGCCGACTATTACCAGCCCGAAAAGGTCGCCACCTTCGCCTCCCACCGCCTGCGCTCTGGAACGGAGCTCAGCATCAGGCTTGTCGGCCACAATCCGCTGTGGGTAAGCTTCCTTGGCTGAGGGTACGCACCGCATATCGGCTTTCCTCCGTCGTCCATGCTGGCCCAGTTGCTTCGTCGTCTGATCTCTCGGGCCCAAGCTCCTCCCAGCTTCCCGTTATCGTTTGTTGCCTACTGGGCCGTAGGACGAAACAAGACGAAGTACTGACGTAGTAGGGACACTTCCTCTGGAACGCCGGCCGAACCATATCCACCTACCTAGAGGAGCGCGCCAGCCATCTCGTCCAAGCCAAGACGGTGCTCGAGCTTGGCGCTGGAGGCGGCCTACCCAGTCTTGTCTGCGCCCTCAGTGGCGCCGCTCAGGTGGTGGTGACAGACTATCCGGATGCCGACCTCATCGACAATTTGCGCTACAACATCACGCATTGCAGCTTACTACCGGCTCGAAGTAACATTGTAGCAGAAGTGAGAGAAAGGGTCAATCCGTCGAAGCGTAGCTAAGGAGATTCAGGGCTATCTGTGGGGAGCGCCGACGGGAGATCTTACCAAGCATCTATCTGGATGCTCTGCATTCGACGTACTTATCCTCGCCGATCTTCTCTTCAATCACTCTGCGCATTCGCAGCTCGTCAAGACCGTGCAGCTAATGCTCAAGAAGTCGCCAACCTCGAGGGCATTCGTCTTCTTTACCCCATATCGGCCATGGCTCCTCGAGAAGGACTTGGCCTTCTTTGACTTAGCGCGCGAGGCAGGCTTCACCGTGACAAAGACGTTCGAAAAGCTCATGGACAAGGTCATGTTCGAAGAAGATCCTGGCGTGAGTATTCCGGGACGTACTGGTTGATCCCCGACTGAACCTTGCAGGATGAACTCCTGCGCCGCACCGTATATGGCTACGAACTCAGCTGGCCAACTTGAGCAAAGCGACCTCTTCTTCTAGGCCTGCCTACACGGCTCAACACATACATCATATGTACCCCCCATATTAGCGAAGCCCTGTCAATTCGCACGACAATAAAAATTCGACCGCTCCTAAAGATCTAGCAATCAGCTTGGGTGGTCCAAGGGAAGACATAGTAAGCCGTTGATCGAAACAAGCAAGGCTGAGATACATTGTCTCAAGGTTCCATTTACCGGCTCACCAACTGTCGTGTCGTATTGTGTTTTACCTCTGCAGCGAGAAACATGTGCACAATGGGCATTGTTCTCACTGGTCATGTGAGTGTATATAAGCCTACTATTGCCCCATTCGTCGAAGACGCCTTCCCTGGCAATCACACCTCATCTATCTTGCCGGCCGAAGCTCTTCTCAATGTCGTTCCTCGGCACCCCCGCTCTTATTACAAACTCACGGCTTTGCCCGACGGCCCGTTACCCCCCTGATGTCGCACTGCAGCACTTCGCCCATCGAGATGAACTGGTGCACGTCGAGCTCCATGACGCCACATTCCGCGACCGGGTATTCGTAACAACAATCACGGCAGGCCTCCTGAAAGTCTACGTCCCGTTTGCCGAAGACCGCATTATAATGGATCAAGTACTTGGAGGATGGGCTCTCTCCATCTACGTCCCATCGCTCGAGCACGTCGCCCACATCGAAGTCCTTGCACTACGCTGGCTCTTCCAGCAAATGACCTCCATCGTCACTCACACGCTTAACTGGAATTGCTTGCCGGCACACGCCTCCGTTGGCCAGGGCGTGCTTCTCTATCGCGCACTACAGCTCTTATACCTGGACGACGCAGCGCAGACCCTTCGCCCTCAAGTCATGTACGAAATCAAGCTGAAGCCACTTTCAATGACTGACGTCCAGCGCATCTGGTGGGCCTTCCAGTACACGGAGGAGTGGGGTGAATGGCTGAATGTGATGCTACGCAATCTTGCTTACTTCAACGTGTACAGCGATCTTTCGGACGGTAGCTACATTCGATTGTTCATCGAAACCGAGATGCTTCAGTTGACTCCCGCTGAGCAGGACTATATTGAGGGCCTCTATCGGTACCATAAAGAGGAGTTCCGGAAGGAGGGCTTCGCCGGTACGGCGAAGGCTTATGTCAAGTGGGCGCTTGGCCTGGTCAAGTGGGAGAACCGTGATTTACATCGCGAGTATCCCGCACCGTTTACGGTGCGGTGCAATCTGGCCGTTGCGCGTCGGCGCTAAGTGAGTAGCATTAGTAGAGAATTTTACCAAAAGTCTAAGCCATCGGCACGAGAGTATGCTAACCCGGGGTTTCGCAGGCTCTCGCTAATTCCGATGTTTTTGGATCCTGCAGCTCACGCAAACGCGTCTGTATTCTCCCTCAGTACCTGCGCTGTCCTCATCGATGCTGAGAGCCCGATGAGGTTCAGCTCTTACAGTATGCTTATAATCCTCATCCCCCAGTCCCCTTTCCGCGGTGACACTGATCGCCTCTCGCATTCTCGCTCCTTCGTCGGTTTGTCTCACACGGTTCCATGCCTCCTTTGTCCCTCTACAATGTCTTAGGACCTACTGGTTTGCATCTTCTCCTCACATAATGTATATCATTATGTGCAGCCGGGGGCGGCCTGTCATCACAATGTGCATATATCCATCTGTGTCTGAATAGTATAAGTTCTTACCTATCATGCCTGCCATGGCGCTCATACCGTCTCAACCTCTTTCCAAAGAGATACAGACTAACAGTTGCAAGATGTCCGGCACTATTGACTTGTGTTCCGCTTACGCGGAACCGCCACAGTTTACATTCGTCATCGACTTGGAGACTCCCCCTTCTTCCCCGGAAATAGAGGCTGAGGAGTCCGACGATGAGGTCGAAGAGTTTGAGCTGAACGCTGAACCTACTCCAGAATGCACGTCGATGATAATGCCGCCTCGCCAGCCAACCAAACTGGAGCGCCTCGTCGATAGCCTCCGCAATGCTAAAGCGCACGGCCTGTCAGCAAACAACCAGTCCGCCCTGGAGCAACTGATCATGGACCACCTGCACACCAACCCAGTCACCGTCGCAGACGTTGAGCTCCTAATCCCAGCCTTCAACCGTCGCTTCTCCCTCACGAACAAGCTCGCAATAAACATAGGCCTGTTCCACTCTCGCGGCCACATCTCCGCCTCCAGCCTCGAAGCCATGCAGCTGCACATCCTCGCCCAGGGCGACCCGCACAACGTCGTCTTCACCCGCGTCGGCGAGAAACTCGAGCGCTTCCAGCGCGAGAAAACAGCCCGTGAGATGACGCACATGCGCTCGTCCAAAGCACGCCGGTTCTACGACCGCCGCCAGCTCAATGAGCGCGAGACGCAGCTGCGCCGCGCGGAAAAGGAGAAGCGCGACGTGGAACAGCGGTTGCGCTCGATGCCGGAAGAATGGCACCAGCCCGTTGAGAACGCGTCCTTTTTGCCGTATGGGGTGAACACGACGGCGGAGCTGTTTGCGGAGCTGGTGGAGGTGGACTACGAGGGCGCGATGGAGCTGCAGAATCTTGCGGAGGCGTGGGAAAAGGGTCGGGGGAAGAAGAAGACGCTGGAGAAGAACATTGCTCAGTGCTGCTGTGACGCGGATGATTGGCGGAAAGTGATGCAGGCGACTGAGGATGCGTTGCGGGAGAACGTGCCTCCAGCCGTATGTCCGCAGTCTGTTCCCTCCTCCTCCTCCTCCCTCTTCCCCCCTTGTGAGGAAAATGCTCGACCAAAGGTCAACATCCCGGCACCGCCTCGCCACAATTATCACACCCTCCCTCCTCCTCCACCGAACCTCTGCCTCCTCCTTCTTCTTCTCGAACAGCAGAAGAACCGCAGGCAGACGAAGACGGTGTGGCCGTGGCCGAAGACGTGTGGATTGTCCAACCATCTGTTCCGCCAGCCGCGAGGCGAGCCGGTGAAGGTCCGTCTTCCGCCCAAACCATCAACAGCTGCTACGCCGCCCGCGGCGAGCCCTGGAGCGGGCAAGCTGCCTGTGCGCCACCAGCTCTCCCCTTTGATTGCTGTCCCGCGGTGTTTTGAGAAGCCGCCGCCGCCGCCGCGTTGACTATGCGGCGGACGAGGCTTTTGTGTTGCCCTGAGGTTTTGTTGCAAGGTGGCTACTACTATTGTTCAGTTGCTTACTTGCACATTTGCTTGCTCGTGCTTGAGCCGCGCTCGCACGCGAACGTTCGTATGGCGGCAGTCTGTACGTTGCTTTTTCTTCCACCCTGCGCGCATTTTAGACGTTACGAAATACAAAAAGATTCCACAACAAGTTGACGACTTACACACACTTGCACTAGTGACATGACTGACATTCCTGCATACATAAAGCTACACTTGAAGAGAGGAGGAAACGGGAGGCTACGCATCCGCTCCATTACCAAAGGGCACCCTCTCCACGCCCCTGACCCACCTGCGTCTCCTCCACTCGCCCCTCCGACTCGGCTTGTGACTCTCCCACGCCCGTCTCAAAACCTCCCTCTCACTGTCGCTCTCCTTTCCCTTCCCCTTCTTCCCCTTCCGCACACTACTGCTACTATCCTCCAGCTCCTCATAATGCAGATCCGTGACCCACCGCTCGCCCTCGATCTCCACTTCTACGCCGGTAACGCAGCGATCTTCAACCCATTCGCGGGATAGCAGGTCGAGCGTCCACTTTTTGTCGCTCCAGCGCCATCCGCGCGGGGGCTGCACATCTTCGAAAAAGGGGGTGCCCCGGGGTCGGTCGCCGGCTATGCGGCTCGGAGACAGAGGGGCGTAGGGCGAGGGGCTAAAGAGGAAGGCTTCGTATTCGCCGTGTTCGTCGTGCAGCGCGCGGTGCTGGAGCTCGAAGATCTCTACCTCTCGTGTATCGGGGCTGGTCTCGAGCTCGATGTCCGCTTTCGACAGCGAGAGAAGCATCGAGCGCCCCTCAGACTCTTTCTCGGAGAATAGGCGCTCGTTTTCCGGGGTCGCGAGCTGGTCTTGGATGGCTGGATGGCCGAGGATGGTGGCGGCGTAGCCGGCGATGAGGAAGATGAAGCGCCAGGGGAGGAGGTGTGCGGAGATGAAGAGCGCGCAGGAGGTGCAGATGAGGATGATGTAGAGCGTGGAGCTGAGGGCTTCATTCGAGAAGTTGGTGAGGGGCGTGATGAAAGCCAGGACGGCGTCGTGGAGACGGGAAAAGTCGTCCATGGCGTTTTGCAGGTCGCGCATGTTTCTGAAGAAGTCCTTGGAAAGCTCCGGAGCTGGTTTTACTGTTCTAGCAGCGGCCAGCGGCGGCCCACTTAGTGGGTATAAATCTGTGGGTAAGTGCATCGGCGGCGGTGGGTGTCGCACGAGGAATGCGGGCACCATAACGAAGAAGAGGAGGCATGCTAGTGGAAGCACTGCCAGCAACGTTGGATTTACACATACGAAGGTGTACACGAAGAGGAAGGAGAGGGTTTGCGTGGGCTGGCGCCAGGTAAAGAGGCGGATAGCGCGGTTCTGGAAGACGAACGCTACGCCTATGCGGGCGTTGAAGCGGCGGAAGTTGGAGGACATGGCGGGGAGGGAGAAGTTGGGGCGGTCGACGTAGTTTCGCGAGCGGCGGTCTTTGACTTGCGGAGTTGGCGAGTCGTCGGAGAGGTCCTCGGAAGGGAGGACGGAGGAGAGAAGCCTGGGGGGTGTTAGCGATGCGGCGTGCGATGAGATATGGTAATTCTGAAGGATGGCGCAGTCCCAAGACGCATTACGGCGAGATGGAATGGAGACGTACATGGTGAATAGACGGTCCGACACGCGACCGGGGGATTCTGGACGAGCGAAGTTGTCCCCCAAGGATTCAAGCTTCTCTTTGAGCCTGCTGGGGGAGAGGTGGCGCTGGGAGCCATTCTCGTTGCTTGGTGTTGGTGGGCGGGAGTGGTCGGGCGGACCGGTCACAGAGACTACGGGTATGGGCGTGTCCCGGTTTGCGATGGGTTCGGATTGCTCGTTGCTCATGATGCGTGTTCTCTGCCTTGCCTCCCTTGCTCTTGCTTGTTCTGGGTTGGAAGTGATATATCCTGTATCCCGTACTCTTGCGGGGAAGGATGAGTTGAGGTTGACATAGATTGCTCCGCCACATGTGCTTCTGGGTCCAGGCTCACATTACGGTGTGGGTTGAGGCATGGCTTTAGGCATCTACAAATATAACGCCGCGGCACGCTGACACGCGCACTTGTATGCGCGCTCGAGATGTCGATAGACGGGTCGGTTGAGGTTGTGGAGAGGCCGGGGGGGCATGCAATGACGGCATGCGTAACCGTGTGCGGCGAGCTTGGCGGGGCAGCCGCGAGGGACGCCGGCACTTGCGTTGTGATGTGCATGCGGCCCGTGTTCCTTCCCCTTTCTTTCTCCACAGGTAACACCACAAAGACATCGCGCCTGGAGAGAGCGGGCAGCGCTGGAGAGCTCGACGCCGCCCGTGATGGCGCGCGTTTATGATGCCTGAATGGCGAGGACTGCAATCAGCGGAGCCGGAGACACCCATAGTGCCCCCCACACTTTGCGTGTATCAACACGTGTATGCGACCGTTGACAGCGGCAAAACAATCGCATGCAAACCTGCCGCTGGCTGCATCCTGTGTACGGCACGCAGCGCCTTGCCGGGATAATTTAGAAATTGCATCGCAGCCGCTCGTGCTGCGCTATCTGGCGGCCTTGAGCAACGGTTCATGCAGCAGGCACGGTGCAGGTAACACTGCGAGATGTGCGCAGCTGCCACGACGTCCGCACCTGATTCCTGATGCCGGCTACCTGACCTCGGGACGTGTGAGCATTGATGGACGTGATATACGCCAGACTGGCCGTCGTCCGTGGCTCCGTTCCCCGGGTGAGGGCTGGCTGTTGTTTTGATATTATTATTGCAAGGTTATTTGTCGAGGCGCAACGGCCAGGGGTGGTCTGTGAGCATCGAAGACATCGCAACCTGACTACCTGACCACCGCTACTCCTACCCTCTCCCCTATTGACCGCATATCGCACCCGGACTCGCCGCCTCCACGCACCGCTCTGCTTGACGCACCGGTCGTGACTGCCCAGAAGCCGTTTGTCGCGCCGCTCCCTTGCTCCTCGCCCCTCGACCCGCATTTCTCGAGATGCCCACGTCCGCATAGTCCCTGCTCCAAGCCTCGAGCTTGGAGAACCGTCGCCGTGCGCACAGTCCAAGCCGCTATACAGCTGAAAGCCTGTCTTTGGGCGCGTTGGCATTGATCCGGACCGCCCAGTCAGCACGCCCGCCGTCAGGTCCATGGTCGCTGAGGGTTGACGATGAAAGCGCAGCCTCCCGCCAAAACCAGAATGGAGAGCAGCCTCCCTGTTCCCAGCAGGGCAAGCTCCGCCGAAGATTCCCATGGCTCGGGCGGTGAGTGGCGCCCGCGCGCAGATGGCGGAGCGTGGCTCACGAACAAAGAAGCTGACGTGATGCCACCAGAGGGACGCGTCCGCAAATTCCAGCGGACGGCCGCCGTCGACAATGCACGCCGGAAATCGAGCGCCCCAAACGTGACCTCTGCTCCGCGACCGCCGCCCGCCGACAACAAGTCCAGCTTCAGGGGAAGACGGCAATCCGTGCGAGAACACAAGGCTCCCCTCGGCCCCAGACCGTATGAGAAGCAGAGGTGAGGATCAGCAGGAAACATCGAATGGAGACGAGAGACTGACGCATATTCTGCCAGAGTAACGAGCAATGCGAGCGTTGCGAGTGCCGCCGATCCCAATCGCTCCTTCCCTGCCATGAGCGAGCCCAACTTCGCTTCCTCCCGATTCAGCTTCAGCAAGCAGGCGCAGCCGCCGCCGGATGCTTCTGTCGACACGAGCGAGCACATCGGCTTCATCCCAGAGGTCACCTTCGATGACTTCGCAAACAGCCTTGCCTACGAGCCTGCGCTCAGCAATTTCCCCGCTCCTCCCGACTCGTCCGCCCACATGTCCACCCAGCCGCAATCGCAACCGCACCACGCTTCAAAGCAGCGGGGCAACACAGCGTCAAACGCTCCTTCCTCGGCATTCACAGGCAGCACGGCCGAAAGCCGTCCAGCGCGCAGTGCTTCGTTGCTCCGTCGCTTCAGCCAGTCCAGGGGCAACGCAGCCTCCAACAACGCCCCGCAGGACGTCTCCTCAATCCCACCGCCCGCGACCAACATGTCGATCCGAACGCGCCGCCAGAGTCAGTTTCCTTCACAGGCGCCTCCGAATCCTGCTGCACGTGCTCCACGAAAGTCTGTGGGACCGGGAATGCTGCCGACGACTGGCTTGGACAATCGGCAGGAGCTCCCGAAGCTGACGACTGACAACACACAAAGCCGTATCGGCCGTACGCCGTCATTTGGCCAGGGCAATCGCCGCGGGACGATGCCACCCAGCGCGCACTCTACAACAGACGCACCAAAAGTACCGAATGCAGTACGGTCGACCAAGGCTAAGTCCCTGCAAGCGCCTTCTAGACAGCAGACGGGCAATTTGGGATCGTCTATAGCATCCGAGCAGGCTTCTCTTCACATTGGCCAGGCTCGATCGCCGGGCAGGACCACCGGGAGGACGCAAACACCCTCATCCTCCGCGAGCAAACGACAGTCGACCATGCACCATGTCACCGGGCTAGGAGCGAGGACGATCAGCCCCACCGATGCGCGGAGGCTGAAGAGGCTCTCCATGAACCCCAACCCGCCAGGCGGCCCTATAAGTCCGCCTACGCCTCAGGCTGAGTTTTCATTTGATGAACGCTCTTTCAACCAATCGCCAGCCATGATCTTTAGAAAGAGTGTGACGCCTTCCTCTGCGCGAGGTACTCCGGACCAAAATCGCAAATCGTACGCTTCGGGTATCTCGTTGTCTTCGAACTCAAGCATTAATTCGTTAAGACTAGCAAATACGTCTTTACAGCCACGGGCGAATCTCGCTTTCTCGGGGTCCCGATTGCCCACTCCAAAACCGAGAAATGTCCACAGCTCTGCTGGTGGAGACGAAGAAGAGGTACCACCGGTTCCAGCAATTCCGAAGGCTTATGAATCTCCAAAAGATCCCGAACGCAGTAGCTTCTCCTTCTCAACGTCAGCTTTGAAGCCCAATGTACCCCCAATGCCATCTCACGAACGCACCGCGACAGAGGACGTTAGTGCGGCAGAGATACAGCACATCGAGGCCTTGGGCATCGATCCCACCAAAACGGATCCTCCGAAGAAGAGCAAGGGCACGATTCGGCATAGGAGAGGGCTGACTGTGGGTTCTGGCTCAGATGCCGACAAAACGCCGGCGATACAGACCAACAAGAAAAATCTTCAGCCGCTCAGACTACCTCCTTTAAACTTGCTACCGCTTGGCACGCCATTCAACAACAGGATATCATCTTTTCCCGCTCCTTCGGCTGAAGTTGACGACCGTAACACCACGCCTCCACCTAAACGTGCTTCCAATAAGACGCCTAGCACGCCCATGACAGCCTCGAAAGCCAGCTTCTTTTCGAAAAGCCGGAATCAAGACCAATATGATGGTAGCAAGCATCTTCGGAGCAGCAGTTCGGCCTTTAACCTGCGACCCAATGACTCTTCGCTGCACAGCGTAGCACCCATGCCTATTCCTACCCTTAACCCCAGCCGACAAATAACGACGCCTTTTTCTTCTAATTCGTTACCGAAGGGAAGTGGGGAATTTGCTCACTTGTACTCTCGACCGTCTGGCGAATACAAGCTTAGCGATACGGACGTGGAAATGCAAAGCATAAAGGTGAATGGTCCACGCTCACTCGCGAAGAAAGATGCATCCGACTCAGCACATACGTCGACTTCGACAGAGCCGGAAACGCCTTCGTCTGGTTCGTCTTTGCGACGGAAGCTTAGCTTGAGCGGCTGGCGTCGAGCTTCATCCAAGGCAGCAACGCATAGCTCCTATCCTTCCCAAACGCGGAACGTCGTTCAAAAGAACAGCGAAGAACAGCCACCACAACCGCCGAAACATGGCGACATGCCCCCACCGCGGCTGCCAGCATCAGCGACCTGGAGCGGCTCGCTTGGAACGAGCCCTACCCCTCCAAATCGCGCCCGGCCTTCTCTGGATTTCGGCCGCCGTAAGCCTTCTACGGCAACAGTAGCAAGCGAGGTGGCTAGCGACACTGAGGCTCAAAAGCCCAACAGCCATAGGTCTAAGGCCAGCATGACCGTTCGTGTTCCCTCTGGATATACAGACGGCGGCCAACCGACTCCCAAAACCAGTAGCTCAATATTGACGCCGATGCAGAGGATGCTTGGTTCTAAGAGCTCCACCAACATGCTGAAAGCCCGCAATCTTGATCCGAACCTAGACAGAGACGACTTCGCGGCCGATGAGGAAATGAAGAAGCTTGCTTCCAAACGAAAAGACTTTGAGCATGCAGCGCGCGATGTAGATGATCTTCGGAAAAGGGCTCGGCCGCAGGAGCGGGTCACCGCCGCCCAAGCGCTGCAGATGGTCAATCTGAATATATTTGAAAGAGGCGAGATCATCGACTACAAGGAGATCTATTTCTGCGGCACCAAGAGCGCAAAGAAGCACGTTGGTGACTTGAATGCCACGACAGCAAACTTCGGGTATGATGATGATCGCGGGGACTATAACATCGTCTTGGGTGATCATCTGGCTTACCGCTACGAAGTCGTGGACATCCTCGGCAAGGGTAGTTTCGGACAGGTCGTGCGATGCGTGGACCACAAAACAGGCGCGCTCGTAGCAGTGAAGATCATTCGCAATAAGAAGCGCTTCCACCAACAAGCTTTGGTAGAGGTCAATATCCTGCAGAAGCTTCGCGAATGGGTAAGTTTCGTCTCCTGATCGACGTCGAGGCCTTTTCCTAACAAGCCTATAGGATCCGGAAAACAAGCACAGCATGATCAATTTCACGCAAAGCTTCTACTTCCGCGGCCATCTCTGCATATCTACGGAGCTTCTGGGCATGAATCTGTACGAGTTTATCAAGGCCCACGAGTTCAAAGGCTTCTCCCTTCGCCTTATCCGACGCTTCTGCAAGCAAATGCTTAGCTCACTGGTCCTTCTGAAGAGCCATCGGGTCATTCACTGCGACCTAAAGCCCGAAAACATCTTACTTGCGCATCCTCTACATTCAGAGATCAAGGTTATCGACTTCGGCTCCAGCTGCTTCGAAAACGAGAAAGTCTACACCTACATCCAATCGCGATTCTACCGGTCACCGGAAGTCATTTTGGGTATGAGCTACGGCTTGCCGATTGACATGTGGAGCTTGGGTTGCATCCTGGCGGAGCTCCTCACTGGCTATCCCATCTTCCCTGGGGAGAACGAGCAAGAGCAGCTGGCATGCATAATGGAGATCTTCGGACCACCGGAGAAGCATCTGATCGAGAAGAGCAGCAGAAAGAAGTTATTTTTCGACTCCATGGGCAAGCCAAGGGTGACGGTTTCCACGAAAGGTCGTCGACGGAGACCCAGCTCAAAGACTTTGCAACAAGCGCTCAAGTGCGATGACGAGGCCTTCCTGGATTTCATCACGCGATGCCTTCGATGGGATCCAGAGCGCCGCATGAAGCCGGACGAAGCCATGCTCCACGAATTCATCACAGGAGTTAAGAGGGCTCCGCGACCACGTCCGCAGCTCAACGGCGCGTCGAGTGTCTCTTCGCCTGTAAAACGCGTCCCTCCCTCCCAGACGCCCGCGCAGCGTGTACGGCCTCTTCCGGAGCCGCCTGCGACTAGCTTCAAGAACGGTACAGCAGTTAGCTCGAATCGAGAAGTGTCAGGCAGTTCCCCTGTGAAAACAGGGCCTAGGCGCCATTCAACCGTTCAAGGTGCGCCCGGGGCAACGGGGGTCAAGCGAACGGCGAACGGGGCCCCGCTGAACGCCACAAGCAGCCTTCCACGGGCTGCTGCTCAACGGAGCGCGTCCGGAAAGCCTGATCTGGCTTCAGCGGCGGCGATTGCTAGTCTTGTGAGTCCCGGATGCTGAGGGGTCTGGCAATGTGCATGCGCTAACAGTCCTCAAGAGATCTCGCTGAGTATTAGCGTACGCAAGCGTCACGACTATAACAGCATGCATTTGGGTGGCGAGGCAAACTATATAGGAATGTTATGAGGAGGATTTCATACTTCATACTGTCTCTAGGGCTTCCGTTCGCATCATATTCGATTATCAACGACGCTTATACCCCCGAAAACGTGCTTTCTCAGCGTAGGGCTGTATATTTCCGCTGTACGAGCATTGGATAGGTGGCGGGATGCATTATGGTGGTGACATGACGGGCGGAATGCTCTCTACTACTTCCGTGTGGGCTGCTGGCGTTCTACACCAACTTTTTGCTTTATATTCTAATGTGGGATGGGGTTGTTATAATTGTAGTGGGTGCATGTGAAGGCGGCTGGAAGGGGCTGCTACTGGTGGACGGATGGATGTGGCGGTCCGCAGTTGGTGTGGAGATGGGTGGGGTTATGAATGGAGTGGTTGAACTGGTCTCTGACAGGACCTGGGCATGGTTGAAGCTCTGTGTGTGTGCCGGTAACGGCAGTCCCCGTACCGTCGGTGCATTGTCGCCACATGCCTCTTACAGCATGGATATCTCCCCAGTACCGTAAAATCTCCGGAGGATCTCCCTAGCAGCTCTTATTTCCCACGCCCCGAGCGATGAGTGCGATGTCGGCAGCCGGTCCCTGATCAGTGCATATTAGGACCCTGAGCGTAGCGCGGCGCACGGGCCGCCGTCTCGAACCTCTGTTGCACGCAAGGAACCCCACCATGGCACCATCGTTGCTTTCCTCGTGTGGGGAACACCTGTTTCGCTAACTAAGACGTTGACTAACGTTGGCTAGAGCCGCGGCCTGGACTCTCTTGATTTATCTGAAGTAAATCCTCCACTAATAGCTCAGGAACAGCTGCTCTCCGACCGATGCCGGCTCGAAAGTGGTACAGAAGAGTTTGATGCGCGGTGCCGTCCACCTGCTCAACGTGACGGCCGCGGACAAGGCGAATCGATCATTATTCATCTTCTCTGACACTTCCTCCCTTTCCCCTCGCCTTATTGCCTTCCCCGCTTTTCTGGACGCTGCCTCAGCATTCCATCTCCTTCCGGGTTTCCTAACGCCGTCCCAACCCTATCCCCGCCGACGCACTACACCAACGGATTCCCTTCTCCCGCCGACCTCTTTTGCACTAATCTCTCTTCACACGCCGGATACGCTCGCCAAAAGCACCCTTTACTCCCCGGTACTCATAACTCAAGAGTTGCCCCGCGCAAAACCGGGTGGCGCAATCTCTGGGCTTTGTCGAAAAAAGTACATCTGAACCTAAAACCACCATCACGCGACACTTGCCTAGCACCTTGCTCAACTGTCTGTTTAGTATAGTGGCGCGCCTGCCTCTCCGGGACGCCCGCCCTTACCCGCCATCCTTCAAATACCTCTCAACCTTCGCCTAGCCTCGCTGGCCTCACACTTCACCATGCTTCCGCCACTCCCTCGACTGAGCGACTACGACATCTCGCCGCAGAATGGCTTCCTGCCAGCCGAGATCCCGCTCGAAATACTGCCCGATCCGTACTATCAGCCATGGGAGACCATCGCCCGGAACTTTCAGAGCCTGATCCTCAGTAAGAGGCTACGGCGCATAGTGGACGCGCTGCCAGTCCTCTCGACGGATCTACTCCTCACCGAGGCAGAATGGCGGAGAGCATACTCAATTCTAGGCTTCATTGCTCATGCGTACGTCTGGGGTGGAGACCGGCCGGCCGATGTAAGCCTTGGCTACCCGAAATCGCGATACGAAGCTAACGTTCTGATGCAGATCGTCCCACCACCCGTCTCTATCCCGTTCCTGCAGACGTGCAGGCACCTCGAGCTCCCGTCCGTAGCCACATACGCCGGAGTTTGCCTGTGGAATTGGCGGCCCATGTTTACCGGGGAGCCAATCGACTCGCTCGATAACCTCTCGACACACATGACCTTCACTGGGTCGTTAGACGAGTCGTGGTTCTACCTCATATCTGTCGCAATTGAAGCAAGAGCGGGACCTATAGTGCCAATGATGATTGAGGCAATCGCGGCAGCGAGACGAGGTGATAGCAGTACGGTCGTCCAATGCCTGCGATCTTTCGCGGAGAGGCTGGACGAGCTGGGTGGACTCCTTGAGAGGATGTACGAAAGCTGCGACCCGCACGTTTTCTACCACCGCATCCGGCCGTTCCTAGCAGGCGGCAAGAACATGGCAGATGCGGGCCTTCCCAATGGTGTCATGTTTGACGATGGCACCGGCACGCAACCTTATGTACAGTTCAGCGGAGGCAGTAATGCGCAGAGCTCCATCATCCAGTTCTTTGATATTATCCTGGGCATTGAGCACCGGCCCACCGGGGAGGGGCGAAGCGACCACTCTGACTCTGAGGGCGGTCCAGCTCCCTCGCCAATGCACAACTTCATCCTGGAAATGCGCAGATACATGCCGGGCGCTCATCGGCGATTCCTGGAGCACGTCGAGAGTGTGGCCAACATTCGAGAGTATGTCGCCGCCCGTCGGAACGACCGCGCTCTGGTCACCGCATTCGATGCTTGCTTGGCCATGCTCCGAGCTTTCCGCGACAAGCACATCCAGATGGTGTCGCGCTACATCATAGTTAAGTCCCGCGAATCTCGCTCGCACTCGCGGTCTCTGTCTCCCAAGCAAGCATCAGCACACCGCGTCAACATCGCCAATAGTCTTCAGAGAGGGAACAGCAAGAAGCTGCGGGGCACAGGCGGCACTGCCCTTATTCCATTTCTGAAGCAGGCAAGAGACGAGACCGGCGAGCCAGCGATCGATGCTTGGGCTCGGCGACTGCTGAACAACGGCCCAGCAGCCATTAGCTTTGGTGATGGCGTTGCAAGGCTGGGAAAGATGAGCGAGTCTTTGGATGGCGAGGTCGAGATCGTCGGCCTTGCCGGCACTTGGAGTGTTGATGATAGCGAGGGTGGTGTAAGTCAGCTCCTTGTGGCGCTTTTCTTGTTAAGTGCGTTGCTGACTTGAATTAGATCTGTCACTGGTAGACAGCAGACTGACCACTTGACGATATTCGGCTAAGAAGGAGTCGGCGATACGATATCCCCTTGACAGCATCATGCATTCATATTCCATGCAAAGAGCAAAAATCTTCGCTCAATTTTCTACTAAAGATGTGCATATACCCTCGAGCCTGTTGCCTACGAAGAGACATTTGGCGATTACCACATTTAGAAATATTGCATCATAGCGCTCTGTTTCAGTAATAGAAAAGCTTTGCTTTCGGTCAGAAGACCCTTCGAGAATTAGCTCAAAGCGTCTAGAAGCCTTGTAGTGATGTGTTGGGCTGCATCGCAAGCGCCACCATTTGCGTCAATCGTCCGAGCTTTGCGAGATGGTGAACAGGCGTGTTTCGCGTGTGACGTCATGCGATCGCTCACATGTGAATTCTAGCGACCACCATCAAAGGGCATATAAACCTTCGCAGCACGCCGCCCCTACCAAAGTCTTCCTGCATAGCAACTCAAGCAACTCAACTACGAACTACCAACGATCACCTCTACCTAAGAAGCTTCACGACTTGATCACAACAGCAAATATGTCTTCAAACAACAACGAGAACCCTACCTCCACTCTCCAGTCCGTCGTCGACCAGGCCAGCGCCGCGATCCAGTCCGGAATCGGTGCTTTGACTGGCAACCCGGGCGACAAGGTAAGCCTTTCCCTTATCTACCCCCAATATCCCACGTTGTTCAATATTAACAACCCTCTCAGAAAGTAGCCGACGACAAGCGAGCCAAAGCTGATGTCGAGCACGACCTCTCACACTCCGCCGCCAAAGCCGGCCCCTTCACCGTCAACGCCTCCGGTGGCGTAGCCAAGGACGACCCGAATCGCACACAAGGCAGCTGGAACCAGACTGTCGGCTCAGCAAAGGAGGCAGTTGGTAACCTTGTCGGCGCCGAGGGCCTCAAGCAGGAGGGCATCCGGCAGAACCGCGAGGGCAAGGGCCAGGAAGCTCAGGGACAGATGTCGGATCTCGGGAAGGGCATCCAGGATCGTCTCGGAGGAACAATAGGGGGAGCGGTTGCGGGCCTCACGGGCAACCAGGCGCAGCGGGATGAGGCGCAGAGGCAGCATGATGAGGGGAAGGCGAGGCAGAGGGGGGTGGAGGCGGATTTGCAGAAGGAGAATCCGCAATAAATGGATGAGGGATGGATATGGTACACTTGAGCTAGTTAGACACACCTGCGATGGAGCGGTTATGGGTCGGTTATGGATGATATCCCAGTTTTCCTGAGTAGGAACATGCGATACCCTTAGTTCTGGAATAGAGAATGGAAGGATGGATAGGCATTGATACTGTCAATTGCTTCATGATTTGGTCTACTCCTACCGTGATGCATTGTTTCGAGGAGGGGAAGATGCTGAGGCAATGCTCTCGGGGACAGTCGACCCCCCAACCTCCATTATTCGAACAATTCGAGCTTGAATGCCCCTTCGAAACCAAAAGCCTCCGGTGCCCTGAATGAATAAAATAGCATCATGAACGGGATCCAATGGACTCGGCATGTCCCTTGCCTAGTGTAGAACAGAAACCCTCTTCCATCTAAGCCTTCTCCAAGCCTGTTCAACGTTGAAAACCAGCTTGACATCAAAATTGAGTTCGGATATTGCGAACGATGATGTCGGGATCGGCGGCGTAGGGCTAGACATGACGTGTGGCTGCGTGGCTGGTGTGTGGCGCCACTTCGATCGAGGATTGGCTATTGCTGCCGAGCCACCCGAGTTAGGTGGAGAGATGGCAAGAGAATGTGTCACGCGCAACGGGTGACGAGAGGCGCAAGAATCTTGGAAGTGCGCGTCTCGACCTTGGCCACGAGGCCGCTGGCAGAGCAGGATGAAAGCGTAGCTTGGATGCGTACGAAAAAGAGGCCGAATCCATTGGATTGGTTCGAAGTGTGGCGCTGAAGCTGGCGTGATCCTTGTCGCTGCTCGGCGCAGTGGCTACGTCATGGTGAATCAGCTGCCCATGCCCTGGCGACAAACGAGCATTCTTGCCATAAATACCTGCGGCCGTTCGCCAGATCACTTGCTCAACACATCGCGACCTACTACCTGCCAACAACCTACCTACAATCGCATCAACTTCGAACCGAACGAGAAACAAAGCAACAACACCGTCATCATGCCTTTCACCGCAAGGTACGTTGGTGCGCTTCCGCGCTGTTTTGTTCGCGAACCCGCAGGAGGGAAGAGTTTGCTAACAGCCGAATAGCGACATCATCAAGATCATCTTCGCCGTCCTCCTACCGCCTCTGGGTGTGTTTCTCGAGCGAGGTTGCAATGCCGACCTCCTCATCAACATCCTGTTGACGATTCTGGGTTACATTCCGGTAGGTTCCGCCCTTCCCCTCCTCCCCTCCTGATCAAAAACACCGGTGCTGACAGCATCACAGGGTATCATCCACGCCCTATACATTATATTCAAATTCTAGCGGGGCCGCGGCGAGCGAGCGATGCGATGCAAATGAACGGCATACGGTCCATCCACGATACCCTTTTCCTTTCAAGCCAAAGCTTCCAGCGCGTTTCGGATTCCTGCGAGGTTGCGCATATGATAGATGGGCTGCTTATGCGATCGATGTCTGAGTAGTCCGGCGCTTCCGGGCGAGTCGGCGGGGCTGGGCTTTTGGCGTTTCTTTGTCATGAATAGGAGCGCACGGGTGGGGTTCTTCTCTCCGTGAAGGCGTCCTGGTCTCTACGACACTTTTCCCTTTTGAAGCTTTTCTGGGCTGGGTGGATCGAAAGCATAGCGTAATACTTGAATGAACGATCATACTACTTAGCTTACTGTTCGGCGGAAAGTGCAATGTATGGTTCTAAGCTGACTACTTTGCTCTCGCGGCGCAACGACCTCGGCCCATACTTTCGAGGTCATAGTCGGAAACGGCTCATCTGCCCTTACGTGGTGTAAGGTTGAATTTAACGTCTATCTTGAGCACGAATTTTATTGTTCCTCCTCGTATTCACCGGAACGTTCCGCAGCTTGGCGCGCCTTGAGCTCGTGGGCGCGAATACCAGTGACACCTCATCACTTGCACCGACCACTCATGTCTTCCCAAGCACACAAATCCCACAAGCACAACTACCCGCACCCACGTGCCAGAGCAAGGAACAGATGGACATTACCGCCGCGCTGACGCCGAGAGAGGCTGCGGCTTTGAGCGACCCGAATCGCGCGCTTGATGATGCGACGAGCCAGCTGGAAGATGCTGGCAGGCGGCAGGAGGCCGGCATCTTTGAGGAGTCGTTGAAGTTGAAAAATACCTTGGATTTCTTTGAGGAACGAGGTACAGCTGAGCAGACGTTCAACTGGAGGTTGGGGGCACAGAGCTAATTGCTGGATGAATAGCTAGATCCGAGCCCTCTCTGCAAGCGCTTTCGATCCTCGTGAACTGCGAGTACAAACTCTACGTCCTCAACCAGGAAACGCCGCTTCGCAACAACCCTTTCCTCTCGCACTGGGTCGAAGCGATCCAGAGGCTTGAGAGAGCCGCCGCGAAGAGCTCGAAGAAGAGCAGTGGCGCCGAGTTGACGAGCAACGAGATCAACGTCGTGCGCGTGGAGTTCATAAAGACGCTGCTACAATCGCGGAATGCCTTGCAGTTCGCTCGCGCGAGCCCGAGGCAGTTGTATGGCAGCTTCGTAGAGCTGGGCCAGACGGCGCCATTTTATATCACGACCTACATACGGATGCTCGAGGAGGAGGGAATATACGAGCGGACGCCAGAACCTCCCGAGTTTCAGCATATCTCTCACGATACACCAGTAGACAGCAGCAAGGAGAAGGCTCCCGCCCGGCCCAAGCTGAGCAACTTCCAGCAGTGGAAGCACGACGTGCTCGACCGCCTACAAACCAATCCCAACACCGCAATTCACGAGCTCACTCACCTCCCCATCGAACTCTCCTACCTCGACTTCCTGACCACGCTCCTCCAAGAACGCACTCTGCAATCCTTCTCCATCGACCCTGCGCCCGTAATCAGCGACTACATACAACACGCGCTGCGGCTGACGGAGCAAATGGGACAGCCTCCGTCCTCCTCATCCGACCCCTCATCCACCTCCAACGGCGCCATCAGTTCGGAAGAGGTAGTCGACCATGGACGGGAAGCGCAGGCTAGGGCAGTCAAGCTCCTGCTGCTTTTTGTAAAGAATTTGATTCGGAAGGATTTGGTGCCAACGGAGGCGATTTACTTTGAGATTCAGGAGATTTGTGTGAGATATGTGTGGGTTAGAGAGGTGAGGGAGTTTAGGAGCTTTGTTGAGGAGGGACTTGGAGGGGAGGGTGGTGGGTTGGCGGTTGGGTAGTGGGAGGGTGGTGTTTTGGAGGCGGAATAGATGACTTTGGGTGGGCGCGGTGAAGAGGTGGTGGAGGTTGGATATGAGCAGACGGAGGTGAAGGCCAGCGAGCGCATGGCGCGCCACTATCGCTAAGCCTCCTTTTTTCGACGTTGGAAATCTGCCGCCACGATCCACTATCATCCGCACTCCTTCCTCGGCTTTAGAGATCAACATTATCATCGCAAAGCTGGCGGCCCGGCTCTGTTTGAGCGGATAGGGACACGGTAGGTCTTGCCGCCTACCGCCCTTTCTGGATCCCCTCGCGCTTGCGGCTTTGGGGGTACAGCATCATCATGATATGCAAGACTGTTGCGGTGTTGGATCTGAGGGCAAAGTCGGCGCTCGACTCTGGACTGCTCGCTGAATAATGAACTGGGCGTCTGAAACCATCCGGGGTTAGTGGGCCAACCACGCCCGGATTGGACCTCTTCAAACCGAACAGTTTCACCTCCCAAGACCGAAACAGCTCACGAGCTATTTGCAACCTCAAATCTACTTCCTCTTTCAGTCTTTCGGTGCTCCGGGTTTGCTGCGTCTGGCTAATTTTAGCCCTAGGAAACGAGCGGAGGCAATGAGATCATGGGCTTCGGAATGGCATAGACAGCTCGCTCATGAAGCGTTGGAAATACGATCGGTTGACCAACGTTTTAGCGTCTGCTGTGGGAGCAATTTGATTTTGATTTTGATTTTGATTTTGATTTTGATTTTGATGAGGGTCAGAAAGGTGTTTCGGTTTCGAGAGGTCGACGGCGAGCAGCGCAAAACAAACAACCCTTCCCGGAAAACAATAGCCCTTCGCCGAGTACGACCGGATCCGAATCCGATCCGGCAGTCTCTTCTCTCGGTTAGTCTAGCACGGTCAGCGGCCCTGCTACAGCGCAAGCCAAAACTCCATACGATGCAGCCCGGTACTGCGCCTCCAATGCCTAAGTGTGGAAACGGCTTCTCTATTTCCGCCAACATGTCTTCCTGGTCTCTCCTCGGCCAGACCATGGGCTACCTCGGAAGCTCAGTTGACTTGGCACTCCTCATAGGTCGGTTGCGCTGGTCAAACTTCTCTCCGGTTTTGTGCGTTTCGGAACTTCGCGGTGCACCTAAACTTATCTGATTCAAAACACCATAGCTTGATCTCAACTCAACACCCCAAACATCAATCCGCCGCTCCGTGGCCGCGATTTAGTTTCTCCGGCATCCGCCGTGTTTCCCGTTCAAGGTCCTCCCCAGGCTCAGCATCTGGAGACGATCTTCCCGTTCCACACACCCTAGCAGCGATCAGCCTACTGGTGCTATCACGGCGATGGTTCGACCGAGTCTGTCTCAACCACCCCTTTGGAGCTTGACCTTCCGGTCTCATGGTCGCTGCCCTTTTGCTCCCTCCAGGCCCGGAAACCCACCGCAGCATGACCAACAGGGGCAGTTTGAGCGCCACCCTGGGCGGACAGACCGGAAGGCACGGCGAAGGAAGCTTGACAAAAACCAAGCTTTGCCAAAGGTCGCGGCGCCCAGGAATCTATATAAGCCCTGGTGACTTCCTCTCCCAAGAGCCTCATCACCATCAGCTCAACAGTTCATTTAGCAACTTCCAGACTCGCTTTCCATTCCTTCTAATTCATTTCTTGCGCCGGCCGCTTCTTTAATAAAGTCACTCAAGCTTTCGACCATCTCTCCTTCCTGCAAACCCGTTCTAATAACCACCCACTCTCACATCGTTCAATATGCGCTACTCACTCGCCGTCATCGCAGCCATTGCTGCCCACGCTTCCGCCCATGGTGTCATCACCGAGATTCAGGGCGCCAATGGCGTGAACATGCCCGGTCTTTCCGGTAAGCAACTCCAAGCTTTCGCCTCTACCTACCTTGGCTCCCTCTAACTCCTCCCTTAGTTGCCGACGGCACTCCCCGCGACTGCGCCTCCCCCCGCTGTGGCTCTGAGGCCGACACTTCCATCATCCGCGCTAAAGAGATGGGCGGCAAAGCCTCCGCACTCGGCCGTACCAAAGCAGGCCCTGTCGACGCCGCAGCCGCCATCTCCACCTTTATGGGTACCGGTGCCGGTGCTGCTACGGGCGCTGGTGCAAGCACTGCCGCGACCGCCCAGAAGCGCCAACTGCTCGCCGGGCTCCTCGGCGGCGGCAAGGGCAAGGGTGCCGGTGCCGGTGCTGCCTCGGACGGCACCAAGACTACCGCTGGCGCCACGGAGCAGGGCGTTGCTAAGGCCGCGGGCGCGGGTGCCTCCTCTGGTCTCCCGACGACTGCGGACGACGGCACGGTCACCATGACGTTCCACCAGGTCAACCAGGACGGCGCGGGCCCGCTCACCGCCCAGATCGACGCTACCTCTGGCGGCACCGACCCGGCGGCCTTCCAGGACGCGCAGGTGATGCAGGATGTGCCCGGCATTGGCATTGGTGGCCTGTCTGCCGCCACCACCACCGACTTCCCCGTCAAGGTACGCTTCCTTCTCTCTTCCGTCTTCTCGGGCATAGGTCGCAGTAGCAGTTAGCTGATTATCACCAGGTCCAAATGCCCCAGGGCATGACCTGCAGCGGCCAGGTCGGCGGCGCCTCCAACGTCTGCATCGTGCGCATGCAGAACTCCGCTCTTGCAGGGCCCTTTGGCGGCTCGGCTGCTTTCACCCAGAGCGCGGCGGCCAAGAAGCGCGCCGTCGAGTACAACCTGCGCAAGAGGCACATGGCCCGCGGCATCCTCGGCAAGCCGGAGGTGGAGTAAGGGTTCTCGTCCCTTCCCTTTCCTGATGCGTTACATGAGGAGGTGTGTATATAGGGGTAGGGGGTGGTTGCTGGGCAATACCCGCGGAGAGGAGTTTGAGCTTTTGCTAGACTTTTGTTTCTTCTGACTGATGGTTTGATGACCGTTCCCTTTTTTCGAGGTTCTTGTATATACTCACTGATACGCTCTTTGTGGGAAATATGTAGTTTGTATTGGTTGGGGAAGGTCAGAGGAAGGCAGAGTAATTAGTGGGAAGAAGGGGGATGTGTGTAAATAAAGCCGAGTCTGGATGTTTGCTTAAAAGTACTTATTGTTTGTTGCTCTTTACTTCACTCGTGCTCTTAATCATCCTAACTTCTGCCCATCTGCTTCGCATCTTTCTGCGCCTGGACGATGGCACTACCCGAGTGACCCTCCCTAGCCTAGACTCAGCCGGAGCCGGAGCTGGAGCCGGACGCCACACTGGGGTAAGAGAGGGACCGTGCAGAGAGACAGATGTTTGAATAAAGTTTCGGCATCGCGTTTCCCGTTTCCTGGGGTGCGTGGGCGGGCCCAGAAACGGCGCACGTCTCACAAAGCTTGGTGCTGAAACCAAGGACTTGGAGAAAGCTTTGTAGAGAAGGAACGACTAACATCCGTCGTCGGAACGGAACGAGAAGAGAAGGTGACGACTCGACTCGAAGATTGACAGACACTTGACACGCACGGGTAGGTAGGGGTGTCGTTGTTTGTTTGTTTGTTTGTTTGTGGAGCATTCGTCGGCACTTCGTGGTATTGTGATATAGGTACTGATATCTGTCTGAATAGCTATGGATAGGGGTGAGGGCGCTCGACATAGTACTTGGGTGCTGGGAAACATCTCAGCATACAAACTCCTCCAGGAGCCTTGTTTAAGACGAATTTGGTGCCTGGCTTGGTCCAAGTTGTTTTGCATCTCTCCTTTACCCCGCCTTCATCAACCCTCTCATGACCATGCTACCTCCCAGCCCAAAAAAAAAGAGAACCCCCCGCCAAGGATAAAAGTAGAAAAAAATGGCAAAAGAAATTGCTTTAGGCAGAGTCTAAGCTCTGCGGCAATCCAGATACCAGGCGAACTGATTTCTGATATACCCCATCCAAGATTAGCGAGTTTGATATTACCTAGACGGCAACCAGATTCGAACCCTAAGCGTGACCATACAATGGGATTCGCTGATGGCCACGGGAACGAAACGCCTTCTCACTATTATGACACTTGGCTTGTTTAGTGATAGGATTGCAGATTTATCTATAATATATACGACAAAATAATTGAGGGGGGTAATTTGAGTGTGGTGAGGGGAGGGTGGTGGGTCTGCGTGCAATTGCAGGACTAGATAGCTTTATGTACGGAAGGATGAGAGCTGCTATGTAATGGCAAAGTCGGCTGGTGTGGTTCTCATAGGCTATGTATGCCGCGAGACCGGATGCGCATAGCTGAGGCTTCCTGCTTCTGTGCCTGTACACAGCACTGTTGGAGTGAGATGATCGTCCCGAGGCTGCAGAAGCGTGGGAGTAGGGCCCGAGAGCGTGTAATGTAATTCATAGTGATACTGAGGTGTCCGGCATTGTTCCGATGACCAAAAGAGAGGTTCTTCATTAATGGCCTATACTGGGTATACCTTTCCCTCTATATCATCGGCTCAGTCTAATCACCGGTGCTTGCAGTCCGTCGCGCTCATGCCCTGCCAACCTTAAACGACAATATCTTTCCCTCTATATCATCGGCTCAGTCTAATCACCGGTGCTTGCAATCCGTCGCGCTCATGCCCTGCCAACCTTAAACGACAATATCTGCCACTCGTTAGCAGCCGACTCAAGTCCTCACCCTTTATGATACTCACATCATTCTTTCCCACCTGCACCACATCATCCTCGCTAACCCTCACACCCCCCTTCGTCTCTACATACGCCAACGGCGCATCTCCCATGACTTTTCTGTACACGTCCCCAACTGTGCTTCCCTTCTTGACTAATACACAGTCCCGGAAAACAGCCGTCGAACTCGCGCTGCCGCTTGTGTAGTTGTGTATATTGCGCACAGGGAATACCGGCACCAGCCCCAGCAGTTCCGCCGCCCTTGAAAGGACCTGCACGACGCCCGTCGAGCCGAACCGGTAAAGAACCATGTCCTTCAGGTTCTCGATGCGGTTCCTAAGCTTCTCGTCCATCTCCTTCAATCCTCCACCATCTGGGTCCCCGGCCTCAATCAGATCCTCCCGCGTGTCGAGATAATCGCTTCCCTCGGTATACCTAATGAAGCCCTGCTTCGCCAATTTCCGCAAGAACACCTCACTGATGGCGCTCGTCAGCACGATGCTCTTCGGATTCTGCATCTTTGCGATCTTCGCAATATTCTTATCCGCGTCTGGATGATCGATTTTATTCAGCGCGATGACGGTCGGGAATTTCTCGTCTGTGAAGGCGTTTACGACGCGCTCGATGGTCTCATCGGACCAGTCTTGCAACGGTTGTTTGAGGCCGAGACGGTCGAGCACGCGCGCGACGACGGCGGCAGTGGAACCGTAGCCCGAGAATTGGTTTTGGAGGGTTTCGACGGCGGTGGCTTTTACGGCGACGTGGCGGCGTTTTATGGAGCCCCTGAGGCAGAAATTAGGGTGTGGGCGGAAAGGGGGAAGGAAGAAAAGGATACCATTTCTCCATCAAGTTCCCTTGTATCCACCGCACGATTTCTGACCGTAGCCATACAATGTCCTGACTCGGGTCGTATCCTCTCGTCGCCTTGCCTGTACAACCTCGTCAGCGCCTGTTCCTCTTAACCCCCGTCCATTCTCCTCTTCCATCTCCATCTCTTCCTCAGTCCTCGCACCCACAACATACCTTCCGCATCCGTCGTCCCACTAACATCCACTACATGCACTAGCGCATCCGCCTGCCTCAAATCATCCAAAAACCTATTCCCCAGCCCCTTCCCCATATGCGCCCCCGGCACAAGCCCCGCCACATCCAACAGCTCAATCGGCACGCTTCTCCGTCCATCGACGCAGGACCCGTAGTTCGGTTTACAGCGGTCAGTCAGCCCGACACGTTTACACGCGCATTCGATTTGCAAGTAACCGACCGCGCGCTGGGGGTCGATTGTTGTGAAGCTGGGGGAGGAGGGGTGTTAGAGGACGTGTGGTTGCGGGCGGGCTGGCGGCGGTGGAGGGGTAGACAGAGGACAAACTTACGGAAAGTTTCCTGGGAGACTGTCAGCTTGAAAGCTCAGAGTTGATGATGCGGCATCTTGTGGACGATTCTACGGACCAACTTTGGACGTGGCATCTGTTAAGCTGCCAAAGATATAATGCTTAGATGGAGGTGCTTGAAGGAAGGAGGGGCAATTCGCACCTATTCAGCGTCGTCGACTTCCCCGATGAAGGCTTGCCCACGAGACCAATTAAAGGATCGCGGGGCATGTTGCGGAGAGAGAGAGGAGAGTAACACGTGGGTATCAATCAGGGCAGTAGCGCGGTCGAAATGCTCAATATCGCGTATCTAGCATGCAGACGGAATTTCGCGATGCGTTGCTATCGATAAGACAACTTACTAAGACTCGTCAAGAGCGTGCGCCAATGACATCACAGGAGACTCAACAAACTGCGACAAGAGGAAAAAGACGATGATCCCGCAGTCATATTATGTATATGCAACTTTATACATTGCTGGGCCCAGATAAACGACGCCAGCCAGCTCTTTCGGGAGAGCCGACAAACTCCAAGAAGCAGATCCCTCTAGAATACGATTACTTGCAGAAAACGTAGGGCGACGAAATGTTTAAGTGTCATACCCGGCTGCAGTCGCTGTCATGAAATACTGGGCAATGTTCCAACAACCAATCCCCAAAAATTAATCCTCCGCTTAGAAGATCAAGGTCGTGCCAAGGAGAGAGGAGACTAGTACCACCAATCCGCAGACGAGAGGAGCTGCGGAGAATTCCGGGGGGTGGAGACCCGCTGCAGCACCTTTGCTGCCGGAGGCCTGAGAACCGCTAGCGGCGCCGGTAGTAACAGCACCAGAATCGGCGGCAGCCAGGCTTGTGGTTGCGGAGCCAGCAGTCTGGCTGCCGTCACCGGTAAGACCAGGTCCCTTTCCAGCTCCATTCTCGAGGTACGTATCCGCACCGTCGGGGAAAGCTGGCAGCTCGTCGTCAGAGATGGTGACATTCCAGTTGCTGGACTTGGTAGGGCATTGGGATGCAGAGCCACTGGTTTTGAAGCCACCATCGCCGGAAGGATTGGGGGTAGCGGCAAGAGCCTTCTTGAGAGCAGCGTAGTCATCGTTCGTTGTAACGCTGTCACCATCGATGGTAACCAGGCCGAAGTTGGAGCCCTCCTCAGAGTACTCATAGACAAGACCACCAGAGTAAACAGCATCCATCTCGTCGCTGTAAATGCCAGCGACCTGGTTGAACTGACGCTTGTTCTTGTTGCAGCCATACTCGGAGAGGCTGATGAAGATTAGTAGCCGTTGGGTGCACCAGCAGGAAAGACTTACAAGAGAGGAATGCTGTAGTCCGAGAAGTTCTTAACCTTCTGGCCCCAGTCGGTCTCGCCAAAGGTGTCCGGGTCGCACCAAGAGTAGTCGTTAAAGGCGAAGAAGTCGCTTCGGACGGCGTCAGGACCGCAGTTCATGTAATTAGCCATCTCGAGACGGTTCTCGGCCACATCGGCGGCCGAGTATCCTACGGGGATCGCGCGGTATCCGCGGCTGTTGATGTATGACTTCATGTCGCGCGTAACCGCCTTGACATAGGGCGCGCAAGACGAGGTACCGGCATCGTTGATGACCTCGTTGCCGGAGAAGAAAAGCAGGGTGTTGTCATACCCCTTGAAAGCATCAATGGTGGCGAAGATGCTCTGCAGGTAAACCTTGTTGTAGGACTGCTGAGGTGCTGCTCGGTTGAGCGAGTACTTGGGGGTGTTGACGTCGAGCGCCAGGTAAATGCCAGCGTCGGCAAGGGCGTTCATGCACTCATCGTGGTTTGCCGTGTTGTCGACGGTGTAGACACGAATCGTGTTCAGACCCAGGTCCTTGAACTTCTCGATGTCGCGCTTGCACGCGTCCGCGTCGGCAATGGGGTCCTTGGCCTCGGACGAGCCGCCTAAAAGCTTGTCAGTCATGGCACGCGCTCAGACGATCGGATCACAACGTACCTGGCTGGTAGTCGACACCGCGCACGTAGAAACGTTCATTGCCGGCAAAGAAAGCTACAACACGGTCAATTGAGGCCGCAATGCATCGGCAGAGCAGCGGGAAGACAAACCGTTTCCCTTCACGGTGACTGGGGTGATGGACGCCCGCTTGGCGGGAGCTGGCGAGGCGGCGACGCCTGCAGCGAGGACGGCTGCAATGGCGCCGGTCTTCATGATGATGCTGGTTTGAGTGTCGAAATATTACGGAGAAGTGTTGATGTATGCAGTCTAACAGCGCGAGTAAACACAGAAAAACCTGCGGAGCGACAGTGTTGAAAGCGGAAAGCAGGCGCGAGCCCGGCACAAACGAGTGTAAGAAGGACGCAATTAAGAAGCGGGAAGCGCGAAGGCACGCTTGGAAGAGAGGGTGCGAGGAGGTTGAAAAGGCGAAACAGGCTGGGGCAATGCAGCTTTTAGGGGTTGGGTTTATGACGGGCAGGCCAGCGGCGGAATGCGGGCCCGGGCGCTGATTGGCGGGACCGGCGTTGTGGCGGGCAGGGGCGCTCCAAGCGGAAGGCCCAAGAGGAGGCAAGTGCCTCCAAGCTCCACCAAGGAAGGGACAAGCGGCCCAAGCAACAGGAGAAGCCTTTGCGCCGATCGTGGCTGCTTCTGCGACGCTGCGCTGCCCATCAGCCAACGTGAAACGCGTGTCGCCGTCACCAGTCGCACATCCAGAGCGATCGGAATAAAATTAGCGACCTCCTCGCCCGCGCCAGCGAACCGCCGCGCTCCCTCCCGCTTCAACAGCTCCACCGCGGCCGTGAGCGTGTTTGCCCCTTGGCAGCGAAACCGCGACGTGATTCTGACCGTGTGGAGCGCGGCCTCCTGGCAATCAGGCACTGTGGCAAACCCCGGACGCCGTCACCCCATCAGTCCGACGCACGCTGATTTCCGAGACGCACAGCCGCCATCAGAGAGATGAACGCTGTAATCAGGAAACTCGCGAGCCCATACGCTCTCATAGCATTACTACTCCAACTGCCCGTATTATTAGCATTAACGATGACATGTACTCCCCGACGCTTTTCGCCCGCTTCCTCTCATACAGCATTGAAGTCTGTTCAACAAAGGGCCATTTCGAGCCTTTCCATCCAACAGCTCTAGACACACCTAGCCTATTCAGTAGCGCCAACATGCGTTCCACGCTTTACTTCCCGTTATTATTGTTATTGTTCCCGTTGCCGTTGTTCCGCAACCCAAAGTAGAGACCCAGCACGAGCGCGATAATGCAGATGATGGCGACGAACGTGAGCAACGTCCACCACTTCAGCTTCCGCGCCCGGCGTGCAGACTTGATGCCCTGATCGAGCTGTTCGTTCGCCTTCGTGGCGTCGGTCGTGACCTGGTTCGTCTGTTCCTCCGCCTGCTCCACCTGGGTCTGCTGGATGACGACAGCTTCGTTCAGCTGCTCGAACAGCACAGCCAGCTCGCTCATAGTCTTCTCGATGCGCTGGATGTCGTTATGGCGCGCTCGGACGGCACCGAGAACGCTGGCCGCCTGGCCGCTGCGGTTGCTCTTCAGCTGTATTCAGCGTGTTAGCAATGCTCTTTCATCCGCGTGCCCATAACACGGCCGGACTTACAGCTTGCTGAAAGATACCCTCATCACCCCAGTCAGCGTTCGCCGCTTCCTGGATCTCCTGCTCCGTCGCCTCTGGGTTCACAATGCGGTATTGTCGCGCAATCGCATCGCGGTAGCGCTTGGAATAATCTGACTCTTCCTTCCGAAAGTCCTCAAGCTGGCTCTTGAATGTGCGCTTCAGCGACTCTACCTGCGTCTTCTTGAATGAGTTGGTCGGCTCCCGCGCCGCATCCCTCTCGAGAAACTTGATCTCATCCTTGATTTGTGTGTTTCGCACCTGCGTCTCCGAGACGATGCTTTCCAATTGTGCCGACGAGCGATTGTCGGGCGACGACAGCATGCGTTGGTGTATGTTCGCAATCGCTTGGATGTTGGCGGTGAGCTGGTTGATCCTGCTCTTGGTGCCATCGATGCGCGCAAGGAAATCCTGCTGGCTCAATGGCGCCGTCGGCGGCGCAGGCTGGTTTGTCGGGTAAGGGGTGGCCTCCGAGTATTGCGACGGCTGCGAGTAGGTAGAGTCTTGTTGAGTCAAAGCGGCCGGAGGGTTGAGCTGCTGGTCATTCTGCGGACAGTGTTAGCATAGACCTGGAGGAGTGAGCAATGCGCCGATACTTACTGTGCCGCCGTAAGGGTTCGAAGCTCCGTACCCACCACCTGTTCCGCCATACGGATTCGACCCGCCGTATCCAGCCTCCGCCTGGCTGTACGGATTTCCGCCGTATTGCTGGTATCCGCCGGACATTGTGGGGTTGTGAATTGGTGGTGAGAGCTTGGTTCGGGATGCCTAGCGGAGGCAACGACGGAAGCGACGGAAAGCTGCGCTTACTGAGCGCAATGGATGATTGTACCTCGCACGAAGGCTTGAAGATGCGAATTGATGGAGAGCGATTGATGCGAGTCTGTCAGCACGGCGCAGACCCTGTTGATGGGGTGAAAGCAACAATTAATCTTAGCTTGCCGGGTGCTGTTGCCCAGTCCGTCCCCCAGCCTCGCTAACGTCACCGCGCGAGATCCGATCCGTAGACGGAAGGTGCTGCACGTGAATGCGCTAAGCTGAATTGGAATTAGCGCCTCTGATCTCCGCCACGACATTGCGCAGGCCTCTCGAAATGAACAACTCGCCTACGGCCGGATGAGTCTATGAATAGAAGGCCACTTCCTGGGATGGCATGGGATCTTCCTCAATTGCGGCATGCTTGCGAAGAGTCTTTAGCGGGTGGAGTCCAAGTGAATCCCAAGATCCAATACTTCGCCCTTGCCTCCTCTAGACGGCGTGGCTGGGTTCGAGAGGTACATCTTCAGGCATCAGTACCCTCACCTTTAAACGTTCAGTGGCATGGATGCTTCTAGTTTGTCATCTTTTCCGGAGCGTTCATAGTGCTGTGGAAGAGCAGACGTGACCAGGTCAAAACCCGAGATGAAATGAGATAATCTCTGAGATGATTGAACGTGGAAGGAGTGATCAAAGATGTCAAGGTCAACTTAGTTAGCAAGCCCCAGCAAAGGCAGTACTGACGCCGAATTTTCAAAAGCCTGTCACAGTGGAAAGAAATGCAAAGCATCGCATTCCTCGCGCATAATTCTAAAATGTCGAACGAAGCCCCCGTACCGGCCTCCAAAACTCCACCGCTTTTGAATGCTACGCCAAAATCCACAACCATATCAACGCTTCCTTTACGACGTGCTCCCTTTCCCCAGCCCCAAACACGCTCCCGCAGCCTCCAATTCCCTCACCACACTCTCTTCGAGCAAATTCCCACCCACCTGCCCACCTTCCACCTTCTTCCCAAACAACTCCGCATCCCGCTCATCCAGCACGACAACCCTCTCCCTCAGCGCACCCTTCCTCGCCATCCACCCCTCAATATCCTCCTTCACATTTTCCTTGTCCCACTCCAGGATTGGAACATCGCTGGCTTGGATGCCTAACTTGGGTCCTTGTGAACGCATGTTGTCTAGAATGCTAGATATAAGCGCGAGGGAGTGCGTTTCAGTCGCGATGGATAGCGTGATCTTAGTTGCATAGCGGGAATTGAGCGAGTTGGAGGAGCGTGATAGTTGCTCGGGAAATTGGTTGAGGAAAGAGGCTATTTCACCGGCGATTGGGGGCCCGACGCTGAAAAGGAGATTTAGGCAGAGTGGTAGGATACCTCTGGTCCATATAGAGTGGAGCCGGGCTGGCTGATCAAAAGGCCCCATGCCTCCCGAACGACGGAAATAGTTCATTAGGTTCGCAGTGTTGAGTTGGGAGAGGACGCCTTCGACTGCCATGGTTTCGGCGAGGGACCGCAAGGTCGAAAGAGAGAGTATGAAGAGCAGGCTGAGTTCACCATAGACGGGATCAGCGACTCCATTGTTTGAGATGGTGAGCTTGTCGGACCACGAGAAGAGGCTTGTGGCGTAGCGGACCGTGTTGCTATTTGCGAAGAGGAGGGCGATCTGAGTCTGCCATTTGGACATTTCGGGGATGGCGATGATGCGCTGCAGAAGCGCTGTGAGAAGTGCGAAGTCGGAGGGTGAGACGGACTCCGGGTCGGCATGGAGCTGGGTCGCCAGGCTGCGGAACCCTTTGGCCACCGCGTCAGAGGTTATCTCCAATAACTGATTCGAAATTAGCTCTACGTAGGTTTTTGAGCTGTAGTTTGGCAGTGTTCCGCGGAAGCTGGAGCGGAAGGACACCTCCGAATCGGCCTTGCCGGAGTCCTCGAGGAGGTGAAATTGGAGCGAGAGATACAGTATCCTTAGTAAAGAGCGGTAGTAGTGTACCTGGTCGCTGGAGAAAACATTGTCGAAATCCGGGGTAGAGGCACGGATAGCGTCCCATATCGGCTTAAACAACTGTCGCGCTTCTGGTTCTGCGACCCTCGCGTCCACCAACTTCTTGAGCAATGCGAAAGCCAGGTCCGCACGTAGAACCATAAGCTCCCCAAATAGTGCTTCTGGAAGAGTGGAAAGTGCGTTCGCCTTCATACATTCCTTTACGACCCGAATCAGGACGTTAGGGAGGTCCTTCTCCTTGGTCACTACGTAGCTCAACTCCATCGCCAGTAATTTCCAGCTTTGGAGAAGTTGCACTTGTGACTCCACGAGACTGAGATTCATGTTTGCTCGCACGACTTCGCCCTGGAACCCTTGACCAGACCTGGGCCCGGCCCACTTGCTATCGAATTCAAGAAGTTTGTTGGCAAGGTCGATGTCGTAGAAGAAAGATTCTCCGAAAGAGGCGGGGTATAATGTTGTGCGCTTCAGATTGGCGAGGGAGACCCCAGGAAACTTCTGCTCGATGTTCTGCTTTAAATTTGAGTGCAGCGAAACGTTGTATGAAGGCAGTTCGAGTGCGTTGTTTTCCAGATACGCGAGGTTCGAGCGGATCCCCGTTAGCGGAGTAACATCCCCGATCTGCCGGGAGCTATGAAGGTACATAGCGATAATTTCGCAAGATAAAGATGCAAACCTATTTTGATACGAGCGTAGGTGGACCGCATTTTCCGTTCTGAGATCGTTAGGCTGCTTCGCCATCCATTTCAGGAACGCAAGCAGTTGTTGGATGAAGCCTTTGTGCTGGCGAAGGTCTCCCATTGCCCATGACCAATTATTCTGAGCTGAAGTGACGAATTCAAGCATAGCCGTATAGAGGGACCAAGGCCTGCTGGGGGTGTCCAAGTTTAGATTAGAGAGTGCCTCCAATGCTCGTGAAAGCAGCGCTTTGCTTCTTGATTCGCTCGAGGTGGCCTTCTTCGTCCTCATTGCATCCCGCGGCGTGCTTCCAGTCAACAAGTAAAGAGCGAACCACTGCTGTTTACAGGTAACCACAGCAGATAACAACTTCCAGACATTTGTCTGAACGTCCGCTATCCTCACTGGCTCATCCAGCTGGGACAGCACGCTCAAGAAGTTCTTCGCGGTCCTAGGGCCTAGATGGCCGAGGAGCGAGGGAGGTTCTTTCCGATCATTCTTTTTAGCCATCTTACCGTCATCATCCTCCACAACACGGACTGCACCGCGGACTAAGGTCTCTAACAAGAGTACGACGGGAGGCTTCCACGCGTCGCTCGTTGCATAGAGTCGTGCCAGAAGGGGTGTCGCTTTGAATAGCTGCTGTTCCAAGTGTGTCCAGGGCTTGTTGAGAAGGATAGCCACCCGTACGAGGATGTCGGAGAACAGTAAGGTGGTATGCGTCTGTTGCTTCCATAGAGCCGCTGAGCTTGTCAGCAAGGAGTTCCTAGTCAGATCGGCTCCCGTCAGTAGGGAGGCTAGGATCGGGTTTGTCGGCAAGTCGTTCTCTGATTTTGTCAGGTATAGCTCAGTAATATACTCTGCAGTCGGAGCGATGAGCCTCGTAAGCTTCATCGAGAGCTTCGGCGCATCATCCACGCTGTATGCTAAGCGAAGGATGGTCGTGAAAGCTTCGCATATGCCAAGATTGATCTCGAGTCGGTCTTCCATTCGGTTGTACTTCCAGCTCAATGAGCCCTCATATATGCTAGCGAGGGTTCGTGCGAAAGTGAGCAATGTATTTGTCATGATCTTGTCCGACGTTCCGCTCTCGGACGTAGTGGTCGCATTGAATCGCGTTAGGGCCTTGCTGGATGACTTGCGGGCTACAGACCGCTCAATGGCGTCGTTCACCAACGCCTTGAACAGTCGAATGCAACCAATAAGGAAGTCATACCGACCAAGAACCATCTCAGTGGCGATCAAGATAGTTGCCAGGCTGCCTCCGCTGCCATCACTTTCCAGGAGGCGGCTCCGAGCCAACCACGGCCAGACCCGATTTGGTGCGATAACGACCAAAGCTTGGAGGAAGTGCGTGCAGTTGACCAGAAGCTCTAATGAGCCTTCGTTGCTCGGATCCTGGCATAAACGAAGAAGTTGTTCTTCGAAAATGGAAAGGATGATATTTACGGTGTCTTGGTTGTGGTCAACGCTAATGTCCAAAGCGATCAGCAACTCGGGCGAGCAGATGCCTTCGTCGCCTCGACTTTTAGATGCTTGCAGTGATGAATGAAGTAAGTCGGCAAAGAATCCAACTGTCTCAGTCGCGCTTTCAAGTGAAGCAGGCTGTTGAGTAGCCACCTCGACCTTGCTGCTACCGACAACATACGTGGATAGAAGGTGGACGAGGTACTCCAGAGCAGAGTGAGGATAATGCCATAGAGCGACGAAAGGTTGGGCGCGGTCATCGACAATGGTGCCCTCTGTGTTCGCCGAAATGACCATGGACTCTTGAGCGCGAACAGAGGCAGATGATGCAAGCAACCTGCGTTGGCTGGGAAAGCTTGATGTGGGCGCTCGGACAAATTGGGGAAGGTCCACGGCAAGCGCTACGTGGTTGGCATTCTCCTCTTCGTGCTCGAGGCGATACTCAACGAAGCCCTCAGGGAGGCGTTGCATGAGCGTCCTCATGTGCGTAAGTTCATGCATGACAGTTGGAACAGCATCGTGGGCTTTCTCGCCTCTAGTAAGAGCGCTAAAGAACTTGAGAAACGGCGTCATCTCATAGGGATAGCGTAAGCGCGCCTCCTCCAGAAGTAAGGGGCGGAGGACCGCCTCATCTTCCAGACAAAAGGCTACGATCGGATCTGCATGCCGCAGGGGGTCTTGTCCAGTCCAATTCTGAAACGTTCTGTCTCCGACCATGATTGTATGTGCCGACACAATCAACTCTGGGCTGTACTCTAAGATTCCGCTACCCAAAGACGCACGCAGGAGCCGCAGAAAGAGTAGCCGGAATTGATCCCGTGAAATGCGATCGACGGAGGTTCCAAAGCCGGCCATGCCAATATTGACTAGCTGAGTAACTATTTCGAGGACACCAAAGGCCGAACACGCCTCTGCGAGGTCCTGGAATGGCGGCTTGGTCTCGGGAGTGTCGAATCTTGTTAGGGGTAGGATGGCATCCTCGAGCGCCGATGCGGCGGCTTGTGGCCTCCCAGAACCGGCTGGAGAATCAAGCAGACGCTCACGGTCCTCTTCCAGCAGGCGGGCGTGAGTAGTCAGCCGCCATAGAACAATGGCCCAGGCGAAGGCAGGCGGTATGGCTGGGCTCGCGCCCAGTTGCTTGGCTGCACCGAAACAGTTGGTGATACGTTCAACAACGCCGCCGTTGAGCGGATATGCCGAGGAGTCCCAGGCCGTGTATCTTCCGGAATCTATATCGTCGAGCACAAGATTGATCTTGAGAATAGCCAGAGACACGAGCGAAGTGAGTAGCTGAATCAGAGGAATGAACGGCTGCTGATTGATGGACATGGCGGGAAAATCGCGGAAGAAGCCTGTCTCCGAAACAGTCGAGAACCACTCTTCTACTGTCGCTGCTGGCACGAAGTCGTTTGTGACGAGGTCGGCGTGGATGAGGGCAATGTGCAAGATATGGAGAAGCTCAGCGGTCTGAGTAGTCAGCCATTTCTCCGACGCGGCTTCTTGAATCGACTCAGGCACCGACCAGGTGTAGCCGTCATTGAGCGAGTCTAATCGTGCCTTCACCGCGCGAATGCACTTGTTCAAGCCCGCCGCTCCTGAAGACGCCGACTCTTTCTGGTTCTGCTTCACGGCAATGGCCTGGCCAAGTTGCTCGAGCCAGTCGTCGGCCACGCGGTAGTCTCGGCCGTAGGCGGTTTTGCTCCGAAGATGTTTGGCGCATCCCCAGCTCATCAGCAGCTGGCTGACCCTTAGAATGGAGGCGCATGTTGAGTGGTATATGTCGGCGATGCGAAGTCTTCGCTGGTCGGAGGAGTCGAACTGCGACTCTGATGGCATGCCCAGGGTGGAGGGATTCGCGAGGATGGAGGAGCTGGGGACAAAGGTTGACGCTCCTAGGTTGGAGAATCCAGCGGCCTCCTGCACGCTCAGCGCCTCCTCTTCCGTCAGCCCACTCAGCAGCTGCATGGCGGGTCTGCTCTGCCATTCCTGTACCACCAGGCGCAATGCCGCATGCTCTGATATCTTCGCTTCCTTTGACAGCCACAAGCTATCTTCCTTGATCTCGTTGATATCGTAGGGGCCATCCTGTGAGGGCGTGACGCTTATGGGGGCCGTTTTGGCCTCGAATTTGTTCTTCTCCGCGGGCGACGGGTCCGGGAAGGGCTTCCATGGCCGGCTGAGGATTTCGAGGTGCTCTTCCGCGGTCAGGAAACTGCGCAGCGGGGCGCTTTTGGAGGCGGTATCTGGATCGCAAAGGGCATTGTATGCAACGTCCCACGAACTAGCAACATCAGCCGTTGTCCCCGACAGTGAACAGTAAACAACTGGTAAACATACATGAGCTGCTGCTCGCCCTTGAAGCACTTGGCGAGGTCCAGGTCCAGCTGCGAAACGGGGGCCATGGCGGCGCGGGGGGTGCGCTCGGGGAGGAATGGCTCAGCGGGCGGCCATGGAGGAGGAGAGAGGTGCTGGCGCGGGGGCGGCCGATTGTTTGCGGTGGGCCTGTCCTGGCGCGAAAGCTAGCTCCGGCGTTCTGAGCGCGACGCTCGCCAGCGCACAGACCACCAAACCGTGTCCGGCACAATTTTGAGTCGGCGGGCGAACCTCCGACGGTCATCCCGCGATTCGGAATCCTCGTCTTAGGCAGTGGGGAGTGAGCAGCGAGGAGCGTGACTCACCCTTCATGCCTTCGTGAGGACACCTGGCGCTACCTCTCTTCCGCATAAACGCTCTGCACCTACAGTTCTATCCCGCACAGAGAGGGTGACCAATCCATATCAGTCTTGTTGATCTCGGGCCAGATTTGCCATCGTGGGCACGACGAAGCAATTGATTCCGGAAATCTGCCCTGATACACCATACGGCCAATTCTGCTCGACCCGTCGCCGCCATGCCTGCCGCGTTACCGGTCATTGATCACTCGCCCCACCACCCCGAGCCCTCCCCACCCGTCCCTACAGCGTCCAACCTGATTCTGATCGACAACTACGACTCGTTTACCTGGAACGTGTATCAGTACCTTGTGCTGGAAGGCGCGACCGTTACCGTCTTCCGCAATGACGAGCTTACGCTGGAAGACTTAATCTCCAAGAACCCCACGCAATTGGTCGTCAGTCCCGGGCCCGGACACCCCGAGAAGGACGCCGGCATTAGCAACGAGGCAATACAGCACTTTGCCGGAAAGATACCCGTGCTGGGAGTGTGTATGGGAGAGTGAGTTGAAGCGCCTCAGGCGGAGCAGCGCCGTTAGCGGCTGACTCAAGCAGGCAGTGCATCATCCACAGCTTTGGCGGCAAAGTCGATGTGACCGGCGAGATCCTCCATGGCAAGACCTCACCCCTCGTGCATGACGCCAAGGGCCTGTACGAGAGCGTCTCTCAGCGCATTCCCGTAACCAGATATCATTCGCTTGCCGGAACTCACACCACGGTTCCCAGCTGCCTCGAAATCAATTCCTGGATCGAGCGCCCAGACGGCGGAATCGGGGTTATAATGGGCGTGCGACACAAGGAATACGTGCTGGAGGGAGTCCAGTTCCATCCCGAGAGTATCTTGACCGAGCAGGGTCGCCTTATGTTCAGGAATTTCCTGCGCATGCAGGGAGGAACCTGGGCCGAGAACGAGAAGCTGTCCAAGGAGGCTCATGCCAAAGCTATCGGAGTTGCTACCGACGGTGTGGCCTCGTCGAAAGGCTCCGCCAAGGACAAACAGACGTCCATTCTAGAGAAGATCTACGATCACCGAAGGGCTGCAGTCGCGGAGCAAAAGAAGATCCCATCCCAGAGGCCTACCGATCTGCAAGCTGCATATGACCTCAACCTTGCACCTCCTCAAATATCCTTTCCTGATCGGCTAAGAGAGTCACCTTATCGCCTTTCCCTCATGGCTGAAATCAAGCGGGCCTCTCCATCCAAGGGTATTATCTCATTATCCACTTGCGCTCCTGCTCAGGCACGACAGTATGCCAAGGCTGGCGCGAGTACAATCTCGGTGTTAACCGAGCCAGAATGGTTCAAGGGCAGCATCGACGATCTTAGGGCGGTGCGACAGAGTCTTGAAGGAATGCCGAACCGACCCGCAGTCCTACGGAAAGAATTCATATTCGACGAGTACCAGATTCTCGAGGCAAGACTGGCTGGGGCCGACACCGTCTTACTGATTGTAAAGATGTTGGATGAAGCATTGCTAAAGAGGCTTTACTCGTACTCTCAGTCGCTCGGCATGGAGCCCTTAGTCGAAGTCAACACTGTCGAGGAGATGCAGATCGCTGTGAACCTGGGCTCCCGGGTGATTGGAGTCAATAACCGCAACCTTGTCAACTTCGAGGTTGATATGAACACTACCAGCCGATTGATGAACATGGTCCCAAGGGAAACAATTGTTTGTGCGTTAAGCGGTATCACTGGACCAGCCGATGTCGAACCCTATGCGCAAAATGGAGTCGGGGCAGTTCTAGTTGGTGAAGCCTTGATGCGCGCTTCCGACACCGCCCTATTCATCTCAGAGCTCCTTGGCGGCACACCGTTATCTAAGTCGTCTGCATCTGCCGCTCCTCTAGTCAAAATCTGTGGCACACGGAGCGATGTCGCTGCTGCAGCTGCAATTGAAGCTGGGGCAGACCTCATCGGAATGATTCTGGCTCCCGGACTAAAAAGGACAGTGTCTACTGAGATGGCATGGGAGATCTCGAAACTCGTTCACAAGACGAGGAAGCCTCAATCCTCTAGGAAACCCGCATTTCCCTCTACGTCGGCGTTAGACTTCTTTGAGCACGCTTCATCGACCCATGTGTTCAACTCTGACCGAGCGCTCATAGTTGGTGTTTTTCGAAACCAACCTCTAGAGTATGTGCTCGAACAGCAGAGGCTCTTGAACTTGGATATAGTGCAATTGCACGGCCATGAGCCCATCGAGTGGGCGAGACTAATCCCTGTCCCGGTTATCAAGGCATTCGGACCCAAAGATAACGGAATCGGGCTTCGGGGGTGCCATTCTCTTCCACTGCTGGATGCAGGCTCCGGCGGCACGGGTCAGCAGCTTGACCTTTCAGAAGCCCTAGAAGCTCTTTCAAAGGATGACGGTATTAAGATTATTTTTGCGGGTGGCTTGAATTCCGATAATGTACAGAAGGCCCTGGAAGGGCTTGGGGAATACAGGGACCGCGTCATCGCTGTCGACGTCAGTAGCGGTGTTGAGGGAGACGACGGGCTCCAGAGCGAGGACAAGATTCAAGCTTTCATCAAAGCTGCCAAGGGATTATAAACAGAGTATCGTTCGAGCCCGGCAATCGAGAAGGTCCCCAATACCTCCAGGCGGAGGTGTCTCAATCCAATGTTCTAATGCCGTTACTGATTGTGCAAGCAAACGCAGTGTCCAGAGATCATCCAGCTACGGCGACCTCCCCTACAAGACGATATCTTTGCGAAGGCCAACAGGATGAGCAATCCCAATTCGTCGTCATTCGATACCGGGGAGGCCGACCCCGGTGACGTGAGGCTCCGCAGTGCGGAAGCAGGCTACAGATCAAGAGACGATACGCAATCAATTCAATCCGAATGTAGGCGCCGCGAGAGACCGCACATCAGCCAATACAATGACCATTGCTAACGCCCGACGGATGCTCCTCTTCTACAGCTACCATCTCCCAGAGGAACCCGCCGAATGCTGTCTCCACCCTTTTTCTAATTATTTTTGTTGATTTTTCTAATTGGGTGTCAAGTGGTGGATAGACCGCCTGCTTGATCCTCATCCTCTCTCACTTGCCGGGCAATTCTTTCGACTTCTATCATTCCATGGAGTTATTCTTTTACTTTTGCGTGTCCCCACACCTCTAAAGTAAAATACCACCGCTTCGCATGCCGCTCTCTCATCGCAGTCCTATAAAAGTCCTCCAGCACTCCTCTCTAACAACTCCCTACTCCGCCAACCCTCATATCCCCACCACGGCTCCTAGCCCAGCAAATCCACCTTCAACCGGCCAATAGCCAAGCTCTAATTCAACAACGACAAGCTCCTGCCTGAGCCCCAGACCGCATTGCCTACCACCCACAATGGCTATCCTCAAAAACCTCATCATCTCCGCCGTCGGCGACGTTGCCCCAGGCTCTGGCAAAGACTACTCACAGCTGCGGAAATGGGTCGAAGCGAACGGCGGGCGATGGATGCCGCGCGTTATGAAGGGCATCACACACCTCATCTGCTCGAAGGAGGCGTGGAAGAAAGACGTCGAACAAGGTATGCTTGGTCCCTCTCCTATTTTAAGTGTTTGACTAGGAGTCACTGCTAATATACAAGTCAGTCCAGGTAGCAAAGAAACTCAACGCCTTCGTCGTCAGCTACGACTGGCTGGAGGACTCGCTCCAAGGCCGGCGCAAGCTCGCCGAGCACAAGTACACGTGGGAAGTTCTGAGGAGGCAGCAGAAGAAAATCAAGAAAATCAAGAAGATGGGGAGACAAGCGGATAGTAAGTCCTCTTTACCTTACCGCTCGGCTCTTTGGAGGCGAGTTATGCTGACGTTGAACAGCGGCAAAATTCCGCAAGGGCTGCGAAAAAGCGCAAGAGGATATCGGCTCAGGTACGTCTTCGCGCAAGCGTTCCAAGGGCGGTTTCTTTGCTAGTGCGCTGGACGATCTGAAGAAGAGGAGGGAGGAGCGGGAGGTGGAGGAGAAGGCTAGGAGGCAGGGTAGGGCTGACGGCTCTGGGATAGGGGCATCTGGAGTAGCGTCTGAGGGAAGGGTCGAGGGTCAGGGTGAGGTTCCGACTTCTCCTGTCCAAACTCCTCCATCTCTAGCTATGCCCAATCCTACCCCTCCTCCTCTCTCTATCCCCAAAGCCCAGTCCAAAGCCCCGCCTAATCCCAAGCCCTCCGATGGGATCCTTGGTCCTAGCTCCGCTCCCGCGCCCGCTTCTGCTCCTACGCCCGGTTGCTGTTCGAACCCACCCACTCCCACCTACTCCCAACCTCCCACTAATAAGCTCAAAGACCTCTACCACGTCTACACCGACACCACCGGCTTCACCTACGACCTGCTTCTCCTGCGCCAAAACCCCTTCCTCAACACCTTTGCAAAGTACGAACTGCGGCTGTACGAATCGCACGCGAAGCCGCATGTATATTGCACGTTCGTGCGGTATACGCCTCCCGCGAGCTCTACATCGTCGGCTCCGTCCGGGGTCCCAATCATTCCCTCGCGGATCAGGGGAATGCATGACGGTGCGGCCGTGGGCAATAGTAGTGGTGGAGACAACAAGCAAGGAGGAGGCACTGCCTCGAACGAAAAAGCCCGCCTCGATGCCCTGATTACAGAACCAACCGCCCGAGACGACGCGCCCTACAAAGCCCTCCTCGTCCCCGCAAACAGCGCCTTTCCCCCCGCCTTCGCCGCCTTCCGCCACGCCTTCCGCGACCTCACCCTCCTCACCTGGGAAGAGCGCCTCGACGACGCAGAAACCCACCCGCTGCAGCGCGCCCGCGCCCAGGCCCTCGCCATCGAGCCGTTTCTCTGGAAAGCGCGCCCCGTGCCCGGTCTCCCCGTCGGTCTGCTGCCCGCTGTCCCCCTCCCGACGGCCGCAGATGCTAGCTATGTGCGCAACCGGTGGAATCTGCCCGGCGTCCAGGCGCCCTTGTCGACCACCGGCGGCGCTATCGGCTCCGCGCTGCATCGCGAGGCGGAGGAGACGCGCAAGCGGGAAGAAGACGCCGCGCGTTTCAGGGCTGAAGCTAGGGAGAAGACGAAGGGGGGAGCGAGGAAGCCGAATTGGAATAAGCCGCTGTTTAATGGGGTGAATGGACGCCCGAGGACGGATGCGTATGGCAGGTACGTGGATTTTAGGAGCGGTGTGACGGGGGCCGGGGTGCCGGGTAGTAGGCCTGGAGGAGGAAGCGCGACGGGGAGAGCGGTGGTGCTGGATAGGAGTGGTCAGAGGGGTTGGATTAGGGGGACGAAGTTTGGCTATGAGGGGTGAGGGAGTGCAGGTGGGTGGGACGGGGGGATGGTGATGGAACAGGGTGGGTGGGCGCGAGGACGCCTGCGCGCGGGCGTTCGAAAGACTTAGAAATCGAGTGCACAGCGTTCTCTGGTTTAGCAGTTCGGTCGCTTGGGCGAAGATTCACGGCTAAGGATACATGGTGAGCCGGTTCAATTAGCTCATCACGAAACGTCTCTAGCAGTCATAGTTCACATACGACTGAGTAGCGACTAAAACGACATTAAAGAATAAGTAAACTTGACTTCGTGAATTGGATGTAAAACCACTGACCGTCTTCCATTTAACACCTGTAAAAGCCACAAGTCCGCCTCATGACATAGCTCCATCAACCCCGAAGCGTATCGAGCAATAACACCAGCCTCGCGCCGTCCTCAATGCAATGCTGAGAAGGGAAAATTTCCGAGGAAGAAACAATGACAGCAACAGCAGGCCATCATCCAGCCCTCATGACTCCACAAAGTTGCCCGCCTTTTCGCTGTTATGACCTTCACTTCCACTGACCCTGGCTCAACTTGAGCAAGCCCTCCACACAGCCCGCCTCTTCTGCCGAGCTCACGGTCGTCCTTCCGCTCACTCCATCACCATTCATGAACAGTCTCAACTCCTCGTCTTGCTCAGGGTCCGAGGACTTCCTGCCAGCCTTTCTCGGGCTATCGCGTTGCTCCCTTGCAAGCATGGCTCCCAGACTAGAGCTCTGTGACATTATCTCCGTATTCTCACCCAGAATCTGGCGAGGACGCCGAGAGCCTACGGGAGGAGCGGGATGACGCGGGCGCCGCGATGGCGGGACATCAGGCTCCCAGTTCTCCTTGTCTGACTCAGTCTGTGGGAGCTCTTCTGTATCGCTGCCGATCGAGCCCTTCTTGTTCTCCTTCGGGGGCATATGGCCGGAAAAGGTCGAGGCCTTCTGCATGGGACCACGGGACTTCTTAACCTTGTGTTCGCTTGACATCTTGGACGACTCGGGGCGAGACAAGGGTGCATTCTGACGAGCTTGGTTCTGGGCCAAGATCCTCCGATTCGCGCGTAGAAGTCCGATGGCGTCTGCTGCGCTGCCGCTGCCCTCCTGCTCTGCTCGAGTCGTCAAGCTGGTGTTGTAGCGGCTATCAGGATCGCACCAGAACTCCCAGGCGCGCGAGTCCCGACTGCGGCCTATGTTTGATGATGTTCTCGGAAGTTTTGGACTCCGATCGTCCCTCGCCGCTGCGGCTAGGCGGTCGTTCAAGCCAGCAGTGCTGTAGCTTCTTCGTAGACCAGCAGCAGCGCGGGAGAAATTAGTCGTGTTCGTCTTTGCGTGGGGCGGGGACGGCGTCTTATCCAGATCTGTGACCACACGGGCAGTGCCATCCTCGTTTGTGGAGATGCGCACGAAGGAATGAGCGCGCTTGAGGGACCGCGTTGTGGGGGAGGACTCCTTGGAGGGCTGGACAGGGTTCGGAAAGGTGATGGTCTCATGCGCATAGTCCTCGCTGTTGCGCACAAAGGACGCGCTGCGGCGATTCGAGATCCAGGACGTGCGCGGCTGCGCAGCGCCTTGCGATGACGGGAGCGTCTGCTGGGAGCTGCTGATTTCGGTCGGCGCAGTATCTGCGGTGCGCGGGTCTGTGGAGGCTACCGTAATGGAGTCTGCTGTGGTTTGCGAATCCGTCTTCGTGGGTCCGGGTGACTCTGGGGCGTCGTCCTCCAGGGTGTCCTCTTTGTCCTGCTCCTCCCTCTCCTCGTTCTCGCGCACGCTTATCTCCTCTTCGCTGGGAGGGTCGGACATGGTGGATGACGACGACATCAGCGACGGCGTGGAGGATGGTTCGAGCGGTCGAGAGCGGCGGCGGTCGTTCTGTCGTTTATTCTGAAACCAGATCTGGCGAGAGGGCAGAGGGGTTAGTCATTGGCGCGCGCACATGTGACGTGGTCGAGCACGCACCTGCACCTCTTTTTCTCCCAGCGCGACCTTGGTCACGATTTCCATGCGAGCCGCCTTGTCCGGCTTGGGGTTTTTCTGGTATTCTGCCTTCAGAATCTCCTCGTCCTCTTTGCTGCAAGGCCTGGTGGTTAGCGTGATGTTGAGGTGGTGTGGCTTAGTGGCCACGGGAGCACGTTCCAAACAACGCGTCGCGACCAACCATCCCAGCCCTCAACAGAAGGGATCGCAGAGATGAGACGAAAACCACGCACCTCGTGCGTCTGCGCTTTTGGCGGGCAAGCGCCTTGTTGTCGACGTCTGGAGGCAGCGAATTGGCGACGGTGTTGGGAGAGTGCACCAGGAAGGCGAGAGCGGCAGTGGGACTGGACCGCCTGCCAATGGCCGAGGACGGCGACGGGGACGGTGCTGGCGAAGAGCCAGACATGGTGACGGATTGCCGCAAGAGCAGAGAGAGTAAGAGAGAGAGTTAACAATCGAGGAGCATTGGGTGTCGGGGAAAGAATGGGGATGTAAGAGGAATATGGTGGCAGGGAATGTTGTGATGGCGCGTTGAATTGCTCGCGTCTGGCGTCGCGGCCCGCGGCAGAGCACAGAACATCGTGGATTATGTCTTGCATGCGCCTTCCCTATTGCAGAGGAGCACCGTCTGTGCGCGGTTATGAACAGACCCCAGATACGCTTTTTATGTCGGGAACCCGGCAGAGTACACAAGACACGAACCATTGCACACTACGCAGCTACGCGTCCTGTCGTGATGGTCGGCGCGCGTGCGCCGTGCATTCAGTCAAAAGCCAAATGAGAGCAAGAAGGGGCCGTCCGACCTGTGGCAGAGGCATAGCTCTGAGACATGGAACCGTCGTTGACAGCAAGCACAAGTAGAAAAGGCTTCGGAAACACGAAAGCACGTGATGTGCAGCCTGCACAGCCACCGCACCAGCCCACATGCACAGTAAGCACGCCCTCATTGGCCATCTGCTGTGGCGCTCGCTCCTGCGCTCCTTCTCCCCTGAAACCATCACCTACTCCGTCACCAGCCCTCCATCTCCCTCCTTCAGACATCTCGCAGTCCTCCCTGTGTCCCACACGGCCACGGAATTCCGCAGCTCAGAAGGCAACCAAGTAGGCAGCGACCTGCCTATCTCGAATTACGCCCTTGGCAGCTCTCACCGTAAGATGGAGCTGAAGTCGCTTCGGAGCAACGCGGTCCACGCGCGCAAACACAGCATCAGTCCCTTCACCATCTGACTAGATGCATCTTCTTCGGCGAGCGGGGCGTCGCTGTCCACTGCTGTCTGGTCGACCTCACCCAGCTGCTCCACTGTCACCGGTGTAGGATCATCTCAGTCTCAAGGCAGAAGTATCGTCGGGAGAGAGCTAGACTTTCTTACCCATATACTCATTTGGTCCGCGCCAATCATCTCAGCTCGTTGACTTCCTCTGCCTGAAGCCGTTGTCAGCCCTGTTAGTCCCGCGCTAAGCATGAGTAAGTGCAGTTCCAGTGACGATAACACGATGCGGGGAGGACTAAGTGACCTGCACCCAACGGACGGGCTCTTGGGACTGACTCCGCCCACCTCCCGCACTGCACTTTTTATCTGCTTTCAGTCACCCTCTTCTTTCAAACCTCGCTTTCTAAGGCATCCGGGATTTTTCACGTCCCCTGCAAGCGTCACCGGAATTGGCCCCCAAATTTCCTGTCCGGGCATCTCCCCCAGCAATGCTCCCCTCTAGTGAATGACCGAAACATATTTGCCCATGATGTGTGGCCCTGTCTCTCTTGGTTGGCCTCTAGCCTGCCGAGCCTAAATGCAAGAGCCGCCACAGGATCGTCGCCGTGCATTGGGACTCGCAGCTACTCACTGCAGGTTTTGCTTGTGCAAAGCCAGAACTCTCCGAGGACAAGAGCTCCTGGTCAAGATGCGGTGTAAGGCGGGCACTATGGGCGGGCCCCCGTCGCTAGGGCTGAGCCCGTTGAACCGATGCCGTACGGGACTCGAACTCCCTGGCCCCGTTTTCCACTACCCACGCGGCCCAAGACGCCATCATCCGTTACTGCCCTACGTTCTGCCTTTTTATTGGATCTACCGCGGCTTCCGATGAAATGACGCCCCTACGAATGCCACCGGAGCAGGGTTGTGGCCCGGCGGGAGGCCGCTGGTCGGCCGACGATGCGACATGCACCTCGACCGAAGAACAACAACACCACAACACCACTTCCACGGCGGTCCTAGGCATCACCCCGTTTTCGTCAGGGGGGACTTACCCTTGATCCTCGTCTGCCCGTTTTAGCTTCCGAGCTCTCGTTCCGTGACAGCCAAGAAGTATAGGGCGTTTGCACCGCACGAGTTATCCGCAAATCAGGACTTGAACGCTACCTCGGAGATGAACTGATATCACAGAAGAGGCGTCGTGTCAAGGCAACCGCTACCTCTGCACCAGGATCTTTGCCAACAAAACAACTCTTTCCATCCAACTTTGGCCATTTCCGCCCACTGCTCAGGTGCGCAACATACGGTCGCCGTTATTTCCCCTCTTAAACCGCACCAACCCGCCGTTGGGCTCTGCTCGGTCGTCGGTGCGATGTGTCGACTGTAACGGTGATCATAGCTCCTCTATTGGCGCAATCACCGCCTTCTATCTCTCCTCTGGGACCCTTCACAGCAAATCCTTTTCCCCACTGTACGCGTTCTCTGATCATCTTTGGGAGCACATACCCACATTCCTGCAACTCCTCGGCCTCTCACCGTTCTGGACGTCCAGTCCTCCCTTGTGAGTCACGGGCATCAGCGCGTTGTGTTATTGTAAGGTACCAGGGAGCGCTGATCTTCATTGAGGCTCAAGCTTATGTTCTTCCAGTTTCTGAGACAGTATAAATGGACTCGAGCCACTCCGTTGCCTCCGAGATATCATACCTTCATATACACCAAGTCTCATTCTAGAATCGACCGGGCACGACCATGTCCACTGTCATGCGGATAGCCGTTGCAGGCACCTGCGGATTAGCTCTGATAATAGCGCGAGAGATCCATGACTCTACGAGTCATCAACTCATCATTCTATCAAGAAGTGTAGGTGCCCCGTTGCTCTTCTCCCTCCTCGTAACCACAAAACGCAATCCGCACTGCCGATGCTAACTCATCGAAGCCCCAACCGGGCCTCTTAGCACAAGGTTACCAATGCCAGGTGGTTGACTACAACGATCCCAGTTCCATTCAACACTCTCTCATGGGAGTTGACACCGTAATATCCACGGTGACGGGGAACGCTCAACTACGTCTGATCGAAGCAGCGGTAGCATGCCGAGTTCGTCGATTCGCTCCCGCCGAGTTTGAGGGCCAGCCGGGCCTCAGGGCGCAGAACGGACTCCTAGATCGCGGACGAGGTGCGGCATTAGCTTTGTTGCAGCACTACCGCGGCTACATTCAGTCGACCGTGTTTGTCTGCGGTATACTCTACGAGAGATTCTCTGTCAACGGCATGATATCACACCGGATCGGCGTCAACTCTGGATATGGGAACGAAGGGGATTATATTGCCGATCCTAGGAACATGACTGCCATGGTGCCTGTCTACGACTCCGCACAGAATCTCGCCAACCTCTGTCTCACATCTGCATACGACGTAGGACGCTTCGTCGTGAGGTCCCTAGACATGCCGTCCTGGCCGCAAGAGATGACCATGTGCGGAGAGCGGATGAGCGTCAACGATCTGGTGGGCATTATCCAGACCTGCCGAGGTACGAGCCAGTTCCTGTTATGTTCTGCTTGCTTCCGCTAACCGTTTACAAGGTCGTCAGTTCTACAATGTTCAATGGCAGAACCCCCAAGGTCTGCAATACGAGATGACCATGGCACAAATGAGAAGCGACGTTCCTGAGCAAAAGCGGCTTGCAGCCCTCATCGAGACCGCAGAGGGGCGCTACGACTTCGTTACCCCCGCGTACCTCAACGCTGCATATCCAGACGTCCACCCAATCAGGTTCCGCGACTGGTTTCAAAGTAAGCTTTAAGCTCAAGGCTCTCCACATACCGACACTAAGTATTTACAGATAATTGGGTTTCGGTGCCTTAGCGGCCCCAAGCGCCTATCGGTCGGATAGTCTGCCGAACCGACGAGCGGGATCATGGAACGACGGAGTTTGGTTGGAACAACGTCGGCATACAAGCATCGTCCCAGCCAGCGAAGGCTATAGGGCGCGTCGCCTTGTGGAGGCGCACCAGGCTGACCAGTTCAGCCCCTCGGGACCTCCGCTTCTCGTCCTATCATACGTTCAATGAGCTCCATCACCACTGGTTCCTTTCGACCTTCCTTTCTTCTATCTGTTTTGTAATGGTTGTTGCCCTAACCTGCATTTAGCGACTGGGCTGGCATGTTTGGCACAGCGATGGATACCCCTCACTCTTTCAGCTTAGATAGAACAACTCTGCTCTTCTACTATTTGCTCACACCGGGAGCCATTTGCCATTTCCTCTCAATGGTGCCGTTAGAAGGTTATACATAGCAGTACGCGTGGCGGATTGCTGGGCTCTACATCAGCACCTAACCTCTCAGCCGCAACGATTACGCCCGAGAACGAGGGTGTTCGCTCCTAAACGGCTTCGGACATATTTGGTTGGATGAGAGCGTGCTGACAGAGAGGAATAGGTGCTTATCAAATAGTAGATTAGTCACGACCTTGAAGCCAACACGAACCATGTACTAACAACAGGTGTATAGGACGTTTCATCGTCCTGGCCCCAAGCGCTGTGTCTTCCGAAACACGAGTGAGCCTGCCTTGCAATACTTAGAACACTGGGACTAATGCGCCACCGGAGAATATCCTGGGACTTTCGACGAAGTCCGCGAGACATGATGGAACGACGGGGTGAGTGAGCGATCTGGTGCCTAAGGCATCTATCGGGAGATGCGGCTCAACTTTCTCCAAGCCCGAACAGACATGACGGCCATTCCCTCCTGGGCCAAGCCCGATCCTTGGGTATGATGCTCGTATGACTAGGGCAATCTGCGGTCTGTGTGTTGATGGGAATCTTCGATGAGGGTCGAAAGCTCATCGTAGTGACGTCACGGTGCCCCCGCCAGGTACGACCACAGCTTTAAATTCTGAGCGCAGCTTTAAAGAACGCTTTCTCGTGCAATTCCCACGCAACAACACCCTCTGCGATACACGATCTCGAATCAAGCTTGCTACCGAAACTCGTCTTTCTCAAGCTACCGACATCGTAAGTGTTCTGGCTTACTTCTTCCGCGAGAAGCTCTGAGGGGAAGCTCCCCGCCTAGCTTCATCCACCCCCAACGCCACAATACCTCAACCTAACATTTCTCCACAGTGCAACAGAAACAACCACCGCAATGACTTCCAAAGCCGACATCATCGAAGAGCGCAAGGCCAACCTCCCTCTCCCCGAACAGCCACCGAAAGCCTCAGACTGGAACTCCGCCGACGAGCGCACCGTGAACGTCGGCGCAGGCGGCCAGGAAACCGGCCTCTCACACTCGGGCCTCGGCAGCGAGAACCTGCGCGAGCCCGCCACCAGCGACGAGGTCGGCTCTACCGGCCGTCAAGCCAAGGATGGCCTGAGCGGCATCCCCAACGACGCCGTCAGCCGCGAGAAGAAGGATCACAAGGGTCTGGCGCAGACGACCGGCAAGGACTATGGATATCCGCAGAAGAACGACCCGAGCTCGGGACTGAAGTAGAGGGATTGCATTGGGCCTATGTAGAGTACTGGCACTCTTTGAGGTGATGGCGTTTGGGATTCCTTTCGTGATGGATGGATGGATGGATGGGATGGATGGGATGGATCGGTATGCATCCTATGGGGTGATTATGGAAGCTACATATGAGTAGTTCATTGGCGAATACTAAATATCAGAACAACAATCAAAAGTTCAAACCCAATATCTGTGCCTTTGTCCGTGATGCTATGATCAGGCAGTGAGTCCAATCCGAGCCCCTTTGCTCTGACATACTGCCGGCTGCCGAAAATCGCGATTGATGAAACGGTGGCATTCGTGCCCAATCTCGATCTGCAGGCACCTTTCCCATGCTGGTCCCGCCTAGAGAAGGAAGCTCTGGCACGGGGGGCGCTCTTGGGGAGAAAAAGCGGGTCTGACGTCATGGTGACAATGATGTAAAGGCTGCTCTACGACGACATTTTGCGCTCAGCCGCCTCTTAATCCTGAACTCGAATTTCTCCTACTCTACACACAATCGACTGAACCTCAATTGCGAACTTTCGAATCAATCTACATACCGCAAATTACAAGCATATCAATATGCCTCAGTCAGCAGGAACAAAGGTATGTGGTTGTTCGACCCTACAGGATTGAAAGCGGGCTAGACTTCCAGTCAGCGTTCATATGTAATGCATACTAACAAGCCGCCAGGTCACCACGGACCCCGCCTGCAAGCAGGAGATCCCCGAGGCAGTCGGTGTCGTCACATCCGACTCGCTGGCAGCAGAGTCGCTCAAGGGCTCCGGCTCCTTCGGCGAGGGCAACCCACACGCTGCAGCGTCAAAACAGCCCTCCAAATCCACAACGACCAACACCACCGACACATCTGGAGCGACCACGCTCGCCCCAGCAGTCGATGCGGAGGCACGTGAGGCGCAGGAAGGATGGGGTGAGACGCAGCAGCTGAATGCTGGCAAGGGATTGGGCAAGGACGCTGGCGTTGGCCCGACCTACGCTACCAACGCCCACAGCTCTTCCACTGGAACTTCAGGATTGTCTGGCGGTTCATCAGGGCAAACCTCAGGTGGCGTGCCCATCGCGCCGACCGGTGGTTACGCCGGCTCGGCTGAGCTCGCGCGGGATCCGGCGGAGTTCAGGCCCAAGGGCAAGAACTTGAAGGAGGTTAGCGATCTGGAGGGCAGGCATGTGGACCCCGAGATTGGCACAGAGAACGACCCGGGACGTGTGGCGGAGCAAGATCTTCTGAAGCGGGATGCGCGGTCGGGTGCCGATGCAGCAAACCCCACGGATACCAGCAAGCAGAAGGGCGACCACCCGTACAGCGCGCTGGGTGAAGAGGCCGCGTGAGGAGGCTCATGGTTCGGATAGTGAAAAAGCAATGCCGGGGCTGGTCGGATCGGGTTCATAAGGAGTAAATGCTCCCATGGCTTTCATGGCTTCATGTAGATGACGCGATGAATGTATGCTCAAAGATTCAATCGCCATTCTCTTGTGATGTAGATGTGATTTGAGTGAACCGGGACGCACGTGTCGGAGTTTTCTGGGGCACTTCCGCGGTGGGTCCGTGCGCCAGCGCTAGGGCTGAAACTTAGAGGTGTCCTTTCGACAGAGCACTGCACGACATCCGCAACCGTCGCTCCCTTACTTTACCCCTCCACTCTTTCCTTGCCCTGCTGCTCGAGTCGCACCGGGCCTGCAGTGCCCTATCTGCGCGACGCACCAATCCGTAGCAGAATGAACGGTTTCGCCGACCATGGCCTCGACGACGATGCGTTTGGAGCTTCGAAAGGCGGATTGTCGAGCTTTGATGCTTTTCGTAAGTAATACCTTTCTCACTTCAAGGGTCAAGTTTTCCCGAGGCCAATTGTGTTGCACGAGGGCAGCCATATCGCAATTCTCAAAGGCTGTGGAAGCTTGCGCGTCCTCTCTCCACCGCCGCTGACCCTCGCTCTCCAGCCAAAACTAAAAAGACATACCTCACCCGCGGCCGCGACTCCTCCTCCTGGACCGTCGTCCTCATCCTAACATGCATCTACCTGTCCTGGTCCGAAATCGTGCGCTGGTTCACCGGCACCACGACGCAAACCTTCTCAGTCGAAAAGGGCATCTCGCACGACATGCAAATCAACATCGACATCGTGGTCGCGATGCGCTGCAGCGACCTGCACATTAATATGCAAGACGCCGCGGGCGACCGGACCCTAGCTGGCGAAATGCTCAGGAAGGATCCGACGAGCTGGAGCCAGTGGGGTAAGGGCAAGGAGATTCATACGTTGGGGGTTGGGGATGATGGATTGCCCGGTTGGGAGGAGCTCTGGGATGTGCATGATCAGCTCGGTGCGGCGAGGAAGAAGAAGAAGTTCCCGAAGACGCCGAAGGTCAAGGGTGCGCCGGACAGCTGTCGCATTTTTGGGAGTTTGGATGGAAATAAGGTGCAGGGGGATTTCCATATTACGGCGCGCGGGCACGGGTATATGGAGTTTGGGGAGCATTTGGATCACTCGGGTACGTATCTCCTCTATCGTCCACTACCCTCCCACGAGCTGGACGGCTTGGTTCAGGGGCATGATGAACGATCAGAGGCTGACGACATAAACAGCATTCAACTTCTCCCACCAAATCACCGAACTCTCCTTCGGCCCCTACTATCCCAGCCTAACTAACCCCCTCGACAATACCATCACCACAACGCCCTCCCACTTCTACAAATACCAATACTACCTCTCTATCGTACCCACCATCTACACTGACGACGCCAGCCTCCTCCCGCTCCTCGAATCCGTAAACCGCGACCCCACGCGGCACCCCGCGAAATCCGTCTTCTATAGTCCACACGCCATCAAAACAAATCAATACGCCGTAACATCACAATCCCACGAAATACCTGAGAACCACGTCCCGGGCATCTTTGTCAAGTTTGACATCGAGCCCATTATGCTGACGGTCGCGGAGGAATGGGGTGGTTTCTTTCCCCTGGTTATCAGGCTGGTGAATGTCATTAGTGGGGTTATGGTAGCTGGTGGGTGGGTGTGGCAGATGTTTGATTGGGGGATGGAGGTTTGGGGGAAGAAGGGACGGAGTAGGGGCGGCAGTATGGGGGTGTTGGGGTCTTTTGGCGGGAAGGAGAAGATGAGTTACGATTAGATGATTGGGGAGGAAGCATGGAATGGCGTTTTTTTTGGGCCGGATATGGGTTGGGATATAAATGATTTCATTTTCTTATTCTCGTGTGAATATACATCCATGAAGCACTTCAGCGCATTTGATACTGCTATCGAGTGATCCATGAGATGCTAGGCAGAGTGTGAAGTTGGAAGAAGATGCTTGGTTATAGAACCGTCAGGCGAAATGCTCAAAGAATATACATGAAGGAAAAGACGGAAACCAGATGCCCACGCAATGCTTCCCGTAGCCCACGCTATGCTGCCCCCTAGTCCATGCACCAATGCTCTTGTCCTTTCCTTAACGTCGTAATATTCGGCCGAAGCGGAGTCGTTGAGATATTCATGTTGGTTCATCATAGCCGTAGCCACCGCGCAATTCTCCCCCGCCGCCGAAAGATCTCCCATCTCTTCACCACACGCGCCCGTGCCGTTCAGCTCTTCCTCGGCCGACCCTTCCTCTTCGGCTGCTCGCTCGCAGTAGGCCCAGCCTTAATCTTGAACTCGTCGCTCTCTAGATCGACAGCGCCCCTCAGTATGCTATTCGTCAGGAAATCCTTGCTGAAGCACGTCTTGCCGCTCTCTACCAGCGCCACCGCATCCTCATCCCCGTCCTCTTTCGCCAGAAGAATAGTATCCTGCGCATCGACCTCCTTGCCGCCCGCCGCCTTCTTCCCCACCACCACGCGTCGCGCGCCGACCGCCTTGCAGACTTCCTCGATCTCGGCGAATTGCGCGTAGGTGCCCTTGAGCGCGGGCGTGAAGTAGATGATGTAGCGCTGGAAGAGGGTGTTTTGGGGCTGGTTCCAGATTTGCGCTATGGAGAAGTTCCATTCTTTTTCTTGGGCGGGGGCGGACGGGATGTAGGGGCGCAGCGGGAGGAAATGACCTGCTTTGGCGGAGTCGATGAGCCATTTGTCGCAGACAATGGGAATGCCGAGGGCGATAGATTGGAGGAGTTTCATTGTTTTGGCGAGCGGGCCGTCTTTGACGCTGTGGTGGGTTTAGCGTTAGGGAGTGCGAGGGAGAGTGTGGCGGGGAGAGCAGGGGAGGATGTACATACCAGAGGATATTGCAGTCGTCCGTGACCGACTCGACGCCCACGCCGCCATGCTTCTTGAGGAACTTCATGTGCGAGCCATTTGGCTGGATGGCGGAGTTGCTGAATGCGACTCGTGGCTTGGGGCCATCGTACTCGCCTTCTGCTGCAACTGAACGCTGGGAGTCGCGCTGGGACCTAGGGGGTGTCTCTTCTTGCTGCACATCAGAGAGTCGCTTCTTGCCCTTCTGCGCAGTTTTTCTGACAGTCTTTTTAACAGGTGTGTGGACGGCGATCGTGTCTTGTAGACCTTCCGCGTCGATTTTCCTGCGCTTGCCCGAACGGTTTGAGGTGTTGGATTCGGTCTCGTCTTCTGCTGGACTTGCGCGCTTGGCGGTCCTCGCGGGTATTTTTATCTTGGGATGGCGGACTGGTCGAACGGGTGGGTCGTCATCGCCGTTGCTCATTTCGACGTCCATAGTTTCCTCCAAAGCACCATTTTGCTTGGACTCAAGGAGGCCGTCGGGGTTTCTAGCGTAGTCACCTGCCTTGTTTCGGTGACTCTCGGATTCGACTAGCTTCGTTGGAGTGGTAGAGAACGCTTCTGCAGCATCGGCCGCAGCTGTCTCATCTAGGGGAGGCGTGTTCTCGACGACGTCGGAGTCGCCCCTGCCGGCTACCGCGCCAGAGTATTCGGTCGGTGCATTGATGGTACGATTAGCTGCTGGGGTCTCCTGAACGACTTCGGTACGTGAACCTGACGGCAAAGGCGTAGAACGAGAGAGCTGCGACTTGGACGGCGCGAGGACACCGGGCACTAGAGTCCGGTCAAGGTCCTCTTCATCTTCGGTCTCCTCGGGGTTTTCAGGTTTAGCGACGTCAGCAGGCTCGTCTGCTTCTTGTTGGTCTTCAGATTCAGGAATCTCTCCCTCTCCAGTCACGGATGAGTTGACTTGGACTTGGGGGCTGTCCCAGGTTAGAACGAGCCCACCAACGGCTCCTGGCGAGCAAATTCTATCGCCCTCGCGGAGAAAGACAATCTCGGTATGTTCGTCTTCTTTCGCTCTTAGGATGTACTCTTCAGTTGGTGGATCGATGGTAGCGTCCGATCGGGGATTGTGCGGCGTTACTTTAAAGCTGCCTCTCACAGCCTCAAGCTTCACGCTCCATGCTCCCACGCCTGCAATTCAGTCAGACATCCGGAGTCGAGAGTCAGGGGACGATGACATACTGACGATGCCCACCACCTGAGGACGCTTATCCGTTGACACGGTCGGAACGGCGACCAGATTCGAGTCGGATTGGAGCAAGAAAAGCTGAAGATGCTGTCCACCGAGGGAGAACTTACCCCTCCGCTCACCATTATTGCCTTGCCTGACGAATGACCAACCCATTTTGCTTTGGTTGACGCGTCGTGGCGCAGGCTTGGACTGAACTCGACGCGCTGTCACGAGTAAGAATACGAAGTGTTGGTCCGTGCATAGCGCTAGCACGAGCTTGGACTGTCGACGTTGACATCCAGCACCCTTGGCATCCTTAACCACAACCTCCTTCACCACAAACGCTTCCCCGCCCTTTTGAGGCATTCACCCTCATCGCGGAATCTAGACTATTCCATCTACTGTCGGCTATACCCTGCTGCGCGTGGCTTTCTCGGCTCTAGTCCACGGCCCAATGGGTCTCAGAGCATAGACAATGAGGCTGGAGAACAATACTAAGGACCCTCCGCTAAGCCATCACCACGACTTCTCTAGTCTGAAAGCAGCCTCTCCTTCGGTATTATGAAGGCCACTCTTGGAGTTCTCGCAAATGATTTCAAGACAGGAGCAAAATGGCTTGCTTGACGGCATCCGTCCGAGGAGAGCAGAGGTGACGATGCGCTCCCTGCCGAGAAAAGGGTGTCGCAGGAACAATATCAAGAGGTTTGAACGCGTCATAAGCTCGCCTCCGTCCCAAAACCTGGTGAAGCAGAGTCGGTGAGGTGATGAATCTGCCCAGACCCCGCCGGCCTACCGATGGCTTCTTCCGTTAGCATTGTTCCGCACGTGGGCCTTTTCCTAAACCCACAATCTGTTCTCGCGGTTGCCCACGCATAAGAGGTATTGTACGCCTAGATATTGTATGCGTCTCCCGCACTCTGTACTTTTCTATCGCTGTGGGCTGCTCCAACTTCTTCTCTTCCTCCTCAGCTTACCACTTCCTCACTCCTCTCTCGACTTTCTCCCCATCTACAGAATCGCCTGTCTTAGTACCTTCTGATTCTATCTGACCGGCTTCTTTGTTCGACCACTCAGCCGATCTGGAAAACACCCCACTTACACCCTCCTTTCCTCCTCTCGAGGATCACCACTACTCTCGACTCTACGGAAAACGCGACCACCGTACGCCATGGCGACCACAACTTCCGGAGGTTCCCCTGCGACCACGAGTCTTCCTCCAGACTTTGATGCATGGACGCAGACCTTCACGCTGCTCTACCCCGACGGCACTGAGTTCCAAGCCTCCATGGGCGACCTCAACTACCTTCGCCTATACGGCTTTCGGATCGCCATCAATTGGGCTACGCAGATCGGAGCGTCTCTTGTTCTGCTTCTCGTTCTCATCCTGCTGACGAAGCGCGAGAAGAGGAAGTCCTCCATCTTCATCATGAACGCCCTGTGCCTTATCCTGAACACCATTCGTTCTCTCCTCCAATGTATCTGGCTCACTGGCGAGTGGTTCGATCCTTACACTGTGGTTTCTGCCGACTACAGCCGCATTACTGCCTCAGACCGAGCCAACACGATTGCTTCTAACACCATCCTGACTCTACTCGTCATCTGCATCTTTGTCTCATTGAGCCTTCAAGTTTGGGTCGTGTGCGTCACCGCCAAACCAGTCCATCGCCTGCTCATCATGGGTGCCACCACTCTGGTGGCCTTGGTTGCACTCGGTTATCGGTTCGCTGTCCAGACCATTAGCAACATCCAGACGATGAAGGACGAGGGCATGGAACCATACCACAAGCTCATAACGGACATGAACATCACTCAGGCCGTGGCTATTTGGTTCTACTGCTGTGTCTTCACATTCAAGCTGGGCTACGCCTTGATCCAGCGCAGGAAGCTGAAGATGAATCAGTTTGGACCGATGCAGGTCATCTTCATTATGGGTTGCCAGACCATGATCATTCCAGGTACGTCTCACAAGATTACATTCTCGCAGTCTGTACTGACCTAGCCCAGCGATCTTCACAAGCCTCCAATTCTACGACACCATCCCCGAGCTCGGTTCGCAGGGCATCACAGTCATATGCATCTTCTTGCCCCTCTCCGCCATCTGGGCCGGCCTGGTCGCGTCCGATGCGAACGTCGGCTTCCGCGGCGCGGACGCTCATCAGCGACTCCTCAGGGACCAGTTCTACCGCAGCAGCCAGGCCGCCTCCACAGAAGGCGAGAAAAGCGGTAGCATGTCCACCGCTTGCTACTCCCACAACGGCAAGGAACCCGAGAGCCCTACCAGCCCTATCGGAACACATCGCACCAAGGACTCAGTGGACGACACCGCCATCTACGTCGGCCGGGATTGGACCATTGAGGCAGGGGAGCGCTCTGATATGGCATGATCCGTGATCCAAGTCTGGCACAGATCAAAGGGTACCGATTGATGAACCTTGTCCACGATTGCACGGTTCCATAATCACAGCATTTCCAACTCTAATACTTCGACGCCGCCCCTCTTCAGCTCAAGGAGTCGCGAAATTGGCGACTGCCTTCTTGCATATCATTCCTTCTCTGGGCGATTACCATGCCGTGCTTTGCATATGGCTCTTTTGTGGTCACTCACTTTCTTCTCGTGGATTGAGCGATCTGGTAGGATCTAGGAAATTTTCTGGATATTCTTCTATTTATCCTCTCACTTTTTAATACATGCCGCAGACATGTAATCGTTCTGGACTGGTGGACCAATGGGTAGAAAATGCTCAGAAATTGCCTCTTGTTTGGGCTTCGCCTACTTAGGACGCCAATTCACTCCATTCTCTAACTTTTGATTTGTCGAACTGTTTGTGATGCTTTATAGTTATCCTCTAGGTTCATAGTTGCTCATTCCTAGTCACGAAACGCAGCGGTGATGATGACACGCCTGCGCTCGGGCAACGAGTGAACAGGCAAGCACGTGAGCACGAGCTGCAAACCAATACCATTAGGGATAGCGTAGCCCCATCTAGAGCAAGGGGTCTATGCTCGCGCGGGGTGCCTGACGCCCCGCGACTAAGCAAAACCACGACGGTGCTCACCATTGCGCTTATAATAAGCACGTCTAATCGTTCCTCGCTCCTCGCCCCTCCTTCCTCGTCGTTTCTCCATCTTCTTCATCCAAGAAAAACCCCCTTGTTCCAGTGCCCGAGGTCGGAGACGCTTCCGGCGCTAAACCCGCTCCCTGGAGCTATGCAGAAGGATTCCGCCGATACGTCGAATACGTCACTTTTGGCGGGGTAATGAGGGGCAGCAAGGCTGGGGGAGCTTTTATGGGCACGCTTTACGAGCGCTGAGCGAAGAACCCTGGGTGAGGGGATTGCCGAAGGGCTGGATGGTGTGATAATGCGGGTGTGCGACCAATTGAGTAGGTGGTGCGAGGATTGGGGCAAGATGGCCCGCGGCGAGCGGGCACGGGAGGGTGCACGGGAAGGATTGAACGATGGACGATGGCCAAGCTGCGGGATATATTGAGCCGGTCGAATCGGTGAGTTTGAGTGTGGAGAAGGCCTGGTGGAGTATTCTTCTAATGTTGAAAAGGCGGGCTTCCTGCAATCGTAATTCTGCTTCTAGTTCTTCTCTGCGAAGCCCTTCCCATCCCGAAAGATACCAGCCAAAATGTCCTTCCCCCTGCACCGCAACCCGCCTTTCCGCGCTGAGCACCTCGGCTCCCTCAAGCGCCCCCAATACCTCCTCGACGCGCGCTACAAAGAGCACAAATCCACCGCCGAGCTCAAGCCCCTCGAAGACAAGGCCATCAACGACATCGTGCAGACGCAGATCGACCTCGGTTTCCGCAGCATCAGCGATGGCGAATACCGGCGCCACATGTTCTGGGGCACTTTCTGGCCCACGCTGGAAGGCATGGAGGAGGTGCAGAACCCGCCGATTGACACGTTCAGGATGTATGTCCCGGATATTGCCGCGTTTATGGAGACGGGGCATAAACCTGGAGAGAGCGTGTATTGTGTGGGGAAGATTAGGCATACGGGAGAGAGCACGTATGTGGATCAGGTGGAGTATTTGAAAGGGATTCTGCCAAAGGAGCGGTGGGGCGATATCAAGTTGACGTTGGCTGCGCCGAATTGGTGAGTATTTCTGAAGCGTGATTGTATCGAATGCTTATAGCGATGTAGGTATCATCTGCGGTATGTAGATGGCAAGGCGTATCCGAAGGACGTGTATAAGAACGATAAGGAGTACTTCGCCGATGTCGCTAAGGCGTACCAAATCGAGCTTGATATCCTGTACAAGGCTGGGCTGAGGAATGTACAATTCGATGACCCGAATCTAGCGTGTAAGAGCCCGCATATTATTGCAAAAAGTGTATAGGGCTGATCTAACGATATAGACTTCTGCTCCGAAAAGATGATCGAGGGCTGGAAAAAAGACCCCGCCAATACCGTCACGGTCGACGAGACTCTCGACAACTACATCGCCCTCTACAACGACTGCATCAGCAAAATCCCCTCTGACATGCACGTGGGCGTCCACCTCTGCCGTGGAAACTTCGTCAATTCACGCCACTTCAGCGAAGGCGGCTACGACCGCATCGCTACCAAGCTCTTCACCACGCTCAACATGCACACATACTACCTCGAGTACGACACTCCCCGCGCGGGAGGCTTCGAACCCCTGGCAGACCTGCCCAAAAATAAGAACGTGATTTTGGGGGTCATCACGAGTAAGTTCCCTGAGATGGAAGATAAGGAGAAGATGAAGGAGAGGATTTGGCAGGCTGCGGATATTGTGGCGAAGGGTGGGGGTGAGACGAGGGAGGAGGCGCTGAAGAGGATGGGAGTTAGTCCGCAGTGTGGGTTTGCGAGTCATGCCGAGGGGAATCTGATTGATATTGAGGGGATGAAGAAGAAACTTGCGCTGGTGAGGCAGATTGCAGATGAGGTCTGGCCAGGTGAGCCTTGAGTGGGTTTTTGCACATTCACCTAGCGCTACTCTATACATTTCTCAAGCCCTGATGGATATATCTACCCCGAATACCAAAAGCCGGAATGGCAAAAAGTTCTTACCCACCTTAGAAACTTAGTCTAGTCTCCGACCCATTCAGTTCACCATAAGCTTTCATCACACCAAAACTCAAGCCATGTCATGCCATTTCCCATAAACACAACCATTGCCGTTACCCTCCTCACCCCTACCTCCCCACAGCCGGACACACCTCCCCCTCCTCATGCTCATAATGCCACCAACAGCCCTCTCCCGAGAAGTCCTCCGCTGCACTCCCCACCCCGCCCTCCCTAACATCCCTCCCCCTCATCTCCTCCAACGCAACAACCAACCCATTCTTAAATTCCACGGGGTACCCCTCTCCTATCATCGCCTCGATCTCCCCGGTATTCGCGAATCGCGCCGCTGCCCGCACGACGAACTTCTGAATCGGCGAGACGATGGGGTACGCGGTGAAGAAGTGCTGCACACGGGAGAGCGTGAGGACGGCGATCAGTTGGACAGGATAGGAGCCGGAGCGCAGAAGCGTAACGAGTTGCGTCATGATGGCGTTCATGAAGCGCGTGTCTTCGAGCGCGTGCCCGAGGTCGTAGCACCGAAGTAGCTGGTCGTACTCGGCGCGGGCGTTTTGCTCTGGCGCAGTGGCGCCCGTGGGCGGCGGCGTTACGAGGTCGCGATTGTGTAGCCAGCGGATGTAGACTTCGAATTCGAGGGTTGTGGCCTGGTTGAGCACGATGGCTTGGTGGGCGGGGCCGGTGTGCGGCGTGGAGCAGAGGCGCTGGAAGTGCTTGGATGAGGTGGTGAGCGTGGTGGAGTGGATGAGGTATTCTTTGTAGGTTGGGCGGGCGATAGGGTTGAGGTCGTTTAGGGGGTGGCGGACGCGGATGAGGAGTTTGCGGGGGGATCTAGTTAGGGTGTTAGTAGAGGTTAGGATGAGATGGGAGGAAGGGGGAGGCTTACGTTGAGGGCTGGGGTTGGGGCTTTGGAGGAGCCATGGTGGGTGGTTGCTGACTGTGGGGAACTGAGTTGAGGTGTAAAGGATAGAGGGTATTTGAGTAAGGCTGGATTGAGGCGAAGGTCGAGGCTGTTACGCTTATAGCAGCATGGAAGGGGAATATCTTTGATCTAAATACGCTAGCACTTCGCAGCTGTTGAAACGGGCCTCGGTACCGAGTCAAGAGATGATCCATTCACGTGTGCAAGACTTAACAATTAGGACTGAGTGATCGATTTAGTCGAATTGTTATAGGCGGGTGCGACTTGTCTTCAGCACCTCGCCCAGGGGTTGAGCCACCATCCTGTTAATTGGGTGGAGAGGGGATTACAAGATGCCTGTTTACTCGAGGCAGGAAGACTACTCTCCACCCTCATGAATGGGCGCAATACTGACCTTGATAGGTCTAACGGTATGCTTTCAGGGGCACACACGGCTAGGTCTTGCGCGTATGTTCGTGGTGGACGCATTTATCAGGGATGAAGCCATTAACGTTCAACGGGACACTCTGCCTCATTCAATTAGCTTGGATATATCAATTGGGTTATGCAGGACATTTACCTTCCAATTCTGCAGCTGACGGACGCTGGAAAACTGTGGTATCGATTCCCCGGACAAAACAAGGCGTGAAGGTATTGGTTGTTTGGCCTGAAAACTTCCTAGGCTCTTCTACTTTTATCTGCTACGTTAAGACTGTGAGGCCTGGGGAAGCGAATTATGTGAGCGAGCAACGCAATGATAGTATTTCTCACCCACTAATAAGGAGAGATCACTGTCTCGACCTCCGTTCTCCCACCCGGCACTCGCTCAATTCGGTAATACATACCGCTCTCGTCCACGGCCGTATCCGGCATAACCGTCCCATTAACAAGTAGTTTCTGCAGGCCTCCGTCACCTCGTTGCACCATAGGCACATACACGACGCCTACCTCCCCAGCCGGTGCTATCACACATCCCCAGAACACATCCGCTTCCCTATCAACCCTCCACTCTACATCAAACGTCCTGCCACCGGGTGCCACAAACCCGCCCCTTACCCAGTCCACCCCAGCGTCGTTGACTGCTGGCATCCAGGCCCAATCCCTTTCATCCTCTTCAAAGTCCAAACCCTTGATAACCCTTAGGCCAGCCACGTACGCATGTAACGCATACGTCGGCCCCGTACTAAATGCATGAGCTAGCGAGATGAAGGCCGGCGCATCGCCGTAGAATCCGTAGCCGAGGCTTCCATCATCCGCGTAACCCTCTACGCAGGTCTCGTTACTGAAAGCGCGCAGCATGTAGCCCCACTGCGTGCGCAGGAGGTGCAGAGCCGGATCTGCGTCGCCTGGACGGGCGGCAAATTGAGCTAGGAGCTCGTGGGAGGTGGCAAAGGGAGATATGTAGCCACGTAGTTCGGCGGAGGGAGCGCCGTAGGAAGTCCAGCGGCGGGATAGAGCCTCGGCGATGCGGAGAGATTGGGCGGGCGAGAGAGTGAGGTTGTAGCGGATTGCGAGGGCGTTGCCATCTTGGGGGTAGACGAGAGCGCCTGCAGAAGTGATGTTGTCTCTGAATAAACCGGCTTCTTCGTCCCAGAGGAGGGAATTGGCGGATTGTTTGATGCGATTGGCGATGCTGAGCCAGAGTGCGGGATCCGCTCCGTTACCAACATCGGAAAAGCGTGGAGCAAGCCTGGCGGCCGTCGTGAGGGTATGATAATATAGGGCGTTTAAAGCAATGTTCTGGCCTCCTTGCCCATCCCGGCCCCAGTCTACCGTCCGTGTCCCGTTGAAGAGGCCCGTATCCGGGTCAAGAAAGGGGAATGTGGCATTGATACCTAGGACGAGTTGAGGCCAGTACGTCTCTGCCCATTCATAATCTCCCGTCGATATGAAGTATTCCATCAACGACAGCATAGCCCAGCACTGATACGTGTCCGAGCTATATAGGGGAAACCCAAGCGCTCCAATATCTCGAAATGCGTCTCCAAGTGGCGACCCAGCATACGGGAAATACCCGTAAGTTTCACTAGAGCGATTACGATCCTGAAGGATAAAGTTCGCCTGGATACCGTTTCGCGACGCGCGCATGTTCTCGAAGTTCTGCGAGACGAGGGCGGAGCGGAAGAAGATGCTGAAGTCGGCGGACCAAGGATTACGATTGCGCTTTGCGCCGTCGGCTATGAAGACGTCGCTGGAGGATAGACTGGTCGATGTCGCATCATTTGCCCAGCCATTGCCGAGGAGGAAGTAGGATATGTTGAGCGAGGTGTTGGCAGACATGGTGTTGAGTTGGATGGTGTATACGCCGGCATTCCAGATCTGGTTGAGGAGCTCATCGGAGCTCGTGAAGTAGCCTGTGTAGGAGCCGAGGTCTTCGTCTTTGATGTTTGGCGCGGCTGTGAAGTGGAGACTGTAGAGTTCGAATGAGACAGATGTATCTTTTGAAGACTCTGGCCCTAACGAAAGGGTGAGATATCGAAAACTGCCTCTAGCCCACTTGCCCGGGATGGTATATTTTCCCAGCTGATCCAAAGGGAGGTATAATGGGCCATCAGGGAATGTGTACCAAGTAGTCCAGTCCATACCTCCCCAGTCGTCAATGAATAATGGGGACTCTGTGTAGCCCAGCCTCAGGCCGTGGCAATCCCCTGTGCAGTTGAATGACGGAAGACCATAATCTGAGCACTGCGTGCCCTGACATGACGAGGATTTGATATTGATGGTAGGGCGGCCTGCCACGAGCTGTCCGAAGTCATAAGTAACCGACGCGTTAGGTCCAGCGAGGAGAAAACCGGAGGTCGAAGAGAAACAGGGGCTTAGACTAGGTCCGGCAACTGGAGTTACATTACCCGTCGTCTGGTAGATCGAAGATGCATGTATGTTGCGAGTGCTCGGTGAAAAATTATTACGTTGCAGTTTTGCACCGGTTGTACTGAAAAGTAAGGAAATTACAAGAGCTGTGAAGCGTTCCATTGTTGTCCATGCGTTGATCAGGGACTGATCAAGGGACGAATATGAAGTCACGGTGCTTTCGTGGGATCGTATGACATCATGCAGCCGCCCCGCTTAATATTGGGATGCATGTTCCTAGCAAGGGCATCCTGAGCCGTATTTGTGTTTCGTTCAACGCGTGCGGATTCACGAGGAGCAGATAGAAAATTTGCTCGCGTTCGCGTATTTGAGGCGCTCTCTGACCGCAGCTCGCTCCGGGAGTGACTAAAATTCGGGACCAGACATTACGAGCCTGAAAAGAATATGCTAGCCTTCTGCCCCAAAGAACTTCGTGCTCATACTTTTCAGTCGTTCTGCTGCTTTAGCATTAAAGGCTAATGCGAATCATTCTACATCTGGGGACTGTGAAGTTCGTGGTAGTCGCTTAGAAATACACGCAGTTTTGTATTTGTAATCTGCTGGTACTTCCCACTCTCCATGTCTTAGGAAGCTCTCACTGTCTCCAACATCCCTTAATCGTGTCCCACCGCTCACCCTTCCTATAATTCCTCTCAACATCCTTTACTGAGTTGTGCCACGGTACGAGGTGCCCGCTGGGCACCCTACGATGAATAGTGCGATCAAGACTGGCCAGAGTCGTACCTAGGATGCTTCTATACTTATAGTGACCGAAAGGGTTCTGCGCTGTGCGGATCGTGCGTTTGAGCTATTTTCCGTCTCTCCAGGATTCCTTGCTATTCGCCAGTTGAGTAGAGCCAAGATCGCCTTGCTACGCCACTTCCTGCTCATTCAACTTCAAACTCAACTTCTCCAATCGCTCTTGCAGTGCCTTTTCAGTCACTTGATACCTCTTCTCAAACTCCTCGTCATCTTCTTTCTCTTCCGGCGATTGCGCAGTCGGCGTCTTGTCCGCCTCTTTCTCATCTTCATCTTCCCCAGCTCCACTCGCAGCCGCTTTGCTCAGCTTCAATCTTTCCTCGTATCTCGACATAGCAGCATCAAGCCTCTTGAGACTGCTCTTCGGCCAGTAGTCTTTTATCTCATACCCGCCCTTACACGTCTTCGCTCCTTCAGGAAGGATCACCCAATCAACCTTACTCTCGATGAACTCATGGAGATCAGGTTCCATGAGCCCCGGAATATCGAGTGAGCCCACTCTGATATCGATAGTGGCGGGGCTCCAGTCACCATTCCCCCACAGTTGGGTCCCGCATTTGGGGCAGAAAGCGTTGTGCCTGGCGACGCCATCCCTCCGGACAGTGGTGGCGAACTTGGGAGGCATGGAGCCGATAGAAGTTACACGGTCAGCTTCGATGGTCGCGAAGCAGGCGAAGACAGATCCGGAGGACTTGTGGCAGTCCGCGCAGTGGCAAGCATGGCAAAATAGCGGGGCGGTCTCAAGACGATAGCGGACGAGACCGCAGAAACAACCCCCGGTGACGGCTGGAAATGGACGTGATTTGGACATAGTGATGTCTTTGAGAGCTTTTCGAGTTTGATGGTAGATTCGGACAATGAGGGGGAGATGACACAGCCTTGGAAATGATTTGCGCCAAGCCGCTATCCTCGATATGGCATGGTCATATCGCAGCCTAATTTCGACGCGATGGGAACTTGGAACCTGCAGAAGCCTTCTTACAGTACATCAGTAGCGGCCATGATGGTCTCTTCGCTTCAATTATGGCTCCAATCCACCTTGAAGCTCACTCCTGCGAGCACTGCCGAAAGTTGGTCATCGATGACACCAAGGTCAGGCTAGGTGAGAACGGCGGCGAAGAAAAAAAACTTCTTCCACTTCGACATTTCCATCCCGGATATCAGAGAGGCATCTTCTGATAATTGTGCGTTTGCTACTTGGCTTCTCGAGGAAGAATGGATCTACCGATCGGGGATTCATCGAAAGATGCAGCGAGAATCTACGGCCTCCGATCAAGACCCCGGCCTTGTCAGCGGAGGAGCTCTAACTGAAATTCAGGAGCATGTAGCTGATGAAGAAGTGGTCGATGAGAGGACGGTGCAGTGGGCAGTTAGAGAGGCGTTAATCCGTTTTGAGAACACGCTGCCGCCCCCAGACCAGTCGCAAACGTTACGACACGTGATCGAAAACAGCGGCACGGGGACGATTGCGTTGATGAGACTAAGGCTAGCATGCTTTTTCTTCGATTCTATGGAGATCAAGTTCTTCGCATTGTGGGATGTCAGCAAGAAACGCGTAGCATACCGGACGAGGAACGGGTTCAGCGTCTATGCGAGGCGGGACAATCCTGCAGGAAGAATGATCTCTACTCGTCCCATGGAGCGGGACGCCGGGTCTCAGCAGACTTTCCAAAGGATGAAAGTACATCTGAATGAATGCCTCTACGGTGAAAGAAGAGGGAAGAAAATGCACTCGATCTGTCCCCTTCCGGCGCAGGATTACATGCCGACGAGGCTTCTAGAGATTTGCGGCAGCAACAACTCGTTCAAGATTCGACTTCGAAGCACGGCTGAAATGCCGGTGGAGCCGTACATTGCGCTCAGCTACTGTTGGGGAGGTGACCAGAGAATGAAATCTACCTGCGACCAGCTGGACACTTGGATGAGCGACATTCCGTGGGACGCACTGTCCCAGACGCTCAGAGACGCGATAGTCGTTTGCCATAACCTTCTTTTCCGGCTCTTATGGGTCGACGCCTTTTGCATCGTGCAGGACGATCCGCAGGATAAAGCGGTGGAGATTGCGCAAATGCCAAATGTATACCGGAACTCTGTTATAACGATAGCCGCCTCACGTGCACAAAGCGTTCAAGAAGGATTTCTGGCGGAGAGAATTTCGACTCAGCTTCTTGACCAAGTATTTCAACTTCCATTTAAGGGACGTTACTTTTCGGAGGGTGCTATCACTCTTTTCCGGACCAAGATTGAGCCGGAGCCTCTAGACACGCGCGGCTGGTCCCTCCAAGAACGTCTCCTTTCTCCTCGAACGTACGAATTTGGCACCCGACAATCCCGCTTCATTTGCCAACACAATCCCCGAGGCGTGCCCGACGGTTGGCGCGTGAAGCCCGAAGAACACGGCTCCAGGCAAGACAACCTAGATGATGTAGCGGTGCTCCAAACGCAGTTCATTGGCGCGCAGCAACCGCAGGGAAGTATCATCGGCACGGATTTCGAAGAGGCCATGGAGAATTGGTATCATCTCGTCGGGGTATACAGCTACAGACGCCTCACTTTCTCCACAGACCGCATAATGGCCATCTCAGGAATTGCGGCTCGATATGGGCATATCTTCGGCGATGAATACTGTGCTGGGCTGTGGCGCTCCACCTTCTCTCGGGCCCTCTATTGGAAGGTGCGATACTCCGAAGACGAAACTTATCCCCGCCCCACGTCCTGGCAAGGACCTTTCTGGTCATGGATATCCATAAATTGGCCTGTATCCTTTCCCTCTCCAGATGAGACGGATGAAGTTGAGCCGCGAGTTTTGCACATTAATCTCCAGCTCGCAAACCCGGCAGATCCTTACGGCGCGCTACTCACCGGTTCCGGTCACTTGACTGTCAGAGGCAAGATCAACGCTGCATATCTTATGCTTGAGAAGAGCCCCTTCGGAATCTGGCGAGGCAAGGCTGGCGGCATGGCGTAGAACGGAAAGGGCTTCGGAAATGTCTTCTACACGGATATGACGTACGACGCGGTAGATGAGACTGAGGAAGAGAGAGCCGAGAACAGTGCTGCTTTCCTGGAACTCTCCACGAAACGCACGGACCGGTTGTGGTGGTCCAAGGGCCTCATCGTGCGAAGTACGAGCGGGGACAGCTTCGTGAGGATTGGGACGTTCAAGACAACAGTTAAGCGAGAAAGAGGCGAGAGCAATGAGGCTTGGGAAGATCGGCTGGATCGCGAGTACAACTGGTTCAACCGTATTCGTCCCAAGATTGTTGACATAATATGAGAGCAGTTCCTCGTGCCGGCTGTCGGCGCTAGCGTCCATTCAAGAGAGGCAGTGGCCATTGAATATAAGTAGGTGTCCGCGTCGACAGCTGCGAACTCGATTATCATGAGTCAACCCCCAGTCATCACCCGCTCGCCATTGACGCGCCTTTGACGTCACTGTAACACCGATATTTCGCCCCAGTTCAGACCCGGCAATCTTCTAACACTCTCGCTGTCACGGGTTGATCCAGGCCCGCAAGTCTTCTTAACACTAAACTCAACTTCTGCGGCTCGCCTTCCATACTCAGGAAAGCAGTTTTGAACAATCGATCACAGTGACGATTTTCGAGGCCTCGATAACTGACTGTTCGGGCTACCACTCAGAGCTCTCTTTGGACAACTGCATGCCCGTGCGGTCCTCAGAACAACACCTAAAGCATCGTTCAACTCCCCAAATCCCCTGGCCATTACGCCGGTCCGTATGTAGTCATGCTCTGACTTAGTTTCCGACTCTTCCTAAGAGTCAGATAAGGGTATAAGGTTTAGGTTAGGGTTGGGTTAGGAAGCTGGATAATGCCCTTGAAGAAACCGGTCTGGCTCCCAATCAGCTGTGAAGGTTGCACAGTGCAAGCCAAAATCGTCCACTTCGTCCTTAGCAAGGATTGCCTCGACGTGATCGCGGATTGACTGTAATCGGTTGCCGAAAAGGGGACATTTGCTCGCTGTAGCAGGCTGCGGCTCTTCTGCGAGACGAGCCACATCGGGATACGTGTCTGTGGAAACATCGGGCGACAATGATTCCTCAAGCTGGCGAAGCCTCTGTTCCACTTCCAATGCCCTCTTCATTTCTTCCAATGCCTTTATTTGTTTTTCCAATGCCCGAGATTCTCTTGTTCTCTTAGGAGATTCGGGGTTTGCTCTCTTTGCTTTCCTTTTCTTGTAGCTCTTCCAGTGCCATTTGTATGTCAACCAACTCGTCTGTCTGTGCTAATTTCATTATAATCCGGCTCTCACCTTCATCATTTTCGATTCCCTCTTCTAATCTCGCAACGTATGCGTTTGCCATCGTTCACCTTCGCTTCTTGGACGTGGACGAACCGCTACCATTACTAAAGCTGTCACACTTCTGAATGAGCAAACCCGAAAAGTTTGATAGCCGTAAACAAACAGGCCGGAAAGATAGTTGACCAGAGTTAGGGTCCAGCCATGGATCGCATAGAGGGTAGATATGTGTCAGACGATGCAAGCCCAAGAACCTGGCGTGATGCGAGCTGAGCTCGAGAACGATGCCTCGCGTGACGAAGGACCTGGAAGCTACGTTAAACGGAAAACATAGGCGAGAAGATCAGGCGTCAAGAATATTCGCAAGTCGCCATTGGCATCTTAACAGCCATGGTCGACGCCACGATAGAGAAGGCTGAATCACGTGCACGTGAAAACAGCTCACCGAGTGCGCGTTAGCCACTCCTTTTGAATGCCAAGCCAGATGCGCCTCCACGTCGAGAGAGATCGCCATTGATGCGCTGACTAGTGGTGCGATCTGGAATGGGTCGGATGCCGGAGAGTCCTTAATTGGCTCTTGGGAGCTCTTGTGCGAGTGAAAGGACAACGTAGACTGGTAGAGTCACTGGGGTTAGACTCTTTAGCCCAACCAGAGGTGCCTGATAATCCAGTCAGCTAGTGGTGCAATCTAGAATAGATCATAAGTTGGAGAACCCACGATCGGTGCTTGAGAGCTCGAGTGCAAGCGAACGGACGAGACAGGCGAGCAGAGCAGCTGGAGGGACAGACTTCCCAGCACAACAGAGGTAGTTTGACGTTTCGGCCGCCCATTTATGTCCTGTCCGTCGCGGTGTTACCAGCGCCCTTCCTGACGCTGCCCACGAGGAAACATTTGTCCGGAGAGGAACAGCTCGGATCACATCCCTGCTGAAGCCTAGAGTATGTTGCGATATAGGGGTGCGTGCAAGGCTTGAGGCACTCCTAGCTTCGCCATGCGCAGAAGAAACGTTCGCACAGAGAGAGAAGAGAGAAAAACCACAAAGTGGGATATCCCGTGTTTAGTCTTTAGGTAGTCGGCAAGTGCAGGTAGGCACCCCCTCTTCGGAAGGGAGGTGCAGCCCCAGAGATCATCCTCACCTAAGAAAGTATTAGATAAGACTTCCCCTATATCTCATATCTCATTTCCCACTTACTGACACCATCGAACAGGTCCATCAGCAGCATGATACACTCCACTCCTCAAGATTAAATATACATATCTAAACCCCCACCCTACAGAAACGAAGGCAGGCTAAAGAAGAAGCGAAAGCTAAAGAACCTTAGAAGGCTAAAGAACAGAATGAAACAAAAAAAGAAAGAAGAGAAGACAAGATAAGAAAAGAAGAGAAAGCTCGTCTTTCCAAGAAGAAGCGAGTGAACTATCCATACAAGGCCCGTCCGACTTCATAGAAGCCAATGGTGGTGAGAACGAGAGAAGAAGAGAAAGGAAGTGCTAAAAGAGTATAATGTCAAAAACACCAAAAGCCGTATGCAACATCCAGATACACACCCTTCGGGCGCCCAAAGCCATTGGCCTAGGCGCACGCGCTCATTACCCCCCAAAGCTGCATTTACTTATGATTCTTCTTCCTCTCCCTCACCCTCGACGCGATGGTCCCCTGCTCTTCGGCCTTAATCACCCTCTCCGGCGTCACCGGCACCCCATTCACATTTCCATTCGCGGTCCCATTCGCCTTTCCATTCATGCTCTTCCTCTCCTTCTTCTCGCCCTCGATCTCCTCCTCCACGTCACTCTCCTCGTACTCGCTCCTTTCATCCTCCACTATATTTTCCACCATAAACCGGTATGCAATCCGGCAAATTAGAAACCACCAGAAAAGATTGACCGCTTGCAGAGCGGCAAGGAGGGAGAAGGAGATGGCCTGAGCAAGCCGGCATTTGTACTGTTGGGTTTCCCAGTTGAGCTCGAAGGGACCGACAGTGGAGAAATCGGTGAGGATCGAGTAGAGGATCTTGAGGTTGAGATAGTGGCGCAGGTAGCCCCAGACGCACATGAAGATGAAGAAGTAGGGACCGACGAAGGAGGTGTCGAGGTAGTTGAAGATTTTGGAGGTCTGAGATGCATTAGCACTACCGTTCCCCATCTCTGAAGCAGCAAATAAACCTACCGCGAGGAAGAAATCCGATATGTCATGCGTAACATAAACCGCCAGCCCCATATACGTGAAATGGAACCGATAGCTCAGCCAAATCAGACTCAGGGTAATGAAATGATGCGCGACCAACTCCTTGAAATCCTTACGCGGCTTCTCCAGCATCAGCAGCAGGACAATCATCTGCTGCGCCCAGTAGCTCGCCTGCAGCAGATAGTATGCCTTGAACACGCCCTCGTGCGTCTTATGGGGGAACTCCTCATACATGCCCGTCGTATTGAAATACCACACAGGCGTCCCGCGCATGACCCACAGCCCAAAGGGCCCAAAGATAGCAAAGTATATCGCCGTGTAGAACTGCTCCATGAAGCGGCTTTGCTTGGCGCGCGACTTGATACCGTAGTGTATTGCGATGGGCCGAATCATGCGCTGCATGAGGAACTCGCGCGTGAAGGACAGCACGATGATGTAGAAGCCGACGAAGGCGAAGTCGCGTGCGCCTTTGCCATACTGTATGGGAGCATCTGAGCCGGGTTCGCGCGGGATCGGGTACGAGAGGAAGAGCGCGGCGGAGATGGGATTCGAGGGGACCGGGTTGATGAGGTAGAGCGAGATTATTATGAGGGAGAGAATGAGCGGCATGAGCCAGGTGTGTCGGAGGCAGAGGCGCTTCCATTTGGAGAGGGCGCGTTTTATGGTGCGGCGCTTGGAACGACGGGCGGGCTTTTCTCGCTGTGTACCGTATCAGCATAAACCTTCCGGGCAAGTCTCCTCCGCCCTCGGTATAGAGACAGTTGAGATCTTACCGGCTCTGTAGGCGTCGCGGGCAGCACTCCACTCCCTAACGTCGCAAAAGCAGCAACATCATTGTCCCCGAACAGCTCCGCTCCTAATCCACTACTCTTTCTCCGCCGCACCGTCTTCCCGCCTTTGTGCCCCTCCTTCTTCGCAAACTTGTCATTCAGCGGCGGAAACGGTTCGACGTCCGAGGGAGCCATTTTGACGCGTGAGAATTGGGGTGGGAGAGGAGAATGGAAGGCGTGCGAGGCGGTGGGCGCGGAGGTCATCATTTCTGGGCAAATGCGGAAAGGAGTCGGATCGACTGGCGCCAAGAAATCGGTCCCGCGATCGGATTGGCCGCGATGGCTAAGTAAGCAGAGGAGAGGGTTCACATGCACTCTCAAGATGAAGCTGTGGAATACGATGAAGGTATTTTATACTATACGATTGTTCTCATGGAATGACCAGAGTTCCGAGGGGGCGGATCGGAGAGTTGACATGGAGTTAACGCCCCCGGAACCTCTCGGAAGCCGCGGTCACCGCTGCAACATCAGATCATGATGGAAGATGCTAGTGAGCTTAGGACAATTGTAGTATCGCTTGTGAAAGAAGGGATAAACGAGATGAAGAGGTCAGTCAAATTGTTCAGGTGGCTGGGGTATCATTAAGTATCATCAGGGGCTCGGAAGCCGCGGAAACCACTGCCCCATGGCGACTATACAGCTGTCGACTTGATGGCGCCTACCCTACATTTGTGGCGTCCCTTTGGAGTTGATATTCTTCTGGGTATGACCTCGGGAGCGAACACCTGCGCTCTTTTGAGCGTAGCTCCCGCACGACCCTTCATTCGACTTCCCTCAGCCTACTACCCGATAGCAAGCTTCCCTTCTGGTTCTGCATACTGGATTTCGAGAGAATGGGAGCTCCGTTCGCCTTCGACTGATTGCCTTTCTTAGGTCCATCCGAATAGCCCTCTACTCGCATCTTCGGCTCAGGAATAGTTGCTCCCGAGCTGCTTGCTGTACCCGTGCTATCCATGCTTCCCTTGCGAGACAGTATCCCATCACGTCCCAGCAATCCTCTGATCCCGCCAGCTTTTCGAGTAGGTAGCTCGCCTTTTCCGGCTGTAGCGACGAAGAGAAGGTATTTTAAATTCGGAAGCGTATGCCGTATGTCGACGGGACGCAGGCCCAGCGAATTTGAAAGGATCTCGATGTCCTTGTTGAGGAGGAAGACGCCGTATTCAAATCGGTAGCGAACAACGCCTTTCATGAATAGCGGGTACGTCCGGGGATTATTCTGAGTGGTTGTGCTCATCGCAAGCGGATCATCGATGGTGGATGCTGAGCCGTTCACCGTTACCGGATACGGAAGAACGACAGACAGATATGGCGACAATAGAGAGACAACTTGAGCGACGTAACCCAGCGCTGCTGCCGTAACATCCTCTTTCGCGTCGTCGAACTCTGTATTGGGCAGTGGGAGCCCTCGGATTGTAAACAGGAGCGACTTCCCCGGTACCGGTTCGATCGGATATACCTTCTGTATGTCTTCGCATATCCGCCTGCGCTGACCGGCAATGTCCTCCAGCGTTTTCTCCACGAGCTCTTTTGTGTGCTTGTGCTTCTCTCTGTCGAGAATCAAACTGGTCTCTACTTGTGATTGCTGGCCGCGACCCTTTTGCATCATCTCTTTCCGATACTGTATGTTAGCCTTCAGCTCATCCCGTCTCCTCCGGACGGCGTCAACTCGGCGCTTCTCGGCGGCGACCGCACCCTCTACCATCTTCAGCCGTTCCTGCGCCTCCGGGACCTGCTCGACAGTGGCAAATGCGTCCTTGTTTTCATTCAAAATGGACTCAATATCCTCAGCTAACCTGTCGCGGGTGGCTAAAGCGTCTTGAATGCAGTCATCTAGAGTATTGAGTCGCATCAAGGCGTCGTAGGATGAGCTGTGAAGGAGCCTTCCGTCGGGATGCGCTTTTGGAGGCGCAAGGGCATCGGATCGTAGAGTTTCTCCAACCGGCATATCCGTAAAGCTCGTGTAGATACCATCCGTCATGTGGAAAAGGATGCAGTTCGCTGGCAGCGGATGCTTGAACTTCCCCAAAGCCTTTCCGATGAATTGCAGAGACCTGAAGTGGACATTGAGCTCGATTAGATACTGCCAGCCCTTGGTGGTCTCGTTCCTAGCCCAGACCCTCACGGTGAGCTTGTCGAGTCGCGTAACGCTCGGTCCGCACGATGCGAGGTCGAAAAAGCGGAAATTGGGGTTCATGGCCTTCTCTGCCACCTCGGAGATGTACACCGGCTCTTCCTGGTCATCGACATGCAGAGTGAAGAACGTATCGGCCATGCGACTGCCCGCAATGTCCTCCAGCTTCTTCTGCCTGGTCAATGGACTTCCACCTGACCATTCTATTGTACTTCTACGGCGCAGTCCTTTGGGCATGGGCGGCCTACTAGCTTTCTGAGGCGAGGAAGGCTGCCGAATATGGCCATTGCTGCGTCGAGCTGCGTCTTCGGCGGACTTCAGGTCGCTGGAGGATCTCGAGTGTGCCAATGCTCTGCTCTCCCGCATTGCTAGTGCCTTTGTCGGCGACTTGAGGGTGCTCGGGATCGCTTCATCATCGATCGTCTTCCCGCGCGGCCTCGCGGGCAGTGGGGTGAGGGTGAGGTTGCGGATGGTTATGCCCTGGAGATGCCGCAGCTTCCGGTTCTATGCGTCTCGATTAGCTGTGTATACCATGCGTTGCGAGGCACGTATGTACATAGGGCAGCAGGTACGGGCGCTCGCGCGGCGGCGGCGGCGATGGCTCGGCTTGGTGCGTTGCGGCAGCGTGCTCATCTCTAGCCATGCTGCGTATCCGTCGCTCGGGGGTCCCTTGATCGGGCGGCGCCGCGACGGGGTCGACGAGAAGTTATTCGGGCGCTGTTTGTGGGCGCATCAGAACTAAGCTCCGCGTGAACAGGGCAATCAATAGCGATCATGATACAGCAGAGGAGTAGAGAGTCGTAGATAACGACGAGCGAGCTCGTGGAGCTGCCGCATTGGAGATACACGCGGAAGAGGGCCCGTGCGCCGAGAGTCCGACATCTGAACTTTTGCGGCCATCACCCCCATCCTCCGAGCGCCCCATTGGCATCGCCAGCGCTCCCGCCACGATGCCGCGCAATCTCTCGCGATTAAAATTCAGGGCACCGAGGCCGCCAAAGCCGCTGAATGTGTCGCGGATTCCTCTCCACAACCGGCTAGCCGTCGCGCGCGAAGTCAGGAACCATGTCCTCCAACTATCCAAACCAGCCGCCCTCGGCCTGCAAGTCGTTGTGAACCCGAGCTGGAAGGACCTCCCCGGAAAGAAGACGAAGAAATTGGCATTCAAGCCGCACACGCTGAGAGATGTCGTGGATCCCGAAGCAAAGGCGAAGCATGGGCAGATCATCTACATCTTCAGGAACAGCAGGACAAACCAGGTCATCTACTCGCTAGCGGAACTGCTTGATGTACGGCGTCAGTTGCACTAGCACGGTCATCTATTAACACCCCGCTAGAACCACCATCTCGAGCAGCTGCCCTTCATTGGCAAGCACTCCAAGCCGCCCGTCCTCCGCCCAGACGAATGGACACCCCACTGCGTCATCACCTTTCCCTCCGCCGAGCAAGGCCTCCACGCCTTCCGCAAGCTGCGCGAGTTCCGCAAGCTGCACGAGCTCTCGTGGGACAAGACGAACCCCGAATGGATAAATATCAGCCCACAGGAAAGAATCAAGAAGATCCAGGACCAAGTAGCAAACACAAGCGCAGACCTGGCTGAAGTGCTGCGCATGCAGGAAGAGCAGGGTGAATGGATGCAGAAGAACATCGAAGAGCAGCAGGAGCGCGTCGTTGAGTGCATGGACGAGAAATGGCTTGCGATCGACGCTTTGGCGAATGCTTCCGTTGCGAAGGATAAGAAGGATGGCGACAATACCAAATGGCTGCAGCAACAGATCAAGAGCCTGGATTTTCAGCTCGGGCTGAAGACGAACCAAAACGAGGCAGACCAGAAACGACTGAAGGTAGCGAAACACAGTCATGAAGTCCGGCTCAGCAAAATCCTCTACGCCCAGCGGAAGGCTGAACAATTTAAAAAGATGCAGGCGAAGCTGGAAGCGGAAGCGGAACTTGCTAACGAGGCCGGGGCATCGGCGAAGCTAGAGAGGCTGAAAGAGGACATCCGCCTGCTGCAGCAGGAGCTCGCAAACCCCACCTCAGAACGCACCAAAGATGAGATCGCCTCCGACGTGAATACGATCAAGGACTACAACGACGAAATCGACCGATTAGAGAAAGCCTTCGCAGCTAAGAGAAAAGCCGAAGCTCGAGACCACTCCATCGCGCGCTCCGTCCTCCCGCGCCAACTCAAGAAGCAGCTCCCCCAGCCATTTTCTATGAAGGTCGAACTGCTCTGGGTGGACCCGCTGGATGCCGAGTATGCTGCGGGGAACTGGCCTGCTGCTATCTACCACGACGTGCTTCCGCTAAAAGCCACGAGAGACTCGGTGCATTACTTGAATGCTGCCGAGTATGAGGATGCGGTTAATGATGAGGTCCATGGTATGGTGAAGACGCTAGAAAGGCAGGCGCTGCAAGATGCGGGAATAGAACCATATGAACCTGAACCGCAGGTGGAAGAGAAGACGGGCGTATGGAAGTATCTGCCCGAGATCAAAAACCCATTTAAGCGTGCTGATGCATAGCATCTTTTCGCCTTTGTAGGTCTAGACACGCAGAACGGCTTGTACTATATCTTGTAGGTAGGGGGTTAGAATGTACAAAGTGTACAATACATGTCACATGCGCCACCGAATTTACCCTCTTGCCAATCTTTGCTGGTCTGTTTTCTACTCTATCTACACACCTCTGGCCTCCATCCCGCCGCGTACTAACCCTGATCTATTCCATCATAGTGGAGCCACTTGTGTTGCGTAGCAGGGGCACGGGAGATATGATGCGATTAGATCTATATGGAAGTGGGAGATAGAGACACTTGTAGGTGTCATTCCCTCCAAAGGTTGATATAGAGGTGGAAGGTAACGGCTAAGGATACGTGTAACGCATGGGTGCAGAGTAAATCGCCGGTGCTCGAGGTTTTGCCTATATCGCTGACTAAGCCGGTCAGCGACTATCGGATCTCTGACTTCATCTTCTCCTCTTCAACAAACCTCGGGTCCTTCGCCGCCCAAATTTCTAAGCTCAGGACACAGAATATGAGACGGCGCTACTGTGGCGGGAAAGCGCACCGATCGTACGCGCCGAAAGAGGGCAGGCGCCGCCTGCGGATGGAGCGAGTATTTCGATTAAGACTTTAAATGGTGATGGATGCGGTACGTCTGCTATGGAGAAGAGTCTCGGATGAGGGATTGTGTTCTAAATGGCGCTCGAGGGAACATGATCTTGCGGTCCCCAACTACGGACAAGTTGCCTAGGAGTAGATCACGAACTCCCATGAGCGTTTGCCAGAGCAGGTATCGAAAGTGAAGAACTCTTTTACAGGTAGAGTGAAGGTGAAAGAAATGAGGGGTTCTGACGCTGATCATTCGACGTATGCGAGTCTCTCACATAAAGACCAAGTTTTCGCCTGCTTCGTCTCTTGATCGTGCCAAACAACGCTCACCGCTTCCTCAATCAGATACAACGCACTTCTTACTAATGCCTCCTGTCGCCCCCGCAACCCAGTCACTACTGCCAAGCATTCAAACCGAAGCTGCCGTAGACACGCCAATGCCGTCGGGATCGGGCGGCGAGTAAGCTATTCAATCATCGCATTCGTCGTCGATGCACTAACAACACAACCAGTCTCAATGGGAGACAAGTCTGCATTCAGCTCGTTACGGATAAGCAGAACTTCGACTACTACCTCCCCCACAGCATCGCCGTTTCAACCTCGAAAGTGCTTCAGGCCTGCTTCACGGATGGCGTGGAAATCGGGCATCTCGAATGGTGCACCAACGAGTCCTGGGAGCTCTACCACCACTGGCTATACACCCGCGAACCCTTGACCGCCATGGAATTTCTTCTCCGGTCAACGCCTCCCCCACATAACGTTTGTGCCCTCGATCAGGAGCAAAAGATCCGAACGGATTACCTAGATCTATTCTTCTGTTACACGTTCGGGCAAACCCTTCAGGACTACGTCTACACCGACTGCATCATGTCCCGCTTGATCGATATGATTCGCTCTCCTCACGCCCCGACCGTGCTCATGACACTCCTCACCGAGAGCACGGCAACTCTCCATGCTATTATGCAGATTAAACCGGTAGGTTGTGCGCTTCATTATTTCCTCGTTGATGCTATTGCGTGGTTCGGCTCGGACAGGGAGGTGGGTGTCATCGCGTTTGGGGAGTACGATCAAGCGTTCAAGAGCTATCTTATGATTGCGTTGGCGAAATGGCGGAGGGTCATGCCGAGTGCGAAGTTGCCGGGCAGGTTCGGGCTGCTGAATGAGTGCGGGTATCATGATCACCGCGACAAGCCGTGTTATGCGAGGAGGTGGTAGGTCGGGCGCCCGCGACGGAGAGATGCATGGAAAGGGAGAAAACGAATGGATGTAATATTACACGAGGCATGGTGAAGGTGGGTGCGCCGGTTCTTCAGAGAAAGCAAGGAAAGTACTACATAACATCCTCCGTATCATCTCTCTTCCCATACACCGCGTAGATAGCAGCGCCGACCAGCCTTACAAATCGATCGGGCTCCACCATCACATTATTGGTCTGCCAATCATATCTCTTCTGCAAACCCCCGGCCACCGCCACGCTTCTCTCATCCTTCCCTGCACGTTCTGCCTCCTCCTCTTCTCTCAGTTCCTCCTCCGTCTTCGCATCCTTCCCATGCGTCATATAGTACTCCAACTCCAGGCCACGAGCGAAGTTCCGATGTCCCTGGAAAGTATTGCTCTGAGGTTGTATCTCGACCACAGCCGAGCCAGGCCGGAGGTAAATCGTATGCATCATACCCGCGCCATGGACACCAACCAGCACGTTCGTGTTATGCGTAACATTGAGCTGCGCCGCGAAGTCAAGCTGCGCAAAGTCATACACATTGACTTGGATATCCGGAAACGCCTTCTTGAGCGCATCAATGCATTCTTGCTGGTTCACCAATTGCCGCGAGCCTTTGCGCCTAATCACCGTGACGACAATCTTCTCGTTCCAGTCGGGAAACATTTGCGACGGCTCTTCTGGGTTTTCGGCGTAGGGCTTCATTTCGCGGACGCTGTCAATGAGGCCGTAGCGCTGCAGCATGCGGTTCCGGAACGTGCGCAACCAGTGCCACGCCTGCTGGCAGTTGTGGTACCGCCAGCATCCGTACCACATGGGGTTGCTGACGCCGGGGAGCGGCACGATGATAGTGCCCAAATCCTCGTCGGCGCTGATGTGCTCGATTCTGCGGATCGGCAGTCTGGCGAATTTATTCCACGCGTCTAGGAAGGGGCCGTCTTCTCTGCCGTCGAGGATAATGATCTGCGTGTTTTCTTCGTCGTCGGGCTGGAAGAAGGGTTCCTCTGTCGCGGGGTCGATGGTCATTTGCAAGACGTCCAGGCTCAGGACCATGCTGATGAGGTCGACGGTAAAGTGCCAGAGATTCAGCGGCCAGTCGCGCTTGATCAAGATCGTGAACTTATGCTTCGCGCGTCCACCTGGGGAAGCAGATGGCAGGCGCCCGGCAGCACTTTTGGAATCGTTTAGCAGTGTAATCGTTTCGTTGAAGATGTACCATGGCCCCACACCCATCCAGTTGTTGTAGTCGCAAAACTCGTCCACTGTCGGCACATTCGCTGCCTTCTCTTCTTCACTGAACTGCCGCTGTTTACAACCTAGCTCCACTTTCTTCTCGCCCGCATTGAAGTGCGCATTCTTGGCCACGCAGAAAGTATCCGTCCGCAAGGGGAAGTGCAGCCGGCTGCGGAAGCATGTCATGGGCGACGAAGAATCGTCGGTGCAGTATTGCGTCGCGGTATCGCGCAGATCGTAGAGATAGTCGAGGCCGAATCGCTTCTGGCAGAACTCTGGTTGTGCGCGTTCGTAGTCGTAGTCGGAGGGTAGCGGGGGAAGGGGCTCAGTCGAGTTGTGCGGTTTCGGGAGCCAGGTCTTGAGGGTCGATGCTATGCGGTCTTTCTGCTTCCCAAGCCTTTCTTGCCACGTCGCTCCTTCGAATCGCTCGGAGTCCGGATCGCCACTAGGGAGGACGTAGGCGTGCCCGGTGTACAGCCAGGACAGCGTCACGTATAAGAGGCCAACGCAGAGGAGGGCGTAGAGCCAGCGAAGTCTGGAACTGCCGAGTGAAGAGACGAGCATCCTGAATAACGAGCGACGCTGAGGGCGGAAGAGAGAAAGATGGTACTGAGGGCACCCTGCGGACTGCTACGCGGCCTGATAAAAGTCCTCCTTTGCTCATCCCTTGCTCTAAAAGTTGTGCGACGTCTACGATTCCTGATTCCGGCTAGGCGACGCTGTTCTGCCAAACCATAGTTCTTTCAGTTCCGCCTAACCCATCAACGCCGCAATAATATAAGCTTCCGCCGAATATTTCTCAACGAGCTTATTATCTTCACAAGAACGAATTTTAACAAGTTCAACATATAGAGCGGCCACGTTGTCCTGCTGCCTATGGCGCAGATGGGGTATTTTACCGCTGTTCTGCCAAAAAGCCGGACTAGTAGTACGAAAGAGACACTTCTCTCCCTTTATCACCTCGGCCTGGACTACTGCTCTTTTCTTTACCTTACGATTGACCATATATGAGGCAGGTCAGCCAGGGGTAGGTCGTGTGGTCTGCGAATTCCACAGGCTAAGAGAGGCCCTTTAGATACCGGAGCATTAGATATAACTCCTTGGAGCATAGTCTAGCAAAGCTGCTAGTGGTGGAGGTGAGGGTGAGAGGAGAGATGAAGATGTCCGGTCCGGGAGGTCTCGCTTAGCATCAGCGCTAGTACTATATGGGCTTCGGCGCGTCAACCTGACTACTCCCTTTCTAGCCACGCCGTCATATATCACTAGCGCAGACCTACCTTGCCGATATCAATGAACTTCTCAGGCATCAGTAAGAGCGCAGACAGTTTCTTCTGAGATATAAGCATAACGACAAGTGCTGGTATCGAACCTATCGTGATGATCTGTGTTGGGTTGCACATGCAGGGCTCAGCCACACTGGGCTGGGCTGAAGATACACCGACTCTCAGCCTTCCCTTCTGCCACATCCACCTGCTTCCAGGCTACCGAGACGAGTTTGTTAGCTACGAATAACTACAGAAGCCTTCCTTATCTCATTCAGAATCAAATAGCTTCTAACCGACCACATTCCGATGCCGCCTCGCCCAACGGACTAGTCTCGCGCAAAGAAACTGTCCTCAGTAGATCTTAGGCGCAGAGACCATGGATCCCGCAATACCATCTACCGGCTTGTCACTAGTGGCCGAACCTGAATATCCATCCCTAGAGTAAGCTCCAGAACGCGGTACTTGATCGGGTTGCTGCTGACGTCAAAGCCTCATTTTTGTCCATGGGTTCACCGGTAAGCAGTGCCAGCTACTGTCATTTTCGACTGAGTCCCAGACATTCGCTAATGTGTACTGCCACCTTAGGCCACCCTGAGCGAACCTGGACGCATACTAAGGGCGATGTTGCACATCGCATTGAGGACAACCGCGAACTAGACGAGCCACCTCCGAAAGCCCGAAAACTCAATTCGTTCCCGTTCTCTAGGGCGCGCAAAGAAAGCTCTCATAACGTTGTATATTGGCCGAGAGAGTTGATCCCCGATACCATCCCCGAGGCGCGAGTCCTGACTTACGGCTATGACACATATATAAGGCATAAGCTGGGGCCTCCTGGGAGCATGAGCGCTGTCTACGACATTGCGTGGGACTTCCTAGTCGCCCTGGAAGCTCTGCGCCGGGAAGAGCCGTTGAGACCGGCCATATTCGTGGTACACAGTCTGGGTGGCATTGTTGTCAAGGAGATGTTGCGGAGATCGAGCGGCTGCCTTCGCGGCCAAGCTCATCTCCGGTCCGTCTTTGAGTCTACAATTGGCGTTATGTTTTTCGGCACACCGCACAGTGGAGCTGACCCGCGTGGTCTACTTCATCGCATTGCTGAGAAGGTGATCAAAGCTGCCGGATTCTCCGTTAATGAGCAGATCGTCAACACTCTTCTACCGTCATCGGAACGTCTTCGGGAGCTAAGAGACGAGTTTGGTCCCATGGCTATCGAGCAGAATTGGATCATACATTCCTTCCAAGAGCAATTAGGCGTTGTGGCTCTCGGCGGTCAGAAAGTAGGTACTTTCATCCTTCTTGTTGTTGATGCAAGCAATCCTCTCGAATGCCCATAAATTTTAAGGCACCATGAAGGGTTGTATTTCGGTCCACAGGCCAGAAGGACATTACTAATCAGACTTCAGGTCGTCGAAGATACATCGTCATATCTGAATCTCCCTGCACTGGAAATCTGCGAGCATATCGGACGCAATCATATGGATATGTGCCGCTTCAAGGGACCCGATGACATCGAATACCGGAAAGCGTCTTCCGCCCTACGCAGGATGACGAGTTCAGTCTCGAAGCAGCCGAAAAGAAGCGAAGAAATACCATTGAACGACGAGCAAAAGAGGATGTTGTTGGATTCGCTAAAATTCGACCGGATAGATGCGCACCAGATGACGGTCAGGACTGCGCATGCTAAAACCTGCAAATGGCTGCTGAACAAGTCCGAATACCTCGATTGGCTTGACCTCGCCAACCTACACAAACATCATGGCTTCTTGTGGATTAAAGGGAAACCAGGATCTGGAAAGTCGACGCTGATGAAGTTCGCCCTCGCTACCGCTCGGAAGACGATGAAAGGTAGAACCGTCATCTCGTTCTTCTTCAACGCGCGAGGTGATTCTCTAGAGAAATCCACATTGGGTACCTATCGATCGCTTCTATTGCAACTTCTAGAACGGTTTCCGGCGCTCCAGAGTGTCTTCGATTCCCTTATTGTGTCCACTTCGATCATCACACCGTCGTATGAATGGAGTATCGAATCTCTGAAGATCTTACTACAGCATACGGTTCAAAGTCTCGGCAAGTCGTCTGTGGTCTGCTTCATTGATGCCTTGGATGAATGTGAAGAGGATCAGGTTCGGGACATGATGTCTTTCTTTGAAAATCTGAGCGAAGTCGCTGTCTCAGCCGGTGTCCAATTGCACGTCTGCTTCTCAAGCCGGCACTACCCGCATATTACGATCACGCGAGGGTTGACTATGGTTCTGGAAGGACAAGAAGGCCACAACCAGGATATCGCAAACTACCTCGACAGCGAGTTGAAGATTGGGCACAGCAAGGTTGCTGAACAGATTCGAGGAGAACTCCAAGAGAAAGCGGCGGGGATCTTTATGTGGGTTGTTCTCGTGGTTGGCATCTTGAATAAGGAATATGATCGCGGCTGGGTACACGCGCTCAGACGACGGCTGCACGAGATTCCGGAAGATTTACACGAGCTTTTCCGGGATATCCTAACCCGGGATTCCCAAAACCGTCACAAACTAGTCCTATGTGTTCAGTGGCTGCTTTTCTCAAGGCAACCACTAAGTCCGGAACAGCTATATTTCGCGATTCTGTCGGGCGTTGAGCCTGAATCAATATCGAGATGGGATCCTGAAGGGATCGGGTTGGATACGATCAAGAGGGTTGTTCTCGACTCCTCCAGAGGTCTAGCCGAAATCACGACCAAAACGCCAAGGGCCCAGTTCATTCACGAGTCGGTGAGAGATTTTTTTCTCATAGAAGACGGGCTGGGAAGCATCTGGCCTGACCTCAGAAGCAACTTTCAAGGTCAAAGTCATGACAGGCTTAAGACATGTTGCCTGAACTATATGGATGCGGGCATAGCGGTCCAAATAAACCTCCCAGGGGAGCTTCCAGCATATTTGAAGCCCGAAGCAGTAGTGCTGCGCGAATCTACCACCGCCGCATTCCCTCTCCTGGATTACGCCGTCCGGAACGTTCTATACCACGCAGATGCAGCAGAAGGGAGTGGTGTTTCACAGTCTACTTTTCTCGATAAATTCCCACGTACCAACTGGATCTGGCTCGACAATCTGCTCCAAAACTTTGGGACGCGTAGGCATACGTGGGATGCCAGCCTTCTGTACCTACTCGCAGAAAGCAATGCATCCAACCTCATTAGAATCCATTCTTCCGTTCCATCGTCACTCGAAGTGGGGACTGAGAGGTACGGACCTCCTCTTCTTGCAGCGCTTGCAACGGGGAGTGAAGATGCTGTTCGGGTCTTTGCGGAAGCTTACGCAAAATACCGGCTTGCAGAGAGTGGTCCGCACAGCCTGTGCAGTGAATACAAGCCTACCGCAAACAGCCGGCGAGACATTGGACGTGGCTTTAGTTTCCACAAATCGAAGGGCTTGCTCTATTACCTAGCGGAGCTGGGCAACGAGGAGTTGTTTGCACTCGTGCTTCGGACGGGACTTCTACCGCCGAACTCGACGGATAAAGATGGACAGACTCTCTTTTTCTTTGCCGCGCTAAATCACCACGATGTCATCGCAAAGCTGCTGCTAGAGACAGGAAAAGTCAACGTCAATCTGGAGGATAGCAGCGGTAAGACGGCACTCGCTGTTGCTGCTATGGGAGGGAACTTAGGTGCGGTCCAATTGTTGCTTGAGACTCCCGGGGTCGATATCAATCGCAGGAGCGGAGCCTCGAAGATGTCCCCGCTGTTGTGGGCGGCCTATTATGGAACAAAAGACGTAGCCAAAATTCCCTCAGAATCCGACGAGATTGACTCGTACTCGAGGGGTGCAGGCGGAGACTCGGCGCTATCGCTAGCGGCAAGACAGGGTCATGAGCGTATCGTTGAGTTGCTCCTTAAGAGAGGGGCTGAAGCGGACTCAAAAGATTTGGCTGGATGCACGCCGCTTATGTCCGCGACTTATTGCGGGCATGTTGGCGTAGTCCGCTTGCTGCTTAAGACGGGCAGGGTTGACGTGAACTCACGCAATGTCAATATGGAGACAGCCCTATTGCTAGCTGCAAAGAGAGGTCATGAGGCAATACTCAAGCTACTTCTCGAGGAAGAGGTTGAAGTGAACTCAAAGGACAGCTTTGGGAGAACTCCGCTTGCATGGGCGGGGATCAGGGGACACGTCAGCATAGCAAAGTTGCTACTCCGGACGGGCCGGGTCGACGCCAATTTAAACGACAAGATCGGGAGAACTCTGCTTTCATGGGCGGCGGGTGAAGGACATGTTAGCGCAGCACAGTTGCTACTCCAGACGGACCGGGTTGATGCCGACTCAAAAGATGATGGTGGAGACACACGATGATCATGGGTGAGAATTCACAGGCATGAGACGGTTAGCGAGCTACCCCAGTTGCACGGTGCTCGATAGAAGATATTGCACTTAAATCTCGGTATCTTGAAGTGCTTCGCCTGCTTTCATTATCGCAATTTGATGTGCACTCTGAGTACCTATATTCGTCCAACATGCTCCATTTGATCATTGCACCGATGATGCGCCCTTATACGGAACCCCTCACTCCAGTCTAAACATATCGCCGCTCCACCCATAAGCCCTTGCTAGCCTCCTGCCGTACCTCCTCGCCCAAAGAAACGGGATCTTGTTCGAAGGATGTGGCTCATGGAATTGAATACTCCTCTCCACCGCTACGTCTGGGCTGCGAGGCGTGAAGTTCCACGCTGAGCCGTGCAGCTTCTCGGCCGAAAAGCCGGTAGAGACCATCGCGTGGAGGAAGTCCGACCAGGGGATCTCGCCAGGTAAATCAGGGTTTGATGGAGAGTGGAAGAGCGCTTTGAATACCTTATGGGTGCGTTTGTCGACCGTGAATATTTGCTGGTCGATGCCGGCTTCGGTAGGTTGCGGAGATTCGGGTGTAGGTACGTCTGACGGCGCGCCCATCCCGCGGGTCTTCGGCTTGGTAGGCTTCTCCGAGATGGAAACCCGGTCGAAGCTACCAGTGATCTGCTTGGTGCGGTCATGATAGATGGTGGAGAAGGGTTGGTAGACGTATTCCTGTCGCTCCACTGCTTTTTCGTTCTTGATGGGTTCAATCCAAGGGGGAGTTCGCTGGATCGCGCGATCAGAGCTCAGGAGATGCGCGACCATATCATGCTGGGATGTTCCACTAGTCCTAGATTTGTAATGCCGATCCACAGCCACCCAGAAGTCATCTAGGTTCCTCTCAGCTTTCCTTAAAGCATCGACGTTCTCTTTATCACGGCGTCTATGCAGCGGGTGGTTGAACTTGCCGTCTCTGGGATCGGCCAGGTGAGAGATCTGAGCGTCCTCGAATTTGATGCCCAGAATAGGAAGCCAGCCTTTGAATGATTCCTTGTACACTTTGAGCAATTCGTCTTTCTTCAGCTCCATCCCGTCTTCAATTTTGCGCGCCCAGGGCTGGTAGAGATGCAGTTGATGGAGGCATTCAGCAACCACAGACAGGGAAGAAAGGGGTTTGGCGACCCAAGATGATACAAGAGCTTTGACTTCTGGGTCTGCCTGGACTAGACGTTCGATCTCATCGACGACAGTATGAAGACCGAACAGAAACAGTTGCTGCTCATTCCAAAGGATATCCAAGAGGGGCATCAAACGCTTCACGGCGTGATTTTGGCGAGGCGGCTGGTATGCAGCCTGAATCATCGAAGAGATGGGATCTTGCGGTTGGCGATAGCAGAATTGTCGAAGGGGCGGAGACGGGTAAACGCCGACTTTCAACTGCAGGATGAGGTCGGTCTTTGCAGCGTCAAGGATAAATCGCAGGGTTTGGAAAGCTTCCATGTATTCCGAAGGAAGATCGTCTTCAGGTCGGATTTCGTCCTTGTACTTTCCTGCGAGATGCTTCAGCTTGCCAATCTGCTTTACGATCTCGTCGAAAGTCGCGAAGCCAAAGTAGGATGTCACGACGACGTTACCAAGGACACGGTTCCAGAACAATGGCTGCCCGGATTCCGCGATCGTGGGATGTTTGCTGCCCCTTGAATCCAGCAGCATTTCCTGCCTGTGCTCCGCGAAGTCGTTCATGACGTCTGCAAAATAGCTGGGATCTTCGCGGAGGGCCCAGAGGTGGTCTTCTCGAGAGTTGCGTTCAGCAGAAGCAAGAGCCTTCAGCCTCGAGAAATCCAGACGCGCGGGAATGCGGTAAGGCGCTTCTTGTGCAATCGCTTCTAGAGACGTGACGTTCGGCTCGGTTGCAGTCGGAGGAGCGGGCTCAGATTGCACCTCGCCCGTGGTCAACGATGGCATGTCTTGCAAGAGGTGCTTGCAGCAGCTCACTAGAAACTCCCAGATACGCTGCTGGATTTCTAGCGCCTGCAGACCATGCCCAGGGTGCATTCCGATCCCGTTATACATGTATTCGAAAGCATCGTCATCGTCGTCCCAGGAGACGAGCTCTCCGTAGGTCGCGGGCGTATTCCTCCCATGGAAGAGCATGGTATATTCGTTTAAGAAAGCAGGGAATGTAGCACCACTAGTCTCTCCAAATGCGGCAAGCTTGAGGTCTGAATGCACGAATTCGTGAGGTTGATGGCGAGCCCGTGCGTTGAGGAAGATCAGGAGGAGTTTCGGCTTTATCAAGTCCTCGAGGTTGATATACGGCCACATATATGCTTCGGTCTTAGAATTATCGTTCCGACGCCATGCTTCAACATCCGGGCGGTGTTGAGCAGACATGCTCGGCCAAGCTGCGAGCAGTATCTTCTTCCGCTGTTCTATATTTGGGGTGACGTTAGCACATCTACGGAAAGGGGGATGAAGCTAGAGATCCTATGCAAGATACATTGCGGCTCAATCGCTCACGGGGACTGCTCCACTCCGATGTGGAAAGCTTTCCGCGTGAAGGACTTCGACGAGCTAACAGCGCTCATGGCGTCCTGGGGTGGTACGTACGGTTAGACTTCTTACTCCATCGCTTGCGAATGGTTTCCTCATGTCGCTCCATGATCTGTTGCAGGGTCTCCCGATCTTCGAAGAGCTGCTTGGCTAACTTGCGTGCCTTCTTGCTTACCTCCTCTGGCGACGAGAAGGAAGAGGGCATTGGCATGCCAGGTGGCATATTCCGAAAGAGACTGGACATATTCATGTGTGGCTGCACGCTGCACAGGAAGTGGGGAATCTGGTCGCTCCGTGCGTAGATCTAGAGAGGTTTTCGAAATAAAGCGTTAGATGTGTTGGGCCAATTCGGGATTCTCGTCGTTGCGCCCGAAAAGGTATGTCGGATAGAATTCAAAATGTTCGTGTCAGCGGGTGTGAGCCCAAAAATAGCTAGCGCAGCGCTAGCCCCATTTGGTCGATAATCGTTTCCTAGGTAGAGACCTTGAAGCACTAGCTAATATAGAGGTACCAGAAGTGACACTCGCGAACCTGTTGCCTCCTTTTCGAACGGGGTTTACACAATCTTATCTTCAACATACATGCGAGTTCCTAACCAATACTACAGATCACCTCCAAAGACTGCATCCAAGGCAGACCCAGAGCGCTGAAGGCATAGACTTCACATAGCCTGAGATTGCGCAGTATTAAATCAAATAGAAGGAAGGTTCTAACGTGTTAAGAAACTATGGTAACCACGCAAACACAAGAATCGACTCTCCCGTATTTCCTCATGTCTTCCTCTAACTCTTTCATGTGCTTAGCACTACAGATGGTTGCTGAATGCTCACTTCCCAGGGTCTCGCTTCTCGCCTCGAAAAGCCAGGTGACAATTTCAAGAGCTTCTTCATATTTGTGCTGCAGATGGAAAAGAGTGGCCAGGTACTGCAGGGCATCGAAGGTTTGAGTGCTGCCCTTGCCGTGCTTCTCTTCCAGTATCGCAAGTAGCTCGGACATGACAAGTTCGGCCTCGCGGTACCTCTCTTGTTGATACAGTAGAGAAGCTAGGTTCTGCAGCGTCTTTATCGTATCCGGGTGAGTCTGTCCTTGCGTCTCTTTGTATGCTTGGGCGAGCTCGCGTAGTAGATGCGTTGCTTCTGCGTGCTGGCCCAGGTCGTTACGTAGTAGCGCTAAGTTGCCCTTGCTTTTGAGAGTCTCTGGATGCTGGAACCCATACATCTGCTCCCATCCGGTGAGCGCGGATTGATGCATCTTCATTGACTGGTCGATTCGCCCTTGTAGCCGATATGACACGCCCAAATTGCCCATGCTGACTAGGACATCGAAATGATCCGCTGGTAGAAGTCTCCGACGTCCTCTCAGAGCTTTACAGAATAACTCTTCCGCGTCCCTATGTTTGTTCTGACTCTGTAACGAGAGCGCAAGGTTATTGATGGTGACGAGAGTCTCTGGATGCTGTTTTCCGAAGACCCGCTCTTTCATCTCAAGCGCTTTCGTGAGGTAGTTCTCCGCCTTTTGGTAATGTCCCTGGTCTTGATAGATTACGCCGAGGTTGTTGAGACTGTGTAGCGTGTCTGCGTGCTTCTCACCGATAGTATAGATCTGAGACCGTAGAACTTCGGTGGTTACCAGTTCGGCTGCTTCGAATCTGCCAACGTTGTGCTGCAGGGCTCCAAATTTGCCGCGCAACGGGTCGAGGGCAGATGAGCCAAAGCGTGAAATCGAAGTCGCCCATTTGAGAACGCTTGCAATTAGATCGGAAGCCTCACCAGCTCTCCCATGCCCAACGAGGTACTGGCATAGTTGCATGCCCAGTGAGACCATCAAAAGGAGACTTGACGGTGGAAGGTCGTGGACTGAGACAAGCTGGATGATTGTGCGGATCACTGAGACGGCGTGTCCATCGCATGCGTAGCCAGTCTTCGGGTGTGGGTCGGGAGTCGAAAGGAATATACGTGCTACTAGCTGAAGAGCGGATACTACGTGGTCGACGCGAAGAGGATCGCCCGTTAGGTGTCCTCTGGTGATAGCCCTCGCAAATGAATTCATTTGCCAAGCAGTGCTTGAAGCGACCGGTCGGATGACGTAATAACCTCTGAGCAGAAGAAGCGCTTCTTTTAGCTCTGACGTATCTGCGAGCTTTGAAAGTATATCTGCGGGAATGGCGGAATTGTGTAGACAAGCTATGACAAAAATGATCCGCTGCAGAGACATATTCTGCATCGTCATTACCTCGATATCAATCACTGGGTGCAATGGTGTCGCTTTGTAAAGTCCAGTTGAAGAGAGAACTGGCGCCCTAGAACCAGACATAGTCACTGGGAGGATGTTGGATTCGCATTCTACCAGTGTAAGAAAGTCTTGCAGGCTGCTCGACGTTGATCGGATATAGTTGCCAGAACAAACGATGGCGACGGGGAGACAGTCGAGCTTGCTCACTATGGTTGTGGCTTCTTCCTGGTTGCCTAGCCCTGGCCCAGTGTACGAAAGGAAGAGATCACAAGCGTCCACAGTATTCATCGGCGGCACTTCAACAAGGTGGGTTGGATGCACGAGATCCAGAGCAAACTTCCGGTTCCTTGTCGTGAATACGATGCAGCCGCTCGGATTACTAGGGAGGATTTCACGCAAGAACTCTGCCGTGGTGGTGGCGATGTCGATATTATCGACGATCATCAGCCATGAACCGGAAGAGCCTGAGTCCAGCCACGAGGCTACTTGGGTGATATAGTCTTCCTTTGACGCTTCGCATGGCACGACGTTCGCAAGATTCCCGATCACCCGCAAACTGGAAACCAGGAGCTCTTTGCGTGATCCATTTAACCAGAAAATAGAAAGATCTGGCGACCTTTCATGGACCTCATGAGCTAATTCAACGGCAACTTCTGATTTCCTGTGGAGATGCTCAGTGCCAGACCATAGAGGATGCTGAGAGAACGTACCCACTTCCGCCGATCCCAGAGATGGCGATACGGGCGCCATGAGCGCCATCGATCTTGTCCAGAAGCGTTTGAAGTAGATATTTTTGTCCGACAAAGTTTAGGTTGCGACGTGTTTGATCCATCCACATGAGAGGCTTCGACGGGCCTATGAATGTTTGCACCAGCTGTGATATCAGGGTGAGTTAGGGCAAATCCGCGCATATTGTACAAGGGAAGAGCGCACCCTTGGACTGCTGTCGTCAGAATCGAGACGCTGGAGCATGTGCTGGCCTATCGTGAGGTTGCTCCTAACGTGCGGGGAACAGAGGCTGAACCATGTCAGCGCGGGATGGATGAATGCGCTGTAGAAAAAGCTTACAGAAGGTACGCCTGCAAAGCGCCCACTCTCTGACTGATAGAGAGTAAAGCAGCGGTAATTTCCTTCTCCTTTCTCACGGTGGTGACCCGCTTCTTTATCTTGCAGAATCTTCCGTCGCTGGTGGCAACCCCAAGCTCTTCTAGAAGCGACGAGACCTTTCCAGCCTCATCATTCAGTCGATCAATGATATCCTTTGGCACGTGTTGTACAAGATTGGGGTAAGTGTGAAGTGTCTGGGTAAGGCTGACCAGTAGTGATGCGTGGTCGTCCCATTGGCGCAGCAAGGCTGGGGCGTTGCGCACTCGCCTCCCGATCTCTGGAACGCCATTGGCGATTTCGAAGCCATATCTCGCAAGCTGGGTAACCGCAGCTACCACCCCGATAAATTCGACCATGGTAACTCGGGCGCCGACGAGAACTATGGGCTGCCCACATGGATCGACCTCACTCTTTATGTATGCAGACCCAAGGCTGCATGCGCGAGCCTGAGGCTTCGCGTAAGGCTGAATCATATGTGTACAGCCAATAAGTGGTTCCCCTTGTCAGATGCATATGCACATGCAGATGCGCGGTGATCTGGTACCATACATGTTGAAGGACGAAAGCGCCTCAGCCTTCTCTTCTTCACCGGTGAGTCTACTACGATCGGTCTGGAGAAATCTTCCCTCAAAGAAAGGTATGCCGCGTGGTGGTGACTGTGCCAGAGCGCTTGACTACTGGAAGGCGATTTAATTGGCGCCCAATTTGAAACATTCCGCGAAATATTGGTCCATCCGCCAGATGGAATCAGAGACAATTCGTCCGATGTTTCGCACTTTGACGTTGTACTCGACCGTGTATACTTTTGCAAAGTTGATGCGCGACATCGGGTCAATCGGCCCTGTGGATTTGTTCTCCAGAGTGATGAACATGGGTTCTTTGGTGAGCTGCTTCTCTTCGGGGTGTAACTTCGGCTCTTCCCCAAGCATTACCACGGCAGCGTGGTCTTGAGCAACCACACCGGGTTTAGTTGTTGCTTGACCCTGATAGGTATTGATGGGAAGGCAGACACAATGTGTTGCTTTCGGTCGAATGACGACGAATCTCCGTGCTTTCATAAACACTGGGGGCCCCAGTTGATCTTTGACCGCCTCGCCTCCGGGTTCGGGCCAGACAACCATGAACACGCGGCCCTTTTTGAAGAAAGTCCTAGGTTTTTCAATGATTTCGTACTCTGTATCAAGGTCAGTCCATTGTTCGGAGAGGAGAGACGTATATCCCGCACCAGAATGAAGTTCGCCGATTATTCTCGACACAACGTCTGCTGATGTCCCAGAAAGATGGAGAGATGGATCTGCATTTTCAAGCATGGGAAGGTCGGTGTCTCCGAGATCTCTTCCGTATTGGGGGTGAGTTTCTGTCATCACCACGTCTGTTGGAGGGGATGATAATACTCTATTCCCTTGGTCTGTGACTTTGGCTTCGTTCTTGGCCGGCGCTTTGGGGAGACCGCCCGCTGACACTTGCGGCAACAACGCTGTAGAGCTGTGCCGTCCAACACTTCCTTCCCCGGCTTGGTTCGACCTATATTGGTAAGCAACTAACCCGTCGTGTAGGATAATATACTGACCCAGCTACAGTTCTAGAAGTAGCGACCGGGTAAGCAGAGGTAGTGTAGGATGATGTACTCATCTCCCCGCCCCAGTCGTCATCATCTTCTTCCTTCCAATACGTTATCAACTTGCGCAGATCTTCGGGCACAACTCGACCAATGTCCTTGACCTTAACGTTCCACTCAATAGGATACGTTTTCCCAAACCGTATGCGAGACGATACAGGCATAGTAAGCGAACTGTCTGCTGGTTCGACCGCAATCGGATCTTTCGTCATTCCTCGCTCATGTTCGCCTACCAGCCAGACGGGAGAGGATCCAACAAAGTAGATAGGAGCATGCTCGCGGGGGTTGCACCCAGGTTTCAGAGTCCCTCGTCCGCTGTAGGTAGATATTCCACTGCAGGCCCGGTCAGCTTCTCTAATATAGGTAACGTCAGGATAGAACGTACCATGCTTTGACGAAATTTCTCTTCACGGAAACGACCACAAAGCGCCTGATTTGCGAAAAGACATGTTCACCGAATTTTACTACGGTTACAGAGTCATCGCCTGCTCTTGCCATGCTCTCACTCGCGGCTTCGCTATAAAGCATTGAGAAGACCTAGAACAACGATGAGTATTATAGTAATTGTGATGGAAGAGGTTCCATACTTACTCTTCCTATTTTGAAGAACTGATGAGCCTCGGCACCTGTTCTCATTCGATAACCTGGAGGTCTCAGCACCATGGTCTAGCTGTTAGTTGGACAAATTACCTGTATCTAATGGATGGTACCAGCCCTTTTCAGGGGTACCGGGAATGAGGTTTGGTAATCGTACGCGCTCCTCGTAAGGTATTGGGTCGGGCATGGACGGCGCCTCCTCCGAGCTCGCAGCTGTAGATTGAGCGGAGGAGGGTGGAGAATAGTAAAGATTAGAGCCGCCGAACCCATGGCCTTTGGAGGAGATATCTGGATAGGTTCCAGAGTCCGTTCTCTCGTGCCACTCGCCCGAGAACTGATCCGACTTTTCCTGCCCTTGATCCTGAGAATACAGCTGTTTGTAGAAATGGTATTGGTATTGTCCGTTCGCTGGTCATAAGTCAGAACTGCTTGTTCCGCGACATGAAAAAAACATGTATTATCGAGAGGCTGCCAACCGTTTGATGTGACATAATAATAGTCTTGATGTTGACCACTCCATGTCCACGATATGCCGTTCCACGTCTGCTGGCTGCTGGAGTCAGCCATGGCGATGAAATGGCGGCATGAACGGAAAGTTGAGCGGAAAGCTGAGGTTGGGATGACTGGCATGGATCTGATCAGCCTAGCGATGGAAATGAGATTACATAAGCTCTTGGCAAATGCCAGCTGGCAATGGCACCTTTCCAAGCTTCGCCTTACTCTCCAGATTTCTACCCAACGCAGGTTGACCACAACCTTCACTTGGGATTGACGAGGTATGCTTGACATCCATCTACTCACGGGATTCGCGGAATTGATTCATTCTCGTCTGCAGCGACGCCGGGCAGCCTCTGCGCTCGGATCCCTTCAGCCCCTCCGGCTGCGTCTGCGCAAGTTTCGCCGCCGGTCTTAGGCCGGGTTCGTCAATTTAGCATCGTAAGGCTCGAGCAGTTCGCGATATATCTCGCGTAGCTTCTAGTGTGTCCCCGCTCCGCACTATTAACAGCCTGACCTTACGCTAGGTCCCTGGCGTCTCCCTGGAGATTTCACCGCCCAACATGCGCCCTGCCAAACCCGAATCCGACGGCGGTGCTACGAATATCGATCGATCGCAACGCCGCAAGGTCCACGACAATGTTAAGCCGATCAAGAATAGGTGGGAAGACTGGCCACCGACAAGCGGACCAGCGCTCGCTGAGCACCAGAGGGTAGGCTACCGCATGGACTTAATCGCACACACGGCGAGCGAGTCTGCAAACGGTACTAGTCCCCAGACTCTGTCAACGCTCATGCGTTACGAGCGAGCTGCTAGTCCGCTCAAGGGAGCCCTTGAGTATACGTTGCGAGCTGTTACTCCTCTCATGGGAGCATTGAACCATACGTTTCGAGCTGGAGTCCCGCTGCCGGGGACATCTTTCAAATACGTTACCTTTCATACATGCGGAGGATGCCATGGGGTCTTTTGGAAAGTGGTTTCACGCGGACATGCTTTCCTACGCTGTCCGCCCCCCCTCCCTCCACCGGAGCCATACACGACAGGGCAGACTCAATAGTCGCTGCATACTTCGATACTCTACGGTCGACTATGACGCGGCTACTGACGTTGTGCACTGATTGTGGCTTCTTTCCACCTTACCACATAGCCCTCACTGCTGTCGCTCTTTCGATATGCTCTTTTATTGTGTTCCTGGTTTTGTAAACCCCGTCACACTCCTTCGATGCGTGTCCTTTCAAATGTCGGTGGTGTTGACGGTTAATAGCTAGTTATTGCATTTCATATTAGTCCTTCTCAACCTCCTTGTGCACATCACTTTATTCAGCTAGTCCTCAAAGTTTGCAAGCATGCTGCAAATCTGTGTCGGCAGATGTGTGCCAACGCATCGTGATGCCCAGCAGTGCTTGCGCGTCCAGCGCAGCCACTGCAACCAGAGACTATCAGGTACAAAGGTATTCGTCTCTGAACAACACAGGACGTTTACGTTCAAGGTTAAGATAGGCTGGGCCACTAGTGCACTCCAATGACCCCGCTATTTCCGTGCACAGCCTTAGCTTGGTGTCTTGGCACCTCGGCTGTATCGGCCCATCGCGAGCGAACCATTTCTACGAAGACTGCCGATCCTTGCTGTTGCACGCGGATTCGACGAATTCAATATCTTCACCTTTCTTCTTGAAACGGCCGTCTGCTTGGCCAGAAGTAGGCTTCGTCGTTGGGGTGCGTGTATTGTGGCTTGTTCCTAGAAGAATAAGGCTGAGAAAAGAGTCAGGCTTCTTGGAGTGTACTTGGCACGGGCCAACTACGGCCATGAATCTCCACCACGATGTCAATCCTATACGTGAGCTGGGACTACATGCTGCTCGTCCGAATATAAAGGCGAGGCGATGCCTTCTTTCGGAGACCGTCACAGTTGCACTCGACACCATACATCCTACCAACCCGCTATCGCACAATCACACAGCATCCAAAGAACTCCCTACTAGAACAACATGCTCGTCAAGAATCTAGTCCTCGCTTTCACCCTTGCCGCTATCGGTCTCGCTCAGGACGTCGATAGCAACGATGTTCCAAACCAGTGCCAAGCGGTTTGCGCCAGTGTCGTAAGCCTCACGAGCTCATGTGACCAGCAAAACGGTATATCGACTCTTCTTCTTCACCCTCATTGGCTCGTAACGCTGACTTCATTGTAGAAGATGATCGAGCGGAGCTTGACTGCGTCTGCCAGGCATCTGGTGCAGACACCCAGGTCCCGCTTTGCGCAGCCTGCGTCTCGCAATACGACAGTGATGGCAACGACAATGGTACGTCCAAACGGCCCTCGTACCTTCTTTTACGCCAAACATCTCCTAACATACACCAGACGTCAATGATATCGTCCGCTCCTGCTCCTTCAGCACAACGACATACAATCCTCCCGCGGCGTCGGCCTCGTTGACCATGATCTCTGGCTCCGCTTCCCTTACTACTCCCGCTGCTAGCTCTGCCCAGTCCACAGACTCTGCGCAGAGCTCTGGTGCTATTACTAGCGGGTCTGGCACTGCAGGTGGAGCCGCCACGCAGACCACTGGTGGTGCGGCTGACCAGAGCACGAACGCTGCCCCGGCTCCGACTATGGGTGTTGCAGGCGCAGGACTAGGTCTTTTGGGGTTCGCGATTGGTATGTTGTAAGAGAAAGTGGGGTGAAATAGAGAGAGACAAAAGAGGGGATGAGCTAGGGGCACATAATGTGAGAAATAGATTGGAACTGCTCAATGGACAGCCAGCGACCTTCCTTTAATTCTTGTCCTATTCATACAATTCCAAACACTCCTCCAGCGGTCATACGTCTCCATGAATCATCTCCTTTTTACTGAACCAACGTCTGATAATACTGATTCAACTTCGCCAAACTTTCGTCATCGACCATCCCAACCTTAACTCTCCCCACATTCCTAACCGCGGTCTTATACTCGACCGTCATGGCCTCCGTAAACGCGATCCTTGACAAGGGGCTCATCGCTACGCCTCTGTTTTCAACAACCACCCCTATCGTTCCCAGGCCATACTGCCGCTCTTGCGGGTGCATCTGCACACCTTGACCATCGAGCGATACGGGTGCGTGACTGGATGTGTTGAGGGGAGCGGCGGGTCGGAAGGTCTCAATGGGCAGGCATACGCAGTGGTTGTTGCGCGAGGCCACGACGACCAAGGTTTGGCGTGTGATGTTGCCTTCGCGGACCAAGAAGATGCGGCCAGTTTTGAAGAAGGTACGGGGCTTGTTCAAGATTTGGTAGTCGTCGTCTGAGGTCATGTATTAGCTAAGACCACTTGAGGTTAAGTACAAGAGAAACTTGCTTGAGTTCATGGTGGTAGGGCGCTGAGTTGAATGTTTTGATCCCATATGCGTAGAAGGAAAGGAGGTTTTCGAACGGAGATGAGATGAGCTGCTTGAGAGAATGCCATGAGTGCGATTGAGGAGACTTTATGCATGTTGGGACGGCGTGCTATTCCGAGACGAAGCGCCGGAACGATGACTTGTCGGCTGTGCCGCAATTACCGCTCATTCTGTAACGTTTCTAGTCGCTGGTGGTAATTGTGTGGGCGTCGACATATCGAGACGGTGTTGAGGCTCGGCGCCGGCGCTTAACCAAGCGCCTACTGATACGCGACCCTGGAGTGCTTCAGAGCGCTATACGACGACCAGGCGTGCATGGCATAGATTGGGAAACTGAATGGATGATCTGAAAGTACCAATCCTCTTGTGAACGTCCCCGTATTGCTGCAGAACAAGATAGTCCGTTTGCGTCTCGTTGTGTAGGCGTATGTCTAACATCTTCAAGGCTAGCCATTTCCCGTTCATGCTCGGCCGCGGAATTGATACTAAAGGAATATCGAACTGCATTTCCAAATGGCAAAATGTCCTGTTATCGCGATCACCGAACCCAAATAACATCTTCCCATAGACCCAAGAAACTATGTCTATAGAAGCTGCAAGGCCCTCAATTAGCAGGGCATTGCCATTAACATCAACGACCTTCCCTTCACTAGACTTGACCCAATCAGGCAGCCATGTCCACGAACCCTCGAGTGCGGGTCCGACCCACACTTTCGTTTGGGGTTGGCCGTGATCTATTGTTTCGGCATAAGCGGCCGAATACGGATCGGAGATTGAATAAATGATTCTAGAGCCTTTTATCCCCAGCCAAGTCCACGTTGGAATTCCGGATCTCCTTTCTGCTTTGTCGCAACCCCATGTGCGCTAGGAAAGTCCGAGCATAAGGCCCGCCGTAATATGATCCGCGGCTAGTGTCGTAGAACCCGGACTGTGATGGTGTTTTGACGGTTCAAACGTCGCCCGGGTGGCAAAAATGGGAAGACCCCAGTAGCTATAGACGGTCGAACGCTGGAGCATACCCTTGAAGGCGTCTAATGCATCCGCATCATAGGTCAGACTTCGTGTAGAGTACATCTCTATGTGTTGGCGCAGCGAATCGTCATGAACGTGCGTGCGAGGTAGCGCGTGGGGTCTGCTCGGGGGCCGGCGGGAAGGAAGAGGGTCTGGAGATTGACGCTATGGGAAACGTCTCCCTGTAAGGATGGTAGGTTTGGAAGCGTTTCACTGCGGCACATAGTGCGGCAAGCGAAAAACATCTGAGACGGAAAGAAAAGTAAACAGCGTTTAGAGAGCAGCGCTTCTTGGTATGTCCAGCCCCTCGTTGCCCACTTGGATCGTTCGACACAATGAGTCACTTCTGGAAGGCTTGAGATGAGAGTCAGTCCATCAATCGAGGTGGCTGGCTGCGCAGTTCGGAGCGAGGAGTCACCGGTCCCGACGCCCGGCAAGCCGTAGTTGTCATCTTCGCCAGATGCTGCAACAATGGTCATTGTTGCATTCTCGTAGATGACGTCCATTCGGCCAACCTGAGAGAGTACCTCGTCGTGATTGGATTGGTCTATGTAGTACCTGTCGACCCAAAGAAATTTATACCCGAGCTTTCTGGTCAGTTCCATAGCGTCTCGAACAACTCCCGGCGCAAGAGCGAGACTCGTATCGGTTCTGGAGCCTTCGGTTCTACCCCAGACGTAGCTTAATGCCAGGTACGATCCATCCCCCTCGTGCCCCACCACTAGCTCTTTCTCACAGTCGATTACTTTTAGGCCATCCACCGCGGTCTCCTTCAATGTGGTTCCTTGATTGCAGCGATTTCCATGTTCCATTTGGCATTGTCGTATCCATTCTTTAGCCGTAGAGACAGCAGCGCATCTCCGATCGATTTCTCGAGCTTCGATTTCCGATCGGGTGAGAGGCATGATTAGACCGTTGCGTCGGTACTGCCGATATCGTGAAAGCATATCTTGCTTTTCCACTTCCCATTCCGAGCTCGCTCCTAACCTAGCATAGATTCCCGCTAGGTAGTGCCCTTTCGGGTAGTATGTTGCCCTACTTCTCTCTTCGCCATCCAGCAAGTCTACGGCCCAGAGAGTGAAGCCCACCGCTTGAACCACCCGAGGGGACATATTGTGTGCAGTCGCCAGTATTGACAACACGAGATTGCATAGATCGCAAGATTGCGAGGCTGTGAGCTCGGGTGCAAGGTAGGACGCCATGTTAACGTATCGTGCAATCCTTGTGGGCTCTGCATTTAGATTTGTTGATAGTAGGGCCACTTTTAGTTTCGGGAACACAATTTGGCAGTGGGAGCATAAGTAGGCGTCTTTCACTGATCCAAGTGAGCCGGCATGGTCTTCCAACTCCGGTCTTTCTTCGTGGTGTGTGGCCATCGCCGACGCCGTGGCGGTATACAAGAGTAACCAACGAGGCCCACGTAGGCGAGGGGTAATGGTGCCCCGGCTCTTCTCCAGGAAGGATGCGGGTAGAGTCAACTCAATGATGATCGGGACGTCGGACGTAGCTAGAAGGCTGACATTGGAGGTGGAATCGATGTGGTATTTGGGTTCTCGTGGCTCCCTGGTCACTACGGCTTCCGTCTTACAAAGAGGTCGAAATCTCTCGGAGAAGGGTGCGGTACTCACATTCCGGTGTAAGGTGCAGAGAAAACGAGGTTCGTTTTCTACAAAGTCGGATGCATGTGGGTTTTAGGCAACGCCCATTCTGCGGAACGCGCTATCCCAAGAAAGACTAGCGTAAAACACGGCCCGCGGGCCGTCCGGGTGGACAACCTTCCGAGGCTCAACATAAACCTTCTGCTCCCGCCTCCCATCTTATCCATCACACAAGAATCCCCTTTCTAACTGGGTTGTAGTCCTCATTCATCGCGCACGAACGACTCAAAATATCGGGCTCGATCGCAAAGTATCTTACCTTTCTTCATCACCAAGGGTATGCTGTGCCATCCTGGTGTCCCGTTTATGAGGCTTCAGTCGCGTCGCAATCGCTTCTTGCCCTTGATAGCCTATCTTTCGTCCCAGATGCCATCAGGCCGTGGAAGCCTTCCGAGAGAGCGTTAAAAGGTCACTGCGCCCTGCTCAACCCGAGCTGGAGCATGTCCGGGGTACCAAAATGCCCACAGTCATCTCCATGACATTCTAGAGCATGTACGTTCGAATATATGTCACGCACAAGGAACAGGTAATGATACGTTACGGTTGTACAGAAATTATCCTGTCTCCTTCTTTCAACTTTCGCCTTGTCTCCCGTACATGTTGAGTTCACTCCAAGGGTCGGTCCATCCGCGGAAAGACGTCAGTCCTTCGAAACCCGGCTTCTGACAGCCCTAGTTTCGCTTAGTAATCTTCAATGTTTCTTGTAAGCTTCCGTTCGAATGCCTTCGGAAATCAACCCCGCGTGATTACTTTGTAGATGGAGCGCGGAATATCATATATCCGTTGATATCGTGGATTGCCTCAAGTCTCTGCCGACTCTCCTAATTGGTTGGCTGTTTGGCCGAGCTTTACGGTGAAGCATGGAAGGTCACTGCGAGCGCTGAAGGTTCGCAATACCAGATTCGGGGGATGGACGCCAGATCTTCTCGAACAGCTACTCCAACTGGCGCCTGGGTTGGGACGTTTCGACTTCGAGCTCCTGTTGAGACAAGAACCGTTTGAGTAATAGGACCTACTTTTCAAATCACATGCTAATCCCTCTCCAGATGCAAGGCATGATAGATGTGCTCGCAGTCTTTCAGCACCTTCACAGGCTCACCGTCACCATCTTCGTATGGGGCAGCCGCCCCTCGTTTTCGATCCCGCTGGCTGTCTCTCGACAAAAACGACGACGCGTGGAAACGTATTGCGCTTCCTCTTTTTGATAGATGTCTGGGACACAAAGCCCATCTTGGCATTGAAGAGATAGATCTCACCACCATGGGTTACGGTAAATACTATGGATTGTTGAGAGTATACACGCATAGATTTTGGGTTGTTGAGAAAGGGAAGCAAAGATTTACAGTGCAGACCATCTCCCAGTTCCAGGGCGCGGCTGGGACAGGGCTGCCTCGATGCTGGGGTACGCGTCCTTGACGAGACGCACGACTTCAGCGGACCCGATGTAGCTTCCCCGCACTAGAAATGCTGAGAAGTTCTAGGTTCACTATGCGCTATAGGCAGTATCTGAGCACCACAAAGGAAACATGTTGCTGAATGATGTGCCTAGGTATGCGCACCCCGGGACACAATATGCGCCTCTCGCATTTGAAATATAAATACGTCCCCGAGCCCGTCAATTTTGTTCCCATAGCGCGCCTCGAAACTGCGACACATCGCACGCATCATGGCGTCCAGCGAGCCCCAATCACTCAGTCTTCGCATCAAACCTCAATTTGATCACAACGGCGAAGCACATTCCCTGGGTTTCTCCTTGGCATTGGAATGTCCGTCACTTACAGCTGGACAGTCACTCTGCTGCCTCAACACAAAGATGGGAAATGGCACCACGCAGTGCTACACGAAGGACCAAATCCATGTTTCCGACAGTGACGGTTTCCTGGACATCGAAATCCACGATAAAGGGCGGATGCGATCGTACCTAGTCAATCGACCCACGACTGGTAATGTGGTGATGAATTTCGTTGCACACCCCGTGAAAGTGGACTCGAAGACTCCCATCGGCGGCCGCTACGAGTTGCGTAGAGACCAAGGTGGCTTGCAGTGCATGGGGCTTTCCACAATCCCAATCCCCTGGGATGTATCATTGACGACAAAAGCGAGATACCGGATGGAAATCGAGTGGGACTTGAGCGACGCGCCGCAAGGGACTCGTGCCGTGAGCAGTTTCGGGGAAGGACGCGTCCAAAGAGTACACCCTCCATTCGATCTTTGGAGAATGGTCTTCACGGTGGGGCCCCTGAAAAGTTATCCTCTGGATGCTCCTCGAGGAGGTCACTTTGGCTTCTACTGGTTTGGCAAGCCGCCAACGAGCATCACTGCGCTGCCGCCCGTTTGCGAGGAATTGTTTGCTAAGATGTCTAATTTCTTCCGCGACAAGGCTTCCGAGGAGAATCCGTACCGTATTTTCGTAAGACGAGCGACACCAGCGCGGGGCTTTGGCGGAAGTGGCGGCATTCGATCGTTTGTGCTAGAATACGACGATGCTATCGATACGATATCGCAGGACGAGATCTTCACTTTGTTGGCACACGAGATGGTGCACAACTGGCCTCTCATGGCTGCAGATTCGAAGGAAGATGACTTAGATTTGGTAGCCTGGTACAACGAAGGTTCGCATCCGATCTCGTCGCTACAGTTCAGTTGCTAACATTTGCTAGGCGTAGCGGATTACTACGCCGCGGTTCTGCCTTATCGCATTAGTCACAGAACCAAAGCCTGTTTCCGAAAGCACCTGAACGCGAAGTTCACCGAGTACTACACCAATCCGTGTCGTCTGGTGAGCAATCGGCAAGCAGAAGATAAGGCTTGGACGTCACCTAACCTCCAAACCGTTCCATATACCAGAGGGTTGATGTATTTCTGCAAGCTGGATGCTCAGATTCGACGAGCCTCGAATGGCTGCAAGTCTGTCGACGAACTCGTACTCTCACTGCTAGAGAAGCTGAGGAAGTACGAGCCTTTTGGAATCAGGGAATGGAAAGACATGCTCGTAGATGTGCTCGGAGCCAAGGCCTTGGAGGATTTCCAAACCATGAACAAGGGCGAGCTAATCAGGCTGCCGGCCGATGCCTTTGCTCCTGACTACGAAGTAGTGCGTGTGGATGAAAGAGAGCTGGACTTTGGCTTTGATATGGGCTCCTTTAGCAAGAGGGTGGTATCCGGTCTGAATCTAACTTCGGAGGCTGCAAAGGCAGGACTGGAGGATGGGGACGAGATCATCAAGAACACGTTTGTCTGGCAGTGTCAGCAGAATTACGAGAGAAAAATGAGGATGACCATCCGGAGGGGACATGTGGAGCACAAGATTGAATACTGGCCGAGGGCTGAAAAGATGGTCGAGAGCTGGCGGCTTCATGAGACAAAGAGCTGAAGACCGCGTTGCGCTTAAGCGTCTAAAACATTTACTGGGCTGCTGAGTGGAGGAGAGATGATCATGGTATATTGGTAAGGCGAGATGAAGGCTTCCGAAGTGGATGCGCGCGTCTTGATGGGATACATTCTTTCTATTTACTCCGGAACAGCAGTCAAATCTCTTAGATTATACCTCCCTAACACGCCATATCAAGCGGTACGCAATCCGGCATCCCAACCTTAACTCCTTCTCCTACAGCATCCAAATCCACCGTCCCATTCAACACAATCCTCTCGCAATGCTCAGTATGCTCAATCCCACATATACTCCCTGGCAGCCTCCTCCCTTCCTTCGCCGCTGCATGGATATACTTCACCGCATGCATGCAGTGCGTCATATGGTAGCGCCACGTCGAGTACAGAACGTCCCCGTTCGTCCGCGAAAGCTCTTCAATCGTCAGAATTCGCCTGTTAAGGTCGGGCTTGCTCCTGTCGGAGTCGAGCGCGCGGTAAAATTCGAAAGGTTGGAAGTAGTTGGAAAGATAAGCCGAGTCCAGCTCGTGGTTGTAGCATTGGGGCGGGAGCCATTTCGCAAGGCCGAGATCGAATTTACAGCCCCGGGAGCGGGCTTCGTGGGCAGTTGAACCACAGGGATTGGTAATTGCGGACATCGATGAGAGAGTTTTCGAAGTGCCACGGCGGAGGGTGAGAAGGCTAATTTGTGTGATGGAGAGAAGGAGGAGAACAAGGAGGGTGGGAACGATGAGACTGTTCATGAAGGTTTTGCTTCTTTTGGAATGCAGAACAATCGTGGAGCCGTCTTGGTCGAGGGGGTCTTCAGAGGCGTTGCGAGAGGAGTCCCGACTGCCACGCAAAGTCGTGTATGTGCCGAGCTCATCTTTGGTGCCCATAGCAAGTGAATGTGGTCCTCCAAGAGCGGAGGGGAGCGACTCAGAGTCCAAATTGTGGTGGGACTTTGAGCTATGCTCGCCTGCAGCGGGAATTCTCAGCTAGTGTCGAAGGAAAATCTAGTAGCCTCTGCTGCCCAATTACAGCCGCACCGGTCTGGCCAGTTGATGAAACTCGCGCAAGACCAACAACAGATGGAAAGGCGGTAGGAGCAGGATCCAAAAGTACGAACCGCAATATGCACATTCGATCCTAATGCCCAGCTGTCGGCCCAGGGCACATGGTATACTTGCATATTTAGCATGTCAAGGTTGAGAATCCTACGAGGTGAGGATGGTCGCATGTCGGACCTGAGTGGAGATGAATATGCTAGGATTACCTTCCTTTCGTTTCGCCCCTGCATTCCGAGGTTCCTACCGTCAGCTTACTCTTCGCGCAGGCAGATCTCGTCCCGCGATCTCCCTCACAATCCTCGCACTTGTATATGAATAGCAGGCTTTAGAAAACAAGCGCTTGCTGTAACACCGAAAGTAATGGAGTGTTCAAATTTGGGGTTTTGGTTGAGAGCTGCACGCGAGGATTCTAACAAGCAGGGGTTAGCAGATGGGCAGTTTTCCAAAAGAGACAGGTAGTTTTCTCTCACAAGCCGCGGTTTGTGAAAATCCACAAACTGGTGCACGCCACTGCGAGGGTATCACGATCCATAATATTGCAGAGTCCATCTACTATGTTGGGCGGAAACTGGGACAGTAGAGCTATGCTTCCCAAGGCATCTTCATCCCAGCCCTCTTCAATTCCTCCAACCTGGTTGCGACAACATTCTTATCTGGAGCTTGAGTTGGTACCATTCCCGTAGTATTCCTTGATGTCGCCCATTCCATCACAGCATTCCAGTTGCGGCACTGACGCACGGAGTCCCACACAACATCATACCGCTGCAGCTCTTGGGACCAGAACCATGTCAGAGGTGATAGGTCGGCAGTACATGTCAAGGACTGGCGAAGTGTGTGGAAGCAGTGGTCTAGGCAATATCAGTGGAGGCTCTGAGAGACGGGGAGTGGTAAGCTCACCATAGTGCCCTATGTTGTGGCGTAATGTGCCGTCCATTACTAGCGTTCCATCAATGGCTTGCCAGAAAATCTCGCGGAGCATTTGCTAGGCGATGTCAGGATTCCTGCGAATGTGAAGGGGAGGAAATACACGCACCACGCAATGAACATCGTGGAATACATGAGGCGTGACGACGTATTCGTCTGGTTGTTGTATGTTCCGGACTGTAGGCAGCTTTAATCTCTTCGCTTCATCCGCCGAAATGCTCACGAAGCCCACTGCGATTTCCCTTAGGCTTAGCAGATAGTCTCGAATGGTTACTTCCAAGACATGACTTACCGGAACTCAGCGTTGCCCATAGGTCATCATTCTCCTCGTTCGGATGCCCTTTCCACTTCTCCTGAAGTGGATCGATGTGGGGTTCGCGATCGTAATAAAATGGCTGCATTTTTGCAAGGGATTCAATGCCATCGTAGAATGCTAATCCCGTGAGTAATAGTGGCAACAAATATCAAAGAAACTCACATTCGCTGGGCCTAATGAATGGGTTTGAATCATCTTGCTGATCACTGTCGCTGCAGCTCCTGTCCTTCGCTTCTCGAAATCCGGATGTCAAGACGCTGGCGACAAGAAGTATAGTGAGCACCGTGTGTGCCGTCCAATGCACCCACGTTTCGTAGTCTCTTCGTCTGCGGTGAAGCGCTCGTGGTTTGAAGGTATGTGTGTCTGTGAGAGTAGGTGCGTCCGACGATGCTCTCTCTATCGCCTCGCCATCCTCTTCCTGAGCAACCGGAAAGTACGTTCTCTCTTTCTCCATTGATGTTTTACGCAACAATTGCTAGCTCTTTGGAAATCAGAAAATTGAAGAGTTGAAAGGAAAAACCGGAACAGTGCGAGACTGTCCGGGATACTCCGCAAGCGAGGTCATTCTCGGAAGAATCATCCCTCCAGTGGTTCCAAAGCCATAGCGCTGACACAACATGAGCCCGAAGGATCTTCTGCGATCCATCTAAGGAGGATCTATGAATTTGCTACGCACCTGAGATCCCCGGGAGAAACAGTCTCACGCCTGGTCAGTGCATTGACAGGGATTAGAGGGGAGCCATGCAAGGGTGCCTTATCTTGAAACCCATCAGGCAGGTGTCGGGAATCAAAACAAGCCCCAATTCCTGGTGCGAGTTCAATCGGTGAGAAATGCTTATAGAGCTTAATTTAACCTTCGCCTTGACCATATGCTTAAGCGTACGGCATTTTGCCGAGATTGGGATGTCCAGGCACTTCGGACATTAGTCTCGACAGGAAGGTCAGAAGCTAGACAAAGGAATTATGGAAGCTGCCTCGGAATTTATAGCTTGATGGCGAATGATAATGGAATCGAAAGCCCAGTAGAATACATCACGTGATCTCAGTGTAAATGCTAAAGATAGCGCATTGAATTCATTCCTCATAGAAAAACTTTGATGAGTACATAGATAGCGGAATCATTGAAACGAAAAGTCCAGAAGCTCAGCCCTCGATGTGAACATTCGCGGCATGGTCCACCGCCCATTCATAGATCTTGTCAAAGTTCCTGCAGCTATGCGTCACAGCATGATCAAAAGCGTAGTTTGACTTGTCTGGCTTGTAGAAAACAGATAGTGGTGTGATGTCTAATTTGCAGTAAGTAATGCGTCTTTTAGTATGCGGATAGGGGAACTCACCTCCGTGACACTGGATCACCTGCCGCAGGTAGTCCAAGCAATGATCTTCAAATTATTAGTAATGTATTCTAAAATGTCAAAGAGTTCACTTGCGCTTGTGCTGTTCCATCATCTCGTCCGTCTCTTTTTGACCCGTCGCAGGCCCTTCATGTCTTTTTGACATCGTCTCTCCAGATTTATAGATCTTAGGAAACAACTGCACCCTTATATAGTTCAAGCAGTGGAGCTGATGGAAGACTCCGATTGCCACGGGGTACTCTCCAGGATGGGTCATCGATTCCACACTGGGGCTGACGAGCGCGCGATTCTGCCCCTCGTTCAGGGAAACGAAGCCAACTGCGAACACATAAGTATACAAGTGTATGGGCGGAGGCAATCTCAGACCTGTGGTCAAGTTCATCCAAGCGTTATCCTGTTCGTGGGTGCGTGGGCCTTCGTATACGCTGGGTTGCTTGTGGCGCGCGTGAAAGCCACTATCCGTGAAGACGATGTCTTCGTACTCTATCGATGCAGCCGCGGGTGCTGAGAGGAGCGTTAACATACCGACCTGCGTGAAGAATGATTGACTTACCAAGTTCATGTTTCCGGATCGCTCCAGGACGTGAAGTCTCGACTGCACCAAAGAGTGCACCTGACAGGCTCGCTGAAGTTGAGATAAGATATATGAAAAGCCCAATGTTTAGCATGAAGAAGATGAGGTTCGCGCATCCAAGGCGCCGCTGCCACGGACGTCGATTCTGGACCGCGCCCCGTGTGTGTTTGGGGAAGGATTCAGACTCATGGTCGCTGAGTAGGTGCTCTGCATCTTTCCAATCGTCGTTCTTCGGCATGGTGTCACTATCGGAAAGTCCGAGCTATCTTTGTGGTGAAGAGGTCGAGCACAAAGTTGAAGGTAAAGTATAGGTTGAGAGGAATACAAGAACAGGCGGAGCCGTGGGACCCTGAAAATACAAGTCACAAAAGGATTGGCGAAGGCATGATGTTCATAGATGCACTTGATCCGTGTCAAAGACAACCGAACCCGAAGCACCAGGCACTGATCCTGTCAGCCCGAAAATCACACTGTCCCTGTTCCCGGCTAGCTTGGCGAGGATTGCAGGAAAGGTATCCACTGTCACTCCTCCATGCGAAATCGAAAATATCTAGAGCAAAAAGGATTAGATTGCGTCTTCATCGGCTCGCTTACGGCTAAATTATGGCCAAACGTTCTCGATGTTGTACGCCCCCAACCGTAACCCGCCCCTCCCCCGCCTCTCACAATCCCGTCACTGCATAGATAAGGTCAGAATGGCGGAGTGTCAAGAGGTGCCCAAAGCTTCTCTCATCGGTATACTCCCGAATAGGCTTGTGCTTCGCTTAGTTCTTGATCGCATCCTGTTGCCTCTTCACCGCGCATTCCTTGGAGGATCTGCAACACGGAGTGAGGCACGAATTTGGAAATTTTGATTATCAGTCCGAGCCAACAAATGGTGTGCACCCTTGAGATGGCATGGAAGTCTAGTTTCCTGCTTGGAACGGCCCTCGAAGCAGAAGTATATAACTCGCCTCTCGACGTCTTGGAAGTCTCCAAACCGAACAACAACACTGCTCTTCAAATCTTCGACTATTCCATATCCACATCAACGTTTTCTTCCACACCAATCTTTGATCGCCACCAGGGACAAAAATGCTTTTCAAGAACGTCTTCGCTTTCCTCGCGCTCGCCGCTACCGCAGCCTGGGCTGCGCCAGTCTCTGGAAATGCCGCTAAGATCATCCTGGCTCCCCGCGATGCTGAAATGGACGGTAAGCTCCCCCAATCAGTCGATATCTGGACACATTTTGACTCGTCACTCGTGTAGACAAGCGCGGTGGCTTCGTTATCTACGCGCAGTACATTAGGGATATCGAGGCTGAGGCTGCCGAAGCCTAGTAGAGGAATGCGAGGCAAATGAGTGGAGTGGAGACGGTGGACGGTTCGGAGCGCACTTGTGATGTCTAGGGTACAGCCAAGCAATGAAGACCCCTATACTATGTCCGCATCATTTCGTGAAGCTACTTTTGCGTGCGTATGTGAATCACGTCTTATCCGAGCACGACACCCACTACACCATCATGTTTTCCACGAACGTTCAGAGCTGCCAATCGAGGAAACATATGCTAGCGCGTCCAAGCTACGCCTCTCTCTGGTGAATCGGTTTTGCAGGATACTCGTACCTTCTTTGTGAAGAGGTAGGGAACGATCATCACGTCCAAATTGCTCTAGTTTATTATAGCGGCTATGGCAGTTAATGCACTGTAAAGATAGAAGTCGTAGAGAGCTCTCTCAAAATTTGGGGTCGATTACAAGTTCACCTAAGTATTGCTCAAAATAGAAGTCTTATAACTGAGCTAAAGCTTTCATTTGAGGTCGAAGCAGAGTGCGAAAATCTATCACCCCGATTCTATCAATTATGCAATTCCATAACCTGAAGTATTCCGACTTGAAGCAAATTCATGAATCCGATCCCAATTCCGGCATGTATGTGTGATGCGGAAATCCGGCCGATACGGAGGCAGGCCCTTCTTTCGCTCGAGAGTAATGGGTGTCAAGTCTCCATGGCACATAAGTACCTGCCGAAGGTAATTGATGCAGTGACCTGGGATACCAATCAGCTAAGATTCTACGACTCAGGCCTAGAGCACATACTGAGATGCTTGGCCTTGGACCAGTCGTTTTCCTGCTCATGGTGGGTGTGCTTCCCCTCTGCCGCTGCATATGATGCAATCCTCAGATAGTCCTACTACCGAGTTAGTAAGCGGGCATGTGCGAGAAGAAGGCCAGGATACCAAGCAGTGTAGCTGATGCATGACTTCGAGTGTCACCAAGTACTCGCCTGGTCGGTCCACTAGCTCAGCAGTAGGCCGACCGAGCCTCTTATACTCCTCTGCATTCAAGACAAACATGCCGACTAGTAAACGTCAGTGAGCTTGAATCGCCTGGTGACGCCGTCGCATACCGTCGCATAGCTGTGCCCATGCTGCATTCGTGGCAGGCGATGGTGAGCCTTCGAAAGCATTCGGCTTTTCGTTGCCGGAAGAGAAGCCACTTGGATCGAATACTACCGTCTCGTATCGAATTGCGTCTGCGGCTAAGGCTACGTCGCATTAGTTAGAGGATTGAAAGTTGTATGGTGATCGGAACATACGAAGTTCGGACGGTAGCAGACACGCCGGCAGTGCGGGCCTTGCCATGGATTGCCGTACGATTACTATGAGTACAATGACGATAAGATGCAAAAGGACTTGGTAAAACTGCTTCAACAAGGACAGTCGCAAAGCGCGGTGTTTTCGAGAAGATGGCAGCTCAGATTTCTCTTCGCCATCGTCAAGTAGAGTGTATTTGGTAGATGTGGAAGACATTTTGTTCCATACATAGGAGAATTTTGCCCTCTCAAAGGAGGAGAAGTGGCTCGCAATGTCTTCCGTCTGCGCGGGAGAGGGGAGGGCAGAGGAGCCTCGCAAAGTGTTCCCAAAACTGCGCATGCGTGCTAAGCACTGCACATAAAGATTACAATCATCAGGAGGATTCTTACCCCGTCTCATCTCATCCTGAAGGAGCAAATACGTGACACAGAATTCCCGACGCTCTGCATATTGACGGCTCACCCGCGGGTCGGCGCTATTGTCGGCGCATTCAGGGTTCATGCGTCAGCCTTAACCATCTTGATGTCGAAGGATTTAGGGGGTTCAGGTTGCATCAGCGAAATAATCTACGGTGTGTATCGCGGGAGACTCCTTGATGAAAATTTCAAGGTTGAAGTTTGCGATTGTGATTCCTTCCTCAACCTCTCTCACCATCTTTCTTGTATCGTAGACATGGCACATGAATACGTACGTATTGGAAGCGAAGCCGCCCTGGATGACAGCATTATTGGCTTTCGCGAGAGTAAGAGGCAGAAACTGCTCTTCTGGATACGTATTTTCTTTGAGATCAGTTTGTGCATTATGGTCATCGTTCTCTTCCAGCTCGTCTGCCAGGAGCAAAGAGCCAGAGGGCCGACTTCCGACTTGGTACCGGACTGTGAGTAAATTTCCTATGCATTTCTGGAGATACGAGTAAACTTATTTGTGATGCCAGTTGAAACGAAGGCAGTGACCTTCATGGAAGACAAGAACTTCATTGATGGGCCGTCCTTCCAAAACCAAACGCACATGTATCATCGCCTAGCGAAGTGGATGCAGCTCACCACGAGTATGGCTCCTGATAACCTGAACCGCTTTTTCTAATCACCGCGCACAGAAGGAAGAGGTTTCGTAGACGCCGCGGTCGACAGCTGGCAAGCCCATCGCCTCTTGAAGCCGCATACGGGAGATCCGTTCAAGCTCAATCAGACTGCGTCCGCGCACATGGTTTCCGTATTCCACCAGCTACATTGCCTTGTAAGGCTTTCACCCCTCTAAATCAACATCTTTCCAACTGATCGGAAACTCAGTCTTCCATGATCGAATTCTATCACAGAGACATCGACGACGACAAGGCAGATCATATGGCTCACTGCTTCGACTACCTAAGGCAGAGTATTTTGTGCTCAGCTGATACTACACTTGAAGGATACTCGGACCTTGGTGGTGGTTTTGGCGTGACGCATCAGTGCAAGGATTACGACGAGGTGTTGGAGTGGGCTAATGAGCACTCACCATGGGATTGGGAGGGACCAACACATTTGTAGACTTATAACCCACTCTACCTATCAAAGTTACACTGCGAAACAAAACTTGATGTTCACGTAGAGGCGGATAGCGGACCGAATGCGGGGTTTTCACGGGCGACATAGCTCCACCACGGCAAGCCCCATTACATGAGACTAGGAAAAAGCCACTTCATCGATATTTCCATACGCGATAGTCGCCTAGGCCTATGGCCAAATGGCGTGCTTACCTCGCATACTACAAACCCGATTTACCCTACCCTCGCATTCATATCTTGGCTACGAGCCATGGCCCGTGTGGAGCACCGAGATCTAGGATTCCTGCACAGGATGCACTAGTATAACCCATGTTCCATTTTATCTTTTCGCCCCGGGGCACGGCCCGGGAATCAAGCATCACCGCACATCTGTTCTTAGGTAAGATCGGTTCGCTAAAGTTACCCCGAGCACGATGCAGATATGTGGATGTGAATGCGCATTGCGATGTCACCGCAATCCTTTGGGAAAGCATAGGTCGCGCTTCAGCTATTTTCAATGATACATGCAGAGGAAGCGATCGGTGTAAAGTTGGTATCAGGTCGATGTCCGTGTGCAGACACCTGGGCACGTATGAGAGTGAAGGGGTCGTCGCATCTGCATCCACGTAATCCTCCACTTTCTGCTTCGGTCTGCAGACAGGTGCTCCGCAGTTTCCGATTCCTCGTGAGCATACGGAAGTTTGTCCCTCTTCTGATCTACGTTACTTTGCAGCCTCAGCACTGATACATGAGTCCTCGCTCACGCAATGGACACCATGTCGAACAGGAGCGGCAGCTTCGAAGCATCCATCGGCGACGACAAGGAAAGACTGCTATACTACAACGACTCCATCTCTTCGTCCTCCACTATACCCACATACCCACCACCCACGCCTCGCCGAGCAAGCCGCAGTATTTTCACCCTCCTCTCCCTCTCCCTCACCACCAACATCTTCCTGGCCTTCCTATCAATCTATCTCCTCCGACACCCCATCGAGACGGACAAAAGCCAAATTCTCTACACTCCAGCCCGCGACGCTGTCGAATACCACGCTATAACCTTTACCTCCGGCTACCTAGACGACAAATCGCCCTACCAGTCTAATGGCACAGTTCCCGACGACGCGCAAGACGCCGCGTGGAGAGACCTCTATCACGAGCTGATATACAGCCGGATACCGCGGCACCAAGCAGCGCAGTTGACGAATCGCACGGTGCCGATACCGGGTGACGAAGGGTACTATATCGCAGGCCTAGATGTATTCCACCAGTTGCACTGCCTAGTACTTCTCACCCCATCACCTCCTCGATGTCCGCGCTGACATTTCATAGGACAACATCCGCAAGTCGCAGTGGCCGCAGCGCTACTCGCCCTCTGAGCATATGGGCGGGCAAGGCATGTCGCTGCTCAGCGCGAAGCACCTCGACCACTGCATCGACCAGATCCGGCAGAGCCTCATGTGCGCGGCCGACGTGAGCACCGGGTGGTTGGAGTGGAACGAGAGGTTTCAGAAGAATCTTGCGGTTATGAGTACGACGCATAGCTGTCGGCGGTTTGAGAAGGTGCGGGAGTGGGCGAGGGAGAGGAAGTTGAGAGTTTGGGATGCGAGCGTTAGGGTGGAGGATCCGTTGGAAAGGGATGGGGGAATGTGAGAGGGGTAGTAGTGATGGGACGGTGGGTTCGGACTTATATGTCAGCAAACTTGAGAAATGGGGAGGTAGCTGTATACCCTGGAGGTTTAGGTATGAAAATGAATGGGTGGAGAACCTTGAGGAGTGAGAATACTGCTGGGGCTACGTGCCTGACGATAAACCGTTCCTCTTCGCAAGTATGGCTTGGCGCGGGAGGCGCGAGCGAGTGAAAACGGACCTTGGAAGGCACCACGAGCATTCACGTGATCATGCGCTCGCACATCCTCGATCTGGAAAGAAGGCATTGGGTCGGGAGTCAATACACATAGTTTCATTCTATTCAGCTCGATTGGCGTACGGCTCATGCGCTCTCGTCCATTGTCGCGCTATATAAAGCCTTCCCTGAATCACCAAGTGTTCACTTGGAACCAGCTGTCTTATGGAGATAACCCGGGATGACCGCACAGCTGACTCAATTTAAGGCTCCTCTACCTCGTCGTTCCCAGCGTGTGGGAAAAGCTCACAGCTCTGTTACTGGGGCAATTTTCTCCATCCCTTGCTCTCTTGCTTGAAAACCACTTCAATCCCTGCCTCGTGCATCCGCTCCCAAATGTCGTCATCGACGTAGTCGTACGGCCTCATATCGTCCCACTCTTGCTTCACTTGTCTAGGGTCTATTCCACAGGCGGGATCGTAGCCGTCGGGTACAGGTATGAGCATCTCCCCTAGGGCGAGCGGTGCTTTCTTCTCATCACACCAGAACGAAATCCGCCTCAGCCCAGGATATTCTAGTCGATTGTCCAAGATGTCCTTCGCCCAGGCATTCAGGCACCGTGTGGAGTCGATGATCCCAATGGTTTCGATAGTAGAAGGCAGAGTCAATGTGTCGTAGGGCCAGTAGAAGAAAGCGGCTTGGGGCATGGTGATGTGCTGAAGCTTGGGGAACATGATAGATTCCATGGGAGAGATAATCGTCGTACCCTTAAAATTTCCTAAGTCGGCAGTGTCAACGACCAAATCTGTCACGGTATCTAGGTTGGCGTGATCCAGCAAATGGCTAGGATATTCGTATTTTGCCAGATTCGGGAATCCTCCTGGCAGTCGTCGTCCTGGTGGGTCCTGTTCGAAGAACAAGCGTAGGTGTAGCGTCGCCAATGAAGTGAACCGACTGAGCAGCTCCGAGACATACTCGCGTAACTTTCGCGAAGCGTCCGAATAATAGAGCACTTCGATCTCGATGTTGAGGATCAACGAAGTAATGTTCGAGCAAGTTGAATTGTTAGGTAAGTGTTTCATTCCGAACCACTCGAAGAGCCCCCCGTTTGTGAAATATTGGAAGTCGTATTCTAAGGTCCTGAGAGTCGGTAAAGTGATGATATCCCATGGGAGAACGCCGTTCGACGTAATCGACTTAAGCTTGGCGAAACCGGCGACAACCTTGGGACTGTATCCTGATATGCCGTCGAAGAAGAAAGCGGGATCGAACAGCTTCCGCACAACCCACTCATACTTGGTCGGGTAATTTGAAGCCTGCTCTAATATGTTGCCACCATAAGACCGCACCGTGAGGTGCTCCAGGTTGGGAAGTAAATTCAGCATGAGGCCACCTAGAGCGGCCTCGGACCCGCGCCGGATCTCTTCAATCCATTCCGCCTGAGACCGGCCGGCAAGCCAGATGTGCATCTTATGCTCGTGGAGAAGTTGCACGCAAACCTCGGCAATTGCCTCGTAATCGCAGCAGTAACCCCGAAGCTCCTCGGTCTCGGAATCGCAACTCCCATTCAATGCGTGCAGCGAGGGACGGCAATGAACAGGGAGATCAATCTTGCGGACCGCTTCAGCAAGATCAGGTCGCTCGATCAGCGTCCGCAACAGATAAGCGAGTGCGATAGTGTGCTTGTCGGAGGGCGGTCGCGTGCCATCATGGACTTTCGGATAGCGGTATAGGGTTTCTTGAGCGCTGACACGAAGCTTTCGACAGGCCAATGCGAGATTTCGAAGGTCATCGTCTGGATGTGGTTCTTCCTCGAATGGCCGAAAGAGAAATCCCGACAGGCTGACCTCATAACCACCATGGATCTCGCCTACAAAGTCCCGCGTCAAGTAGCGAGCAATCTTTAGCAATATCTGGTCGGGAATATCGATCAAGGAAGGCATTGAAGTGGGTGCTTCCACGGCCGTCGAGCGGTGCTGTCGTGGGTCGTCGTGAGCGCGGTTGTATAGCGTATGACTATCTAGCGTGGGTTACATTTGGGCGCGTCGATAAGCTTTTAGATACTGTGCGAAACTTTCCCGCGTGCTACCCCGCCTGTTGTCGCGTGGCTTTCCCTAAGATCTGTGAAACGAGTTTCACATAGCTAGCATGGTGACCGGAACAGAGACGGACCGGCGTGATAGGCGCTATCGAGGCTATCTGCGCACAGCAATACTGCATTGCCTGGTTCGGCTTCTGTCACTATGGCGAGCCGGAACGAAGTATTTTTCCAAGCATCCAATGGGAGAACATGAGGGCCGGCATGACTGTCGCGGCAACGACAGCGGATAATCCTTCGTACATTTTCCACAGGAAGGTGTCCCGCATTTGGTCATAGTCGTGATCGCCGAGGACTTGGTCTCTGAGCCAAGCGGCCTTTTGTGGTAGCTCGAGCCCTAGGCCTAGATACAGGCCAACGATAACATATTCCATGATGACTTGCCTAGCAAAAAGTTAGTAGGGACAAATACACTCGTCTCGACATGAGAAAAGCTCAACGATCGAGAGGATGCTGAACCTCATCAGGGCACCGCATGAAGAGTGACTCGAGCGCAAGCTAGGGCGTCGTTTTGATTGGCGTGACAGCGCAACTCACTTTATCATTAGGATTGGGCCATACGTACATGCAAAGCTGGAGCGTCACACTACCGCTGATAACGTTGAACCGTTGATCGCCCCGCAAGCTCTCAAAGGCAAAGCACATCATGTAGACAACGTCGACAAGGAAGAATGGGAGACTGAGTACGACAGTCGATAGGATTTTGACCTCTACAGCGTTCGCCAGATACAGCCGAGCAGCTATTGTCGTGGTGGCGAATATGAGGACGACGAAACAGGCACAGTATATGGCAATCCCAGCCTTGGTAGTGTTGGTAGCGGCAAAAGTAGGGCTGTCACGGGAATCTAACGACGCGATAAGCAGCTTGACTTGACGCATTGAAGCCCTCCACAATGGGTTTTACGGAAGCAAGCAAGGACAGAACGTACCTGGGTCAATTCCTCCGGCAATGATCAAAACCAGTGATATTAGGAGAGGAACGTGGAGAAGAAACAGGATCCATTGCATGCGTCTTCCTTTGGGCCCGGAGATCATGTTCAACATGCTGGCGGTCGACATGAAAAGTGGTGTCAAGCTTATCTCGGTCAGGATAGCGACGCCGCTTTCAAGGCTGGTGTTCGACGCAGATGCTGGGGGAAACATGGAGGTTGCTGCCAAATCGAGTGATACCTAGACACGCTGTTAGTCAGCAAGCAGAAGCATCTTGGATCCATGGATTGGTGTCTAAAGGTATGCAGGCTCGCCGCTACATACCTGGGTTAGTCGGCATAGCGCCAACACAATCATGCAAATCCAGGGAAAGTTGTGACCCAGTCCCTGTCGAATCGCCAGCCAAACCGCAATACAAAGGTAGACGAAATAGATGACGAGCGTGACGATGTTGACGATGGCGCCATATTTCAAGTACATCTCGCCCACCTCCCCCGAACGGTCGGCCGATTAGCCCCTCGAAGCCTATTAGCCTAGCCGATGCGTTGTCGAGGATTCCGGGTATCGGCACGTTGATGGAAGGATGTGATTCTGGATCACGTCGAAGATGGCAGGTGTCTTCGTGGCTATCGATAACGCGCTTGGCGCGTCGTCACGTTTCCGACGTAACCTCATGCCGTCCTGGAGAGATTCATCACTCTTTCTATTCGAAAATCTCTACGGCAACCCGCCCGTCTCGTTCTGTGATACCACAACTATTGCTGCGCGCGATGTTGTGGGAACGCCATCCTCAAATTCATGGCACGGCGTCGCACGCACAACGACTTCTTCCTCCCGTCCATCAGAGACAACCCGGATGCAAAAGTTAGATAAGAGGAACGGCGCTCGAAGAACCCTTGCGTCTATCTATCTATCTAGGCAAATGGGGATGGTTGGCCGCGCCGCCCCGTGGAAGTCTACGTACAGATCATCTGCACGCAGTGTGGCTCCAGCCCAAGACCACCCAGCTTGACCGGTATCTGCAGCAAGATGCCAGCTGGTCAGCCTGACCGGTGAAGCGATAAATACTGGCCATGCGATCCACACAACTTGTCTTTCCACCGCACCACATTTCCGCCTTGTCGTGCTATCCAACAGCAGACCGCGAGAACACCGGTCGCGTTACGCATAAGTTCGGAGTCGTCACCGCAAGGATGAAAAACGCAATTTGTATCCTCTATCCGTCCTTGCAAGTATAATGACACTCCTCGGTGTTGCAGGCAAGGCTGGAAAGGGTCTCAAGAAATTACGGACTTGGAAAGACGCGCCTGAGGAATTCCATGTATGGCTGAACGAGGTATCTGATCTGACCTTCAGTTCATCTTAGCCGAATTGCGCCGCACCATCGAAGGCCGCCATCAATGGAGGCGATCTCAGCTCTCCTCGATGCATACACTCTGCCCATCTTTGACCAGTACGAACGGGATATTAGAAGACATTGACAAGGTAGTGAACGAAAAGATACTCTCGTCTGGGTCCTCCGGCCAGCCTGTCAATGGGCGACGAACTTCATGGGTCAAGGAAAGCATTTTCAGTGGCTAATCCAGGCCTGGACCCCTCTAGATGATGCATGGAACTGAATATTGAGGGGGCGGCGTGAATCCCACAGATCAAGACCGAGGGCGACGACTACCTTGACTCCTTCGAGCACACCAAGATCCACAAGATAGTACTAAGTATCTGCGACGCCGATCTAGAGTCTGAGCTCAAAAAGGACGCATCGCATATCAACAGCAGAGATTCGACCTCAAGAACAGCACTGTGCTGGGCAATCGCACGGGAAGATTTGGAGGCAGCCAAGTTACTTATCCGCTATGGCGCAGATCCAGACATAGGAAATCCCTTATCAATCGCCCTCGACCCATGGCATTCAACGCCCGACTCCACGCAGGTTCTGCTCGACGCAAACGCCGATGTCAGTCAAGGAGATCCGCTGCGCAGAACAGCGCCGCATTTGATCGCACGCAATCACAACGACACCAGTTTCGTCAGTGCCATCCTTGCGCGGCATCCCGATCTCAACAAGATAATTACAGTCAAACTCCCCTTCACGAAGCATGCTTCCGTACGCACGACAACATAGTCAAAGCTTTACTAGACGCCGGCGCCGACGTGAACGCTGCTGGAATGCAAAATTACACTCCTATTCAAGCGGCGATTCGCAATCGATTCGCTAGAGATACTCCCTCGGAAGATCCAAGCGTCGCGTCTGAGTCACATCGTCGACTCTACTCCATCATCGAGCTTCTTCTCGCCGCGGACCCAGATTGGCGCGTTTGCGCGATCCTCGGGAATCCCATTCTGCATTTTCTAGCGGAGTTTGCAGACGTGCATACGATCCGGCTCTTCCAAGGAGCGAGGCTGACGGGAATTGATATTAACTCCCGGACTGCGCACGGGGAAACCGCGCTTCAGGTCCTCGCAAAGCGGGAAGATGTCGCTCCTGGGTTGTTCAGGAATTTGGCAAATTGTGTGAGATTGCTGGGGAGGGTGACGCACAGGACGTGTTGGCCACCACGGGCACACAAGAGATGGGTGAGGAGGTGTTGCAGAGTGACATCGACGACGCAGGTGAAGATGTGTATGAAGATGCAGTCGAGTTTATTGGTTCATTGAAAGACCCGTTCTGAGCGACCGTTATCCAATGCATTTTCATACCTAGGTACTCATGTCAGCCTTCTTGGCCAAACAAACTGAATGGTATCGTGCACTGTAATGCCCGGTTCACCAAGCCAATAAATGACAGCAAATTGTAAACCTTTTAGGGTGTTGTATCAGTCAAACCTGTTCAAGGTTGGTGTAGGTCTCGAATACTAAAGCACTAGCCAATTAGAATCACTACTAGCTTGGCGGGGCCTCAGGGCGGAATCCAGCTACCCCAACTCTTCCCCACATGTACTCCTGCACCACCGCGGAACTGACCGCACCGTCGACCAGGATGTTCGATATGAATTATTGTGCACATCTTCTTATGCCTCCAAGGTCTTCCAGCCTTGTTCTTCGAGCAAATCGCCCTCCTTAGCCTTCAGCCTCTTTGGAAACTGCACGATGAAGACCCAAGCGCCTCCAACGCTCTCTGAGAGCTACAGCGGTGTACCTTCTCGCCTTGCCGCAATTGCGCAGGAAGCGAAGGACCGCCTCTACTCACACAAAACCGTCCCAGAAAGCGTCCCCCGCCAGCACAATGTCCGCCTCCCTCCCGACACGTCGCGCGAAACCTTCGACGAGGCCGTTGCTTCCCTGCGGCAAGCATTGGGCCACGAGAACGTCGTCCTGAACGATAAGCCGCTTGTCGATGGCTGGTACCTCGAGCACCCCAATACCCACGATGCCTTCCACGTCGTCGACCAGGAGGAGCTCGTCTGCAGCGCCATCGCATACCCGGCCTCGACCACCGAAGTGCAAGCCATTGTCAAGTGGGCGAACAATTATGGCATACCGATATACCCCATCTCGATGGGCAGAAATGTGGGCTATGGCGGGAGCGCGCCTCGGGTGCCTGGCTCTGTCGTAGTGGATCTTGGGAAGCGCATGAACAAGATCCTGAAGACTGACGCCGACAACGCTTCGTGCGTGGTGGAACCTGGCGTGTCCTACTTTGCGCTATACGAGGAGATCCAGAGGAGGAAGCTTCCTTTCTGGATAGACTGCCCAGATCTAGGAGGCGGCAGCGTGCTGGGCAATGCCGTCGATCGCGGCGTCGGATACACACCCATGGGCGACCACTTCGCAAACCACTGTGGCATGGAGATTGTCCTCCCCAATGGCGAGCTGCTGCGGACAGGCATGGGAGCGCTGCCTGGAAAGAATGGAGCGGACAACCCGACATGGCAGTCGTTCCAGCCCGCATACGGCCCTTATTCGGACGGCATCTTCTCGCAGAGCAACTTCGGCATCGTGTGCCAGATGGGCTTCTGGCTCATGCATGAGACGGGCCATCAATCGTACATGCTCACCTTTCCCCGCGACGAAGACTTTACCGACATCGTAGAAGCTATTCGACCGCTGGCGCAAAAGGGTCTCCTCGGCAACATCCCCCAGCTGCGGCACGTTGCTCAAGAGCTCAACGTAACCGGCTTGCCTAAATCGCATTGGTACTCTGGCCCTGATCCTATACCACGCGATGTCATTCGTAAGCAGGCAGCGCAATTGCCCTGTGGTGACTGTTCGTGGGTCTTCTACGGTACACAGTACGGCGATGCGGCATCTATCAAGACCCAGCTTGATATCATCAAGTCCGCCTTCTCAAAAATCAAGGGCAGCAAATTCTACTTACCGAACGATGTGCCACCGGACCATTACCTTCACTCGCGTGCCCTAGTATGTTCAGGTGTCCCAGTGCTCCGTGAGCTCGACTGGCTGAACTGGAAACCCAACGCTGCGCACCTCTTCTTCTCTCCCATTACGCCGACGCGTGGCGAAGATGCACAGATCGTGCACAACATCAACGTCCGCTTACACAAGAAGTACGGCTTCGATCTCTTTCCCACGCTCTGCGTCGCCGGTCGCGAAATGCATTACATCACGAACATCATCTATGACCGCTCATCAGATGACGAGAAGCGGAGAGCTGCGGCCTTGATGCGGGAGTTGATTGCTGAAGCGGCGAGCGAAGGATACGGAGAGTACCGAACGCACTTGCTCTTCGCGGACCAGGTGGCGCGGACGTATAGCTGGAACAACAACGCTCTCATGCGGTTTAACGAGACGATCAAGGATGCACTAGATCCTAATGGCATTCTCGCGCCCGGCAGGAACGGCATATGGCCCAAGAAGTACCGCGGCAAAGGCTGGGAGTTGCTTGGAGACAGCGTGGAGAAGGCAGTTGGCGGTCGAACCATCTCACCGGACAAAGTCCCGTCGAAGCTATAGAGGGCATACGACTCAGCGAAGGTTAGGTAAATTTTCTTCCAGTCTTGTACGCAAGTCAATTCAATTAGTCTATTATCAAAACGTCCATGTTCGTCCTCCACTCGGTAATGGGTAAATGAATTGCCGATCTCCACGACCCCACATCGTGCATCAGCCCTACAGACCCCACGCTCCACCACCTCGCACTTCCTAGCCTCTCACATGGAAGTCAGTCTCCGGCGCCGCACATGTGGAACAATTCCGCTGCCATGGATGCGCGCCATAGCGGACCCTCCTAGCTCCTGGCCAATTTCTCTAAAGTTTTAAGCCGTCTTCACGCTGCGTCGAGCTCCGGGTGCCTTACTCCGACAGTACATATCCCTTTCCAAACATAATCCTTTTCAAGTGCGCTGAGAGTATTGAAGTGTCAGACAAGATGGGTTCCATGGGGTATCAGCCCATGCCTTCCCCGCATAATCCTCCTCTTACAGGTATGCGTCCCAAGCTCGTCTAGTCCGTGGAGTGTACTGAGACGTGGATGGACAGCAATCGTAATCGGTGCCGGCCTCGGAGGATGCGCCGCCGCCATAGCGCTCCACCACCATGGCCACAAAGTCCTTTGCGTACTCGACAAGGTGCGCGAGTTTGGACGGCTAGGTGACTCGCTTGGTCTCGGACAGGTGCTGCTCCTCTCCTCTCAAGCCCCTACTCTCCACCTCAGAACGGAAAAACTAATGTTTCCAGAACGCGTTCAACCTACTCGAAAAATGGGGCTGCGAAGTCGATGAGATCAAGCGCATTGGCAACCAAGCACCCAACATGACGATCCGGCGCTGGCAGGACGGAAAAGAGCTGGCCGTGCAACCGCTCATGGACATGGCGGGCTACATCGGGCACCGCGGAGACTACCACGACGTGTTCCTAGAGTGGGTCCGCCAACGAGGCATCCCCATCCGCATGGGCAGCGAGGTAGTGCAGTACGAGGACCGCGATCCGCAGCCGACCATCACCCTGAAGAGCGGGGAGCAGCTCAGCGCCGACATCATCGTCGCCGTCGACGGCATTAAGTCGCTCGCGCGGCCGCTCGTCCTCGGCATGCGCGACGACCCCGTGTCCAGCGGGTACGCGTGTTTCCGGGCGTTCTTCCGGCCTACGCCCGAGCAGCGCGCGGATCCGCGGCTGAATAAGTATATGCGCGAGGACTGCGTGAACTTCTGGATCGGCGCCGATATGCACATGGTGCAGAATACGCTGCGGGGCGGCGAGGAGTTCAACTGGATACTGACGCATAAAGACGATGGCGATGTGCCGGAGAGCTGGTTCCAGCCGGGCGATATGGAGGAGGTGAGGCGGTTGACCGAGACGCTGGATCCGGAGATTAGAGGTATTGTGCAGCAGACGGAGAGCTGTCTCGATTGGAAGATTTGCTATCGCAAGCCGCTGCCTACGTGGGTCTCACCGAACTCGCATCGTATCGCGCTGCTGGGCGATAGCTGTCATGCGCATCTGCCCACTTCTGCGCAAGGAGCGAGCCAGGCGGTTGAGAGCGCGGGGTGTTTGGCTGTGTGTCTGGATAGTATTAATGGCCCGGAGGAAGTCCGCATCGCGACGCGCGCGTATGAGAAGTTGAGGTTTCCGAGGACACGGCAGAGTCAGACGAATGGGGAAGATTTGCGGAATCGGTGGCATAGCGCGCTGAAGGGCGTGGATGCGAATAGGGAGATTGATCCGGAGGAGGTGATGATTAAGGTATGTGGATTTCTGGACTGGGGTTTAGGCGGCCTGGGGCGCTCCGGGGGGTTATTGGGTGGTAGATGGGGATGTGGATGCTGTTTGCTGACGTGCTTGTGTGCAGAACCGATGGCTGTATTCGTTCGATGCGGAGGAGGATGCGAGGCAGCGGTGGAAGGATGTAAGGCGAGTCGTAGAAGAGGAGTTTCGCGCTGGGAAGATCGAGCCGCTGTGCTAAGCTCACCATTCAATCCCGTATCCAGCATCCGGGCGCGCTTCAGCCCTCTTTACGTAGGCTTCAACTTCTTACCCGTCTTCTCTTCCTCATCCTCTTCGCTATCTTCTCCCCGCTTTCGTTTCCTGGCCCCTGCGAAAACAGCAGGGGGAGCTGTTGGTGCATTCGCCACTATTGGAGCTTGGTTTTCCCGCTTTCGCCTCGTCTCGCGCGAATATGGCTTCGCTTCTCGCGGCAGATTGCGCGTGACGTTGATGTCATCTTGGATCAGGCGGTTTCGAAGGATTTCGGCGTTTCCGCCTGAAATTAGGTTGCGCTCGAAGCATAATGCGGCACATTGGTAGTAGTTGTATTCGGCATATGAAGGGAGGCCGGAAAGGGGAGTCACGGAAGCAAGTTTGGAGGGCTTCTTCTTCGCTTCTGGAGCGGGAGTGGTGGAGTCTTCTTCGATGATTATCGGGAGGACGGTCTTCTTGGCGGCGGGAGCTTTCTTGGTTTTGGGAGCTTCTTTCTTGCTTCCCTGCTCTTTCTCCTTCTCCCTCTCGTCCTGAATGGGATTCCCATTCATATCGATCTTCCCCGCGAAATACTGCTCAAGAAACTTCTTCTCCTCCGCATCCTTCTTCGCCGCAATGCGCTCTGCTTTCTTCAAGTCCATGATATCCATCACGGGCTGAAGGCCCTCAGGCTGGTATTTATCGAGCACGCCCTGACTCCACTTCATCTCCACTTCTCCCTTCACATGCCAAGGCCTGCTCCAATTGCTGAATATCTCTTCATCGATAAGGCCCTTGGACAGAGCGATGTTTGCTTGCTCCGCCATCATCCTGTCTTCCTTTGCGGCATGATTGTCTCCGTATACGGAGCGCGTGTCCTTGGCTTCTTCTTTCTTCACCACCTTGTTCTTGGACGAGATAGTGGCCTTGGCATATGAAGGGACTCCAGCGGAAGTCGAAGAGAGAGGTTGAGCGGATGCAACGCGGCGAGCACGAGTCGATCGGACGGCAAACGCGGCGTTGGAGGTCTTCGCGATGGGCTTTGCGGGCGCGGAGGAAGAGATAGGCTGGGCTGAGGCGGCACGGCGGGCGCGCGTCAGGCGGACGGTAGATGGGATGCTGGACGCCTTCTGGCTGGGCTTTGCGGAGGCGGAGCGTGGTGCCATTGTAGATGGTGAGGTTGTGCTTGCGGATGTTGTGTGGGTTGCAGGCGATGCTGGCAGCGAGAGGACAAGCGGATGTTGTGCGTGTTGAGGTTGGAGGATTTTACGCAGGATGTGAGAAGAAAGAGATGCGGTTGTGCGGTGCTGTGAGTGCTGTTCGCAGGGCAACCGGCGTTGCTGGAGTGAGGGTTGTGTGGGCAGGCAGATGTTTACACGCGGAAATTGGAAGGTGCGCAATTATGACAGGCGGTGGGATGTTTGGCGAAGAATCATCACGGGGGCATGGTGGTGATGGTGGGCGGATGCTCTGAGGCGGTGAAAAGCACTGGACGGGTGTGGTTCGTTGCAGCACCCACCGACACCGAAGTGTTCCTCAAATGCTGCCACAGCTAGCTACTGTAGGGGTTTCATACTTGCCGCACAGTCTAACGCTTCAATGTGAGCCTCAGAGCACATCTATGCTCCCTTCTTCGCCATGTTGTCGCAATAGACGGGTAGCATGCGCACCCGCCGGCGCGAGCGTTACGCCTCATTTCGCCGCTGGCCTTCTTGGTCGCTCAGACACCTGCACACTGAGCGATTAGAGACATGTATATCTTAGTTCGGTCTCTGTGCATTGAAGACATGGTATAGTTGGCTGTTGACGTTGAGGCTGCGCTTACCGAAAGGGGCTTAGCCGGCGCGGTTTTAGATCACGAAAAGCCACCGCCAAACCATCTCTCCTCCGTCAACCTGCCCTGATTCATCGCATTCGCAGGCCATTCATCTCACAATGGCGCAATCCACTTATCATGCTCTGTCTCACACCGATGAATGTGTCCGTCACTCTTGTACTAGCTTCGTCTCGCCAACCCGATCGATTGTTTCTTCTCCTTGCGGCACGAGCCAGCATGCAACATTGGTCCTTACAGGCGCTATGAGCCTCACGCAGAGAGACAACTGCAATGACTATGGATAGCTTGTTCGTCTCGTCGGCTAGATGTACAATAAGCGTGAGACAACCTCTCGTCGCGACCTCCGGGTTTTTGTTTTGTTGCCCAGTGCTTCTAGTTTAGCCCATCTGGTTGATTCTGCAGGTTCCTATCGGAGCAGCTCTATGTGCAGAAAGTACGGTTCTGCTGCTCTGTTGTCCCCCATCTGGCGTGCGCCCTTCTCCATTTGCATCATCGACAATCGTTCCCTCAGATTCTTCACGTTCGATACCACTACCACCAGTGCTTTCAGTTTCACCTCCCAATAGAACTAAACGCGATGAAGAGGGCCTTTATCAAGACCGAGACTATCTGGACGGAATCTGGTCCATCCTGTCTACGTTGCGACACCATTGGCCACGATACGAAAGCTTCACCGCTCCCTTTAGAAGGCCAGGATAAGTGGAAATGGCAAGTTTAACGACAGAGACGCAGCTGAGCTGCACTATCATCAAGAGAGGGAGAAAGTGCTAGCGAAGCAGGCAACAAAGAAGGCTGGTAGGGAGAAAACCGGGCAGCAGAAAGCTCAACAGCCAAAAAAAAAGAAGTACCGATCTCAAAGGTCCTTATGGGAAAAACGAATCCCTCCAACCGCAACCTAATCATCTTCCAAAAGGGACGGTTTCGAGCACGCCCACTCGAGAATCGAACACTCTGCAACATCAAGACGATCATAATCTCAACCATGACCAGCTGAATCAGCTCTAGAATCGGGTTCAGCTGCTTCTAGTAGAGCAGCGAAGGAGATTCTACCAGTTGAAACCCGCGCTGCTAGCAAAATCGAGCGCTTGACCCTGAGCAGGCGAGCCCAGCGTGAGCCTTCTGGAGCCGAGTTTCCGCTTTACAGTGGCACCACAGACAATGCTGATCTCCCGCCCCAGCATAATACCGATGACAAAGCCATCATGAGCAACTATGCAAGAGTCAGCTTGATCCCTAAATAGCTTTATATATGCACCGAGGTTCTATTGTCCGCATCCGACCCCTGGTGAGAACGACATGAAATCAACAAGTGACGAGAGACCAAGAGCGCATTCGATGTCATTGTAACTTCACACCATTTAGATTTACGCAACACACCGTGGGCCGGCGACAACCAAGAACTTTGGTGCACGTCTGAGTTCATGCAAAGAGCGAATCCTGAACACTGCGCGATAACTCTGGGCCCGTATCACTTTACCCCGCCCCGGGCGGAACTGATACCGGACCTCTATCCACACGTGGCCTTCAAAGGACATTTGGATATATACCACGCATTCTCGTCCAATACTGCATGCGATCTATCTCGGGAGAGTCGAGCCCTCAACACCCTCACCTCACGCGCCGTACACTCCATGACAACAGACCTTATACAGGTAGGTGCGAGGTTCTTCGTCAAGAACGCATACAAGGACATGACCAGTGGTCTACGAGTGCATCATGGCTACTTTACCTCCTGTTCGAGGATATTCCAGTCCGCCTTCGCTACATCGAAAAACTGCTCGGTAACTGCACTTATCGAAACAGAACTACGAGGGAAGAGAGTCTCCGAAATATTCTCAAAGGCTTCGGCTTCAACACTAGGGAGCAGAGGCTCTACAGTGTCATCGTAGATGAGCAGGGCAAGAAAATACGCCGACCCTCAGAACACCGGGACCTCTGTCCTCGATTTATCCCCGCTCGGGTGAGTAGTACTAAGTCCTGGACGCAATATATTTTGCTGACCAGTGAGCTAGGAATGAACTCACCCTTACACACGAGAGAGGAGACCTTGTGCATCGACGTGGGAAAGTTCCTCAGATCCCACTATCGAGCTATCGATGCTCAAATGCGGTCAAAGGCGCTATATGAGTCCCGGCCAACCTGCTCGAGATCTTACCAGACCTGGCCATGAAACACAAGCCTCTGCCCAGACTATACTGCGAAATTATTAGGCATGTATTGCATGAGCTAAGGCACAACCCTCTCAGAGTGCTCGACAATAAAGGGAACCAACATCATCTGACCGAAATGAGTGTAGCAACTGGCCGCAACCTAATCAAGTTCGGTGCGCGATCACTCTCATCTCCGACGGTTGACTCCAGCAACGAGGGAAAAGGCTCCGTGAATGACGCGTCATGGAATCTCAAAGGAGTCCGGTTCGCCTTTCCCGGTCCCGTCAATGAAGTAAACGCCCTCACCCTCCCCAACGCACCCAGCCTCGACGATCCGACCAAGTTTGTGCGGGACATGATCCAGCAACTCAAAGTTCTGAGAATGAAATACACGTCAAGCAGTAGCCGTGCCTCAAGATGATGAGGCGCCACAAGTTCCCCAGCCACGAATTGGCGGCAACAGATCCTTATTCGTAGCACAATACAGCGGCTTCCACCTCTTTCTCTTTCTATGGCAAAAATCTGTATTTTTCGGACATTGCTCATTCCGAGAAAAGGCTAGAGTTATGGTCAAACTACTTCAATTAAATCACAGACCAAATCTCTCGAATGCCGCACCGGGCCGTACCACACATCCGCCCAAGGGAGATCGTCGCACCCATATGCCCGCTTTGCCCTCTTCATTGACTGCGAGTGCGTCGACCGACATTCATTCTGCCATGACTGCCTAGAAGGCTGCCGATCAACCGCAGCCCCATCCAATCGGGAAATACAGCACTCTGTCTAACCCACTAAATTTTCAGGAACAGGACTAAGCTGCGGCACATAATATAGAATCTACGCCTTGTCCAAGGCAGTGTAAGGCACCCGCCGGACGAAAACTTCAATTCGTCCCTCAATTCGTCCGCTCACACTCTCTCCCCTGTTCATTCGCTCGCGGTGGATCCTGCATCTTACGCACAATGTATTGACTCACTGGCAGGCGTGGCTTTGGTCTCTGGCGGTGTGCTGCGCCATCTAATCACTCCGCTAGCGTCTTCCTGATTGGCTCGTAGCGAATGCGCTATACCGCTTTTTGCACAACGCTATGCCACATCCGGAGCATTGGTTGGTAATCACGACTATGGGGCTCGTATGCGTATCTTGCTTGGGTATGGGGTCGACGATATGGGCGCTGGTTTGTGGAGATTCGTATGACGGGTATGTATGAAAGAGGATGGAGTTGCGTTGTGTGAAACAGTGAATTAGTAATTCGCCGTCTGTCGGGGCCGACGTGCACATATGCACGGGGTTTAGTGGGTATGAGAAGAGAGAGAGTCGGGGATGTAGAGGGGAATAGAATAGTATAAATGGCGGGAGCACGCCTGCTTCGTCGATAGTATCCATCAACTCAACCTACCAGGCCTCAATCGCAACCCCAACCCCATTACCAAGATTCACACCAACCTACCACCCACCACACCACACTCCCCGCAACCATGGCATCCCTCCACCAACTCGCCCTCCCCCCCGTCATCAACGGCATGCGCAACACCATCGCCTTCCTCACCAAAGCGCAAACCCACATCCAAACCACCGGCATCGACCCCTCCACCCTAACAACCGCCTCGCTGCACCCGACGATGCGCGAATTCACCGCGCAAATCCACTGGCTCATCGACGCCGCCAAAGCAATGCCCAGCCGCATCAACCCCTCGCTACCCCCCTTCTCCCTGCCCGACGTGGAAACCGACATCCCGTCGCTGATCGCCAAGCTGGAGAAGACGATCGCGTACCTCGAGGGCATCAAGCCGGAGGACTTGAACGGAAGGGAGAACGACGAGGTGCTTTTTGTGATTAGGCCGCCGGGCCGGGAGGAGATTCGCTTGCGCTGGGACACGGCGGTCGTGTATGTGCAGCAGTTTGCGCATGCGAACTTTTGGTTTCATGTTACGACTGCGTATGATATTTTGAGGCATAAGGGGGTGGAGCTGGGGAAGGCGGATTTTTTGCAGAGTGCAAGGTTTTTGCAGTAGAGCGGGGAGAGGAGAGGTGGTTGGGGAGTGGGGAGCGGATGGTTGGGAGTGAAGCAAGAGGGGGATGAGATAGAGGGGAGAGACAGAGAGGATGATGTGCTAGAGCAAGCAAACCAGGGGTATCATTAGAGATTACAATCAAACGCGACCAAGGAACTCCCACTTATCATGACATCGTGACGATCCTTCTCTCTCCATCCCCTCATCCTCTTCAATTCACGCTAATAGCAGCAACCAGCGCATCCATAGAACTCGAATGCGTACTCGCATTCGCTGGCGCAATAAACGGCCCCGCCCAATTAATACTTAGCATATTCCCCTCATCGCGATTGTTATCCCAGATACTGCCAGCATTGGCTTGGATGCTCTTCACATACGCAGCATCCGGCGCAGCGTCATGCAGGATCTGGAGATTGCGGGCGAAAATGCCCTTGAACTGCGAGGCGTCGCCGCCGCAAAGCGGGCCGCAGGCGTCGTGCATGACACCGTCCGAGTCGGAGAGTTCGGAGATGGCGGCTTTGGCGATGCGCGCGGCGAGCGGGAGGTAGGTGGCGTCGGGGGAGGCTTTGTTGAGCTCCACGAGGCCGCCTAAGATAACACCTTGGTTGTAGGACCATGTTGTCTGTGGGGTGTTAATATAGTGTATGAAGAGGAAGAGGGTGGGATGCGTACGCGATTGTTGTTCTTGCAGTCATTTGTCAGACCGTCGTTGATAGTGCCCCTCTCATTAATCATCCCGCTGTTCGTGAACCAGTCCAACTCCCTCTTTGCCCAGTCGACGTAGAACGCCTTATCCGAATCCTGCACTCGGTTCGCTAGATGTGCCGCTGTAGAGAGGAAAAGCTCGTTTGCAATTGCGTTCATGTAGTCCTTCTGCCAGCTCCACCAGATACCTCCGTTGCCGCATGCTGTTGGCCAGGCCTTGGTCACCGCCTTGAAGATACCTTCGGCTAGAGTAAGGTATTGCGTGTCCTTTGTGACGTCGTATGCGCCAATCCAGCCTAGTGCCCACCAGAGATCGTCGTCGTAGAAGCCGTCAAGCCAGTCGTTCGGATTTGATGCGGCGACAGTGGTGACTTGCTCTTTCGGTTGCATGATGGGAAGGTTCTTGACGTCGATGTACTCCGCTTTGTCCCAGTCTTTTGGAAAGATGGTGATGGGCTCGGCGTCCTCGCCAATCATCTTATAGTACCCGCTCTCTTTACCAGTAGAGTTGAAAAGGTCATATGTCTCATTCCCATTACTCCTCTTCGTGGCGCTTTGGCTCTCCACGCCCGGTTGCGGATTCTTGGCCGGTGCTTGAACGATGGTATTCGCGAAGATGCGGGTAGCGAGATTGACCAACTGAGCATTGCCCGAATCATGTTTCGCTAGGTTGGATACCATGGTCATGACGTTGGCGCTGTTCCACCAGCCGCATGTGTTCCAAAGACCGCTGCCGGCATTATACCAGATTTGCAGCGCGGAAAGGGCTAGTTCAGCGCGTTGCGTAGGATCCGTGGTGGTACTACTTTGCGCAAAGACATTAGGGACGAGCGTTGCAGAGAGGAGAAGAGCTTGGAAGAGCGACGAGGGATACATGATTGCGCGTTTAGGGGAAAATTGACATTAAGAATATTGGAAAGCAAGATTTTAGAAAACGACGACCAGTGCGAACGATAGCCTCAAAAGTATAATCGCAAACCTCTGAGGCGTTGAAAAAGTGGCTCAGACACACTTTATACGCACAACATCCCTTCAACGGCCCACAGCCGTCGGTTGCCCAAGGTGAGCACACTCGCCCCATCCCTCTCATCTCAGATTGCTCCCGTTTGAGAAAAGGGAGAATAAAACGAGAAATGACCAGTGACGATTGATACAGGAACGCTGGCCCAAAGAAGCAGAAAAAGTCTCACTTTACCGCTAGTTTAAGTGGGACCTGCGCTCCTCCCTGCGACCCCTGTAGGTGTGGTCTCAAGGATGAGGGGCCTTGTCCCTGGGTGACCTGGAGGTCATAGCTGGGCGCGTTAAGGGGTAGAAGGCCGGGCGCGAACGCGTTAGCGACGAATAGGACCACTTCGCGGACGTACATGTCGTTGTGTGGGTGGCTTCGTGGATCTACGCTGGACCGGTCCCGATGCCGTGGGAGCGAGAGCGGCGCCGAAGGAAGGCGGACATTCGAACGTCAAGTAGACAGCGTATACAAGACGCAAATGAGAAATGTCATATGCAAGCACGTAAGCTACCAAGGGCGCGATGCGTGAGATTGATTCTGCGTTTCTTTGTCAAGTGGAGATATTTGCAGCGCGTCGGCTACCCCTCACCAGAGCCGAGCCGCCAAGGCCTCTCACGTGATCGTGGAATTCATCCATGCCGGATATGGAAGCGACAGTCGCGCGAGCAATTCAATCACACAACGTGTCGACTTGTGTTAAGGACTCCCTGCAGTCATCTTGGTGTGGCAGTCCTGAATCCTTCATGTTGCTCTTCTCGCATTTGCTTTGCGGCTCCTGAACGACCGCGAAACAATTTGTCTTAGAAAGGTGTTTCAGGGCCGACGTTTGGAAAACGAGCTCGTATGCGACGGTGACTTGGTAACCACTTGAGCCGCTATCATCCTTTTGAGGTCTTGCAGTAGTGGCGCGTCTTCGGCTCCTTAGTTGTGTAGCTTCGTTTCTTCGGTTCTCTACGTAGTCGCAGCGGCGCTAGAACAGTCGGTCCAATCTATAAATAAATTGAAAAGGATGTGCCCCAATGAGTGGATGCTCAGGTTGCGTTCTCACGCAAGCCACATCGTGGTCGATAAGATCTGCTGGCCTTGTCGATAAGGCATTACAATTAGAGGGTGAAACTTGAAACGCGTATCCCCACCACGTGACCGGCTTCAACCGCCCGATCCGGTCAACGCTCTTGGCACGTCAAATGTCGGACTCGGTGTCGCAAGGGGCATTCTTGAAGCCAAGAATGCAATACCATGCGCATGACTAGGGACGGCTCCCACGGAGAGGTGCCCGCGAGCTCCGCACCGGGAGAGCCACGGTAGGAACGCGTGGGTGTTGGGAGGGTTCCCCAGGCTCGATGCGCGTGTGAAAAGGGGAGCAATAGAACGACCTGGCCCTAAGTAGTCAGGCCCGTTGTTGTCTTAGGTTGAGAACTTGCAAATGACGTAGATTGCCGATTGGATCCGGGCCGACTTCGAGATGCGAGTGCGAATATCGCCATATTGCTTTGTTAAAACAGGGGCATCTTAAGGGAGGTGGAGAGCCGCGTCTTCGACCTTTTCGGGTGTATTCGAATAGCAGCGAGTGCCATTGACTGGCTGTCAATGTATGATGTTTTGTGGTCGTCCTCATCGGTTCTGAGTTTGGAGCCACGCAATCGCGCGTTTCGAAGGCAGAATGTCCAGAGTAACAACGTCCGGGGAGAGGGGTTTCCGGTCGTCGAAAACGCGGAGCCGACACTCGTTCGGCATCGGAGGATACCGCATCCACGGCATCGGGGTAGAAACGTGGCTGTTTGGAAACGATGAATAGCGCTCTCCGCATATGGACCGTGGTGAAGCCGCAGGCTAAAGCCGCGTACTCACGCGATCAGTATCTCGGTGCCGAGGACCTTGACCTCATCTACCCAGCAATTGTCTGCGCCCTTGGCTGCTTTGTCTTTACAACTCCAAATGGCTTCCAATACCCTCTTGACGGTCCGGATGTATCCCCAGTACATTATGTTGTAGAATTCGTCGAGCTTGTCCATGATCCATGTTCGTTGAGTGGGGTCTTCGGATTCCGCGCCGGCGAGGAACAGCGGCCAGCTTATTGATTTGAAGAGAGCGTCGCCCGGTTTGAGATAAGAAATGTGGTGTACAATCTCATCGGCGAGTCCGGTTAGACTGACGAGAGCGGAGCCACTCGAGGGATCGAGCAGTGGATTGGTGCAAGGCAAGACCCGCGCGAGGTATATACAGACCGCCGCGCGATGGGCAGAAGCGATTAGAATGCGTTGCTTCAAGTCTTCGAGAGGCGAGGCAGGCTCAAAGCTGCAAGACCAGTCGACAGGGTCGAACGTCAGCGCCGCCTTGAGCAATACTCCTACTCGCTCTTGCACTTCCGAAGCGACTTCGTCCGAGAGCGAGTTGCGGGTATCTTCAAGGTCAAAAGACTCCAGCATAATGCGCAGCAGCGGACTTGGGCAAGAAAGGTAGTTGTTAGTCTCAGCATATCGCAAGATAGGGTCGAGCTCGATAGAGTCAGGGATCAGTCTCGGCATAGTCGAGAAAGTGAAGGTAGAGCCAAGGACGTAAAACCTGGATATGTGAGCTAAGCATTCTAAAGAAACGGGATGACCTACACTAAGAAATCCGAGAGCATCGACAGGCGTAATTTGCTCATTGGACGTTGAGTGAAGGGCGGTGTGCCTAGGAGATTGATGAGTTTTCGAGCTCCTTCCATATGCACCTTCCACTTGTCCTGGCCAGACTCAATAAGATCATAGTTGATAAAGAGCAGTATAACCACTAGGATCAAGTCTATGTTTGATTCGTTGACCGAGGCCACAGACTGTGCCAGCAGCGAGAGGGCTTGCTGCTTAGCAACGAGCGCGTCGCGATAAGAGTACTTCAGAGGGCCGCCAAACTTTCCCACTGCTTGGTAATATGCCACAAGGCAGGGTTTTCGCTCCTGTTGATAGGGCGACTGGCCCATTTGGTCCCGCGAGATATTGAAGACGTGATACGCAGAGTTTGCCAGAATGATCTGAAGGAGCAGAGGGTACGCTGAGGTGGCCGGGACGAGATCGCGAATCGGGTTCTGCCCCGGCCCGTCGTACACCACCAAGTCCTCGCATATCTGGGTTGCGAAGTGATACAGGTAGTAGCGGGAATGCTGGCTGAGGTCCTGGACGAGGGGATCAACGAGCGGCCGGTAGACTGTCATATCTAACTCCTGCTGACTAGAAGAGACATCTTCGGGCGCACCATCCTTCGAATCTTCCGCGGTTGGTGGGGTCGTGCTCTGCGGTTCAGACTTTTCCTTCGCCTTCAGCCTCGCTTCAAAGGACTTCCCCATCATCTTTCCGCGGCTCGCGACGCCCTTGTTCCAAACGAAGAGCTTGCCATAGCCAAGGCATTCGGAGCCCGAGGAAAGGCATTTCTGACAAACAGGCAGCGACCGATCGCACTTCCAGCGGCGCTTCCTGCAGTTGTGGCAAGCTTTGGTGGGCGGTGCGAAGTCCGATGACAGCATTAGATAAGCGCCATGCGAGGCGTGTCGACCGTTACCTGAATCGAGGTTGCTGTATTTGGAATGCTGCAATGCGGGAGACGTTCAGATGGTGTAGGAATATGTCGGAAGCGTTCAAGCCATGACTAATGTGATGGACGTTTGGCGGTGGCTCGATTTCGTCAGCAAAATCTTGACAGCGCTACGGAAGGCGGGATAGACCATTCATGCAGGCCTCGGGAAACTTCAACCACTCAAGAGCCCCTCTTCCAGTGTTCTTTTTGTACGCCTTGTGGGGTACCCGCCACATTGTGCAGTGCATTTTGCGGTCTTGCGATTTTGCCCCGCCGTGGGAAATGCACGAAATCATACGAAGCACTAGTGTAACCTCCTAACGCAAAGAGGCAGCCAAGATACATCACCTGCATCCGACCCACCTCTCGATCTCTTCTTTCTCGCGACGTCACTAGACCACCACTTTCTACGCCTTTGACCGCTGGATTTCTCAGCATCATGTTGCTACTACACCAATCTTGCGCCATGAGGGCTGCCTCCACGGCACCCAGAGTCATTCATTCATATAGAGGACGACGGAAGAGCTGCTGGAGGGACCTTGACCTCGATTTCGTCATTTTGATCATCCAAGAAAGAACGCTAGGGAAACAACAGATCCATTAGTCTATCTTTCCTCAAAACTTTCTTTTACTCTAGCCCTCCCATTCATTCCTCATGGCGACCCCTGAAGAAGTAGAAACCGCATCCCCCCTTACAAGCAGAGGAGCATCCTACACGCCCTCCGAGATCGAGCGGCTCGGCCGTGAGCGCCCCGAAGCCTTCAAGTCCATCTGGGTAGAACTAGGCTTCTGCTTCTCGCTCCTCTTCTCCATGTTCATCGCCGAGTATTTCATCTCTGGATTCAACGTGCTCCTGCCCGCGCTCTCAGAAGCCCTCCACATCCCCCCGCAGGCGGAGACATGGCCCGCCAGCGTATTCTCCCTGGTCACCGGAGCGTTCCTGCTGCCGTTCGGCAGACTCGCCGACATGTTCGGCGGATACGTAGTCTTCGTCTCCGGCCTGGCTTGGTTCGTCCTGTGGTCCATATTCGCAGGCTTCAGCAAGAACTACATCATGCTCATCTTCTGCCGCGCGTTGCAGGGTTTCGGACCCGCGGCTTTCCTGCCCTCTGGGATCATGCTCCTGGGTAGCATCGTACGTCCCGCTCCTCCTTCCCCTCCTTAACCTCCTAACTAACGAAACAACGCAGTACCGCCCAGGCCCGCGGAAGAACCTCGTCTTCAGTCTCTACGGTGCCTTCGCCCCCGTCGGCTTCTTCGCGGGGATCTTCTTCGCCGGCCTCTCTGCGCAGCTCGTCAGCTGGAGCTGGTACTTCTACTTCGGGAGCATCATGCTGGCCATCGTCGCCGTGGCGTCTTTTCTCTGCATCCCGTCGCATCGTGAAGACGACAAGCGGCGGGTCAAGATGGATTGGCTGGGCACTACTACGGTTGTCCCGGCGCTTATTCTCATCGTGTTCGCGCTTACAGAGGGTTCGCATGCACCGAGCGGCTGGGCGACGCCGTATATTCCCGTTACTTTTGTGGTCGGGTGCGCGCTCCTGGCTGCGTTTGTGTATGTGGAGGGGTGGGTGGCGGAGCAGCCGCTGTTGCCGGGGGATATGTTTAATGTTAAGGGGATGAAAGCGCTATCCGTGGCGCTGTTCCTCCAATACGGGACGTTTGGCATCTACATCTTCTATGCGAGCTTTTAGTAAGTTAGCTCCATCCCCTACTTGACTACTTTCCTTCCCCTCCGGGGCTAACTGATCATCTCAGCATCGAGCAAGTCCTGCACGCCTCGCCGCTTCTAACAGCCGCCTGGTTCGCGCCGATGTGCACGCTCGGCCTTATCCTCGCCACAGTCGGCGGCCTCATCTTACATCTCCTGCCGGGCACTGTGTAAGGCATCCCCCTCCCCTCTTCTCCACTCATCACCCACACCACCTAACATACTTCAGGCTCCTCCTCATAAGCGGCATCGCCTATGTCGTCTCCGTGCTCCTCTTCGCCATCATCCCCACAGACCCAAACTACTGGGCCTATATCTTCCCGGCGATGATCTGCGCGACGCTCGGCATCGACGTCACCTACAACGTCAGCAACATCTTCATCACGACGTCGATGCCGAAGGCGCGGCAAGGACTCGCCGGCGCGTTCATCAACTCGATCCTCTTTCTGGGCATTTCGTTTTTCCTAGGGTTTGCGGATCTAGCGGTTACGCAGACGGCGGACCGTGGGCAGAGAGGGAGCTATAAGGTTGCGTTTTGGCTGGGGACGGGGATCGCGGCTGCGGGGCTGGTGGTGATGTGCGCGGGGGTCAAGATTGGGAAGGCGAAGAGTGAGCTTACGGTTGAGGAGAAGGAGGAGCTAGAGAGGGAGTTGACGAGGAGGGAGAGTCAGCAGTAACCAAGGAGCGATAGCGCTTCAATGAGTAGACGAAATGAGACATGACGGAAGAATAATGTTTATTTAGTAGAACTCACACGCTAGCTTGCTTCTTCCCTATCGACGCGTAGAGCTGCTCAATCTCGGTCTCGTACAGCGTGATGGTCGCCTTCTTCTGCACCGTGCCCTTTCCTGCTATGGCGAAGGGCTTCTCCTTCGTCGCGAAAATGATGTAATCTCTCCGAAGTTGACCAGTCGTATCCGCGTAGCTATTCGCTTCTTCAACCTTTGGCCAGATGGCCTCCAGCACCTTCTGCTGCCCCGCTTCTTCTTTGGTATAGTATTCCGATCGCAGCTCGATAATAGCTGCAGGTACGTCCCTGCCCGTGCCCACCAACACGCAGTACCGGACTGCCGGATGCGATGTGATGAGGTGCTCATGTATTGTGGGATTGAAGTTCCAGCCCGTTTTGAAGACTATCATGTCGTCTTTTCTTCCTTCATGTTTCCAATGGTGCGGCTTCGTGGGATGCCTCGAGTAGAGATCTGACATAGAGTATTCCTTCAGCCGTGGGAAGACCTTGAAGACACCCTGAAATTCTTCATATCTCGAGTCCTTGACGAAGACGAGCTCGTACAGATCGCCGCTAGGCCGCATCTCGATGCCGTTGTATTCGGGGTGGAGGCAGAAATATTGCCAGTCCTCAGGGTCGGTCGCATGCTGGACGATGGTGCTCGTTTCCGTGCTTGCGATGATCGCGTATAGCGGTACGTGCTGTGATATTATGTCGCCAGCCTTCTTGGATAAGGAGCCTGGTGCCAGTCAGTTCGCAAGGCCTTCATTCAGTTATTACTAACTCTCACCGCCAACATATGTAATGTATTTTAGCCGCCCAAGCTTCTGTAGTATGTCTGGCCTGGTAGCGATCTCCTCCAGAGTTATTGGCAAACAATTAGCTGCATCGATACTACTATGTTCCAGTATTTGATCGAAGACGTTGGCGGTAGCTAGACCCGGAGGACCGAGGACGATAGTGGTGTTATTGAAGCACGTCGACTTAACGCCAGTGGCGATGCCGGCTCCGTGGAAAATCGGCAGCGCACTGAATCTTCGGTTGGGAGAATCAGAAATCCCGCCCCAAATAGTCGGCCGTCCGTCAAGGGTTGGCACCAAATGATGCGAGTCGCCTGAGGTGAGTGTCCAGTTTGTCCAAACCACTGGCTTTGGGAGACCGGTGGAGCCCGACGTGTGAATGATCATGCATGGATGGTTTTTCGCCTCTTCGAAAGATTTGGTGTATGGGTACTGTTCGCAGAGGGAGCCGTCGAGCAGGTAATCCATCTCAGGCATGCATAATGTCTCCATTCGGCATTTTTCTAGGATTCCGGCGACGGGAAACCCCTGTGTGTGGAGGAGGATCGCGCAGTCGGTCCGTCTGATCAGGTCGGCATGGCCGGCTACGCTATTCCGGTGGGAGCTAAAGAGAACCTAAAGCCTTGTGAGCCCTACTCGCCTGGGGCAATGCATTGAAGATTCCGCATCATCCGTTTCGCGCCACTGGGCGTACCTTGTGTCCGGTCTTGATTCTGCGAGAAGTCAGTAATCGTGCGGGATGGGCATGGGAGAAGAGATGTGCAAAGGCAGACAGAGACTTACAGCGCAACCAGAGCAACGAAGTGTCTCACGTCCGGATAGCCCATGTACAGGACCGTCTCGAACATGGAGCTCCGGCCAATCTCCCTCTGTATGAAGTGCGCCGTCTTGTTGATGGCGTTGGCGAACTATACAGGCTCAGTCTCAATACCGACGATAACAGGACTTTCGGCATACTTACGGTTCGAAAAGTAACGTCTTGGAATCCATCTTGCAGGTTGGCCGAGCGTGGAAAGGAGAAGCACACTCGGTCCGGATCGTTCGCCGCGATTTCGTCGATAAGGACCGGTATTAAGCGCTTGCCGTACGGCACGTCCCCCGGAGCAGCCATCACAGTATTCCAAAAAGACATAGAAATGGAAGCGAAGTGAATGAGCGACTAGAAGGATATATACGCGGAAAAGACAGTGATGACAGGGCAAAGAGCGGAACAGTGAGGTTAGAGCCGACAGCTAGCGATGATGTATTCATCCAATTGCAGGCACCGGACGCCGCTAGCTTTATGCGCCAGCTGAAGGAATGGCAGCCATGCAGCCATGTCTCACGGGCCTTGAGGTTCGTTGTGGCTGAGCAGCGCCCTAGCGACACGCGCCGTCCCTGGCGATCAGTGCGGCGCTGTCGCTCCCTCATTCTGGCGCTGGACTTGGCCGCACGCTCGCGGGCCAGTTGTTAGTAGTGCCTCAATCGAGTAGTTAGGCTAGGACCGCGCCGCGCGATGCGTGGGCGTTCGCCAGATGAGGTGAGGTGGAGGAGAGATGGTTAGGACAGCGAGCGCTGAGGCCAAGGTGGAGCGGCGTCATTGGCCCGTGCAGTCGCCATCAACCTCTTCAGGGGAGCCGCAAACGAAACACTTACGAGTACGACTCCATCGTCCACTACATTCTTGCCAATGGTGCTGTGACAGCCGCAGCTGAGGAGAGGCGCCGGCTTTGGTTTCGATGGAATGTCGCCAGTCGACGCGCACGCCGTCCCCTCCCCCATGCCCCACATGAGCATCAATGATGGCGCCGAAGCCGTGCGAAAGGCCTCGAGTCGACAAGAGGATGAGGCGCCTAACATTCGGGCGCCCCATGGCACTCCCGCGCGATAACAGTGACTTGGGACACATGGGGCAATGCTGCTCGGCGCTTCGTTGGAGGCACGACCCGTTCCTCATCATCACGAGAATGCGAGCATCAACGCCTCGGTTTACTATTCCAGGAACTCAGTCAACGAGCGATACGAGATATTCGCTCGCGATTGACTTATTCGATAGTATGTTTCACTTCTGCAAAATTAGCGCTCTGCAGGCTAACCACGCTGGCAGGAGAAGCGCTTGCACTATTCACGTTCCATCGTAAGGCCCATCACAGCTGCTACTCTGCTGATGCCATCGGTGGAGCTCCAAATATTATTGTGACCGATCATGTACTCGCCCTCCGCAAGAGCCGCGCGCTCCAATGAGGCAAAGACGCGCGTGCCGCCATTGCGCCGTCGCACTCAACCTCTACTAAGCCTCCGACTGGGGCTCGGCGAGGCGCAACATGGGCGTTGTCGTCTGGCACCCTTTATGTTTCTCCCACTTTAGCAATTGCTGCTACCTTTCCGACCCAAAAGTCCTGCGACATACCATTCCCTGATGCAAAGAACAGGTCTTAATTCCTGCGGTGGTCCTGCGGTGGTCCTTCGGTGGGGAACTCCGCGTCCGGCCCCCAACGGAAACACCGTTGCAGACGTACACTCCGCACTGCTACCAACAACGTGGAGGACGACCGTGCCCCGTCAGGCCCAACGCCCAAACGTCCAGTAGGATGATGGCCGGCCGCTCCGTAACCGTTAGTATACAAAGGCTAATCATCCTCTGGCAGAAAGCGGCAATTCGTGATTCCATGGTTTCGGACCCTTCATGAGACCACATGCGGCGCACGTGCGTCTCGCTTGCTTTACTCAGATTAGTTGTAGCAGCCTCACATCAGCCTCGCAAGTCTCGCACGACGCGGTGTGCCCGGTGTTGGCCATAAATCTCCAGAGGCGGTGCTCCACTAAATGGAGTCCCCAGGGACGAAGACGGTGCACCGAGCACCTACGCATGCCCCATGACGGCGACGACCAAAACACCACTAATACATTATTTTTCCTGCATGCCCACCCTCGGACGGCCCCAAAGAGCGGAACAGTCTATCTCTGCCCCTCCCTAGAATATCTCGATTCAGTATCCGCGGAGGAGGAGTCCGATGACTCAAATCTATGTACCACACACGTAGACTAGCCAAGACGCCCCAGAGTGCGGTTCGCATCCCACTCTAATGCAGGACTGAGGATACGGTGCATGAGTATCAGGCAGAGCTGGCAAAGTCCAGTGAGCTATCACTACTTCTTTCACTGACATGCCCGGAATCACCAGGGCATCTTGGAGATTAGCATGCTAAAGGCGACGTTCCTAGTTCATAGAAAAGGGTAAACTGTTCCAACTGTTCCAACGAACGACGTCCCGGGAATGGATCTAACCGAGTGGCCCGCTGACGTCACGATAGGATACGACAGGGCGTAATCCAGGAAGATCAATAATTGCTACGAACCAGGTCACATGGCCTTCTCGCAGTTTGGGTCATTCCATGGAGACAAGTCCTCTTTGACGAGACATAGCTTATTGTTCTTCTAGGTTCACCGCCGCAGCCATTCATCTAACGGTTCTCAACCGCAAAGCCGTGATCAAATGTGTTTCCCTTTTTTTGCTAGATTTGCTTTGCCCCCGTTATTGTCTGATTGCTTCGAATTTTTAGCCAGCACTGGGTTGTGGTAACAAGCACCCTAAGCGTTGCGATACCAGAGAGAGTCCAAATGCTTGCTATCCTACTTGTCGGTCTAAGCGACATCTATAATAATGTGCGCTTCGGCCGTCGAACTACTCACTGCCAAAGTCGTGTTATCTTTACTTCCTGCGCATTTGACGGTTTACGCTAGCCTCACTCACATATCCTTCCTGCGGTACCATCGAGACTCCTAAGCGGGGACGCACTCCGCCGCCATGGCAACATCAACAGAACCTAGCGGCAACGCGAAGGCGGATCTTGCAGAATCTGCAACAACTCATTCGTCCAGAGCGTCTACTACGTCCGGCAGCGGCACGAAAACTAGGATACTGGAGGATAAAGAGCTGGGAAAATTCTTGTACACCCCTGACGCGACCAAACGACAAGTTCCCCCTAAAGTTCAGGAGACCGGAATCTACCCAGCGAATACAGAGTATCTGGGCCCCAAACCCAATCGGAAGAAGGGAGAAATCACCATCATGAGCAACTACGTCACTGTCAAGCAGGTTCCTGACAAACTGCTGGTTTACTCCCTCACGTTCTGGCGTCCCCATCCAGAAGACCCAGCGAAGAAGATTGTGTACAGCAAGCGCCGAGAGATTGAAGGCGCCTTCAAAGCCGTGATGGCCGCTGATGCTCTGAAGCTGGATGCGAACCAACGACCTTGGGCTACGAATTATAGGGACCTCTGGTGCCAGTCCTGCCTCCCGAGCGATCCATCTAGCGAGGGAAAAGATCTCGCATTCGACACGGAACGATTCACATATGTCCAATTGAACGGCCAGGAAGTCACCGATTTGCGCGCAACTGTTCTTTGCACCGGCGTACTTGCTGACATAGAGCAAGTCCTCAACAGCACTGACATCGCGGCGATGTCTGACCATATTCGTGCTCTTAACGCCCACGTTGCCCAAGGCGTCCATCAACACGACAACGGTACCGATCGCTTATTTCAGCATGGTGCCAACAAGTTCTTCGCCAAGGACGGCTTCAACGACATGATGGATGCCAACGGGAATCGCATGGGCGTCCGGGTGATGAGAGGCTACTATTCGTCCATTCGTCCAGGGTACAGCCGCATCTTCCTGAACGTAAAACACTGCGTCCTCCGCCTTCCTCTCACCCTGCCTTGTATCTGAGCTGCTCAACCGTGTCCGCGATTCCAACCAGGTCGAGCAGATGCTAAGAGGAGTGAAGGTCAAGGTTACATACAAGCGCCAGAACACTGTTGAAGGCAGCAAGGCGAGCGGCTTCGACATCAACGGTGATCAAGCGCGCTTGAAGATCTTCAAGCAGTTCGGAATGTTGGCAAAAACCCAGAGGTTCTATCCCATCCTAGAAAAAGACGATAACGATCCGCAAAGTGAGAGGGTCACAGATCCTAATAGTCCAGGTCGAACAGTCTTCCATTACCTCGTACAAAGTTCGATTTCATTTAGTTCGCATTTTCAACCATTCGGTATGCTAACACATGCATAGATGCCAAAGTCGAACATCTTCTCGACATCGACAGGAAGCAGTGGAATGACAACGATCTCCTCTGCGTGAACGTTGGAAGCCGAGTCGATCGTGGGAAGAAGGGCCAAAGGTTGACAGATGCGGAGATGCGGAAGCAGACGTTGGAAGGAGCTATCTGGATCCCGGCTTGTCTGCTCGAGATCGTCCCCAATCAGCCCATGACTGCCCCTTTGCAACCACGGCACACGTCTGAGATGATTCGATACGCATTGCGCTATCCCGCTGCGAATGCTGCGCTCATCGATCAAGAGGGGCTTGAGCTTCTCGGTCTCAAGGCTCCAGCGGTGCAAGGGTCCAATAGAGATTTGGTATGTGACCCTCCCAGCAAGCTTGCGCGCTACTAATACGAAAGCATAGTCTAGTCTAGGATTTCGAGTCGGTCAGAAGCTCATTTCTTTCGCCGCAAAGTCGCTCCAAGTTCCTTGGATCCTCCACGCTCCCCCACCCCCAGAGACCCAGAGCTCTGCGCGAAGAGGCCAGGCTTCCCAAGTCTGGTTTGGACAGAAGTGCATTCAACAAAAGCCTCGCGGAACCTCCAGAACGTCGCCTTCTCTAATCCATGCACCATAAACGACCTCCACATACTCGGATTGTCAGAATGCTTTCCCTCCGACGAGACAGAGCGGCAAACCAAGTGGGGACCATCACGCCAAATGACCAAACTGGAAGTCCTCATGGAAAAGTTCACCGAACAACTTCGGAGACACGACGTCCGAGCCTTCGTGGGATATCATAACACAGCGCAGTACCCTGGCCGGGATCTTGAGAAAGAGCTCTGCGATTGGTTCGATTATTAAATGGCTGTACTCTTATTCTGCTGAAAGGGAAGGACTTTGAGAAGTATGCGATGATCAAGCGGGTTGCTGATCCAGAGTATGGACGGTTCACTGTTTGGCAAGCTCGAAGAGGACAAACCGAAAGGCGAGCCCGAAACCGACGAGCCTAGCACTGATAAGCCGCAATTCAAATCCCAGGTTATGTCGAACCTCGCGCTCAAAGTCAACATGAAAATGGGCGGAGAAAATCACTGGCTCAATTCCGATGTTTGGCATGAAATCTTCGGGAGCAATAGCCAGAAGAAGTCGACGATAATACTTGGTGCCGATGTCACACATCCTCCGGCCGGCGCGAAACTGGGAGCACCTAGCATTGCTTGCGTGGTCGGAAGCGTCGACTTTAGGTTTTATGAGCTATCGCGGCTCCATGCGACTACAGGCGGGAGGCCAAGAGGTGAGCACAACCCATCCACAATCACTTCAATCTAACCTTTTCAGAAAATCGAGGATATGCGGTCAATGGTGCGAGAACGTCTGGAGACATGGAAGAAAGGCCATAAAGAGGAGCTTCCGACCAACATGCTTTTCTACCGCGACGGCATCAGTGAGTCCCAGTTCCCCCAGTGCGACGACTACGAAATCGGAGAAATCAGGAAGGCGTACGAGCACACCGGCGGGGATGAGGAAGACCTAGAGCTCACATTCCTCGTCGTAGGCAAGCGCCACCACACACGCTTCTACGCGACCGATGAGAAAAGTCCTACACCAGCTACAAGAAAGGCCAACAATTTGTCAACGGCAACCTACGCCCCGGCCTCCTTGTCGATAGCGTGATCACACCGCCAAAACCGAAGAACTTCTTCCTCCAATCGCACAGCGCTATCCAAGGCACGGCACGCTCCGCCCACTACCATATCCTCACGGATGACATGCGGCTGGGAGAGCAGCTTCCGCGCCTCACAATGATGCTCCGCTATGCCTTTGGACGAGCGACAACTGGTGTGTCCTATGCGGCTCCCGCCTATATAGCCGACAGGCTCTGCGAACAGGGCCGTGCGTATCTCCGCCCGTGGATGAATGATCCTGAGATGGAACCGTGCTGGGAGCCACCCAAGGATGCCGACGAGAGGCCGTTGGGGAAAGACGAGTTCCTGGACTGGAAGAGGGAAAAGGCGTTGGAATTGTCGAAGACCCGGGCAGTGTGGGGCCCGAACTACAAGAATGAGGCGTGGATGAAGGAGGAGGAGAAGCAGCTCAATCCGTGGCATCCAAATCTTGACAAGGGTATGTTCTGGATGTAGGTTGAAGAGGTGGCTAGCGAAGGATCTGGGATTCTCCATGTGCTTTTTCGGTCCTGTTTCTATCTCGTCGGTTGGTCGCGGTAGAGTTGGCACGCTGTTGCGGTGTATCTTTTGCTCCTTTTCTTAGATAGAATTCCTCTTGCTTCAGCGTCCTGTCTTGCCCCTCAAACTTGGCTGTCTGTTAGATCTTGGGCGCTTTGCTTTCCCTTGGTGGTTGTAGACGAGCAAACAAAATGAAACTCTCACAAGTCATCCTCGATCATTATGCCACTACGGTGCACTAATGCATGTTCTATATTAGCAAAGAGTCCTCTCTACGAATGCGTTATCTTTTCTATATACTAACGGTTTGAGGGCTTAAATAGTAAAACACTTTGCCTCTATCGCTCAGGTACCTAATTTAGCGATCGCGTTGGAGTCCGATTATTCGCACATGTTCACAAGACAGGTCTCACCTTTTCAAGTTTTCGATCACTCTCCAGTCATGCTCTAGGTCGGGAACACAACCTGAGCCCGATATCCTCTGCGAAAGTTGAGAGGGGCGACTTCAATTCGTTAGCGAAATGTCTCTCGTCACGACTTCATCGCCGTGACCATCGCTTCAACTTCAACGATCGTGTGTGGAAGCTCCATCGGGATCTCAGACATGTTAGCCTTGACTCCATGTGCAGGCTAGTAGATATGTTAGACAGCATGCCCGTGTCAAAGAAGGAGATCAAATGGGCGGACAATGTCATCTGCAAGGTTACCAAAGCCGTTGTACGCATACCTCGAGATCCAGCAAACCGCATTACCAAATGCAAAAGGTCCACGCTAACGTAGAAATGGATTATGTTCGGATACTAGTCAGTTTGTAATTCATGGTCACGAAGCTCGTCCCAACATAATGGCCAGCGAGCAGAACATGTGCTTATCAAGCTCTCTGGTGCTAAGCCAACTCCCACAAATGTTATGTTCCAGAACTGTGAAGCGGACTTCTCACTGCACTGTCACGCATTGGTATTGTCAATCGATTTTGGGTCCAAGGTGGACGACCGGATTCTGCATGGGCGAAGTTTGCGGCTTCTCGCATAAGCTCCGGTTTGCTCCATCCAAAATTTGCTTTGAGCGCACAAAGCGCTCGAGCTACGACCCAAAGGGTAGATTGCCGAGCAAACGTGAACGGCTTGATCACGCTACCAATCTTTCATGTTTCTTGACTACCGAAGTCCTACTAAGTTTTCTGATAAGTGGGGAACCGAGCCTAATGCTTGCCCGTTTTCCTCTATGAAAACGGCGACAAGGGGTTCTCGTGCAGTTTTCGGCTTTCTTGTGTAATATTTGCTCCGCAACTGCAATACACAATCAACCTTCGTTTGAGCAAGTCGCAACATACCGATTAGGTTGCCCTTTAACTTTGCTACACTGATCGAGGAGTATATCATGCTGCCGACTTTCGCCCTAGGGCCCACATTCGATTGCAGCATCCCATTTCTTTTACCCAAGCCCGGGCTGCAGTTCTCCTCTTCTATTCGGTCCGCCTCCGATAGGGCGACTTGCGTCACCAGAGATGCCGCTTGCACAAGAGTACAAAGATGCTATGTCTAGGGATATTGACGGCAACAGCGATGGCCTATGTAGGCGATGCGGTTTCTTCCACAGCATACGCAAATGCACAACACCGAAAGCCCAATGCTACTCCAGGGGTATCAGTAATCTTTCAGATGCACACCTGGCGACGGGAGATCTTGGGCAGAACAAAGAGGACGCGGAGAAGCACTATCGGGACAAATTGGAGGCGGCCCTGAAGAAGGACGAGCAACAGAAGGCGGTGAAGAAAGCTACGAAGGCTGCGGAAAAAGAAAAGCAGGCGGGGAATACGAAGAAGGCAGCGACCACTCCAGCCCAATCGGTCCAGAGTTCAAAGAACCAGAAACAGACTGGATACCAGCACAAAGGAAAGTCAGGCTGGAATACGAAGTCTGGGAACTCAATTTATGGCGCTGGGGGTGACGGAAGCCAGTCTTCAAACAGACCCGCTCAGCAGCAGGCGGGGAAATCCAGCACTTCTGCAAAGACCAGGACGCCGAAAGAGGACAAAATCAAGGGCCAGATCGAATTCCTGGACACGCCGAACAAGACCACAAGTGTCCCCAATAACGTTCCCCACCATGGCGTCTTTTCTGTGGCGACAAATACGGCCCAAGCAACCACTGAGGACGACGGCATGATCATCGCGAGCAATTACGTCGAAGTGAGCAAAGTGCCCAAGACACTCTACGTCTATTCATTGAGTTATTCCCGTCCTTCTCAGCAGAAAGACAAGCGCATCCAGTTCAACAAACGCCGTGAGATTGATGCGGCTTTTCAGGCCGCAAAGAGGGCCGACGCGCTGAAGCTGGAGGGAAAGCCGTTCGAGTGGGTTACCGACTCCAAGAATCTCTGGTCTACCTGCCCCATCAGCGATCACCCTTTGACGGGAAACTACTCCTGGAGCACAGGCGATTTCGAGTACACCCAGCCGAACGGCAAGACGGTCACGGATTTACGCGTCGATGTGTGCTTCACCAGTCACCTGGAGGACATTGAAAAGAAGCTCAGGACAGAGAACCTGGAGAACCTGCCGGACTACATACGCGCACTCAATGCCAACGTCGTGGAGTCTATCACGCGGAATCAAGAGAACACAGGCATTGATGTCGTTCGGACCAGCGTCAACAAAGTCTTCCTCAAATACGGATACGAGCTTGTCCGTGGAATCCGGGTGACACGCGGCTATTTCACTTCCATCAGACCCGGTAAAGACAGCACGCTTCTAAATATCAATACGGCCACGTCTGCCTTCCTTCCCCCAGAGCCCGTCTCGCAATTGCTCTGGGATGTCGACCCTCGCGGCACCACAGCTTTGGCTTCCAGGGCGACCACCGTTGAGAAACTCCTGAAAGGAGCAATGCTCAGGATTTCCTACAGTCGCGCAAACTATGAGGGTAGCGACGTGGATTACAATTCAGAGGAGAAGCGTACGGTTATGTTCACGCAGTTTGGCAAAGGCGCAAAAGCGCAAAAGTTCTTCAAACTGCTGGATGAAGAGAAGGGCAAACCAAGGAAAGTCGATCCCAATGACCAAGGAACGAGCGTCTGGGACTACTTCAAGGAGCGTAAGTTTGCATCCGCATGAGCCACTCTAATACTGCCTGCTAAGCCTCGTATAGAAGCCTGCGTCTTCTTTCCTAATACCAGAGAGACTGATCTCGTCTGTGTGAACGTTGGCAAACGAGTCCGGACATCCCGCCGTTCCCAAGAATCAGATGAGCAGATGATGCGCGAGCAGAGCGAGAAGGGCGCACAGTGGATTCCCGCCTGTCTGCTGCAAATCCTCCCCCATCAAGTGATCAGATCGACTCTACCTACCTCGCACGTCCCCGGAATGATGGCGAAGGCGCTCAGACTGCCAGCACACAACGCCGCCATGATAGTGAAGGAAGGCTTCAAGATTCTTGGAGCCACTGAGGAGCCACTTGTAAGTGGAACCCCTCCGCAAAGATGAAGGGATACTAATTTGCTGGCAGGCAAGCATGAACTTCCAAGTCGGCCAGGAGCTCGTCAAGTTCGCTGCGAAGAATCTCCCGCAACCGACTCTATTCTACGGCAACTCCGGTGGAGTGAAAACAAAACGGCCAGAGCTCGCTTCCTGGAATTTGCAACATGTGCACTTCAGAGAGGTCGGAAAGATGGAGTCGCTACACATGTTGGCTCTCCATGGTTGCTTCAATACGGACAAGCAGACCGAAAAGGATCCCAACAACGCACTTTCGGCGACGTTTCAGAAACTCGGGCAAACAATAGCGACTCATAATATCCGCTCAGTGACCAAGGGAACCAATAGACTCCTAACGGCAAACGCCAACTTGGAGGCATATCTGACCACTTGGTTCAGAGACACGCACAAGAACCCCAAAGACTGCACGGTCATCTTGATTCCCGGCAAGGACCAAGAGATCTACGCGAAGATCAAAAAAATAGCCGACTTTGCGGGCAAGCATACTCTTTGTGCAATCGGCTCCAAGCTAAGGATGAAAGGGTCCGAGCAGAACATGTCGAACTTGGCTCTCAAGGTCAACATGAAATTCGGAGGCGACAATCATCATCTTCCGACTACTGAGCTTGACAAAATCTTAGGTGAACGGCGCAAAGGGACCATCATTCTTGGCGCTGATGTCGCCCACCCCGGAGTTGGTGCCAGGGCAGGAAGTCCAAGTGTCGCATGTGTAGTTGGAAGCGTAGATGCGAACTTCATGAACTATGGTGGTTCCATGAGATTGCAGGCCGGTCGTCAAGAAGTAAGTTCTGGTCCGCGTTCCGCAGTGGAAGCCACTAACATCATACCAGAAAATCGAAGACGAGCACATGTGCTCCATGGTGATGGAGCGCCTCCAAGCCTGGAAAGCCAAGAGCGAAAGCGAGAAACTTCCCACCTCCATTCTCTTCTACCGCGATGGTGTCAGCGAGTCGCAGTTTAAGGCGTGCAGAGAAGAGGAGATTAAGCAGATTCGGGAGGCTTACAAAAGGGTCGGCGGTCGGGAGCCGGACCTCAAGCTGACTTTTGTAGTCGTCGGAAAACGCCACCACACGCGCTTCTTCGCCACAAAGCCAGAGCAGACGTACAAGTCTATGTTGAAAACTAGCGATAATACGTTGACTGAAGTCGACAACGGCAATCTCAGGCCCGGTCTTCTAGTCGAAGACGTCGTTACCAACCCCATCCCGTACAACTTCTTCTTGCAGTCCCACCAGGCGATTAAGGGAACGGCTCGTTCGGCGCACTACCACGCACTGCACGACGACATGGGACTCGGTGCCGATAGGCTTCCCTCGCTCACGATGCTGCTGTGCTTCGCCTTCGGACGCGCTACGAAAGGCGTCTCATACGTCGCGCCAGCGTACATTGCGGACAAGCTATGCGAGCGTGGTACCGCATACCTCCGCTACTGGAACGACACCGAAAAAGAGCCTGCGCCGCATTTCGAAGATTTGGTGCCAACGGAGGTAGACAAGAATAGCAGGCTCAAGCCGGCCAAGCTATCAAAGGAGGAGCTGATGGAGCTCAAGGGGGAGTTTGCGAAGCTACTTTCCCAGACACCAGCTGTGTGGGGATCGAATTACTACGATGGCGACCAGGATGAGGAGCAGAGGCTCAATCCCTGGGATCCGAATCTCGACACAGGGATGTTCTGGATGTAGGAGTTGTTGCAGGTGCTAAGATGTGGCGGTAGGAGTACCAGATTGTCCCCTTTCCTTTACCTTGTTTCTTTCGTCGCGTTCCGCATGTATCTGCTTTCTTTGCTTTCATCGCGATAGACTTCCTTTTCCCCTCATAGCTCTCCTTTGCTGCTCACGATAGATCTCCTTACACGCTCATAGATGGTTCTGGGTTGTTTCGGATGGGTGAATGACTCGTTGTACTGGGTGCTTAGACGGCATTGTTTCGCTTTCCATAGATATCTCTTCCCTGCGTTCCGTTGCTCCCACATAGATTGAATGAATGAATGACCCAATGAATCGGAGGTGCACCGTGCTTCCCCTATCCTCAAGTCCATGTACCCAGAGCAGGTGCTTCTTCAGAATCGGGATAGAGGACCTGGGGTAAAGTTTCTGCTAGGAGGCTACTCAAGCATATCTGTATTTCTCCGTCGAATCGAGCAGGTGGCTCTGGCTTCCTGTAGGGCGATGCGCAAGCAAATACAAATTTTGAAGGAGTCAGTACTTGATTTACTGCCTAGCACATCATTCTCTTTTAGCTGCAGGAGCTCAAGAGAATGTTTCACCCGTGAGCTCCCGACTCAAATGTCCCGCTCACGAGTCATCTATGCAAACTCGCAAATTGTGCCATGCTCTGCCTCATCTGATTCCCCATAACTCCATCAGGATGTATTCGCGCTTAGATCTGGAGGCGCTCGACCTTGTCCTTCAACGAGCGGATCTGCTGCATCAAGTCGGAGGCTTCATTGGTGGTCACGGATGCTGCGATAACCGGTCGAGCTACTCCGCAGGCACGGCCGACTAAAAAATTAATGAGTTTAAGTAAAGCAGGTGGAAACAACGCTCTATATGGAAAACTTACGGGCCATCTTGGACGGAACATAGACGTATGGAACATTCTTGTCTTCACACCTGGAAGGTGTTAACAGAAGTTTCTACAAGATAGGTGCCCTTGATCGGGCCAGAGGGGGGCTTACAGGAGCGGCAAGTGCAGAAGAATAGCGAGCGGCGACGTGTCAGCAGCGAGTATGATGACTTCCGCAATTCCACGGTTCAGTGTCTTCGTGGCCTCGTTGGCTCCCTTCCTTTTCCCAGGTTAGCTAATTCTTCTTTCGTAGATGCACCACAATCGATAAACTTACTTGAGCTGCCGGTAGTGACTCGCTTGCTGCACAAGGTCGAGAATCTCTTGAGAGAGAGCCTGGTCAGCTTGCGGCCAAGCTGCGGACTGGTCGTTCGACATGGCGGAGGTGGGAGTCGAAAACCGTGGGTTCACTGCTTAGCTCGCCCGTAAGGGTTCCTAAGAAGGTCAGAGGAGTTGAAAAGCGTATGGCAGGTGAGTTTAAAGGTGTTTGCATACACTGCTTTGCTCGCCCGTTGGTAAGAGTACGAGTGGAGTGGGAGTGGAAGTGGTTCGTGATGGAGGACTTTGGGCGGAAATTTTTGAGCTTCAAAATTCCGATGTCTTGGCATACGCCGCATCACGTGCGCGCTAAGGCGATCCTGGCAAGGGCGAAGCGAAGACTGCGACTCCAGCCATCGTCACCACTCACCCCGACATCACAACCGCCGTCTCCGCCCCGTCCACCACGCCCGCCCATCTCATTCTCGAACTCGAAGCCGACGTAGCAGCTTTGCTAAGCATCTAGAGCACCGTCACAATGGCCACAGACTACTGGTGAGTGCTCCCGGAGCTCTCTTTATCACTGGGGCTGCCAGCTCCAGCTTGCTTCTGCGGAGATAAGCTTGAGCTCGCCCTTGTCTATGCGACCGCAGAAAACGTCTCCCCGTCTTGCGATCCGATGGTTCATTGCTGACTCGATGCTTGGATAGCCCCGTTTATGCTGTAAGTCGCCAACACCTCCGCCTCGCCTCCTGGCCCAAGTCAGCACCGCAGCGCACTCCCAGGCCGCCGTCGTCCCGTCGCGCAGCCACACGCACCGAAATCTGCCCCTATAACGAGGAAACAGTTCGCTGATGACTGGGTAGCCCTTCTTCGGTGCGATGGGCTGCACATCAGCCATCGTCTTCACCTGCTTTGGCGCTGCCTATGGTACCGCCAAGGCAGGTGTCGGTGTCTCTGCTATGGGTGTCCTGCGTCCCGATCTGATCGTCAAGAGTACGTCTCGCACTCCCATTTACGCATACGTCTCAGGCGGTTATGCGCGCTCTTCCGTCATGAGCGGTCGACATTCCCGTGGATGGACCCTAAGCTAACACATCCCCTTAGACATCATTCCCGTTGTCATGGCTGGTATCATTGGTATCTACGGCTTGGTCGTCTCCGTCTTGATCTCGAACGATCTGAAACAGGAATCGTCGCTCTTCACCGGATTCATCCAATTAGGCGCTGGGTTGGCCGTCGGTCTTGCTGGTATGGCCGCCGGTTTCGCCATCGGTATCGTCGGTGATGCCGGTGTGCGCGGAACCGCCCAGCAGCCCAGGTTGTTCGTCGGCATGATTCTAATTCTCATTTTCGCTGAAGTCTTGGGTATGAACACCTCTGAGCGAGCACACGTGCAGGTTGTTAACACGAACGCCAGGTCTCTATGGTCTCATCGTCGCCCTTCTCATGAATTCCCGAGGCAGCGACTACAAGTGCTAGACAGCTTCTCTCGACCGACGATGGCAGCACACGGCAAGCTACACCTGCAATCGACGGACTTGGCATCGGAATCAGTTGGACACGTATCATCTCGCACGACCCCGTTGGACACCTTATGCTCGCATGGCGTATGCGGAATGCTGGCCATGTTGTATGTCTAAATTTGTGTATTTTCTTTACAGTGCGGAGCCGGCACCGGAGGGGTTGGAGAGGCGGCATAGGAGAGACAGTAGATAATGGACTCGATGGACGGTAAAATGCGATCCATTTGGCGGCGTGTATTCTAGGGTCTTACCATTTCCTTGTTTGCGCGTAGAAACGGAATGCATTAGTTCTCTCCTACAACGTCACTGGGAGCTGTGGTGGTGTCTTACGACGATAGCGCATATGCCCTGAAGCAGTGGTGAGAAATTAACAAGTATCTTACAAGCTCCGAAGAGGAGGTACTGGAGTCCTTTGGCGAGACTCGGAGAAGTAAAGACGATATCCAGCACACCCGGGCCGGAAGACGTAATCGATATCTATACACAAGGTGGCACCGTTCCCATCTCCCATCAAGCACCCATATACGCAGTGGGATGCGCCAAACAGCAACAAGCCGAGCTCACCTCCTCCGGCTTGCCCTGGCAGTTGTTCAGATAGCCAGGAATGGCGCTTGGGTCCGTGTTCACGCTCTGCGTGTACGACGCGCAGAACGTGCTTGCGGAGACAGACGCCGTGGGGTCGAAGATCTGGTTGATGCAGTTGTTGTGCGGGCATGCCAGGGCCGCCGTTGGCGTTGGCGTTGTGGTGCTGCTGGTCTCCATAGCCGTTGGCGGCGCGGCGGTCGAGGATGACGCAGGTATAGTTTGGGGGAGCGAAGGAGGAGGTTCTTCCAGTGAAGGGGCGCCGCCGAATTGATAGTTCTTGCATGCACGCTGCGCGTCATCGGAGGCGCATTTACGGTAGAGACTTATAGCGCTCGCGGCGCCGCAGAGCTGCGTGGTGTTGCCGGCGCATTTCATCGTGCAGGAACCCAAGTAGCCTTCTTTAGGTGCGTTGTCGGCCTTTAGCTCGTTTCCGCACCAGCATTCTTGTCCGAATTCTAGACCGGCGTGGGTATAGCCCGCAGAGGCGCAGTAGTCGACGCAGGTCTCCACGGTCATGGAGGTGGATGCTGTGTGGTTCTCGGTCAAAGCGCGGGTGAAGTAGTTATCTGTTCCGCAGCCGATGTAGGACCATTGCTTCGTCGTTGTCAAGTCGACGTAGTTCGGTGCGAAGGGGCCTAGCTTCGCGGTGTCGGGGCAGTCAGAGACGGGGTTGGCGGGCCCGGAGCCGTTGGTGACGGGGTTGCAGCCTGGCAGGCTGGGGAGCGGGCCGTTGACGTCTTCACTGACGATGCTGGGGAGTTTGCACGCTAAGCACTCCTCGGCCGTGAACTGGTCCAGCACACTGCACCCCTCGACTGTACCTCCAGGGTCCGTCGTACACGTATCCACCGCCTCCTGCAGGACATCTACATCCCAGCCATTTATAAAGTCCCCATGGAACCCATACCCCGTCGCATCGCCATTCGCAAACACAAACGGCTGCTTTCCATCTACCCACTCCTCTTTAAACCTTCCCGTATCGTACTCCACCTCGTAGAAGAGCGTGGGAAGATGAACTGGAAAGTCAGGCGGACACTTCCCGTTCCCGGGCTCATCAACCGGGTAGGACACGTGGGATTCGCCCATCGGAGGCGCGACGTCTTTCCCGTTCCAGCAGCTGGGCATGAAGAGCATGACTCTGAGATAGTCGGGACAGTTCACGTCCGGGAGCCCCCAGGTATCGTTTGCCAGGCCGCCGCCGGCGCAGTAGTATGTTACGGCGCGGGCGGACAGATCGCCGGTGAAGTTGCGTTTGTCTGGGTCGCCGGCGACCATGCGGAAGCCCGGTGGGAATGCTCGTAATTTCTCGCCGTCTCCGTAGCGTTGGCTGGGGATGAGTTAGCGTGGACGGCAGGTATGGGAGGGCCAGGTACAAGTAGTAGACTGTCATGCCCAGACCATGGTCATCACTGTCGCTGCGGGTGGGAACTGGAGCGAAGCTGCCGTTTCTGAGGTGAACGTTGAGCTGGGGAGTCCAGTAGTTTGACATATCTAGCCTCGTGCTTAGTCTCCATATACACTGTATTTGCTGCTGTGAAGGCAGATCTAAGAGGATTCACCTTGCTTGATCTTGTACGGAGTTAGTATATTGCTATGGTTGTATGGAGCGGGTGAAGTGACTCACGGTGCACGAAGAACACTTCGCTTTGCGCATGTCGTCGTATACCATGGAGGCATTGAAGGCCGATCCACCAGAAATGAAATGAACATGCCCAGAGACAGATCCAGGGCTCATGATAGGATCGATTCGTTCCCTTACAAGGCGTCCAGGACAGGACATTCGGAAGTAAGCTTCGACTGGGGAGAGACACCCGACGAGCCCGAGGGCGAGGATGAGGTTCTTCAAAGCCATGCTGAACAGCATTGAAGGGGAATGCGAGATCAGGGCCCGAGAACTGAAGTAGTGATGTATATAACTATTACTAGAAAGGAAAAGAAAGACTGACTGTAGAGAAGGCGAAGGAGTTTGCAACGAGCATCAAGCTCACAAAAGAAACAAACCCTGCAAATGCCTCCAGGGCGGCGTAGCGGCGGGGAAGCACGTTCTTGCCGTGCCCTCCATATCCGTGCTCTTTATATTGTTGCTGCGTCAATGGCTGGCCCGTTTGTACACTGGCGCGAGGCCGCGGCTGTGGGGTTGGTGTAACGCAGATCTTTGAATCTGGCCCGTGCGATCCTGTAAGTTCACAAATGTTGAACTCGATGAAATTCGTTCTTGTTGAGATTATTGGCTTGTTGAGGAATATTTTGCTGGAAGCCTATATCATCGCGGTGTTGATGGGTCAGGCGGAACTATTGTAAGTTTACACACCGAAGTCGGCGCTTGTGGACGTCGATCCATTCTGGCCGCTTTGTGTGACTGGTTTTGAGGTTGTTTCGCGCTGGGTTGGCGCCTGTGCTCTGGGACCTACGGCTATGTACCTGTGAAGTGTTCAGGTTTTCTAATGCATTGAGCGCTCGTTCGCTCAGAAGGATGCGCGGAAGGATAATTTGCGGCGAGGTGGCCCTTCATAAGGCTTTTGGAGGACCTTCAGGGCTCCAAGTTGTAGACGAACGCATAGCCGGAGCAGGGCAATTCACCAAAACGGCACAGTTCCGATCGACGGTAGGCCCACTGCGGCAGCAGATGACACCCGCGCGTTTGGCAACTTTGAATGTAAGTGTCAGTGGCAGCAGCCGAAGTGTTGGATTTGAGAACCCTTATGGCCTAGCGTTCGCGCTAATCCTAAAAAGGACAGCCCTTCTCCACGCAACAATACACTTATCCTATGAAATCGTCTATCTTCTAGAAGCTCCATGTCGATTCCTCCCATGCGTCCATGCCGACTGAAACATGGGAATCGAAAGCAGTTAAATTATCCAGACGGTTTCCACAGTTACTTACCCCTTGACGTGCACCTAGGCAGCCATGTGGTCGAGACATCGAGGGAACAGGGACAAGGCGGCCCGTTTAGCTGATCTACCTTGCCTGTCTATGGCGCTGCTGGCGGGAGCCGTCATCTTGTGACTTATGTCTCATTGTCCTTCAATTCTCCTTGCCACAGTTCCTCCAGTATAGGCGTGAACTTCAATGCAGTCTAAGACTCGTCCTCAGAAAGCATGAAAATACTCATCTATAACAGACATCGAATCCCGTCCTACACGTGTCCATGTGCAGCATTCGCTAGCCGCTAATTCTTGGGTGCAGCACGTGCGCCTCCAGTGTCTCTGCCACAGGCGACCGTGGACCGTCCACAGTGACACGAGCTTCCCCACGATCGAAGTCAAAGTCAACATCGGGAAATCTAGACTTGTTTGGTCTGGTCTGCAGTGTGTGTATGACTATGGAAGGGTGTTTGCTGGTCGTCAGTGTGTCGGTCACCGATGCATCATAGCGAGCGGTCTGGCCTAGGTGGTCGAAAGTAAGTGATAAATGTTGCGAAACAAAGGAATCGATAAGCTAGAACTGGTTAGTCTATAGACGCCTCATCTCCATCCCCTTCTCGCTATCTCTTCGCTTTTGCAATGACCTCAGAGTCGACCCTTTATCCCTACCGACCTATCTCTCAACAGGAAACAACAACCCATTATCCCTCCTCACCTTCTCCGTAATCTTCAGCGTCTCCCGACTATGCGTCTCAAACCTCTTCGCCGCATCCCAATCCTTCTCGCTGATGATCCTAGCGAAATCCTCCGCTTCCGCTTTCAAGTTGAGCTCCTCCTTTGGCCCACCCAACTCTTCCCTCATCTTCTTCCTTGGATCCCAGAACGTAACCTGCTCAATATCCGTAATCATCGGCACCACCAGCGTGCCCCTCTCCCCATAAATCTCGCTCGGCGCCTGCGAATCCCACATCTTCGTCCCGCAGAGATGCACCACGAAGTTATCATAATGCAGGATCAGCGTGCCGCCGCCATCAGCCCCCGTTCTGATGATCACCGGAAAGTATTGCGCATCTTTCGGTGCGCCAAAGAGGTCCACTGCAGCAGCCACCGTATACACGCCCAAGTCCGCCAGCGCGCCGCCGCCCATATCCAGGTTAAATATATTCGGCGTCTCGCCCTTGAGCACCTTGTCATACCTGCCCGAGAACTGCGCATACGTGATGCTTGCGCCGTAGATCTGGCCCAGCTTCTCCATGCTTTTCTTCAGGATCTTGAAGTTGGCTTCGCGGATGTGGCGCCATGCTTCGATGAGGAAGACGCCTTTTTCTTTCGAGAGCTTGAACAGCTCGTCCAGCTCTTTGCTGGTGGAGCAGCTAGGCTTCTCCAGAATGACGTGTTTGCCGGCCGAGAGCATGGCTTTGGCATGCGAGTAGTGCAGAATGTTAGGCGAGGCGATGTAGACGGCTTGGAGGTTGGTGTCTTTGGCGAGATCGTCTAGGTCCGTATACAGCGTGACTTTTCGGCCTTCATATTTGCCTGCGAACTCTGCGGCGGTTTCTTCTTTCCGCGAGTAGACCGCGACGAGGTTCCATTTTCCAGTTGCGTGCGCGCACTCGACGAAGGAGTGCGTTATCCAACTGGTTCCGATGATACCGAAGTTGAGCATTTTGGGAGTATGCAGAATAGAGATAGAAGAGGGAGAGGAATTGAGAGGTCGAGACGAGGAGGAGGAGGAAGGGGAAGGATGCGATGTAGCATCTACTTGTTTGCGAAGTTTTCTGTTGGGTGGAGTGAGCCCCACCAGAAGAGGAAGTATCCCGACGAGCTAAGTCCAATGAGAGTGATGTCATGAAAGCGGGGAAATTTACTCCTACGAGCGAAGAGCTTAGGAAGCAGAACCATCCAGCTGGGCAGCAGAGTGCACACATGAGTCACAATTAACAATTGAGAAGCATAGGAGGAACTCATCTGCGTTCGGAATGTTTTCGTGTTGCGAAGATGCAGGAGTCTCATTTGCTCCGACTAACTTTCCACGCTCGTACTGCCATAAAGCCAAACCCCATAATCCGTGCTGAGGAGGGTATCTCGCTGATGAAGAATTGAACTCATCATATGCTGTCGTACCATATGCTTGTGTGAAGGAGAGAGAGCAAGCCCGTAACTCATGCTCGATAGCTCTTCGTTAGAGCGTTGAAGGAACGAAACAAACTCCTGGAAGGATGAGAACCGCCAGTGGAAAGATTACACCTAGGCAAAAGCCTGGTCCTTTGATCCCAAACGCCGTAGAATGCTAGAATCGAAGTCGGAAAATGCATGATACAGGGTCATGGTGTCCATCTGCTACTTAGTCCTCCCAAATTGTCTCCAGGTCGAGGTCTCCACGCCTTTCGGCGCCGCAGACGCTCCACCTCTTCCTCGAATCTCGCTTGCCGAAGCCCAGTGTCCGCCCGCTGCCGCCAGGCACGTCGAGACTGGAACGCCGGGCACCTTCGGTGCCCTCCTTCTCGAGATCAGCTGCAGCCTTCAACCTTGCAATGCGGTCTGCCTCTGCGGCCTCAGCCTCCGCATCCGGTGTATCAGGGATCGTTTCGAGCGACGAGATGGAGGGGCTGCGAGAGCGCATAGAGGTCGGCGTGGAGGGCATCGATGAAGAGGTGAGGGAAGACGGGTAGTGGGCGTTCACGCCAGGGAATGGCTCGTTGAACTTGGCTGAAGAGAGCAGGGGTGAGGAGGAGCCCGACCGTGGTGTGCTGGCTGATGGTGTCCCTGTTGAGCCAAGCGACACCTGAGAGAGTGGTGATGCCGGTCTTCGCCTCCTGGACAAGGAGCCGGTGCTGCTGTACAGGGTAGAGATGGGCGATGGTTGGAGGACGCCCGCTTTAGGCGTGAGCTCCAGCTCGGCGTCCTCCGAGATGTCACAAACGCTGGGAGCCCCAGAGTGCGTGTATGAATCGTCCGAATAGAGAGACGGATGGCTGCGCGGGCTGCGTGTACGCTTGGGGGAGCGGAGCGGGGACGAGGGCCGGCCAGGCATCGGCGAAGGGGACAGCGCAAGATGAGTAGAGGGACTGATAACCGCAGGAAGCGAGTGAGCGCGCATCATCGGCGGGGCACTCAGCGAGCTGGACCCGCTGTGTGAGCGGAGGTGGGAGCGTGAGTACGGTGATCGGTTCCGGGGTCGCGGGTGGTGGGTAGGAAGCAGGTCGAATGAGGGCGAGGGATCTGTTTGAGCGCGTGGTGTAGACGGTCGCCGGGCCTCATCAGGGAGGCTACCAATTGTTTTGCCCATGGTGGAAGCACTGCTAGAAGTGCCCTCTGATCGAGGTTGTGCTTCGGAGTGCTGCCCAAAGGGATCAATGGGGTCCTGCTCAGTCGCACCGAGTTTGCGGGGAAGCTCAGCGTCTTGTCGGGGCTGGTGAGAAGGTGTCTCGGGCGCGGCGTTGTGCGAGGTCGGCGTGGTCTCTTGAGCAGCGGCACTCGACGTCGTCATCGCCTTCAGATGCGAGATGAGGCCGTCGGGGCCCGTCTCCGCAGGGAGAGAGGGTGGTGAAGAGGTCAGGTTTGCGGCGGTCATGGCGAAGGCGGCGTGGGAGGAGGATACATATCCAGTGGCGGGGACGTCGATTGCTGTCGCCAGAAAGTAAGGAGTCCAGGGAGCTTGGTGTTGGACTTGTTGGACGTGTTGGTCTGGGTCGTGTACCAGCCGGCGGACGCAGGACGCACCTTGCGCGTTTCAGGCTGCGGGAAGAGAGCGGCGGGCACAATGAGTGGCCGGCGCTGCCTAAATTGTTTGACAGGGAGCTCGGCGCAGAGGCGAGGCGACAGTCGGCGTGCGAGGTCGAGTCGGAGCTGTGAATGAAGATGGTCGCTTGCTCACGGTGATGCCGCCCTGTAACTGAGGGGCTGCGCTCCTGCCGCGGCGGTCGGATGTGGCAGTCGCGAAGGGTGCAGGTCAACAAAGGGCGCACGGGGTGACAAAAGAAGGACTCCAGTCAATAACAAAGGATGGCGCGCTGCTATATAGCTGGAGATGCAACGGTACCTGTGCTTACTGGCCATTATTTGGTCGCACGCCTTCAGCCGCCGTCACCAGCTAGCCGCGGGGCCCGTCCCGGCCAAGCAGACCCTGAATTGCGATCGAATTAGAGCGCCGGCGAGAGGCCGTCATCCCCCTTTTGCGCATGACCAGCGCCGTTCTGAGCACTCTTCACGCGGCCAGCGATTAGCACCGCGGGCGAGGCCAATCAGCCGGCTGCGTTAATCAATTCAAGGCTGCATGCGCCCAAATGGGATCTATCGGTCCCGGTAATGAGCCACCTTCATGCGGTCCAGAATCCTCTCCACACTCTCCACCGTCAAACGCTCGCGGAGACGTGCTGCGCCCGCCCAGTCCTTCAATTATCGCTCTCTGCCTCTGTTTCTTCCTCGCCGCATTAAGCAAACTCTCGCGCCAAACGCCGGGGTCCGATATAGGTACAGTATCTGCGATGGATCCAGCTAATGCGGCGGCGTAGGATTCAGCACCACCACCAGCAACCATCAGGCCGGAAATCATTCGATGCGCTGACCAGCTTCCGCACATAGTCTATCTACAGCCATGTCTAGACCATGCGCTGTGCTTTCAGAGCAGCTAGTCCAAGCCGTTGAAAGGTTGTAGCGTTTTCTCGAGCATGAGCACAACCCCGTCGTAAACCGCCTGCTGGAAGCCCTCATCTCCAAAGCTCACATCTCTCCGGCCAAAGTCGCATCGGACGCACCGTCTCACCGCCTCCGCATAGCACCGCCCAGCATCGAATTCAAGCTTGTTCTCCACAAGTCGTCCAGCGGTGCACCAAGCGACGTCTGGTGTCCCCTCACAATTAAGGTCCTGTGGTGTTTGGAGCTCATGGATCGATTTGCCGTACCAGAGTTCTATCAAGAGGATGCCGAGAGTGAAAAGCGTCTGATTCCGGATGACTCTGCAAGCGGCGGTCTGATGTTTCGTGCATTCATCATCAATGCTGAGTGTAAATTCTCGATGGACGAATGGGTGCTCGTAGATGGAAGTTATAGGTGCCCCCGGCCTGTGGACGAAGATGATGTCCTCCTTCCACCGTTCGTCAAGCCAGGGCGTGTTGGCAAGTTGCAGCACGCTAGAAACTAAGTCGACGGCCACGCGAAGTTTGGCGTGGTTGGAAAATTCCCTCCCCACTTCACTCTTGCTTGTCAAGGTGTCTCGTAAAGAGTACGCCGTCCACTGCTGCTGACATGATAAGGTTCCCTCGAGGAGATATACCCCAAGTTTCCTCCTGGACGCACCGGCAAGGTATCTGACACAACGGTTTCGCTGCGTTGGTTCCCATGTTGCCACGACCGTGCAAAGGTGTTGGATCCCATCAGGAACGGCTTCCGGAGCTGGAGGCCCGAACGGGCTGGAAGCAGGTAGCGTGGTCATCTGTTCCACCTGGATCGGGGCCTGCTGGAATCGCACCCTCCTTGTCGCTTTGGCTGAATTGCAGACATTCTGACTACGGGCTGGCCGGGCTGTGCATATCGGCTTGTCCTCGATGAACCGAATCTCAACTTTCCGCCAGAGCGGTGAGGCTGGCGTTTGTGAGTGAGCTTCTCCGGTTCCATTGGAAGAGAGTATGACCCTGAAAGGTCTAACCGAGTGTGTCTCATCTTCCAGCTTTCCCGACTCATTATGTCTAGCCTCTAACCGAAGGTTGACAGCGTGCCTATTGCAGCTACAGCGCAATCCAGAGCGCAGGGCGTCGTAGAGGCATCGGGTGTAGCTTTGCAACGCCATGAAGTTAGGGCGTGCTGACCGCGTCTGCGGACCAGTCCTGACTGGCTCCAGCCTCAAGGACTGGTCCGTTAAACGCTCCAGTGCTCTGTTGTGGTTCTTCAGGTCTTGAATCAGAACTGCGTATTCTGACTTCTTGAAGAAGAACTTGATGCGGTCTTTTTCGTGCTTGATCACATTTGATTCGGAGGAGCGAAGCTGGATGTCGTTAGCGAAGCGTTCTATCTACGGTAAACAATCTGCGTAGAGGACAGAGCAAAGGAGACGGACCTTTCCTTTATTCGACCCCAAATGTTCTAGCAACTTGTTTAACGACTCCTCCATCCCTCTCACGTTGTCGACATATATCGTGAAGGAACCTCTCAGCCGGTTCCTCAATTTCGATTCCACATCGACATCGCACCAAGCGTCGCCTCCCGGTACCGATAGAAACTCCGCCATGCACTCATTTCCAACGATACCGGTGAGCAACTGTTCCAGGGTGTTGCGGTAGAGAGTTTGTTCAGTCTCGACATCGAGAAGCAGCGCTTTCAAGTCCAATTCGAACCGCCGAAGTTTGTTCATCTTCACTATGCCCTCGCGGAAGTGCTCAAGGGTCAATAGGCCGAGTGGCAGAGAGCCTAGAACGATCCCGGCAATCTCAAAGCCCGAAATTGCTCGCAAAATCCTCGAATTGAGGCAAAGGTATCGCAGAACGAAACAAGTTGGTGCGGTCGTAGGCTAGGAGAAGGTGCGAGGCAATTCCTACGCGCAGCGGACACCGTCAAGCCTAGAGTCGCCTGCGGGGTCGGACGCTGTTACTAGCACCTGTGTCACGGTCCACCAATTGGTCCCATGATACCACTGGTAACCTTGTGGATTCTAACGCAGTCCTTTCGGTCAATCTGCTACCTCATCCGACCCTTTAACGTCATCCTCATCTTCGTGGATTGCGGTCTTAGCCTACTTACAAGGGATATTGCTCATGCCAGACATTTAGAAAGATTCGTAATGCAATCGACAGTCTCCTAGAATCTGCTTCATACTCGGAAGGGTCCAGCCCGTACGATGACCAACAATAGAGCAACAGCCGACCCCTCTCACATCGCAATCTACGTTGGAACCTGCCTGAAGGGGTTTCAAGACATTCTAATCGGCATACCCGCAGCCGACGAGACAATCAAAGAAAAAGTACGGCTCTCGAGTATCGACGACGAGTTCGGTCGCTTCCGCCTCTAGTGTGGCAATGTCGCTGCCCATCGGAGCGGTAGAAGTTCGCTTGACCATAGGCTTCGAGAAGCATCACATATTCGAGACACGATTGTCAAACTCTTGACGAGCTTGGAGAATATATTAAAGGAGGCACGCGAAATTGTTCAAGGCGACAGGATTCCTTGGGAGGATCTGTCTGATACAAGCTCCGAGGCTAGCAGCCAAGATGATCGAGAGGAGCCAGCGACCGAGCTGCGGCAGCTTGTCGCTAGCATGGCGGAGATAATCACCTGCTTGATGCGATTGTCCATGGCTATTCGGAATCCAGCACCCCGCGATCAGTTTAGAGGATCCGCGCAGATTGATATGAGCTGTTATGAGCCATTCGATATCGAACACGTCCGCGGGAAGTACCCGCAAGCGGAGGAGTTCTTGATCATCCGACTTGGCAGGGCGATATCGCGCAGAAGGCAATATCTTCGATACCGCGATGAACACCGCAAGAAGCTTGGTCGTGGATTAGAAGAGCACGCTCTTGTTGACAACACCGCCCGGACGATTGCGCCGTCAGAAAATATACAAAGTACAGTTGCGTCGTCGATCCCTGCGGCAATAAAGCTAAGTGCTTCCACTCTCGACCTAGACGAAGAAGACTACGCAGAGGATACACTATCGCAGACGTCTTACGCTTAACGATCCCTCTAAGTTGCGACCTCCACCTCTTCCGGAACAAGGCTACCACGGTCAACCCTTCGAATGCCCTCTCTGCTTTCGCCTCGTTTTCATTCAGGGTACATCAGTTTGGCAGAAGCACGTCTACGAGGACTTACGCCCTTATGTCTGCACATTCGAGAACTGCAAGCTCCCAGATTGCTCTTACGAGTCACGGCACGCCTGGTTCAACCACGAACTTCAAGCACATCGGAAACTGTGGCAATGCATCGACGGCTGCGATCAAACCTTCCACTCGTATCACGATATCCGTGAGCATCTGCACAACACCCACGCTAACCACGCAGATGATAGTCGACTTAGTGATATTATCCGCACTTGCGAGAGGACTCTAGGGATGGGCATGGCCGGCTCATGCCCACTGTGCCAGCAGAGGCTCCCTTCACTGACGCAACTTCGGCGCCACATAGGAAAGCATTTGGAGGAGCTGGCATTGTTTGCTTTGCCGTCCCACGTAGCAGATGACCAGAGCGAGAGCGACGATTACGAAAGCACTGAGTCGCGCTCGCTTTTAAGTAATCGGAGCATCGGTCAGTCTCCCGAACCAAACCTTGATAGAGGTGACAATAACAGGGACGGGTTTCTTATTCTAGACGAGAATCCACCTACACGGTCTTCCAAAGAACCGACATCTGAGCCCAGCGACGAACCTAGCTCTGCAACAAGCCCTGATGCCGGCGACGCTGATACTAGCGCAAAGCTGTACTTCAATGATGGTTTTGGTCGAAAATTCCATTTCCCCTGGCACCTAGTCAAGACTTGGGAGGGCATGGACAAGCTTATCAAGGACATGTTCATTGGCGCCGAGTTAATCGGTCCCCATGTTGGTGAGGGGAAATATATCCTTTTCGATGATCGGGATAGGCGTATTCAGCAAACGGAGTGGAAGCAGATGGTTCACCCAGGAAGCTCTGTTACGATGCGGCTGCGGGACATTGACGCCTGGTCGAGACTGCCCCCACCATCGCCGCCGCCGCCGCCGGGACCTTGGAGCAGGCCACAGTGGTCAAAAATGGTGCGTTTCAAACGTGAGCTGCCTTACTCACCATTTCCAGAGTTGTGAGTAGATATTACACGTTCTATTTTACTGAACTAACGTCAAAGCAAGGATATGTCCCGAATGCTTCAGATATTTCGACCCCTTGGTGCTAGACTGTGGCCGTCATTCGGAGTGCGCTGTGTGTTTTCGATTTAGCGGAAAAGTATCACCCTCGTGTGAAAAGTGCAAGAACAACCGTCACGACGAACAAATTTCCCCTCAATTGCGCTCCGCAGAGAATCCAGAACGCAAACCCGACGAAGCCCAACCCCTGTTTCCTTCGAACCACTCACCCCAACCCAAAAAAGTAACCCAGCGACGCCTGGAATATTATGGCTTCGAGGGGCTCCGCAATCTATGCGAGAAGCGCTTCGGGCCCGACAATTACAGGATATGGGTACGTTCTTCCTCTACAAGCTCTGCTATTATCCCTGGCCAAACTACTTACGCGCTTGGTAGGGCACAGGCGACATGATAGTCTGGAAGTTCCATCCTCCATCTCAGAAGTACGTTGATTCGTTTCGTTCGGAGTTGATGTGTGAGCCCTGGATTGGAGCATGAGCTGACACGTTGCAGAAGGAGGTTGTCGAGATGATTAATAGGCCATGGAAAGATACATAAGATATATAGATATAGGTTTAAAGTGGTTGGTATGTCAGTAAAGATTTCAAGTCGAGATCTGCGAAGGAGGCGCAGTTCAGGCGACGGCTGCGGATTACTTTCGGAACCTACATTAAGGAGGATATTTGTACTCAAAGACGATTTCTTTGGCCGCGAGTGAAAGAAGGAGGTGGTAGGTACACATTGGCAAAAGCTTTTCCCATCCCGCATAGCTGGGCTGGCTTTGCTGCTAGTACCACTATTGCGGACATAGCCCAACAACGCTTTCCAGATGACCTAGAATTCACCACCGTTCCAATATCGTCGGCGGTATTGTTGTTTCTAAGTCAGCGCTTGAAGAAGCTACCGTATCTCAGTTGAGCATTAATCAGCGATTGTCGCGAATAGAACACCTACTCCAGCGCGCTGTCGACGGAAGAGAGATATCAGGCTGCGTAAGCAACATTACGGTTTGTTATATAGGCTCACATATTCTCCTCAATCGATATATGATTCCACTAAGAAATTGACGCGATTTAGAAAGTATGCGTATGACTAAATTCGGGTCTCAAAGGTTGAGCACCATGTATCGCGATATCAGTGCGTTGTTACGACAGGACTTTGGAATTCCAGTAACTAGTACAGGCCCAGGTATCAAACTGTAATCTGATCCGCCCAGACAATCCAGCTGCGGCCTCCAGATCCCTGAGCAGGGCACCCAATGCAGACATAGTACTCCCTCCCGGTGTTCGGTCCCTTTTGCGTGACGGCACGCTGAGTCCTCCACGAAGAGTTGCAGTTTCGACAAGCCGGCAACCGAGGTGCGGGAGCGGGAGCGGCTACCACCGCAGTCTTGAAAAGAGGTTAGCAAAGGCAATGGAACGCACTATGAGGGCGGTTACGGACGCTTTGTTGGTAGGTGATGTTGGTAATGTGGACTTTGCGCGAAAAGAGGCCCATAGTGTGCTGGATACCGGAAGGTTCTAGTGAATGGTGGGAGGGGAGGAGGATAGAGCAGCCGGGCTCTAGAGAGGGATTTCTGAAGCGATAGAGGGAAAGAGAATCTTTGATATTTTGGAATGGCAGCCGGTACTTATACCCCGCTTGCGCCTTCGCACTGACTGCGATGAAGTGTACCGCCTACTGCTGCGTGATCCCCAATTCTCGCATTTCATTGGTCTGTAGGATGAGAGAGCAAGCCACGAAACCGCAGACGCAGGCGATAACCAATCGTCTGTGCCAAGCTCTGTGAATAGCATATCTCGTAGCGCCCATAGGGGTCAAGCATGCACTAACAGCTCAATTCGATTGATTTACTGCAAGCAAAGCCTTATCTGGTAATCCATGGCGAGATTCGTGACTGGGATCAAGCGACGACTACATGCCTACCGAGAGCTCCGTATTCAATGTGACAGCCGTCTGATCGAAGTAGAAGACTTTATTTCCTTTCAACTTGGAACTTCGTGTGGAGAATGTGCCGTATATAACTTGTCGAGGTACCAGCTAGGAACCTGGCTCTGTAACAGAACACACTTTTTCATTAATAAGACGTGCCTAACCGAATCTGGAAGAGCTACAGGCTTAAGTAGCCCTGGAGCCCCAACACTTTAATTATTTAAGATACTTGAATATAATGTTGTTCCGTTGCACGTGGATGCACGTTAGTGAGATCCTATTCTTTTGCGTGGGACTATGCAGCTATGCCGTAATGTAATGGACGCAATCTACCCTGCCAATGCAATCTTATCGTGCAGTCCTAACCCCAAGGGAACTGAGCCCGACCACGATATTCCTGATGCCTTCGTGGTATCATTGGACACCCGCTTTCCAATCGCCGTCGGCGGGCAAACCGCCAGACGCCAGCCCGGTGCCTTTTAGACCTCCTCAAACCACTCGGGGTCTCCCCACTTACGCACCGGCTTCCACGGTCGCGGCTTCCGGAGGAAAGGCTTCTGTTCGGCCAATACCACTTAGCACATACTCCAACACATGCATTGAACAAAGTCCAGAGAAATCCACATAAATCCATTGTGCTCATGACGTTACCTTTGGGGCTGCGGCAGCGACCGTGCTCTTCTTCCGCGGCTGCGTGGCTAGTCCTTTCTTGAGGAGGAGCGGGATGATGTCCGTGGCTTTGGAGCGGTTGATGAACTTTCGGCAGACGGGGCATTGCGAGCGCTTGGGTTCGCCGGGGCCGGAGCGGTTCTCGCCTGCGATGAGGGCTTCCATAAGGCACGTGTGACAGAACAGGTGGCCTGGCACTACGTTAGCTCGGACTGACTTTGTGAAGAGTGTATGGAGGCTTACCACAAGCGGTAGCCGTAAGGTCCGTCGGCGTGTCCATGCAGATAACGCAGGTGAGCGAGTTGAAGTTGGTTGCCTTCTCCTCTTGCGTGCGCTGTGCTTTGACGGCCTCTTCTCTCTGCTTCTGGAGCACCTCTAGCACGGCCGCCTTGTCCTCTGAGAGATCGATCTCCTCGACTTTCGCCTCTGGCGTCTTGCTATTCCGCCGCAGCGCGGTGCCGTCATTCTGCTTCAGCCTTTTCGAAGAGGGCCCTGGCGAAGGGCTTTCTCGCTTCATGCGCCGTTGCCCGACGGGATCCGGTGGCGAGTCGCTCGTCAGGTCGACGTAACCGTTCGACAGGCGGCCGGGCAGCTCGCCACGCTGGCGGGTGGATGGCATGGTGTTTACCGGTATGGAGACAACTGGTGAGCGCGGCCTTCGTCTGGCAGGAGGGCTGGGAGGAGGGTAACTAAACGGGCTTAGTCCGGGCGCAAGCGGGTTGAGGATGCTGTCGAGGGAGCACGGCGGAGGTGAAGGCGAGGCGCGAAAGGCCTCTTCGAAGTACGAGTTAGCGCTCAGGTAGGGAGAACTCTGCTGTGAAGCCGGGACCGAGTGCAAAATGGTGTCGAAGTTGTAGTGCGAGTGAGGCCGGGAGCTGTCTGGGCGTGGTGGGAGGTGATCTGTGTATGCTGTGAGAGCGGGGAGAGGGTGTGGGAAGTCGCCGCTGCGAGCATTTGGATTAGATGCCGACATGGTGGCGAAGACGGCGGGCTTGGAGAGGGACGGACTGGAGATTGAGCCCCTCGCGAGGGCTGGATGAGTCTGGCAGGTGAGGCTCGGCCGCCTCCCGGAGCGATCGTCGTCGGGTGGTGGCACAAGACGTCCATGCACGCTGCAGGCCGATTATCAGCCCTATCGCGCGCCAAGATTTCGCGAAGCTGATGCGGAGGGCAGCTCTGATGAGCGCCATCACCACCGTCTGCAGCCCCCGCCACTACACCCCCCATCAGACGGAATGAAGTGACGCGTAGCCACTTCACGCGACTATGCGCTGCAGCTCCCACCGAGTGCTTACTGCGAATTTTGTTACGAGAGCGCGACTCCCTGTAGCTGCGAATTCCCCTGTCTGGCGCGCATCGCGAAGATGGCTCGCCACAGTCCGGCCGACAGAGCGAGAGGCAGGTAGCAGTGCGAGGCATAGGAGCTTGTCTGGTATGCGATAGCGGAGGTGCCCAATTTCGTGCGACTACTAAAACTTTACAGTGCCATCCGAAGCCCGATTCAACGAGATAGGGGTGCAGCAGCTCTCCAGCCATGTCCACTCGCAGGTCTTCCCCGGCGCAAGCACCGCAGCCCCTCCCGAACTCGTCGCCCTCTCCAAAGACCACCTCACGCGCCATGACCTGCTGGGCAAAAACCAGGACTCGACTCCGCCAGTCGGGTTCGACCTCCCTACCCTACAAGGCTCGACACTAGATGAACACTTCTACAAGCTGGGCATGGCTGCGGCGGAACCGTATCTGAGTATGGCGAAGAAGCTGGCGTGGGCGAACCCTCCTCCGAAACCTCGAAAATGGGTACAGCAGAGCGGCTGGACAAAGTACAACAGCGATGGCACGACCGAGGCTGTGGAGGCGCCGGATGAGGAGATGCTGATCTTTGATACAGAGGTCATGTGGAAAGAGACGTCATTTGCATGCATGGCATGCGCCGTCAGTCCCACAGCGTGGTACGCTTGGATATCGCCTTGGCTGCTCGGAGAGTCAAAGTCAGATCGACACCTTATACCCCTCGGCGACCCTTCAAAACCCCGCGTGGTCGTTGGTCACAACATAGGATACGATAGGGCGCGAATAGCGGAAGAGTATGATATCCGGCAATCGAAAAATTCCTTCATCGACACCATGTCCTTGCACGTCGCATCGAACGGAATGTGCTCCCGACAGCGACCATCCTGGATGAAGCATAAGAAGAGTAGGGAGTTGCGGGAAAAGATAGCAACCGCGGAAGAGAACGCTGATCTGTCGCACTTGCTGGACTCTGGCGCAATACCCGATGAAGAGGAGGAGCTGTGGATAAACCGAAGCGCCATCAATTCATTGCGGGACGTTGCGAAGTTCCACTGCAACATCACCATCGATAAGGCTCGGCGGGAGTACTTTGGCGAACTGGATCGAGCCCGAATCGTTGAGAGACTAGACGAGCTGATCGATTACTGCGCGGCCGACGTCGAAATCACCCATCGCGTCTATCAGAAGGTATTTCCTCTGTTTCTGGAAACATGTCCTCATCCCGTCAGCTTTGCTGCGCTTCGCTTTCTGGCTGCAGAGATACTCCCAGTGAATGAGACTTGGGATGCATACATCCACAACGCAGAGGCGACCTATCACAAGCTTGACGATGCCGTCAGGGAACGACTGGTCAACCTGGCCGAAAGGGCGTTAGAAGCTAAAGATAAGCCTGAGGTGTACCAGAACGACCCTTGGCTTAGCCAGCTGGACTGGTCAGGCCAGGAAATCAGAATGGTGAAAGGAAAGAAGAAGGACGATCCACCGAGGCCGGCCGCGCGACAGAAGAAACCGGGTATGCCGAAGTGGTACAAAGACTTGTTTGCCAAAAGTGACGCCCCGATCAGTCTAACCGTCCGCACTCGGATAGCTCCCATTCTGCTGAAGCTATGCTGGGATGGGAATCCGTTGGTCTGGTCAGACAAGTATGGGTGGACGTACCAAGTGCCCATGGAAGAGGTCTTCATGTACAACGAAAGAGGTTTGAAGGAACTTGATATGTCAGAAGAGGAGAATCTGAAGTTGCGCGACGATACCCGGCACCGCTATTACAAGATACCCCACAAGGACGGCCCGCTCGCACGGTGCGCAAATCCGCTGGCGAAGGGCTACCTTCAGTACTTTGAGAAGGGCAAGCTCACATCGGAGTATGAGTACGCAAAGGAGGCACTCGAGATGAACGCATCTTGTTCCTACTGGATAAGCGCAAGAGACAGGATCATGTCGCAGATGGTAGTGTACAACAAGGAGGTGCCAAATGCGCCGAAGCTTGCCTCTGCATCCGGAAAAGGCAGGGTGAAGAAAGTGGGCTTCATCCTTCCGCAAGTCATTCCTATGGGCACCATCACTCGACGCGCCGTCGAGAATACATGGCTCACGGCGAGCAACGCGAAAGCCAACCGCGTGGGATCGGAACTCAAGTCCATGGTCCGGGCGCCGGAAGGATATTGCTTTGTAGGCGCCGACGTCGACTCTCAAGAGCTGTGGATAGCCAGTCTGATCGGTGATGCGACATTCAAGCTGCACGGCGGTAATGCCGTTGGCTTCATGACGCTTGAGGGCACGAAGGCAGCAGGCACGGACCTACACTCCCGCACCGCAGGCATTCTGGGCATCTCAAGAAACGATGCCAAGGTGTTCAACTACGGGCGGATCTATGGCGCAGGCCTGAAGTTCGCAGCAACGCTTCTACGGCAGTTCAATCCCACGTTGACAGATGCGCAAACTACAAAGACGGCGAACGACCTGTACCTGAATACGAAGGGCAAGAAGACGACTAGGAAGCAGCTGCACGAACGACCGTTTTGGAGGGGCGGCACGGAGTCCTTTGTTTTCAACAAGCTCGAGGACTTCGCCGAGCAGGAACGGCCGCGGACGCCCGTGCTAGGGGCTGGCATCACTGAAGCGCTCATGCGTCGCTATCTGACTAAGGGCGGCTTCATGACGTCACGCATCAACTGGGCCATTCAGTCTTCGGGAGTCGACTACCTCCATCTTCTAATCGTCGGCATGGACTACGTCACTCGACGATTCAATATCGACGCTCGTCTCGCAATCACGGTGCACGATGAGATTCGATATCTGGTGAAGGAGGAAGACAAGTACCGGGCGGCAATGGCGCTCCAAGTCGCCAATGTCTGGGTGCGCGCCATGTTCTCACAGCAGATGGGCATCAACGAGCTGCCCCAGTCTTGCGCATACTTCTCCGCTGTCGACATCGACCATGTGTTGAGGAAAGAGGTGGACATGGACTGTGTGACGCCTAGCCACAAAGAGAAGATTCGGCATGGGGAGAGCCTGGACATTGCTGCACTCCTCGACAAGGGTGACGCGGCACGACTAGATTCCTCCATTGTCCCGAGAGATGCTCCCGCTATCGATAAATACGCCAACTCCTACGAGCCTCGTGTGCCCGTCATGGCGGCGTTGGACGGCACCGACTCCACCTCGATCGCGTCTCTGGCATACCTGAGAGCACAGATCACGGGCGACGATAAGGAGCTCCGTGAAATCACGAAGACGATCCGTGCTCCTGTGCCTCGAACTCCGCGAACAAGGAGCAGAGGGTCGAAATCGTGCGCCGAAGACGAGGAAGCGGAGCGCAGCATGCACCACTACCAGCAGATGGCGCATCTGCTACCGGTCGAGGAAGTATGGCAGGCTAACAAATTCACAAAGAACTGGGGCCACACGAAGCCGGGTACGTGGCATCACATGCACCCGCGAAGTACGCCGCATAGACCTGTGCGCGTATAGGAGGCTCGTCGGAGTAATTGTTGCGCAGCGTCGCCGTTTGGCATGGCATTTGTATATATGTTGTATGGGATATTGTAACGGCCGTAGTCTAGCTTATTATACATACTCTTGGAGATCTGGATACTAATTAATCTACCGGACGGGCGCAGGCGCGGCGCCTTGGTTGCATATACGGCGGAGCTTGGAGGAAGCGGCGCCGGCAAGATGGAAAAATGGCGGATAGATCGCAAACCTTCCTTGCACTTCTCGTATCTAGTCTATTATAAAATCAGTAATCCCCATCCTTTCCAACGCGAAATTTTTTCTTTTTCTATGATGTGTACATGTCCCACGTTTCTCGCGTTGCGTTGAGCAGAAGATCAGCAAAAGTCCAGGCGACTGTGGACTGATCTCGAACACTCATTCCAGGTTCCAAGGTTCATTCAATCAGCAAAGCACGCCAGTCCAGAGCCGCATGTCGATCACGTCAGGGTCTCGCGGATGCCGAAGTTGTGCCTGCAGCAGATGTCGGTTGCCGGGATGCCGGTGACTCGCCATGCGTCCTTCCCTTTCACTTTCTACGCCAGGCCAACTCGTCGTTGAGTGAATGCTACAGCAGTCTCTTCTGTCAGAGCAATTCTCCGCAAAACGTGAATTACACTCCGTACACGGGACCCCGTTTACCCCAGAGAGTTACGTGCGCGTGCGCGTGGGGTGTCGAGGGTCGGGAATACGGGGCAGGGATGTTTGTTTTCGGCCCTTGGCGCACCCCTGTCCTCTGTCGCGGGAATCTCACCGCTTCGCCGCAGACCAGCATGGCGCGAAAATTGTGCACGGCTTGTGCTGAGCCTCCTTTTCTTTTTTGAGCTGTGCGACAAGACACGACCCTCGGACAGGCCTGCTCTCCTTCATAAAGCGCGCACGTTCGCTCTTGACCTCGCTTCCCCGCATTCTTTCACTCCGCTCTCTGCTCTACTTACGACTTTCACTGCTGCGATTGACTGCTATTGTTTGCGAAAGGGCCAGACAGGAAAGCGCAAACTAGCTCTGCAACGGGATACGTGTCGGAAGCCCCTACCCTACAGCTTATAAACAAGCCTCTCCCGCGGCCTTCGAGTCACCGCGACAGAACACACACTTTACACATACACGCCTCAAGTCATATACCACACCAACAAGCGCAATGGCTCCCCGCTTCGTCCTCCCCAAGCGCCTCCCCATAACCGCCAACTTCAGGCCCGCCGCCTACCGCTTCAACTCGAGCAGCAGCTCCAGCAGGGCTGCGCGGGTCATTGAGATGGCCGCGCAGGCGGAGAAGCCTAGTGCGTACATACCGCGCTGCGGCGTTGTGGATTCGTGAGCTTAGATGGCTGATTGGCTTGCAGGCGCGATGGAGACCGCTGTCCCTGCTATGTGGGCAATCTGCGGTGGTTTGATCTACGCGGCTTGGAACCGCATCGATGAGAAGAGCGGGCAGGAGAACGTTGATAAGGTTCGTATTCCTCCCCGTCTTCTTCGTGCACCGTCTACACACGCACACATCGAGAAGGTGTAGTGGCTAACAAGGCAATGCAGCTCCTCATCGTCTAGTCCTCTTCTCTCTTCACTTCGATCATCAATCATCCCGCCTGTCCCTTCCGAGCATCTAAAGCGGCATTTTCGATTCGATTCGAGGCGGATTAGATACTGCATAGCATGCGTGAGAGTGGGATAGATTGCGATGTTTGCATTTGCATTACTTGCATGCGTTTAGCTTGCGGATAGACAAGACTTGCTTCCTCTTCTTCTTGTTTTGGGGTACGTTTGGGAAATGACATGGGCTCTTCGCGGCTCGGTCTCGGTAGGGTAATGCTCACGGTTCACCTTTAGGGGGTGGGGGGAGGGGCGGGAGTATGAAAGGCGTTTTGGTACGGTACGATACTCAACCTAGATCACTTAAGTCTTCATAGCTTTCCTTTTGTCATGTTCATTGTCGTTGTTAGCGGGCCGATTCGCTTGGTGATGTTCTTCATCATCATTCATTCCTCGTCTCTTCTTCCCAGTCAGTCATCATCGCACTACGAGTCACATGCCCCCATCCCATCCCATCCTTCCTTTCAGACTATAAATATCCCCGCTCCCCCCACCCCCTTCTACCTCTCTACACACCTCTTCTATTAGGAGCGCGACTAAAATCGTTTCACGCTCGCACCGATGTCCGGGCTCGTTTGGGGGTGCTCCGCCGTCCGCGCCACAACGATGCAACAAAACGCGTCCTCCTTCCTTGGAAGAGCGCATAAAAGTCCAACCATGCTACGCATATGCTGTTGGAACAAGGCCAGGCGGGGTCGGAAAGCTAAACTGCAATGGATCCATGTGCTGGTGCTGGTTCAGGTTTTGATCTGTGAAGGGGAATGCTTCGAACTTTTGAGAAAGAGCTGTCAATGTGCGTGCCTCGGGAGGGAAGGGGAAGGGATGTACGAGATATGTGTGAGGACCTCGTCTACTTTTTTCGGCTTCCCTACCTACCCTTCCGCGCGCGAGTATAAAAGGATGCTTTCTGCGCCCGTAGGCGTCTCTTCTCTACACTACACAACTTCCCTGCCTCCCCCGGGTTATTAAAAGTTGCCGAATGCGATTGCATGTCTTGCTCCCGGGAGCTCGGGGGTCAAATGGACTAAAAAGGACGTTCTGGAGACGATATGTGCGGATCCGCGGAGAGAAAGAGCACTTAAATGCATGAGACAGTCGAAGTATGTGGGCGGGCGAGCACCGCGGTCCTTGAACTCAGCTATGAGGGAGAGAGGTGCTTCTATTTAAGAGATGTCCAGGAAAACGAGCCGTGGGAGAGTGTTAGGATGGTGGCGAAGTGTCAGGGCGATTTTTCGTCTATGGCTCTATCTAGTTGGATTTGGAGGAATAAAAGTCTCCTCTCACCCATCCGCTCGATTTGTTCTTCGCGCCCATGCTGCTGCCTTTGCAGGCTCGGTAAAAGAGGGCTAAGAGGCATACATGTGCCTTTTGGCCGTCCTGCTGCCGGGGAGGATGCGGACGCAGACTAAAATAAGCTTAGCTCCTAGTCATGTTTCTGGATTCGAGCCGTGCTGGTACGTACGAGAAATCGCACCATGGATCAAGCGATGTGGCTGGAAGAGCACTACTCAAAAGAACCATCAAATTGGGCCATGTGCTGAGTGCGCTTCCACAGGAGCGGCTCTGGACCGGAAAAATCATGCTCGAAGCCAGGATACCCGCCAGGGAGGAGTGGTGCGAGTCGACGACGACGCTTACAGCATCCCGTCTCCAGCGCTCCTCGCGAATATAAAAGCGCACCCCAAACCCGCCAGTACAAGACTCTTCACAACTTCACGACGAACATCGTCTGACTAAAAGCAGCGAGGAAGCGTCGCATGCGCTGTTTCCCACCCTAGGACTCAGACGAACAAAAAACGCCGATTCGCTACAATCATGCGCTGTCTTGAGGGGAACACGGAAGACAACTCAGAATTTGGGGCATGCTGGCACGGGCCACGCTTCTCTAAAGATTACCTTTACGGGAAGGCATGTTTGAACTGCCCCTGGGTGAAAGGTTGGTGTGGATTACAAACAGAGAAAACAGTTCGCGAGTACGTGGTATGCTTGCTGCCTTCTGCTCGCCTTCTCCTCGCGGATATAAAAGCTCGGCCTCTCCTCTCAGCGGCAGACCTCACGATCACTTTACGAGCACCGCTGGACTAAACACAATGCTGGGACGGCACTATGTGTGCCCTTCTTTTGCTTCAAAGCACTACAAACACTTCCCACAATCTGGAGCCCGGAAAGTGAGGGACTATACGCAGTTGGAACCAACACGCGCGTAAAGATGCAAAGAATTCCCGACAGCAGGGGCGGAATCCCCATCCTCAGCTTTGCCACGTATAAAAGAAGTATTTCAAGGCCTTTCTTTCCTCCAGTCCCTTTACGCTTCCGCTCTTCTCCGGGGGTTCGAAAATCCTTCACCGAAAGACCTTGACCATGCCCACATGCGCTGTGCACTCTCCTGTGAAGACGCGGACGACATCCAGATAAAACTAGTGAGTTGCAAAGCCATGGGCCTTTGAGGACGCTCCATAATAGATCAAGTGCGGGCGCTGTTCGATGTCCCTGCATTTGGAAGGAGACCTACTCTGCTGCAAAACCGAGCGGGCAGCTGGCCATGTCTGTGTTTGTTCCTGGCGAGCGAGATGAATCGACGGTGGTAGAGAAAATACCACTCTCAACGAATGCTTCCTCTGCCTATACAATTCTCGGACGGCTATGAGGACACGGATGTGCTCTTTCTAAAAGACCTTATGCTCGCCTACATGGCTGCCTGCGCGCTGTAGAGAAACCTAAAACTGGCTGGCTGGCTGGCTGGCTGGTTGTATGCCTAACAAAGTTGCCATGCGTGAATGGCCGGGGCCAAGCTTCGATGTCTGAAGCCACCGCATACTGAATATGGTTGGGTCTGTGGCCTGGAGGAGCGAGTCGGAAAATCTCGATCTTCTAAATCCATGGGGATTTGTTATAGGCTTGTGGCTCGTGATATGCCGTTCCTCATTGCGACAGTGTTTGAAATCGTCGCCTAGTTTCGAAATGAGCGTTGGACGTGCGGGATCGCTTCTGCGACAGTTCCCTCTCGGGGAGTATAAAAGCACGACTCGTTCGCAGACTTTCTTCCTCTTCACAACCTCGAGCTGAGCCGGGCCTGACTAAAACATACCAGACCCCTATGCATGCTGCGTCTTCCAAAAAAAAAAAAAAAAAAAAAAAAAAAAAAAGATGAACTTGCGCGACCATGTGCTCTGCGCGCGAGGCGGACTGCGAAGAGATGAATTAAAAGATCGCGAGGTAGAGTTTCATGTTCTGGCTCAAACAGCAACAGCACTAGCAACATGGGGACGAAGGGGGATGTACGGGATTGTATCTCCTCCAGCTGCTCCTCTTGGGTATAAAAGCACGACTGTCCTTCTCACCTTTGGTATCTTTACGACCGCGCATTGAGTTGAGCTTGACTAAAATGGCTTGCGATATGAATAATGCTAGTGTTCGCTTCGGGGGTTTGAGTATGGACTAAAAGATCAAGCGATAGTCCGCAATGTGCTCTGCGGGAAGGAGGGCTGGGAAGAGATGCAGTACTGAGCAAATCGAGTTAGGGGTTCCGACAAAACGGGGCCACCCATTCCAACATGGAGTAGGCAGCGGAATTTCAGAAGCTTTTCTTCAACCCATTCGTTGGAGAGGATATGAAAGCCCACTTCCCTACACTTCTCTCCCCCTCTTCACTCTCATTCCTTGTGCTGGGATATACCAAAAAAAAAAAAAAGTACCTGTGAGATGCCATAGTGCACTAAACACTCAGCCCTTCGTTGATATGAAAGCCTGCCGCTCGGGGGAGCGCCATAACTACAAATCAGCAGCCGTTCACATCGGAAGCCCGAAAGGGCGCGCAGTGAAGTCGTGTGGCTACCAAAACCGCCAAACGCAGAAGCCGATGGATACCAAAACGGATGGATAGTCTTCAGGCAGTCCCCAGGGGGTGTTTTCTTCCTCCAGTGAGAATCCCGAGTGGAACGGCATCCTGAGCCATGAGCGTCTGCACAGTCCGCTCTCTCGTATGGTATAAAGGCCCACTTGCTCTCCCAATTCTCGATCCGTCTTCGCGTGCTTTTGTTTAAAAACAAGTGCTTCAAAGACGAATGGTTCTGTAGGACATCAAAGTATGCCTAGTGCGACATGTATAGGACGAGCGGGAGGAAGTTGAGGCAAATGCGCATGCCAAATGCATAGCAGCATCCTCCACCGGCACTTATCTGTCAAGGGCTCGAGGGTTAATTGCGATCTTATGTGAATCGGTGACAGCGTGGCGTCCTCAAAGGCGAAAAGATGTCTATCTATGTGACGAGCCTCCCTGCTTCCTTGAGGTATAAATACTCTACCGCTTTCCTTTCTTCTCCTTTACCGCTCTCTCCAACTCACCGCCGGAGTATCTAAAAAGCAAAACGAGGACAAATTCCATGAGCTGCCTGTCTTGGGGATACCGAACACTAAAAACGAGAAGAACGGTCCCCATGTGTTTGGGATATCCCAGCTGGTCGAATGTAGAGCAGCGCGTGAACATGGCCATATGACGTTCGGAAGTGCCTATGGCCCATATAGCAATGAGAAGCGTTAGTAATCCAGCCTCTCGACATTTGAAGCGCGTCTTCGCTTGGGGCGGGTGCTCCTCCGGTATAAATTGTCCTCATTTCTTCGGCTTTCTGACTCCACAAATTTCTTGCTCTTCTGTGTGGCCCTTTCAACGCACTATCACCATTATGGTATGCGTGGCCCGAGCCTCGGGCTTTGGAAGCCAAAATGGATCTTATCGTCAACCTATGCCCTGCGCTTTCGGGGAAGCTGATCTGAATGAGACATTTGGACAGCCCTCGGACGCTTATACGGCAGTCTGAAAAGGAGAGGCTTCTCGTTGATGTGGCGTGCTGCTTTCTGGCGTCCGTCACGAGGTGTACTACTCACTTTGTACTCGCAATGACTTCAGCGTCTAAATCGCTCTACGCAGTAGCTAATGCCCCGAGAGAACGAGGCACTTTCATGCGGTGAGGGTCTTGCTACGCATCGGATACGGGGTTTGAGATTAGTAGATTTGATGCTGCTGAGCAAGAAAAAGTCGTGATGTGTAGTAGCATGAAGTTCCGTTCGGAATTCGTGTTCCGACCTCGGAACCATTCCTCCGTGCAGACGAACCGCATTTCGTCAACGTCGTGAACGATTGCTTCTTCATCATTGTCCAGAGATACTGGAAGAAATCGATAGAATGGCACCCATAATCACAACGGCACGAATTGTTTGCAAAAGCAAGGAGGCAAGAGTCACGGTTTGTGCCTTCTCCCTCTTTTCCCACCCCAGCACTGACGCTCCACATCCCAGGTCACTGAAGCCTTCCACAAGATCATCCAATTCACGCAACCACATGAGCCGGAAGTTCTTCGCTACATGGTCACTCTGCCCGTAGAAGACACCACCGGCACGGTTCTGTACATGATCGAAGAGTGCGCGCGCCGACCATTGTTGTCTGATCATAGGCCAGCTCACACGGAACAGATACGCATCTCCCGCCGCAAACGACGCCCACATACCACCGGCCCCGTGCAAGACCTCATCAAACTCTTCACAACCGGCGACGTCCTGGCGCAACCGCCCGAAGTCCACGTCTGCCCCATCATCGCCTCGCACAACTCTTCCCTAGTACCGCGCATATCTTCTAATCCCGCCATTGTCCTCGCGCATTTTGGATACGAAATGCAGACAAGGGAGAAAGCGCTTGAGGGGTCGAAAAGCATTGCGGAGGAGATGAAGAAGGAGAGTGGGACGAAGGGGTTTACTGTTGCGGACGACAAGGAGGCGAGTTGTGTGAGGACTATGGTGGTGTATGAGAGTTGGGAAGCGGCGGAGAGTGTGCATAAGGGGAAAGAGGCGAATATTGAGAGGGGTGGAACGAGTGGGCAGGGAGCGGTGAGGGTCAGGGCTGTCGATGGGTTCTTGGGGAGGGAGGAGAGGGGGAAATTGTGAAAGAGCTGACAGCAGCATATAATGCGAAGATTAAGTCTATAAATCCGAGGCCATATCGAATGTTTGAAATTGTGCACGGATATGTGTAGTCAATTCTGGGATCTTCTGCTTTCTCTTATTTGCCGCGTAGAGCAAGCAAGACATTCTGCGCCCTTGCCCTCAGGTATATATAAAAAGTCCCTGAACGGCACAGGTAGAGTGCATTTCCGATCTGCGCGAAAGTGCTTAGCTAAAATGCATCACTCCGTCACAGGCCCTGTGCCACGGTAAGTTGTATGAGTATCTCTGAAGGCCTTCATGAAACTAATACTACTTCTACAGAGCCAGTGGTCAGATTCTCCAACTCCAAGTACGACCCGACAACTCTCGCTCATACGCCTCCGCGCATACGATTTCCGTTGATACTGGCCTTCTGACCGCAACTTCCGTCTTCTTCCGTAATGCAGTGGGAGAAGCGCTGGCTTATCAAAATAACATTATCAATCTGGTCCATCCCGATCTCGATGCTGTGAAAGGGTACTTGAACTGGACGCAGGACCGCATTATCCATCAGAATCCTGCGCGAAAGTCGTCTCCGCCACGGAAAATCGCAAAGGGAGATGATGGCCAGAGTGTGGCGAAAGAGAAGCAGGAGAAAGAGGACTACCGGATGCTGGTCAATCTCTGGATCTTCGGGCAAAAGGTCCAGGATTGTCTCTTCAGGGACATTGTCATCTCGATGACGGAGAGTATGTTAACGATGCCGGATTCTTCACCCCAAGTATTCATTACCATCCTGGATCCTGCGCTCATCAAATCGGCTTGGGAGGGCACTGATACCCACTCAACGCTTCGCGCTTTCATCATCGACACCATCGCACGGTATGCTTCCAACGAGCAAGTCAAGCAATTTCTCCTCGCCGGTACTGGATATCTTCCAACCTTCCAAACGGACTTATGCACTCGTCTGGATCACTCTCTACCATCGCACCAACTCCCTTCCAACGTAAAGGCCTTGGCACCGATGCCCATTAGGATTCCTCTACCATATCCGCCGTACAGCCGCGAGATGATTGGACGGACGCTGGCAGACGAGGAAGTTGTAACAGGTCTCGTACCGACAATGGGAGAAAACAGAAAGGTGAGAGCGCCAGTGCAGACCATTGACGAGCTGGTCAGTGGAGAGCTGAGCGAGTTGGGGAGGTGGTGTGTCGAGAGGTGTGGCGGGGCGTGCGGGTATCATGAGCATCAAGACGGGGAGAGCTACTGGGCGACTTCATAGATCAGATATGAGACGTTGAATCTGATGATAGGAATGATGATGGAAATGCCTACCACGTGCTAGCGCGAAACCGCGTTGCAGCCATGACATCACCACTCGCGATCCTTCTCCATTCCACCGCTCCCTCCGAACTATTACCACAACCCGCTATTACAGACACACGTCAGAACAATGAAGTGGTCTCTGCAAAACACGTTCCAAGTCATCCGTCCCAGCAATACCAATTCCTAACTCACGCGACTTTATGCTTTACTCGGGGTGGACGCGTCCACTACGCACCGCATGCAGACACATTCCTCACATCACACGCCCAGCGCGCTGTTTCACGTCCAGCATACTAGCCATGAGCGCCGCAAGGCTCCAAAACACCCCCGAAGCTGGTCCAAACGCCTTTCCCGTTCGCCCATACCAGCCTTCCTCGTCACAGTGGCCGTACAACGACGCGAAGGACTTCAGCAGGCACGACGAGAACGACGACAACATCTTCTACCTCGAGCCGCGCTTTGTTGAGCATATTGACGAGGCTGCCATCGATCGATTGACCAGATACTATCAGTCCGTGCTCCCTTCGACAGGAAGGGTCCTGGATCTGTGCACGAGTTGGAAGTCTTTCTACCCAGGAGCCTGCGAAGATGCCGTCCGCAACGAAAAGCTCGACGTGTACGGCATAGGCCTCAATAAGGAAGAGATGGTTGCCAATCCGTTATTGTGCGATTTCCCGGAGAGGAGAATCCAACTCAACTTGAATCAGGAGCCGCAAGATATCAAAGCCGCCTGGTCGGACCGCGAGCCACCTAAATTTGACACCGTCACATGTGTCGTCAGTATCGATTACATAAGCCGTCCGCTCCAAGTACTACGCAGTATCCGGGAACGCACGAACGATGGTGGGAGCATACATTTGGTTGTCAGCAACCGCTGCTTCCCAACAAAGGTCGTCAAGCTCTGGCTGGAGTATGACGAGCAACAGAGGTTACAGCTGGTTGGTGGTCAGTTCATTTCGCATCTGCTTACGGAGAGAAGCTAACGACCAGTAGACTACCTCCACTTCTCGGGCTGGAAGGACGTCGAAATTGTCGATCTTTGTGCGCGAGACGCCGATGGGAAGCGGATTACCGATGATCACGGTACCTTTCTTTCGGGTATGAAGGTTTTGGGCTATACAATATCTGCACAGCACCTTGATCCGTTGTGGGTAGTGCGGGGGACGAAGCGAGAGTGAGGGCGCACAAGCAGCTATGGGGTCAGTCAAGCTCCCAACTCTAGCGAGGCGTCAATATCCGATGGGGGTGCGGTTCAATCCGTTGTATTCGTTGGGCTGGGGTATGCCCCGCATGAGCCGGATTTCCCTTTATGACTTCGTCGACGCCAGCGATACCCCGGCCGTACGCGCCTCCGTCAGCTTCTTCGGTAACCCGAACCAAATGAAAGGCGCTACGGCAACACCAATACCCCCATCAGCCCAGTCCAGCCCCTATTTTATCGCTTCGAAAAGTAGATTCTTTGCAACACAAACGAATGACGCCTGTCTTCTGCAGGTCTTCGCAAACACCGTCCTCATTAACGCTGAGCGATATCCTTGTCATCGTGCATCCACATGGGTCTTGCCTAACAACCGGTCGCGATTCCGCCTGCACTGTTTCCTGCCGGGTGTGAGTTTATGTCAACAACTATATTGTAATAGAACATAGAAAGCTTGGTTGCGGTAGGGGTACATAGCACCATATCGATAATCCGGCGGTCGTCGACGTTCCTGAAGCCCCGGAGTCCATCCTCGTTGTACGTGCAAAAAGGGTCATAAAGTCTGCCCGCATATGCAAAGCTCCCCTTCCTTCAATGTGCAGTACGGTTAATGGGATACATCACACCCTCTTCGCCACAGGAACATGCATGAGCGCAGTCCTAGTCCATACCGCCGTCGGAGGATGCGAACGCAACCGCATAAAGTGACATTGGTAACCCATGCCATCCGGATTTTCGTCCTGACGTAAGGACCTTGACAAAGGCACACCATGCGTGCTGCATATGGAGACGTTGCGGCCATCGTTGTGGAGGCAGTACCAGCCTCGATGCTCGATCGTCTATAGTGGGCGCAAGTCAGCATAGAAGGGAGGAAACAAGGAAAACAGGACGGGCCGGGATGTAGTAGCGCATCTGGAGAGAAACAACCGGCGTATTCGGGAATGCCAAAGAAAGCTCGATAAGGCTTCCAGTGCACGCCGGGCGCCTTGCGTAACTCTGCGTACCGGCGAAGTAAAACAACAACACCATAGGGCAGAAGGCCCCATTGGCCTCCTGCACGCCCACATATACCCCACTGCGACGTGAAGCAAGCCATGAACCCCCTTTCAATCCTGACGTTGTCCACACACAAATCCGGCTTTCCCGCCCGACATCGGCGTGAGCAAGAGACATGGCGACGGACCCGGATCGCCCAGAATCCGTCTCAGATAGCGGGGGCTTTCCAAAAAGTCCCCGACGTCCGGCGGAAGGTCGTGTGAATAGGAGCTATGCGTGCCAAGGAGAAATGTCCCGCTCGAACCACGCGAAACATGGAGCCAACCTAGTTGTAGGACAGGCTTCGGTGAGAAAGTTAGCGAACGCCCACTTGACGAAAATGTGATGGAGCAGATGAACGAAATAGAACCATGCAGAAGGTCGGTCAAGAAGTCGCCGCTGTTGTTCGAGAATGTTGAAATAAATAGGGTGATGCGCAGGGGCTCCAGATGCAGGTGCGAGTACGGCCTAGTTTTGTCGTAGTGCAATCCATTCTCCTCCTCACGTAAGAAGTACCCAGAATTTGAGAAGCTGGGAGCGAGTCCCCACATGATGAATCTCTGGAGAGATCAGGCCGAGATGTTGGACAGGCTTTCTCCTGGCTAGCTAATGGAGGTTGTAGATCAATATATTCGAATGTTCCTGAGGCGGCGCGAGATAGGTACGCTGAGGTAGAGTTCATTGCCCCATTGCGGAGGTAATGGCCGGTCGTAGCCCACAGTAAAGTGTTCTTCGATTCCGTCGTCCGGGAGTACCTGCCCAGTGCTGATTTCACGCAGGCTGACTTGATGCGTGCTAATGAAGATAACGCCAATATCCTGAAACCACCCTTGCTGGAATAGAACCTTGCCAACGGTTAGTCTCTAATTCATATGCGCTTCGGATATAGTTCGTATGGGCGGCGACGCCGCGTCTGGACCCGGGACGGTAAGTACGGAAGGTCAGTTCCTTCGGGTCGGGTCCAGTTTTTAGCCCGGACCCTGGTATCGTTCTTAGTGTATATGGCATGGGACTCTAACGGCGGCCACACCGGCGCGGGGGTGCAAAGTTTCGATGTGTGGCGAAACGAAGAGGCCCGGTCCCCATCGTAGTACCCACCAGTATTAGTGACTTGCGCTGGCGGGTTGAAAGAACAGTGAGAGCATCACCAAGCGAGATAGGGCCCGAGATCAGTGACGGCTTATGTGATGCCAGCGTATAGAAGCCAGGGAAAGAGAAGAGGCCATTTAGACAGAGCGCGCCGTGCATAATGCGGTACCGACATCTCCAACCGCGGGTGTACCCCGCCCGTCAAAAGCGTCCCTCCCACGGAGTGAAGCAGCTCAGTTAAAGGTCCCCAATACTATGGTCTCAGACCTATGTGCCCAACCCCATCGGGGGCGAAGGAATGGCCACAATACCGAAACAAGCCACCCAAGTTGTATATGTATCTTCAGCATCAGTATATCAGCAGAACGCCTTTACTGCGAAGGGTGTTCTCCCGTAAAGCCGGGGCAGTCACGTGCTTGGCGACTTGCTTATTGGTGCCAACATGCGAATGCTGGTGAAACCCCTCCGGCCCGGGGCCAAATGGATCCATCCGTGGAGTCTCCGTTCGATGGTGTGAGGCACACGTCGAAAGATGGGGTCTACAAAAGTACCGTGCAGACCCTCGTACCCGGATCGCCCGCGGAAGATCCATCCGTGTTGATGGCATTCCTTGAACACCACCTGTCAGCGAAATTGGAGCAAGATCTTGCAGGACGGATTCGAGTCTGATTATTGGTGCATTCTGACTAGAGGTATCTGACTGGCGGAATCTTAGCTGGTTGGGCGAACAGACAAAGAGGACGATCTGTGGCCTGGATATCCGATAAGACGGTGAATATCGACAGAACGGACCAGCCTAATGAAGCAGCAGGAGAACCTCGTCCAAGCCTTGCGCCAATCGTTGGACTTTTGGGCCCGTGGACGGAAAGCCCGCTTCGTAACATATCATCCTCCCAGCGACGGTTATGATGGTATGACATCGATTGGAGTCGGTGGAGAACCAGTCGGCCACTGATGCTGAACTGGAAAACCAACACTTGCATACAGACCTCCGACGACGCTAATTACGAGTCGGTAGGGACAAGCAGTCGGATTAGGATAAAGTCGATGGGTATCTGCTGTAGTTTGTAGCTTCTTCTCCAGCTGATATGTTACGCCCCCGTCTGTGACATGATATCGATATAGCGGATTGAGCGGATGGTGGGATGGATGACGAGATGGTTGAGGAAACGCCCGACGAGGATAACAGGCTCAAGTTCTTGGCTTCTTGTAGGAAATTGTTGGACGATATGTAGGATAGAAGGCGTTTGAGTGACCGGTGTTGCATAGGATTTCCGATGACCTGGTCATGAGGACATCCGTGCACAACTAGTGGCCAGTATGGGCTGGCATGGAGAGTAAAGTGGAATATCCCTTGGATGGAGTACTGCGGATCGGTTAGCTCCGGTGAGCAAGCATGGGCACGTTAATCGCACTGGGGGGCGGAGGAAACATTACGTACTTTCAAAGTATTTACTCCGGGGCTACAATTAGAACTTCGCTCCTGTCGCCAACTTGCAATGATGTCGAATATCTTGGATTCGCACAGCCATGGGTGAATGTGGACCGGGCCAGGAGAGCGCAACGACGCCCAGGAGCAATCGAATTTGCCAGAGAGTTACCATAGTGGCAGATGTGCTGCTACCAATATCCTGCCCTGGCAAAACGAGAACTTATGAAACTTACCTCATTCCACTTATGCTTGTTGACCATCAACTTGTCATCCTCCCCACCGTCATAGTCTCCAGACTCTGGATGCATGACTCCATGTAGCGACCCTTGACCCCCTGCCCCGTTCTCCCAGATAGCGTTCCCAGTTCCATAGGTAGCTCGCAATTCTTGAAGCTTCAATTGCAACCATTTGCCCTTAGGATCGCCGCTCTTGATGCGCTCGTCACACCAGGCATCCAGCTCCGGACATTCCCAGGAGTCGCCACGGAGACCCCAGGTGCGGGCCGTGGCCATGATGTCGTACACGATCGAGCGATCGCAGCCGGCTTCCATAACCGCAAAGCGTACAGTTGCCATGCCCGGGGCCTTGCCAAGACGTCGGTTGTGGTTGAAGAGCTCCACAACCTCCAGATTTCTCTCTAGTATAGCTTCCCTCTTGCCCTCGAGGGCCATCTTGCGCACATCTGAGTCTGCCCAGTCAACGGTCATGGACGTGGTCCAGAGCAGGAAGCGCAGGAACTGGATCTTCTCCTGCGTCCAAGGCCCGTGGAGTAGCTTGACTGGGATGCGACACTTGACGTACGTGAGGGCCGGTAGATGACTTCTGCTGAACACCATGTTGGTGGCATTCTCAAAGTCAGGAGGCCATTGGCCGTCAAAGCATCCCTCTTCCGGCGTCTTCCCGCACAGGCAGCCATTGCTCTCGTATGTTCTAACGAGGAACGCCTTAAAGTAGTCCCACGTCATCCATTTGGTTGCAAATATACGACTCTGATTGATAGATTGCTGTGCGCGGGAGTCGAGCGTTTGCGTGAGGTAGTGCGTGCAGACTTCGTGGTAGATATAGTCTTCCGAGAGCGTTGCCGCGATGTGATGGGACGCGGCGGTGAGCGCGAGGTTTGGGCCAGAGAGGAGGAAGATTGGCTGAATGAGCTCGGTAGGGAGACGCTCAATTGGCGACAAGGCCATTGTCGCGGTCGGGAGACGGACTGTGGCGCCAATGTTAGCGTTCTGGGTTGCGCTGTCGAGCAGCTTTTAGCCTGAGCTGAATGTTGAAGCCTAGAGCCGCGGCAGCTGCCTGGATTCCGACGCGCTTGAATTGCGCGTGAAAACGGGGGCAATACGATGCATTAGCGAATAGTTCTTCTAGCGGAGCTGCAATTGCAAAGGTTGACCGTCGCCTTCGTAACAAATGCGAGGAATGTGGAAGGATGGCTGACGATGCTGAAGGCTGCAGCTTCACCAGCGGTCCGTGCATTCTGCCCCGCGTTCGCGGTGATCACGGTTCAGAGACGATTCCAGGTTTTGGATTGTCAAAAAAGATACAGGTTCAAGTAGGAATCCCACTCAGTTCATGTGCCCAAGTAATATTGTTGTAGCTACACTTGTAGACAAGGGTGGTCGGTCTCGATCACGTGATGATGTTAACACTTTTCGAATTCCGGTATATTACAAACACGAACCCCGTTGGGAGTGCCGCCGCCGTAATAGAAAAGGATAGGACTAGCTGCATTAATCAGACACCTCACATAGTGTCTATATGAAACTCTACCCCAGTGGAGCTTCCATCGCCGCCCCAGTTTGTCACCAAAGTTTTTGCCTCCGGTCCTTGCCACCACCACCCCTTGTTCAAGAACCAACCAGAATGGCAACTTTTAACCAGACATTTCAGCGCTATATCCCATTCCTCGTTGTTGACCCATTCGAAGACCAGACGCCGAACGCGTAGAGGCTGAGAAAGATGAAATTCCCGCCGCATCCGATCATAATGATCGCCGTCTTGTGGAATCCGTGTTGGCTCAGTGACCAGTATGTTGGTCAGGTCGTACAGGAGTCCCTGCGGAGGGTCCACCCAACAGTTGTTGAGGAATCCTGCTTCATTCTCATAAAAGGTAATCGTGAGCCTGGAAAGCCGAAGACTAAACAATGGAGCAAGACACGTCTCCAGTCTCGTATGTACGGCCCGGCCATGGATAGGATCAGTCCTTCTAGAGTAGTACAAAGTGAGTGGTAGGCTGACGGTAATGCTGGCCAATTCTCGGAACCGAGACAGCATAGAAAGCTGTAGTCCTTCCGACTGGGCACGATGAGGCCATTGGCGCTGAATGCCCTCTAACAAGCCGCGCATAGACTTTACGGCTTCCTTTTCGTACTCGTCTTTTGTCTGCTTCGAGGCCAGGAGGAGGCCGCTGAACTGATCGATATGTGCGGTTACGGGGGTGCAGAGGCGGTAGATTTCATTGCGTAATTCGGCCGGTAACGAGATGCAGTAAGATTTGGACATGTCCGGCAGAGAGGAGATGGCTCACGCTGCTCCTGGGCGGGCTCTTCGAACTTTGTGTGTTGTTCTTTAGGTCGTCAGTGCTGCTGGCCCTTAGCGAACTGAGCGCAACAAAGGTGGGGACGAGCTGAGTAAGCAGCTAATCTCACAGGAACCCACCGATACCTTTCGAGGTTGCTTGCATCATTCCACAGCCGCCAGAAAAATTGCGACCATGACCGAACGTACTTGTGACAATTACTTCGGCGGAGGCTCAAAATCTTTTCAGTATTCTATAGGCTTTCTTCAATGAAGATACCTCCCGCACGGCTTGATTCATGAATTAACGTAAAGATTGCTTTCGCCCGGACACCCTGCGACAAGCACAACTGTATCACCATGAAAATAAGGCACCAGAAATTATGGAGCTGGAGGTGGGTATTGCAGTCTTTGTGGTGCCACTGCTACTCCGCGAGACTTTCACTCTCACTCTTACCCCGCCAGGGATATCCGCAATATCTAAACCCTCCTTCACTCCCTTATCAGAGATTGCTATCTGATCTCACATCTTCCAAAGACACCCTCCCTTCCTTCTATCTCCCAGTACCGTCTCTCCTATCGCTGCCAGCCATGGAGACTCGCAACAGTGCCCCGTGCTGTCATCACCTTTTGAGGCAGCCTATGGAGGGCAGTGAGCTAACTAGCGGAGGCATACTCGGCTCTTACGACTCTAACACATTCGTTTTCGATCCGCCTTGCGATTGTTCTCTCTGCCACACTCAGTTCTACAAAGTGGCGGAGCAACGTCTCGGTCGCTGGGCCTACACCAGTGTCCTCACTGACGAGGAAGCCAGAGAGATTCTAGCAGGCTATGTTACAGCCATTGAAGCGGATCGCCAATACTTAATTGCCGCCATCAAGAAACACGGAGACGAGATGCTGAGTCGATGGCGTAAGCGCACCCGGACCAAACGAGCCGCTCTTCTTCAACTCGCCGAACCCAATCTGCCCCACGACAAAGCTTTCATCGCTGATCTCGAGTTCGCCGGAGTCAATTGGAATGTCATCCGGCAGGAATACCGCAGGCGCCTTTTACTTTGTTCAGTGGATATTCACACGCTTGCTACGAACCCTTCGATGTTCATCGGTCTGCTACACCACCGGGCGAGTCGACTTCCGCAGGAATGGGTTCGTTTCGATAGCGACCAACTAGACAGCTCCTGGACGAGTGGTTTACTTGATGTGAATTACAACGCGAGTTGCGTATACATTCACGGACCGGGTTATGGCGGTCTTACCGAGTGGAACTCCGCGGCTGTGCATCAATGCTATATCATGGGATTCCCGCGAGGTCAACTAGCGCTTGAAGCACAAGCAATGCTTATGAGCTTCCTACGCCGAGCTGTTGAACATCTCTTAAACGGGGTTGAAGCGCATGGATTGGATTCCGCTGTCAAGTGGAATGAACTGGTGCAAGCGGGCCTGAGGAAGAGCGGTGACTCTGCGTCATGGTCCGTCTATATGAATCGGCCTTTCTCAGCGCCCCCCGTACTCGATGTAGATGCTTTGGTCTCGCAAGCCAAGGCAAGGGTAGACGCAACGGGCGACCACCTTTGGCTCCTTCAGACCGAACCTTCCTACATGAAGCGCTGCGTCGATATGATCCATCAGTTACAACCCACGCATTTTCTGTTCCCAAAAGAGACGATAAGGAGCGCACTCGGTACCTGGGAATTCCTTCTCGATATAGACAGACATTGGTTCTGGCGGGGCATTCTGGAAGAGTTCGAGCACATCCAAGGTATTTGCTCCCAATACAATTATTCTATTCGACCTGGGTTCCCTCTTGCGAAAGATGTCAATGCAACCCTCGGAGCTGTGGAGAAGCTTCTCTTAAATTGTCTCGACAGCAGCGCAAGGAGCCTTCAAATAATCCTCGCACGACGTCCAGGCTTCGAGCATCTCTACGATCTCAAGTATGCAGGAGACATATGCGCGAAACGACCGGCAATGATCAAGAGATCATACACACCCTTGATTCTATATAAGAAGGAGAGGCTTTGGTGGTGTCTCATGCAGCTCCTAGGCGACGTTGAATGCAGGGCTCGGTTCCACTACGCTACAGTCTTTGACATGCTCGAACGCCACTTGGAGTCTGCTTCTGCCGAGGAGCGTGGCCGACTAGATGGTCTCTTGTACGAACATCTCTCTGACCATGTCACGATCATTGAAATCCTGTGGGCTATCCGCATGCATTATCCGCGACCGGCTTTCCATGCTCACGACGCCGATGGATTCAAAAGCAGATTTGCTTCAAAATATGCAACCGCGAAGAAGCTTGACTGCATGTGTAGTGTTGGAAGGGTTCTGGATAAATTCCAGACGGTTCCTCCCCCAAGCGGTCCCAAGGATCGTGCATGGTTACAGGCATTCAATGCTATGCACCGCGCGTCGCAGGAAGTCTGGAGGGAAGTGTCGAAAGTCCATGAACTCTGGTTCAAGGACCGTGGTTTCGCAGAGAAGGAGATTCGTGCCTCCATGCAGGCTCTGTCGCACTGGAATAGCGCTGACTATGAATCTAGGCTTGAGGCTAGACGCAAGGAAGTGCTCTCCGAGATGGAGAAACGCAATGCCCATCCCCAACCTACCTTGGATCTCTTCCTACCGCTGCCCTCAACCGAAGATGACGCCGCTAAATTGCAGATTCGGTATGTCAAAGTAAAAGTCAAAACGCGCAGTGAGAAGCACACACCAGAGTCAATCGGTCAGACCCTTCACGCCACCGGACTCATCGAGACTGTTCCTACCGTTACAAAGATTACTCTCGCAAAGCGCGCTCTGGTTGTGCTCAGGAACATGTTCCCCTTGACAGCCGACGAGCGTCAAGTGACTGTGGAATGGGAGACCTTCGTTCTAGCAATGGAAGAGGCGGGCTTTGCTGCTAAAAACGGTGGCGGCTCTATCGTTGTCTTCGAGCAGAAAGACGGACCCGGCAAGATCATCTTCCACCGTCCGCACCCGGTGCCCAAGATCGACCCAGTCATGCTCCAGTCTATGGGACGCCGGATGAATAAGTGGTTCGGATGGACGCGCAATACGTTCGCGCTTGCCGGAAAGTGAATGCGCGAAGAGTATCGTTCGGCAGAGCACGAGCGCATCAGGAAGATGAGGTCTCGTATTCATTTCCCTCTCTGATTTTCGGTGGGATTTGGGCATTCCATGATGCTTTTAAATGACGGAGAAAAATCTGGGCTACGCGCTGTCCCGCTTTATCTATCTTGGTCACGGTTCGCAGGGAATACTCCCTACGATGTATACTAGCCTACTTCCCCGACATCACCCCTACAACTATCGCTTAGCTAATAGCCAATTGAAATACCTGCACACCATACCGGGAGCGAGCACCGAGATGCGAGAATCTAGCATCGTACAGCTAGACATTATAGGAATAGCTTTATGTAAAGCTGAGTAAGCCGACCTACTTTGATTATCCCTTCCTCTTTGCGTCACCTTCCCACCCCGCAATACCTTGATGCCTCTTAACTGGCGTGACTACCCCAACGGACTTTCCTCCTCACCTCCATAGCTCCACCATAAACATGGACTCCTCAGATGCTCTCCATGTCCCTCACAGCCGCGAAGTCTTCTACACCGGCGGAGAATACACCGTCATCCCCGACAACCCATCTTCGTCCACAACAACATCGCAATACATGCTCAATCAAATTTACGTCGAAAAACTCACGCCCCTCCACCCCACCGCATCGCGGCCCTACCCGCTCATCTTCATCCCCGGCGCCGGCCAAACAGGCACCAACTTCCTCGACACTCCGGACGGACGTCCAGGCTGGGCCAATTTCTTCCTGTCCCATGGCTACACCGTGTACCTTACCGACCAGCCGTCGCGCGGCCGATCGCCGTGGCATCCCTCGGTTGGGTCCATGCACGCGTTTAGCACCGCGGACCTCGAGAAGCTGTTCACTGCGTGCGCGTCACATGATCTCTGGCCGCGGTCTAGAACACACGCGCAATGGCCCGGCACCGGCAAGGCCGGGGATCCAATCTTCGATAGGTTCTTTGCGAGCCAGGTGCAGTATCAAGCCGACAGGAAGATCTCTGAGGCGCAGAACGCGAGCGCATATACGAAGCTGATGGATGAGGTGGGCGAAGCGTATCTTGTGACGCATTCGCAAGCCGGACCATATGGGTGGCGAGTTGGGGATGCGCGGCCGCATCTAGTCAAGGGGATTGTCGCGCTAGAACCAGGCGGTCCTCCATTCGAGAATAAGTTTCCGCAAAAGAGCGGTAGAGTGAGAATCTGGGGGATTACGGATCTGGAGGTTGAGTACGATCCGTCCGCGGGACCCAACGCTGAGTTCCTTGAGACGGTGAGGATACGGGCAAAGGATTCCCAATGCATGGACTACCTGCTGCAGAAAGAACCGGCGAAAACGCTGAAGAACTTGTCGCAAGTGCCCGTGTTGGTAGTGACGGCTGAAGCAAGTTATCATGCGCCGTATGACTACGGAACGGTAGCTTATTTGAGGCAGGCGGGAGTGCAAGTCGAGCATATGGAGTTGTGGGAGCAGGGTATTAGAGGGAATGGGCATATGTTCTTCATGGAGCGGAATAATTTCGACATTGCGGAGAGAGTTCTGAGGTGGCTGAATGAGCATTGAGGGGATCCTGAGACTGGGTGGGCCCCACTGGCGTGGAAAGAGGTGGCTTCAAAACCGTAATTAGTGTCCTCGCGACGGTACTGATGTTCTGTAAGGAGGAGACGATTGTGGGCGAACACCACTGTGTGCGACTTCCTCGCGCTAGAAATCCGCTCAAAGATCTGACAGTAATTGTGGAGACCCCCGTGATTGGAGCGGTGAAGAATGCCTCGAGGAGATGGTTGGGTATATGGTGCGAGTATATGACCTGGGTTGTTGTCAGTTGGAACTATGGTTTACGGAGTGGTGCAATAATGTAAAAGCGATTCGCGCCCAACACACGTGCCCAACACCCACATCAACACCGAAATTTGTGCTGACTATCGCCAACGCCACATTTCACTCTTTCCTTACCTGCTTTCATTCCAGTTTTAGCCTCTTAGTATAATCCAAAATAACACTTTTGCTCTTCATTCTACTTTGCCATGCGAGGCGGTAATAAGGATGTCGGCGCCTCAATCCAATGAAAATCCGCAGCCCAACATACGACTTGAGAGCGTGGGAGGTTGCAGCTCGGTGCTAGACAATGCACGCAGTAGCACGTCCAAGGGCTCCATTCCGAGCCCAGCAGAGACGGAGGAGGGTCCCGGTCGAAATAAGGCTATCGGTCGGCGAGTAAGAAGGATACGAGTCGGGCTGAAGGCCGTCTTCAAGAGTAGTATAAAACGCAGGGTTACGAATAAGGAGGCCAGGAATGCTGGCGCTCGGTCGGCTACTGTCCGAGAGCAATCGCGAAAAAACAAGAAGCGGACTCTGGTCCAACAAGTCCACCGCTTGAAGGCCCGCCTCCTCTTCAAGAGCAACAGCTACTTTAGCGGCATATACTCCCTCCCGGTCGAACTCGTCTTTCTCATCATGAACTACCTCGGCTTCGTCGACCTCTTCTGCCTTGCGATTGCTAGCCGACGCTTCTACCCGATCGTTACGAGCGTACTCAGCCAGCTCCACCCTACGCAGCAGGAACAAGACCATCTCGCCCTCCGGCTCGAGACAGACTGGCAGTATGCGCATATCCGGACACTGTGGTGCTCGAATTGCAAGATCGACCATGGAAAGTTTTACTTCAGGCGCGGACAGATGCTGCTCACTGATTCCGAGCGTGTATGCTTCGGAGTTGAGGGAGTATTCAGGCTGTGCCAACACAAGACCTTTACCTTCGATGAGCTCTTGAACACCATCGCAGGTCAGCCGGGCATAGAAAAGATGCGCTGTTGGCCATGTCGCGCAATAGTGCGGCAGTACTCTAGTCCGGATCAAGTGCGGGCATCGTTCAGGGGGAAGCTGTTCCCTGTGAAGCTCGAAGAGGCGGTGACCTGCGACCGTGTGCGGCGAGCTCTCCAGCCACTCGCAAGGCTTGACAAGATGATGTGCCCGCACTTGAGCATCCCAGGCCTTGAGCTCTTTGAGCGGCTCGTCGCGAATGCAATAAGTGAGCCGGCGAATGGAGGGCGGGCCGACGACCATGTGTTCTACCCGGCGTTCTGCAAGCCCGCTGTGGCCGCGCGGTGCCGTTACACCGGCTGCGACACCTCGGTGTGGCTCTTGAGAGATAAGAGAGCGGTGAAGATGGGTATCCGAAGGAATTTGGGAGCCATGAAGACAGTGACCGATGAGAGGTGGATGGCACAGCTGGTTTCACCTCAGCATCGGCTTATAGACGGTGTAGAGGTAGACAGAGGGGCAGAGGGAGAGCAAAAGGAAGCAGTGCCGGACCCACCCGGGGGTATCCTGCGAGGTCGTGCACAAGAGCGGCGTTTCCGGTGGATGCTTTGGGCGCAAGACATGCGAAAGCGGGAGCAGACGGTGGAAGGTTGCAGCGGGCACTCCATCTTTTCTTGATTTGTCAATGTTGCTTTTGGTTATCTGGACTCTCACGGTGTGGAATTCTTCGGATAGAACGACGTGCGCAACAGCTACCCTGGAGGCCCTCGCGGGTGCGTGCAATGGACGAGCCAATCTTACTTGTACGGCGAGCCCTTAGATCCGGAGAATTCCCTACCGCAAGAGCTGGAGTGTTGAAGTGATTTGATGCGATTCGAAGATAAAGGTGGAGGTGAGAATGTGGGGTGTCCTTTATCCTTTGTGGCTACGGATATCAGCGCTCGGTGCAAGAAGGAAGGCGCGGCTCACGATTCACGACCTCATGACACCCATCCTCACCCCACCACCACCCGAGCGGTTTTCTCGTCGTGATATTAGCCTTCGCTTCAGGTGCGGCTCCGATAATGGCGAGTCCTATTTGCTCGCCGACTGTGCCCGCCACACCGACAAATACGCCTCTCACCGACTCTTCTTGCGGAGCAGCGACCCCCATTAGAGCCAAAGCTCAAACTTACTTCCCGCCCCCCGACGACCGTTATCCTTCTCTTGTAGGATCTTCTTCAGTTTCTCTCGGTTCATCCCCCAACTCTTCACTCAGCACAGACGCGAGCGACACGATGTCTGGCTTGCTTGAGAACTCTCCTTCCAGCTTGGGTGAACGACTAGCCGCTCTGGAGATTGCTTCGCCAAATGGAAAGAAATGTGCCGGAGAAGAAGCGAAGGTTTCGGTCCACATTGGGCTCAAGGCTCCAGGTATTGCAACTATTCCAGGCCTGACAGGAGGCACTTTTGCTAGGGCACCGGAGATGGCTAAATTGGAGCCGGGTCTGCCTAAGTTCCCTGTATCTCAGCACTGCTGCGTCGGTTCAATATGGAAGGCCACGAAGCAAACCTGAGTCTGATAAGAGAGCTGCTGACACTCAAAAATCCAGAGAACGACTACTATGAGACTCGATTTATCCCCGGGAAAGGATACGGCTGCTTCGCCATCAAGCCCCTCAAGCGCGGTACCCGAATCCTCGCCGACTCGCCGCTCCTAATCGTTCCCATCGGCCACTATCTTCAATCGGACATTGAGGCGGCCTTCGAGAAGCTGTCATCAGCGGAGAAAACCCTGTACTTCAGCCTCCACTCGGGCCATGGGCAAGATCCGAGGAACTGGCCTGATAAGATCCACCCCGAGGTGGCGGGCCGGGAGCGCCAGAGAATCAAGGAGCAGCACAACGCGAGGGTGGCGAAGGAGCCATCGCTGATCAGCATCTTCCAGACGAACTGTATGGAGCTCGGAAAAGGCGCCGCCGTCTTTCCGAACGCTGCTCGGTTCAACCATTCATGCTGTCCAAATGCATGCTTCAACTGGAATCCAGCCATCCACAAGGAGTAAGCCAAACGGTTATAAAAACACCAAACACATTTGCTAATCATCTTGCCGCCTCAGAACGATTCATCTCATGAATGACGTTGGCGAGGGCGAGGAGATCACCATCTCATACTGCGACATGATGCACGAGAAGACGCTGCGTGCATGGGAGCTCAAGCACTACGGGTTCTCCTGCGACTGTCCAGCTTGCAACGGAGACGAGGATGATGCGAACACGTTCGCCCACAAGAGTGCGGAGCGGCGATACCGGATTGCGGAGCTAGAGCGTGACACTAGGTTCTTTCGGGGCGCCCGCTTGGAGGAAGGAGCGAAGAGGCCAGAGTTCATAATGCGCATGCTCGAGCTGGCGAAGTTGCACAAGGAGGAGGCAGACTACTCAGTCCGCCTGGCAAACATGTGAGTTTCGTATGGCAATTGGTGACCGGACAGAACGGCGCTGAATATCGGCAGATATCTCGATCTTGCATTAGTCTGCGAGGCAACCGGAGACTACGAGCATGGTCGGAGCTGTGCCTCGAACGCAGTAAAGGTTAAGCGGGAGTGCCAGGGCAGCGATTTTCCGGATTACGAGAAGTACAAGGAGGTCCTGAGGCGTATCAACATCAAGTACAAGGCGCAGCTTTTCACAAAGTAGATAATCTTGAGGGGAAACGGCTGCGTTTCGGGGGCAGAGATGAGAGAGACAAGACTGCAGCTCTGAGCTTTGAGGGACCTCGGACAGCTCGTCCGAGGAGGGCGATTCTTCAGAGGGGGTGATGAAAAGCGTCGATGGGCTTCGGTGTCGCCTATATATCTGCCTGATTCTGTCGGCATTGAGGTCTTTGATAGAGGCATTCAATATGAAACTGTGATAGTTCTTCAGCAATTGAATTAACGGCGTGTTGTTATGACACCTGGGCAGCAAAGGAGATATTTCCGCGCTAGCTCTAAAAAGGAAAGGCCACTCTTAGCGCCAGATGCCACCCCTGTCCGCAAGTGAAACACAACTGAAGCATGACAGCGGGTCTCGCACTTCACTCATCAATCGCGCTCTCTCTCAGTCGAAAACGCCTCAGTCGTGTGAGGCGGCGGCTGTGGCCTGCAAGCTACCAGAAGCCAAATGAGGATGCGAGATATGCGGCGCTCGACTGGCTTTTCGCTAACAGAAGGCGCGAAGCGTGAATCAGGGACGAGCTCAGATAGCCACTGACGTAGCTGACTGTCCCTGCGTTGGAGGCTTTTTGAAACTTGTCGCATGCGCAGCTCTTCATGGACCCTTTTAAGCTCCAGCTCATGCCCAGACTGCTAACCCACAAGGAAATTTGTGAATTCAGCGCTTCGAACAGGTGCTTGCACGTCAGAGTTGAACACTACAGCTGCACTTCACAGATCGCGTCTGCTGCGCCCCGTCGCTACTCCCCGCTGCTACTCCCCGCTGCTACTCCCCGCTGCTACTCTCCGCCTCACCAACCTTCTAGCGCTGCGACAGCACACCCAATTCTCCGGCTTCGCAGCCCGCGACCCTCGTCCGCGCTGACGACTTCTCTACAACCGCCCCGACCGCGCAATGGACACCTCAAACCCCCAATCGGCGGATCCGACAGTCCCCTCCACTACAGCTCCCGCATCGCAACTCTCTGCGAAGCCTCCTACACCGCCGCCTTCACAATCGGGACCAGATCCCAAGATCTCAACCTCCGCCGACACTCCAGATGCGACGACACCCCCCTTCTCGCCGTCGAGCACAACGCCCGTGCTAGAGAAGCAGGACCTGGACTTCACGGGCAATGTGGAGGTCAACAACGATCTGCCGACAGAGAAGGACCTTAAGCGGGTAGACGACCTGCTGGTGCTGGACGCGCAGGGACAGAGCAGGCCGTTCAGGGACCTGTACAAGGGCGAGGGTGTTGCGCCTAGACAGATGATCATCTTCGTTCGGCATTTCTTTTGCGGTGTGAGTACTCCTCTTGTATCGAGCTCAGATGTTAGGATGTATGCGCGCAAGGACGAAACGCTAACATTCACTCTCCAGAACTGCCAGGAATACCTCCGCGAGCTCTCCGCATCCATAACCCCCGAATCGCTCCTCGCACTCCCCGAGCCGACCTTCATAACCGTTATCGGCTGCGGCCGCCCAGACCTGATCGAGATGTACTCCCAAACAACCTCGTGCCCGTTCCCGGTCTACGCGGACCCCACGCGAAAACTGTACGACTACCTCGGCATGACGCGCACGCTCGACCTGGGCAAGAAACCTAGCTACATCCAATCGAATCTCTTCGTCACGTCCGTACAGTCCATTCTCCAAGGCCTGAAGACCGGTGGCAACGCGCTAAAGGGCGGAGACATCAAGCAGGTGGGCGGAGAGTTCTTGTTCGAAGACGGAAAGTGTGTATGGGCGCATCGTATGCGGAATACTAGAGACCATGCAGAGATTACAGAGGTGAGAGAGGTGCTGGGCCTCGAGGACAAGAAGCCGCCGATGAGGAAGAGGTGGAGTCACGGAATAAAGATGATGAAGGAGAAGGAGGGAAAGGGAAGGAGTGCGAGTTGGGGCAGAGGACGGAGTAAGAGTAAAGGCGCCAAAGACAAAGAGGGGAGCAAGACGCCGGAGATGGTTGAGGAGGAGGCCAAGCCGAATAGGCAAACGACAGTATGATCTTTCCGGACACAAAGACATCGTTGGGAATGCGGAATGAAGGGATCTCGGATAGAAGGTTTCACATTGGTTGTAGAGGCATAGTATCATAGGCGATGGATATACGAATGTCCTGGGGGTTCTTGCTGGGCACGGCTGAGCTTATGGGCATATGCTGCAGGATCGCATCTGTGGCGTTCTCTGGCTTTATTCTGCGGCATACCACTTTCCAATGCGAATCTGTTTCAAACTTAGTCGTTTTCGATTGCACCCTTCTTCCGTATATGCCACCCGAAACTGGAAATCCCTTCCGCAACGTTCGCCAAGCCCCCTCTACACAACCCCACTTTGGGTGAAGTTCCCCGGGCTCCAGCGCCGGAGGAACTAATTGTAAGCAAGATGCTCCAGGTTCGCTAGGTAATCACTAGTAGATGTTGAGGCTCCGAATTTAGCACGAGTTTGAGGCGCAAAGGGCGAGAGTCGCGCGAGACTGTTGCGGCTCAAGTCCGGGAAGGAGGGGTATGGAGGGGCAGTGGTGACGCCAGACCAGACCCCACATCTGGAATAAAAGATATCTGCCGCCCGCCCAAAGTTCGGGACCTCTGCTTTCTGCTCAATTACTTTACACAACTCGTGGACACTCAACCTTCGTCTCCCCTCAGCTTCATCTCAATTGTCGAAGGAAACAAGCTAGAAAAGTCATCACGATGCCTGCGGATACCGTTGGAAAGGTAAGGAGCTACCCCGCCCATAGCATCAAGCTCTGCTTTGATGGAATGAAGATGTACTGACTTCTGGCTAGACAATTACCTGCAAGGTGCGTTCGAAGCGCTTTCCGGTCTCCCTTCTCCCACTCCAGCCTTTTCCTCACGCCTCCTGTGCGTCACCTCCCTTCACGAGCGGCTGCGGGGTCTAGCGTGCGGATCCGCAAGCTTGGGTATCCACAATACATTGGCGCACCGGGAGATGAGAGCATGATGAGCGAAGGAAATATCGATACCGGATACCGGTGGAAGATGAAAGAATCGGGCCGAATCAATACTGACTGGCATGTAGGCGGCCGTCGCCTGGGAAGCAGGCAAGGACCTTAGCATCGAGGATGTTGAGGTCGCACCACCGAAGGCACATGAAGTCCGCATCGAGATCTACTACACTGGTGTCTGCCATACCGGTACGTTGCCAACCCGCTCCCGTCGAGGCACCTCGTCTGTCAGCTGCAGAGAATTTGAAGCTTTAGATATACTTTTGAGGGTCAGGACTTGGTTTGTGGAAATAGATGCTGACTCCCATCAGATGCATACACTCTCTCCGGCAAGGACCCTGAGGGCGCTTTCCCCATCATCCTCGGGCACGAGGGTGCTGGTATCGTCGAGTCGGTTGGTGAAGGCGTCACGAGCGTGAAGCCTGGCGACCATGTCGTTGCGCTATAGTACGTTCTCGACCTATTGGACATCTCCTTTGAACTTCTGTTGACACACCCAGCACCCCCGAATGCCGCGAATGCAAGTTCTGCAAGTCCGGAAAGACCAACCTCTGCGGCAAGATCCGAGCCACCCAGGGCAAGGGCGTCATGCCCGACGGTACCTCGCGCTTCAAGTGCAAGGGCAAGGATCTCCTCCACTTCATGGGCACCTCCACCTTCTCGCAGTACACCGTCGTAGCCGACATCTCCGTCGTTGCCATCACAGATAAGGCCCCCATGGATCGCACCTGCCTACTTGGCTGCGGTATCACGACCGGTTACGGTGCTGCCGTCATCACTGCCGGTAAAGGCGGCGTTGAGAAGGGCTCCAACGTTGCTGTCTTCGGTGCTGGCTGCGTTGGTCTTTCTGTCATCCAGGGTGCTGTGAAGAATGGCGCGGGCAAAATCATCGTCGTTGATGTGAATGATGGGAAGGAGCAGTGGGCGAAGAAGTTCGGCGCTACGGACTTTGTGAACCCGACAAAGCTGAGTGGCCAGTCCATCCAGGAGAAGTTGATCGAGATGACCGACGGTGGCTGCGACTACACCTTCGATTGCACGGGTAACGTCAATGTCATGCGTGCGGCATTGGAGGCTTGCCACAAGGGATGGGGAGAGTCGATCATCATCGGTGTCGCTGCTGCCGGACAGGAGATCTCCACACGACGTACGTTTTCACCTCCCTTCCGCTATCTTAGTTTTCTTTGCTAATGCTCATAATAGCCTTCCAACTCGTCACCGGCCGCGTCTGGAAAGGCTGCGCCTTTGGCGGTGTCAAGGGCCGCACACAGCTCCCCGACCTCGTTGACGACTACATGAACGGCAAGCTCAAGGTCGAAGAGTTCATCACACATAGGCAGCCCCTCGACAAGATCAACCAAGCTTTCGCGGATATGAAGGCTGGTGACTGCATTCGGTGCGTGGTCAATATGAGGGAGTGACTAGGTGTGGATAGAGCGAGATTGTGAGTTGAGGCGAGGCGTTGTGTGGGTGAGTTGAGGCGAGCATGGGGTGGCGTTGTTAGAGACTGTAAATGGGAGAGGCAGAGCGATCTGTGGGGCTGAGGTTGGGCTCTTTCGATGTGTATGTATTTTTGGACTACCGTATGGGACGAGGAGGTTGGCGACTGTGGGCGTAGAAAGGGTAATGGGAAAAGCGTCCTATGTATCAAAGCCGTCCGAGCTCGGGCTTCATGCCACGCATACTATTCCAAGGTTCCTAGCTATGAACACGTGGCCCGAAGGCGAACATCAGATGAAGCAAAGGTATATAAACCCACCTTCTCTTCGCTTCTTCTCTACGCTTCTCCGCAGGCCTTCTTGGGCACTAAAATATCCACTAGGAAGGCCATGGTCTTCCCCGGTCTCAGGGCCTTTAAAAGAACATCGTCAGCCCTCCATGGTTCGTTTCTGGCTGTGAGTCAAAAACTGGCTCAGCGTCCCGCTAACGGGTGCCCGGTTCGGGACCTGCGGCGATACAAGTTGACGGGAGTCGCCATGTGGCTTGGAATCATACTGCATGAAAAGTTATTAACTTAACCGCATTAATTGGCAGGGCTCGGCTATGTGGAGTGGAAATGGGATGAAGGAAAGGTATAAAAGCAGCTTCTTCCGCTCTTCTTCTTCTCTTTCTCTTTCTCTACGCATCTCTCCACGGCTCTTATCGAGCACTAAAGGTTAGGAAGAAAGGGTGCTATGGGGTGGCTTAGCTTTCAGGCTCTCGTCTGGCGTGGAAGTCTAAAATCAAAGAACCTATCGGGACATGTGCGGTCCTTTCCGAAGGGTTGGCAAGCTGACGATTATGGGGAGGGAGGCTGGCTGCTTACAGGCTTGGGATCTGGGCGTGAAGATAAGTGGGAAGGTGGGGGTTTAGGGCTGTGGGAGGAGCTGTTGTTTGTATTGTGGAAGGAGCAGATGAGATGATGAGAAGGTATATAAGCCCGCCTTTCTTCGCCTCTTCTGCAGTTCTTCTTTACGCTTTTCCTCAGCCAGGTTTGGATACTAAAATTTTCAACTTTAGCGGGCATGGTCACTAAAAAGCGTAACTCCATCGACGCATGGGTGCGCTCCCGTGCGGGAATCTAAAAATAAGATGAATGAAACCGAATGTGGTGTGTCTTCCCAGCCTGGCTAGATACTTCCCTACAAGTTTGGCAGTGTGGTCTGGAAGCTGAGGCGGTGCAAAAGTGAGGACTGGAATGGAGGGAGGATTGAAGCGTGAGGAGGGGTCTGCAGGCGGCGGTGATGGTGATGGTGATGAGCACTGCGCATGGCATCGTGTCTCGAAGAGCCTTCTGGTGATGCTGATCCGGCTTCCATTGGTACAGTTCTAGTGTATTTGGCGCCCGAAAGATGGGATGGGGCAAAGGTATATAAACAGCCCCTCTCAACTCGTCTCTCTCAAACCCCAAGACGCAAGGGCAATGATCGGTTTCCTGGGACATTTCTCTCATACTTTACTCTGGCCTACATCTCTCTTGTGCGTACGCTAAGTTATTACCCGGCAACATCTGAAATGGCAATGCGAAGTAGCAGATGCCCAGGTGGTCTAACCGTTTTCGATTCTGCCAGTTAGGTACTGGAGAACGCGCAGGTGATGTTGCATGGGTCTTGCGTGTGTGAGCATGGAGAACTGCAAGGACGTACAATGACGTCATCAGGCCCACCAAAGGAGTACATCTCCTAGACGTCCTCCGCGAAGAGCACGTAGAAGTTCGCAGCGACCATGACACGACCTTTTTGCGAAAAGTGCGCTGCTATCAGTCTAACCTCATTACGCGCGCGATATTCGCATTATGCAAGAATCAACCGACTCCTGCGTTCGGCTCGAACCTGCCCACTATGCTCTCTGATCGTTCGGTCTGTGGTTCTCTGGGCTGGACCACACTCAGTCGAGAACATGGAAGCTCTCACCAAGTCTGAACCGGATGAAATATCGATCCTGTTTCATGCCGCACTCAAGCAGCAGAAACTTGATGTTGACCGCGGGGTCAAAATAAGTCTTGACTATACAAGGGCTTCGACAGGAATGGTATATATCCGAGGTATCGGAAAGCTGGCCAGCTTGGGGAGAGAAATAGATGCGGTATTGGGGCGATTGAGGGCTTTCACAGGAGCCGCATGCAGGTCTTACTTCATTATTCGTTCGTTGGATTCTGACAGCGTTGCAGCGATCGACGGCATACCCAGCGGACGCAAGATAGCTCAATCGCCTGATACTGGCTCACTTGTTACCCTGATACGACGATGGATGGAAGAATGTCGAACCGCACATGATGTATGCAACCCACTACGTGGGGACCATGGGCATCATCCTGAACCGGAGCTCCCAACGCGAGTACTAGATGTTACGGAGGCTCAGTCTTCAGGAACCGTGCGGCTCTGGGAAACAAACAAAGCACGTCACCACTATATTGCACTAAGTCATCGATGGGGCGGAAGTACTCCAATCAAAACACTACAGGACAACTACAACCAGCGGCTAGACGGCTTCTCTTTCAGTCAACTCCCTCAAACCTTCCAGGATGCATGTACCGTTGCCTGCAAACTCGGCATTCGTTATGTTTGGATAGATTCACTCTGTATCATTCAAGACTCGACTGAGGATTGGCGCCGGGAGGCGGCGAGAATGGGAGATGTGTACAAGAACGCCACTCTCACATTCGCAGCCACCGCAGCACAAAACAGCGACGCCGGGTTCTTGAGATCTAGGCATCTCGCTGGGCACGCTCAAATTCCCGTCAACAGTCATCAAGACGGTATGACTGGCGACCTCGTCTATCTTGACCTTGGAACCTACCGAAACCTAAGAGATGACGTCGACAACCGTGAGCTCAATCATCGAGGCTGGGTTCTACAAGAGCGAGTGCTTGCCCCACGCACGCTACATTTCTCCCACACGCAGGTCTACTGGGAATGTTGGACGCACCAGCTCCGCGAAGACGGACAGCAACCTCGTCGGCAGAAGCCCAAAAGTCAGACGTTTCCTACCCTACTTTCGCCGTCTTCGACATCTAAATCTACGCTTTCGGAGACACCAAAGCAGTGGTTCCAACTACTAGAAGCATACACCGCCTCCGAGCTCACCTTCCAGTCTGATAAGCTGGTCGCTATTGGCGGCCTTGTGCAGAGACTCGGCTCTCAGACCGGGCAGAAATTCATCAGAGGACTCTGGGGAGACTCCTTCTATGAAGGCTTACTGTGGGTCAGGTCCACTCCGCAAAGCCTGGAACGCATTCCCGAAGCCGAAGCTCCATCTTGGAGTTGGGCGAGTTGGAACGGCGCAGTAGGACATGTCACGCTAAACACGAAGTATGCGAACTATAAGGGAGTGAGGTATGAGGACGATGATGGGGGCTTGCGCTTGAGAGGAAATATATACGCGCTTGATCCCAGCCGCAGCATCGTCGTGGAACGCTCTACCATTCGACCACCGGAATTACTAAGGTGCTCATCGATGGTAGACGAAGTCAAGATCGACGGGGCATACGAAGGCTGGACTGTGCTGGATCAAGGCGAGGACTTCAATATGAACGAGACGTTCTGGGTCATCTGCGCGGTATCTCTCTCTTCGCTGGAGTCTTGGGGCGAATGGCTGACCTGCGCTTCTAGCTGTTCGAAAACTTATCTGCAAATGGCCAATCAGCCTTAGAGCACGACCTAGAGAAGAAGCAACGTCGAATATGCCTCCTCGTACGGAAAGTTGGGGTGAAGGCGTATGAGAGAGTTGGCGTTGGTCATATTCACGGCCATAATCGGTTACTATTGCGGCATGAAGACGCTGTGATCAAATAGTCTCGAGGGCTTACTTCTAATGTGCTTCGGCTAGCCTATGTCACGGCCCGGAATCTTGTATGGTTCCCATCAATTTAATGATTTTGTGCCAGCATAGAAATGCGACATACGTGAGCGTGTGCTGCTAGAGTTCGGCCGGGGAAGCCGAAGAGAGTTAGCGCAGCGCTAACCGTATATTGCTTAGCCTATTTTGGACACACTACTCTCCGGCCTCACGTGCCGTCACCTCTCGCCCGCACCACACCTCGCACTTCACAAAAAGAGTGACGCGTCGCCATGACCAGATTCTCGATCTGGCGCACGGAGCTCGCGAATAACGTTCACAACTGTCCAACAATAGCACTTCAGCTCAGCGGTCGCTGCAGAGACGGCGTAAGCCACAACGCGTCTCTCGCATTCTTCGCGATGGCGTCGCGACTGCGCAGCCATGTGCAATTCTGGTGGTATAAGAAAAGCGAAGCTTTTTCCCCTCTACGATCATCAAGGCTTGTTTGAAGAGATTATATGACCTTACGACATTTCCAAATTTCCTATCCTCCCATCCTTCTACCGTCCAACCACAATGCCAGTCCAGCGCGTTATCATCATTGGAGGCGGCATCACCGGTGTCGCAGCCGCGCTCGCACTCACTCGACACAACGGCATGACCTGTTCGGTCTTCGAGATCAGGTCCGAACCTGCTACGATCGGCGGAGCGATCGGTTTGACCCCGAAAGCGTTGCGGTATCTAGATCACCTCGGCGTTCTCTCTCGGCTCCAATCCAAGGGCTGCGAAGTCAAGAAGATTGACATTATATCCCATCGCACGGGCCATGGACTGGGCACGATCGACTTCGACCACCCGGGGAAGTTCAAGCATCGTGGTCTACGTGTCATGCGGTTCCAACTTCTTGAAGCAATGTTGGAGACTCTGGAAGAGCTTGGTGTCAAAGTGCAATATGGCATGAAAATAGAATCCGTCATGGAAGAGGGGGAAGTGATCACTGCGACGTTCGAAGGCGGATGCACAGTCAAGGGCCACATTCTACTCGGATGCGATGGGATTCATTCGGCCGTTCGCACAAACTTCATTCAGCATGATCGGAAACCAGAGTACACTGGCATCGCAAACGCCTACGGATTTGTGAACACCCATGACTTGCCGCAAGAGCTTCCAATTGAGTCAACGGCGCTCTACTCTGGACGATTTGGTTCCTTGCTGCTAGCATACACCGAGCCGACGAAATCGCGCTTGTACTTCTCTGCCGTTATGCGTGCCGAGGACGTTGGCAGCCGCGAAGGCTGGACAGTTAAAGGCCAGGACCAGAAAGCCCTCAAGTCCGATCTTTTGAGACGTTTCTCAACTCCGACACTACCGTTCCTAGGAAAAATCCTCCAGAGAGCAGATGCATTCACGCTGTACCCTGTTTACCGACTTCCCGAGAACGGTGTCTGGAGCTCCCATCGTATGCTCCTACTTGGAGATGCAGCTCATGCTGTAAGTGATTGACTTTCCGTCACCCCCCTCCTCTCGCTCACCCCGTTACAGATGCCACCGCAAGGCGAAAGCGTCGGGCTGGCCCTCGAAGACGTCCTCCTTCTCTCCCGGATCCTTGATCTCCATGAAACGAGGGCGGTTCCAGAACTGTTCAAGGGCTATGACAGCTTGCGGAGGTCGCCCGTCAATGCTGCCGTTAAGGAAGCGAATTTCGGTTTTGAGACAATTCAAGACCGTGGGTGGCTGACTACTATCGCTATGGAGTGGCTCACATGGGCCTTTCTTAAGTGGCGAGCGTCGCGCAAAGAGCAGGAACTGGCCTCGGACGTACGAGATATTCCCTTATGCCTCTAACCGATGCTTGTCAATTTCGAAATCGCTGAACGAGTCCTGACCGTGCAGTTTCGGATCCAGATCCCCATAGTAAGCCGCGTCTACCCGCGGCCTCGTTTTGCCAATCTCATCCCGGAGTTCGACCAACGTCGGCCTATCACTTTGCTGGAATGCTAAGCAGCGTGCGACAAGGTCCTTCAACTCTTCATCATATACCCAGTGTGCCGGAAATCGACTGCTTCTAAGTAACTCCTCGCGCTTAAATGCTCTTGTGGCAACCGCAGTCGTCCCATCATCTAGGCAAGGTCCGTTGGGGCAATGTTGGTGCGTTATGAGGGTGAAGATCACAGCGCCAATGCTCCACACGTCTGTCTTCTCGTTGATCTTGATGTCTTCTCGACAGTTAAGTTGCGTTTCCTGGATCAGTTATCAGTAGTAATACCTGCTTGTGCAACTTGGTACATACCGGGGCATATCTGTTATCGTCGGCCGGCAGTTTATATTCTGAGGGGTTGTCTCTCTCGCGCTTGGACACGTATGGATCAGTGTTGAGCTCGTAAAAGGCTCGTCCGAAATCAGCAAGAACCACCCGAGGCCACTATCTCACGGTCAGTATTCCCTGTTATGTGTCGAAGGAGCACACCAATTGTGGCGCTCTTACAGCTGAGTCTATGTCAACGTCTTCCTCCTCCCTTTGGTCTAATAGGACATTCGAAAAATGGAAATCGTTATGCACCTATGGCATGGTTAGAGACCCCAGATGAATTCCGAGGCAACATTGAAAGTCGCTACATACCATCGGTTTCCAGCCCTCCTTTGGCTCATCCAGCCCACCCTGCCAAAGTATGAGGCAGGCGTCCACCAGCTCCGCGAAAACATACCAAATGAACGGCTCGGGCAATCGTTTCACCCGGCTCCAGGCATGCTCATCCGCCAGCTCGAATCGGTCCTGCATGGCCCCGAACAGATCGCCTTTCGCGCACAGTTCAAGATACAATCTGTACCGCCGCCGCCGCATCATTAACCTGTATCCTCGATGGCGAATAAGACTACGATGGGAGACACCGCTCCGCGTGCTATCGACTATCTTGTGGATGCGGATTTCACGCGGAAGTCTACCACGCCATTCTCGTGGGTGCTCCCCTAGCGTGGCGGTACGGTTAGCAAATGTTCGGTATTCGTTCCCAGACTTGAGTTGGCTTACAATCTTTTTCCTGTGGCTGGCACTCCTTGCCAACCATACGCTACAACGCTGTCAGCAAATGCCTAACTCCATGGCCGCCTCCCAGGCTAGCAAGTGCGAGTGAGGCTTACGTCTATAATGGTATTCGTATCATCTACTCTCACCCATAGCCCCGCGCTGCCATAGGACCCTTGGCCCAGGAATCTCACACCATGCCATCGACTTTCGTCGTCCGTCGGCCACATGTGTGGTCGTGATCTCATCCAAGCTACTCTATTTGCGTTTCTCTTCCGCTTCCATTCATTCTCCCGCTCTTCATACTGGCGGACGCCCTCACGCGCGTAATGTTCCTTGATAACCGGGTGCGGGTTATTCTTCTTCCAAAGCTGTGGCGGTTGCGGTAGCTCTTCGCGGTCGGGGTCGCGATTCCAAGGCGTTGCCGGCCAGAAACTATATGGGTACGTGTCTTTGGGGTTCTTCAGTTCTCGTTTCAGCGCTCTTGCTTCCCGGTAGCGATCTTGAGCTTCCTTCTCGGCTCGTTGCCGGTTGGCACGCTCGTCTGCGAGAAGGTCTTCGAGGTCTGCGAGCCTTTTCTTAAGTTTCTCGTTTTCGGCCTCTGCACTCTTGGCTTTGCGGTTGGGCGACTGCGGTGAGGCCGGGATACCTACGTCCACGCCTGAGTCGAAGTCGCCTTCCTCGCTCCCGATGTCCAAGCCCAAGTCCACCTCTTCTAGTGTTGCTTCTTCTCTTTCATGTACTTTGTCTTCCTCTTTCGCACCATTTGTGGCCGCGGAAGAAGCTTCCTCTTCAGCTGCCGCCACCAGCTGCTCCTCGGTCCAACCCCGCGGATTTTCATCAGTCTGCCTTCCAGACCAGAACCTCTCCTCCGCATCGTGCAATTCTGCTTCCGTAGGTGGCCTCTGGGGTACATCCTCCATTTGCCACGCCTTCGGATATTGTGCGGGTGCGGTTTTCGCTTGGATGTTAAACGGCTCGCGAAAGTCGAAGTCATTCTTCCACAAGTAACTAATCGCCCGTTCTCGCTCTTCTAGGCGGCGTTAGCTCTGACTGCAGTAGCCGAAGGCCTAGAAACCTACCCGCGGTCCATGTCGGGCGGTGTTGTCTGAGCCAGGCACGACCGACGGGAACCCAGTATGCGATAACTTCGGTAAACGGCGGTTCCAGTGGTGCGCCGGCTGCGCCGGACATGCTGGAATTATTCGATGGGACGTGCCGCATCGTGATGTACATAGTTGAGCAGAAAATTTCTCCCGCGGAGACTTGTGAAGATTTGTGCTTCGGGACAAAGAGTGCACGCAAACGGGAGTCTTGTGTCTTCGCTAACAAATCCTCAAAGATTTCTCGGCATGGCGTCTATTGAAACAATTAGCTTCTGCTTTGTTCGACGCCTCTTCGACCACGTGCGGCTCAGTGGCAATGTGCAAATATCGTGTGCGATGGTGAGCATTATCATTACATACAAAAGACCAAAAGCTAAAATTGCTAAACCAAATTGGAGGCGAATCAGAATGTGCCCTCGTGAAGGAAATCAGAGTCTATGGAGCCGGAGAGAATATCGCTTCTATTATTTCTCTCAATACTATGACTAAACCACCACAACAAGAAAGAAGCACCCTTATCCTCCTCAAGCTCGTCTTGGCATAGGCCCGCCAACCGAAGCGTCGAAACCTCGCATGTCTAACATGTTCAGAGGCGGTCTGGCATTCCACATTCTATGATCAGGCGGGTAGCAGTTGTCGACTTGGGCTTTCAAGGCGCGTAGCGTTGGCCTGGTATTGGCGTCGTACTCTAGACACTGACGTACTATCTCCTTCAATCTGTGTGGATAGTTCAGAGAAACAGGGAACGCAGCATACACCGGATGATCATTCAATACAGTGCGCTCAGTATTTGGCCCGGAGTTCCGGAACGCAATAGGGACGTACTTTCTGAGCTTGGTCTGTGGGTCTTCGTACTCTCTATCCTCTCTCAGAGGGCCATCGTCGGAGATCAGATTCACGATAAGGCACCAGATGACGTACCCGATGCCGAATACATCTGTTTTTTCGCCGATGGTGACCGGAGGTTGAAACTCTCGAGTCATCTCCTGGGACCTTGTCAGCTCTTGTTCAGTGGAGACGGGAAATTGTCGCCCTCGACATACTGGAGCATATCGACCATCAGCTCTCCCCTGCGGCATTATCCAATCGTCAGGGTTGTTAGACCACCCCGGTATTGCATTTTCGTTATCGTAAAATGCGAGCCCGAAGTCGGCAAGTACGATCCGCGGCCACTGTGTTCGATCCCGTCAGCAATAGTAATTTATCGAAGCACGACCCTATACCTGACTCACCCCATGTTTATCTTTCTCAGCTAGGAATATGTTTGTTGGATTTATATCTCGGTGCGTTATGCTTCGCCACCCTTTCATCCGGCCGCCGTCTACCTGCCCGTCTTGAAGCACCAGGCAAGCATTCACAAGATCCCGGAAAACATGCCAAATGAAATGCTCCGGAATATACGAATGCGCATTCCGCGGCAATCTATGCTTGATGTTTTGGGTACTCCAGAGCCGGTTCTGGGTGGTTAGAGCGTAGTGCAAGTCCATACTTTCGCAGTACTCCAGATACAGTCTGTACCTCCGTTTCCGCATCATAAGCCGGTAGCCATAGTGTCGAATCAGACTACGTGAGCCGGCATCTCGATCATTTCGTCTCTGGGAACTACCGACACGCCTATGGATTGCGATCTCCCTAGGAAGTCGATTACGCCAGTTCTGAGGGTCGCGCCAGGAGGCATTGGATATGGTAGTTTCTTTCACGACCATGCGCCGGCTCACGTTGCCATCTTTGTCCTCCTCGCACCACAGCCCAGCACATCCGTATCCGCCTCTACCTAGGAAGCGGACTCCATGCCAGTGGCGTTCGTCCTTGTCCTTTCTGTACGGCTTTGTAGCCATCCAGGCGGCAGCATGAGTTGTCGGATCGGGTGTTGGGCCAATATCATCCTCTGAGGGCCATGGGAGTTGTGGCCAGAAGCCATAAGGTACGCGGTCGACGTACGCTTGAGAGGCCGCTGCGGGAGCTTCGCCGTCTGAAGACCCGTTGACAATGGGACCTGGACCATCTTGGCCCCTTCCACGTCCCGAACCCATACCTGCAGCTGTAGCATCTATAGTAGCGCCTAAAGCTCCCCTCGCCGGAGGCGCATGACCTCTTCCAGCATGACCCCTTCCTGCTGGAGGGCGGGGAGGCATTACTGGGTGCGCACCGCCTACGGGAGGCAGATGAGCAGGCACTGCTGGAGGCGCTGCTAGAGGCGCTGCTGGAGGAGGCGCTGCTGGAGGAACTGCTGCTTGAGGTGGATGAACCGGTCCCGCTGGGGGACCCCTTACTCCATTCAGAAACGCCTGTACAGGCGCCGGAAGACCCCGTCCCTTCTTCACATTCGTGACATCATTCGCAGTGAACCGTATCGCTGGAATTGGATTAGGAACCGGTAGGCCGCGGGGCTGCGCTTGACCCGCGCATCCTCTGTACCAAGCCTGAGTCGGGGGGTCCCCCGCCCACAGTGCGGAGATGGCCCATCGTATCTCAGCTGCTGCGTGTTATTTCTGGTTGGGAAAAGGACATGTGGGGCTTGGAAACATACGAGTGCTCCATGTCGGGTAGTTCGCGCGTATGTATTGCGTTGCGTCGTGGTAGAAGTACTGGTAGTCGGTATTCCATGGTGGTCCAGGCATTGCGCGTAAGTTTTCTCGGTATGTGCGTCCTTCCCTCAATTAGATGCTAACTGGATTAACTTTTCTAAATGTTGCTGCTGGTTTTCGGGAATTTGTTAGACTATTGTGGTAGCCTGCTGAGTCCTTTGTGCTAGAGACAAAGCAGCGCCGCAAATGGAACTTGCAAGAGGTTTGGCGGGGAATCCGATACGACAAAGAGCTGTAGTTGCATGGCGACTAACCTCTGACATGGGCTTCTATTCTTGACTTCCCTACTGCGCGCCATTTCTCTTGGTCATCGTTCAGCAGCAGAGTCAGTCGCGTCCCCGCGCTACACTTGTCGACGATTAACATCTTAGCAGTTGCAAGTAACTCAATGAAAGTAACTCATTGAAACAATGACTGGAGCGCTGCAAAGGAGACGTTTCTTCGGGAAGACACGTCAAAAGGACGCGTGGATGTCAAAATGTACTGTCATCTTGTCTCATCTGGAACATTTCCACCCATGAGCTAAGCCCCTTCCGCACTAGCCCTTCCGTACAGCTCAACACCAGGCGAACCTCAGTTCCTGAACTCACAATCAACCCGATTCTCCCACTTTCACTGTTGAGCATAGTAAGAGGAAGGGGAAAAGAGGTACTCTCGCATTGCAGTAGATTCAAGCGGGATCGGAGGCGGAAGCGCCGTCAACTTATTTAAAGTCGGTCGAACGATGCAGTGAGAACTCAATCGCGCCCTTGATCGAACAGTACACTGACGTGTGTTCGAGGACCCGGGGTGTGAGCACCTCCCCTTCGATGACGTGGGTTTTACTTTGAAGGGCATGATCGGATGATCTTGGTCAGAGGCGGCTCCGCAGCCCGAGTCCGGAGTGGACCTGGATAACAGAGAGCCCCAGAAGCAAGGCAGAAGCTCCAACAGCGACTGAAAAAGCTAGGCGAGCTCGAGAACGAGACTAATGCGTTGTCCAATTCGTCGCGCCAAATTCCATCTGTAGGAGCAGCTACAAGGCATGGGTCGGCGTATGGACTACCCGCCTACCCGCCCTTGGACTTGATAAAGAGCACGGACATGTTCAGAACCACATTGGCATGAAGAAGCCCAGCATATAGAAGGAACCACTCGAAGGATAATGTCATGACGTCCGACATTGGGTAACCCGTACAACCATCGCAAGGTCTGCTGATTAGGAATTCCTTGCGCTCCCGTGGCTATGTCGACTTTGATATATGTCGACTTTGATATATGTCGACTTTGATATATCTCGAGTACGTTCTCCATTAGGCAGCTTTTCTCTCTGCCAACTCGCAGCGGGCGGGTCGACACTCAACACCCGCTACAGATTCACCCGCCTCCATACACGCTTTGTCTTCGCCTGATCCAAAAAGCTAGTGCGTGCTGCAATGAGCAGGTCAATGTCGGGTGCGTGAGGCATGGCAACGGCCCAAGCGCTAGGCAACGACAGCTTTCACTCCACGATGTTGTTGGTGATACGGTCCGCCAGCCTAGGCGCTTACCGATATCATCGCATTCTGCGTTGAGCTGAAAAGAAAATCAACGACGGAAGGAGCCAACTCCGCATCTCGACGCCCTCGATGTCTCCAACCCGCCCCAAACACCATTCTCCCAAAGCGTAAAACCCCAATCCCAAAACGCCCTCCATCCAAATCTAACCCGCTATCAGCAACAACAACAACACCAACAACGCCAACGCCACTATAACAATCCACCTCTTCGCCAACCCCTCAACCCCAACACAGCACACCGTATACACCCTCCCCGCCTGCTCAATCCGCACCTCGGCCTACCTCCAAGCGCGCCTCCCCCCCAGCTTCAACCCCTCATACCCCACCATTCATCTCTACTGGCACGGCGCCCCCATAATCTTCACCCTCTACCTCGCCTTCCTCCGCACGCGCACCATCTTCACAACCTCAGAGCTCTCCTCTTCCTCCAAAGACCCTCCTGTTCCCGCTAGCCCTAGCACGTATTCCGACTTCCTCGACCTGCTGTGCTGCTGGGGCCTCGGGAAAGCGCTCGAGGACGAGGTGTTCCAGGATATGGTTATGAGCGATACTATCAAGCGCCTGCAGCTGTGGGACGGGAGTAGAAGTGGAAGTGGGAAAGATGACGGCGCCGCATGTCCGCTTGTCCAGTGTCTAACGCCGCTCTTGGTCAGCTTCGTGTGGCGAGAGACGGAAGAAGACGGGAAAGCCTCCGTATTGAGGAAGTTAGTCGTTGATGCTACAGCGAGATTCGGGCGAGTTAGAGACTTTGAAGGGTTCCTGCAAGGCGATGGGTATCCGCTTGCGTTCATCCGGGCCTTGCTCGTTGCGATGGCGAAGGAGCGAGATAGGTGGAGTGCTTCGTTAAGCGACTTCAGCACTAGCAGCCCTCCTCCTCCTCCCTCGGGCTTCGATCCAGAGAGTCGGACTCCACCCTTGGGGCCTGGAGGCTGGTTCAACGACACCCCATCTCCGTCACCGCCTCCATTCTTCGACGCGAGCGGTATTCTGGCTCAGCAGCCATGCCGGATCCTTCTAAATGGTTCGGCGAGCCCGGAGAATGATGGAAGGAGAGTGAGATTCGAATTGAATGGCGTTTCCTCGAGCTTTCCGGAGGATAAGTGCGCATACCACCTACATCGGCAGAACAATCGACCATGCTGGAGGGCTGGACTTTAAGCGCTTGCAACTGACGCTCACCAGGAGGATATGGGACGCAGTGTTGAAAACAGAGTCATCTCATGAGGAAAAAGAAAATGGGGAACCTTCTTCCTGGAGGTCTTCGGAGTCCTATTGCTTGCTGAGCTCCGAGCACCTGTGCTAGCCAATTGGATACACCTCACATTAGGGATGTGATATGATACCGAAATTATCTGGGATTTAGCTGTTCTGGAGAGGGCAGAACCTAGCTACTGATCACGCATCCTGAAGAACGTCGACCCTTATTGTATGATAGAGCATAGATAAACCCCCATGCCGATCCAAGACCCTAGCCTGTGTCTGATCGCACAACCTAGTCCATATTGGCCAACAGAGTCTCATAACGGTTCTTCCAGTAGGCAACCTCGCCGTCGGCAACGCCGTTGGATTGAGCTGATGGGCCTTGGCCGGAAAGCTTCTGCTTCAGCTCGTCGTTCTCCTTTCGGAGCTGGTCAGCTTGTTTGTACAGAGGGAGCATATCCTTGTACTCCTTGTACGAACGCTGTGATCACGTCAGCCATATGAACCAATTACGCCAATGGGCAGGAGGATCGAGTGGGCTTTGGTTCGCCCGTTGAATTCCTTCAGATTGATGCTTACCTTTGCCAGATCAGTCCACTCCCCCAAAGCTTTCTCCAGGCGCGTCTTCTCATTCTCGGCTTCGGACAGGCGATTCTGGAGACCTTCAATCTCCTTCCTGGTAGTGGCCAGGGTGGCCGAATCGCCGGCAACGGGGGCGGCAGGCTTGCTCTGAAGTCCTTGAACGGTGGCAAGCAACTTGGCATTCTCTCCCTTGAGGATGGAGAAGGCCGCCGAGACCTTCTTGTGCTCGGCCTGTTTGGCCATGAGGTTGTTGTTCTCCTCCTCCAGTTCGTCATTCTCCTTCTCCGCCTTTTTCAATTTCTCCGTGAGGGTCTCGACCTCATTCCTAGCATGAATGATAGCCTCCATCGCGCCCTTGATTTCACCTTGGAGCTTGTCAAGCTTGCCCTGCAGATCGGTTTTAGCGCGACGTAGCTCAGAGGCTTCTATTTCAAGCTTGTCCAGCGTGGCTAGTCGCTTCTTGAGGTCACCGTTCTGCTTCCCGAAACGCTCGACGTCGGCAGCCAGTGCGTTAGCCTTCTTAGTCTGCTCGTTCAGGTTCTGTGGCGAAGGTTAGCATCTTGTTTTGATTAAGGTGTGATCACTTACTGTGAAGGCCTTCGAGTATTCGGCGCTCTGATGGTTGTACTTGTCCTGGAGTAGCTTCTGCTCCGTCCTCAACTTCTCCACTTCCTTCTTGGCAGAGTTGTCGCCCTTCTGCAGGGCCTTGACGAGGGTGTCGAGTGCTGTCGCCTTGTGCTGCTCCTTAGCGAGCTGCTCGCCAACCCGTCGGATCTCCTTCTCGTAGTGATCAGTTGCCTTGTGCTCGGCGGCCTTTACTTTGTCTTGCAAGTCACTGATAGTGGCACGAAGCGTGTCTCCTTCCGTGGCCAACTTCTCTTTCGTCGCCTCTAGCGCCTCCACTTCCTTCTTCAAGGAGCCAGCCTTCTGGAGGCCTTCAGCCTTGCCTTTACGCTCCTCGTCCAGGTGCTGCTGCACGTTATCTAGTTCGGTGCGGAGGAGTCCTTTATCGAGGGTCAGGCGTGAGACGCGCTCTTGGAGCTCGGTGAACTCCTTGAGCTTCGCATCCGTCTGTGCCTTGTGGTCCAGGAAGGCCTGCTGACGCTCCAGAATCAGCGAGTGCTGGATGTTGACCTTTTTATGCTGTAGGTTGAGCTCATCCTGAGTCTCTCGGATGGTCTCGTTAATGACGGAGTTATGGTACAGACTCATATTGCCCTTCTGCTTCTCGAGGAAGTCGGGTAGAGCGCTCTTGGCATTTTGAGCGGCCTCGAAGAGCTGCTCTAGCTCTTGCCATAGGGTGTCGACGGACTTTAGGCTGGCCGATGCTTCATCGCCGCCTTCCTTGACGGAGTCGCGGATCAGGGTGAGGAGTCGGCGGGTGTTGCTGACGGCGCTGGAGACGGACTTGGCAAATTTGGCACTATGCTTCTCTACCTCGTCCTTGAGTGCCTCGTCTTGCGCCATGGCAAGCTGAGCGTCGGCGTTGTAGGGCGTATGGGTGGTCACGTCCTTGGCGGCTGCCGCGACTTGCTCCTTGGTGGCGATTGCGTTGCTAGCCCCAGCGGTGTTGACTGGCGCCTTGGTGACTGGGGACACAGCGGAGGGCATAGTCGTGAAGGCCTTCCGGGTGGCCGATGGCGACGCGTATTTCGAGCTGGCGAGCGAAATAGCTCCGCGATAGGGCTCCGTAGGTGCCATTGCGGTAGGTGACGAGAAAGTAGAAAGTGTGCCCAAGTGTGTGTTTGTGCGTGAAGCGAAAAAGTCGGTCGATGCGCGTTGTTATGGTGGCGGGGAGGAAGGAAGTCGCGGTGGGCGGGTACTGGGGCAACCGCGCGAGCAGCAGCCCTTCACCGCCCACCAACCTGCACCACTGAGCCATGTAGTCCTCCCGGCTCAACAGCTGATAGGGCTCTGAATCCCTTCAGGAAGACCTATCCTTCACTTGATCGTCCCGACCTCGGTCGAGCAGCTCGTAGGCGTTGACCTGCTCAATGCCCTCAGTAACAGCTTTCCGCAGCCACGAGGACAAGCAGCAGCATACCTGGACACATAGAGGAGCTCTTTCATCCCCCCTCGCCTGTTCGCCGATGGGCTTCACCGAGCCGGACCTCTACAGTCTGACGACAATATCGATGAACAGTGTTGAGGGATGAAATCCAGTCAATATAATTGCACGTCGAAGACGAAGGAAAGAGAGCGAGCGAGAGAAATAGTAATCTCACCGAAGAGGAATAAGTGTCATATAAGTAAGTTTTCTGAACAACGCCCAGACTTGAGAGAAGTAAAGCCTTATACCACCTCCTTTGATGCAACACCGCGTAGCCCGGATGATCCCGAACGCGTGTCCACCCTTTGTTCTTCTATGACCTTGCCCTCTTCATCTTCCATAAAGCCTTCTCTTCACGCTCCACAGACTTACAGGTTTACAAGCCTTGACGGTACACCAGACCACTTCCGTCACCGAACGCTCAAGCGCCAGCGTCCAAATAAGCCAGAAGTGAAGGGGTTGCGGCCCTCTTATGCGAGAGCCAGGAGAACAGCAATCTTGGTGCAAGCCACAGTTTCGGAAGCAAGCGGACACGCAATGGACATTCGAGAGCAAGACTTGGGTTGAGACACGGAAACGATGGGAAACAAGAAGGGAAAGGCCTGGATGATATGCCGGCCCAACTCGCCAAACCATGAGGACGGCTCCGGATCCAATTGGATAGGGGAAGCTATTCTGTGGCTATTGTGGGACGCTTTCCGGCTAGGCCCGTCCGCTTGGCATAGCACCGCGTTCTCGCTGGCGTGGGACCGATGCATACGACGATCGATTCGGAGGTTAATATACAACGAACTGCAATGCTACGGAGTAGTGCTGCAAGTCGGGGATTACAAGAAATCAGGGAGTTGTTAAAGCTGCGCTCTAAGATGAAGGCCAAGGGCAAGGATCCGTCCATGCTGCCAATACCGTGCTTATCAGCGCTCGAATTTTCATGCTTCCAGGTATCGGCACGCCTGCTGCGCGGTGGTGGTCCTGCATCGCGTACGCGGTGGCGTGTGGTGGGGTTGGGCGAGGGAGGTCCAGGGCAATGATCCGGCGGTTTATCCAGGAGTCCAGGACGCATCGATTTGGTCGTCGGATCGAAGCGGCAGACGCGGACGTGCATGGCAGACGAAGAAGCAAAAAAACTGTCGGATGGCAGCAGTACGAGGTGGAACCGAGAGACCAGAGCAGAGCACGCGGCGCTGTTTAACAGCGAAGATGCCGGAGAGTCGGCAGGGGTCGCTGATGGGAGCTAGCTTTATTTCGACAGCGGGAACCGCCATGGCGAGACGGGAAGGGCCGAATGCTGCTGCCTGACTAGCTCTGAGACGAGGGCGGAGAGGCGGAGAGGCGGAGATAGCGAGATAGCAACCGTCGTCGTGATCGCACACCTCCACGGTGCTCTCGAGACGTGCAGTACCGTATGCTGAGAGGTGGCACGGCAGACGAACCAGTGTTCGCGCGGGAGCACACGCGCGGTGCAGAAGCGCTGTATTCGTGCGCGCGTAATCAAGGCGATGGAGCGCAATATCAGTCGACGGTATCACGACAGGGCACGGCGGCGTGGGCCAGTGAAACTGGAGGCCGCTGCAGGGGGCGAGCAGCGCTCAGGAAGCGGGCAGGCGTAGAATTGAAACGCGCAGCTAAGAGGCCCCGATCCCCTCCGCCGGAACCTGCGCGTCGCCGCCACGGGCCTGCTCTGCGCAGACGCTCCCAGCAGCGAGGCGGCCGGCAAATGGGAGCGCGCAGAGAACAATAATAGTGGAACGGGGCGGCCCAAAGCGGCCGCTGTCTCTGTGCTGCTTTGTTGTCCGCGACGCTGCTGCCGTTCCCGACGCCCCGCCTCGTCGCGTGGGCTTTGTCTGCCGTCACGTTCCTGGCCTCGCCTGAGCGCGCAGCCCTGGAGGGGTGAGCGCCCGCGGCCACACGCAGCGCAGCGCTGCGTGCTACGTCTGCCTCACGCGCCATATTTATTATTGCTGCGGTGCCGGGCCCGCGCCGTCCAGAAAGACACTCCACGCCTCCACTGCTGGGTTTGCAGTTGCAGGGTTCGAGCGTGCGGCTGCTTCACCGAGTGGCTCCGTCCCCAAACAGCACACCCCCCAGCCATTATTCGGCAAGCACCCTATTTCTCGACCTCCTCCCTCCGCCAGCTCGCGCCTCCCCCATCTCACGTCGCAGGTACGCCATTATTCTCGTCTTCACTCGCTCACACACTCATTCGCCCGCTATTCTTACTCCCCTGCTGCCGCTCTCTGCCCTCGCTCCCCGCTGCCTCCGCCGTGCCCTAGCTCCCTCCACCACGCCGCCGCCCAGCGTGCCCGCCCTAGCTCGTCCCGCCCGCCGCCCCTCTGGCTCTGGTACCGCCGCCGCCGCCCTCTGTTTTGCGACGCCCAATTTGACGGCGTGCGTGGCTGACCCGTAAATAGCTCTGGAGCTGTCCTCCTCGCCTGCTGTGCATGTCTGGAGCACGCCTATAAGCGGACCGCGACCCCCCGAACCCGCCCTCGCAGCGACTGCGCACCCTCCGCGAGCTTGTTCATGGCCCCGGGTATAATGTGCTTCGGCAAGAAACCAGTCGATCCGGACTCTCGCCGCAATGAAGAGATCGAGAAGGTCATCCGGATCGACAAGAAGAAGCAGGAGCGCGAGGTGAAGCTGCTGCTGCTCGGTACGCACCCCAATTGACCATCCCACGCGCCATACTGAGTTCCGACTGCAGGCGCCGGCGAGAGCGGCAAGTCCACCGTGCTGAAGCAGATGCGGGTAATACATGCAGGCGGCTTCAACAAGATGGAGCGCCAGCAATGGCGGGCCATCATTTTCAACAACCTGGTCTCCGCTTTCCAGACAATCTTTGCCGCTATGCAGGAACAGGACACGGAGTTTGAGGACGACGATAACCTGGTATGCCGCCTCGCAGAGTGCCAGCAGTGCACCCGTTCTGCCGCTTCAAACGCTGACCCTGACAGCGATATGCCGAACTCATCGCCGCAGACCCCGAAATTGGAATTCACGACTGCATGCCCCAGGAGTGCCTGGCAGCGTTCAACAGCCTATGGGCCGACAAGGGCGTGCAGCTGGCCATATTGAAAGGCAACCAATATGCGTTGCATGACAACCTGAGCTAGTACGTAGCTTCCCCCGCTCACTACCCAGAGCTAACACCCCACAGCTTCTTTGCAGACGTTGAGCGACTGTTTGCAAAAGACTACCTACCCACAGATCAGGACATCCTGCGCACACGGCTGAGGACGACCGGCATCACAGAAACGATCTTCGAGCTCGGCAACCTAACATATCGCATGTTCGACGTAGGCGGACAACGGTCAGAACGGAAGAAATGGATCCACGTCTTCGACAACGTGCAGGTCGTGCTGTTCCTCGTGGCAATCAGCGGCTATGACCATGTGCTTGTGGAAGACCGCAATGGCGTAAGTTCTACCTGGCTATAGCGACACAACGTCTGCTAATAACCCTCTGCAGAACCAAATGCACGAGGCACTCATGCTGTTCGAATCGATATCAAACTCCAAATACTTCGAGAAGTCGGCCCTCATCCTGTTCTTGAACAAGATCGATTTGTTCCGCGAAAAGATTGCAGGCGGCATGAGTCCGATCAACAAGGTCTTCCCCGACTACACAGGCCAAGCCACGAACATTGAGGCCGGGCAAGAGTTCTTCGCACAAAAATTCAAGAACCTGGTACGGCAGCCGAAGAAGGAAGTCTACGTCCACTACACCAACGCCACCGACACGGATCTGTTGAAGAAGACCATGGCATCCGTACAAGATATGATTGTGCAGCGTAACCTGAACGCGCTGATACTGTAATCCCTTACTCTAATTCTCCATGTTCGCAAAAGCACCACCCTTCTCCGGAGCCTTCTGTTCTAGCGCGAGCTAGCTAACGACGCCGTACGACAACACTACTATATTGGAGTTTTCCTTTTGCCGCCAACCAGCTGAATCGACGGCCGCCTTAGGTTGAACATCGGACCACATCTAGCCGCTTGCAGGTACCGTGGAGGAACGGGTTCAGCTGCGCGCCGATCTTCCTTCGCCCTCTAGAGACGCTATCACGGCCCATATTTATTTTACATACCCCCGATATACCACATGTTCACTACTTTCTCTTCCTCTTCTTCGCCGATGTTTTAGGACGAAATGACGACTTGACCTACACCGCTGGAGCCTATGCTGCGCCGAACGTGACCTTATCTTCTACCTCTTTTCCGAAGGTAGGCCTACGGCAGTATCGCATGGGGCCGAAATGGGGGCAGGCAGGAAGAAAGAGGTACAGGGATCTCTCCGGGCTTTCACTAGCGTATATCCAATGGTTCTCTCTACTCTTCTTCGGATCCATGTATCCTTGGGGCATAGCAATGCGCGGAATGGGAGGAAGGCTGTGTTTCTTCTGCGCACGCACACACTTGTGGCACGGGAAAGGGGGGAAAGAAGTAAATTACATCATATTACACAGCATGCAATGCGAAATAGGCCATTCCTGTCGGCGTTGCATGTGGCAAATGAGACGAGCAAAGAACGATGATCCTTGATTTTTCAAACGTGCTTGCCTGCGTACACGTATGTAGCTGTATGTACTGTACGCCCTGGCGGTGCAAAGGGCCCTGACCTGATGTGCTGCTGGTTGGTTGGGTGGTGCCCTTTCCATCGCTGACTGCAGCCCCCTTGTCCGACGCACGCAAAGTAAGCATCTATCCCCACCGCAAAGAGAGAGAAAATTGTCGGACTTTGGATGAGCGACCCGCTAGCAAGACTTCGGCCGCGAGCGCCAGAAACACGCACGTTGTTTTGATGAAGCCAGAGCGGGTGTGGCGCGCGATTTGCACATGCAGGGCCCCCCTACTCTACTCTATCTGTAGTTATCTAGATTGGAAGATGTGCACGCTGCAGCTTTTGTCCCTGGATGCCCGGTTGCGGTGCGGTTGCGGTGGCGAGGTTGCACGCACGCCGGGTTCCGAGGACGGGTGAATTCAATTCTACTTTTCTACAGTACATATATCCTAGTACATATATCCTTGTTTGCGTTTGCGATTTAGTCTGTCCTATCTTATTTCGCTGTCGCTCCAATCCTAGCCAGGCGTTATTCCCTGCCTGCTTGGAGAGTTTATACTGTGGATTGGATTGGATTGGATTGGGATAAATAGAGTGCGTTGCGGTGCGGATTAGCAACGCAACGCAACGGCGGTGCATGGTGGAATGAATTGGGGGCCGCCGCCGCCGCCGCCGCTTTGCGGCAGCGATATTGCGGATCTGCGCTGTGCACATGGAGCTGGTGCGGTTCCGTTTGACGTGCTGCTGCTGGGGATGATTGATTGGGAGCGGGAAGGATTAGAGGATGGTGCAGTGCAGGAGGGAGCATGGGTTTGGGGGTGTTATAGATGGAAGCGGATGTGCGTAGGAATTGTTGCCGGGCGGTTAGTCCGCGATGCTGGGTCGAGCATGTAGGTGCTTCTGCTTTGGGGTGTGGATGCGAGGGAGGGATTTTCTCCGTGGGATATGGATATAGGAAGGTGCGTATGGGAGTTGCCGTGCCGCTCTTTTTTTTTCTTTTTTTTGCAGCTTGGGGGGTAGAAAGTGTAAAAATCCGGATTTAAGGAGGGCTGGGCGTGGATGTAAGCGGAGATGCTGATGGGTACGAGATGCCAGGTGTGTGGAGTGCCAGGACGGCTGATGCCAGCTGCTAATAAGCAGGCGATTATTTCTCCTCCGAAGCATACTCTTCGCGTTCAAATTCACTCGTATTGCACGCTGAAAAGAGGCCAAAAATACGAGTACACATACGGAAGTGAGAGAATGTAGGCCCGCGATCCGAAGGCTTTGAAGCCGGCCCTGCAGTCCGTCTTCGAAATACAAATGCTTTCTCTTTGAGCCAATTCAACGGAAAACTCTCCGACATACGTCACGAATACCATACAACCCCAATGCTTGATATCCTCTCCCATCTTCCTAGTTTCGTCGCAATTTGCGATGCGAACTGTCGAACTCGGGATATGAAGTCGCCCAATAACTGCACCAGCCGCACTCGTAACGGTTATTCTTCCACGAAGGAGCTCCGAGGCAAGGCAGACCAGGAGCAAGGTGCTGGCTTTTGACAGTTGCGTACGAGGGTGAGTAGTACCCACAATGTTTACATTCGGCAACAAATTGCAGAGGCAAGGACTCGTTTTGGCGCTCAGCTGTGACGAGCTTTACGTTTGGGCAGTCATCTCCAAGGCACATATTGGTCTGAGCCCGGCGCGCGAAGTCTTCGGCTGCTTTCCTCTCTGCCGCCTTGCGGCCTTCCTCCTCCATCGTTTGGAAATACTCTTGCCAAAAAGCTTGTCTTCTCTCTTCCTCCTTTTTTCGCTGCCCTTCTGCTCGCGTCTCAAAATGTCTTCTTAATTGTTCCCACCTCCAGAGCTCCTCTGTATGTTTCCTCAGTTCTTCATGCCTCTGCTCCTCCTCTGCTTGTCTCTTCATCTCTTCTTGCTTCTGTTGCGTTTTTTTCTGCCTTTGCTGCTCTTCTGCCTGCTGTTTTGCTTCGTCTTGCCTCTGCTGCTCTTCTACCTGTTTCTTTAGATCTTCCCGCCTCCGCTGCGCTTCTATTCTCTTTCTAATCTCTTCGCGTCTCTGTTGCTCTTCTCGCTGCTGACTTGCTTTCTCTCGCGTCCTGAAATGTTCCCGCTCTCTGAGGGCGTCCTCCCTCTCTGCATCGTCTTTGCTTCTCTTCTCAGCGGCGATCATCGTCTGTACATTGTGCATGTCGCAATTCAGCTGCTGGAGCTTGCTCCCCTTTTCGCGCAACTGAGTCTCCTTTATCCCTCTAGCCGCGACCCGCTGTAATGCCTCGCGGTCCTTGGCCATCTTGTCTTCCTCTGAAAGCTCGCTATTTGCTGAATGGAGATTTCTATCCCAGGGATTCATACCATCATGGTGTTTCTTCCGCTGGGCTTCGTCTTCCTCATCCTGAACGGCAAAACGCTTCAAGTCCGCTTGCAGTCGACGAATGGCCCGGTTCAGCTCGAAAATATCACTATCCAATTCGGTTTTCTGGTGTTGTAATTTCGTGATATGCTCATTTCGAGAGGGTGGTTTGGTCCGGGTTGCCCTTTCAGCGTGGCGTCCGGCCTCTGCCTTGTGCGTTTGCCTTGCTTTCTCTTCAGCCTTGCGCGTCTGCCTGGCTGTTTCCTGTTCAGCCCTGCGCCTCTCCTTCTCCGCCTCTGCCTCGGCTTCGGCTTCAGCTCGCCGCTTCTCCTCTTCCGCTTCCTTCTGTTCTCTAATACTTGGCCACTTTTCGTTATAGTCACGCCGCTTGCCAGGGTCACTCAGCGTCTCGTACGCATTTTGCAGCTAGTCACCACTGATTAGCTATTCGCATCATACTAGCTCTTAACAGCAAAGCGCATACCACCTGGAAAGCAGCTGTCGCAGCAAGGCACCCCTTGTTTCTGTCAGGATGCACGCTACGGGCTAGGCGTCGATAGCTCTTCGTTATCTCTTCAGAACTGGCAGTGTGTAGGATCTGGAGGATCGCATAGTAGTCTTCCGTGACTTCGGCGGGAGCCATATCGTCGGTGTCTTCGAGAAGGGGCAGGCTGCGCCCTTCGCGGGGTAGAGAGTCCACTGCGCACGTGAATGGTTTCGAAGGACGATGCGGGAGGATTTCGGACAACCTATGAGAAGCCTTCCGCATGCAGTCATCTGAACCCAAGCATGCAGCCTGATGAGCCAGCGTATCCCTTGATAAGCCAATGCATCTCTTCAACTGGGTAATCCAACCTACGATATCCGTTCACTTCTAGGAGACTGGAGATGAGTGTGCATGACTGTCTACGGGTTAGAAAGTTGAGGCCCGAAGTAACTTGTAACTGTGCGAGTCCGGACGAAGTCGACGCCGCAGGGTCGCCGTCAGCCTGCTCTTTCAGCTGAACGACAGCCTGACCAAACAGAATGGACGAGTCTTTCAGAGACATGTCGGCTAAGGGGGATCTTTGACTGGCCACAAGAGTGGGATGTGGCTGTGGATGGAATGTTACAACTAGGGGAAATCGAGCGATAGTCGTGTTCGAAGTCACATGTCGAGCAGGATCCACAGCGCTTGAGGCAGTCCAGTGGTGGCAATAGCTGTCCTGCGTGATTTCGCCTCCGTTGTGCTTTGATAGTGCGGAATGGCCTCAGGCCGAAGTCGGTTGAGTCCACGAGTGGTGTTCTCGTGACCGATGCGGCTCCACGACGCTAACCGTGCCTTGTCAGGAACAACGTCGGCCCGAGCGCGGCAAGGCGACTCGCAGCAGGATCATCGCCTCCAGCCGACGCCCAACCTCACCGCTGTTATCTCGACCTACGCTGTCCACCCGCTGGCAATGTTCTCCCCCGCGCTCGGGAGAGTCGTCCGCTCGACCAGCTCCGTGCCAGCCTGCTCGGTCTGCGCCCTGGGCCGTCCTGCTGCCCTCGGCGCGGTTCAGCAGCCCTTTGCCCGGCCGAGCCATCAGCGGCGCCCGTCTTCCTCAAAGGCGTCGATACCGCCAGACGGCTCGAATGCGAACGGATCGAGCTCCGCGCAGCAGACGCCTGCGAGCGCGAATAAAGCTCCCGCGAGGAAGCTGACGGGCAGGGCTGGTAGAAAGCGATCAACAACACCCCCGGCCCTCAACGTTCCTCATGTACCACCCACCGACTATCTTCAGAAGCCTGGTATGTCCAAGGGAATGGACGCTAATACAGAGAGCTGGTTACTAACATCTGCTCAGAAGTGAAGATATCGTCCTTCTTCTCCCTCCATCGCCCGATATCGCTCACGTCGCCCATACCTCCCGTGGCGACCCATGCGTCCTTCGATTCTTTGTTCAAAGCCCGCTCACCGACCGACCGGAAAGTGATGATGGACAATATACAGACGCTGTCGAGCGGCATCGAAAGTCTGGAGGCAGCCCTGCGGGTGCAAGAGAAGCAAGGGCCCGAGGAGATGCATGCTGAAGCGGAAGTCCAGCATCTGGATGGACCACCACAAGCGTCAATGGACCAGCTCATGTCACGTTTTGTTCCATTCAGACCACCGCCCGCCCCTGTACCTTTCGACCAAGCGACCGAATCCGAAACGACCTCGCCCGGGCTCGTCGAAGACACCCTCATGGCTGCTACAGCAGGCAAGCAGCGTGCATGGAGCACAGCCGTTGTTGTGACGGAAACTACAGACGCGTCCGGCAAGCGCACATATTCAGCCACAACGGCACCCATGGTTGAAATCTCAGTACCGCCTACAGAGAACAGACAGGAAGTCGATGAGATTGAGATTCGGCAGCCGTTTCTCGAACGCATGAGACAGCGGCAAAATGCGCACAACCGCTCCCGGGATAATCTGAGGCGCCCAGACATGCTGGCGATCAGTGTCAAGAGGCAGAGGAAACTGAAGATGAAGAAACACAAGTACAAGAAGCTGATGAAGAGGACGAGGCTGCTGCGGAGGAAATTAGACAGGACATAATAGACTCATGGTGGCGTTTGGGGGCATTGCATACCCGAGTCGCGGGGAGACTTCGGTGCCTGGGGCATCCGTATCACACACCCAATGGACGATGCCTGATCTTGCGCGTGGCGGCTCGCAACACCACAGTTGCATCGTGACAGAAACGCGCGCAGTGGACAAGATCTTGTGCGTCCGAGCACGCTGCAGCAAGTGCGATCTGCGGTCCTTCCAGCCGCAAGCTCATCCCTGGCCCGGTTTCGGCAGCATTGCGCACTCTCCTCTACTCTCATTCCTATTCTTGGGCGTTCTAGCTCAACAGCATTTGTTTGGCTGCATAAGCATGCGCTCGTCTCTTCTTGCTCAATACCAGCATGCATTGTCCACAGTCCTCCATTCTGTCCTTCGCATGATGTTTGTTGCCCGCGTATCTTGTGTGTTTTCTTGACCCACATGACCATCTCCCGAGCGTTGGATGAGCATCGGAACGCATTGCATCCACTTGCGCCTTGGGTCCAGTGTCGTGGCGGCTATAGGTGTACCATTGTCACATGAAACGCGTGCTGCGACCTAGGGTGTCGCGAAGGCCAGCCTCGCCTTCGGCAACACTACGATCTGAATCTCGTCACCTCCGCAAAGAACTCATAACAGCTCCAACTAAGGCTTACCGAAGTCGCAGGTCGCCAATCATACGTCCCACCAGACTGCATACCGCATAACTTCTTGGCGTCCACCGCGCCTTGCCATTTTTCTTCACGGTTTCAACCATTTTCCACGACCTGCCGAGGGAATTCTTGTGCCTCGACTCACTTACATGCAGGATACGAGACCATGCAATTTCTCCGTGTCGTCATCCAGAATCCTGGCGGCGGTTGCGGAGTGCAGGAGGCGTCGGGCATCGCCAAGTGCATTGAGGTATAAAGCGCTGAGATGGCCGCGCGGACGAGAACTTCAGCAACTCAGCATCTTCGCAGTAGCACCAAGTTCACTCACTTTCTTTCGTCCTTTTCAGTCATTCTTTGACGTCTTCATTCTTTTGCCCAGGTTGGCCCCTTCTTCGACCTACGAGCTAGTCTCTCTTTTAGCACTTGCTATTAACGTCTAACGAATTCTCTGTATATATTCGATCGATCGACGCCATGGTCTCCAAGACACTTCTCCTTGCGGCGATTGTCGCCTACGTCGAGGCCCGCTTCGGCCAGGAACAGGTCCCTATCGCGGCTATCTCTGCTGTCCAGGGCGGCGATGCAGGTGCGGCGGCTACCATTGCTGGTGCTGCCATCAGTGATCTTTTGGGCGCTGCCAACTCTTGCGACAAGGTGCGTCTTTCCTCATTCCTATCTCGGTCATTATACTGACGACGACAGCTCGTCCGCGCTGACCAAATTGTCGCCGAGCTCGGCGGTGGTGCCGATGCCATCGCTGCCGCGATTGGCATGGTCACCGCTGAGAAGAACACCAACCCTTTCGCCAACGGCAATGCCCAGAACGTCTGCGCCGATCCTACGCTCCCGGCTACCGCGGAGCTCAGGGGCATCACTCCTCTCATCGATCCTGATGTTGATGTCGACGGCGCGGTTGCAGCTCTCAGCGCGCAGACCGCGGCCAGCCCGCTCAACGCGGATGGCTTGAGCGTCTTCGACCTACTCGACCAGGCTGGTCTGGGTGATCTTGTGGTCGCTCAGCAGTCTGCCGGCGGTGCGGCTGCTGGTGGTGCAGCGGCCGGTGGCGCGGATGATGCGAATGCGGACGACAACCAGGATGCCAATGCGGATGATAATGCCGCCGCCGACGACAATGCTGACAATGCCGATGATGGTACGTTTTGACCCACAAACACGGGGAGATATATCTAACTCACAAAAGCCGCAGCCTGCGATGCTGGAAACGCTGCCGCGGGCAATGCAACGGCCGACGCTGGGGACGCAAATGCCGACGACAATGCTGCTGCTGATGACAACGCGGCTGCTGATGACAATGCCGCAGCCGACGACAACGCCGCAGCCGTGGGCGGGGCATCCTCCATCGCGGGCGCTGACTTCGGCCAATGCACTCCCACCATCATCTTCGAAGCCGGACAACCCGGCCGCCAGCCCGACGAATTCACCTTCCAGATCGCGGACCCGCTTGCGCGCGGCGGCCAGCAGGACGCCCTGAACCCCAACATCATCACCAACGCACTCTGCAACCAGCTCATCAACGTGTGCGGCGCCAACGATGCCGCCCAGGCCGCGTGTCTCGATGGCAAGGCGCAGGTCGAGGCTGCGGGTACCCGGGATAAGAGCACCGCGGATCTGTTCAATGCTGCGGTGGGCTTTGCCGGCGCGGTGACGAACCCGGATGGTGGGCCTGCGGATGTCACTGACGTTGCGGCGGCGAACAAGAGGGCGAGGAAGTTCCGCGCATAAAGGGCGACTTCGAGAACGTAGTGCTGGGATAGAAAGGGATGGATGGGGGTTGTGGTAGATATGAGATGTCCGGAAAAGAGAGGGTCGATTATTCACTTCTGATTCACGTGTACGACTAAAAACACTTGCCTTGTTCGAAAGAGAATACCATGAAGGCGTGTTTGGCGCGAAAAGTACAAGTTCGTCTGCTTAGTCTGCACCCATCATGCAACACGTCCCTCTCATTTCATGCGTGTGTCTTCGGCGCTAGTGTCGAGCTCTTGCTTGACTCATTTCAACAACCCTGTTCCTTTCGTCTCACCCTCCGGCTCAATCCTCAGACTCCACATCAAACCACGCCGGCGGTAAAATCCCCGCGTGCCACGTTGTGCTACTGCACTAGTATGAACTCTCTCCTTGGCGGTATCAGGAATCCTGTACTTTCGTTCTGGGATTCTGGCTCTGCTTATGAAAGATGGGAATTGGGAAGCAAGCAAGGGGTTGGTGGTCTGCGGGAGACTTTCTCTGTCAGTGCATAAGTTCTTAATAAGAAGATGCGCAGTAGTGGGTGTAACGAGGGCCACTTAGGGTAAGTTGATATAGCCGCCTCTGTGGGGGTTGAATGAAGGGGCTAGTTTGTCGCCGACGGAGACCTCCCGTCTCCAACATGAAAAAATAAATCTTCCAGGCTGAGAAGGCAAGATAGAGGGGAAAATTATATGCTAGATCTTCTGGTGTTTACACGCTGAAAACCTCTAGGTGGCTTTCCTGAGCCAAACGAAGCTATTATCCCCATCGTGCAGCTCCTTCCTTTCCATTACCCTACGTGCCCTTCCCGAGGTCTGTCGCTCGAAAAGCTTAGACTCACAGAGCAGAACTAGGATCTGGGGTTTAGCAGCTCTTTTGGGTCACCGACCTCCTCTTCTCACTCTCCTCCCTGTCCGCACCGGTATCCGCGCACCCCTCTCCTCACCAGCTTCACAACCGCCTCTCCAGACTGCGGAAAAAACACGAAGACAAACCATGTCCAGACAACCAGAAACGCATAATAGAACCATATCAACTGTTTCAACGCCTTTTTCCACCGCGCGTGGCTCTTGAGTACCGCGAGTGTAGACTCGATAGCTTCGGCGCTCGCATGGGTGCTATCCATGTGTTCTGTCAGGAGATAGGTGCCGTAGTGGCCGTGGAATTTTACGAGGAAGTTTGAGAGCTTGGCTTTCTCTTTCTCTTGCTTTTGGGCTTGGTCGGGGGAGGTGGGAGGCGTGCTCAGTGGATGAAGAGGGTTGCGTAGAGAGTTTGGCTGAGGCGGCGCGTGTTGGTATGGCCGAATACATAGTCCGCGCCAGAGTCGAGCTTGAGGGGTTACCGGGTTGTGAAGCAGTGGGGTGGACATCGTGGGTCGGAGTTGTGTCCAAAGGGTTGAGAGAAAGCGCCGATGTACTGGTGTATGGTTCGTTATTTTGGTAGTGGATCTGGTGAGGACTCCAGTCGTGCCCGAGATCTGGGAGTGCGTGGCCGCAGAGCGTAGTATGCCTCTCATGGTGACCCGAGAGACTTGAATGTGTAGGAGTATATGCTTTGATACGGCAAAGAGAAACGTGATCGTATCTGGTGATGAAGACGAAGGATAGTAGGAGGACAGGTAAGATATAGATAGTAGCGATGCCCAACGGAACAACGACAGTAGTTGGGTGCGAAAGAAAAACTTGCGCTTGATGTCGGGCACCCCCGGTACGATGGTGATATCCGTCGAGTTTGGGTAGGCGTTCGCTACTCGGAGGTTGTACCAAACATTCGTGAACACTTCATCCGAACGCGACACTCGACGAAGATGCACTCAGGAGATATATCGAACACACAAAGGCTCTCCAGCAAAGGCACTTGGAGACAACGGCTTTTGTGGGGGATCTTTATAAGAGAGTACTAGCAGATGCGGCCAAAAAGGAGGTCATGTCCGGAAGGAACGACGCAGCTTGGTCTTCATCCTAAAACATCCGCTATAGAACCACGGTAACGCACACGAAAAGTCACTCGCCTCGGGGAGCCTAATGGCCTCTCCGAAGAGCTTAGGAGGGGATCGCATATAAGCTGCCTTTGTAGTCATTTTAGACTCATTCTTTGCTTTGCTTTTCTTCTAGTACCAACGGGATGGCTATGACAGCCAGCTCGATGCTGAAGTACAAAGACACATGCATGAAGGAGAAAGAAAAAGAGGTGAAGCCTCTGAAGGGTAAGCTTAGGCCGTCGCTTGTGAGTCGATGCTAGGGGCTGTAGTCCGCCAGCGTGCATTTTGGTAGCTTAGCTCTATACGCAAAAGCCCCAATTGAGTCAAGACGAAACTATCCTCTCCACTCATCACGTCACCTCTTCCGAGTGGGTAAGCGACTGCTGGTCTATACTTACCTGTCATAGACAGGCGACTCTCAAATCGAGGGAATCGACCAGTTTCCGTACAGTACCACCCCATGACCCCCTTCAAACGCAGTGTCCCGAACCCTACATATTCCCCTTCTCTTCCTCCCCGGTCCCAGTTCCAAAACTCCTCTAGTAACACGGCATACCGACCCGCATGCATGATCAGACGGCCTTCGTCCTTCCACCAAAACCCGCGCGTAGCGCCCTGCAGTGTCCCGCAAAATCTCCGACCCGACCTGTGCAACAGTGCCACAGCACAGCACAGAACAACGTCGAAACCGCAATCCCGGCCCAACACGAAATTAAATGTCCGAATGTGACACCGGGACGTCTCGCTGAGGGGGTACAGCGCAGGTGACGGATGGGGCGGTGAGTACCTAGGGTAAGCGGTGAAGCAGTGGCGCGGATCTTGATTGGGAAATAGACTCGTTGCTTGGGGTTGTTTCTCGTGTTTTGGGTCCGCGCTGGGCTTGCTTTGCTTCGAGGCTGGAGATATATCTCCGCAGGGGGAGGGAAATGCTCCACCAGCCCACGCATGTAGCCCCAACTAAACCTCCAGCCAAACGTCTGGACATGCGGAGCGATCAGGAGCACAATATGTATGTAGAGAATCCCAGTGCGACGGCAAAGACAAAAAGTTAAAAATGAATAAATGGACTTCAAAGACCATGCGTCGCCTCGTAATCAAGGAATAACAGCAAAGCCCCTGCAGTGACGGGGCACCCCCATTCAATAGTGTAGCATCACATCGGCACTCCCTAGACGCCTAGGCTATAAAAGCTCTAACTGCTGCTAAAAGACCGCCATCGCCTTAAAAATTCTATACTTCGTCAGTAAACACTCCCAAAGTCTTCATACAACATCCGTACATACCGCATCTCCAGATCGTCTTTGCGGAACCTCGACGTGTGCAATCCGTAAGTTCTACAGCGTGAGGACACCCTTCTAGCTTCCCCCATAGATTTTACATCCCAGAGTCCCACGCCCAAACACAGACCCATGGACAAGCCGACAAGCGCACGAGGCACAGAAACTCCTCCTCCTCCACCTCCCCCAGCAGTCCAACACCGCGTCTCCTTCTCCGCTCCCGAAACCTCTCCACAACGCCATACGCCGCCCCTACGCTCGCCCACTCCATACCCCTCCCCTCAAGCTCCGTCTTCGGAAGACAGTTCTCCAGAGTCGAGCCAGTCAGAATCAAGGGCAGCTGCCCCGGAAGGTGCAAAGCCGCCGCGGCGATCACCCTCGCCGTATCCGCCTCCCCAGCCACCACTTTCAGACGATGAGTCTGCCGGAACGGGATCGGTGACGGAGTCGAATTCAGACATGGATGTGGGGAAGTGCTGGGCGTGTGGCGGGAGGCTGGTGTATACGGGATTGGGACCGAGTAAGACGGAGTGCGTTGAGTGCTGGGCGCCGCAGCCTGTGGAGTGATAGAGTAATGAGAGCAGCAACGCGCAGGAGTAGTATAGTGCGCATGGATTGGTACGGATACGAGAGCATGAGTGGGGGAAGGAAGAGAGACGGTACGGAGTATGGGAGTGGGTGAAGCGGCGGTATCAGGGTATTTTAGCGTAACCAATGTCTATAACGCGCATATTGGAAAGTATCTTACTGCCAAAAAACCTTCATGATTCCTCCCTTAGCTCCGCAACTGCAAAGTACCCCTTACTCTCCACAACGCCTCTGTCTTTTACTACTGCCGTGTATTTGACTACCCATTGCGGCTCGACGTCGCCCTTTAGCCTCTCCGCATCTAGAGCCCCTCCTGCTAGCACTCCGACGCCATGCTCCCCTGATCCAAGAATTTCCCGTAATGTGCCGCGCGGAAGCACGTTTGTGCAGTCGTTGTGTGTTAAGAGCTCGATCTTCTGCTGCTTCGCGTACAGAATAAGCGGCTTCGGCACCACGCAGCAGTCACGGACATTGATCTGATCAACGCTCGGCTTCACCCTCGTCTGCGGCAGGAACTTCTCCAGCCTGGCACATCCAAATTCGGCGATCCCCAGTTTTGACACTACCTTCTGGTCGTGCAATTTTTCTAACGTCCGCCACGTGGTAATCATGGTGTCGATGTCCTCGGGGAGATCTTCTGCGTCTTGTACTGCGCCGTCTTGTTCAGATGCTGGTTCCGACTGTGGATCGTCGAAGTCTGAGTCCTCATCGTCCGCGTCGAATGATATGCCGGGGAAGCTGACTATGAGGAGGTCGATCGATGACGTCCCCAGCTCTTTCAGTACTAGATCGATAGCCTCTCGGGTTTGCACGCATCTCCTATCCGCGGGTATGTTCGGGCGGTAGAATAGCTTCACTGTAATGTCGTAGGACTCTCGAGGTTCGGCGAGCGGGGATGGTGTATGTGTAGGTATCCAGAGCGTGTTTCCTTCCTGTGTTGTCCATGTCTTGAACGAGGGCTTCGGCGATGCAGTCCCATTGACGGCGGTAGGAGTGGGTGTAGGCGAGGACTGATGTGCGGTGAAGTTTGCGCGGAGGGAGGAGGTGAGTTCTGTATTTGACTTCTCGAAGATTGGACGTCGTATCACGGAGGGGCCTCCGGACATGATATTCCTGGCACAGTGAGCATGGCGAAAGCGGGAGGTTGGTCAAGCGTACGAGGTGGAGAGTATGAGCTTCATGGTGGGGTGTGATGCTCAGAGAGTTTCAAACCACTTAATTCTGATCAGCGACCTGAAAGTTCTGGCAAATTTGAGGCCGAGGGTTGTATTATAAGCGCGTCCGGGAGTGCGGTGGAGTTTGTAAGCTGAACACTGAGTGGGGTGCTTTGGGAGGCAATGCGCGGTTTCGCGGCCCGAACGTTGAGAAGGAGCCTTCAGGATCGATGAGCACAGGCTGTAGCTGCTTCTGAAGTAGCCGGATGGGTATAATCGCGTGTTTGGGCGGGTTTTATGAAGTCAGAGTGGTGCTGCCGTGGGGTCCAGTGATGAGGGCGCTTTGACGTCGCGGGGCTTGACTTGCGACCGCCGATGCCCGATTTTCTGCAGCGGAGAGGACACCACGACAATTCCTCCTCCACCCGCCATGGCCATCAAGTGAGTCCTGCTCGCGCGCTGCGCCATTGCATGTACTAAGGGAATGCAGATACCTGATCCTGCTCTCGCGGCAGGGCAAAGTCGTGCGTACTACCCTCACCACTCCCAGACTAATGCTGAACCCCAATAGCGCCTAGCCAAGTGGTTCACGACGCTCGCGCCCCGGGAGAAGGCCAAGATCGTGAAGGACGTCTCGCAGCTGGTGCTCGCCCGCCGAACGCGCATGTGCAACTTCCTCGAATACAAAGGTCGGTGAAGCGTAGTCGGAACCCACACGCCGACCTAACAAACCTGGTTAGACACAAAGATCGTCTACCGCCGATATGCCTCCCTCTTCTTCATCGCCGGCTGTGACTCCACCGACAATGAACTGATCACCCTCGAGATCGTGCATCGCTATGTCGAGCAGATGGACAAGTACTACGGCAACGTGTGCGAGCTGGACATCATCTTCAATTTCCAGAAGGCCTACTTCATCCTCGACGAGCTCCTGATTGCTGGAGAATTGCAGGAGAGCAGCAAGAAGAATGTGCTCAGGTGTATAGGCCAGCAGGACAGCCTGGAGGACATGGAGGTGAGCGAATCTGTCATGATGTTCCGATGCCCCGCCCAGCCACCCTTCGTCGTTCCCCATGCACCCATAGCTCGGTATCGCTGACGCGTGCTTCTCTCGTGTCAGGCCGAGGATGACATCGTCACCAAGATCATGTAGAAGAGCAGTCACGCCCGAGACGTCCGGTGGCCCGCAAGATTCTCGCAGCAACGCTCTAGGACCATTGCTAATACGCCGATCCCCCGGCATCCAGGAAGCCGATGAGTTCAAGGACAGACTGAAAGAGAGCGGCATCCTTTGAGCAGCTTCCATCCAGCGAAATATAAGATACGGGTTGCATTACACAGCGCGAGGCAGACGGACAGACTTTGGAGTTTGAACCTTCCGGTTGGCAACGCGGTATACCACTTTCTTCGCCCTTTGTGGCGTCTCGTGCTAAACAAGCTTCTCAAGGACCATTTTCGCGGGACACTCATGGGTCCAGGGGAGAGATGGAGAACGCACTATCTGCTATTCTGCCTTGAAGAGCGAATAGCGATGGCTGTACTCTACCTACAACAAATCATTCACCTACGACTGGCGGGCTCTGCTCGAAACAGCTAGGTTTGGCTCAAGCGGTCTTCTCAGGCTCGAACGTGATGAATTATGTCATGGCATCGAGACTTGCACCCTTGATATCCCTTGCTTGACGCCCACCGTGTTAATAGATGTTCTAATCTACCCTCGCGCAGCGCAAGTTACGGTCTACAGGAGAATCCGCTCGGCTTGAAGGATACAGCGGCAAGGGAGTCTACCCGTCCAGCACCACGCCGTTCTGCCGACCTACCGCAAGACGCGCATGGCGACGACGCCGTTTCTTCGCTCGGAGTAACATCTCGTCGTCGTTTCCCGGGAGTCGAAGGACGTCGATTACCCCGCGCATTTTGAGCACATGCACCCTCATATGGCGGCACAGCTAACAGCAGACATCAACACCAAATGACCTCTCACAGATTTCCCATTTGGTCCGCTGGCGGCTTATCGTTGGTTGAGGAGCACCATCCAGGCAGCCGGATTCTGACCAATCAGGATCGGCGGGGCGCGCATGACGCTGTCGCTCCGCTCGCTCAGCACTCAAGTGCCAAGTCCACCACCTCCGCAACACTCACGGCCGCGACAACTCACACCACCATCACCACCACCACCAACCGACTGCCCACCGTCCCGCCATATGAATATCGCCTGCTAGACGTCCGTCTGGCCGAGCAGCAAGTACTCTCTACTCTCCGCAGCCAGCCTAGAGCAGTGTTTACTCGTTGTCCCGGCTTACGCAGGCCACCCCACCCGAACACAGGAGAACCCAGAGAGCCAGCGACTGGCCCCGGCGACACGAATACTATCAGAAGCGACGCGAAAACTATACGCGACATTATATTACGAATTATTCGAGCGCAAGCAACTCCGAGAAGCGACTCCGAGACGGCGCAATGAAGGTGTGTTTACGCGGCGATAAGGCCAAAGGGATGATGTAGCTAATGCGGCTGCCTCGCAGTATCTCGACCTCTGCGCCCTCCACGAGGTCAACCTCGCCCTCAACTTCGACACGCAAGACTCGGCCATTATCGGAGGATGCGATGTCTGGACGATAAAGGCGGCCGGCAGCGATAAGAAGCTGTACAAGCGCATTGAGAGGACGCTCGAGGAGCGGCACAAAGAGCTGCTCGCCGCCGTCGCCGATCTGCCTAAACAATCGGCCGCACAATTCGGAGACGAGCTCAATATCGCACGGGACACACCCTTTGGAAGCTTCAATGAGGCGTCGAACCGACATACTTTTGCGTACCTGATCGCGACGCTGAATGCTACGCACATCGACTATGACTTCGCAAACACACTGAATCCCGACGAGTTCCGCCGCGAGACGCAGAAGAGCTTCATGCACAGAATCGACACAACAATGTACTACCTCCGCCCGCAAGTCTACTCTGCAGGACTGCCCGCCGGCGCCGTTACCCCGCTCGGGTCCCCGATATGGAGTCCCCGCTCCTGGCAACTGGTGGACAGTGAAATGGACATGGCGAACTGCGAGTACTACGCCTGGGAGCCTTCGGATGATCCGTTCGCCGACGACGGTGCGATATGGAGCCACCACTTCTTCCTCTACAACAAGGAGCGCAAGCGTGTGTGCTACTTCTACCTCCGCGGCGTCTCCGCACTATCGAACAGCCCAAGCGTGCCTACATCCCTCATCTCGCGCTTCAAGCAGAGCAAGTACGAGTCTTCCGCCAACGCTGGGAGTAGGAAGCGCGCAGAGTACTGGCTTGGTGATCGTGCCAGGCGCGGACTTGAGGCGTACGGTGAGAGCGACGAACTCGATAATATGGTTATCGACCACCCGGGCGATATCGTCGATGCGGAAGAGGAGGAGTATCTACCGGCGAGAGAAACAAGCCTCGATGCGGACTATTGGTCGAGCGAGGAAGACACTGATGTTGAGAGCTTGAAGGAGAGGGAGAAGAGTACCGTCCGGCGGATGAGCGAGCATATGATGGAGAGGATGGAGCTCTAAACGCCCTTGAATATCGCTACGACGGAATGGGCTACGGACGACAATGTCAGTCAACCTGACACCGCTTGACGACAGACACGGCACCGAGGACGGCCTCTTTTCTTTTGTACGGCTACGGCACCTCAGGGCGTTTACGGACTCGCATTGCGCTTGTACCCTTTAATTTGTTCTTGAGCAAAGGATGGCCGGGGCGTTATCGGTTGGTTTGGTTGGTGGGAGCGACTCGATCTTTCGATACGTCCTTGTTTCGCCCATCCATTTGGCTCGAGATACCCTTTTCCTTTGGTATTCTTTACTTACTTTCCGGAATATGGTGCGTTGAGTGAGTGCAGAGAGATTCCACGCTACGGCGACGCTTCGTGAGAGGACGCGTATGGATCTCTGCGGATGGATTACATGCCAGTGGGGTAATGGGGGCTTGCGTCCTGGTTAGGACTGAGCTACGTAAGTTTTGAGACTTGTACATGAGATATGCTTCTCAATACATGCTGCTGTTCACGAGTGCAAACACGCTTCGCTCCCGCATTACTGGCTTCAGAGTTGTTTTCTTTCGTTATACTCTCATGAGGATTCCGATTGCTCTGGGGAAGAATGGGTATCTTCGATTCGTCTTGCCCACTGCGATACCGTAAACAAGCTGAAAAATATGGTAACGCTGCATGAGAGGAAGGGTACACAAGGTGATGGAGTGCTCGAGCTCAGGATTGATCGGAGCAGCACTACACTTGGAGATTCGGAGACTCTTGAATGTGGTCTGGTTCATACTCCTCAAACGACACGGCACCAATTTGAAGGTGTTCAGCCTTGTACGTTGGCTACGTCGCTTTGCTCACATTACATTCGGTATTACGTTTCTGAATATCAGCAGGGCTACTGGCAACGCGGTGGAAGATCTAACGATGTAGGTCGGTCGGTTGGGGTCCATAGCAAACAAAAGCACCGCAGTGGAAGAGAGTGCCGGCGGTTGTATGCAGGGAGGAAGGTGAGACAGCAGCAGCGGCGGTGAAAAGAAAGCAGAAGTGAGCTGAGGTGGGCTGGGCTGCGATAACGTTTCGTTTCGCGTCGTACGACGTCTCTGCATACATGCAGATGCAGATGTGACCTGACGGACGATGTCAGTCAGGCTGAGACTCGTGGCTTGGATCGGAAGAAATGTAAATGGCTAGTACAGTATCTTGATATCTGCTTGTCGCTGCATACGCGGCGCAGGGGGGAGATAGATAGCAGGTTGGGTTCTTGTGGCGATTTGGGGAGCAGCTCCGTTCAAGAACGCTGGATGAATGCTCGGTATTGTCGTCAGGGTGAGTGTGTGAAGCATCTCCCGCGCAGGGTCAGGTCAACTTAGTCACACAAAAGCGTGTGGAAATCCCACCCGACGAACCCCCTACCTTTCCTACAGCATGCACAGTGCTTTCGGTCCTACATGCCTGCCGGTGGCCTAAAGTAATGCACAGCACTGTAGAAGTTGATATTCGCCGAGGTAAGAGGTAGCACGAGGAATGCATCTCTGACACCGCTCAGCGACTGTGCCACTGTGCTGCATTCATTCACCGATCTCAGCTCCTAAGCAGGCGCATATGCAATCCCGGCGCTTCGGGCCCGGGGTACATGCCAGTCAACGGGTGCAAAGTACGACTCCACCAACAGGCCTCGCGTATTCGGCCTGCATGAGCGGAGCGGAGAAAGCAGCAGTAGGTCCGTCAGATGAGGACCCATCGACATGTGTTGCTGACTGCGTCGACGCTGCGCGCCGGAGCCGCGTGGGAATCCTGGCGCTTTCTTTACATTTGCGTCTGCAGTCGGCGTCGACTTTCCCTCTTTGACGTCGCCACAGTAAACGGAGAGTGCTGGGCGTCCGACGATTACGTTGCTCATGCGGACTTCCTTCAGCATCAAATGCACTCTGCTTCAGCTCTTACCCATCGTGATCTTCGCCCTGCGCCACTTCGCCAACACAGATATTAGATGAGCTGCTTCACATAGTTGCACCCGTTTGTAGACTAATCGATTCTATTACAATCACCGCTTTATCGGAAACTACAACGGGAGAATGAGTGGGTCGAATTCGCCAAACCTTGGCGGATGATGGACTTTAACAGTCTCTTTGGCAACAACTTTGTATCTGCATTCCAGGCTTTGCATGTGCCGGACAACCTGAACCCATGCCGTAAAAGTATCCTGGAGGTATTCATGCTCGGAGACAGCGCCGTGGGGATCCAAATCGTCTGCCGTTGCCGCGTTTTCTGTGCCCACTTCCTCGTCCATGCTATTGTCAAAAAAGTCATATACAACCGGCTTTGCTCCAAGTACGATGAACTTGAGCGATGGAAAAAAGCTTCGAATGAAATCTGCAGTCATAGCTACATCAACCAGAGGAGAGCTTCGTGTTGCCAACGTCGCGAGCTGAGGAAAGCGGTATGCGGCGGCGTCATCGAGCGGAAGGTCTATTGGGACCCGCAGACCGAAAAACTCTAGAGATGGTAGCCGCTGTAGGGCAGACATGGCGCCCATGGTAGACACAGACATGGCGTGCTCAAGACCGGCAATGTCCAGAATCCGCAGTCGAGGAAAGGCGTCGCAAATCTGTCCAAAGTGGGCGTCATCAAGCAATCCAAGATCCTGATTGAGTAAAATGACTAAAGACTCGAGATTCTTGAATGCGAAGAGTGGGAGAAGGCTTTGAGGAGAGAGTTTCGTTGGTCCTGATGGCGGAGTGATTCCCAGCCGGGATTGGACATCGAAGTGCAACAAGGTCTCAGGATTGAGGTATTGTTGGGCAGCAACCACAAAGTCTGGGAAGTCTTGACCCGAGTCATAATAGTTGTCGAGATGCAATCCTTTCAGGGATCTAGAGGAGAGGCATCGCAGGAATTCCTTAGCGCCTTGGAGGCCGTCGGCTTGCAAAGTTAGGTGCTCCAGTTGTGGAAAGAAGGGGCCGCTATAACCTTTGAGAACATTTGAGAGCGCATTGCAAAATTTGAGGTCGAGGGTTGTGACATTACAGCATGGGGCGATATTGAGTATCTTCTCTGGAACCATGAACTGGGCACCAGATAACAAGCCCCAATATGATCCAAATGACTTCAGGTGCGGTAGGCGGTAGAGTTCCTGCATCGGAGGCAAGTCGGTCAAACCGAGTGGGTTGTCTGTTACTGCATCATAATCGAATGATGAGGCGACGCGAAGATGGTGGATGGTTTGGCAGGATGGTTCAAGGACCTGCAAGAACTGCAGTAGCTCCGTCTTGTTTCTTTCGTTCAGGTCTGCTTCGATGCAGAGGGACTTCAGTGATGCCGGAAAGAATGACGGGAGGATATCGCGAAACTTGCAGTCTTCCAAAGCCATGCGAACATGGAAGCCTTCCAGACGCGGTAGGATGAGCTTCTCCCCGCATACGAGCGCCAATTCTGACAGGACGCTGGAATCGTATTCGTCAAACTGTGGCCCGGTTGCATTATCCCATTCACCCTCCCGCCGCAGCCAGTGTTTTGGTTGTATCAAGGTCCGAACTCGTGGTGCATAGCAATTGAACCGTAGCAGGTGCTCTTCTTTGATCCGTTCGCGAAGACTCTAGGTAAGAAGTCAGCAGAAGAATCAATGCAAAGGGTGGGCAGAGCCATACATGTACAGTTGTAATCTGACGGTATTCTGGATGATGTCGTTGATGAGTTGTCCAAATTTCGGGTGGTAGGGTGCGTAGAAGCTCAACCAAGGAGTGTATCACTCGCCAACGACAGTCCAAAGCATAAGGGAGAAGAGCCTTGCAAGTCAGTGCCACTGCGCACAGGTTGCGCCTCGCCTCTTGGAACTCTTTCTCATCCGCGTGAAGCTCGTAGATGCTGTGCTCGAAATATCCGACGAAGTCTATTATGTTTGCTTGTATCTCCCGGATCTGAAGCGCCCGATGCATTGCGGAGGTCGACTACTTTACGTTGGTAGTAAGATGAAGGTAGTGAGGACAGGAGACAGGAAATGTTGGTGGGGTGGTTGTGAGGCTGCGGGGTAGCATAGCAGCGCTAGGCAACAGTGTAGGAGTTGGCTTGGCGGGCTGCGCAAACGCGTACGGTGAACGCTCTCCTGTAGACTTCGAATCTCAATAGCTCAATAGGGCTGATCGGCCCACCACGAGCATGGAGTCGGCATTGTGCGCATGAGGCAGAGCGCATGAGGCAGAGCGCATGAACAGACTTCAGACCCCTGTACGTTCATCGCAATTCTTCATGCCTCAACACCGGCAATTCTTCGCTTGTTCACAATGTTGCCAGGATGTCAAATGCCATAGACGTGCATTTCCTAAGTCGGAAGTCCAAAGTAAAGCGCAACTCTGCATTCGACGCCGAAACAAGAATAAGCTTCTGACGATGCCTGTCTAGCACGTCAGACAGGACATGCTGTCCGATGAGCCGCCAAGCACCAGGGCACGGGAAACTCTGGACTAGGGCTGAGGTGAGGATAGCTGTCGGGAGTCCGTCGATACAACCGCTTGGTGTTGTTGTGGCACGCTTCTGGTGGTGTGAGGGAATTGTTCTAGTGCTGAGGGGCTTTCTTACCTATGCAAGCCAAACACCTGTGTTGCTTTTCGTACATGGCTCAATCGCTATGCGCGGGCTTGATATTTCCAAATCGCACGGCGGGCGCCCCGTGGCGGAAGCTGTTGCTGTGGAGCTTAGTTCGGGTGGCCTGGATAGACGTGGCTTGGTCTCGACAGCTGTGACGGTTAGACGTTCGGCATCCGCAAGCGAAAGTGTCAACCACGGATCCAAAGTATTGCTGCCCCGCCATCCGTGCTGATCTGTGTGGCCAGAACAGATCATCAGCTCTTCAGCTGGGTGGCAGGTGGGTTCCTGCGTCCCCGACAAGCGAACCGGGTTTGCTGTGTTTCAGATCTGGAAGGTGCGTGTGCGAGGAAGATGTCTGGTTCGTCCGGGGAAAAAGCGTTCATATGAACGGAAGGCGGCAGCGGAAGGGAGCGAGGGAACGCATTTGCTGGAAAGAGATTGCTGATGCAATGGCATTTGTGTGTTGTCTTTGTTGGGGCGTCGATGGCTGGCTGATGTCGTTCGAGCATGCGGCTCTGCGGTCGAGATGCCGCCGGTACGCGCGTTTGAGCTCCCAGAGGCAATACGGGCGTCATGGGGGGAGCTGCGAAGCCGTGAGATAGTGATTACTCTCACTTCGGTGCCCGGGAGGATGGCTTGCGCCTACGAAAAGCGCCGGACATTCGAGACTGCCCCTCGGCTATCATGGCCACTGCAAATTGAAGTGTGTGAAAATTGACGAAGACTGGCATCGGGTAGAATCTCCGACGTGATATGAAATGTATGAAAGAAAGCAAAAAGTAACTTTGGAAAGTAGCGAGCGTGTAGGAGAATGCAGGTTTGGGAAGGTGCTCTTCGCTCCCCCGGTTTCCATTGGTTGCAGATGTACAGCGCAATGCACTTCCCTATTGCGACAGAATTACTTCATAACGTCGGAGATTTCTTCGTATGCATGTCCCTTTTCGCAGAGCCCGTAGAACGCTGGCGCCACACTCATTACCGACAGATTGCAACGAGCCTCAAGAATCCCTTCCCTTGGAGGTGACGCGCTCTTGGGTCGCAAGGGACAGCCTACCCGCGGCCACAGGGTCCGCCACGGTTATTGACCAAAATTGCCAATTCGGCGCGAAATTGCGAATCTCAACCGCAACCTTGCAAGGAGAGGTAAACAGAGCGCTGGAGCACGGCCCGCAAGCCACGGTTTAACAGACAGCGGGTGTAAGACCCAGGGATCGAAGATGGAGCGAGCCACAAGGCTTGATCGTGGTGTTACGAAATGAGCGATTTGCCCCTGGCCCCAGTTACTCAGCCAGATGGTGTTGTTGCATCGCAAGACTGTCTGTGGGAGCGGCGTTCAGGGGAGTCGACGCGGACTGGGCGGCTTGACAGTCGTGCCAGGTAACAGTTGTTTCAATCGTGGCGCTGCAGAGTGTGTTTTGGAGACCAATTGGATGGCGCGGAAGGGGTATACGTATACAGAGGGTGGACAAGAGGAAGGGTTACGACGAGGTGTGGCAGTGCATGCGTTCTTGGCTTGGTGACCGCTGCAACTCATTAACTGATGGGTTGAATTGAAGCAATCATCAGGCAGGCGCTTCATCGAAGTGCCACCTGCTCACCGCTGGTGACGAGTGTTGTCGATCGGAGTCCGTCGCACACATTTACGTGGTGGACAATACTTCCATGATTTTCACCGCTGGTTGTCTGGGAGACAGGACGTTGACTTGGACCGGCGCGAGCCACGGAGCGCCAGCACAAAAGGTGCAACACGCCTTCGCAGCCGTTGACGCGCTATCTCCACAGATCGGATCGCCAGCCCGAAATCGCTGGCGCTTGTGCGACGTTTTTCAAGTTTTGTTTTCGTGGAATCTCTCTACGCTCGGGATCTGGCATTGTGTTTCTTGAGTGTTTCCTCGGTCTCGGGACGGAGTACCGCGGAAATTGAGAGAAAATAAAGATAGACGTTTGACAGCGCAAGAATTGCTGCTTGGGGAAGCGTCGGTGGCTTGGGGGAATTAGCGTGCCGACCGTCCCTGAAGATCATGTGGTAGCGCTCGGAGCGGGAAGACTGCGACCGAAGCTGTTGTGACGTTCTGTTTTCATGAAGGAGTCGGGATGGACCTGGCTTGCTGGAGGCACTCCGGCATCATGAGCTTGCATGTGTGAAGAGGCTTGCATGTCCAGAGATGCACCACATCGCTATCGGCCGCAGAAGATGTGGAGAGTTCTCGATCCCGCAATGACTTGCAGCCAAAAGCCTCGTGGAGTCCTTTTCGCCTGTGGATTAGCGGGCGGGGTTCTAGGTCACGCGTGAGCGTCTTCGTCAAAAAGCAAGTTTTCCAAAGGTTTGGCTTGCAGCTGGGAAGAGACTGGGTGCCTGTTTGCTGTCGATAGCGTCGTACAGACACGGCGGTAAAGCCGGTATGCAGGATTCTGGGGACTGCATTGATGCCGTGTTCCTCTCGAGTTTGTAGAGATAGAGGAACATGCAGTAATGAGCTGCCGTTTCCGAGTCTAGATTGGGCGCGCTGGTTGTCGTGACTACGGTCGGCTACCGCATCTAGGTACAGCTTTAATAAGTGAGACCCTCCTACAATGAGCGATGTAGCGGGGGTCCATAGATTAACATACGGTCGTCACTTCAGAGTCCGTCCGAGCACTACGACTGTCCCCAGCTGTCGTCATCCCCGGGCTCGAACAAGGTGCGAATTCCTTCTTCGTGCCGTCTTCTCCGCATTTCGTCTACGATAGCCTATTTATGGGTGGCAAAGGATGTGCTCGTCGCTCAACTCGCGCATGGGGTAAGGACTCGACATGAGAGGCGTCGGCGGCGCCCCTGCGTCAACCAGCAGCGTCCGCAGCGGTGATTGGCCCGAAATGGATGGCATCAAATTGGCTCTTGGCCGGGTACCGAAGGCGGCTAGAGCCATGTCGAACGGCCACGGTGAAACACACCTCGCCCATCTTCATGTTTCGCGGCCGAGGACTCGAGATGAACTGTTCGGACGCCGTCGAGACGCAGGACAGGAGCACGAGCGGGATGCGCACTCAGTCGAGGCAAGCCGCTGTGTTTACCACAGTTGCTGGGCATAATTCGCATCGCCGCGATTCCCGAGCGCCGTGGCCGATTCCGCGGCGAGCGACAGGCGGCCGGGCCGCGGCATGCTGCCAAGGGATCTGAGAGATAGGAACTGTAGTAGCATTTCCGTCGCACGTCGCTTGCAGCCGGTCAGCGAGTGAGCGTGATACCGATGCCATGTCGAATGAGGAGGAGGGTCCGCACTACTCGCGGGCTGCAGCATCTCGACGGCGAAAACTGCCTCCACTCAGCGCAGCAGGCAGACAGCGCCGCACGCGCTCATCGCTGGGAATGCGGCGACGCTGCTGGTTAGGGCGACGTACGTCCGCCCGAGAGCTGGGCAGCGCTATCGTACATACGTACATACATACATACATACATACATACATGGTGCTATCTGCTCCAACTCGCGAACGGCGGGCCAGGCAAATTTATTAGCAGCCCCGTGATGGCAGATGATGCTCAGGTACGACCCGCGCCTGGGACCGCGCGAAATGCAGGCCCGAAGCGTCTGCACCCTCGCCCCGACGCCGCCAGAAGCAACTGCGCGCTCCTTTTGCGGACTGCTCAGCAGCAGCTCGCGGAACACTTCAGGGAAGGGAAGGTGAGAGGCAGGCCTGCCGCAGAGAGTGGCCATTTCGCCCATCCAGGACCGCTGCAGGGGTGCACGCCACGGTTCCTTGTCGCAGGTGGGCCCTCGCGAAATGGGGCCCGTGCGCCCTTGCCAGGTGCCCCAGCACGCCGGCCTGCGCGCCCAGTAACGAACAAAAGCGTCCGCGTCCTCTCCTCTAACCTTCACTCCGCGCTCTGCATCACCACCCCGTCCTCCCCTCCTCTCCCCCACCCCCCTCCTCCGCCTCCTCTTCTTTGGAACCCCATCGTCGCTCGACGGCTGCTGAGGCACGCTGTCGGTCGACGTGCGGTATCTGTCCGTTCATTTCCCCTGTCATTCCTTAATCTTGGGTGTACTGGCTTTCACTCAACTCGACTTCTTGCCGCAGCCTGCGAGCCTTGTCGCGCCTCTGCTGCTCCACGTATACTGTACGCCTCCGCTCCAGCGTTTCCCGGCCTTCCGTCGACCCTTCCATCTGCGTGCTGACCTGTGTCTCGCTCTAGTAGTAATCCGTCAGCACCTTGTACCTCGAGAGCGCTTGTTTCGTCTCAATTCCGCCGTGCCCGCCCTCGTAGCACGCTGCTGTCCAACCACGACGCGTCCAGTCAGCTAGCGACTGCTGGTACCTGAGACGCACGCTGCAAATCCCACTCCCAGGGCCAAGCACATCGTTGCGCTGCCGTTGGCGGTGCCCATCCTTAATTTCGTCAGGACAGCCCGCCGCAGCGAACCGCGACGGCAGGGGCCATCGACAGCTTCACCATGGCTCAGATAGCCCTGCCACGACAGCAGGTTACCCAGGCCCCGCAGTCTGCAGACGTGGGCTCACCGCTCTACCAGCGTCGGCGTCCCTCCAATGCTGGCCCCATTGAGCTTCTGCCCAACCCTGACTTCACCTTTCCCATGCGAGGACCGGACAGCACATCTCCAGAAGCCGCGTCCGCGTCTAACACTCGGCCAATGTCGCTCCAGACATACCCCGCTGGGCGCCGCGGCTCAACGCCAGGATCGAGACAAAAGTCTGTCAACGCCCTACCAGACTTCTCCTTCAACCCAGCAGGAGCAAGCAAACCGCCCACCACTGCGACAACCCCTCCACACTCCCCGCTACCGACACCGACGACTCCCTCGAGACCAATTGGCGGACACAGGCGAGGTGGAAGCGAGTTCATTGGAGGCGATGGACGCGCGGGAGCCTCGGCCTTAATGAGCACGAGTCCTACCAAGGGTGACGGTGTGCTGCCTCCTCCGACCGCCAATCTGCGTCCCGGCCCGCCTGCAGGACGGCGAGGACACGCTCATCGCCGCTCGGGTGCCGTCTCTTCTCACGACTTGTCCTCGATCATGAATCCGTCTGCTGCACCACGGGCTGGCAGTGCTCCTGTCACGCCATTGGAAGGCAATGAGTTTGCTTTCGGTCATTCTGTGAACAAGTCGGTCTCACAGCCTTCGTTGCGGAGTGCCGGTTCGTTCGGTGACGAGACAAACAGCACACCCCGACCGCCGTCGAGGGCACGTGTTGGATTCTCCGACAGAATTGAGTACATCCGCCCGCTTTCGACAATCTCTTCGGAGACTGAGACCTCCATGTCTACCATTCGGGGCCATTCAGCAACGAATAGCCTGTCCTCCGTCATTAGCGCCGGTACATCGAGCCCGCAGTCAGCACGGACGACTCGCCCTTCGCTCAGCACTGTCGAGGACGAAGCACGCCCCAGTACTGCCGGTGCCGTCCTAGACAAGCATAAGAGTGTTCATCTAGGCGGTGATCTCTTCAACCGCAAGCGACCAATGTCGGCCGTGTCTCCGGCAGCTGTCGCCAGCCCAACCTCACCCACTCTGCCTTCCAAGCGACGGGGTTTCTTCCGCCTAGAATCTCGACGCAGCGACACCTCTGTACCTACGCTTTCGAGTGCCTCTGATCCGGCCCTTTCCGTTTCGCTTGAGTCGCCACTGCCATCGCCATCGCCTATGGCTGAGGATGACGATACGATGGATGATACCGATAAAGCAAAATGCGCGACGCGAAAGGCGAGCCGTGCACCAAGAAAAGTGAAGTCTTGGGCTAACTCAATCATCCCACGAAAAGGAAAGAATGCTAAGAAGGCGAAAGGCAGGGCTGCTACTCCACCCGCGGAAACGACAGCAGACCTCGAGGACACGGACGCATCAGAGGACCTGGATTTCGAGGCCAATTTCGATGTAGATAACACAGTCACCATCGTCTCGCCCACAGAAGACTCGATACCAGAACAGAAGTTGCACGCAGACTACGCTTCGTGGCGGCCGCGAGAATTCAAGCGCGTAGATTCGGATACGATGAGCCCTGTGATCGATCTGGATGCGGCGCTCGGTCCCTTTAATACTCCACAAGGACCGAGCCCACGCGTAGGTCAACGTGGCTTTGCGGCACATAGGCGGGCTCTGCACAGTGCAGGTGGGGTGCTTCAGAACCACCGGCGGACCGAGAGCGCTCCAGAACTAGTTCCCTTTGAGCTCAGGACGTCAGCTGTCGCAACCACCTCTACCATGGCCGACGTTTTCGAAGAGGAGGAGCCGGACGATGAGCCATCCAAGCCCGGCGAGACTCCGAAATCCCCTGCGTCCGTAGGTGACGAGGCACAAGACGAAGCAGAGGAACCAAAGATTCAGGTCGTGGAGGCGGACGGCAACCAGAGCGGCTCCGCAATCAATTGGAACTTCAACGACGGGCTTGGAATTAAGCGGACTGAGAAGAGGGGTACACCGAGTTCAATTGAGCCAATATCTCCTCGTGCAGTTACACAACGATCGCTCAGCGGCGACAGCTCCCAGCCGGCGCCCGAAGTTGGTCCTGTAGAGGTTGTCGAGGACTTCGAGGAACCTCGAACATCCTCCTTGACGCACTCTTCCGATTCGACGGTAACTCCTCCGGTCGCACCGACTGAGCCCAAGGACCACCAGCCGGTGATGAATCTATCCCTTCCGCTTCCACAGCAGAACCTAATGACTCCCGATACATTCACCTCATCCTTCCCGTCACCAGATTTTCGATCAAGCCAGGCCTCCTTCGATACCCCTCGCTTGGGCACCGCAGCCTCGTCGATGACGGATTACCCAGTCATGCCCTCCCCACGTTTTGGGGAGCCAGGGCCGGAGGTCCGCATCTCTGTGGACGATGTTCCATCCTTAACCTCGTCCAGATCGACTATGACGAGCGCAATGCAGAATGCCTTCCCTTTGATGAGTCCTCGCCGCCCTAGCGACCGATCTGCATCTCTATGCTCTGTTCCTAGCGATGTGGAGTCGCGTCGCCGCAAACGTTCCAGCATCGCCAGTCTATCCCGGTTGATCAACGGGTCTTCTTTCGGCGAGAGGAGCAAGCTCTCTATCGAGCAGCGACCACAATCCGAATATCTGGAGCCCTCCAGCAAGGAATCCAAGAAGAAGCATAGGCGACTGAGCAAGCTGATGCAATTCTGGAAGCCCAAGGACGCTTCGCGAACCTGAAACACGACCACCTTCACGCAAAAACCTCACACATGTTCTACACCCCTCTAATACAGTTGGAGCGCAGTCGCCCCCACCAGCGACTGCATGTTGATGGCACGAAATCACGGACCTACCGAGCACAAACACCTTTCTTTTCTTGCATGACACGGAGTTTACAAGCGGGCTACGACTCTTTTAATGGCGCATACTGCGATGCATCTTCTTTGGAACGCGATCCGGATCTCAACACAACACTTTCGTTGAACATATTTTCTTTCCCGTTGTTTTGCCAGGTGCCGGGAGGATAGGTATCTAAGGGTCCTGGTTTGGCAAAGGACAATATCTGGGATACTTTGACTGGTGCTTTTGGCGGAGATTACCCACACATACCCTTTTTCTTCCCCTCGTTCCTGTCTCATTTTCTGCCGTCTACACATATCCCCGGCATGCGCGGCTGTCCTTTTCGACGGTCTTATGCCTTTGCGTCACTGCCGATATGACAGGCGCAATGAGAGCTTTGGATGGCTCTCGACGACAAAATCTTCTCTTGTTTTCTTCATAGCGGGCGGACGTTGTGGATCGCACACCAAAGTTCGATTCCTACCCCCCGATTGCTTGCATGGGTTGATTGGCTTCCAGATGCGAAGCAAGCGACATTCTACGGCCTCGTTTACGTGGAGCGGCCTTCTTTGGTTGGCAATCTACATACCGAGTTGCGAATAGATAGCTAGTAGCTGAGGCGGCGGTCATCCTGAAATGCACACTTTGAACGTCATCGTCATGATCGTTTCCGGGAATTGTGATGCTTTCTCGATTGTGCCCTGTGGTGCGCGATATGACTGTACGACTAGACACCATCCTTCATAAACTGGTTCTATGAAGAGTGACAGTGCTTCATACGGATTTCCACGGATAATCGAAATCCTTCGAGCAGTTTACCATGATTCATGATGCGAAAGCGGAAATTGCCTATACACGTAATCGCCCTGTGCGATACAAAGCGTGTGATATCATATGTCACTGGTCGTTATAATTGCTCGACATTGCGATGCGTCCCTCGCTTCCAGAGGTTGGCAACCCGCAACTTGGAAGCGGGTAGTTTGATGAAGGGGATCGTCGTCGCCCCATCTATCGTTCCGCGGACCGCAAAACCCCCCGCCCGCTCGGGCTCGAGCTTTTCTCGTTACCAAGGTTTACTACTGGGGTGAGTCTTTCTGAAACAGGTACCAGATTGCTTGCTACGCGGCTAGGCTACTGCGGGGAAGGGGCGCACGTGTGATGGATGGGATGAGTGTGCGTTGGGGTGGTTTGTAGATCATGCTGCTGGTCCTTATATCTCCCGCTGGAGTTGGAGGATTGGGGCATGTGTGTTTGGGGTTTTGGACTGGTGATGTTGGGTTTCAGGTGAGCGGCGGGGCCTTTGATGCGGGACGGAGAACACCGTGGGGGATTCGGGGAGCTTTGTGGGAAGCCTTTGGTGGTGTGCGGCAGGCATTTGGTCGCGTGGTCGTTGGCGTGGGCATTTAGCTGCAAGTTCTGTAGGTAAACCTCCTGCGGACAGGCCCGAGTTGACGCCATAACACTTGGGAGGGTTTCGACTTCGGAGACTAAAACAGCCTCATCTCGCAGACTTCTAGATAATAGGTCTAAGGAATGATGGCAATGTCGGTTTAGTCTGCCCAGCTGCACACAGTTCTGCGAGGAACTTCGAAATGACGCCGGTTGACTGTTGAAATCTAGCTCGGGGTTCTTAGAAGTACATCGCCCCGCAAGCACTTGTCTCTAGATCCTCGCTCCTAAGCCAGTGAATACAGTCGAAGAAATCGCGCTGAGCATTCCGTAACTACAAACCTGGCCTTTCCTAAACAGGCTTAGCACCTCCCTCGAACCCTCCACTTGGCATCACGGCCATTCCACCTGGAAGCTATCAACAGCTCCGAAAGCTCTCCGATACCCACAACAACAGCATAGCATAATTACACCGCGCACTATGGCCGACGAAGACAAGGAAAAGGCCGAGAAGGTCGCAGCAGCAAAGAAGAGGGTAGGTAGCCCGCTGAAGCGTCTCTTTGGCTTACGGGGAGGTGGTGTCGACAGCTCGAGCTCTGCAAATGGACATGGATCTCCTCAGGCGGTAGTAGAGCTCGGCGCTGCTTTTGTGCTTGAATTTCCCTGCTGACACACATGCGCTAGTACGAGCAGTTGAAGAAGCAGAAAGCGAAGAAGGCGGGCGGCGCAAAGAAGAAGGAAGACAAGACCGAAGCTCCGGAAGCTGAAGCCTCGACCGCGACCGAGAAAGCAGAGGAGAAGACCGAAGAAGCCTCTGCGCCGGAACCGGTCGAAGCTACGAGTGCATCGCCAGGTCCCGTTGACGACGACGAAGAACCGGCCGAACTTCCTAAGACGACAACCTCGCATGGGCGCAAGGCTTCCGTTGCTGTCGAGTCGCGCCAGAGATCGGCGTCTTTTTATCGAGGAGGGGCTTCTGGTACTCCTACGTCGCCGACTGCGATCACACCGGGTGGTGGTGTGTCTGGTGATATATACAGAGAACAGGCGCAGAGGATAGAGGAGCTTGAGAAGGAGAATAAGAGGTTGGCGGGTGAGGTCGAGGAGAATGAGAAGAGATGGAAGAAGGGCGAAGAGGAGCTCGAGGAGCTGAGAGAAGGGAGGGGAGATGTTGCGCTCGCGGTTGAGAGGGGCAAGGAGGCTGATAAGCTAGTGAGCAACCCATTTCCAGCTTTTTAATCATTGCGGTGAGATGCTAATGGGCTATACAGAAGTCAGAAGTCGAATCGCTCAAGCGACAGATATCACAACTTCAATCCCAGGCATCAAAATCCAACCGAAAGACATCCACCGCGTCGCCTAGCCAAACCGCCTCCATCGACGATCTCAATGCTCAGGTTGCTTCAAAATCCGCTACCATCGAATCACTAGAACTGGAGATATCGAACCTAAACAAACAGATGACGGATCAGACGAGCAAAAACAACGAGCTTCAAGCTAGGATAAGCACTCTCGAGTCGTCGCTGCACAAGGCGGAACAGGAGGCAAGCTCTACAAAGATAGAGCTCTCAGATCTTAAGACAAACCTCGAGAAGGCCAGCGAACAGGCAGCGAAAGAAGGCTCGGATCGAGATACCGCCCAGACACGCATCGCTCAATTGGAAGCTGAGCTTGGCGCCGCAAATCGCAAAGCGTTAGACTCCATACAACGTGCTGAGCTTTTAGAGAAGAAGGTCGAAACCCTGACCCAGCTACACCGCGACAACGACGCAAGGAATCAGCAACGAGTACAAGAGCATAAGAAAGTCGAACGCGAAGTCGCCGAGCTTCGAACCCGCGTGACGGGCCTCAGCAACGAAAATGCCCGTCTCCGAGAAGCAGAGCAGCGCCGACGCAAAGTAGATCTCGGCAATATCGAAGACTCCAGCGTGCAAGAGCTCGTAGACGAAGAACGCGACCGTCTCCTCACCAAAGTGCGCGAGCTCGAGGAAGAAAACTTCGACCTCCGTCGCGGCGTATGGCGCGACCGCCGCCAGCAAATGCAACCCTCCATCGAGGACCACGACCACGCAGGTTTTGACGACATCGATCTCACCGCCACGTCACCTTCCTCACGTCGTCCGTCCGGCCGCCAGACGTCCACTTTCCAGGACGTCCTTCAATCCGGCATCTCCGCCTTCACGGGGAAGCCGCATCCACACGCGCCACATCGGCGCAGCGACGCTGCGAGTCAAGCGAGACCACATGGCGATTCGCTCCACAGAGCGAGAGAAGCTAGTTTGGGCAGTATGGACGACTTTGAGTTCGATGAGGATGCGTTTAGAGCGGCACAGGAGGAGGAGCAGAGGAAGAGGATTGAGCGGGTGAGAGAGGTCAAGAGAGGGTTAAGTGCGTTTAAGGGGTGGAGAGCGGATTTTGTGGATGTAAGGGTAGGGATGGGCGGTGTTTTTGATATTTGAGGGAGCAGGTATAGTTAGCTGGATACCTATCGTCCTTTTGGGCATATAGCGTGCAGGATTAGGCATGAGGTGCGTGCTCACCGCTGGGCGCTTGAAATCAGAGAGTTTACTCCTTAGCGTTGTATATTTATTAAGAGTCGCTGCTCTCTTCACTTGTAGGTTCTTTTCCTCGGTCGACGTCTCGTCGCGATTCTCCAGCGCCATTACTGCGGCTTTTGACAATTCTGGCAAATCAGGGAAAAATTGCCAGCCGCCGCCCAAACCACCTTCCCGCCGCAGTTGAAGCACGGCTCATGTCCATTCATCAGGTTTCCATTGTCCTCCTTCTCATCTCCATTGCAATCTTCCTCATCCTCCTCTTGAATGCTTTCTCGGCGTGCGTTCCCAAAAGAACCCGTCTTCATCCACTTACTCACATCCTTCGGACTGATGTTCGATGACGGTTTGCGAACCGGCTCCCCTGGCATTTCGGTTTGTTCGCCGGATGAGGAGGCATTGACTTTGGAGCGCGGAGGGGCTATTGACGGAGCGGGCGAGGTGTTTGGAGGCGTCGAAGGGCCCTTGAGACGGCTGCGTGAGGGGAAGGAGGAAAGGGTCGAGGCCGGTGGCGTCTCTGTGGGACGCTCGTCTGTCTTTGGAGCCGACTCTTTCGTCTTCTCGGAAGACATGGCGGATGTTGGTACTTTAGTCGGAGGCGAGGAACTCTGGGGTTGACTTTGAAGGCGAAGTTGAACCGCCTCTTCGGGTTTGTTGGCCGAAAGGTTTGCACGTCGTTCGCGACAATGGCTTTTGCTTACTTCACCGCGTTTAAGGCGCTATCATGTACAAAGCAGTAGTCACCACGACTAACTTGCCACAGTGAAATACCAATCATGCCCGTTTCAGCCGAGCTGCTTCTCTCTTCAATTGCTCCCCTCCCCACTTACGAACATACTCTTGTGAAGTTCGCCGAGAACGCCGGATCGCAGTCTTCCTGGATCTGTGCCACTTCGTACCCCAGACTCGCAAAGATCATGCATCCCTCACCTCCCAATACCCTCCCCGCATCCGCACTCCCTCCATACTTGAGCACCTTCTGCGCCATGCCCTCGGCCACAACGCCATTCCGCGTGGGATCGTTCAAGGAAGAATTCGTGCTATACTTGGACGCGCCGGCCACGGCAGCGTAGCCGAGTCGCCGCGCGTAGAGAAAGGCGAGCTGCTCGTCGATGGCGTCGATATATTTGCGCGCGCAGGCGAGTTCCTCGGTCGCGTTGGCTGAGTTGCAGATCGAGGCTATGGGCACGGAGGAGAGGGTGTTGAGGTCGTAGGGGTACGTCGTTGTGGTGCTGGAGCCGGGGTAATTGGAGGCTGTGGCGTTTGTGGAGGGTATGAAGTGGCAAGTGGATGATGCGCAGGCGGATGTGGAGAGTAGGAAGGGTAGGGAGAGGAGGAGGGATGTTGGGAAGTACATGGTGAGTGGTTGTCGCGGCGCGGTGTGAGGTCCGGAAACTCGAAGACGGAGTGGAGAGCAATGTTCTTATACTGCATGCTCAATGTCGACCAAGAGTAGTACGAATACAAGGTTGTAAAAGTGGGACCGTGGATAATAAGTGCAGCAATGATTCCAGGAACAAAGCGCAAGGGTGGACAAAAAGTGACTTTACTCGGGCCTCAGCCAATCATGATGCCGCATTTCACCAATGCGACTAACCCGGTTCGTTAAACAGCCGACGTCGGCGGTAAGCGTTCACAACCTCCGGCCTCAACATCCATAGCACAGGATCACGCTAGCCGCTTAGGACGCCAACGTAAGCACTTGGTGCTTTAGGTACGACGAGCCTCCCTAAGACCCAGATGCCCGGCATGATCATGGAAACATCCTCCCTCCTATGCTGCGCACCCTCGCGCTGTGGGAGTCGGTGAAGATGGGTTCACAAACAGCTGCGGTCATAGGCGCTGGTAAGCCCTTTTAAGGAGAGACAGAGAATCCTACACTGACAATGAGGGTTAGGTCCCTCCGGGCTCTCTATGTTGAAGACGCTACGTGAAGATGGCTTCAAAGTCACTTGCTATGAGAGGAGGAGTCAAGTCGGTGGTCTGTGGGCGTATACGGATGATAAGTCGATGACGACCGCTCTTCAGTGTACGTTCATCTCGTGCGAGAAGAGAAATACATGTAACTGAGCCTGCGACTAGCAACTTCTGCCAATATCAGCAAGTATACGTGCGGCATGTCGGATTTTCCCATGCCAGACAGTGAGCAAATCAGTGCCCTTTAGGGAGATTTCCGGATGCTGATTCGGGATTCCAGAGTACCCTCACCATTTGACGCAAGCCCAATTCCAGGAATATATCGAATCATATGCTGAGCACTACAACCTGCTCAAGGACATTGTCTTCAAAGCCTCGGTACAAAGAGCAACGCGGAATGAAGACGACACCAAATGGCGCTTAGAGTACCTCATCAATGGCCAACCTCAAGTGGCAGAGTTCGACAAAGCAGTTTTCTGCCATGGCTATCAGACCAAGGCGAGAATGCCGGAGTTCGAAGGCGGAGAGAAGTACGAAAGGATTCTTATCCATGCTCAAGAATTCCGCACCGCCGACGAATTCAAGGACAAAAAGGTCATCATAGTAGGCATGTCCAGCACTGGCTCCGACATCGTAAACGCCCTGCTTCCTGTAACATCCAAAATCTACGTCTCGCATCGACGAGGCCGCCACATTGTCGGCACCTTCAGAAACGGGACTCCCGCGGATCTCATCGTCACTTGGCGGCGGCGCCAAATCGCCGCGTTCCTCCAACGCCGCTTACCCAACTTCCATAAGTGGGCTGCGGACACCGGGCTAGCATTTCTCTGTCGCCAGGTTTGGGGAAAGCCAGACCCCGAGTGGCGCTTGGAACCCGCGCCATCGCCTCTGTTATCGCTCCCTGCCGCGTCGGACACACTAATACCGCAGCTGAAAAGCGGGCAGATTGCCTCCTTACAAGGTATCAAGCAGTTCACGGGCCCACGATCTCTGGAACTGAATGATGGAACGGTTATAGACGACGTCGACGCCGTCATTTGCGCAACCGGCTATAAAGCGGATTTCACCGTCGCGCCCTTTATCGAAACAAGCAAGCCGCCAAACTACGAAGGCCCTGAACTAACGCGCCTGTGGATGAACATGTTCCCACCTCAATACGCCGACTCCATGGCCCTCGTCTGCCACTCCGCCTTCGGCAAAAACAACGGCTTCTCTTTCAACGACGTAACAAGCATGGCCGTATCTAACATCTTCCGCCACGTGCACGCGCTCCCCTCGCCCGCCATCATGAACGCCGACATTGACGCTCACCACGAATGGCTCGCCGGCCGCTGGCGACTTGACGAGATCTTCGACCCGTCCGCGGTCAAGACGTGGCAGTTTCAGGCTTTCCTTCACGAGGCAGCGGGGACCGGGATGGAGAATCTTGGCTGGGGATGGAAGGGGTGGAAGTTTTGGTTCAAGGACCCGAAGATGAGCTGGTTGATGAATAATGGGGTGGAGACGGCACATGCGTTTCGGTTCTTTGAAACAGGGAAGAGGAGGACGTGGGATGGAGCCAGAGAGGCGATTATTCATATGAACGAGGTTGTGAAGAGCGAGTTTCCGCTGAAGGAGACGGAGAAGCAGAAGTAGGTTTAAATGGGGCCAATCCCCATAGTCTCTATACACGGGAGCATATCAGCTCATTCCATACATCTGATCATATAGATCCGCCATCATCGCTCGCTAAACCACGATAGACGCTACGCATTGCCGTAGACCCAGTTTGTTAATCCCAAGGCCGACACGACTCCAGCTTCCTCCCACACCACCTCTTCCCCACATCCAACAGCGCATAATACCCCATCCGCAACACACTCACCACCATCTCCTCAATTCGGCATCCGACAATCCGCGCACTCGAAGCCGCTCGCTCCGACGCCAGTATACTCCAGCTCGCCGCCGCAAGCCCAACAAGCATCGATATAAGCACTAGCTTTGTCTTCGAAGTTGGGTTTCTTGCTGCCCTCATTGTCCTCCTTGGGGGGCTTTGGGTTCCGGGGTCCGTGTTGGGGTTTGGGTGGATTGGGCTTGGGGTTGGACATGGCGAGGGGGACTATTTGTATGTGTTAGCATAAGGGGGTGGTTTGCTTGTGTGCTGGCGGGGAGTGTGTTTGTCGTCTTGTGTTACGCGGGAGAAGAGAGACTCACCTTGAGGTTTGATTGGGGATTGGAGCCGTAATTTAGTGGAAATAGTGATTGGAGTCGTGGACCTCCTGCACATTAGCTTCTTCGAAGCTTCTTGCCGCTAATCGAAGGACGTACCTGAAGGCGTAGTTGCGTTTGCGTTGCTACTCCTTCTGGGTTGCTGCATCTTTGGCAGTAGTCCACCGCGTATAAATACGAGATGCAACAGGAGGAATGTACGGAGTTTCTGGTGGTGACTTGCTTGTCATGAAAGGGCGATCTAAGGTGTAGCCTTTATGTATTGTTAACAGTGTATAGGTGAAGAGGATAGGTGTTCGTGAAGTCGCGCAGAAGTGAGTGAAGTAGGCGAGCGTTCACTGCACGATTGCAGATGACTCTGTCCGGAAAACGCCTAACAGTGACAGTCCGAACAAGGTGTTTACTCCTTTACTCAGGAGAAATATGCAGACAATGGCCTCAGTAAAAGCCGATTCTTCGTTTAGGCTAGGAAAATGTCATTGATGCTGAGTTTTCCCTCAACTTTCGAGCATTTCGTCATGCCGACCTCTTCCGTAATGGGATGGAAGGAGGCAGCGGTCAACGCAGGCAACTTCCTTCTTGCACCTTCTTCGGACCATCTCACTTCACTTAGCAGAACAGTTACTAGCATCCTTCAAGCATTTCTCCCGTCATTACGTTCTACATCGCCTATCGTCGTTCCACATCGTTTATCGTCATCGTCTACCCTCTATCATCCTCACGCCGCACATAATGTCGAGACTTTCTCGCATGCGACCTTTAGCCCCCAAGCAAACTAGTCCAAGCCAGCGTCCCGTCGACGAACCACCCGACGAGTCTCAAAAGTCAGCGCCCACGTCAACGGCTTCGAGTGACCCTAATGATCCGAAATCCGCTCGCATAGACGGGTATATCAACGCAGCATCGAACGTCGCGGGAATCGTGGAGGAAGGACTGGTTGATATCTAGGAATGTGTCAACGGACCATTGCACACCGCGCTAAGCGTAGACGAAGGATTAGTCGGTTTCGATGAACATAGCAACGCAGCATCGAACACCACGCCAACTGTGAGCGAAAGACTAGTCGATGCCTACGAAGATAACAGCGCAGCACCGGCTATCGAGCCAAGTGTAGAGGAAGGACCAGTCAGCGTCGACGATCTACTACGCGACCCAGATCTCTCGCAGCTCAGATACGAACTGGAGGCGCAGAAACAGCATGGAGCTTGGTTTCGGATCCCAATCACCCTCCACAACAATACCCATGCTAACATTAGGCCGCACAGTCCGAAGCACGGCTGCGATGACAAAGACCCGGCATGGTGCTGGCGGGAATCCCATTTCAGATACTGCGTCACGCACAAGCGCCGGATCGCCGAGTCCCAGAAATGTAAAGACAGATCGAAAGGAAATTGCGGAATCAAGCGCTACTCTCTGAACCTGCTGCAGGATACGAAGGGACTCGATCAAACCGCACGGAAAAGACTCTGGGCCATTGCCCACACACAGCTGGTCAAAAGACTAGAGCAGGGACCGGTGAATGTGAGCCATAGAGGCTGCCAAAACCAAGGAAAAGATTTGAAGCAGTGCTGGGAACTGGGGCATATCCTTTGGTGCATCACTCATTCAGAGGGAATGCCGCGTGGGCGATCGATGCGGCTATGCGATAAAGGAACTGTCCAGAGTCGTTGTGTGATTGTCGCATTCGAATTAGGGGGTCAATAGTAGTTTTGCATTCAGTATAACATAGGCGCCAATACCTCTTGGAGGTCTTCAAGCAAAGCTTTGCACTGATAACTCTGAGACTTGACGTTGATGCTCGCTACAAAACGAAGCCGTTCGGAAGCGGCATTGCACAGGAACGACGAACCACACATACCGTGGCCATCGCGCATCTAACTAACCCCTAACATCTCCTACAAGGCAGTGCAGCCCTTCGTGCCGCGAACAACACAACTGTATTCTGTCCTCCAGCCGAAAGAGCCAGGAGCGTCGCCTTTCTCAGTTGAGAAATAGTGGTCGGGCTAGGGTGCCCGCAACAACTTGCCCTCTCGAATTTCTTAGCCGATCTCCCCCTTGAGTAGGTATGCAAAAAGCGTTGATTGCTGGCGCCTCCGAGGCCGGGAGGTTCGGTTTTTCCTTCGGGCAGGTATGTGAACGGCGTTGATTGCGGGGCCTCCGGATTTCACTCGAGGATGTCTTAGAGAAGTGTACATTGACAATTTAGGAGAATTACGTGCCCTGGTTTGGACTTTCGTATTTTCGCTTTGAGGGTATCGAAAAGGGGGTTGATCGCTGGATCTCCGAATGTCGCTCTAGCAACCTTTAGAAAAGTGTGGGGCACTGGCTTGGGGAAGCTGCGTTCCACGGTTCGTAAAGCTACTGGCTTTCTGCTTCGGGCAAGTATTGAATAGGGTGTCGGTTTCTGGATCTGCGGATCTCGCTGGAGCCAATTTTAACATGTCGCTTGTTGATTTGGGCAAGCTGCGTGCCATGGTCCCTAAAGCTGCTGGCTTTCTGCTTTGGGCAGGTATTGCAAAAAGCGTTGATCGCAGGATCTCCGATTCTCGCTCGAGTGAGTTATTCTTAGGAAAGAGCATAGATGATTGATTTGGAAGAGAGCTTACGTGCCATGGTTTGCAAAGGTCTTGGCTTTCTGCTTCGGGGCGGATATTAAAAGGGTGTTGATGATGATGGGATTCCGACGTCCGGGGATAGCCTGCTGTGCTGCTTCGAGCAAGCGTGGTGATAGTATGGATGCATGAATGGGACGGTTGCAGTGCGTGCGGGTTCAGACTTCTGTATTTAGGCTTTGAGAAGGTATTGGAAAGGATGTTGGTTGCTGGACCTCCGGTCTGCGGAAAGCAGCTACCGTGTGTTTTCCTTTCCGGCGGAGCTTCATGCTGACAGCTCTGGGATGTACGCGTTGCGGTTGGCGTACATGTAATGGTCCATCGTTGAGCGCTGCGGGATTTCCCCTTCAAGATCTCTGGGCTCTTGGTTGATTCTATTGTTACGGGATTAGCGTTCCGGATTAACGACTTGGTGTGGGGCATATTGATATGCAGTACTACTAAAGAAAAATACCTAAACCCGGCGGAACGGCGCCCATGGTTTACGAGGAGGCTGAGGTGTGTCTGATGGTACTGCTAGTGGTATCGGTCGGAATGAGAGGTGGTGTGGAGCACAGGAAAACATCGTGCCCGTTTTCGATGCTCCAGATCCCGTGCTGAACGCACTGACAATTCTAGATTGAACAGGTCTGGAGATGATGTATATTATTAGACTTGTTGGGTAGAGCTGTGTTAGCCGGCCGCCTGTGCTCTGTCAAGAAAGCGAAACTTCGAGCTCTTTGGCAGGCGGGTGTTCTCATCTAAAGTGTTTCCCGATTTGACGTTCCAGCAAGACCCACCCTGAGCGGAACTGCTCAGTCCCTCAGACTACAACGAGGAATGGAATGAGAATTCGCCTGACGTATCCAATGTCCACGTACCACATACCAAGTTCAGCCATGACTCAGAAAGAGAGATCATGGGAATACATTGAGAAAATAGACTCGAAACAGAAATAGAGACTTGGACTCATATGGGAAGAAACATTTCAGATGGAGAAGGGAAGAGTATGCGCTTAGCATGTTCTATATTGGCCAATAGTCGTAGAGTAGGGTAGAGTAGAATGCCGAGAGCAGACATCAACGAAAACTGAACTGCTGGACAGAGGAGAAGGTACTGTAAGTACAGGTAAGCTTCGATATGTGCCTCCCATAACTCGAACGAAAGCCATGATGTAATGAGAGGAACGTTAACAGGGGTTCGAAATCTCCCTTTACCCAATCTTATTCCCGGGGCCTGTCTCCCTAGGAAGGCGAGAAATATTGGCCGATGTAGGCAAACTCGAGTCGAGCCCGGATCCGATCGCGATTCTGCAGGCGGCAAAAGTATCGAAACGAGGTCTACAAAGGAGACGGAGCGTGAAGTGCGATCACGAAACCTCTACAGACTGCATGTGTCAAGAATTCCGCTGTGGGGTGCATTGTTAGATTCAAGAGCCGATGTGGGATGCCAAATCCTATAGGAGAATCATCGGATAGTGAACCTATGCAGGGTCTGTTAAACCCGACGATGGAGTACAGTAACTCCAGGTTTTTCAACGTCGGGCCGCGGAGTTCGCAGCACGGCTGCACCCAACTTTCTCAGGAAATGCAAAGGGCAGCAGCCCCTTGGTGTACCTAGTGCGTTGCGACGGCTAGCAATTGCGGGTCTCGTTTGGCGGCATACGCCAAACCGCGCAGATGGACATGGTGAACAGAAATACCGCACCTCTAGTCCCGTTTCATAGGGACCAATGGTTGCTACGAGCCATCGTCGTTCCATTCAGCAAACGGGCTGTAGCGTCAGCGTACACGATCCCGTCATGGGAGCAAGCAGCCGCGCGTTGGCTGAACGGTGAGGTTGAACGCCACTACTGATGATGATTCGCGGAAATGAGTGGATCGTGAAAGGAGGAATGGGGGAGCGCATCGGCTACTGGGTGCTCGCAAAAGAGCACATATATGCTTGAGACTGAGGCCTCTCGCCTCTCTGCCGTGTGCGCGTCCCCAACAGGAGTGGCCAAAGTCCTTGTTGAGATGCGCAACTCTCCTGTTTTAGGATAGGCGTAGTAAATACGAGCGAGTATGGGGCTCCGGACTTAAGCGTCGTCTGCTAATAGCGAGCATTCGGTGAAGCTGTATCCGACAAGCATTCAGAGGCGAAGGCAAGTTTTGCTAGCCCTTTGTCAGGCTTGCAGTGATAGAAGGATTACAAGAAGTATGGAAGGCATGCGGGAGCTCAAGGATGTAGATGTCAGCTGGATTGATGAATCAGGGAAATGCGCCGTGCTCAGCCAATCGGCGTCCGAGGAAATAAAGACATTCTAGAATGAACAGGGGCAAGAGAAATCAAGCAGCCACACAGATCGTGCGAGTCAGGGGAATCCTCCGTCCTCCAGTGAGCTTTTACGAATGTGGCAGCTGACCCTGGAGTCTGATAGAGGCAACGGAAGACGGGCTTTGCTGATGACAAATTCCTTACTGAGCGAGTCGGCAACGGGCATCGGCGCGGATACCTAAGGCCCCTCGAAAGACGAATCAGCTGTGTCGTTGGGGAGGTGACCAAAAAATTCTGGTGAGCGTCGGACCGGCATTTTGCTATTGCCGAAAGGACCGATATAGGGCCGAGGAGACACCAGGTGGGTTGCAGCTGCGATGCAGCCACGCAACGCTGCCGGCGGGCTTAATGGCGGAGAAGAGCGTCGGGGACCTGCAAGAGAAGCAAGTTATAAGAATGTGTATACGTACCGCTACCGCTTGTCTGTTTCTTGACAGCCAGGCTGGGTGAGGTAGTTAGGGTGCTGTATGCCTGATCCTGGCTGCATGGTCGTACATACGAGCTGCGAGCCTAGAGTTCCTTCGAGGGAGAGTCACGAATTGGCGGCTAGAGGGTACGGGCGCGTGTGGAATACCAGTGGGCGAGAGTGAGCAGTCGTCCAATCTGGCTTCTGGTCTAGCCAGATTGCACATAGCGTCTTGGCGGACTACATCCCCGGCCGCCAACGAGATGGAGTGACTCTGAGCAATGTTGTATATATTGTTCATGTTCATTTGTCTGGAGGTACCGTTACTATATTGCGCAGCATCTTGAATATTGCGACGTCCTTAAAGACCGGGTAGCAATTCAGGCTCGGACTGGATTCTGGGTTTGCGTCACAAGGCAATCCTTGAGTGTTCACATCTGGCGCGATTCCAACGGTTCGCGCGCTGACTGCATGAGCTGCTGATACCAGTGTTTCATGATCTCATGGCCGTACTGTCAGGTGGTACAAGAGATATTGTCCTCGAGCTCTTCCAGAGGGCGATGATGCCGAATTGGAGGCGCACCGTTCGCATAGAATAAACAGAGTTCGCTGAGGAGGTGCAGCTATAGCACATGGCAGCCTGATAGGCCAGAACACGGGAAGAGAAGGCCGAGTAATATCTGCAGGCAAGCAGATTGAGGGCAGCACGTAGTGGGGTGAAGTGCGGGTTACCGGATTTGGGATAGCTTGGCTTGCTCCGCCACTTGCAAGCGGCCGCGGGAAGGCAGATGCTCGTCATCACGTCCGCATACGCCGCCATGTCGTTCGGCAGAGCCTTCTGTTGTACTGCTCTCGCTGCTCATGCAATTGTGGCGCGAGCTCCTGCGATGCCGGTTCCGTTTCAAGCATGAGAGTCGAAGCCAGTCCTCTAGCGTTGCAGAAGATAGCATCATAGGCCCAAAGTCCGCTGTAATCGCGCAGGTGTAGTTGGCCGGGTCGTCGCCACAACGGCGGCTTGGCTGCAACCCTATGAAAATGGCTTCCCATGTGAGGCCTTACGAGGAAACAGACGATGGCGGTGACGTCGCCGACTGTGGCGAGTGATGCGATCTGCGATATCTGCTGTTCGGCAGACAAGCTCATGGCTGATCTTTCGTGACGACGAGGGAAGCCATCGACGTCAATCGAACAACTGTCGAAGAACCTTCAAAGGACACAAACTCTACTGATTGCCTAGCCTTATGACCAGAGAGTCTGCGACAGACGCACGTCAATCCGACTGACGAGCGCAATATTACATTACAAAGCTCGAAGCGCGTCGCACTGACTCGCCACAGGTCGTGAGAGATCGCTCTTCGAGACCCGTGGGACGGACGATGCTGATCTCCTAAAATGTCCGCGACAGGCCCTGACATCTGAACAGCTATCCAGCGGTCGGATTTGTCCTCAGCGCAAAAGGATCGCCAGTAGCGACAAAGGTGACTGGCGCACATTCCTTCCGTCTTTGGTTGATCTGCGCGGGAATTACTGTTGCGAGCTCAGTATGGTTGTGTTCAATGTGTAGTCACGATGCTACGCTGGTAGCAATGCCGGATAGCACTGTAAACCGAAGCGAGGATAGTCCTCGGAAAGCCGAGTGTTATCTCGAGCAGCTGTCGTCATACGTAATGGTACCCGAAATCTTGTGGCAGTGCGAGGGATGAGCGCCGTATGGCTGCGAAAGAGACGACCCCGAGCGGATGGCATGGGAGCTGCCAGGGCGAGTCCTCGCGCTTCTCGGGGTCATGTGCAAACGAATACCCACTATTAAGCTGCTGCTGCCGCGCTACGGCGGGCCTCCGTGTGGGTACCGGGCGTTAGGGGCTCTAAGTCGTCCGCTCAGCCCGGCTCAATGGCGACGTACGCCATAGCCTGAGCCGTCCGAACTGCTGCATCGCCAGTCCGTCTCGAAGGCTCAGGACACGCAATTCGCAGAGCTCGAAGCTCCTGCGCCTGCAGGAGCTCGGCAGCCAAGAGAACGACGGCGCAAAAGGGTTCGATCAGCAACTATTGACAGCCAGGCGGTCCAGGCGTCCAGGGTCTATAAGCGGACAAATGATATCGATAGGGGCACGGGCCAGCTGCACGATTTCCCCAGACTGCGGGAGCCCGAAAGGGCTTAGCGGTGCACAGGTCATGCGTCGCGAGGTGGATAGGCCGCAGGGCGGTCCATGGGCTGCGCTTCGCTGTTCCGATCCAAGCCCAGCCTTCCAGCTTTGTCCATGGCTCCCTTCCCCAGATTTTTGAGGAGCACACGGACGCCGCTACAGCTGACATCGGTGAATGCCCTCAGCGCAGACTGCGACGCTGCGCGCCATCCCAGCGCTTGCGAGCGCGATCCCGGCCACGTCGACGAGAGCGGGTCGTCATAGCGTGGCTCCTCCTCTGTTTGGCGCTTGTTTAAAAGGACGGGGCGACTAGGGAGCAATATGCAAGCAGACCCATTGCGCTGGCCTCTCACAAGCACCTTTTAATTCCGTGTGGGCCAAGGCCAAGGAGGGCCATGAAACTCGATCTCGGAAGCCAAAGCAGCGTCCGAACCGTCCCATTATCCGACTGATGCTGGCCGGCCCCCTGCAACGCTCTCGTCCTGCTTCAAAGCGAGCTCAGGGACGAGGGACGAGGGACGCTGCTTCTGGCTGGCGATATTAATTTGCGGTTCCTTGCCAATTGGGACGGGTCAATCTACGCCCAGCAAGGCGAGATGAAGTCTATTGTGTGCAAAACGCAGAGAGGACACCGGGCCGATAGTGAGCGCAATAGAGACGGTTTGGGAGCAGAATAGAATACTCACCGTACAGCAGTAGTCAGGCGTCCATGGGCGCTGAGAACACGATGGTTACGGGAGCCGAGGCTGCAGGCGGCGAGCCCTGCCTGGCGACCAAGACGTTTCGGTGCAAGCACTAATAACTCGGCCGGCGAGCTGCGTGAGAGCGTCGAGTACTGTATGTATCTCCCAGACTCCCATGCCATGCCATGCCATGCCACGCCTGCCGACTTCCGGGGTCAAGGCCGTGCCGGTGGGTCGCGGATGATCGCGATCAGCAGGTGCGCGGCATTCAACGGGCAGCTCCAGCGCGCGCATCGCTGCCCTCTCCAGCGCCCGCCAGCGCGCGCTGCAGCCCCGGGGCCGTGTCGGGCGGGCTGGAGAGGCGGAGGCGACAACGGCAGACCCTTTCGTCGGCCGGGATGGCGCTGGGGAGGCCATCCCTGCACCGGGAGCCGCTACTGTAAACGTCCGCCCGTCGCCGTAAAGAACGACGGCGCTGCCGTTATGTATGAGCGCTGCTCCGCCAAACTGCCTGAGCGGTGCTGCATGCCGCAAGAGGCGTCGGCCAGAGGCGCCAGGGCCCTGTCTCCGCCGGCGTCGACGCTCCTGGGGCCTCGCTGCGAGCGTTGGTGTGCTGTGTCATGCAACAGCGCGAAAGCGACCTGGTTCGACGGATTACGAGTACCGGCCTGGGGGATCTGCTTACACTGGGCTCGTCGCCCGAATAACGAACGAACGCCTTCTTCCCCAGGAATTGCGTCTCTGCCTCCTGCTCTCCGCCGTCCGCCGTCCGCCCTCACTGCTCGTGCTGCTGCGGGCGTTTTGTTCTCTGGCTTCAGCCCTTCGTTTGTTGTCTCCTGCAAGGCGAGGCTGGCGGGGACGTGGTCTGCGCGCCGTTCTGCCCCAGATTCTGTCCCTCCGCCGCCAGCCAATCGCGCGCGCGCGTCGTGGGAGCTTGCCAGCTGCTCTGCGCCGACGCCGTGTCTGCTACATTCTGGCCTGACGGCTTCCAGCGGACTCGCTGAGCCCATCGCCGCCGGCCCACAGCTACACAGCTGCTTGCTTCGGCGGTGCTGTCCGACGCTGTGCTGCTGGCCCCGTAGCAGCAACCGTCCCGCTGCTCCCCCCGTGCATGCCGGAGTATTGGCCGTACAGCAACGGAACCAGCCGTAGAGACGCTCGCCGACTAAGGACCGGCCGGCTTCTCTAGCACGAACATCAAAGCGCCTTTTCTGGTCGGCTTCGACGTCGAGCTCGAGCCGCGTCCTTCACTCCCTCGTAGCCGTCCCTGTGCCCTCCCACCTCTCGAGCTCCTCGCACCCTCACGGCCCGCCATTCGCCACTCAGCGGCCGCCAATTTGTCGTCTGCACAGAGGCCCGCCGTTTTCCCCTTGCAGCCGCGCATACGGGGCTCCATTGATTGCGAGCTTCCGTGCTGAAGACCGTGGTTAACCCGCCGGTGTTCGGAGGCCCGCTGCATCGCCGCCAGCCAGGACACCCCGCGAACACACGCACCGTTTGGGAAGCGTGTGGAAGGTACTTTCTCTGTTTCCCGGTCTAAAGTGTCAAGCTTCCGCTGACGTAGGTGCTCGCTGCCAGCCTCCTTGTCTCTCCCGCCGTCCTTTGTTGGCCGCCCTGAGCTCGCCTGGCACTCGGAGCTTCATCCAGCTCGACAGCGCCGGCCCCTCAGGTAACACCACGACTTCCCACGGACTGGAAGTTGTTCCAGAGCGTCGCTCCGCCAAGCCACCGGCCTTCGCCCCCGTGAACGCTCTCGGGTGGGTGCGGCGTGCTGGTCAAGGTCTGAGGTGACACCAGCGCCATAAACGTCGAGCATGACCGCGGAGACAGGCACGGGCACAATGGCTCCGGCAAGCACTTCCAGCGGCGGCTCGAGTGGTGCGAGCAGCGGTAATGGTGAGGCATACCGTTCAATTGGGTGACGGCTCGACTGACAGCGTCTTACACCTGTAGCGTCGGTACAGACTGCGAAACCCGAGCCCTCGCAGAACACGACCACCTTCCCACCGCCCAAGACGGACAAACCAAGGCCACATGTCTGTGGGACGTGCAGCCGGTCGTTCGCCCGGCTGGAGCACCTCAAGCGACACGAGCGATCCCACACAAAGGAGAAGCCGTTCGAGTGTCCGCAATGCACGCGATGCTTCGCGCGGCGGGACCTGCTGCTGCGGCACCAACAGAAGCTGCACCAGCAGGGCGCGACTTCCTCGCGGCCGCGCACCGGCCGCCGGGAAAGCACGACCGGCCTGCCGCCCAACAGCGCAAACCGGGTGCGCAAGAACTCGGTGGCGAGCAGCAGCGCGGGCGGGCCGGGAGCTGCTGGCACGGCTGCGATGCGGCCGCGAGCCAACACCATCAGCCACATCGACCCCAGCGCGCTCAACAGCCTGCTGGCCTCGCACAATGCCTCGTTAAGGGGCAATGGCGGCCACCCGGGCCACTCCCACCACGCGAGTCTGTCGGGCTTCGCTGGCCCCGGCGCATTCGACTATCGCGGCATGTCGACTTCGGTCGGCAGCCACGGGCAGCATCATGGGCTGCCGAAGCTGGACACCCACCTCGGCTACGGTCTGGGCGGCGGACTGCGCACCGCTCCCATCCAAGGATTTGGACCCGACGACCTCGAACTGGAGAAGTTCTTTGGCTCGTCCGGCTCGACAATCAACCCAAACCAGCTCCATCACTTCACCGGAAATGCGCAGTCACCGTTCCACGCTTTTGGAAACCCGTTCGCAGGCGCCAATGCCATCGATGAGGATGAGTATGCGTGGAGCGCGGGCCTAGATGGCGCCATGATGTTTTCCGGACACAACGACACAGCCGTCGACGGATCGTCCCCTTCGGCAATCAGCACAACTAGCCAGAGCGGCTTCAGCGAAGTCATGGTGGACGGCTCGGGCCAGCCTACCTCCGCAGCAATGTGGCACAATCCACTGGTCACCCACTCAAACGTTAACCCCGCGTCGTATTCTCTGGATGCCATGGCCCCCGTCTTCCCGGAGCTCATGATGAATACCATGTCGCCCAAGGAGTTAGCAGAACAAGGTGCGCCGGCTGATTTCTACATTTCCTCGCCCCCACCTATCTCCTCCATGAGCCCTACCGCGGGTATCCCGGGTATGCCGAATCAGTACTTCCAACCACCAATGGCTTTCAATTCTGATACGGGCAGCATATCATCGTCCTCAGTAAATGGCAGCGCTAGGCATAGCTCGGTGACGTCCATCTCTACAGAAACCATCACAGATGCCACAAGGCAGGCCTTGATCTTCAACCTGTCGCAAGCTCTCGGCTTTGGCAATCCCCAGCGGAAGTTCTCTCAACCATCCATCAGTTCACCCTTGTCTGCTTCAACTTCTGGCAAGCCGCAGAGCCAGGTTGCGTCGCTCCCCAGCACCATGGATCTCCAGCGATACGTCAACGCCTACATCCAGTACTTCCATCCTCATCTACCATTTCTCCATATTCCTACTCTTTCTTTTGACACGCCGGCATATACCTACCATCTTCGCGCCGCCGGCAGTTTCAACCACGACGGCATGGTCGGCGGTGGCGGATGCTTGATATTGGCTATGGCGGCTATAGGCGCCTTGTATGAGTTCGAGCACAATGTCGCCAAAGAACTTTTTGATGCCGCTAAGAAGATGATCCTCTATTACCTGGACGAGCGGCGTAGAGCTGGGCTATCGGCAGCAGTCAACGGACCTAGCTCCACGAGCGATTCCATCAACAAGCCTCCGCTTTGGTTGGTTCAGGCTATGCTGCTGAACCTCATATTTGGTCACAATTGCGGCGATCGGCAGGCCGCTGAGGTGGCAAGTACGCATTGCGCGGCTCTCGTCAGCTTAGCGAAAGCTGCCGGTCTAGATCGACCAGCTGTCGACATCGTCGCCGGACACCACTCGCCCGCCGGTACTAGTGGCGGTGATGTGGACATGACCGATGACTCAGTGCCTCCCGAAATCGCTCAAAGGAATTCGCCAGACACCACAGACCAGCACGCCCAGTGGATTCAATGGAAGCAGATCGAGGAACGCAAACGAACGTACTTCGCCGTCTTTTCGATGTCAAGCCTGCTCGTCTCGGCTTACGCGCATGCACCGCGCATCCTCAACTCGGAGATCCGCCTTGATCTGCCATGCGAAGAAGATCTTTGGTCCGTGGACAACCCTCAAGCGTGGGTGGCCATGGGTGGTCCAATGATAGCGCAAACCAAAGGATTGTCCTTCAATGCCGCAATGACGTACCTCCTCGAAGCCAGTACACGGCAGCAATCGGAGCGTGTGCAGAGTGCGTATCAGCAAACTTTTGGCGCCGATATGGCTATGAACAATGTACCCGAAAGCGACATTCGCCCTAGTACGTTTGGGTGCTACGTGTTGATCAACGCACTTCACGTCTACATCTGGGAGACGAGACAAAGGCATACTGGACGCCTCTGGAAGACGCACGAAACCGAAGCTATGCATGCACAGGTGGAGCCGGCGTTGAAGGCCTGGCAAGCTGCTTGGAGGGCAAATCCTAACCACAGCATCGAGCGACCGAGTCCCTTTGGTCCTCTATCGGCCGACTGTATACCTTTGTTGGACTTGGCGTACGTCAGGCTCTTTGTCAACCTCAGTCGTTCCAAGGAGCTACTATGGCAACGAGATTTTGACGGCATGGCTACTGAGCTTGCCAGAGGCGTCGATATTGTCGCACATGCCGACGGTACGCCTGATCGATCCTCCGAATCCATGGATGCAAAGCCCTCGCCTGGCGCGGTCATTTCTCCCCAAGACATTGACGCTATTGGAGAGCTTAGCCCAGGACATTCTGGCGCGGGTCTGCAGCCCAGTCAATCCTCCAAACGCGAGCGACACCTTCGCAAGGCGGCGTTTTATGCCGCGGACTCGCTCTCGATGGCTGACAAGCTTGGCTCGACGTATGCCGAGTTCACCGCAAGAGAGCTTCCAAACTCATCTGCCATGTGCACATTCGACTGCGCCCAGATCCTGGCGGAATGGGTTGCGACTGTTCAAGATCGCGTTGGACGATTCTTGGGAGTCCTTGGTAAGGACGAGATTGACTACACCACGGTGCCGGCGATTATGCTCCTCGAAGAGGAGGATATTAAATTACTTCAGAAGATTGCGGACATCCTTCACACCGCCGACATGAAGCTTGCGTTCGATATTACCTCAAACAACATACCGATGCTAGGTGGCTTGTCGAATCTCGGCCATTGCGGATATGGCACGAAGCTTCTCATGGTCACAGCATACATGCTTGGAAAATCTGCTGTGTGGCCAGGTAAGTACCATGCTCCACGTATCCTCCCACCATGCTAATATTGCAGTAGTAACGCATGTGATGGCGCGCGCCCTGGAAGCCCACGCCAATCACATCAATCAACGCGCCGAAGCCTCCGTGACGACCTCGTAAATATTGCTTATGCCCGAACCGTGTACAAAACATTGATGTCTTTGCCGCTTATTCGCGGCGGTTGATACCTCTTTTGACGATATTTATACGCTCACGACTTGCGATCCGATGTTCCGTATCCTGACGAAGCATACGACGACACTCCACTATACTTACTGGGCTAATCGCGCTAGCCGTGATCGTGGCATGGCGCCCTGGATCGGCAACCGGCTGGGATCGATGTCTTTTATATTCAGTTTTTCTCTCAATTGGAAGTCACGTCATTGGGTCGCAAACTCCATCTGGGACATGGAGTGACCATCCTGCGATCCATTCTCTCGGCGTCATGGCTGCCACCATAGAGCCGAGACTCAAGACGACTTCTGAACTTTGCTTGGCCCTGTAGATGACGGATTCCTTCGGATTATCTGGTTTCACGCTGGTTGCATTTCTTGCGAGCAATGGCTTGCACCTCTCTCTGGGGGACTTCTTATTTTGGGGCGTTTCCGGGTTTTCTTTCCTTTGGGTTTTTTTACTTTCCCGCGGGTCTTTAACTCCCTTCGGATCTATTCGCTTTGGGTCGGCGACACAAATGGGTCTTTTGCTTTTGCGTTCTGGTTCTCTGTCGGGAAAACAGTCAAGCAATTTATTCGGGCAGCCGCGTGGCTTAATGGATGCGTGGCTGCGAAAAAGGAGAGATGTAGGCCTTGACGGGGCTATCTGGATCAGCAGCGGACGATGTTACGAGCTTCCCTTCACCTATAATCATCTAGGGGACTGTGACGGATGGTTTGGGCAAGGCGGAAAAGTTCTTTTTCGAACCTTTAGTGTTCGTGAATGAGAGCGTATTGGCTTCTTCCAGCTAAGCTCCCTTGCACCTCTCTAGCGTGAAGTATGCGCGTTTCCGACCGCTCCAGCACAACACAGCACAGCTTGTCGGATGTACCAAAGTACCTCAGTACTTTTCGGAGGCCGACAACACACGCTAAAAGCAGGTAATGGCACTAGATCCTTCTCCCAGAGCCACGCTATTTACCCCACAATACGCTAATGCCCTGGCTCTGCGGGAGGCGTGGCTTGGGCTGCACTCCACGATCTTTGTGACACACCGCTTTTTCTCGATTCGCGGAGCTAGTGGCTTCTTTACTTTTTCCCAAGCCGTTCCTTCCCTGCCTCTCTTAGGGCTGGCTGGCATGGCAGGGTGCTCCCAGCGTGCACAGATTCGATGGCTTGGCTTGGGGCAAGACAAGGTAATCCTGGGCTGGGCTCAGGTTTCCGCGGTCGACATGTCGACTTTAGCATTGGGCTGCCATCGGAATTTGGTATGGGGATCTAGAGCTGGTGTTGGAGTGCGTTAGTGGGTTTAGTATGGCATGGCGCGCTGGAATGACATGGGATGGTAGTGGATGAGCGTCGAAACGTGCAAGTAAGCTCGGAAGTCGGAGGGGGAATTGGTTGGGTCGTTGTGCCGATGTTGCGCGTCTGACAGCTAGACTAGCTAACTAGCTGCGTGGGCATTTTCTCTATTTTATGCTGCAGTATCTATATATGGCTCTTTCTTTCTGTGAGAGGGACGTAAGCGGGTGATCATAGCGCTCCTTCGATTATAGGAAGGATTGTTCGTTCTTTATCTTGCTGCGGGGCGGATCAAAGACTGCACAGTAACTTGCATTCGCATCGCAGCACAAAAAGTTCCGCGGCATCTGCTGCGCTTCTTGACTCGCAGGAGGCGTTGCTCTTCCCGCTGCGCTGGGACGCTATGGAAAGCTACCAACCGGTGACAACAACCTCCGTCGTACCGTATGTAGCTGTGTTGTCTGGGCGACGTATGTAACTGTACATTTAGATCCAGACTTTGCGCTTTTTGGGGCCAGCGTTTGCGGCGAGTGGCTCGACGTGAGACGGTGCGTGGACGGCGTGATGGAAGGGTTGAGCTAGCGTTGGGTTCTTTCCGTTGGTTTGGTGGTTGGAAGGTTCGAAGTTTCCGAGGAGGTGAGAAGGTTAGATTAGATAGAGGTAAAAGCGATGTGATGCGAGTATGCAGTACGAAGGATATGTCAGAGGTGTGGGGATGGTTGCGTCTGGGACTGATGACGCCATAATAGATGGGAGGGGCACCCACCAAATGGAGGAGTGTAGCGCATTGGAGAAATCTCCCGTTTCGGCGCCACACAACTTGTTCGATCTCTGAAATAATAGGGAAAACTTCAGCTGCTATACGGAATCCCTTGCCCGCCAGTGAGTACCTCGATGGTTCCCCACTACAGTGCGGCGACCAATGACGGGGCATATTGGCCGCAACCTCCGTGCTCGAGCTGTGGGCGACTTGTCAGACTTTCCATCGACGTGACGGAGTCCTTTTGGAGAAATAGGAGGCTCATCGTATTGATATCTACAGGAGTACGAGAACGGGAAATATGTGTGCCTTCTACGTTCAGATGGGGCAGCCTTGCGCTAAGCCACAAGTAGCCGGATTGGGCGGTCATAGGGAGGTAAAGGTTTAACTCTCGCTAACTTCCTTCACATTTCAGTTTTAAACCAACCACCTTCTTCGAACTGAAAGTCCAGCTGCGTAGCTAATCCGCAGCCCTAGTGCAATCGCGCTCCTGGTTGCTTAGCTCAGGTGAACGAGCGCTTCTCACTGCTGATTGGTCAAATCCAAAGCTTAGACCAAGCCGAACCTCGACCTCGCCCAAACCATCCACCTTTCTCCGCAACACAGGTTGACCGCGACCACGGAATCACACTTTCCGTTTGATCATTTCCTAGAAGTTTTCTGGTGGACGTTTCGCGCAGGATGTCTCGTCCCACAGCGAGGAAAGCAGCGCCGAAAGGCGAGTACATTGAGACGGTATGTGTCTTCTACACTCCTTCTCTTAGCAGTCAGGGCCTTTTATGTGCCTATATTCTTTCTCTTTGTATCTGGTTATTGCTCGCTCTCTCGACTTTCTTCTTTAATCCTGATGTATTTGGTCCTGTATGAGTCCTTCTAAATCTTCCCTTTCTAAAACGTCACCATCTACACACCTACCGCGACCCCACCTCCATCATCATAAAGTTTTCATATCATCCCCTAAGCTTGATACAATACAGAAGCATTCTCTGATATTTCTTTAGGACTCCGGCAACAAAGTCTCCCGCCGAAGTGCCATCACCGGAACCGCAAACATTACGCTTGGCGGCCGAACTGTGATCATGGCCGATGTCGTTCTACGCGGCGACCTTCACCCAACGCGCGCAGTGCCTTCAAGCTCAGGAAAGGAAGTCACACCTACCAGTATCAGCATTGGACGATGTACGGTGATCTCAACGGGCAGCGTGATTAAGCCTCCGAGCAGAATAAGTCGGGGTCAAACTCACTACTATCCGATGAAGATTGGGGATAATGTCTTTGTGGGTATGAAGCCCTACATCCCCCACTCATGTTCCTTTTGCTATGAATGTGCGAGTTGCAGCACGCTGACCTGCAGCAGGACCAAACTGCACCATCTCCGCCATCTCGATTTCATCACACGTCCACATCGGAGCAAACGTCACCATACATCCCTTCGCACTCATTAAGGAAAACGTCAAGATCCTACCAAACACCGTAGTACCCGCGAATATGGTCATCTCTTCCGGATCCGTGGTTGGTGGACGCCCGGCACGGATAGTGGGGGAGGTGGGCGAGGGCTGGGGTGTAAGCGGAGGCGGCGCAGGAACAGGATTGGGCGTTGGTGGTGGTAGCGAAGAGAAGTGGGTTGAGGGTGGCGATCTGAGAGAGCTAGTTAGGAGTATCAAGTAACGACCGGTCTCAACCTGGCGGGAAATAAGAAACGCGGCTATATCGCGTATATGACCAATATAATACAGAAGTGAGCGCGTAGAGGATCTGTGTATAGAGATCGATGGCGTGAGTTAGGCGTCTTTGGGGAAAGCTTGCTGTGGAGGGAGGAACATCGCGTTGAAAGGGAGGTCGCGGCGCGCTAATGACGCGGTGCACGTGATCCCTCCAATTCCAAGGTTCTTGCTCACGTATCCCGAAAGAGATTCTTCCAGGATCAGGCAGCCTTTTGCAAATTTTCCGCATTAGAAAAGGAAGTTTTCGAGACAGGTCCGAGGGAGGGTGTTGTGGCTCGGCGGCTGTGCGCGAAGGGTCGCAAACGCAACCTCGTGGTCGCATTCGTAATCCGCATCTCCCGCTCAGCCTTCTGACGAAGAGAGCGCTCCTCGCTGACCATATCGCCCATAATGCTAACATAGCAAAGCCTTGCCCGAGTCCTGTGCGCCCTCATTTTGGCCCTACCTTTCCGTCTGAATTCGCCCTCAATGGGTCCGCTCGGGTGTAACGATGCGCAGCACCTCCACCAGTTTCCAGCCTTACGACAGAGCTACCGGGACTGAGCTGTCGCATCAACAACAAGCGGATTGCGGATACTACTACACCGTCATCAAGGCTTACATTGACGACGTCGAAAGTCGAACCGAAACGCCGATTCCATGGACGCGAAAGAAGCTGCGCTGCTCGACCGCCGAGCTCCTCGATGCCATAGAGAGCCTGGGCGACGAGATTCGGCAGAGACAACGAGCGGATAACCCTGGCAACAATGCAGCGGGCGGCATGCACACCGGTGCTGAGTGGGATGGAGAGGACGATACAGCACGGGAGACTGGCGTGTCCAGCCGGTCGGCGCAGATGTATCAGCAAGCTGTCAACCTCTTGCATGAGCTTGTGAGCCGGCTCATGGATGTCGACGAGGGCTCAACCACTTATCGCACGTCCGCCGCGCTCGAATGGCCGTATACCTCCCGTGCATCGTTTGCGCCAGGCAGCACAAGTAATAGCTCCCCCGTCAGCTCTGCCTTCTCCAATGCTCCAGCATCAAGAACATCATATATAACCAGTGCCTCAGCTACCACTGGCAGCAGTATGGCGTCGGACGAGATGAGCCAGGCGACTGGCGCTCCTCAGGAGGCCTCTGATGAGAGCGAAGGAGCACCGCTTGATTCCCATCATTCGCTGGATGAGTCGTCGGAAAAGGCTCCTGCTACGCAGGGAAATGGCAGGGACAAAGCTACAAATGAATGGGTTCTTGAATATCTTCGTGGTGGTTGGTTGGCAAGTAGTCCTGCTAACACGATCGAATCCACCATCTCTCCGGCCGCTTCTTTGGCCGAGGACGCTTCTCCTGTTGGAAGCTTTCGGCGCTTCCAACGTACCGCATCCGACGAGGTTTCCACCAACGGTCAGGATAGCGCCCCTCAATCGCTTAAAGGTAGTTTTCAGTCAGCGAAGATGGCGAGACGCAGTCGTCCGATCCATACCGTGACTTCTCGTTTGAAAGGCAAAGTCGGGTATGAACCGCTACATGATTCCACAATGAGAACCTCTACTCGGTCAGGGCCTGATTATTTCAAAACACCGAGATCGATTTTGAGTGGCGCCACAGTCTTTTGGACTCCCAATGCAGGATTAGAATACCTCCATTCGACTGTACAGACAAGGTAAGAATGTTGCCACATCAGGCGCTGAAGTCTGATGCCAATTTTGGCCTTTTCCTCTCCACCCATGTCTGCATCTAGCCAATATGTATCCTCTTATCGAACCCCAATCATGCTTAGCAGTTTGCTAACGGCGCTGCAGCAGCACATCCGCGTGGAACAAGTATCTTCGGCAGAAAGGCCTCATCCCTGATCCGTTTGACGAGATGGATTGGTCGGGTAGAGGCCAACATGCCGAGTTTGACGCTACGGAGGAATCCGAAATCCCTCTCACACTCGAAAGGGCACTCGGATACAGCTCGAATGCCTTGGTGGAAAGTGTGCGGTGTCGACGTATTCGTCTAGCCCGGAAAACCGTCCAAGTCAGCAGGCGCTTGAAGAAAGAGGAAGCTATGAAAGAAGTGGAGCACCTGCAGCGACTGAAACATTCCCACGTCCTCCGCGTAGTGGGAACCTACACCCTTCCGCGCAAATTGTCCATCCTACTTTATCCAGTGGCTGACTATACGCTGGATGCTTTCCTGGAGACAACGCAAGACGAATTGCCAACCGAGGACCGTGCCGCTCGCCTATATTCGATTTCTACATTCCTTCGATGCCTCGCCAAGGCAGTTGCTTACATTCATGAGAATGCCATCAAGCACATGGATATCAAGCCAAAGAACCTCCTCATCCGAGACATGCATACTAGTATAATATGTAATCAGGGGCAGTACAAGATATATCTCGCGGACTTCGGCATTGCTCGCTCTTACCGCTCTGTCGACGAATGTAATACGGAGTCGCCGACTGCCTATACAAAGACCTATGCGGCCCCAGAAGTCATGGCTCAAGAAAGGCGCGATCAGAAGGCGGATATATTCTCTCTTGGCGCCGTCTACGCAGAAATGCTCGCCGTTCTTGCCAACGAAGTCGATCCAATTATCCCGAATTTGGATGCGCTACATAATATCCGAGAGAACGATCCCACCAACCGCTCGTACGCAGCCCATGCCCCTGCAATCCAAAAATGGTTACGCCGTCTGTCCGTCTCCACGTACGGCTTTGAATCTGACGCCGACCACTCCCACATCACCGAACTGGTAGCGCGCATGCTCAGCGTCGACCCTACTAAGCGACCGACTGCAAGCACTATAGTGAATAACATTCCCTTCTTGGCATTTTGCTGCGATGTCAACGGCGGCTCCGAGCCTTTCGAAGCAGCAGATCGTCCCGCCGAGAGACAGTTGTATGATCGGGCTTTTGAGATCTCAGAGGCCGATTTGAGGCACTTTAGGTGTATGGTTGACGGATGCGTCAAGGTCTATGGAAGTCGAGAGAAGTTGGAATATCATACAGTTGTAAGTGCAGCCTTGCGCAGTCTCGAGCAGATTCCATCTCTTCCGCGTATAGTGGGCTGAAGCGCTTCTGGCTCCCGCATGGCGTCTCCGCTGCGAGGGCGCGCATGACGGCGGCAGTTCGATTGCTACGCATCGGTGAAGGCGCCACTACATATAGAAAACTTCGAGCTTGGCTGCAGCAAAGGGCTGACGATGCGGCAGAACGGTCACGGCGAAAATGCGAAGTCGGTCCCTCTCTCTGAAAGTGCCGCTTACGCTCCAGCTTTGGAACAATCCAATCTTGATGCAGAGGATGTGCATAGCACCGAAGAGCAGCTTGAAGCAGAGGCGCAGACTTTCAAGACAGATTGGTCAACCTTTTAAGGCACTTTCTACTATGTGTCGCGCTTGAGGCGTTGCCTTCAGAGGTAGACATCCTAGGAGGTGTGACTGTGCTCGATATGTTGGTTGAGGGAAGCTATGCATGAAGCAGACAGGCAGATGATTGGGAGTAGGAGAGCGGGGAAGAGTTTAAAGATGATAGCGACAATGACGAAGACGATCATGAAGACGACGAGGTCGACGTGGGTTTCCGAGAACCCCAAGTGATCGGAAATGACAAGTGTAGGTGCGTAGGTGCTGGCGGAAGGGATCAACAAGGCACCAAAGCTAAGACTCTTCGCTTTAGGATTACACAGCATGATGTCTCACAGCGGAGAAAACTCTCAAATCCCCACATTCCGACCCCCGTGTCACCTGGGCAGGTGAACAGCCCCGGCCTCACGTGCGTACACTACGACATATCAGGACTAGCTGAATCCCTCGGTCCTTCCACACCGTGGAAAGCCACCGTCTTTACCGCAACAGCGTCTTCGTTCCTTCTCTTTCTGAAGTTGCTATCAACGCGAATCCCATTGGCGTGCTACGACTATTGCCGCCGTTCGTTATTCGCACCCTTTTGACCTCGCAATTCTAATGCACGGATTGATCCAGATGAGGCAGCGCGAGCGAACCTCACCGAGACCCAGGCCACCTGCCGCTAGATCCAACATCAATCCATCGCGCCGGGCGCCTGCAGGGGACGTGCCGCCTAGAACCGATCAACCACCACGCGTCGTGGGATGGATGTCGCGTTGCAAGACTGACTCTTGAAACGCTTGCGGAAACAGGGCGATAGTGGCCGTACACCTGGCCCGCCCTCTGCGTGGCTTCTTTTTTCGCGAGAGTGCTTTGGCCGATTTCGAGAGAGCCACGGGCGGGGCGTGCAATAGCTTATTTCCAAATATGGTACGCATATCGCATTTATTCTACGAGAACAGAGATCCGCCGCACGCATCGAGTGCCGGCCTGAACAACGCCCGTGGGCCGCCGCCTGAGGCTCAGTCTCGCAGTCTCTCGTTAACGTTTCACCATCTACCACCACACTCGCATCAGGAAAAGCTTGCCCACCTTATCACCAATATGTCTCGAGGCATCACAAACACGTCCCCGCAAAAAGAAAAGGGTGGAGCACGGTGGAAGGATTCCGACTGTTCCAGTCTGGGGAATAGTCTGGGCGTAGGATTGTCGATTCCTAGAGGATTATTTCTGGCTTGGGGATCCGGGTGGATGGCTTGTACGTGGGTACATAACATACCCCGCTTCCCGTGGGCTGTGTGGAATGTAGTTGAGGCGAAGGTTTGACACTGCCTGGTACGAGGCATAGGTTGCCCTTTGCGTTTTCGAACGGCTGCGACGAATTGACCAATCGCTAAGTAGATACGACGCCCTGGGCAGCCCTATTCTCTCGGCCGGGAGTCCTTAGCCATTTCCAAGCCTCAGGGCATGGAATGACGTGCGAACTTGAAGGATACTTCGACCGCTCGACTTCCAGCATCCGCGACGAGACGCCATGGAGTATGGATCAGCGTATCTGCGAGCGTCGGGGACAATAGAGGAAGACACCATTTCAATGCTTTCAGCACCCGAGCTCACCTCTCAATACCACGTGTACCATCCAGACCATAGTCGAAACTCGTCAAACTCGTCCGAAGACTCAACAGCAAACCGCGCCTCTTGGTCCCTATCACCAACTCATCTACAGCAATCCCTACCGCCGTTGCCTCCCGCGAGTGGCCCATCGCCTTCCCCGCATATGAGGCCCTCGATCTTTGGAAATCGAGCTGCTCTCGAGTCGCCGTACCAGGAGCCGGTTGCCTGGGCGAATTCGACGCATTTCCGATCCACTAGTGCGGAGGAGCCGAAACCAGAGGCCCGGGCAGCGGTGTTCGTCGTTTCTGAGAATGTGCTCCCGCCTCCGAAGGAGACTCGGCAGTACTTTCGTCACCCGAGACATATACCTGAGCCGTGGAAGGCGGGGTTCTGGTTGCGATTCCCCAGGCTTGGTTTCGGAGCGCTGTTTCTGGTGGTTGTGTGTAAGTACCTCAACTCCATATCGTGAGTTTTGCGCTTATTAGAGCAGTGACCGGCGTATCCGCTGGTGTCCTTCTTGCGAGCAACGGAACGTCCATGCATGATTGGAAGGTCGGATCTGATAACGCGCAGCCCGCTGTTTACATCTCTGCAATTGGAATGTTCATTGACCTCCTATTACTATTCGCATTGGCAGAAGGCGTTGTTATTCGGTTTTGGCGTCAGTTGTTGCATGGGACTACGGTAAGTGGAGTTTTGAGTCGCGAGTGCATTTGTTCGCTAACTCCTCTAGCTTTCATCCATGCATGACGTGTATGACTCAGCCTGCCTCTGCTCCGCCATGAAAAGGCTCACCCACCTGAGATTCAACACCGTAGCCGTCGGTAAGCCTTTTCCCTCCAACACCCTCTTCCCCCATCTCAATCACCCCACTCACCCTACCCCCCTAGCAACCACTCTGACAGCCCTCTCCCTCGCGCGCGGCCCACTCTTCCAACGCTCCTTAACCCTCTCCCCCACTACTTCCCTCTACACCGTCCACTACATTCCCCTCATCTTCGGTATCCTGCTCTCGCTCGCCCCCGTCGCCGCCATCCTCCCGCTCTACAACGGCTTCTGGGAGCTCGGCCGGCGCGTCAGCCTGAACCCCCTTGAAATCGCCCGCGCGTTTGGCGCGCCGCTTTTGGAGGGCCTGGATGGGAACGCCGACCCGGACGTAGTCACAATTGAGAGGGGGGGCATGGCGGTGAGATATGGCGTCGTGGAGAGGTTCGGCGTGGAGAAGCAATTGCGGGTGGAGGAGAGGAGTAAGGCGACGGTTAGGGTGCCGTGGGAGGGAGAGGTTTTCGGGTAGCGTGTTGGACAAAACCGACTGATCCTTCCTATGCCGACTGATCATTCCTATGTGATGAAAAACCGCTCTATTCTCCTTAGAACTCTACTTCTCTCAGAGATCCCAACGCCCAAGACGTTCCGCATCCAAACTCCCACTTCGGGTCCCCTATATAATCGCCGCAATCAAACTCACATCCCCGCCCTTCTCCCGCTTCTTCACCCTCTCCTCCTCCTTTCTCTTCGTCCGCTCGTCCCCGTATTCACTTATCGCCTCCGCCTGCTGCGGCGACACATGTTCAATCTGCTTGGACTTCCCTGCCTCGTTTTCGGATATGAGTTTCTGCCAGAGGCTAGGCTTGGGCTGGGGTTCTTGATTCTGGGAGTCCGGATGTAAGGGTTAGAAAGGTGACGATAAGGAAGGAACGGATCAAGGGAGTACGTACTGGAAGCGAAGAAGATTCTGAGGGGGCGTGCGTGGCTGGCATAATAGGGACTTGCACGGCGGCGACGACTGTGGGCTGCAAGAATGATGTATGAGTTAGAAATGTGTTTGACGGAATACTACACAGATGCGGGTTCTTTGGTTGGACTCCTAAGGTCGTAGTATGGTGCAACTATTGCTACGGTTCACAGATTCAAGGATTCGCGGCATACGTCATCTCTTCACAGATCGGCTGTATGTGGGTGGTGAGGCTGCGAAGTGCTGGATGGGGAAGGTAGATAACGTCCTGTTGAAGTGTGCGACGGTATCTTGCTTAAACGGGATAGATGAAAACGGAAGGAGATAAAAGCAATGAAGAGATGCGATGACTGGCAAAGAGTGATACTTAAATGGATATCTTGCAAATTGATACAAGAAGAAATCACTAGGTATTGGGGAAAACCCTTCCCGGTCATGCCGTCGCCATGGTATCATAACTCATGATCGCTTGCCAGGCCGGACATTTACTTGTCCTTGTGGCCAATGTGAAGTTTGTCCTTGAGCTTCTGACCCAAATGAACCTTCTCCTTCTCCTTTTCGCCCGAGCCACCACTCGCCGGCGCTGGCTCCTCCATCTGACCTGAGCCGTCCTTATGAACGCCCTTCTGCTCCAAGAGTCCTGTTACCATGTCAGCTCGGCCCATTATTTGACCCATCTTCTGCCACGTACTGTCGGCTTCCCTGCCAGCGCCCGGCTTGGTAGCATCGAAGTCACCTCCGTCGGCATGTAGACCGCTTGACTTGATCCACTGCTCACCGGTGCCCTTGGACTCCTTTCCATGCTCCTGTCCTCCAGGCATGCCTACTTTAGACTCACGCCTCTCTTCCTGGGTGGCTGGGATGTCGCCGCCGCCGTGCATCCTCATGGGCTCGCCGGAGTGGTCGTTAGGGTCTCGCTTGCCGAGGAGGGCCTCCTCGGCGTTGTCTTTGGACGACTTCACAGCGCCTGCTTCGTCGCCCTCGGGTGCAGCGCTAGGCTTGTCGGCGCCTTGCTGCTTGTGTTCCGGTGGAGCGCCAGAGGTAGGAGCGGCACCAGGGTGGGAGGACTCGGAGGGAACGACATCGCCTCCCATCGGTTTATAGTTCTGAGCACTAGCGCCGGTGACACCAGTGCCCTCGGTGTTTTCCAGAGGATTGGGCTCTCCGCCGGCGGCTGCGTTGTTGGGATTCATTGGGTTGTTGGTCTTGGTATCCGGGTTAGAAGCGGTAGCGGAAATGGATTGGTTTGAGTTGGAGGTCGAGGTAGGATCGTTGACGTTCGCCTTGCCGGTTGGGTCGGCGGGGTTCTCTTATACAAGCAGGATAGTCAGCATCGCAGGTGAATGACGTTGCTCTAATGTTTCATCGAGATTTTAGGTGTGAGAAGGAGGGGTCTTACCCGCATTACCCTGGTCGAAAGGCTCATTGGGTGTACCTTTACCCTGGAGGCCCTGGAGGTCCGTGATCAGCGTATTTGTATCCGGAGGAGGAGAGTTATGCTTACTGAAACTGGTTCGCTGCCTGCGGTCTCGCTGCCCGTTGTGGTATTGGTATTCTGCTCCCCCCAGATTAGGTTCTTGACGGTCTCCATGGTGGATCGGTGGGGGATGTGTAGTCTTGTCAAATTGTAGTTGGGGCAAAAGTTGAGGGTGTGAAGTGTGTGGATGGGGACAAAAGAGCCTGCGAGCGAGATTAAGAAGCAGTCGTGGTGGTCGCGCTCCTCTCTATGACGTCGGTGCCTCGAGATTGATACTCAGCCTGCGCAGCCACAACCCGTCGCGCACTCCGTCACCAGCGGGGCACGCGCCGACCTGGCCAACGCGTTTCACTGCATCTGCCTCCAATGAGAAGCTCCAAACGCAGGACTACGCGGAGATAGCAACGGCTTCAATTGCTTCTGGAATCTGGTTCGATTCCTGGGCACCTTGGATGCTGTGCAGCTGAGCTTGATGAAGCTTGAGCTACCACAAGCCAGCGAAGCGCGTATGACGTGGGGATACGTCATGAAGCAAACAAAGCAAACATCAGGGGCGCGCTTTATGTAAGCTGCATCACGTGCTGGGCTCCGCAAATTTCTTTACACTGAGACATCAGCAGCATTCCATTGCAGTGCCCGCCACCGCTCGCCTGGCACTCTTCTCCATATTTTCCCCAGACTCCACGCGTCCCGAGTTAACTACCGAAATTCGCCGAGCGTACACGGCATGAGTTCCGAATCGGGCGCTTGACTATGGACTCCCCCGACATATTCACAGCTTGATCCTAGGGTTTTACGCGGCCATGAACCAGCTCTCGAGGCGACCGCCGCATTTCGATACTCTAGGCCCGGAGTCTGAGTCTTGTCGAACCGGAAGCACGGAGGTTCCGGTTCCGCAGAGAAAATCGCACAACTTCAATGTCATGCAGCTCACTGTCTCACTTGAGAGTCTACGTCCAGCTTTCGCCTATGCGGCTACTCTACTTATTGCTTCACGTGCAACTACACGTAGCTTCCCCGTCCTCGACTCTACCACCGCTAGTTTTCATTCCTCGTCTTTCGTTCTCTACACTGTCTGTCTCTCTTTCTCCGTCCGTTCACATGAACTACACTTTCGCCTGTCCCACTAGGCCAAACGGAGGATCAGCCGAGGCACACCTACTATTGATCGAACTCCTTGCTTCTCCTCGAAAGCCACGTTATACGGTCTTGTGGAGGGGTTAGGAAACCCGGGGAATGGCCGCTCGTGCTACCCCGCGTTTTCTTTGCCCCGCGAACACCAATGCGGCAAATAATCCGTCTTCCAAGAAAAGGAGGTGAACGTTTACTTATCGCCATACGGTCCGCGAATACGGTCGGGTACAGAGCGCATCTAAGCGCCGGGAAGCTGGTGAGTCCGTATTCGCGGAAGCCGAGATTGAAGTGTTATTATCCGGGCGCACGATGTAGTCGTTGTGCTTCGCGAACGCGAAATATCCACGACCACGGAAAGGTAGGGGACTTTATCGATTGTATTGGCGCATAGCAAAGCATGGAAGCTGCTAACCATGATCAGCAAGGAGTTTACTCGTTACATCGGAGATGTAGGGGCGCCGGCTTCTGATTCGCTGGCCCTACCGCTGAGCATCCCCCATGACCTCTCAATGCTCGAAAAAGTGGCGGCAGTGCTGTTGGCGCCTCCTCGTGGACTCTCCCGCCGCTATACCTCTTTCCGGTCATATCTCCTGGGGATCAGTGTATCGAAAGCTCCATGATAGGTCAAGGGCATAGTGATAGAGCGTCATGCACTAGCTCAAGAACGACTTACATGCTCCGGACCCGGCTGCTACTTTCTTGCTCAATACTAGAGCGCGCTCCTTGGAACGGGCTCTACAAGGGTATATCTGCAGGCACGGAGTCTTCGGGTGCTGAACTCAGTACGTACTTTTGGCTGATCACCTGGACATGACTTACTTCAGTTGACCGAGGAAACCATGCGGAGACTAGAAATCCTAAGCTTGTGAAAACTAGAAAGAAAGAGATACTTAAGATCTTCGCGTGGTACAGAGTTGGAGCAGATCAGCCTTGTAGGCGATCGTCAAGCTTCACTCTATTTGACAGGGCCTGGGCTTGTTCACTATGAAGGTCTCTACACTCTTCGCGTTCCTTCCGGTAGCCTTTGCGGCACCAGCTGCTGTTCAAAAGAGAGCTGCCCCTACCGTCACAGCCCCTGCTGCCGGTGCCACCGTCGTGGGAAAGTCAGCCTCAAATGTCGAGACCTTCAATGGCATCCCGTTCGCGAAGCCTCCCGTTGGACAACTGCGACTCAAGCCGCCGCAGCCTTTGACCTCCGCAGTTGGGAACGTCGACGGCACCGCGATACCGAAAGCATGTCCGCAGTTCTTCTTCAGCCTTGATGAAAGCAACTTCCCCACCAATATCCTTGGAGAAATCCTGAACACTCCGCTTTTCCAAGCTGCCACCAATGCCGGCGAAGACTGCTTGACCCTCAATGTCCAGAGACCGGCCGGCACAACAAGCAACTCCAAGCTCCCAGTACTCTTCTGGATTTTCGGCGGCGGCTTCGAGCTCGGCTCAACGCAGATGTACGACGGCACATCTCTGGTCCAGGAATCCGTGTCACAAGGGAAGCCGATCCTCTTCGTTGCGGTCAACTACCGCGTTGGTGGCTTTGGCTTCCTTCCCGGGAAAGAGATCCTTGCTGATGGATCTGCAAATCTCGGCCTACTTGACCAAAGGCTGGGATTGCAATGGGTTGCTGACAACATTGCTTCATTTGGAGGTGACCCCGATAAAGTCACCATTTGGGGAGAGAGTGCGGGCAGTATTTCGGTGCTGGACCAGATGGCACTTTACGACGGCGATAACACATATAACGGGAAGCCCTTATTCAGAGCTGGCATCATGGATTCAGGCTCCATCGTCCCGGCAGACCCTGTCGACTGTCCTAAAGGTCAAGCCGTTTACGACCAAGTACGTATTTCATCTCACGTCTCCCTTAAACCTCCCTGACTAAGAGGCGGTAGGTTGTCGCCGAAGCAGGCTGCTCCAGCGCCAGCGACACACTCGCCTGCCTTCGTGCCGCTGACTACACCACCTACCTCAACGCGGCCAACTCGGTGCCGGGCCTGCTCTCCTACTACAGCATCGCTCTCTCGTACCTACCCCGCCCTGATGGCAGCGCCCTAACCGCCTCCCCGGACGTTCTCATCCAATCCGGTAAATACGCAAAGGTGCCCTTTATCGTCGGCGACCAGGAGGACGAGGGCACTCTGTTTGGTCTGTTCACGCCGAATCTCACCACCAAAGCCGACATCGTCAACTACCTCTCTACAATTGTCTTCCCGGCTACGGATAAGAGCGTGCTTGAGGGATTGGTCGCAACGTATCAGACCATCATCGAGGACGGGTCTCCGTTCCGCACGCTGTTGCTGAACAATTGGTATCCGCAGTTCAAGCGCATAAGCGCCATCTTCGGCGATATAGTTTTCACTCTGACGCGCCGCATTTTCCTCGAAACGGCCTCGCTAGTGAATCCCGACGTCCCGAGCTGGTCGTACCTTGCGACGTACGACTATGGGACGCCCATCCTCGGAACATTCCATGGCTCGGACCTTCTGCAGGTCTTCTACGGTATCCTACCTAACAACGCGGCGAAGAGCATCCGTGGCTATTATTACAGCTTCATCTACGACCTCGACCCTAACTCAAACAACAACCTGGACGACTGGCCGCAGTGGAGCGAGAGCCAGCAGCTGAAAGCATTCGCGGCGAACAGTAATTCGCTTCTTAAGGACAACTTCCGCGCTGACTCGGCGGAGTTTATTAAGAGTAATGTAGCGGAGTTGTACATTTGAGACATGGCCGCCCGAGGCTATGCTGGGGGCTGAAGGCGATTGGAAGCGCACACGGCTCCAGATGAAAAGCATTTGTTTATGATGGAAATGACTGAGATGACTTGGCTATAGCACGAGCTTTGCAACTAAGTAATAGCCTAATGGAGATAGATACCCGCTGCGAATCGAGCTTATGGCTTCTAATGGTGGCTGGGAGTATGAGGTATCTATGCGTGGATATGCGCATGAGTACTATTGTTTGTACATGAACAAGGCGATGGGCGTATATACAAAAGAACCCGATGTGTGGTATCTAGCAAACGACATTGCTGGCTCAATGGCCTCCAAAATGCCGTATTATGTGAGTCCCGATGTGAATGCCATTTCTCTGCGAAAGCGTCCTGGGTTGCAATGGTGTCACTGCTGGCTGAGCATATGTTTAAACTTCTCAATCTGCGCGAATCATTAGCAACGCATCCACCTTCCCGCATAGGTAGTAGAACTCTCACCTTCGTGGACAAATACTTCTCTACTTCCTCGCTCCTTATCCCCGCCCTTCCTCCCGTCTTCCACGCCAACGGCACCATCGCCACCCTCTCCCTAATGACCACCTCCCGTCCAGGCCCCTCCACAGCCCTCACCTTATCTGGATTATTCGTCAGTAACCTTATCCCTCTGGCCCCACCCAATCCCAAATCCATAAGCATAGCGGTCGCGAGCCCGTAACTCCGTGCATCGGCTGGATGTCTCAGTAGAATATTCGCCTCATATGTATCGTTGCCCAGATCCTGAAGGTTATACGCCTTCAGCTTCTCGCCGAGCCCGATCCCGCGCCCTTCCTGCCGAAGATAGATTATCGCGCCGCCAGACGGCGACAGCAGAGGATCAGCCATCAATCGCGCCGCTTCGTCGAGCTGCTCGCCGCAGTCGCAGCGCGCGGACCAGACCGTCTCGCCGGTATAGCACTCCGAATGGATCCTCACAAGCGGGAGCTCTGCATTCGACGACGCGGCCAGCTGGACATCGCCGGACTCCGACGACGCGGTCGAGGAGGCGGAGGACGGCGACAGCAAGCCATTACTAGCAGTACCGGAGGCATACTCCGACTCCAAATGCACATTAGGCACGGCCTTGGGTTTCGACACCACGCCCTCGGCGCGCTTAATCTGCTCCACGCGCGAGCTCGTCCTTCCGGGGTACAATCGGCCCATGTACGCGCCCCTCGTCATGCGGTCTAGCTCCGTTTCCCCGGGTCTCTCTGCGTCCAAGCTCCTGCTTCTTATTTTGGTCCCGAAGACGATGGCCAGGTGCTCTTTCGTGTCTACGTTGTTCCTGTACACATGCAGCCACATCTCATGGCCCGTGGTGGTCGGTATGCGCGCGCGCACTTCGCATTCTACCTCGGGGAGCTTTTCCAGGAGGTGAGGCGCGGGCGTGGAGGAGTAGAGCGAGGTGTCGACGGGTGTGGAGCGGGGCGGGCGCGGATGCGAGGGTGTGGAGATGCCTGGGGTCGCTGGCGGCGTGAAGGCGGGGGAGATTAGGGAGGGCGGTGGATTGGGGTGTGTCTCTTGTATCGCGATATCATTCCGAGTGTTATTTCGCTCGGGTTCATGCCCAGAGTGTGAAAGATCGAAGCTGTTTATCCTGTTCGGACTGGACGCCTGCGGGGAGTAGAGTGGCGGAAGAGCCGGCGAGGCGTGCGCTGGAAGCTCCGGCATTGCGAGTAATAAGATCTAGGGGGAATTGGAGGGTAAGAGGGGGGGGGTGCGAAGGCGGTCGTAGAGTGCTAGGGAAGCCTCGCGCATCGAGTATAAGGTGTTGCGGTTCACCGAGGCTTTTCATTTCAATGGGGGACGAGTCGTGTTCCGAAGCCTGCGGAACCGCGACCCGCCGAGCTCGGATGTCAGCTCTCGTAAGCAATTCAAAGCATTGCAGATATTTCATTTCGCATTTTGGAGAAAATTCCGTGTCATTATCATAACCAGCATGCGATGAAATCCTCCAAGAGATGTACTACATGACTATCCCCAAGCCGCGCCCAATCTGTTTCCAAAGTCAAATGTCAAACGTCATCCGCAGACCATACCGAACCTCAGTCTACCCGTCGTTCCCTCCCCCAAACCTCGTCGGCATTCTTCTTACCTTTGGTCTCCGGTACGAACCAGCCAATGGATAGGAAAAAGAAAGCAGACAGCGCTGCGAAGATGAAGTAAACTTTCCCGTGGAGCTTCGCGCTGGCCAGGGGGAAGAACTGAGCAACCATGAACGTAGCAATCCAGTTGGCAGCAAGCGCGATACTCTGCGTCGCACCGACTGCATCCGGACCTGCGAGCTCGGCAGAAAGGAGGAAGGGCACGGGTCCCAGTCCAAGAGCGAAGCTGGAGACGAAGAGAAGAACTGCCACCGCGGATAAGATGGGGACAGACCTCATAATGCCAATGGCCAGTAGGAGCGAACTGATCCCCATGCCGGCGAGTGATTGAAGGAGACACGTCTTGCGACCCAGTTTGTCGACAAGGGGCGCGCACCCCGCAGTGACGATGATATTGATGGCGGACACTAGCAGATTGAGGAGGGCCGAGTTGGACTCGAGGAGATCAGCTAGCAGAGAAACACCGTACATGACGATGCTGTTGATACCTAATGTGAACCAATCAGTCGGTGGTTTTTATGGGGCAAACCGGACACATACCGCTGAGCTGCTGGGCGAGCATGACCATAATCACGGCAATGGCGGCTTTCCTGGAGTCGGGATAGCGGAAGACTTGAGGAATGCTGAGGGCATCGTCTCTCGAGGATTGATGCTTATTAGGCGGCTCGCGGCCCTCGTTCTCGAGGAGCGTTTGTTCTTCGTCTAAAGCCTGTGTTAGCAATGGGACGGAGTGAACATGAGGGCAACATGCCATTGATATCATCCGAGACCTCCACTCCCCAGCTGCTGAACTCCTCATTGAGGTCAAATTTGTCTCCTCTAAGGCGTCGGAGGATCTTCTTCGCTTTGGTGGTGTTGCCCTCTTCTGCCAGATACTTTGGGCTCTCGACCGACAGGATCAGGCCCACGCTCTGAAGGATGCCAATGACACCGCCCGCAGCCAGGATGATCCTCCAGTACTGGTCGTGGCTCAAGAAGTATCCCAGCAGCTGCGCTACGAGAATGCCAACGTTGCACATGACCTGGGTAAACGACCCAAAGAAGCCCTTCTCAGCCGGCGGCGCTATCTCCGAGATGTATATGGGAACCACGACCACTGAAGCCCCTGCGCCGATGCCAGACAATAGCCTCCCGAGCGCCATGACTGCGATGTTGGGCGAAAGCGCTTCGAAGACGGGGCCGATAATGAAGAAGGTAGTCGTCAGCTGCATCGCTCTGCGTCGTCCGTATTTGCCAGCGAGCGGACCTGCCGCAAGAGCCCCGATCAGACCTCCAAGCGTGTACATGGATCCTACAACGCCCCATTCGGTAGGGTTCATCGGGATGCACTGGGGGAGGCTGGCGGCGGTGGCGACGATGGACTTCTTCTTGCACCGGATGACATCTTCGGGTGCGTTCAGTTCAGACTGCACTGGTTAGCAGAGTAGAGGAGCACAGAGATACAGGAAGCGGGGACATGCCAGATGGAAGCCGAACAGCAGCGGGCCGAGCGTCGCAACGAGGAGGACGTAGAGGAAGTAGCCGGTGAGATGGCGAAACCACGTCCGGGGATCCATGGTGTGAGGGGTGCGGAAGCTGGGCCGCTTGAGGTCCGAGGGCGCCAGACGGAGGCTGTCGTACTGCGTCTGCGTGTCAGCCATGTCGACGCCATCATGACAATAGCCGCCAGCGAGGCGCGTCTTATACCTCTTGCCGGGGCGTCCAGGCCGGTCAGCGGCACAGAATGCTTTTCAGCGCGCCGTCATCGAGCGGCAATGTTCGCGGCGAGCTCCAGCAGCGGCGCGGCGGCGGTGGAGGAGGTGTCGGAGGGGGCCGTGTGGGGGATGTCGTGATAATTGGCTGGGGCCGGGCGACAAGAGATGAGGCTCTGCGGGGAGGCAGCACGCATCATCAACATTATCAAACAAACGGCGGCAGGCCTCACGACGCGCCGTGTCTGCGTCGTCCGCCCTGCCCTCTCCTGCGTGCTGAATCCAATCCGCTCCCTCTGCGTGTCTGAGCTGCGCGCCCACAGGCACCAGAGACTCCCCACTCCGCGCCCGCGTCGGCGCGCAGGCACGCTCCAACACCCGCCGCCGCGTAGCCGTCCGCCCCGGCCTGCGTGCTGGCTGCGGGCCTCATGCGCCATCTGCCGACCGTGGAGACACATAAACGGGCAGCAGACGATGCCACAAGATGAATCATCCCTCGACAAATCCCCCGTCGTCGGGCGGCCCGCCCTCAGCGTCTGCCTCCGCCCGAGCCGCCCTGCGCAATAGCGTCGTGGCAGCCTTCAACGGTCCGTCTCTCCTGCAACCCTTTTCCGAATCTCGCTTTGCTCGCCTGCCCGCCGTTCCTCTTGCCACCACCGTCGCTACTTGTCGCAATGTCCGCCTGTTTTGCGTCCTTGCTTCCTGTCTTCCCGTTCATCTGCTGATCATGGCTGGCTCCTTCGCCTGATCATTCCTCCGCGTGCGCTGCCTCCCGAGGTCGCAGCCCTCAACAGTCACTCTTCGTCTGCATTTGGCGCTGCACCGCTTTTGTCTTCTTCTTCACCGTCGTCTTTTCCGCCTTTTTGCTTTTTTGCTTTTTATTGATACATAATACTAAATCCGCAGATCCGCAGATCCGGCGGATTCCTCGCAGGCCATGTTCACCGGCTACAGCACCAAGAAGCGGGTCAATGAGCGCTATAAGATTGTAGGCTTCATTAGCAGTGGCACCTACGGACGCGTGTACAAGGCCGAAGGCAAGAATGGCCGCGTGGGAGAGTTTGCTATCAAGAAGTAAGTCTGCCCGGCCTTCATGTTCCAGCCACACGTGCTGATGCAGCCAGGTTCAAGCCGGACAAGGAGGGCGAATTGCAGTATTCGGGCATCTCACAGTCCGCTATACGAGAGATGGCCCTCTGCACCGAGCTCTCGCATCCCAATGTCGTGCACACGGTGGAGATCATCCTCGAGGACAAGTGCATCTTCATCGTATTTGAGTATGCGGAACACGACCTGCTTCAGATCATCCACCACCACAACCAGCCCCAGCGACAAGCCATACCTGCGCGGACGATCAAATCGATTTTGTACCAGCTTCTGCAGGGCCTCGTCTACCTGCACAGAAACTGGGTCATGCACCGAGATCTCAAGCCGGCCAACATTATGGTCACCAGCGCTGGAAAGGTGAAGATTGGCGATCTAGGCCTAGCCCGACTCTTCTACAAGCCCCTGCAGTCGTTGTTCTCCGGAGACAAGGTCGTCGTTACCATCTGGTATCGAGCGCCCGAGCTGCTGCTTGGCAGCCGTCATTACACGCCCGCGGTCGATTTGTGGGCTGTGGGGTGCATCTTTGCCGAGCTGCTTTCGCTTCGGCCCATCTTCAAGGGAGAAGAAGCAAAGATGGACAGCAAGAAGACAGTACCTTTCCAGCGGAACCAGATGCAAAAGATTGTGGAGATCATGGGAATGCCAAGCAAAGATCGTTGGCCGCTTCTGTCCGCGATGCCAGAATATCCACAATTGACGCAGCTGGCGGCGGGGAATGCGCGGTTGCATCGGCCTCAAGGATTGGAAGTCTGGTACCAGAATTGCCTGAAGAACAACCAATATCCTTCTGGCTCAGGACTGGATACTCCCGGACCGGAAGGTTTCTCATTGCTCCAGCAGCTTCTGGAATACGATCCACAAAAGCGCCTAACGGCCGAGAACGCGCTTCAGCATCCCTACTTCGCCGTTCACGGGAAGCCGTCGGATAATTGCTTCGAGGATTCCAAGATAAAATACCCGCACCGGAGGGTAAGTCAGGAGGACAACGACATACGAACATCGAGCTTGCCGGGCACTAAGAGGAGCGGGCTTCCCGATGATTCGCTCATTGGCAGGCCAGCGAAGAGGCTGAAGGAAGGGTAGAATCCTCAAACCCAGCGGGCTCATATGCCCTTGGAGACTCTCGACGACCATGTCAAGCAGATCCTGAGGTCGTACGGGGTGGCGTCGTCTCCCCCGCCTCTGCTGCCTCCCGATCACGGTGGCGAATGATTCCCGTTTCCTGGTCGGATATTCTAAGATGTCCAGTCAACTCATAGCGCGAGTGGCTGCGTCCCGTAACACGCGCTTATTCGAGTCAGCCAGAGCGGTCACAAGAGATTGGGTGCCTCCAAGCGGGGTTGAGGAAATGTTCACGTGATTGTGATAAGATGGTGCGACGAGCGAGTAGCAGTGTGTTCCCGGCAGGCCGCAGGAAGGGCCCTAGAGATGCAGCAAGAAGGGGGACTTTCGGGAACGGTTGAGGATCGAGGTCACGCGCGAATGTCGTTATCCTGGATATGGTGGGAACAAGAGTTGATATATAGTGGCTTGGGAAGCACGCAGGGTCCACATGTGTAGCCGGGCCGTCTTGCCTGGCGCGCGCGTGGGTACAATATCTCAACAGTGGTGCGGCATGGTACAAGTGCGACGGCGGTGCCAACGTCCGTGACTGCGCTCTTGCCCCTCCCTCAATCTCTTGCCCGTCTGCAAAGTGAGTCTCTTCTTTCGCACTCTCCCTGCGAGGTGCTGATTGGAGGCCTTCAGATGCTCTGTTCTGGAAAGCGTTTGCCAGTGTGCGGCCTCAGCAAACGCCCAGTCGCGGATGCCCCTTCTACGGCCCTGGCCACGCTTCACGCGCCTCATGGCACCTTCTCTTCTTCGTCTTAGTCGCGCGGAATGACAGCCATGCCGACAGCTGCTCGACACCGGCCTCTGTGTAGAAATAGCGTGTTGGTTGCGACACTGGTAGTGGTTAGCGGTTGCCCACCTATGTCTGTGCGTGAGGCACACGGGCATCTACGAGCGGGCCAGGGAAGCAGTAGGTAATACCATAGGAGAGCAACTGAGCACCTAATGAGGGAGGACAGCATGGAGATCCGCTGGCATGGGTAAGCGTGGCGGCATTCGTCTGCCGCCATTGACGCCTCCCGGCTCCATCATGTCGAGCGTCACGACGCGTTTGCTGCTAGGGCTGGCCCCGCCTTGAATGCCCCTTCCGCTTGCCACCGCCGGCTCCTTCCAGGCCTGCACGGCCTCGGTCTCGGCGTCCCCAGGGCAATTTGCGGAGCCCCGGGTGGTGAAGGCGGACGGCAGGCACGCCCTGCAACAGCACGCTACTTCTGCTGCCCGGCACAGGGCTCCCCGCCTTCTCGTCTCCAGCATATAAACACGTCTCCAGCGCTCCCCTCAAATCTGTGCCTCTATCCGCTATCCTTCGCTCAACACTTCCACTCCTTTGTTTATTATTCTCGCTCCCTACGCACGTCTTTCGGCACCGGACGCCGCTGGTTAACTGCACTCCCCTACGCCCTCGGCTCCATCCTCGACCTCCCGCATCCCTAACCACCGGTGGCTGCCCTCGTCATCCTAGTCAGTCAGTATGAAGCTCTCCGCAATCCTCGCCCTAGCAGCCGCCCATGGCGTGGCCGCTGCGCCGGCCAAGGGCGTCGAGGCCCGCGCCCAGGTCGACGGTGCCGCGCCGCATGTCGACGACCCCAAGTTTATCGGCATCGTCATGGACGCCCACTGGTTCTGGCGCAAAGTCCACTGCGCCCAGGACCTGGTGTGGAATGCGACGTTGGCCCAGGAGGCCCTTGAATCCGTTAGTGTCTGCACCCACGGCTTGCAGCACGTAAGTTACCCTCCCCAGCGGATCGAGGCAGCCATGCTCATACTCTCAGGACCGTGGTGGTAGTAATCTCTCTGGCGTCGGGCCGTCGCCCGGAAACTACGACGCGTGGATCGAGTTCGCCCGCAACTCTATTCACGGCTGGCACGAAGAAGAGCGATTGTACCCCTACTCGCAGCCCCACTACAACGATGCGTGGGGCCACTTCTCTCAGATGGTGTGGCGGGACAGCTCGCAGATCGGCTGCGCTCTTGGGCACTGCAAGGACAGTGGCGACGGCGCGGTTCAATGGCCAGGCCGCATATACTGCTGTGAGGAGCCTACGTACTGGGTGCCGGATGACGGATGTTAACTGCCTGTAGTCTACTTGAGAGCCGGAAACAATTTCGCCGGGAACCAGTTCGAGCTGAACGTCTTCCGTCCAGTCTGCGCACCCCCATCTCGTCAAGAGATGGAGCGCCGATACGGCTACTAGAGCACCACACCAGTCCTCTCCTGTCAACTCACGGAGCACCTCCATCGCGAGCTGCTCGAACGATGACTCGGGGCCAACGGCGGGTCCATTAAACTAGACGACGGCATGCCCTGCAGGTGGATGTCTCTCATTTGCGGAGCCCTGTTCTATCCTTCCACAGGATATCTTCTTTTCCTTCTTCTTCTTCCTCTCCCTGTGCTTCAATATCCTCTCCATATTTCTTCACGACCTGGCCACATCTCCTGTATCATGGCACTGACAATGCTGGCTGGCAATTTCTCTAGCGTCGATAGCAAAACGTCGGATGCTCATAGCCGCTTCGCAGAACGAGTTCGTGAGAAGTAGTTTAGCATCATGGCTAAACAAAGGTTTGCCACTTCAATGCATCTTCTTGGTGCTTCCACTCTTCCCTAGCAAGCATTGCTCGTGTATGTGAACATGGCCATATTTGCATTCTCCCGAGGACACCCAATATAGCCCGCTCCTCTCCATAGGGCCCCCGGTCGACCAGCCAGCGCTTGATAAGCCCAGCCTGTCGAACCCAAGCTGGAGAATCCCGCTCGACATCCTTCCCTCCTCCATTATGCGCATCACTTCTCTGCTCTTCTACATATATTTTGCCGAAACAGCGCGGCCCCCTCGCCGAGCCATTGCTGTCATCACATTGGCACAGTCGCAGTTTGTCTAAGGGCATCAAATAACTCCTAGGGAAGCATAGCATCGCTCCAATATGTATGCGAGAGGCTAGGGGGCAAGGGAGCGAGCCAGACCAGAGAGAACAGGATGAGCCAGTGGGCTTGAACAAGATTCTTTGATTTGGTATGACGTCTCGAAATATCCTACGCCACGTAGTGTTGAAGGGGCTTCCATGTGCAAGTCCCGATCCACAAGGCTTATCCCCCGACCGCTCGGCCGCAGTTCAACTCAGCTCAGATCACCGCATCCCATACTCATCCAGCCCCATGCCCCTCGCAATTTTCTTGATCAGCGCTTTCTTCAGGAACTGCTCTCGCGCCAGACTTCTCGTTTGCTGTGTTTACACGTTAGCATCAACCGCCTATCTCCAGCGGAATGGAAGAACACAACGCATACCTTGACAAAAACATCCGGCGCCACCCTCCCCTTATCTAGCGCGCGTCCCAACACAAAAAGCGCCTCTCCCGCCGCCCGTTCCTCAGCGCAAACAGTATACAACTGCCCGCCCACCACCGTCGGCGCGACCAGCACATCATCCACATCCGGCGCCTTGCGTCGTCTCGCATCCTCCATCACGCGGTCCGCCTCCAGCATCGCGTCCCGCAATATCTTCTCGTTGGACGCGAGAGCTGAGTCGAGTTGCTGTAGGTCCGAGAGCTCAGATTGTAGCCGCGAGTAGGCGGTTTGCAGGGCGGCTTGTTGAGCACGGAGTGGCGCGATGGCGGAGCGGTTTTGGGAGAGTGTTTGGGCGATTTGGGCGGTCAGAGTTTGGGAGAGGGCGCGGAGGAGAGCATCTTTTTCCGGGTTGGGTGGAACGGGGGGTACGGGGAGGGGTGCTTGAGGACCGCGCTGAGAGGGGAGAGTTACTTCTAGAGAGTCGTCCATTAGGTTTGGCGGGGGTTGGGCGACGGGTGCAGGTTGCTGGGATGGTGGCTGTTGTTGCAGGGCATATTGCGGGCAGGGTTGGTGTGGGTAGTGGGGCGGAGGAGGCTGCTGCTGGTATGGCTGGTGGATTGGTGGTGAGCCATAGGGTGGCGCTTGTGGGGGCGGTTGCTGGTATTGCTGTGATCGGGAGAAGTTCGTGGGTGCTTGTGGGGGAGGCGCGGGCTTTTTATATCGCGCAGAGCGCTGGTCTTCCGGTGTGATCGGACTCACAGGGCTCCCCAGCTCATATGATTGAGCTTGGTGGCCTTGAGCTTGGACTTGCGGTCGCATAGGTTTCGATGCTGGCGTCGCAGGACTCATGTCATAGCTCGTCTGCCGCTGTGGGATACTCTGCAGTGGAAGCCCCTGCTGTTGCCAATTGTTCTGTCCAACATAGTTATTCCGCTGCGGTTGCTGGTACTGCTGCGGATAGTGCTGCGGAGGCTGTTGAGACGGGTGCGGAGGTAGCGGAGGAGGCTGCGAGTATCTGTCGTGCGGTGCTTGAGGGCTCGGTCTGCTCTGTTCATACGGCTTCGGTGGCTTGGGAGGCGGCCCGGGAGCTTGACTTGAGGGGCCCGGAGATGGAGATGCTACAGATGTGCCCTGTATAGACTGCCGCCATTCGGCCGGTGGGGGAGGTACGGGTGGCGGAGCTTGCGGCGCTGGAGCTTGCTGTTGTTTCGACCGGACCGGCGGTTCTTTCGCGAAGACTTGTCGCAAGACAGCCAGAAAGTCGAATATTGTAGATTTCTGCAGAGGATCAGCCGCTATCCTCTCCTCTATGTTGTGGCCCCGCTGGACGGGCAAGCGCATGCCCAACTCACATCCCAATATTTCCCCCACTGCGCCAGATACGGGTGGTATACCCTGCCGTCCCCACTAACATGCTGACCCGGCCTTACAAGCATATCCTGTGCCGGCGTAACGTATACTATCGGCGATTCTCGAGGGTAGGCATGCGGCACCCATATCGCGACGGGGAAGCCGTATGTCGCGCCGCGAAAAGTGACGGGGATCGTGCCGCTGAGGAGCAGGAGCAGCGCCGAAGCTCCATTTTCGTACGCTGATAATGTGAGTACATGTTGAAGAGAAGTAGGAGGAGAGTGCGGCGATGGTGTGGTGGGCCGTCGACGTACTGTAGACTTCTGTGCGCGGGGAGAGGGAGGGATAGTTGGAGAGGGCTTCGGCAACGTCGTGGTACGTGCGATTTACGTCGGCGTATTCCTAGACGCTACGCATTAGCAGCATTCTCTCCACAATGTGTGGGAGTATTACACTTGGGAGAACGCTGTATAGCCAGTTGAGCACCTTCTCAGGCACGCCGGCCATGCTGCAGGTGAGGTTGGTGCGGCGGGGAAGCTCCGACCACAAGAGACGTTATCCAAAACCTATCCCACCTGGGCACCACCAACAGCTTGGCAAATAATACTCTGCGATGCGGATTGAATCAGGCCTTCAGCACTCATTTACGGGCTGTTCACTGCCGCCCACTTCTTGGGGTGGAGGCCGAGGGCATTGTCGCTAAGAATTGCATCATTGAAGCATGGCAGAAACGAAAGCTAGGCAGCATCGTTGAAATTGGAAATTGTATTTACGTGCTCAATGCATCTGAGCGCAGAGCGACATTAGTATGGTACAGCGAATGCTAGTCGTTTCCTTCGTGAACGCTGCAGCGAGCGTGCATATCCCAAACATGCTCCAAGCCCGGGTGTTCCTATTCTGTACAAATTCCGCAGGGTATATTTCACCCCCTCAATGCTGGCTCCACTCGATCGTGTTCAAGTCCACTCCTTCTTGCACCAGCTCCCACAGCGGGCTAAGTTCCCGGAGGAAAGTCACGCGCTCCCTGACAGCCTTGAGCACGTAATCGATCTCGTCTTCAGTCGTAAACCGGCCGATGCCGAAACGGATACTGCTGTGTGCACTTTCGTCACTGCTGCCAAGCGCTCGGAGGACGTAGCTAGGCTCCAAAGATGCCGACGTGCAAGCACTGCCTGAAGAGAGGGCAATGTCCTTGAGAGCCATGAGGAGAGACTCTCCTTCAACGTAAGCGAACGAGACATTGACGCAGCCGGGATAGTGGCGAGTTCTGTCACCGTTCAGTGTGGTGTGCTCCAGTGACAGGAGACCCTCCAGGAGACGGTTCGATAGGGCGGTGACGCGCTTGGTGTCATACTATGCAATGTTAGTCCTGCCGCCACATACAACTAGACAGACAAGAACAAAAGTAATGGTCACTTCTCATAGCCCCTGCACAATTGTCGACATGGCGCGTCGGCGGCCTGAGGCCCACCTAACGCTCCGAAAGCCATGCATGTATAAAGCAAATAATCATCGTAACCAGGAAAGGTAAGGAACAAGTGAACGTACCTCCATCTCCTCTTTGCAGATGCGCGCAGCTTCGCCCATGCCAACGGAAAGGAAAGGGGCTAGGGTACCACTCCTCAAGCCGCGCTCCTGGCCTCCGCCGCTGATGATGGGGTCAAGCCTGACCCGAGGTCTTCGTCGAACGTAGCAGGCTCCGATTCCCTTTGGTCCGTATATCTTGTGCCCTGATATCGACATCAAGTCGACATTCATCTTGTTGACGTCAATAGGAATTTTCCCGACAGCCTGGGCGGCATCGGTGTGGAAATAAATCTTCTTTGACCGGCACAGCCTTCCAATCTCTTCCACAGGCTGCACAACGCCAATTTCGTTATTGACGGTCATGATGCTGACCAGAGCAGTCTCTGGTCGTATCGCAGCCTCGAGCTGAGCCATGTCGATAAGGCCGTTGTTCTGGACTGGCAGATAGGTGACCTGGTAGCCTTCATCTTGCAGATGCCGACAGCTGTCCAAAACGCACTTGTGCTCGGTTTGGCATGTAATAATGTGGTTCTTCTTGCCTGACCGCTTGAAGAATCTCGCAACACCCTTGATGCTCATGTTATTACTCTCGGTAGCACCGCTGGTGAAGATGATCTCTTTAGGATCGGCACCGATAAGCTCGGCGATGTGTGCACGAGCTTGCTCCGTTGCCTTTTCGCTCTCCCAACCATATGCGTGGGTCCGAGAGTGGGGGTTGCCGTAGAGGCCGGTCATGAAAGGGAGCATGGCGTCTAGCACCCGCGGATCCAAGGGCGTCGTGGCTTGCATGTCTAAGTATATCGGACGGCTGCCTTCATCCATGATGGTTGCCTGCTTCAGGATACCTACACGGAGTCAGCACCGTCGAAGTGAAGCCGGGGGCGAGATCGGAGCTACGCACCAGCAGTCGGGCTCATCATGGCATCGGCGCCCATGCCAGTCGTCGGCATCGTGGCATTCTCGGGACTCTTTCCAGTCTGGTTTACGAATGCCCTCTGGTCCGCCTTGATCGCCGTCTCGACGTTCACGATGGCATTGGAAGGTTTCGTCTCGGAGACATAGTGTCGTCGGCCGCTGGCAGTGAGCGCGGCGACACGCGGGGAGGCACGGCAGAAGGCGGACGAGGGGTATCGACGAGAAGCAATGCGGAGGGCCTGCCTCGCGACGGTGGGCGCAATGTTCGACATGGCGGTGTGCGGGTGCTGGTGATGCAGCGGTCATGGAGTTCGCCTCGAGCTCAAAGCTTTCCAGACCTCAAGCGCGGATGACTAAGCGAGCGGCGCGCGGGGGGAAACTGCCCATTGTCCGCAAGCAGCGCGACGTGAGCGCCAGCACCCGTAGCTCTGCCGGATCCCGCGGACCTGCTGGCTCATGTGGCGGCCACGCCCTCGCGCATGCATCTCTTTAACCCCTTCTCACTCCCCCATCTGAGCGTTCCACAGCTTCGCATCCTGCACCGCAATCGGAACGCGGCACTATCCCGGCCCTAGCTAAGCGCCCTGCCACAGGTGCACGGGGCCGCCTCAGCCACGGCTCAGTCGTCATAGGCAAGCGCGACCAAGACCTCAAAGAACCCGAGCCACGCCGGCCAAACGCAGCCAGTCCCCCCAAAGCCCGTCACCTCGCTCTCCGCTCTGTCAGCCTGCGACACCGCATCCAAGGCTCCCCGTCCCTTTCTACCGTCCATCAATCCGCAACAGAGCTACCGCAAACGTCAACCAATGAGCTGGAAGGGCCTCACCAAGAGCGTCACTCGGGTATGGAGCTCTTCAAGCGCCGCACTGTGCACAGAGGATGGCTGACATGCTGTATAGGCGCCGCAAACCTTCAAACAGCGGTTCAATCTTGTATGTCCGCCTCCTGGCCCCGGAACGACCCTTGCTATCGTTTGCGCCTGCTTCCGGGCATGGCGGGGCTCTTGGCTGATAGACAGATGCGCAGGGCGAGATTACAAAGGACCCAGTCTACACCGATGCCGAAAGACGCTTCCAGGAGTTGGAGAAGGAGACGAAGAGGCTCCATGAGGAGTCAAAAAAGTAAGCGTTGCAATCCAAGGCACGGTCTTGACCCCTCGCTAACCGAGTGCAGGTATTTTGACGCCGTAAATGGTACGTGGCAGTGCCCTTCTTTCCCTAGAAGAGCCGCCTGACCTAACGACACCAGGCATGCTCTCCCACCAAATCGAGTTCTCCAAAGCGATTGCCGAGATCTACAAGCCCATATCCGGCCGCATGTCGGACCCCGACTCGTTCCACGATGAGGGAAATCAGGCTGGAATAGAAGCGTGCGACCAATACGAGAATATCGTCGGGGAGCTCCAAGAAACACTAAAACCGGAATTGGAGATGATAGAAACCAGGGTTATCAAGCCCGCGGACGAACTGCTGGAAATCATAAAGGCAGTTCGCAAAATCGCCCTAAAGCGAGATCACAAGCAGCTCGACTATGACCGTCATCGCGCCACTCTCAAGAAGCTCCAGGACAAGAAGGATAAGACCTTGAAAGACGAGAAGGCCATGTATCGCGCCGAGGCCGACGTTGAGCAAGCCACTCAAGATTACAACTATTTCAACGACTTGCTCAAGGACGAGCTACCCAAGCTCTTTAGGCTGGAGCGGGAGTTCATCAAGCCTTTGTTCCAGTCATTCTACTACATGCAGCTGAACGTTTTCTACACGCTGCACGAGCGCATGCAGAATATCGACATCGGTTACTTCGACCTCACGCTGGACATCGAAGCTGCCTACGAGAAGAAGCGGGGAGACGTTCAGTCCGAGGTAGAAGCCATATCCATTACGAAATACAAGACGACAGGAGGTCGCAAACCTGGCCAGCCAAGATACGGAAGCAAAGCCCTCGAGGCGAAATCGGAAACGGCTTCAGCTCGAAGATCGACACTGTCCGATGGCACAGACACCCCACCGCCACCTTATAGTCCCACGCCGGCGAACAACACCATTGCCTCTCCCTCTCTCTCCGCGACATCTTGGGGATCTGCCGCCAAGTCAAAAGGCGCGGCTCCACCACCACCGAAGCCGAAGCCATCTCGGCTAAGCGGCGCGCCAGCTGCAGAGACCGTCACAGCTTTGTATGACTACGAAGCACAGGCCGAGGGCGATCTTTCCTTCCTCACCGGAGATGTAATTGAGATCATCTCCCGGACGCAGAACGATAATGAGTGGTGGACCGGGAAGGTCCGAGGAAAGACCGGACAATTCCCAGGTATGTCTGCCTCCATCTCGGAACCGCCATGGCTGACAATGATCCAGGCAACTACGTGAGACTGAACTCGTGATGCAGAGGGAAGGTGTGCATAGCAGTTTTAGAACGATGTACATCAGGTTTCTGATTTCTTATCCATTGCTACGCTTTAGCGGGAAGGTATGGGTTTGGTTAACACGCTTCTCTATACTGTGAAGACCACCCAACTGCTATTGTCCCATGCGTGGTGGCCATACTCAAGTCGTGGATTTCTTAACCGAATACATTATCAATAACTAGCCATGCTACTTCTTGATTTGGCCCGTCTCCATCCCTCGTTGTGGTTTCCGCCACTTCAGCGACATCCGACGGCCGAGAGGATTAGTGTATATGGCGGGGAAAGGACCCCGCCCCATGACGCTATGTCGGAAGTGCATATGAAAGCCGCACCTACCCATCGCTCCATCGAACTACCGCAGCGTATCTCACTCGACCATGTCGTACGAATCGACAATAACGTTCACGCTTGACACCATCTGCCCCTGGTCAGCATCCCAGACCCCTCCGACTTCCGCATCCCAATCTCAATCTAATAACGACCAGGACATACCTAGGCTATCTCCGCCTCAAGAAGGCCCTCTCGGAATACTCATCACCCAAAGTCACATTTACCCTCCGCTTTGCTCCGTACCAGCTCTACCCGGACTTCAGCAAAGATGGCGAGGATAAACATGCGTGGTATAAGCGCGAGAAGTATAACAATGACGAGCAGAAGATGAAGCTGTATACGCAGTATATGGGCGAGTTGGGCAAACAAGAAGGCGTGGAATTCGACTTCCACGGCGTCATCGCAAACACGCTGGATGCGCACCGCGTACTCTTTTCTACCCAAGAATCGAAAGGGCCAGAGGCCGCACAAAAAGCTGTAGAATCACTCTATGCTCAGTACTTTACGGAACAGGCGCATCCGAGTGCGAAGGATACGCTTACAAAGGCGTGTACCGCTGCGGGGTTAAGCGAGGATGAGGCGAAGAGTTTGGTGGAGGATGAGAGCGAGGGGCTGATGGATGTCAAGATGGCGATTAGAGAGCAGACGGGGAATGGAGTCGACAGTGTGCCGTATGTGGTATTTGAGGGGCGGAGGAGGGATTTTACACTCGTGGGGGCGAAGGAGGTGAAGGAGTATGTCAAGACTATGGAACAAGTTGGGAAGGAGGCGTAGGGGTGGGAAGGGGGATAAGAGGAGCTAGTGTGGTAATGACGCTGCGTGGGGCACTTGGGGAGATGAAAAGGTAGGGAGGTTCGAGGCTGGGGTCTCTGAGTGGTATTCAACAGCTTAAAGGATTCTAGCCAGGGGAGAGGATATTTCTAGGAGTGTATGCTGGAACATAATCGGTCGCCACCCGCCGTGAGGCCGAATGAATGAGAAATAAGATCGTGGAAATCGCGCAGTCGATGTTGTAAAATAGGAATCAGCAGCTTCACCCTTGCTCCTCTGGAAATCCGGAACAACGACTTGCGTGACCAGAAGGTTTGAGGCTTTCGCCCTGTTTCGTATCCTTTTGTACTACGTGTACCTGTTGACGGCGATCCAAGGAATGCTGAAGGCGAACTCGGTCATTGTTATGCTCAGAATTTCGCCTCTCTCTTTTCCCTCAACGAAGCAATATGCAGAACGTCTTAGCATCCCTCTTCGTCCTTCCTGCGCTCGCTAGCGGTGTACTCACCAGTAAGCTGATGCCTCACCTGAATACTGCATTCTCATTAACGCCGGTGTGAAGATGCCTGTCTTCCTCGGAACCCCTTTTCAGCGCCTTGCTTCGTCGTTGGGAACGCGCCAGTACCGCCGTCATTCCGACCGACAGTCGATGAGCTATCCAAAACGATAACATGCGATTCGCGCAGGACCATAGGCAACGTGCCAGACGTCCACACGTCGGGCCTATCCTTCTCGAACATCTTCTTCACTTTCTCGCCTACCACCCCACTTCAGTTTGCGATCGATAGCTTCACGCCTCCAGACACCATCTCACTTGATACCCTGGGGACTTGGCAGCAGTATCTGGACCTCTTCACGGCGACTGAGATCGGAGTAAGGAGCGAGGATGGAAATTTGGATACCGTGATGGTCGTGAGACTATTCTTAGATATTCAAGTGGCGAGGATCAAGAGGCGGCTAGGGCACGAAGGTGATCCACGGAAAGGGAGAAGCATTGAAGAACTGATTGGCGAATTGGCGGATGAAGTGCTTCGAAGCACGTATGTGCGGGATCGAAGGCTGCTGAAAGAGATATTGTTGTTGGACAATCTCTGAGACATCTTTCATCTGATATGAATTCGGACATTCGGTATCAGACTGGAGTCTCCGGATCCATTGCGTTGATTGCGGTCACCCCTCTTTGGCGAAACATCTTGGCATGTCGTAGCACCTTGGAAACGCAAGACAGACGCAAGAGAGCGTAGCGGGGAATATAATCGAAGCGAGGAGATCATGTACTTCCCTGATATGCTCTCCACTACGCAATGATCCAATATTGCTTGGGAAGAGGTGCCGGACAGAAGTTGCGGAGTCTTCGGGCAAAGAGCGCCGGCACGGAAAGAGTATACAACGTGCTTGGAAAGTCTCGAAATCGCATGACCCGCACAGTGTGAGCACGGGCGGAGCCGAAGGAGTGACCCACCCTAAGCGCTGGTGCCATATTGGTCGGTGCCACCTTATCGATGGTTGGCGGTGTGGTGCAACGCAACCGCAATCGTGCTAATCGGGGGAAACGAGCCCTAGAAACGAACGCGTCGGTGGCGCGCGGAAGATAAGATGGGAAGAAAGGGAGAGCGAGAAGCTAGTCGCTCAATATCGCCCGCGTAGCGCTTTAGATGTAAGAAATTCCTCCAGTGGTACCCATGGGATGTTACCCCCTGCTTGTGGTCCCACATTCCACAGGTCCTAAGAGTCTACGACAACTCTAGCTTGAGATGCCTGAGTTCGGAGGCTTGCAGAGGGCTTAGCGAAGGTCTGATGCTCGCTCAGAGCCTGGTTGATCGTCCAAAGAACCGTCACCGCGAGATATGCGGAGCGGAGAGACTCTGCTCAAGGAAGTATATGTAGCTTCGAAGCTGCTGTCTGTCGATACTGCGGCTCGGGATCGTTCGGTTTCTGGAGGTGGGAGGGTCGCCAGGACTTCGGTACCAGTTGCAGATTCTACTAGTGGCTACAAGCAGCTGAAGATCAAAACAAGAGGCGCAAAATATGGCCGACTATAGTGCAGGTGACTATCCATGGATCTCCTGCGTATGTGGTGTAAGGTAGAGGAAGAAGAGAAGCAAGGAAAGTCCGTCTGAGGCGGCACTAGCGTGCCAGTTTAAGCTTAGCACGGGAGCAGCGGCAGCACACCTCTCGGTGTTTCCCACAATTCCAGCGTCATCATTACTCTCTACGTCTCCTCTATTGCATTTACCGACTATCTACCGCTTCATTGTACGGATTGTATGGCTAATGGCGGCTGTTTCTGGCGACCTATAGGCCACTCTGCTATATTTCTTCCCGTCGTTGAAACACATCTCGACGACTGAGCGCCTAAAGTCAAGACAGCGCAGTTTGGGCGGTGGTCTCACCCGTGTTGCTGCAGATTCTTAAGACATGCAGCTACGTCAGACGTCTGGCGTCGACTCCTTCGTCTAACCGCTTGCCGTGCAGATGGTTCCTCAAGGTACTCCGCAGTACCATTGTCGACGCGCTTGGAGCACGGTCTCTGCCAATGACCACTTGCGGAAATCGGGGAGCTCGTGGTAACCGCTCGCGTTCTTGGGATAGCGCGGGCGCGTCTTGATGTCCGACAGCGTCGGCGTGATCTGTTCGTGGGCGCCGATCAACATGAGAATGCAAGAGCCGGGGGTTAAACAGTCTCTATCTCTATAAGTATTGAAGAAGGAAAGAATGGCCGTCATACACTTCGCTAATACTAGCCCTCGAATTCTCTATTTCAATCGACCCAGTCTCTCGCGTTCCACCACATCGGCATGTCTCTCGTTAACTTGTCGAAAGTCCTTTGCTTCGCTACTTTCTTTTCGCATAACTCTTACGCAGCTGAAACGATTGGCCTATCAAGAGCTCTCGAATCAAGCAGTGCTACACTAACCAGCAATGACACCGTACCGAGGCCGACAGGAAGATGGATCAGCCCCGAGTACAAGTGGTTTTTCGAATATCATTTACCGATTCCCCCGGTCAAGGATAAGACGCTGTGAGTGACTGCGATACCTGAGGCAGCTTGGTTTGACAATCCAAGGACCTACACCAAAGACTCCACGGGAGAAGTCATCGATTACTACCAGATCGACTTGAAGAGCTTCAAGAAGCAGATATATCCTACACTTGCCGCAACAGATCTAGTAGGGTATGATGGAATCACACCGGGGCCAACGTTTGTTATGCCGCGAGGTCGAGGTCCGTTCCAGCCACCCTGGATCGCGTGTTGTTAATGTTAATGTGGTTCCCACAGAGGCCGTAGTCCGGTTTACAAACAAAGGGCCAACAAACATGTCGGTTCATGTGCACGGTCAGTATAACCGAGCACCATTCGACGGTTGGGCGGGAGATTATGCGCTTCCAGGGCAATACAAAGTAGGCGCAGTCTCTCCGCGGTACTCTATGAAGGAGTTGACACAGGCCAGGATTACTACTACCCGAACACCCAGAGTGCAAGAACTCTATGGTATCACGTACGTACATCACACTAGGGCTTACACCTCAGAGGTGTCTTGAAGTCGAGTTGTTGGATCTAATGATGTTCTCTTGGTTGCTGACCAGCATTAGGACCACACCGAGTTTAGGACCGGCGAGAACGCATACCTCGGGCAAGAAGGCTTCTACCTCATCACGGATTCTGAGGAAGAAGCTTTGGAGTTACCAAAAGGCAACTATGACGTGCCGCTAGTACTTGGTTCGAAGATATATAACTCCGATGGGTCACTGAGGTATGACACGAACGATAACGTTGGTTTATGGGGCGACATTATTGAAGTGTGAGTTGAATACTCCAAGATCATTTCATTGCTAATCCTTGCCAGAAACGGGCAGCCTTGGCCATTCCTCAATGTGGAGCCCCGCAAGTATCGCTTGCGCTTGCTCAACGGAGCAGTCAGTCGGGGTAAGATGCAAGGATAGTGGATAAGGAGTAAGCACTGACCTCAGCAGTATTTTCCCTCTCCTTTGAGAAGGATCTCGGTAGAGACACTCTGAACTTTGATATTATTGCATCCGATGGCGGTAGGTTAGTCCATCTAGAACATGATTTGGTGCTAAACCCTCTTAGGTCTCTTCCCCTCAGTACACACCGAATCCATCACACTATCCATGGGCGAGCGCTATGAGGTCATTGTCGACTTTTCACCTTTTGTAGGCACGAACATCACTATGCGAAACTCTGGTAGAATGGGCGAAAACGTCGACTACGCCGCCACCGATATCGTCATGCGATTTGTGGTCGGTCAGTCCGTCAGCGACAACAGTAGCAACGGGCCTGTACCATCGTCTCTTCGCGATGTACCGCCCGTGCCCAGGGATGCTGCGGTCAAGGACTTTACCTTCTCGCGTGTCGGAGACGAGTGGCTCATCAACGGTATTGGCTTTGCGGACGTCGAGCACCGCATATTGACCCGACCTCCCCGGGGTGCTACAGAGATTTGGACCATCCGTAACGGGGGCGGTGGCGGGACGCACCCAGTTCATATCCATCTTGTGGAGTTCCAAGTGCTCTCCCGCACTGGCGGACGGAATACCGTCTTTGAATATGAGTCCGCTGGTCTGAAAGATGTGGTGTGGCTAGCTGCTGGCGAGACCGTGCAAGTCGTCGCCCGTTATGCGCCTTGGGATGGCGTGTAGTAAGCTCTATTTTCCCCTGCAACGCCTCGCTCTCACTGACAAATTCTAGCATGTTCCACTGCCACAATTTAGTTCATGAGGATCACGAGTGAGACCCTTGCTTTCTGCTATTAGAATAGCTTCTCACAGAACGCAGCATGCTCGTCGCTTTCAACGTCACTCAACTCGCGAATTGGGGCTACGACAACTCTACCATTTTTATCGACCCTATGCAGCCGGAATTCCGGCCTAAGAATATCATCCCAGACGATTACACTAGAGAAGCCATCACGATGAAGATCGCTTGGTTCTACAGCACGAACGCGTATAACCATGGTAATACTTCAGCAGTGTACTCCGCACTCGACGCCTACTCGAGTGGCGGAAGAGAAGCTTCCTCTACGATCATTGTGCCCAAAACGCCTTCGGCACGGACTACCAATATTGGAGAGATGAGTAGCCTGTTTACAGCAGCGCCGAGCAGCTCATGCACGACATCGACAACAAGGAGTTCGGGGTGGTAGGACGATCAGGTGCGCGCTTCCACTGGGTAGGACCTGTACAGCGAGAGAGATCCTTTCTTGATGGCACTTTGGAATCGTGAATCTTCACATGCGTTTAGTAGCATTGGTATATTCGCAAGCGCGTAGTGTTGGCTTCTCGATGCCATATTTGGCCAGATGTGGACCCATTCCTCTTCCCAAATACCTCATAATATAATAGCCAGATACACAATGCAATGTTGTACTTCCAACAGCTAGTATGAGACATAAGTTTCTTCAACCGTAATGACAGGCGACAAATTTAGCTTATACTTGCTCGAAAGAGACCTCCCACCGGTGTTGACGCACTTCATACGCACCCAGTCATACTTTAACCAGATTCTATTTTGCTGCGCGTAGAATACATAGGAGGATCGAAAGAAAAATACCCTGGACTTGAATAAAGGTAGGATATTCCTTCGAGTTCGACGACGCAGCTTCTCTCGAGGTCGCTTCGCTTCCTCCCTATTATGTTCGCAGGGCCAACTATCTGCAAGCCCGTTACAGATACCTATAGATCATGTACGACTGCACTATCTTCTTGCTAAGTCCTCTAATAGCTAATTACTCTTGCTGATATTCGCATCGCCCATAAACAGAAGTCAACGGAGAACTGCTCACCAACCCGACTGCCCTCCCGTCTGTTCCCTCGAACAATCCCTCCGTGGCAATCACCGCTACACCATTTCTCCCGCCACTCCGCACGTACGCAGCTTCGAAATCTCAGAAAATTCGTTACAAGCTTCATCTATTGCCTCCCCTGTTCCGAATATCCAGGCGTCGGATATATATTCGACAATCCTCAAGTTCTTCTATAGAAATACATTCAAATCCCTAATAGTATAGTGGCTAGTATGCGAGCTTGTCACGCTCGAGACCTGAGTTCGATTCTCAGTTAGGGAGAGAGCTTTCTTTTGCATATTTGTGTGCTATATAATTGTTCTTTTTTAGTTTAGTCTAAGATGCGTACGATGGGGCTGGTAGTGGAGCGAGGTTCAGCCGCACAGTTTTCACGCAGAAACTTGATATACTATTCCTTTCCCCTTTGTTTTTTAGAGGCCTATGCACCGTGCTTGATTGAATGGGAGCAAGATATGAGGATAGGATTAATGGGTGGTTCTTCCGCCTTTTGCGGGCGCGTATCATTCCTATCTCCTTCTCGCTAAGAACACCGCACACGGACCTACCGTACGTAGACCCCACTAGCGTAAAGCAGACTACAGTGCGCTTAAGCGTTGGATCGTATATAAGAAGACGGATTCTTGATGCGTTGGATACTACTCTAAAGGAACTTGAGCAATCTGTCTCGGCAGCACTAAACCGGGCGAAATGAGCAGCGCACGCGGCATGAAGAGGAAAGAAGAGAGACTCGAATCTAGAGAGCAAGCAAAAGAACGAGCATCACAATAAGATTCAGCATGTGCGTCAAACATTTCCGAGTAAAGGCCGTAGAGCAGGACTAAAGAAGCAAATATAGAGTATGATTTTCTATGTTTGTGTGTCAAAGAGAAGATACATAAGCCCTAAGAAAGCTCCGGCAATCCCCAACTAACGAACTGAAATGCTCAATCTAGAAGATAAGCCTGTCCTCGCAGCAGGCTTATGGAACCTATGAGCACCCGTAGCTACCTAGGGTCGGCTTGACCAAGTGTCCGTCGTTGATGTAGAAGCGGCTGACCACATCAAGGCAGGCAACAATGTCAAGGGGGCGACTGTGGGTTGCAAAGGTGTATGCGGCTACAGGCGGAAGTCCTTCCTTCACCATGGACGTTCCCATCTTGCAGATAGAACGGATGCTGTTTGTGGCACGTGACAGAGCGGGCGCCAGCAGGTCGGGCATGTGTTGATACAAGCTGCAGGTTGGGCTGTTTCCAATGTCGATATCAAGATGGCAATGGTGGCCAGTCCTAAGCTAGCAAGACCAAGGGCGCTGAGATTTGCCGTCGCCCGACGGAGGTCCTTGCTTGACCTCTCTCCTGGTCTCGCTGGAGGAGAACTGCTCACGTCGATGACGGGATGTTGATCGATATTGAAGACACAATCCTAAGATCTGCATCGTGTCGTAGATAAATCAATCGTAGCCGCCGCCGCCAATCTGGCTAGCGAAAGCCGTCGAGACGCTTCGAGCGTCATCGTCATCGAAGCCACCGAGCCCGCGAAGTCCACGATTTCCACCAAAGCTACCGGGCACGTTATCATTGCGGCGGGTAGACTCCACGAAGCGGTTGAGGCGATCAGACTGGCTCAGAGAGGTTGGCTTGCTATAGTCGTTGAGATTCAAGCCGGTCAGGCTAATACCACCAGGTCCATCGGCGATGCTGCTCCGCGTGTCCGTCATCTCGCTCGCCGCGACCGACTCGCCGGCGACGCTCGGCGCGCCGTTCTTTCCCTTGACAGGCCCATTGCGACCAGGCAAGGGCCAGCTCTCCTGGAAGTTGGAGAACATCGGAGGGTAGTTGGAAGGTACGCCAACTCCACCAAGTGCCGAAGAGTGGACTGAAGAAACATCATCCGGAATGTATCCTACAATCGAGCCGTTGTCATTGTATTCTTGGCGCTTGTTTCCATTCCATCCGGCCCCTTGGCGACCAGATGTCATTGCGTTGGCATGCTGGTACGCCATTTGATAACGCTGTGGCCCACGGTAGGTCTGCTTCGGCCGACTAAACTGCAAGAGCGACACCTGCAGGTTAGTCAATGGTCCTTCTACGAGGCAATTACGCTCCTTGAAATGAAGAAGAAGGTAGTGCCACAGAGGGTGCTTGGAGAGCACCTTTGGGTTTCCGAGGATGACGAGACCATACTTCGCTCGAGTGAGCGCGACATTGAGGCGGCGAGGATCGCTTAAGAAACCGATGCCTTGGTGGTCGTTGGAACGGACGCAGGAAAGTATGATGAAATCCTTCTCTCGTCCCTGGAAAGCATCGACCGACGCCACCTCAACCTCCTTGTAGTTCTCCTTCTTGAAGCTTCCCGTTGCTTGCATTGAACTGACAATATAACTGCGTTGACCCTCGTACGGCGTGATGATACCGATGTCGGCGGGCTGAACACCAGCTTTGAAGAAGCGGGTGACGATTTTCTCCACATTCTGGGCTTCCGTGCGATTCAAGTAGGACGTGCCAGAGGCTGAAATCTCTTCAGCACCGAGGTTCGACCAGAACATCATGGGGTTGTCGGCAACCGGCCAGGGGAAGTCAACATCGCGGCGGATACGCTCCTGCATCGTGACTCCGTTCTGTAAAGAACCCTCATAGAACATGTTGGACGGGAATTCGGACAAGCAAGGATGCATTCGGTACTGCACCTGTAGTCGGATCGGGGAACAGCCGAGAATGACCAACCGTTCGAAGAGGGACTGGTTGAGACCGGCGGTAGCGGCCTTCTTGTTCATGATGACGGGCCCAAGCTGTTGATGGTCGCCCACCAAGACGACCTGTTTGCAACCGAGAACCAAAGGAATCATGCACTCGGGTTCAGCCGATTGTGTGGACTCATCGATTAGAACGGTCCTGAACTTCATCTTGGACAGACGCGGGTCTCCAGCACCCACACAGGTGCAACAGATGACGTCGGCTGCACTGAGAATCTCCCGCTCGGCGGCTCGGGTAAGCTGCTTGTATTTCTTCTCATCTTGGCTCGACAGTTCTCCAACATCGCTCTTCAGCTGATTGAGCTTGTTCAGCTCGACGTTCGTGTCGTTCATGCGAACCTGCTCATGAAGCGAAAGAAACCCAACAGAGGATTCGACATCCTCCCTAGACTTTGCGGTGACACGAACGGTCTTCAGCCCGGTCAGATGGATACGCTCGCACAGCTGATCCACGGCGACGTTAGAGGGAGCGCAGACCAGCACTGGCCCGCCACTAATCTTGCACAAGTGGTAGATGATGGTGGCGGAAGTGACCGTTTTGCCGGTTCCAGGGGGACCCTGAATCAAGCTCAGCGGCTTCTGAAGTACGCTCTTGACGGCATTGATCTGACTGGCGTTGAGCTCGGGGAGGTTTGGAACGCTAAACTTCCGCGGCATTTGGATCTTCATGGGTGCCGAAGCGACCTCGTGGCCAAGAAGACGGTGGAAGATGTAGCCGGAAACGCTCATCTCGTCAATGGCGAACGTCTTCATAGCATGTTGCATGCGGTCGAACGAGGTGGCTTTCCAAACATAGTCGGCACTGAAGTTGTGGGTGCACTCTGTAGGCACGGATTTGTGATCGCCCTTGGTTCGCAGCTCAATGGTGACTTCATCGGACTGGTTGTTGGGGATCTTGATAACATAGCCCACGCCCTCCCAGTGGGGGCGTAGCTCACCGGTGTACCTCAGTCGCATCTCGTCTCCGACCGCAAGCTTCACATCGCCGAGCTCAAGCTTGGGCAGCTCAAAGCTCGCCGTATGTTTGTTGTTCAATGCCATATCCCATCGCACGACAAGGCCATCCTGAGTCTGCGACTCCTTGAGCTTGCGGTCGTAGTCGGCCTCGATCTTGACCAGCGGACCGAAGACGTTCTGGTACTGGAACGCGTCGTCATAGCGGAGCAGCACCTTGGCAATTGCCTCCTCTTGTCCGGCGCCCTTCTCTAGGTCGGCGATGGTGGCGTTCGCGTTATCTTTCCACAGCTCTTCCAATTTAGCGATCATTTGCGGGCTGAGGTGGCGGGCGCGAAGCTGTTCTTGGTCGGTGGGCGGCGGGACCAGCCAGGGCAGGAAGGAGCGGTCCTCGATGAGCGGCTGCCAGCGCGACGTGTCCCAGTTCATGTCCTTCTGCGAGGGCATGGCGGCGCACGGCTGGCGGCACAGCAGCACCACGACCGTGTCCGACTTGGCCGGGATGAATCCCAGCAAGAATACATTCTTCGTTCCGCAGTTGTAGCACTCGAGGATGGTGTCGCCGAGCGACGAGAGGGGGTGCAGCTGGACTTCCTTGTGGCGGGCGCGGACCAGGTGGTTGATGATGTGCGAGGACGACGTGTTGCCGCGGGCGCTGCAGAACCACTTGCCGCAGGCCAGGCACTTGACGACGCTGCCGGCGTTGTGGATGCCGCAGTATCTGGACACTGTGGTCAGCGAAGCTCGTTTGACATGGGAGCTCCTGGGAACTTACGCGCACGCATGAGGCGGGAGCTCGACGTCCTCCTCTGCCTTTGCAGCCGGCTTGCCGTTGGCCCCGACAGGCATGCTCATCATGCTCTCCATGTCGTCGTCGTCGTAGACATCCGTCTCTTCGTCGTCCATGCGCCGGCGCCGCGTCGAGGCTATGCCGCGGGAGAGGTCGCCATCGAGGATGCTCTCGTCGTCGCCCGCGCCAGCGTTAATGGTCGCCGCAGAGTCGGACACCAGGTGGTTGCCCATGTGGGTGAATGCGCCCTCCATAGTGGTAGATGTCGCGTCTAGTATGTCGGGGGGGGGGAGGGGGGTTTCCGTGGAGAAATTCGGGAGGGGCGAGCGGGATGGGTCTGGCTCAGGTACTGCCGCGGAGGGAGAGGCAGTGCGGTGTGTGGGCTTGTTCCGTAATTCACACCATCTCCAGGGAGAAGCGGGAGCTGCGCGGGCTGCTTGCGCGCGAGAGAGGCAGCGGTGGCGGCGAAAGATTGTGTCTGCCGTTGACGAAGTGGGCTGCCGCACTGTCGGAGCTTTTCTCGTCTTGGCCGTCCGTGCGCCGCTCTCAGCGCTCACGAGGAACTCGCTCCTCAAGCTCCACGCCGCTTGCACCAGGCCTTCCTCTCTTCACTCCCGATGCCGAGCGTCCTTGTGCACAGCTCGAGGAACACCTCTGCGGCAGATCGCGTGCAAAATGCGTCCTCATGTGACGGCGCCCCCACGGAGCGGCTCCGGACTGCCTGCAAGTCAGAGACGCGTAAGGTTTGTATGACCTGCAGGGGCAGAGCCGCATCGATACCTGCTTGGACTCGTCCACTTCATGGAAGGCCGCATCTCAGGAGCACAAGACGACACGATCTACCCAAAGCATCGTTTACAGAGCATCCATGATCGGAGAGGCATCTACGTCATACCCGCTGATGGCCAACTGCAGTTGAACTAGATACTCTCCGCGTTCCCTTCCAGCTTTCGAACCGCCTCCAAAACCAAAAGCCCTCGGCGCAGTGGCTGGAGGCTCCTCCCTTCCATATCGATTTGCCCAACAGAATGCGGAAGGCAACCATCGGGCCCGGCTGAAGTTGGCACGTTACGTCTTAAGATAGCCGTTGCCAAAGACTGGACGACAGCCAACGCCCATGATTTATGGCTTATCCACGTCCCGAACGCATATTGCCCGCGGTGTGAGAAGCTGGAATCATCGATTTTCGGGGAGCTTGAGGAAAGAGATGGAAACAAAGCTATGGGTTTCCCATTCCAACGTTAAGGTCCTGCTTCGGTCTTCACCACTCCAAGCACACGTTGCGGCTTGGTAACACGAAGGCTCAAAGATGATCTCGCCTGCCGGTGTCGTGTTGTCCCAAGCACGCAACCTCCTCTAACCCTGCATCGTTTAAGGGTGCACGCGGTCACGTGACCCTCCGCACCATGTCCGGCGCCGAGGGGCACCGATAACGCCGGGAAACTGTCAGCGTTGTCTTGAGCGGGAGCTTGCCCTACTACCTCCAAGCATGTACCGGTACTTGATGAGAGTCGGCCCCCCGCGGCGAGGCTGCCCCTTCCAAAACGTAATTGGAAGCAACAATTCCCGAGCAATATCGCCGGATGCATCTCGACTGCCCCGGACCTAGCTGGCGGCGCCGCCAGGCGTGCGTGGAAGAGCTGAGGCCAGCGTTTCTAGAAAATGAGGCCGAAGATGCAGCGCGGGACTGGCCGGGTGATCAATCACAGCTCACGTATCGCAAGTGCGGGGTGCGTCAACTGTGCATGAAGTAGCGTCAAATTGGAAAATACCGCACGGGAGAGCTAGGCCTTCCGCCACACGCCGTGAACAGCAGTTCGAATTGAAGCTGTAGCCTTGCTGCGGGACTGCCAGCAGCAACACCATCGCCTGGCCAGCTCGGCTGCCCATATTGCTGCGTGCGTCGGCCGGTGTTGGAGCTGTTGGATTCAGATTGAACGCGGGCTGTTTGGCCAATGCAAATGAGGATGCTGACCCGCTCGGATTGGCATCCTCGCGATACGATACGGGGTTTGCAGGTGTTCTCACCTTGACGACTTACCAGGTCTGCCTGCCGTCTTACCGATTGCATGACACCTCGCTTATATTCAAGTTTAGCTCTATTTGAATATTTGAATTTCTCACCCCACGTCGTTTTCGGGTGCATGCCCGCTCAGTGCTGCACGCAATATTCAGACTCCAATACCGGCTAACCTCATTCTGGGAAGATCGCGAACGGGAGCAGACGCGTCCGCGATGACACGTTGGCACCCGGCAGCCACCCACCCGGTTCATTCACCAATTATCGTACGCTGAGTCCGGCCAACAAACAACCGATCCGCCTACGATGCCGCAAGATCGGCCTGGAGATATCCGATCCTGGCTTTCGCAACAAGCCCAAGACGAGAGAAGAGTTGGTAGCATGAATGAACAGCACACCCGCATGACCTCCGTTCATCCAGCGGCTAACGCGCTCCAAAGAGAAATGCATTGAGAATGGTTAGCTGCATACCCGGTGTTGGAACCACGCAGCTTCCGCTGACAATGGATTTCGATATGGGCATCGCTCGCTATAACGCAACACATCAGCTTACCACCGCTCATTTACTTGCTTCAGGAAAGACGATCTCCTGGATCCATCCCGCAGCTGCAAATTATTGCACTGCGCGCCAACGAATCCCGTTCGACTTCCTCCTTCCTAAACGCGCAATTCTGAACGACATGGCTCAGCGTGTCAGACGCTGTCAGCTTGTAAGACGTCCGAGAGAAAGTGAGGAGATGACGAGAACCAATCGTTCAAATGCCCCGAATGGAAGCCTCAGCCCGCCTCCATTTATGGCATGCTCACACACGACTGCGAGCGATGGTTCCCGCTTCACCTGGGCTACTCATATGGCGGGCCCTGGAGCACGTATGCATGGAGCCGAATTCCGCAAGCCAAGCATCGCTCACCGGAATGCTGCGCCCTACTCGTGCTTCCCACCAGTCGCGAGGACGGCACGGCCCTTGGTACGAAGTGAGCCCCTTGCACACGTAAGAAGGCAATATCGACCTCACGGTATACTGGCCCCATCTCCGAAGACGACGTGGGTACGCGTAGACAAGATCGCCATCTTTGGTACGGCCTTCAGTAGAACGGCCTCCAAACTCACGCTATCATCCGTATCGCAATCACATATAGTAGGTATATTCCAAGGTAGTAAGCCATTGTTTCCAGATCAGACGACGCTCTTCTCCGCACGACGGACTCCGTATTCGGAGCGGGGCGTGGGGTAACACGAACCGAGGCCTTACTCACCTAAACCTGCGGGTAAGGCAGAGCAATCACACCGCGCTCACGTTGCATAGCCACTAGCCCGAATCCACCACCCGCTCCAGCGTCAACTGCTTTTCGCCACTCTATATCCGACATCTATCAACTTCCTCCAGCATAAGGTGCATTGTTGCTCACGATGCAGCAGAGCCCCTCACCGCTCCCACTCAGCTCGAGCTGTGGCCCCACTATGCCGAGCTCACCGATCAATGTCGTGTAATACGATCTGATCTCGACATGCAACGTCCCCTCGTACGCAGCAATGGCAGCCACCTCCACTTCTCGCTAGCGTAGCCTGGGTCCTTCGCCTTCAAGTTCCGAAGCCATTCAGAGACCTGCGGTGCGTTCCCCCCGTCATTGCACACCGATCACGACGTTCGGATCTGAACTTTATATTGCGACTACAGCACTGCGTCTGTTGCCCTCATGTATGCAAGGCGCTGTTTCCAGGTCAATGCAAGATGCTGTGCGACTGTCTGGAATGTTCTTGACCTGTGCTTGTGTTTGCATAACACTGAGATAAGCCGCATGGGGTAATCGGTGCTGCACTGCTCGATGAAGCAGTCGAGGGTGCGGAAGCTCAAAGCTGGGCCGAGCATCGCATTGCGTGCATGCCATGCTGTGCGACATGAAGGGCTGCAGCTGCTGATCAAGTCAGGTTGGCTATCGCACACATACCTCTCTCTTTTCAATGCAACACGACTCGGCTGGCTACCCGCATCCACTAGCTTACTTAGAGTATTGGCAATGCATCGTCATGATGTTCTGCATCCGAATGGCTCGCTGTCTCACAATGCAATGCAGGGAACGTCCGCAAGCAGATCCTACATGTTGACTTCGTGATGTACGCTCGCTCCGTATCAACCCAATCCAATCCTTCCCCACAATGAGGATGCACGACGACCTTCGCCCCTCAGCCTAACCTGACAGATCCAAGCCATGCGTCCCACATACAACGCCCCTCCCCTTCACAGCCGCGCGCCCAGAACCCGGGCGTAAGTCCACGCTCAGCACAGCACGCACAGCACAGCACCAAACCGCGCAATCCTCGCCTCGCTCCCGTAACAGCAACTCGCTCCGCAAATCGATATCCCCAGACCGACTTTCGTCCCGCCCAGCCCAAGCTGGGGCAGAATTCTCCTCAACGAAAAAAAAAGTGAGGCCGTGCCGTGTCGTCCCATGTCGTCTCTCATCACCGGCTGGTGGCGTTCGGGGGCGGAAGGGCGGAAGGCGGAAGGCGGGATAGATGTGTGTACCGAGAGGGAACCGCGATGATCAGCCGGGGGACCTGGGAGCTTTGCTGACAAGACGTAGGAGGTCCGTCCACATTCGATTTTGCCCCCTTCTTTATTTTTCCTACATGAGTCAGTGTTTCAAGCCGATACCGGGCTGGAAAGGAAAGGCTGCGGAGCACTGCGGAGCACTGCGGAGGGACGTCCAAGCGGTGTGCGGTGTGCGTTGTGCGGCTCTGCTGCGGTATGGCGATCCATGATTTTGAATGTCGAGGGAATGAAAGAGTCATAACGGATAGAAGAAAGCGAAGCAAAGCATTGCATTGGATGGTGGCAAAATGGTTTGAACAAAGTGACGAATCAATCCCACCATCAGATTCTCCTTGGCTGATGTGGTGCGAGGTATCATTTCTATCACTCACTATACTTTTGAACAAAATATAACTCGGGGCGATTCCCTGTGTCGGAGGCTTGTCCAAGCTCGCGACTACCCCCGTAATAAATCCCTAAGCCTCCGTGAGAAAGAGGTCTCCCTGGCATCCTGGCCCATCGAAGTGAAAAGTAAAGAAAAGAAAGGAGCAGCAGCCGACATAGGCCGGCTTCCGCTACGAGGAAAGATGCCCGCTCCAAACCCGCGACAAACAAAGATCAACAGATAGCCGCCCAGTCAATACATGCAAGAGTTGATTGGGTCATGACCATCGTGACTTCGGATAGTAGACGAAGGAAACAAGGGGGAAAAAAAAAGGAAAGGAGTAGTACAAAGAGGGTAAAAAGGGAGTTGAGCAGTGAAGCTCCTTCCGAAAACACACAAGTCTATAGGATATCCCAAACGTTATTGCCGTTGTTTCCCATCGGGGACAGCTGACCCGAAACAGCTCCATAGCGCCGAAAAACGATTCCCGAATATGAGGTAAAAGAAAAGGGAAGATGAAGGGTATAATCCGAAACAACGACAGAGATCACTGGCAGAGACGATGCATGTCTGCCCGATGAGACGGCGAAGATCAACGAGGAGATGCGAGAGGCGGGGGAGAAAGTCGCGTTTGCCGAGGTGGTAACTTGGAGGGGTACTCGCGACGTGGTCCTTCGCTTCGATGCGGTTCGGTAAATGGTCAGTGGTAAATCGCGCTCCTCGTGATGTTTCCTTGGAATTGCTCGCAGCGTCGTCGTCGTGTGTGTTTTATCCCAACAGGGTATGCGGATCGAGCTGCCCGTTCCCGCATCGCCCCGCGGCATGGCATGATCCAAGTGCGACGGCGACCCGATAATACGCTGAAAACGCCAGACAGAAACCATGGACAAATGAAAAATGTATGATACAACACGGCTGGTCCCTGCTCTAGTGACGTGATAGGGTTGCAAGGGATAGCGTTTGTCCGTCGTCAGCTGGAGGCAGGGTGCGTCGGGTACATTCACAGAGTAACGCTATCGTTCGAAAGTGCTGCTGCGACTAATGAGATCGAGGTCCGACTCTCTGGATTCGCTGTTGGTGCGTTCCTCCTTCCGCCGCTTGCGCTCGCTGGGGGCTCGGATCAAACGCTTGATGAAGCTACCACTCGACTTCGTGTTGGAGGGCTCTTGCAGGGGACTGATAGGCTCCATGGAAGGCGTGCGGGAGCCGGCAAGCGGGAGCGGTCCGGGACGTGCATCCACCACATCCTGCTTTTTGATCTTGCAGAACAGCCGGGAGAATAGGTATTGCTCGCCATTGGCGTCGAATAGGGGAAGATGGCGGTAACCCTGCTGAATGCTGCTGAGCTTCGCGGTGAAGGAAGCCAAAGGTGCATTGTCGGTCAGCTTCCCATCGAGCGTGTTCCAGACGGTCCAACGCACAAAGACGAGGTCAGGGTATCTTGTCGTGACTTTCATTTCGATCTCATCTTTGAACTCCGGGTTATATCCGTTGCCTTCGACGATGCGAGTCCTTTTCTTAAGCGGACTGCCAATGCCAGAGAGCCCGTCGCGGGCCGAAGCATCCTGGCCGCCGACCCCAGTTGCGTTGGGTCCCATGTCTTCGGCGCAGTGCATTTCAAACTCAATGTAGGGGCTGATGTTAGCTTCGGCAGGAAGCCCTCTAGGTCTAGGAAGCTGTTGGGCGGAGATGATCTGAACCGTGAATCTGACTTCCTTCTTCGGTGCCCTCCTGTGGCCGACCACCGGCACCTGATCTTCCAGACGCAACTCTGCGGGCTTGAGCACATAGCCGGTGCGATCGTCGCCACCGGCAAACATGGCCTCGTTCAGTTGCTGCCCGAGATCGTATGTTTGCCAATTCAGCGCACACATCTGGACGCCACGTCGCCAGAACCTTAGCGGATCGAAGTTGGAGGAATTGATCCGGAAACCTCCGGGGTAGACTCGCATGAGGCATCGCATGTTGTGCTCCTCAAGAAGTTGTTTCTCGCGTGCGCCGGGTCTGGTGAGCCTATCAAACACGCGCTCGTTGAAGGATATTACATGGTTGAAAGTGTTGGCGTCGTGCGCAGCGAAATCCATAAACTTGATTCCTCGCGTGTACACGCCAAGGTCGCCGAGCATCTTGATGATATTGCTGGTTTTCGACTTCTTAGTCCTCCTCTTGTCCTTGTCCTCGGCGGCGGTGGCATGTGGGCTATCGCTGTCCTCGGCGGAACTTATGAGAGCGGGCGTGAGGGCAGTGTTGTTCGTAGAGGTAGTAGAAGTGCGAGGTGACGCCCAGAAGGTAGTAGTACGCTCCGGCGGGCTCATTGAAGGAGGACTGGAGATGAGTGGCGAGTTCGGAATGAAGTTGTCATTTAGCTGCACTGGACGTGACCAGGGCGAGCTGAAGCTGCGTTCACGCTTGCGGTTCGACAGCTCGTTTGCCAGCGCCTTGACGTCCAGCTCCTCGGCCGCAGCTTTGACCTTGATTAGGATCCTGTGCTTCAGATCTTCGGGTGACGGCAGAATCATAGAGTCCCAATCGAGCGGCTGAAGCACCAGCTTGTCGCCAAACTCCTCACCCATTATGTTCACCATTTCCTGCTGCTGAGCAGTGCAGCAGTGAACTTCGAGAGAAAGGATCAATGGATAGGGAGTCGCATCAAAAGCATACTTGTCGACGACCTTGATCACGTCGCGAAACAAGATGCTCTTGGTGAAGGTGCGCCCGTGCGAGACAATAGGCTTGTCGTTGATACCATCCCAGCAGTCAATTTCGAGGCATCGGCAACCCTTCTGAAGCGCGGCAATGTAAGCCTCAGTGCTAGACTCGCCGACCACCTGGCGGCCAAGCAGATAGGTATTGTGTGAGCTCGAGATGTAATACTCGTTGAGCGGTCGAGTGTGATGCAAGGTAGGGCTGTTAGGCTTGAATATCGAGTTCACCTCTGACGTGAGGTACGTCTGGAAGGCAGGGAAGTTCATAGTCAGAGGCAGTGGAATTTCACCGCCGTCGGTGGGTGTTGTTTTGGAGGACCTCGTGCTAGCACGTGCATACTTCTCGAAAGTTGCTGTCCAGTGCTCCACATCCGCGTCTACGTCCACGCCCTGTTCTCGCCGAAGGAATGCGAAGAACGTTTGCATGTCCATACCAGAGTGCGGCTCAGGCGTGAACTGCTTGTATATCTGCTTGATGTCCTTCCGTTCCTTCAGCCGTCTGACGAAGTAGAGAAATTGGCTTTGGGTGAGATAACCCTTGCGGTCGGTATCGGCCTTGTCGAAGTACGTACGGAGAGTGTGTTCCGAACAGTTTATATGCAGGCTGCGGCACAGCTGGATGATGCCGGGAAGGTCCATCGACTCATCCTCCTCGCGATGATCCTGCCCGTTGAAGCGCTTCTTCATTTCGCGTTGCCAGACGAGCTTCGCACTCTTTTCGGCGAAGCCTAGCAATCCCGCCATCATGTCAATCCGGTTCCGAGACACGGATTCGAGTGTCTGCGTCCACATGTTGAAGACGCCGACGTCCGGAGCGATCAGATGCATCGTTTTTGTCTTTCCTTTTGAACGACTTGTATCGGAGTAGACGATAGTGAGCCAGTAAGGTTCCCAGTTCTCTGAATAGTCCAGCTCTTCACGATAATGCTTGGCGTCGGCTCCCGTCCGGAGATCCTTGACGTCGTCAATGTAGAAAGACTTGGACGGCCGCGACGGGTCCCAAAACACCTTTGCCGAGTCCAGGTCGAGGCACAAGTTAATCTCCTTCTTCTCCTTCTTGGTGATCTTCTTGAGCAGGGTTCCCTGTTCCAATCTTGAATTCCGCTTTGGAGCCACCACGGTCGACGAGGGTATGGAGCTGATGCTGTGCCGGCTGGAGGTGGCGGAGGTGGTAGAGATGCCCAGGCCGTCGACGGACTCAATATTGTCGTCTACAGCCTCTTCCTCCTCCTCGAATTGGTAGGTGTCGAGGTCGGACAGCTCGAGAGCGGATTCGACAGCGGTCTTGCTGTCGCTTCGCCTGCGCATAATAACCGGGCCGGAACTTTTGTCGCGCTGGGCAGCCGACCCATTGCGTCGGAACTTGCTCGGTATGCCTTGGGCACCGCGACTGACTCTTCGTATAATGCCTGGCCCCCTGCTCAGGGCCTCTGCCATGGCGTTAGGCGAGGAAGTTGGCGGTGTCGACAGGGGCGGCGGCGGGAGCAGCGACTCGGGAAGAGTGTAGGAGGGCACGGCGGGGAGGGAGCAGCTCGAGAGAGGCACCATGCCTTCGGGCGTGGATTGGAGGCTGCCATTGCCAAAGTGCGAGGCATTGCTGGCCGGGCTGCCGCGCGAGGAGGGAATGCTAATGGCGGCAGTCATGCGTGCAAAGGACGGCTGCGGCGAGGGCATGCGAGGCCGCGAGACGCGGAGGTGGTCGCCATTGAGGAAGGACATGGCGGAGGTGAGGCGAGGAGAGGAAACGAAACAGAGGGCTGTTCTAATTCGTCGTCATGCTGGGAGCAAACGGAAGGTGCGAATGGGCAGCTCGCGCGCCACGGCGGAGGGCAGCAGGAATGGAGAAGCAGAAAAAAAACAGCCGGCTGTATGGTGGGAGGGAGACGGAGACGGGGCTAGCAATAAAGCATGACAGCGGGCGGGTGCAGGAGCGGTGCAGCCGCTTTGGGACCGCGAAGCGCGGTGCGCGAAGAGCACGACGATATTGCCGGCCCTGGACGACTGCGCGAAGACGCGGTCAGCTGGGTTGCGATTACAGTTGCTTGCGTGCAGCGGCGTGCAGGGCGAGGGACCAGGGTGGAGGGCGTTCGGAGCACGCGCGCGTGGTGGTGGTGTGGGGGTCAGGCAGCGAGGGCGAAGTCAATGGAGGCGGCGGAGCGGTGCGTGTAAGTAAGTACCTGGGTAGCCGGTACAGGGACGAAGGTGACTGCTGTGTTTTCTCAACCCCCAAACCCACCAGTACGCAGCACACGCCCAGCGGCTACAGAGACGGCGCCGCCCCTGGGCAAGCATCGTGGCCTGATGCTGCCGGGTGTCGTTGCCGCTTTGTTCCTCGAGCTCCCAGTCGCGCTGTCCACAGCCGCGGGCCCGCCTTCCCTGCTAGCTCTGAAACGCCGCGCAGCGGCCTCCGAGTGATGACGTTGTGCGCCCAATTTATTATTTCCCCAGGGCTGTCTGCCTGAAAATCTCCGTGCCGTCAGGCCGCTGCAGACACCGACAGAAGACTCAGACAGCAGACTCCAGAGCGCGCAGCAATCACCACCGCCTGCGCGCCGGCGGCACAGCTCTGCTCGCTGTGATGAGACTCATTACCGCTGTCGCCGCGCCCGCTGCCGTGCCTTCCGGGGAGGGGGCCGGCGCAGTGAGATGGCTAACGAGCAAGGCTGAGTACGCGATGGGCCTTGGACTTCGGCGGCCGTTTAATAATAGCCAGTCACCCAACGCGCGCTGCTCCTCCGCCGCCTCACCTCTGGGCCGTAAACCGCGGCGGATGTATGTACTGACACAGGACACGGTAGATACGGGTACGAGCAAGCAACCTCGGACTGCCTGTGCATCCTCATTTGGCGCCGCCGCCGTCTGCCTGATCTGGCCTCACCGACACCTCGTCGTCTGGCGGCCGTCTGCGCGCCATGACTGTGCCAGCCAGCCGGCCATATTTCCTCGGCGGGCAATCATGGCCCAGCCCGCCCGCAGCCGTCGCCATGCCGCGAGCTCGTTGGCCGGAGCGCGGCCCGGTAAGAGTGATGAAAAGCTGACCATCAAACGCGCAGCCAGCGAGTCGTTGCAGCGCGCGAGCAGCAGAAGCCAGGAGCCAGCAGCCCCGAGCCAGAAGCCCCATCCGAGGCGGCTCCGGTTGCCCACACACGTGGCGCCGTCCCTCCGTCATCGAAACCGTGCGAAGCCGGCTGTTTGGTTTAGGTTGGGGTTGCCCCTGTCGCCGATCCCTTGTCTTCCCTCGCGGCTGTCGACGGCGCACCCCCCAACGCTCCGCCGTCTCAAGCTGTGAACACTGCGATGAAGAAGGTTTTGGCGCCTGCACGCTGCCATGGGCCCATCCAGCCTGACGCACGCTCCATGCCGCTGTCGCTGCTGTTGCTGCTGCGTCCTGCGCGAAACAGAATGCGCCCGCGGCGACATGTTGCCGCAGCCCTGCTCCGTATCCCCACTGTGAAAGCGCTCCTGCAATGCAATGCAGAGCAGTCGCGTGACGAGCCCTGTTCCAAGGCTTCTTCTGGAAGGACATTCTCCATCAGCAGGATTTCCACCCCTGAGCGCGGCCGCGAATCATTACATGCCCTCTCCACAAATCAGCCGCCTTGCTCCCATCTTGGGATCCCCAGGATATCCCGAACTGGTCACATGGACTGCAGGCGGTGTGATACATCTCCTTTTTTCGTTTTGCGCCCAATCATCTCCCTCGCTCTTCCATTTTTCCAGCACGCCATCTGGTGTGCCTTTAATGCGCTGGCCGATATGGACATCTCAGTATGCGCCCTCGCATGCCCACTTCGACCCCTCCGCGTCAGCTGAATGCCCACACAGCTCCGCACGTCTCCACTGGGTGCATCTGCATGCGCAATGGCTGGACGGGCGCGTTCCAGGCCGCCTTAGATTTTGAATGCGAGTTCCTCTCTCGGCACAGCACGGCCTACCCGGCCCTGTGTCACCTAGCCGCCTCCGACAGCTGTAGCGCTCGCACGTATCTCCCTCTGCTCCGACGTCTCACGAACACCTGGATGACATGCATACGCAGAAACGCCAGGAAGAAGCAATCAAAAGCCAGGATTGACCGGACTGTGGCTCGCTGCAATGCGCGTCGGCGCGCTCCTCTCGGCGTGCTGGCCGCCTATCCAGTGTCGTGACAGGAGGATGTGTCTCAAGATCCAGCAGCGAGCCTCTCCGATCTGCTGCGGCTCAAGGGGTTGCCCCGCGAACACAACCCAATTAGGTGGACGCGACGACCACGAGAATATTTTGTTGCACACGAGCTCAGCTGAGCGCATCTCGCAGCGACACCGAGGCTTCACCAATTGTTGAGGCGTCATGCCATGTTCAAATTCCTATTTATTATCCCATCGGATCGCCATCGACAAATGAAGAAAGCCGCAGACCGCCAATAGCATCGCTCCTCAGACGACGAGATGCTGCTTAGGCATGAAAGTGAGGCAAACGAAAATCTTGAGAGTCCCATGTAACACCACGTCTCGAATTAAATGCAGCATGCTCGCTATATCCTGTCGGGATCCACCAAATCCAAGCCGTGTTCGCTGCTCACCGGGATCTCGTATATGGACGGATGTTCGCTCCTCGCCTGAACCCGCCCGAAACGATCGTTTCTGCAGCCATATCGCCGCTCCAGGCCATCGTGGAACGCCCTCAGGTCACCGGAAGTCCGCGAAGGACTAGCATCAACGTCGTAGGACACGTTGTTCAGTAGAGATGTATGAGTCACCGACATTTCTCCGAAACCGCTGAACTCAGCCGTCTGCAGAGCTTTGTTGCTCTCTTCACCTTCCCTCGATCCCTGTAGAGGACCGACGGCATTGCGTCGTGGTAGGGGGGATGTAATCAGCGGTGGCATGGACCCTGGAGACGTTTGAAGTAGTGCGCGGCTTGCTGCATCTCGTACGCTATCGCTCGCGCGTGAGGTAAGTCCAGATACCGATTGGAACGGTGTTGAGCTGAGCGATGCGACAGCAATAGAGGACGGAATCAATGTCTCTGATTTCCTCTCTTGTTCCTCTCCGTACTCGTCGTGCGTAGTGTCAGATGCTGGAGCATTGTCGCTTCCGAAGACCATTCTCCGCCACAGTTTCTCGCTTTCATCCTGGTCCTTCTTTGCAAGACTCCTACCCCGCTTGCCCTCATTATGCATGCGAGTCCGTGTCGCAGAGGTCTCGCTATCCCGTGTAATAGAAGGCAAAGAGGCGGAGACGCAAGAAGATGAAGTAATGCATGTTGGTTCGCCTTGGGTGGCATGTTGTGACCAGGGCGTGGGCTCAGAATCTCGATCCCGAGATGGCTTCCGGTGTTGATGGGTATCCGTTTTGTCAATCAAGGACAGGTCGAATGCTGATGAGTGGCTTGAGCCATTGTCGGAAATAGGAAGCAAGGACCTCCAAGGCCCATCATCGACGATCCCAGAGGGGTGCGCGAAAGCCCCACTGAAATCCGGGTGTTTCTTCCCACTGCCCTTTCCACGCGGCCGTGCATTAGCCGAATCATGGGCACGAATTGTATCAACGGTCGCGTTACCATCCGATGCCTGCGCGTCCTCAATCTCTGGCTGGGGCTCGGAGGTGTGGTTGAAGACAAGTCGCAGAGGGCCAATGACGCCTCCAATACGCTGCGTGATATAACAGCCTGAAATGGCGTCATTCTCTTGCGAGCTCTGCCCGAAGGAAGTATTCTCTTGGGAAGGCTTGTAGTGGGTGCAGTCATGTCCAGCTCCCTCTCCTTCATTGCGCTCTCCCAAACAGCGTTCAACTTCGCCCTCTCCGTCGGGGGGAATGGAGCGAACTGTTGGTTCACCCCGCAGACGTCGGAAGGCGGCGCGGGCTCGCGAGTGCACCCCCACGAACACCCTTGGATTTTGGTCGTCACTCGGCGCTGGCTGCACTCGCTGTCCCTGGGCAGTATGCAAGTCTTCATTGTCAAAGAGCATAGTATCAGAAGACTCATCGCGGGACACTCCCACCCCAAGCGAACGGGAACCCGCGGAGGGGCGTTGTGTGGGCGTTAGATTGGCCAATGCATCCGTCCCGATTCGGATCCTGATATCCTCATTTTGGAGCGCGCCGCGCATGTACAATCCGGGATGATTGCTGCCTTCATCCCGTGCCAGGCGCGGCACGAGCCTGTGGCGGGTGCTCTGCAGCGTCGTTGCCGCGCGATGGTCCTTGATCTTTCTGCGTTTCCCTATCTTATCCTTTTCTTCGCTTGATTGAAAGTGCATCGAGACGGGCTTTGGGCGTGTTAAGCCTGCCCAATCCCCTTGCTGCAGCAATCTTCTTCTTCTGGCCTCTAGGAGTCCCTCCTCAGCGTCAGCGTCGGTCGCGTCCTTTTCCCTTTTCGGCCCGCCTGCGTGGTGCATAAGCAATGGTAGAAGACGGGTTGCGAACTCATCGGTGAGGTTAGATTATTACTTACTGCTTATCGCGGGCTGAGTGGTTGTGGTCGCATCAAGACGTCTCTTTCGCGAGCTTTCCTCAGCAAGGGTGCCCGTCTCAGCTCCGGGTTCATCACGAATGAGTGGCGACTTTGCTCTGCTGCGTCTGTCTCTGAGCGTCTTGCTGTGGCCGGTGTGACGAACAGACCTGGAACTCGGCGGCGGTAACCGGCCACCCACGCTGGCATCTTCGTCCTGGAAAAAGCCCGGGCGGAACGAGGCGGCGGGCGCGTTGGGAGCATTTTGCAGCTGAGTACGGGCCCGGGCGAAGTGAGCTTTCTGCTTCTGGACGACGCCTTTGTTTGCCTGCTTGGAGCGTTGCAGACTGCCGCCGGTCCAATTCATTCTCGCAGTCGACCAGTCGTCCCCGGGCAGGGCAGGTGTGATGGAGAGTCGGGGAAGATGCGTGGTGAGAGGTGGCAGTCGAGCGTTGCCTGCGCCTGCCCTCCGGCGCACTCTTCGCTCCTTCCCCAGCCGCCTTGTCCGCCCACCTCGCCTGGGCAACCGCCATCAGACCTACGTGCATCTCCTCCCTCTCTTCCAAGTGAGCACCGTCTGATTTGGACAGATGGCCGCGGCCGCGGATGCCATCCGATTTGCCGTGCCGCCAGTATCGAGCTGCGTACCGCCGACAGCGCAGCTAGCCGCCGCTGAGTACACTCCAGAGCCTCGTTGAGGTCTCCTATGCAGTCCCATGCGGGGAAATGTGGAGAGGACGTGGAGCCTGGGCAGACCCTGCGCCGAATACCCGTGGCGATCAATCTCGAGACAATTTGGGGAAGTGGGAGGGAGGGAGGACGGCCATGTTGGAATCGCTCCCTGAAGCTGCCCCGGTTCAGTCCCCATGCTTCAACTCCAACCTCTCCTAGACACTCATCTGGAGACCCGGGGGACGCACCCGCGGAGTCCTACACAAATGCCAACCGGTTCGGTGCGGGAAAAGCTTTACACCGTGTGGATCCCAGGTCAGGAGTCTATGAAAACACTTGAACAGTACGCTTGGGAAGTACCTAGCTCACATGGCAGACTCCTAGTGTCCTATCCCAAGCGATCCCAGCTGTCCAGCACGCTCTCGAGAATTCACGATGCCGACCGCCCTTCATAAGCCCAGCTCTACGTCGCATTCCCCAACCCACAGACCGGCGGTGAAGGCGATACTCCAGTTTTTTGATAACGTACTCCACGGCCGGGCGGGTAATGGCTGGACAGGAGCGCTTATTCCTGCAGGAGATTACACTGGAGAAGATCCACTCTTCGGGCGCCCTGCAGCTTCCTCTGCTCCGTTACATCCACAGTCAATCTGACCTCGCATCCGAAAGTTGCAAACGCAGCAGCTCACCGCCATCCCATACTCCACGCAGGTGTTTGCTGTGCGAGCCGGGGAGAGTCGCCGCCGGAGCCGCGCGAGCGCTGCACGAAGATCTCATTCTCCTGCACAGCGTCCTTTCCAGGACACCACTGAAGAGCCCGAGCTAGACGCTTACGGCCGCCGCTGCAGACATTCTGACGCTGTCAATTCTTAGAGACCGCCAAGTCGAGATACTGTCCGGTGAGAGTGGGCGATAATGTACAACTGGATGTACAGTGATGTCAAGCGTTCTCGAATTGGGTCTATTGTGGGTACCTCTTCGGCTTCAAATCCACCCGAATGAGACTTTGGCCTGGCCCCTTCATGCGGGATATATGTCGAATCCTGCCTGTAGCAGAGCAAGTCAACATCGCCATGTGAAGGGTGCGATAAGGAATTCTGCAGTGGAGTGACATCATTTTCCCTCACGACCTTCGATCAGCGCGGCTTGGGCTTTCCAAAGCCACGCAGGCAATAGAGTGGCAACGAGTATCAGAATTGCTGCGAATTTTGCGAATTTTGTCGCCAACCGTCGCTTTCTGCGACAAGAGAGGAGTGCCACAACTCTCAGCCTCAAGTTTCCCCTTTCGTCGCCCGTTCACCGCCGGGTGGGCGCAAGGTCGCCGATGGTTCCGTCTCGGCGCAGAATGCGCGCCGAAGCGTACCGGATCATTCTCGCGCGACGTGATTTGGAAGGCAACTGCCATGCCGATCTGAACGCCCATCAGGGCCTCATCCGCTCGGGTGCAACATTGCCCCTGGTGTTCCTGACGGAGTTCCTTCGAAAGGGAGAGCCGACCGAGGCTAGGCGCCCGTTTTGAGGCATTTTGGCGAGAGCCCACTCCATGGCGTCATCATCCTCCAGACTTTTCTCAACGTATCCCAGTATCCCACGAAAAGCGCGGCCGTCAAACACATGGTGGTGCAAGGGCCCGGCTCTTGTACAGTGCTGTACTCCGTTCCAACTGGTTCTGACTTGGCTGCGTCTGTCGCCGATTACCCGCATCTATTGAAGACATCAAATAAGATGCGCGAAGCAAAGCACAAGCTCTAGCACATGCCAAAACCCGGCTGACTCCAGGCACCGTTGTTAGATCTTCAGGGCTTGCTACAGGTTCGGCTTTTCCCAGCTCGAGGCCTCTATCGGTACTATGACGCAAATGTCTCCACTGTGTTGAGATGCGTTTGATAAGCTCTATCTGCAGGGACCGGCGCCAATGTCGATGGCGAGCGCACATCCACCATGCTAGCAGTGCACTGTCTATACGAAAGTCTGCCGGACAGCGTTTGCCATTGTTGTGTATAAGAGGCGGGGAGTCTTCCTTCTCGCCGACACCTGAAGTGTCATCCATCTCCACGGTCTCCACTCTTCTCTCCGCCATTCTGAGGGGTTTCTAGAGCTTCCCCAATTTTCATTTACTTGGTCGTCTTTAAGACAACCCTTTCCCCCGCAGAACCCGGTGTTCTTTCCCTACGCCCTCCGCTCTCCGCCTTCACTCAGAAAACCATATCTTCTGAGCATCGTACCATTCACTCCTGTCTTATTCGCCACCATGTCCGCACCCTCGCTTGTCGTTCCTCCCGCAGGCAGCCGCTATGCACGGCGCCTCTCTTCAACAGAGGCCACAAGCGAGTCAATCCAGATGGGCCCAACAGTTGTCGTACCCCCTAAACACCTCATGGCGCCCTCCGACGCAGCCGAAGTCGCAACCGCCTTGGAGTCTGCGAGACATCGCGTCGAATCAGCCGCCAGCCCAGGGACTCCGCCCACTCCTCCCGAGACCACCGTTACCGACAAGTATGCTTTCGCATTCGATATTGACGGCGTCTTAATCCGAGGCGGAAAGCCCATTCCAGAGGCGGTCGAGGCTATGAAGGTCCTCAATGGCGAGAATGAGTACGGGATCAAGGTGCCGTATATCTTTGTTACCAACGGCGGTGGCAAGACCGAAGCCGAACGCTGCATTCAGCTAAGCCAGCAATTGGAAATCGAGGTGTCCCCCGGCCAATTCATCTGCGGACATACGCCAATGAGGGAGATGGCGGAACGCTACAACACAGTCCTGGTCGTTGGTGGCGAGGGCGAGAAGTGCCGCCACGTAGCTGAAGGCTACGGATTCAAGGACGTTGTCACACCCGGAGACATCATCAAGGACAACCAAGATACCACGCCCTTTAGGAAGTTGACCCCAGACGAGTACAAGAACTCGCGAGCAAGAAACTTCGCAGAGGTCGAAATAGAAGCTATCTTCGTCTTTGCCGACTCGCGTGACTGGGCCTCTGACCAGCAAATCATTCTAGATCTCCTCATGTCGAAGGGAGGATATCTAGGCACGAGGTCGGAGAATTTCGATGAGGGTCCGCCGGTCTTTTTCAGCCACAACGATGTTGTCTGGTCCACTAGCCACGATCTTACCCGCATCGGCATGGGCGCGTTGCGCGTGAGCGTGGAAGCTATGTTCAAGGCCGTCACGGGGAAAGATCTCAAGACTACCGCCTTCGGCAAGCCCCAGATCGGCACCTTTGAATTCGCTACTCGCCTTCTACAGCAGTGGAGGAAGGATACCCACGGCATCGATTCTCCCCCGGACACAGTCTACTTCGTTGGTGACACTCCTGAATCTGACATTCGGGGCGCCAATGAATTCGATAACCACACCGATAACAGCTGGTATTCCATCCTCGTCCGGACTGGCGTCTTTCAAGAAGGTACCAAGCCACGCTTCCAGCCAAAGGCCACCGTCGACAACGCCCTTGACGCGGTCAGGCACGGTATGGAGCGCGAGTACAAGAAGGCGTTGCGTGCGAGCATGCAGGAGACGGGTGTTATTGTGGAGGAGTAAACGCACACACTGGGCAGCACAGGAGTCGGATTTCCTTCGGGCATAGCATCCGGCGTTTGGGTCTCCTTTCTTTTCCTATTCTCACAAGCATAATGGCTATATCGCCTTGCAGCCGTACATGGTACATTGTCTCCTTAGATGGATGATTGAATTTTGATACCACCTGGGCAGACAACATGTCACCGCGACTGCTTTTCTCACGACTTTACGCAGAATCAACCAGGTACCATAGGTAGAATACACCCGGTATAGAATGATTTGGAGTAATTTCTTGCTCCGGCTTGGTCCTTCCATATTTGTACTCATTTCTCCTCTTTTATATCTGCATCCCTCGCCTTCATTTGCAACGGCGCCCGCATAGCTGCAGGTCGCCGTATTCTTTAAAACCTCAATACCTGTGTCCACCAAAGATGGTACCCCTTGGGCCGATAGTCCGGCATTCCAGTTGTTCCTGTTCCGATCTACCCGGCGCATTATTCATGCGACAGGGGAACCTTTCCGCTCCCGACTAGCTCACCCTTCAACCTGCGCTCGCGTCCCTCATCCGATAACTCCCTGCTCGACTCCTATCGGCCCGACTTGTTCCCCAAGGCTTACATAATGGTAGATGTCGAGCCACATTCGCGGCCACACTCCCGGCCACACTGACGCTTTCGCGCCTCCTAGCCCTTTCACTCCCAATCCAAAACGCCCTCCAGATCCCCCTTTCCTATGCGTTTGATTGCTCGTGCTGCGGTACTTCGTATCCGCGTATACAGGATCAAAACGGCTCGCTTGCCGGCCTCCGATACAGCAAATTTCGAGAAGGTTTCGAGAAGGCGGCGAGGAAGAGGCGCGCGAGCCCCTTTCATCAAACTTTCCAGAAAACGCTCCGGCGTGCGGCTGGGACGCGTAGGCACGCTGCACTACGCTTCCGCGCGTTTAGACTTGCGACGATGGACCTGGGGAGGATCTAGCAAGCGATCTAGGGGATTCCCAGGACTGATAAGGGTGGAGCGGCACGTAGTGCTTGTGGTGCTTGTCAGTCGTCAAGGTGTCAGCCCTGCGAAGCATCCACATCTCTTCCAGTAGTGGTGCCCCCAGCCCAGGGAATCCCGCGCGAGTTGCTGCATCTTGGACGCGGATGTCCAGGACAGGATACTCCTTGCATCCATCTTTTCATGCAGCGAGGGAGACCCTACTGCGATTCCATGAGTCATTTCTCAACCGTTTTAGCCTCACGGCTGCGCAACCCCTGACCTAAGAAACCTTGCATCGCTCATCGCACGTACCTCTGATCCCGTCCTTGCGTCCCTGGACCCAGAAATCCTCACAATTCCAACCTCGCATCCAGAAGCACTACCACCCGCGGACCCTGAAATAGATGACGGCCCAGGACGCTCCCGCTTCCGCATGGTGACGGGGAGAGTGAGAGGCTAGGCGCCGTTATTCCTTCATCTCGCTATGCTCCGCTAGAGCGAGAGTTTTCGGGTTCATCAAACGAGAGGCGGTGTTTTGGAATGACGATAAGTATACGAGTACGAGGTCCCGCGACAAGGCAGCAAGGTGTCAAGAAGTGCTTGCGCGTATAATTGCGAGCTTTTTTTGAGACTGTTCTCATGTGGGTCGGGCTCCACTCTTGGGGCTGGCAAACGCGCGATGCGTAATAGGACGGTGATAGGAAAGGATAAGGTAAGGTGGGCTGGGCAGGCTGAGTGAAGGGTCCCGTGCAAATAATGACCTTAGAAATAATCAGTAAGGACACTAGATGAGAAATCTGACACTTACTACCAATTAAAGCAATTGTTAAAAGATACTGCCAGGGAAGCTCCGGGCAAAATTTTCTTCGTCCTCACTTCAGTGGTATTGGCCTCGTCTTTGGCATGTGTGAAGGCGACGTGGACGATGGGATCGAAAAGGTAGGCTTTCTGCGTCCTTGAGCGCTTACGAGTAGGTGTGTCTCCGAAAACATTCCTGCGGAACCGCTTCTTTCGAGTCTGGGGCGTCTTAAGGCGATTTGTATTCTCGTCCATCCAACATCATGGGCGACGAAGGTTGAAATCCAGGCTTTCCGCCAGACCCGCGGAATAGCCTCGCAGTTATACGAAGCCACGACACCAAAAAAAATTGAACTTTAGAGGGTGCCCTTCATCCTGGGTGCCTTGTACTGTCCACAAGCACTGTCTGAATTCTCTTCACCAACACGAGGATATCCAGTTACTAGACTTGACATCTTCTACCGTTGGCCTAGCAACGGGCGCAAGCAAGTGGAGCGTCCATCTCAACTTGAACATCGTCCATGCGAATGCTATGCTCGATTATAGCCTTATCCTTGCTGTTGTTGTAGACATTCACGAACTTGGAAGTGTTGATCTTCTTTAGAAATGGCCTGAACGTTGCCTTCTTGCCTTTGGTGAACACGAGGTACTTGTCTAGAAGTTAGAGTGAGCGGGGGCGAGGCTTGAAGCGCGATTGCTAGAAGCTGTTATGACAAAGATAAATAGAGAGAAAACGTTTTACTTACAACTGAGAACCCTGCACTGCACCAGTTCGCTTTTAGGGAGAAGACGACGCTATATTGGGCGTCGTTAGCTGCGGAAGTTGCGGCGGTACAGAGGGTAACGTTCTAGGTTGAGTAGGCAGAGCCTGAGACCGGATACGCGCAGAGAACAGATCCGCTGAAAGTGGGAGCGTCCATTGAAGAGAAGGGGTAGTAGTTCGCGATGGCTCAAAAGCCAGCGGATGTGACAGTGGCCTTGGAGTTGAGATGTACAGCCCTAAACAAGAAGATGGCGCAGCTAACTCGAGGTGGGGTGAGGTCCCGACAGACGGAAGGTCTTCTGAAATACGTGTTAACGTGGGTTAAAGAGAATGGCGGTTGTGGACATACCTTATGCATCCTCCGAAATCGCCCAAATCCTGATATCCAGGGTCCCTGTCATGCGAATGAACCCCATTGCGACCGCGCGGCTCTTGACAGAAAGGCCACATGAAGGCCTTGATGCGGCGAGCGCCGTGAGCAAAGTTGCTAAACATTGTGCAGTATCGTGAGTGGAGGGGTCCAGTAGAGAGAGAAGAACGGACACAGCCTCGTCTTCCCCCGGATAGACATGGAAATTACCCCGCGTGCAGAACTGAGGCGCCCTGCGGACATGGTCTGCAAGAGCTTTCTTGTTCCCCGTCCAGATTCGACAACGTGGACATTGAAAACTCGCGTGATTGCAGCCGGTGCGATCTTCAGGTGCCGTTCGACTGTCATGCGAGTGCTCAACGGGTTGCACATATAGAACAGCGAAGATCAACCCGGTGTGCTTGGCCGTTTACGGGAGTTGATGAGGAGGCGGGCGCGTTCTTGAAGACAGCACTTCAGAGTATGTAAGGCGGAGGCTAGAGTGCTTCGCGGTCTTTTGCAAAGTATACCAGGCGCCGTGACACGCCGTGAGCGCGTTCGGGCTACCATGAGGGAACAGATATAGCTTCTTCTTAAGCTCAAGCATGTATACTATGCAAGGGTATCATCATATTGAGATGCGACATAGTAAGGTCTCCGTTGATTGATACGCGGGTAATTTCAGCCGGGGAGAGAGCTGGAAACATAGCCGTGCACTCGAGCCAGAGCTGACGCGCTGCCTGCTCATGGTCGTAGGTTATAGCGGGCGGACCTGAAAACCTGTGCAGCACAACCCGTAACGACCTCCTCCTAGGTGGCGGGGGATCTGATAGAGCCGCTAGCAGCCTGATCGATGCGTCCGGACGCCCAACCGACTCAGGCGAGCCTTCAAATTTATTGACTGTCTACTGCATTGCGTTACTCAGCTTATAAAAGGTACCATATGCGTATTCCTCTGCCTGGAAACAAGGACGGCTCATATGCATTTTGTCACTCATTTGGCTTGGTTGGTCGTAATATTCCGGTGTGCGTTTCGCCCAGTATCTTATGGCGGCGAAGGCCATAGCGTAGTACATAGGAATGCCGTTTTCGACGATAGGCGGCGATATCGCACAGTCGATAATGCGCGCGATTACCTCTGCGGCTCTTCGGGGTGTGCGATCGTAAAGGACACCGCTGCACGGACTGCGGTTCATCTTGCAGGAACTGCAATCCGGGCGCGACGCCAAACCTGCCCAACGGCGGTAAGGTAGTATGCGTTGATACCGCGACGGGGGGTGTGATGACCGTTGGCGGTTTCTGTGACGCCGCCTCTAAGCCAGTGACGCGGGCGCTGAGCAGCTCAGTATAATCGTTGGGTACATGCCTATCCTCTGCGTTCGGGAACATCGCATGCTGTATGAGCGACGTGGCATGTAGAACATAATAGAGCCTGGAAAACTCCGGTGGGAGGTGAACAGATGGCGGTAGAGGCACGAGAAGGCGAGCGGCGTTATACACAGCATATATCCCACAATCGTGACCATTTTGTTGACGAAGCGAGAGGCCGTGGGTAACTCGCCATTTCCCCTAATACCGTGTCCAGTTTTCGTTCGTAGCCAGTACCAATCAGTTTGCAAGAGTCTCCGCGATGCGCAGAGTGTCTGATTCCATGTAGCCTGGCGAAGAGTTGAAGAGGGTTAGGCTCCCTGTATAGTGTAGGGCCATTGTTACCCAGTGTGAAGGCACGTTGAAGATAATAACGACTGTCTCAACGTCGTCCCGCGTAGCCTAGGGCGCTGTCTTCAGCATCAGCCTCTTAAGCGCTGGTATGTCTGTATTGCCGAACTCCAGTATTGCTTGCGCATTGGACACCCGCAGGAGACAATGGCCGTCGGCGAAGGCTCTTGAAGTTGCATGGACCGTGGTAATGAACTCCACTGACCCGGTAGTGAGCATAGCCTCCGAACGAAATGCGACGAAGTCGAACAGGGTGTAGTAGAGATTGGTACCTCCCCAGGGCACTGCGACGCCGGATTCGCCAAAACGGTGTTTCTTAAACAGGTATAGGATGCATAGCAAGGCAATTGCGAGTAGTGATCCGCTCTTGTTCCGTTCCAGCAATAGTTGCTTGGTTATTTGGAGCAGTTGGCCATTATCTTCAAGGAGAGCCGACCGCTCCTGGAGGGACTCGTCGTCAATCAAAATGACGGCATCAGGCGGGCTGGCAGCGACTTCGGGCCTATCTTCCGGCGACGTTGGCGGGGGAGTCTCATCAAGACCAAGGCAAACATCTTCTGTTGATAGATGTGTTAGCAAAAGGTGAACTAAAAGAGAAGGGGGTATATACCTTCATCTGGAATGTCCAAACTGGAAGAGACCGGCGTTGTTGCTCCAACAGCGACAGGAGTGCTGACAGGAGTGCTGACAGGAGCGGCATGAGAGGAAAAGGCTGGCGTTGTTGTCCTGGCAGCGAGGGGAGTAGGCGTTTGCGATAGAGTGCTGCAGACATTAAGAGAGTGTGATGCTGTGCTTGCTGCCCCTGTCTTCTGCCCGAGGACAAACAACCGGCGGTCTGGTGGTCGAGGAGGAAGGCCACACCTAGCCAGAGAGGAAGAGAGGTGAGAGAGAATGATGGGATGGAAAGAGGAAGGCGAGAGACAGCAGGAGTACGGTGATGGCATCGCGACTTCCCTGACCTGGAGTGGGCCTCGGGTTGAGGAAGTCGCGATGCCATCGAAGAAGAGTATAGTTGAGCAGGTAATAGACAAGAAAAGAGCGACTTAGCGCTAATCGATCTCGATGTACTCTTCCTGCTGATGGTGTAGACCTCGTGACTGGCCATGGCAATCCAAGCATCGCGGGCATAACTATCGTGATACATTACCATCATAATACATTCCGTGCCGCAAAAGCCTGTCTGGTGCGCTTCAGTGTCTAGTACGTCTTCAATTCTTCCTAGGCATGCCTCGACTCTTCTAGCACGCCCATCCCTCCCCAGCCACACGGCTTATTGTGCCCATCCAGCTTCCGCTTCTCCTCCTCAAAGCTAGCGCTATCCCTCTTCTGCCGCATCGACATCGATTCGGCGGCTGTGTTATGAATGCAATTTCAGTATTCGCACGGCGTTGTTGCCCAGCACATCCTGGGCTGCCATATCGTCCCCCTTGAATGCCTTAGAAATAGCGCCGTAGTTCGCGGTTACGCTGTGCCATTCCTTAGCGTCTTCTTCCAGCGGCGGGAAGAAGGGGTGGTCGGTGCCTGTTGCGCGTCAGCCTCCCTTCTCCTACAAGTTCCCACACTCACCGAAAAGTAACCTATCCGCCCCGGAAGCGTCGGCCGCCGCCTTCAACCCCACTTCCGAATAGATGACCGCATCGAGATAGATGTTCGTTTTTAGTATATCCCAGACGTCGCGCCGATGCTCCGTCTTCCCCTGCTTCTTTAAATGGCCATCGTGCAAAAGACAACTCTCTATCCTCCCGGCCAGAAACGGCAATGTCCCCCCGGAATGCGCAAGCAGCACATTCAACTTCTTGAACCTGTCCCACACCCCGCTCAACAGCATCCTGCTCACCGCTATCGTCGTCTCAAGCGGAAATCCCAGCGCCAGCGGAAGCACGTGACCGTACTCATTCGCTCTGGGCCCGTACACCTCTTTCGGCAGCCCGTAATGCGGATGCAGAAAGATAAGCTGCCCGTACTTCTCCAGCGCCGCGTAAACAGGATCCAGCGCCGCCTCATCAAGCCCGTTTCCCAGCCCCGACGTCCCCATTATAACACCCCGCATGTGCTTCAACCCCGCTAACCTCTGCACTTCGGCGACTATAACCGCCGTCTCCGCACTCAGCGGCAACGTGCCAAACGCATACAGCCTCCCCTCATACCTCGCGCAAATCTCCTCCACATCGTCGTTTATCTTCCGCGCCGCCTCACCCGCCTCCTCCGCGGGCAGGAAATCCAGCCACGGGTTCGCGAGCGATATCACCGACGTGTCGATCTTGTGCTGGTCCATGAACGCGATCTTCTGCGCGATGTCGTAGTACTCGGGGCCGATGGGGCGGCCGCGCGAGGTGGAGGGCGTGGAGGGGTCATCTTCGCCGGGGAGAATGATCAAGCGCGACGAGTCCGGCGCGTCGGCAAAAGTCCGTACGTAGGGGACGGTTTTGCGGGAGCGGAGGAGAGAGACGTAGGTTGGCGGGTAGATGTGTGTGTGGACGTCGACGATGGGCATTGTGGGAGCATGGGAGGGGCCTCAATTGCGGGGCTAAAGCTGCAATGGATACCGGAGAGGGCTGATTGAAGAAGAATGAAAGGAAAGTAAGACTCAATGGCGAGAATGGGCAGGTGTTTTGTTAGCTGTTGGGGGCGCCCCGCTCCACCAAAAGCTCCATCCCACCTGCCTGATTGGGTATGGTAGGTGAAGCTTGGATTTCCACGAAAGTCGACGGCTTGGTCGCCGAACATTGATCTGTGTATGGGCCATGTGGACAGACCTGATTGACTACATGTATGCATCCCCAGTTACATCGTTGCTGTTACTACAACGGTAGCTAATAACGCTATAGCTACGCTCACAAAACCCACGGGCTGTCCGCGCGACCCGCCGTTTGAAGGCGGCGGGGGCGGAGTCCCATCACCGCTCCCTCGAATCCCAGCCTGCAGCTCCAAACTGTCCAACCCACCCTCGAGCTCATTCAGCGGCGCGACTAGAGCCATCTGACTCCAACTGAACAACGTGTTCCTTCCCCCGAACACAAACACCTCGAACCGTCCCTTGAACTCGTCATTCACCCACACCCTGCTCCCATTCCGAACATCCGTCTCGACTCTTAGCGTCACCGGGAACGTGACGGGCACCGGTTCATGGGTAGAGGTGGACTGATTCGTCCAGATGCGGCCTGGGTGACCTGGATCGTGCCCGTCTGCTTCAGACACTGAGCGCAGGGGGTATGGAAAGTTGTCGGCTGTAGTGAAGACGAGTGTGGTTACGTTTGTAGTATTTGTAGAAACGGTTGAGATGGAGAGGGAAGTGTCGGGGCCCGTTAGTGTAAACGGCGAGGAGGCGTTGAGGATGAGCGTGTATGGAGGCCCGTACGATCCCCTACCGAGTGTCACGTTGGCGGGGGTTGAAGCCTGGCGCGCCCATCCTATTAGCGGAGCGCGTCTATCGAGGTTCTGACCCGGCGGTACCGCCGTTAGGAACGCCAGCGTAGAGGAGAGGTCTTCGGCACTGATATTTACACCTCTCGATCCTGACCAAGCACGCGCGGCGACCACAGGTATCCCATCGCGCATGGCGTAGTAAGCTTCAAGCTGCGTAGTAGCGTCGGGGCCGTTGTCGTTCCATGCCGCGAGAATAGCGCCTTTGTTCCCACTGGCACCCGGTTCAAGCTGTTCGGTGGTATTCACCGGATTGAACAGAGACGGGTCCCACTGCCAGCTTGGTATGTTTGCGAAATTCATCGTTCGGGAGACATTGTAGAACTGCGGATACGGCGCCGGAAGAATTGGAGTATGATCGTTCTTTAGGCTCATGTACGCCCACCAATCCTCCGAGTTAACCAAGGAATAGCCGTCGTTTTGAAGTTGGATAGGATCTGATTGTCCGTATTGCCAATGTTGCGTGATGATATCCTTCGAGATGGTGAGGTTTTCGGAGGGCTCGTTCGTACCCCAGATTCTGATGCGCTTTCCCGATGTTGAGTTGACGAACTCCGACATCTCATTTACGAAGTTAATGTAGTCATCCGCGAGATCGGCATCGTACTCGTCGGCTCCAATATGTATTTCTTTTGTCTGGAACCAAGGTAGAAACTCCGACCAGATAGCCTTTACTGTAGGTATGGCGTCTGGATGGGACAGGTTCAGCAGATCTTTCTTCGCGAGCGCCAGCTCTGGTTTCCACTTTGTGATGGCCAAACAATGCCCTGGCGCTTCGATTTCAGGAATTACGGTTACACCTCTCTGCGCGCAATGCCTCTGGAAGTCCTCAAACTCCGATCTCGAAAGAGTCTCGTTTGGCCGCTGGATGATACCTTGTAGCGCGGGATCCTCCGGATACAGCGAGAAATGGGAGAACACCTTATTCCATGTCTCATTGTGGCCACGGTTTAGCGGATAGTTGTCGCTCGAATGGTAGTGGAACTCCGACATCTTAAAAAACGACGCGTATGTGCAAAGCTCCTTCAGGAAGTCCGCGGTGTACCATTTTCGGCCGGCATCAAGCATGTACCCCCGGGTCGCATATGCCGGCGCATCAACAACCTTTCCAGGGGCCAAAGTCGATCCATTTGCAATCAATAGCTCTTGAAGCAGCGTCCGTGTTCCCCAGAACATGCCCCGAGCCCCGGTGCCACCGATGAAAACGCTGCCGTTGCGTACTTCTAGCTCATAACCCTCTTCAGTCTCCACACCGTTCTCGTACGTCAATTCGCTCGGCTCGCCACTGAAGTGTCCAAGTAATATCCCAGAGGTAGGCAATCCGTCGACCCTTTGCAGCGTCCAATTCGCGCCGACGAGCTGGGAAATATCTTGCCGGAACGTCTCTGCGAACTCGTATGCGGAGGGAGGGGTGAGCGTCAAACCCTCTGTATCATTTTGATCCGCGAAGGTGTTGTCGATGTATATCCTCTTGGGCGCGTCACTCAGCGAGAAGCCAGTTGAAGACGCGTTGTTGTTCGTCCATTGAACGGGCGGAAGAGGTTGCAGAGCCGCCGCAACACCAACAACACGGAACAAACACGGTAGAATCATCGTGGACCTCAATTAGAGCAACGGAAGACAGCTCTAGAGTTGAAGCAGGGCACGCTCCAGGTTTTGTAGCTATACGCAGGTACGGGCGCCCGGTGCTGGGGATCGTTCCAGGCCAGGATCCCGGCTGTTGTTATCATTCGCGCTTCCCCGCATGCTGACCCTCCGTCCAATGTAACCTTCACGACAGCCAAGAACAGCAGATGGCGGTGAAAGAACTTTGCAGCAGGACGCCCAGCGAAGGCAAGCCGCGAGGCTGATCTGGAAGTTTCATCGCGGTCGTTGCTGGACAAAAACCCCTCGGCTTTTGCAGCCCGATACGGCTACCCGAGGGCGGAGTACCGAATTAAGCGTCCGGAATGACCAAGACGCCGGACCATGATGTATGCTTAAGAAAGAAGTCATGATAAGGTGTTGCAACGGAGAGTGACAATGTTTGTTGATGAACGAGGAGGCTTGGGACGAGGCAGAGTTCCAAACGCGCTATTCCCTGTTCAGCGACCAGATAAATCACGCCTTCTCGAGCAAGTCTCCGCCACTTCGACGACGCATCTTGGAAGCAGTGATAAGCCAACACGTTGCTATAGTGCAATATGTAAACCTGTTGTCGAGAACCTCCGAGGGAGATCGCGCTGTACAGCCTGCATGCCGTACGAAGGCATCACTATTTACCCCAACCCACCAGAGCTAATTCCAAACCCATTGAGCGCGCCTACACTGGCCTCTTAGCCTTCACTCTAAACGGATGGGCCTCAGTATTATACACAAATAAATTGACATTCCCGCCCTGCCCCACTCCCCTCGGCGCATACTCCACATCCCACACACCCTTCCTCTCCTCAGGCGCCTGAATCAAATACTGATACTTGAGCACCTCCGCCAGCATATAACTCGCCATGCGATTCTCATATCCCCCGCCATCCTCCTCGAAGATATTCAGGATGGAGGAGAAGCCAGAGCCCACGCGCTCGGTGCGGTTCTGCGCAAGTGTGTACGCCCATGCAACATCGCGCCAATATTGGTTGCCCGTCACCTGGTACGCGTAGTACCAAGACTCTATTGCTTCAGGCGCTTGACCGTTCAGGAAGGATTTGTTGTCGTCGATGAACCAGCCGCTCTTCTCGTAGAAGTCGGACTGGTTTTGGAACTGCGGCCAGGAGAGCTCAGTCAGGTTCCACGAATAGATGATGGGTCCGATGCCCGCAGGCGCATAGCGGTATCCGTTTGCGCAGAATTCGCAGAATTCGAGACCGTACTTGAGATATTCGGGTTTGTTCAGGGCCGTGCTGCCTAGAATGAACGACCCTCCGATGAAGCAGGCGAGCTGCTCGCTGTAGTTTGCAACAGTCGTACCAGCGAAAGCGCCCGCCATTGTGAGGTCCGGACGGGACGAAGGGTGAGAGAGGAGATATTCGATCGTGGAGTCTGCAGCATCCATGAAGCGTTTTCCGTATAGAGAGTACTCTTCAGGATCGTAGACGTACATCTTGATGAGGTACTCGTAGGCGGAGTCATTACCGCTCGTCCAGCCACCGTATGCATCGATGATATTGCCCGTCTCGACGCTGAAGTTGCCGCCGGTGAGGCCGGGCCAAACTTCGTCGCTGGGATCCAGGAAATACGACATTGCCTTCTGCGCTAGCTCGCCGTACTCCGGATCCCCTGCTAAATCGGAGAGATGCTGCCACTCCAAGACCAGCGTGCCCAGCTCTGCGAGGCCCGCACTCCACGTCCCGTCCTGCATCCTGTACCTCTGCGCGAAAGTCTGGTTATTAATGAAGACGTTGTTAACGGGGATACCAGACGGAGTGTCGAAAGCGAATTTCAGCGTGTCGGCGAGTGTTACGCACTGATCCAACAACGCATCCACCTTGTCGTCATCAACATCCAGGTGCTTAAATGGCCCCTTCAGCAAATCATACGAGCTGAGCAAGCCCCCAATATACCTGATATTCGTCTCAAACAGGCTAACCACCTCCAACGCACCGTCTTTCTCCCCATACCCCGTCTTCGTGAAATCAATCGTAGGAATGAAGTCTAGGATTTGGTTCACGATATCCGTCTGCTCCGTAATGATTGCGGTGTCGAGGCCGTCGACTGCAATGACGCCCCATCCGTTCCGGGAGTTTGAGTAGGAGTCGTTGACGGGCAATAGGTCGTCGTTGGGGAATGCGTACGTGTAGTATCCGTTCCAAGCGAAGCGGAACATTTCAATGACGGCCTCGGCGCGGCGCGTTTGGTTGGGGTCGAATCCTGTGTAGTCGTAATCGCGGCCCTTCTGGCCTGGGTAGGTCACGTTGGGGTAAGGGTAACCATCGCGCGCGTTGAATGGATTCTGGGTCGCGTCTGCGGTGAGGAAGACGAATGACACGAATGACGAGATCTTGTTAAGCCAGCCCATTTCTCCTATCAACGCGTCCTTGCTCTTTCTCTATCTTCTGATGGAGGCGAGAAATGGAAATCAGGAACGGCGGAGTCCTAAACCTTATAATCTCCATCTTATCTCCCGGCATATCTCGATATGCGTCTAGGCGCGTATGTTTCAGGATAGCGTTCCTGGTGCAATTTTGATGGGCGATTATATTGCCTATCCAAGCTTGTATGGGAACAGGAACAGGCATCTGACCCTAGCGATCGCAGGGCACTAGGCCAGATTAGGCGGGAGGTACCGGCCTTTAAGGTACAGCATGCATATGCGCCTGCGCGAGCGTTATTAGCGGAGGCGCATAGAGGGACAATGAGAAGGGAGCAGGAATATCTCGAAAGGTTCAACATTTTCTTGCTTTCTGGAGAGAAGGAAGCGTGAAAGATGTTGGCAGGTTGCCTGACTGAGCTCTTTCCCTTCTTCTCAAGTGGCAGTATCACGTAGTGTCAGGTGTTACAAGATAATTGCGGTAAAGTACAGAACCTCTCTTGTGCTATGGTACGCATTTCGAGCCCCGCTGCACTCAATACGTCGCGGTTAGTCTCCTGACCAGGTATTCGCCGCTCTTGATGCCCTCATATTTCTTTCCGGTCTGCTCATAAGTTCCCGGTATTGCTTCAATCATGCGCTCAAAGTTAGGGTTGCAAAAGTAGGCGACGGAATAGCGTGGAGGATACGAGTCCGACCCATCGTCTTCGGGTTTCGGCGGCGGTTCGACCACGCGATGTTTTGTGGATTTTATAGTGTCATTGGACCATCGGGAGAGCAAATCTCCAGCGTTGATGACAATAGTATCGGGAATTGGGGTGGCATCCACGAAAGTACCCTTCGGAGAGCGTACTTGCAAACCGCCGCGTGAGTCTTGGAAGAGGAGCGTTACCGAGCCTGTCGTGTTTATCAGCCTCCGAGACTCTTCTGTGTATACCCGATCCTACCGTAGTCACTGTGCTCTCCCGCCCGGACCTGAAGCTGCCCATCGGCCCTCTTGAATACGGACTTGGGCACGCCGGGATAGTGGAGCAACCTCAGCGTGTTGTCCCCACCGTCTGTAAAGCCGTCGAACCAGGCCTCATCGATACCCATGCCCAGCGCAATTGCCCTCATCAGCTGCATATGCAGGGCCTTGCATGTATCATGGAATTTCAACATGACGTCTTTGAACACCTTCGCTTCCTCATCGCCTTCAGTAGGCGGCCACATGTTCGGCATACCCGGCTCGCCTTCTTTTCCGATCTCTAGCGACTCTTTCAGGTCGGGCACTGCCTCTCTCAGCTTCCCCACATCTCCCTGCTCCTCCAGGTCTGTGACTTTCTCCCGGCCCTGTGCACTGTATCCTCGGTTTGCCTCGGGCGAATACCACGACAGCGCGTCCTTTTGGTCCTGCGGTCGCGCGAAGAATTTGGCGGAGTTGGAGAAGACGGTGGAGACAGTCTCTGGAGATATGCCGTGGTTCTTGAGGTATATGAAGCCGGCGTTTTGGAAGCCGTTGAGCACGGCTTGGGCCGTCGATTTCTTCTGCGCAGCGTCGCCGGAGAGGAAGGGTGCGAAGTCGATGAGCTGGGATCGATGGTCAGAACCCCATGTCTTAGAAGCGAGAAGAATGCCGGAGGTTCTCACAGGTATTACCAGATCATCCTTCGCGACTGCATTGTCCACAGTGATGCCTGCCATAGTAAGCGTTGCGCTTCCGATCGCGCGGTCTCAGGACCGAGGCAGTCTTCCACGGTTTCTGCCAGCGAAATTGGGAGGTCAGTAGGTCTTATTCAAGTGATTCTACTGTGGATCTAGACCGCTGTAACCTTGGAAATCTCAGTCTCAGGTGAGGAACGCGCTGTCGACCGGCGATCTCCGTAGATGGGCGGATCTCGCAGGCAAGGTTGAGGTGTGAAGGACGCGAGGTGGGGTCAGGCCCAATACGGAAGGTACATACGAGACGCGTCTGATAATGATAAGGTCACAGTGGGGGAAGCCCCAGCACCAAGCATCCATCGTCAACTGACGACGAAGATGTTCCTCACGACATGATCCAATGGAGCGGCTAGCCCTGGCTGACAAGCTTGGCTCGGTGGTCAATCCCCAGCGACAGACCCCGAGAAAGCACGCACGGCTGGTGCAGGAAGATTAAGACGCCTGAACACTCCCAGGGGACGGTTTAACTGACGGTTCGTTTCGTTTCGATTCTCGGTAGGCATCCGGATAGGATATATTCAGGCCCTAGCCCTCGTTCCGTAATGCAATGCGAGCAATTACCCAGGTGCTGTCAAGTCATACCAGAACGCCGATTCCTCTTCATGCCATGTTCTAGAAGACTCGAGGCCCGCCACGAATGCACACATATCGCCGCCCTTACCACAGCGCAGCATCATTATCGAACCGCACAAGTTCCTTACCAGCGTCTTCAACATCTTTCCTCGCCTTCATCCGCATATAGAAGATGGGACAATCCCTGCTCGAGCAGATGACTTCGCAATGCACACTTCCCTGGCACCTCTGGCACTGCGTCCAGAGCCTCGCGAACCTCACCTCCAACTCGCTGACCTTGGACAGTGTCTTCTGGTACAACTCACCGATACGCGGTCTGCAATTTTCGCAAACCGCACCATCCTTCTCCGTGGCACTGACCAGCGGTTTCTTGCAACCCATGCACGTCTGTGTCTTCTTCGTGAACTTCATTAGGCCGCCCATCGTGGGGACTGCGACGGAAATGGATCGAGTATGTTCGCCGGTGAGCAGTGAATTTGCCTTCTTCTCGCCGATGACGGGCTCGAAGATACGGCCGAGAGGTTTGGCGAGCTGATTGTCGAGGTAGTATTTCGTGTCGATGGGGATATTGTTCTCCAAGACGTAGATTGGGTCTTCAGATTTTTCGTAGTTCCTGGAACCTGCTGCGCCCTTGACCATGACATAGGCGACGCGATCTCCCAGGCCGGGGGCGGATCCGGCGTCGCGCTTCTTCATTCGCTCGGCGAGCTCGACGTGCGCTTGTTTGGCTGTGTAGCCACCCTTTCCTTCCTTGTCTTCTTGCTTGGTGAGAGCTTTGGTGATTACGAGATTCGACATATCGATCTTGTTCTGCAGAAGATCGGATATAGTTTCCTTCACGAAGCTAGGCAATGTGAGCCGTGTCCATACGTCGGATTAGGGTGGGACTTACTCTTGAGCGCCTTCGGGGTCCTTGTCGATGAGTAACATTCGAAGTGAGGTATCAATGACCGTCTGTACAAGACGACAGTTGTCACGTCGCACCGTCTCGATGCCTTTGGTGTCCATTTTGTCCCATTTGTTCGGATTCGTCCAGTACAAGCCCGCATATCGTTTCTTGTTGATAAGGAGGTAAGGATAGTAGACCTTCTCGAACTCAAGCTTGATGGGCTTGATGAACTTCCCCGAGACGTAGTCGGCAGCTTCTTGACCGAGCTTCATAGCCTGCCCGAGGTCATTGGTCCCAAACTTCACCATGACGGAGTCCGTGTCGCCGTAAATGACCTCCACGTCATGGGTGTATCCGTTCGCAATGTTGTACTTCGCTTCGACTTCGGTTTTGGTTTTCTCAATCATTTGGCGACCAAAACTTGTCGTACTACTGGCGATAGCGAGACAAGGTAGCTTTCCGTTCGTGGCACCAGTCAGGCCATAAACGGAGTTTGCGCTCACCTTCAGAGCGAGCTGACGGCCGTTAAGCACGGCCTTCTTGAAGGGGTCGGTCTCAACTGCCAGCTCCTTTTTGGCCCTCTTGCGCGCCCCCAACAACTCCTCTAGAATCTGCGACAGCAGACCCTTGCGGACTTTGGTGGTGCAAAAGAGGTCGCCGTTGGGTGTCTGGATATAGTCCTCCTCCTTCTTCAGGTTCAACTTCTCGACGGATTCCTTCGTCAACCAGGTTGTGTAGCAGAGATTGTGTGCCTGCATAATACTGGGGTACAGGGAAGCAAAGTCGAGCGTAGCGATAGGAACCTTGTAGTACCCACGCTTTGGTTCGATGACAGTAGCACCTTCGTACTGATCGCCGCTGTCGCCTTGATTGGGAAGGTCGGGGATAACGAGCTGGTGCTCCAGAGCCTTTCGGAAGAGCTGGCTAATGAATCGGACTTGCTGACCTCGGGCAAGGAGGTAGTTGAAAGGAACGCCCGTGACTCTTGCCATTTCGGTATAGTTGACCAGACACAGGAGCTTGTCGAGCAGTCGCTGAGGTAGATACGCATCCTTGAGGCAGTAGACGGCCAATCTGCGGCGAGAGTTGGCGTCTCCATTGTACAGCTCAGTGATCATGCTGTGATGGACATCTTCCTTTTGCTCCTTCAAGAAGTGCGCGCACACCGCGTTGAGGGTGTAGCTTCGCAGCTGATGATCGCGTTGGATGAGCTGAAGCAAATCAAGTTGGATGCGGCCGTTAGTGTTGGTGGTCTTCATATCGCGGTTTCCCATCTGTTTGCTTGAGAAGTTGGTGCTCTCGGATTTAGACACCACAGTCTTCAGCCGCGACCAGTACGGGAACCTGTTCACTTTCAAGTGTTTCGCGCGGTCTAGGAGGTACGGGAAGTCGAAGTTCGCAATGTTGTACCCAATGATGACGTCCGGATCGACCTCCTCCAAGAAATCGCGCCACTTCAAGAGCATGTCTCTCTCATCATGGAATGACAGGATCTGGGTCGCAGCGATCGGGCTAACGGTGTCCATGCAGAAGACATTTCGCACGAAGGGTTTATCTTCACCATATCTCGTGACGACGTTTGCGATCTGGATGACTGGGTCCACGTTCGCCTCGGGGAAGATGCCCTTGCGGCCGGCGCACTCGATATCGAAGGACAAAATGCGCAGAGGGGCAAGTTTTGCCCATTCTCCATCGGAGGCATGCGCAATCAGGTCCCCAAAGTGGATCTGGGCTTCGACCTGACAGTTTGAATGGCGGTCGCGCGGAGCGATCATCTTGTACTTCCCAGCTGGCGCTTCAACCCAGGACATGCCGGAGATCTGCAGACTTAGCCACGCTCACGCTGACAGGGGATAGAGACTGACCTTGGTATCGATCATGAATCGCAACACGTATGTGATATTGTCGAATGTGAGGATACCACCTTCGCTGTATTTCCAAAGCTGTTTCCAGTTCGCGTTCTGCTCTTGCACCAGCTTCCGCACTCGGTTGATGAACTTGGGATCGTTGACTGTGATCTTGAGGTATGGGCTCTGCTGGTTCCCCTGAAAGCGCAGGATGTTCTCCCTCATTGTCATCTGCACCGAGTGTATCATGGCCGAGTGTACGTTGAACGCCTTCTGGCACTCGGACTCAAGGTAGTTCTTGAAGGCGTTGCAGTCATTCCGCTGGAAGTCCACCGGCGCGGCGACGTAGAAGTAGTGGAGGAAGTTTGTGACATGGAGGAGAACAGAGTGGCCATCCTATCATAATGAATGGTTAGCCAGGGCGCAGCTATCGTGTGCGAGCATCGTACCTGAGTGACACCAAAGAGCTTGACCGTGGCCTTTCCTCCGTTCAGCACTCCTTCCTCGGCCTCAATCTGCTGGAACGTGACATTGTGCGTCATCGCGTCGAAATCCTCGGGTAGCGGGGGCCGCCTCCACTGCTGGTCCCTCTCCGTGTTCGTCTGCTTGAGTGTCTCGATGTCCTGCGTCATCTGCTCCAGCACCCCTTCGAACTCGCTCTGCGGCTGGCTGGAATTGAAAGAGCCATTGACAGCCTTGATGGGAGGCCGTCCGTTCGTGCTGGCGCCATTGTCAAGCTTCAACTTCTTCGCAGAGCGGGGCGACGCCTGCACGTTAGCGCGGGTATTGGTGGCTTCGGCAAGCACACGCTTCATCGGCGTTTTCTTGACGGCGCCCGGCATCTTGAGGCAATTGCAGTCAAGACACGCGGTATGGCGGGTGTGGTGTTGAGGGGGAAGCGTGGAGTGACGGGCGTGAAAGCAGCAGATGCCGAAAGTTGACGGATGTCAGAACACGAAAGTCGCGCCTTCGCGTCATGGCCCGTGCCATCCTGGGACGTGACTGATTACGGACTCCCGCGCCACCAGCCACACCTCCGGTCACCTGATTCATTCCCCTCGATGTCTACCCGACCAACCATCGCCAGGAACGCTCCTCCGCCACGACCCCATTGTTGATACGTGGAGAACGCCGGTACAGCACAGCTAACGCAGGAGCCTCTGACTTGACGAGCATAGCGTGGCGGCTTGTGTACCAGCACACAGCAGAGCTTTGAAATCCACCTCTCCGCCTCTGTGACGCAGCCTTAACAGCGGCTCCAAGCCGAGCTGGGTGTCTGACGCTCCATTACCACTCCCGTTCTGCTTCCGCTCTCATCTTTCATCATGGTCGGCACACCACAGCATACGCGGGCAGATTCGAAGGGGGTCGTCGTCGAGCCTGTCAGCAGTCCCCGTGACCTAAATCAAGTTTACTTCTGCGTAAGCGAAGCTTTCGGTAGCCAGGCCCGCGACGCCGTCTGGTTGGTCCTGAACCCGGGATGGGACACGCCTCAGGGCCAAAAGGACGGCGCGGCCAAACTCACCAAACGCTGGATGTCCACGAAGACGAACAACCAGGGCCGACCTAACACTGTCTTCCTCAAAGCCACATTACCAGATCCCCAGAACGAGAGCGAGCGCAGAGTCGTGGGCGCAGCAATCTGGCAACAAGCCTCCTTCGTGGATGGCCATGGCGATCCTCCGTCGGACGACTTGGGTAGCGATCTGGACGGACTTGACCCAACGGAGCAACGATTCGCTAGCCAGATGTTCCGCTCTCTGTTCAAACGACGCATCGAGTATGCGAAAGAGAAAACCAGCGAAAATCCCCCAGCAGTCTTCGTTCTAGACATGTGCGCAGTAGATCCGGCGTTCCAGCGTAGAGGCATCGCAGGGAAGCTGGTACAGTGGGGTCTTGAAGAAGCGAAGCGGAGAGGTGGACTTGAATGCACGACCGAGGCCTCCAGTATGGGCAGGGCTGTCTACATGCGGCTAGGGTTTCAGTCAGAGGGTGAGGGAGACGTGGAATACGTTGTTGATGAAGAGTTTCGGGCTCGTGACAAGCCGCCCAATGTGTTCCTACGGACAGGCGCGAGCACTATGAGCCTACAATGAGATAAATGGAATGAAGAGTCTGGAATATCTTGGTGGCCGTATCTACGGACCATGACAGTGACAAGGCCTCTCTCCGCGTTAACATTCACACATTCAGCTAACTGCTTCTGAAATACTTCAAAACCAGATCCACCCTCTGCTTTTGTTGGCCTGCGGCTCTTACTCTGCCAACACTCCCATCGATCCCTAGGTACCCGGCTTGCCGTCACCACTTTTGGGCTTCTTCGGCGGCTTGCCTTGCGGACCTTTCTTCGGGCCACTCGTCTTCTACCGCTTCGAGACAGGCCCGGCATGCACCACGTTCTTGTACTCCGCATCATCTTCATGGGCCCTCGTGCAGTTAATCCGACGGCAGGCTCCGGCCTTGAAGTTCTGCCACTTTGCCCGCTGACACGTCTTGCCACGTTTGATGCAGCTCTGGCAAGGCTCGCCGCGGTCACAGCGGAGGTCGCTCGCGTAGCATCGGATGCAGATAATGATTCGCTTCTTAGGCTTCCTTCCACGAGGGCCTCTTGGCGGGCCTGGCAGTGTACGAGTCGTCTGTGCCGGGGAGTGAGTCTTCGATTACCTTCAGGATGGCCAATGGCAATTCGGGACTTTGTGGCATGGACGTCGAGATGGCCGATGCCTCGCAGTCGGAGGGCTCAAAGTCTTTGTCGAACCCACCGTCAGACCTAGAGTCATTCCTAGAAGCAGCCTAAGAGTTGGGTGTACGTGGTGAGGCCTGAGAGGCTGGAGGGAAAGGTAGCGGTTGGTGCTCAGTGATAAGACGGCTTTCCTTTGGGATCCAGCGGACGACGTTCCTCGGCTCCCTTGTTTGAAGACTTTGCAGCTCATTCGTAGCAATGAATAGGCACGTAAAATGGCAGTGAGTCTCAGAAATGAAGGCAACGTCACATATGATCAATCGGACTTAATCTCCCTCCTTTCCTACACTCCCCATCCCACCTAACTACCACCCAATCACCTTGACAAACCCCTCAAAATCCGGCGGATACTGCGCCGTCGGCGGATTCACCTCATCAACCGGCAGCCCCAAAAGCTTAACCTCATACCCCTCTCTCTCGCCCACCCTCCCATCCGCCCCACAGCTGACCTGCTGATACCGAAACCCCCACGTCGTCTGATTCAACGCGCCTAAAAACACGCCCTCCTGCCTCACACCACCAACCTCATGGTAATACAGCTCCGGCTTATACGCCTTCCCCGGCGCGGCATCGACGAGTAAGTGCGCATTCGCCATATCTCGCGCGATAGTAACGTTGCTGGACGAAAGACTGATGTTGGGCACACCGTTGATGCAGCGGTAGTACATTTTGAGGACCTTGCGGGAGGGGAATGGGGACACGAATAAGGGGGAAGTGGAGGTTTGCGGTTGGATGGTTAGGTCGTTGAGGGCGGAGTCGTCGGCGGAGGAAACGACGAACATGATGCGGCCCGTGACGTCGGCGTCGCGCGTGTTGATCCAGTTGGGCCACATGGTGCAGGTCCCTGGATAGATGACGGGGACAGGGGTTACGGAAGGGACGGCGAAGGTGGTGGCTAAGAGAGCGGCGGAGAGGAGGGCGCGCTTCATGGTTGGGTGTGGTGGTTGATGGTGGAGCTGGCGGGCTTCAAAATGGCTTTTTCGTCGATTAACGTCTGTGTATGTTGATGACTCCGATGAACTTGCCGGTATTGTATTTCCTGCGTTTACAGAGACCAAGGAGAAGCGCGAGATGAACACACCCCTTTATACTCCGATCCATGTCTCGTGCACCAACGGCATCTTCACGCAAATTGCATCCAACACGCTATCGAATCCGCCTTGCACAAATTGAAAAGCTCAGCCCTGTCCTACTCATCTCAAGAAAAACTCCGGTCCCGCGTTTCCCAATATCGTCGCCTTCATCTTCGGGTAAAGCGCCCCCGTCGCCCGCAGCCTCATGCAACGCTGTGAAGGAGTCCGCGCCGAATAGTAGACCCGCGAATGGAAACAAAGGGGTCCAAAGGGCCGGTGAAGTAACGGGTTCCAGAACGAAAACTAGGTTGAAGTCGTATTGGGAGGAAGGCTAGTCGCTTCTAAGCGATGTTCTAGAAGACGGTGTAGATGAAAAAGGAACGGCATCCTTGTCGATATCGGGAGATTTCCAAAGTAGAGTTAGCTGAAAGGGGCCCGGGCTAAAGAACAAGGGTTGCCTGGGAATCATGAAAGTCTATTATTATCATTATTTACCCACTACCCAAACAATGGTCCAAGCATTGCGAATTGCGTTTCGCAGGGTCGCTTTTTGACTCCTCAGGAGTGCCAATGCTGAATTGATCATGGTAAACCCCCCAAGCGATATTTAAAAAGGAAGGTGAAACCCCTTGAAGACTTACCAGCACGCCGGAGACTCGACTTACGTGCTGTCTGGAGGAAGATCCCTAGCTCGCTGGCTCTTAGCGCTTCCAGAATGCGAACTTGCTCTTGTTGCTCTGTACCTCGGGGGCTGCCGTCTTCTGCTCCGCATCCGGCAGACTCTGTTCATCGCCCAATCTCGGATTCCTGATGACGCAAGCGAAGAAGATGAGGAGCGTACAAAGACAGATTCCGGTGATGCACAGCAGGCGCTGAACATGTCTGTACACATCGATCACAGCATCGCGCTCAGGCGTGCCGGGCGGATACAAAGGCGCCTGTTGAAGTGGCGAGGCATACCACAGCGCCGCCTCCGTCGAGTTGCTGATGCGAGAATTGATTTCGTTGGGGAGGACTTGGGTCCAGATTGCGCCAGAGACAGTGTTACCCAGAGCGGAACCGACGTTGTAGGAGGCGAGATAGATCCCAGTAATGACGGCGACGTGCTCATGTTTCGTGGCCGCCTGGATACTGGCTTGCGCTGGATAAGGGAAGAAGCCTCCTGCGATACCAAGCAGAACCTGTGCACCGATGATTCCGTTGTGCGTGTTGCGACCGGTCCCGCCGCGGTAGTGGATGAGAAGACCGAAGGCCACCATGAACAGGCAGGTTCCGAAGAGGATGAAAGGTTTCAGACGACGGACTTTGTACACGACCACGCCGAGGAGGATCCCAGTGATGGTAGATGCGAAGCTGAAAGATGTCAATCGACTATCGATGAATTGGGCACAAGGAGAGCAGAGCAGAGCGCACCTGTATAGCGAGGTAATGCGCGTAGCCGATTTGATAGACTCGTTGAAGCCAACAACGACGACCGAGTAGAGGTAATCGCCCTGGCAAGTCCAAGCTAAAGAGGGTCAGCTGGGTTGATTATGCAAGCAGATTGATTTTGGGCTTACCAAAGTTCAGCGTAATGGCGATACCGAGGGCTCCCCACACAGCGCGATCCTTGAACAGCTAATATGATATTAGCAAGATGCCAACGAAGGTGTGTCGACCAAGTAACTCACATGGAAAGGAATCATGGGATGGGGCGCCTTCTTCTCCCACCAGACCCAGACCGGCACCGTGACGAGGCCAATGACAAGCGGCGCGATGATTTTCGCTTTCCCCCATTGTGCGCTCTCGCCTCCTGCGATAGTCAAGGGGACCAGAATGAATCCAAAGACCATGATCAGCAAGATGATGCCGATGACATCCAGCTGCCAGAACAGAGCCAGAGCAAGCTTCTTACCGCCGTACATCTGGTAGGGTGTTTTGTAGTTCTCAAGGGACCCGGCTCTCCTAGCTTTGTGACCGACCCACATAAGAGATATGATGAGAGGAAGTGAACAGATGGGATATATGATGCACCACATGCCAATGCCCCATCGCCAGGTCGTAGCGGCGAGTACCGCACTGGAGACGTCGCCGCTTACCCAGGTGTTGATGATGAATGGAGCTGCGGGGATATACGAGAAGAAGAGACGGGACCGAAGCGAGGTGGTATCGGCGACTATCACCTCTACGAGCAAGATTACGCACGTGTATCCAACCTAGCCATAATTAGTCGGGTATTCGACGTCAAAACAAGGCAGAAGGGAAAGTCCTCCCATCCCCAATACACCAAGCCGACATCTCTGGAGCAGATTTCGGACTTTATGTCGACAGGGACTCTTTGTAAACGCGGACTAACCTGGTACAAAAAAGCACCGGCAGCAAATGCTTGTACATTGTGGCAGGATGCTTCAACAATGGTTCCTGCACCGCAAATGTTAGCTGGCATGTACTATCCATGTGAGAGGACCACACGTACCCAGAACGTAGAAGAAGACTGAAACAAGGACGAGTTCGACTCTGCCGAAAACGTCGGCAATCTTGGCTGCGGTTGGCTGGAGTTCATCAGTAGCTGTTCCAGAAGCAATTTCACAACCGGAAACTCACTTGAGCCGCAGCAGCAACCACGGCGCGTACAACGTTAATGGTCGAGAGAAGAGAGTGGTTGGAGAAGCTGGACGTCGCGGTCGGCTGATATGCGTATCGCAAAGTCCCGTCCAGCCCATAGGCGTAAGCGATTAGGAAGACGCCGAAGAAGATAGCCACGCGGTTCCAAAAGGTGATATGAGCAGCCAGTGCCTCAATTCGCACGACGCCGGGCGACTTGCTTCCGACCAGTGGCGCGGAATCGTTGTCGAAGTTGTTGTGGACTTCAATGGGCGGCTCTCGGCCCTTCTCGTCGAGTTCGGACATGGTGCGCGACCCAAGATAGCGGTTTACCCTTGAAAAAGAAGAAAGTAGCTGCAGCTGCACGGTAAGGGGTAGAGGGAGAGATGCAGCGAGGCGGTATCTGATTGATAAGATGCTGCTGCGAAAATTTGGTCGGAACCCGGCCTTTTAGTGGAGCTGCGCGCTTCCAAGGCCTTCACTTCCAAGGCCTTCACTTCCAAGGCCTTCACTTCCAAGGCCTTCACTTCCAAGCCCTAGCGGAGCTATGCGCCTTGGACTAGAGGCTGGGAGAATTGCAACAAGGCTGAATCCGGAAGGGACTGCTCGCAATCAGATCATCTTATTTAATCAGATGCAGAAGGCGCCGTCTCTAGTCTGGAGAGAGCGTCCAATAGGCGGGCGGAAGCGTGGCGCCTCGAGCGTCATGGTGGAAGGGAGGACGCGATGGCGTTCGCCGGCCTGGCCGAATGTGCTGACAAGGTTGCATTTTGCCCCGGTCGAGATCCTTGGCCTGCTTCGTCGCTTCCGTGATGGCGCGCCGATGTCGGATTCGAGTGATGAAGGCTGCGGATGAAGATCTTGATGATATGCGAATGGCTGTAGCTGTTATGCTGTGTGTCGGTCCACACGTACCTAGGCAGACTTTTGGCGAGGGGTGATATAGGGCAGGTCGGCAGCTGTGCGCCGAATTATATACCCGAGGTCCGACAAACGTCCTGCCCTGTGTGCTCTCCCCTACGAAACCACCCAATACGACATTTATATGCACGACATCAAACGACGTCAACAGGGCGCGCATATGTGCCCTACAGACTACAGCTCCTCTGTCGTTCCCGTCTCGTATCCGCTATCCTCCTGAAATTCGACCCACGTCGCCATCTTTTGCCTCACATGCTCTCCATACACCACGCTCTCTCCATCCCCATCTACGGGTACGACCACGCACGCCTCGCCAGGCTCGAAAAAGAACGGCACACTGAAGCGGCCGAACCTGGCATCTAATGCATCTGGTTTCGGTGGCGGGGCCCTCACCCTATGCATCGTGGCTGTAAACCGTTCCCCGGATACTTTGGCCATGAGGTCGCCAATATTGACCACCACAGAGCCGGGAACGTAAGGCGCTGGCACCCATTGCTTGGACGCGTTGAGGACCTCCAGCCCGCCCGTAGCGTCCTGGTGGAGGAGCGTTAGGATGCCACTGTCTGTGTGAGGGGTACAGCTCAGTTTGACAGCGTCGACGTCATGCGGCTGTGCCTGGTTTTGGGGGACCGGAGGGTAGTGCAAGAGACGCAACGTGCTCAGAGAATCGAGTAGCCAGGGGGTAAAGTAGTTGGCATCTTTCCCGAGCGACACGGCTAGTAGCGATAGCAGCTTCGAGGCGAACGTTTGTAGCTCGTCGTGCAGCTGCTCGAGCCGCTCCTGCCGTCCGAATGCGCCTTTATCCAGCCATACGTTTGGCTCAGAGAGACGAATTTTCTGCGCTTCGGGGGCAGGGTGCGTAGGGTTCTTCACCGGCGATCCGATCTCGAATCCCTCCTTCAGGTTGTCCGACGCCAGATGCGGCTGTGTAGGGAAGTATCTGCGCCGGTGAGCGTCAGAGGCAGATCCTCTAGTACTTCATACCCTCTGTAAGTGTTTTGATTATTCCGGTGGAACGATTTCTTCGCAAGCTTCATTTTCTCCTCGTGAGGCAGAGTGAAGAACTCCCGCGCAAGGGCGAAGATCTCCTCATGGTCGAAACTCAGTGGTGCATTGACGAGGTAGGCGAAGCCAGTAGTCGCAAAGACATCGTATAGCTGCTTGCTCAACGCATTGACGTCCGCGGCGGCAACTTCTGATGCCTTCAACGCACCGACGTCGACGATGGGAAGCGAGGAGAAGGATGTGGTCATCTCGGAAGGTTTACAGGGCTTGAAGAGGGGAAAAAAGCAACGATAGAAATGGATGATGTTTGATTGTAGGGTATATGAAGAAACGACAGCGTCGTCGGTAAGTCGAACCTATTTCGGCAAGTGGTCGTGTGGGCGCGCTTGGTTCATGCACGCTGAGGCGGGGAACTTCAAAGAGCCGTGGATAGGCGGACGAATGAAGAACCGACGCGCATCTCCTTCCAGCTCGGTGGCCGGAATGCTCTCTCTCCTCTCATTCTCCAAGCGGGGGAGTCAGCAATCCTCCAATGGTAGCATGCGTTGCAGCTCCCGTCTTTGCTTCTTCCTCTAGCAAGAATTGCAGTACCATTTCTGCAGCGGCCTCAGCATCGTCATCGGCGTCGATAGCGTCCAGAGTCTCCTTCAACACCTCCGGCTTCCATGTCGCGCCGAAAACTTTCATGATCTCCGTATTGACGAATCTGTTAAACTCAAAGTGGCCTTGCAGCGTGAGAACACGGCCGGGTTCATAGACGCCTTGAACAGCACAATGCTGCGTGCTCCCCACCATTCTCCACGCACTCGGCAGCGCGTCTTGCGAGGGTATGCTGACGTGGTCGGCATGGACGAACTGCATTCGCATCGTTTCGGGAATCTGAACGGAGTGCCCTCGTTTAAGGAAAGACCTCGAGCCCTTTCCTAACATATTGCGGAACCGTTTGTCGAGCTTTATCTCCTTCACTCCCAATTCCCAACCATTCGGATCCTTTTCCACTCTCACACCATAGCCTCGCAGAAGACTCTGACAGATCAACTGGTGCCCAAAACAACTCCCGAACATCCTGATGCGTGGGTGACCGATATATAGATCCAGCACGTAACCGTCAAGCCGACGTATCCATTCTTTGTCTTCATATGACGAGGAAGCAGAACCAGTGACGAGGACGACGTCGATTTCGGCCAAAGATTGGGGATATTCGAATTGTAAGACATTGTAGTCTATCGATTCGATTTCAACGTCCGGAGATATGCGCCCAGTAGCGGCAACAAGGAGGTCATGGAACATCTTGCCGTACGTGTTCCACTTTGGAATGACAGCGGGTACTGGTACATCAGCGTTGAGCATCGCTATCCGAATCTTTCGCGGCATTGTGGTTTGACAAGCGGGTTTCTCAGCTATTCAGGGCAGAGCAGCGGTCCTAAGGGTCTATATGTGCTGGCACGAGCCGTAGTGCGGGTGCCGATTGCCGAATCTGATAGTCGATTAAGCGCGTCTGACGTTCTCGTTCCTGATTGGTCCCTCGAGCTCATGCCCACGCTCGAGGCAAGACTTTGCGAGGAGCTTCCCGTTGTTGAGCAAGGAATACGTGGGATTTGTATGAGCTTTCTGGCGTTGAAAGCGGGGTCATACTCTCAACCATTCGAAGCGCCCGCGACTTGTTCACCTGTAGCCTAGAACTCGCTTGCCACATGTGGGTCGGCTGGCAACTCTTCGCCGAAACCGGGCCCGTTGTCGTCTTTTCTCCTCTCGAATCGGATGTAGGGTCCACAATGGCTGTCCAGTGGGACGTCACGTCTTCAAAGTCTTATCGGGCGATTTTCGGTATGGGGTGGTTCTTCCAAGCCTCTCCGTCTTCGACTCTCCACATACTGCAGATGAAATACCCGTCAAGTCCATCGGAACGATACTAGACATAGGCAAGATATCCGCTCAATCCTTCTTTTCGCAACTGATGCTGGCGCGGACGCTAGATTGGCAAGCTCTAGCCTGGGCAGGGTCCTATGCACATATACAGCTCAATAGTATCAGTGCATACTATCAAAGGAAGAAGTGGCGTCTCTTGAGATCGAATTGGAGGAGATAGTGTCGAGAGACTTTGGAGAAGGCATTAGCAGCCTCGTAAGGGATCTTGGGAAGACCTAACCACTAGGCTGAAAGCAGAATAGCTTTTTATCACGTGAATGCCCGTTCCCGATACAGGCCGCGTGTTTCAGCCTTCCTCGCAATCTCTTGAAAATACCTGACTAACCCCTAGTCTGAGGGCTATCCGTACTCCGAAGCGTACAATGAAATCAAGGAATGGGAGAATGTGCCGAGCCTTTGTGATATCTGATGGGTACCCCGTGTGGGTCCGCTCCGATGGTAACGTCAAATCATAGTACTCCAGCTCAGCAGAAGCGAGACTTCATTTCGGAAGGAGAGCTTTTGACTGACGTTGAGCCATGGCCGAGATAGTATAGGAGTTGGGATTTCCTAACCTCTCTTCTCCTATTTCGAAGACAACTGGTTCTCAGCTACTCGAAATGTAGCATTGCTGTCAGAAGCAGCACCGAGGTAGACGATACCGAACGAGATTGCAGGTGTTGCTAATTTGACCTCTCTCACATTTCACCATTCACAATGAACCCTTCTAGCTTATACCAAGAAGAGTCCCAATGAAGGTGAAGGTGAAGTCGCCAACGTCCCGTCTTGTCTTATTTAAATAACCGCCGCCTTCCTTCCTGCAAACTTTCGACAAGCCTCGCCGACACCAACACGCGGCACCATGGCGACGAGTCAAACAACGTAAGTTTAGTTCCAATGAACCTAAAGCATACCAAGCTGACCTTGTTAGCCTCTACAACGATCCCTTCCTCTCCGATGTCACGATCCGCCAGATCTGCAACGGCGAGACGAAGGAGTACTACGGTCACAAGGCGGTGCTCTGCGCGCACTCCGCTTGGTTCATGGGAGCTTTCCGGGGCAACTTCAAGGTCAGTATACCCTATGGGGTGGCATGCGTGAAGAACGTTGTTGACACTGTTACAGGAAGCGACCGACCGTGTCATCGAGCTCCACGATGACGATCCGCTCTACTTCGAGGTTATGATGAAGTACATCTACACTGTGAAGTGGGAGCTTCCTGAGGATGGGGCATGGACACAATTCCAGAAGTGCTCTCTACTACCCATCGGAGTCTACGCTTTGGCCGACAAGTACGGTGTCGATGGACTCAAAGCCCGCGCTGTAGAGGAGTTTTGCGAACCTTGGGATCATCACTCCGTCGAGGAAGCGAAGCAACTGGTCGAGGCCCACTACACTAAGTGCGTTGAAATCGACTGTCCGATGGGTAGACGGGTTGCGCACCGCCTTCTTCAGTATGGAAGAGCACTCGTGAAGAGCGAGGAGTTTGCGGTACTGGTGAAGAAGTACCCAACCCTTGCCGCAGATGTGCTTATTGCGTGTCCGCGCTTCAAAGGAAGGCTTTGGTGAGGAGGAAAGACCGTGCTTCAATGGGACGTGATTGAGGGGCATCTGAGAAGATTTTGGCCTTTGATCTTGTACATATAAAACAATACTGGACACCGGAGCGTAGTGGAATGAATGTGGAAGTGGAAAGGCCGCTCACACGGCGCTCGATCGAACTGCGGTGGATAGCTTTTCTTACAATTGAGAACTATACTTTGACCGATCTCTTCCCGTGTTCTGATCAGCTTCAACTTCTTTCGCGATTTTCACTGATCGGAAAGGCGGAATCCTAATTCTCTTTCACAGCGGTTGCTCTTTCACTCGTGCTAACCTGGAAACAGCTAGTTCTCTCACCTGTTTTCCGCCACGTGCCTCTCCTCCTTCCACATTCCTGCTATATAAACTCCAACTCAATCTCCATCCAACCCAGCTTGAACATAATCCGACACCAAACAACGCCGGACGGCATAGAAGTAAGTACGAAAGCTCTACACTTTGTAGAGCGCCGCCTGGGGGTCTTCTTCTGACAATGCACCCTTATATTCTATGTCTAAATTTTGCTGACCCAGTCGAAGGCTTTCCTAAGCCTATAGCGGCAATCTTCGTCATGGCGACTGAGAAGAAGAACTCGGCTGCATCGTGAGTCCCTCTTCTCTGCCCATCCTCTTCCCTAGGTTGTACGCTAACGACCCCAAGGCTCTTCAACAACCCCACCCTCTCCGACATCAAGCTCAAACAAATCCAAAATGGCCAAGCCCGCGAGTATCACGCGCACAAGGTCGCCCTGTGCAAAGAGTCGCAATACTTCATGAAAGCTTTCACTGGCAACTTCAAGGTGAGCGACACAAGTCTAGCGATTGTTATACGGACTTACTAACCGCAAGTAGGAAGCAACGGAGGGTGTGATGGAGCTCCACGACGACGCCCCAGACTACTTCGAATTCGTCCTCAAGTTCATCTACACGGAGGAATACGACAAAGAGGCAATCAAAAAAATGGCCGGCGATGACAAAATCAGGCGCGTACTCGTTCCCATAGAGGCCTACGCGGTCGCGGACAAGTACGATGTCGTGCGGCTCTTCAGTCATGCGGCCGAGGACGTCCGAGCAGTGCTCCTTGAAAGCAGCGAAAATGACTACAAGGTCCTAAAGGCGGCGATTCAGTCCCACTACCGGTCAAGTATCCGTGCCGACGGCGCCATGGGAAAAGCCATAGCATCAGTTGTTCTCGACCACAAACGCAACTTCACCAAGACCGACCAGTTTGAGCTGGCAATGACAGACTTCCCGCTCTTCGCCACTGATCTAGCGCTGGGGTACCACCGTCAAGGCATGTTCAAGATCCGCATATCGACCTGCAGCAAGTGCACTAAGGTCAATGCGATCATGGCAAGCGGCTTCAACATTAGTTCGGCTCAACATCAGTACTGCGCTGGCTGTGGTACGCGTCAAACCATGTAGTCGCCATCGCATGTTGATGCAACGAAATTGGTAACAATGGTTCCACAAAGTACTTCGGGCTTTAACCCACAGCATCCAGAGGCTGCCTGAAGTATGTACCGAACTCTAGATTCTACGCTACTGGCTTTCGAAGCGGTTTCGAATTCCGACCTAGATAACCACCTTTGGTACCAATGGGATTGAATGGTCGTCGTGCTGGGCAATATCACTATTGAGACCGAAAGAAAACTGCAGACCCGCTTCTTGCACCGCAACCGCATCTCAGCTGGCACTCCGCTAAAAAGCAGCAGAAAACACCCGCGCACATATTCAAAGCGTCCTCACCAGTCTATCCCCTAAATCTCCTTCCCACCACCAACACTTCTCGCCGTCCAAACCACGCCGCGACGCCGTCCTCTCCAACTCATCCATTTTCCCGAGACGGACTGATCCCGGGAACTTTAAATTTACCCATCCCATCCATCGACATAGTTCAGCAACACCAGCTAGTCGATCGGGAAACGGCTTTTCGAGCACCCAGTTCTATGATTCACAAACCCTTCACCTCATGACGCAGCTAGCCCCAGAATACAAAAGTGGTCCACTCCGTAGAGGCGCCCTGACTCCCTCCCGTTTCTTCCCCGGCCTAGCAGGACTTACGCCAATTGACGTGGGAAGGTTTCCCATCATCCTCACAGGCTTTTCCTTGAGATCTACGTGCTCTTATGCGCTGCTTTTGCAACTACTAATAACCTGTTTATGTCCTAGAACACATGGTATCGGATGTCTGCAACAGCTCGCCATTGAACGTTACAGGAGATGAACCAGCCAACATTACGTTTGCAACATCCTAAGATCGACCACCCCCACACAATGTTTAACAGATCTCTCATCGTGCCCACTCACTTTCCCTAGTCAACAGGTCCCACCCAACAAGCCGCCAGACTTGCCGTTGGTACCATTCCTCAACGTCTCTATCCTCCATCTTTGGAATGTTCGGGACAGGTCCAAGCTTGACCGGCATGGTGAGCACATCCAAGAATTCGTCTTCGACTTTCTCCCCAAACATACAGGTGATCAATGTCCGCTGGAGGCGGTCTTTTGCAAGGGGGCTGAGCCGAGTCTTGGAAGTGGATGGGAGTGTTCTCAAGCTGAGGGTGCGACCGAGACGGTCTGAATTCTTCTTTGCAGGCTGAGGGTTCATATGATTGGGTGCGAGACCCATAGCCCGCTCAAGAACGATTATTAGGGCCTTGACCTCGAACTTGATGGCTAAAGCTTCTGTCTCCTGCTTGGCGATGTCTGCAAGACGAGTGGATGCTGGCTGAAGCTCAATATCGCCTTCAATGGTGGCACTGCGATGGCGACCGAAGGTACAATAGAAGAGCCGTTTTCCAACACGCTCAAACAAGACGTAAGCAAAGCCGTCGAAGAGCTGCTGGTGTAGCGGTTCATCTTTGTCTAGATATGCTAGCAGTCCGGTGAGAAAGTGCGCGATACCACGAGCTGCAGCTGACTCCTTGACCGTGTTGGAAGGCGTACGGGAGTTATTTTTCTTGATCTCGGCGGTCGATTTTGTGGCAGCTGCAGCTGCATGGTGCGCTGTTGCTTCAATAGCATCAAGAGCGGTGGAGAGCATCTTTACAGACTCGTAAATGACGAGGCCGGGAAGTCGTCTGCCTGAATCATCTTCTTCAATGCTTTTGAGGCCTAGAAGTACCATCCCAAAGGCTCGTGCACATGCCGACAGGGCGCATGAGAACTCGGAACGGTCTTGGTCAAGAGAGCGTGACCCCACCTTAGGACGCGTACGGCTCGAGAGTCGGTCATGGAACTTGCCAACCACAGAAATGACGCGGCCGAGAGCGTTGGTAGTCGCAACCAGAGAGGAACAGATGGCCCGAGGGTCTGAATCTTGTTGTCTGAACAGTTTCTGGAATGTCCACAGATGTTGGGTGAGGTCTTCGCCATCTGGTACAGTCCTGTCAGCCAAGTTCATTCAGTGCGCATGGAACTCACCTTTACCAAGCCCATCCAGGAAGTCAAGATCATCCTCCATGGTCTCTTCGGCGTTGGCTGCACTCTTCTTTGGCGCCGTGCCCCTGTTCGGTTTTCGGGCAGGCGCAGCGCCTCGTTTGCGCTTCGACGGGCTCGCCGGTGTCTCCTCATAACCACCCGGATCGTCGCGATCTAGCGATTGATTGGAGCGCTCAAGCTTCACAATGTGCCTTTCCAGCTCCCCACACTTGTTCTCCGCCGATTCGCATCGCTGCCGCCAATACGTGGCAAGGTCAAGATAGCCACTACGCTTGGGTTCGGCGAGGTTCTGCTGTCCGCGCTTCAATTGGGCGCGTAGTCGAAGAACGTGGTCTTTATGGTCAGTATCTGTGGGAGCGCAGCGCCATCCTGGGGCTATCTCTTACCACTAGCCGTCGTCCCCGGGGGTTTTGATCGAACTATTGCAAGGGCGAGGGCGATCGATTGGGTTGACGGCAGGCTCGCCTGAACAGCGGGAGGCTTCGGTGCCATTACTGCCGGAATGAGGATCCGTGAAGGATGTGACTATGCGTGGAGGATGATTTGGAATCGCGCACGGAAAGAACGATGCGAGTATGCCAGACAGGTGTCCAGAACAGTCAGGTCAGCGTCGAGGCCTTGGAACAGTGGGCTTAGCTCCTCGCTGCAGGCACTTTACGGAACCAGGGAGAAGACTTCCAGCGCAGGTCGGTTGAAGTGCTGAGGCGATGAGAGAGGCGTGGAAGGCGCAGAGCAGCGACGGACGGAAAAGACGGAAAGAGCGGTGGACCGGCGCCCACATACTACCGCACCCACACCTCATGGAACATGAGAAAGTAGAGAACCGATTATGAGAGCAGAAGTTGCTGGTAAAGGGACGTACGTCGTCAAGCTTTGGCATATCTCCCCATAACCATCCGGAACGAACAACGAAGAAGGTTTGAAATATGAACGCCTGAAGCGAATATGGTATTGTACACTCACTCGATGCTTACAGTTGTCTACAGCTTCACCATCTAAGGTTTAAGTCGTGCAAGGCCCTAGCGCATCCGCTCAGTCCTCCTCTTATATGGCAGTGGCTCCACCCTCTTCCGCTTGAACTCAACGTCCACCTGGTCCTTCAAGCCCGCTCTCTCCATCACCCCGGCCATGCTCTCATCCCACTTCGTCCTGAAGAGAGCCACACCAATAGGCTTCAGCTTGTGCGAATCAACGAAGCTCCTTAGAATGAACGAGTTCCTCTTCGTCTTCTTGATGTCGAGAACATCCAGGGCTTTCGCCTCACTCTGCTCGAGCACGAAGACGGCGAGACGATGATATGGTGCGCCTTTGTGAGCCCATGGCGGAAGCCAAGGCACGGCAATCTTCCTAGCCGCCTCGTTTTCGGTCTTCTTGTCCTCCTGGTCAATCCGTTGCAAGGGGATGGAGGTCTGGCTCGGTGAAATAGGAACATTAGAGGCAATGAAGTGGCAGCGGTAGGTGAAGCTATCCTTGTCCGGCACAGGCACGTCGGCATCCACCACGACCACTGTAACTAGCTTTTCCCCTTGTTCAAACGTTTGGACCGAAAGTCGCGGCATCTTCTCGCTGATGGCGGAATCCACGAACTCGCCAGGGGATACCTTCTTGCGCCCAAAAGCGAGGTCGGCGTCTGCGATGGGGTCCAGCGCGGGAAGGAGGTCTGGGACGATGTTCAATTGAGATATACGCTGTTCCAGGACGAGCCGCTTGTACTTGCGCCATTTCTGGTCGGCGAGGTAGCGGTAGATGGGCTTGTTCATGTCACCTGCCGTTGCATTAGCTTGTATTCCTCTCAGGGCCCTTGAGGACGTACCCTGTCCATCCTCGAACTTCTTCTTGACCACGGGGTCATTGATATCGGCTAGGATGATCAGTCCATGGAGATGATTCCGCATGCTCCTCAGCCTTGCTTCCTTTGCCAGCGCACCGCCGCTTACAGCAGGATCCTGCGCCATCAAATTCTTTATCCTCAGTGTCTGCGTCTCGATCTCCGTCAGCTTCTCCTGGCGGTCCTCCAGCAGAAACTTCCTCGCTTCCTGGAAGCACTGATACGGGAGCTGTTCAAAGGGAATCTGTTCGGTCTGGCGCATGGTGGAACGGCGGAGAACGGCACGTCGACGACGGGATCCAACCGGTTGGACGCCTTCCCTTCGGACGAGACGGCGCTCGTCACGTTTCCATTCCACGAGGTTGGGATCCAGGTCTCCCCATTTCTGCATGTATTCCGGAGTTCGTTTAGATGATGCTTCGTCTTTCATAGGGGCAGAAGTCGCAGCTGCAGGAGGAGGCGGCGGTGGAGGAGTAGGGTGGTGGGTCTGGAGCTCTTCACGGGCAGCCGCTGAGGACGAAAGGAGCCGCCGCGGTGCGCCGTTTCCGCTGGCAGTCCGCCGTACGCAACCCAGACACGCGCTGAATTGCCGTATGGACGGCTTGACAGACGCCATCGCCATCAATGGGGGAGGTTGACGATGCGAAGGAAGCATGGTGCTCTGCGAAAATGTCCGACTTCTCTGCACGGGCCACCAAGTTTTCTGCACCTCCGCGCCAGCTCCGCGACGATTCTCCCTCGAACGATTGCGCCCAGCATGGCTTCCACGAGGATAGCGTCGCCAATGCGCGGCGGAATATATCAATTGAGCAGATTGCCCATACGGCAAGATGCAATACCCGTCAGTCCGTCATCACGCGCCCGCAGGGTCGGTGCTAACTGCTCCCCAGAAATCATTATCGACCTCCTTCGCCCGCTCCATAACAACCTCTGCTTCATCTCAAGCCACTGTTTCGACGATTACTACCTCCGCCAACGGATATGTTCCCGTGAAGCCCTTGGAAGAGCAGACAGTCCTCGCGACAATCCACAAGTTCCCTTCGCTCGAACCCCTCCGCCTCGAATCATTTCCCGCAACCCATCTCTACCTCCCTACGAGACGAGATATCCTACATCGCGCCGTAATCTATGAGGGTGATATGACCCGGTTAGGTACTGCATCGACAAAGACGCGATACGAGGTCCGAGGGTCAGCAAGGAAGATACGACCTCAGAAGGGCTCGGGCAAAGCCCGTCTAGGAGACAAGAAGTCCCCAATGCTACGAGGTGGAGGGGTAGCGCACGGCCCAAAACCGCGCGACTTCTCCACCGGTCTCCAAAAGAAAGTATACGATCTTGCATGGCGGACAGCGCTCTCATACCGCTTCCGAAAAGGCGAGCTCTTGATCGTAGACAGCGCCATAGAAATCGAGAGCCCATCCACCCGGTTACTCCAGCACATCTTCGATCTCCACGACCGCGAAAGAGGGCGCGGACGAAGCTTGCTCGTAACCCTAGAAGAGCGACCCATGCTCGAGCACGCCCTCGATAAAATGGGTCGTGAACGACAATCCCTCACATGGCAAGAAGTCGACGTAAAAGACCTGCTAGAACTCTCCCGTATCATCATCGAGCGCGACGCCTTGCGCAACATCCTGCTTGCTCACCAAGAAGATCTCACACATACCTCCGTAACCCCATGGCACAAGTCCTTCGTCAACTCCTCCCCGCCGCAGGACCTCGAATCCATGATGGGCTGGTCTGAGTTCCGCACGCTGATGCAAGCACCGCCCTCGGAGCGCGACGCGATACGCCCCGACGCCTACGAATCCGTCGCGTACGGCCGCTGGACGCGCGCTGAAACCCTCCCGGAAGGACCCGAGAAACTATCTCTGACTATCTCCGCATACAATCTCCTCGCCGAAGCCAAAGACCTGCGGCGCGAACGCCTCCCCACAACCGAGCCCCTCGAATACGAATATGGGAAGAAGATCGACGAGGCCAGCAAGCTCTCCGACGCGAGCTTGAAACACGAAGCCGACGAAGTAGAGCTCGCTGCTAAGGAAGCCATGCTCCGCATGTGGGACATCATACACCAGAGTACCCTTCTCCTCGCGCAAGCTGCCGAGCACCGCGCTGAGGCCTTCCGCTGGCAGGGTCTCGAGGACGAGGCGGAGGAAGAGTATAGTAAAGCTAGAGATACTAGAACTGATGTGCTTGCGGCGGAATACGAGCTCTATAAAGCGAAGAGGCAGGTTGCGGAGCAGAGAAGTCAGGTGCTGATTAATAAGGACGATATGGAGGGCGCGGATAAGGCACAGGTAGAGGCACAGCAGGCGGCAGAAGAGGAGGGTAAGGCGCAGGCCGAGATGGCGGCGCCAACTGAGGTTTCGGAGGAGCCATACGATGACGAGGTGCTGGAGGTGGAACGTAAGGGGGAGGAGAAGGAGCAAGCGATGAAGGTTAGCGAAGGACTCGAAGAGATGGGAAAGGATAGGCAGGAGAGGAAGTAAGAATCGCTATGGGTTTCTTGGTTGTATCAGTACATTATGTGTATAGATGTGGCATATCCGTGTTTGTAAGATATGCTGGTAGATCTGAAGTTTAACCTCATAGTTGTGCATTTCGAAAAGATATTGCAGGCTACATATCGTCTTGGACTTGAGCTATATTGCGTCTATGCTACCTATCCTAGGAGGTTGATTGTGTCTCTTAGCAAGTGAGGATATGCTCCTATTACTTGCACGTCTAGCATATAAGTCTGCCTAGGTGCGTTATTTTAAAAAGATATTATAGGCTACATATCGTCTTAGACTTAAGCTATATTACGTCTATGCTACCTATCCTAGGAGGTTAATTATGTCCCTTAGTAAGTAAGAATATGCTTCTATTACTTGTACGTCTAGCATATAAGTCTGCCTAGGTGCGTTATTTTAAAAAGATATTGCAGGCTATATATTATCTTAGACTTAAGCTATATTACGTCTATGCTACCTATTCTAGAAGGTTAATTATGTCCCTTAGTAAGTAAGAATATACTTCTATTACTTGCACGTCTAGTATATAAGTCTACCTAGGTACGTTATTTTAAAAAGATATTATAGGCTATATATTGTCTTAGACTTAAGCTATATTACGTCTATACTACCTATTCTAGAAGGTTAATTGTGTCCCTTAGTAAGTAAGAATATACTCCTATTACTTGCACGTCTAGCATATAAGTCTGCCTAGGTACGTTATTTTAAAAAGATATTGCAGGCTATATATCGTCTTAGACTTAAGCTATATTACGTCTATACTACCTATCCTAGGAGGTTAATTGTGTCCCTTAGCAAGTAAGAATATACTTCTATTACTTGCACGTCTAGCATATAAGTCTACCTAGGTGCGTTATTTCGAAAAGATATTGCAGGCTACATATCGTCTTGGACTTGAGCTATATTGCGTCTATGCTACCTATCCTGGGAGGTTAATTGTGTCCCTTAGCAAGTGAGGATATGCTCCTATTACTTGCACGTCCGGCATATAAGTCTGCCTGGGTGCGTCATTTCCATCAAATCGGCGCTTCAGGATCCAAGGGCCTATGACCACGCCGTCTATAGCGCCAAAACGCCTAGCCATGCATCAAGAATGTATGCACCATCAAGAGCTTCAGCATACCTCCATCAGCTCAGCTCTTCATCTCCACTTCCTGGCTCTGCGCAGCCTCCTGCCCTGGCAACCCAAACACCTGTTCCTTCACCTTCGCGCTCAACAACCCCATATCCTCCTCCCTCGCAATCTTGCTCCCCGCAGCCCCTAACTTGCCTAACTGTCCCTTATCGCCCGCCGCACCTCCAAACGCGCCTTTCCGCTTCATATTACTGTTCTCCTGCACCACCTTACGCGCCAGATCGCTGATCTGCTTAGTCCCGTAATCGCGGTTCGAAATCAGCGGCGAGGAAGACAGCGTCCCGACCCAGTACTTATTCCACAGCGCTTCGAGCAGCTTAGCATCGAGCGACGATTTGTAGTGCGAGACGTCGAGGCTGTAGTAGTGGTTCGCATGGGCGCCGAAGTCTTCAATCTTGCCGAGCGGAATGGTCTGGAAGCCGTCTTCGCCGACGCCCCCCTTGTTCGCGCTGGACTTTTCCTTTTCCTGCACGTAGGACTCGGGGAATGTACGGAAGGCGCCGATTTCTACCTTGCCCGCGGAGACAGTGCGGTCCGGGTCGATGACGACGGCGACGAAGGGGTCCTGGTACATCTGCTGCGTCTTCTGCGTGCTGACGTCTATGCCGGAGAGCCAGCATCCATAGCCCGGATGACTATGGTACCAACCTACCGCGTTCTCGCACTGGCCCTGCTCGCGCGCACGGCTCAGGAACTCCACCATGTACTCGTTGGCCTCGTCCTGCGCGTTGACGCGGGTCTCTGTACCCTCAACAGGCAGCCGGAACGCATCCGTGATGATGAAGGTGTTCGCTTCTATCTTGCCGAGCATCAGGCCCATGACCTCGAGGGAGCCGCCGGAGCGCGCGTGCATGACCATTTTGAGGAGCGCGACGGCTGAGATGCGGACGCTGGTGAAGTGGTGCGGGTCGGTGCGCCATGGCTTTGCGTTATTGATGGCTTTTTGCTGGTCGGCAGAGTAGGTGTAGAGGGCGTCTTTGGTGGGGTCGACGAGTTTGATGGAGTTTTCGAGCTCTAGGGAGATGTTAGTACTTAGGTAAGTGTGCAGCGGGGCACGAAAAGCGGTATGCGTTTCAAATTGGGCATTGAGGAAATAGATTAGCCTTACCCCAGGTTTTGAGTGCGGTCCCCATTTTTGAGGAGGTTGCGCACGCTTTGCCGGAGAGTTTGGGGTGTTGGGTGTGTGTTGAAGTGAGGTTGGAGCTTTAACGATATAGTGGGGAGCTCTAAGTGCCAAGAAGTGTAGGCATCAGCGGGGTCTTTCCCGCCACGAAAGTATTATTCATAGTCACTGAAGTGCAATAGTGAAAGATTTGGAGTAATGAAGTTTCACTCGGGGACGAGAGCACACTTTCATGTCTTTGAAGCAGTTGTGTCTACTAAAGCTTCTGTAGCGATCTAACCAGTGCTAGCATTCATCTTCGTCGTCTTATTTTCAAAGTCTACACACTAGAAACGGTAAGCATGTAAAGATCACTTCCTCCTCCTGCCGTCCTCCCACCCCATCTTACTATTCATAGCCTTCGCCTCTTCCTCCATCTTCTGCACCCACCTCCGCGTGAGCTCCTCATTCTCTTTCTTCAGCTTCTCTTTCTCCTGTTCTGCAATATTAAGCTGCAGATTGAGCGCCACCATCTCATCCTGCACTTCCTCCACAAAGCGCCCCTTGCCTTTCAGCTCCTCAGCCCGATCCTTGACCCTCCTTTCTAGGTTCTCTTTCATCTTTTCTAGCTGAGTGAGGCGCTTCTTCTGCTCCAAGTCGGCGGCTTTGAGGGCCGAGAGCTCCGTGGTCAGGTTGGAGAGCTTGCTCTCTAGCTCGCTGCGGGTTCTTTGGGTGGAGGCTAGCTCCGCACGGATTTGGGCGAGGTGGCTGGGTGAGGAAGTGTCTTGTGGTGCCAACGCTACTTTGCCTTTGGGTGTTCCTGGACGGATGGACTTGGTGGATAGGCTTGGGGAGGGCGCCGGTTGTTCTGTAGAAGCCGGCGGCTGCTTTGCGAGCGCTGCTGTGCGGTCGGCAAGCTTGGTATCTGCATATTGTAAGCTTTTGCTCCCCGTCTCACAGTAACATCCTTTGAGGTCTGCTGTCTTTCGGGTGGAAAGCACATACAGGCATTGATATACTCCTCATGCGCCTTCTCCCGGGCATCGCGTGCCTCGAGGGCTGACAGATACTCGGCCAGCGGGTTGCTCATGGCGGTTGTTCGAAGGGTCTAAACTTCAGTACTGGAAACAATAACCTTATCTGTGTCATGGTGTGGGATTCACATAGCCAGGCCGGGAGGCGTGGGACGAACGGTGAACGTGGGTTTAGCGGGGTGCCTGCTGTCTCGGAGGTGACGCCTGCTCCGATCGAGGGGTCCGTGCGTCCCGAAAGCTTCGACGTCGAGTTTGTCGTGAGTTTAGCATTTGCCAATTGCACCATCTCATTTGGTTTCTGTACATCTTCCATTTCGTCACTCCTTTGTAGAGGCTCGAATTGTACCAAACATGCCTCCGTTACACCTCTCCAGCACCTCCCGCGCTCTCTACCGCGTCTTCGTAGCTCCCAACCTTCCCACGGCAAGGGCAACCCCGTTAAGAACCCGCAATGTTTCTCTCCTCCCACAGACCACCGTCCGCTCCTTAGTCTACAAGAAGAAAAACGTCCAGCGTCAAGCCCTCAGGGACTACTACATCTTCGACGCTGCCATCGAAGCCACGCACATCAACCTCGTCGACCAAGACGGTCGCTTCCACTCTAGCGTACCCATCAATGAGGCCCTCCGCTCCTACAACCGCGTAACACACCACCTCCTCCAAATGTCCCCCGGCCGCGTTGACGACTTCGGCGTTCCCGATCCCGAGCACCTACCCACGTGCAAAATCATATCGAAAATGGATCTACGCGCCCAGTTCAACAAGAAGCTAGATATCGAGCGCCGGAAAAAAAAAGGGCAGGGTGCGGGGCCCGCGCCGAAAAATCTAGAGCTGAATTGGGCGATTGCGGGGGGCGACTTGAAGCATAGGCTGGAGAAGTTGAAGGGGTTCTTGAGGGAGGGGAGGAAGGTGGAGGTTTTGCTGGGGCCGAAGAGAAAGGGGAGGAAAGCGACGGGGGAGGAGATGAAGGGGGTGCTGGAGGCGGTCAGGGAGGCGATGCGGGAGTGCAAGGGCGCCGGGGAGGTTAAGCAGGAGGGGGTGTTGGGGGGCGTTATGACGCTGGTTTTTGAGGGGAGGAAGATGGAGGAGAAGAGAGAGGAGAAAGCAGAGGAGAGAAAAGAAGAGGTGTAGTGACTACTGGAAAGCCGGTTAGGACACTGCCGTTGTGAAGTACGGAGGAAGTGCTGCAGCAAGAATCCTAGATTGTGGCAGGATGCTACGGCGCAATGATACTGAGGAGCCCCCGCCGAGTCGAGTCGTCAAGGGATAGGCCGTCAATGGGCCAGAAAGTATTGGTGCATAAGCTCCTTGGTGATCAGGACAGCGATGAAGATAGCTTGCACAACTCGGATTTGACTAGATGAACCCCTTCGTCCGTACCTTGGAATAGCGCATGTTATCATGCTATCACGAATCGTATTCATGCCAAAATTGCTTGTATTATACATGCGAGGCTCTGATCTGGTATGGAAGCGGTCTTGCATCCCTATACAGCTCCGTCGCTATGCCAAGCGTACGTACAGTACAAGTACAATTCTTCACAAGTATCCTACACATCCCACTCCTCCTATTCACCGATCATACACCCTCCACCCCCAGTCTCGCCAAGCTCTCCTTCCTCCCCAACATAAGCATAATGTCATATAACCGCATGCCTTCTTTCTGACCTGAAAGCGCCATCCTCAAATACTGATACACCGGCTTGGCACCCTGCCGGCCCTCCGGCCTATTATCAATAATCTCGTGCACCTTCTCCATGAGATCCTCTCGCGTCCAATTCTTCACCTCCGCAAGCATCTTTGCATCTTGCGGGATGCCTTCTGCGCCGGTGAAAGACGATGGGTGTCGGAGGGACGTGAACAGGAACGAGTTGCGGTAGAGGAATTCGTTGGCATTGGTGTAGTTCTCTGCGTCGGCTTGGATGACGCGCGAGATGTATTTTTCGGGGAAGGCGGATCCGATGACTTGCTGCCAGTCTTGGTAGGGCGAATCGGGATCGGTAAGGACGCGGGCTACGTGTTGGACCATTTCTTGTAGGCCTTTGCCGCCGGCTTCGACGCGAAGGGCAGCGTGTTTGCGCTGCAAGAAGTGCAGTTTTCCAAACGTGACGGTTGTGTTCCCCTTCGTAAACTTCAGCGTGAACTTGTCGACTAGGGCCTTGAGATCCATGACATCCGACTTCTTCTGGTGCGACCATCCCAGCAGGGCAGCGAAATTGGTCAATGTCTCGGGGAAGATTTCCATTTCGCGGAAGGCAGATATGTCCGTGTCGAAGTTGCGTTTCGATAACTTGTTCCCCTGCTCGTCCACCAGTAAGCCAACATGGGCGAATTGCGGCGGCGTCCAACCAAAAGCGTTATACATGGCAATGTGCTTCGGTGTCGAAGGCATCCATTCCGACCCACGGATCACATGGGTGATCTTCATGTGATGGTCGTCCACGACATTTGCGAGATGGTACGTAGGCAGGCCGTCGGATTTCAGCAGGATGGGGTCTTCAAAGGCGGACTCCGTGACGTGACCGCGCCGCTTTAGAGGCCTGAAGGCTCCGTATATGAGATCTTCATAGATGGGGTATTGGTCAGGAACCCGGAGCCGTATAACGTGCGATTCGCCTTTCGCTGCTCTGTCATCCGACTCTTCTTTTGGGACGTTGGCACATGTGCGGTCGTAGTCCGTTGCGATGCCCAGCTTATGCCTTTGCTCTGCAAGTGCGTTCAAGCGCTCCGCAGAGCAGAAGCACCGGTATGCATGCCCGTTCTCAAGCAGCCGATGCGCATGTTGCCGATATATTTCGCTCCTTTCCGATTGCTTATATGGGCCATACGGTCCTCCCACCTCTGGTCCTTCATCCCATTGCAGGCCAGCCCACCGCAGGTCGCGGAAGAGGCGCGATTCAGCGTCTGGTATCGTGCGCTTTTGGTCGGTGTCTTCTATCCGGAGGAGGAATTGACCGCCAGTACGCTTTGCAAGGAGGTAGTTGAATAGCGCCGTCCGAAGAGAGCCTAGATGAAGATATCCGGTTGGAGAAGGTGCGAAACGCGTACGGGCCGGTGTAGATGGAAGTGCTGACTTAGACTTCTTTCCTTTGGAAGTTGAGAAGATTGTCCGCTTGGAAGCCTTGACTAAGCGAACCAGACATGATCTGCAGGTATATGCAGGCAATTGAGGCCTGAAAAGCAAGGGAAAGGGCATCCCAAAGTGAGGTAAGAGGTGGTGGAGCTTCCATGTCGCTGTCGGAAATTCATGGGCAGAAAATGCTCACCGCCTTCGGGGGTTCAGTTTCGCCGACGTCACTCCGAATTGGTGGGATCGTCAGTGCCTCTCTGCATCTCCGCATAAGTGACTCGAGATTTTCTCTGAGCGGTTCTTGAACGCCTGTGGATACCTTCACTGTCGTGTTTAGCGCGCCGGATCACTCCTTTCTCCCACAACTCCACCTGTCCAGGTTCAAGAGTAAGGACGCCCGCCTCGTGTTGACAAAGTCCGCTAACGATGCTTGATAAGTGAACGACGTCGACGAGATTGACCTCTATGGTATTTCAGTACATCCCGCGAGATTACGCTCGGTCTAATGAAGACAGAGGTCCTCGGAATCACCAGCGGTGCCTCCAAGGCAGAGATCAAAAAAGCCTACCACAAGGTTCGTTCTCCTCGCCCCAACTCACAGCACCGCCATATCTCTTCGCTCTTCTTTCGGACTGCACGAAATAACCATCGACATAGGCTGCTCTATCGCACCACCCCGACAAAGTTGCAGAACACGAACGCGTGGAAGCCGAAGTCCGCTTCAAAGCCGCGAAGCAAGCCTACGAGATCCTTCACGATGACGACAAGCGCCACCTCTATGACACCCACGGAATGTCTGCCTTTGATCCTTCGCGAGGGGGCGGCATGGGTGGTGAGCCCGACATTGACGATATCTTCGCGCAGATGTTCGGCGGGATGGGATTCGGAGGCGGTGTGCCCGGCATGGGAGGTATGGGCGGCATGCCAGGTGGTCCGGGAGGGAGAAACGTGCCGCGAAAGGGCAGGAGCGTGGAACAGGAGTATGAAGTAACCCTTGAAGAGCTGTACAAGGGAAAGACGACTAAGTTCTCGAATACGAAGAACGTCGTCTGCCATACGTGCAAGGGGACGGGTGGCAAGCAGGGCGCGAAGTCGCATGCTTGCAGCGTTTGCAACGGGCGAGGTATGTTCGCATTTCTGATAGTTTAGGGCACCTTTCGCTAACATCGCGCAGGTATGAAGGCCGTCCTTCGACAAGTAGGCCCCGGCCTGGTCACCCAAGAGACCGTCCCTTGCGGTACCTGTTCCGGCTCCGGAGAAATCATCCCCGAGAAGCAACGCTGCAAGAAGTGTAAAGGAAAGAAAGTCGTGGAATCTAAGAACGTTCTCGAACTCTACATCCCGCGCGGCGCACGGCAAGGCGACCGCATCGTTCTCGCTGGCGAAGCGGATCAACTACCTGACCAGGAGCCTGGCGACATCATCTTCACACTCGAGGAGGCGGATCATGACGTCTTCGAGCGAGCAGGCGCCGACCTAAGAGCAGAGCTGAAGATCAGCCTAGCAGAAGCCCTGACGGGATTCAACCGAGTCGTGCTCACGCACCTAGATGGACGCGGCATTCAGCTCCACGTTCAGCAGCCGAAAGGCAAAGTCCTACGGCCTGGACAGGTTCTCAAGATTCCCGGCGAAGGTATGCCTATGAAGAGGAGTGATGCGAAAGGTGATTTGTACCTTGTTGTCGACATTGAGTTCCCGGAAGACGGTTGGATCAAGAACGACGCTGCGCTGCAGAAGGTCCGCGACGCGCTTCCATCCTCGCCGAAGAAAGAAAGGAAGTCCGAAGAGGTGGACGAGGTGGAGTTCGAGTGGGACGCCGACATGGACGACTTCGGGGCAGGGAGCGGTGATCCCCGCGCGGCCGGCGATTGGGAGGACGATGACGAAGAAGGCGGTCCTCAGTGCGCGACGCAGTAGTCGCGCTGACGATGTCACGTTCTTGCATTGGATGGCGTTGGCGGTATCTTTAATGTCCCAGATACTGAGCCGGATTCCCGCTTGGTGCTTTGTATAGATTTTGGCTATTGTGGATATGGATTGTGCTAGATATGTACGCGCTGATATCTGCTTCAGGTGAGCGGATGCGTCTATGAGCATACAAAAGATCTTCGGTACTCTTATACCTCATTCGAGTTTGCTAAATGATTCGTGTCACCTTCTTGAGCTTTGGTTCGTCTTCGCAACAGCCACGTAGGTATTATTGACTCCCAATTCTTTTAGACAATGTGCTAATCCTTCTCTATGATAGAAGGACGAGAAAGCCTTTTGCTGTGCGTCACGCTTCGCTCCACGAACTGCACCAAGGACCGCTTGCAACGCCATGGATCCGGCGATACGATACGACCTTGCACTCTGCTCCTTCCCCTACCGCCCACCATCTAATGTCCCTCAACCCATGGCGCAGTGGAATCTCTGGACCGACGCTACCTCGGTCATTGTTGCCTCCTCGGCGCCCGACGGGCTGAGGGAACCAATACGTCCAACGCAACGGCTCCAATATCCGCGGAGTGGTGAGCCACTCTCAACATGGACACCATCTTCTATTTCTTTCCCAACTTCTCTACACAGCCCGTGGGACCTTGTTCCTGTGGTCTTCGGCCTTGCTTCTGTGGTCTTCGTGACCAACCTTCGTCGCCGGTCTTAGGCTTCATGTGCGCCTGCCTTGCGGAAGGATCAAGCGGATCGAAAGTTCGGTTCAGCACCCAGGAGAAGACCGCAGAATGAGCATGGCCAGTAGCTCGGCCAAGGTGATTTTTTAACCATGGAGCTGGTGTGCGGTGGAGGATGGGCAATCTTTAGGCTATGCCATTGTGAACCGTGCGCTCGAGAAGCATTTGGGTCGAGAGGTGGATAGTAGAGTACTATACTTAATAAGACGGCTGATGGAGCGTTAAAAGGTGTCGCAGAGAACATAGTTTCACTGCTGTACTTATCTGAGTCGACAAGGTCTCGCAAGTGGGAAGAGGATCATGAGCTGAAGTAACAGAGGCGCAGGCCAGATATATACTTCACCAAATGTTCTACTTCAGTCATGCCCTAAAACATGGTCTACTATATAAGCACCCGTGGACGTTCCCGGCTCTTTATTTCTATGGTGAACTTGACTCTACGCCCGAGGGTGCAGTCGTAGAAAGGGAAGGTTGTACCGAAAGATCTATGCGGGTCGATCACCCGCTTCGCTAATCGTGGTAGGTAACATCGGAGGAAGTCGCAGCCGACAGCGGCCCAACGGTTGTCCATGTGCACGTCACGACTTCAACCGAAACTCAGAGCAAACATCGCTTCAGTTATATAGCCCCTGGACCCCCGCGCAAAAAAAAAAGCGTCAAATCCTAACGAAAGACCCAAGAGTGGGGACATGCTACGCAAGATGGAGAGAGAGGTCGATCTCCTAATCCTAGGCGCAGGATGGACGTCTACATTTTTGATACCATTGCTGGATAAAGAGGGCGTTCCGCATGCAGAGACCACAACCGCTGGAAGAGACGGAACCATCCCCTTCAAATTCGAGCCCAACTCCTCCTCCACCGAGCCCTACACGCGCCTTCCCGCCGCCCGCACGATCCTCATCACCTTCCCGCTAACCGGCCATAACCAATCCTCCCACCTAACTAGCCTCTACCGCAAAACCCACGGCACCGCAAACCACTGGATCCAGCTCGGCTCGACGGGCATTTTCAACAAGCTCGAAGGCTGGAACGATGAGACGTCGCCGTATGATGCTAGCGATGCCCGAGCGATCGCCGAGGATGAACTGAGAGAATGCGTGGGCGGTTGTGTGCTCAATCTAGCGGGGCTGTACGGCGGGAAACGCGAGCCCAAGAATTGGGTTCCGCGGATTGCAAAGACCAAGGAGGATGTGAGGAAGAGGAAGGCGGTGCATTTTGTGCATGGGGAGGATGTTGCCCGCACCATTCTTCTCACGCATCGCAAATTCACGCCGGGAAAGAGGTGGATTATTACAGATCTAAGGGTGTATGATTGGTATGACTTGATTATGAGTTTTAGTGCACTGGCGGAGGGGGAGGAAGAGGTAAAAAGAAAGACAAAATTGAAGTTCGTGAAGTGGGTTGGCGAGCTGATGATCGAGGAAGGTGTGCGGGCGCTGCCGAGGAGTGTGGAGAGTTTGGGGAGGGTGTTGGATTCGAGGGCCTTTTGGGAGACGCATGAGTGCTGGCCCGGGCATCCGAGGCTTGCGTAGGGAAGGGAAGGGGGCCGCGGAAGGAGGGGGTATTGCTGGCTCGAGGTATGCATTGGTAGGAGGCACCGGGGGTCTTCGGGATGGGTCATCGCTGGCTCGCAGAATCTCGTGGGGAAAATATTCTGAAGGCGTCCGGTCTAGGTATTGGGCTCACGAGCTGTTGTCGGTCGAGGTGATTCAATGGGATGTGACCGCGGCATCGGCGATCTCCAGGGTATGTAATGGCTCGGTCGAAGTAACATAGGTAAAGCCTACCGAAGACCTTCAGGCTGATGGATGGCGTTTCGATACACCGAACTGTTTTGGTATGTTGAGGCCATCCGTCCATGGACATGGCCGTTCCCCACACCTTAGATGTTACCGGATATATAAGGCGTCATAACTGAAAGAGCAGAAGGATTGGATCCTTTTGCTCCGGATATTAGACGTTCGATCCGAGCTGCTTCATTCTTCCAAACATTGGCTTTGTTCTTGAAAAATTTCATCTCAGAATTTGATACCGAGCGAGGGCTTGAACTGCATAAATCTCTTCAATTTCCTGTCCTCTTTACTCTCCATCCACCTCTTCTCTACCTCTCACCCACGCAGTTCTGCACTCTTGTGCTCTAACTACACTTCTACTTTTGACTTACCACTCCGTGATTACGTCTCACCTTCATGATGGATCCCTTTACCGCTTTTCCGCTGCCTCTGGTCCGTTCTGGCCTCGTTGTAGTGTGGCCCGCTGGCTCCGACCAGCCGCAGTACTTCCCCAACACGCTGATCACCTTGGACGTGGTCTGGAAGCACTGGACCAATCCAGACGGAACCCGCACGGCGATTGACTACATGGACGACGGGGGTCCCACTCCGCTGCTGGTCGAGTACGACCTCACCACCTGGCAGTACCTTGGCCCTGGTTGGGGTGCGAATTTCGGCGTGGGTAACTTCCAGGCTGGACTGCCGGCCGCTGGGCACTACCAGACCACGGCATTTTGGCCGCCGCCTGCTGGCTTTGACTACGAGGATGCCGCCGTGAGGGCTATGCAGGCTTTTTACGCTGGTCCAGCAGCAGTGAGTCGGCCGGCGCAGGGAACCAGTAGCCGGGAGGCCGCCAGGGCACAATCCGTTGCTGGTCCGGGCCAGCAACAGCACGAGGTCATCACGATCCCGGACGACGAGGACGAACAGCTGGCCCCCGCCCCAGCCCCAGGCCTACTCACCCCTGAGTCTCTTCCCCCGCCGGCGCCGGTGCGAAAGGGCCCTCCTAGTGCGCTGCCCGAGCGCAAGAAGCACCTCCGGGGTACTGTCCGAGACCAGGAATCTTGGTTCCGCTAGTTTAGGTCTTTCTGTGACGCGCCCGTCAAGGAGCAGCGCGCCTTCTGCGACAAGTACTGGCCAAGCAACCAGGCCGCGCTCGAGCACGTCGAGTACCTTGGTCCGCTCTTCTTGGACTTCGACACCAGTAAGATCTACCTGTCCTCCTGGGACAGCTTGAAGGTAACTCCCGTCCTGAACGGTAAGAAGGTCGTGTACGAGAAGGTGAGGGCTGCGGACGAGCAGAAGTTGCGGGAGAAGAGGAGTGCGGATCTCGCACTCCTTAATGGACTGGGAACAGCAAAGAATGGGGATGAGTGGAAGTGGAAGGCGAAGAAGAAGGGAAAGAAAGAGGAGCGAACGAACAAGCGGGTCAAGGTCAGCGGGCGGGGCCAGCCTACTATCTCGCTGGTAACGCCTGAACCCGAGCAGCCACGCCCGCACCCTCCGACGCCAGATCCGGAGGTCGATGCAGAGGGCGACGACGACTCAAATGCCGCCATGCTGCAAGAGTTTGCGGCGGTGAGGGGCGAGGTGGGTGCCGGGGTAACTTCCCCAGCAGCTGAGCAGAGCACGGTGGAGGTCGGTGATGAGGACGAAGGGTTCGATGCGGTCATGCTCCAAGAGTTCGCAGCGGTGAGGGGCGAGGTGGAGGAGTGTGATGGTGAGGAAAATGAAGAGGAAGAGGAGGAGTAGAGGAATGCTGGTGGACGTGCTTGTTGGATGATGTTTCCTTGCTCTTGATGATGCGTTCGTGACTTTTATACCCGATATCCCTCTTTGTATCTAGTTGCTATTTTCTTTCGATTTTGAACTCATCCTGTCCATCGCGACTTACCTGTGAGGCGTGGAATCGAATTGACTCAGCTTTATGCCCCGAAGGCCTCCAGGCTGCCGCATAAGTTAAACTTGAGAATCGCTGACCCGACATCGCATAGTGCGCTGAAGGCCTTTAGCCTACCCCATTCAAAGTCAGAATTGAAACAACGAAGTGTCGCGACCGATTCAGAATTTCCCAGATCATGGTGCGAGGAGAGGGATCGTGCGGGATCGACCTACGGACCAAGTTAACTCACACTCCTTGCAACACACTAAGCATATCGAGAAGTATATCACTCAATTGAACAGTACTCTAAAAAGCCGCCAGAAACCATGTATCCATATCTAATCCTTGTTCTCGGCGACATTCCTCACGTGACACTTTCCCACGTGCCCTCGCTCCGCGCTAAAACCCCACGCGACGCGTCTCTTCCCACCAAAGCCCTCACTACCCCCTCGCACCTACCACTACCACTCCACCTCAACTCACGCCAGCACCACCACATCCCCTCACGACTCCGCCGCCTCATCCACCAAACCAACACTTGAAAGCAAGAAAAACCACAAGACAATGGACCACCCCCAAACCCCCCGCATCCTTGCCCCGCACCTCCAATCCTTCCAGCACAAGCTCGTCCGCATGCTCGGCAAAGTCGTCCAACTGCGCGGCGAAACCGCCGTCATTGACGCAGGCGGGAATGTCGATGTGATATTGAACCGGGTAAGCTTCAACCATGCCCTTTTCCCCGTTCTCTCTGTCCATTGGAGGGCACGCGCCTTTTAAACAGAAAGGGGAGGGCAGGGAAGAGCTTGAGGAGTAAGAATGGGAAGAGTAATGAGCATTTATCTGACATGAGAACGCGCGCACAGGACTGCCATCTAGCGATCGGCCACGCTGTCGAGATTATCGGCAAGGTGGACGGGAATCTGAACGTCAAGGTGCAGGCTGCGACGGACTTTGGGACGAACATCGGTATTTTCAACCTCGCATTCTCACTCCTTCAATTCCTTGCTCTTTTACCACGGATGCCACAGATGATTTGCTGCCCCTGGAAAAAAAGAGCGTGTAAGGGCTAGATGGCGGGCTAATGTATATTCAGATTTCAACGCCGCCAACGCAGTAGTGGAAGTTACGCATCGGCACAAGGAGATTTTTTACGACGGAGACTGAGCGGGTACACGGCTCCGGTTCCGCAGAGCCGGGCTAAAGATGTAATGGAGGCGAGTATGCGGCCATATGATGGGTGTTGGCCAGCGGATAGCTGATGACTTCGTCTCGACATGAGCACAAGTATCGCCAACGAAAGAAAGGCAGGAGCGGATGTAAACGACTCAAAGCATGCAGACGGCGAATGTATATGTGTATATGTCCCCATGCTAAAATCCAAAAAGCACCGCTTTCCAGCACCTTGCGTGGTCTAAATAGGTATCTCATATCCACGGCTCCGGCGCCCGCACCTACACCTCAGAACTCCTCCAAATATCCCAAAATGTCCAAGCCAACCCATATACTAATGATTACTGCCTCCACTTTCGCGAAGTACGCCGGCCAATTGCACTCAAGGAACGAGGTCAAAGCTTACTTCTCACGCCCTCCAGCCGAAACTTGACGTCCTTCAGCTGCTTCCCATTCGGTTTCCACGCCTCAAATAGGCTGAGTAGCTCTTCCACCTCCCTACCAAGCTCCTTCTTCACAAAATCCTCTTCCAGCAGACCTCTCATAGCCCAGGGCAGGAAGAACGGATTTTGACTCCCTCCACCCGTACTGTCATACTCCTTCACATGTAACTTATACACGTTCTTCGTATCATACTTCGTGCCCGGAACGGGGATATTGATGCCGGCGAAGGAGGCTGCTGTGGAAGGGCGGGCTTGCTGGGGATTCACGGGTAGCGACGTGGTTTCAAGCGCGTGCTGAATAGCAAGATGATACACGCACGGGTCCTCGTAGACGCGGGAGTGGCCTTCGCCGCCGTAGAGCGAGCCTGCGAGTGCCGGGGAGAGTTCGCGGATAAGGCCGTGGTCGGGGAGTCCGAGATTGCGCATTTTGAGCGTGAAACCGACGAGATGGGTTAGGAAGTCGGGTGCATGGATGCGCCCGTCGACGAAAACGGCACGATAGATGTAGGGGTGGCAAAGTGTGGAGAAGGTTGAGGACTAAGTTCTTTTAGTAAGCGGTGATGCAGTGGGATAGAGATGAGCTTACCTCTAGTGAGACGAGCTGGTCGTCGATGCTGCCGACATAGAGTATTCGCACGCCGAAGCGCAGCACCTCGTCTAGCCCGGCGAGGTACATCTGGCTGACCAGGCTCTTCGGGTTCGAAAACTCGAATAGTTCCGCCGCCGTTGGGCCAAAGTACTTTGTCTTGTACTCGATAAACGGGCCCATGTTGACACCTGCCATGGCGCAGACACCTATCCTTGTTGCGTTGACGCAACCAAATTGGATCAGCTTCGCAACGAGCATGATGGCTACTGGTACGCCCTGGGAGTGACATGCAACAAGGATGAAGTCAGCAGCTTTGATATGCTCAATCCAGTTGAGCATAAGCTTCCATAGCGTTTTCACCCGATCTGCTATGAAGCCCTCGCCCTCCAACGCAATCTGCTCAATTTCCGGCGTATACCCGCGACCTTCGCACCAATCCTTGATAGCCGCTGCAGCGGCATTCGCGAAGCGTATGGAAGTGCCTTTCGGTTGCCCGATCACTTTCTGAAAGATAGGCGCGGGGAAGTAGCCGTGGATACCAATTGCGACAGCCTTCTTCACACGAGGCGGTGCAGGATTTATGTGTAAATGAGGCATTGCAGCCTCTCCCCCAAGAAAATATTGACGTATTTGCTGCCAGAAGGACGGCTGTTGTACTAGCTGGTACGTGCTTGTAAATTCAGGAAGGATGAGATTCGGAGGTTCCAGTGCCTTCGTTGCTTGCTTTGGCGCAGGCTGAGCCGCTGGCGCAGTTTCTTGTCGAGTGGGTGACCGCTCGGGGCTGGTCTTCGAAGGCGTGGCAGCCTTGCTAGAGCTCGGCGTATCTGCGGGAGTATCAGTTTGGGCGCCCTTGGCCTTCCGTCGCCCACGTAAGGATCGAAAAGACTTCTTGGGAGCAGGCTCTGTCTCTTCTACAGCTGGCTGTGTTGGTTCTTTAATGGCATCAGGTTTAGGCTGCTCTTGCTCATTGAACTGGGCAGGCTCTGGACGCGATTGAGAAGGTGTATCTGACACTGCTACTTCGCCAATGTGCTTCTGCGATGCCCCTTCAGCTGGCTTGTCCTCTGTCTTCGGCTTGTCTCTGTACCAGAATGCCCAGCCAGATGACTTTGGTAGTTCCTTCGGCTCCGCTCCGTCACTTGCAGTAGATGGTGGCTCTGGGACGGCAACCGGCTCCTGGGGCTGTTGAGTTTCTGCTGCGGGTTCTGCAACGTCCGGCTTTGTTGCCGAATCACTACCCGCAGGAGCCGGCTTAGGTGGATTCGTCTGCACGTTTTGCGTGCTGCTCCACAGCCAGAACCACGACGAAGTAGACGCATTTTTTGACGGCATCTCTTTAGAGGGCGCATCTTTCATTTCCGTATCCTCGTCTTGCGGTGTCACTGCCGGCGCATCCTTCATTTCGGTATCCTGGTTCTGAGAATCGTCTTGACCCTTAGTATTGCCAAGCTCTTTGGTTGCTTGATCTGCTTCCTCCGATGGCGTCGGCCCCGGTAAGGGAGTCGTCTGCGCGGCGTCTGTGCCCGGCGTGCTATCTTTCCCAGACTCTGAAAATCCATCAGGCCGAGACCACCAGCTTCGCCAGCCCCATGTGCCTGCTGTCTCCTTTGGCTCATTCTTCTTCGCCGGATCTGGTGGTAACGGTGGCTCGTCGGCGTTCGGCGGCGGTGGCTGCTCTTTTGGCGGTTCGTCCGGATTGGCTTCCTGTGCCTGGTCTATCGGACCGTCCGATGAGACGTTCAGCTTGGTCATGGAGGCCGGTATTGCATCGCCTTTGCTGGATTTGCGTTTCGTAAGGAACTTGGTCGGTGACTGGTCCTTTGGCTTCTTAGCCTCCTCAGCAGGTAACTCGGACGTGGCACCACCACTGACCCCGATAGTCTCCTTCGCGGTTTTGACCATTGCTGGCGCCTTGGACCGCCAGCTCCCTGATCCGCCCAGCCACTTTCGACTGCCCTTCTTATTTACCGCTTGCTCGCCGGAAGCTGTGCCATTTGAGGCGGACGTGGCAGTCGAGTCTGCTAGCGACTTGCTCGACGGAACATCCTGCAGGACCTCGCTGTCGTTTGGCGTGCCTGAGGCGCTCGCCGCTGCGCTGCCGCTGCTTTCGGCGGGGGCCTCGGGGCCTGTGCTATTGTTGTCGGCGTCTGCCTTGGGATTGGGCTTTGACTTCTTGCGTGGGCTCATTCCAGCGTCCGAGTTCGAGCGTTCGAGCAGTCGGAATGGCCTCTGCCGCGGGCTGTCAGTATCATCAAAGCAGAGAAGGAGGGTGAGTTGTCAGTTGCATACCTTCAGTCTGGCAGTGGACCAGGCCATGGCGAATGACGCACGTTGATGCCCTGTGCGCTCTCATTAGCGCGCTTTAGCATCAGCTGCTACAGCCACAGCGCCAGCCTCATGCACCAGCCACATGCACCAGCCATATGCAGCCCACCGAAATTTCAAAGCCGCCAAGATTTCGACCTCTGGTCCCTGCACGTTTTTGTTTCCCGCTGCACAACGACACTGTCATTCCAGAACGCCCAACGCGGTTGGGTCTGCCACCGCCAGCCATGGCTATCCAGAAAAAGCACGGCAAAGGCCGCCTCGACAAATGGTACAAGCTCGCGAAGGAGAAGGGCTACCGGGCACGAGCGGCATTCAAGTTGATCCAGCTAAACAAGAAATTCAACTTCCTCGAGAAGAGCAAGGTCCTCATCGACCTATGCGCCGCCCCGGGGTCATGGGTAAGAGCTCCTTGGACAAGCACGGAACATCTGCTAACACATTACGCAGTGCCAGGTCGCCGCTGAAGTTATGCCCCCGAATTCGCTAATCGTCGGCGTCGACCTCGCTCCCATAAAAGCGATTCCGCGCGTAATAACCTTTCAGTCGGACATTACCACCGACAAGTGCAGGGCCACCATCCGCCAACACCTGAAGACTTGGAAAGCAGACACGGTTCTCCATGACGGCGCTCCCAACGTTGGTACCGCGTGGGTGCAAGACGCCTTCACGCAGGCAGAATTGGTGCTTCAGTCTATGAAGCTTGCCACGGAGTTTCTTGTAGAAGGTGGAATATTCGTCACAAAGGGTTAGTGGTCTCACCCTGGGAAGTTGCGATAAACGCCGTACTAACTGCTAATCAAAGTGTTCCGATCCAAGGACTACAATGCCCTGCTGTGGGTCTTCAACCAATTGTTCACCAAAGTTGAGGCAACGAAACCTCCGTCGTCAAGGAACGTATCGGCCGAGATCTTTGTTGTTTGCAGAGGATACAAGGCACCAAAGAATTTGGATCAAAGATTTTTAGACCCCCGTAGCGTGTTCGCTGAGCTCGCTGATCCAACACCAAACAACGAGGCAAAGGTCTTTAAGCCCGAGGTGAAGAAGCGTAAGCGGGAAGGGTGAGTCTCGTTGCGGAATGCGCATTTTCATCGGCATAGCAGGACTAATTATAGCAGTTACGAGGAAGGCGACTGGACCCAATTCAAGGAAGCGCCCGTCAGCGAGTTCATCCAGACAACTGACCCCATCGCCATGCTTGGGAGCCTGAACAAGTTGAGCTTTGAACAGACACCTAACGGAAATGTCGCCATTGCCACCATCGATAAGCTGCCCGAGACCACTCAGGAGATCCGGAATTGCTGCGCGGATTTGAAGGTCCTCGGCCGAGCCGACTTCAAACGTTTGCTGCGATGGCGGTTGAAAGTGCGGGACATCTTTGGCTTTTCGTCTAAGAAAAAGGAAAAGGAGGCCGCTGAAGCCGCGGAAGCGGAAGAGGTTGCGGAGGTCGAGTCAATGGACGACGAGATGAAAGTGCTAGAGGAGATGGAGCGCCTCGAAGAGCAGGATTCGCGGAAGAAGAAAAAGCAGAGGCGCCAGGAAAATGAAAAGAAGCAAAAAGAGATCATCAGGATGCAGATGAACATGACTACGCCCTTCGAGATCGGATTGGAACAGGCAGGCCCCCAAGGAGATGAATCTATGTTCGCGCTGAAGGCGATCGACAAGGCGGGAGCATTGCCGAAGATCGCGCGGGGCAAAATGGCCACGATCGTAGAACGAGAGAAGTCCGATGAGTCGAGCGACGAACAAGAGGAGACGACCGACGAAGAGGAGGATGATCTAGAACGCGAATTAGACCACATGTACGAGACATTTGTGGAAGAGAAATCCGCAAAGGATGCTAAATGGCGAGCAAAGCGAGCCAGGAAGGAGGATGAAGATGGGGAATGGCATGGATTTTCCGACTCAGCCAAGGACGACAGCAGCGACGAGGAGCTAGTGGAGGACGACGACAGTGATACTGACGACGAAGACGCCCCGATCGCGCTCATCAAGGACCTCGACGGAGAAGGGAGCACAAGCAGTGGTCTCACCAAACGCGCCAGCAGATTCTTTGACCAGGACATTTTCAAATCTATAGATGGCCTGGATGGTCTGGACGAAGATAATGAAGACAGCGGCATCGACGTGGAAGGCGAAGTCGAGGAGACACCACCAGTCAAACTAGTGCAACAAGGGCCGGCCAAGAAATCGAAGGTCCCCTCACCTCCAGCCGAAGATTCTGACGATCCTTCCGAAGAGACAGAGGGAGAAGACGGCATTGAAGAGGTAAAGCGCGACGAGTCACAGTGGGAGCAAGACGACACTCCGATGAAGAACGGTCGTCCAGACATAGACATAATCACCGCGGAGGCCATGACTCTCGCTCACTCGCTAGCAACAGGGTTCGTTGTCGCTAATTCACTGCTTGGTGGACGCTTGCTAACATATTACACAGAGCAAAGACGAAAGCCGAACTCCTCGACGACTCGTTCAATCGGTACTCCCTCCGCGACAAGGAAGGCCTACCCGACTGGTTCCTCGACGACGAAAACAGGCACTCCAAACCGCAACGCCCTATTACCGCAGCAGCTGCTGCAGCAATCAAAGAGAAGATGCGCGCCTTCAACGCCCGCCCCATCAAGAAAGTGCGCGAAGCTAAAGCGCGCAAGAAATTCAAGGCGGCGCAGAGGCTCGAGAAGCTGAAGAAGAAGAGTGCGCTGCTGGCGGATGAAGATGGTATGACGGAGAAGGAGAAGGCGCAGCAGATTGCGCGGTTGATGAGCAGGGCGGCGAAGAAGAAGCCGAAGCGCAAGGTGCAGGTTGTTGTTGCTAGAGGCGGGAACAATGGTATCAAGGGCAGGCCAAGGGGAACGAAGGGCAAGTACAAAATGGTGGATAAGAGGTTGAAGAAGGATGTCCGCGCGGAGAAGCGGTTGAAGAAAAAGAGCAAGTGAGATATGGTAAATGTCCACTGGATCAATGAAACTTTCGAGCTGAGGCTCTATGACACTGGTCGCTCCTTTTGATTGCAGAGGTCTTCAGCTATCATGGTCCCGGTGCTTCACCCACTCGACCGCCATCCGCTACGGACTAGGACTTCGACTCTTTCCAGCAACCTCGCCATGCCGTCCGTCTGATCGGTTCCCGGTGTCCCATTCAGCAGGACCGTGTATCTGGACATATCCGTAGCCGTCAAGAGCCGGTCATCGTAATACTGCTCATTGGCATTGATGACGGGATTGGCCGAGGAGAGACGAGAGGACTGCGCTGATTCGTACCTTGACGCCAAAACGGGAGACGGTTAGCCTATATTGCTCAACGACAACTGCGCCGTATTCATCATGTCTGGGATGCCGGATGCGACCGAAGGATGTAGTAGCCAACTCTAAGGTCTGCCCCGATGACCCCAAGGCAAAACACAAGATCTTACATACAATACCACCGCAACATAATTCGGCACGCCTCCCGCGCCAGCCGTCTGTTGCGATCTCACAATCAAGTTGGGGTACGTCGGGTACAGCGTCGCGAGGTGCGCTAATCGGGAAAATGAGCACGCGAGCCAACTAGCCTCCGCCAGCCTAACCCTAACCTAACACAACCCAGCCCTGCATGAACAAGCGGACTTACTGCGTATCTGAATGTATATGTCTCGGCGGCCTCGCGCGGCTTGTCGAGCGGCCTCGCGCGCGGCAATGTCATCGGAGGTGGTGCTGCTTGTGCGTCGCCATGTCGGTGCCATTGACTACTAGTTCGAGATCGGTGCGTGCGGGAGAGAAGCTTGAAGAAAGCTTGCGCGGGCTTCGCAGCGCAGCCTGGAGCCCAGGGCTATATTGGATTGCGGGAATTTTGGCGTTCGCTGCATATTTGGCGCGCAGCAGGGATTGTTGGACGGGGTAATCCGGGGTAACACGCTGAGCTAAAGGGAATGGCTTGCTTGCTTGCTTGCGCTGCGGCCTGGCGGCTGTTTGATTAAGGGTCTGAGGTGGAGTAGAGCATGCAGGCGCGGGAATGGCATGATGGGCACGTGATGTAAAGTAAATGGCGCATTGCGTAAGATGAGTGTAGCTCGGTAATTGAGGTTGGGGTGATTGGAAGGGAAGGTTGGTGAGGGGAAACGTAGGACGAGGGTGGCTGTGCGCAGTGGTACATTGTGTTTTGATTGCTGGTAGAAACTCGGGGGATTTTCTAGCTAGATAGACGCATAGAAGAAATGGCTATGGAGTTCAATAGCCAAATGAGAATTGAACTAGCTCGGGAATGGGTGGATCTGTTCCCGTGCTCCACGGCTGTGGAGGATAGTAGGTCCATGGTGGAGGGAGTGTCGGAGTAGCTGGTCGGCCGCGAATAGGTTGTGCGCGAATGACACCGGTTTTAATATTCGGGGACTTGAGCTCCGGAAGCGTCGAACCCTTAGGGTTGGCTCGAGTTGCAGTCTTCGTTGATTTTGGAGATCCTAGGTTAGAGGTTGAGATCGCATCGATGCTGTTCTGAGCGTCAGAGACGAAGTAGCCGAAAATAGGGGACAGCGGCCAAAAAAAAATTTACCTAGCCTGCTTGCGCTTGTACAACATCTTGTCTCCATGGCAGTGGTAGTTGCACGGCCGTGCCTGGGCCCAAAGAGGTGTCGGATTGAGGATTGAAACCATGCAAACGCTGCCCAGGCCCCGGGCCTGCGGACCCACATTTTGCGCCTTTCCCGTTTAGGGCAACCACGATGACAAATGCGGAGCTTGTGTATTCTTGCTTCCGCTTTCAACCCCACTTTCTAGGTTCCCATCATCATCGAACTCTTCGTGGCACTTCATATAAAGCTGACATGACGGCTCTTCCAGACTTTCTAACGTATTTGACTTCGCCGATTTATGCAAGCTCCGTCCGCCTTGAAGCTCCTCCATCAACATAGTCGACACCTGCACGCCATGGCCAGCAACAGCGAGTTAGTAAATCCTTTACCTACTCTTCAGCGATCTAACGCCTTCCAGTCTCGTGAAGCTTGCGCAGAAGCTCACAGCAGATGGCCCGCACAAGATGCAATCGACCCCTCGCCGGGTCCGAGGCCTACTAAACGGCAAATACGCTTTCGATACCATCAATGCCTATCATGTTTGGGAGCATCCCTATTACCCCCAGTATGCTAGTCCTCACCACCATCGCCACCTTTGTTTACCTCGTCGTCCTAAAATGCCAACAGATTCTACGTTCCAGTATCGAGCTTCACACCCGACGCCAAAATCACAAAAGCCTCTCCTGTAGACGGGACGAACGGGGCAACCCACCTCGGGCGGCTGTCCGTCGGAGACAAGAGCACAGAACGAGTACTCATGTTCAGTTCAGGCTCCTTGAAAGACCTCGTCAAGGTTGAATTCAAGGAGATGGACCAATGGTTCGAAGAAGACGTCCCCATCTACCAGCATCCCAAGGATCCATACAAACGCATCGACATCTTGAACTCCACTCGCCCCGTCAAGGTCGCACTAGACGGCGTCACTCTTGCCGAGAGCCCCAATCCCCTGTTTCTCCTGGAGACTTCGCTGCGTACGCGGTATTACCTACCCCCCACCAGCGTTAAGTGGGAGTATTTGTCGAAGAGCGACAGCGAGACGTACTGTCCATACAAAGGGAGGGCGAACTACTATAACGTTACGATAAACGGAAAAGAGCACAAGGACTTGGTGTGGTACTACAGGTACCCAACAGCGGAGAGCGCGCCCGTTGCCGGGCATCTTTGTTTCTACAACGAGAAAGTGAATATTTGGGTCGACGGCGTTATGGAGCAAATCTAGTGAGAATCCAGTTTAGCACTTAGTATGGAATTTCCGCCTACAGTCAGGGTGGCGGCCTTCAATCGTTGCCTTCAATCGTTCAAAGGCGGCTGCTTACAACTTCTACTCTCTCTATGCGCTTCGTGTTACGAGACCTGTACCCTTCGTTCAAGAGCTCAAGTCCTCACCTGCGGCAAGAATCTCAATGAAAAGACGTGACAGGAGCGCGTAGCCTAGCTAAAGGAAGTCGCCATAAGGCACCTGGCAGGAGGACTGCAGGTGGAGTATTGTTTACCTAACTGTTGAGGATCACGTGTTAATCACGTGATGCGCCAGTACTGGTTGTACTACGTATACCTTGGTATAGCCAGAGCTCTCAGCTCTCTTACAATCCACAATGTTACCACTCAACTTTCTACTTCAACAAAAACTGTAAGCACGGTAGCTGCAAGCGCCAGTTCTTTGAGAAGGGGACTTGTCAAAAGAAAGCGTGCTCGATGGCGCATCTGGTTCATCGACGAATGAAGCGCTTACCGCTTGGCCGACTCTGCCTCCCGCCGAGAAATACGCCACGAATAGCATAGGGAAATTGAATTGCAAGCCCCGTCTCGTAAGCAAAACGCGCTAGCTAGTACCTATGACTAAAAATGAACAAAGTCATCCCAATCACTGTCTTGAAATGGACGACCAAGCAATGCCATCGCGAACAATATCGTCGGCGCCGGAACAAAGTTCTGCCATGGCCTGGCCGTTTCCGAAAGCGGTCCCCTGAAACGGTCGGTCCGCGGCGGAGCTGACGCGCTCTTGGCGGGGAGGATTTCTCGGCAGGAGACAGAAATATTGGCCAAGTGGGCTTCGCTCGCAAGCGCCTCGCGAAAAGCATTAGCAGGAGACAGGAGAGATGGAAAATGGACGGACGAAGACGGCACGTGGTGGTGTGAGGTTGGAATTGGCTCGGATCGGCGGCGGGAGAGTTAACCGAGCCGGCTTTTCGTGACCACAACAACGCGACCTCCTCGTGTCTCCTCGACATTACAGTATTATTGCTTTCTCCATGCGTGTTTCCGTTGCAGCCCTAGATCGCCACGCTCGCTCTTCCACTCCAACGCACGGCAATGGCACCACCTGACAGCCTGCCCCAGAGCCAAGGGCGCGGGCTGCTCGCCTCCTCAGCCAAGCAGGTGTGCTGGCGCGATGGGCTCGTATTTTGAGTTACATGACTTTTCGACGGCGCTATTCGAACTCTTGCGAGCCTGCGGAGTACGAGATCAGGAGAGGCGCTGGACGGGCTGCGTTCTGCACGCTGAGATTGCGCATCCGCTCATCCACTCCGCTAGGAACACAGCACTGCCGCAGACTCGCAGAGGACGTGCGAGGCACGGAAACAGGCCAATTGGATGCCGCGTCGTTCTCGCCATGCGTCCCCGCTGCCAAGAGCAACATCCCGTCCAGGGGCAGACTGGGCTGGTCGCTGCCCTGCCGCTAGCAGCGCCACATAGCCTAAACGAGCCCTGCCTTGCAGAATTGATCGTCAACGCCTGGCCGCCGTCTTGCCCGAAATAGCAGCCATAGGCCCATCACGCCGAGGAAATCGTGGGCATGGGGTCATGCACGCGCCGCCGCGTCGGGGCGCGAAATATATTATAGAGCGGACTTCTGCCCTAGGGGGCCCTTCACGAGTCCTTCGTCCTCTGCCCCCTCGCGCCAACTTCCCCGGGTAGAACCCCCAGTTCCTGGAAGTCTTCGTGACTTCTGTACATTCGCTTTTTCTTGTCTCTCGCTTTGTGCCCCTACACTATGCGTACATTTACCTTAATAGGCCTTGTGGCCGCACTCGCCAGCCGTGCTTCGGCCGCCTGCAGCTCGGCGCTCAAGATCGACGACTTCTCCAAATGGTCGAGCAATACCAACAGCTTGGGCGAGTGGACCAGTGGTAAGTGTGCCATTGGTTGGTTGACAGCTCCCGCTTACCGTTCCAGACGATGGTTCCATGAGCACCATCTCGGCCAGCGGCGGCGTTCTGTCGTTCAAACCCAAGTCCGGCTCCTACTTCTACGAAACATTCTCGTGCCAGGCCGCTTCTTCCAATGGCTATAACTCTGTACAGTTCACCATCAAGGGTCCTGCTGGCGGCTCAGCCACGCTTGAGATCCAGACGCAGAGCTCGTGCTCGGCTACCAGCTATACGTCCTACTACACGCAGGTCTCTAGTTTGACCGGAAGCTCGCAGACCATCACCGTTCCTCTCAGCTCGTTCTCTGGTGCCAATGCCAATGCCGTCACTGCTTTCGTCTGGTCCGGCTTTTCCTCCACCACCGCTACCTGGCAGCTTAGTAACATCCAGTTCGGCTGCGGCGGCACTGCAGCTTCCTCCACCAAGGCCCCGTCGTCCACCAGCAAGCCAGCCACGTCCACCAAAGCGTCCACCTCGGTTTCAAAGGACGCAGTCTCCAGCACGCGCACCACCCTAGTCACCTCCGTTCAGCCCACCGGCACCTGCGCTCCCCTGGTCATCGACGACTGGATGTCCCAGTCGCGTCTGACTTTCTTGTACTACAATGCCATGCTTGAGCCTTCCTCTGATGACGCCACTATGACCTCGCTCGTGGTCGGTTCCCCGAGCAAGAACCGCGTCACCATTACCCCGAAGAACACGGATTCGTACTTCTATTCCCAGCTGGGCTGCACCAACGCGAAGAACAAGTACGGCGGTATTTCCCTACGTATTAAGGCCCCCGCTGGAACCACCTTTGCCGTCCAGCTTGAGTCCTCTGCGAACTGCGACACTGGATCGACTGTTGCTGTCAGTCAGACTACTTCGCAGCTTGGATGGACATTCGATGGCACCGAGAAGCTCTACACGATTCCTTTCTCCAAGTATGGAAACGTGGACACCAGCAAGCTCGTCACCTTGTTCTTTGGCCAGTTTACCAAGGCTGTGTCCTTCGGCCCTATGGCATTCTACTGCGGCAGCACTGGCTCGGAGTACATTGTGACCACCACAACCCCTCCGGCCGGCCCATCTTCCACCGTCGCCGCGCCCACCGGCACTGCTGCCGCCCTCGTCGTTGACAAGTTCGCCAACTCCGGCAGCAACGCCCTCGGCTTCTGGCACGGTGGCGACGACGGCATGGGGCTCACCTACAGCGGCAGCAAGCTCACCATCAAGTCCACCGACGCCGACTACTCCTTCTACACCCAAGTCTCTGGCTCCTGCACCGACATGTCCAAGTACAAGGGCTCGTACCTGCACATCGCCTACTCGGGCACCACATCTTTCACCGTGGCGCTCCAGCAGCACAACAGCAAGTGCGACGAGACCATCGCCCCGTACCCGGAGACCTGGGACTCAGTCGAAGCCAGCCGTTACGCCAAGAACGGCCACATCTACATCCCCATGGCGCACTTCAACATCGAGCTCACGCGCACCATTGGCATCGCAATCAAGGGTTTCTACTCGACCGATCCCGTCACCCTCTCCGTCATCGAGATCGTGCCCTCGGTCCCCGCGGGCACCATCATTCCCAACGACCTTGAATCTGGGGACCTTGTCTTCGCCTGCAAGCGCCCCAACAGCTTCGCCTTCGCCATCGACGACGGCTCGCCCGAGTACGCCCAGGAAGTCATGAACGTCATCAAGAGCGAAGGCATCAAAGTAACATTCTTCACCGTTGGCGCGCCCCTGCTCGATACCTCCACGAACCTCACCAACGTCTACCGCGAGATGCAGTCCCAGGGCCACCAGATCGCCCTGCACTCGTACACGCACCCCAAGATGGAGGGCCTGCCCGACTACGCCGCCATCGATTGGGAGTACAACGAGGACATCAAGACAGTCGAGAAGCAGCTCGGCGGCCTACACACGAACTACTTCCGCCCGCCGTTCGGCACCGAGGGCGCGCGCATGCGTGAGCGTCTTGCCATCTCGTTGGGCGCCAAGCCCACGGTTACCATGTGGAGCGTTGATGTCGAGGACTGGCTGTGGGCGGAGACGGACACCCCCGAGGAGCAGCTCAAGGCGTTCCAGCGCGACGTGGATAAGGGTGGCTCTCTGGTCGTGATGCATTATTTGTACCCCAGCACGGTGAGCTATCTGAGGCAGTTTATTCAGATTGCGAAGGCGACGGGGAAGCAGTTGATGCGCGTGGATCAGTGCATGATGGATCCTAATGCGCCGCCGCTATGAGCGTGGCGTGCGTTGAAGGGAATGGATGTAAGCGGAGTGGGGGGATAGAAGCGGAAAAGCTGGCTTGCATTTGGGTTGGGTGACGACGTCAAGTCCAAGGCAAAAGTGATGCACGTACGTATGTTAATCGTAATGTCTCCTAATCCTCACGTAACCAAATAAAAAGAAGAAGAAAAACCTCCAATAATACATGGAGATGAATCGTACCTTTTACCCTGATGCGCGCCCCGCTCAATCAAATCCAATCCAACCCATGTTAGTTAGTCAGTCAGTCATCCCCGAACTAGTTCTCTAGCCTACGCCCGCCGCTCCAACGCACGAGGATGCATCCCATGCCGACACGTCTGCCCATACCGGCACACCCCATGCGCCTTCCAATGCCAACACACACGCCGCTCTCCTACCCTGCTATTGCCATCTGCATTCTCCTCTCCCTTCTTCTGGGCATGCTCCCGGCCCTTGGTCACAACCTGCTCGTACTTGTCCATCAAATGCTCGTACCTACTCTTCAGATACGCGTGGTCCTCTCTAAGAGCGAAATGTGCAGATTGCAGCTTAGCGTGCTCGTCGCGGAGGTTTTCGTAAGCGTGGCGCAAGGCTTTGTTGCTTGCCTGGGAGGGGTCGCAGGCGGATTGGAGCTGCGAGGACATAGTGCGTTGAGGTGTGTAGGCGTGCTCGCGTTGTGTTTAGCGTGGGAAATGGGCGCGGTTGTGGTGAGGTTGGGTTGTGGATATCTAAGTAGATTCGGAAGATAGTAGGAGCGGTCAGTGAATTCGTGGGGCCGGACAATGGATCTGTATTCGTAGACGAGTGATCACGTGAAATGGCCTTCACACCGTATCTGCCGGCCGATGCCACGCGGAACCAAGAAGAACAAACCTCTTACTATTTCACAGCTTGTTTGCAATCATAGAAGTGATCCACGAGTTACTGGTAGCTGACGCTACGATGCAAGCCAGCCAAAGGCAGTGATGTTGTGAGGACGCAGTCACATGCCTTGAGTTTGCCTCTGGAAAGCCTCTCGTGGAAGCCTCCAGTAAGTGGCGAAAAGGCGAAATGGAGGAGGCCTTGGGCGTTACCTTTCTCTCCATCTTTGAAACCAAGCCAATGTCGTTAAACTCTATCTACGCTGGTAAATGGGTTGGGGGTACCCGAGGTTGGGTATAGGTTGGGTCGGGTCGCACAGACCCTTGGTTGTGGTTGGGTTAGGGTGGTCAAAGCTTGGGTTAGGGTTGGGTTAGGGGTACCCGCTAGGGTTGCTCAGATCTCGTTCAGAATATACGTATAAATCGATAATTATTACAGCTATTAATCACGGTACTGTGCAGGGCGGATACGCTTCCGTAACCCAACCACAACCCAGGGTCTGTGCGACCCAACCCAACCACAACCTAGAGTCTGTGCAACCCTAACCTAACCTTAACCCATTACTAGCGTTAAAACTTGGGTTAGAGTCGGGGTTGGGTTAGGGTCTTATGTAAGGCAACCCAACCCCAACCTAACCCCAACCCATTTACCAGCGTATTGGTGACTTAAAACGAGAGAAATCAATCAATCAATCAAGGGCTTCTGGTTGATGGCAGGGCTGGAGTCTGGGCTCGCGGACCCGGAAAACGTTGGCGCCATGCCTGAGAATCTATACGAGCCACCAGAGAAAAATGCCCAGGGCAAGAGAGTCTGGGCGCACTGGGTCTGGTGCCAGTATGCGCTGGACTTCCTGAAGCAGGATGGCGAGTGGAAGATCTGGCACTTCAGATGCTTGGAGGTCACGAGAGCTCCATTCAGCGAGAATTGGATCACGTTTGCGGAAAAGAACCAGGTGGCTTTTGAGAAAGTGAGTTGCAGCCGGGTCGTCGGTTGATAATTATTGCTGAACTAAAGTCAGGATCTTGCTTATTTCGGCCACAATGGAAAGGCTGTCTTCATGCCCACGCCTGAGGAGCCGGCTAAAAAGGTATGTGGTTCTGTTGCCTTCATGTATGGCAAGAGACAAGCGAGCCTGCTAACTAACAGATCGAAGACAGCAGATATTTATGGACCGACCCGGGTTCGCAAGCTCGACGTTCCCCTACCAGTGCCATATAAAACTTTCAGTGAGACTGAGGAGTACTAGATGCTCACTTTGCCACTTCAAGGATGCTATGAAAGATGGTGCTATTCGTATCTTCGTTCATATCCGCGAAAAGGGTTATCAGCTTGCATCTCAGTCCCTCATGGGTCAGACTAGGAACAGTAGAAGTCAATACAACGTCCTATTTATCGCTTAAAGTAACTCCCGCGTGCTCGTGTACTGCTCAGTGAAGCCCACAACAGAGCGCCGTACTTGACCTGACATCAACGTCTTTGGGAAGACCTACATCTCCCGCAGCCTTCTGTCGGTCTGAGGCATGGCGGTTCTTAAGCCAAGTCGAACGAGCCTAATGATCCATAGGTTATTTACGTCCGGACGTCTACCGGTGGATAATGTTGAGAGGCAAGTTGACGGTCTATCTACTCGGACGGGCTGCAATATGCACAGGACCCCTGCACCCCTGAGCTAAGATAACGGACCTCGATAGGCCGACGCGTGCTATCCTCTAGCGGATTAAAATGCTTCCGCACGGTGTGAAGGACCGCGGATAATGTTGCCGGTGAGATGTAGTGTCGATTCTCAAAAGTTTGTACTCCATCCGTCCCGTTAGTCAAACTTGTCGAGGCGTATTGACAGAAGACCCGACACTGGAAACTTTTTGGAGTTTGTTGGAAGAGGTGTATCAGGGGATTGAGCTTGCTTGCATTGCGTGAAGAAGGGGATGTGGAGAGCAAGAGCTGTCTCCAGTTGCCACCAGCTTAACAATTGGGACCATAACCTTGGGTGCATGCTAACGAAATTAGTCCCCTATAATGCTTGGTAAGAACACCACAAGGTAAAACGGGACCCCGTCTCTTTGTACCTGAGCTCGGCCGCTCATTCTTTATTATTGTAAATAATGGATGGCTAGCTATATTAGCCTGCCTTGCATACAGCCATCCTATGGTTTCCCGATGTAAGGGAGGATGAGTGAGCTCGGATACTCTCCGCCAAAATGTACCTTGTGCTGTCCACGATTCAGCTCGTGCTCAGGTCTTGGTTCGGACCAGTTCGCAAACTCTGAAAGGCTGGGGTATTGGCCACCGACCTGGGACCATGGAGCCGTTAGCTATATCGTCTTCCTAGGCCGTACCCGAACATTCGCGATGGGGATAGCCGAACATAAACTATCACTGGAAGAGGGAAGCAAATGACTCACCTGTAAGCTGATGCTCTCGCCCGCATCAAAGTCGACTCCCATGGCCCAGATGCCAATCTCCAGCTTCACCACAGTGCCTCGAGGAACCTTCTGCTCCCGCCCGTGCGGGTGGAAGGGGAACTGCGGATGGATGTTCTTGGAAGCATCGATTTCGCGATGCGATGCCCGCAGGATGCCCATCTGGCCCATGTGCAGGTTCACGCTGTGCTGCTGCTTCTGGGGAATCTCGGCAATGGACTTGATAGGGGTCGCATCCACAGGGAAGTTCATGTGAATCAGGTCCTTGCCGTCTCTGTCCTTCTTGCGCAGGATCACGAAGACGGTGAAGTCGTCGCGCGTGTCGCATGACATGTACAGGATCGCCTTGGGCAGACCGATCAGCCGGGATGGCTCCGAGAATGTGTGCGTGAATTCGACCCGACTTTGGCGATCTTCCGAGTTGTATGTGACCGTCTCGGCGGCGGGAGGCGGTTTGTCGCCGAGCCTCCCGTTACTCGATGCGAAAAGCTCCCTGTATTCGGTACCGGGGACCGGGAAGTCTTCCAGGACGATATCATGGGTGGCAGGGCGGTCGCCGAATTGTAGTGCATCCCACCTCACCTTGGGCGTCTTCTGTTCCCAGTCATTGTCGATGCCGCGGAGGTAGCAGTCAAAGAAAAAGTGACGGGGAGGACGCGCAGCCGGTCGAGAGGTACACCATTCAACGCATCGCCACATCTGACGTGCGCGAGCTCGACACGGTCAACTACAAGCCGCGCACGCTGGCATCCGACATGCGCCCGTTCGTCAGCAAGCCTGACTGGGAAGAGTGTATCCGCACGTTGAGGCGCATGTTTACTATCATGCTCTTCCCCGGTATTTTGTGGGCATTCGTGAGGCTCCTTCCTGCTCGCTTCTGCCGTCACGAACACTGACAGTTTCCAGCTTCTCAACGGCCTCACCCTCGGCGTCAACATCGCCATGGGTACCACGTACAGCAACATTCTCAGCCCTCCTCCCTACAGCTGGGCACAGGAGAACATCTCATTCGCCATGGGCGGCCAGATCGTCGTGTCCTTCTGCGCGCTGCCCTTGCTGGGCTGGGGCTCCGACTGGCTTGTCAAGACACTGGCGCGACGCAACGGCGGCGTCCACCAGCCGCAATACCGCCTCGTGCCCCTCGTTTTCCCCATCATTGTCGGCGTCCTCTCAGCCATCCTCTACGGCCAGGCCGCCGCCAATCCGGACCGCTTGCACTGGTTCGCCGTTGTGTTCTCCATCAACGCCTACTATTTTGCCTTTGTCCGTGCCAATCAGGTCGGCATTGTGTACGCGCTCGACTCGTACCCGACCCGAGCCGGCCCCGCTCTCGTGGTCATCTGCGCCATCCGTGGTATCCTCAGCTTTGGCACGTCATACGGCATCCAACCGTTCATCGATCTCAGGGGCTACGACGGTGCTTTTCTCATCTATGGCATATTGACTGGGGTGCTCGGCGCCCTCGGCATTTTGGTATATGGCTTTAGCGGAAAGATTCACGCCTACTGCTCGCGGTTTGCTGTGCGGACCAGTGAGACGAAGCCGGCGTACTCGTAAATGCGATAGGTGTCACAACTCCTCCGGTGAGATGCTATAAGACCAATGCCAAGCCTTAGGTATTATGTGCCGGATATAGTTACTACTTCTCGTAACCTAGTTATATATATATATAGCTATACTTCTTATATTATTAATTAACTTATAACTAGCTCTGTATATTATAAAGTAGCAACTATATCTAGCAACAGATAAGGAACTGGATTACGAAAGCGTTCAATGCTCCGATGCAGACATCTGATACCTGAGACTCTTCGAGCACCACGCCACCGGCCACATTGATAACACGAAGAATGGAGTCACCGACCCCGGCGCAAATGCTACAGATAGGCTCAGAAGACGCGAGACCCAGGCCATCCCTCAATGAAAGCGCTCCTTGTCCGGACAGGTACTAAGGCTTCAGCTGCCGGTTCAGCCTCTGCACAGCATACTAAAGGCCTTCTCAATCCATGCCGTTTCGTTTCAGCTGAAGCGTGCTCGACTATCATGCAAACAATTGCCGAACGTCCAACGAATGTAAGGGATTGACTACGAACCACGACTTCGGCTCGAAAGGGTCGCTATGGATTAGCACACTAGATGCTGGCCCTACGATATCGACAACATGACCTTCTGGCTTGAAACAGCGCCATCTTCTGCAGCCCATTATGGACTTCTTCTACTCGCATGCTTTGATTCTTGCTCCTCGTAATCGATCCTTCTGAGGACGCTGGTGTCCAAGAACTCCCGACCGGTTTTTTCGACCCCCTTTCACTCTCCAGGTAGCCCGCCCATCCCATTCCGTCACCGGAAAAGCGGTGAATCTCCGGCTCCCAGTGGCTATGACGCACACACCAGGAGCAAGCATCCATCGCTCCCTTTACGCAGCTCCTCGTCGCCTTCATTCTGCCCGCACCACATCCCCATCATCACTCAAGATCGAACGCTCCATACACGCGCATTGCTACACTTCATACCTTCTACGCGCAATACACAATCAGGCATATACATACAGCAATCATTCGGGATGGGAAAGGTACGACGAATCTTGCGCTCCATCTTCAAGAGCAGGAAGTCCAGATCTAAGGCCGTCACTACCGCAATCATCGAAACCCCCGCAACAATGCCGCCGCGCGCGCAAGCCACTTCGATCATTTCGTTTTCAGCGCCTGCACCCGACGAATCTCGATCCACTGATTCCGATCGATGTACGACATGCACGACTCCCACCCCGCTCGCCTCACCAGAAATCACGCTGCCATCGCCTACTAACACCGTGTCGATGCTTGCCCTCGCTTGTGAGGTAGTTTTGGCAAGAACCCCAAAGTATGAGGCGGATTTGGCAATTCTGGAATTCGTCGAGAGGCTGCCGTTGCAAGAGCTGAGCATGATAGGGAGTGATGAATGGACCGTTTCGGAAGGCGAGCCGTTGGCGAGAACACCCAGCCCAAAGACGTCGAAGAGGAATCGCGAGGAGACTGGGGAGGGCATTGGCCGCGGACTAGAACACCACCGCACTGAAGATCAACGCGTAGCTGTCGCTGACACCCCGGCGAGAGCCAGCGCTACCACCAGCCCGAAAGGTCCTCTCACGGACCCCCAGCTGCTTCCAGATGGCGATACAACAATCATTGGCAGCCCAAAGGGTGAAGAGCCCCATTCTGGAGCAGCGCTCATCGACGCGCTGGATCTCACGAACACTAAACCTCCTCCGAAAAACACAAACGCCTCCTCCCCCTTCTTCATCGCCACGACGCCATGCCATTCGACCATCGGCATCGCCTTCTCAACCTTTCCCGTCCTTTCAGTTAAGCCTCCCACCAACGGCGTCCCTCCCGCTCCGTTGATGAGCGATGAAGAATTCCTCGCCCTTCCCGAATACGTCGATGTCGAAGACGATCCGAGATACAATGCAAAATTCGTCCGACCGAAGGTGCACTATCCTTCGATAGCCACCTTAGTTCCGAAAAAGGAGGCGAAAAAATTGGAATCAAGCTCGAGTTTTTCAACGCTCGATGGGAAATGGGGCGTGAATGCTGGAGAGACAAAAGAAGAGACGGAAGAGTTTGGGATAAGCCCTTCGCTTTCGTCCTCTACTTCTTCATTTTCGACACTCGATGGAAAGTGGGGTCTCAACGTCGCACAGCCAGAAGGGCTGTACAAAAGCCGGTTGAAGAGGCAATTAGAGACGGAACAAAGAGAGGAGGGAGGGAGGCCGACCAAGATACCACGCTTGTCTTCGTCTGTTTCTTCATATTTCACCTTGGATGGGGAAGGGGGCATAACGCTCGGTCACGCAAAACAGATGGGCAAGAATGCGGGAGATTGGGAGATGACGAGGCAGAACATGGTGATGAAGACGATGGCGGTAAGGGATATGGAGACGAGGGCTACGTCCGATAGCTCGGCGGAGAGAGGCGATGCTGTGGAGGCGGAAGTTTTGGGGTTTGATGCGATGAAGCAGGGGCTGATGCTAGGGTTCTACCTCTCCGGGTCTACGAAGAGGAGGCTTCAGGAGGAGGGAGCGCCGCTGGGTGTTGGCTGGGATGGATATGGCGACGAGATCTTCTGATGGATCGGTCGCCGCGTAGGATCATCGCATCCGACCGCCGGTGCCTATGAGCTCCTATTTAAGACATCGCTAGAATGCGGGCAGTCTCTTGCCGTGATTCGTGCAGAGTGTCACAAGCACTGATCGGGGACTCGCCGGCACGTGCCGCTATGCATGTGCAGTACTGAGTGTTTCGATGGCGCCTTGACAGATGTTGACAGCCCTGGAGATGTTGAGGTGCTGACGGCTGACATAAGCACAGAAGCCGCCTTGCCCCTTCCGGCTGTGGCTGACGGCGCACGGGCCGCCGATGAGGCTTGCAGCGCGTCTCAGGCGGACGACCGTCCCAAGAAATTCAGGGAGCAGAGACAGCGACGGCGGCCATGCCCCCCCCGCAACCACGACCCCAATCCGCATCCTCGCCGTCCTCCTAGCGCGTCACGTACTCGGATCGGACGCCCGTTGCGTCGCCGCAGTCGCCATGATCAAGACGCTGCCGATGCGGCTCTCGCGAAGGCCCGCCAGAGTGCTGCTTGCCGGCCTCCTTTTTGTCTTCTTCATCCTAACACTGACGCGGAGTCGGCATGCCGGCGGACGGCACTCGAAGACGTACCAGCGCAAGACGAAGAGCTTCTTCCCGCCGCTGAGGAAGAAGGGCGGCGTCGACCCCGACTACTGCGAGAACTTCCCGACGCAGCTCCTCGATGATATCCAGATCGTATTGAAGACGGGCGCCGGCGACGCCGCGAAGAACAAGGCACACCTCGCAACCGTCACTTCCTGCATTACAAATCTGATCGTGGTCTCGGACCACGAAGAGAAGATTGGCGACCGCCAGGTCATCGACATCCTCGCTGAGCTCCCCGCCTCGTACGCCGTCAACAACACCGACTTCCAGGCCTATGCCGAACACAAGAAGGCCCAAGCCGAGGGCGAGACGGTAAACTACTCGCGCGAGGGCTGGCGGTTAGACCGCTTCAAGTTCCTGCCCATGGTGGACAAGGCCTATGCGACGAACCCCAAGGCGAAATGGTTCGTCTTCCTTGAGTCCGACGTCTACTTCTTCTGGGACACGCTGTTCCGCCTGCTCGACCAGCTCGACCCGACCGAACTGCACTACATGGGCTCTCCTGCCCCCGGCGCGAACGACCTACGGTTTGCATACGGTGGCGCTGGTTTCGTCCTTTCTCAAGGCTTGATGAAGAAGCTGATTCCGCCGAAGACGGTCGCGACGGAGGGGTTGGACACACGGCTGAGCGTTCGGTATGAGGACTGGGTGAAAGAGGATTGTTGCGGGGACGCTGTGCTTGGCTATGCCATCTACAATGCCACCGGCGTAAAGCTGGAGGCGCTGTATCCGACATTCGCCGGCGACGAGCTTAAGAAGATGGTAGTGGACAAGGAGCGATGGTGCGTGCCGCTGCTCTCCATTCACCGCGTGCAGCCTGAGCAGATGGAAGGGATATGGAAGTGGGAACGAACAAGGCCATACAATCAGGTGAGCCCTATCTCTATCGCGTCAGTGAAGCTGCTAATCTCGTGTTCCTAGAAACCGTTTGTGTTCTCCTCCCTCCTCGCCTACACACACTCGTTCCTCAAAGAAGGCCCCACCCGCGAATTCTGGGACAACCTCTCCGAAGCCCCCGTCCGAAAAGACAACGCCGCAAAAAACGCCAACGCCTGCGCCTCCGAATGTTCCAATGATCCCAAATGCCTGCAATGGTCCTACTCGCAAACCGTCTGCCGCTTCGCCAACTACATCAAGCTCGGAAACCCTGTCGACAAGGAGAACGGCGGACAGGGCGAGTTCACCTCCGGGTGGGATCTGAAGAAGATGGGCGAGCTTGGCTTCAAAGTCGATGAAGACAGCGACATTAACGATACGTGTATGGAAGCGACATGGTTAACGCCGACGATACATACGAGCAAGCAAGCACAATAACGGCGTGTGTGTGTGTGTGAAAACAACCTGGGAGGCGTTTGCTGGTTTTGTCTGCCCATTTTTGCGCATGGCGTTTTTGGCACATGGTTGTTGTTGGCATAGTCCCGCGACGTCTTTGGATTCTCTGGTTTCTTCTGATTATGCGCCGACTTCTCGTTCGGCTGTTGGCGATGTGGTGTGATGCGCTGTTTGAAGCTGAGGGCGGAAAGCATATTTTCCATCGTCTATAGTCTAGGGTTTTTGGACATAGAATGAGGCATAGCATGTTTGGTTACGGCGATATCCGCGAGGGACGGACGGGGCGATCATGTAACTCTAATACACTGCATATTTCTTCTCTCGCTTGGCTGTGGCCACTCTCGTTCCCATTCCTCTTCCATGTCTTTCCCCTTCTCTTTCCATTACCATCTCCTACCGCCTTAGCAGCCACTCGGGATTACGGGGGCTGATGCTCAACCACTCAGATACGCCAACCTCTCATACCATATAACCAACGCATTCAACCCCACCATGACAACGTCCCACACCGCGCCGCCCCTTGCATCATCCCCGTCTTTGAAGAATACATACGCGGCTATTAGGCGCACGAAGCTCGTAGCAATGAGGAAGTGGTGCCGTGTTCGCTTGGGCTGGGTGGCGCCGACCAGGTAGAAGATGCCTACGGAGAAGGTAGACATGCTACATTCATCCATCAGTATCGGGTAATGGAGGAGGGGGGTTCCGGAAGGTGAATGGTGCGGAAGGAGAGTAGGTACCTCATAGCATGTTGGACGGCAACGGGCGCATCAGCGAAATTTACTTTTGCGGGGTCGCGCAGGATGAAGGTGCTGAAGATTGTAACGGGGATGCCTTGGATGGCAAGGAGGAGGGTGGAGAGGCTAATCGCCATCTCAGTGGAGTGGCGAGCTGGTGGCAAAAGTAACGGTTGCATGAGTGAGGGTTGTACAACAGATGAAGTTCTTTTCCGCGCGGTTGCAGGAACTGCCTAGGTGCAGTCTTGGAACTACCCTGAACTGGCGGGGTATTTCTCGTGGCCGAGTGGGTCCAGCGGAAGCGCGCTGCTGTGTTGGCCGTGCATTGGCGTGCTGTGTGAACGTGCAGTTGATGTCCTGATGGGTGATGCTCTAGACTGTTTTTAGAATTCTGCAGGAGAGCTTTGGAGGGGTGGAGCGGTGGTGCCTTGGGAAAGATTGTGTTGAATCGGTATGAGAAACTTTACATGTGCACCCAGCAGCGGAAGTGCATATCGGTTAGAATTGATTGAGCTTCTGCATTCACGGAACGATATGGATTCGGGCGTCATGTGAGTGGAGTGTAGTTCACGGCTATAGTGGGGTTGGCCTTGGCGGGCTCAAAGCATCTGCACCGCGAGCGCGACTTCTCCTTCTTTACCTTCAGCATAAACTTCGCTTTCCCCACCGCTACTTATTGCTTCAGTTATCAAGGATGAAGGGCTGATAGCTGCGCCAGCAACCCGCATCCACCCCTTTCCGCTCTCCGCAGGAATCCGCTCGGCGCATTTCGTGGACATTGAATGACCCAGTGGGTTAGTATGCCTTGGATAGGTCCACAGAGAGGGAGGGGGAGAACAGGGTTCATCTCTCCGTCGGTCTCTACTCGACAAACGACTCTCGCGATATGGTTCATGGAATGCGCCGCATGTGGCCGTGCGGCATTCGCCACATGTTTCAACATTCATGAACAGACGTCTTCCCATCTTCAAGCCGGGTGACCTACCTCCACGATTGTTCGACGCTATTTCTCCAATGGTCGGATTCACGGACCGACTACCAATATCGGTGCCCCTGCCTCTACCCCACAATGGACAGGGATCACCGAGCCTCAAGCCAGATTGCCAGAGATATATTGCCTCGGCGCCATAAGCTTGTATGAGGACGTCATTTCCATGGTCATCCGCTCCTACTATAGCCCTACTATAGAAGCTTCTTCCGCTATTCTTCCGCCTCTCAATTGGCCGCCCGGAATCACGACTGATGAACGCCCATATCCGGGCAATTAGAGATGCCGGGTGTCCAACCAGGTTACGGATGCGATTCTAAATGCGGAGCGAAATTTGCGGTAGAAGCCCCTGCGTGAAGTGATGGGGTGGGTATAAAGAGCTTGGGGATGGCTGCTGTGGATGGCTCGCCAGCCGGATCAGCACTTCGACCATCACTGCGCACCATGCATCGCCCATCGGTCGCTGCCGTTCTTCTTGCTGCAAGCAGCACCCTCGCCGCTCCCACGCTCGACAAACGCGCCGACATCAAATGCCCCATCGTCTTTGACGGCCGCATTCCCGCTAGCTGGGCAACCACTCCGTCAAACTTTGATACCTACGCTACCAACACCATCTACAACCCCGACTACGTCAAGGGTAACGATCTTAAGTGGAGCACGATTCTCAAGTTTCCGAACGTCACCGCCTCGCGGTTTGATGGCGATAATGTCCCCGTTGAGGTGACCATCAGCGACCAGAGCATCTTCCAGCAGCAGAAGGGCTTCCGCAGGGCGGGTCTGCAGTTCTTGAAAGATGCGGCGGATGGGCCAGGACAGACGGACGTGAAGACACTGCATTTCAGCGTCAAGCAGGATCCGGCGAGGCCGCTGAACTTGACGCACGAATATCTTGTAAGCACACTTTCCATATACTAAGGTGGGCCATGGATGCTAAGTAGAGTACAGAACGTGTGGCACGAGACGGCCGACTATTCGGCCGACCAGATAATGTTCCAGACCGGCCAGCTCATCGGCAAGTCTGCCTCCGACAAGAGCAACTTCAAGATCCTAGATCGCAACGGCCAGTCGCTATACTCGGTGGCCATGGATAAAAACGCGTGGCAGAACTTTGCAATCAAGCTGGACTACACGAAGAAGTAAGCTTGAATCCCCCCCTTGGCTCGCCCGAAAACAACGTGTGAAAGGAGACTAAGTGCTGACTGTTGCTTTAGTCAAGTCCAGATCTACTACTCTGCTGGCGATGCCGCGCTCAAGTCCGTCGCTGGTCCAACTTCCGCTACTCTCTCAGGCGGAGGCCAGTTCCAGATGGGTATCCTGAAGAAGCCGACTGGTACCTCGGATGTTGTCAACAGTGGATACCAAGAGTCTAACTTGAATGAAGGACAGATCTATGGTGGTATCTTCCTAGAGGACAGCGCTGATGGTTGTGTTTCTTTGTAAACGAATTGGCCTGTGTTAGGGAGGCGGTGAGGCAGAGTAGGCATGACACAATATGCTGTATATAAGGAAGGCAATTGTACATACAACTGAGTCGGAATCATTCGCTGAAAGATTCAAGAAGCTATAGAGCCGAATATAAGCCCGCTGTATAAAGTCTTCCCTCTTGAGCGGAGTAAGCTCTACCTCCGCCCCCGTCACTTGTCTTGGACGTTTCTGCATAAAGTTATATGGTTCTAAGGTCTTTCTCTCAACGATAAGAGGACCTATGGTTTCCGTTGACCCATTGCTTCTTATTTATCTAGAAGATAGTGCCGACCATCTTCAGTACTCGACGTCGATGTTGACGGCACTATCGTCGACAAACACTAAAAAGCCGCTCTCAAGTGCGGTCACTTCGCGATATGCTACTGCCTATATCACAAGAGAGATGCAGTCGCTCTAGCGACGACCCACCGTAAGCACAATGGCATGCTCTGGGGTCTACACTCGGCGAGCGTGTCCTTGTAAATGGCTCCGCTCTCCCAACGGTGCAAGAGGCGAGAGTGAGGAAACAGTGGGTAAGGTTTACTACACTTTGATCTGGTGGACTTACGCCACTAAATATAGTTGCCCCATTGAGCTTGTCCAGTCCACGATGATGTTGTAATTCTGCTCACTCAAGTAGCCCCTGAGAAGTAATCCAGCCCCCTCGCATCAATAACGCCTTTCCACCCCACGCCATCAACCTTTCACTCCACCCTCCACCGGCACAAAACTTTCTCCTCTCCACCCCGCTCATCCACCGCCACCCGGAGAAACGAAATCCCGGGCCCATACCCACCAGCTACATAAGGCCCCTCCCCTCACCCGCATCTTGCCCTCTAACTTCTTCTCTCGACTTCCTCGAGCGCATTGCTTCCGGTACGTCCAGCTTGCAAGCATACTCTTCGAGATATTCTCAGCTATCATAGCACCAGAGAGCTATCGAGATTCATCTACGATGAAGCTCTTTACCTTCCGCACCGTCTCCGGACGTCAGGCACAGCAGCATTCAACCGCGCCCCAGGGCGTCACCACATCAACCTCAACCAGCACCTTCGAGTCTAGGAAGAGCGGCAGCAAGACCGAGCGCCTCACGCGCGGATTCCGTAAGGCGTTTCGGCGTACTTCGCGCGCGCGCGGGGCTACCACCGCGGAGGGTGATTCCGGATATCATTCGATTCGCTCTGGTGACCGAGTGAGTACAGAACCGGGGTTTTTTTTTGCACCTCGAGGCTGATTGATTCGAAGCAGGGAACTTCCACCGCGCCTACGACTCCCAATGGCGGCGCACTTCCTTACGTTCCACCCGCCGATCCACGCCATCTTCCCATGATCCAGCTGCCAGAGGACCATCCTGCGCGCGCTGCTTTCATGAAGCCCAAGGTCGAGTACACACCCGAGGTCAAGGCCGTCCAGGAGCTCAACGTAGCCGAAGCCTACGAACGCAATGGCGAGCAATCTCCGGCCGCGATCTCCTCTCGCGAACACGACGAAGACGACGAGGACTCATCCACCAAGAACATCGCCGCCGTCGTTCTCCGCACCCACAAAAGTGCTCCGGAGCACCACTCCCCACCCACGAAGCACATCCGCAAAGCCCTGCACAACCGCTCCATCTCGTCCCCACCGATCATCATCCCAACTCCCCTCCAACGCCGCGTCCTCTTCAAATACATCGCCGAGCAAGCCCGAAATGGCTGCCTTGACGCACTCACCATCATCCAATCCGTCTCTGCCCACGCCAAACTCTCCGCCCGCGGCGGTCCCATCTTCGACCCAACATTTACCTTCAACGGCTACCTCTTCCGGTACAGCCAGTTGGGCGCCATAGAGTGGGCCTGGATAAAGCGATATCTGATCGTGGAAGAAACCACCGCGCTGTTCCGATGCAAGCGCTTGAACGAAGACGACGTGATAATGATCGAGCGGCACTTCTTCCCCACCCAGGAGCGCGACCTCCTCTCCCCTGAACACTTCTCGCTCTTCCTCGACAACCTAGTCCACGAGGACATGCTCGACCGGGCCTACGCTACCAAGATCAAGAACCTCAGCCTGACACTCGAGCAATTCCGCGGCGGCGCGGCGGCTATGAGCAGCAAGAAGCCCTCCCCGAGCGTCGGCTACACGACCATGTTCACGCAGCTCCCGTACCGCGCTGGCCCCGCGCGATCCGCGGCTCTGCGCCGCCTGATGGAAGCAGCGGTCTACGGCCAGCAGATCTGGAAAGGCGGCTTCTACGCCGACGCGCTCAGCAAGCTGAACGACTACCTCGAAGCCTGGGACTTGACGACTCGCAAGTGCGTCAGCACGCCGCCACACCTTACAGAGTACAAGCGCAACTGGACATACGTCGAAGAGCGCAGCCTGCGCCGCGTAGAAACCGTCGCCGACCTGATCGCCCGCTGGAAGAACGGCAGCCTGCTCGACTACGGCATTCTGAAGGCTGTTCGCGGCACCTTCGTGCCCATCAGCGGCCAGGCGTATTACGACACGCAGGAGCTGGAGTCGTTCCTGTACAGCCGCGTTATGGGCAGTGGACTAGCAATCCGCGAGATCCCACGCATTCTGGCGCTGCATGCAGATCACGACGAGGCTTTCCGGGACGTCAGGGCGGAGGAGCGCGTCGTTGCTGGCTTGACGGCGGAGATGCGAGAGTTTGAGAGAGGCGAGGAGGAGCGGTTGAGCGCAATCGAGCGGCAGCGCCAGCTGCTGAAAGCTGCTACGAAGACTGGTAAGTGGGCGAAGAGCAGTCGAGGTTGGAGATTCGTTACTGACTGTGTTACAGAGCGCACTAAGTTCCAGCGCCTCGCCGATCGACTGAAGAAGCTCTTCCGCAAAGCTCCCGTCCTCCAGCCCTTCGACCCCTTTCAACAGCGGTAAGCACCCCAAGCTCTCATGATGAAGGCAGGAGTACTAACGCCGTACCAGTGATGAATAACCATTTCCTCCATGGCATCTCTGATGTCCCTTAACATTTGAAAGCTTTCCGGCGTCCTGTCTGCTTATTTCCTCCTCTAAATGTGATACCCTTTCCCTTTTTTCTAGGGTTCTAGGGCGGAATTCAAAATTTCCTATATTTTCTTATCAACCTTGAGGATTTTCGAGGCATGGGCTGGCTTTCCTTCCGTCGTTTTTGCCGACCTCGTCTCTCGACGGTGTGTTTTTCATCATCCCTTCATCACCAAAGCGATGGATGAACCCTGCATATAGCACTTGGCCCGCGTAAAACGACCGTAATAACAACTTTTCGGCTCTTCATAACTCAAACCACACGCTCGAGTATGCAGTGACGATGTCCCTCAAGCCAGGGGGCAAACGGTGGGAAAAAAAAGAGGAGCGGGGTGGAAGGGAGAACTGTGAGCAGAATCCGGGAAGAGTAAGGACATGTGACAGCATAGGATTGCTTGATATTTATGTATGAAAAGAGGTGCTCTAAAGCACCAGCGTTTGCAGTATACCCAACGAAAAAGAACACGCAATGAGAAACCATGCAGGAAACCGTCAATGATGCATACCACCATCCCCAGTGTCTAACCGTTCTAAAACGCCGGTGTGGAAACTGCCCTAGCCGTGCGTTGGGCAAGCTAGACGAACTTTCGTAATACCATGAAGAGGAGCGCTGCAACGACGCCGTATATGCAGGCGTCAATCCAAGCTAGTGAGCGGTCGGGCGAGTGTTGTACGAGCTGCTGAACGACGGGTGCGTGTACCGTCCTTGTAGGTCGTGGGACCGGACTTGGTGCTGGCGCGATCGCGGCAGCGCTCGCAGACGACGTAGCAGGCGCAGACGTCGCAGTCGTAGGCGGACTCCTCGCCATCCCCCTCCCCTTGCCCTCACCATCTACCTCCGTTAGCCCCGGCGTAGGCCCCACCTTCCCGCCCTCCAACTCATCCCGGTACGCTAGCCTCAACTCCTCCGGCACACTCTCCTCCTTCCTCTTTCCATCTTTCCCCTCCACTAGCTTGGCCATCTCCTCCCTCTCCTTCAATATCTCACCATTACTCTTTCCACAAACCGCACACCTCCACGGCCCGCTCTCCCCCGCCATCCGCCTTCTGACCTCCTTCCCGCACTCAATCCCGCCCAGCTGCCCCTTGGCATCCGTATCCATGAAGCTCCGCATCGCGACGAGGGCCGTCCGTATGCCCCACGCCGGCTGCCACGTCTCCTCGTGGTGTCCCGATATGCTGAGGCAGATCTCGCGGTTGACTTCGAAGCGGCCCGTGGGCGTGAGAAAGCGGAAGGACGGCGGGCGCAGAGGGTACGTCGGCGGGAGGACGATGCGGCCGTGGTAGATGCCGGTTTCGTAGGGCGAGGGGGCGGGCGGGCCGCGCAGCGTGAAGTGCCATTCGAAGAGGTTGTCTTCGAGGGGCTCGGCGTGGTAGTCGGGGGAGGGATTATTGGCGAGCTCGGAGGCTTCTCTTACTGCGCGGAGGTTAGTCTGAGGGTAGCGGAGGACGGGAGGTGCAGCGAGAGACGGGAGGGAGCGTACGGATGCGCTTGATGGTGGGATTCTTGGTGTTGAATTGCCCGCGTGTGGACATGTTGAACGCGGGTTCAGCGAGCGCCGGGGGAAGTAGAAAGGAGCGTGAGGCTGGTGATGATGGAGGTGGTTGTTTCCCGAGCTGAAACGTTGGCGTTGCGAGTACGCGTGTGGGTCATAAGCCCCGCCGTAGCCCGCCGCGGAGTCTAGCCTACTCTACTCTCAGCCTTATCGGGTCTAGCTAGGTCTTGACTATCACGCTGAACAGTGACTCGGTGTTGCACACTTAAAATAGTGAATGCGACGAGTGATGAAGGGCTATTTAGAGCACAATAGTATCAATGTGTGAAGAACAAAGCCATGAATTAACAAAGAACAGCAATGGTCTAGTGGGTATCCTCTACGTGTACGCAGCCCCATCGCTCGATGCGAAACGACGAAATCTAACCTGCGCCTAAAATGCAGTACCTAGGTACGTCAAAACGCCTTCCCGCAAGAGAAAGTGTGCCTTAGTAGCCCAGTCTTAGCAAAGCCACACATGCCAGGCAGCCTAATGCCACAACCGTACCCGTGACCTCCGGTCTTCGGAGCCACATGACGGCTGACTGAGACTTGTCCGGCGTGACTACAGTTGCTTTCACGCCCGTCTTCGCTGCCTGCTGTCGCGCAGCTGCTTCGAGCTGCTTCATCTTGTCGAAATCGGTGCCTAGCTTCTCGTCGAGTTCCTGGACCAGGCTGGTGCTGAGCGTGAAGATCGTCTTAGCTTCCTCGATGATATCGATACGCTCGTCCGTAGTGAGGAGTGTCTCTGCGGCCAGCAGACGCGCTTTGAAAGCTTCCTTGATGTCAAGGCCATCGTGGCCGCCCGGGAAGGACCAGAATGACAGCCCTCTTTCTCCCAGACGGACTGGCTCTTTGGTTTCCGCGACCTCGCCGCTGGACGCAGTTCCCGCCGTCCAGAAATCAGGCCCCGCCCCGAGTAGTTCGCTCCGTATCCAACGACCGCCGGAGAAAACGGCCATGTAGAAACACCAAGCGTATGCCACCAGCACATGCGGCTTCTGCCCAACTCTCCTCCTGATATGCGTGCAAAACTCAGCCACCGTGTCTCCCGGATATTGCGCCAATAGGACATCGAAGTCTGTCGGGTGCAAGCCCGTCAGAAACTCCAGATCCCTCTTCAGCCTCCCTGACCGTGCCAATCCCCTCGGACGCAATGTTTGCAGGAACGATAGTATTTGTGGCGAGGGCGGGGATGTAAAGAGCTCGGGCTCAGAGTACGGGTTGACGAGGAGGAAAGACAGGAGCGGCGAAGTCGGCGGTGAGTTTGGGGAGCCCAGAGAGCTGGGAGGGAGGAGATCGGTCCATAGCGATTCGAAGGTTAGGTAGACGTGCGCGAAGTGGAGGAGACCGGTTGTGTATAGCGAAGAGTCTGTAGCCAGCGGTGGAAGCGCGAGAGGGAGGCGCGAGGTTATCAGGCGGTTGAGGCGCGTGTGGAGGCATCTATTGCAGCTATCAGCATTATGCGCCGTAGCTCGCAGAAAAGAAGTTGTTACCTCGTCGCGATATTGATTTCTCCCGGTAAAGAGGTATTCGGAACGCTGTCTCTCGCCATGCTGGACATGGCTCCGAAAGTGGCGGCGGCGTGGGTACGCAGAGGGTACGCAGAGGGTACGCAGAGGAGAAAGTAGGGACGCGGCGGGCAGCTTTTAAGGAACCAGCTGCACCAGGCAGCACGATGTGCTCCGGCTCACACGTCAGGAGTCTGAGCAGCCTGAGTGACTGCAGACTCACGCGCCAGCTGTTCCTTGGTGCGCGCCATCGGAGCCGTACTAAAGCGAAGTTTGACGTGACGGCGGCGGATGATGCAATTTTCCAGGGGTTAGTCCGAAGCGCGAAACGGGCCGAATGCGTGCATGAGAATCAAATATCCATCGGGGGGCGCCGAGTGCGCTGTGGTAGCCGCCTGTTTGCGTTCTTTGAGACAGCAAGTCATGGCATGGGGGGCTACCTAGGCAAGTAGCTGATGTCACGTGCCGTTAACTCGGGCCGCCCCCACCTCTACCGTCACGTCCTTTCCCCTCCATCTGTCCCCATCTATATCATCCTCCTTTCGATCACCGATGGAACTCCTCAAAGGACAGAATGCTGAAGCCATCGCCCATCTCCAGAGTCGCAGCACCTACCATTGACCTGCTGCTACCTTGGCCTCTGATGGCGCGGCGGCGTGGGGTAATGCTACCGTTCACCTTCACCTGGCTGACTTCAGGGACTCTACGTTTGCACAGTCGGGCCGAGGGCTGCGCCGCGGTCAAGAAAAGTCAGCCGCCATTTGAAGGGCGAACACCAGGGACGTGAATATATTAACTTTGTTAACTACTCTTAAAGACAGCGTTGACTGCACAACCCAACCCTCAGCATCCGGATATCTATCACCAACCATGCGGTCTTCCATACCTCCCGGCTCATCCCCTCCTCGAGGTCCGCCACAGGGGTACCGCATGCCGCGGGGACAGCCTTCACATCCTCCAGGACGCGGCCCTCCTCCACATCCACGAGAACCACTGGAATCGCGCAGGCCTCCACCGCGTCCCGAGTTTATTATAATCGGCCTGTTCGCCCTCCGACTCGCAAAGCGCCTCATCGAGGGCCTGGACCGCTACGAAGAACGGGATCCAGATATCATGTGGTTGGCCAACTTCCTCGCAGCCTACCCCACCGATTACGCTCTCGCCAGGATCTCAGGGGCACGAATGGACGACTATGTCACCCGCTATCCCGCCATCATGTCGCGGTTCAAGAAGCAACCTCGTTACCCAGTGAGGTTCATGCAGTTGAATCCGGATCGTCGGGTTGCGGATCGAGCGTTGACGGACCGTAAGTGAGATGGAGCACGTAGTCCTCAGGAGGGAGTACTGAACAAGTCCCTAGGAGAGGCACTGGATATCATCGATTTCGCGGATGCCGCGGGCGAGTGGGGTTCTGTGGTAAAAATCCCTGCCCACGAGGCCGACCGCATGATTGCCCTGGCTGATAGGCGGAGGATTGCGGAGTAGTTTGGTATCGGAGTGAAGGAGAGCTCTGGCAGCTTTGATGTTCATTATGGGATGATTTCACAAGAAGGGTCTTGATGAATGTGTTCCAGTTTATGATTTCCGTTGAGTAGCTGCAGTTACGTGACGAGGCCTTTTCAATGGAACTGACAGTTTGCATCGTAGGCCGTCGCTTGCGAGTCAAAGCCTTCACAAGCCCCCCTGAATGCATGAATGCTGGTAAGCCATTGCGTCACAGTGCGTGTTTGGGGTTAGCAGATCACGTGCTGACGCGTCAATCCGAGGATCCTACCCAGCTGGGCAGCTATGATGCATATTCCTCTCCTTCCATCCCTCCTGTGTTCTCACTGCGATTTTCTTCACCTTCTTCTCTCAAAACCTGCCAATCGTGGTACCCTCTATCCCGCGCTTCCTCTTGGTATAACTTCTGCCTCCAGCAAAACCTTGGAACCGTCTTGACTTCCCCGAACATGCCCGAGTCCCGGCGCGACGCGTCCTGATTTCGCGAACACCCGACTTTCAAAGATACCTAAGACCTGTTTAAAGCCGTTAAGTCTCTCAACATGGCCAAGAAGAAGAACCAGACTATTTATTACGGCGTCCATGTCGGTAGAAAGCCCGGCGTATACACGGACTGGGACCGCGCCGAAGAGCAAACCCGCGGCTTTAGTGGCGGCCTACCTTAAGGATTTCCAAATAGTCGCGAAGCGGCGCTACTGTTTGCCGCGAGCGGCATAGATAGGACTCAGCCGACAAGATACTGGAGCGTCGCTAAAGGGCATCAACCTGGCGTGTACACGAATTGGCCTGCCGCGCTTAAGCAGGGGAAAGATTTCTCCGGTAAAGACATCAAGAGGTTTGATACCCTAGGTGAAGCGAAGGAATATATGCACCGGCAGACTGGGCTCCCAAAATCGGAGGTCCACCTCTTCGACAACCACTTTGCGCATTTCCCAGGATTCCAACCTGAGAAGACAGCCCCATTTGCGGAGGAGTTTGTTCGACTAGCCCGATCACAAGGCTGGGAGGAGAACTCGCAGGATTACCGAGTCCAACAGGTCGCTGCCTTGATGAAGGAGTACGACTGCCATTTCCCCACTCCCCAAGTCAATGAAGACAACGTGGAGCTCGGTGAAGAAGAGAAAGAGCTGCGGCGTTACCAACTGCTCTGCCGGGAATGCGGTAAAAAGGAGGGTGACACAGTTGAAGAATGCGTCTCCTTCCTCCAAGGCAAGCCGTACACCAACATCGTCGACCTGATCGATAAGCGGCGGACCGGGCAGCCGATTGAGCTATTCAGCGACTTCAGGAAGTTCAAGAAATACACACTGAAAACGCCTGGGAAATGTATCGATCGGAATATCGCGAAGGAAGACGGCCTTTTGAGGAGTCTGTTGCAGGACTTTAGGCGTGGACCGGATCCGAACGGGACGGACCGCGTTCTGCGTTCGAACTCGAGAGACTTTTCTGGGAGGGTGCAGAAGACGTGGGCTGAACCGAAGAGGAGGGCGAACAAAGCTTAGGTCTGGTGGGGTGCTTCCGGGGGGTTTAGAGGCGTTCTTGGTTTCCTTCAAACGCTGGCTAGCTTCCCCCGTCTTCTGCCGAAGTAGATCTAGGCGGAAAAACATCCGTTGTGGGTCAGAGTTGTACGACGTGCGTTACAAATCACTCTTCGAAATGGTGCCGAACTGACCCCACTGGGACACGACTGACGTCAACGTCATAGCGCCAACTTCCCCATCAGTTATTATAAATCAATAACTTATTTAAGCGCAACAAGAAAAAGCAAAGCGCACTACTCCCCTCCTAACAGCTACTGGGAAACCTACAACATGAACGCATCAAAGAAGGTCTTCATCGTTGGTCCTGGGTTCATCGGTTGGAATGTTTTGGACCTTCTTTGCGCTGAAGGATATACAGTGTCGGGCCTTGTGCGACGGGAATTGCATGGACAACAGATTCAAAAATCTGGTGCTCTGGCTATTCAGGGCGATCTGAACGATAGAGAGTTAATCAAGAAGCACGTTGCGCAGAACGATGTAAGTCACGTGATGGCTCTCTCGCTCTCCAGGCACATTTCTGGACACTGCTGGATGAGACGAGCTCAGGACCTTAGGTTCACTCTGGCTTAACTGGAAGAAAGGAGGAGCAGGGCTGACGCGAACAGATTACCATCCACACAGCAACAGCAGACCACCTACCATCCGTCGAGGCCGTCCTAGATGGCGTCAAAGAACGCGCTGCAGCCGACAAACCCACCATCTTCATCCATACCTCCGGCACCAGCCTGCTCGACGACGGCTCCCTCGGCGCCTTCAAAGGCGATAAAGTCTACTCCGACACCGACCCGGACTCCATCAACGCACTCTCCGACACAGCGCCCCACCGCCAAATCGATCTCGCCATCGTGCGCGCCTCTAAGGAGCTCGGCGACAAGGCAAAGCTCGCCATCATGATCCCGCCCGAGATCTATGGCTTCAATCCCCAGCACAAGCGCCTCACGATTCAAATCCCAACCATCACACGCTTCGCCCTTAAGCACGGCTTCGCCGGCCACGTAGGCAAAGGCCTCGGCGTCGAATCACAGATCCACGTGCTGGACCTCGCACGCGCATACGTCGTCCTCCTACACTACGTGGAGTCTTCCCCACCATCCACCTTCCTGCAGAACCCGTACTTCTTCTGCGAAAACGGGCGCGAGTTCTCGTGGAAAGAAGTCGCTGAGAACGTCGGTAAGGCTCTGCACGCGAAAGGACTGATTAAGGATCCGGCGCCGAAGGAGTATAGTAAAGAGGACTGGGATGAACTATTTGGAGAGTACACGGGGACGGTTATCGGGCTGAACTCTAGGAGTAGGGCGGTGAGGCTGAGGGAGTTGGGGTGGGAGCCGAGGGAGAAGGGGATCTGGGAGAGTTATAATGAGGATGAGTTGCCGGAGATTTTGAAGGAGGAAAAGTAAGTAAACTTATCTGTGGAACTGGGTCGGTGCTAATGTTGGGCAGTATCGGAACGGCGAGTCGGTATGAAGGCGCTGTTGCTTCGTAGGGCTGTACAGCACTCTCCTGGTCTTTCGATGTTGAAGCGACTACGGGAGCAATTCTTGAGCTGAGATTCGCGAGGTGATGGCTTGCGGGAGTGTCAGCGGGACCCCTATCCCAGGGAAAACCTGAACTGCTTGCGTCATAAATGGTCCCGAATACCTACCAGCGCTTTTTGTTTCGCATCACGAAGGTAACACGACGATCGTGGCAACAATTCCGTTTCCCCCAGCTCCGTGGTGGCTATGCCCCTCACATACCCAATCAATCACTCGCACCACCACCCCAACAACGGCACACCACTCTCCAAAAATACCACTCTTTCCGACCCAGCAGCTGCTCCCTCTTCATTTCCTCTCAAACAAATCCGCATTCCCGCAATTTACAGTAAGCAGAACCACTAACCCAATTACGGCTCCCTGTTCGCCTGATCCTCTCGCTTATGGTATGTCCGTACGGGTTTCAGCCCCGGTCGCGTTTCACAGATAGCGGAATCGGCCGTTAGTCATCGCAGCTGTGGAAATGCGGCTGTCGCGCGGGTGATGTGATTGGAGGGCGGAGTATGCGGCTTCTGCTCTTGGAGTATGCGCAGCGAGCGCGTCCGGATCGGGATACAGGTAACGAACGCGTTGGGGCTGAACGTTTGTATAAAAGACTCGGGAATTGGGCTGAGGACTCTTTCCCTTATATCATCTGCACTCGCTTCTTCAGCCTTGCAACTTCCTCTGGTTTTTTTTCTTGTGGTTTTCTTGCGCAAGTGCAACATCATCTCGTGCGGTGTGTACCTTGCTGTGAATACCCAGCCCAGCCTATCATCCCACAGCTATCCAGCAACGTCAAAAATGCGTTCATCAACCTCCCTCACCCTGCTGCTCGCCAGCCTCGCGACTGCGCGTGAAGTCCCCTCAAACCTCAAATCTTTCTACGACGCGCATAAGGTCTGTTCCACCCCCTTCTGCTCCTATCCCCTACTCACCACCCCCCAGAGCAGCGATTGCCCCAACGCCATCTCAATCCCCTACTCTTCCGGCCAAGCCAACGCCGACACCGTCTACTGCAAAGACAATGCGTCTTCCGCCATCTACCTCAAAGACACCAGCGGCGGCTACGCAGACGTCGACATTGACTGCGACGGCGCGGGCATGGGCACCGGGGACTGCGGCGACGATCAATCCGGGCAATCGCAGACCGCATTCAAAGATCTCGTGCAAGAGTACTCCAACAACGCCATCGACGACCTAAATACGCACATCCACACCTTCGTCGTGCTCGGCAACGACAACTCCCCCGACGAAGGCGACGGCGGCGCGCCATTCGACCCCACGGCCGACGCAGGCATCGAGCCCCTAAGCGTGGTCGCAGTCGTTTGCGGCGAGAAACTGGTCTACGGCGTCTGGGGCGATGTGAACGGCGGGAAGGTGACGGGCGAGACGTCCATTTCGCTGGCGAAGATGTGCTTCCCGGACGAGGACATCAGCGGGAATTCGGGGCACAGCGAGCACGATGTCTTGTATCTTGCTTTCCCGGGCGAGGGCGCGGTGCCGAAGGATAGTGCGGTTTGGGGAGCGGCCTCAGCGGAGGAATTTGAGGCCAGTCTTGCGGAGGTGGGGGATCGGCTTGTGCAGGAGATTGGGGAGGGGGGTGCGCCCAGTTTTACGAGTAGGGTTGTGAGGAGGAGGGTGTGACTCGAGATGGATGGATGGGGCGGCGCGGTTGCTGTTCTCTTCTTCGTTGGGGTTATTTTGACGCAGTAGCGTACTCAAGGATTTGAGCCCAAGAAGGCATGAGGAAACTGCTTCGGGCCTGTGCGGGCTCTTGACTGGCCGCGAATTTATGTGTGATATTTGCTTGGTGTTCTCTGATGGTGGTCTCCGGATTAGCTCCGAGAAGGAAGGCAGGGCGACCTACTAGAAATGGTGTGCAGAGCGACAACGTTCTAGGAAGGTTAGAAACTACAGAAAGTTCAGAGCATCAAACGCACCAGCATAGCAAGCAATTGCTACACAACGAGAGGGCTTAGATTAATGCTTCAATGCCCCCACCCGGAGCTGGTATCGCACTCATCGTAGAACTGTGGCAGTGGGGGTCTACCATGGCGCCGAAACAAGAAGGACAAACAGACTTGCCGCCACAGTCTCCGTGTAAGACGATCTTACCTTGGATCATATCCAAGGTAAGCGTTCCTCACCACTAGAAGCTAGGTCACTCACTAACTCTGCGTAGATCTAAGTTCGACCTTCTTCAACTAGCACGCACCGCCTCGAGCCTTGACTCGAAGGGGCGCAGAGAGTTCGAACGCACCACATGGCGCCGCATGGTACAAGGAAAACGGCAATGTTGATCTAGAGTTTGTGGTCTCGCTACAGGAGGGTACAACGAGGATGGAAGCTCTTCTCAGCTTGGTGTGCGCCGTATAGGTGGAGGCCGGGGAATATATCAAGGCCATGTTGCCATGGACGAGACGTAGGTAAGCGCTGAACAAAAGCAAGCAATAACAACAAAGAGGGGTTCAGTAAGCAATCTAGAAAGTCGGCAGCAAAATCAAAGCTAAAGACCAGCCGGTCGAGGATGCTGAAGGTAGTTAAAAGAGTAGGGAAGAAAGCGAAGGTGGTGAAGAAGTGCATGAGTAAAGAAGCCGAAAGCCGAACAAACAGGTTAAGCTTAGGCAGCCAGCGCAGTGGTACTTTGTGCAAGAAGCGACAAGCAGAGAGGCCAACCAGAAGCACACTGGAGGATAGAGATCACGTCGAATAGTTCTCCAGCATTGCGTAGCGAGACGTTGGGGTCAGTCTGTGACTCTGCGTGTAGGGTCAGCAGGTGAACATGTCGCCAGACAGAAAGCCTTGAAGATCATGTCTCAATATTCCAGTATGATCGGACGTTCTGATTGTTACGAAAGTCTTGGGGAGTATGTCGAGCAGCGGCCAGGTGGAGCGAGTGTTTGCTGCCCAAGCTCGGTATGACGCTATCGCGGTTTGTGGAGCACGAACGACGGCCACGTAGGTATTGTGAGACTCTTCCTAGTCCTTTTGTATAAAGGCTGCATCGTCGAAACCTCGATTCCGCTGCCGTACCGCCAAGTGAACGAAAGAACCTTGGAGGTCCAAAAGGAGTAATCACCTCACGATGCCCGAACGCGATACCCAACGCAAAGAGCCCATCCCAAACGTGAGAGGTGAGGACGAAAATGAACTCCAGTACTTGGCCGGTATGATAGAGAGTAAGTATTTCGTTTCGTTGTTTGGTCGCTTTAAGAGGTTCAGGCAGGCTGACGGCGATGCGCAGGCCTAGCATGGCAACTGTCTCCCGCAAAAGCCAGCACATGTATCTTGGGACGACATCCCAAGCCACCGGAAAGCGCCAGTCGCTTCTGCGCATCAGTATATAGTATGGGAAAGGGAGGGATGAAGAGCCTGGAGATTGGGCCTGAAATGGGTGGAACGAGACGCGACGCGTTGATGAAGCTGTTGAATAGTATAGAGGTAGAGGTCGGGAGGATGCAGCTGAAGGATGCCCGCAAATCTGGAGGCTGAAGGACACTCGACGCTGCTATTGTGTGTTGTAGCGTAGCACCTTAGGTATACTTTATCAGGAGGCAAAAACCATGCTGCGGCTCAGGATCTATCTCCGAAAGATCATCTTATCTCCGACAATCTAGTCTACCTCGGAGGTACCTTCACGATGCCTTTACCCCCAGTCGCGTCTCTCGCTCCCGTCCTTTTCACTCGCTGAAGCGTCTGCTTCGCATAAGATGATGCTTCAAGGACGAATGAGATCGGAAATTTGCCACACTGCCCCAAGAGATACTAGCTGCGCTGCGCCTCTCTTGGCTCCCGAGGTCGTCCCTAAACACGGATCCTTCGCGGATCAAGGTGAACGACGACGTTCGATCCTTTCTGTCCATGTCAGCGTCACCCATTTCATGATGCTCGAAGCGGCGCGCTCGCGCAGCTGGCATGAAATCAACAACGCAGTGCACCGTGCGGCGATCCGATCCCCCTAGCAACCCCGAGGTGCTCAACATGCGAGCGCGTCCACGGGACCCGTATGCGGATGACACAGAAGACAGTCGCAAAAGAAGCAGCAGTAAGAGAAGGACAATGGCGTTCTGGGACAAAATGCGACCGTTTCTCTGGAATGCCTTTCTCGTCATCTCTAGCTTACCGTTTGCGCTCGCTCCAATCATCGTCCTCGCAACGGCGGCCGAGGAAGCATCAGTCGGCTATATCCTCGGCCGCAATTGCTACCCCAATGGCCTTTGGAAAGAAGCCTCTGGCGCCACATGGCGCATCATGGACTCCTCCTACTTCTTCACGCCGAACCTGAGCTTCGGCGCAATGACCTTTACCCAGGTCAAAGTCATCGACATCGCATGGGACCTGTGCGTCGGTCGCGGTGGCCAGTTACTTCTCGCCTGGGTGAACTACCGCGTGCTCAACGAATGGTTGTTATACCATATGGAAATGCACCTCACAAGCTACAAGATGTACACCGCTGTAGCGTTCGAGACGACCACGCTGAGTACGCTGGGCGTACTGGGAAAGGAGTTCTTAGCCTTTGGGCAGAAGAGTTGGAAGAGATTCTTCAGGTGGCTAGCCGTGCTGTGCATGCTGTTGGCCACGCTTTACGTGCTCGCTTTCCCAACACTGATGGCGGCAATGACGGGTTATATCACGACATACAAGCCGTACGTCGAGGACTATGAGCATAATCTCATCGAGTGGGAGAAAGTCTCGCCGATTCAATACATCATCGAAGACAGCCACCGCGTCGGGAACTACAGCAAACCCCTCCTCGCAACGGACGACGACCCTGATCTCACCAACGCGGTGCGCAACTGTAGGTATCCCGCATTGCTCCCTCGATCCTATACAACTAACCCTGGTAGATACGGACCACTACATGTACGAGATCTTGTTCTTGCGGGACCCGGACGGCCCGTCCAATCCCGAGCCTCGAAGCTTTACCTTCTCTGGCAGTGGACTCACCGTCTTCGTCTTCGATGGCACAGTCACCGAGCTAGACTCTCCAACCCTGAACATCACATATTTCACCAATGGGTCTGAAACAGGCTCCATTTCACCGGGCTTGACTCGCTACTTCTACTCGCTCTCTTCAGACCGCCAGGGCGACCGCTATAATGCGTCTTACATCCACACGCACGGATCTTGCAAGCCGAGTGAGACCTATCAGTGGGGCTTCTCGTACATATTCCTCTTCATGGTGTCTATATTCAACTTCATCTGGTCGTGCATTATGGTGGGCATGTGGTTGGATGTTTGTAGAGGAAGTAGGATGTATAAGAGCGGTAGGAGGCCCGGGCTCCTGAGGAGCGTGATGGATATTTCAACGGTAATCAAGGAGGAGTTGGGGGAGGAGGCCGAGCGCATGGAGGAGAAAGAGTTGAGGAGACGACTGAGAGAGAGCGATGGCGCACTGCTGGTACCAAAGAAAGAGCTTAGGGTCACCAGGACGGATGCTTCGGGTGCTGGTGTGAAGAAGAGGGGCTGGCGGAGAAGGCTGACGAGAGGGAGCACGTTCTAGAGGCCGAGAATTGGTCGTCATTCCTTCCGCCTCCGCTTCCTTGTAATAGGTCTCAACGTCCCACTTCCAAGTAGAGAACGTGGTTCCGAGCATGGTAGTGCAAATCAACAGCCTATTAGTTAGCAAAGCCCAGGAGAAGAGAAGATGTCTGAAGAGGCCGTGCCCACTGAAGCCATTAAATCCGGAGGCGAAAGTTTCGGTCGGGGATTAGATAAAACGAAGGCGATATCGGGAGTACGCGCGCGGAAGCACATATCCATGGGTGTAAGAAACCGCATCCACAGGGCTGCGCAGAAGCATGCTGGTCTTATGGATCCCACCGGGCGATTGGATCAGGAAGGCAGGTTCTTCTCATCACATCACCTCTACAAACATCACGATATCGGGGCGTGAGACAGATCGACTCGCGCCAGCACACACACACAGCCCTGTTCGAACCTTCTAAGACCCATCTAAAAGCGAAAAGATCTATACTTCACGCAGGACTACCTCTTCCACTCCTACTCCCGCCCGCCTCCTTACTCACAAGCTCCACCTCCCCCTTTAACGCCTGCGCACTCTCCCCCTTTCCCCTGTCCGCCTCTCCCCTTCTCTCCTCCGCCACCCTCTTGATATTTAGCCACTGCATCCCCACCGCAAACGGCAGCGCAAGACACGTCCCTACCAGCGCAAGAACATAGGTCCCCTTCAGCGACTCCGCATACGCTTTTCGCAGCTGCCGCAGCACGAGCGTATTCGGTGCGAGGGCTTTGAGCCCGCCGGCGCCGGCGTCGATGACTTGCTGGACGGAAACGGCGGCCGTATGCTTTGGGATGTTGCTGCGGAGCGAGTTAAGGAGCAGGTTCTGGCCGACGGAGACGGCGATCGAGCCCCCTAGCTGCCAGGAGAAGATGGCGATGGCGTTTCCGGTTGCGGTGTCGGATGGTTCGAGAGCAGATTGGAGAGCCGTGTAGGGGAGCTGCTGCGCCATGCCCATGCCCATGCGGTGGACCACGATGAGGGCGGCCCATTTCACGGCGGGCGTGTGGGCGTCGAGCTGGGTGAGGAAGCCGGCTGCGATGCTGGCGATGGCAATGCCGACGACCATGTACGGCACCTGAAGCACATTAGCGGACCGCGACGGGAATGAGGTTGGTGGACGACCTACGTAGTGTCCGTACTTCGACACGATGGCCCCTGTGAGGCCAATTGCGACGATGGTCGGAACGACATAGGCGAGCATGTTAACGCCGCTCTTTGTCGCGGAGACGCCTTGCGTGGCCTGGAAGTAGAGGGGGAGGTAGTAGGCAAGCTTGACGGATTAGAAAGTAACGGCCTTAGAAGGGAGAGGGGCAAGACGTACCGATATGCTCGCGATGCCGAGCGTGAACAGCACCATGGCGCCCATATAGATGGACCGCACACGAACAACGCGGAAAGGTATCGTCGCATACTCTCCTAATCTCCACTGGAGAAGGATAAACAGGATCATCAAGACCCCAAAGCAAACGAATAGCCCGATGGAAGTCGAGCTGCCCCAAGAAATGCTCTCACCGCCCCATTGCAGGACGAGCAGCAGTGAGACAATGGAGCCGAGGAATAGTACCGTGCCGATGAAGTCGAGATGTTTGAGCTTCTTCTTGAGCGGAAGGCATAGATTCTCCTCATTCGAATCGTAAGAGATATTGCAAAAGACGAGGATAATAGCAACTGCCAGGCCGCCGATAGGTACATTGCTATAGCCGTTAGCTAGGAGCAGCAACAATACAGTGATCTATCCCTTACATCCAGAAGCACCACCCTAAAAGAAGATCAGCACCCGTCCATATTATGCCAAGAAAGGGGGAGGGGAAACACTCACTCCAGCCTACATGATCAGTCAACCCACCGCCAATAACAGGCCCTGCACAAGCACCAATCGCCGCCGCAGCAGCCACAATGCTCTGGTATGCCGGCACCTTCTCCAGCGCAACGACAAACGACACAATCGCCAGCGCGCCCTGAAGCAAGCCCGACGCCCCAAAGCCCAAGAACGCGCGCCCGAAAATCAGCACCGCAGACGTCTTCGCCGTCGCGCAAATAATCGAACCAACTAACCAGCCTTTAGCTCAGCCAGCCAGCCCCAACAACGAACGGGAGCCCCAAACTTAGCCCAGCACCCAAGATGAAGTGACCTACATACCTTCGAACAGCCCAATGGCCGCCAAAAACACCCACCTCGCCTCAAAATACTTACACATGTTCCCAAAAAACGGCTGGAACGCGGTGATGGCCAGCAGATACGCAGCCCCATACCACGCGATGTCCTCGAGGGAGTGGAATTCGGTCGTGATAACGGGCGTTGCGACACCGATGATGTTCATGTCTAGCCCGTACAGCACCACGCCGAGACATAGCGACGTGACGACGAGGCCGAGCCGCCATGAGTGCAACGCCTGCGGAGCGGTGGAGCACGCCAACTCGGCTGCATGTTCTTCTTCTCCCCTGTTGCTGCTGCTGCCGCAGCCGACTCCTCGTCCTCCTTGCGACTGGGGGGCGTCTTCATCGACCGCTGGAGCAGCCATGTCTTCTGTGCATTGCGCAGGCAAGTGGAAAGGGAAACGGGATTTTCCGGATGCGAAGGCGAACGCAATGCAGAAAACGATAGGAATCTCGGTGGGAAAAAAAATAATGAAGGTCTGGGCAATACCTTCCCTGCGTCGTTAAACTCTGGCCCGCATGGAAAGATTCATGCGAGAGATTCATAAGAGCGAAACGAGCGACAGCGGAAACGGGGCACGGGAAGCCGGTGCCGCTGTGCCTCGTTCGTGCAGGGGGGACCGGCGTTTGTGTTTGCGCATACATATTAAGGGCCCCTTACGTAGCACGGCAGGACCGTGGAGTCGGGAACGAGGGGATGTACAGTAATCTCGACGTGTATACAATGCAGGCTAAAGCGCGCTATTTGGCGCGCTGTGATTGGCTGTCCTGATTGGAGGGGTGGCAGCGGCCTGGCGTGCTTATCGGGCGTAAATCCTTGGGTAGTAGGTCCTATGTGTCTCGGTTGGTTCCGTGGGTGACATGCTGTGGTGAGTGGTGGTGTACAGTACAGTCAGCGAAGCAGCGGGGCACGAGGTTGATTTGCACTGGTTTGTCAAGGCAGCGCTTGGTGAGATCGGGCAAGGGGATGGCGTACAAGACAAAGCAACGTATGATCGCAATCCAGGGGACGCTGCGCTGTGCCGCAGCCGGTGGGGGACGAGGACGTTACACAAGACGGGTCCGTGACCTCACGCAAACCTTGTCATGCAGTCACGGAAGACGAAGAAGGACCCGGGATATTTTCGAGAACGCGAAATCCAAAGGTCCCGCCGGCGCTGCGTATCGTACAGTACCCCCTCTTCCAAAGGGCTAATCCGCACGGGGAGTAAGCCTGAGCTGCACGTCGTCGCCCAGGACCACAGGAACGACGCCTGCAGACGGCCTCGCACCATCGACTCTCGGGAACGCGCTCTCCACCGGCGCGATGTCGTACTTGGACAGCAAGATAGCTACGAAAGCATTCAGCGATCGCCTCGCCAGGAAACGCCCCGGACATAGATGATGGCCCCCGCCCCAGGGCCGATACGACAGGCTCTTCGCTAGTTTCCCATTGTCGACAAAGCGACTCGGCTCAAGGCCCGTAGTGTTGGAACCCCAGACGTCGGGATCGTAATGCAGCTCTCGAATGGGGAGCTGCAGGAACGAATTAGCCTACAAGCATGCAGAACGCGGGATGCAGGAGAAAAGAAATAATAAGCTCACCATGATCTTATTCCCTGGTTTCAATGTCTTGCCTCCGACTACGGATGTCTGTGTTACGACGCGAGCGAGTGAGCTGGCGACAGTGAGACGCAGGGTCTCGTTGATGAGGGCGTCGAGCTTCGGGCATTGTTCGGACAGGTAGGACTCTTTGAGGGAAGTGCCTTGGAGGGAGGGAAGGACTTCCTGGCGGAGCTGCTCTAGCAGTTTTGGATTATGTACCAGGTAGGCCACGAGCCAGAAGGCCATCTTGTAGACATTTCCGACGACGCTGATCCTTCGTCAGTGATGCTTGTTTGGAGTCTGCGCAGCACTTACGCCCAGTAATGGAGCAGAGTAAACTTCCCCATCTCATCCTCGCTCAACCCCGCCTCGCGGAGCATATCCTCCAACCCCGTTGCGAAGTATTCTGCGTTTGGGCGCTGGCTTCGCGGCAGCTTGTAATAGTTCGCGAACGCCCCGGTAATCGTACTTTTCGCTTTGAGCATATCCTTCGCAAAGATATCTGGAAGCTGGAAGAGGAACTTCCAGCTGCTGTACTCCCAGTCTAGGAACGCCTTGATCATATTGGGTGAGTTCTTCAGAAGCGCGGGTCCCCAGAATACTTCAGTGTCGTGCGTTATGAAGAGATCGACGCAGAGCTCGTGCAGAGAGATTGTGATTGACTTCTCCGACCGACTAAGCACCGCTGGCGCATTTGGCTGAGAGAAGCCCAACTTCTTGAACAGAGCTGGGATGACCTTTTCTTCCACCAGCGCGTCCAGTCTCGCGCCTGAGAGCTGCTGGTGGTGCAGTTCGATCACCATTTGTGTAGGCGTGAGCGGGCGAGCGTTGTCCGCATTGTACTGCGCAGATGGGTGTCGTTCGAACAGGGATTCCCGGCTCCTCTCTGAGATGCCACACCAGATATACATGTCCATAGTCAGAGGGTTCATCGAAATGGTTTTTGAATTGTTCCAGACGCGGGTGATGTCCTCGGCAGAAGTCGCTACGTAGATCGTCTGGCCGGCGACGGTCATGGTGAAGGGTTCGCGCGACTTGTTGAAGTACTTTCTGGAAGAGCGTCTCAGACTTCGTTTCTCATCGCATAGGATTTGAGAGGGGGTATGCATACCTGCCCTTCTCGATCGCGCCGTTGAAGTCCATGAAGAAGCCCGCGACATGGCCTTCTCCGCATTAGCAAGCGTGCCAATGGCTCTATGGGATCGAATTACCGACGACTGCGAAAAGTCAGTATCTACATTGTTGAATGCAGTCATGTAGTGCATACAAGGAATCCAGTAGGGGAGCTCTTTAGGCTCATCCGGATGAAGCCTGGGCCGAATCGTGAATCTCCATACTCTCCATGACAGCAGGACCGCCAGCGCTGTGGCCACGACTTTGATCGCCGTCGCGCTTAGCACGGAGTCCATGTCGTCGCTGGATGATCGCGTGCGAGCAGGAGCGCTTCCGAACGCGACGCGAGGCTGTGATAAAGACAAATATATCGGTGCTGTGCCGCAGGCGCGTATTGCGCATGATTCGGAAGGCGTCACATACACGCCGATGCAGGTAGACCCCTTAAAGGCGCCACCAACCACGATACTCGTCTTCAGGCAGGGGAAGCTGCAAGGCGCTGGAGTGAGGGGCCGGCACACGTGATAAAGCTACCACAATGGAGAGAGGCGCACCTGATGAATGCTAACCCTTGCTCACACAAGCCTTCTTCCAAGCGACTTAATACTCGCAGCTGCAGCCTTTCTGCACCTCGACCCGACTCTGGAACCCAGAATAGACTCCCCAGCTCATGCCACTTTATGCTGATTTCAGCCCATGGCTGCCCCTTTTGCGCTCCCTAGCAGGATAACATGCTGTTTATTAGCTCTCTTCCCTTCGTGTCTACCCAACAAAACGGCTGGCCGAAGGCAGGGCTGATATCCCTTCGCTTACCCTGATCTGGCCTCGTTTTCTGCTCGAAGGCTTTAGGCATTAAATGGAAGCTACAAGCGTATTCTGCCGGGCCTTCGGAGCCGTATTCTTAACTAGGCCGTTTCGACGAGTTGAGCTTTCGATTCTGCTTTCTGCCTCAGGCCATTCGCTTTTTCTTCCTGTATCGTGCCGAGTTGTTACGCCCGACGAACATGGCGGACGCCGTCGATCTCAGCAAGTTGCCTCCTGAGGCTCTCGCTCAGATACCAGCTGGGTATCCTCCGGATGGCGTGGTCTCGAATCTGGTCAATCCTCCTACTGTCGGCTATCATATCCTCGTCGCGAACAGTCTCCTGATGGCGATAATGTTCACGTTCGCGGGACTCCGATTCTACACCGCGATCAAGATCAAGCGCAAGTTCTCGCCGGATGACTGGGCGACTGTCGCTGCCCTCATCGGGAGCATTTACTACTTCACCATCGTGTGCATGGGTATGACGCGCATACTTACGCCTCCTGCTTGCATTACTAACGCGTTCGCAGCCATTGTGGTCACCAAATTCGGCACGCACATGTGGGACCTCTCAGTAGCCCACATGAAGACCAGGAACATGGCGCTTGTAAGTCGCGTCCAGGCCACAAGCGCGAAGCTTGACTGACGTGCTGGAAGCTCGGCTTCATGTCAAACGGACCACCGCATCTCATCTGGCCGACGATCAAGACCACCTTCTTTCTTATGTATCTCCAACTCTTCCGACCATTAGCTTGGCTTCGTCGCTGCGTCTACGTCGGCCTGGTAGTCGTCTGGCTATGGTATCTCGGAATGGCTATAACCACCATGGTGATCACCGCGCCTCCGCCAGGAAAGGGTTGGGTAGAGTCCTTCGCCACTCCGCGCTACCTCTTGACATTCAAGCTCACCGTCCCCGCCGCATCGTTCAGTCTCGTCTCTGACGTGTACATCCTGCTCCTACCGCTCGTCGCCATCTCGCATCTACAGATGAGCTCAGCGAAGAAGATTGGAGTTGGTGCGATGTTTTCAACCGGATTCATGCAAGTACCTCGACGGTTGTTGGTATGAGTGACGTTAACAGTTTCACAGCTGCTGCCTCGCTTCCGCCGTCTCGGTGTACTTCCAACATCGCATCTGGAAAAACCAGAGCGACTACACCTACTATGTTGTCTACGTATACCTGGCGTATATGATTGAGATCTGCGTCGGTATCTCGACCAGTTGCATGCCTTCACTGGCACGCTTGCACAGAGAAAACGGGCCGAAGCTGGGGTCCATTGCCTCCTCTTTGGGCTTCCCCTTCCGCAGCCTCCGCAAGACGACGAATAATTCAAACAACTCCAGGCTTTCGACCATCGATGGGTATCCGAAGAAGAGCCCATACGCGTATATGGAGGAGGAATCCGATCCTGGAGCCCATGAAATGGGGCGCATTCCGACCCCAGGCAGCAATTCAGCTCTCGTGGGTGCTCCCGATACGAGCCAGGGCGCGCACATTGGCATTGTCCGCACTGAATCCAGAGGAACAAGCGAGCGAAAACACGCAGACATCGAAGCGTGGCCAATCAGAAGCCGATGAAGTCGTGGCAACAACACCACCTATTCTCGAGCCCCAGCTATGTGAGGTCAACCAGCCTCCACTGTTCTGGGACCTGTAGAGCGAGCGAATGTGCCGGGATCTGGTCAAGCGCCAACATGCAGACGGCAAGCCATCTCGTACGGCAGTGGTGAAAGGGAACTCTGGGAGTTGTGTTGTATTTGGGAAAGAGAACAAGTTGCTGCGCCGCTCATAGGCAGATGCCAGAAAAGTCAGGTCGTCGTAATCCAGTGCCTCGCTTAAGCATTGTCCGTCTTATTGCATGCAGGAGAAGCATGGTGTTGTGTGCCGGGGTTTCGATTGGTCAGGACCGCATAGCCAGCCTACCTAGGGAGTAGCGCGCTGAGCAATCAGCAACTCGTTAATCTAGGATTCGACCCATCTAGCTCCACGTATGAGTATGACAGATTGCGTTTTTTCTGGCTCTGCGGCACAGCGGCTCTGATCGCGGAAGCGGAAGGCCGAGCTTGTCGACCCACAAGAGATGGTAGGCGCCGCTGCTGCCCGCGGTGGCGTTTGGCCGATTGCGGTATTCTCAACGTAGCGTGCAGCGCGAGACTCAGGGGACCTTCGCTAGGTGAAGAGCCCGGTGATACCTACAGAGGCAGGCGGTTTCATATTCTTTGATAAAGCCTTGCGCTAAGAATGGTGGGTGTGGAAGATAGTTCTGTAGCAACTCGTCCGAAACCACTCCCAAGCGGCAGCGGTAAGCGACCACAGATTGGTTCTTCTTGGCTACCCATTCCTTCAAACGCATTCGCGCTTGAAATGCATCGATTTAGCATATAATACGGTTTGACCTTGATATAGGACGGGTGCCGGGCTCCACTGCGCCTTTGATAGCCAGACGTTTAACCGGGGAAACCGAATGTCAGGCCCACCATCCGGTCCGCCGGGCATGACGCCGTTCCTGTCTTTAGATTCGCGGCTCGGAGTTTACGAATGGAACCCCGGTGGAACCGTCGTCGAAGCGCGCATGGAGTCCCAAAAGCTAGGGCGATGAAACGGTGCACAACCGCCGAATGTTGCGTCGCCCCAGCTTGTGCATCGAGCCGTGCGGGATACTCGATAAGGATACTGTACATGCGGTAGTACGCTGGGACCGTGCAGGCTGTCTTATGATTGCACACGCCCCGCCGGCGTGCGACTTAGAGTGTTGGTTACTCGTACGGAAGCTCATGCTGCGTCAGGCTCGCAGAAAAAGATTCGCCCCGCAGATTGCGCCAACCACTTGTCCTATGGCCGCGGTTCCACGTGAGGTATATTGATGCATTAGCCCAGCGGCTCGGTCTGCAAGCATGTGGCATGCAACCCACGGCGCTCTTAAATAGGCATCGGCTGGAGGTATATGAGGTGTGACCTGGTAGTCCTTGTGCTTCCCACTTGTTTCTTCTTGCCTTAGTGGGACCCCCGTCGTCGCAGGACCGACACGTTTTTTCTTCTCCAAACCCTTGGGACAGAAGAGAACGGGTAGTTCTGGATCTTGATTTAATCCCTCGAGTCCCGTCCACCTGGTCAGCGAAAGATGGATGCAGAGACGCTGTACACCCTGGCCTTTTGGACTGCAAGCGTGCTGTATGTCGTGAATAGTCTTGGGATCGACTCTTACGTAGGTGACACTGCTTCGTTCCTTTCCGAATTGGCGCTAACAGTATCGGAAGGTCTTCAACGGGTCCCCGTACGCAAAGTTCGGGAAATTTCTGTCGAGCGTCGGGATTGTCATCAACGATTTTGTAGGAGGCTCTTCGTGCGACCGTCGGGTGCCGCAGGGTGTACTGACTTGCGCTTTAGAAATCGGCAAGATACTACAAGCCATGGAACACGACCAAGCCGATCATCGTGTCCACCAAGAAGCAGATCTCGGAGCTTAGCGAAGCCTACACGGTGTTGTCACAGCGGGCTGTGTACGCTGATGCAGGTTGAACCAAGCTTTATCGACCCGATTTTGACTGACGGGTGTAGATGTTCGGCTTTAAGCACACACTGAACAACTTCAACCATAACGAGGTTACCCTCCAAAAGTCCCGCCTTTTCGGTCGCCTCATCCAGGTCAATGGGGTTAGTAACTTGCCTAAGATATATCCATATCTGGCCAACAGGGTGGATGAGAGCATAGCGGAAATGGTGAACCTCGGCAAGGTGGATGAAAGTATGTCGAAGTGTCGCTACCCAATCATGACAATACTGACACGAAGTTACACAGGAGGGATCTCGTTACCGGTAGCGCAGACGGTCCGGACTATCGCGTCGAGGGCCATGTGCGTCTTGTTCTTCGGTGAAAAGCTCTGTACGCGCATGTGACTCTCTTTCGTAGCCCCAGCTGTCCTAACACAAGGTAGCTCATGATCAGGTCTTCGCTGACGCCCTGTTGCGTCATCCGAAGGAGATGGTCTCTTGCATGGCAGCCTTCCAGGTGACGCCTTCTTTTCTCTCTCCGTAGGCCACCTCGTCATTCCTCTAGGTTGAGCTTGGCTAACCCAACGGTAGGATTATCCATAGTATCTTGACCAAGCGAGGCGAAGCACAGGACATCATTTTGAAGCGTCTGGCGGACATAATGGGATCCGGCCGTGGTACGTGGGATGAGGAGCCGCGCATGAAGGAAGTAAGTACTGAGAATGTTGGATGACCGCAGCTCCGAAAGACGTGGCGCGCTAACGCTAATATTAGCTCACATTAGCGTGGAACATGGTAGCACTTACTGAAGGCAGTGAGTACTGGCAGGGGCCAGACCACCTTGCTCAGTCTCTGCTCGGTATCTGGTTCGCGGCAGCGCACCAGCCATGGATGAACCTAGACTTCATCATGCTTCAGCTTAGCGTCCGCCCAGATATCCAAGACGCTCTGAGGGAAGAGATTGGTGACCAAGAATCCCTGAATTACGAGCGACTGCAGAGCCTTCCGCTGCTGGATAGCTTCATCAAGGAGACCGTGCGGTTGCATCCTCTCGATACTAGTAGGTGTCTCCCGGTGTCGAAGAGACCCAGGTGCTAACGGCGACAGTGGCTGTCCGAAGAAAGGCTCTGAAGGATTACACCTTTTCGGGCGGCACACCCTTCTGCCCATCCGGTTCCACGGTCTGCGTGTCCTCGTACGACATGATGCACAACGAGAAGGACTACCCGCGTCCGAACGATTTCCAACCAAGACGATTCGTGGACACGGATTCGCCAGTCCGGGGCACCAAGTTCACCGAGGTATCCGAAAAGTTCCCGGTCTGGGGCTTCGGGTCGTTGGCGTGCCCGGGCCGATTCCACGCTTCAATAGTGCTCAAGCTCATCATCTCGCACTTCGTGATGCGATATGACTTGAGCCTGGAGAACGAGAAGGAGAGGACGCTGTGGTCGTGGGAGACGTTCACCATGCCGTATGAGTCCACAAGGTTTATTTTGAAGGAGCGGTCTTCCTGTTAGGCCTCGAATTTCGGCGTTGCTCTGCATTTCGGAGGGTCGTCGGTTGAGTTTGGTAGCCGCATGTTGCCACGAATTTGACGATTGAACGATGGCCGGGCGATGGGGGGTTATTTGCTTCGGAGTCAGTCGATGAATTTATGCTTTTCCTGGGTAGGATACGATGGATGGCGTATCTGCGTGAGTTCGCGTGCCTATGACCTAATATACTCCGCACAAGACCCTACGGAGCCAGCGTGGGAGGACCGCTCATCCGCGAGATAGGCTGCAAGACTGATGAGGAGACTGATTGCTGAAGCCTCTGTCGGAAACCACTCCCTGCATTTAGACGTGTGGTAGGTCTTGATGACTGGCGACATTCGGGCGAGACACCTGGGCAATTTCAGGGTGAGCCGAAACCGAGTTTGGTACTATACCGCATTGGGCCTAGCACTCACCAGTCTCTGATGATCCTCCGCTACAATCCTCATGCTTCTCTATCTCGCTTCCATTTCCGTTAGGCTTTCCTTTGTACCACGGTGCTTCCTCACAAGGTAAAGCGGTAGCCTCTATCGATAATGAGTGGCTTCCTCTTCGGCGGAACAGTTGCATTGTACACCACACTCCAAGATTGGACTGTTCTGAACAATACACATGCAATTTTGTGACAACAGAGGAGGCGGCCCAGTGCGCTGATCCGGAACAGAACGCTGCGAAACAAAACGATTTACCTCAAGACACATAAGGTCTGGTCTCTTGAGCTACTCGACCACCTTTCCTCATTCAATCTGTCCGGCTTCCCGCTCTGTGTCAAATTCTGATAGAAGAGCAACTTACCTCCGTTCAACGTCCCTTTGCATTCTTCGACATTGTTCATGCATATCCCTCACGGCCGCGAAAAGCGGCCAACATTGTGACTACGCATAGACTCACCATATATGTCGTTTCTCTACCCCATTTCTCCTAAACCCATTACAACCCACTCTACACAACAACGGCAGCAACAGCGACCCACCCAGACACAATGAGCACCCCATCTCTGCCAACTCAAGCGGAGTACTTCTGCACCCGGGTCCTCCCCCTTACAGCTACATACAAGCGCCCAGCGTCTGGAACGCAGTGCTCAATCTGCTGCGAGGAGCTCCGCGAACAAGGCCACACTCACAGCGTTGTCATCTTGACCGACTGTTACCACTTCTTCCATACGGCATGCATCTTGCCCTGGTTCACAGGCTCAAACCAACGCCGCGGCTCATGCCCAAACTGCCGTCGCGAGCTGTTCGTCCCGGATCGCTTGTCTGTTCCGCCCGATGAAGCTGACGTACTCCCAGGGGTGCTTGAATTACAAGAGAGGGTCGAAGGAATGGACCGAACGCTAGACCGCATGCTGCAGCGACGCCTACGCGCCAATGATAGGACAGATCGTGCTGCAGCGCAGCTCCGCCGAGAAGATGCAGAACACCCACCGCAACAATCCTCCGAGCCGTCGCGACTAGAGCGCATGGTTGAGCAAGCGGACGCGGTTACTTTCGCGGGTGCTAACCAGCAGCCGCAGTCACTATCACGGGAACCTCCCAACCCGCCGCCGTCTGGGCTACATCGTGGCCAGCAACGCCGAGTCATGATGCAGGGGGTACGCAATGGGCAGCTGGAGCCCTCCGAATGGAATCTACCCTACGAGCAAGCACGCGCTCTCGCAGAATCTCGGAGAAATCCTGGGCCCACCAGCGAACAGCGCGCTCAAGCCCGCGGTGAAACCTCCTCCATGAACCACTGGGAGCGGGAAGCGTTCCGACAACGAAGCCGCGCGGAGCAACAGCGGCAGGTGCTTGCGGATCGGGAACGGAGAGAGCGCCAGATATCCAGCATCCAAGCTCAAGTGGCTGAACTGCGCCGCGAGACTGTCCGGAGCAACGAGGTGAATGCAAATACCCTAGCCATGCTTCGATCACGCGGCTTGGTGCACGACAATAGTAACAGTCGACGTCTGCCCGAGGCATCAATGCCCCCAGTGCAGTCTTGGTCACCTGGTCCCGAGCGGCGTAACTTTAGTGGGGAAGAAAGCCGCCGACATCTAGGTGAGATTGATCGTGTTCTGGAAGAGATACGACGGCTTTATGGCGTCTGGAGAGGAGGGTCAGCGCATGGCTAGCTGACTACGCAATGTAGGGAGTATCAGGAGCATTGCACCAGGTAGAAAGCTATGAAATTATTGACAGAGATTTAGTTTCTCTATTGGATGTCAAACAGCCCCTTTCCTGCAAATACTATCCAGAGCCCTGCGAATTTGAATTAGAGCATTTGCTCACATTCAAAATCTGTCTCCTCCAATTAGCTCCGTTCTCGTGTTTAAGTTTAGAAACTACGAATGCGATCAGGTAAGTACTATCTCCTAGGGACAAGCTGCCCCCACGTCTCAGATGCCCTTGTTCAGCGACCGCCTACTTCTAAACACGTCCTATGTGGCATCTCTTGCCCTTCATCATCTCAAGTGTTCTGCCTACAAACGACGCTCGTCAATTCATGCAGGGCAACCTGCGCTTTTGTTTCTCCGGCTTTGCTTCCATGCGCCTTTATTGTGCAAGCACATCGCCTCACAACTCGAGCCCCTTTTTCATTCTCAACTTATAAAGCCCCTTCCATCAATTACCAGCTCCTCACAACCCCTTCCCCATCCATCCACCCATCCATCCACAAACCATGCCCCCACCAGCCTTCCCAAGCATCCTTCCTCTGCACCAGCGTGATCCCCCTCTCCAGCACGCCCGACCGGCCCGCCTCCTCCACCCCCTGCACAATCTGCTGCGAGACCCTGGGCCCAGAACCCACAGACAGCATCGTCCTCCTGCGGCCGTGCCGCCATTTCTTCCACACGGAATGCATTTTAGCTTGGTTCACCGGGATGAACCAGCGGCGGGGCTCGTGTCCGAACTGCAGGCGCGAGCTTTTCGAGCCGGAGAGGCTGCGGTTTGAGAGCGCGCAACGCGGTAATACGCGTGTTGCCGCACTGCGAGATACGCGTCCTGCGGAGGAGGATATCGATGTTAGGGCAGCTGTAGCTGCGCCGCTTGCACGGCTAAGCACCAACGCAAGCCCACCACGGCCGCATCGCTTCGCCGCTGTCACGGCCGAAAACCGCAAACTGTGGGAGTGCGTCCAAAGCGCATTCGCCCGCAAATGGGCTGAGTTCACTGGAGACTTGTCCATCATCCGCTGGCAGGAAATCGTAAACACCGCCTGCGCCGCCTTCTCCCAGCACTTCGACGCTACCAACCCGCTCAGCGGCTACATCACGCTAGACTCACTCATTAACCTCAGCGCATGTGCTGCGCTCGTCGAGCATTGCGCTGAGCCTGAGCGTGTCGGCATCCGGCATTCTGACTTTAACACTTTGGTGACGCTGGCGGGGAGGAAGCTAAGGCGCGTTCAGTCGAGCTATCGCTCGGTCCCTGTCCAGTATGAGCGCCTCTTGAACTACAAGGACCCTGTGGGTGCGCATCAGCTTACTGAGTATCAGGTTCGAGAGGACGAGATGCGGGCGCGGTGGATTGTTGGGCTGCGAGTGAGGACTAGGGGTCTAGGAGCAGACCCGTACGGACGGATTAATATCTAGAGCATCAAAGTAACCCTGAGACGGGAGGTGCCGTCTTTCCATAATAGAAATAGAATAGTGGCTTTAGAAATATTGATAGATTCCAGCTATGTACGATGATGGTATCTTGGGGACTATATGCGACCTAACCCGACGCTCCCTGCGCTCAATAACATGCCGTTTCTCGTCATTAGTCATTACCCTGGCCGAGGTTCTAGCTCTAGCAGTTCAGGTTGATAGCTGTGCACAAGCAAGTTAGCACACTTATTATTTTTTTAATTTAGATATCTTGAAGGGGTTGGCTTACCATTAGCGTACAGGGCATATGTATCGGCGTTGTTGAGCGCTTGGCTCGTCGACAGTCTCGACGCAGCGGACCACCCATAAGCGATATCATCAGTGCCCGGGCTGTAGACACCAGGGGCGTGAGTCTCCTCGTGCAGCACAGTGGTGGCCTGGTCCTGAGCATGGCAGCTGCTTGCAAGGGCTGGGAGCGCGCTGAAGAAGAGGTCGCAATAGGTGATGAAGTTCTGCGAGGGCACCGTGTAGGCAAGCACGTTGGAAGAGCATCCCTGGTACGGGTCATTGCAGTTGGTCGAGGTGGCGCTCCCGGAACCGCCGCAGTCGCTGGATACGGCCCTCAAGCGAGCAGAGACCGTACTCCTGGTGCTGCTTGCCGTCGATTTAAAGTAGGTGTCGAGCTTAGTGCCGGAGGAGGCGGCTGAGGCGGCGGCAGTGGCGAGCTGCGCGCAGTTGGACAGCGCGGTCCTGACCGCGGAGAGCTTGGAGCCCGTGCAGCTGGAGCCGAGGGTGGTGCGCTTGGTGATGGCCTTGGCGACGGTAGCGGCTACAGCGCCGTCGATGGTCATTGTGAGCTTGTTAGAGTCGTAGGGGAGGGTGCCGGCGAGCTCGGTAGAGTCGGCTTCGGCATAGGGGAGCTGGCCCTGCGCGAAGACATCGAAGTCGCCGCCATCGGTCAGGGTATGGAGCGCAGCCGTCTCAACAGTGACTTCTTTCGTCTCTCCGGCTGCCAGAGTGGTGAAGTCATCCGTAGTCAGGCCGGTGGTCAATAGCCGGATCTTGATGCCCTCGAAAGGAACCTGTGTGCCTATAGACAATGTTAGATTGATTTCCTGTTTGAGAAGACCTAGTATGAAAGAAAGAAAGCCGGATAAAGACATGTGCCGAAAAGGGATGAAGAATGCTAAGCTCAAGAAAGTGCAATCTATCGTGCATCGGGCTTGCAGATAGGCTCGCCTAAGTAGGACTGGAATCCTCCCGTGCGGCATAGCTACCGATGGGCACCGCTTAGGGCGGATTACGAGAAGTGAACTTACTGCCGGCGCTAGAGTACATAGTGACCTTCTCCACGGGGTTGACTTCATCCAGAAAGGTGCCCTTGCTCAAGAGGTTGAGCGTCGTTTGCCCATTGTTTGTCACAGCCACCTTAACCTCAGAGTTACCCGAGGCAGTCAGCACGACGCTCAAAGGGGACTCCCGCTTGTTGAGATCAACAGAAGCGGCGATGGCGTAGGAAGCCAAAGCGGCGAGGGTCAACTGAGTGAATCCCTTCATGGTGGAGGTAAGGCCTGGAGGAACGAAGGATGAGAAGCTGGGGGAGGAAGCGACGGAAACGAGCTGGCGATCAGTAGATGGTGGTCAAGTTCTCAAGGAGCATATGCGGAGCTTTATAGTTGATAGAACCTGTGTATTCCAGGGAGATTTGCGGAGCAGTCCGCCACCCGGTCCCAGGAATCATGGCGCGGTGGATAAACCGAGCTCTGGAGCATGTCCAATTTGGGCAGCTAGCGCAGTTTGCTGGCATAAATCTTGGGGTTTCCAAATGATCGTCTCTGTAGACGTAGTGGGGGCGTTTCCGCGAAAAGTCTCCAGCAGGGCGGAAGAGCTATGCGAAACAAGACGTTTCATTGGAGGGTTTCGGCGAAACAAGGCTGCGTCTGTTCCTCTATGGAGGCGACAGCGGGACAGTGACGGGATGTGGAAGGTCGTTGACCATGGCTAACGGGTGCCAGATGATAAGGAGCATGGAGTGTAAGGCCTTCGTGCAATGCGACGACGATAGACAATCTGTATGGTGCATCAACGCCTGTCGATCATTCAGATATAGATTAAGGGAACAAGGTAACGTCTTGGCGCGGAGGATTGTTTCGAGGCCTGGCTGTGATAGGGCAGCAAGCGTGGCGATGACAGCGGCCGTTTCACAGGGAGCAAGCTTCTTGAATTCCCCGTGCGGCTGCTTGTCAGCTTAGCAGCCGATGAGAAGCATCCCTGGAGGGCTTAAGGAACAGGCGAAAAGCTACGGTATGGTGGAGCGGCGAGAGGCAGGCATGTCGGCACCCGATCGGCGCCTACCCGGCAATTGGCCTGGTGACATTGTTCCCTGCGTTGTTGCCATCGTCTTCCAATGCTTGACGGAGCGGCTTTATCTCCTATATTGCTGATTAGCAGCGTAGCAGGGCGTGCTCTGCTGGCATAGAGATCAGCCAGAGTAGCCGCGCTACCGGGGCGGTTGCAGACGCGGCTGGCACACGCATGACGAGTGCGTGGCACAGGGAGGGAGGAGGGGATCGGGATGAGGCCGACGACGAGGTGGAGTGGGCGTGGAGCGAAGGTTGGCAGAGGATGGCAGCCCTGGAGGATGACGGGAAGGTGGTGCGGCGACGCGAACGGCGGGGGGCCAGCCAGATGGAGGAAAGCGCGAGCCACGACAACGCGCGGAAAGTGGCAGTGACGACGGTGGGCACAGCTAAAACAACAGATGGCATGTTTCCCCGATCCCGTGAGAACGCGTGCCTCGTTTCACCTTCCTCTGCGGCGCATGATTTGCGCCCAGTTGATTTACGATTAATCTATCTTAGCGCACCAGAGACGACGGTGTTTGAGAAGGTCTCGGGCCTCTACTGTACCCCGCCGTGGCGACGTGTATATTGGTCGCCATCCACCTGCTTCATTCGCCCTTGATATATATGAAAAGCTTAGAGATGGTCGGGAGCAGCGGAATGCCATCATGGCGCGGGGCGGCCAGCTGTCCTTCATGCGTCGCGCTGCGTCTTCGTGCCCTGCCCTTCCATCACGTCCATACAAACGCCGCTTACACATGATACTGCGAGATCATTGCAGGTTTGCTGCTTTTCTGCCATTCGAGCAACTCGAAAGATTGGAGTGCATCGCTCCTGCCCTTCACGGTTAGCCGGTCGCGCCTCTCCTACCTCACACCTAGCTATCGCGCTATCCCAGGAGCCCATTGTAACACAACTACAAGCACACTGCCACTTCGCGAGAGCCCTTCCCTAGGAATACTATCCTCGACACTATCCCGTCGACGCGATCCCGATGAACGGCCGAACCGCAGTCATCGCAGCCGCAGCCGTCACCATCCTCGGCGGCCTCTACTTCTTCTCCACGCCTTCCTCGAGCAGCTTCAGCATGTCAACCTCACCATCCGCCTCTTCCGAAGTCCCCGGTCTAGAGTTCAAGCTCTCGCAAATCTCGCGAAGTCCGCCGTCGCTCCTGGTCACCCTAAAGAACAACAATCCGGAGACACCCTTCACAATCCTGAAATGGGGCACGCCGCTGGATCCCCAAGCCTCAAACCTCGGCGTCTTCAAGCTCGTTGACGCAGAGTCTGGAAAAGAGGTGCCAACAGACATCATCAAGATCGCAAGGAAGATGCCGCCCTCGCGGGAGGACATGGTGACCGTCGCGCCAGGCACCGAAGAAGCAACCGAAGTCGTCTTCGACAAGCCGTGGATGCCAAACAAGAAGCCGGCCAAATACAAGGTCAAAGCCGAGGGCGAATTCATGGGCGTCTGGGACAAATACGGCGGGGATGTGCAGGAGAGCGATATGGAAGCATACACGGACAGCCCATTAAGCGGGCGCGCATTCAAAAGCAACGAGCAAGTCATGTTGGTGGATTAAGACCTTCTAAACATCAATGCCATCTTCATCCTGTACATTCTCCGCTCTTGCCCTGTTTCCCCCGAGAAATCAAGACGTTACCTACTATTGAAGGCCCCCGGCTCTGCATCGGATCGCTTGCTTGATGACCCAGGCTTTGATGAGGCAACATGCATCATTCATATTAGCACGCACACCCCCCATCGCCACTATCAAGCCTCGCAGTTCCATGCCAATCTATCTTATCTTTCACTCTAGACCCTTGTATCTTCGGCCGCTGCGCATCTGTTCTGCATGCTTGCGTGCATCTTCATGCGGCATTACGAGAATCACCGTTTCCTTGGCCGGGGCTTCCCTTCTCCATGCCCGACTCTCGCTACTAATCACCTTTCGTTCGCCACCAATTATAGAGGTAGTAAGCAGATTCCGCTTGCCTATACTCGGAAGCTTGCGGCCCTTCATCAAGCGACACGCACATGACCACAACATAATATGAAGGAATTTTTGTTTTAGCTGGTACTCTACATGTAGCACGCCCGCATCTTCTTTGCGGCGAGGTTAGACAAGTTACTAGCTACACGAGGTATGCGCTGTACCCCACCGAAGCGCAGGTGCCCATATCTTGCCGTCCTACACGTTCGACCATTTTATACAAGCACTTCCGGACCACGAGCTCTTTAGGCCTATAAGAAACCGGCGACGAAGGGCTAACCGGAGCTGTACTGTTGCTCTTGATAATGCATTGGGACTAGCAATCCCAACAGAATGTATCCGTCTCGTTAGTTTTCCATCAACGGAAGGCTAAAAGGGGCGGACGCCATGGAAAAGAGACTCCAGATCTCAATGGCAACACACTGACGCCCTTGCACTGTATGGTATTGGCCTGTGGCTGGAGTTGTATCGGTGAGGTGATTGGAGACTATATCGTTAAATTCGGCGTGCCGTTCGTCTCGCTTGCGCTCATATACAGAACACATGATGGGTCGTGCTGGGTCGGATACCTCGGACTGCTCTGGCCGTCTCGCTGGACTCTGGCTGCTTGATATATTGTATCAAGTTCTGGGGCCCGCAGCGGTTCACGCGTGGGGCGGTGGTGGGCAGAGCGCCTACGATCTTTCAAGCGGCATCAGACCTGAAGCTCGTTGTGAAAGAGACAGAGGGTGGTAACTTGAGTACTGTCCAGAGGAAGTGGAAGTACGGCTTTCGGTTCAGTCGGCGGCTAGGCCAGGATGAGCGTGAGATGTTCAGCGGTCTCGTGCGGGAGAATGAGTGTGTCTCGTGGAAGGAGTTGTCTAGAGCGATTGGAACGGAGGATGACTCGCTGGGAGGGGAAATTATCCACGAGGTGTAATGGTGAGCACACTCTGCTCTGACGGTTTGCGAGGATCGTCAGAGGTACAGCCGTCTCAGATGTTTCCTCACAGAACGACTCAGGCTCTTCTTCATTCGTTCTTTCTTCCGGATAATCAATAGCCTAGAGATTCATCTCCTGCCAAAGTTTTCGTACGCTCTGTCTTTGATTCCTCCTTTCTGTCTCAACATGAACGGTGTCTGGCCGCCAGTCGAGGGACTAAAGCTATTGCCTGCTTCTCCATAATGCAAGACTTTCGGCAATAGCATTCTTTGATGTTGATACCGCCGGGTACTGTCACCCGCTTGAATAAGAGGTCGTGAGGGCGTATGAGTGAGAATCTAGGTGCTAGGGTAGAGGCATTAGAGCCTGGCGGGGGGACGTCTGTGCAAGCCATACCCACTCTGAGTCCCAAAAACCGTGCTGTAGACCGTACTTGTATGAGGCCAGAGGTCTTCATGGCCCTTGGCTAGCCCGGAAGTGGGCTTTGAATGATTCTCCAATAAACTTTGAGAATCCTTCTCTTACCCATCCTATCCAGTATATACAATGCTATTACCACCGTCACCTTCTCATCCAGCAACCCAATCCCTCTCCTCTTCCCTAGCATCCTCCAACCCGCCCCTACCCCCAAACCACTTCCTGTCCCCCCACGGCCAAAGAACCGCAATAACCTTCCCTCTCACCAGCGCCAACGGCACCGCCCCAAAAACCCTACTATCCCTACTCCACTCCAAATTATCACCCGCGACCCAACAATGCCCCTCCGGCACCCTAATCACCTCGTCCCTCACCCTTGCCCACTCGCCCTCCTTGTCCGCCTTCCCCAGATCCTCATCCCGCCGGCCCGGCGTCACCACGGACACGAAATCGCCCGGCATGCCGATCACCCGCTTGCAGCCGTTGGTGGACGGGTTCACCGGGTGCACGTAGGTTATTATGTCGCCGACGTGGATGTTGCGACCGCGCCTGTGCAGCCGCGATTCGAGGATCAATGGCGTGCCGAGGTAGCCGTGCGAGATAGTGGGCACCATGGAGACGCCATGTGTTGGGCCGATGGAGCCGATGTAGGAGATGAAGGTGTGGACCGTGAGGAGGCCGCCGTAGGCATAGAGGATTATGGTCCATGGGCGATGCGGAGGAGGTGCGGGAGCGGCGTTGGAGTAGAGGGGCCGCGTTGACGGGCGTAGGATGGGGCGCGCAGAGGGTGCTTGCGGGCGGACGCGGAGGTGGGGCAGGTGCGAGGGGATGCGGAGGCGTGGAGGGAGCATTGCAGCAGAGTGAGAGGCTGTCGCTACCGCATTGGCATGATTGGTATCTAAGGGCGCGCGGGCGGCGGGCAATTGAGCGATGCGTGGTGGACTCCTCTCGAGCGCGTTAGTTCATGCAAAACGGTCGGAGCGCCAAGACCCTTAACTCCGGCTACCTCCGTATAACATCATTTCGAGCTCTCCACCCTTCCCGATCCTCAAACTCTGCCAATTCAAGATGATAACAAATGATGAAGTAGTGGGGCTGAAGAGCCCAGAGCAAGCAATCCCGAGGTAGGGACCATACTGTTGTATCACGAAGCCGTCTATCAACGCTAAAGCTTCCAAGGCCAGCGCCCACCGGCTTCGAAGGCGAAGCGCAACTGAGCGATGCTGTAAGAGGTGCTTTCTATTCCTTCATTCCTTTCCCCCCCTCCTTTTTGCTACCTTGAGCACCTCCTCTATCCAAGTCCTCTTTTCACAATTCAAAGATCTCATAACGACCTACCACGACCTCAACCCCACCGCCATCGACATCCTCGAAGAAGAACCCTCGCCCCTCGAATTCATGCGCTATGTCGCCCGCAATCGGCCCTTCATCATCCGCAACGGAGCCTGGGACTGGAAAGCCCGGAAGAGATGGAACGCTCGCTATCTCGCGGAAGTAATGCAAGGCCAGAACGTGAACGTCGCCATTACGCCGCACGGAAATGCAGACTCCGTCGCTGAGCTTGAAAGCAGCGGAATGGTGTTCGTAAAGCCGTACGAGCGCGAAGAGCCCTTCGCCGCCGTCCTCAGCCACATCCAGCGCCAGGAACTCGACCCCTCCTATCAAGGCCCAACCCGCTACGCACAAACGCAGAACGACAACCTCCGCACCGAATACACAACCCTCTTCTCCGACGTTCCCCACTCTATCCCCTTCGCCCGCGTAGCCCTGCAAAAAGAGCCCGATGCTATCAATTTCTGGCTCGGCAACAAGAAGAGCACGACGGCGTTGCACAAAGACAACTACGAGAATATATACGTCCAGATCCTGGGGAAGAAGCACTTCGCCCTGCTACCGCCTGTGGAAAGCGCATGCGTGAATGAGAAAGCGGTGCTGGCGGGGACGTATAGGCTGAGAGATGAAGGTGTGGAGGGAGAAGAGGTGCAGAAGGAGGGCTTGGTTATTGCGGTGGATGAACCGGACGAGTATGTCCCCTTTGCGACTTGGGACCCGGACCGCCCCGTGGAAAACACAACTCGTTTCTCGGAGTGCTCGCTCCCCTTGCGTGTGACGCTCGAGGAAGGAGACATGTTATACCTCCCCGCGCTGTGGTACCACAAGGTTTCGCAGTCGTGTTCCGAGGAGGGAATATGTTGCGCTGTGAACTACTGGTACGACCTTGACTTCAGCGGTGGGTTTTGGGCAATGGCGAACTTCGTTCGAGGAGTAGGACTGCTTAGTCTAAAAGAAGACGCGAACAAAGGCGGAGTAGAGAAGACGCAGAGGTCGAAAGGCTGAGATAACGGGAAGTGATGTAATTAATATTAGGGGTATCTTTGAAGCCCACGACCACAACACCATGCAATGCATCGTGACCGTGCTCCTGGATACTACTTACGCGGCCCAACCTTAACCTTCACACCCACACCCCTCACACTACCCCACACACTCTCGCTCACCCTAATCGGTAGCTTCCTCCCCTTGAGTCTCTGGTCAATAAGCCACATCCCCACAACAAACTCTTCTTTCCGGAGCCTACCCATTCCTCGTCCGTCGACGAGGTCCCACACTTCCTGAAGCACATGCTCCGACAGCCTACTCCTTGTCCAAATCTCCTTTGTCACCAAGTTCAAGACATCAAGCATGGGATCTTCCTCCAGAGCGCGTGTAGGCGAACGCGGGGGTTGCTGCACGAAGATATGCAGACCTTTATTCGCAGCCCAGACACCCTCATACCGCTTGCGCTCACGCTCAGTGATTTGGTCGCGCCAGCGTTTTCGCGTTCCTTCGTGATGCTTATTCGGGTGTTTCCGGCCTATGCCTATTATGCGTGTTCCCTTGCGCTTGTACTTCTCGCTTTCGTCTTCATCGGAAGACGAGGAAGGGTCCTTGCGCATAGTGGTGCGTAGCTTGCCCGTCGGCTGCGGTTTCGGTTTCGGAGGCGATGGAGAGCGATGAAAGGGCGAGTGGTGATGGTTTTGCTGTTTGCGGGTCGGAAGGGGCGGAGTAGCGGTCGCGGAAGGAGCGGGCGAAGCGTTACGTGAGGACGCCAAAGCGGCGCCAACGATGGCGTTGGAGAGACTTTCTCCTGTCATGTGCTTTGAAATTGCTTTGACAGATTCGCGCTGGTAATTGGAATGGTAGAGGGTGCCTCTAGGTGATGTGCCTGAGGTTGAGGCGCGCCGACGAGGGGGCGGCGGGAACTTCTCGGGTGGAGGAATCGGGGACTTTACTGTGGACGATCCTCGCGGTTTAGGTGGTAATGGGGTCGCCGTCTTCAGTCTGGTCTCAGTCCGAGGAGTTTCCGACCTAGACTTTGCAGAGCGTCGCGGCGGGGGCAGGCTAGGCTTGGGCTTCTCCTGTTCCTGTGCCTGTTCCTGTTCCTGTTCCTCTTGTGCTGATACAAACGAAGAGGGCGAAGAAGGAACGTCATTACTCCCCAAAGATGACGAGAGTCTCCTATGAAATGAAGCTGAGTGCGTCACGTCCTCCGATTTAGGCCGCGCCTGCCGAGACGCCCTCCTCAACGGCGGCTTCGGTCGCGAGGTTGTAGCTTTTACTGTAGCCAGCTGTGCGGGCTTCTGCCTAATGGGAGGCGTCCCAAGAGAATCCTTCCGCAACATGCTAAAGCTTCCGCCGTCTCCCACGCCGTCCGTTGAAGGGAGAAGATCTAGATGTGGCTTCGGTTTCGGCTTGACCGGCGGAGCACTTTTAGTCTTCTTCCTTTCTAGGGGCTCATCATTTGGTTCTGGAGGCAGATTGAACTTGCGCTGCGGCTTTGGTGATCGAACAGGAGGCGGGGCTTTCTGTGCGACAAGCAAGGGCGAGGCTGGCGGCTTCGAAGGGGTAGTTGGCCGGTTCTGCTCGTACATCTTCACCAGTGAGGTGGTGGGTGGAATCGGAGTGTCATCAGTGGCTCTTGTATCTTCTATAGGCGCCCGAACTGTGCTCGCGGCCGACTCGGACCCAATGCTCCCCCTCCTCTTCGGCGGTGGCAGGCTCGGTTTCTTCGAGTCTAGCCGCGCGAGCCGGTTTCCCACACTGCCGGGAGGGGGGAGTATGTCAGGCTCGTTTGCATCCATTTCACTCGTTATGGGCGCCGTCGTAGCTTGCGGTATCGGTTTCATCGGGCTGTATCTCGCGGCTGCTAGTTTCGCTGCGATGTTCGACGGAGACGGCGTCCGCTCAGCACAGTCGACAGGCACCGCCAGTGTACTGGAGCTGCTTGAATGGCTGGGCGGATTCGGCCTGCCCACGCTCCGTGTGCTTCCACCAGTCCAATCCCTCCTCAGCGGAGAAGCGTTCCCAGGCGGGATGGTATTCCGCGGTGTGCCCGTGCCTACTTTCGTAGCAGCCAGCAGCGCACCATCGCTCCCTCCAGTATACGTGTTTACCTGCGGCTTCGGCTTTATCGGCGGCTTCGAGAAGGCTGAAGAGGCACCGCGGAGGGCAGCATCACGGACATTGTACTGCGTGTCGTTGGTAGTCTGCGGGACTTGGGGGCTGTTGCGGGCGCTGCTTGCGGAGCTCATCGAGTCCCCATCGGACTTGGGCGGATGACGTAGGGAGCGTGATTAAGGGTCTCGAAGCCTGCATAGAGAATGCAGCAGCTGTCAGAAGGCCGAGGACGCAAGTTGAGCGAAAGTCTGCGGGGGGAACGAGTGCAGCATCCCGCGGGCGGTACGGTTCCAGGACAATGCTCAGCCCGCGCCGAGAGACGCCTCACCATTCAGGCAGGCGCTATGCCGTATCCGGCGAAAGCGTCCACGTGACCGCGCGTTACTCACCGCGTGGTGCATTGCTGCCTGCGCCGCACCGTCAACACCATCGCGACCATCTCACCGTTGCCTGCGTACCTCAATGCTACCAACATGGCCGCGGGCACGGACATGCCCGACACCGACGCCGTCAGAGAGGAGACGCTCATGTATGGCGGGGAAGAAGAGCTGGACACCAAGTATCCCAATCGGCCCAGCAACCTGCACAAAACCCTTCCTTTCCATTCACTCTTCAATGAGCTCTTTGACCCGCTTCTTGACTCTCAGAAGAAGAATAGGCCAGCGGGCCCGCGTCGGAGGGCGGGACCATCGGGTCAGTCCAACATGACGCCACATGAAGCTCGTCGCAACATCATTGAGCGCTTCATCGCGAAATGGCGCAAAGAAGTCGGCAACGACTTCTATCCTGCTATGCGGCTCATCATTCCAGAAAAGGATCGGGATCGTGCCATGTACGGGCTGAAAGAAAAGGCCATTGCGAAGATTCTGATCAAAATCACAAAGATTAACAAGGATTCCGATGATGCCAAACAGATGGTCAATTGGAAACTGCCGGGTCAGCTCAACAAGGCTTCCGCCTCAACAGCTGGTGACTTTGCCGGCCGTTGCTATGAAGTCTTGTCGAAGCGGCCTATACGATCAGAAGTCGGCGACATGAGCATCGCCGAAGTCAACAATACACTGGATCAACTTTCGCAAGTAGGCGCGGAAGAGCAGCAGGTCAAGATTTTCCAAAGATTCTACCGGCGGATGAATCCCGAAGAGCTTACCTGGTTGATCCGGATCATCCTGCGTCAGATGAAGATTGGAGCGACCGAGAAAACAATACTCGATATCTGGCATCCAGATGCAGAGGCTCTCTTCAACATTTCGTCGAACCTTCGGCGCGTATGCTGGGAGCTCTATGACCCCAAAGTCCGTCTGGACGGTGAGGACACCGGCATTACCCTGATGCAATGCTTCCAACCCCAACTAGCCGCCTTCCAACCCAAAGTTGCATCGTTCGACAAGATTGTGTCCAAGTTGGGGCAAACACCTGATGACGACTCCTTCTGGATCGAAGAAAAGCTGGATGGTGAGCGGATGCAACTACACATGATAGAGGATCCTGGGGCCCCGGGTGGGAAGCTATTTGGGTTCTGGTCACGCAAAGCTAAGGATTATGCCTACCTCTACGGCAAGCACTTCCAGGGAGATGAGGCCGGCGCTCTCACCCGTTTCATTAAGGACGCTTTCACAAAGAACGTAAGAAACATCATCCTGGACGGCGAAATGATCACGTGGGACATGGAACTCGATCACATTGTCGGTTTCGGCACGCTAAAGACTGCGGCTATCTCGGAAAAGGAAAACGTCACTGGGACCAATACCGGGCAGCGCCCACTTTTCAGAGTCTTCGACTGTCTCTACCTAAACGACAAGCTTCTCACGCCCTATACGCTCCGCGACCGCCGTAAGGCCCTACAAAGCGCAGTGAAAGGAGTGCACCGGCGCCTTGAAATTCATCCTTACATCGAGGCCCACTCTCCCACTGAGATCGAACCGGAACTCCGCAAAGTCGTAGCCGAGGCATCGGAAGGACTAGTGCTGAAGAACCCGCGCTCAATGTATCGGCTCAACGAGCGTAACGACGATTGGGTAAAGGTCAAACCAGAGTACATGTCCGAGTTTGGAGAGTCCCTGGACTGCGTGGTCGTCGGCGGCTACTTTGGATCAGGACATCGTGGTGGCGCGCATTCCTCCTTCCTCTGTGGCTTGCTCGTGAACAAAAAAGCGAAAGAAGGCGATCCGGATTATGAGAAGTGCCTCTCATTCTTCAAAGTCGGCGGCGGCTTCAGCCGCGAAGACTACGCCGCCATCCGAGGCCGAACCGAAGGGAAATGGAGAGACTGGGATGCTCGCCGACCACCTGCCATTATCGAGCTCGGCGGCCACGAGCAGAACCGGCAACATGAACGTCCGGATCAATGGATACACCCCAGCGACTCGGTAGTTCTAGAGTGCAAAGCCGCTAGCGTCGAAGCCAGTGACAAGTTTAGAATGTTGCTGACGCTCCGCTTCCCACGCTTCAAGCTACTCCGTACAGACAAGAGATGGGACCAAGCGCTCTCGACCGACGAATTCTTGGACCTCAAGGCCACAGCGGAACGCGAGCATGATGAGAAAGAAAAGGAGTTCAAGATCGAGCAGTCGCGCCGCAAGAAAGCCCGAACAACCAAGAAGCCGCTCGTTGTAGCCGGAAATGACACGGTATCTACGCCTTACGCTGGCCCAGCATCCAAAATCTTTGATGGATTAAGCTTCTACGTAATGACCGACCAGCTCCATCCAACTAAGAAATCTAAAGCCGATCTGGAAGCCCTCGTCAAAGCGCATGGCGGCAAGGTTGTGCAGCGCGATTCCGCAGACAAGAACCTCGTCGTCGTGGCCGACAAGCGGCTCGTCAAAGTCTCATCCCTCGAAAAGCGCGAAACAAACAACATCGTCAAGCCAATCTGGATCGAAGACTGCATACGCCAAAACGAAGTCGACGTCGGCGCCCTGCCTTACCTCCTCCCTTTCGAAGCGAACCGACATATCTTCTACCTACTCGATGCGGACCAGATGTCTTACGAAGCGAACGTCGACGAGAATGGAGACTCGTACGCACGCGACATCGCTGACGTCGATGAGATGCGGCAAACCCTCGGCAGCATGCCGAAGAAGTTCGATCGCCACTTCGACAGTCAAAGCTTCGTTGAGCAGTTGGAGGATCACGGTAATTCGCTCACCCACTTGAAGAACTACATGTTCGGCAATATGAAAGTCGCATTTGCGGAGAGTGAGGACAAGGGGTGGGAGTTGGAGTCGCAGCTAGCGAAGAATTATGTGAGATTTGGAGGTGGGACTGTGGCTGAGAACGAGGAGGAGGCGGGCGTTACGCATGTCGTTGTTCCTGAGAGCGAGAAGGGAGCGCGGAGGAGCGGAAAGAAGGTTCTGGGGCTGGCGAGGACGGTGGGGGTGGGGTGGGTAGAGAAGTGTTGGGAGGAGGGGACGCGAGTGGATGAGGAGAGGTTTCAGTGGGGGTGATTTTCTGGGTGTTCTGAGGTCACTGAGATGGAAGCTGCTTCTGCATCCGCACGATGTTTACGATGTTATGACTCCATGGACCGTCTACGCTTATCGGGCATTGAAGAGATGGATTTGATGTAAATTCCTTGCTCGAAAGAGACTTCACTTTTTTGAGACTACGGTCATGAGCAACTGCATGTAATATGTTGTAGGGCGGATGTAGCTAAGATCTATCCTGGAAGCAGGGGGGTGAGGGGAGGTGGGGGGGAAGGAATTTGAACTGTGAGCTGGAAACCTTAGCACCAAACTGGAGTGACGGGCCTGACTGACGTCGAGAATATTTCGTGCAGGAATCGCTTTTGAAAGGAATACAGTATCGTCCAGGTGTTGCGCTTTCTTCAGAAGCGCTCGTGCAATATGGGCAGAAGCGTGCCCCTTCCTCTCTGCACATTGCTAGCTTTCAAATTCTAAAGCAAACTCGACTGGCCAGAGAGGAGCGCTCAGAGAAGAGATGACGTTGGGCCAACCCTGGAGTCATGCAGGAGGATCTGCGGTAATCGCAGACCGCACGCCAAGGATGCAATGAAAGGGTAGAAGATGGTTGCAGCATCGTGCTTTCTGAATGCATGCTGCGAATGGAAGGAGATATGGCCGCCTTGAGGAACGGGTCATGGTGGAATATTCTCCTTTTCACGAAGCCAGATCGTATGGTCGCCGAAGTCTTGGCCGGGACTTTGGAGGCTCAGAAGTATGTTAAGTCCGAACATGAGTAACCGCCTGCTCAGCAAATCGAGCAATAAGCTTCGCCGTATGCTTCGCTCTCTCCGCAGCAGACATGCCGGAGAGGTTTCCGCCGGTTATGTAGACAGAACGAAGGTTCGGTAGTGAAGGGAGGTCATCAGCAAAATCCCAGAGGACTTGGGCTTCATCGAAGACGTCGGTCTGATATGCAATAATGTCGAGCTCTGTGACCGACTGAGGGAGGCACGCGCCGATGCGGAGGTCCGGCGTTATGTCCACACGGGGCATGAACGACTCTTGCTCTACTGGTTTGACCTAGTAAGACTACTTTGGGGACACGAAGTGTTTTCAACTGAGTGAAGCCGGCGAAGCTTCCCATTTGCGCAAAAGGTTGAAACCCCCAGCTAGTCTCGTTAAATCCGATAGTGATGTGTTCCAGGGTTGCTTTGCTTGTCAGGAGTCCAGCGAGCAGGTTTGGAAAGTGCAACTCATTTTTCTCAAAATTTGTGGCTGGCCATGAGCACGAAGATTCACGCAGCATACTGCACCCCCTCAATGTCTTGGCAACGTGGTTAACAGACACGATGCAGTCCTGGATGTTGAAGATTCGAAGCGCCTGCAGAGCATATCCACGTGGCAAGAGTTCCGTACCTACTGGCATGTTATAGTGGAAATATCGTATTGTAGGGAATTTCCGAAGGGAGTCGACGAATGTCGCATAATTTTGGTATGGTGGATCGTCACCGAGCCATATTTGGCAAATTGGGAGCGTCTCGAGTCTGGGTAGACCATGAAAGTCGGTCGAAGGAGCTGGGTAGCCTGAATACGCCTCGAAGCCGAGAAAGGTCAGGTAAGATGGAAAGAAGTTATCGAAAATGTGTAGCGACAAGTGCTTGACGTTGGGGGCTAACGCAATAATCAGAGCGAGCTGTGCCTGTTGCGGAAATACCCTGAGACGCTGGCTCCATACGCGAAGTGTATCAGCGGCCCAAAACTCCTTCGCGGCTTGTTTGATGGCTCGGCGATGTTGGTTCCATTTGGCTTCCTAGTACCACTTTTCCCCTTCGAAGAATTTCTCAGCCCCATGTGCCGATAAAGTGTAGAAGTCACGGGGCTCGCTCAGATTTTCGACGTAGGTAACATATTGGGCCAGTGATGGTGTTTCAAGCAAGGTCGACAGAAGGGGGGTGAGTCGGCGCTGGCCAGTTGGGGTCAGGCTCTGACATAGTATCGAAGAATAGAGAACAGGCTCCGAGATGCGTGAGAGCCGCCTGGAGCTTAGTGTTAAAGATAGAAGCGTCTTCAAGCGCAGGTTGTTCTCTTGAAGTCGGGGGCAGCTGAGGGGTGGACGGTCTGGCACTTCGTGAGTGAGAACGGGCTTGAAGTTCTCTATAATCTCAAGGAGCAACTCGTCTGGGAGATCGTTCATATTGGTTCGGAAGTGTGCTCGGTTTTCCTGGATTTCCCACCGTTTGGCTGGCGGCTTTTGGCGCAGAGAGCCCATTCTATGGATTGCCAAGTCATGTCATCGTTGAGTTCGGTACACCGGAGCTTTCAAATGCGACTCACAATATCAAGGTATGATAGAGTACTAAGCGTGGCAAGCAGCGCATATTGTGCCCGATTTGACTGAAGTGGGGTGATGGAGAATGAGGTTGGATTGGAAAGAGAAGTGCGGGCCGGAGTGGAGGCAGGTCAAAGTTGGCGCTTGCCTTGTTCCGGACTAGCGTGGATTTCAGGAACACTACAAGGAAGGAGCGTATTGACGAAGATATTGTATTGGGGGGTCGATATCTTGCATCTTTGATCCCGCGGGAAAAGTATATAGAGTAGCGCAACGACAGGAATGCGCTAAAAGATTTCTCACCAATGCATTGGTGGTTCTTTGTAAGTCGATGTCCCAATGTCCTCCACGTATTTTTCCTCTGAGCCATGGACATGCCTCTATACCACCATCCTCTACACCGTATCATCGCCCTTCCCAGGGTCTAGCCCCGCGCACCAATAATCCGCCACGCAATGCCCCTTCACATCACCCTTCAACCGAATCGCCGTCTCCCCATCCTTAAAGCAAACATACTGCTCATCATCTAAAGCAGCACTCCCCGCCATTCCTCCCTTCGTCATTACCGCCGCGTCCGCACTAATCTCCGCCGAAAACAATTTATCTTTCCATACTTTGACGCGCCACTTGACGCCTTCCCAGGGCTCAGGCGGTTGGGCGACGAGCGCAGCTTTGTCGGGCTGCGGAGCCTTGTCAGAGGAGGAGTCAGAGTCAGTGGCGTTGAGCGGCTTCTTGAAGTATGCGACTGCGGTGAACTTTTGGGCGTTGGAAGGGGGGTTTCCGTTGTTGTTGCGCTTGCGCGGGACGCAGGTTACGAGGTAGATGTTGTGGGCTTTTGCGGCGGCGAGCTCGGTGCTGGGTGTGTCGGTGGGATATGCCGTGGTGAGGAATGGCAGGACGCCGAGGACGAGGGAGGCGATGGCTTTGAGATGCATCCTGCTGAGTACCCGATTCAATGGTTCCGTGAACGGCAAAGGGAAAGATCGATGGGCCTGAGGAAATGTTACTTCCCCTCACATCCATATATGATTGTCCCGACAGTTCAGTCCAGATTCAGTGGAGTCACTACCGGGTAAGCAATTATTGAGCTGGATATTCTCAATTTGCCCCAATAAGAAGTATAGCGTGCGGATTGATGTTTTCGGACGTTCGTGTAACGCCGATGTTGTTGGCATCGTCCGCTCAATCAAAACCACGTGCGCGTCATAAGAAGCGAGCCCAATATAGAAGTCTAGGCAAGCCCATTAATACAAATCGTGCTTTCGCGATGACGTGACTATTGTTTGTACCGTCGACGACGAAGTATAAACGAAGGCGAAATTTGAAATCGCAAGTGCCGGAACGCCACGATGTCCACAAGGGGAAGCCTGGGATTTCATCGTGCACGAGCTGTAGATCCGTTCTACCGAGCCTGGAAAGATCGACCCACTGACTGAGCGAACAGCTATGCCGATCGCTCTGGATGACTGTCCCTGGAATCGGCGAGAGAGTTCCTTAGCTGGAATTTCCAGCTATGTTGATTCCTTGCTATGGGTGCGTTTTCGGATGCGGATGGCGATCTGGTCCAACGGCTTTATCATCCCATACGCTACTTCTCGCAATAGAGGAAGTGCGGCCTGTGTAGCCTCCGGATCGCAGAGCTGGAGCTCAAACTCGGTCAACAATACGCCAAGTGTAGCTGCCTGCATGGCCTTCGTTAAGCAACGCATAGGATCCCAGTCGAACGAGACATGTAAGGCCTCAACACCATCCATGCTAAATCGACCCGTTCCAATCCCGCTTTTTCTACTGCTCTGTTTCCTTCCCGGAGTTGGGGAATCAGCTGTTAGAAACCGTTCGGCCCAGAATTCTTCAAGAGGACGCGCGACGGTCTGCGGTCGTGCCTTGGCCCATAATTCGGTGTTGAGCGCAAGGTCATGCGAGAAGACCAAGGCAGACATACCCTTCGGGATTGTCCACGTATCGTCCAATTTGAACTCTGCCTCTACATTGGTGCGAATTGTACAGGTGGCTGTTCGCAAACGTCCGGTTTCAGCGAGAAGAGACTGGACGATGGAAAGATCCGTGATCGCGGCGATGTCATAAGCGCCTGTTTTGACTTCGTAAAACGGTGCCATCTCCGCCGTGAGGCGTTTTACGAGGTCCGGATCCCGGAGGCTTTCGACCACGCACCAAAATGTTGAGGACATTATGTCGGGTATTAATCTACCGGAACCACTATTAGCAGCTCATTCATAGAGAATATGTGTGTCACCGGGATGCGTACATACGCTTGTATGATGCCCAAGGTTTCCGCTGCCCTTGCCTGGTAATTGAATGACGGCAGGTTGGCAAATACCTGGTCCCGTTCTTGGATAAACCGTGATCCCTTCTGCGCATCCCAGATGGGATCTTCGTCCCCCAGCTCTGCAAAATCGGGACCGCCATGAGTGGTCTGCAGCCACTTCTTGAGATTCTCTTCGAGCTGATCGCGGATGCCGTCCGTAGAAGACATCCTGAACTGTGGCAGTACCCACTCAAGATCATCATGATTAGCCGCGAACTTCCAGAAGTCATGAACCACCTTCGGATACTGCTTCAGCAACGCTGAGCCGAACAATGTTTCCGTAGCTGCTCGGGTGATCTCGATCTGGAAGAACGACCAGACATTTTCGATCTGAGTCCACGTCTTGACTTGAAACATCTTGTTGGAAAGATTGCGCCGGAGAGTTGAGATGTATACCTCAGCCAGCGAGATCAGGGGCATATGCGTCAAGTATTTCTGCGGCAGGGCGAGCTGGGCATACTCAACTTGTTTGCTATCTTCGTGGCCGGTGCCAATGCCTTGGTAGATCTTGACAGCTTCCTTCGGAGAGCCTAGGACCCTGTCATGGACGTGAGCAAGGCGTGTCTTCATCGTCAATTGCTGCGGCGCTTGGAAAATTTCCTTGGCGTGATTTGGGTCTCGGATGACTACGTAAGACGATGTCCCTGCTTTAACGACGAACGGCGCGTAACTTCCATATTCCTTGCTGTTTACTTGTTAGAGGAAAGCCCATCTCAGGTGGAGTAAGGATGCTCACATGAGTTTCGCAAAGAAGGCTGCAGGTCCAACAGCCAAACCAATCGCGTGAAACACCCCGGGAACCCAATACGGAATTGTGGGAGGACTTTGACGAGGCTGTCTACTATTGGCCTTCCGATAGAAGAGAGTAGTAGAGATGTAATGTGTGAGAAACGGGAACAGGATGAGAAGGGAAAGAGCAACGGGTACGGCTTGACGCTGCAAGAGCTCAACCAGAGAGTTCAAGGTCACCATTTTGACCGCTATGTTGGACCGTAGGCTTTCTGCGAGGAGCTAGAGTACCCAAACGCATTCTCAAGCCTGAAAGGAGATCGCCAGGCTCGCGGAGGCGTGCACTGGTCGGCTGAAGGCATCAACTGCTCACGGAAACCCCGGGTAATCCGGATTCCATCTCGTGCCAATGGTAGTCTTGTGATTCAGCTGGAGGCTTGAAGTAAGGCGCGTTGTGGGGTTAGGAGGTACCGGTTGGTGTGCGGGCAGGCGGGATGAGGTGCCTCGGCTTTCTTATCGATTACGAAACCGCCAACCCCTCGGCTCAACAGAATCTTCTGCAATTGAATCCCAATTCGACCCCTAACGCGAGAAATGCGAAACGTATCCCCGCCATACGCTCGTGTTTGATATGTAGTTCTTGTAGGGCATACGGTGACTCATGGCTGGCGACACTTTATCTGCTCCCTCACCCCAGAGCCGAAGCAAAGCTAGACACATCCACTATCCCGCGTTCTTCCATACATCATATAGTCAAATCGTCCTACTCGGACTGCTCATTGGCGGATAGAAATGTCCAAGCCCGACCCTCAGCTCAACAGCACCATTACTGCGACTTTCACGGTTCGGCCAAATGACCTGGCGAGTGCGATATCTCCCGACCCGAACGATCGCTTTCCGGCTGTGTTCTCGACTTCACGGCTTGTCGCTCTGATGGAAATCGCCAGCGCTCGACTGCTTGAGCCATGCCTCTCCCCGGGCCAGCTCTCTGTTGGGGTTCGCATCGATGTTACGCACTCGGCACCCACTCCCGAGGGAACTGAGGTGACAGCGGAGGCAAAGTTTGTTGGACGAGAGGGCAAACTGTTCGTCTTCGAGGTGATCGCGAGAGATCCCGCCGGCGAAATAGGTCGGGCCAGACACGAAAGAGCTATTATTAATGTGGAGAGGCTGGAGAATGCCGCTAGAAAGAGGATTCTAGAAGGAGAGCGAGTTCCCAGACAAGGCGAACTATAAGGCGATCACACCCCGTCTAGTCAGCGTCCTGTTGTAGGATTCCAGTGTCCTACGCAGATTGGTTCCTCGCTCGCACGGCGCCGATATCTGGCGCCCATTGCTCCACGGCCACCCAGGCCCCGGTTTCCCTCCTTAATGCTCGAGTGCTGGGTAGCTGAGTGGGTATGATCGATCATCTACACGACGATCTTGGGGAGGGTTATGTTTATCTGGACAATGTCCTTGGTGTTAGGGTTAATGGTGGGCTTTATTCAAAGCCAAGCCCTCTGCAAGTACAACCACCGCTTCCTGTCACACCAACATCATTAGGGTTCTCTTTGCCCAAGCTGACAGGCTAAATACTTGTTCCATTCAGTCTGCATCACCCAGGCACCCTGCCGTCCTTGTACAACGATGCGGCATCCCATTTCGGGGACCAAAACAGCCTTGGCGTCAGCTCGGATACTGGGGAAAATCCCCGGAATCGCTCAGCCTTGCCCAAGCACACCTTCGCCTCCAATCACCCACCATGTCGAAGTGAAACAGGAAATAATGTTGTGAACTCCGAAGCGTCGATATTACGGCCCCCCGAAGCTGCGCCCTTCTTTCGATAATGCATATACACGCTCCGCCTTGCTCCAGGAGAAGGCCCGGATCCTGGATTGATGCTTCGCCTTGTGTTTTCCTTGTGCAGGCGTTTCTGACTACTAGTGGTGCTTTCGGTTATCGATTAGGGCCTTGATATGCCAGCCTAGCACGTCGCGAGGGTCCTCTGCATGAGTGTCTCGGAACCAAATCATTACAGCGAAGGTCATATAGGAACTGCTTACCCGCAGTATTTTCTCTCTGGGGTTTCTGCATTTGTGGAGTCTTGGAGGAGGCTACCTTCGAAGACTTCTAGCCTGGAGAATACCTAACCTTGGTAATCGTGCACGGAAAGCACGTGACATCACCTCCACCATGACGACCGTGGGGTTCCTCATCAAGCTGAGTCACTTGGGCGATCAAGCATCCCATATCAAAAGGATACCACTTATAGTAAGTTTGAAATCGTCACCATCTGCTGCTCTAGCCGTCTTAATCATTCTTTCGCAGATCATCACCTCCTTATTCTTCGCCCTGGCGCTTTTCTCCTCTGGCATTCGCATCGCGCTTAAACTTCGCCGCCGTTGCCCCATCTTACTAGACGACTATATCCTCCTCTTCGGCGTATTATGTCTTATCGCAGCTACCGCAGCCATGCATTTAATGCTGGTAGACACTTACAGCATGATGGCCATCTCTTCCTTCGAATGGGTCAGCGGGCGCATGTCATACTCACAGGTTGTCGAAGTTACTACGAGCGCTGCAAAGCATCTAGACATCTTCCATTGCCTAGTTTGGACGAGTATCTTCGCCGTCAAGTTCTCGTTCCTGGTATTCTTCAAAGACTTCATGGATAGAATGGAGAGCAGAAGGGCTTGGGCGTATTGGGTTACGGTATGCGTTGGTATGGGCCTGGCGTGGGTGTACAACTTAGCCTCGCCGTTTATCGGATGCCGATACTTCGGGGAAGAAGCTGGTGAGTGTGCTCGCAAGCCATGCGTATACTGAATATTTGCTAATGAGACGCGAAGTGGCGCGCTGTTCTGGCCCTGGCAAAGAAGACTTCTACCGTGCTCTTGCGGACGTTGGAACAGCTACGGATTGCGTTACGCTTGTGCTAAGTATGCCTCAACTTCTCCTTTGCCGCCCCTGGAAATATATTTACGTTGATCTAGTCGTTTCTTTGCCAATCATGGTATTGCACCGCGTTCACCTCACGCGCCGGCAAAAGCTCGCCGTAGGATCCTTCACGTCCTTGTCCATCTCCATGATCATAATCGCGATCATCCGCACCGCCAAGCTCAAGAATCCCCAGGGCAAGACCCACGATGGGCCTCTACAAGCCTTCCTCACCTACATCGAGGCCTGCATCCTCGCGGTATCCACAACTACCTTCCGAAGTATCTTCAATCATTCCCAATCCCAAGCGCAACCCGATAAAGCACGCCGTAGATGGACTCCTGGGGCCCTCACCCGTCGTAGGAGCCGGAGGACCGAGAGCGAAGAGCAGTTACATAACGTAAACGTTACAGCACCTGAAGATGCATTACCAGGTCTCCGGACATATGTGACTGCCGACACTGGACACAAGAGGTGCGACCTCGCGAGGAAAGAAAGCGTGCTCAGGACGAGGGAGGTCGTGGTGGAAGTCACTTACGAGAAGGATCTAGAGAAAGGGGATTGGGGACGGTTGGGGAGCCCGAGCTGGATGGACGAAAAGTGGAGGGTGAGTGAGAGCAGTGAGCCGGGAAACTGATTGGAAACCTGGCAGTATGAGTGTTTTTAGTCCACCTTGACACCCTTCACGCCTTTCAACTGCGCCCTCCACCCTCCCTCTTCCAAGCACCATTCCACAGCCTTCTTCAGCTCAACCTCAAAATCAACCTTCGGTTCGAAACCCAGCCGCTGCCTCACTTTCTCGATACTATATGTATGCTCAAAGCACGCATACTCCACCTGCTGCCTCCCCAGCGTATACGGTCTCTTCATTCCCAGCGTAAAGATCCAGTACACCCACTCCAATACTGTCGCCAACGCGAGCGCAAACCAGCTTGGTAGATGCGTCATCTCAGACACTAGACTCGGGTCGCCACCAGCGCGCTTCCAACACAGTCGCGCAAAGCCCCAGAAAGCGTAGGGAGTTCCGTCATTGATGTTGAAGGCTTCTCCGTCGACTCGTTTCGCGGCTGGCCTCGGAGAAGTTTCGAGCAGCGCAGAAGCAAGTAGCGCATGTGAGACAGCGCAGTTCGAGGCACTGCAGAAGGACCAGAGATTTATTCCGTCGCCGAGTGTTGTGGTCGTCTGGCCTTTAGCGAGTGCGTTGAGACACCCTGGGATAGAGGTCGTATCGCGCGTGCCGTAGATGATAGGGAAGCGAAGCGCAGCTGTGGCTAAATGGCCCGCCCAAGTCTTCTCGTCAGCCGTTTTGGGATAGTTCGCGTGTAGAACCATGATCTCAGCATCTGCTTTCGAGCGCGCGTATGCCGGCGCCTTGGGGTCAGTGTTCGCGAGCGCGCATGTCTCGTCCGTATCGATGTGGACGGCGCCTTTGGCGAGCGTGGAACTACTCGTGTAGATGAATGCGCGCACGTAATTCGACTGTTTCGCGTATTTCAACAAATTCTGGGTTCCGACGATGTTGACAGCGTGGTACTCTTTCGCGGTCCCGGTTACCGGCGATGGCGATGCGGCGTGGATGATGACGTCGGGTTTAACATGGTCAAGAATCCTTTCGATGGAAGCAAGGTTTGTGATGTCGCTGGACAGATAGGCCGCGCCTTCGACGCGGTTCTTGCTAGAAGACGCGCTGCGACTGAGTACGAAGACTTCGGCGAAGGTGGCGTGCGCGATGAAGTGGGAGACAAGGTGGTAGCCTACGAAGCCGGCACCGCCAACGACGAGGACCGTGTGTGGAGCAGTGCTTGCCATGGCCTCCTTATCCTACGGGGGTCCGCTATCCAAATATCTCATTGATGTCAAATAACGCTCTACAACATCTTCGTGGAGACTGTTGTGTTTTCCAGCCCTGGAGAGGAAGGATGCAAGGCGCGCCACTTACGCTCAAAGCGGCTTAGCTCCTTCTACCCCGCCTCCACAGCCACAGCCGCCCTCCGCCACGGCGAGAGCTTTCGTTCCACTCCTCCACCTACCACGAAATCCCATTCCAACCACAGCAATGCAATGCGACTTATCGATGTTGATACGATTGAGATTAAAACGTTTGGCGAGAGAGATGTCCCGGAATACGCCATCCTTTCGCACACCTGGGGCGCCGACGAGGTTACGTTTCAGGAGCTCACCTGGATCAACAGAGTACGGGCCGTGCGATCAATGCCTGAGACCCAGGACAGTCAAGCCACCATAAACGGGCACCTAGATGGTAGCGCGACAGTCGTGCTTGCCGCTATGGAAATGCTTGTCAAAGGGACCTGGAATCCTGGCACTGGCCTTCCGGACATTTCCGATGAAGCGCTCATGGGCAGGTACGGGTATGCGAAGATTGTGAATTCGGCCAGGACAGCTAAAGAGCTGGGCTACCGGTGGCTATGGTGCGATACGTGTTGCATCGATAAGACGTCCAGTGCTGAGCTGCAGGAAGCCATCAACTCTATGTTTCGCTGGTACAACGAATCGGCAGTTTGCCTGGTGTACCTGAACGACATACCGCCAGAATCGGCCATCTTTGATACGCAAGCCACATCCGAAGTAGCGAGTAACGCATTCACCAAGTGTCGCTGGATTACCAGAGGCTGGACCCTACAAGAGCTCGTCGCACCTTCTTCCGTACGTTTTTACTACCAGGATTGGACTTTGATGGGTGACAAAGGCGAATTCATAGAGGAATTATCGAACGCTACTGGAATCCCCATCTTCGTGCTCGAGAACGGCGACCTGAGCGAGGTATCACTCGCAGAAAGAATGTCGTGGGCCTGCTATCGACAGACGACTCGAATAGAAGACATGGCGTACTGCCTTCTGGGAATCTTCGACATCCAAATGCCAATGCTCTACGGCGAAGGCGAAAAGGCATTTATCCGGCTCCAAGAAGAAATCCTGAAGACCACGGACGATTATTCACTTTTCGCATGGCGAGCCGTGAACTCCGAGAAGTCCATTTACCGGGGCCTCCTCGCGCGCTCACCTCTCGAATTCAGAGACTGTGGGTCCATTGAGCGAGAAAGCAATCCTTCGACCTTCCCTATCCATTCAACGCCCATCGGGCTCGGCGTACAACTCGAATTCCTAGCCGTTCCAAGGGACAAGTCTCGCTTCCTGGCCATGATACGGTGTAGCAACCACATGAACCAGCGACTCGCCATTCACCTCAAACGGCTGGACGACGCAAATCAGTACGCGCGCGTGGATGCGGGCACTCTGGTACCGATCGATAACTGGCCAACCGGGCAGCTGCGGATCATCTACGTGCGACAGAAGGTCTCCATCCTACACGACTTTTACACGCCAGAGATGCGGTGTTTCCATGTCCAACGGCGGGTTACGGATCGCTCGATACCGCCGGTGCGCATCACGGGCGCTTTCCCGCCCGAGAATTGGAATCAGGAAAAGCACGAACTGTGCATTCCAGAAACAAGTAAACAGTGTTATGGAGTGCTATTTCTTCGAGGGCAGTCCTCGTCATATGGCTATTCGACGAACTTCCAGGTCGTGGTGGGCTTTGACCGCAGCAGCAAGCATTACTGGTGTAAAGCCGTGGAGCACAATTGGCCGGATCCTAGCGTGGACCATGCTAGATGGCGTTCTGTCATCCAGCGGATGGTGCCTGAAGCCACGCGTGACCCGCTGCTCAAGCACGATATGAAGCATGACATCTTTGTGATTGGGGACAGTGGACTAGGTGTGAATGTCAGTATAAGAGGTGGATTATGTGGAGATAGTGTTGCGCTTCAGGTCTTGGTTGATGGTTTGCTGAAGGGTCGTTGACGCGGAGAAATCAAGACGTCTAGATCAAATCGCCATCTAGACCCATTCCTTGCTTCCATCCTAAAAATGGAGACACTTATCGCATTCCTCGATCGAACGCTCCGCCCACTCCAGACGCCCTGCAAACCTCTTCGATCTGCGCCAGACTCGGGAACCGCCATGGTAGCGGGTGTGCTGATCCGACATACGACTCACATGGTCTAAGCGTTCCCCCTAAGCCGGAAAAAAAATAATTCTTAGCGGAGGAAAGGACTGCATCGAACTCTAGTAAGCAGCCTGCATCATAACCCCGGAACGTTTACCATCGACCCGTGCGCCCTGGTATTGGATCACGTGCTCATTACAGCTTTCGGATCCATTGGGTATTCTCTAATGTCCCTTCTCATTCTTAGTTACCACAAGCCGCTTAGAAAAGCTGCGCACACCCGCGACTGCAACGATGCTTCCGTCAGATTTACTCCTCGTTGCCTCTCGACTAGGAGAATAGAACAAAGGCAAGAGGAAAAGTCTTCCTACGCCTAGAGCAATTGGTGATTTTGCTGGCCTGATCTTAATTTGTGATTTCGTTGGCCTGATCTTTGCATGACTCGTTTCTAATATCTCGTCAAGCAAAACTTGTGCACTCGTGATGCTGAAAGACCATCCTCCTCCGAAGATCTCCCATATTAATACCGCCGTGCAAACGGCTCATGATCTCCATTCGTGCCATGACCGATTGGCCAGGACGATCTGGGGTGACTCGAGACCGACATTGTGCCGACGCCGGCATTTTCCCTCCACATCCCCGCATTCCAGACCTTCCAACACCAAACCTCTCCTGGCACAACCGTCCGCAACATCGTGACATCCTTGAGACTAGGGACGGGACGGCGCCATGTTCGCGATGCCGCCAAGTACACCATCTCCTCTTTCTCGCCCGCGCCCCGCAAGGCTTCCGACGACGTCACAACCGCGAATCCTCTCTGCAACTGCCGAGTATTGGTTCGAGGAGACTCAGCCCGAATAGTGGGCGATTCCGCTCCGGCGCCATGGAAAATAGAAGGGACGTTAGTGCTGGTGTCCTGCAAGCGGCACGATCATCGGGGTAATATGTGAGGAGGTATTTTCCAAGATGAACGAACCGTTGAACGGCACCGAGGCGCAAGGGAGAGGCCCGAACGTATAAAGTCCGCGCGATAGATGGTCATGGACGCGTCGATACGCGCGCAACCATACTCTGGTGAATCCGAACATGTTGCAGTCAACGGCTTTCGCGTGGCTGGCGTTGGCGACAGCCTCAGTTGCCCAGTTTGGAATTAAGCACTCGCAATACGAGACGAGCCCGCCTGTGTACCCTTCGCGTAAGCAACCTTATTTTCACGTCCTTTGACCAAGCCTTCCAGGCCGCATCCAACGCTGACTCTTCGCACAGCAAACATCACCGGCGCTGGAGGATGGGAGGAGGCATTGGAGAAGGCAAGAGCCTTTGTAGCGCAATTGTCGCTCGAGGAGAAGGCAGACATGGTGACTGGTACGCTCCCCGCCTCGTCCTTTTCTACCTTGCTCACATTGGTAGGTACGCCTGGTCCTTGCGTCGGTAACATCGCACCGATACCGCGCCTCAACTTCACAGGCCTCTGCCTACAGGATGGGCCTCTCGCCATACGCCAAGCAGTGTACGCCAGCGTTTTCCCTGCCGGACTTTCTGCGGCTGCCTCCTGGGACCGCGATCTTGTGCACCAGCGCGGGGTCTTCATGGGCGAGGAGTTCAAAGGCAAAGGCGCGCACGTCGCTCTAGGACCTGTCGTAGGGCCGCTCGGACGATCGCCTTTCGGCGGCCGGAACTGGGAAGGTTTCTCGCCGGACTCATATCTCTCTGGCACACTTGTCGAAGAAACTGTTATCGGCATGCAGTCTGCTGGTGTGCAAGCATGCACGAAGCACTACATCGGCAACGAGCAAGAGATTCAGCGGAACCCAACCACGGTTGACGGCACGACCGTGGAGGCTATTTCGTCAAACATCGATGACAAGACCATGCACGAGACGTACCTCTGGCCGTTTGCAAACGCCCTCCACGGTGGATCCGCTTCGATCATGTGCTCTTACAATCGCATCAATGGTTCCTATGGATGCCAAAATAGTAAAACGCTAAATGGCCTGCTCAAGGATGAACTAGGCTTCCAAGGATATGTCATGTCGGATTGGGGCGCCACTCACGTTGGTGTCGCGGCAATCGAGGCTGGTCTGGATATGGACATGCCGGGAGGAATCGCTTTTACGTCGGCGTCTCCATCGTACTTCGGCGAGAACATCACCATCGCCGTAAACAATGGTTCTCTTTCCATTGAGCGTGTGGATGACATGATCCTCCGTATCATGACCCCTTACTATCATCTCGGACAGGATGCTGGATACCCATCCGTAGATCGCTCTACGCAGCCGCTCGGATTCTTCCCGCTGGCGAACTACGTACACCAGTTCACTCTTGGTCCTCTGGTTGATGTTAGGGACGAACACGCGAAGCTCATCCGTGAGCTCGGCGCTGCGGGCACAGTTCTCTTGAAGAACATGAACAATACGCTCCCGCTCAAGGAGCCCATGAATATTGGCGTCTTTGGAAACGATGCTGCGGACTTCACACAGGGTCAGTACACGCTGTCTCTCTCGAACGGTCTCTCTTCCGGCAACTACGACATTGGAACTTTGGCCGTTGGTGGCGGCTCCGGCACCGGGCGATTCACGTACGTCGTTCCGCCACTAGATGCCATCAAAGCGCGCGGTCAGTCCTACGGTGCGCTTGTGCAGTACATGACCGACAACTATGCTATCAGTAATAGCGGTCTATCCTCCCTCGCCCCGACCCCACCTGACGTATGTATCATCTTCCTAAAGTCCTGGGCCAGCGAGGGTGACGACCGAGCCACACTCATCGCAGAATGGAACTCGACCGTTGTGGTGGAGAACGCTGCCGCTGTTTGCCCCAACACGGTGGTAGTCCTGCATGGTGCAGCACCCAACGTCCTCCCGTGGAAGGACAACGCTAACGTTACTGCTATTCTCGCCGCCCACATGCCGGGCCAAGAGACTGGCAACTCGATCGTGGATATCCTGTGGGGCGACATGAATCCGTCCGGCAAGCTCCCGTATACCATCGCGAACCAAGAGAGCGACTACGCGAAGAACCTTGTCAACAGCACTGAGCTCGCGGAATCTACGGATCCCCTCGCATGGCAGGCTGACTTCACCGAGGGCAATATAATCGACTACAAGGAGTTCGATGCACAGAACAAGAGCGTCGCGTATGAATTTGGCTTCGGCTTGAGCTACACCACATTCGAGCTTTCGGACCTGCAAGTCCATGTGAGTGCCGCCAACTCCACCCGTACGCCGAGCACGACGGCGAAGATCATTCCCGGCGGCAACGAAGAGCTGTGGCAGGTATTAGCCACTGTGTCTGCGACCGTCAAGAATACCGGGACTGTGGACGGTGCGACTGTTCCGCAACTATATCTCTCCTTTCCTAGCGAAGCGGGAGACGACACGGTGAGAAACCTACGAGGATTCGACAAAGTATCGTTGGGCGTTGGGGAGACGGCGTCCGTGGAGTTCTCGCTCATGCGCCGCGATCTTAGCTACTGGGATACGGCTGCGCAGGCTTGGCGTCTGCCATCTAGCGCGATAGGTGTGGACGTCGGATTCAGCTCGCGGGATTTGAAACTTAATGGGCAGATCACAGTATAAGGCCTGAGTATGTGGGTATGCACTCTGACACGCATGTCGTTAGTATCGAAACGGGGACAGAAGAGAAGACGCGATGCTGGATACCTTAATGCCATTCAACCTCTCTCAGTCATACCACTGTCCTCTTCCCCCTTCCCGCAAGTTCAACGCCACCTTACTCATCAAAGTGCTTCAGGGCAGACACTCTGTGCTTGACAGGGCGGGCGGTGAAGTCAGAACCTGCGCAGCTCACCTTAGGAGTGGAGGCGCTAATTGGGCCGCCGTTTTGGACGTTGTGTTCTTTCACTTCAATCTCCCGTGTGCCACGGACCCACCCACAACAGTCGCGCGACTTCCTTTCTCACCCACACACTCCCATCCTCTGCTTCTACCTCGTCCCACCCTCCTCAGCTCCAGCACAGGAGTGCAATCAGCACCTTCGTCAACTTCCTGCATCGCACCGTCTTCAAGGTGACGCGCGCTGGAGAGCATTGCCTGACCCGCGACCGCCACGAGTCGCCTCAACCCTTTCACCTGAGTGCCCCGACAACCGCTGCCCAGCCCACAACAGCTCGACTCACAGCGTGCAAAGCAACCGGCAATCGAATCCTCATCCACAGCTTCGCACCGTCTCGAGCTCGCAATTCTATCCTATCTCCAGCACTCATCATGTCTGACACCTCAAAAACCTCAGACTCTCTTTCCACAACGGCTACGACCGCCTCTGCTACGACCCAGACCGCCGACAACACCAATGAGTACGAGAAGACACTCGAGAAGCGGCTCGATGGGGCCATCCAGCGCGCTCAAGACCGCTGGACGCAGTTGCAGCAAGAGGCAGCCGAGAAGCGATACTATCAGAGAACTGTCAGGAACTTGGAATTCACCCTAGTACACTTCGAAAGAGAGTGGGCCCAGGATATCCTCACAATGTACGGGACTATCAAGCAACAGGAAGAGAAGCTTGAGCAGCGGAGTCGAGAGATTGACGAGGCGACGAAGCTCTTGGGCGAGCACATGACGGCGTTGGACGACGTACAGCAGAAATTGCAAGAGAAGACGCAGGAGCTGAACGACGCACAAGAGCAGTTGCAAGAGAAGACGCAGGAGGTGGAAACTGTGACGCACCAGCATGACGAAGCGATGAAGAAGTATAGGGCTAAATGGGACGAGGAGCTTCAAAAACTGGAGGCCTATAAGACCGGTCTCAAGGAAAAGGTCGGGGAAGAGTTACAGAAACGGCTCCAGGAAAACAGCAACAAGCTCGTTTCCGCACAGAAAGAAGCCGAAGACGCAAGGAAGGCGGAGCAGAAAGCCAACGAGAAGGCAGAGGCGTACAAAAAGGAGATGGAGTCCCTCAAGCGGCAGTTACAGCAACAGGCAGCCGCCCCAGGCATCGGTAATACCCCGCAAGGTGCCCTTCAGGCCATCATACAGTCGCGGTCACAGCCGATGCCGCCGCCAGCTCGAACCCCATCCCTGACGCCGACACCGGGGCTTGCTCAGGCTACGATCCAACAGCGTACAGCTCATCCTACGGCCCTTCAGCCTATGATCACCCCCCGGGTGCAGCCGACCCAGAATCAGCAGCGCACAGCTCACCCTGATGTCCCTCAGCGTACGACCCCGACTCAGACCTGGCAGGGACCACAAGATGAGGCCCAACCACTACTCGACGAGGAGATGTGGGACTTCGTAAAGAACCTGCCGCCCATGACGCAGGAAAAGAGCTCCAACTCCAACGTCTCCTTCGGCGCTCAAGACTCGATACCATCCGTCTCCCTTCCCAAGGATACTCCACTTCCGCCATTCCCACTCCCCCAACTCCAGCCTTACGGCACACAAGTCCACCCGGCATCGCAGCCCTCAGTCTCCCGACAACAGCGCCAGCAGACTCCGTCCACGAGCGTCGCTCCCTCCACATCCACCTCTAGCCAGCACACCGCGAAGTACCAGGGCGCGGTCTGCGAGAATTGCCACCTCTACTGGTGGAACGAAAGCTGTGACGGTGGGGAACCCTGTACCAACTGCGCCGTCAACGGATGGCACTGCGAGCGCCCTGTCTGCGAGAACTTTTCACGCGGCACCTGCACGAAGAGGAAGTGCAATCGGGCACACGAGGGCGACGGATTCCAGAATTTGAGTCACGACCGCGTGGGCAAGGGCTTGAAGAGGAAGGGCCGGGCGACGGATCCCCATGATACGCCGCCGAGTAAGAGGGCGAAGACGGGTTGAGGGGAAGGGGGGTGAGTGAGCAGCTTGCGCGCCGCTATCCGCCATCCCCCCCCTTCATCGCGGCTTGAGACGTCTGCGGGTTGAGGCCTTCGCGGGCCTCCCTGTGGATGTCAATATAGCCAGGTGGAGGGGTGGGTAGAGGCGAGGCGTTGCGGCTCTCACTATGGATTTTGTGTTAGGAATTTAGTGGCGTTGGTGTCGGTCATAGGGCGGGGCAATTGCCTGGGTCCTGGGGAGATCTTTCTTTGCTTTTCTCTTTTCTCGGGACACTTCGGCTTATGGGAAGCCTTGCTAGAGAACTACAGGTCCGCAAATGGATCAGTGACCCCGTCCATCTCCGATGCTTTATAGATCATGCATTTCTCTTCTGCTAAGTGTATTAAAGTCCTTTAGCCTAAGCTTAACTGAAACGCCAGGCTCCATTTAGAAGCTCCCCAACTAAAAGATTGCGCATCGTGATGCACACTGGTACCACCATTTGTTGGAACAGAGGCTGAGAGTGAAGACAACAGTCACGTGACCACATAAGGGCTTTTCCACTTAGGTATTTGACACTTGCTCCAGTTATACAATATAGGGGGAGCCCCGTATCTAGGCAGGCCCTTGTCTAGTATAATATCGTTCTTTGCTAAATTTCTTGAATACCTCCAGCCTGAGCGTTGCGTCTTCCATCAGCCTTGATGGCAAGATATGCTAATGGGTCGCTCTAATGATGCTCCTCGCCCTTGAGACCTACATATGTGGGGTAGTGAGTGATGGAGTCACGCGAACTTAGTTGCCTGCAATGCAAGCGCTCGGAACATACGGTAAAGCAGGAATAAATTTGGTCCCACCGATTTGGCGACTAACTCTTATTGTCCCCATCCATTGCGTAGTTTCCATAGAACAGCGTAATGTGGCCTTTCATCTCTTCCAGACGCTTGTCGTTCTCTCCCAAGCTCCTGTCTCGCGTCCCGAAATATCGCGTCTTTGTCGAGCAAGGGAGAATCGATGGACCGTTAGCAGGAAACCTAGGATATCATCTGAACTGCACACCTCCATGGCTCAACGGCTGCTAGTGCGTGCCACCACAAGCTGCATCGCCAGCATACGAATTCATCACTGCTTGTGTGGATTATTTATGCGCGACGCCGGCGCCTGAGGATATCGCGAGTGGCACGTCGCTGTATGATGCATATTGTGCGGAAGCGATGGGCGGGGAATTCGGCTCGGTGCCGGTAAACTAGGAAGGCATTACTACTAGCAGAGGTACGTGTGGAGTAGTCTTGACCTTCGCTTGCCCTAAATGACGCATTAACGTATGAATCAGACCTGGTGGATCGAGGGCAGTACAGCACACCCTCCCATCGCAGACCAGTCAGTCCGAAGAATCCGCTCCGTCAGCTAGTTCGACGGAAGCTGGCGGCGGTGATGGCGGTGATGGCGGTGATGGCCACCCTGGGACCACGGATAAGATCGCGCTCGATGTTGGTATAGGGATAGGTCTCCCTGCCACTGTAGCAACAGTTTGGATGTGTCTGAGAGGAAGGTAAGGTTCGCAGGTGACAGGAGAAATGGGATGTTAATGCAGCTGGACAGTTAAAGAATATCCATTTGAACGAGGCGAAACTCTGGACTTCGAGTTGTAAGACCATGCCGAAGGTCTTGGCTAGGTGACGCGAATGAGTGCTAGCTCGATGCCGCAGTATAATGCCAGAGCTTGCAGAAAGTGAATGTCAAAAGTCACGTAATGACGCGCAGCTCCAGCTCCCTAGGTCTTGTGATAGAAACAAAATATACGCTGCTCCTTCCTCAAGTCCGCCCCGTCGGGTGCGGGCCTGATGAAAAAGAAAAATATGTGTGCATGAAATAGCGGGCATGCACTCCCTAACCTTCGAGATGTCCGGCTGGGCCACCCGTGAGGGTATAGCCAGGCCCGGTTCCTTTAGGCACCAGCTCGGACAGGTCTCCAGTCATAGCATCGCAGGTTCGGAACAGACCCGGCTACATCAGTAGCGGTATCTTTGTTGAGCCCATAACCTGTGTGCCAACTCGCACCGTCTCATTCGCGCAATCCAAGACACCGGAGCCGCCCTCGCTAGCCACAAGGGCGCGACGAACGACCCGGCGACAAAGAAAACACTGCTCACCGAAGCAGAACAAGGCGTGTGCGGAGGGGAGGGAACATCATCCTCAACTGGACCGAGCGATCTTCTCCGAAATGAAGCCATCATGCGAGATGTGCAGGATATACCCACACAAGCCGGGCGCAAGATTGGAAATCGATCGTATCCAGGTCTGTAGGCTTGCCCGCCGATATCGGTCCAGAAGAACTCATGACTGAGGATTATACGCAACCCCCGTAGGACAAGAAGGGCGAACCCTCAGAAATCGTCTGTGGTGTCCGAAAGCTATGGTTGGTCATCGGACAGCGTGGTAATTCCGGATGGTCGAGTACGGGAAATGGCGGTTGGGAGCAAGCTCTGACAGACGGCGAGGTGATGCAACGATATCATAACACCCACATACCGCTCCTCAAGTAATGGATACCGAGTCGAGTACTTATCGCTATGTGGCGACAGTAGAGTCTCATTCTCGGGCGGGGTGGAGAAGAAAAGGGACAGGAGGAGGGGGGAGGCAGGTTTATATAGGCAGGTGGCGCGTGGGGGTTAAGGCCCGTGCGCCTCGCTTACCCAACGTCAGAAGGCGCGTGACGGTGAAGTCGCGGGACGAGCTCCGGTCATCGGGCAGAGTTTTGCGGCTCGCAGAGAGTGAACATTTGTTCCTCTGCGCACATTATGACGTCATGACCTACCCAGACGCGGAGACGCGAAATTATGGGCCCACCGTCTCAGGGCTCAGCGCCATAGGCAGCAGCCATGACTAGGGTGTTCATCGAGTTCTCGCGCCTTATCTCTCTAGCAAACAGCTCTACATAGACGATCCATTCAAAAGCATAAGCAAAAGGAGCGAGGCTGACAAGAAGGGTAACAGCGGGCTCGAATGCGCTGATTCGGATATTGAACTGTGGGTAGGGTGCTCGCAAGGATCTTACGAACCGTAATCAGCCTGATGGAGCTGTATCCGGAAAGATAGGCAAGCTTTTAGAGGATTTATAGCATTTGGAGTCTATGTACAGTACATGACTCCTAATCGCCCACCGCAACATCGCGAGCAGGTGTTTGACTTGGAATACAAGAATGGTCACCAGGAAAACGCGCAGCTGAAGCTCCAGCTAGAGGAGAAGGCTAAGAAAGAGAAGCATCTTCAAGGCACTGTGTTGGAGTTGTCAAAGGAGGTCTCACGCGCAAAAGGATTCGCAGAGTCGAGCAAGATGCAGAGGACGGCATGGATGCACATCGCGAAGGCTACAGTTACGGAGAGCATGTCGGGGAAGGCCTCTACTGACGAAGTGGGCCGGCATAAGCGAGACGCCGCCGAGCTTGGGTATGTGCATTTTCTCGATCAACTGCTCGTTTCCGCTTACTTACACTTGGGACAGATCTGATATCGAGCCTACACCCAAGAAGCAGAAGCGTGAGAGAGTTCCGAAGGTTGCCCCATGCAGCAAGTGCTATGTCAACAACCGAACGTGTGACACCGGAAGTCCCTGCGAACAGTGCATAATTAGGTCAAAGGGTTCAAAGTGCGAGCGGGTTATGTGCAAGCACTTTAACAAGGGGACCTGCAAGTACCCCAACTGCACGTTCGCTCACGAAGGCGATGGCTACCGCTATCTCACCCCGTACATCAAGTTGAAGCCAGCGAAGCCAGCAAAGCATGAAGAGAAGGAGATTGGTAAGAGCGAAGGTGGCGGGAACGATGAGGATGATGAACAGGAAGGCGGAGTCAAACTACCGGTCTGATGCTGAACAAGGGTGCAAGGGAGCAACGAGGGCGTCGACCTGAACTGATGTTCTACATGGAATAGTCACAGCATGATGTGGCATATGCACAGCAGGATGCAGAACAATACATTTGCGGTTCGGGAAGCTGAAATCCGGCATGCGCGGTAGTGAATGTCTCTGATCACAAACGTTCGAAACAGCATCATCGTTAAATGAATATGATGGATGGGTAGTTTCTACACTCATGAGAGCTTACGAAATCCGTTCCTTGTATCCAACCGGCAGACGTGCTCTCATTCGTGCTATCCGCTGCCTGCAGGCCCGTGATAGTCAAGTCAGACATTGAGGGCCAGTCGCGACAATGGATTGATTGATTGATTTCTCTCGTTTTAAGTCACCAACCTATAGAGGTTATGCTGACTACGCCTACGCACAAAAGGACTCAAAAGACGCCAATATTAAGAGAAGAGAACAGGGTATCACAGAACCACGGGCAATGGAAACACAAAAAAGTAGACATCCACTAACTGCTCTGTATTAAGCGTATTATGTACGCTGACAGGACGCACGCTTATACGTGGGTTCTCTCTTTCGCCGATATAACGTATTTCCCTAAAAGACGAACGTGTTGGCCCTGAATACGCTGATATAAAGCTTATTCACTATAGGATCATAGAGAGTAGAGGGTTCCACGCTCTCTATCTCGTCGTCAGTGATCACATCACCTGTTTCGAGGCAATTTATGTTCAGCACGAAGCTTCATTCCATAGTTTATGTGGTATTGAGGGACTGAAGTAAGCCCCTATCGCCGAGTGCACCATATATCCCATGATTCCGCAACTAATCGTTGCATCGTATGAAAACGGACCCCAACATAATCACTGGATCCGCAGGCCTTACGCCATAGTAATCCCGCTCCTCAACAGCTCCTCTCAGTCCTTGCAGTTCTTGTCGATGCGCTTGCTAAGCTCCTGAATCTCCCGCATGGACTCGCTCAGCTGCTGGCTCAAAATCTTGTTCTCCTCGCGGAGCTTCTCGTCGGCGCTAGCGTCGGCGCTCGATCGAATTCCGAGGAGCTTCCTCATCTGGTTCCTGACCTTGGTGGACTTCTTGTGCCACCTAGAGACCTCGCATGTGAGACGGGCGTTCTCCTTGCGGAGGTACGTGACTTTGTCCTGGGTTGACATGTTGTGGAGGCAGTACCGGAGGGCGAGCAAGTTTGGTACGTCTGGATGCAAACCGATCAGTTCTGCATCCATGTAATCTACTAAATGGAGTTACTCACATTGAGGTCTTTACGCCGCGGAATCAGTATCGGCTAGACGGAGGCTGGGCGTGCTGCAGAGCCATTAGACTTCCCAAAGTCTGCATAAAAGGCATGCGCTTACCGTTGATACGCTGTGCAGGTGCTGTGGAGGAGAACGTCCTTTGGTGATTGCTGGAGAGGTAAAGTCGGAACGAACAATGTGAGTGTATGGTGCGGCGGATGCAGTTCAAATACGTATTTACGGCAAAGCTGAACTTTCGGCTGCATTCGGCTTGCTACGGCGCTTTTACCTAGTGCCCGTGCGCCAGGGAAGTGAAATGGCTGCGGATTTAGAAATATAGCGTCTTTTTTGCTGGTACTGTATATGTAGTATGCTCGCATCTTCTTTATGACGAGGTCGAGCGAATCAATAACTGCACCCAGGGAAGTGAAAATGGGATATCACATGCATGTCGAAAAGCTAGAGCGCGACTCCAACTTTCTGCCCTCCATCACGCCTGTTCTCCACCAGAACAGACGACCGATACATTTGGGATAGAAGAGTCTGCGTTGTGCGAGCAACACCTACAATCAATGGCTCTAGACGGGAGCCACACCCCAAGCAAGGCCGTGTCATCATAGTAGATGTCCCACAGGCACTGGTTTATGCAAATGGAAAGAGCTTGGTAGTCGCTGTCATACTTGATGGAGACGGGGAGTTCGGAGGGGTCCGCCGGCATACCGGCTTTGATGTAGCCGGTGTGTAGGAGGAGGACCATGCATGTAAGAAGTGGGGACATGGATGAGAGCTTGTCGGGCGCTACACAATGGAAATGCAATAGGCTCTCATTCCTGGAGGCTCGCGAAGAAATATGCTGGTGATCGTTGAGTATGGCGTGAGCATAGGTCCAGCGAGGCTGAAGTGAGCGTGACTCTGGTGCTTCCTTTTGCTGCGTTTGTCCGCAAGGCTGAACTGCTCTGATCGAAATATTTGCGGACTCGTTTCCATTACAAGCGTTACGTTTGTAGTACAGACACGGCTGGCGGGACGCGCCCGCATTGTATTGTTTCCAGAGACCCATACCTCCAATGTGTGTGGAGATGGGGCTCCATGCCATGCCGGTCTGACATGCGTTGGAAAGGCTGTGGCGTACCCAGCTGATCTTTCGGTCGCTTCCGGCAAACCACCTCGCTTGCTCTTGAACTCAGCCTGAAGACCATGCCACAAGGAGGAGATATAAGGTGATTGCTATGCGCATAATGAAATCTCCCTTCTCGACGTTGTTCAGCTAGCCTGCTGATAACTGAGAAAGCCACTCGAGCCATAGGGCACTCGTAGCTCGCACCTCGACTGGCCGACGTCCAGACCCAGATTACTCTCCTCAAAAGGCAGCACAATAACAAAACTCTTCTTTACCGTAACCTCCTTAACGCCGTCCAAGAGCCGTGCTTCCATAGCCAGCCATCTGACCTTCTCATCCTCCGAGCACGCAAAGCTGATATACAGCTCATGCAACCCTTCCATGTACGAAAGGACCTTCCAGCAGTCTTTCCACGTTGTAGATACTTGGAGAATACGTCTATGGTCCATGCTTAAATAGTTTCTGCCCAGCTTATAGGCGGGGTAAATGCACCAGTGGATGCAGAGAGAACGTATTTGGCGGAGCCGGTGTGGGAAGACGAAATTGGGGAGGTAGAGCAAAGCCTTCGGAATGCTGAAGCGTAGCACGTCTACGTCGGATATCAGAAACGTGTTGCTGGCGTAGAGTGATTCGATAGCCTCGCAATATCTAGGTTTGTGTAAGTGGACGAGTCCGAGGTGGGCATGGCAAAAAGCTAAAAGATTTGAGTCTTCAACTTACACCTGTCTGCACGAACACAGTAACGCCACTGAAATACGAAGCTTGCTGTCTGCACTCCCTTCTCCTTTTTGGGTCGTTTCTTCCCCCAACTCTTTCAGGCACATGGATCTATCCGGCTCCAAGCATCTCTGGACCTGCAGATCTTGGTCTGGAATACTCAAAAGAATTACTTCTTCGCCTAAAGCAAAATCATATATTCGCCGCCTAATTTCGAGGGGAATCTCCGTGAAGAACCAGCCTTGCTGCTTAACGAACCTAATGTCGGCGTCGACCTTCGTGGCCGAGGGAGGCGTGATCGGCAGTTTCCTTGGGTGTGGCCATTGAGGGATATTCGATACGTGCCTGCCTCCATGAACTTTCAACGGGCGTCTTGAAGTGTTGCAGAAGCAAATGAGACCGCGAATGGACCGAAGCAGTTCGAGCAGATCGGGCATGCTGAGAAAACTGTCAAAACAACAATTGAGCGTGCCGGAGAAAGTGATAGCAATGTTGTAAGTGTTGTACTGGCTGAATGAAATGTTTAGTCTGAAGATGGAAGCGTTAGGCATCAAAGGGGAAATCGTCGTGGCGCAGCACCGGTGTAGGCTCCGTCACTCCAAAAAGAGATGCCTAGCGAGCTGAGGATCATCGCGCAAGGCAGCAACATCTCGTATAAGGTTGATTCGTCGACTAGGATGAAGGAGAGATAAAGAGGGTGGGAGAGGAATGAAAATGGTTGAAGACACCTGGGCGTAAATCCTGCTTACTCCACACACTCCGCGGGCGGGCGGGCTCTTGTAAAGCTTACCAATGGCAACTTGGCTCTCTCTCACCGCACACAGAAGGCACTCTACAAAAAGAGCGAGGCCCAATGCCATATAAGATGGCGAGCGTGACCACTTCATACGTCGAGGTAACACGGAACGCAACATTCCTATATCGATTCATTTCCTGCTCATCCCAGTCATCTTGAACTCGAAGTGCTTCATTAGACACCATGTCTCATCTTCAGTACTTCAACTACCCCGGCTTCGGCGAACGCTCCAAGAAAGAAGTCAACTACAGCCAGGCCGTCCAAATCGATAACCGCATTGAAATCTCCGGTCAAGGTGAATGCCTGTCTCCCTTCCCCAACCAGCGACTTCATATTAAGCTACTTAGGCGGATGGGACCGCATAACCGAAGAATTCCCCTCAGATATCGGAGCCGAAGTCGATCAAGCCTTCGGCAACGTGGAACACGCACTCCAGCAAGCTGGTGGCAAAGGCTGGGACCAAGTCTACAAGACGCGCATGTATGTTGTGCTAAGAGACGGAATGAGCTTTGATGAGATCGCGGGCCATGTGGTGCGGAACTTGAAGGAGTATTGCCCGAAGCATGGTCCGCTCTTAACGTTTGTGGGGGTTAGGGGGTTGTATAAAGAAATGCGGATTGAGATCGAAGCGGAGGCGCATCTGGGATAATATGCAGGCAACATATGTTGCTTCCTTAGACGATTAGCCCGGTACAGTGGGATGCCAGGGGCAGCATCCGCTGTAACAGGGCGTAACGGACAGGTATTGTACGCCCAAAATCCCAATAAGTCGAAAGACATCGAGAAATTTATTTTCACACCCATCCCAGGGTTTCCTCTATGGCGTCAGGACTAGAGGCGTCTTGATTGGCTAGCCTGTCTCACTCCAGGAGCTGTACCGCAACGCCTTAAGCTTCTAGGTTCCCCTTCACGAACCTCAAAGTATCTGTCTCCAGAACCTATATCGCTTTACGTTACTCTTCCCGACGATCACCTTGACGCAAATCTTCCGCTATGCCTGACAGACACAAAGGGGGTTACGGTGACCGTCGACGCGATGATCTGATCGTACCTTTGTCCTGTGGACTTTATTTGTGGCAAAATTCCATCTCGAACCCCTATTCGAATGCCTCTTCGTAAAGAAGAAACGAGACACAGCTCACAGCAACCCCACGGACGTACCGACCAAACGCCCATCCGCGGCGATTAGAGCGCTCTATGCGACAGAGAAACGGAACGCTTCACACATAAGCTTTCACTGCTGTATATATGTACGTATTACTTATTAAATCCTATGTATATACTCATATATGTACAAGGAGCGTTCAAGCCTTCTCGATCCCTCAAGGCATATTCGGATTCGGCGCGCCATCCAACTTAAAGTACCCGGGCTGCAGCTCCTGAAACACGCCCGTCGGATCGTACTTCTTCGCAATGCTCTTCAGCTTCGCCTGGTTCGTCGCGCCGTAGCTCGGCACCACAGCCTGGAACTGGCTGGCGTAGTTCATGTAGATGTAGTCCACGGCGAGGCCCCTGCTCTCGGCTTCAGCGACCGTGCGCTTTACGATGTTAGAGTTTGCCTTCAAGATGCGCGTGTCGTCCGCGGCGTTCGCCCACATCATGTTCAGGTTGAGAATGAGGAGGGGCCCGTCCGCGGTGGTGATGCCGAGGGGGTTGCCGCCCTTCTTGGCCATGTTTTCGAGCATGGGTGAGGTGATGACTTGCAGGGTGGCAGCGGGGATGAGAGACGCGGCGTCGGCGATGGCGGCGATCTCCTCGAAGAACACGTCCTTGACGAAGGTGGTGAAGTCTTTGTCCAGCTTGTAGGTTACGGCCCAGTACGTTTCGCGCAGGCCGTTGGGGTTGCTGGCATTGAATTGGACGGTGAGGTCTGCGAGGCTGCGTACTTTGGTGGTGTCCTGGATGGCGGGAATAGCCATGTACTCCGCCAGGATAGGAGCATCGGCGACAGGCTTCGCGTACTGAAGATCTGCGGAAGCGAACTTCGTGCCCTGGGCGTATGCAAAAGAGAGGATTTGCGCGGCATTGGGATCCTGAGCAGCATTAATACCGAGGTTGTGGAAGGCGTCGATGACGGCGGGGAATTCGGTCTCGAGGTGCAAGCGGCCACCGCCCCACATTTGGCCCTGCGAGATGGTCTGCAGGTTGAACTTGGTGACGATGCCGAAGTTGTTGCCGCCGCCACGGAGCGCCCAGTACAGGTCTGAGAAGGAGGTGGGCGAGGCGGTGATGACGAGGCCAGACGCGCTAACGACTTCGAAGCTAGCGACATTGTCGCAGGCCCAACCGTAGATGTTGGAAAAGAAGGAGATACCGCCTCCTAGGGTTAAACCACCCACACCGATAGCAGATACCTGTGTTCAGATGAGTGGAAGGACTTCATATGGCAGGAGAACACAGTGGACTTACCCGACCACCGATCACGGCAAGGTTCTGCGACTCAAGCTGGGTATACACATCATACCATAGGTTACCAGGCCGGATAGCAGCAACCTTCTTATCCGAAGACAGCGTCAGACCCTTCATCTTCTCCAGCGCAACCGTAATGCCTCCCTGAATGCTCGACGACCCCGCGAACGCCGCATGCCCGCCACTCCTCACCGCAAACGGACATTGCGTAAGTCTCGATATCAGCACGAGCGTCGAAACATCCAAAGCCTTGGAGGGCTTGAAGATGCAATATGGGTCCACGCTCGCCTGCTGCACCGACCAGTACGAGTCGGTGAAGGAGTCATACCCCGAGGCACCCTGGATGATGACATTACTGCTGCCGAAGAGGAACTTCAAAGAAGAACACTAAACGCGAGAACAGTCGTTAGCACTTAGAATAAGAAAGTATTGGAGAGGGCTTGAACTGGTGCGACAAACTTACGGCAATCGAGCACGCGCTTGGCGACGACCTTGTCACCAAGCCCTCCAATGCCGGGATGGCTGATACATTGACGCCGTTATCAAGCAGCGCCTCCGTAACGTTGAAGTCGGTCGGCTCGAAGGTACTTTGCGCCCACACGTGTGGCACTCCCACCCCGAGCAAAAAGAACGAGACAAACGAAGCGACGCGCAGCATTTTCCCGGCCGGCTAAAGCACCAACCCCAACGTAGAAGGAAATGGAAGGAACGAGAGGATGCAGGAGCAGCAGCAATCAAGGTTGGGCGTTGACGATGCTGCAAGACGCAATCGTGACGGAAGATCCCGGGCGTGTGAGAAGAATTGCAGGATGCAGGACCCAACAGCGCGGGACAAGGGACGCTTTTGACATGTGCAGATTACGCCCCTAACGATTGGGGGCGCACCAGGCACCGCGCCTTCCGGTGTCGCTTCGAAGCTGGCGATATTCCCCGAGTAAGTGTTGTCCTGTAGAGATCCGTTGACGAGGAATTGTCCACCCCTCGTGGCGAAACGTCGTTTGAGCCTCGCGACACAACTTCTTCAGTATCCCGCCGTTATGCTTTGGTTCTGCGCGGTGTGGCGCTCTTGTCGTCTTGTACCAGTCCACCTGCAGCGGCACCATGCGCCCATATGGAAGAAATGGCTTTCTCGCGCCCCTCTTCCGTACCACCTTACTTTAAGGTTGACAGGTCCGCGCCTTACCGTCCCAGCACGCGGGAACACAGCGAAAATACGAACCAATAGAAAAAGGAAGCGTGAGGCTAGGCAGGGCTAGGAAGAGAACCCCGGCGACGCGGCACAGAGCGCCCCTTGGCCTAGGCCCGAACCAGCAGCTGTGATTAGCTCCCTGGCCGTACCGTCCCGTCCAGCCGTTGGGAGCGCGGGATGGCACGTTCACGTGTGGGAGTTGAAAACCGTGATGGGGGAGATGATATGCGAAGCACACGAGGTGGCTTGTAGAAGAGAAAGTTTCGCAGACCGTCAGATGCGTCTTTTGATGAGGCTTTTGATGAGCAAGTTTGATGCAGGTACCATATCGTATACAAAACCTCCGTCCGCATTTTCTCACTCGCATTACCGAAGTGCGCCTCGAGAGCGCCCAACACCCATGTCCACATGTCTGCATTGCATTAACACGAAACTCCTTCAACCGTGCAAGAAATGGTTTTGGATCCCGAGGCGGATTGTCTTGTCAAGCGAGTGATCGCCCCAGGTACTCATTCCAACAATGTCGCTGGAACGGGAGCGGGATCAGTCCCAGCCAGCGATAGGATATAGACTGCCGGCCTAGTCGTGGAGTGTAGAAACAGCAGTGCTCAATCTGACGATCGTTGCCCGTTGGCTTGTTTTGTTTTTGCGACTACTTTCCTTGACAAACATGTCCTCGACTCAGAACTACGTTACGAAGCAGCAGCTGCTGTCCACCAGCTATGCGATGATCGCACTGACATCGCTGTTTGCGCTGGTGCGCATCGGCATCCAGACAACTCGGCCGAAGAAACTGGTCGCGGAGGACTACCTCATGTACCTCGCCTTCGCGTTCTACATCGCCATGGCCGTCATGTACATCGTAGTCACGCCAGCGATGTTCCGCATCTCGGGGGTGATGAGCGGGGCGAGCCCGCCGTACGCGACGCTGCTGGACGACTCGCTGTTCATCATCAAGATCTTCTTTGCCAACACGATGATGTTCTGGCTGGTGCTTTGGACGGTGAAGTTCAGCTTGCTGACGCTGTATCGACGGTTGATGCTGGGACTGAGTAGCGTGTACATGAAGCTGTGGTGGGCGGTGTTTGGGTTCTGCGTTTTGGTGAGTAGGAGATGGCGTGGGTTTTAGAGGATGAACTGATCTTGCGTACAGTCGTTGATCGGCTGCGTCGTTTCGAACTTTACGTCGTGCCATAGCTTTCATGCTTGGTTTTCGCCGGGGGAGTGTACGACGCCGAGAGATGTGCGGGCGCAAATCGCTAGTCTGTACTACGCCTACGCCGTTGATGTGGTTTCGGACTTCATGAGTACGCACATTTCGCCCCTTTCCGTACGCTCTCGCTCATCGCCACAGTCATGTTTCTCCCGATCCGGCTCGTTTCGAACCTTCAGATGCCACGCTCCCAGAAGATCAGCGTGATCATTCTCTTCTGCACTGGCCTTGTCTGCATCCTCTTCGCCACAATTCGAGTTGTCCAAATCGGTGTAAAGGCCGGAAATAACAGCACTCCCAGCAGCTCCTAGCTAGCTCTATGGGCGGTTGTCGAATGCTCAATTGGTTCAGTGCCTTCCACGCTGGATCTGAAGTCCTGTGTTGACCTATCATAGCTGTTATCATCGGTTGCTGTCCCGCATTCGCCGCCCTCTACCGCAAAGCCCGGAACACACAAAAAGGCTCCTACAACGCGCAAGGCTACGTGAAGCAATCGCCCAGTCGCTCTGGTGCACAGCGCTCAAACGATATCAAGCTAAAGAGCGTGGTCAGCACCGCGAGTCGAGCCAGAAAGGATACATACTGGGACGATACAAATAGCAGTCAGGAGGAGCTTGCGAAGAACGGGACCATGGTAACGAAGACGTTCAAGCAGGAGGATGAAAGGTCGAATGAGTCGCGCATATGATTATAAGACGATAACGATAGCAGAAGGACTATGACGAAGAAGGAACCATGACAGAATAGATGATAGAGAAATGGGGGATTACACTCCTGCTTTAGCGTCTACGGTCCCCGTGGTATGCATACCGCGCTCATGTTAGCGCCCTGGAATACTAGTTGAAGGCGCAGTCAGGGTTCATAGCGACATCGCAGCCTCTGGCGATACTCCACGTCAAGCAATCGCGCTCGAAGCGACCACCTTGCTTCTTGAATGACTCACCGTCCTGATCGTGGTCACCTTTACATCCATTAGCATATGTCCCCAAGTGTGCCTTCGTAACTCACAATTATTGACAATACTGTTCGCGAAGATGTCCTTGCATAGCGGCGACTTATCGGTCCCACCGATATCGAGAACGGGGCAGCCATCGTTCTTCGAAGATCGAATAACGAAGTGAACGTTAGTCGATGTTCCTCCCGCGCTTGGGTCGGGAACGTTGATGGTGAAGGAATATTGATCGGTTGCTCCTGGTCCAACCTTCCACGGTGATGCCATGCTATCCCATTTCTCGCATTCCTGTTCTATGGCATTGCTTACTGTGTCCGAGGACATGTACCAAGTCGCCCTTTCAGATGTGTGGTCGGGAAAGCAGTAGAGTATGCCAAGGTTGACGGACTGAGCGGGAGGGTTTTTATTCGTAGGTGTGGGTGCAGGAACCGTGCTTGCACTCATGGATGCCCTGACAGTTTCGGCCTCCCTCACAAGGTAATCGCATCCTTCCTCCGTAATTGTGGTCGTGGGATCCGTCGTAGGTATTTGATAATTGTAACCCTTTTCATTGTTGCATGTGCAACTAGTGTAAACCTCATTGTTTGTTGTGGCTCTGAAATTGACATTAGTAGGACCCTCTAATAATGATAAAATGGCTTACGTATGCGATCGACAAGAAGTGACCGATTCGTAGGGTAGCGTCGTCTTTAGATGTGTTATGGCTATCTGGGACGCGGGGAGGGTCGTGTATGCGCAGGGAGCGGATGTGGATGGTATTGTGGGGTAATAGGCTCCGAGGGTGTACGGAACACGGTAGAGTTCTGAGCAAACGCAATACTCTGGTGGCTCGGTACTGTTGCTTCCGTCGAAGAGTTTGAAACCGCCGTTCACAATGCATTCTACACCCTCGTCCGCCGCTGACATGACCTCACCTAGGATCTCTTGCTGAAGCTCGAACCAAGCAGGGTCGACAATTTGGGCGGTGCCGTCAATGACAAGAGTATCTAAGCAGTCGCAGCCTTCCCATTTTCCCTATAGATCGTTAGCCGAAACCCTTCTTTCCATCGCATCTCAGCCAACACGAAATCAGCTTCGCGTATGACGCGTTGGCGAGATGTTAGTAGGATCTATTTCCATGAAAGAGGGTGAAATCCCCTCCATTGATCAAAGAATTTGCACTTTGAGTCCAATAGAAATTGAGTCTCACCAGAGAGCATTGCCCGGATTCGGTTAAACCCTGGCAGCTTTCGTCTAGGCATATTGGCTTTCACACATGTCAGCCATTGAATCCCCTCAAACATCGCCCCTCCTTACCGCATTGACCCCAGTGGGCGCTCCAGGAGCGCATCCTGTAGGCGTCGCACTAGGCTTTATAGTTTGTGCGATATCGCTCGGTTGGGACGGAAGGCGGTACAGATATAAAATGAGGCCGGTCCATGTATATGTCTGAAGAATGACTGAGAGAATCCATATCGATCGTAGTCGAAGTTGGTTCTTGGCGATCTGACCGGCAGCAACCAAGACATCGAATAAACCTCCGATTAACTCAACGACACTGGCAGGAACTTCAGCAGCCGCGGCTGTCTCCTCGAGTCCAGCTCCTTCCAGAGCGGGGGCGAGCTGGCCTCCAGGTTGAGCAGCCTTGATAGCTTGGGAAGTGACGCACTGAAGAACGGCAAGAGCTGTGAGGGGAGTTTTAGCTTCGCAAAAAGGAAGACGGCATGGCAAACGCGCAGATGGGAACGGATGACACATACGGGCAGCTGCGACATTCGCACGCTTCATTTTCGCCCCAAGCTTGCATTCAGCAGCTACATCGACAGCAAAATTCTCGAGCTCGATCTTCAAGGCTGGAGATATAACTATCGTTACGTCCCCGGGGTTGACGCCATCGGCGGTAGCAGTAGCCTTGGATGCCGAGATTTGAACGGGGGAGATCATGGTCTTGACCTCATTATCGATTGTAGTAGTCACTGGGACTTCAGTGAAGTAATTAGGGTTAGGCCACTTCCACTGAGGACGAGTAAGTATCGGTATTCATGCGGCAAGAAAGCGTGTACATACCTGCGTCTGACCATCTTGAACAACGAGAACATCAGAGTGAGGGCCGATAGGGGGAATGCTGCAATTATCAGAATTGAAAATGATGAAAAGCCCGCTAAGAGAGACTCACTATTGAGAATACGGCCCAAAGTCCGTCACTGGATTTATACCAATTTGGCCCGAAGCCGTCGGCTCAATCGCCTTTTGTTGAAAGGAATTCTCGACAGCCACGGAGTATGAAGTGGAGACAAAAAGTCCAAAGGGGAATATCTTGAGCCAAAATGCGGAAGACATGATTGCGGCTGGAGAAACACAATCGTAAATCTGGTGCACTCGTGCTCGAGATCGATAAGGAAAACCCGGATTTATCAACGTACGGTCCTGGAAAGAAGAAAGGACACCTTTCATGAGTTGGCATAGGGATAAGGGATCGGAAAGGGAATACCTATGTTGGGGTCAGAAGGGCAGCCCGTGCCTCGTCGCATAATTGCTGGATGCCCGAAGGAAGGAGCTCAGGAATGGTGCGACACATAGAATGCGAGACAGTAGCGTATTGGTATTAGAGATTGCCGGTTCTGTCGGCTCAGAGGGCTGAGGCGTAGGGCGGCGCTCCCAGGAGGGAAGAGCGGGGTGCACGCGGCGCGAAAGCCCGCATCCCGCGACGCCTCGGCCATTGCGAAGACATTTGTACCGGAATTCTAGCACAATATTGGCAAGAGGAGTACCTTTACTGTGGCGATGGTCGTGAGAGCGGAGTCGATGATAGAGACGACGAAGCACGTACGAAGAGTCCACCAGTAGGCGACGAGACTAGTGCAATGCACTAACTTGAGCCGGCCTAGCGTGCAGTCACCACCAGACCTCCACTGGCACGGTAAGCTGTCATTTCCAACTCTCACAAATCAACTTCTTTCGGTCAAGATTGGCGCATTGACCTTTCGGCTGAGGATCCTCGCATACAGGATTCGCAACTGATACTTGCGCTCCAGACGCTCCTCCTGTCCTGCGTATTCTTGCCCAAATCCTGCAACGATGCAGCAGCCATAGATAGCTCAACACGTTACTCTCATGTACAAATCATCGCTGATCAGGTGCTGTTGAGTAATGAACTCTGTGCGTCTAGCCGTCCATGTACGCCGCCTGTGCCTCTAGCACGAGAACAACGCTAAGGGATCTCGATCCTGTAACAGCCATCGAGCAAGCCACATGATGGAACGTGGAATGAGAAGGATAAGAAGGAGTACTTTAGAGAGCCAATCCACCGACACAGATTCAGAGACGTGTCTTTGTAGTGCGGATGACTGTTAGCTTTGCAATGGCCGTTTCGGAACCCGATCCACCTAGTATGTCTGTATCACCCTAAGATGCTCTGGTCCCTCATCCCCTTCACTCGTTGATATAGTCATAATATGGAAAGGACAGTTGTGGAGGACTTGAAGATGACAGATGGCCGATTTTGCCAAAAGTCTCTGCAGGCGGATCAATTGCTGGGACGTAGACAAAGTATATTAGAAGTCATCCTCTTGATAATTGTGATTATTTTGCTGCGTTTTTGATTTAAAACCGTCCATTCATACGTCTCTTCAAAGCAGTCCCTCCAACATGTCCCCATCTGCTGCTTTCGGTCTTCTTCTCTTGCATTCCGTACTTTGGAGCATCGCCTCCGCGTATACTATCGATGCGAGCTGTAACGGTCAGTCTACTTCAGATCCCTTCTATAGTTGCACCCGCTCATGTTTCCTCGAAGCAAACCTAGATTTCGTCAAGAACATGGTCGCAGCAGGTTTCGGGCTCGTCCAGTCCGCGTACGACGCTGTCGCCGTCCAAGACATCAACAACGTCGACGACGAGGTCAAAGACCTGATGAAGTGGCTCTTCACCCCGTCTGAGAACTATGAACTTGCTCAGGCTGAACTTGCTAGTGAGTAGTATATTACTTGAGACAGCGCTTTTCTGATCAGTACAAAAAGGGGTCTACAATAGGATCAACGATTGGGCACAGGAGGGAGATAGCGCGTTTCCGAACGTTGTAAGTTGCGGAAGTGACTGCTTTAGACCACGCAGCTAACTTGCAATTAAGGAGTTCTACTGCGACACGAACCGATTCGAAAAGCGCACAATCACTGAGCAGGGGCAACCAGCCGAGGTCGTCTGGGTAGACAAGGTTATGTCCCCACCAGGCTCTGGCCAAGCGAAACGTCACATGGCCATTGTGAGAGGCGTCAACGGGGGCTCCTATAATCCGGAGGAAGAATGCAAGAAGTTTGGTGTTAGTCGACATATGTCGGACTGGGGCAAGCAGGCCACGCTGGCCATAACGATGAACATGCCTAGCACCACTCAGATCCAAATCTGCCCATGGTTCCTAGACTATGTCAACGAGAAAGCATTCAAGGACTCTCATTCTTGGAAGACGTGGGGAGTGGGGAAGGTGGCAAGGCTCGTAAAGTTGAAAGAGAGGATCCTCGAACGCGATTTTACAATGGCGGATACCATATTTCTTTTCGATAAGCTGATAGCGCATGAGGTAAACGCTGACCAGGACCTCGTCAGCAAAAGGCCTTACTGACGGGATTTGCAGCTTGCTCACGCCCACAATGACAGAATCATAGACGTTGGAGATTGGGAAGGTTACGGTAAGCTCCCATTCTTACTTCAGCTTGGTGACGTCGAAAATCTGACAATAGCGCAGGTTGGAGAAACTGTTTGAGAATTGCCCAAGTCGAAGCAAATGAAGTCAGATCAGAAGACAGATCGGCCTGGGTGCTAGGCCCATATTCGAACGCTGACTCGTTTGCCCTATTCGCCTCCGGTGAGAAACGTTTATCATTGATTGGAATATGTACACTAACGGCTCCAGCAATCAATGCAAGGGGTCAAGGCTTCCGGTTCTACGAAGATGGCACGGTCGATAAGCCCGATGTGGCCGGCCCTAGTAAATGAGTTCACTGCGTTGGGTTTCACTGTGTCGCGGGCGGACCTTCAAGCTTGTGAATGTGCTACGTGCCGTCATGGTTCTGCTATTTTGAGACCTGTATTCTAGTAATGAAGGGACCAGTTGGCGTTGTGGCTTGATATAACGTGCTGATTCTGATACTGTGAGAAGAGAAACGAAACTGATGAACGTGAATATGAGCTCACCGATGCGGGTGCCGTTGCGCCTCAATCAGGCACACGAAATATACACTTAGTTGTGCCGACATCCAAGTCTGTGGAGCATCTCCGATCGGGTAGGACAATAACGAAGGACTCAGGAGCCTGGACAGCCTTGACAGGTTCGAACATTTGCGCCTCTCTTTCTGTCCATATGTTTAGGACATAGACCGAGGGAGAGTACTTGAAGTAGTCGAGCCCAATATGAATGAACAGGTTACGAAGACCGGTCATCTGACTTAAAGCGTGCCAAGAGTCATACCACTGTTGCGAACCAGCGTCGCCATTCTCCGAGAGGTTAAAGTGTGGAGTTGCATCCCAGGAGATAGATAAGTCTCGTATCGACCGTAGCCGTTGAGGAAGAAGGATCTTCGGGAGATATGGCAACGGAAAGTACTTCTGGCCGTATGAAGTTACGGCAAAGTTGTTGGCAGAGTAGAGAAGCTTAATAGCTTCGGAGTATCTGAGAGCCATCAGCTAACGTGATCCTTCATGGTATCTATATCTTCCATACATCAGGCGGCAGGTTCTGAGAACGGCGGTCGAAAGGTTCAGATCGTGCAACGCTCTCGGATCGAATACGTCGTGACGGCACCGTGAGAGCCCACAGCGATAGCCACAGAGCTTGAGCCGCTTATAGCCACAGATAAGTATATGGATTTGGAGGCCTCCCAGAGCGTGTCGATAGATCTCCTCGCGTAGCTCCAACGGCAGCTTAGCGACCAAGGACGACTGCGATTGATCCGAAGTGATTATCTGTGAGGAGTCCGGTTGCCCTAAAGGTAGAGTGAGCGACCTCTGCCTTAAAGGTAGTATCTGCACTTCCTCATCCGGACCTTTGGTGTTGCGATCCGACTTGGGCCAGCACAGGACAAGTGTGCATGGCAAACAGCAGGTCCATGCGACGGCGGACAACGCACAATAGGCGATCCAACAACCGATGGGCACAGGGGCATGGCGGGTCATTGTAGCTGGCGTCGTAGAAGGCGCGATTCAAAGAGGAAAGGGTAGGAAAAGGTAAAAGAGGGGTTCAAACATCTCTGAGATGAAGGCTATGTGGCACAGCTGCCCCAACAAGCGAGCCAATCACAAACCACCTCAGCCAACGCCGCAAAACAGCCCTCAAGCATCGTCCGGCAGTCTGAACACGCACTTCGACTCTCCGAAGTCCATCTGGGTGGAACAAACCCTAAACGGCAACACTACGACGAACTTCTCCGGCCTGGTCACCGTCTTCACGGGCTCCAGGATTTCCGCCTCGTCCTCGAACCAATACGGACGGGAGAGCCTAGACCTCGAACCCTGAATCTGTGTGTGTAACTCGCGCAGTCCAGTAATCTGCTGCAAGACGGGCCACATATGCAGCCAGAAGTGGTGGAAAATGACTACACTGAACCAGGAGCTCGGCATGCGCCAGACTATGTGCAAGTTGCGCACTTGCTGCAAGCGCTTGGGGAGGAAGGGGCGCGTGAGACAACGGTCGGAGAATCCGTCTTCGTAGCATATACATGCTGTGATGTGGAGGCTGTTGTTGCTGTAGAGGGTTTCGATGGCTTCGGAGTATCTGGGAGATGATTAACACCACATGAAATCATTATTGGAATCCTCCCGCTTACATTTGACGACAAGTCCTCAGTAACGGGAGGAACAGCTCTAGATCCGACGCGGAGCCGGGGGTGTGCTGATCGTGAGAGCAGACCAACTTCTTTTCGTCCAAGCCTAAGGAAACGACCCCCTAGCGCGCGTTCGTAGACGAGTCGACGCAGTTCCAGTGGCAATTTCGTAAGGAATGGTGACTGCGTTTGGGGTAAGACACAAGGGTCGATGTCTGTGCCATTGAATGGAGGCGTTAGAGGCCTTCGTGGCTGAGGCGTATGTGCAAAAGAGGCATCGGGTCCAGAGGAAGGGGGAATGGCGTGGCTTTGTTGGTTGTTTGAGCCATCACGAGCGGCACGCTGTGCTCTCGGTTTCCGGCTCCAAGAGGCCTTTCGGCGCCTAGAAACAAGCGAGAAAGGACATCTAGGGCAGAAGAAGAAATGGGAGAACCGGTGCTTGGGGCGGCCCTTGCTGGCCGTCATTTGGAAGCGGACAGAAGGGAAAGTTGCTGAAAGGAGGAGCAGTAACGTAAAGCAGATGGAGAGGATAGAAATTGACACGAGGAACGTAGTTGCCTACCTTTATATGTCTTATATACGAAGAAACCGAATTAGTGAAGGTAGATGCCTTCGATGCTTGAGCTCTGGTACTGCTACCTAACTATACGAATACCCGCCAAGGATATCTGGCAGGGGATACCGTAAAGAAGGACCCGAGGGTCTTCAATAGGAGATAAAAGCAGAGACCATGACTGTTCGTCGCAATACGTGTAGAGTATCCATGTGTATGGCAATGTCGCAGGCGACAATGGGGCGGAGTGTGAGTGTGTGTGCGTAGTAGAGGTGGCGAAACTGGCGTCTCGGTCCGAGTCCCGGCAAGACGTTCTTCCGGCCGACCTCATCTCGGTACGAGAATCCTTCAGGCAACTCTGCAACATAGCCTCCTATCGTTAGACCTTTTCTTTTCTCCCTTCTCGCTCGTCTTTCTTCGGCCATTCCTTTCTTCATCGGCGTACATTACGCGTCCATTCGCTTTTCGTATACATAATTATAATGTCTCAAACCCCTTCCCCACAACCAGCGCCCACCCCGCCAGCGCAGATCACGCCGTCTGCGCAAGCATCCCAACCAGCGCCAGCGCCTCAAGCCACACCCGCGACACCTCTACCGGCACAGGCACAGGCACGACAACCCACCACGCCCATAGCTCCTCCTCCACACATACTGAACTTCGCGACACCCGCGCCCGTCCCGCCGCAAACCTTCCGCGAAAAGCTCAGAGCTGGCGATGCCCACTGGCCTTGGCAGCTCGGCCTGCGCGCCATCACCATTCTCGTCGGCATCATAGGCATTGGCTGCACAGCGTGGGCAGTTTCGAAATACACCCACAACACCTACGACTTCCTGTACGACTTAGAAGATTCGTGGTCAATCCCGTGGGGCCTCATCACCTTCACCATCTCCGTCATTTGGAGCGCCATCTGTATCCTCGTCTTCCTGCTACGGCATACGAATAGACCCGTCCACCCCGGTGTACGCGTCGGCATCGATCTGATACTCTGGCTGGCTTTCATACCAACGGCAATGTTTGCGGTTGTCGCGGTCATGAGCGTGGTGGACTGGGGTCAAGATGGGAGTCTGGGGTATTATTACTCGAGCTACGGGTACTACCAGTACATACCGAGCAACGGCACGTGGGTGTGGGAGGCCTCGGACGACTCGTACTACAGCAACCAGCCACGCGACTGCAGCGGGAGTAGTAGCTACTACTCCACGTCCGACTTTTCAACTTGCGCCGAGCAGGACGCATACGTCAACGAGCTGTGGAGGGGCAAGAACCTGCGCTTCAACATCGAGCTGACGTCTTGCGTGTGCCAGTTCATCTCCCTGGTCGCGCATCTGGCGCTTTTCGTCTTTGCCTGCGTGGATACACATTACAGGAATTCGAGGAAGGTTAGCAAGGAGGCGGAGCAGCTGGCAGCGGATATCGTCATGAATATGGTCCGGACGGGGGCTATCATACAGCCACCGGGCGCGGCGCAGATGAGGCCCATGGCTCCGCAGATGATGTCCATGGCCCCGCAGATGATGCCGCCACAGCAGATGCCCATATATCCCCCTCAGCGAAGTCCGCTGCGGCCATATCCGACGCCGCCCCAGCAGGCTGCAGCATCGAGCAGCAACGAGAAGAGTGCTGGGCCGCGGTACGCATGACGAGGCGGACTGTCTTGCTTTCCTTCCCTATGTACAAAAGATAGCGATCATAGAGGATCGCATATATAATGCTAATGAAATTGGATATATGTGGGACTCCATTCATTTGCATCGATCTCAACAGCCATTGCGTCCGTTCGTGCCCTTCTTATTTGGTTAACTTTCGCCGCAAATGTCGGGAAGAATTGCCACGTGAGGAAGATGACAATGTAGATGTCAGGCAACGTAAACTTGGACACGGGAGAAACGACAGTGCGCGTTAAGAGTAAGAGTAACGGACTCGAGTGATCTGTATTCACAACCTGGGGACTCTTATCCTTCAGAGCTAAGCTTACACCCGCTGCTGACAAACTTAAGCCGAGTTGTACTCTCGCACAAGCATAACACAGTTATGCACCATAGGAGAACTCTCTTGATATTAAGTGACCAAATGAGTACAGCAAACGCCAGCCAAGCTCTCTCCTGGCCGGCCAGAGGAATGCTCGAGACCGGGGATAGCGTTGCTAATCACCTATTCTTCTTGTAGAACGTGCTCATACGGTGCTTCGTCTGGCCTTCGTACTGGGCAAGGTTTGCTAGAGCTTGCTCCCCTTCTCGAACGATAGCCTGACGGATGCGCTCGCTTCGTGGCTTGATGCTGACCTTGAAGGGTTGTGGACGCATGTTGAGCCCGTTTCTGTTACGAGTCAGTACTGCAACTTCCCGAGCAATGGATCGGAATACTCACGTGTAGTCGAATATGTCGACTGGAATCGGCTTTCCGCTCTCGTCAAGCGCGGGCTCGATCTTAAAGCCCCATACGAGTCGCGCAACCGTCAACCAGGTGCCCTGTTCCGCGAGCGCTTGACCGGAGCATACCCTTCTGCCCCAGCCGAAGGTCATATACCCTCGCTCTCCAGGGAATGGTCGTGCGTCCGGGCTGTCTTTCATGAAGCGGCTCGGGTTGAAACGGTCAGGGTCTGGGAATTCGCGCTCGTTTCGGTGGATTGCCCACACGTTGCCTTGCACCCAGGTCGATTTGGGAATGAGCCAGCCATTGTAGTAGTCATCCTGTACTGGAGCATGCGGTTGGCCTCCAATGATCGCCACGGACCGCCATCGGAATACTTCCTTCACAAAAGCGCGCATGTAGGGAAGATCGGCATCGTCCTCGAATGAAGGGCTCCTGTCTTCACCGACAACGCGATCAAGCTCTTCCCAAGCGTGAATGAGAGTCTCAGGGAAAGCGCGCATTGCGAGTACGGCGGTGATAAGAGTGCTGCTGGAAGTGTCGCTTCCAGCACCGAAGAGGTTGCCGGCCAGAGCGGATATCTCCTGTGGCTTGAGGTTGTACTTGGCCTGTTCCTTGAAGAGCATTTTGGAGTAGCAGTCATCGTGTCCCGGGTTCTCGTTGGCTTCGACAGCAAGCGAGTAGAAGAAGTCATGCCCACGATGAGACTTGCCACGGCGTCCGAGACCGTGTTTCCAAGGCGCAATTTCGGTAGGGACTTTAGCAAGCACTGCAGACTGTTAGTCCAAATATGCGCGAGGGTTTCGCCCTGAACCTTACCCGGAAATGTCTCAAGAAGCATTGGGAAGGTCTTCCCTGGCACATTGAGGTCCGCCGCTCGATGCATGACAGCAATGACTTCGGTAATGATGGGATCCTTGGGGTCCCCCACTCTCCTACCAAAACCAATGATAGACACAACGCTGGTTGCATAGCGCTCAAAGTGCGCCACGTAATCCTCGGGGGTCTTGAGTAGATCATAGGCAACTACTTTGCTTTCATCATTTTGAAAGTCACGGTAGCGCTTCACTTGCTGGATGCCGACGCCCTGGTGCATGAGCTTGCGCTGAACTCGGAAACGGTCTCTTTCTGCTTGGGTCGTAGTGATCATGTTGACGAGATTGCTCTGACACGCACCCAGTTCGGCAAAGACGAGCATTCGAGGACGGGAGCAGTAGATACCCGCCCGCTTGTCAAGGAGTTCGCTGGCCGTCCACGCATCGTTAATCCACACGGTAGGGTTCCTGGCTCCAAATCAGCGTTGCCATAGGGGTTCTCTGCAATGGCTAACCTTCCTATCCAGTAAGTAATCAATGGCGTATTGTACTTTTTGGATAGATCCTCAAAGTATATCCAAGGCTTGGTGTCTGGAAGTTGGAACGTGTTTCCGACGATAGGCCAGGGCATGGGCCCTGGGGGCTGTTATTTAGTTAGTACACATGATACTTTTTGATGTGAGGTTGAGGCTGACCATCTTTGACCTCAGATATAGCATCCAGGCATAGTCTGCAAGCACGCCCAGAGCTGCCGTAAGAAGGACTGCAAGGGCAACATTCCCTGCGCCAAACTTGGAGATACCATGCTGCAGGTAATGTAGAGGCAGTGCCTCGAAAAGCTGCTCGATAGCCATCACTCTTACTCGCCAGCGTTGGAAATCCTACGTCGAGACTTGGAGTTGAAGTCGTCCCAAGCTGTTGAAGTCCAGGTTGCAAGCCCACGGCCCGGATTCGAAGCGCGAAATCACCTGGATTACCGAGCGGCCAATCACCCGCGCAGAAGCGTTCTCGATAGAGAAGCGATTCCTCTTCGATGCGCCTATCTGCGTTGGACGTTTGTCATCGTGCTGAAGCGGGAGAAATACAGCAACCCCACATTGTCGCGGTGGGGCAATATGGCCGGCAAATTGGCACCTCGCTGTTGGAACGGCCGAAAGCCGCTCTTCTTCCGTGCTTCTTGGGTCTGCCATTAACCTACCACAATGCTAGTCTGCATTGTGCGTTCCCGCGGGCTGCGCGGTGTGTTCTCTGACGCTTCTCGAAGCCGTTAGATCTCGGCGCGATGATGGCGCGGCGCGAAAGGCCATGCGGGACGCGAGCTCTCCCACCGGCCTCAGCACAGCCTTCGGCGGCGCGTTGATGCCCCCAACACCCGCGGCGGGGAAAGAAGAGAAGCTCATCCAGTTTGGGATGATATGGGCGGGAGAAGACGTGCTGGTGATGTTAAGATGAAAGTCACGAGCTGACGTGATGCCCGCAGGCGCGCTATCTAGGACAGGCGCGTCCCATCAGCCACAAGCCGATATCTCGTCCACTGTCGGAACACAGAACACCAACCGTCTTAGATTCGTCTCGATCCTAACCACCCTCCGTCTCTCGCTCTGTCTCACTCAGGGCTGGTGTCGACATGGCTCCTATCATCGTATTGCTCGCCGGGCTCTCGCGAAGTCCTGTATAACATAGCCAGATATCCAGACGACAGTAGTATCTTGAAGCTCCGCTTGACCTCCTGCAGAAGCACATATCACGGAGACGACTACGTCTTTGTATGGCTGACTACCTCCTGTATAGGGCTTCTGCTAACGCTGCCAGGTGAAACACTTCTTCTCGCAGAGGAAGGTCAGTACTTCGAAATCGAGCCTACAGCGTCGAGAAGAATTTTCCGGATCCCGCTTTGCCGCATACATGACGGCCCTCGACGCACAGTCATATCTAATTGCTCGGCGGGCTCGGGATCATCGCTTAGGCACTATACATTTCAGGCCGATCGAGAGTGGCCGCATCGCTCGACTGCGCGCGGACCTCATCCATTTCGACGACCACTGCCTTCATGGCTTCCGCTGTATCAGCGCGCGGGTCTCCATACATCTCCAGCGCTGAAGCATATCCGGGTCCATGCTGCAGGACTCATTTGTGGTTGACGTCCATCTTTAGTGCCTCGCGGCTGGTCGTTCATCAGGCGTGGGCAACATGCGACCGTCAACACGTCTTTTAAGCCATTCGAGGCGCAGAAATACTATTCCGCAGCTTCGAGATCCATGGTTTTACAGACTTCGATGAGCATTTACAAAGTCTTTCCGTTCGCCTTTGCCTCGACAACATTCATCCTGAGCTCGCTATTACCCGACACGCGGTATTACGGCTCACTCCGGGGTCTCACCCTACAATTAGATTTCTACGGCAACCCAACGGTCTATCAAGGTGGTGATTTACCCCATCCCCAGAGCGATGCGTGGAACCAGCAGCCTGAAGCACAGCCTATCGCTCGCCGATAGGATGAGGAGAGACAGTAATTGTCGGTAGCACATTGAATCGATGTCCGGAGCACTACTTACAGAACTCTGCACTCAACCGCCCTTTCGCTAGAAACGCTCGAATTCAAAGACCCGGCGGCCTCTTATCCGATGCGCATGGGCCGAGTCCTCCACTGCCACGCCCGCACGCTCCGCCGTCTCTCGCTCGACGATGTCCAGCTATACCATACAAATACTCAGATGGTATTCTTCGGGGCCCTTGCTAACCTCGATATCGAATACTTTGCCTTCAACTTTTTCCCGTGCAGTAGCGTCCGGGACACTAACTCGGCACGAAGAAGTTTGAAATGGCAGCGATACGAGATGAACACCTACAATGGGACGAATAAGCACCGGCAATTGGAAAGGATGAAGCGTACAACGGATTCGCGCTCGTAGAGTATGAGACCCTTGGTCCGGAAGATCGTGTGGTCATGGGGATAAGAAGGGCGGCAAAGGTCGCATGAAGGAATCGTTCAAGGAACATTTACACATATATGTGATGACAATCTCTGAAGGCTCCGCGCTTCTTTTAGTCCAGCCGACGGCTGGCCAAAGACTATGCCTCAATAACAAAGCTTCAACAGAGCATCCTTGGGGAGCCTAAGTCTGATTTAGACACTGGACTTATCGCGAAGCAGCGACTGCTTCGACTCGTCTGCATACAACTCGTCCGCTCTGTGGACGCCGACTGTCAACCCAATGAACGTCTCTATACTCTCTGGCATCGGCACATACTCCACGCCCCGCTCTTCGTGTGGGACGTCCCAGAGTAGCTATGGCGAACTCTTGCCCAGCCAAGACGAGTGCCTGTATCGCTCCCATCACAACGTGGCTATCTTGACTCAGGCCTTGTCGGATTAGGTACTGGGCAGAGGCTCGGTACAGCGCCACGCAGATCGCAAGGCCACGCGTTTATCAAGCTACAACTGCCGAAGGAGCACTAACGGTGCGGCTTCAGCCCAAAAAGTGCTTCGAAGCAAGCTTGTACACACGTGGACGAGGCTGCTACTGGTATACCAAGGATCTGGAATATGCAAAATGCCCGATCCAGCCGCCCTATACCCGACGGCCTACACGGATGCCAGACTCGCATGTCTATCTTTGGGCACGGGCCTGGACTCTCGACCAACGACGAGCTAAGTGTCGGCAACTAATCCTGTAGCTCTTACAGGCGAGAAAGTCTCGATTCGTGTCTCTCACCTCCGCCAAGTGCCCGGTCCATCGAAAAGGTTGAACTGGCTCATTGCCACGAATGCATACCTCGCTTCCAGCATCGCTTTGACGCGCCATATGCCCTTTGCAGGGGTTAAGGCTATTCTCTCCGGGTCCCCTGCCGTACTCTTACAAACAACTGATTGAGACACGTTGCCGCAGCGCGCCCCTTCGGCCACTTTCCCCCCAACCACTACCTGAGCGATTTGAGAATCATCTCCATCGCAACCTTGATAATCCAGCTCACAGACGATAGGTTAGCGTCTACGCTGGGCGTACGCTTACATGGTACACGGCCTTATCAACCCGATGCGGCGGTATAGCCGTTAGGACGTGCATGGTACCCTGTCCAGACCGTCCACGCGCATGTGTCGTGGTGGGTTAACATCAAGTTCCTGATAAGTTCGCCTCAATATCTCCAGGATGCCAATACGAATGCTTACCCCACACTATCCTTTTGGAAACGCGCGATGGGTTTCGTGTCGGCGAGGGAGGTATGATTGGCTAAATACACCCTATCCCCCGCATCCCCACATATTAGTTTGCAGCCGAGTCCGGGGTAGAACCCGCTTTGGCATGCATAGATCGTCGGCAGATATTGCTGTTCAGGCGATCTGCAGTTGGATATGAAAACGAATTGACTGGACCGTGCAGCCGCACGCGCACCTCCATTCGAGCGACTGCATACAAGTTCTGCAGACGTCTCGTCTTTGCACCCTTCTTCCTCCAGGCCCTCATCGTGAAGGAGCACTGTCGTCCGAACTTCTTTTTTTCCCCAGTCACTCAAACATTCTTCCACGCTGTAACTATCGTTCACCGGAGCCAGCACCATGCCTAATATCGAAAGGTCAACGGGCGTGGGCCTCTTGGAGAACTGGAAATGTATACTCGCCTGCACCCTTGTGTCTATGTGTCCGTTCCAGTATGGCATTGATTTCAGCGCTATCGGCGGTCTTCAAGCCATGCCTGGCTTCCTGGAGGTACGTCCTCAGGGCAATTGCACAGCGGCATCTCTAACAGCATTCTCAGGTCTTCGGCAACAAAGACCCCAGCAGCCCCATTGGCTACAACATCTCCCCGGGACGACAGCAGCTCATCTCCTCGTTGATGACCCTCGGAGCCTTTGTTAGTTCGTCGAGCGCCGGTATCTTTGCAACGTGGCTCGGCCGACGCCACTGCCTGTGGATGGCATCATTGCTGTGCTGCGTCTCCAATCTGGTTATGATGCTAACCACGAATCTGTCTGGAATCTACGCTGGCCGCTTCTTGATCGGTATCGCAAACGGATGGTACATGACATTTGCACAGCTCTACATCCAGGTACGAATCCTGCCTCCTTACGTCCAGCTAGGGAGTTTTCTCACGTCTTGCAGGAGAGCACACCAGCCCGATACCGCGGTATGATGATCTCCGTCTTCCAGTCCTGGACCTCCATCGGCAGCCTTGTTGGCACTGTTGTCGACAACGCAACGCACAGCATCCCGGGCAAAGACTCATACCTGATTCCGCTTGGCATCATCTATGTCGTCCCCGTCCTGATGTCCATTGGCCTCTTCTTCATTCCTGAGTCTCCCCGCTGGCTGCTCCTTGTGGAGAAGAACGACCAGGCTCGCCGGTCACTGATGTGGATGCGCCCTCACCAGGATGCCGTGCAAGAAGAGATGGACGACATTCAGGCGGCTATCCTCGCCGAGAAGGAGCTAGCGACTAGTGCAAGCTTCATTGATATCTGGAAGAACCCGGTCGATAGGCGAAGGACTCTCCTGGCTGTTGCAGCTGTATCCATCCAAGCGGCGTCTGGAGCTATGTTCATGATCGGTACGTCCACCTTTCCCTGCATTTAGCCATCTCTTGTAGCTGCGGCGGTCGCTAACTGTTCGCCTAGCTTACGGAACCTACTTCTTCGAGATGGCACACGTCGGAAACGCCTTCCAGAACTCCTGCATCCTCACCGCTGTCGGCGTCTTTGTCATCATCGTCAACAGCTGCGTCATCTCCAAAATCGGCCGCCGACGCGTCTTCCTCATGATCGGCATGGCCATCTGCGGTGTCTCGCAGTTTATCGTCGCTGCCGTCTACCACGTGCATCCAGGCACCGTAGGAACAGGAAAGGTGAGTACTCTCCTCTAGCTTCTCCGTCCTGCGCTCAGTGCTGACAATGAGAAGGTCATCGTCGCCATGTCCGTCATCTACATCTGCGGCTACAACGGTATGGTCGCAACCTACGCCTGGCTTGCGGGCGGCGAGATCCCATCCCAGCGTCTCCGGTCCTACACTTTCGGTATCGCAGCCGCGGTCGGTTTCGCCGGCGCATGGCTCGCCACCTTCACAGCGCCATACTTCATCAACCCCGATGCTCTGAACTGGGGCCCTGAATACGGTATGCCACCACCTCCTCCCACTCCTCCATCTTCATCCCCATCTCCGTCTTTACTAACTCTACCCAATAGGCTGGATTTGGGGGCCCTCTTGCCTGGTCACTGTCGTCTGGATCTACTTCTTCCTGCCCGAGATCAAGAACCGCACCCTCGAGGAGATCGACGAGATGTTCGAGGCGAAGCTACAAGCGCGCAAGTTCAGGAAGTATGTGTGCACGGGAAGGCATGTTAGCGATGAGAAGATTGTGGGGGAGAGTGACACTGTAGAAGAGAAGGTCTGGAGTAACGAGAAGGCTACTGCGGAGGCTACGGTGCATATTGAGTGAGCGCACTTTGGTTGGCGCTCCTCAGACACCCAAGGTGCGAGCGAATCGGCGACAGGCGGGAAGGGTAGGCGGGAAGTGTGCACGATGTGTTGCTAGAACCGCGTATAGGCTATCTAGAATGTGGCATGAAGTGATGAACGGACGAATGAATGCTTTCCACGATTCGCATACGAAACTTGTGCAATTCCACATCCTCATGTGGCTGTTCTTGGCACTGTCCGTCTCCTCGTACTCTCAGCCCTGCGCACTGCCCTGTTCATCAGGCTGAAGACGATGGGACAATCCAGGTTCCCGGCTACACGCACCCCGCGCCAATGCTCCGCTGCAGGAGAACACTTCTTCGAGAAATTCCATGCTTGTTCCGTTACACGAAGAGCACATGCGGGGCTGCAGTGAAGCGGTCGATGCATTCGTTCAGTCACTCCAACCTCGTCCGCAATCTCAGGATATCTAACAGCACGCCCCTCCCCAGCCTCAACCACTCCTCTCCTCAAGCCCCCACCGTTGGCTCCTCCGTAGCCTTAGCAATAGCCACATCCCCATTCTCCTCTGTAAACATCTCAGCATCGAACTCGAAAATCCAATCCTCGCGTGGAAACTGGATAATCTCCGGGTTCCGCTTGACCTCCGCCCAGTCCGTCTTGTGCCACATGTCGCGCGTCGTCTCCCCCGTCTTCTGCACCTTCTTCACGCGCTCGTACCGGATGTCCTGATACGCGCGCAGCGCGCCCTTGATGTTCTGCTTGCCCGCTTTGCGCAGCACCACCGCGAGCGTGACGCCGTCTTCCAGCGCCTGCGTCGCGCCCTGTGCGCTGGTCGGGAGGAAGGGGTGTGCGGAGTCGCCAAGCAGGCAGATGCGGCCGTGGCCCGGCGCGGAGCCGTAGCCGGATACCCAGGTGGGCAGGGGGTCCCGGTAGACGAGCTTCCAGTCGACGAGGTGCTGCTCGGGCGTCTTGGAGATGATTTTCGTGCACATGGGGTCCCAGCCCTCGAGGACTTTCTTCACGTCTTTGATGTAGCCGGGGAAGGACCAGGATTCGGCGATGTCGGCTTCGTCGCGGTGGGTGAGGACCCAGCAGCAGTCGCTGCCGTTTTTGATGGTGCTGAAGAGGAAGTGGACGTCTGGGCCTGCGCCGTTTCGTTAGTAAATGGTTGGAATGAGATAGTGGGAGGGGGAGACGTACCTATCCAGCCATTGAACGTATCGCCGTTTTCGCAGAAGTGCTTCGTCTCCGGGTCCGCAATCATATCCTTGTTGCTAAACCACGCTCTCCACACCGCATATCCCGAAGACTTCGGCTTATCCTCATACCCCAGGACCAGCGTCCTCGCCTTACTCCTCACACCATCACTCCCGACCACCAAATCGCCCTCAACCTTCGTCCCATCCTCAAGCACAATGCCCGCCGCATCCTCCGTCTCCCAGTAATTCTCCACGTGATGCCCCAGATTAATCTCCACGCCGCACTCCTTTGCGTAGTTAAACACAATCTCGTGCAGCTCGCCGCGATGGCCGTTGAACACGGGCGCCGTTTCGTCCTTGATCGGCGATTTCTGGTTGATGACGATTTCGCCCGTGTCCCACTTGTGGATGTTGAAGCCGTACTCAGTCAGGTCGATGGAGATGCTGCGCATCTTGGCGGACACCGCGCCGTTGGCCCACCGGTAGAAGATGCGACCGGCGTTGGGGCCGAAGGAGATGATGTCGCCGAGGATTTTGAGCTCCGGGAAGGCTTCGTAGATTACGGGGGTGTGGCCTTGCTTGATGCATTCTATGGCTGCTGTGAGGCCGCCGAAGCCTGGGAAACGAAGTTAGCGGTGGGTGCTTTCGGGAGGGAAAAGTCCAATTGGAGGTTTGGCAACGTACCTGCGCCTACAATGATGACCTTGATGCCGGTCTTTGGCTTTGCGCCGTTCACCTGCGCGCCGTTCGTCTGGGCCGTCATCTTGGGCAGTTTCGACTCGTTGATCTTTGCGCGGAGGGGCATGCGTCAATTGCTTTCTCGAGTCTCAATTGCGCTGCAAAATTCAAGCTCTTTCAAGGAAGATAATTGAAAATTGAAGAAAAAATGGCGTCGTAGGAGAAGCTTGCAAGCTAGCTATAGCTACGAGGAAAAGATATCCAGGTCCGCGTACAGTGGGGCTCGGCAACCCAGGATCTCGCAACTCTTCTTCAGCCTATAAGCACGCAGCACCGACCCCATTCGCGTTCCTGATGATGAGCTGACATGCTCGCTTCCTTCGCCCGGTCTAGGTGGCATGCCTCCGATGCCCGAAGCGCGCCGAGGCATGGTTACACAGCTGCCGTTCTGGAACCGCATTCTGGATGGCAAACGCGGCGCGTGTATGCTGCAGGAGGTAGCGGCGCGACTGTCCGGGGCGCGGCCGGTGGAGGGGCGGAGGAAATCTGCCGAATAGATTGACGTTGCGCGTGACTTGAGGTGTTCAAAGGTTGAGGACGCGCGTGGGGGCCCCACATGGGAGAGTTGCGGGGAAGAAACGCGAACCCCGCATCGCGAGTTGAGACGCGCTTACCGCTTTGGGATGGCCCGTCTTCCTCGGAGCTTCCTCGGGCGCACGACAGAGCGTGGCTTGCGGAGATGTCCCCGGATCAACAAGACGACGGTAGCCCTGCGAATGGACGTGGGCCGGATTACCGACACGGGGGAATAGCGCCGCACGCGGGACGACGAAGATTGGAGCTGGGGTGAATGACCCGGCCACGAGAGGAATCCTGGCGCGAAAGGCGATGATGCCGAGGACGGAAGCAATATGCGTGGGGCTGGGGCTTTAAGTGGTATCCGTATGCTAGACGCGTGAACGGGCTGAGGTACCTTTGAGCCCGAGAGCGACGAGATGACGGCGGCATTGACGCATCCCGAGTGGAATCAAGAGACGGGCGGTCTCGAGGTCGCGAAGGCATTCGCAGACCAGATCCGCGGGAAGAACGGTACGCCTATGATCCGCCTTCCCAATATTCCACTCACTAACAATCCCTATTGTAGTTCTCATCACGGGCGTCTCCCCCGAGAGTATCGGCTCCTCCACCGCCCTGAGCATCGCCTCCCAATCCCCGGCCCTCCTCATCCTCGCATCGCGCACGCAGTCCAAACTCGACACCGTCTGCAAATCCATCAAAGATGCGTGCCCTACCGTTGCCGTCCACAGCGTCCTACTGGACCTCATGTCGCAGGCATCTGTCAAGAAAGCCGCCGCCGAAGTCGCGAAATTGACCGATCGCCTGAACATAATTATCAACAACGCGGGCATAATGACACCAAAACGCCAGTTGACGGCTGAAGGCATCGAAGCGCAGTTTGGATCGAATCACATCGGGCATTTCCTCCTGACGAACCTGCTCATGCCGCAGCTGCTCACTGCTGCCAAAGCGAGCACTTCTGGCTCGACTCGCGTGGTCAACCTTACGAGCCTGGGACACCGTCTTAGCCCCATTCGGTTCCACGACTACAACTTCGAAGGCAAGGAGATACCGCCCGAGGAAGCGCATATGCCGTTGCCGCCCATGTTCACGAAAGGAGCTGAGGGCGCCTATAATGGATATGTGGCCTATGGGCAGGGCAAGAGCGCAAACATCTTGTTCTCGGTTGAGTTGACGAGGTTATTGAAGGGGAAGGGTGTTGTGAGCTATGCGGTGCATCCGGGATGTAAGTCACAGTGGCCTTCATTGAAGCAGGAGCGCATATGTTGACCAGCTTAAAGCGATATGGACTGGTCTGAGCAGGGACCTCGACCCGGACGGTGAGGCGGCGATACGGAAGACGAGTCCTTTCTGGAAGAATCACGATCAGGGCGCTGCGACTTCCTTGGTGGCGGCATTTGATCCTGCTCTGAACGGTACCTTACTCAACCATACCCACGTGGGAGTGAGCAAGCACTGATGATACCCACCAGAACCAAAGGGCATTCTTCTGCACGACTGCCAAATCTGCGATGCCGCACCGCACGCCACCGATCCGAAGATTGCTGAGAGGCTATGGACTCTGAGTGAGAAACTCGTCAAGCGCGACTTTAAGCTATGATCGTCCTCACCACGGCAGCGTCTACGTAGCAGCTCAATATCCAACGTAGTCTTCCTGGGTGGTACTGCGTCCTCTTTCGTCATCGCATCCTTTCCCTGGTCGATTCCATATCTCACATCCGAGCTACCCAGCTTCCCTTGCGTCTCATTCCTTCTAAATCTGTTCTCGGGCCCCTCGGCTCCCTCGCACCCTGCAGTTTCCTTCTCCCCTATCTATCAGCGTAGAACTTTGGAAGTGATTTGCGCCTCAGGTCACACAACCGGATTACCCCCACACCAGTACGAACGTTCCTATTTGGAAAATCAAGCTTTTTAGATCACGCTTGGCTGGTGCTTGATATTGTGTTCATCTAAGTCGTGAAGTTATGCGGGGCGTGCCGGGTTTCGATTGGGTAGGCATGCTTAATTCCCATGTTCGGCAATTATGCTTCAGCCGTGATATCAACCACAAACGCAGGATCGGGTTGCAAGTGACGACAGTGGGCATTGGAGAAGGGGGATTGGGGAAGGATATTTGACGCAAGCTTCGCCCAGTTCAAGTGTCTGCGGATTGTTCTTGGACTTCCCAGTAGAATTCTGAAATCTGAGACAAAAATGCGTCTTCCTGCAGTCACTACCTTAGGGCTGTTTGCGCAAGGTATTCATGGAGCAGCGGTCCTGCGCTTTGGATGCTCGTCCATAGTTGTCGAGCGCCTTGACCCGTAAGCACCCTCCTACGGACCCAAGGCCGCCAGCTCACACTCTAGGCTCGTCAACCCGGGAGTCAATCCATCTCCGCATGTTCACCAGGTAGTTCACCTATAATCTATCGAAGCCATGAGTCACTAACCGGGGCACACTCTACCAGATCGTCGGAGGCAACGCCTTCGCCGCCAGCATCGCAACCTCAGATGTTTCCCAGATCGCCAACTGCACCACATGCTCATTCGTCGAAGACCGAAGCAACTACTGGACGGCAAACATGTACTTCAAAGCGCGCAACGGCACCTTCAAGCGCGTACCGCAGATCCCGAACCGCTATCTCGACGGCGAAGTAGGCGGCATGACTGTCTACTACACGATGCCATACGACAACTCCAAAGCCACTGCCTTCAAGCCCGTAAGGCCCCCTGACCAACCCCAACCCCGCTCTCCTCCATCCATCCTGCTAACAACGCTGCTTTGCTCTCCAGGGTTTCCGCATGCTCGCCGGCCACGCGGACCAGCGCGCCGCTGGCGGCGTCACAAAGTACAACGCCATCTGCTTCCGGTGCTACAACGCGGCGAACTTCGGCGGCGACAACCAAGCGCCCTGCAGCGACAGCACCGTCGACAGCGTCACGCTGCCCGCCAAAGCCTGCCCCGGCGGCATCCGCACCACGATCAGGTTCCCGACGTGCTGGGACGGGACCAACACCGACAGCCCGGACCACATGAGCCACGTGTCGTACCCATCGTCGGGGACGTTTGAAAACAGCGGGCCGTGCCCCAGCACGCACCCGGTGAAGCTGCCGCAGTTGATGTTCGAGGTGGTGTGGGACACGTCGGCGTTTAATAACAAGGCGGATTGGCCGGCGGACGGGAGCCAGCCGTTTGTGTTTAGTCAGGGGGATGCGACGGGGTATGGGCAGCATGGGGACTATGTGTTTGGCTGGGAGGGCGATAAGCTGCAACAGGCGCTGGATGCAGGGTGCTTTGGGGCGTCGTGTAGTAAGCTGAAGACGCAGGCGTTTAGTGAGGCGAATAAGTGCTCGGTGCCGAAGGCGGTGAATGAGGATGTGGATGGCTGTAAGTGAAATGTGGTGGGATGATATTGATTGATGTATGCTGACGAGGGGTAGGGCTGCAAGCAGTGCCGGGGCAGTCGATGCCGATGAAGGCTAGGGAGTTCATGGCTTGAGGGGTTGGGGGTGGGTTGGCTGAAACTTGTTTACACGCTTTGGGAGCGTGGTATTAAGGGGGAGTATGTTATCATGCTACGCTACTTTGATTTGCTCTTTATTGAACGTGCAGCGTATATGGGAATGTAGAAAGAAACTAGAATTACTAGTGCTGATGAGCCGAACCTCGGGACGGAAAGGGTCCTTTAGCCACAGAAGAGTGAGGTAGTGAACGGCGTGGCCATCGGACCTAGCACCTAGTCTTATTTATTTGGTAGAAGCGGAATGGGTAGTCCCTACTTCACCTCAATCATGCCTTTCATAATCCTGTCCAAGATAGATGCCGCCAGAAATGCCTATCTACGCTACCTAAGGTAGGTATGTAAACGGGACATTCCACGCCACACATGGCGCCTATAAATGATGAAGAAAGAGCCAGATCACAGTATTCGTGACGGGTCAGAGGGGCCGGCGCTTTTGAATGGCTATGTGCTTACCAAGCGTGGAGAATCAGGCGGGAGTATGCGTATACTATGCCGTCCGCATCGCCAGCTCAGGCCGAAGCATACTCGTGTCAATGGACGGCTGATAGGTAGTGTGGGTAGCGAAGAGGAAGCTTGGCAGTGAACACTAAGAATCTGTAATACGGAGTAAATACACGTAATTTGTTTTTGTATAGAGCGAGCGGTATACCCCTATTTTATACCCCTACTTAGGCTCTCTCCCCTAAAATAGGCTGTTTTCATATATACATACATATATATATATATATAGGGGCCTGCAGTATCTTAGGGGGTGACCCTAAAATAGAGGGAAAGAATACTGTAGTGAAACCTCAGCCTTGCACAGCCGCAGTTCAACCATCCTCGCGACGCCAGCCTTCGAGCAGAGGAAACAACGTTCGGTGGAGTCAACCTTATCCATAATATCTGCCTATCGCCCTACACATTGCGGCTATGGCTTCCGAAATTGCCATTGATTCAAGAATCAACAGCTGCGCACCACGCTCTTTCCATCGTTTTCCCAGTCTTCCGCTATCTTCCAAGGTTGAGACGGCGACGCCACAGCTTCCTCCCCCTAAACTCCACCATGCCCGATCCTCTTCAATTGAATACGGATGTTGTTTCGTCCGCGCTTCATTCGTCAATGACTCCGGATTGGGGAGATGCGTCCCCCGACGGTACGTTGCGGATGATCCATCGCTACGTAAGCGATTCGGCGACAGTGGGTGAGTAACATCATACATCCCAAACCAGTGGCCTATTCCAGTGAGTATTTACCACAGTTACATTAAAGTGCTTACGCTTATCAGTTGAAGACCCAGTAATACTACTCGAGAGACTGTACCTTCACGGCAGCCTTCTCCGCGCCCGCCCACCCCTCTTCTACCCGCAACGAATCTTTCGTTCCTTAGCCGTAAATGGACCTCGTTCAAGACGAAAGCTCTCACTGTCCAACACGCAAGCCGCGAATGCTGGGTCACTTTCTGGGCCGGCTTCATGGGCTTTTTAACCACGGTCCACATCCTCCTCTACGTATTTGGTGAAACCGACAGGCATGGCTTCGCAATCTGGCGCGCGGGCATCGATTTCAAAACCCTGCAGTGGTTCAACGTCGTAGTAGTGCAGCTACCTCTCAACATCCTAGCTCAGCTTATAGTCTTCGGGTCCGGATACGTGCGGCGATGCTTGCTCGCTCCTCCGAAGGACCCTATCTGGAACCCGGACGGAAGGCTCTATTACCAATCACTCACGGCTTGGCAGAAGACAACCTTGACCCGAAAACTGCTCTGGCTGGTTTTATCGATCACCTCGCTACCGATTCACTTCTTCTACAATTCTATCCTTATCACTTCGATACCTGCGTATGATGCCTACGAGGTACTAGTTGATGAGCGATTCTTCCAAGGACAACCCGCAAACGTGTCTGCCCTAAACGTGACTGAGTTCCGATTTCAGCCAGGCGCGCCCGTACCCTACAGCACCCCCTGGCCTGGTCAATGGCCCGCCTCATCATATTTGCAGCGCTCTCTAGAAAGTGTCCAGCGAAACCCATCTTCCTGGACGAATTTGTCGAGCTATGAGTGTAGGTCGAAATACGGCCTCGACATCTACCAGGACTTTCGCACTGTTATTCTGGTCACCAACTGGACGTCAAGCCCGCCTTCTAGTAATTCAGCCCTAGCCATCGGTGCACTACCAGGCTTCCCTCCAAATGGTGTACCCAGCCGGTTCGTGGCTCTATGTCCTCAGTCCTACCTCTCAGTGACGCCTAACATGACACTCACGACCACGCACGAGTACCCACAGTTCATCAACACCGACGACGTCACGCAATGCAGAGCCAGTATGGGGGCAACATGTAGTGAGTGGGCATGGAATGGGCACTCTTCTGGCTCCCTGAGCTCGAAACAGGCTCGTGAAGCTGCTCATGATCTGTGTCACCTCTATCATAGATACGAAGTCGACTTGGATCCATCTTTACGGGTTCCACTAACCTATTGTTTATCCGAACCTCTCAGCAACGCGACTGGGCAGCTAGTGTGGAGCAAGCTCATTACGGTGATAGCAGCGGGCGCGCTGACCTTGAAGTTCGTCGCCATTACACTAACGCTGCATTGCCTGCGCAGTGATAAACCCCACGGCTTCCCTACTGGCTTTCCCTGGCCTCAACTTGGTAAGCACATGCCGCTCTCCGGTTTCGTTTATGTCATCCTGAGCATCGGCTTTATTGCCTTTTTCTACACTACGGTGCTTGGTTTGAACAACCCACCGTTCAGCTTGGGTTCCGCTCCATCTCACGATAAAGATTGGAGATTTATACTCGGTATCCTTAGCTTCCAGAACGGGATACACGCCGCGATGGTCGTCCGTGAGTTCATTGAGGCCAACTACTTCGAACAATCCGAAGGATTGAGCAGAGGCAAACCAAGGCAGTGGATCCCCTTTTCAAGCGTCCTATTTGCCTGGAATCTTGGGTTGCACCAGATCGTGTCCGCTTGGTTGGCGATCGCAATGGTCGACAGGTATCCTCTCGGTACCCTCGAGGACAAAGAGGCACCGTCCGTACGCACGATGATCCTGGATTCCGTGCTAAGTGGGCACACGGGCACAGCAATCGAGCCCTTTAAGTTCACGGGAGGCGGTCTGAAGCTCGTTATTGCCTTGTTTTGGCCACTGCTCCATATGCTCATGTTCCTAGTGCTGCATGCACTGTTTAGAAGAAAAGGAATTCCCCAACCAGCATCAGCCGATGCCTCGCCGAGGATCAGCTTCTCAGACTTTGAGACGTTTACGGATATCGAGGCCATACCCTTACATGATCTGCACGCCGATGGCGCAGCAGCAGAAACGACCGCCCCCTACACCTCAATCCAACACTCGGCCCAACACTTTATCCACGACTTACGCATCGGAACACCATCCGACAGCCTCCTCTGCGGTCTCTTCGCCTTGCAACTCAGCATGCAAGCCCAGCACCCCGACATCAATGCCCCAACGATCGCCGACCCACAAGCCCAATTCCAACATCCAGGCTACCTGGAGCGGAGCCGAGCAGCAGGCTACATGAATACAAACCATCTGCAGTGCAGCCAGCTCGTTGCGCGTCTGTACTTCTGGGGACGCGAGCGTGGTTTAAATTTACAGGTCGTTGCGTACAGACCTAGGAGAGGATCGCTGCTTGAGCCGATAGCGACCGCGCGTGGGGATGGAGTACGCGAAGTTTGGATCTTTAATGATGATGCTGAAGAAATGAATGTAGGTGAAGAAGCGGTGGCGCATTGGGAGGGGCTGGTGCAGCCTGTGTATATTGGGTATTATGATGCTGACGATCTAGACGTAGAGTTGGAGAATATAGAGAGGCTTCAGGAACCTCAAGATGCGCGTTTAGATGAGGTATGAGTTTGGGCGAATGGAGTACCTCGGTAGACAGAACCTCCAGCCCTGCGCCTCCAGGACAGCATTCCTCTTGCTAATTCCTGTTCGAAAATCGTATACATCCACGTAAGCTCGGTAAAAAATGGGAGAGTATTATATAAATTACCGTCCGTGAAGTTCACCGATCTTGGCAGATGTTTGCTCCTGCGCTGCTACCGTGCCACCTTCATCTCGGTGTTTGCTTATTCGCCTCGGCCAATCGCTTGAAGCTTTATTTTACACATACAAAACAGACTTCACACCACAGATTGAGGGGTTCCCGGGCTGTGCATACGCAACGCCCTGTGCTCTTCGAGACTGGGATCTTGTTAATTCGTGGACCAAGCCATTTGGACAAAGGGTGGACGGTAACCCGCATATCGTCTGATCTACTGCTCGAGAAACTTCCTTTTCCGGCGACCAAATATGCCGGCTCCCACAAAATGGTCGATTCTTTTGCTCGATCCGATGTTGTACAAGCGGAGCAGGTCTAAGAGACATGGAGAAAAGAAGTGTCAGCTGGACATCTGGGAAAGGAACCTAGCCCATGCCCAGCCAGCTTTCCACCATTGGTCGGCCTTACGGTTCGGCCTTCTCAGAGTCCCTCTTTTTGTAGCCAGGAATTGTCCCTCAGCGTTTGCGTCGCTTTTATTGATAGCATCGTTGATTTCTTTACCCTCAGCTCTGAGTACCTAGGTATATGATTCCACCTGACTCCGCAAACTAAACATCTTTCCCCCCCAAAATATCGTCATCCGCTTTGGTATATCTCCCGAGGTCGCGAAATGGCTACGACAGCGCTTCAAGAGCCCCTCGTGGAGCTCCCCTCCGAACATGCTCCAGGTCAGTCACTTGGTCGGGTAGCATGAACCATGGGAGGTAGATTTTGACTTGATAGCAGTCCATTCTCAAACCATCAAGTCGTACATGCACTTCCTTGCCAGAAACAAGCTGTACGAAACGGAGAAGCCATATGGCGTTCGTTACAAACCAGACGAAGACATACCGCAGACCAACATCATCCTGGAGAAACACACCATATCGGTCGATAGTATACGCAATGGGGACACATTCCGGTTGAATGAGTGTGGATTCGAACGCATTGATTTCCCCTCCAAGATGTCGTACGACGACTTTTGGAATCATGAAACAATTCAGGCGGTATACCTCGGCGAAGTGAAGAGGACGTTGAAGAAGAGGCTCGGCGCAAAGTTCGTACACATTCTCGACTACACCGTGAGTGACTTTGGTTCTCCAACGCTCAGATATCAAGATTTCTAATGCCTTATAGGTTCGAAAGCGCGATCGTACTTTTCCAGTCTCCACAGGAGAGGAGTATGACTATGATCAGCCCACGTCAATGGCGCACATTGGTATGACATCCTTTTCATTCCCGCAACTCCAAAGCTTACAAGAGGCAGACTTCACGGTACGTGAGGGTGAAAGGATGATCAAGGTACTTTTCGGAGACCGGGCCGACGAGGTTCTCAAAGGGCACTGGCAAATCATCAAGTAAGTTCACTATTCGGAGACGCATTCCCGCAGTCATACTAAATTGTTAAGTCTGTGGAAGCCTATCAAAGGGCCCTTGAATGACTGGCCGCTTGCCATCTGCGATTCTAGGACCGTGAACTGGCAAACGGACATCACGCCTGGAGACGTCGTCTTCGATGACTTCGTCACAGAGAACATCCAAGTCCTCTATAACTCGGCACACAAATGGTATTATCTTCCTAACCACGATGTCTCGGAGGCCCTGATCTTCAAGAGCGCGGACAGCAAGCACAGCATCGCTCCAGGTAAGCATATATGTTCACTATTCAGCTACCCGCGAAAGCGCTAACGTTTGCAGCGGCTCCTCATGCCGGTTGCCCCAATCCGAATACCAGTCCGGGAGAGTGTAGGGAAAGTTTGGATTGCAGATGTCTGGTGTTTTTCGCGGACCTGCCGAAGTATCCCCCAATTGTGGGCGATGTGTTCAAGCCTCATATATGAGTGGACAGATGCGCGGGGTTCCTCTCATACTTTAGTTTTCACTCCGATAGTGAAGTCTCGGATTCAGGGTAGGACAGCTCCGCATCTAAGTCCTAGTGTTATACCTTCGTGTCAACAAAATCTTCATCTCTTGTCTAGCTTGCGAAGTGCCGCACCCAAGATGCAGCTATTACTTGGTGGAGCTATCGGCCAGTCATAGCTTGCCAACTTGAATGTTTCACAGCATCGTGATCTTGCACGTGGCCTCCCGGCTGAACTTAGCTCGGGAATAATAGTGACAATTCAGTCACCAAACCAATCCGCGAATCTCCTCGTAAATTGCGTTTCTTCGCAATTCCCCTCAAAATGTGTCAGGGTGTTGATACAGAAATATATTTCACAGCAAAAGATCCCATCTTCCAGACGCTAAAGCCTTACAGTTTTCGTTTTCCTCCGTCAGATGATCTGCCGTGCGAGAACTTCGACAGGGAAAAGTGGCCTCTCAGAGTTCAGGACGCAAGGGAACTTGGGCCAAATATCGACGTTCAGGGCTTCTGTCTCGAGCGGTTCCCTACTCGAATGTCCTATGGAGATTTCGCAATCGCCGAAAAGATTGAGAACGTGTATGCGAAGGAACTGGAGTCCGCACTCTTCGAGCAGTTTCAAGCTCGACATGTTCGTGTCGTCGATTATCTGGTGAGCGTTTGCTATAGAGAGAAGACGATGAGACTCGCTGAATTGTTCAAGGTTCGTCGAAGGCATCGTAAATATCCTAAGCTCGAAATCGAAGATGTTACTGAGGCTCAGCCCGCTTCACTCGCACACATCGGTACGTTCTCTTCGCGCTTTTCGTTAGTTCAACAGAGCTGATAGACCGCTCAGACTTCTCTCATGAAGAGGCCATATCCATGATACGAGCTCTTTATGGCGAACGGGCGCAAGAGTTGCTGCAGCATCGCTGGCAGCTGATCAAGTAGGCCCTTAGGCTGACCTAGATTTTCATACCTCTGGCTAATCGCCCGCTTGCCCTTAGCACATGGAGGCCTCTGAAAGGACCACTCAATGATTGGCCGTTGGCGATCTGCGACGCCCAGTCTTTTGACGCACAGCAAGACGCTCTTGTTGCTGATGTTGTCTACCCAACTTGGAGCTATGAAAATGTCTTGGTTCACTTCAACACCTCCCAGAAGTGGTACTACTTCCCAGGCCTCGAGGTAGAAGAAACGCTGCTATTTAGATGCACCGATTCGGAGCGCCCTTCTGCTGGATGTAAGTACTACGAGTCTCGTTAGCGTGCAAGTCGGAAGGCACTGACCGCTGTCTCAGCATGCCCACACGCCTCCTTTCCGAATCCAAATTGTTCTCAAGATGGTGTGCCTCGAGAAAGCATAGAAGCGCGAGCATTTGTTTTCTATGCTCCTATTGAAGAATTCCCAAAGGCAAAGGGGACTGTGTATGGGCAGAAGGAATAACTGCAACAGAAGAATGGCTCCTTGGAGTTCTGGTTGCAGTCACGAATCACATTTGCTCAGGGCAAGACACAGAGGGCTCATAGAATGTATTGTGCGCCGTCAGCGACAGGATAGAATGCGTGATGAGCCTAACATTGCCCACCATACATCACTCTCCCATGCCTGTATGCTTCTCTAGAGCGACCCCATGTTCCATACTCAGTCCTCCTCATCGGGCTTGACCTGAATAGCAATGCCGCTGGTGAACCCTGCCAAGACGACCTCTTTGCCCTTCGCGAACCCGTGCGAAGTTCCTCCGGGCTTGGACTTGTTGATGCCGGTGGCATTGCGGGCGAGCCAGCCGGCCTTCCACGGTTGAATCTTCTCGGTTGCGGGCTGCATTTTGGGAGTTCTGGGAGGAGCTGTCAGTCGATAGCTTGATTTTTTGGGTCCATGTGTTGCTTACCGATTACTTTAGGTCGAATGGAAGTTGTTGGAGTGAAGTTATTCTTCAATGTGCTGCGGCAAGATTCGAGAGTGTTAGTGAAGGGTGTTGCCAAAACACTTGACGCTAATTTATACGCCATATCAGGGCTTAGAAACGGCTCAACGTGATAGCTCCGATGGGAACCCGCCCTGTACTCTGGTTGATGTGTCACTGCGTGGCCTCGTGCCTCGTCGCATAATCATCTGATGAAGCCGATAGTGAATCTTCGCTATGTAGTTCGGTCAATTTGCCAATCTCCATGGATTGCTACACGTGTATGCAGAGTAAGCGTCCACAAAACACGGGTAGGATCAAACGGTCAAGCGAGTGGGGCCAAGTCCTGTGTACAGCGTGGTTCCAACCAAGGGAAGATGGTTTGTTTGCCTTATATTGAGTACCGCATCAAGCTAGTATCTCTCCGGAGCCTGTGGTGGCCTGATTGTCCCTCATGCAGGCTTCCGCGGCAGACACAAGCGCTCATCTCCAGGTGACATGAACCCGCAACACCGCAGCTTATCTTGAACCAATTCTAATTGAGATTCAAACGCCACAGAATACAACATCCGTCTCACGGCAGAACGGCCATGATGGCGGCCCAATTGAGAAGCCTGCATCGTCCCTCCACATACGCATCAACTGAACGTGACACGGCTCGAATCGCCGCTTTTCGGAGGCTTCTCTTGGGAACCTTGGCGATTCAAAATTGATGAAACGTATGCGACCCGGATTCCACGTCTCGGTTGCCCAACATGTACCATCGCAAAGGAATATGGCCAGGTGGGCTTTCGCTGGTAGTGTTCACGAGGAAGTGTGCTCATTCCCTACGCCAACGGATCGGGCTCCTTGAGCGTATCCGCTTCCCTTTGAAAAGTAAATCCACTGCTATACGGTGTGACGCCGATACCGTCGACGGGGGTTGCCGGAGGAACACAGCATCGGTCTGTAGTACGCTTCTTGCATACTCGCCTTAGTATAGGTTAGTTCACGAACGAGCCATTTGATCTACCCATACGGTATCTTATAATCGCGATTCACGGACGGCCAAACCTGTCTAATGCATTTTGAGGGGTTCGATGTCTGCCGACGGGTGGGTCCTTGCTTGTTGCTTTCTATTCGGGCGCCTAATTTGTTGGGCCGAGTGCTGATTGGTTCCAAGGTTGCCCCAAACATCACACGCGCCTGTTCATCCCGTTGCGCATGTCGGCTCCCACGGCCGCGCAAACGATCGGTGCATGTTATTGGCAAATGTTTGTCCAACTCTCGGCTGTCGTTGCGGGGTCGGGGACAGGCCAACGCCCACGGTCGACTGAGGAGCTCATAGCGACACGGCTCAACAGATCGATCAGTCTTGTCTATCGTGAGCCATGCTAGCAAAGTTGCTTCCAAACGCGACGGAGCGTGGGCACTCCAGCAGCTTGCAGTAGGTGGGTGGATCCAACCGGATAGCCATTACTTACGACCGCTATATAGGATAATTGTGGTGCCTGCGATTGGCTTAGCCCATCCTTCCGAGTGGGTAGACCTTACGGGCTCGTGGCTCCAGAGGCTGCTGGAGGAAGTCGTGCCTGAGGCAGATATCTGGGAGTACAAGTATGGGGCAGATGTGCAACAAGGGAGTTTCTCTCAGAATGTGCCAGGCGAAGGCACCAGGCTCCTCGAAGCTTTGCATGATCACAGCGGGAAGAAAGAGGTACGAATAGACTTCGACTAGGAAAGGGGACATTCTGATCAGAGCCTCGAAACAGTATCGGGAACTGCCTCTGATCTTGATCGCTCATGGAACTGGAGGATTTGTAGTGAAGAAGGTCAGTGGTATATAGGCATGTGAGGCGAATTCTGACGTAACGTAGGCAATACGACTTTCCTCCGACGGACAACACGCTGAGCCCATAATGGATGTAATATTCGGAGTCATCTTTCTGGGGGTGCCTCATTTTCCGAAGGCAACCAACGACACAGAGCAAGCAAGAGGAACGCTTGATCAGCTCTTAAGATGCCAGTACAAGGGCATCAAGCGAACTCTGTCAACTGTGCCCGATATCAAAAAGATGATGGAGATCTGCCATGACTTCGAGCTTGTTCAACCTCCAAACCCTCGATTTCAAGTCATATCCGCCTACGAGAGTAGGGAAACATCGACACGCCAGAAAATGTTCTCCAGACTCCTGGGAAAGGGGAATAACCCGGTCGTCAGTGCAACACTCCATTGGGCAGAAGCATACTAAAGTCGTGGCAGATTACTCCTCGAGAGCTTTGCGAGATAGGACTAGGAGGGGATCACGAAAAGATCGTTGATGGAGAAGCCGATCATTTCGATATCTGCAAAGTTCGCATAGGCGGTCCGGTATACAAGAAAATCGTTGCCCTCATGGAGGAAGTAACGCGGACCGCACCTGGGATCATTAGTGATCGATTCAGTCGATGTAAGCTATTCTTTCTTTCCTTTTTTAACCTTTTGTAGCTAACCAGTTCTATGCAGACATGCCTCCAGCTGCTTTGGACGCTGGAACATTAGCCACCGAAAGCACGGCAGACATGGATGAACTCAGGTCTATGACTCAATTCCTCGAACTTTCCTCTCAAAGCGCGACTCTTCCCGTCTCGTCACCACTTGGAGCAACCGGCGGGTCCACCACCGGAGACTTTGAGATCATTCCATCACTCGAGCCGCTAGAGATGAGTAGCCGGAATCCAACCCTGCCTTGCCAGTTTTTCGGACCCCATCAAAGGATTGAGCCCTTTTTTGGAAGAGATGATACCCTGAAGCAGATCGACGACTATCTCCTCCCGCCTGTGGATCCTACCGTGGCACAAGAGGCTGAGCAAGATCCAGAACAGCTCCGCTCGTTTGCTATATGCGGGCTTGGGGGAATGGGAAAGACTGCACTCGCGTTGGAGTACGCCTGGACTCGTAGGGAACACTTTGAGGCCATTTTCTGGCTGACTGCCGATAAAGACGAGATCCTTGCTGCGGAATTTGCACGAATCGCTTATCGACTGGGCCTCGAAGATGAAAGTGGGGATATCGCGGCGAGTTGCGGTGTTGTGCACGGCTGGCTGACAAACCCCATGCGTAACACCGCAGAGCCTGATTCCCCGGAGAACAAAGTAAACTGGTTGATTATATTCGACAACGTGGACAATGCCGACGTTCTCCCAGATTACTGGCCCAAAACAGGACGAGGTTCTGTACTTGTGACCAGCCGAGATCCATGGGCCAGGCATAACGACTTCATCCAGAATGGCGTTGATCTCCCTCCACTTAGCACTACAGAATCCGCAGCAATGATGCAGCGACTCACGCATGTCTCTGCTGGGGGATCTCAGCAGGGAGCACTCCTGGCTATTGCGGAGAGGTTGGGGGGCTTGCCACTCGCTATAAATCAGATGTCCGGCGTATTCAGACAGCGCAAACTGACTTACACACTCCTGCTCAGATTCTACAATGAAGAGGGGATTGAGTGTCTCCAAGAAGGCTCGCAAGGTTCATCTTCAGACTCCCACAATGTTCATTCACTCGCAACGTTGTGGGCTCTGGATAGACTCTCTCCACAGACTCGGGCTCTGTTGGAAGTAGTTTGCTTGTTAGACCCGGACAACATCCCTGAGGAGCTCCTGACGGTAGAAGATCCCGGCAAGATGGAACTGGAAGAATACCCGAAAACGCTGAATCAATACCTCAACGCACGGAAGGAACTCATATCATCGTCTTTGATCACGTCGAACGAAGAAAGTGGGAAGATCTCATTGCATCGACTCATTCAGGAGACGGCGAAGCGTCGGATGAGCAAAGATCATCTGATCAAAGCTCTCCGGACGGCGCTTCGATTACTTGTGTCCGTGTGGCCCTTTCAGTCGATGGTCGAGCATCACTTTACGGCAAGATTTGGAAAGTGCGAGCTGTTATTTCCTAGTTTACTGCGTCTGAAAGACGGGATAGAGCCGCTCATTCGAGGGCCTAGTGCATGGTGCCCTGACATCCAAGTCGCTCACTTGCTCAACGACGCTGGTTGGTGAGTAACTCTTTTACGATTCTAGGCTAGTATTACTTACATGCTCTAGGTATATGTTCGAAAGAGGACTCATCGAAGAATTGAAGCCGTTCTGCAGCCTAGCCCTCGTCGTAGGCGAACGCTCTGAAGACTCCTCCGACGAAGAGATCTCGCGCGCAATCCGGGATAGCCACTCGTACCTCGGTATAGCCACTGCAGAGACGAATGAGCACCAATTGAGTATGTATCACAAGAGGAAATGGTTGGATATGCTACTTGAGAGAGAAGTAGCGCCAGGCATTCCACTTGAAGATTACGAGCTCGGCTATGCATACAACGAGATAGGCGTGGCATACGCCAACAACCATCTGCTTGACGAAGCTGCAGAAGCGTTTCAACGCTCAATCGAGATATTTCACAGCCTACCGGAATTCGAGGAAACAATGCTCGGCTGGCCAGAGCCCAACCTTGGTTTCATCTACTGGTTACAAGGGAAGTACGAGGATGCGGAGAAAGCGCTTGTCGAGATTCTGGACATACATGCAAGCGCCTGGGGGGTCGATGACACCAAGTCATTCAAGTGAGAGAATGGTCCTTGCAGATCTCACTGTGCTCACGAATATAGGACCGGGAAAATTCTGTACGCCATGGGAAATGTCCTCGAGGCTCAAGGAAGGCTCAACGAGAGCTTCAACTTCCACACGCGCTGTCTAGAGCAGTACAAGGTAACCCTTGGCGTGAATCATCATCGGATGGGTGACGTATGCCACAGGATGGCGCGTCACTTCATGCGGCAGGGCCTGTACAAGGAGGCTGAGTGAGTCCCATGAGCACTCTTAACTGGCAGTCACACACTAATTTTATTAGCGAGTATATTAATAAGGCGTTGAAGACTTTTTCCTCGCGCCCATACCTCAAGAATGAACTGGCCAGGACGATGTTTTTGCGAGGGAATTTACTTCGCGCACTTGGGGATGAGCGGCAGGCGCAAAGGACTTTGATGCAGGCTTGTGGCTACCGTAAAAAGCTCCTGCCGCACGATATTCGAAAGTTGCACGAACTGGGAGAAAAGGACTTCGACTTGCTTGTTGCCTTCTGGTCTCGGTAATGTGGTCATAAAACAGGGAATTCGCAGCTCCTGTCTCCCAAGGTCTGTAACGAACGTATGACAAGTGAAATGAGAGTAACGTCCCTCGTGACACATCATCGCGCTACGATATATTCCCGCAGTGTGTAGTGGGCTGGCTGCGACAGCCATTTTGTGCGCCGTCGAAGAGCGCCGGCAAGGCAGGGCGATCTCGGGGCTGAGCAGCGCCCTCAATTCCGAAATGATAGGCCGAAAATGAAAGTTCCGGGTAAGGCCGAGCCGCGTCCTAGTCCAGGCTATGCTCCGAAGACTTTGTGGGCACGGAATGTGCGGTACGGGGGACAAGCCATCTTCATGTTTCAGGTCTCAGCCCCATGCCCTTGGTGTGTCAGCCTTCTGCCAACCTTAGGCACCACCAAAATGATATAACCGCGCTTCGAAGTGGTGTCGTTTTTATAGTCGACCGTTCTCGATGGCAGCTGTCGCCAACAGCCCGCATCGGACGCAGAGCGTTCCGACATGCACACTCTCCCCTCCTCCTAGGGAGCACTCGCCGCGTTCCGCCCCGGGGAGGCGCAAAACCAACCCCAGGAAGAAACATTTGGAACGTGAGTCGACACCCGGTCCCTCTTTCAGACAGCGCCGGAGCAGGACTAATATTTACTACTCCTAGTGTTACCACCAGATTACGGAACAGCCGTCTTCCGTTATTCCCGTCTGACTACTGGAGCCGGTCAGAATCATACCGCACTTGGGGCTTTCCTCACATCGAAGGAAAACGATGACGACTGGACGGTGCCAATCAAGATTGTCAACACGTTGCCAGAAGACGGCTACGTGACATTGTACCCTCTCACAGGTCAGGCTCAGGATGGCCCGATCCAGGAACCAGATTCGGGAGACGACAAGAGCCAAGAAGCTACGAAAGAGAGGCGCCAGGGCGGTCTCGATTTTCATCGGCCACAAGATTTCTTCAACTCTGAATCAGATCCCTCGGACGGAAGTCAAAGTCGCATTCTATTCCTTCGTGGATTCATGTCTGCCAAATGGCTCAACACTATCGGAGCAAAGTACATCGTTGACCCGGAATATTTCTGTCGTCATCTGGACTTCAGGCCGGCCGACGACAATTCGAATAACTTTTCCATTCCAGCCCTTCCGTCTTCGTCGTGGCATATCATTGAGCTGCCTATAATGACCATAGGTACCTTCAGAGGCACCGGGACTGTGAACGAGCTCCGTAGCCAAGGAGAGACCGCACTGACGCAGCATCACCACACTATCTCCAAGCTTGCGCTGTCAAGGTTGAGCGTGGGCGAGTCTATGATCCGGGATTTCCACGTTTTCGACGAATCACACTTCGCCATCGAACAGCGGATTTCAATTTGCATGCTGCATGACGCGGCGCATAACTTCAGTCGTACGTTAGTCCATGCCCACATAGTCTAGAATCCTGCTAACAGCTCTTGAGTCCTCGTATGGCTCGATAGCGGGAGGGACTTCCCGAAAGACCAGATGCTTCCCTGGGCCAACCGAGGCTCCGACACTCGCCTCCTGCCGATCATCCGACATAAACACATGGTTGCGCTCAAATGCCACCTGCTCTCGGATAACAATGGGGTGAAGCAAACGCAGACCGCATCGCTGCTGCACAAAGATTATGGTCGTTCACTACACCTCAAATCTATGGCAAACGACGCTTTTTATTCGCTGAATGAGGTCTTCTCATTTGCAGCTTCATCAGAAATGCAGTTTCTGAATCTCCTCGAAGTGAAGCTGGACAAGTATACCGGTCACGACTCCGACAGCTTGTCGGACCTCAAGTACGCGAAGCACATACTCTATCGCCACATGCAAAAGCTCCAGCAAGTCCTGGATAGCATACACAACACGAAACATCCCAAGTGGCCAAAGGCGAACCTGGATGATGGCTTCCGGAAGGTGCGGGTTGCAGCGGACGGTCTCGAGCAAGACTTCAAACATCTCTTGAACCGGGCAGAGATGCTGCACAGACGGTGCAATGAGGAAATAACGGTGCTTCTGAGCAGTGTTTCCATTTCTGAGTCAAAGAAGGGTATCGAGCAGGCGAAACGTGTAAGCAAGCTTACCTTTCTCGCTTTCATCTTCGTGCCGCTCTCATTCACGACTTCCTTTTTCGGAATGAATGTCAAGGAGCTTGGCGCCTCGTCTGCAAGCATTTGGTGGTGGATTGTTTTCTCTTTTCCCGTGTGTGCTCTTGCAGTTGGGCTCTTCTTTTGTGACGTCTCAAAGTATCTCAAGGCGTTGGGCCGGTGTTTCAGGAACCTCTTCGTTGGATGAACTTCATCCTTTGTAACTACACATAATGACTAATTCTGGCTAGTCACGAGAAAGAATTGCATAGTATTAGATATTTTCTGTGGAAAATTTGCTGAGTTGGCTAAAACGGGCAGTGCTTTCTGCAGGACTTCTGAGAGCGCTCCCTCCTTCCGGGGCAAAGAATAATCCACCAAGCATCCTACAGTTTCCACATCACCTTCCCCGTGCTCACACTCGTCGGTCGGTTGGCGCTCTCTAAGATTTCCTGTGCGGTTTGTAGAAGGAACAAGTCGGTGCCTATGTTCGCGTGAGCGCCTTTCACAGCACTTTAACGATCCCGCACGAACCTTGAGCAGATACCAATGTAACCACGAAAGGGAGATGCTCGACCTTTCCGGAGACAGTGGACGAATAAGCTATTTGTGAAACTAGCGACGCAATCAGGCTATGTAAGTAAAAGGGTAGAGCACTTACTCGGAATGGCTAGAGCAGGACCCCTCAGCACAGCAGCAAGAGCTATTGAGCATATTCCATCCTGTGGTGGTCTTTTGAACGTGGGGGGTTGATCTCGGTATCTGGGTGCCATATTCTCCTGAGGGTGAACAATGAGCGCATTGGAGCGATCTCCCTTCAAGATGATCTCATTGAACCACCGTTCATACACGCCAATCTTGATGAAGCCAGAGTCGCGGTCTGCCTCCGAAAGTGTCTTTCCCATGTCCCACACTCTTTGGTTTGGAGGACTCGTGTATGGCGGTTGACCGAACTTATTCATATAGCGCTCGCGGAAGTCATCCTCGCTATGGTATATGTCATATGCCAGCGAAACGAGAGCCTGTAAATCTCCTCGTCAGAGTCACTCAAGTGGCTTGCCCAAATACTTGCCGAATTGATGTACTCTGGCAGTGAACGCCCCTCCGCTTCGGCTGGGGGCGACAGTCGCCACTCCTCTTCGAAGGACACATCCACGCATGGCAGACCAAGATAGGCCTCTGCGTCGTGGACGAATTTGCGAGCAATTTCTATTTGAGCGGGTTCAATGTCGCTCCAGAAGTCACTAGCCCACAGGATCGCCGAGAAGGGCTCGAGAGAGTCAGCGAGAACACGATAGTGTTTCCACGCACGTGGTCAAAGTTAACCCCAGCAGGATTAATAGTAATAATAGTAGCAGAGAAGCGAAGTAAAAAAGAGAAGTAAAGCAAAAAAGAGAAGTAAAGCAAAAAAAGAGAAGTAAAGCAAAAAAAGAGAAGTAAAAAAGAGAAAGTAAAAGTAAAGTAAAATAAAAAAGAAAAGTAAAAGAAAAAAGTAAAGTAAAAGAGAGAAGTAAAGTAAGAGAAGTAAAGTAAGAGAAGTAAAGTAAGAG